ATTAGGATTACCCTAGTTAAGGAAGTACAACCTACACATTAATTAGGGTTTAAGAACGCTATTCTTAGAATACTATAAATATGTATTATAAGCTAAGCCTACGCAATAATAGAGATTAAAGGTAGATAAGAGTGTTATTAATAATATAAACTTATAATAGAAAGTTAAAAAATAGAAATTATCCTTAGTAGATACTAGTAGGAACTACTAGGTTATAAAGTATAAGAAGAAGGAAGAAAGTACACCCTTAGAAGTACCTAGAGAGTATAAAGTATAGATATATATATTTATAGAGAAGGAAGAAAAGGTAAACCTACTAGAATATTAACCCTAGGATTATATAATTAACCTAGAAGAAGGGAAGACGCTACCCTTTAGACTATTATATAGTAAAATAGGAGAAGAACTCTAAAAAGAATATAAATTTATTAAGATAAACCTAGTAAAAGGATATATTAGACTATTAAAGTTACTAGTAGTAAGCCCTTTTATATTTATTAAAAAGAAGGATAGATTAGATAGACTATACATTAACTACTAAGTAATTAATAATATAATAATTAAAAATAGGTACCTATTACCTAATATCTTAGAGCTTAGAGATAGACTCTTATAAGTAAAAGTCTTTATAATAATAGACTTAAGAGATAGATACTACCTAATTAGAATAAAGAAAGGTAAAGAATAGAAGATAGTATTTTAATTACGCTATAGACTATTTAAGTACCTAGTAATACCTTTTAGACTTACTAACGCACTAGTAACCTTTTAGGCACTTATTAATAATATACTTTGTAAATATTTAGATATATTTATTATTATATATATAGACAACATTCTTATCTTTTCTAAGAATAAATCTAACTATACTAAGTATGTATAGATAGTACTAAAAGCACTAAATAGGGTATACTTAAGGATTAAACTTAAGAAATGCTAATTTAACGTTAAATAACTTAAATTCCTTAGATATATTATTACTATAGAAGGAATTAAGATAGCACTAAGTAAGATAGAAAGTATTAGAAATTAGCCTATACTAAAAACTATAAAGAATATCTAAGAATTCTTAGGATTCTATAGATTTAATTAATAGTTTATTAAAGATTATGTAAAGGTTATAATACTATTAATAAACCTTACTAGGAAAGACACGCCTTTTAAATAGATAAATAAGTATAGAATGTTATTCTAACTCCTTAAAATAGTATATATTATAGAACTAGTTCTTATTTATTTTAGAAGCAACAAACTACTATAATTTAAAACTAATGTAAGTAATCTTACACTAGGAGCATACGCAAAATAAAAATAAAATAGTAAATAGCACCTAATCGCCTATTACTTATGTAAATTCAACGACGCAGAAATATAATATAATGTATATAATAAAGAACTCTACGCTATTATTAAAGCCTTAAAATACTAGAGAATATACGCTCTTAGCTATTTAACGCTAGAAATCTATACAGATTATAAAAACCTACTTAGGTTTATAATAATAAAAGAACTAACACTACAATAATAAAGATAGTTATAGACTACTAGATAGTATAAATTTAAAATTATCTATATAGTAGGAAAAGAAAATAGATAAGTAGATACACTTAGTAGACAAAGTAATCTAGTAGGAGAAAAGGTTAAAACCTACTTAGTAATCCTTTATAAAAATAAAAACAGATCTCTTAAACTAATAGTAGAACTTAATTAACTTTTAGTTATAAACTAAGAAGTACTAAAGTAACTATAAACTAAGATTATTAGATAATACTATAATAACCTAACGTATGGACACCTAGGCATCACAAAGATATTAGAGTTAATTTAGAGGAACTATATATTTAAAGGAATTAAGAAAGCTATAATAGCATATATCTACAAATGTGTAGACTACCAGAAAAATAAATATAGCATATACCTTAAGTATAAAGAAATGTAACTAATTAGGATACTAATAGCACCTTTTAAAGATATCGCTATAGACTTTATTATAGGAATACTAGACTTAATTAACCTAGCTATAAAAACCTTATATAATAGTATTTTAGTAATTATATATTACTTTATAAGCTACGTTAAATTAATTCTATATCTAAAGAATATAATAGCTAAAGAGCTAGCTTACCTCTTTTAGAATAAGTAGGTTAGACACTATAGTATTCTAAAAATAATTATTAGTAATAGAGATAAACTCTTTATATTAAACTTCTAGATAATATTTATAGCACTTATTAGAATAAAATAAAAACTATCTACGGCATATTATCTATAGACAGATAGGAAAATAGAAAGAATAAATTAAATTATAGAAATATATCTATAAATATACTATAATAAATAAAAAAATAACTAGGTTTTACTATTACCTATGGCATAATTAGCACATAATAATAAGGTATTAATAGTAATAAGGCAAACACCTTACTATACTATATATAGAAAATATCTAAATCTCTTTAACTAATAACTACTAACAAATATTAACATAAAAGAAGCCATAGATATAGTAGATAATATAAAAAAATATATAATAAACTCTAAGAAAACCTTAAGAAAGCTTAATAGCAAAGTATTTTATATATAAACTAGAAACAAAAAATAGCACCTTAGCTAAAGAAAGGGGATAAAGTATATCTACTTATAAAGAACCTTTATATATAAAAGAAAAGTATAAGAAATTAGATTATATTAAGGTTAGACTATTTTATATTTCTAAATAAGTATTACTAGTAAACTATAGATTAGAATTACTACTAGATATAAAAATACACCTAGTATTCTATATATTACTATTAGAACTAGTAGACCCTAAAACACTAGTTAAAACTACCTTCTATTATAGAGCTAAAGAAGAAACTAAATTTAAAGTTAAAAGTATTATACACATAAGAACCTATAAAGGAATCTAATAGTACCTTATTAAGTAGAAAGGATACCTAGATAGTAAAAACACTTAGGAACTAAAAAGTAATCTAGATAACTATTAATAAAAGGTTAAGGAATATAAGTAAAACCTTTAGAACCCTATTATATAATAAAGAGTATAAGGACGTACCTAGCTACTAGATATAGGAGGAATATTTTCCTAGAAATTAGAAGAAAAATTATCTATTACTAACTAGATAGAGGGACAAAGCTCTATAGGACTAGTAGGCTAAGTAGGCTAAATAGAATCTTTATCTAACTCTACTAACGCTACGCTTTCTACTATAATAACTTTACTAGTACGCTTTTTATTCTATAATAACTACTTCTTTAACTAATCCTCTTTTGCTTAAGCCGTATATATAGCTTTAAAAGTAGTATTCTACTCTTTTTATACTTTATCTAATTACGCTTCTAACTTCTTCTTCTTAGTAACTAACTATAAGAACTTATTCTAAGTAATAGTAATATTATACTTTAAACCTTACTTCTAATACTTACTACACTTTCCTAAACTAATATAGACCTTATAAACACAGGCGTATAACTAATAAAATAAACATTTTAATACTATAATAACGCTATAGTTTTTAATAGTAAAAATAAGGTCGTAGTAACGCTTTATAGAATAATAGTTAGTAGGCATAATTCTTTAGGGTAAAGAATAAGAAGGGGAGGGATAATATTATAAACTAGATAATAGTAGGGAAGTTTAGGCGCTTATAAAGGTAAAAGATATAATAACTAGAATTATAATAAGATAAGAATACGCTAAGTTACTTAGATAGTAGTTACATAACTTACTTAGCTACTTAGAGTTCCTAAATAACTAAGTAGCTAAGAGTTATTACGTAACCTACTTAGTTATTTAGGGCTCCTAAGTAACTAAGTAAGATCCTTATATAGAAATATAAAGATAAACCTTTATACTTATATTTAACCTAAGTTTTAATCTATTATTTAGATTTACTTAGGCCTCCCTTATTAACTTATTATACTTTATAAGATACTTCTATATTAATAAGAACCCCTTCTTTCTTCCCTTAGTAAGTCTTGCCTAAGAACTAACCTTAACCTATTTAGGACTAGCTACCCTTTCTAGATTTAATAAGTAAAAAATCTATAATAACTAATTTTATTAGTAAGTATAAGTTGTTTATTAGTTTTATAAGAAGGTATAAAGGGTAATAATAACCTAACTTATAATAGGGCTTACCCTACTAATATAGCACTACCCCTATAATAGATTAATCTTTAGGCTAAAGACTTAAAAGGGGAAGATAGTATTATAGCTACTATACTATAATAGAATTATAGGAATTATATTAATAATAGTAGTAACTAATTAGATTATAAGGGGGAAGAATATAATTATAGGTTAGATACTAAGTATAATATAGATATATAAGGAAGTTATATAATTAGATCTATAGATCTATAGGATAGAGCTATAGAGCCTAGATTTATAGAATCTATAGGTAGAGCCTATAGAGCTATTATTAGATAGTAGTATATAGAGATAATAGATTACTACTAGGTAAGCCTTTATTATTAATCTATAATATAGTTCTCTATATCTAGTTTCCTTATAGAAGATTACTATTAAGTCTTTAGTAATATATTCTTATAGTAGTAATTAATTAACGTTTATACTACATATAATCTATATAACCCTACACGCTACTCATCTCTCACCAGAACCCTAATAGGGCCACGGCTAGTGACAGAGTCCTAGAGGCCCGTTATAATGGGTTACCGAATAGTCTTTACCTACTTTTAAAAATTATATTTTAGTGGCCTTAGTAGTAGATTATAGCTATAGGTGGAATTAGTCTATAGATATGTGTAGAGAAAGGAGGTATAACAAAGTGTGGGGATTACTCTACGCTGGTATCCAATAGCGGCTCTTCAAATACATAATGGGGTAGAATCGCGACATCTATAGCCGAAGGGCCCACTTAAGGGTTAACAACAGCGCAAACGCCCCTCCACCAACCCTCCTGCTCGTTTCGACAACCACATTCCCACCCTGCACTTACGCGTACTGCACCTTCGAGCGTAAAAGAACCAACGACATGCCATTCAACACACCCGTCAGAGCGGCCTTTCAGAAGCAGGACCCTGCATATGGCTTCTGGCTGACGTAAGCCCATTCCATCTCATTGCGAACGCAAACTCCACAGACGGATCATAGCTGACTATCATGGTTTTACTTCAGTATTCCGAGCGCCGGTGTGGCAAAGACGGTTCTACGGCCGAGCCGTGGACAGTTCAGCTGGGTTCTGATTGATGCCGAGCACGGCTTGATCAACGACACTCACTATTATGAGCTCGTCAACGCTGTAGCTTCCGAAGGCGCCAGCCCAATCATTCGCGTGCCATGGGGCGAAGAATGGATGCTCAAGCGGGCTCTTGATGCTGGTGCGCATGGCATCGTGACGCCCATGTGCCATTCAGAGGTACGCAATTCGAGAAAGCCTATTTTTCGAACCCACAAGAAGATTGTGAGGGAATCAACGTTAGTTGACTCATCGGCCTCTAGGAAGATGCCAAAAAAATCGTGAAGTACTCCAAATATCCTCCCATCGGCACTAGAGGCTACGGCCCAATGTTTGCACACTCCGTTCCAGGCGTTTTCGGTGCAGAGTATGACGACAATGCGAATGACAGTCTCCTCGTGATCGTTCAGATCGAGTCCAGGCAAGGTGTAGAGTGTGTAGAGAAAATCGCTGCAGTTGATGGGATTGATGTTTTGTTCATTGGTGAGCTCTTGCAGTGACGACTCCGCGCTGAATTACTTCTAATGGCTAGCTTGTTAGGACCTTTCGACCTGGCGAAACAGATGGATGTTCAGCGCGGCGGCGAGGAGCATGAGGCTGCGATTCAGCGAACACTCAAAGCAGCGCATGCGTCGGGCAAGAAGGCTGCCATTTTTTGTACGTCTACGAGAGATGTTTTTTACTACTTACGCGGCGTGAAATGAATTGTCTCTAAATGAAAAACCTGAGTGTGAAGCTAACCAGTGCCCCAGGCACAAATGGAGAGGATGCCAACAGTCGCAGGGCACAGGGCTTCGACATGATCTCTATCATCACGGATGTGGGAGTCTTAGCAGAAGGGATGCTGCGCGAGCTAGGTGCCGCAAAGGGTCAGACGCAGGAGATTAAGCCGAGGACAGGTTACTGATAGGTCATTGTAGTAATAGTCTTTCAATTTGCCGGACATACTGTGGTGCAGGAAAAGTATTGCCAGAATTGATAGAATAACCCGGTGGCTAGTGTGAGCAGCTCGCTCTTTTAATACCAACTTGTGTTGTTTGCTGTATCGAGGCATTCTCTCATATTTTAATGGTTTGAGATACTCGAATGTTGCACCAAGACTTGTTTTTTGTGATCACAACCTTCTTTGGAAGAATAATTCTGCTTGTTTCCCCTGTTCTAGGGGTCCTGGAAGCTACGCACAATTTAACCCATGCGTTGTACAACAACATCATGGTCTATAGTGGGAAAAGTCAAGCTATTCAATTATGCCTGCACGTGTTGCATATAGAGATAAGAATTTAAAGTCTACAATTTTGGACAGAAGTTGTGACAGGAACGCCTTTTACGACCTTGCTGTCATATGTTATACATTAAGTTGTAATATACATTCGCCTCACGATATACATTTATACGCTATGAAGTCTGTTGAGGAGCTTCCCGTGGTCCACTACTGCATGTCAAACAACAACGAGCAAGAAGAAACAGTTAATTCTTTTTACCGAAATTCCCCACGTAGCCCATGAATAGGTGCGTACGACGGCCGGTTTTTTCCAACCCACGGTCCCATTGGGCCGACCATTTCGGGCTTCAGATCTCCTATCGTATTAGCGCCTATGTTCCGCATCGTATTTGTAATTTCTTCCTGGAAGACTGTGGGAATCTCAGCGCTACTCAAGCTCCATCAATTCATTTATCCTCACTCTGTAACACTCTCGCTACACCGTCCTCGCCATGTGTCCCGTTTGCGTATAAGATCGGCCGACCGATACCGACGGCCTTTGCGCCTAGAGCTAGGGCTTTTACGACGTCGGCCCCACTGCGTACACCGCCGTCTACCATGACTTCGATCTTAGAGAAAAGATCTGGGCGTAATTCACGGAGTTCGTAGAGCACGTCAATGGGTGCCGGGGCGTAGTCTGCTTGGCGGCCCCCATGGTTGGACTGAACGACAATTTCAGCGTTGGATCTCTTCAGGAAGAGAGTTTGGGTACAGTGCTCAACTTACAATAATGACACCCTCGACACCATGCTCAGCACACAACTGTACATCCTCCACGGATTGTACGCCTTTGACGATAATCGGTAAATGCGTGTGCTTTCTGACAAACCCAATATCGCTCCACGTTAGGTTCGAATCTTGGTATCCACCAATCGCTTCCGAAACGCTTTTATCTTTCCCACCAGCAACCGGTGCCGTAAGTGATATCGGCGGAGGCGTTTCAGTCATCTCTTTTAACCTTCCTCTCACGTCGAGCGTCCGTTTCGACTGCCAGCATACATCTACAGTGAGAATGATAGCGCTGGCGCCAAGCTGAGTAACGCGTTTGATAAGTGCGGAAGAAGCAGACCGGTCTTTGTTGAGGTAGAGCTGGAAGACAAGTGGTTGACCTTCCAATCTCGCATAGAACATTTCTTCTAAGCTACAGCTCGCGTTCGCGGATATTGCTTGGATAATACCAGACGTGCCAGCTGCTTTAGTCAAATTGATTTCTCCAAGAGGATGTCCCAATTTGGCCATTGCCGCAGGCGCGATGAAGATCGGCATCGAGGTCGGCATCCCAAGGAACGCTGTTGAAGTTGAGCCGTGTGACATATCTCGCATGATTCTTGGTCGGAAGAAATATCTTCCCCAGGCGTCGCGATTATTATGAAACGTAGCTTCCTCATCAGACGCGCTCCGATAGTACGCCCAAGCTGTTGTGCTGAGAACGCGCTCAGCCCAATCTTCGAATTCTTGCACCAGAAGTATGTTCGCGACTGGAGGCATCTCCTGTCTTGCCTCTGCCTGCCGTATCTCATCCTCACTCAGCTCATGTTCTTCTGGTGCCGGAAGAGTTTCAAGATCAACGGGTCCAATGCAGTATTCTGGAGGAAGTGTTCCGATGGCATCGGGCGGATGTAAAAGCGTAAACTTTGCACTCGCATCTCTTCCCGCTTGTTGCAATATGGCAGATCGACCTCCTGGATGCGCTTCCAGGAAGTTTGTCATATTGTAGACCATTCCCTTAATCACTCAGTTTAACGCCTTCAGCATTTTTCGTTGGATTATACTTACATTGATAATAACCCAACAATCATCCTCCGTGATGTGTTTTTGTACTTCCTCATACGAAATCAAGGACCGCCGGTCATGCGGTGTTGTTTTTGCAGTCTCGCATTGCACAGCTGGCAGCTCGTGAAATAGATATCCGCCGGCGATAGCCTACAACTAGTTTTAGAAACTGCATGTAGCCCACAAATTCGAGTCTCGTACGCATGCAACGATCAATACGCCTGATTTATAACCTGAAGACGGGGTTGACCTAGGACGATTGCCTGAACCTACACGAGTGCTTGGCCTTCGTGTTGTCGTTGAGTATGTGCAAATCGCTTGCGGTCGGCTTTCTATCGCAGGTTTGATAATCTCAAGGCTCATGCGCGCATGCTGCCATACCGTACGTAGTGAGGTCATGGCGACGAAAAGGCGGATAGATATTTAGAGAATAACGGAGTATCCAGCGCATAATGAAGGGGTGCGGCATCTCAAATTTGCCATCGACCTCGCGCCGCGCATCGCGTCAAGCACAACGCGATTGGGTGACAGGCGTTGCGGGCCGAGTTGCTGAACTGGGACATGCCGCGGGCTATGTATTACAATAAGAGCAGTCGATTGAGCCCGCTCCGCAGAATAATTGTCCTTGACCAACTGTCGGCTTCGTTCGGTCCGATGCCGGCCTCGACAGACGCAGCAGGCAATTGCCGAGCGGCGTTTGATCTCGGCTATAGACATGGCCTCGTCGAGAATGTTTACGTTGGTAACATTCCAAGGTCGTTATAGTCCTCTGTGGCACAGCAGAGTGGAATGCTAATTGTTGGTCTATTCGTTAAGCTCTAGTCGTGTCCGACCCGTCCGTTACGTCTGTGCTAAAACGCCAGCTAGCCTTTCAAAAGCTCTGCCATGTTTGGCGGGAGCGGTCCTGAAACGTGTACCGCACATATAATCCTGCAAGTGGATCATTACAAAAATATGGAAAGATTTGACAGAGTTCCAGTCCGCTGAACCCATCAAGGTCAGCGTGCTCATGAGTACCATAGGTATGTTCGCAGATCAGGTAGAGACACGCGAAGAGTGGCCAATTGGCATGCAATTACCCGAATCAATCGCCATCTCGTTCCTAAAAGGTGGTATTCACCAGACCACATGCATGCATGGATTTAGTGCTCCAGTGGAAACGGTACAGCGTGACAGGGGTCGACGTTTACTGATGTCGCCTGGTTGCCATCGCGGCTTTGGCAAGGCACCGATATCACATCGCACGCTACGTATGATAGCTACAGTCAGCTGCTTTACTGCTAGGAGAAAGAAGGTGGGTATCACATCGCCCGGGAAACAGCTAACATGTGCTAGCTGCAGCAGCTGATCAACACCCCGTACACAAAGTTCATGCACAGAACGTATGGATATCACTGTAACGGCATGGGAGTCTGGAAGAATGCAATAGTAATTCCACTTAGCGCCCCAGAAGCTCGCTCGCAAGTGCAAGCGCTGAGAAGGTTGATCTGTGACGCTACCGTGAAGTTGGCAAGATACGAGATGAAAGGAGCCAGGGCAGGTGGATCCTGAGAGCATCACTATCGGTGCTTTGCGAAAAGAATGCCACCACCCTACCATGGTACAGCTCCCTATTTTGATTACCTATGGTATATATCTACTCAACTATTAGTTAAAATGCGTTGGTACTCCTATTTTAATAGCTTAGTGCCCTAATTTAACGTCATCCACAACCAGATCTAGCTAGTATTCAACAAGATCTAGCCAGTAATAGAGTGAATATATCATATAATTAATAAAGGTTGGGCATCTGTACCATGGTCGGGTGGGGGGCATTCTTTTCGCAAACGATAATAGTACATGATCAGATGTGCCCGTGGTATTAAAGGACAGTAGACTCAATCGATAAAGCATTTCCCATTGGCAACGACGTGCTGGTCGCAGACGAGAGAAAGGTGATATCTAGTTGCGTTATTGCCGATCGCAGAAACAAGCGTAATTTCGATTGTAGAAAGTGGTGTAAGAGCAGTTTTGAAAGTTCATATTATCTGTTTCTTATCGCTACAATGTCCGATGATCTCCATCATGCATTCCCCACATGTGTCCTCTTATCCGAAGCCGTCGCCTCCGAAGGCGTGTATCCATGTCGAACAGGACTGTGCATACCGCTCCGAATAGGACTATGCATGTCACTCATAGAAGCTACTGTCGAGAGGGCTAGGCCGGGGTTCACCCTCCTCTCTGGTTCATCCGCCATGTCAAGGATGGACGTTGTACGGCTACCGCAGAATCCGCCCTCCTCAACCTGCCTCATCGTTTCGATGGATGCTTGCCCTTGCGTATCACTCATATGTGGGTACCCCAAAGACTGTAGTACCTTTGCTGTTGTTAATCGCTGCTTTTCTCTGACCTCGTGGTTGGGATTCTTCGTTGGATCGTTGTCGTCATCTCCATCCTGCCCTGGGTTCGCCATCTCATACTCCAGCATTTTGATAAACTTGTAGAAACCAATTGCGAGGAGACTGCCAATACCGGGCCCAACCCAGTATATCCAGTGTTCAGTATCGTACATGTTCGTAACAATGCAAGGTCCAAGACTGCGTGCTGGGTTGAGTGATCCACCCGTATAGTACACGCCGACCAATTCTGCAACAAACAAAGCCAACCCTATCCCTACAGGTGCAATGAAAGTAGACTTGTGTTTCTCTTTCGCAAGCATGAGAATGGTGAAGACAAGCTCAGCAGTCATCAATGCCTCGATGAAGACACCCTGGGCAAGGGAGGTACCTTCGGAAAGAGTCGTGCGGACGTTCAATGGCGTGGGAAACATGGCAAGAACCAGGGTTGACGCAGTGATGCTACCGATTATCTGGGACGCGAAAAGACATATAGCGCGAGTGGCACCGACGGCACCAGTCGCCCATAGAGCAAGAGTAACCTGCGACAACGTGAGAGTCTGTAAACCTCTAAATGGTTGAGCCAGTGAACTTACCGCCGGGTTGAACAAGCCACCGGAGATCCGGAAGAAGATCCATACGTTCACCATCAAGCTAAAGCCAAAAGAGACAGAGATGTACAACATGACGATTGGACTAAACCCAGCTGTAGCATTCGTTGTTGTTGATTCGTTGGATGTTTGGGAGTGAGCGTTGGCAACCTGCGTGCCTGCGAATGCGAAGAACAAGAATAGCGTGGTGCCAACCCACTCTCCTACCGATGCGACGAACATGTTCTTGACGTCGCTGTTCATCCACATTGTCCATGGAAGTCCCAAGTAGATTTTTGTAGCTTCTGGGGTGGAAGGTCCACCTATGGCTAACTGGGTCTGTCTCCGGCCAAGTCTTGGGGGAGCATAGCCGTATCGATTATCTCCAATAATATCGGCATAATTGTACGGCATCTCACCACTTCCACGCCAAGAATTGCGCAAATTCAATGGTGGAGCTCCCTGGCGATTCTGCTTTTGTTGCTCTTTCATGTCGTAGAACGATAGAGGCCGTCCGCGTTGCGCTAGCAATTGAGAAGGCGCAGGGCTGTGATCAAAATAAGAAGCATTGTTGTCCTTATCGGCCTCGTCTGAATGATTGTCCATGTTATGTATTTGCAGACTGTTGGTCCGTTTAGGCGCAGGTTTCTTGCCTAGGTAAGGTGACCTTGGAGTCTTGATGGTATCTAATGATTTGCGGATGGTATCATCAGTGATTGATGATGCAGAGGGCGTCACTCGACGGGTCGAGGTTGGCGGTGTGTTGATCATGGGCGTTGTGGAAGGTGTGCCAAGAGTAGGTCGCTCCGGTGCAGGCTGCATTGTATACCTGCTCGCGATGCTGGTCGTAAGTGAGGCTCGGAGACTGGCGGGCAGGATATTGTGGCTTCCCACGTTGTATGTCCTCCAGTACGCAGGGATAAAACTGTTGGTGTGGAGGAACGGCCGAAAGCTGGGAAAGGCGACGGAATTTATTAAACCAAAGTCAGCCCCGGACGCTTCTCTACTGCAGAATTATACAGTGATGCGAACTGACGGTCCGTTTGAGCTGAGTTTGGTTTCCGGTCAGAGCAAGCATTTTGAACGGGCGTGTGGACGCCATTCTGGTCAGGCAGGAAGCGACGGTTGTTACGGATGCCGAGAAAGGTTTGAGAGGCGCCGTCATCGCCTCCTACACCTACTCATCTGCGCCTTGGCCGACGTTCGAGTGCTTTCGCTCGTGGATCGTGGTGTGCTCCGTTCACGAAGGGCGCACAAAGGCCATCAGGATCTGGTCGTTGGAGGGCCGCCAATGGGCATCGGCGATACCAGGATGGCTCGCAGCCTCACAGTATACGGATAGTGCTAAGGAAAAGTGTTGATAGTGGAGGATGCTGCGAGTTGCGACTGCGGGTCCGCCGAGATGGCTCCGGGGCCCATGCGGGCGATCCGTCGATCTGGTGAAACCACCCGATTCGCCAATGGGCTTGTGCGCATCTACTAGTAAGATATCGATATCTCAAGCCTCGCGTCAACACAGGCCGGATAGCTCCCGAGCCTAGATGCACATGAAACGCTCCAGAAGTTCTGGCGAGGACTGCCCTGCATCGTGCCTCATTGCTCCGGGGCTGCATGTGCTCGAGATCCCAATCTGCACGCTATGTTCCTATGCTCGTATGAAGCACCACTTGCACAAGAACGAGGGGCTATCTCGACTTGACGTAGCAAGGCGCGATCGACGAGCCAAACATGTACATGGGAGTGGGATGCATTGGTGCTACAAGAAACCCTCTAACCGCTAGCTCGTCACGGAGACCTGCGCTTGGCTCAGCGATGCCTTCGCCCACGGCTTCCACCACTTCTCGATGCCCTCCTCGAACTGCCACCCGTCCCACTCGTAGTTGGTAAGAGCCCAAGTATCGGCTACGCCCTGTCCGCCACTGCGTATCCTATAGCTTCCAGCCAAACTCCACATAGCCCAGCTCACATTATTCTGGGTAGTAAACTGTCTAAGACAACCTTGCAGCGTGTCGTTGAAGATTGACGTATCCTGCGCTGAACCAAACTCAGACAAGATAACGGGCGTTTGTCGTAAAGCTTTCGGGCAGTCCTTCGTGATGTTGCATGCGGCTGGTGCCTCTATGCCCAGCGCGTTAAAGCCAGACTGGTAGAGCTCTGCTTCAATGATAGGGCAATTCCCCGTGTCGAGGTTCTCGGACATGCTGTAAAGATGCAGTTCGTAGACGACTTTGTCACCCCAGGGGTGGGAGCCGAGGTCGAAGACGACTGGCTTGCGACGGTAGCCGTCGCGGATCGCGTCGCCCTTGTATAGCGGTGCTGTGTTGAGATTCAGACCAGATGTCCTGTCGCAATTTTGCGTTAGCAGTCTGCACACATTGGTAATGTGCGAACAACCTACAATGCTGACAGATCCTGGTCATACTGCAAGCCGCTCCAGGTCACTAAGATGTCCGGGTTCGCCGAGTAGATGGCATCCGTAGCCGCGGTGTAGTTGCCGATAAACGTCAACCAATTGTACCCGGTTGTCGAAGTTGGGGCGGTACTATTTATGGCGCGACGGAGCTCGTTCCGGAGAGACATCGAAACGACGTTCGGGTGTTTCTTCGCCCAATTGGCCACATACTGCAGTCCGCGATGCCAATTCTTCACCGGGAAGTTGTAGTCATCAAACCAGGCGTTGCCGTCCGTGTTGTTGCAGCACCATTGCGCTTTTCCCACATGCACGTCCGGATGAATATACAGGCCCCTTTCAAGTGCCGCTTCAGCGATGCGATCCCAGACTTCGAAACGACCAGTGTCTTTGGTCCAGCCCTTGTTCTTAGCGACGATCTCGTTCGTCACCATGGTGCCATTCTCATAACCAAGACCTGTGATCATGGCGACCTCAAGCGGAACATCGCTGCCGTTGCGCTCGTAGATTTGATCTATCATCTCAATGGCGTATGTGAGGCGGATGAAGTTGAATCCAACGCTCTTGACCAGGTCGAGGATTTCTTCAACGGAACTCCATTCCACACCTTCAGGGACCATTGTCTCGCCGGAACCTGGCCAATTGACCCCCGCCCAAGCCACTGCTTCGCCGCGAGAGTTGACGATATCGCGGTCTTTTGTTGAAAACGGTCCATAGGGCCAGCTGCCATTGACTGCAGCCTGTCGCGAAAAGACGCGGTCTGCAATGTCAATTGGCGACGCGACATGAGCAGCGGCAGCTTGGAAAGCTGCTGCAGCTGGCAACACGAGCTGTAGGAAACCCATCACGCTGGTATTGACGTGAGTCGACGCGTAGACATGGCAGCAAAGCCCTGGATAAGTAGCATCTCGCTGTACATTGTACCGCTGCCCGCTGCACCTAGTCAGGTACCATCATTAGCTCTGCCATGGGCTGTTGCCCCACAAGCCCGGTTATGGTTACCTGTCCGACCGGAAGATTCTCCACGAATTGACCCTCGTGGGTTGTTCGGTGGTGGAGAGGTTAAAAAGGAGATCGGCCGAGGTGACGGCTACGCACCTGCTTAATTGGGAATGGATGGGCTGGGTATTTCCCCGCAACACGTGAGTGACGTACACAAGATGTATGTGCGCATGGATGTGCTGTACGGAGTGCCCTTGGTACTTCAATTGCGCAACGGTGTAGCTGCGATTTCCCGGATAGGCCCTTGCCCCGGAATCGGGGCTACCATCACGCGTCCTGGACATACCGCAACCCCATCGCGACCTCCTCGATCCTCGTCTCTTCCAACTCCCAAATCTCGTCATTACAGGTAGGTGCATCCTCAACCTCGGCTAGAATGGCCTGTTCTTCCAGAGCTCTCTGCTCTTCCACCTCCTCGTAACTTAGAATATCCGGCGCCTGCAAACACTCCCATGATCTCGTGGTATAGCGATCATCAGTCCAAAAAGTCGGCCCTCTGTCATAGCGACAACGCGGCTCCAGCTCTTCCGCCGTCTTTGGTAGCTCGAAAGAATGAAAATGGGACCATCTGAATCTGTAGGTGAAAACAGATCCAGAATCTCGGCGTATTTCTCTTTCTTCTTCCAGGATGTTTAGGTCCTTCTTGGAATGATCATGCTTGGACACCACCTCGATAGACATGAGTTCGCGCAGCTCGAAGCCCGCTACTTGGAGCAAATTATCAAGGACTGGCTGTTTCAGAACGGGCTGAGCGTGTGAGTCGAAGAGTCTGAGCTCTTTCAAGCAGGGAGGCAGAAGTCCAGCAAAAGTGTTCGTCAGGCCAGGATCTCGACTTTCTTCCCATGCTCCTGGCAGATTAGCCCACATGTTTGTCGGCGCCCAGAGTTTTTCCAGACAGGTGAATTGGGCCAGTGAGCGGAAAGGTTGATCTTCGAATCTGTCCGCGGGATGGGCGCCCGCGTAGTATTCGGCGCTGTCTTTGTTGAGCAGGAGCTCCTCCAGAGTCATCTATAGAAACAAAGGTCAACGCAAAGTCAGGGTAAATCCTGAGAAGGACAAAGTACCTGGAATGGGGCCAACAAGGCAACGATCTGTGCCGAGGTTGCTGTCCGATCTCGCCACCTCCCTGTCGAGTATCGAAAGGTTCTCAAGTTCCGGCATACTCCCAACAGTAGCTTCAGATCCCCGTGCGCCAGAACGCATCGTTCCAGCACCAAACATCGTATGTTCAACGGAGCTGAACTCAACGTGAAGGAGCTGCGTGTAGAAATTTCACAGTAGTTCTTCATCCACCAGCTTGCGCAACCGTGAGTCGTGAAAAGCTCCATCGTTGGTAGTGTCAGGATATCGACAAAGGTTGACAAAGGGTAATACCCAGGCTCGTAGAATGATTCTGGTCTAGCCGTGAACTCTCGCAATTTGCAGTACTGCTGAAACGCCCTCGCCCACGGCAATCCATTCCGCATTCCTGGGACACAAGTAAGTGATAGCCGCCTTAGATTAGTCAGAAGGCTTAGCAAAAGCACGATGTAGGCGTCATCCACCCCGGCTCTCAATAGATGGCAGATCTTGTCGTCCAAAGGTAAGCTTTCAAGCTCGGTAGTCGCGAAGTAGTACCAGTAGTACAACGTGCTGTGGTAACAATCGTAGCTCTTCTCCACACTTCTTAACTCTAAGACTCCTCCATTTGCATACGGCACAGTGTTCTTTACAAGTCCAGTGGCCGCCGCCGCACCTGTAAGCAATTCGTAGTCGTACTGATTGAGATCCTGACCGGGTTTTCTGTTAGGGTCCCATTCTACGGTCATAGAGTGATACAGCTTCTTCCCCTCTGACATCGCCTCTTCTTGCACGGCCTCAGGCTCAAACCTGTTCTCTTCATTCTGTGCATCTAGTATCTCCCATTCTGGAAGACGCAGACTGTGTACCTAAAACCCCACAAGTCAGTTTGGATGCGTCGGCACTGATGGGTATCTCACGTAGTGTAACCTTTTCGGTTCTTTCAGCAACGCTTTGATGAAGAGGGAGAGTGAACGGCGACGCAGAGACGGGGGATGATACTCCTGGTACAGTGCAGGCTCCGTGGCTGCGTGCAAGCGCTTGCTTGTGAGTGACACATTCAAGAGGTCGAGTTGTGAAAGATTAATTGCGATCAGGAGCTGAACCTCTGTGCTTAGTTGCGCCAACGACATCGGATTGAGATGCTGTAAAAATTATAGCAATTGGGCATTGTTGCATGGAAAGCGAGGATGTGCGCAGGCAGAAGTCGAGGCTACACGGAGGAAGCTAAACCCAAGAAGGGCAGCTTCACTCGCGCGAAGAGTATACAGTCGCGGCCCACGTGCTTGAGTCAACATTGTGATCTATTCCGGATATCTATTGGAGGCATTCAGCCTCCTGATATGTGCGCTCTCCTTACGTGTGTTCAATGCAATCCAAGTATGGTAAATATTTGTCCACCCGAGCGTCAATATTCCTGTAATGCCATTCTTTGTGATACACCCTCCTTCCGAACAGCTTCGAATGGATGCCGTTACTTCGCTTGCGGCCTGCGCAGCGGATGTGCCTCTGTATTAAAAACAAATTCATCTAAGCTCACGAGTCCAGGCTCGGAGAAGATGAGATAGAAGTATTTCAAAGTCTCCGCCATCCAAAAGCTCTCGCACTCGTCGATCTTCCTCGTCCCTTGAGCTTGTTTAACAGTAACATCTTCGATGGCGGAATGCGCGATAGCCGTTTCAGTCGCATTGGTGATAGCGGTAAACATGGTCCACGCCGCATCTTGAAGAATTGAGTCACCAGTTATGCGGTACAGGATGAAGATGGATTCGATGGCTTCTGGTCGCAGTAAGAATCGCCTGTCTCCTATCTTGGTCATTCCAGGCTGCAACCCGTCCTCCTCAATGATTTGTGCTGCGTCTTTCGTATTATCGAGCACGTGTTGGTCTATAATGCCACGATACCATCGCTCCTCGTTCCACTCGCAATCGTTTGGATCCTGGCAAGGAATGACGTGGAAGGTTTCAGGCATGATGTTGATCGGTGTGGAGTTGTAAGCCCAGATGCACCCGTCCACCAGTTTCCGTGCTACATCGAGTTCGTCGGTGCGGTTGAAGATTTTGGCGGCGATGCCAACCATGCCGCCTGCGAAGCATGCGAGATGCTGTGCCTCTGGGTCGAGCTTGACCATGCCTAGACTGCTCATCCGCACGTTGCCTGAGATGAGAATGTCTTGGTTCTGAGGGTTCAATGGGCGGAAAAAGAGATGCTGCTTCGCCGCTTCAATGGCATGTTGGTACAGAGTGCGATACTGTTCCTGGCGCCCGCCAAGCATCAGAAATTCCTTGGGAAAATATTCGTACAGCGAGTCTGACATGGCGCCGAACGTGAAAGTCTTGTATGCGGTCAGGTCGTTGTCAACGGGACTCACGGTGATAGGAATGAGTCCTGGAATGGCAGTCGAGTTCTGCTGCTTCTCGATCAGATCGGATATCCTCTGAACAGCATCGTAATACTTCGCGTCACCTGTTAGCTGCGTGAGGCGGGTAAATTCCAAGCTCAAAGAGCCCAATTCCGCACTCAGTGCGCTCATTGGAGCCTCCTGGTCCATGTGAAGAGCGCCACTTTACAAGATTAGCCATATGGTCTCGATGCGATGGGTATCAGGACACGTACTTGACCCAGTCCCAGCGTGTGATGGGAAGGCGGTTGGGAGTATCGAAAGCTCCATACAGCATGTCGCCGAGCTGCACTGCCTTTTCCAGGACGTGATGTTTCCCCTCACTCAGATCATAGGCACTCAAAAGGCCACCGAGGTATCGGATGTTGGTCTCGAATACGTTCAGGACTGGTTCTGCCGTAGTGCTGAAATCGATCTTCTGTACCGCCCTAAGCGCCAAACCGAAATCCTCGTCCAAACCCATGATGAGCAATGTGTCTAAAGCATCCACCAATGTAGCAGCGCGGTTTCCGAAAGTGTTTTTGAAGCTCGCCGAGAGCGGAGTGACTTCGTCCTGCAACCATGCATGCTTCTTGTAGCCGTCCCAAGAATGCGCGAATGCGTCTTTCACTGCAGTCTGCCTCTGTAGCCTCTCTTGCCTGTTGTTCTCTGTTTCGACGCCGAAGTGGTGTTGGACACGAGGGGATGGGTAAGGGTGTGCCCTTCGGTAAGGGTATCATCGAGGTAACGGGATACCGTTGAGCGATGTCTTTCCAGACGACCGGGCTAGTGACCAGGGACGACGAAGTCTCGTTGGTAGGGAGAGGCTCATTTCGTAGGGTGAACTGGTGGTAAGCTAGAAACAGGAGGGTCGTGATTGTGCAAGCAATGGCGAAGCGACGCAGAAAGAAGCCCATAGCCAGGATCAAAGAAAGAGAAGCGTTCAAGGATGGATTGTCATTGGCATTGACTAGTGTACAGCTCAACAAGAGAGGTCAACGAATGGAAACAGGAATTCCCAAGCAAAAGTGCTTGATGTTGCAACAAGGGAGTGTGGTCAACGTACGTCCCGAACAATCGAGCTACCCCGACTGACAGGATGGAGAGCGATAAAAGAAAACTGAGACCCCGAGGAGGAAGCGAAGGTGGTAAGGAGGTCATGTTTCCATGATCGGACTCGGGGAATGGACCGCTGGGGGCCTCCTGTGGGCCTGCGTATTATCGATAAAGCCAGGGAAGGCGCGACGCGTCAAGCGGCGCGCTACTCGTCCAACGGCAAGAGCTCCCCGGGCCGCCATCTTTAGCGCCCACCATACCCAAACGTCGACAAACATCACCACGAATACACCATTCTCGTCATGAAGTATCACGGGTATGTATATCCTCCGCATAACACCACGCCAAAGGCATCGGCACCGTCGAACCCGTGGGTCGTATTGCGCCTGGCTTCGGCGTTCTGCGCTGTAACTTTGCACCCTACTTTTACTGACCCACACTTGCAGCTTATACTACATTCCCAACCAGGGCGCACAGCTCTCGGCGTCGCTCGACTTTGTAAAGGCCATCGTGGCCGGCATCGAGTCCAGCTATCCTCGCGCTAACAAGGCGGGCGCCTGGACACTCTCCCACCGCGTGCTCCGCGACGTTCCTCCGTACAGCGAAACCGCTCAAACAGACTACGCGCATTCGTACCAGCACTTGCTACACGTATCCACTATCAGCCCAGACCGCACATATAGTCTTATTCAGCGCCCACCTCAAGCCGGCTCGAACGGGACTTCCGCCGCGGCGCCGCAAGTCGCTATAGCATCGATCCCTCTGAGCCAGAGTGACGCGCATTTTGCTTTTCTGGCCAACCAAATGCCGCTTCTCTGGAGCCCGCAGCGCATGCTCGACGTCGCAAACGGCAAGACCTACCAGGCTGGCGACTTCCTCATCTACGTTGGTGAGCTTCGGTCCAGGCGCCAAGTCCAGACGAGTACCCAGACTTCTCCGGGTGTCGTAGTCTGCGTCTCTACACACGCCGGTGGCCCGGACAACGACGTTCACGCCTCATATCTACTAGTAAATGAAGACACCATAGATTTCGAGTATGCACAAGCTTCGATACGTGAGCTCTGGAGTACCATCAAGAAAGACATCACCTTTGGTCGTTCCGAGGTTCGCGAGAATATGCAGCTTGCTCAAGACTTTGGCGATGATGAAGAGCGAAGTCGTGAGGCGGTTATGCGCATGTGGTGCGAGGCACTGAGTCCAAGAGCGTGAGTTTAGCTATGGATGTTTAAACGCACCCCTCACAAAGTCAATGTGCCAAAAATCGCATTTGACGGTACCGAGTGTCAGGGCCCCGCAAGCTCATCACCCACCCACAGCCTTCAGCAAATACCACCAACAAATCTGCGCAGCATGAAAAATGGCTTTGATTTCATACGACCAGCCTACAACAACACCCCCGTAGTCATTAACAGGTAAGGATTCATCAGAGGCAACGTGCAGGACTCGTCGGCGCCCGATGTTGCATTAACGGGCCCGTCTCCAGTGCCTCCACATAATCAGGTGCATAATCCGTAGCTGAGGCATCATCAGTCGCAGTCTCTTGGGAGTCCAATGCGGATGACCCATACTTGCTGCCACAAAGCAAATTTCCGCCGCTCTGCCCACTATATGCGGCTTCACGGAGACCGTTCATTCGTCTCGACTGCCCCGAACGAAGCGGACCGTAGAAAACAGAGGACACGCCGTCTACAGCTAGACGGTGGTCCAACAGCACTGGCATTGTATACTTTCGTTCTAACATAATGGACAGCCCAAACTCTTTGGATGCGCAAGATCTTCAATCGACTTCGATAGAGAGAGTCTTGCCATCTCGGTCTTCGCTTCCAGCTTCAGCCTGTCAACCACATACACCATATGATTACCCAACACCAGTCGAGTCCCCGACGACGTTTATCCGGAAGGTCTTTGGGCTGGTACCAGATGAAGCAGAAACCGCAACAACACCTGCGGAAGCAGTCACGGCAAAATTTGTTTGTGAAGATAGGCCAAAGGAACTTGGTACAATGGCGCAAATAGCAACACGCTCATCTGCACTTTTCAAACCGGACGATAACATTCATACAGACGCGGAAGTGGGAGATGACACGCCGGAACCAGACCAAATTCTAGCCTTGCAAATTTTCCTTCGTACCGCTCCTTCGCCACCTCGTACCCATGCAGCTATTTCATCGAGTCTCCCAGAAGCGATTGAGGAAGAAGGAAAACGGAATCGCAAGCCTCGGGCCGGCAAAGGCGCTTGGAGGAACAGAAAGAACTGGGAATGTACTTGCGGGATGGAATACACTCGCAGGTTCGTGACTTTCAAAAAGCATTTGGCAATCTGCATATATGCTAGTGCCGAACTTCTTCGGGAGCATGGTGTCAACAGTTCGGTCAAGCCAATCCCAATCGGCCATACGTCGCCCCTATCTGAGCTACCTCTGCCCTCAATCGCATTCCCGGAGTCTCCACTCACCAAACCAGTACCCACAGCAGAAGTTCGCTGCTATCTCTGCTCCTACCGTACCGATGTGTCCTGTGACTGGGACCCCGCCTACCGCCCTGTTTGCACACCTTGCCAGATATCTCGGAAGCCTTGTCGACCGTATGGATCGACGAAACGACGACCGCAGTACTCCAGGTGTCAGAACTGTGCGGCGCTGGGAACGGCTGATAAGGCGCCTTGCGATGGGTTGATGCCGTTCGATATGAGACCTTGCACTATATGCGAGGACAATGGAGCCCTTTGCTTACCTGTTGCGGAGGCTGTGGGGTTTTATCAGTTGCATCAGAGGTTTAAGTTGCAGACTTGAGGCCGGTCGTGATTCTTGGAGGGAAGATTTGTACGGGATAGGGGTACAGAAAATGGAGTTGGTCTTGGATGTATCAAGGAAGGGGGCTTTAGACCTATATTAGATGGTTCGTGCGCAAAGGACAAAAGAACATGAACTTCACGCACTAGAATCCAGAGCGCGTTCTTGGATGTGATCAGGTTGCGACTAGTTCTTCGGTGACGCGCACTCTGATTGTTACATGGCCCAACCCCTTTTCCAGGTCTATCAAGGTCGCTACTACAGTCCCACCCAACCATGTAGCCTCGCTCCTTTATCAAAATCATTGCTTCCTAGTACTTCGAGCTGACTTTCCACTCCTGCGTCACGACAATATCCCGCGAGAGGTCGTCCAGGCGACCCGGTCTCGCCTGCCCCGTCACTCTGATATTGTGCCTCTCATGCCTTCCCAGATTATTCGATTTCAACTTCTTATCTCTGTCTTCAGCAGACATGTCACTCTTCGCATCCTGGTGTTCATCGCTTGCACATCCACCTGTCCCCGTAATCTGCTGATCCAGCGTGATCTCTTCATCGCTACCCCACTTAGTCGTAGCCGGCAAAGAAAGAGGGTGCTGGTATTTCCTCTTTTTCTTCTCCTCGCGACTACCAATAGCAACCAATTTTTCCACAGGCTTACCCCTCCGATCTTGCGAATCAAGCTGGTCGCTCCCGCCCTTTGACTATTTCAAGCGCGTCGTTGCCAGACCAGTAATTTTATGGGAACAGCGTTTGAAGAGTGGTACCACGACGGGTTCGTTAGATACAAGAACGGCTAGGAGGATTCGCGGACGGACCATGGTCCCGATTGTGACATTCCGTATTCGTCAGCAGTGACGAGGGTGACGCAGCGGACGATGACGAAGATGACGACGACATAGGAGAGGCTGAAGAGTATGAGGAGGGAGATTTTGGTGCGTGTGTCAAGGCGCGCTTTCCAGATGATCTGTGGTGGGGTTAGCGGAGTGGGGAGTGCACTGGAGTGGGAGACGAACCGGGATGGGGATCGCCATTAGATACAGAAATGTTACTGTGTTGCAGGCCATGATGAAATATACTTGAATAAAGGAGTAAGCAGGTTGGCATTGGTCTATAGAGGTGGTATGTTAGCGAGTTATGCGTGTACCCAGTGTGATGATAGCTTACTGCCTGGGTTCGGGTTAATCTGCCAGTTCTTGTTGAAAGGACGACACTGAAAGACGATGACGCAGGTACAAGCGAGGAAGGTGGTTCCAAGAAAGATTCAGGCCACTTTGATCCTGATGTCCATTTTGTGAAGACCGTCTCTAAGCATTGTATCAGCGTATTTCCCGGGAGGCCGCTCTTAATGAACCAAGAATGTACGTCATCCTCGAATTAGATAGTTCAGCATGACTTCAATAGCCAGAAGAGAAAAGTGTATGTGAACCATCCAACAATATTCATCTTGGAGCCCTTTACTCTGATCGCCCACTCTGTGGAGTGCGGGTCCAATACTGCGCGGTACTCGGGTGTCATGTTGTTGTTTCCCATACCCATCCAAGTCACAATCACATGCGCTGCTGAAGTCTCGGTGGCGTAGAAACACTGCTTTGAAGATGGTAAAAATATATTTTATGTGCAAATTCAGGCGCAGCGAACTCACCATTGCAAGGACCTCTGTTACACCTTCTATTTCTGGAAAATTATGTTAGATACATCTCACCCTCCTAAAATCATCGCAGGGGTGATTCCTTTAGGTCACAATTAGAATCTAGAGATCAATTCACCCTAGCTGAGATGATTGTACCTATCAGAATAGTCATGACATGGGCAGAAGACTATTTCAACACCCCCTAGGGCCGCTTTCTGGCATATTAGCAACGAGCAAGCAACCAGTACGTGCACAGTTCCTACAGTAGAGGGCCCGCATGCATTTTGCTAGGAGGAGGCTCTGTTCATCTCTTCAGTATGTCCTAGCTATGATGAGCGTTCTCAGACCCATGTTCGGACATTCTGTAGCGTTACTTTCACTTTCGTTGGCATTTCCAGGGATATGTTGGCGCCCTCGATGTTCATGCCACCGTGCCACTGTGCCATGCGGTGCGTGTACCTCGTCATATGAGAGCTTGGTATTGCTTTCCCGATTCATCAGGGACCCATGTGTATTCCTGCAGAGGATCCAAAACCTGCGGAGTGTGAGCCGCCTCGCGCACAACATTTGAGCATTAATTGACTCGGCTGCTCAACGGTCTTTTCGAACGGCATATACCGCATGATCAACAGCGTTGGGTCTGACTTCTGAATCATTAGCTGGTGATTCGCGCCGGAGATGTTGATGCCTCATATTCATTGCCGAGCGTAGGATAAGAAATTGCCCGTTTTAATGATAGGATCGGGAGGGCGAGGGGGGCGGTATGAAGATGACGGACGTTCAAAGGTCTAGTTCAGGCAATGCGGCCTACATGTAGCATGTTCAGACCCACATTCTCCGTCTCCGTAGGGCCAACACCGCAGTCTCATGCAACACGTGCCTGGATTTGAACAGCATTACCTTAAGATGTGCGTAGATTTTCGCTTCTCCTCTCGCCTTTTCAAACGTATTACTCGTACCTCACATACATCCTATTGCTTTTGGAGCATAGTAAAGCGCAAAAAGCATTGATCATGTAGTGACGAATGAATCCTATCCGACCAGAAGATCAGGTTTTCCATTCCTAGCATTTAGTTTGGACTCCCGTGCAAAGGTATGTTCCTTGGGAGCCGTGAATGTAGGGACATAGTCTCAAAATGTTCTCGGAATTCCCTCCGGCAGCCATCACATTGCCAAACGGCTGGGTTGACGAGGTGATGTAAAAGACGTCGTTCGAGTCATTCAGCATGCGGGTCGGCAGATTCCCATGCTGTCTGCTACTGCAGGATTCGGGGCTAACCTGGTGAGGATTATATCTCGATACTTCAAGAAAATGTGTCATTGTGATCATTTTGTACGTGTCTTAATTCGATGCTAGAGCCATCCAATTGTCAAAACGAGGCTGCCGTCCCGAGCTTGACCGCAGACAAATTGTTTCGCATTTTACCTCGCTTAGATCCCATTACACTCTTCGAACTCCTTTTAATTCGACTTTCCAATCTATTGCATTCCCATCACGATCGAACGCGAACATGCCCAACTTCGAAGTCCATCCTTGCACGGAGGAAGACATTCCTCGCTTCTTTGAGATCATCTCTGATGCGTTCGCCCACGATCACGAATGTGTTGAAGTTGTATTCCACGAGCACGAGACGACCAATGGACGCAAGAAAGGAGCGGAGTAAATGCTTATGATCTTTCGCCACGATCCCAATGGTCACTTCCTGAAGGTCGTTGACAGAGAAAAGGGCACAATGATCGGTGCAGCGAAATGGAACATCTACAAGGCTGGAGAAGTCCCTCCTCAGCCTCAATTGGGTGGTCCTTATTGGCCATACGAAGAAGAAGAAGTATTCGTGAAGACAATCTTCCGCGCGTTCTTCGCGCCGAGACAGAAGATCCTTGAGGAGAACAACCGTCGCTAAGTTGGTAAGTCGCGAAGCTCCGACATCTCAACCTTGTTTCCGCAGACCTTTGTTTCTTACTAATGCATGACAGCGCTCGAAATGCTCATGGTGAATCCGGCACACCATGGCCAGGGTGTAGGGAGGATGCTAGTCAAGTGGGGCACCGCGTATGCGGATCGATTGGGTGTGGAGGTAAATCTCCCATTGTGTCTAATACCGGAGGAGAGTTCCGAATTGACTCATCTAGGCTGTCGTCGAAGGCTCGGAGCGAGGCCGAAGATTGTATCAGTCAGAAGGATTTGATGGCCCGTTGTATGAGGTGCCGGTGCCCGAAAAGTTTGCCGAGAAGCCCAGCGAAGGCCGTTGGTCCAGACTCTGCCACAAACAGGGATAACGAAAGTATCGGCGGACGGATCAGCACATTACTGCCCAGGTGTGACACATTGTGAAGACTACGATCGACGACGACATATAGTTGCACGCCCAGAGCTACGCACCATTGCTTTATTCGTTCCTATCAGCACTTGTGGAGTGTGGTGTGTGCCGCCTGTGTGAATCAGTCGAATAATTTAAAACCCCCAGGCACCTGACTTTGAAAAACCCCATGCGGGTCGTACTTCTTTGCTACATGGCGCAGATAAGCATCATTCTGCACACCATAGCTTGAGATTGGCTTCTGATAAATGCCCGCATAATTCGCATAAACAAATTCCCGCAATTGCCCCATCTCCTTTGCGACCGTATTGATCTTGCGCAATACCTCTTCGAGCTTGGCATGTACCGAGGAACTTGAGTCAAGGTCGGACCACGAAGCTGAAAACAGCAGGATCATCACATTGCCGTGATCAGGAGAGGTTCCAAGCACGTTGTTATGTGCTCCTCGCGAGACGAAAACCGTAGGCAGCGGTTCAAATGTCGTAATCCATTGGAGGGAGCCAGGGACGTTGAAGTCGTGCAAGGTATCGTTGCAGATGTCGAAGATACGGTCAAGAAGCTGAGTGGAAACTCCATACGTCCCAGTAGAGAAGATCTGGTTTGTCTGCGCGATCGCACTTTCGTTCGCTAGGGTATGTAGCTGTGTGATTTTTACAGTGTTAGATATGCTGGGAACAGCGAACAATTCAGCGTACACCTTGGGGTTCGTCTGCGGTTTCGTGTAGATGGGTGCCGAGAGGAGTGTCCATGCTTTGGTCGCCGCGTTGAATATTGCGGACGTGGTGATGGAAGCGTGTACATCGTACGGATACGCGTCTGCAATGTTTCTGAATGCATCAAAAACCTCATTGCGATGCGAAATATCGTTCACCACACGTCCACCCAGAATTTCATCGATAGGTAGGGTGTGAAAATCAATTCTGGTCACCACTCCAAAATTGTTCAATCCGCCTTTCAATGCGCGGAACAAGTCCGATTGCGATGAAGCGTTGGTTTCGACAAGCTCGCCGTTTGCAAGAACGATTTCGAAGTTGGTTACCGAATCGCAGGTAAAGCCTACTTGAGGCGAGAAGTAACTGATTCCCCCTCCGAGCGTTAAACCCCCAACGCCTACCCCGCCGTTCCTGCCTCCTGCCACTGTCTTATTGACAGGATCCAGATGCGCATAGACGTCCAGCCAGCTTGCGCCACTTCCAACATGAGCGATAGAAGCATCTTCATTTGTCGTAACAGCATCGAGACCCATCAAGTCGATAGTGATGCCCTCGTCAATGTTCGCGAAGCCGGCTGCGGGAGCATGGCCTTGCGATTTGATGGCAAACGGACAATCCTGGTTGGCGATGGTTTTGATGATGCTGGCAACGTCGTTGGATGACCTTGGCTTTGCAATGCAAAGAGGAGCAAGCGAAGCCTCTTGTATTGACCAGTAGGCACTTTCCGTTGCAGCGTATAATGTACTGTTTGGAAAAGCGACGTCGAGGCCGTTGATGGCACTCAGTTGGGCACACTGAGTTGCATCTTTAGTTTGGGATCACACATTTTACAATCATACTTACACAAGTAGCCAAGTCTCGCGCCATGTTACGAAAGATCGAAAATTAACGACTACCTCTGCCGGAGCTAGACTTGGCAATGCTTAAATATATGGAAGGATATCGGCCCCCACTGTGGGATCAAGAAATACTACCGTAGAGTTTTTCAATTGCTGGCTGTCCAGGGTGGGAAGCGATCGAATCAGAAAAGGTGTATAACAAAGGAGTGGGTCGAGAGGAAGCTGCGCGTGAAGTGATTGGTCGTCCCCTTAGTTTGCCACAGCCGGTAATTGAAAAACTCTATGGTAACACCACTAGGGCAAGTGCTGTTGATTATGAAAGTACCTGCCTGATTCAGTAAGGCCATTTTGATCGTACTACTACCCCGCTTCCTGTTCTTGACTTTCAATTGATGATACTCAGCCGCCAGTTGCAACGCTAGTGTACGGTATCAGGTAAACTTATGTCTTCTGCATGTTCAACTAGTCAGGTTCGATATATCGACCGTATCACACAATCAATCCTAGTCCCAGACACCCCTCCAATTCTCTCGCCACATCCACAAGTAAACCTCCTAGACCACTCGTACTGAGACCACACTTCTGCATTGGCGCATAGCTCTTGACATGCGGTTGCAGAACCTGAGGCCATGTACTGTTACTTTGTGCTCCCACTCCCGGCTCCACACTCAGGAAGTAATCCCCCCAAAGCGGCCCCGCGGCCCAGTATGTCCAGCCGATGAATTGTGGATGAAACTCCAACCATGAAAGGGTATCATTGACGGTTTGGAAACATGCGCTATTTGCGCCCGCCCCGAATTCGGAGAGGAACGCAGTGTAATTATGTTCTTGCAACCATGTTGTTGTTGCGGCGATGTTTCCCGGTGCTGCGGTAGTGCATTCGTTATGTGTACCTGACGTATCATTGTCGAAGTAAAGATGCATGTCAAATGCGAAGTTGTTGCCTGGGTCCTTGATAGCTGTCAAGACGTCAGCGCTGGGTTTGCAACCAAAGCAGGTAGAGTCAAGCCATCTATGTGCCCCAGTGAAACCGTTCCCGGGAACAAGAATGAGCTGTTGGGCGCCAGCTTGTCGAATCGAATCGATAGCTGCTTGATTGTTTGACAGAACCAGCTCAGTGGGCATGTCGTGTGGTTCGTTCATGAGGCCTAGAATTACGTTCGGGTTTGTGACGAACCGTTTAGCAAGTTCGCCCCAGAATGTGGCAAACTGTGTTGTTGTGGAGGCCTCGGGATCGGTGGTGTTTCCGATGATAGATCCAGAAGAGGGTTGAGAACTGGGGTCGTTATAGCGGTAATAGTTGTGTGGATCGATCACTGAATAGCCACCGCGCATGGTGATATAGTCGACGGCCGTCTGGTACTCAGAGAAGTATGTTTCATTCAATGTATTTCCCAGGCCGGTCACTAGAGGGCACATGCGCTCCTTGAGGGTCCTCAGCGTAGCACTCTCCTAATCGAATAATCATTTCGAGTGGTCACTCACTAGTAAGAATGGTAAACGTATAGTATTAGCACCGGCATTGATAAAGAAGTCAATGGCACTCTGGTTAATGAATTGATAGTCAGTGCCAAAGGCACCAGGCAAGTTCTGTTGCGCAAATTCGCCGCCAGCTGTGAATTTGTCAATGATACTTGTAAGTAACTTTGTATGAATTGATACTCGTACCAGAGTTCACACCAGCGTAAAGAATCTTCGCCGAGCTCGTTGCTGATAGACAGAGAGTAGTGAGGCCCAAGCTCACCGTGCTTACGAGCAGCATGACCAAGGATTTGGATCAAAGTGAATCGGTAAGCTCGTAAGTCTTTTGGATACAAATGAAATAGAAATTGTAGCGACGTAGGAATCCCACCCTTCACCTGAGGCTGGGGGATTGTGAATGTTAAGTGTGTCCTAAAACCCCGTCATTGCAATCACACCAGAGAACAAACCCTACACTCTTCTCACACTTCATGCGACTCGGCTGCTATGAAGGATGGCCGCTTGGATTCTCCCATAGAATGCATCGTGCCAAGCCGAACGCTCGATTGGCTCGCGCAACACAAATTGCATGACAAACAACCTGACGAGACGTGAGTAGACTTACAGGCTAAAGTGATGCGATCGCGCACCTGAACGGTGCGCGTCGGAAGGTTAGAATTCGAGTGATGCACGAGTTGCGCATGAAGGATCCTGAAACGCGGGGCGGAAGAATACCGAACAGTGCAACCAAGGACGGATAACATCCGCTGCAAAGCGACAACAATTCTATGGAGCCGCAATGGTATACAAAGCCGTCAAAATCAAGGGTTTGTCGTCAGAATAATCGAGGACTTCTGTGCATTTGAGAATCTATCTGGGAATAATCAACATGAGAGATGAAGCTTCAGGGGCAAACATGGACAAAAGAAATGCCCTACAATGAGTACAATTTTCTGGTTGACTAAGGAACTCGTAGTTGTAGTTTCTCGCTGCATGCCATGAAGTACGAGTGAGACAGAAGTTTCTGTATTTGTGTAAATTTCGATCAAGTGACTGATTCATATCACTTGATCATCGACATCTAAAACATACCTTTTCGAATGGCCTCCGTGTTGGCATACCTTACGTCAATTATGACGGTATCGCGTGTAATACCAGCTTGGCAACTTTATAGTATTATAGTTGATTACAAAGTCCCCACAACCTTCTAATAGCACTAGGTACCTTTTATCTACAGATTTCTAGCTAATACATGTACTGAACTTTTATTACAAAGTTAATTAGGCTAATACCTAGCTATCTATAGTATTCAGATCAACCGAAGATTTACAAGGAAGGTATTAAAGGTGCCGAACGAACATTTATAAACCACTAATATTATGTTTCGCGAAGTGCATCGGTGTATACAGCATGGACGTAGCAATCGGGATGTCTCCACGAAATGACTTTAGCGCGGTCATCTTCACAGAATGTGATCGCACGGTCTTCATTCCAGGCTTCGAAAGTTACTGAATTGAGGTTATGCTAGACTCTATGAAATTTCTGAAGTCAAAGAAGGATGGTTGTGCGGGTAGGTGACGTGATTAGGAAACTTGCTTTCGTCTATGAGTTCGAAATTCTAGCTTGCTCCATATGCTCGTTCCATGGCGCATTTACCTATTAAGGGAGTGGATACCCAACTAGCCAGGTGTTCCCGCGCGTAGGCCCGTCGATCCAGTGAGTGAGTTCGAGTTCGGTTTTCAAGGCGACCCAAACCCAACGCACAATTCGCCCTCTGAGGCCCGAGCTATTGGCTCCAGCGTGAGGTCACTCGCAGACAAGAGGCAGTTGCTTTCCACGCCCGAGAGCCTCGGCAACCTAGCTCGCACCACCCAAGGGCATCTCTTTCAACTACTTCACCTTCCACTCACTCACTTACCCGCCCCGACGAATATCAATTTTGCGAATCTTTTCTGCGGGTTAGCAGCACAGACAATGCGTCTACTTGCTTGCATACTCGCTTTACTGCCTTTCTGAGCGTGCCACGGCGTTGACGTGCACGACGATGACAGTGTCGACGCCTTTGAAGATGACTTCTACGATTCCCCTCATCATCTTGCTGCCACGGTACCTCTCTCTCCCTTTGTACCTCAACCTTTGCCCCACGAAAAAGTGAAAGAGAAGACGAGCGCAATGACGATCATATCATCAAAAACGGAGTGTTTGAGCCATATTCTGATTCCAGCCTTGTGGGTGACGACTATTGGCCCGAGGACGGCATCACAATGATACCTCAAATGGGGCTCGACGACAAGGTCAAGATCAAGGGCGAGCGCAACGAAGGTGATCATGTGAAGCACGTGATGCAACGTCTAGCTGCCGAAGATACACCTCTTTTCAACAGCAAGGGCAATCGTCTAGAGCTTCGTCACGATCCAGAGGTGTGCGGCTATCTTTTTTAGCTGGCCATACTACACTGTCCTGAAAGATCACGCACCCCTCGCCGACATAGACAATACCAACAAGCACCACAGCCGTGAAGTTCCGACGATGAACCGTGACTGGACTCCATCAAAGTGGACACAGAATATGTCAATCCGGACCACCTGTTCGAAGGGAATAGCTCCAGGCATCCAGGACATCAGTGGAACATGGAACAACGATAGCAAATGCATTCATTGTAAGAAGTGCTCATTCTACAAGTAAGTTGCGCATTCAATTCTTTCAATTATAGCAGGCAAATAACTGCAATGCCAGGAACAAGGGCTGCAGCCAAGGCACTGGTGAGCTGTATCGGGTTTTTGAGGACTTCATGCTGTGAGTGCCAGAGAGTAGTGTATAGCTGCAAGCCGTTGCCCAAAAGATCCTAGCCCTCCTCCCGCCGGGTTCTTTAGCATATTTGCTTGACTTATCTCTGAATGTCACAATCTTAGTTTGACTTAGGTTGCACCCATTCTGATTGCCACATCAAGCCCATTCCAACAGTCCACCGTAGTGCTCTTACTCATGCGCCCTAATGATCCAAAGACTACGAACGAATGACAACGCCTTATCTTCCAGCCGATGACACAAAGTAACGCCCACCAGGGTATCTTTGAATCCCAAGCCCAAAACGCCTCGTCTGCCCAAATGGGCCCCAATCTCTGGAAACAACAGTTATATCCTTCTTCAAGAGCCACACACACTGCGAAGGGAGACCAACCTACGATGCGCCCACACTCGCCACGCTACCCTTCCTCTGCGGACTCGGCCCGGGCAACTGCCCCGGCGCAATCATCCTCGGGCCACCCGCACCACCCATGTTGATCGCGCTCTGCCTCCTACTTCCCGAACCCTCCAGGCCAGCGCTCAGTGGTGGCGCGAAACTGCCCATTCCACCTGCACTATTGGGAAAATTTTCGCTCGTGGCGCTACCGGGCAACATCCCATTGGACATTGCAAGACCGCGCACAGCACCCATTGTGTTGGAGTCTTGAGGGTAGACGGAGGTTCCGGGAGGGTTGCCGAGACAGGAACGCAGCATGTCTTTCATGCGACGATGCTGATATTTTGATTGGAGCGAAATGGGTGTGTATGTGACCACGGGCCGAGGACGGTGGCGGGCAAGGGCAGCCATGATGGCTTCTTTCTCTTCGTCCGAGTCGACGGCGCCAGAGGGCTCAAGGTCTTCGGGGAGGGGTGCATTGGCATCGATGGCGGCACCTGTGACAGTATGAACATAGGATCCTTGGAATTGCTGAGAATGTACTTACGCTGTTGCTTCGCCTGGTTCTTCTTCTGATATTGTGCAAGCAGCATGTCGTACGGTAGGCTCCGTCCGGGCACAGCCCGCTTGAGACCCATACTATGACTCTTGCACGTCAAACTGCGCGCGCAGAAGCCGCCGTTGGGTAGCGCGACACCGCACTGTTTCTCGACATCCACGGGCCCCTTAGGCTTAGCCGTCTTCTGCTTGGGTTCGTCTTTCTTTTTCTTCTTGGAACCGGGCTTCCCATCGTCTCCTTCGAGCTTCCTCTTCTTTCCTTTCTTTGCGCCCTCTCCATCGACGACTGCGCCCTTGATTGCCTTGCGCGCGTTCTTGCCAGTATCATCGTCCTCGCCCTTCTCTTTCCTGGCGGCCGCGTCCTTGGCTTCCTTGGCCTCCTTCTTTTTCTTCAGCTTCTCCTGCTTCTTGCTCAGGCAGTCGCGGACGTGGATCGCGGCAGAGGCGCGGAGTACGGGGCGGCGACAGTGCTTGCATTGCACCGTGTCTACTTTGTCTTCGACGGGGCGGCCGCTCGGAAACCCGGCGATGGTCTTCTCTTCTTGACCGTTTACGATTGGGGAGTTGCTTCCTGTGGTAGGAATATCTTTGTCTAAAGTTCTTTAGCACACAGTTGCATTCAAGCAGGAAATAGCATACTGCTAGCATCGCTCTCTTTCCAGTTTCCCGGTATGGTAGGCTTCGGCACCGGCTTCTTGAGCTTCAAGACCACCTTATCCTTCTTCTCAGGCATGGCATCCTTTATCACGTCTGAATCGATCAGGCTGTTCTTCGCGGACGCCGGAGGTGCTATTGCACGTCAACTATACTCGTGTGACACGGTGCTTTACACGGTTTGGTGTATTATTGCATGCGCTGGGGTGGTTCGCGCCGCATTGTGTACAGATGTTTGTCGGCGATTGCGGAGGTGTGGGGGGCGCCGCAGCCGAACTCACCTTTGCGGGCAACGCCGTTAGCAGCCATCGTAGAGGTGCTGCGGCGGCCTTAGGGGCGTTCGATGGTGTCGTAAACGATGCTGCTGAGCGGGGAGAGCAGTGCAGAGGTTGCAGCGTTTGTCGGCGATGGGATGCGGTGATGGCGGCTGCCGTGTCGTGTGCACTGATGAATCCAATGCCACAGGCTGCAGGTGCGACATTCGAGCGCTCCGGCACAGTCACGTGATGTGCCAATATCCGAACTCAAAACGGAGTAGTTATTGCTTCTGACGTATGGACCGAGCCCTAGACTTTCGAGTAGGCTTTGCATTATTCACTGTAGTATGCTCTGTGAGCGAGGCATGTCACAAGCTGGCACTAAGACAGAGTAAGTGAAGGCACCGAAGCCAAAAGTCAGGCCATTCGTCTACACAAGTCGACAAGCAAACGCTCTAGACCGCAGGATCATGCTTTACGCATGCAAAAGATGCAGACATTTGAGCTCAGACTCGATGATCGTTTTCTACAAATACATATACACGCACGACGAACACACACGGCTGGGGTCTGCCCGTGCATATGGCAATGCCTTTATACAGGCCGAAGCTCACAGTCCCGCTACTTAGACACACCAGGCCGTACGCTAACACAGAAATGTCCACCAATCTAATTCCTAAGCGCCGTGATGGATGATTTGATCAAACTCCGAGAAGATGCACACATATCCAGCCCAAAAATTCGGGACCCAACAGAAGGGATATGCCGTAAACGCCATTTGCCGTCGTGATTCATAAACGAAGACCGAGGGGGAATAGGGAACGTAATGGGTGGTGTATGATTGTTTACTTTCGACCCTTGCCTTTGGTGACTTTCGCGGTACCCTTCTTGGTTCGCTTTGGAGGCTCGTACTCCTCGCTGTGGTTGTAACCCTCCCGCTCGCGCATCATGCTGTTCGTCCAGAGCAAGCACCTAGGCTGTTCTTCCTCAGCCGTCTTCTCAGCAGCTGCGCTTGCCTTGTTGCGGGTCGAGCGGGTCGTGGGAGCCTCCTCCTCTTCTTCCTCTTCTTCCTCCTCTTCCTCCCCCTCCCCGGATGCTTCTAGATGCGCCTTCATCTTTTGCATGTATTCCGCAATCCTGTCCCGAAAAAGGAGAAGCTCCTTGCGAAGAGTCTTCTCACGGGTACCACGCTCGTCGAGCCACGCCATGAGTTTCTCGATGTCCTCAGGGTCGTCGTAGTAGCCCCAGTCGGCGGAAGTCTTCAGGTGAGTCGGACCTTCTTCCCTTTCTTTGCGCATGGGAACTGTCCAGCCGAACTCAGCCATATCCTGCGACAAAGCGGGCTCCTCCAAGTTGGGTTGGATCTCAAGCTCGTCCGGTCCTTGAACCCATACACGTCCATTGGCGTATCCGTACTCTGCCGTTGATGACTGCGGCACGCCTCCGAAAGGCATGCCGTTGTGCTCGAACCAATAGTACTTGTTCAAGAAGCGGTCCTTACCCAGAATCTTAGAGCGATGCACCGAGGCTTCGCGCAAATCATCGTCCAGCTCGGCGATGTTAGCCTCGCACTCCCTGAGCTCCTCTTTCTTCTTTTCAATGTCGTCCAGAAGCTTCTCCCAATCTCTCTGCTGTTTGGTCTTAGCAGCTTCCGCCTTGGCCTTCTTGGCCTTCTCTTTCTTTGCCACCTCGCTATCCCGCTTGCGCTTCGTCACCTTCACGGCTTTGCGAACTTTGCGAGCGTTATTCTTTGCCTCCGCTGTTGAGTCGCTATCTTCTTCATCTTCTTTGACATCGGTGACATCAGCCATAGACACATCCGGTGTGGCTTTACCATCGGTGGGCGACGCTGGTGTATTCAGAGGGAGCGCGATCTTCCGCTCAATGTCAAGCTTGAACATTTCATCGGCCCTAAGCACAGGTGAGTCATGGTTAATAACGAGTAGTTTATGATACACATACAGTTCCTTTCGCTTTCGTTGATACTCTATCTTCTCTTTGCGAAGGCTGGTCATGTCATGGGCAGCGTTCTGTAGCTGGTCGCGGAACTGTTCTGTGGTAACTGTGAGGCGCAAGGCCATGTCCAACGCAGCAATGCGCAGATTGATGTCAAGACCGAGATAGTTCGTCGCAATTTTTTCGACGGAAGGTTCTCCTTCGGGAGGGACGAGCTTGGAGAGGATCTCGTCGCAGTCTTCTTTGTGCGAAGGATTGTATGACAGTTGGTGAAGCAGTCCCACCAGGATAGCTTGCCAGCCGCCTTCTCCGAAATTCCTCTCCTTGCACACTTCCACCCAGTCGAAGTCTGCCACGAATTCGGCAGCCTTATGAATCTGTTTTGGTGGCTCCGGTGTGGGCGTGCGCGGCTTTCCCACAATCTCAGCGACTTCCGATTTCCTCAGGCTGCTGCGAGTAGTTCGCTTTGGAGGCTCTGGTTCAGGTGTTGCTTCCTTGCTGGACTCTCCCTCGTCTTCGGACTCTTCTTCATCGATCATACTGGGAAGCTGAATTTGTAGCTTGCCAGAGTCGTTGACGTATTGCTTCAGTACAGCACAGTGCACCTCGACTAGCAATTCGCACTCTGGGTCTTCCGATGCATATCCCATGGCTTCAACAAAATCGTCTATGGTGAACGAATCGAGCGAGTAGATGGTGTCATGGACGTTGATAGTTTCCCATATGGTCAACAAAGGACCAATGTTCTTCATGAGAATTCCTGTCTTCTTATCGTCCCCAGGTGCGTCAACACCGTCTGGAACATCGTCTGATAGAAACTTTAACGGAGGCCGCGTGACAGTGACGCGTGGCTGTCGGATCCTTAGATCGTCGATAGGGTATTTGATCGGTTCAAACGGCTTAGTAGCAGGGGCTGAATGATGAGGAGGCACATTCAGTGGTTGATTCGCGAGCGCTTGATATTGCATGAAGTTGTTCTGGAAGGGTAGACCGATAGGTAGACCATGACCTTGTGCCGGAACATGCTGCGTAAGGTGGGCCGGTAAATTGGGGCGTACCTGGGCAGCCAGGTGAGGTGGTACATTGGGATTTTGGGGGTGTTGTGGTCCATTAAACTGAGTAGGCGGGGGTCCACTGTAATGCATAGGCAACGATCCGCTGTATCGGATTGGAGGGGGCCCAGGGTACATGAGTGGTGGTTGACCGGTGACGGGGTGACCAACCAGCTGACCGTTCACATGAGGGTGGTTTGCTGCAAGTGGTCCCATGTTAATATGCCCCTGATCGTGCGGCCTTAGGCCATTCGTCTGGGAGTATCCGGAATTTGGGTAGTTCATCGGAGGTGAAGCATCGTCCAGACGTTGAGCAATTGCTGCCCTTTCTGCATTCGCAGCTTTTTTGGCAGCTATTACGGCCTCGCGAGTCTTAGCATCCGGAAGTTTAGTAGGTATGTTATACCGCTTCGCTAGGTGATCCTTAACCATCCATGGGGCTCCGTGCCATGGTTCTCGGGAAACAGCACCGCGCAAGAATTGCTTCAGGATAATCTTGGAATAGACTCTCCGATCTCGCATGAGTTCGGAGGCCTTGTAGCGCGTAAGTTCTTCCCCGTCGTCCATTTGCATGATGTAGGTGTATGAGCGGAAGTCTTCGTTGAGTTGGCCGTTGAACATGCTGTGAAGCCTTGATGTGTCGGTCATGTTTTTTATTACGCCATATCGACGGCCGCCTTCTGTGTCCAAGGCTACACGATCACCGACATTGTAGTGTTCACGGAAATGCTACAAGCCCATGTTAAAATAGTTTCAACAACCAGGAAACCCCCAACTTACATCGTAGACCTGATTGACTATGATTGAAGTCAGTAAGTGTCGACAATGGAATATGGTCTCAAACTTACCCAAGTCGTCCATACGAGGTGTAGTCTCAAATTGGACAAATGCCAACACTCGCGACCTGAGGCCCTCCGGGAATATGCTGTCGATTTCCTGGGACGCTTCTTGCTGTGGCGTGGTTATGGTCACGCTCTTGAGGACCTCTTCCAAGGAGCGACCCGGACGTACCTCGCTCTCCATTGCTTCAAAGAACGTGTAGCCGGAATGGCCAGTTGATTCGCACGTGAAAACCCGCTGTAACAGCGTTTAGTATAATATGCGGAGAGGGATTAACACAAGGTCGGGACTGGTGGGGCTCTAACCTGTAGGTAAAAGTCGCGCCTACCATTCACGTTAGCAACATCACACCACGGGCCCATGACCGATACTTACTTATTCAGGAATTTTTCATAGTCCACGAAGACTTCTCCAGTCTGCTCAATCTCCCATACCTGTCCATTGCGCTTAGTTCATGTTGTGAAAGATATGACCACCACAGGCGCACCTCGGTATTGTCATCGATGAACGGCGGCAGAGGCTCGGTCTTGACCGGTTTCCGTTTGTATTGAACCTGCCAATGTCAGTGACATGTATTTTCAGAATGTCCTAGACTCTTTATATACCATTCTGCCCCTAGTCTCAGCTCATCGGAAGCTTCGAAAGTCTTAAGTTGTCGCGTCGCAGAATTCGGCACCGTCGCGGGCACGTTTACGCGCAATTGTAGGAACTTATGGGGCGATGTTCCGCGATAAGACACGTCGACCACCTCTTTGGAACGCGAGGCAGAGTTTGTCGAGCTCTCCCGCGCGTCAGAGGTAGTCCTAGGTAGAGTCGTAGTATTCCGCAATCGATCCGAAGAGCGTTCCGAGACGCGTCAAGATGCGCGTTTCGCGTAGTTTGTCTGACGGCGTCGTTCGGAGGGCGTGGTGGGGAGACAGAGGACGGTAGGGTGGTGGAAAAGAGGAAGTAAGAGACAGGCGATTGAATGAGGGTCGAAGGGTAGCAGTTCAAAAATGCCCAGCGGCGCGGACGTCCCTCGAACTAGGCTCTACTGGGACAAGCACCCCAAACGCTCCTTCTCCCACTTCGGCGCCATGCGCACCTCTGCACTCCAAATACCAGCGTGTTTGGACTCGTTTGGAAGCTTGGAGCCGAGATGACCAGTTAATAGAGTTACAGGAAGGATACAATTTGATACATTCATGAGATGTTGGGGTTACGCGGAGGGTCTCCTACACATGACGCCTCTATGCTTTGAGCCACCCCAGACAGCAGCCTGACCCACTTCCACGACCAAACTACCCCTACCGCGTAACTGCCCGCATCCGTCCACACACGGACAAATAAAGTATATAGACTTGATGTACGATCCAAACTTGGTGTTCTGCACTATCAAGACGGATCAGGGGCAATTATCTCATCATGGGGTGGTTGTCGATCGTCCTCCGTCCTCTCGGCCTTATTCTCTCTACAGGGCCAGCCCATAACCGAGACATCCGCGCCGTTGCCTACTGCATCATTAGGACACAGGACGATTCACAGGGTGTCCATATCAGATACACTCTGTTCAAGATCGCCCATCAATGGTCAGATTTGATAGGAATATAGGACTCAGAGAAGTTTGTTGCCAAAGGTATACGATGGATTACTCTCAGAATAAGAGATGGACAACGGTGGCTTAATTCCTCTCGAGACTATTCAAAAGCCCCAATTGTAGTCTAAGAGTCCATGTATACTACAGAAAATCCTATCCAGCTCCCCACTATTCCTATGGCGGAGTATGAACTGATGAACATTAGCGGCAGGAATTCGTACCTGGCACCAAATACGATGCCATGTATGAGCGAGCAGTACGCTATTAGGGGTATGGATAGAGCAATGTAGTAGAATGAGAAGCGATCGAATAAGAACACTCGGAGTTGCGATGATCTGCCTTGAGGTTAGCGTAGCGCTATAACTAGAAGCGTGCACTTACGCTGGTGCGAGCCGATCAAAAGCCAGCAGGAAAGCTACAAGCCATAATATGGTGTAGACGGTCTTGACTGGGAACTCGGCTGGAGTGAAGAGAAGAGGAAACAGGGATACATGTCCCGCCACAGCCAGGGGTCTGAATGCACTAAAGTATCGACGATCTCTGAGCGCTACCAAACTGAACGGAATGATTACAAGGAGAATGGCCTTTTCATGGACATGCCAGCCGAAGAGGAATGATGCATAACCGCAAAGTGCCACTGCACCAATGAACGTTTCCCACGTTGGTCGGAAAAGGAGCCTGATGAGAAAGGGCTATGTGTGGTAAGTAGCTGAATATGGTATACGAAGTGACCGACTTACTACTTGAAAGCCCACAGTGAGCAGAAAGCAGGTCAATGGCACGACCTCCGGGAGGACGGCGAAAGAGGTGTCTCCAACAAGCCCACGCGTGACGCTATTGATAGCCTCTCGGTCGACATCTAGACCAAGGTATGGCGCCACTGAGATTGTTAGTCACGATCAAATTCATATATGAGTCTCTTACAGTATATCAGCAGTCGGTCAGTGAAGGAGTACAACGCCCAAATGTTCGGTGCCCAGTAAGCGTGGCATAGTCCTCTGGAGAAAGGGAACAGGCGACGGAACACCTGCTCAAGCTGACCCCAGAGGGCAAAAGGCCCAAAGGCTGCAGCAATGACGGAGATGATGCCGAATCCTAATTTGATGCAGTTGAAGAACCGGATCCTGAGATATGGGAATGATGGGCGATCCGCCAAGCAATAGGCACGGAGGAGGAAGACAAAGTATGCAGGCGCAATGTACATGTAGATATGCTTGAAACACAGAAGCACCGTGAAAGTAAGGCCACTAAGCAATAGTGTGGATTGGTTGCGTGCAAGTACCAAGGAAAAGACTAGGATGCCGTACATGAATCCATTGTACTGGAAGTGGATGTGGTCGATGATTAGCAGTCCAGGAGAAAAGAGCACGGAGAGGGCCGCTGCGTGTGCAGTCGCCTCTGTTTTTGACCCTTTAACATAGCTGGAGAAGTCAGTGACTTGAAAGCGACAATATCTGGAAGGCGTACAGATGGAGCGCGTAGACCAAGACTAGCTCGGTAAGAATGACGGTCGCGCGCTGGAAGTAGACTGTCTGCCAGCTATCATAGTCCAACGCCTCGACGTTGAGCAGGGCAGGCTCGAGGTAGACAGCGGCCTGGGACATGAGCCATTCGAAGTAGGCAAAGAACGGCGGGTAGTCGAGAGTCCATTCTGAGGTTTTCTGCAGGGCACGTCAGCAGCAGGTTGAGTGGTGACGGATGACAATTACCTCGTAGTACCATTGCTCGATTGGTAGCGAATGGGTCAGTGCCAGCCAGTTGCGATGCACTTCAAAGTCGGTCGACTTGCTGCCGAAATCAGTCAGCAAAGGCCGGGAAAATGTCCACGACTCGGCGTACTAGGCGGGGAAGAGGAGAACCTTCAACGCAGTGGCCACGACGGCGCACTGCGCAATCGAAGGATACAGGTCTGACATGAGGATGACGGCCGGGCTGGCGGATCGGATGGCAACGAGATTATCGTAGCGGCGCAGTCAGGTGAGGTTGACGGCACGTGACGGGATTGGCGAGACTAGCGTGCGCCCTGATTGGCCCGACGTTGGCCGACGGTCTCACACGGTCTGCCCATGGTTCGGCCCGCACGCTCCCCAGTGTTCGGCTGCCGTTTGCCAGTGCGAACAGACAGCTGCCTCGGAGCAATCGCCACGTTGTCACTGATGATTGCATTTCGACGGGCGGCGTTTGCCCGATGGCGCGTGTGGACCGGGTGCATTGCGGCTCTGCCCCTGATGTCGACGGGGCTGGCACTAGATGCGAACTGGATCGTGGCAGTAGTCAGGTACGCGACGTCTGCTGCAGCCCTGCGCCATCTGCCCGCCTGCGTCGAGTGACACGGAGCGCCGTTGGCCTGCGCCAGACCAGCAACCGTGTGGCGCACCGGCGTCTGGGCCTGGGGCTCGCCGCTCGTGTGCAGCTGGTGGTTTGGATGATTTGGGATGCGCATGGGCACGCGCGTTTAAAATAAGCAGGCGCGCTACGCCCAATCGGGGGGGGGCCTCATTTGCGCCTGCCTCCTGTCTCTGGGCGGCTCCTGAGCTTTTCTCCAGGGCTCGTCCTCTTCCAGCTCCCAGCCTGCTGTTCTTCGTTCCCATCCGCTCATTACTTATCCTTCTCCACAGCATCGAGGTCGCGGACAAAGATCACCTCCCTGCGCCTTCATTATTATTGTGGTGTCGTTCTTTCAGCCTCTTCGCATCTTCCAAAACAAACCCCGAGGCCCGTCACCTCCGCACGCACAGCTCCCCCGTCCGTAATTTGGCCCTCTGACCACCGGCCGTTGCTGCTGCTCCCTTCACCTCCAGGGCATGTTGTAGTTGTATACGCCTGCTCAGCTTGTATTATTCAGCGGTATTGCACCCTCAGCGTCACCCAGGTCCACCGACAACCGACCGACCTGCTGGGCCCCTTTCATCTTCCATCTGGAGCCTTGTACCTTGTATTGAGTGCCGCATTAGCCATTGAGTTGCTCCGTGAGTCTGGTTCTTGCATGCCGTACCACATCCATCGCTGACCATGCCAGCTTGTTCTCCACAAGATTTAATACCCGTTGCCTTTGCATTCGCTGCAGCCGACCTGCACGGTTGCCCGTATATCTTCTGCCTTACATACTTCACAGTCCGGGACTCCTACAGCTCCGGACGCAGTAATACACCGTCGCCACGGCTGTCTTATCTCAAAACGCGCGGGACAACTTCGTCCTGCCCCCGCACCTTCACGGAATGCAGCACCTCGACGGCGCCCCGTCCGCCCCCAGCGGACCTCGCCTTCAGCAGAGCTTCCAGAAGCAGATGAATGGAAATACTGGCTTCTCGCACGGCGCGTTCCACACGAACCAACCCGGCGGCTATGCCGATAGGCACCCCGAGAGATCCAACATTCCTAGCATCAACACTGGCAGACTCGCTCCCGGCAACCACAACACCGAATTGCAGACACCTGGCACTGGCTTCGACATGAACTTCACCCCGCTTTTGCCCTCTCAGCTGCTTCTCGGAAGCCCTTTCCAGCCCGGCTCCCCGAATGCCTTCACCTCGCCTCAGTTTCAGAGCTTTGCCAACTTTGCCGGACAGAATCAGGTGCAGCAGCAGCAACAGAGCCAGCAGAATGCCATGGGCAGCCCGCAGATGCAGCAGGGCCCCCTTTCGCCCGGCCTGTACCAAGGCCTCGTCTCTCCGACGAGCGGCTTCTTCGCCGGACCCCAGTCGCCCACTGGAGGATTCCCTGGTTATGGACAGCAGGGCCTCGGCGGTCTTGGATCATCCCTTCCCATCGCTCCCGGATTAGTCTCCGGAACGAGCAGGACGGTCTACTTGGGCAACATCCCACCGGAGACGTCTGCTGAGGAGATTCTTGGCCACGTGAGAAGTGGCCAGATCGAGTCAGTTAGGCTCCTCCCGGACAAGAACTGTGCTTTTATCTCCTTCCTTGACAGCAGCTCGGCCACCCACTTCCACTCTGACGCAATCTTGAAAAAGTTGTCGATCCGTGGCCAGGACATTAAGATTGGGTGGGGCAAGCCGTCGCAGGTACCGACATCAGTTGCGCTTGCTGTGCAGCAGTCAGGCGCCTCTCGCAACGTGTACTTGGGCAACTTATCCGAAGATGTGACTGAGGAGGAGCTGCGCGAAGATCTCAGCAAGTTCGGACCTATTGACACTGTAAAAATTGTGCGTGAGAAGGCAATTGGTTTTGTTCACTTCTTGTCTATCGGCAATGCGATCAAGGCGGTCGCTCAGCTTCCACAAGAGCCCAAGTGGCAGGCTCCCAGGCGCGTCTACTACGGAAAGGATCGATGCGCATATGTCTCGAAGACGCAGCAGCAGAATGCGGCACAGTACCTTGGCATTGCCCCTGGATACGCTCACGTCCTGAACGGCGCCGATCGTGACATGATCTCGAACGCTCTTGCTCAACAGTCGGTTGCCGCTGCAGCGGTTGCGACTTCCGCTGGAGGCGTGAACAACCTTGGCAACCGAACGGTTTACCTGGGCAACATCCACCCTGAGACGACCATTGAGGAGATCTGCAATGTTGTCCGCGGTGGCTTGCTTCATCACATCCGATATATCCCCGATAAGCACATCTGCTTCGTGACATTCATCGACCCTACCTCTGCTGCATCATTCTACGCGCTGAGCAATCTTCAGGGTTTGATGATCCACAATCGCCGTCTCAAGATCGGATGGGGTAAGCACTCTGGTGCCCTTCCTCCTGCCATCGCTCTCGCTGTGAGTGGCGGTGCATCGCGCAACGTTTACATCGGAAACCTGGATGAATCGTGGACCGAAGAGCGGTTGAGGCAGGACTTCTCCGAATATGGCGAGATTGAGTTGGTTAACACCCTGCGCGAGAAGAGCTGTGCGTTCGTCAACTTCACCAACATTGCCAATGCCATCAAAGCCATCGAGGCTGTACGAGGTCGCGAGGAGTACAAGCGGTTCAAGGTCAACTTCGGTAAGGATCGTTGCGGTAACCCGCCGCGTCAGATGAACAACAACCAGGGTCAACCCCAGCACCCTGGCAGCGATGGCATTCAGTCGCCCTCACCCACCAGCGGTCTTCAACCCAACCGCAGCAACACCGGTCCTTCCGTGTCTCCGACTGGATCTGCCGCACCTGTCTCTGGTGGAAGCACTAACGGGCAGTTCCCCAACGTCCAGGCGCCTACCCCCTCTACCATCTTGAACACGGGTGTGAACAACCCTCTGATGTTGTATCTCCAAGCCCAGCAAAACCAGCAGCAGCAACAGGCCGAAGTGAGCATTCAGCAACAACAACAATCCCAGCAGCAACAGCAGCAGGGATACCCTTCGCCTCAGTCAGCTTTCTACAGCGCTGACCTGAACCCGTCGCCTCAACCACACACATCTCATGGTGGCCACCAGAGCACCTCCAGCTTCAGCCTCATCAATGGAACCTCAAGCCAGTCTGGCGCGACGACCGTCGGTGGCCTTTTGGCTCCATCAAACCTGAACGCTCGCGCTCAGCATTCGCGTGCAGTCAGCCTGCCGGTGTTCACCCAAGGACCCTTCAACCAACCTGTGCAATCATCGCAGGCCCCTCAACAAAATTCCTTCGGTAGCTTGAGCTCCGGTATCGGTGGTTTCGGCAGTGGAAATGGTGGCTATGGCCTCGCCATCCAGGGTGACGGTGGTCTTCCCGGATGGGCCGAGGAAGAGATTGGTGCGCAGTAAGAGGCCGGATGTAGCGGATCGGATTCCTTTCTCTCCCCTTCCACTGTGCGATACTTTCTCCGACCTTACTACCTTTAGTGTCGTGGTTGCCGAACACCCAACCCACCCTGTTGCTTACGCCACTTGTCTACCTTCATTTTTATATTCCCCTTTTGCATCATCTGGGTTTACTGTCATGTTTGGAAATGGTGTTCTGAGTTATTGTACTCTGTTGTAATTGAGATTATTGCGATCTGAAATTTTTACACTCACTTTACTCCCTAATACTCCTTGCTTCATTCCCTTCCGTTTGTTTTTGAGCAGAATGTTATGAAAGTCAGGCTGCGAGCTTGTCGACTGAATGAAGGTCGGTCGCTCGATGTAGTTCTAGATACCTTTTAAGGATGCGGATCAAGTAGGGAATGGATGCTCAATGTTGAATACCAAACGGCAAAAGAGAAAAGGGCAATGGCTGATGGGACGGGATAATAATATGATCTTGTTGTGCACACTGCGCTGCTTCTTCTTCGCGTACATTGGTTTTGCCTTTTTCCTTATCTGTACATTCCTCAAAACGAGACATGCAGCAGGGCGACTACTGTTTATGCGGTGAGACACAGATTCCCTGCTTGCGTAAAGCTCTTAGCTGCACAGCCGCTTGCTACTCCTTCCATGTGCTGCTATTCATTGCTACCAACCAGCACCCCAAACAATCGCGCACCCAATCATACCGTAATAGACCTAATGCCATCCTCGCTACTTCACTGCCTCTCCACCAACTAGCTGTACATCAGAAATCTCTACCCTGCAAGCAATGATGCAATCCACCGCCTCGAAGATGAACTCCACAGTAACGGGCTACATGATCATCCACCGCCCACCACCCGCACCGCCCTCACCTACGCCATCAGCCAAGTCCTTCCTTGCGCCCCCAATGACTCTTCCCTCAAACACTTTGCCAAACGGAAGGAAATGCATTCTACGGCCACACTTCACCACTGGTACCATTAGTACAACCCACCGATCTGATGTACATCCCGCACCAAGGTCCTTTCGACACATTCGAGGGCGCGAGAGAGTGGTTGGAGTCCCAGGTCGATGAGAGGAAGGATGTGTGCAAGGACTTGAGGATCGGGGTGTACGAGAAGGATATGTGGATACAGGGGGGTGGGATCTTGCGTAAAGTGGGGGAGGTGTGGAAGTGGTGGGACGTTGTGAAGATAGAGAGTAGTACTTATTCCGGTGAAGAAATGGAGCCGTTGATGGGAAGAGGAGAGGGACTTGATATTGTGGGAAAGTGAAGTGGGAAGTGAATGTTGACTGAGTGTCACAAGATACCGTATGCATCCGGGTTAATTTAAGGTAGCGTCAACAAAGGCTCTTTTAGGCTGCTCTGTTGCGCATCACGACAGGTCTGGTCGAAAATTGCGTGGCCGCCATCCACTTCTCTGCTTGCGTGTGGTTGGAAGTGACGAGAGGCGCTTTGATGCTCGGTGTTGCGATCGCGTCACAGTCGCCGTCGAAGGGTCTGGGAAGGTGCTACTCCCGTTATGTTGGGGAGGGAAGTCGCAGTGGGCAGCGAAGGTGAACATGGGACGAAGGAACGAAATGGTCCAAGGAAGCGAGAGACAACACGACCCTAATATCGATAGCTTGGACTTCTAGACTACCGATCCTTCAATGGAAGTAGTAGCACAGCATTTCCGTCACTGACACAGGAACATGAGAGGAAAGCCACACACCGGTCGACATAAAGAGATGACACTAGGGTGCGCGAACGACGATGAATTTCTTATCCTCCTGCTCGGCACAAGCTGAAGCCCACGCCAGTTCGCTAAATGTATGACACGGTCCACATACGCCAGCGCGATGCACAGCAACAAGTCTATGTACAGCAAAGGAGGAGCACGCGATGTGTCGACCAACCGGAATAGCTAGAAGACAAAGGGTCGGAAACCTCAAAGCTGTTTAAGTGGGGTCACACAGTGCCCTCAGGCTTGGAATCTGGTATTTGGGTGTTCCACTCGGCAAGCTTCAAGACTGCTTCCTCTGTGCCGTAAACACGCAGCGTGTTGCCGAAAGACTGCCAGAACTCCCCGTCCCAAGCGGGAATCATCTCCATAGGCTTGCGTTGTTTCTGTTCGATTGGTACCCAGCCGCTTGTATCCGGCTCGTATACCTCGTCTTGCCAGGAGTGTGTTGTATCGGAGTTGTCAACAACGACTCCGCCCTGGTCATCGTCCGAAGGTGACGATTGGTCATCGAGGCTGAGCTGTTCGAAGGCGTTGCGAGTCCGAAAGCGGCTTTGTGCTGGAGAGACATTGTCGGACTTGCCCTTGCGATTTTTACACTTTTTCGCTTTCTTCTTCACGACTAGTATCTCGGATTGCGAAGGTTGCTGACGATCTGTTGGTGGTTGGGGTACAGGAAACTTGCTAAGTACTGGGGACTTGACATGCCCGTTTGGCTGCTCTACTGCGGTCTTGAAGCTTGCTTCCGAAGTGTCATCTGGCTGTTGGCGGTCGGCGTTTAATTTGGCCGACAGGCGCAGGAGGATGGTTGCCGTCAATAGACTGTCGTAGCCTGCTTCATGGAACATGGCTGTCTCATGGTACTTTGAGTGCTTGGGGTGTGTCGCTGTAACGATAAGCATGATAGCCATGCAAGGCCATGGAGCTTACCAATGTCTGGGAGTGGTTGGTTGCCGAGCTTTTCAGCAATCTCTTGCAAGGTGGGAGACGCATTCAGATCTCCCTCGGCGTGTGTTGCAAGATATTTCGTATCGACAATTTTCGGAAATCTGTGCACATTAAGCGTTTGGTCTCAGTACACTGATTCTAGTATGCACATGGCAGATGAAAATGAGACGGAAGACTCTGGACAACCTTCTAGTCGGTACTTACATCCGATGGAGCGCCGAACGGAACCCGTTGAGCGTCTCTGGCAGCTCGCCTACAAACGAGCGATAGAAATAGACGAGGTCTGTGAACATGTTGTGCCCTACTAATACAGGCTGATGTTTCTGAAGACGATCGTGAGCTCGATCGAATCTTTCCTTGACATCCGTCTTATCCTCAGCGATGATCGGCGTGCTGGTGTATCTACCAAAGTGATACGGATCTGCCTTATGTAGGTCACCATCAGCTGCGAGAGCTTCGAATACCCACCGGAAGCCTGTCTGCTTGGCGATTTGCTCTTTTACACGGTTTTTGATATGGCGTTTGTTCTCTTCGTCCCGCTGCTCGTCATAGACTATGATCCGAATGCATTCCTGCCTCCCTATGGTGACGAGATTTGGAAATTCGGCTCGAACTAGCTGGTGGACCTGGAAAGGTTGATCAGTATCGTCCAATAGCGCCGAGGTTGCCAGATCAAGAATACAATCACCTACTAAGCGTTTTTCGAATCGCGATATGGCTGGAGTCAGAGACGGATTGAGGAGGCCAGTATGCGTCGTGATCTCTAGTCTGTCGTCATCCTTCAATTTCTTCCACGCGATGATGGCCTCCCTAACGCGCCTCACAAAGTCCAAAGATTGGACGTCTCCTTGCTTCAGCTGCATGTCCTCAACTTCGGACTTCCTGTGCAGACGTTCGTTCATCCTTTGCTGAGCATTACAAGCCTCTTCCCGCGAGAGATACTGTACTCCTCGAGCAAAAGAAGCTCCTAGGTCGAAACCATGGTCAAGTAGGAAGGTGGCGGCGCCGCTCTGGATATGAATCTCACGCTCAATGTCGAGCTTGTAGTGCTCATTGAGCAGCGGGCTGAGGGATATGTTGTATGGCCTTAAAACATATTTGTTCTCGAGATAGTCGAAGCGTGCACAAGTCAATCCAACTTGGAGGATGTGGTAGCGATCTGCAGCAATCCTAGTCTCCTGATACCGGTCCTCCAGCGTCTTCCTTCCCCGATGAGGCTTCCAGGGCTCCTTTCCGGGCAGGCGTGACGGGATACCGGTGAATTCCAAGTCGAGCGACACGAAATCAGCCTCTGAGATGCTGATTAGTAGGCCCAGTAGCTCGTGAGGGTACGAGTCAGCATCGACGTCCATGGCTGCCAAGACGGTACTGCGCTCGGAGGGGCACCGTACGCTTTGTTGCTTTCGATATGGGCAATGGAGAGGACTGCGGACGATTTGCGGATCTTTGGTTTCTGGCAGTGGAGTTGGTGGCGCTGTAGAGCAGCAAGTCTTGACGTGGGCAATTCGCTAACAAGTAAGTAGACCCAGAACGTTGCCTAGCGCAGGACCAGGAACGATTGAGTGAGAGACAAGAGAGAGGGTCCACGAGACACGCGCTTTCTAATTACAGCTGTAGCGATACGGGAGTCATTCTCGGAAGTCAGTGAGACCAGCAAGAGCGGAGCAAGACACTAAATTGCTCGTTACTCTCAAGCGGCGTTTGACAAGCGCAAACGGCTCCAAGTCAGAGTCTCGATTGCGCACGGTCAAACGACGATTGGGGCGCCATCGCGATAGATGCCGTGGTGTTTGCAGCGTGGAGGTGGCTGGCGAGCGAGGAAGCGCCAAGGCTGGGGCATCGCGACGTCCGAACCTCGGCTGCCGGCCCGTTGAGCTTTCACATTCCGCTGGCAGGCGGTCAACAACGCCTCAGGACACCTCAGACATGGCTCGTCTAGCCGTCGCTGCCTCGTCACAGTAGCTTCACCACCACCGACACTCCCGCCGCCGCCATGGCTGCCATGTACGAGGACCTGGGCAGCTCGCGTACGCTTGGGGCCTCGGTCTCGTCACTGTCATCTCGCCAGCACTCCCAGCACATTGCCAAAGCCTACCGCCAGGCCGCCCAGCTGTTCCTCACGCGTCGCCTGCCCGAGGCGCTGTCCACGATCGAACCCATCGTCACCCCTCCCACCCAAGACGACGCCAATGGCTCCCATGACGGCGACCTGTCCGGCTATGCGCCCATAGCAACCGCGTCGCGGGGCACGCGGGTCAAGGTGTGGAGCTTCTACCTCACCTTCCTCAATGCCGTTGTCGAGCTGGGTGCCGAGGAGGGAAAGCTGGCATTTGGCAGCACGAGATGGAAGCAATTGGTCTCCAAGTGCCGCGATGGCAGCGTATGGGATGATGTTGCGCGCGACGGTTATGCTGGCGTAGAGGGCGATGTCGACGCCGAGGTCGTCGTCAACTTGTGCGCTTCTCCCTTCGACCCTGACAGCTCGTCTAACAGATCACAGGGCAACTCTACTACTCACACATTCACCGTCCCAGCGGCTGAACCAACACAAGCTGGAGACCTATCTTTCGGCATCGGCTAACCCTACCTTTGACATCTCCTCACACATGTCCTCCTCTGCATACCTCCAGCGCCGGCCCAGCCAGCAGAACACTGGCACGAATACACCGCGGGACCTCAACACCCGGTTGAAGCTCCTCGAGCTGTACACTCTCCACGTGCTCCCGCGCAATGACGAGTGGGATTACGCCCGGGAATTTATATCCATGTCCGAAGTGCTCGACGACGAGCGCAAAGAAGCTTTCTTGCTTGCTCTTCACTCGCTCAAGGAAGAGAAGGAAGACGCAGAGAAGCGCGAAGAACGCTTACGTCAACAGCAACAAGAGCAGCTAGAGCAACGGAGAAGGGAAACTGAGGCTCGCCGATTGGAACAGTCTCGGGCAGAAGACGAGCGAAGAAAACGCGAAGAAGAAAACAGGCGGCAGCCCAGAGGCTCCGACGAAATGTACCGTAGCCCCAGCGCCCCTCGCCAAGCGCCTTCTACATCATCGCGAGCATCACGACCAGCCAAGAAAGCGGTCAGTCCACCGCCCGGCCTGTACCACCGCGCAACTGCCCTACTGTTGTCGATGCAAGCCATGATTACGAACACCGCGCACTCGATGACGGCCAACCCCATGGCTTTCTTCCGTACTCTACTCTTTCTTCTTGCTTTTGCTCTGGCGTTTGGGCGAAGGGACCTTCGGGAGCGCATCATGCGCATTTTGCGAAATGGGCTGGATAAGGTCCGCCGTACGGTGGGTATGGGCGTCAAGGTCTCGTATATTTGATGGTGCACTGCGATGAAGGTAACCCTTTCTTGTATCATATCTGGATAGCTTGAGTCATGGCTTAAGCAGCTGGCTTATTCTGCATAATATCGATTACTACAGTACTCTGCCTTCCATACCATCCTCGTTACAATCTTGGCGTATGGTCGTACTGCGCCCCATTGATCTCGTTATTATAGATACATGGGCGATCACAGGAATGATCGAAACAAGGCGAGGCTTCAGTGAGACGCCTGCAAGTTTGACTGCAGTGAGCTACGTTGTGCAAAGCTTCGCCTTGCAGCGGCCGTCCATACGCAGGCTGTTTGCTCATTGGCCGTCGCCACGCTATACGCGGAAGCATGCAAGAGGGAGAGGAGGATTCAGACGGGGTCGGGCCCCCGACCTCACCAGCGTCGCCAAGCTCACGTCAAGTTGTGTAGGAGGTTATGTGACATTACGAACCTTTGTACGATGGATTTGAGTGTTCAGGGACGGTCTCGATGTTTGCGTTCAAGACCGACGAGGAACAGGGGACTCTCCATGAGGGCGTAGACTAATCTGTGACCGAAGTTGCAGAAGATGTTGAACATCAGTGCGAACACAAAAATGAAGTTTTGGAGACAAGGAGGTCCTCCAACGGAAAATGTGAACACGCTAACAATCATGAAATTGTACAGAATACACATCTATCAGAACGCCATCCAACCCCGTTATGCATCCCAAGAGGCCACTCCATCACAAACTTCCATGCACTATGTTCATTTGTTGATCCTCTTCATCCGTGCCTCGTCCCTCCACCACTTGCACTCCTTCATCCTGATGCCCTTCCTCTCCTCTTCCATGACGACGCCGCCCCTGTCTGTATTTCCTACGGCTAATTGCGCACTCCCTTCGTGCCAGTAGCGATCCCACTGTGGCGCCTTTGCGATCTTGTATGTATTCGGATTCCCGCTGACAACAAAGCTGGCATAGTAACTATGATAAATATCCGCAACCTCAGGGAACTGCGTGTTGCGGTGTCCGTTGAAATACCCGTGATCCGACGCATGCGGAACGCCCATATGCGGCGCCGCGCCATTGGGAGTGTTAAAGCGCGCTTTATAAACGGGCGCCCCGGCGGCGGCGAGTCGATGCGCGGTTTCCTGCACGGGGCAGATGTACGAGTAGTCCCCATAGGCGGCGCTTATGCGTTCGAACTGCGTGCTCACGAATCTACCCACATGGTCTGCGTACGGCCCTTCACCGTTACTTGGGTCGGGGTAGAGCGCGTCGAGCTCAGCGAGGTCGGTTTTGGTGAGGCCAGGCAGAAGGTTCGCCATGAAGTTTACGAATTGTGTGTTGGATTGAAGATCTTTGGGCGCGAACATCTTGCCCTCGTCTGTGACGGAGGATATGAGGAGAGGGGCCTTGTAGAAGGTGCCGTCAATCCCGGATTGGGAGCCTGATTTCTCTAGGAGGGGACCTGGGTGGCTGGGCTGCCATGGCCAGGTGATGTTGTAGTTTGACGATGTGTATATCTTCCCAGACGCTAAGCGCAATTTGCGCATTGGGACATTGCGGAGACAATCGAGGGTTTCGGCGTTGGTGCTGTTGACCTTGTTGGGGCATTGAACGTAAGTCATGAACTCATTGTAATAGCGTTCGTTGAGTGCGTACGAAGGCCCGGGAAATCCTCGTGCAGTTGGTGCGCCGGAAGCAATAATAGCCTGGCTGAAGAGCTTCTTGCCTTTCGTGTCACCGTAGTCGTGGAAAAGATGAAGACCGACTGCATGCGCTCCTGCACTCTGCCCGCCTATCGTGACGCGTTCCGGATCGCCTCCGAAATCCGCCATGTATTTCTGTAGGAACACGAGTAGTTGCCTCTGGTCTCGCATCCCTAGGTTCAGCAAGCCCTCCTCTTCAAACAGCTTGCTCGGCAAGCTTCCTAAAGCGCCTAACCGGTACTGTGCTGTCACGACCATGAGCGGCTCTTTGCTTTTCGAAACGAAGGTTGCGCCATCTAATGCTTTGCCATCCCCAACCACAAATGAGCCTCCGTGGAAGAAGACAAACACCGGCAGCTTCCGGTCGAATGAAACACCTTGCGGCCGGAACACATTGAACGTCAAGCAAGCTTCTGAATGGTGCTGTGGATTCCAACCCCAGTTCTGCATACATGCCTTCCCGTACTGCGTGGCGTTCTTCGTCCCGTTGAACTCCTTTGGCCAATCTGGCGCCGCAAACCGTGACTTGCCAACAGGTTGTGTCGAGTACTCGATGCCCAACCATGCATTGATGGGATCGTCGAAGACGATGTTTTTCCTATTCTTGACGACTTTCGTTCCTTGGAAATTGCCATAGCCGGGTAGCTTGACGACGAGCGGTCCATCCGGAAGCTGCAACGTAGGGTCGGCTTTCCGCTTGGTAGGCGCCAGGTAAGTCCCGAGCAGAGCCAGCGCACCCACGATCAAGATGGCTATAAGTATCCGCCGTCGGTTTCTGATCCAGATACTTCGTCTTCTGTAAGTGAAGTTCTTCATTCGCGGCATGCCCGGCTCGTCCATGGGCAGCAACGGTGCAGAAGACGACGTCGAAGGCCCAAAGTCTAGCGTAGGCGTGTCTCGACCATTGTTCTCCTCCCCAAGCAAAGGCGTGGCCGCCCTAGGCGCCATATCGTCAGGCTGAGGTGTGTTCAGACCGGATTTTCGTCTGTACAAAGAGGAAGATCGAGGCGAAGGCATGGCACGATTACCTGTGGAAACGGGAGTGGGCGTCGGTAGGTTTCAGCTAAGCCGCAGGGCCGTCACTGCCAGTCAGCGCTTAGCTCCCCTTGGCAAAGGCTTAGCAAAAGCTTGAATTGTGATCTCCGTTCGCCTGGACGGGTCTGTTGAGGGCCCGTGCCGCACGCAGCGCAATCGACTCTGGGCCAATCGGGCGCTGGGCGAATATTGGCTGCCTGCAGCAGGCCGTGGCCGGCGTAGAGTAAGGGGCGCAGCGGGCGACAAGTGGGAGACGTCAGGATGAGAGCATCCAGCATCCAGAGCGCCGACGGCAGTGCGACTGTCAGAGTTACCTTTGCGAGGTGCGAAGTGGGCTGCCAAGCTCGCCAATCGATCCTCCCATCTCCACAGCACGCGTTATCGACTGGGGTGATCCACCGGAGGTGAATGTCACCCGTCTGTCTCGCTCGAGGGGAACGGAACGGTATGCGAACGACGATTCATTAACACGCACGACCCCCTGTTACTGTCCACTCCCAAGAGGTTGTGGAGCCTCGTCGACCATGCACGTTCCCACCCCCTCACTTCTCTCCTTCCCATCCTCCAGCTGGACTTGACTTGATTCCTTCCCAACTTCTGGATGCGGCTCACTACTTCCGGCCCGAGTTTATCTCCTCGTCAACCGCATCCGCCATGTCTAGACGCGCAGGTACGAAGTCAGCTAAGTCATGAGAGTGGACATGGTACGAAGTGTTTATGTCTAAGACAGATCGACTTCGTACCCGGGCATTGCGTACCAGCCAGCTGGTCAAATTTCCAATTGAACACAGGGTCATCTCGGTTACCCAGGATAGCGCCCGGCCGGTAAATCCACGCGCTTGTGATCCCAATGTCCTTACACGGGTGATGGTCGTGAAACTGGCTCTGTGCCGTCTGTAGCACCTCATGCTTCTCTACGCCAAACTTCTCCTTCACCGTCTTCAACATGTACTCGAAGTTTTTGGGATCTGGCTTATAGCTGCCGATGTCTTCAGCCGTAAGCACCAAGTCCCACTCAAAGCCATCGAGAGAATTCGCGTTGTTCACCTGGAATGACTCATTATCCACGTTGGACAGCACGACCATCTTGTACGTTTTCTTCAATCGTCGCAAAGCTGGAACACTGTCTTCGAACCCGGGCCAGGTGCCTACGCTCGCGCCAAACGATTTGCTCTCTTCGGCCGTAGGCTCAGGTAGACCGAGCTCCTTGCAGATCTGAGGGTGGCATGTGGCGAGCAAATCCGAGTACTTCTTGCGGGGGTTTTTGATCTGTTCATCCTTGAACAATGGCTGAGAGATCTTGAGGATGTGCTTGGGGTCCATCTCCGTTTTGCCGGCTTTCTCGAGTACGGGCTGTAGATTCTGCAGGACGCCTCGTTCGTAGTCGATGAGGGTGCCGTAGACGTCAAAGGACAGGAGTTTGAAATCGGCGAGCTTGGACATGGTGCTTGTTGGCTACAGTGGCTTTAATAGCAAATGGGGCCAGAGGTGGTGTATTGAATAGTGTGCGAGGAAGTCTGTGCTGGTACTGTTGCTTGACGCTGGCTCGATGCGTATTTACGGGGTGTGAAGGATGTTGCTGATAAGAAGAACTGGTTTGTATCGTGTTTCGCGACGATACCGTTTTTCTGGATACAGACGATCAGAATAACTCAGCCTTTTATTCCTCTAGGATCAGCAGCCGTCTACACGCTGCGGGGTCCGGTTACTGCGTTGTTTTCCACATGTAGTAATAGCCCCACTCTAACCAAGGATTACCAGATGACGTAGCGTATACACGCGCCCTATTGTCAGCACCACATCTGCTTTCTGCCCTCATTAAATGAGATACATTTGTTTTTCGCAATGATTAGTAGCATGATGTTTCGTGACGCTGTAAACGCCTACGCAGCATCCGCTACGGGTTTCCCGGTGGGAAACAGTATGTACGCGTCTGTGCTAGGGCGCAGTCACGCCCTGTTGTACATGTCACTACAATCAACGGTAGTAGAATATGTTCCTCTTGAAGCAGATACAATAAGGCGCGTATAGGCATGTCGAATGCGCCATCAATCATTACGAAGCTAGTCCCGAACCACAGACATCTACATAGTATAGGCCAAGTTCCCAATCTTGCTCTCAAGTATCTCCTTCGTCAGCTTCCACAGGTTCGCCGACAAGTTCTCATCTTTCGCCTGCCTTGATGGGTCCGTCGGCTTGCGGTCAGGTACGATATATGCTCCCCTGAATCTGCTCTGTCACGATATCGGGACTCGCCGTAGCGAACAGCGCCGGGCGGCATCCCTTGTCCACAGGGTCGCCGAGCAACGGACGCACAGCTCTAACGCCAATCTTGCCTATGGTGCCGTAGGCTTCCTCAGCCTGGAATTGCTGGTCGGTCTTGATACCACCGGGATGGGTAGAGTTGATCCAGGGTAGACCTTCAGTGTCGGTGACTGTGCCAAATCGGCCCGCTTTAATGCGCTTCAGTAGTTGATGGGAGAAGAGGATCTGTGCGAGCTTGGTGCGGTTGTAAAGGAATGTTGCACCGATATCCGTGTTGATTTCTTCGACCGACTCGAACTTGGTAGAAGATGGTGCCGCGCGGTGTAGGTCTGACGACTGAGATACAATGCGGGAGTCTTTCGTCTTCTGCAGCACCGGCAATAAGGTCAATATGATGTGCGCCTGCGCAAAGACGTTGACCTGCATGTGTGTGTCTAACTTGTCCTCAGATTCGTTGTATGGACCAACACCCAACCCCGCGTTGCAGACTAGACCATCCAGCCTGGTAAGCTCCTTGGCTAGGTTGCGTGCTGTCTCGTCGGTTTGTTTGAGGGGACTCGAGATTGCATTTCCGCCACTCGACCTTGTTAGCATCTCCCCACTTCTTTGCAAGCTCTTCTTGCGCTTCCTCGGCGTGCACCTCCTTATTGGAGAGGAGGTAGATCTTCTCGGGATTGTGTTGGAGGAGGTGCGCGACAATGCCAAAGCCGATGCCCGCGGACCCGCCTGTCACTACATAGATCTGAAAGATATGTCAGAATCACCTATTCGATGTGAAGAGCAGTCGGCCTACCTTGCCGCTCAGGTCTGGGATGTCTGTGTTCGGGTCGAATTTGTTGTCAGTTAATGAGACCATTCTGGTGGATCTTATGGAAGAGTTGCTGGTTGAATGACAAAGATGAATATCTGTGGTCGAGTAAAGCTACTGTCAGCGCTGTATACACCCCGCGTCCCTAGACAAGCCAGCGGGCATATGATGTGCTCTTGTCATGTCGTCATAGTGATTTGAGGGCGGTGACTCCGGTTATGCAGCGGTTGCCACATACAAGCGAGCAATGGATCAGAAAATAAGATCGACCAAATTACGACGGTTCGTACATTGGGTCCAAGTTCACAATAACACGGCGAAGTCTGTTGGTGAGATGTTGGGATCGAGCTCAGGCCAAGCGTTCTTCGGCGGAGGGATCTGCCGAGCCGAAAACGGGTGTCCGATGCTTTTCCAAGACTTAGCGTCAGCTCACTGTAACGCCGTTGATATATCGAAGTTCATTATGCGCTCAGTCTGGTCTGCTTGCCGCGGCCGAACTACAGCATCTCTTCGGTAGGTGGGAGAGGCTCGCTCACTGGCCCCCAATTCCTCCTTGACCATCGGTCCCAATCACTGCAAATCGTGCATCCACAACACACTTATAAGGTTCTATCACCGAAATTTGCTACTTTGAGCCCGTGTGAAGCATACATCGTACCCGTCGAACTGGGTCTCTGACACATATGAGGAAAGCCCGCCAACCCCAGACCTGTCACTACCGCATCCTTCCTTTCTATGGAATTGATCGGCAGTATTATAGAGAGCACGAGAACGCATCTTGGGGGGCCAGAACACTTCCACACGGGTGGCGATTACACCCCGGTTGTCTAATATACGTCGACCTATCAAACCAACTTCAATGGGAAAGTATTGGACCAACACGCATGCAAGGCTGTGCAAGGCTGCCTTAATTTTGGGCGCCTTTTTCTAATCATCAGCTGCTTCTCCCCTCTAAAATAAATTCACAGACATTGAATCCAAGGTCCGCAACGAGGTTGCCCCACTGCAGTCTACAGGTGTTATTCCGCTCCTGCAATGATGGATATAACGAACCCTAACATTACACCTTCACAAGTTCCTCCCTCTGGCTTCACGTCGAATTTTGAGAACCCGCCTAATTATACTCTATTGGCTAAAGCAGTGTTGGGTTTGTGCCTGACATTGAGTTCTCTGTTGATATTGATGCGAACATGGTCACGATTCTTGATTCAAAGAGCACACGGCTGGGACGACTGTCAGTTCGGTCCACTCTACCTCCCTCTTCTGAGCTAATGAGACTCCAGACTCTATGATCGTAGCCTGGGCTAGCAATGTCGCCTGGATCGGTCTCTGCTTCGATGCAACTCGCTACGGTGTTGGTGTTAATCACCTATGGGATATCTCACTCACTCATCTGTTCATTTTCTTGAAGGTGACCTTGCATCTACCTGTAGGACCAGTCTTCCGAGTCTCTGACCTCTGCGCACATAGATAGCCAACGAGCTCGAAATCATCTACAACATCTCGATCTTCTTCACGAAGTTTTCGATCCTTCTGCAGCTTATACGTCTCCTCTGTCCCCACCGCAGCGGCTGGACCTACTATCTGCTATGGCTGCTTATCTTTTCGGACGGGCTCTTCTACTTCGCTATCAACATCGTGACGATCTGGTCGTGCAATCCGAGGCATAAGATATGGCACCCACTCGAAGAAGGCTCTTGTGTCAACCTAGCTGCGATGCTCATCATTGGAGCAGTTGTAAACTTTATTTCGGATGTGAGCATCTTGGTGCTGCCAATATGGAAGGTCTGGCAGCTGCAGCTCAGCACGGCGAAGAAAATCGGTGTGACGAGCATATTCGCGACTGGGCTATTGTAAGTCATTAATACGTCTATTCCAAACTCGCACACTAACGTCGATTGCGTAGCGCATGCGTAGCCAGCATTATGCGGCTGGTAGCTACTACACGCTTCATCGCTAACCAGAACGATGTCACGCTGCTTGTCCCGGCCGCTCTGTGGGCGTGAGTGCTCGGTCCATGTTCAATATTACATGACACTGACTACATCACAGTGAAGGGGAGATCACTGGTGGTATAATCTGTGGTTGCCTGCCATCAGTCCCCGCCATTTTCCGTTCCTTTGTACCTAGAGTAAAGAGCTATCTAGGCAGTCGACCTACGAAGAAGACTTTCTTGACATCCGAGAGTAAAAATGCTGTAGATGAGAATGAGTACCGGTACAATCCCTATGTTGAACTTGAGGAGAGATCGACGAATCAGTCTGTGAACGGATTGGGTAACGGTGGCAGACACAATCTATGTCTGGCATCTAATGCCAACCCGGCGCATGATGGGGTTTAGATATTGGAGCTGAGAGCTGCGAGCTGAATGCTAAGGATTGTTCATATGCACAGTCATGACAAAGCACGGTGCAGTGTCAAAAACAATGAGGCTCGGGCCAATGCAAGGAGATCAAGTCCTCACACATTGAGAGAGACAATACCGTGCGCACACTGTCGATCCAGGCGGGAGACTCAGAAAAGACTTACTACGGGTAGAAAAGACCTCATGTAACTACATGTGTAGAACCTGCCGATGCAGACACAAGAATAGAAATGATCTCAACACCATCCGTAGCACAATGATCGCCAAGTTTCGATTACTACAGCGTACTCGCTAGACAGCAAAACAAATCAGCACCCCCCCAATATCGCTTCATCGTCCGAATTCTGCTCGGCTTGCATACTGACGCCCGTGATTGAGCCTTTATCGGTACTCACCTTTCATCTCGTGATTGAGCGACTAGGACTCAGACCTTTAAAGATCCGAACCAACGCCGATGTCACTCGTCATGCCTGGATGACTGCATGGATGATAGTTGTCGAGTTTAAAATAGTTGGGAACGTTTTCAGTTTGAGACTGAACTGTTATGTTGGGTGGCGTTGGGTGTAACCAGGGATAGTACCTTGTCACGGCACGAGTCTAGTCCTACAGCCAAGAATGTAGTTTCCACGTCAAGCAGACTGCTACTTTGTCCATTATAAAGACCATTGTTTGATCTCGTTAAGATCTCTGTTCGAGGAATTGTGCCCATGGTATCTGAACACCTTAGATCTGCATACCATAGTCGTTCATCCTCATATTCCCACGTTTTAGGATTGTACAAGCGCTTAGTAGTAGGGTGTAGCTTCAGCCCTTGAGTTTGGGGGCTACAGGATGGTGGTCCATACAAAGAGCGCGGAAGGGAGGGATCATCCGGGGGCCGGAGAAAAGAGCTGGGGGCGCACTGTCGAGCTAAGAGAGCTAAGAAAGGAATACGACAGAAGGCCTGATTCTCGGTGCCCTATCACTGCGTGTCTGGTCTAAGCGTGTAGAGTGTTATACCACCTCTTTGAAAAATGCAATGCTTCCCGCCTTAAAGAATTGGGCGTTCTTGAGGTTTCAGAGTGAACTTCAATGACGGTTGACAGAACGCCTGGTATGCCATACACTCTAGAGAAGGAGGCGAAAGTAACTGCTAGCAGCCCATAGGCGTATCACAAGGCTGTGTTGGTTCGTTTCGATGAACATATAAATGTCGAGTGATCTTCGCTTTCTCAAAGCCTTTGTTGCAGAGTATACTTTCACGACTACTTGAGCATACTAACATCTTCGACTCTTTTCTAGTTTCGATCCGTTTATTCGAAGACCAGCCTCTTGACCTGCGCATCATGCAGTTCCTCAACCATTTCCTCATTCTTAGCATCGCTGCCTCTGTCCGAGCTTCTCCAGTCTCCACGGATTCCGAAGCCAGCAATGCCATGCTGTCTCGTCGATGGGAGCAACCCGATGTTCCGGCAGATTGGATCAACAAATCAAGCGAGATGACTGGCGAGCAGCTTGTGGCTGAGTACGCTCCTTCTGGAGCCAGAGCTCTCCTCAGTCGTGTACGTAACCCACACTCCTGAGCCTGGAGGAAATCGACGTGTATTGACCAAATCTAGGCCAGCGGCTGCTCTCAAGGAGAGTGTCCTGACCGAGACCCGCCATTCCGTAGCGATGCGCCTTGGGATCTCGAATTCCAATTCACTGTTATCCCGGACCCAAGTCCTGTTCCGTTTCCAATCTTCACGCAAGAATACCATCTCCGTATAAACGACTGCGATAAGTGTCAGCGCATCAAAACGGGGTCATACAACAACGAGAACGGGTGCTACAATTTCAATTCGTGTGGACGTGACCAGACCATCTGCATCGATGATAAGAATCATCGCGCCCATCGTATTTGGAAGGACAATGGGCATAAGGATTGCTTTAACCTTATCGTCGACCCTAAGGGCTCGTGTGGTTTTGTCAAAGGTAAACTGGAGCACTAGGGTATAAAGTTGAGGGACTTGCTGACGAACCTTCCTTAGACACGGTGATCTGGTCTCCCACTGATCTGGTACCTTGTAACTGGTGATCGTGCATGAGCTATTATCCTCGCCGGTATCTTATTCATCTTCGCGGCCAACTGGTATTGATGTACTGTAACTGTTTTTCGACTTTCTTGGGGGGAGATTTTAGTGCAAGGGAAGCTTGTGATGGATCATTCGCTCATAGTAAGATAAATCGGACGTTTTTGACACGGATGAAAGTGGTGACGTGATGGCTTGTACATGTGTTTCTTTTCTTTATCGCAACACATCGTTTGTATTTTGGTTCTGAATGTAATATCTTGTTTATCCGCGCAGTGATCTTTCGAGCTTGCAGGCGACGATGTAGTGAGTCGGAGCCAAAGTACGAACACAAGAGCATCGAGCGATGGGCTCGTCCATTTGAACGGATCAGCTTAGTCTTAAGACACATGCATGCGAATTGAAAAGGTGATCGAGGCCAGGATGTACACTAGCCGTTGCGCCTCCATGTGTGGAGCGCTGCCCAGGCAGGTACCTAGTCTTCACCAAGGGAGGCCCCTAGAACCTACTGTAAGATCTTGGTTAGTACAAGATGTCCAAGAACTGTTACCGGGTTTCTTGGCTGGGATGGACACTATGAAGCCAGACCCGTTGATACTGTGGGGCTGACTTTCCCCGCATTGCGCTTACTTTCGCAAGGCGCCGAGCAGCCAAACACAAAGTCCGGAGCGTTCTCGAAATGCATCAATGTCGCCCACGTAGTCATCAGATCCTGAGCACCAAAGTGAAAACTCTACGCGCGAGGCGCTTTAGGCAGGTGGCAGGCCAAGCGCTGGGCCAGCACGGAAATCGATCAAATGCTACCTCGCCTAGGCCCGTGCAACGCTGTGACAACCAATCCGCAGCGGCGCATATTGCGTGCTCGAAGGCACCATGGCGAGAGATACTGTCAAGCTTCGCACGTCAGCCATGAAGCTTCCTGGCTTCTTCACTGCCTTCGTCCTTCCCTCGATAACATCGAGTCGACATGGCAGACACCAAAAAGGGACCGTACTATGAAGGTGCGCATCCAGCGGCACCAGAATATGACGACTACCACCACGACCACGAACATGTCGTGGCTGCGGACAAGCTGCGTCGCGCGCTTTCGCCTCGACAAGTCCAAATGATTGCGATAGGAGGCACGATTGGCACAGGATTGTTTTTGGGAACAGGAAAATCTCTTGCGACTGGTGGGCCCGCCTCGTTGGTCTTGTGCTATGGGATTGTCGGAGCCATCGTCTTTGTAACGATGATGTCTCTGGGAGAGATGGCTGCCTTTGTTCCCGTTGCTGGCTCTTTCTGCACCTTCGCTGGTCGCTACGTGGATGACGCTTTCGGTTTCGCCCTCACTTGGAATTACTGGTTCAACGATGTCGTGTCAACAGCCGCAGACCTTGTCGCATTACAACTCTTGATGAATTACTGGACCGAAACATTCCCCTGGTACGCGTTGGGACTCATCGTTTGGGTTATCATTGTGGCGGCCAACATCATCAACGTGCGAGCCTACGGCGAAGTGGAGTACTGGCTTTGCTTGCTCAAAGTCGTGACCATCATCATCTTCATCATTCTCAGCATCGCAGTCAATGCCGGCGGTAACACGGCGCATGAATACATCGGCGCAAGAAACTGGAACATCGGCGACGCGCCGTTTGTCGGCGGCATTGGAGGCTTCGCATCTGTCTTTGTGACGGCGTCCTTTGCCTACGGAGGCACCGAATCCATTGCCATCACCGCAGGTGAAACTCGCGATCCTGCACGACAAATACCACGCGTGGTGAAGAATGTCTTCTGGCGCATCCTGCTCTTCTATATTCTTGCAACCATCATGATCGGTTTCAACGTAGCATACACAACCCCAGGTCTCAAGACGAAGAGTACGGCTACGTCTCCTTTCACCATTGCTTTTCAGATGGCTGGCTCCAAGGTCGCAGGATCGTTCATCAATGCCGTCATCCTGACCAGCGTCATCTCGGCTGGTAACCATGCTCTATTTGCCGGAAGCAGGCTCCTCTACACTTTGGGCGTCAATGGCCATGCACCCGGAGTATTCACGAAGCTGACCCGCTTCCAAGTTCCTTGGGTCGCTGTGCTCTTCACGAGTATTCTATCCGGCCTTCTGTTCGGAGCGAGCTTCATTGGGGCTGGGCAGCTCTGGACATGGCTGCAGAACATTGTCGGCGTGTCCAATCAGCTGTCATGGATCAGCATCGGTATCGCCTCTCTCCGTTTCCGCGCAGGTCTCAAGGCTCAGAACAAGGAACACTTGTTGCCTTTCAAGAACTGGACATACCCCTGGGGGCCGATCATGGCCGTAGTGCTGAACAGCTTCCTTGTGCTCGTACAAGGATGGAGCTGCTTCAGCCCGACATTCGCACCGGTAGACTTTGTCAGCTATTACATCGAGCTGCCCGTCTTTGCGCTCATGCTCATTGGATGGAAAGTGGCCAAGCGAACCAAATTCCAGAAGGCGCACGAGATGGACCTCGTGACAGATGTGTATACGAAGGATGACATGGAGCCGGAGGACCTCGAAAAGAGGGGAGTGAAGGGCTGGGGAAAGAGAATCGGCACCTGGTTCTGCTTCTAGGCCCGTCGAATGGGGTTGATCGAGAAGCGTTAGCGAAGGATGGAACGAGTTCCTGCTCCACGGAACATCTGGAGCGTCGACTGTGTATACATCAGATGATGTGATTTGCGAAAGCCAGGCTTAGCGTGTTCGAAGGCGCTCCCGACGACATGTCAATACTCGACAATGCACCGCAATATCTACGAGCTTGTTGAGACGCATGCCCACTGCGTCGTCGAATAGCGGATGCCACCTCTTGAAGTGCCTGTGCCCAGATTGTCTGTGATCAATCTCCACAAGCTGTCCGACGTAGCACGGCGTCTGCCACTCCACGAAGTCTTGCGAATTTCCACAAATGCACGCCGCCGCCCAGACAGACTTCGCGACTGATGTGATGGAACGGTCCAACGAAGACTGCACGTCCACGAGGGCAGCAGACAGTCCCAGGAGCGCGGGAGATGCACCCGGCGCCACGCCACGAGCTGTCGGAGGCCGCACCATGCCGCGGACCCCTGCCCCTGGCCAATGGCGAGCCGGCGCCTGTCGGTTGTTTGATTGGATGGCGCTGGTTCGGGCTAGGGGCGGCTCGCGAAAACTGGGGGATCAACCAAAGACTGCAAATGTTTGCCTTGTCTACGAAACACGAAACAAAGCAGCTCCACGACGTCGAGCGCTGCTTTTTGATCGCCTGTTATTCTGGGAACCCCCGCGGCGCACTCCGTAGGCGCCCGTGGTCTCATGACCAGAGCCGAGCGCCACACCGGGCTTTGGGTGAGCAAAGGTGTTGCGAGACGAGGGGAGGGCAATCTGCCATGGGTGCACGACTTTGGTGTGGCTTGCGTCCTTCGTAGATTTAGAGTAAGCCCGGACCTTGGACCGGTGGAGACGGGCAGCAACTGCTGCAGGAGACGCGCGCTACAAATTTCCCGAAGCTTTCGGCGGTGCTGCTTCGCGCCTTTTGTTTCGCCTAGCCGAAACACCAGCAGAGTCCGTCCGCCCTCTAATCTAATCTCACATGCATCTCTGGGCCTAGCCCCCATCTCATCTCATCTCCTCTTTGTGTGTAGTCGCTAACTGCCTATAAGTACTGCCATTTCCCTTTTGGTAGTTACCCATGTAGCCATCCCTCTTTCCGGCTTCACTGTCCTTTTCTTGTCGCTCCTTCTCGACACACTCTTCACGCAACTTTTGCGTAGCCACTCCTTTCTACCTACAATCAAAATGAAGATGCACTGGTGCACTCCGCTCCTTGCCCTGGCAGCGCCAGTTCTCTCCGCCCCCGTCGCAGCCCCGCGCTCTACAGCAGGCTCTGAACGCGCCATCTGGCTATGGAACTCCGACATCATCCAGGATGACTCTCAGGTCCAGACCTTCCTTTCCCTGATGACCAACAGCGACCATCCTTTCCAGACTGTCCTCGCGCTCATCGACCGCGACATGGGCAACGCACCCTGGCAGTCCTTCATCAAGAAGTGCAATGCCGCAGGCCTCAAAGTCGAAGCCTTGATGGGTGACAAGCAGTGGATCGTCGGCCAGACGAGCGAGGATGGGCCCACTCTAGAGCATGAGCTCGAATGGATCAAGAAGTACCAGGCAAGCGCCTCCTCTGACGCCAAGCTTGCCGGTATCCACTTGGACGTCGAGCCCTGGGCTCTTGACGACTTTGACTCCCAACAAGGCCGAGTACGTCTCTTCGCTCGTCTCCATCGTCAGCCAGGTCAAGGAAGTCGCTCAGCCCCTCAACCTCCCTCTTGGCGCCGACCTCCCATTCTGGGCCAACACGGTTGAGTGCGAGGACTCCACTCTCGACACCTGCCTACTGAACAACTTGGACTATGTTACTTTCATGACCTATCGCAACACCGCCAAGTCGCTCCTTGGCATTGCCGACCCGGTACTCAAGGCTGTCAAGGCTGTCGATTCTTCCAAGCCCGTCTGGCTGTCTGTCGAGACCAGCAGCGAATGCTCTGATGTCAGCTTGATCAGCTATGCCGGCAAGACGTTGAACAACATGTTGAGTGATTTGGTCACGGTTGCCACGAGTGCAGAGAAGAGCTCAGGAAACTTTGCGGGTGTTGCTGTGCACAGCTACAAGGACTTTTTGACCATGAGTGGTTAAGCTTTGGATCTTACCTTTTACTTCTTGAAAACTGAATTTGGAGAGGCGGTTTGTGGTCCAATTTGCGAAACTGCTGGTACGGCTTTTCGTTGTCTACGAAATGATCGATACGAGTTTCGTTACGTACTAACTGATTGACGAATTACGGTACTTATTCTCTCCTATGCAAAACCATTCACGATTTGCAGATAGTCGGCCTTCATGTCGAGCAATCACACTATGGCAGACCTTGCATGTGCAGCCTTCAACGTGCCTGCCCATTCACGCGCCCATATCCCATTGTCCGCAACCAATCACACTTCCTTTGAAACATCCTCAATCTTCGTTCGACTCTCGTCAATAGCACCTTGAAAAAGCTTTAACGCGTCCTCTAGCCTCGCTACACTCACCGGGTCCTTCTTGATAGCCTTTTCCAGCTCCGCCCCACTGTTTGCAAGATAATCCACATCCGTGCTCGCCAACTTTCCATCCCAATCCGCCGAAGCGAGCGGATCCATGTGCATCAGCCTCTTCAAGCGCTCTGGCGTGGGTCCCGGATTTTGGTACACGTGCAGCGGCTTCGGCGCTCCGATTCCGGGCTGCTTCGTGCCGTCGTAAGTGAGCTTTGACAGGGCTTCGATGCAGGTGTGCGATAGGGTGGCGGAATGGCAGCCCATTTCGCCGCTAGCCATTGCTTCTTGAGGCGAGAGAATGCTTGCGTTCTTCAGTAGTGGCTGTTCCTTGCCCGTTTCCTTGTACAGCCTTCTGTACGTTTCTAGGATTTGCCAGATCCGCGCTGAGTTCGGATGCTGCGTGGCTGGGTCCTCAACATCTGGCCACAGACTCGTATCACTGTGCGCGCGGACCTCGTTCAGATAGGGGCTGATGTACAGCATCCCCGCCTGACTACACGCAATCGCCTGCGCAAGACTGAACACCGCCGTTCCCAGCGTCCTTATCCCTTCAGCTTCCAGGATCGGCGCCGCATTCAATGCCGGCCCCGTCGCAGGGATCTTGATGAAATACTGCGTCCTTGAAATGCCCGCTCTGTCGAACTCTCTTGCATACGCTCGTGCATGGTCCAACACCGCCTGCGTGTTGTACGCCTTGTGCGGGTCGATTTGCAGCGCAACGCGACCTTTGATGTTGTCGATGTTCGCTTTGCACATGCCCACGCAGATCCGGTTGTAGATGGCGAGCCAGCCCTGGTCTTTGAGTTCTCTGGCGGAGGTTTCGATCAGGGCCTTGTTGTCCGGGTGCGACATCTGTACGTTGGCCCAGATATTGTTGCTGGTCATATCATTTGGTACGATGCCGAATTCGGTGGCCATGCGCTTGGAGAAAGCGGGGTCCATCCAGTCGACGTCGACATTCACTGCATCGTTGAAGTTTGATGACTTGGAGTAATAGATTGGGAGGGCTTACACTGCTCGCCCAGCTTCTGCAGCCACGTCTGATTCTGAGCGCTTCCCATGTTGCCTTAGCACCGTAGATGTACGTTGAAACAAGTTCACAGGATAGTCCTTCCGTGTCGGCGGCCCATGTAAGGCATCACGGTATTTATGTCAAGGCTTTCGGAGCACAGTCACCCGCATCACATGAAGTATCGTGTTCACTAGGGTCCGTTGGGAGTGGTGGGGCTACGTGGGAACGAGTAGGTAATAGCTGGGCCTGGAGTTACGATACTAACGCGTATGTGGGGGTTTTGTCCAGATCATCAGGACACACGCGTGAGTTTTGCCCGTTCGGGGTACGCTGCTCGGCATACCTTCCTGCCCAAGTCGGAGAAGGTGCTTTACGTCGTATTCACTGGAACTTCAACATGAAGTACTCGCCGTCTGTTTGTCTGAAGGTGATCTGAACTAAATCAGGAAACAATCCAGGGTGCTACTGAAGAGGGAAGGTCACGTCATGGGCAGTTTGTTTCTGATTGACAGGCTTGTGAGGTTTGCTGCACGACAGTAGTTGAAGGCATCTCCTGATAGAACTTATGCGTACCAGGAAGCAGCCTCGCGATTTCATGGCTCTTGCTAGTCGCTCTTCATCTATTACAGTATCTTCTTCGGCACCAAACCTGCACGCAGCCAAGAGCATCGTTAAATTTACATGTCATGACACGATTCTTCTTCGTTATTTCCAATCGTCAGTGCCAAAAGTCCTACTGAGCCCAGTTATATACTCAAGGATCGCCGAAAGTTCCCGCATGCAGCCAATTTACCCTGAGGGTCTCCGTTCTCGTCGTGGAATTCGTAGCTCTTCCAGCCGAAGAGGTTCGGTCCGTTAACGCGCCAAGCAGGAACCACGTCACAGGCGCTGGATTGGTGATGGTAGGGAAAACTCGAACTAGTTGAAGGAAAGCATTATAGGCAGGTACTTCTCCGTGGAATATGGAAACACAATTCTAGGACTGCTGGAACGATATCTTGATTGCCAGCTCGGGAAACAAGGTAGCCGTGCCTTTGCTGTGAGGCGGAGATGGGAGAGATGTTCACTTGCTGATCGGATCCACCATTCATGCCGTTCATGGTATGTAGACACTGAGCACTGCGGCACATGTTGCACAATAATGCTTTTACTTGTTGCCGTCATAGAGCGCATTATGAGGATGCAATGTAATCATCAAATGCAAGCGCCTCATTACGTCCCAGGCCATGGAAATCTTCCTAGAACAGTAGCAGACTGCAGCACGTGAGACAACAAACGCAGTCTGTTTCCAACAGCAAACGCCCGTTCAACTACTAAAAGGGCCATGTCAATATTCTTTCGCCTACTTCTTTTACTCCACACTGTACTCGGATCTCTGCTTCAAACCGCAGAAATGACCAACGTAACACACAACTTCGGCTATGCCATCGTGCGCGCCGGTGTACCAACGACTGACGACCTCCACATTCTCTATGTGTTCCGCTCCCTCGAAAATGCACACACGGCCATCACTAAGTTTGCCAACAGCTCTGAGTTCACCCAGGCGGCCAGTCGCGCGCCAAGTGAACTGCGCGAGCTGGACGGCAGCATTCCGAAGTGGTGGAAAAGTTACAGTCTGTTTGACGGATATTTCCCGGTAGGAAGTGTATACGTCGAGCGGGTGAACATGGAGGACTAATGCGGGTGGAAGGCGATGTAGAAAGAATGGGGCTGAAGTAGTCAGCGCGATGAGACCAGTCACGTAAAATTGATTACTAATATGTTACATCTCCATGTCCCCTCACATGCGGCCCACAGCCTCTGCCTAGGTGCAATTGTACCTAGGTAGTCAACCGCCACGTAGCCGACGCAGCCTCCCTCGGCAGCCCCACGCATGTTGCTCCGCTCTACGGAACGGTTATACAAGGTATAAGTGTAACCGTCATCGCGCAACCCAGAACATAGGTAGTCATCAATTCCTTCGCCGCTATCCCACTCCAAGATGCAGTCCCGTGGGTATTGAAACAAAACAGCGTCACAAACATGCATGCACCATCCCATGGGAAAGAATTCTACCAGCCAGCAGGTGCCATGGTGCAGACTCGACGGAGCTTCTCCACCCTTGATTCTGTAACGTATATTTGGAGAACGCTTGGACTGCCAGGCGACGCTCTGCGATCGCTGAACCTCATCGAGGATACCAATATCTTCTCGTCTTCCTTCAGGGTCGCCCACCTTGCTCATGCTTCCATCGCGCTCTCAGCACTTACAGCTGCCTTGATATGGTCTATCCGGACCGGCGAGGCAATACCCCAGGTCTCGGTATCAAAGGAGCATTCGTGTGCTGAGTTCATTTCTGAACGATTATACACACTGGACGGGAAGCGTCTTGCTTCTCCATTAGGACTACTTGGTGGTCTTCACAAGACTGCGGATGGGCATGTGCGAATGCACGACGGCTTTGCACACCACCGAAACAATGCTCTCAGGATTCTAGGTCTACCAGTGCACGCCAGTAGAGAAGAAGTAGCTGCGAAAATGCTGGAATGGAGCTCTGTAAAGCTCGAAAGTGCCGCCTTTCAGAACGAAGCCGTCATACTGACGCTGCGTTCGTTTCAGGAGTGGGATGTCCTTCCCCAGGCCAAAGCCGTCGCAGACTTCCCAATTACAGTACGGAAACGTGGTGGTAAAACTCTGCCCGTTCCTCTACCTTTTGGTTCAGAGGCGAGAAAGTATTGTTTGCAAGGGGTGCGTGTTGTCGAACTCAGCCGCGTCATAGCTGCGCCAGTTGCTGGTAGGACTCTTGCCGCACACGGTGCCGATGTCATCTGGGTGACATCGCCGACGTTGCCCAATCAACCAGAGCTCGATATCGACATGGCGAGGGGAAAACGTACAGTGCAGCTCGATATCAAGAATCCGCGAGACAAAGCGCAACTACTCGAACTAATACGCACCGCCGACATCTTTCTTTCGAGTTATCGTCCAGGCAGTCTAGCAGCGCAGGGGTTTTCATCAGAAGAGCTCACGAAGTATAACCCAACCCTGGTGGTCGCTACTCTGAATGCTTGGGGGGAGGAAGGCCCTTGGGCAAAGAACCGTGGATTTGATTCGCTTGTGCAAACAGCATCTGGTTTAAATGCTGCCGAGGCAGAAAGATATGGCAATGGCGAGCCCTCACGAGTTCTTCCTTGCCAAGCGCTTGACCACAGTTCTGGATATCTCCTGGCAACGGGTATTATGACCGCACTATACCAACGGACAATACGTGGCGGTGCTTACGAGGTACACGTTTCACTGGCCGGTGTGATGAAATATTTACGGTCTTTGGGCCAGTCGCCTGGAGAACCGCTTGAAGACCACGCCGTTCCTACCTCTGAGGTAGCCGAGAAGTACACGGAGTCAAGATCGACTGCACTTGGGGAGCTGAAAGCGATCACACATTCGGCCTCGATCAGTGGCGTCAATGTAGGATACGAAATCATGCCGAAACCTCTTGGGAGTGACGAACCAGTGTGGCTCACTTCTACTGAAAGATGAAGTCTCTGGCAGAGAAGGGGTAGGTAGAGCATCGGCACCCGCATTAGCGCTACTAGCGTTGGACCTGTGGAACCAGATACCCATAGTCGACCTGTAATCCCACTGAAAAGCTCCGGCTATCAACTTCCCGTGAGACTATTCTGGAACATTATTCAAGCGAGACGTTGTACAGGCTGGAAAGTGGCACGCGTTTTTAGACACTGACGTCATCATTCGCACCTACCACATCTCACCAACACTGCTCGCGGACAGGTGTCACGTTGACAACAAACTCGATTGAATTTACGACAATTATCTTGTACGGTTACAACTTCACATCTTCTCATCGGGTAGAGCCATCAAGATCGCAATGGCCGAAGTAGCAGCGGGCGCCGGCATCGCCCTAGCCGCCGAAGAAGTCCTCTCAACCACACTGCAAGCCGGAGTAGCAACATACTTCCTGACCAAGCCAACGCAGCCCCTCAGCGCGACTTTCACGCGCATCGCCGTGGCGCACGACGATGAGCTGCACAAGCGATCGCTGATCCGCTCTAACCACACCCTCACCATCATCGACTCCAAGGCCTACATTTTCGGCGGCGAGACTGCCGACGGCGAGGTAGCAAGCAACGACATGCATGTCGTGAACCTGGCGCCTGGAGAGGATCAAGTGTGGGAGTATCAGCTGATCCCTGCGCTTGCAAAGGATGAAGGCGGTAGAGTGCCTCGTGGGAGGATGAACCACGCGGCATGTGCGTTTGAGGGCGGCGTGGTTGTATATGGCGGCACCTCCTCGACAGGCCAACCCGCCGACGACGGAGACGTCTGGCTATACAGCCCTTCAGAGAAGAGCTGGTCGATCCTCTACTCATTTGCCTCAGACGGACCCGTCCTGCGTCAGGAGACCGAAGTGCGCATCTTCCCTTCCGCATCGTCCCTAATTCTCCTCATCGGCACCCCAACCGACGGCATATCCACCATCTCAAAGCTAACGCCCTCCCTATCCTCGGAAGCAACCTCAACTCCAAGTCCCTACGAGACTCTTGTTCCCCCACCTGCACCTACTTCTCCCTCCAACGCCAGCTTCCACAACAACTACCTCTACCTAATCTCCTCTACCGACCCCATGTCCTCCCAACTTCACACCCTGGCCGTGAATTCCAAAGACCCTAAATGGGCGACCCTAACCTTCCCCACCAACCCCTTGTCCCCGGCCCCAGAGCCCGCCATGCAGGCGCCATCCTTCCCCTCACCACAGGCTACGGAAGAAACTACCTCGTCTATCTTCTAGGTGCGCGCTCCGAACCCACTGCCACATCCGCTAAAACTGCAGGCGTAAATTTCACCGAGCAGGACTTGTCGTCCATCACATCCGACAATGAAAAAGAAGCCCCAGAAGAGCCCACCCAATGGAGCGACACTTGGACGCTCCAGCTCCCCTCTAGCGACCTCTCACCTCAAACCAAGCTAAACATCAAAGACGCCATCAAGCCCGCGAAGATCAAAGACGCGATACGCTCGGGCGTTGGGGCGGATAGTGGGAAGTGGGCATGGGCCGAGGTAGAGGTGCGCGTGCCGGATGACCTGGGGGATGCTGAGGCAGGGAAGCTGCATCCGGGACCCCGTGCGTTCTTTGGCGCAGATGTCATGCAGGATGGGAAGAGTGTTGTGTTTTGGGGAGGGAGTGATGCCGATGGTGAGAAGGTGGGTGATGGGTGGGTTGTTAGGCTGGAGTGAGTTGGTGGTGGAAAAAGTAGTTTGCTTTGACGGCTTTGATTCGTATGACATGTAGAGGGTTAGCAGTACATCAAGACCCAGTATCTCTGCGTGCGAGACAGGAATGTCAAACAAATCAATAAAAAATCATTGAGCTCTACGAATATTGTTCATTCGCGCCCTCTAATGCATACAACGCCGCGAGCCCCTTGCTACAAAGCCTTTCCCGTTCCGAATCCAATCCACGTAATTCATGTACATCCCCTGTCTTCTGCGGCGTGGTCATCGTATATCTAGACAATCGTAGTTTTAGTGCCATGCAACGCAATGCAATACACGTGGAACAGCTCTCAGCAGACCCACGTAATGGGTGCTGGAAAGATACGCAAATACTTTTCCTCCTGAAACCAAGAAATGCATCAAGAAAGGAAAGAACGGATCGGCGCATCACGTCGCCTAGTCCTCCTTGAGTCGAATCTCGGCCAGCTCCGCATCGTCGACTCGTACAGGTGTAACATGCTCCATGTCTGCCGGCGAGCTGTTTCCAGGCGCAAAGCTCATATCTTCACCAAAGTCCTCCGCTATACGGTCTCGATCCTCTTCGTCGTAGGCTACGGCATCGCTGTCACCATCCTCGCGATCTCTGTCGACGTTGTTGAAGCTCCAGTCAGCGTCTTGATTGAACCGGTTGTGCAACGGCGCGTATACGTCTTCCAGATTTGTCGGGTATGCGCCCGCAATGTCGTCATCCGCGTACCCTTCATCGTAGTCCGGCGGGTTCTCATCATCGAGGTTCCCTGCTGCGACTCCGTTCCGCAGAAGGCTCCCGGCTGCCGAGGCCGAACCACCCCCGCGCAGGGCTCCGACTACCGCTGCGGTCCCGGCTCCGAAAGCGCTCGACGACCCATTGCGGGACGAGCCGCCGAGGCGCAAGCCGTTTCCCGAAGGTGAGACGTTACGGGAGGTGGGCTCTTCTTCTGAGGCGCCGGCCGCTTCAGAGTCGGGGTTCCGCCAGTTGTTGACGATGCTTCGAAGTTCGGGGGGACCTAAAGGGCCGGCTGAGCGGCGGCGGTAGAAAAGGAGATATGCGGCTGTCGAGATGACTTGGTTGGGATTGGATTTCTTCGACACACTAGAGTCTGTGCAATGTCAGGAGGAACAAACGTGTTCAGAGGGTGGGCGAAGCTTACCATTATACTCGTACCACTGCCCGTCGAAGAAGTTCTTGGCGTAGGCAGTGTAGTGGCCTCCACCAAGGCCGCCATAATGATTATCAACCGCGAAAAGATCGTATACTAAGTCCTTGCCTTCGTGAAGTCCAACCCTCTCTGATAGATCCAGACCTTCAATAGGGAAATCGACAAGCGCATCTACCTTGTCTCGGAAAACACGGTGTGAGCTAAATCGCTTCAGATGTACGACAAGGATGTCGGGAGCAGTCCAGATCTCCAATGTCTTAGTGGCGCGGCGAAGCTCCTTGCAGCGGTTGCAGTACCACGCATTATCTTCTGAAAGCACCTCGCTCTTGGATGTTTCAGCGAAGCATTCTTCCAACGTGAGACCATTCTTCTTTCGAGCAGCCCGCTTAGCCTTCTTTGCCTGAAGCTCCTTGTCTTCCCAGGTCTCTACATCAATCATGGCATTTCTGCCTCGTGAATCTTCGTAGGAAGTGGCACCGAATAGAGCGTCCCAGGCATCAGAATCCCAGTCTAGAATGATGCATTCGCCCATCTTGATTAACCGCTCGTCATCTTCATCCTCTGGCTCATCGTACGATTGGGACGGCTGCTCCATATGATACGGGTTTTTGCCTTTCTTGCCCTTGTTGAAGTTCTTGTTCCGCATGTGCTTGCGCTCCTGCTTTGTCATTTTCCGCGACTTCTTGTTCTTTTGTCGCCCACCGCGCGAAAAAGTAGGGGGCTCTTCGATAGATGGTTGCATGTCCTCGTCGCTGCTCTGGTTCGCTAGTTCTATCGAGCTTTGGGCATCGGCAGAGAATTGTATGTTCTCATCTTCATCTGCGTCGCTCGACGTAGCATCGCTACCAGCCTCCATGGATTGGACCGAAGAGGCGCGAGTAGAAGGAACACGAACGCGCTTCGAGATAGGGTCGTAGTTTTTGTTGGCATCGAGGCCGCTCCATCCGGTAGGAACATACTCCTTGCCGGGACGTGCGTACTTCATCTCGAACAGATTCCGGAAAGAAGGCGGGAGGAAGCTGTCAGATCGGAGCACCTCAGGGAGGTTGTTATTAGCTTTCAAGGTTTCGGCGGGGGTCTCTGTGGGCTCAGTCATGGTCACTTCTACCATGTCTTCACCTTCAACCGATCCGTCCTGGATGCGAGGATCGCCGTTTGGAGATGCGTCTTCCTCCGTCGTCACGACCACATCTGACCCAGATCCGGAATTTGCCAATGATGTGTTGCCTTCGGCAAGAATATCGCGAGTAGTCGTCTGGGCAACTTTGGCTATGACCTTCTTGAGTATAGCATCGTAGTCCTTTGCCTCGGCACGGTTGACCAATATGTACGACGGCCATAGATCCAACGCCCAACCATGTGCTCGATATGAAGTGGACGTAGGCCTACGATGGAATATAGGTACCATGACTTTATCATGGTGCGCGTGGTCAGCCTTGGGTATATCGACGTCAGAGTCGTTGCTCCAAAAGTTCGAGGTATATTTGTTCTTCTTTTTGGGACTAGGCCAGTTGGTCGGAACATCTTCGAGTTCAAAGACAAATATATCGTCCCGCGCAGTGATATTGCACTCCGCAATGGTATCTTGGTCATCCAGGTGTCGGTAAAACTTATGACTGTAGACTTCTGATATCATCAGGCGATTCCCGGTGATACCAAACCGCTTACCCACATACTCTTTCAATTGCTTGATGGTGGCATTCTTGTCGATATCGACCTCAACCTCCCACAAGTTCCCATAAAGAGGAACAAATCTGACAGTATGTTGCCATGTTTGTTCGATAGGTAGTTGCAGAGTGACCAGGCTGTACGGATCGAAAGTGATGCTAACTTTGTTGCAATCGGGACATACCATGGTGTTCTTGTAGAAGCCGTTAAACAGGTCCATGGCTACCGAGTCATTTCGAGAATGGTGAATAGCGCGGAATTTGTCGCCCAGCGCCTTTATTGCTTCGGGGTCGTGTACAGTGTTATCGTCGGACTCGGGATACTCGGTGTACGGTTTCTTTTTGATCCTGTTCAGATCCTCGTGTAAACCATCCACGAGAAAGCTCAGGAACTCCTGCGAGTCTTGTTGCCCATAACCTGAAAATATCGGAGCAGCTCTACCCAAAGTATTCTTGAAATTCTTAGGAGCGAACGAAGACTGACCAGCTTCATCGTAGATCGAAGCAAGGAGACCTGCATACGTTTTGGCAATGGCACCACCGTGCCCGAGAGGATTGTCGGAGTTGATATCGCGTTTGTAGTCGCCAGCAAGGAAATAGATCGCTAACTCTTCGACACTACGGATACATTGAAGAGCAGAATTCATGTAACAGGTGTTTCCCAGGTTCGTTAGGCCAGTGGTTCCTCGTGTCTTTCCATTCCGGGTTCGACCCCGTGTCATAGGACCTAACGGAGCTGGAGTGCTTCGACCGCTGTTCGGTGCGCTCTTCGATAGACCAGTTTTGTTGCTGAGGTTACTCTTTTTGGCAGGCTTTGAGAGCGTTCCTGTAATGTATTCTCCATTTTCATCTTGTTCCTCCAGTACGAGTATTTGATCCTCTGCAAGCCCTGCTCCACCGAGATTCAGATCATCGTTGAACGACTCGTTGGCCAACTCATCCTTGCCAGTCACTTCCTCCCGTTGAGTGCCAATGTCTAGGCTAGTCAAGCTAGCCGCATCAATGACGAGGGAAAGAGTCGCAGGTGGAGGAGGGGACGCTTCGGGTGTAAGGATACCGGTTGACTGAGGAGCCGCTTGATCCGAGGCGGTAGTTGATGGATTGAGTAGTCTCCATATCCGGACATTTTCCTTCAAAATACCAGCAGCCTGCTTCGCCGCCCTAATAAACTCGGTGAAGCTGTCACTTCTGCTTGCCACGAGTTTCTTGGCAGGTTCGTGTGTCGCAGGTGACGTTTTGCGGACTTTGCGAATTGTAAAAATAGGTGGATAGATTTCGTATTGGAGGTTCTCCGAGAACTCATTCGAGCTAGTGTTGTGGACATAACGTCGAATTACTGGTGTGCCCTCCTTGACCCCGTACCACGTAATGACCAGCTCCCACGCCTCGGCAGGGAGGATCTCGTAGTCGTGCTCGTACACGAGGCCGGGACGGAGCGGAACAAAATCCTCGCCTTTTTGGTCGGCCAGATCGTCGGACAGAGCGGCTAAAAATGATCAGAACGAAACTCACGTACACCACATGCGCTTTCAGAAACGTACCTGTATCAACGAGATCAGAGTTATCTACAGCCCCAATCTCGCCCTCCAACGCAGATTTGCTGAACTCGTGCTGCTTGTCGGCATACTGAGGTGTGCGTGCCCATACGCGCTGCAACCACTTCTGGGAGACAACATAGCCGACCTGGCGATCCTGCAGCGGCTTCCGGGCCAAGGCAAGCACCTTGTCAACCTGATCGTTCAAGCTGGGCACGTCTGCGGACGGCGTGTTAGATACACTGGTGGCTGCCGAGTCCGCGTTCGAGCCTAACGTCGAGTCGGAACTGGCCGCGCTGGCGCCGTTGGAGGTGATGTCGGCCATTTCTACGGACGTCGATCGCAGGCTGCGAGCTGAGGGTTCCGGTGGGGGTTTCGCGGCTAGCGGGCTCGACTGGCCGCTGCCTCTTCGGGCGGGTGCGGCCCCGTCAATGTCCATGCTATTGTCGTCCATGTCTGAATGCAACCGTTTTGCTGGAGAAGAAGCCCGGGGGTGCAGACGCTGCTCAGAGGAGCGATTGCGGTCTACGTCGTCGCCGTCGAGCGTCATGTTCGCGTACGCCTCGCTCGGAGAGCTCACGGAAGGTGGGTTGTCGCGGGTTGAAGTCGCCGAAGGCTCATTTACCGCGTCGAGGATCTCGTTCTTCATGTGTGGAGGTAGAAAACGAGGCGGTGATGTTGAATTGCGCGAGGTGGTCGAGGCGGGGAGTGGGGACGAGCGCGGCGAGTCTAGGCGGGTGCCCTCATGCGGTGAATGTGAAGTCGTGCCCTTCTCCTGGTCGTGCGGTGAAGTGCTGTGCAGGGCGCCTGTCGCAGTCTTTCGCTTCTTGGAGGCCGTGGTGAACGCCGGTGGGCCTGCCGGAGCGGAAAGCTCACGGGCAGGCAGACGGGCAGCGTTTGCGTAGGTGACGCGTGACTGCACCAGCGGACTACGGCCTGCGACTTCGGGAAATTCAGCAGCCTAGGGCGTCTGTGCGGCGGCAGCAATGTTTCGCGGGGAAGAGTGTGGGAAAGGCGTGAAGATTTATTAGATTTGGCGGCGTTACCGCCTCCAAAATGAGCTGCACCTGGCTTGGCATCGATGAGCATCCTCCACAAACCGCCACGCATCCCGCTCAGACCCTTGCAAGCAAACTCAGATCAGGTACGTGTGTGTGCCGCATAGCAGAAGTCACTCAAACGCCTTCATAGACAAGTCAACCGTCATTAAAAGGACCGCCCAGTGGCCTGGTGGCAGGCTGTGAAAGGCTTAGTCGCGCGCTTATAGTTACCTGAAGCAGCAACTGTCACATACAATGCCGCCGCCATCATACTGTGATCTGGCGCTGGACGTCAGACACTACTTATGTTTCACTTGCATGCGGTCCGGCCCGGCTGCATAGCATGTAGAGCCTGAGACCACAGCCGTCGACCAGCACGGACATCGCGTTAGTGCTATTGCGGTGAGTGCCATATCAGTGACATAGTATCTCATTGGTGCATGTGTTGTGCGGTACACTCTCGTGGAGACTGGCACGATTTCGAGCTTTTCTGGCAAATAGTTTTTGTTTTTGTGTTTAGACTGAGGCACAACATGACGCAGCTTGCGCACCCAACAAATGCTTAGGTATCTCATAATAGACATACATATTATTCGAGTTGCCCTCATTTGGAGCCTCCGGTATTCAGCCACGGGAAAGCGGAAGCGCCACCCACTGGATTAGCAGACCGAGTCTTTGCTAGACCGGGTATATTCTCCTTCGGCTTCTCGCCCGACGCTGACCGCTTCAACGGCGGCACACGGCCCTCGCCCTCACCTGGAATATCCTCTCTACGCTTTCCATCGTCGAAGAAGCGGGACTGGCCAGTGGCAGAAGGCGAAGAGCCGTGCGATATACTGGTGGACAGCGTGCGCGCTCCTGGCTTCTTCAATACCTTGATACCAGTATCGCGTCGTTGGTAGGTCGGAGCCGGGGGTTTCCCCACGTTGGCACAATCCGTGGACCCGGATTTCTCTGTGTCACGTCGCCAATTGCTCCAAATAGCCGGAGAAGATCCCGCACGTGCCGCAACACCGCCTGGACTCGACTCCTGCGCATCTTTGGATTCTGTTCGTGAACTTGTTGAGAGGCCTAAGCGCGGACGTTGTTCGAGGCTACGTCGACCTACCGAACCATCCTCAGAACCGCTGGTAGTCGCTGAATCAGTGGCTTTGAAAGCAGCCGCAGCAGACCTGCTCGTATTTCCAGCAGGCAAAGTGTCACCCGACTCCTTAGATACTGGAGACTTCGTTGGTAGCGTTGGGGGTTTTGCCACCCCGAGTTGCGTGTGCGTACGGTCATGGTGTCCACTTGTGATGTATAACGACTTGAACGTATGCTCATCTTCCGGGCGAACCAGAGGGATACGCAGCTTATTTCCATCGTCGTCGTAAAGAGTAAGCTGATTAGAAGAGAGCAGAATATCTGCGTTGTGAGCTCGTAACATGTCACTCCCAAGGAAGATCTGGATGGCTTTACTGTCCGCCTCACCATTGTAATTCTCAACAACCGTGACCTCAATAGTCAGTGAGGGTAGCTGGGGTGCAGGACTGCTGGCATGCGGCGATGCAGATACTGGCACAGCCTCCGGCAGGTACATGGGCAATTTGATCGCACGGCGGTTATTATCGGTTCGTGTGACGTGGTCTTGAAAACCAAGTTTCTCGACAAGCCGAAGGTCGAGGAACGATGCGTAAGAACCACTGCACACTGCAGCGTATAGCATGGTGTCATGCTTGAACGTAGTAGTGAGCCAGCAACGGATTATGGCAGGGGCCGAGCCAAGATAAAAAAGACCAGGAGCCAAACCAGGAGTTTCTGGCCCGATCAAGCCGTAACCCGTTAGGCTGTTAGCCCGTCCCGATGTTGCCGAATGGACAGATTGACCTGCTGAGCTCTACAAGATGAAAAAGAGGTCAGTATGGTTCGAGTGAGAGACAATGACTTTGCGAAGCATCCAATCTCCGGAGCGTGGAGCGAAGCCTTATCACCATTTCTTCCTCGAGGTCACGTACCTGCCCCCCAAGCGATTTATGCGAGTAGCTGCGCTCGCTCATTGCGTGGCCACCCATGCCGCTGCTGGTACGAGTTATGAACTCCATCGACGGCCGAGACCAATGGCCATGGTTCGCCGTCTCATCGAAGCGCACGCTGTTCGCACGGGAAGTTGTTCCGAGACGGCGGGGCTCTTCGTCAGCGTCAAGGTGCAGGTCATTGATCAAAGCGGACGAGTGATCGTCGAAGTTGCTGAATCTGTCGGCTGTCGGCTGTTGCAAAGGAACTATGGCACATCAACATGATGCTACGAGGGGTTATACAGTCCCACATCAAAAATTGGAACAACATTGTGGCCTAGGTTTCCCTAGGTAACACACTGTGAGGCCCAACTAGGACATAGGACTGTACAGGTGTCGCACCTTGCTGAGGGGTGCCTCCCAGCACTGAGGGGAATGGCGAAGTGCCGCCCCAGACGTTCTTCAGGCGCAAATCGTCCTCATTTCGGCGCTCCAGGCGAGAAACACGATCCGAAAGCTCCTGTTGGGATTGGTGAATGCGGAGCATATCGTCTTGTATTCGCCAGAAGTCGTCGCGAGGCTGGAAAGCGGCGCTCTCAGGATCCATCGCCAGGTTCTAGCATCCCTCAGTTGACGTGCACTGCGCGGGGGAGTCTCCTGCCTTCTTCCACCGCCGCCACCAAGTCCCGTCGTGGTACCCACGACCACTCACTACCAATAGCGTACTCAGTATGGTTTGTTGCAATGAGTGTGGAACGGGAATGCAACAAGGGTGCGCGTGTGCGGATGCGCAACTGGGTGATGCGTAGACGAGGTGCCGATCTTGATGTCCGCGTGTTGTGAGGCAATCGGTATGCCAATGGTGTTCGATCGACGCTATGGAAGGCAGCTGAAGCCGTTTGCAAGGCAACGGCCGCCCGCGTTCGTTTGGCTGTTGGCTTAACTTCCTGTGGTCGGCCAATAGCGCAAGTTTAGGGTTGGTGGCGAGCGAATTGGTACTACAACAAGCTCTAGGGATGGTCATCAACTCTTTCAGAAGCCTCGGTAAGGTGTCATAAACGTATTGAGAACGTAGGTATAGATCAGATGTGAACGCCGCCGCGCGGGGATCGATGAAGTCGCAACGGCCGCCCGTGCACTTTCCCCGGAGCGCGCTAACACGTGATTGGCCTGGCGAATCGCACTACCCTCCGCGCTCGTTTACCCTCATTGTAGGATCCGTCTTGGAGTGGACTCATATGAATGGGAAATCGGAAGATTGATTGATCTACCTACGGATAATCCTTCACATACTACTGATTGGGATTTGCTCAAGCGGTTTGGGATGGAACTAATAATCCGTATGAATCCGACACAGTCGTCTCCTTGATCGATGATTAGGAGGGTATCTAACGTTTGACAAGGCTGCTACCTAGGTAAATATCTTGGGAAGCACGGGCATCATGCTGTCGTCCAAACAGAAGAGGCAACCGCGAACCGGAACATGACACTTTGTCATAAGCTCTGGTATTTATTGTTTCAATGATGTAGTTACGTTTGTATGCGTTTTAGAGCGTTGCCGATAATCGGCTTCGGTGCCCTGTATCTCAAACCACCACGCCTTTCATCTACACCGGTTTCGATATCGATCACACCATGACATCTTAAGTGCCGCAATGGTCTCGTCTACTTGTGCGTAGCATCCCATGCAGCCCAAGCCTCGGCGTCATTCCAAAGCGGAAGAAGCAAAGGTATATTCTCCGGCGAGAGCTCTGGAGTCTGCTCCCGTAGCGCCTTCAGAAACTCCTCAAGAAGGATCTGATAAGCAGCCGGGTTGAAGTGGAGACCTTAGACTAATTAGTTTCAGATACTTCAAGACCTCGACCATACTGTGGTTACCATCATGCATTAACCTCACCAACTCTTCATTCTGTGGTAGCTCTAAGGATCCAAGAATCGGCTCGTTCTCCTTCCATTCTTCCTCTTTCCATCCTGTCTTCGCCATGAATGCTTTCCACAAATTCACAACCGGAATCCCTAGCTTCTCTCCCAGCGCTGCCGCCGCCTCGGAATACTTCTTCAAGTCGATGTTTCTCCTCGAGACATCGGCTCTTCCCAAGCTCTTATCGTTGGCCCAGACCAAGTGCTCATCGATGGGAGCCGGGGTGACAAGTACCACCTTGGGATTGTGGGCCGTGACTGAAGGATGCGTAATGATCTTCTCGAGATTGCTGACGTATTCTTGGAGAGGAACGTGTTGCCTGTTTTCTGCTTCGGGGCGAGAAGCATCATTTGCGCCGAAGAAGACCACGAGGAGACGGATGCTGGCTGCAGATGTGGAGGGGATGATGTGTGGGACGACTTTCAGTGCCTGGCGGGAGGTGTAACCGCTGTTTGGTCAGTGCAGGTCGAATTGCTGGGGCCGCCGGTTTACCTAAAACCGCGATTGAGGACATCCAATCGTCGTATGTACTCTATGAACTGGCGTCAGAAGCACCGGGATCATCGTGCAAGAGAGGGCTTCACACCATGCTGCAAGCCCGCCGACAAGGCAAATCCTCGCTGCTGATTGAACGAGTCCTGGGTGATAGAGTCGCCAAACAAGAGGATCTTATCCCAAATAGCAGCCTTTGGCCTAGTCAACAGACGATCTTCGGGATTAGTTCGGACAATGCCCCTCACTGTACTGACCATGACGGCGTCTCAGCTTCCTACTGTGTGCCCTTCGCAAGCGGTGCAATGATCACGCCTCGATCTTGCAAAGAAAACACTGTTTATGTATGGGGTCACGGTGGATGTTTTGCGGTGCCGGAACAATACTGCTCCGTCTGTTACCGCTACCAGTTCACGACATGCGCGTTCGCGAAGGGTGGGGGGATTGGGGGAGATAGCGCCGCGCTACTGGGGAGCATGGGCAGCCACGATGGATGCAACGGCCTCACGTACTTCGCATGATCAGCTCTACGGCTGCCTTCGAGGACGTGGGCCGCAGTCGCTCAGCTCATCTCATCTGCAGGCAGAGCCCTGAGGGTGAATCTTCGCCGAGTTATTCGGCCTTGGCCTTGGGCGTAGCGTGCGTTCCGTGGCATGCTTGCATATTGGACCCTGGATCCGCGCACGTCAGGCGCCGCCCTGGATGACGAAAGCAGCGACCGACCGAAACCATTGTTTTGAACACGGGGTCACACGACGCCTTGGGAAAGCCGCCGCGAGTCTTATCGAGGCTACCTTCCACGTCTCAGCATGCGTCCTTTCCACGGCTACCTTTCGGCCTTTGTCTAGTGCGTACTGTCTGCGGGACCCCGAGTCCAACCAACCACTCGCTTCACCTGTCGACCAGGGCATCCTACATCGCCAAGCCTACTGTTGTGGTGGGATGGGGCACCTGGTGGGCACCGTCTGCGGATCTTAACACCTTACACCGTCACGCTGTCACCGCCAGATCACTCTCCCAGCCCCAGGCCACCTTCACCTTGCACCCTCACGTCGCCTTCTTGACCGAAGCGCTCCGACAGAGCCCCTGTGTGAGCTCTATGCCTAGTCGACATGCCCAAGTCCATGATATCTTACCACAGCGTCGACGACCGGGACGAAACCGACGACGCCGATCTTGAGCGACAGGAACGACACGACACCGTTAGCAGCGCAACCCCTACCTCGCCGACGGCCACGTTCCGTCCACTTCGTCCGAACCGAGCCTCCGACAACGATCTCACGCATCACAATGTGACAGAACGCTCGTCTCTGTTGGGAAACACACATAATGCGCGTTCGTACGCAAGCGTACCGGCTACAGTGCCTGGCACGCCCCGGCCGCCGTATGGCGTACGGCAATCCAGCCAGCTCGTCACCAGCACCCGCCTGCGTCATCACAGCCGTCAAGGCTCCTTCAATCACAACTTCTCCCAGCGACTCGTCAGCGCCTTGGGCGACCGACCGGCCATTACACGAGGGGACAGCACCCAGGCCATGGAGGCTTCGAAGCTCTCTGTCTTCGCCGACGATCGCGTATGGTACGACCAGTTCACCTCGACCGACTGGGTGCACGATAGCATTGCAGATGCCTACCGGGTCAAAGCCCTCCGGAGCCGCAAGGACTTTCGAGGCAGGGTATCCGCGTGGTTCGACGGCGCACAGGCTTGGATTCTCGTGGCCATCATTGGCTGCTTGACAGCACTGGTTGCATACTTTGTCAACATGACCGAGAACACCCTCTACGACTGGAAAGAGGGTTACTGCACAAAACGATGGTACAAGAGCAGGAAGGTCTGCTGCGATGGAGCAAGCATGTGCGAGGACTGGCTACACTGGTCGCGTGTCATTCGCAGTGACCGCCTCGACACCGTGACCACCCAATTCGCTGCTTTCGTCATCGGTGTCATTGTGCTCGCTTTGGCATCTTGCTTCTTGACGCTGATGACCAAAACGGTCGTTCCTTCTGCGATATCAATAGCAACCCTAGATGAAAACTTAGGTGCTGAGGTGCATCATGCACTGCAAGACGAAGATGATGCGAAACCGGACACGACTCATGAAGCACGGTACAACGAGCTCCAACTACGCCCTCCAATGGTGTATTATTCAGCTGCCGGAAGCGGCGTGGCTGAAGTCAAAGTCATTCTCAGCGGCTTCGTTCTACATGGTTATCTCGGTGCGCGTACCTTGGCCATCAAGACGCTGGGACTTATACTCAGTGTGGCATCTGGCATGTCTCTTGGCAAAGAAGGCCCCTATGTGCACATATCCACGGCGATCGGAAACATCGCTTGCCGATTATTCAGCAAGTACAGCAAGAATGACGGAAAGCGTCGCGAGATTCTGAGCGCCAGTGCCGCCTGTGGTGTAGCCGTCGCTTTCGGCGCTCCTATTGGTGGTGTTCTTTTCAGTCTGGAGGAAGTCAGCTACTACTTCCCATCGAAAACTCTATTCCGTACCTTCTTTTGTTGCATTGTAAGTACGTCCTTTCGCCGTCTCAGCCGTAAATCTAACGTGGTAGGCCGCTGCTCTATCGTTGAAGTTTCTCAATCCTTACGGCACCGGTAAGATTGTCTTGTTTGAAGTTCGCTATATACTAGATTGGAAGTTTTTTGAGTTGGTGCCCTTCATCATCACTGGCGCACTGGGCGGTCTCCTTGGTGCGCTTTTTATCAAAGCATCCCGCATCTGGGCGCGTACGTTTAGACGTATATCTGTTATCAAGAAGTATCCCATGTTGGAAGTACTTCTCGTCGCCTTAGTCACTGGACTTCTCAGTTTCTGGAACCGATACCTGAAACTACCGGTTGCAGAGCTGTTATTCGAGCTCGCCAGTCCATGTGATACTTTCACCAACAGCGGCGATGGGCTGTGCCCTACCAAAGAACACATACCCGAGGTTCTTAAAGTGTTGCTCGTAGCTTTCGTCATCAAAGCCGGACTTACAGTCATTACCTTCGGTATCAAGGTTCCAGCGGGTATCTACGTGCCGTCTATGGTCGTCGGTGGCCTTGCGGGCCGCATGGTCGGCCATGCGGTTCAGCTATTCGCTCTTCGCTTCGCGGACGCCGGCTTATTCGGGCATTGCGACCCTTCAAAGCCGCCTGGATCCTGCGTCGTGCCTGGGGTGTATGCAATGGTTGCAGCTGGGGCGACGATGACTGGTGTGACGCGTTTGACGGTCACATTGGCCGTTATCTTGTTCGAGCTTACCGGCAGCCTCGAACATGTGCTCCCTTTTTCCCTCGGCATCCTGGTTGCAAAATGGACTGCCGACGCCATTGAGCCCCTCAGTATCTACGACCTATTGACAGATATGAACGCTTATCCTTTCCTCGATAACAAGGTGCGGCCCATATTCACCTCTGAGCTTGGCGACATCACCCCCCGACCCCGCGAACAACGTATTATAGACATTTCCGAATCCGCACTTGTTCCAGCGTCTGAACTCAGAAGTAAGCAGCAGCACCTACAGATACTTGGCGAGATTGACGGTGGTCTTCCCATCCTCAAGCACGGTGTCCTCGTTGGCCTCATCCCAGCACCAGACCTCGAGTTTGCCCTCGACAAACTAGAAGATGAGGATAATACCTTGTGCTTAATGTCCCCGCTCGTGGATTGGGCTGCCGGTCGTGAACACGTGTCCGATAGTAGTGAAGAGGTCGAGAACAGCGATTTCACGCCGTATATTGACCCCGCGCCCGTTGCACTTGACATACATTCCCCAATGGACCTTGTCTATGAATGCTTTGTCAAGCTAGGGTTGCGATATGTTTGCGTCTTGCGAGATGGCAAATTCGCTGGACTGGTAAGCTGTGCACGATCTACTCCGCAAAATTGACTGGATGCTGACCGTGGTAATTGTAGGTTCACAAGAAAGCATTCGTCAAATACATCAAAGAGCTGGAAAAAAGTGAGAAATAACCTCTACGATCCCTATGATCAGCATTGTATCTGTTTTGAGTGGTGACTCTTCTATACTTTCTTTTGTTAGATCTTGGCACCTTGGAGCATTTGTTTTGATATCCCCTCTGCATTATCATTCGTGGAGCATGATGACGGCGTCCAGGACACGGGGTTCAACCGAGCCTTTTCCACTAGAGGAAGGAAGGGTAAGCGCTTAAACATATATTAGACTGGTGTGCATAAGAGAACGAAGGCATTCGGTGGTTGACGCGAATTAGATTCTGGTCGGACATGAACATGAAATTCGTAACGAAATGGTATCATGAAAACCCGCACGATCTGTGAATGTACTAATCAACGTCCCATCGAACAGAGCAGCGACTAAAACGTCACGCTGTATTTTGTAGATACACATATCGCAAAGATAAGGTCGAAATATGCCTCCGGAACCCGCGGAAGGGTAGCATGCCTCTTGAGGATTTTGGTGGATAGCTCACACATACTTCACGTCGATGACGGTTCAGCGGGTCTGACCAATCGGGCGGGCAGGGGTGAGGTATGCCTCCACAAGCGAACCTCAGCCTTGTACGACCATGCCCGACATATATCATGGCGTGAGTGACCGCTGACGCCGCTGTCTTACCGCTCACTTTCTGTTTTTAGGTCATTCGCCCATAATCATGTTGATTGTTTGACTTTACCGGTTTCTGGCTTTAGAAGAGATATCATTGGAAACAAGGCACGGACAGCCTTGGACACTGAGCGGTTCTGAATGCAGCTCTTCAGAAGAGGCCACATCCTTACCCCTAGTGCCTGAGAACGCTCAGGCTGTATGGTTTCTAGATACTAATCTAGGATGAAATGATCTTGGACCCCTTAAGCCTATTAAATGGAACGTAGAAACTCCCCTCCGGCTCGGCGAAAGTCTATCTTCTGGAGAGCCAGAAGCCCGACCTTCGGACTATGAAGTCATTTGGGATCCGCCCGTGTACGATAGGTCCTCCCACGATCGTTACAAGAAGCATGTCTCAAAGATGGAAAAAGACGGACGGACCGCAGGACATGCTGAAAATTCCGCGTCTGGTAAGTGGCTGGACCCCCCCAAGATGTGTATCCCGAGGTGGCAGATCTGTTCAAACTCCCTTTCTATCCTTCCTGGAGGTGGCACGAATTCTCGTTTGAAAACCTAGTAGGCTCGGAACGAAGGAATTCGTCCACCAAACTGTCGTCTTCCCAACAAGGCAGTAGCATACACACCCAACGCCCGAATTTGCGCTCCACTCAGGAAGTTACAACGCCCGATAGCAGGGTCGCTCCCCTATACGTGATTCAGAAGCCTGTTTATGTACCTGTGGAAGGCGTGGAAGATGACATCTCCTGGGACAATCCTTTCAGCCATTCACCACAATGCAACTTGTCCTCCACCGAACATACCTCGCCTGTTCACGGCGTGCCGGACTACTCAACCAGAACGTTCGCCAATCCACTGTATGAACGCGGCAGTCTTGAAAAGAGTTCGCGTGGAGATCTCGAGAAACTCATCGAAGATCATGGCAAGATGAAAGGTTCTATCTCGGAAGCCAATCATCGATGTGACATAACCCCTTCTGAGGCGCCTATCGAGTCATAGCACGCTGCAAAATTGGAGGGAGTTTTGTCAAGCAAAAGCCGCGGTCGCAGACGCTCTGTCACGCCGAGCTTGAGTAGCGACCGCGAGTGCAAACTCGAAGAGGTCGATTAGCGAGGCCGCAATACCACTCCCAGACCATATTCTCCGCAAAGCTACACTCTGTCCATGTTGATGACCGCCCCTTGCACCCTCGGAATGATGGCGACTGACTTCCTGGACATGACCCAGCGATTGGCCCCATTTTCGGAATTTGCAGCAAATCGACGTGTCGAACGCGGTCTCGGCCTCTGCAGGCATTGGCTCACCTACTAAGCAGTGGTTAGAAGTTGTGGGCCTGTCTAGCTATGAAATTGCCTGGAAGACTGTCGAGTTTGGTCATCGCAACCTAGAAGAGGATAAAGAGCGGAAATATACCCTTTCCTGGAAATCGACGACATTTTCTAGCATCGATCCATCGGCGGTAGAAGTCGTTCCCGAGTACTTTTTTCACTGAAAAACACTGACATGATCCAATGCTGTGCCAGTCCAATACCAGGCCATTCTTTCATCATGTCTCTAACATCCAGCACAAGGTGGCACAAGACGAGATTGTTCTTACCAACACAACTCTACTGTCCCCAATGCCATTGACCTACAAGCAGGGGAGCCCGATCAGTATCAGGGATCCCCACTTTTGAGAGATATCATCATGACCAATTGCATTGCAAGACCAACACTAGCAAATAATTTCATTACTGCTACGCAGAATCCGTATCGCATTGTTGCGACTGCGATTAATGAGGTCCGCATGGATAATCCTCCGATGACTCCACAGAGGCTTGGGATCGAGAAACCATCCCTAGTTCGGAAAACTGTGTGCGCAGTCGCCTGGAGAAGCAGCGACGATGAATGCACTCATCTTCTCCCGAAGCCTCATCAACCCCGGAGAGCGCCTTGACATCGGAAAGCGTAAGCGAGAGTCATCCATCAACGCTAATGTCTAGTGTAGCATCACGGTCGGAGAATCTACAAATGTTAGAAACCCCAATCTAGGTGAAGAAGACAGATACGTGTGGAGAATTTTCATGCGGTATGTAGCTCTCCATACTCCAGTGAAGACAATCTGCGAAGAGAGAATAATCCACGGAGAGAAGGGGCGCCCGGAAGACCCTAGTTACCTAAGCCTTGCTAGTACGTTTTCAGCATGATTAGTGGCTAAAGGAATGAAACGAGGCTTTGACACAACACTTCAACATCGAGACTCTCGAACCGTCACTACAAAATCTAGACATTCCAGAGCCGCACCTCGCGCGTACGTCACAGGAACCACCAGGGAAAGACGAATATTCACTGCATGCAAAGTTAATTCGTCTGACCCCGTAGGCCAGGTTCTGGTCACGTAGCGGGCCAAGTGTCAGGGATATGCTTAATATACCCAAATACCCGGTACAACGGGTTAAGCTCCAGCCACCAATCATGCTCTGGATCCAGAAATTTAGTATGCCTCCCAGCTCAGCCTTGCGCTTAGGCCTCTTTGCCTTACCAGTAGGCACATATACACCATTCCCTTTCTTTCATCCGTTTCCCCATAGACTTCTTCTCGATTTCGTCAGCGGCATGTGTGCAAAAACGGACTTCTATGCCTAGAGCTGAACATAGCTTTTCACTAAACGGGGCGATCGACTGTAGGACTTTCAGTGACAGGTTGAGTGTAGTCAACAAAGATACCTGACCTCGGTTGGGCATCAATACCGTAAACATGGACTCGGGTCCTGGGCCTCCTCAGCAATCGCCTGATGACTATTCTGCAAGAGAGAGACGAGAGAGGACGGGTGTCGCAGTGGGAATAACCATTGGCGTGCTCGTTCTATTTGCTGGACCTTTGTGTCTTCTCTGGTATGCAACTTGGAGGCGCAAACGAAGGGTCAGGAAGAAAGAGCTACGCGATCTCGGGGGCACGACAGCGATATCTCATGACGAGAAATATGGCACTAATTCTTTCGAGCGCACCGCAGCCACAACGCTTACGACCACTTTGGCAGCAAGCGAAGAGCCCACTGAAGCGGAACTTGCGCGATGGAGGGAAGTTCAATTCACCGAGACCGAACTGGAAAGACTGAAGCGAGACCCGACGTCTCCCTTGAATAGATTGCTGAAACCTCTAGAGCACGCCACGCCAGCAGAGCTACTTGGTTTGGATAAGACCTCTTACCTACGAGATTTGCCGGCAGCAACCAGCTCACCCTCAGGGTTGGACGAGATCCCAGAGATCACAATTCTCCCGTCACGGCTTCCTCCTGGTACAGCTGACTTCGCGGTCGAACAAAGTAAGCAACAAGAAAGTAGGGATGATGTCGGGAAGTGTATCAATCCATGGGCGGTTGAGCATGAGCCTAACCCAGTGATTTTCAAGCATTTGCTTGGGCGGAGGGGCGAGAAGCTTGGTCATGAAAAAGTTGTGACTCAAGCAGACGGATCCAAGCACCGGAACGAAGCATCTTCTGAGCGTCCTATGATCATCGATGGTATGTCTACAATAGCAAGGTGCTTATCCTGCATGTACCTAAAAACCGCGTATATTTTGAAAGTTTCCTTAAACGTTTTCCTGAAGATAGCGAAACTAACCTGATTAGGCGATCCGGTAACACCACAACTAGACGAAGAAATGCAGGATTCTACTCAAAATGGAAGTTCTGCGCATGAAGAAGAGCGCTCAAGAGGAAGCAGCGCGTTGGAAGAGGCGTCCAGTTCGTCACCGTCATCAAGCACCAGCTCACAGGACTCATCAAATCCCCTTCTATCTGAAGGGTCTACCAAAGGTCACTCTCAATCTCCCACTTCTTTCAACATTCCAGATTTACACCAGCAAACGATGACAGCTTCGGTAAGCGATACGCAAGTCACACAATCAGCAGGCAAGACATCATGTCCACATTGTGACCGCACTTTCACGACTACCGGGCAGCTCAAGTAGGTATCAAATCTCGACTCGGTCACATTAGCGCCAGCATTTACTAATATTCATTCCAGTGCTCATATTCACCGCAAACACATTCGCCGTTATTCATGCGCCATCTGCCCTAGCACTTTCCATTTGAAAACCGATCTCAAACGTCACGAACTTACCGTCCATCGAAAAAGCCTTGCTACTGAATCACGTGGCTTCCGGTGCCCTAACCAAGGATGTTCCATTCCTGAGAAGGTCTTTCTAAGGCGGGACAATTTTGAGAGACATGTCACGAGGTGTTCGCGGCGGAAGGAAGATCAAGAAGGCTAGTAAATGGGTGAATGATCAAACGCAATGCAGAAGACGTAACTCTAACCGTTCTATGGCACTCTACAGCCGGAGCCATTCGTGGACTATTGCGTCGCGTCAACTACTCAGGTCATAAAAAGCAGCAGACAAGGCGGAGAAAAAGCGCGCAATGAATGGATTCGTGAAGTCCGTACAATACAGCGAAATAAGGCAGATATACCCTACCAAAAGAAACCCTAGAAAAGGTTATAGGATACATAGGTTTATCACGCAATGTGTATGCTGTGGATTGCAGGAGCGACAAAGAAAGAAGTCATTAAAAAATATCTCACATGGCTTGAGCAGTCGAGGAAACCGGCACCAGAATTGAAGAGATTGTTTTCCGATCACGGAAGGACAGAAAAAGATTCCGATAGGCAAGCTGGTCACAGAGCCGGGGTTAGAGAAGTTTGGGACCTTATTCCCCGCTTCAGGGCTCTCGTATGTCCAGGCATGGGTATATCTAGCTTAGCACATAGTACCGAAGTAGGACTTCTCGATACTGTGAGAGCGGTCACTCGGTCCATGTGATTATGAGAGGAGATATGATAATTGCTACGGAAAATAAAGTGAGTGAGAGTGGCGCAAGGGAAAATTGAACGTTCATGACGTGATTCTGCATTGAATACCAATAAGTCTAGCTCGTAATTCTAAAGCCGATGCTAAACCTGAGGAGAGTTGCTTATCTGTGTCTCTTTACGCTTGGGCTTCTCAACAAATAAAAGCGCCCCATAAGAAGAAGAAAAGAAAACCCATAGTCTTTCGACCGTGGTAGCTCATAGAACGGCATATGTCCGGTTTGGTAGGTGGGCTCCCTCTTGTTCCCGTGTAGTACTGTCCAGAACACGTTCTGCAAGGCTAACTACACTAAGGGCCAAACGAAAGATCTGACCTAGTGACAGGCACTTGCTCATCTAGCATGTCTTCGTCCAATTCAGGTTGAAAGTCCCAGAACGCATCCATCAATTGATCATCCGAGATGAACGGCGTATCGTCCATATCCATGAAGTAGGATGGAGGGGTCGAGGGGTCCGTGAAAAGCTGCTCCGAAGTCACCAAGGTTGGGGGTGTGACAAGGCGATGCGACGTAGGAGCCCAGTCGAAGCCGTTGCGAAGGTCTGGATGATTGTCGACAGAAGAGGTGTATTGACCATATCCATTGTCCGTAGGGAAAGACATGAATGGCTCCGAGGGATTGGCAAGAGCGGTAAGAGGGATGTTGTCGATGCTGCCGTGTGGTAGGAAAGGGTGATTTCGCTCTTGGCTAGCATCACCAGGAGATTGGTTCTCTGGCACACCCCGCAAGAAAGCGCGGGTATTCGGCAAGAACATATCAACGATCTGGGCCTCGTTCGAAGAGTCTTCCTGCAGAATGTGAGATTCCTCAGGGTATGGCTGATATGGGGCCATCCCGAAGGCATACTCTTGTCCGTCAATCGCTGGAAGCTCTTGTGCACGGAAAGGCGGCGTCAGTGGCTCGACAACAGGTCTTGGTGGAGTAGATGGGCGCACCGAACCTTGAAAGGCTTGCGCTTGGAAGGATTTCACCAAAGGGATAGACCCTGGCGTTCGAGAGATCCGCCGAACTTGAAGTTCGTCCGCGAAGCTCACTGACTTGAGCTCCTTTTCGTGGTCCTGTTTCGGACGTGACGGTGTGTTATTTTGCATGGAATGTGCTAACGGAGATTGGAACATAGCTTCATGTGACAGGACGACATGGTCGTCGAAGTTTGCAGACACAGCATCTTCGACTTTCTGGTCATCCTCTGGGGACCAGAGGGCAGCAGCCTTGCTCGAACCATCAGCCTTTTGCTCTGCTATAAGTGGCGAGCCCGTTGTCTGAGCATCCTCCCTAAGTAGGTCTGCATCCTGGGAGTTCAGCTCTTTGAGGTTGCGATTATAACGGTGCCGCACAGAATCGGCGGAGCGTCCAGGAAACAGTGTACGGATTTGTGAGAGGTCAGCGCTGTTGATGATTGCTTTATCAAGCGTCTCATCTTCTTCCGTTGTCCACGGACGGCCACCCTTCAAGTTTTGAATTGCCGTCTTGGGAACGACGGGATTCCCTGCTTGGATATTTCGGCGGGCCCGGGAGATGCGGTGTCGCACTGCTTCAGAAGAACGAGAAGGGAACAGGGCGCAGATCTGATGAAACTCAAGACCGATACGGACTCCATCTTCAATCTGGGTGTCTTCTTCAACACGCCAAGGTGTGCCACCATGCGTAGCTGAGGTGCCAACCTTCATATCGTCCAGAAACTGCCACCCAAGTAGAGCTTCGTTGCAATTCTGAGAGAAGGACTATTCAAAGTCAGGCCCGGTCGACGTGATGTAAACCGATCAGGGGTCAGTTTCGGTTGTGGTTCTGAAAAGGGTATTGGTTGTGGGTTTATGAGTGTGCTTTGCTGCGAGTAGGATATACAGGGGCTTATATGGAACAACTACTATAATTTCATGGATTGAGTGAGCGCTATAGTCATGTGAAGACTCACATGGTCCTCTTTGCTCGTTGAGGTACGCCTTTTCACTGATGAAATCGTATCGAAGTCACATCATGGCTTTCACTGAAATATTTGAGAGCCTTCACAGGCCTCATTGTGAGCTAACAGGCTCACGGTCATATCGAGAACATCGTGAGCGCACTGTGTTTCGAGTAATCAGATGCCGCTCGAAATACCAGACTACCGCTTTTGACTGCCTCAATACTGTTATCAACATAATATTCACCGTAGCTCTTCGAATGTTTTCTCTACTATCCTAGAGCTTCTGATTGCCCAACGTGCTAATCAAGTCGTCCCAGAAACTTGGTGCAGCATATACAATTGACAAATCGCGAAATCTCAGGAACAGTGTTGCGTCGAAGATTTCGTGCAAACTATTTGATGAGCGTCATAAGATTCTGTGCTGTCGCATCGGGTCCATATATCCCCATCCAGACCTAAAGCAAGTGAATGTTGCACACCCTTTCCAAAGTCTTGCAGCTGTGTGAGAATCTTTTTGGAAGAATTTCATCTCTCAGCCCAGACCATCTGCACGCGTGATGCGCCGGACAAAGCGTCAGTCGTACTGGGGTGAGCGTCTTCGTTGCTTATATAAGGGGTTCTCGATGGTCAACTTCAACACTCTGATCAAGACATCAACACCGATCTGAAAAACGGTGTTTGGTCTGAGAACTACCAGGTTTTTCAAGCGATAAATTCTCGCTTAGATCGCGAAGGTACAATACAGCAACTTCATTGTCCAATTTACCATGGCTAACGCTTAAAATGTAGATCATGGCAATGTTTTCTTCCGGTCTAAGCCCAGAGTTCTCTGGCAGACTTGACCGCCGCACATGGCCAGCTGTCGGTCAGTTTCCGGATCATGTATTAGACAGCAAATGTGCGACTCATAGTGGTACAGAGTCCGCCATGGGCATGGTTCCCACCTTTCCGCGGAACACACCACCCACAGACCCGGCTCACGGCACACTGCCATCTTCTTGGCATCCCATCCCGGAACCTGATGTGGGCCAAGTTCAGCAACAGATCTCACAGGAAATCAACATCAAATACGCTCAAGCCGATAGTCATCAGCATACACAACATCGCACTATACTGAAGAGCTCTGGTCCACGTAAGCAGACCAATTACCCTCTTGCGCTCGGATATTGGGGCAGCCTCAATTGTGTACCCAACATCTCGCAACTACCAGTCGACACCCGTCGAGCACAGAAGCCAGCACGCCGTGTCCGTTTCGTTGATCAAACAGAAGTGCACCCGCTTACACCATTCTTGCCACACCATCAGTATATCTTGCAAGAGGAGGACTACCAAGCTGGCATCACGGGCTACCATCACGAAGATCAGCCTCCTTCGGAACACGATGCGAACCCTTTATTCGAGTACAGTCACGAGCCTGTTCAATACCCAATCAACGAAGCACAAGATCTTGCCCCATCGGGCGAACAGAGATCTCACCCCAATGTTGATCCTACTTTAGACTCTGTCGTATTCCCTTGGCAACTTCACACCGATGAGAGGGCTGGATAGCTAATGGTAACACCGGGACTAGCTCAGCGTTATATGAAACGAGAGGAGAAGGAATACATGGCGTTACAAGCAATAGCATGGCGGTCTGACTGACAATCCGAATGGGTGAGGGAGAGTGCTCCACAACGGTTGTGTGGTCTTGTGAGCGGGCATCAAATTCAGTATTTCGATTACTCGAAAACCGGAAAATGGACTCTTTCGTTCAACTCTATTGCAGCCTGCGTAAGCTTGTGCCTTCTACATTTAGATGTCTTAGTGCGTGGTCGAATGATGCGTGGGGTGAAGCGGTCGCTTGATGTTGAGAAACGAGGGTGAAAGTCTCATATTGCACACGGGAGCAATACGGGCGAGTGGTATTGTTGTTTGAACGACCGAGAAAGTAAGAAAAGAAAATACATATACAGATCCAGTAGTACAGAATCTATCCAGAAAGTTACAGTAGCACAACTCTCATAATATGATGAGACGAATCTAAGGTCGAACATACTATGTTGTTCTACTTTGGGCACCACTTGAGTCGACTGTTTTCGAACATCTTCCTCTGGTAGCTCTAACGCAAAATACTAACGCAAAGGTATCGGGACACGAACGTTGTCGAGGGCCTCAGTCTATAATGCATGCATTGAGGAAGCTACGGAAAGTGTCGATAAGTCAGTACCCAATGGCCAGAACACCGCGACAAATGGGTTAAACCGAGATTCTCTCATTGCACGCAACGTGGCTCTACTACCTTGGAGTGAACACGGCAGGATCAAGCCTGGTACCACATACCGTCAAGCGAGCTTCAACGAGTCCTTGACGGCGCGTAGAACTCTGAACGAGAATGAATGGCCTGACCATATCGAAATCTGGAAAGCGTCGCCGCTACTACGACTACCTCCACCACGCTGCCAGGTGACGCTAGCCGTTAGCCTGTCCCTTTCATACTGTCATGTTTTCGACTTAGAAAGCTATGGAGTGAGACAGGGTTTTCCCCTAATCTTCGCGATCATGACTGGAAGAAAATTATATCAGCAGTCTCCGCGCGCCGGGGGAGATCGCGAAAAGAGACCGGTTTACAGACAGAAACTGACGAACTTTGACCGGAATTACACTAAAAGCCGGAACACGTTCGTTCGCCAGTTGCATTCAAACGGACAAAGACAATCAGCCACAAGAATCGTTTGCCCGGGCCATCGCGATATATGGTTAATTCAGTCCTAGACCTCTCCGCAACAGAGAGCGCCACGGCCGCTTTCACTGACATGCTACAACAGGACGAGGACCAGCCGGAGACATCTCAAATTGCGCCTACCACTCGACCTCCTCCGGCTAGTATAGAGGAGGAGATGTGACACTCATAACATCGTTCGCCTTAGGTCAGTAAATGTATCTCTCAATACACTATCCCAAAGGAACGTACGATCTTCAGCAAATACGTCAGCAAGGAATGGGGACATTAAATACTCTCGATGGCATGACCGGTATAGCAAAGTAATTTATTTTGTATGGGATTTTACAGCACTTTGGATGTTTGAAGTTGCTTTGCAAGCGCGTGTAGGTGGTTCCAAGGTTCGCGATGCCGCTTTCCGTGCGCTAGGTCGCGCCGTCCGCTTCGGGCAGAAAGCTAGGAACATCATTGGACATGAACACTGTGAACGTCTAAAATGACATCAGGAATGATTCGGAGCCAAGTTTGTTCGAACAGGGTATAAAGCACATCTGTAGATTATTCCGTCCGCTGCGAATGCACTTTGAACAGGCAAGGACGGAAGCATGCATTTCCAGGATAAAACGCGCGAAGACGACCACGACAGCGAGAACGCTCCTGAAGCCAACGATGTGCCGCCTGCAAGAGTCGGGCTGAGAGACCGTATCGCGCATTTCACATGGTATTGCAGCATCTGACATCGAATTGCACACGAAAGCTAACAGACTGCACGCAGGCCATGGTAAGCCCGAAGCAATCGCGATGTCTGGAGATGTCTAACCAAACCCTGCTGCAGGTTCGCTTGTACAATGGCAAGTCTCTCAGGTACAAAGTGGATGTGTCTTCCAGCAATGGCGGAGAGAAACCCTCTTGTTTGTGTATCTAAGACACAACGAAAGAGTCTTTTGTTCGCTTAGCTGAGACACGAGCGAAGGTACCATCCCAACTTCTTGGAGACATACACTGACTTTGTACCTTCGGGTTCTGCAGTCCACGGGAGCTGTTGCTGTTGTTCTGGCCAACACTCCGAATACCTTCCCCGGGCTTGTCACCATTGGCAAGATCTTCTACATTACCAATTTGGTACTGTTTCTTTTATTCACGGCCTTGATAACGACTCGATTCATCCTTGTCCCTCCTAAATTCGCTGCTTCGCTGCTACATCCTGTTGAAGGGCTTTTTTTCGGTGCTTATTGGGTGTCCGTCTCGTTGATCCTTAATGGAGCTCAGTCGTACGGTGTCCCTGCGAGCGGACCGTGGCTGGTCAAGGCACTCGAGATATGCTACTGGACTTATTGCGGGGTAGTGTTCGTCGTGGGTGTAGGACAGTATTACGTCTTTTTCCAAAGTGTGAAGCTCAATGTTCACGACGCCGTCCCCGCCTGGATCTTTCCCATATACCCACTCCTAGTAGTGGGGACTATGGCGGGCACCATGATTCCAAGCCAGCCGACGAACCATGGCTGGTATATGTGTGAGTTCAACTCGTCAGATGGTACATTTAAGTCATAGGACTTTGTTGACCAGGGGCGCAGGGGTCGGCGCTGTCGCCTTCCAAGGACTTGCGTGGGTCGTTGCACTCCTCATGTACACACTCTACACGCAACGGCTCATGACCGGCGAACTACCGTCACCACCTACACGCCCAGGGATGTACGTTTCTGTGGGTCCGGCTGGCTACACGGCTGCTGGTCTCATCTCGCTCGCCACGCAGGCCTCCAACGTGGTACCCGCCGCACAATTCACACAGCTAGCGCTCCCTGACGGGGACCTCATCAAGACCCTTGGAATCCTCTGTGGACTTTTCATTATCCTGTTTGCATTCTGGTTCTTTTGCATCTCGACCATCGCGGTGATCGCCGGTCTGCGGCGTATGACGTTCACCCTGAACTGGTGGGCGTTTATCTTTCCAAACGCAGGCCTAACACTAGCTACGATTCAAATTGCGGGAGCTCTGAACAGCGACGCTATTCGTGGCGTTAGCAGCGCCCTCACTATACTACTCGTGGTTATGTGGCTACTGGTAGCAATCCTTTGCATCAAGGCAGTATGGATGGGTCAATTACTCTGGCCGGGGAAAGACGAGGACAAAACGATGAAGGGCATCCGGTGGGGAAGGCATGGTGCTTTCTCAGAATCTCATTCTGACGCACAAAAGGAAAGAGAAGACTAGACCGATATTTTATAAGACCGCGCCATCTCTTCTCTTTTCACCGTACCTTACGGCATGCGTTGACATTGCCTCCACAAGGAGCAAGCCCTTTTACGCGACCACTAACTTGACATACCAAATCGTCATATTTCAGTCGATGGACATGATCAGACGAGCAGATGCATTGAGATGTACAACCAATGACAAGTCTGTATCGCGTTAGTGCGGCAGCTTAGGACGAGGAAGTGCAACAATTAAGTCATGTTAGCCAGTGTTTCTATATCTTTTGAAGGTATTTTGCAATCTGTGGCAGCTTTACAATGCTGAAATCTATGCACTAGGTTCGTATGTGTGACACGGATCAGCTGTTTGCCAATGATAATGTGCCCTTTACGGAGCTGACGATCAAGCACGCCTTCACCGAGAGCTACATAAGCGCTCCTACCTCATCCTCATAAAAATCATGTCCCATGGTCGAACCTCCTCCTCAGTCTGTATCTCCACAAATGTGCCGTTCTGCTCGCGATCGCGGAGATCCCCATCCCATGCAGCAGCGTATTTTCGCACATGCTGTCCCGGACGGCTTGTTCGTGAACGACTCGGTAAGTCTCTCGCTCTTTACTGACTTTCCAGACCCCGTCGTCAACTATGGCACAGTCGCAGGACGTGTCCACAGTATAGTCGGCGGCTCCGCCTTCGAGCCCTGAATGACGTTGCAACTTGTCGTGTTGCTCCTCTTGGGGTAGCTTTTGCCCTAGTCTCGACCCTCTCACTGATAAGACCACTGTTCTAACGCACAAGAAACTTACGGTATACCATGGATGGCCGGAAGCTACGATGCCAAGAGAGATCTAGAACATATCCGAATGCATATCACCCTGGGACACACTGCACATGTACGAGACGGGGATTTGAACATTTACCCAGTGACTACATCGTCGCCGGTCAGCTCTCTCAACGCTCATGCACGTCAACAGCCACACAAGGCTATTCGTCCCTGCCATCCCAACAGTGCGCATCTCCGTTGCGCATGCATGGTGCATACCGTTCGGTGGCACAGCAGCAGAGGTGCGTTATCGACCTGTACTTGGCAGGAACACGAGGGGACGGATGGATGAAGCGGAATTGATCAGCTACAGCGGGCCGCTGATCGGTGCATCGAGAGCGTCCGGGTAGCTGCATTGGACCACGCCCTGTGGACCGGAAGTGCTGTGGCATGTGAACAGCAGGACGCAGGGTCTTTTAGCCGGGTCGACGGAGCGGTGAAGGCTGGGAGGACAGCTGTGCGTTTTGCGTGCAGATCGAGGCCTGATAATGGAGGTTGTCGAGGGGATACAAGAGGCTGTTGCAGGTCGTGAGACGGCCGTCGTGGTTTTCTATGGGGAAGCGCGCGTCCAGAAGACGGCAAACAGCTGCACCTTCTCCAACGCCCCACCTTAGTAAGCCGGGATCCCCCACTACCGCCAACTGTGCAGCAGAGCAGATCGTGTGCCGATTCCGACCGAGGCCCAGGGTGCTTGGAGAAAACAACACCCCTCCTACCTGCTGCCATCGCCGACGCTCCTCGGAACGCTGCGCTGCACAAGACGTCCTCGAGTCCGCGATTGTGCCGCCTGCTTCGCCCCGCCAGAGCGCCCCACGTGAGCCCGCCGGCGCATCCTTTGGCTATCAGAGTCAGAAGTACCAGGTACGACAGCCACAAGCCCAGTCCGGTGACCGCCCCATTCACCAAGACCCTTCCCGAATGCGTCCCCAGCGGTACATGCTGCGCAGCGCAAAGGCGGCAGCCTGCTCACGTCGCCGCCAAAGGCAACTGACACGCGCGCAGAACATCGCACCCGCCGCCGAATCAGTCGCCGCCGCCGTGCCGTAGACAATAACCCGAGTGCTATTCGCCGCGCACCCGTCCCGTGATCCCGTCATCAGCCCACGCCCAGGTACCCGCAGCAAATGCTGCAAGTCGACCCGCGCCTGGCCGAGCTCCCAGGCTGCTCGACCGAGCAACTAGAAAGCCTCGCCCGCAGCATTGAGTCCAAGAAGCAGCGCCTCGAGGCCGACATCAATGCCTACATGAAACAGAAGCAGCACGAGCTGGACATGTACCAGCACGAGGTATGCATCTTTTGTATTTAGCGAGACAAGGACTGGGCTAACTCGGTTAGCTCATTGCACAGTACCGTGAAATGGAATGCGGCGAGACAAACGAGGCCGCGAACAGGAACCAGCGACCTGCAGACTCACACGACTCGAATGCGCCTTCAGATCACGCTTTGCCCTCACCCGCTCAATCCCCTGAAATGCCTGCCGAGTCGTCGAAGCGGGAGGAGAAGGCGAAGCGGACAAAGGTGCACAAGCGGGAGAAGGAGCTGTTTGGGCTTGTGACGCCCATCTTCTTGCCTCTGCTCGACGCCAGCGAGACTTCCAAGGAGAAAGAGAAGAAGAAACGGCATAAGAAGAAAGACCCGGCTGACGGGAGCTCTCCACCGAAACAGGCAAAATCGGAATCGTCAACGGGAGATGTCGAAGAGATACAGCGCGAGTCAGGATCATCGAGTCACTATAGCGACAAAATGGAGACGGAGGGTGGCAGTAATAGGAAGGAACCACAGAAGGAAAACCAGCCACCAGAATCCGCCAAGAAGTCGAAACGCCCAACAATCAAGAAGTCCTCGCTGCGACACAGCGGAGAGAAGCGCCGAAGGAAGCGCGTGAGCCTAGTCATAGATGGCCAAACTGTCCTGCCAGCAGACCAAGTCGCGGAACCCCAGCTCATGTCGCCCAGCGAGACCACTGCCTCCAGCGCCTCTAATTCGACCGTCTCTCTCGAAGACACGATAGACCCGCGGCTGATGGGTGGCGACGACGCTCCCATACATATCTCGCACCAAGACCCCGTACACCACAGCCTCGATCTCCCCTCCCGTCTCCCCAGCGCTTCGCCTACCAAGCACACAGGCCATACCCTCCCCGACTCGCCGCGGCACTCCCCCATCTGCCAATCGCCTCCCTCACACACCCATCTCGAATACGAGCCTCCGCAATCCACCACACGAACCTATCTCGATCCCTCGCCCCCCAGCGACCCGACTACGATCCCACGCCACGCCTCCGCAGCGCCCATCTACGCGGATGCCCCCGAGCTCGCCAACGAACCCGAGGAGGAGTTCAGCACGTACGTCGGCGGGATTTCAGGCTCGGGCGTCGACGATGTTGATCAGACAGGCAGCCTAGGGTATCCCAGCAGTCTGGGGGCGAGCTACATGGAGAGTTATATGCAGAGTCGGCCGCTGAGCGTAAGGATGGCGGCGGCGGAGAAGGCGGGGCTGAGTGAGGGAGAGAGGAGGAGGTTGGTCAATGGGAGGGAGAGGGAAGAGCAGGAGAAGAAAGAACGGGAGCAGAGGCAGAGGGAGCAGAGGAGCGATAGGGATGATGATGATATGGATATTATTGGGAGTATGGAGGACTTTTGAGACGCCCCAACGAGATGAGCGGGCCACCACAGCGTGTATGCACTGGAGAAGGGGTATGCTTGAAGAGAGCCCGTTGACTCTAATCAGTCAACAATGAAATGCTCTGTTACTAGGCGTTAGAGCGAAGAAAACAGTATGTTACTGGGCGGTTCATGTGCTGTATTGCGCTTTCATGAATTGCTGGGTGGCTTTCTGACCTATGCGTTAGCATGTTTCTTGCAGGTACGGGTGTGTAGTGTATGTATATAGCTGATGAGAGCGGAAGAGGAAATGATCATACGTTGGCAGTCCGAAATGACGCGATAGCGCACGTTACAAAACTGGATTTCGTAGAGCGAGCGAGCACTCAGTGTGCCGTCGGAAACGAAGGGGAACAGCCCTTCAAGCCTTCTCTCTAGCCTACCTATCTAAACGGGGATGCGGGTATCATCCTTTCCCTGTAACCTTCATAGCCGAACTTTTGGCATCCAAAACAACTATTACCACAATATAAACGCCGTCGCAACCCGAAGTTATGCCATGTAAATATCCATGTCGTTTACGAAACTCTCCGCGTCGATGTTCTCTATTTCCAAACAGCGCCGCGCTCTCAGACTGACTCGCCACCAAATTGCATCAACTTGCAACATATATTCAACACGCGATCGCATCCCTTACTCGCACCTCTCTAAGCCTGCCCCAAGGGCGCGCCCATGTTCATCCTCTGCTTCTTGAGTAATACGCCATCAATAACCTCATCGGGAGGCGTCTTGCGGCTTTCTTTCGACGTCCGCCGGCTAAGCGGCATAGCGTCGTCCTCATGCCTAACCTCTCCCTCCGGCTCCGCAGAATCACTACGGGAGCTTGAGCGTTCCTGCGCAATCCGTAGCTTCTCCAGCTCCTGATCCAACACGTGCAGCGATATGGTGTCGTCTGCGCCGTCGCCTGGCTGTGGAGGTAGCGTGAGCGGGCCGCTCAGGTACTCTTCGCCGGGGGAGGAAGGGCCTTCGGAAGGTGGGAGGGGCGAGAGAGCGCGTGGTAGTATGGGTGTGTGGCCGGCGTGGAGTTTGTTCGCGGCGGGGAGAGGCGACATTACAGCCTCGGTGGGTGGTGGTGATCGAGGGTTCTCGTCGAATATGGCTGGACCGGGTATGGAGATGCGGGCCTTCAGGACGGGCCGCGCTTTGCGCTTGAGGAGCATGCTGGGCTGCATGTTGGTTGTGTTGTAGTCGCCCGTTGGTGGGTATGACTTTTGGGGAGCGTCTGGCACGGGGAACTGCGACTTATCAAGGGCCATGTCGTCCGGTGGTGTAGGTGTGCCTGTGGCGGCTTGAGGTGAAATGAGCGCCTGCGGACGAGGCGCCGGGTCTTTGCAGAGGCCTTGGATGTCGGTCTGACTGCTGCGAGAGACGTAATGTACCATCGTATGACGGCTGGCTATCGCACTACCCGGCACTAGGAGGGATCTTATGCGTGCGGAGAGCTACTACGGTGCGGGTTACCGTGATTGGGGTGACGTGCGGGAGCGCGATCGCGATGCAGGCGAATGTATCGGGCGCGATCGTGAGTCGACAGCGAGCGGCAGTTGACGTCGGATCGAGGGCGGGCGGAGATTAATGCTGCGCGCTTGTTGGGGTGTCGCTGTGGAGGCTTCTCCAGGTCGAGCGGGCGCTGTTAGCGGGCATGTCAGTATGGGGAGTGAACTGGAAGCAGCCTTCCCCACGGGTGCAACGTCATCGAGCGGCCTGCATATTGTGCCTGATGGTCGCTGATCGCTTGCATGTCTGGATCTGGGTGTTTTGACATGCCACGACAGCGCCATCACACGTGGGCGTCCGGTCGCATCTTGGCTTATGGGAGCGCTTGCTCCCCCGCTGCTTGTGAATGGCACTCGGCAAGTTGTTGTGCTTGCGAGCATGGAAACGTTGTGCCTCGAGGGCTGCATGCACCCCGGTCTGTTTGCGAACCTTGGCACGTCGTGAACGGACCAGCCCCAGGAATGGGATAGTCCAGACTCAGCGTTTGCAGAGGTAAACATCGGAAGTCGTCTTGTACTGACTGATCGTCGAAGCGCTATAGCCTCCAATCGACGACCTGTTTCATCAAGCCCAACCTCTGTACGCTGTATCTTGGTACCCACGGATCTACCCATCGCCCACGTTGACCAACAAAGAGAGGCTAAGAATGTCTCTCCGCATAACATCAACATTAGGTTTCACCTCCAAAGTGGCATGCCTGAAGGATGCCTGATAAACGCCTGGCCACTATTGGCCATGACGGAGTGTACCAAAGGATCGGCCCCCGCGCTCAAGCTTTCTTGGTCGCGGGGTCAAGCCTCATGAGGGGCATGCAATACAACAGCATCACAACCACACATATACTGGCGCAAACAACGGCGCAGGGGGTGGCGCGAGCAACGTTCCACTTCCTCCTTTCTATAGTCTCTGTAACACTAATCTACTCTGCTGTACGTTCTGGAGACTCCCGAGTTCTTCCGCTGCGCGTCACTGCATCACGCTTGCTTGCCTAGTCTGCATTTGGATAATTCAACGCCCACCACAGACTTCTCCCACGCCTTTCGATCCAAGCAATACCAGATCACACAAGTTGCAAAACATTTCATGACACGAAAACAATCCATTGTGAAAGAGCTGGGGACTCTAGAAGCATCGATGAGCCGGAAACCATTAACTCATCACTTAGCGCCACATGACGACAACCCGTCACTTCAGTCCTCAGAGGAAGACTTGCCCCCCTTTCCAGACCCAGAGATATCATCCTGCATACTAGATGGCAAACCAGGAGCAAAGATAGCCTACACGTACTACCCCGCCTCCGCCTCGAGACCTCACCGTCCCAACCCCTTCTCCAAATCTCTCGTCGTCTTTCTCAACGGCATGGTCCAGCCCCGCGCCTCCTGGGACGCCTCTCTGCAAAAATTTCTCGAAAAGAGAATAACAAACCGGCTCCCCTATCCAGCACTCCTGACCTACGATCGTTATGGCCAGGGAGATAGCGACCGCGATCCCGACGACCCCTCCCAAGAAGGACCCTCCCATGGCCACGATGTACAGAGCGTCGTCCATAGTCTCCGCCAATTCACCCTCCAAATCTGGAAAGAACACCTCGACATTTCGAACCCCACTGAATTCCCCTGCCTAATATTCGTATGCAACAGCATCGGGTGCGCGCTCGCACGTCTCTTCGCGCAAACCTACCCTGGCACAGTGCTAGGCCTCCTCTTCCTAGACAGCGTGATTGCGAACACGGATTTCGTGTCGATATGGCCCGACCCCGACGCCCCGACTTTCGATAGCAACATCTTACCTCCTGGGACGAAGAAGGAGGATGTAAGGAGCGCGAGGATTAACATGGCGAAAATGTTTCACCCGGATGTGCCCAGCCGCGAAGGCCTCAGCCGACGCAACCTCGCCACTCTCCTGCCTCACGCTGACTCCCCAAAGCTAGAAGGATATCATAGCGAAGGACCTTACATGACGGTCGTGGGTCATGACTGGGAAACGTTCGCCGACCAAACGGAGCAGGGGGCATTGAAGGTGCCCAAACTTCTCACAATGACATATGTGAATCCTGTGTGGCAGCGGTATAACGAGGGGTTAACGCGTATTACGGATGAGGGGAAGGCGATTGGGCCGATTGTGGCGGTGGGGAGCGGGCATTTTGTGCAGGTTGATAAGCCGGGGTTCGTGGCGGACGAGCTGGTGAGTTTGTTGGATAGGGTCGTGAATCAGGTGAAGCAGATTCATATTAAGGAGTATTAGGTGGATGGGATAAACAACGGGCTTGATCGTGCGGATTCTAGTGCCGATATTGCACTGTGTAAGTTGTGAATGAGGAATACGATATCATGAACGACCTTAGTATGGATTTATGCATACGTAAATGGAAGCTAATCGCAGACTTCATACTTGCATATCTAAAAAATCTTGAGAGATCCGACTCCATTCACAATTGAGATCAACAACACTAAAGCCCTGCCCATTCCCCTCATTCCAACCACTTCTCATCCAAGTCCTCGAGAAATTTCAGATCGACTCCCACAAAGCTCCTCCAGAAGTCAATCTCCAACCTCCAAGGCTTCGTCGTAACCGCCCAGGTAACCCCCTCACTCAACCGCCTACACTCCCCCCTATCCTCCCCCATCACCAAGATCAAATCCCTGGCCACAATTACCTTCTCATTCCTCAGCATCTTACGCCACGGTTCCAGCCTTAAACTCAGTTGCTGATGGACACTCCACTCGCTATACGGCATGTCCTTGGGGATGAACTTGAATTCCCAGAGGCGCTCGCGGTCGTCAAGGAAGGCGACCATTTTGCGCTTATCGATGCCGAGCATGAGCGGGTAGAAGTGCGGTGCGGACCACATGCGGAGTGCGGAAAAGCACGCTGAATGGTGGTTTTCCTTGAACTTGCGTGCTTTGTCGAGGAGGTATGCGCGGTCAAAGGGCGTGGGGTCAACGAGGTGCGAGAGGACCTGTGCGCGGGGCATGTTCATGCGCCAATCGATGTAGAGATCTAGTGGGTGTCCTGGCTCAGCGCCAGCGGTTGCAAAGCCGTCGGCGCCATCGGCGTAAGAGTTTTGAATGATGCCAGCTTTGAAGAGACGGATTATAGCGGGACGCATGGCTTTGCGCCACTCGAGGGGCACGATATCGTAGGTGTTGTCGTTTACCTCGCGGTTGTTGTCGCGGCGGAGGCGGTCCCATCCTTCCCAGAAAGATTTGGGCATTGTTTTGTTGGATTTGTGGGTGCGGCGGTCGGGGACGTACTTTGCGCGTTCGACTTGGTCGATGAGGTTGGAGTCTTTGAACATTTGGCCCTTCTCCGAGTTGAGAAAGGCTTGGGTGTCGAAGAAAAGCGCGATTGCAGCGTAAGCGTTGAAAGCGTCGTCGACAATTCTTCGTTCCTGCGCGAATAGAGGTGCCATTTCCATGAACTTGCAGAGTTCGAAAGGTCCGCGATTGAGACTGGTCATAACGATGTCGTCCATAACGGAAGCCATGAATCGCCAATGGATCTCCTTCCTCATAGCGTTGTGCGATAGGTCGCCTTGATGCCAACTATGTTTGAATACCTTGGATTATATGTCAGTGGGGGTAAAGTGTTACCATTGACCGAGCGGCTGTATCACCTTTGATTTCTCACGGTCCAACATCCCCATGAAATCCGCTTCCATGGCATCGTCATCAGAATGATATTCTTTGACTCGCCTCATACTCAAGCGCATGGTCGCCATAAGATCCGGTGGATGATTCCTGATAGGGGACGGTATATGATAAGCAGACGCGGGGCTCTTGAAAATAGAGAGGAAATAGTCGGGTTCGCCCACATGGTTGAGCGACATTAGCAGCGTGCAGCGTTCATTGGATGAGTTATCAAACATCTCTGCTTGGGTTGGAAACCGCTAAATTCACGACTTGGTAACGTACCTCTTGCGTAGATTGTCTTGGACCTGAATTGGTCCTCCAAGATTTCCATCGCAGTCTCCACATCCCCTGTGTTTGCAAAAGAGTAATCGAAGTCACCGTCAGAGTCTTCGTCCATTTCATCCTCATCGGTCTCCCAGTCTTCATCACCATCGTCATCCACGGCGTCGACGTCAGAACCGTCGTCACTACCCAGGGTGTCGTCTTCCGATAGCTCCTCATCAGAGTCGAGGTCCCTCGCAAAGCGTCGAAGGTCGATCGTGGGCTTCTTCTCGAACATCTCCAATAAGCTCGGATTCGCTCGGAACACGTTGTCCTTCATCTCACCGGTACCCTCTTCAGGAAATAGAATGGAATCTTCGATTTCATCCGCCTCAGTGTAGACGAATGTCTGGTCGATCCCTTCATTCATGGTCTGCGGATTCTCATTGCCAGGATTGTACTGAAACGCATGCGCGTTGGCTCTCAGGAAATCCCACATGGTCTCGACCTCTTCCCCGGATTTGATCGAGCGCACCCTCGAGGTGTCCTTCTCGATTGTAATTGATTCAAAGATTGGAGCGCAGATCTTGAACATGTCCTTTACGTCCTTGACGCGGATGGCTCGAGCCAGAAGCTATGGAAGTTAGCATCAAGTACTTGCACGCCATCCAAGTGACTAGGGCAAACTGCACAACAAGATATATAGTACTTACCTCTTCAAGTCTGCGCTGCAGTGCAAAGTAGGGTTTTCCAGGGTCTGCATCCCAGACGTAGACATCGTAGTACTCTTCAAAGCCGAAATGCCACTTCCTGGAGTCTTCCACGGTCTCAAAGAATTCGGCACCAATTTCGATGATGGTCTCAAATTCGTTCTTACTAGCGCGACCCCAACCAGCCTTCTCGCGGAGGAGCCAAAATTCCTCTTCTGGAGGTCGAACAAGGATTTTGCCTGTCTTTCGGTCACGGACCAGAGCGCGTATCTCCCATGTCTCCATGGATAGGTACTGAATGAAGCGGCGGCTGACAGCATCATCTCTTTTGATATTTCCGCAGATGAAGTTTCTCATCTCGGTGAACTGATGAGAACGACGGGCTTTGAAGAGAAAGGGCAGGTCAGCAACGTTCCGAAGTGTCGATTGAGGATGTACATACCCATTCCACGAGAGCCAGTCTGGAAGTAATGGGTCACTTTTTCCGCGTGGTCACTCACAAAGTACGGGATAAAACCAAGCTGTAGCAGCTGTTGGCGCATAATGTCGCCCACGAACCTAGTCCACTTAGGCGCCGGAAAGTAATGATGTATAGCAAGGATGTTGAGTTCAAAGAACTCATTCCAATTGCGACAGAGCTCAATTGCATCGTACAAACTGGAGTCCTTCGCGATGACGGAGAAGTGGTACCATCCACCGCGGCCAAGGGCCTTCTCGGATGGATAATTGTACATGTAGCGACCGCACACTTTGATGCGCGTTCGTTTGCGTTCATAACCGGTTTCATCCACGTCATCGTCAAACTCCACTATGGCGTCTTTTCCTTCTTGACCCCAAATTTTCTGCTCTTGCTTAGCAATCCTGGCAGCCTTTTCGCGCTTCGTCTGGTACTTCTCTGGGAGACGGGATTTGTCGCGGAATCTGAGAGCATATTTATCTGGAATGTTGTCTTTCTGATTGTCGTCATCGTCCTCCGGTCTGACTGCGTCGTGCTCTTCTGATGTTCTGTCTTCTCCACGTACAAAATCAGCACAAGCATCTCGAACATCCTGCAGGCCTGGACGCTCAAGCTTCAGGCACAGATCACGCAAATGTTCTCGAGTCACATCGTCATCGACCAGGAAATCCTCAATGCTATCCGATCGAAGTGCGATCGGCAGTAGAGTTGCGTGAGACAGTAGGAGCCGACAAAAGAGCAAATGCTTGACCTCAACGACCTCTTCCAGTAAAATTTCAAGCTCATCCTCGGGAATAGGCTTTGTTTCGGCGTGTATACCGGTGGGTCCACTAGGCGAGGGTGTGTAGAATCCCATGGGTCGCTCATACCTGACAGGCTTACGCAGCCTATCTCGCATCTGAGATCTGGTCTCCATCTCAATGGTTTTGGGCCCCTTCTCGTCAGATGATGGTTTAGTGGGGTCCTCAAGTTTCTTCTGTTCCGCATTGGCCTTCCTGGCTCTTTTCTTCGCGCTCTTAGAAAGAGGCTTCTCCTTTTCAGGCTCGGACGTGCTGGGTCCAGCTGCAGCAGTGAGGTCACCATCCTCCTTCGGCGCAGTCGAGGTACTATGATCTTGAAGCATTAGGAAGAGTTTGATCAGGTCGACGTAGTTAGCGCGTTCGTAGCCGAAAATATCCTGAACTGGGTCCCAGTCATCTTGCTCCTCTTCAGACATTTCAGATAGACGTTGCTCGAATGCGCCATGTAGATACTCCTCTTCACGTTTCTTGTCCTCTTTGGCAGCGATCTCCCGTTGCTGACGCTGGAGATCCTTCTCGTGGCGTTTGAAGAGCAGAGCTTCGAGCTTGACCTTTTTGCTCTCGTTCTCACGCTGGCTTTCTTCTTCCTCTTGGCGAATCCTGACCCAACCGAGCCACTCTTTCTTTCTGTGCACAACCTCTGCACCGCGTTTACCAAGGCGTTCCAAAGCTCTTGCCATCACGTGCTTGTCATTGAGAAGCTTCGTCAGGTACTTTTCGTGGCCGTAGTCCATGTCCACAGCGTAGAAGTGGCTATGGTGAAGCTTACGAGCTTTGATGACTCTGTCGAGCAAGACATACTTCTTAAACAGATACTCGTGAAGTTGTTGGAGAGTGGCTTCATCTTCGACGTCCTTGAAATCTTGCACTACAATCGATGTCTTGGTGTTGGCGAGGTAAGGCGGCTGGTTCTCGGTAAGTGCGTCGAGCTCCAGGTTGCGCTTCTTGTAGCCGCGGTACATGGCCTGACATTGTCGGGAGTGAAAAGCGCAAAGACGACCATCCAGGGATGTTGCTTCCTTGTCGCATAGAGTCTGCCCAGACAAGTCCGAGAGCAGACGCGCCCGGCAGACAGCAGGATCAGCCATAGCGAGCTAGATGCCACCCAAACCGATACTATTAGAACGTGATGCACATTACTCTAGGTGGATTGAAGATTCGATGTTAGCACGCAAAGGTGATGCGATATAGGGTTTAGCCGAACTGTGGTCCACGCGTATTGTTGAGTTCTCGCCGTGTCCAAAAACCAGAAGGACGATTTGATCTAGCCGGAGCGGGGCAGCACAAGAACATTGATTGAAAGGCCACAAATTCCGGTACGTCAATTGATGAAGATGCGCACTTAGGAATGGAACACGGTTGAAATGCAGCCGATGAACGGAACGAGGGCGTCTCGTAGACCTGATCCATGGAGGGAACGTGGAGTTGGAGCCGATGCCATGAGTCGTGGTGCGGATGACGTTAACGCGTCCCAAACAAAACAATGCGAAATCGCGTGACGAGCTTGAAGCCCGAGACCTTCGAAATCGCTACTCACCATCTATGATGTTAATCCAAGATTTGGTTACATTCAGCCTCCATCGCATAGGCCAGGGTCACGAGACGTGTTTTACCTGTTACGTTTTTTGTGGAGAGTGAGTGCATGTTAACGTCACCAAACGGCTTGTAGTAGGTCAAAGTATATTGTCAACTGCGTTCATTCGCGGCCCGAGTCTGCCGTCGTCATATCATTGCTAGCTACTCCAAAGGCTTTCTCTGGACCCATTGAATCTTTGTGCCTTCGAGGCACCTCGTGCCAACAGACCAACCTTTCGATGTCTGCAATGTCCTTGATGGGCGCAGAGCTAGATGAGGGGGTATGTGTATCTCCATCATGTTGTCGAGGTTCGCAGTGATACTACTTGATAGTGCGTTATGAGCGCGCTCCAGTCCAAGCAATTCAATCACCCTTCTCCGCTGCTTCCGCTTCTGCCTCAGCCTTCTTCTTGTCCTCCCATTCCTTCTTTTTAGCGAGCAATTTTTGCAGGTTCTTCGCTCCGTTAAATACGCCGTACGTCTTTGCGCTACAGTTTGCGCACGTAGGATCCTTGCGATACCGCTTCAAAGCGCATGCTTCGCAGAAATAGTGCCCACACTTTGTGATGATAGGGTTCTTGTACGGTTGCTTGCAGATGATGCATGCGAATGGTATCTTTTCCAGCATTGACAGGTCAATGCCATCCTCGTCTTTCTTCCCGTCGCGATTTGCCGACGCGACAACAGTACCACCTGGCTTCTTGCCCTTGTTTGACGTTTCCCATTCCTTGTCCAGCTTCCAACCTGCCGCATAATCTTCACGAGCGTGTAGAAACTTGCAGCCATCTCCAAAACCGCAGAAGCCGGTCTGCTTATAATCCTTGCACACATCTGGTGTATAGTCCACCATGGTGATTGTGCGTACATTTGATGACGACTTTTGCGGCCCAACCTTACGCTCCGGCGCATTGGGATCCTTCTCAACCAAAGACTGTGGTCTTGAAAGCGAGCGCGTGCTTCCGAGCAGATTCTTTGAGCTGAGCGCATCGTTTGCGTTGTCGTTCTCGTACCAGTTGGACGCTTTGGTGGCGTCGTCGTTGGCTTCTATCACGGCGGCGCGGTTGGCTTCGTACTTTGTTGTGCCTTCGATCGCTGTCTTGAGCGGACGGTCTGCGGTGGAAGCCTTTAGCGCATAGTCGTTGACCTTCCGCCTCTTTACGACGCGACCGTCTTCGCCTTCATCATCTGAACCTGAAGAATCCGAGTCGGATCGTGGTGGCGGCGGCGCAGCTTTTCGGGGTGCTGCTTTTGCACCTCGCTTCTTGAACTTGACAACGGGTACCTCTGTGTCTGCCATGGTGTGGTGAGTCTTGGGGAGGAGTCGTACACCTAAATGCAGTTGTCGAGGTGGTCGGCGCATATGGAAAGCTCGAGCCACGCCTGTGGCTGACAGATCCACGCTCATGCTCATGACTAAATGTGGCGTCGCCGCTTTCACCACCGCCGATCTGCCGTCCCATGGTTGATAATCACTTGTCGACTGTCGAGCGGGGTTGCATGTAGCTTGAGCGGTATGCTTGCGAGCTGCCGGGACTGTGGGTTTTACCTATCTGAGTCCCCTCTGGTATTTGATCAAGATGTCGACAGACACGTGATGTCTCAACCACGCAACATCTTGCTAGACCATGCCCATGTTGGGCGGCACCTGTCAAAGGTGTTGACGTGTTTCGGCTCGGGCAACTGCGGGCAGACAGACAAACAATGATGTCGTTCGGGTTGCGGACATGTCGACCAGGATGGACTGCTGGCGGCCCCTTTCAAGGATGGTGTTTATTGTGGTCGCGTGTAGTGGAGTCATCAAACTAGTCCGTGTATACACGTTGTTGTTGATCGCGTCAAACCAATAATAGCAGCGCTGGAGGAATCTCTCCCTCCCAAGCGCCTTGAAGAGGCCTATGGCGTAGCACCCCACGGATAGCTCAGCGATCGAAGGCGCAAGGAAACGGCCGACAGCCAATTGATGCTGCGTCGGCGGGCTGTTTTGGTGGAGCTGGCGGACCTTGCAAGTCGCGCACAGACGCTCATCTCGTCCATGCAAAACAACACCCGTTCCGCGCTGATTCTGCCGCTGCTCTGCCGTTGCCTTGCCCTCGCCGTTCCTTTCTCTCTTTGCCTCTCTAAGCGCTGCGGGGGACGCGATACAGTTGTCGACCCTTGTGTGACAGCGACGCGTTCCAGTGCTCCTCCAGCAACCGCGGTGTCGGCTGCCCCTGCCCTGCGCGTCGCACCTGGCCAAGCAATCAGACCGACATACACTCTTTCACCTTTACCCACACGCTTCACTTCGCCGGTGGCACTGCGACGGCAGTAGCATTTTCAATCGCTTCCCGTCTCCGCTTCGTCTGGACCCAGTCCTAGTTACCTTCGCTGCCCGGACAAGCCTTCTTGCGAGATCCCCGCTCCCCAGTTGAGTGGCCATCAGCACTTCGGGCGATGGGCCACTAAGCGCAGGACTTCCAGGACTACTAATGGCAACAGCGAATCCACCTCCAGGCGCCTTTGCCGTGGAGGACCCCAACGGCGCGGATCCCTTCGTTACGAGCTCGCACGACGCCCAGAGGCATAGATATGCCGCATTCGACAAGTCATCGCTGTACGTGGGCGGTTCACCTGCGCAAGCCGAGCGGGCGCTACAGGCCCACCTCGCCGAAACCACACGCAGGCTACAAGAAACGTCACATCTGGGCAATGCGCTTCTTCAACAGAGGAAGGAGTTGGAAGACAGACTGAGGGAAGTAGCAGAGCAAAAGCAGGCCAGTGATATTGGTCCCGAGCTACGTTCGAAGCTCGTCGAGCTGGAAAAGGAGTTCAATGAGGTTGGCAGGGAGACTGCCCGCGCATTTCTGCCAAAGTCCAGGGTGCCAAGTGGAGAAACGAACGCGACTGCAGGTGCTTCGGAATTCACTAGTGAAGGACACCAATCTCCGACAAAGGTCAGCGTTCCGTCTCGAAAGCAGAGAAATCAACAACCGAGCCGAATTAATGATATTGCTCTGGCTACGGAAATTTCCACCTCGCTTCTCGCGCAACTGAAAGACCTGCAATCCGTCCTGCTCGAGAAAGATGAGGCTCTCAAGGCCGCCAACCTGGACAGGTCACAACTGGAGATTGAGGTGGAGGGACTATCGCAACGCATGCGCACTCTTGACGAGAGTGAATCTAGGCTCAAGGATGTCAACTGGAACTTGGAGACCCAATTGCGCGACTTTGAGACGCAGACCAAAGCAGCTGCGGACAGAGAGCAGCGCTTGAGTCACACTCTCAATCTCGCCAGGTCCGAGAAGGCAACCCTCGAGCGGGAGTTTGAAGAGTTGAAGCACTTATACTCTAAAGCCACTGATGACCATGCGCTGAAATTTAAACAACACGAGACCGAATTGTCAGGCCTGCGGCGAAATGTTAGCATGGGAGAAACGGAACGCGGAGCTCTTCAGCGCAAAATGGAGGAGTTGGCTACTCAAAACCATGAACTTGCGCGGGCTGTCCAGCACCGCCTGCGCGCGGAAGAGCAAGGTTCTGCCGAAGATACCTCTCCGGACGAGAATCCAGATGGTGGTAATACAATAACACCTGAACACTCGCCTCCTCCGTCCCCAATCAAGCCTACGCCTCGCCATGGTCAACTTGAGTCTGAAACCCTCAAGCACTCTCTCAACCACGCTCATCGTATGATTCAACAGCTCAAAAATAACATCCACCGAGAAAAGACGGAGAAGATCGAGCTCAAGCGCATGCTTCAGGATGCTCGTGATGAGCTTGAGTCCAACCGCAACACCTTGAACGGTCCCGGAAGTGCTAGCAAGCGTAGGAAGAACGACAAGGACGTCTTCAAGAAGCCCCCAAGACCGGATCGCCTCGGAGCTCTCCGACACGGAAGCCAAGAGATTGTCATAGATGACGATGAGTGGGAAGAGCAAGATGGTGTACCTGCCACGCCAAGCAGAGCACCTCGATCAGTTGAAGCTGTGCCCGGTGCTTGGGGAGGCTTCAGTTCTGCTGCAGAGACCAGTGCTAACGAGGGCTTCGAGACTGCCAACGAGACCTCTGATGCTGCATTCGAGACCGCCAATGAGCGCGATGGAACCACTACGGAAACCGATGCTTTCCAGACTGGAGCGGAGACCCTGGATGGCGATAGCAGCGACGATCTGACAGAGACTGAGGCTGGACCATCGACTACGGGTACGATACGACAACGACCGTCTTCGCTGGCAATGTCACACCGCGACTCATACGAAAGCACGGCTTCTACTTCTGGTGACGAATGGGACGATAAGGAGATGAGGACGCCTGTGCAGCCTCAAAACTTCCGCTCCAGGGTCAAGTCTCGCTCCGGTGCGTATCGCAGATCCACGCCACGAGCAAGTCAGGAAATGTTCCTGGACTCGTCTCCTGCAGTGAGGGACTCACCTTCGAGTTTCGTTCAGAGCAACAATAGCACGCCGGTCCAGGGCAAGAGCTTGTTCGCCGAGCTGGAAAACATGAGTGGAGGAGAAAGTGATGATGGCAGTATTGTGGAGGGCACGCCGAATCGATCCAGTGTACTGTCGCCAGAGTCTTCTCCAGAAGCCTTCAGAAAGTCCACGCTGCGCAGTTCGCCACTGCAGTCCGTCATACTATCCAGACCGCCAATGGTCGATTCTGGCATGATGACGGAACCGTGGACACCACCTCGACCGTTTAAAGCTAGCAATGCTTCCTCCATATCAGCGCAGCACACCGAGCCCCTGAGCGCGCTTCTGCCGTCGTTCAGTATGTCAGGGCTTGCAACCCAAGGCACAGAGCCGCGGTCAACGCCGACCCCATCACTTGCGATGTCATCCTACGCTACTCAGGGCACCGTACCACAGTTGGCACCTTTGTCATCATTTGCCTTGTCTACGCTTGCCACTCAAGGCACGACGCCGCTGACGATCCCTGCTCAATCCTTAGGCATGTCACATATGGTTGCACAGGGAACAGAGCCGCGCGAGACGTCTATCGCATCGTTACAGCTGTCTATGCTATCCGAACAGAACACTACCCCTCAGCATAACGCTCCGCCTGCGTTGCACGTGTCTACTGTTTCAGCACAAGATACTTCTCCGCAATCCATTCCTCCTCCCTCGCTCCACATGTCTAATGTGTCAAGCCAAGGAACTGTTCCAGAGTCTCCTTTACCGCCATCGCTCAATATGTCATCGTTCGCGGTTCAGGGCACCGACCCAGTGTCACCTGTTGTCACACGAACAGTTCCCCCCGGTTTTCGGTGTGTCGTCTATTGCTAGACAAGCAACGGAGCCGGTTGAGTCTCGCTCCCCAAGCGGATCGTACGCATTGTCATCTTTCGTCTCATCCACTTCTACGCAAGCGACAGAACCGACAGAACCCCTAGAAAGCCATGAGACCAGTTCAAGGGAGGTGCATGCGGTGGAGGAAAGACAAAATCCGCTGAGCTTGTCTTCGCTATCGAGCCAAAACTCTCATCCAGCAGAGGCCCCACAATTGCCTCAAATGAAAATGTCTGGATTGTTCTCGCAAGGCACAGTCCCAGTAGAGTCGGCGCGACCTGCACCTTCGCAGCTGTCAATGGTTGCTGCTCAAGCCACAGAACCCCAGGATATCCCCCGTCCTACAGCATTACAATTCGCACCTGTTGCGCATCAAGCTACGGTGCCAACTGCTGAAACACCACCGCCGTCAAGCATCTCTTCTCTGTTCCAACAACATACGGAGCCAGCAGCACCGGAATCAACACCCTTTCAGTTTTCGACAATGTCACGTCAAACTACGGAGCCTTCGGCCGCCGCCGCCTCGACACTGTCTCAACACTCGTCTGTAGCTACTGAGCCTGTGCAACTGCCGCAGGCAGCTCTCCCACAACTGTCCCCCGTGACCCACCAGACAACTGTACCTCACGAGCCTGGACGCCTACCGTGGGGCGTTGGATCGATAGCTGCCCAGCACACAGAACCTGTGAATGCACGTGCACCTTTTTTACCCCGAGCATCGGTTCTCTGATGTCACTATCCTGCACAACACACAGCCAGAGTCGCCGACGTTGCCAGAGTTTCTCCCAAGTCCGAGTCGGCCTTCAACCGCAAACCGCGTGCTTCCTACGATATCGGTCTCTGCTATCGTTGCGCTGGAAACGGAGCCAGACGTTCCTTCGAGACCACAGACAGCCCACCGAAAGATCCCCATCCCAATGATCACCTCTTCGTCTGGAGCACAGACCGAAGATGCCCAAGCACAGCGTCCAGTTAGCAAAGACGGACGCGTGCCATTAGGCCAGATCTCATCGAACGTTCAAAGGGATCGTAGCGTTGAGGATGGCTACCCCTTCCCCAAGCATTCCAAGGGTGTAACTTCCGATGAAGGAACACAGACAATGGTATCTGCGGAGCAAATCGATAGGCTCCTCCTCGCCCGAAGCCAGCGACACTCTGGTACCATTGCAGGGGCTGGTGTAGAGAAAAATATGTCTCCTCCTGCATCGCCTGGAAGGCGCAACTCTAATGAAGTTGGTCGCGCTCCCCGACGTCCGGGCAGTTCTTCTAGCATGCGCTCGCGTACTGGTACTCCCCCACCTCTTCCACCAGATCATAAGGAAGTCATTGCCGCAGCTGCTCTGAAATCGCCACCACCACTGTTAACACCCACTACCCCAAGTGCACCGGGCGCTATGGGTCCGCCAGTAATGCCAGCCTCGGCTTACAGGAACCGGCCCTCGACTCCGTCAATCAGGACGAAAGCCATTGCTGCGAGTCCCAGAGCCGGTGGTACTACACCTCGTCCCAGACACCCTTCGCAAACCCGGAGCGGCGCTACGTCGCCAGTCACGCGTCGATCTTCGATGTCCTCGTTCAGCTCTGAGATTGATCACCGATTCAATATTCCCGCCAACATGACCTTTAGCCAGACCGGTTTAGACCCCAGCATGACAGACCCACGCATGATCCAGGCCATTACGCAGACCATGTGTGGCGAGTTCCTCTGGAAGTACACGCGAAAGACAGGGCGCGAAACCATGTCCGAGACTCGTCATCGCCGCTTCTTCTGGGTGCATCCGTACACGCGTACCCTGTACTGGAGCGAACATGACCCGCAAACTGCTGGAAGAGCGCAGCTCAAAGCAAAGAGTGTGGCTATTCGGGAGGTACATGAAGTTTCTGACGATAATCCTCTACCTCCAGGCCTTCATATCAAGAGTCTGGTAGTCGTCTCACCCGGTCGGACTATCAAGTTCACTGCCACTACCAGCCAGCGCCACGAGACATGGTTCAACGCCCTTCTCTACCTGCTCAAGCGAACCGACGATGGTGACGAAGGTCAACCTTCGGAACCTAACGAGATACAGAGCGAGTTCAATGGAGGATATAGGAGTTCCTCCCGTCAAACTGGTCGCTCGCGGGCTTCTTATGCTACCTACGACACTCGACGCACTTCCTCTCCCTACCATGCTGAGGTACCGACGCTCAGGCAGTCACATGTTTCAAGTCAACGACCTGCATCAACGGAACCCGGGCAGAGTTCAGTCGTCGGACGATTTAGTACTATGCTTCGCTCTAGCTCGGCAATGCGGGGCTCGTTCTCGAGCAGGTACAGCAGGGGAAGTGCACAAGAAGCTGCTACATACGAGGAGCCGTCCAATTCGGCTGCAGACCTTAGCCGAGAACTGGTTGAGTCAAATGAGCGTGCTGCAGACCGCTTGGTGGACGTGAGAGCTTGTTGCGATGGTAAGTTAATTACTTCATTTAGAAAAGACTTGCTTGCTTACATAACTATAGGTAAACATCATCTTGGATCACTCCACACTCACACCGTCAAAGGCCGCCATGGCAGCTTCCATTCCAGACCCTCGTTTATCAGTTCCGTGAGCTCCCCGTTCTCAGTCGCGTACCGAATCGCGAAACGAGCAAATACGTCACCAAACGGAGCTGGAAGCGCAGCACTCCTCCGCGGGTTAAGACTCCTCGCCGATCACCTCTATTTTCCCTAAGAAGCATCTCTTGCAACGTATTTGTTCCTTGGCAGCGCCGTACCAGTTATACCTGTTGACTGACAGTCAATTATTTCCTATAGTCACTACAAACCCAAACCAGAAGCATTTTGCGCCCCGGTCTCCTTTGTCGTTATCTCTTCAGCTCTCGGTTTTAGGGTGCTGTCTCCTCGTGTGGCTTCGATTTCGAGGCTCCCGGCAGTGGAAGTAGGAATTCCAGAGTCTGTTCTTCTGGAACTGGCGTTCGGTTGTCCGGAGCTGGGCTCAGAGGGTAGAATGGGGATGGAACTGGTCTTCCGCTTTTGCCTTGCCCTTTGCGGCGAAGAAGCATGACTGATGATTCTCTTACATCGTGTCTGTTTTGCTCTACTCTTTTTTAGTCTACTGGCAAGCCTGTCATTAATCTTTTCCTTTCTAGCGTTTGGTTCGCTTCGTGTCTGTCGTTTACTTGTTTTCATGTATTGTTTTTGGGAGGTGTAAGGGGAGAGGGAGATTTGGTAATGTTTTTTCGGAGGGCGGAAGTGGTGACTGCTGTGAAAGATACGATTGTCAGAATAGGGGTCGAGGTGAACGAGAAAGAAAGATCTAAATTGCAAACACGTTTTGTTGCAAGCAGTGAAAGTGAAGCTGGCTTCAGTGGATGCAGACGAACCAACGTTGCACGGAAGTCATTATATCGACTGCTTGATACCGTGCACACACTTTGTGATCCCGACTACAATTTATCAGACTCGGCCCATAGAGCAGTCTTGTACCGCCATTCCCCATGGGCTCTCAGTCTATGGAGAATCGTAACCTAATAAGCGTGCCTTACTCAGGGGTTATGGACGACAGCCACATCATTATCGCAATCTAGAGCAGATGACGTGTAGCGCATCGCATGAACATAGGCACCCAATCTGGTAAAGCGCTATTCGAAGGCGCATGCGCGCAGGGTCAAACAAACACCAGCCGTTTCTGCCCCAACTGACCGCCCTGCGCGCTTGTCGAACTTTCGCCCAACCGACTTCAACGCGTCGTCACCACACGATCCTCACATCAACCTACTGTCACCGTCCACACCGGCGCATATTTCCTTGCCTTCTCGGTAAACTGCTTCTCATTCGGCGACTGCGGGCAGCGACTCTGTGTTCACACATTACAATAGGGAAAGGGCGGAACAGGGAAGAGGTTGGCTTGCTGGGGAGGGCAATAGCACGACGTACATCCCCGACGGAGCGAACGCGATACTTCTCTACCACGCACCACACGCCGAACGACCTGATCGCGCAATCCAAGACACGAATCGTAAACCACCACGAAATACATCTAGCCCGAACTCTCCAAACCCACCGCAATCATGGCCCGCAACAGCGAAAAAGCGCACTCGATGCTCTTCCGCTTCCGCGCAGCGCAAGCCGCCGAAGCAGGCATAATCGACATCTCGCGCACGCGGCGCCCCAAGCTCATCACAGGCGTGACCTCGATTCCAGTCTGTGAGAAATGGCGCGGACAAGTCCTCAAGGAAATTAGTCGCAAAGTGACAAAGATCCAGGACCCTGCACTATCAGACTACCAGATTCGCGACTTGAACGATGAGATTAATAAGTTGATGCGCGAGAAGCACATGTGGGAAAGCCAGATACGGAATATGGGCGGGCCGAATTATATGCGCGGGGGTCGGGTGCTGGATGAGGAGGGGAGAGAAGTACCTGGCGGCGGGAAGGGGTATCGCTATTTCGGAAGAGCAAGGGAGCTGCCTGGTGTGAAAGAGCTCTTCGAGAGGCAGCAAAGGCCGGAGGACGACGAGGGTGCCGCGAAAAACAGGGAGAAGAGGAGCGAGCTGAGGCAGAGGGTGGACGCGGGGTACTATGGGTATAATTTAGATGAGGAGGATGGGACGTTGTTGGCGTATGAGAGGGCGAAGGAGAAGGAGGCGTGGGATGACTTTTTAGCGCTGCCCGATGACATCGATGCAAAGCCAGGAAGGGAGCTGAAGCCGTGGGAGGATCTGCCTGGCGACGCGGGAGATGGTGCGCGGTGGAGTGTGCCTACGCTCGAAGAGGTCAATGACGAGCTTATCGAGCGCCGGAAGAGGAAGTTATTGGAGAAGCTGGGTTGAACGACGACACTTGAACCGGTCAAATTATCTGCATTTTCGACGACTATCCGGAGTTCTCAGGGGGTTTACTGCATTCCCACACGAAGGGACCAAAAGTTGAACAGACTGATACCCTTTCATTCTTACATGGGTTGGAGAGGGTTCGACGACTTTCACTCTGTATAAATATAGCGCAACGGCGAAACATATATAGTAGACGCCCCAGTGTGGCGTCGTTTAGCAGGCAGGCCGTCTTCCAAACCGGAGCTACTTCTCCTTTGTAAGATCGTAGCATGAATGTAAAGGACTTGAATATTATTTGTCTTCGATTATGTGCCTATGACTTCTCACGGTTCAACCTCTACGCTCACATTGGCTCTCGAAAGCACTGTCAACGATTTGCTTTGGTCTCATTTGAACAGCTCAATCCCAAATGTTGCTTCAGCGTGCAACGAGTCTTTCTTTCATCGCGACGATCGTGGCCATCGACTCATGGTATTCAGGTTATCATCATACACATACCACAGCTGTTCTTACTCCTCCATCTAATCGTCATTATCCCAGTTCCCTTGCTGCGCCTTACCGGGCATCTTAGGCCCACCTGCCTGTCTCGCTACAATAATCTGATCGACACTCAATACCGTCCTCGCAGACTCCGTCGCCAACCGGATAGCCCAGCTCTTGCTGACCCACAGATCCAAAATACCCTCGTCCTTTGCGTCCAGCGTGCCGGTGCCGTCATCGTTCTCAATGTCCACCCCGACGGTCCACTCATCGTTCTTCTTTTGCGCGGCGTGTGCGACGTACAGGCGGGCGAGGACCTCGGTGGCGTCGAGGCCGGCGGATTCTGCGAGCGTGCGCGGGATGACTTCGAAGGCCTCGGCATACTTGCGGATGCTGTACTGGCTAAGACCTGGGGTGCGGTCCGCGAGCGACTTGATGCGCTCGATGAGCTGCATTTCGGTTGCACCGGCGCCGGGGACGAGGCGCGCGTCGCGGGTGATTGCCTTGACTACATTAACACCATCGTCGATGGCGCGCTCAACGTCGTCGAGGTGGTTCTGGGTTGCGCCACGGAGGACGAGGGTGGCTGTCCGGGTCTGTTCGTTCTCTTGTCTGAAGACGGTCACGCGGTCGCCGCCGATTTCGAGGGTCTCTACGATGTCGACCGATCCCATTTCGTCGGGCATAGGGGCGCCGAGGCGGGCGAGCGGTGTGGCGCCGACGACGCGGCAGAGGCGGCGGAGCTCGAATTTGGAGAGGACCTTGATGACAAGGATGTTGTAGCGGTTGAGGTAGTGCGCGGCGAGCTCGCCAACTGTGGAGCCTGCTACTACGACACGGACACCAGAGTCGTGCAGCTCCTTGACGATTTGCTCGATCTGTTGCTCCTCGCCTTTTGTGAAATCCAGCATCTCCTTCGCATTGTGTAGTAGCACCGTGCCCTTGGTCTCCGTCTGAGAGATATCGATGGGGCATGAGAAGACGCCGACCTTCGCCTTAGTGGCCTTCTTGATGTTGCCTTCGGGTTCCCGAGCAAAAACCATGCCCTTGACGACCTTGCTCTGCTCCAAGCTGCCTCCCATAATCTTTACCACCCGAATGTTGTCCACGTTGAAGTTGACAGGGTTCTTGGGGAGGACTGCGAGGACGCCCTCGGCGACGAGGTCTGCGAGGAAGTCTTCACTACCAGATTGTTTAGCTGCGACGACCGTGCGGATTGCCTTGCTAAGTTCTTCCTGTGAACGGATGTCGTCAACCTTGTCGCATACAAGCTCTAAAAACCCGAATTAGCTTGATCCCAATGTGTGCGCTCAACGTGATTGCCATACCTTCCAGAACCTGTAGTGCAGCATTTTGTGCCTTCTCATATCCTAGTACAATGTCGCTGGTCTTCAGACCCATCCGTATCAACTCCTCCGCCTTCTTCAACAGCTCGCCGGCCAAGACGATGACCATGTTTGTCGCATCGCCCATCTCCGCCTCCTGCTGCTGTGACGCCATGACGAGCAATTTCGCCGCAGGGTGCACGACCTCGAGCTCCCGCAGTATTGTCGCCGCATCGTTCGTTAATATCATCTTTTGCAGGTGATTTATGACAATCTTGTTGCGGCCATAGGGTCCGAGCGAGGTCTGAACGGTCTGGGCGATAGTCCGGCATGCGTCAATGTTGCGGATGACTGCTCCATCTTCGGCATCGTAGCTGTTGTGGGGGTGATTAGCTGTGTATGCAAGACAGGTGAGGGGTATTGGAGAGGTATACTTCTGGTAGCCCTGCTTGAAGAGCCCGGCGTTCGGAGCGTTTGGTATTGAGAGGGACATTTTGGGGTGTGTAGAGGGGTATCTGAGGGGTTGCGGTGTGGTGCCTGGGAGCTTCGCGGGACGCGTTCTGTTTCTCAAAAATTGGTCTTGGCGTCGGCGCGGACTTTCGCCGATCTATACAAAGACAGAACTCGAACGGCGGGCAGTTGCATAGCGTCGATTTCTAGATAATGCTGGCAATTTGACCGCGTTCGGCTCGACTGTAACTTCGGCGAGATCCTGTTGATTATATCGCACGAGCTCGAGTGTGCACAGGCACGTCTCGTCAACCTCTTATCCCGCACTGTCAACTACATACACATTCACTGCTGAGACTGTGACAATGCATACGGGCATAAAGAATGCTTTCAATAGCGTGATTAATCCATACGAGAACGATTAACACGCAATATGCCTGATGCAGGCAGATTATCCCAAAGCAAGGCGCGCGTCAAAACGCTGATTTGAATGTGAGCAGGATCTATCTAGCTGTACACCTTGAACAAATTTGAAGGTACGGCTAGCGAAAAAGACTGTTCAGTTGTTCTAGGCACCGGTAAATGACCAACATCTCATTTCTGTAGAGTATACTGGGGATAAGGATAGGTGCCATGAGATTGAAGAAGAGAGCGTCTCACGCTCGGCTCAGAAGAAAATAGAGTGATGCCGCTGACTAAGTGATCCGCGCTAAGCCCAATGCACCTCCGTCCCGAAACTTTTCGAGATGGCATGGCCAGCAGCGCATTCTACAACGCGACACGGTCATGCCCAGATGAACGCCGGACACCAGACGACAAGGCGCCTTGCCGCCAAAGCAGGTATGCATCTCAATTGAGGCTTTAGGAAGCTGTTGCTGATGGAAACAGGCAAGCCAATATGCCGCTCATGTAGAGACACGCTCTCCCGCAACTACGCATCCGCAGCCGCTGTTCAGACCGAGGACCAGGTCGCTCAGCACATCCCTCCCGTCGCCCAAACATCTCCACAAACCGCATACGGTGTTAATGCCGGTGTCGTCCTCTCTCGCCCTCCCCAGATCACACGCGACCTTCACCCCTTCGAATCCGCTTTCTTTCTCTACCAACGTCGTCTCAACGAGCGTTCAGCATTGCCCTTCACAAGATATTTCTACTACAAGGATCGAACACCCGCGGATCGAGAATGGAAGCGGAAGATAAAGCAGCGGTTAACACCCGCTAGGGACATTGGTCGATACAAGGGTTACGGCGAGGAGGCATGGAACGATGAAGTGCTCGTCGGCGCGAAGGAGAGCGACTTCAACTGGCAGGTGGAGAGGCTACTGGAAGATGCTGAGACGACTGGTGCCGAGGACCAACCGCCAGGGTCAAGTGAGACTACGAGCAGTGCTGTCACGCAGAAGAAGGTCGAGCACGAGGCAGTTGAGCGACCCATGTCAAGAATCACCGAGGCCGACAAGAAAAACGATTTCAAGAGTTTGAACCGTGCGCTACAGAGAACGCTGTATCTGCTTGTAAAGGACAAGGAGGGGCGATGGATGTTCCCGCAGGACAGGCTACAGAAGGAGACGCTGAAAGAGGTATGCGTCGTCACACTTTTCACATCTTCACATCAACCAAGCTAATGATTTACAGGCCGCACACCGCGTTCTCGAGTACTCGGCAGGCGTGAACATGAACACCTGGGTTGTGGGCAACGTTCCCATCGGCCACTACCAGCAAGACTACACCAAGTCGCTCAAGACAGACGCGGGTCTGAACGAGCTCGGCCTCAAGACCTTCTTCATGAAGATCCGGATCATGGCCGGACAAGCGAACCTTAAGGAAAACCAACTTGGCTTGAAAGACTTCAAATGGCTGGCGAAGGAAGAGATTCAGAAGGAGGTGGAGCAAGATTACTGGCGCTCGATCAAGAACATGCTGGCTGAGCGGTAATCCAGCTCGCGATAGACGGGTTGTAAATTAGGTAAAGTTCTTGTAGAAAACTGTACAGTATCTGGTTTGTTTTGTCAATCTGTCTCGCATAGCAATGCATTGTCCAAACCCGAGCTCGACCCTCTGTATTCATCGTTCGCGTCTCTTTCTGTGTCGATACCATTCATCAACCATCACCAAAACAGCAACCCCCTCTTTTCCGTCCTTTGAAGCTACAAAGTCACAGGCCTGTTGCCATCCCCCACCACGTGAGCACCATCCCAAAGGCCCTCTCCGCTCTAGCCTCGCCCCGTCGCTTGAACCCGAGTCTATCGACGCTACCATCAAGTTACCTTGTTGAGCATTGTTGGAAGCAAGGCACGTGGCTGGCACCCCAACAATAAGGCGTCGGACGAGAGGTATGCACACGGCCGGCTCCCTTCGCCAGTTGTCGACTGGTATACTTACTCGACCTAACCAGTCGTCACTACTCCCTTCTCACCAACAACCTCTCCAATGGCGCCTTTTAACTCTATTCAGTGACGAATGGTCTGCTCATGCAGAAGATACCTCACTCTCTTTCCTACACAGACGCTTCAGTGCTTCCCCCTAGCCATATCAACGGCCGCCAACGTCCTCTATAACAAGAAGACCATCTGTCTACCCTATCCTTATCCCTCCACCCCTAAAGACAGTGAAAAATCCGTCCTCGTCTGGGGCAGCGCTAGTTCCGTCGGCGCAGTCGCCGTACAGCTAGCAGTAGCATCTGGTGTCAACGTCGTCACCGTGTGCAGCGCGAAAAACATAGATAAAGTGAAGGCACTTGGCGTACATGCGGTATTCAACTACAACCCCCCCAGCGTCACAGATGGCATTCTTTCCGCGCTGAAAGGCATCGAGTATCTTGGTGTAGCGGATGGTATTTCCACGGCAGACTCTGCGGCTGGATGGACGCTTGTTTACAAGGCGCTAGGCGGGCGGTTGTCAGGCGTGCAGCCTAATCCGCCGGGGATTCTAGAGGATGCGCAGGGGGAGCTTCTCTGGGCGGACAACACTCCGTCGAGGGATAGGGATATAGGGGAGGCAGTGCGGGGGCGGTAGGTTAGTGATGTGTTAGAGAAGGTGGTACTGAAGGCAAAGCCGGATGCTGTGGTTGTGGGGAGGGGTTTGGAGAAGTGTGAGGAAGCGATGGAAAGGCAGATGAAGGGGGTTAGTTTCGAGAAGATTGTCGTGGAGCTCTAGTCAATGCCTGCGTATGGAGCAATGCATTAAAGTAGTTCCCGCTTTCATTTATTTGTCTCTTTCTCTAACTACGCAGTCATGATCTATACTTCAGGTTATTTATTTGAGCTAACTTATGTCTTTGGGGAGGGGATCTCCTTCCCTTTCCCAATCGTATCCCTCTGTGCCTTCCCTGCATCCAATCTCCCACGGTAACTGGGCTATAATTTTTTATCTCTCCCACACCTTCCTTTCTACCCTTCTCAAGGACACAAGCGGTAGTCAGGCTCGCCGTAAAGGAATACGGCACACTATTACCTCCCCCTAACTCTTCCATCTAATCACTCTCAGCGAATTTGGCACACGTCTACCCCTACTCCACCTCCTCATCAATTCCCAAGATTCACAACAAGCGCGCCAGACGTGGGCGTAACGTCTATCCGAGAGTTGGAGGAGCGGTCGAGGACCTGCAGACGACCCACATCGTCTTGCAGCCGGATGTTGAGGAAACCGAATCCGTATGTGGGCCGAAGCCACGCTCGTGGGCTGGGCCATTAAGGGGTTGGGGAGGGTAGTGGAGGGTCGGAGGGGTCGGAGGGTGGCGACTGGCGTCTGCACTATTTCCATCAATAAAAGAACTATCTGCGTGAAGTGCTTTGCAAGGTAGTCTTATCAACTTCCCAGGCTGTGAAGCCGTGTTAAACTATATTTATATTGGATGAGGCCTTCATTGTCGATACTCTCAATTCGGAAACTACCAAGGTCACACATAGTAAAAGTCCAAAAACGCCATCGCTATGCAGCAAATGTGGTATAACATATCGAAAGTGGCTATGGCCTGCAGCTACACCCCGAAGTGAAACGCGCAGACGTCTAGCCCCCAATCATTTTACCATGCAGGCAGCCAAGCTAAAACATGCGACAAGAATAATACGAGAAGCTGAAACGAAACACCGCGGTTCTGCCCGGAAAACCGGGGCCAAGGAGGCTCTTCTACCATTTCACCTGCACGCCTTCAGCTAAGGCTCTGCCCACACGATATTGTGACCAGGCTACGTTCATACGTCCGCCTTGGCAGGGAGTGAATTCCTGGCTGCAGTCGGTGTAGTCCATCTGCTTGTGTGTTAGCCATTGACAACCTTTATACCGTGATGGCAAACTTACGAAGTTCTTCACATTAGCGGGACCCTTGCCACACTGATCCTGAGCAGGACAGCTACCCAAGTCTCCAGGGACAGCCAGAGCGCCATGGCTAGCCTCATTCTGCGGCGCTGTATCGTCGCAGTAGTCACCATCGCCGTCGCATCCGCCCTGGAAGGTGTGCAAGAGACCGAACCAATGCCCGATCTCGTGGGCCAACGTCCCGCTGGTCGCGCTCCTGCCTACCTCCAGCGGCACAAAGCAGCCATCAAAATCAAGCAAATCTTGACTGATGGGGTTACCAGAGCCGTCGGGTAGAGAACAGACGCCGCCGCCCGCACCCTCGACCAGGTATATGTTCAGCGTCTGGTAGTCGCCTTGGTGCAGAGAGCGCATCTTATTCTCCTTATCGACATCGATGTCCTTTGCCCACTCCTCGCTAATCACATAGGTCGTGAACTTGAGATTCATGTGGTAACCCCATGGCTCGTAGTGGGCATTGAGGAAGTCGACCTGGCTTTGGATTGAGGGGCCCCAGTCCTCACCTTCGGGGTTCTTGGACACCAGGATGTGCCAATACATGTCGACCTGCTGGAGGTCTCTTGTGCGGAGGGAGTTGAGGGCGCGTTTGGCAGTTGCGGTGGAGATGTTGAGGGGGTCATGGTCGAAGTCTTCGTTCTGGCAGTCTGCTGCGAGAGCGAAAGGAGCCAGAGCGGCTAGAGCGAGTGTGGAAAGCTTCATGGCGAAATGAACGACTTGAAAGAACGAAATGGGGTATCTGAATATCACGAAAACGAAGGGAATGAAGCTGGAGAATGAAAGGCGATGATGAGATAGTCATGGAGAGGACTACCTTCATTTTATAAATGGTATATCAGGCTGGAGGAACTCACAGCCCGCAACGGAAATGAAGGCAAGGTGAAGGCCTACCATTTGGCGCTGTCACGCTTGGCCACGCCGTGTTTGGTGTCTCTGGAGACATTCTCATACACTAATTCGGTCACGGGCCCATCCGTGGCTGTCATGCTCGTATAGGTAGACCTAGGGGCAGTGCAAGCCAAGATCTCGTAGGATTGCCTGACACGAGCAAGCGCTGTAGCAATTACCAAAATAGTAAGAGTGTGTAAATGTCCGCTTTTGCAAGTAGATCAGAACCAGATGTACGCTGGGATATCGCCCGGAGTGCATAGAAATGTACCGAGAAAGTAGAGTATCTTCCGAGTTTGACAGCGAAAAGCTCTGCGAAGAGAGGCCGTCATTGTGACCTGGGCTGATGTGGTGCAAAGCGGCTTAGATCCTAAGCGTGCCCACGGATGTTGTGCGATGAACGAGCGGAACAGGATTCGAAAGGCCATTGTGATCCCACCTCTTGTCACGGACAAACCGACCCTAGCCCCTAAACATGGCAGCCTCTGCTTGGCAGCTTCCGCCTTCAAACAACCCACCATCGTCAGGTGGCAAGCCAAGCCCCGGATTGAACCCCCAACCCCGGGCAAGTGGATCAATCTTAAATTTAAGCATAAGCAGATAGTGGTTAGTGGTGCGGAGACGAGGTTACGGCCGCTGAGGGTAGTACTTTTACGAGCCGCGGCGGAGTTGAAACATTGGTACGGACTTCAGCCTGCGCCATCCAGGATCAAGGCTTTTGTATTGTGTATCGGCGCAGGAACAACTGATGGTAGGTCTTGGGAGATGTCGCTGGCCAATGTTGAGTGATATGTGCCGAGAATTCATCAGAAGCCGGTGTGTTGATGATGTGGTTGCAGTGAGCTCGAGGACGGAGCTAGGAGCTAGCATCGGCTTAGTCACGTGACAATCGCCTAATGGTACCTATTTGGTCACCGAGATCCACCGACTATTTAGCGCATGGTTTTTCTTCAGTTCGACACTCACCTTTCCCACCGGATTGGACACCAAGAGTCCTACCAGCGCCTCCGAGCTGGCCTATACGTGGCTGTAAGTACACTCTCTCTCTTCAGTACTGCCTACGCCCTGTGATGAAAAATGTTCCACATTCGCAGTTTCCACGCTAGCTTCACTTGAACCCATCTTGGAAGTCGATGAGCGCATAACCTTCCTTGGATGTCTGAGGGCACCGTTTTCGCTATCTTTCTCAGAATGAAACCGTAAAAAACAAGCCTAACGAATTCGATAGGAGAGTTTACCTGGTGTACGGCGAGGACCTCGCGAAGTGGCTGAGGCAGGTGCGGTGGAATGCGGGCTCATCGGAGCCTTCTCACAGAAAAGCAGAGCCTATGTGCAGCGGCCCATGCGGATCGTTCTCCATTGTGGCCTGGTCTGTCGTGGTCATTTTGAAGCGTTCGTGGTAGACTGTTGATTGCGGACGGAGATGCTGAGCAGACGTTCTCAGCAATGCGAGGTCATGGAAGTAGTAGATGTAGCTGCGACAGATAGGTGCCTGGTGCGATTCGAACATAGATCGCAGCACACGGACAAGAAATAATCTTTCGTCTATGAGATACATGCTTCATTGCGTGAGATGGCGTGCAGTGAAGGCGTTGGCGCAATCTGCCTACAAGGGTAGCACGGTTGAAGACCATGTCTTGCTGCTACGGACATATCCACAGCGTGTTTTCTTACATGGAGGGTAGAGCACACCCTCCGAAGAAAGGAAGAGATCTACCTTGCTTATCGTTCAGCGCTAAGCATTTCTCCGCGATGCAGCCCAGGAGCGCCATGGCCGCCCCGCAGGCTTGTGAAGGCTTGACGCATGACGTACGGTCAGCACCTGAGCATTCACGTCGCAACGTGTCTACCAGAAACGATTGAATGCATCGAAATAGTAGCGCCACCTGTGGCGGCTGCGCCCCCTGCAGGGCCGTTGATCCCCATTATAGGCGCATAACAAGTGCCCTGCCATGCCCAATCGTGAAACGTGCCGCGCGCTGCGACCCGCTGCTTCGTCACCTTTCGCGCCTTCCTCAAAGCCTCCTTGTTAACTTGGTTCTCCACCACCAAAACCCACTGGACCCCTTGCGAACTGCATTGTTTCCAACGTCCTTCCACGCATTTCAAACCTGAAGTGTACGCTGCAAACGACCGCGCGGGACTACGAAGCGCATACCTTCCTGCGCCGGCTTACGCGCATTCCTCTCCCGCGTCACCGCTTCCTTCACGACCGGATGCTCTACACGCCCTCCTACAAGCATGGCTACCCGCATATTCGCTAGAGAGGCGCCCGATCCTCTTGAGGCAGCACCCATCATCGGCTCTTTTGCCAGAGCAGCGCACCAGCTGGGCAAGCGCTTGGAGTGTGAAAGCGAGAAGCTCGAACACGAGACAAGTAAGCCGACCCGATACTGCACACGCGGATAGCTGGACTGACAGCATCGTAGTCGTTGAGGAACCATTATGGAAGAGCCTTACGTTCCACCACTTCGGTCTGATCCTTTCTGCGACATTTGGTGCACTCGCACTTGCTATAGCCTTTTTCTTGATCTTGCGGCATGCGACGCACTACTTGAAACCATACGAACAGAAACAGTGTGTATGACTTCATGGGCTGCAAGACCTCGACTGATGAAAACAGCATCATACGGATCCTACTTATGATACCCATTTATGCCGCCGTTTCTTTTTTGAGCTACCTATACTACCACAAAGCCGTATACTTCGAGGTTCTACGTGACTGCTATGAAGCATTCGCCATCGCGAGTTTCTTTACCTTGATGTGCCATTACATCGCACCAAATCTACACGAACAAAAGGACTACTTCCGGAGCGTGCAACCGAAGAATTGGGTGTGGCCAGTGACTTGGATGCAGAAGTGCACAGGCGGCGAGGACAAGGGTTGGCTGCGCAGACCGCGAAGCGGACTCACCTGGTTCAATGTAGGTTAGCCGTAATGTGGGAGAAGATCAATTACTGACAGCGACTAGGTTGTTTGGCTCAGCATCTTCCAATACTGCTTCATCCGTCCGTTCTTCACAGTTGTTGCCGTCATTACCCAACATTTTGGCCGCTACTGCCAGAGCTCCAAAGATCCCCGATTCGCATATATCTGGGTCGCGGGCTTCGAAGCCGTCTCCGTTACGATCGCCATGTATTGCTTGATCCAGTTCTACATCCAGCTCAAGGAAGACCTGGCCCCCCACCGACCTTTCATGAAGGTGCTCTGCATCAAACTCGTCATTTTCTTCTGTTTCTGGCAGAGCTGGATCATATCACTCTTGACTGCCGACAGCGGGCCTCTTAAAGCGACTAAGAAGATTGCTGGACCTGATCTAAGGATCGGTATCCCGTCAATGCTGACATGTGTCGAGATGTCTATCTTCGCGGTTTTGCACCTGTTCGCCTTCCCTTGGAAACCATATGATCTTGCACGACGTCACGAGCCTCTCCCACAAGCGGGTGAAGACCAAGTTCCCAAAGCGCCGAAGAAATACGCTCACGGCCCGGCTCGTGCGCTTATTTCCACCTTCAACCCGTGGGATATGGTCAAAGCCTGTGCACGTGGATTCCGCTGGCTGTTCGTCGGCGCACGGCATCGCAAGGATGACCCATCCTATCAAACTAAGCTCGACCCGCTGTCAACCGACACCGGGTATCATAGCGGGCCTACTTTTGCTGGGAATGGAGAATCTGCGACCGAAACGGCGTTGGACAAGGAAATAGGCGTACAACGGTCTGATCACTCTGACCGTGCAGGCCTTTTGTCTAATGCACAGACTAACCCGACTTTGTCAAGACAGGAGTCGGACCCGTACCACCGCACGAACGACCGATATGGGAACTCGTACAGCCATTCCTCGGCTGCGACGCCTGGACAGGAACACGGCATAGTGTCACCGGGTATGCAGACAAACCCATACTATGATCGTCAAGAGACTTCTTATCGTCCAGCTCCGCATCAACAACCGCAACCGACGTATAACAACAACCAAGCTTGGGATATGTTTGGCGGTGTGAATGGACAGAACGTTCAGAACATCGCACGACCTAGGGACCGGCCACCACCCGAAAATTATTCTTCAAATGGTTTTATTTGAATGGGAACCATATCAACGACTTGGTTTCCTCTAGCGTACAGCAGTTGCGCTTGGTTTCTTGATTATCGGGTACATTGCATTGCAGGCGTTAGGTTGGGTTGAGGTCTTGGGACGGCCCGGATTGCATTTGGATACCCTCATGAGGATTGCTATGGCGAGCAGGTTCTGGTACGACATGTTTGAATAAGATGTAGGATTATAGGAACCAGTTCTTGAGCATCAAACTCGGGAACTAACAATTTGAACCAATCCATTATTGATGCTAATTACTCATTCGAGCCCGGATCTACCGAGATCTGCACTTGCGTCAGTTTCCTTCATGACAACGCTTTAGATCGAACAAAGCAACTTGGACCGACATTGCATGCTTGCTTACCTGTACCTTCAAACGGTTCAGGCGGCTGAAGATCGTTGTGGCACACAAAGCGTGGCTTGCCCTTGCGCTTATGCAAGCCATGCCGTTAGCGCACCCTGACGCGCTGCCCCAGCCTTGTGCTTCAAAACGCCGAGCTGCATCCGTCACAAGCTTGAGCCTTCTCCACAACACGATTCTGCTCCAACCCCCACGTTCTTACTTCTGCACAACTCTTCGGTTTCTTTTCAATTATCGCTCGCATGCGATTGATCTGATCTCTCACATACTCGCAATTGGTTAGCATCTCGACGATGACAGACTACAACAAAGAAACCGTCGCAAAGCTGCGCCAAGTGCTCAAAGACAGAAATATTCCGAGCACGGGGTTGACGAGGAAGGCGCAGATCATCGAGAAGCTTGAGGAGTGGGATGTAGAGAATGCGAACGAAGGAGAGACTGAGAACGCGCCGGCCGCTGCGCAGGCTGAGGAGGAAGAGGCAGCAGGTACGTCGGAGGCGCGCGTGTACGGTGCTTGGGATTTGCTTGCTAATATCATTGTAGAGCCTGCGATAGGAGAAGCGTCTTTAGAGCCTCCCGAGGCGGATGATGAAGCTGCTGCAGCCGCGCCGGAACCTACCACGACCGAACAACCTACAGAGGCAGCAGAAGCTTCGCCGAAAATGAGCGCGCCAGAGGCTGCACAAGAAGACCCTGCATCAGACGCTCAGAGAAAAAGATGCTGCGGCTAGCGCGTCTCAGGAAGATGCGCAACCCGCTCCAGTAGCAGCAGAGCCCGTGCAAATACCCACCGAGTCACACGCAACCGACTTCGCAAGACCTACTCAGACACCTTCACCCGCTCCGGACGAAAAGCCGTCAATAGAGAAGCCAGAGCTGCTTTCTATATCCGAGCGATCAACAACCACGACTGCGGATCAGTCAAGATTGAATACGGAGGAGCTTGAGGCTGACACTAGGAAGCGTAAGAGGAGGAGCCTGACGCCTGAACTATCAGCGCAGGAAGTACGCGCGAAAAAGCCAAGGCCGAGTGAAGATGCTGTGCACGTGGTTGCCCCTGCCGTAGACGAAGACACGGTCATGGACCAGCGGGCACCCGAAGAGGCAGAAAAGGAGCTCGACGAGAAGGCTATGGAAGAAGAAAAACGCAGTGGGCAACCAGAAGTCGAATCCAAGAAGTCAGAGACAGACCATTCGGGGAAGAAAGAGAAAGCGCCCCGCTATCGCGAACTTCTCGAGCCAACCTCCGAACCACCCTCAGCAGACGCACCGACAGACCTCCCAGACGACCGCTTCATAACCCCAGCCCTCCACCTCGCAACTCCCTCCCTCTACATCCGCAACCTCATGCGCCCCCTCCGCCCAGAACCCCTCCGCGCACATCTCGTCACCCTCGCTTGTCCTCCCTCCGCAGATCCAGACCCAGACATCATATCCACCCTCTTTCTCGACAATATGAAAACTCACGCCCTCGTCCGCTTCGCCTCCACCACCGCCGCTTCCCGCGTTCGCGCCTCTTTACACGGCACAATCTGGCCACCCGAGGGAAATAGGAAAGACCTCTGGGTAGACTTCGTGCCCGACGAGAAATGCTCTGCGTGGATCCAGGAAGAAGAAGATGCCATGGCTGCGGAGAAGGAAGCGCGGGCTGCAGGTCGACCCATTCCTGCGAAGAAATTCGAGGTCGTCTATGAAGAGAGTGAAGAGGGGGGGATACACAGCTGTTTTCCAGGAAGTAGGTGCTGGAGCTGCGGCTTTTAATCCGCCGAAGGGCCCGCGAAGGGCAAGCCACCAAGTTGCAGCACCTGGATCAGCGCCTACGCAGGAAACGAGACAGAATGCCGAGGCGTCATTCAAAACACTCGACGAGCTGTTCAATTCCACGGCCACGAAACCCAAACTGTACTTTCTTCCTGTTTCAGATGAGCGCGCGGATGCACGGAGGAGGGACCTCGAGGGGGAAACTAGTCGTGATTGGGCACCTGAAGAGAAGCGCAAGGGTCGCGGTATCCAGGCGAGTAGGCTCGATCAGAAGGTTAGGTTTACATTTGATGACGAGGACCGTGTGGTCGAAGCGGGTGGGGACTTTGGCCCATGGACGGAACAATCAGACTTCAGAGGAGGACGAGGGGGCGGTAGAGGAGGGTTCAGAGGACGTGGAAGGGGTGGCGGGTGGCGAAGCGGGCCTTAGGTGGTATGAAGGTGTTGTGTTGTTGTATATCGAAAAACAAATAAGCAAGGGAAGAGTCGTCAAGATCGGCTATCTGGGATAAATCCCTTCATGTTGCTGGGAATCTACAGGCACGAAGAAGATGTACCCGTAGTTATACTTATCAAAAACTGGACTAGTTGAATCCAGAGACGAACGATGGGATGAGTCCTTTGAAAAGAGTGTGACGCGCTTTTGTAGGTGGATTGGGACGTCCACGGCTGCTGTCACTTCACTTTTGCATACGGTACATGTGTAGTCTCGACTCACAGTAGCGACACCACAGGCAACTTCTCGAACCAAGAAATACAGTTAAACATCCACTGCTCATGGACTGAAATTGAACCAGGTACTGCTGTCTGAAGGGATGGATGATACAGTTAGGCATAGATATTTGAGATACTTTCGGTCGCGCAATTGGGTATCCTGGGTTAACTCAGTGCATCGAATCTAAGCGCAGTGCTGTAGGTGAACATGATGGTTTACCTCACGTGCCCCACAACTGCCCCAAACGCTTCTCACTTACTAGAGCCTTCTCATCTTCGTCAGACACTCCCTTTCCAATACGAGGCGACGAGCACCAGCTACCGCCACCATGGCAGCAGTCGTTTCTCAATGCGTGACGGCTTTCCGTTTTCTAAACCTGCCGAAGGAGACACCGTCTTACGGTGTAAGTAGTTGATGCTTTATAATGTCTCTTCGTAAGGTTGCAGTACCCGACGTAGTTCGCTAAAACGATGTGGATACGGGCGCTTGCCAATGCAAATCAAGCACTATACCTTGAAGACCTCCAACGCAGACAACATCCATAAGACGGTTACCGTCATCTTTCGGGGTCTCCCCATGGCTATCCTCGTAACGTGCCGCACAGTGCATGATGAAGCTTATAAGATTATCCAAGTCTGCGCAGATGAACATGTGGCCAAACATCCACCCAGACTGAGATACACCGAAAGTGAACCCCTTTTTTGCCCACTAGAAATGATCACGTTATGTTTTCTGGTCCGCTTTTAGTGTGCTGAAATCCACTACAACGATAACCCAGTCATTACCTCTCTTTCCGACGCTCTCTCTCGTCAAGCCCTTCAAGACTCGGGTAGAGGCTCCGAACTTTCGCCTGAAGTGATGAATAAGTCTTCACGATCCTCGAAGTTGGTGATAGCTTATGCACACTACAGCAAATGAACACGTGCCAAATTACGATTGCTCGCGGGGAACACATCTCCGCGTTCGTAGCTGCTATACTGCGTGATCATGGGTCTTGACAGCCAATTTGCTCGCTTCATCAAGCAAGGAGCTGCGCAGATCAGAATGGGTACAAGGGATTTTCAAGTTGTGCTCGACATGCGTAACTGCCAGAGCGCATCGTCGTACCCATGGCTCGAGTGGGGGTGGGCACTGAGCGTCCGAGATATCGAAGCTTGGAGATCATATGTCAAAGGTGGGTCCGGCATGACATTTGCAGGTTTCATAACGGAGCGAGGGTACCAAGGCGTTCCAAAAACCTACGAGGCTGAGCTTGATACCTCACCGAGGTCAAATCTTCGCTTGGAGTAGATGGATGAAGCTACCTGGAGGAAAGACTGGCTGGAGTCGAACTAGTCACCGATAGGTGCGAGGGATGAGAGCTTAGAGGAATCTTCGGCAGATGCTACTGGCGGAAGTACAAATTTTCGAAGGATGTTTCGCGCATTCTGGAATAACGAACATTGTGAAAAGCCCAATTATTAGCACATAGAAAGACTTTCGAGGGTAGTGCCAGTGTATCAGAACGGCAGTCTGTCTGTTCGAAAGGACGAGTTATCGATATTGATGAGAGCCTTGAGGTGGACTGGCATGAAAGTTTTCGGGCAATGTATAGTTATGCTGGTGTAGCATACGGTGTTCAAGATTAGCCCTAACTAAAGTGAAACAGTTGTCTCTAAGCTTTGATTACGCCACAATTCAACTATGTACATACGCGGACACCTTCAAACGACGCCTGATGCCTATTTGCGTACTGTAATCGCCTCATCGGAAAGCAAAAGATCAAGTGATAGCATAAAGTCCAGCTAAACTTCCTGAAGTGGACATATTGGAACGGCCTACTTCCAAAACGTTGTAATCATCATGCTCTGAACTATGTCCGGGGGTCGATGGACGGCTTGCCATTTGGGGCGAAACAATTAAGCTCGTCCTGAGAATTTGTACTTGTCTCATTCTGTGGCGTTGTTGGAACTGTAATCGAAACACGATTCAGAGTGTGGCTTGTTTCAGCCTTACCAGCAGGCGAAGGGCCAATCCACCGAAGCACAAAACTTAGTGCTAAGGTCCAATCCAAGGTACAGATGGCTGAAACCCCAACAGCTAATGCTTTTTGGTCATCGCAAACTTTCCAAATGCTAACTTGAAATCGAGGAGTTTGTCCCTATCGAAGGACTTGCGCCGAAGAGATGCTCGCGACGACTGCGCCTCTATACGCACTTGTGTCCAGGAGTTGCCCCTTGCATACGGTTCCCAAGGTGTTCTTGGTCTCAAGGACGGTCCCTTATAATGACGGTCCCGCTTTGCATTCCTTGTCAGGCCAATATGGTGGATTGTATCATTCATTGCGATACTTTCCTCTTCTCGTAATATCCTATAATCGAACATCCAACCAACATCGACGAGTTCGGAACGTTTACAAGGTTGAAATTCTTGTTTGAAGGTGCTTGAATCTAAGAAACAACTCACATCATGACCGTTGGACACAAGGCCTGCAACCCGAGTACCTCCAGTTTTGCATCATCATTTACCTTCATTGATGATGATGAAGCCGAGTACATGGGATTGATACAGAATCGAATCCGAGACTTCTTCCCAAACTTTGCGAAAGCGATCCCGAATCAATCTCCGGTCGAGCGAGAGATCGGAAGGTGTGCCGTCCTCGATTTCGAACGAGGATGCCAGCCTAAGTGTACTTCGTTCCAGAATTCGGTGCAGCTTAGGCATTACCTTCTCGATACTTCGTCTACCTTGGACCTTGGCTCTAAAGACCCAGGGAAACGGCGACTCTTCATTTTAGAAGATCTGCCTTGCAACTACATCTTAGCATTAGGATCACGGTTAAGAATACCTCCAAGCTTCTTTGCCGGCCAATACGACGACCCAGCGGTGTCGGCATTCAATCACCGGAGTCCATTCATCCGATTCACTAGCTCTCAGTTTCGCCTGCGTTATGCAACCTCAAATCGAGTTGAAATCAATGTTCCGCCAGGGGCAGAAGGTAACACTTCTACGTTCGCCTTCAACACCAATGTCTCTCGCTACCTTAATATGTACGACCCAAAAGGGCCTTTCTACGATGAACCCCGAAGTCATCATCAGATGTCCTTCTGGAGCTCTCACCCGCGCGAAGATGGTTCCTGGGACGCGGTTCTCCTCGTAGACCCTCCGCTCCAAGGTTTCGTCCGTTGCCTTCCTTCGATGCAGCTAGCGCCTCTGCGATCCAGACTGAGAGACGAGGATTCGATACCGAAGCACTTCCTATACCCTGAGACGCATGTTCAAGAAGAACTTCCACATAAGGTGTTGGAGTGGTCGAGATGCTACGAGATACCGGAGTATAGATCTTTGTTCGATGATACACTGGATATGATGTTGTCCAATGATTATGACGACGGCAAAGGCGTAACAGACCCGATGTCCGCCGTGGAGATTCCCCGCAAACTCGTCATCGCGACATTGATCGCTTTTCTGCGACGAAGACAATTAAATCTATTCCGACTCCAAAAATGTCAAATGCAACAGAAATTTCTGTCCAGCTTCTCGGAAGGGCCCCTGTCAAGATGGCACCACCAATTTTTCGATTTCGTCGTGGGCAGCTGCGCTGCTATGAAAGCTTTCTGTCGCGAGATTGAAGACAATATGATCGCACTTGGTCTACCTACCAGTTCCAACATGCCGCTGAGTCCGAATATGGGATGGACGCCATCGCAGTGGGAGATCGACGGATGGAGATCGGTCCAGGACCTTACACGTGTGGTCGACGGCTTGACGAACTCATTGGCAACGGGATATTTGCAATACATCACGATCCAAGAAGCGCGCATCTCCAATGCAAATGCTCAAAGCTTATCCAAAATCACCGTACTGACCATGCTCTTTATACCTTTATCCACGGTTGCAGCGATATTTTCCATGGGCGGAGACTTCCTTCCAGGAAATTCAAGAGGCTGGGTGTTTTGGACTGTCGCGATTCCAGTGGTACTTATGCTTATGTTCCTATATTGGCGCCAACAAATTGTTGTTTTGGTTCGAAAAAGTAAACGGAATTTGTTACCTATCTCGGAGGTACCAGGGAGTAAGCCATGAAGTTCAGATAATACGCTTTGTACAACATTTTGTAGTTTCGCAATTGTTTTTTTGCGGCCATTCTTGCCGAAATCCTCGTTTCCTTCATAGATGCTCAAGGAATGATAATAATACAACGCTTAGAAGGACAATTGTACTGCTCGATCATCTTGTGACACTCCGATGTTGAATGGGACATGTCCTAACTGGGTAAACCGAGGAGACGGCGTTTAGGCGGGCAGCGGTCGGTTCGCATCGAGGTTATCCTCGCCGCCTTGGATCTTTCGACTGATGACGGATTCGCGCGTGTACATGTGATACAGCGATCAAGGTTCGCAACAAATAGTATCGCAGCCCGCGTCGATATAGTGGGTTCTCTGAGTCGTGATAGAGCTTAGCCAGTCTTTGGCTTCTCCGCATTCCCCACACTCTGCTTCCCTCTTCGCTTGTTTCTTCCCCGATCCCGAAGACTAGCGCGAAATGACGGCAAGAAGTGCGGATGCTCACTCAGTGCTGTTCCCTGTTGTAGAATAAATTAACTTGAGCCTCATTCATATCATTTATCGACGTGCAACTTGCTCATCTCGCCCTTGGCCTCTGAAGCATATACAAAGATTTCAGGATCGAGTCCCTACATAATGGCCGACCTTACCGCGGATGGGGACGACAAGGCCCAAGTGCATGGTATTGAGCACAAAATTGGTCCTGGAGACGACACAGCTGCAACTCTCGGAATGCAGTTTGCTAACTCGATGCCTGAATACCATTCTAATATTACGAAGAAGCTCCTGAGGAAGGTTGACATTCACCTGCTGCCATTGCTGATATTGATGTAAGTCAGCTAGGAATTCACGCTCCATCCTCCGTTGGTGCGCGGTTGGTAGCGAGAGGAATCACGCAGGTCTTGGATCATATTGATATGCTTGGCCCCATCACACCCGAGTCTAACTCCACGACAGGTATCTCCTTAACTTCTTAGACCGAAAGTAAGTTTTCAACGGCAAATCATGGTTACAGCTCATTAGAAGGTACATCGAATAGCTGAACGTAAATAGCAATTTATCGCAAGCAAGACTGGGCACGTTAGAGGCCGACTTGGGTAAGAGATTCCCCGATAATGCATCACAAATAAGTAATGTGTTGCAGGAATGGAGGGGACGGACTTCAATTTGGCAACTAGTATCCTTTTCGTCGGTTACTTGTTGATGCAGCTACCTTCGAACCTGCTTATAACGCGTTTGCGTCCCTCTTGGTACCTCGGCACTGCCATGACAATCTGGTAAGAGCTGTTGATATAATTACCTCGCTATTGGCAGCAAGCTCACTGTACAAGGGGAACGATATCGGCATCGCAGGCCGCGGTCCACTCATTTGGCGGTCTTATTGCCTGCCGTTTCTTTCTAGGTTTCGCCGAGGCACCTTTTTTCCCAGGTGCAATCTTTCTCATGTCATCATGGTATACTCGTAGTGAGTTGGCACACCGAATCGCTTGGTTCTACGCGGGATCCTCGTTAGCGAATGCTTTTGGTGGTCTCCTTGGGGCAGGGGTGTTGGGCAATCTAAGTGGTGCTCACGGCATTGCTGGATGGTAGGTAGTATTCCATATCATGCTCATGCGGAACCAGGCTGACAATACCATCAGGAGATGGTTGTTCATCATAGAAGGAGTCATTACTATTGGTGTTGCTATCACAGCGGCATTCATCCTCCCAGACTATCCTGCCACAACGACATGGCTTTCCGACGAGGAAAAAGCATATGCCCAGTGGAGACTGGTCGATGACATCGGAGAGTCGGACGAGGGAGGTGCCTCATCCATCAAAGATGGGGTCATACTTGCCTTTAAAGATCCTCGACTGTACCTATTCACCTTGCTTCAGCACATAAGTTTACTGTCGCAGTCCTTCCAGTACTTCTTCCCGACGATCGTCAAGACCCTTGGCTATGGGAACATTGAGACATTGCTCATCACTGCGCCAGTGTGGATCGGAACGTTCCTGGTTTCGCTCGTAGTAACCTACACTGCCGGAAAATACAACGACCGAAGCATACACATCTTCTGTTTAATGCTGATATCCGTAGTGGGAAACATCATTGTCGTTTCTTCACTCAACACTGGTAAGCAGCTCCGAGCTCTTCGCATCATGTTACACTGACGAATTGCATCAGGCGTGAGATTCTTCGCGATGTTTCTGATGCCTATGGGTGCCGTTTCGGCCTATCAGATCATCCTCACCTGGGTCTCGAACAGTTTTCCGCGCCCTCTGGTCAAAAGATCAGCATGCATTTCAATTGCTAACATGATCGGGAATTGCTCAAACATTTATGGGCCTTACAGTAAGCTTTTCAATCCAACACACATCAAGCAAAGAATGAAAACCACGGCGTTTTTATTTTTCTATTATCATGATTTCATATGCTGACCTTGGTTGTCTAGTGTATCCATCTACGGATGGGCCAAGGTATCTTCCAGGCGGTAGTGCGACTGCTGCGGTTGCTCTTTCTGTAGGTCTTTACCATTTTGCATTAGAATAACCTGCTACTGACTATGTATTCAGGTTGCTATACTGGCATTGGTCGTACGACTAGTTTTACAGAGAGACAACAAGAAGCTCGCGGTTCGTGATGTTCTTGACAATGAAGGCAGTGTCGGTGGATCTGGAGGGGCAGCTTTGGGAGGCAGGGCTTTGGGATTCAGATATGTCCTCTGAACCCTCCGTCACACAAAGTATGACTTGAAATGGCTGTACCCATGTATGTAATCAAGGGATCCGCAATTTCGACCTAATGTTCAAGAAGTATAGACAGATTTATGGGTCCTTCCAGAGACCAGCAAGTGCATTGATAATATACTTGATTGCTACATGAAGCCTACAAAGTGAGACGCGTAATGGTCATCAATAATGGCGAAGGAACCAACCACAAAGCTAGTAGTTGTCATCACGACGTTGTCCGCTGCCGTAGGAGTCACCCTGGCCGTAGCTGTCGCCACCTGTTTGTCTTCCGCTTCCCAAGCCTGAGCCTGTGTTGCCACTGCCGAAGTCGTCATCTCCGGTGCGGCGACTGCCTCCATAGCTATCACCGCCCGACTGACCGAAGTCACCAGTTGTCTTGCCGGCCCCGAAACTGTCGTCGTCATTTCTGCGGCTCGAGCCGTATCCTCCTGAGGTGGTCGAATCGCCTCCGAAGCCTGTCGATTGTTAGCATGACAAGTCGATCTTGTTGGACAGGTAATAGACTTACCACCAGAGGATGTCACATCACCACGGCCAGAGGATCCATAGCTGTCGTCCCCAGCTCCAGAACGTCCCGTGGAGCCGTAAGAGTCATCGCCACGTCCAGATGAACCAATCTTATCATCACCAGTACGGCCTGAGCTGCCGAAGGTATCATTATCGCGTCCAGAGCTTCCAAAGGCATCGTTGTCGCGGCCAGAGCTTCCGTAGGTGTCTTTGTCACGACCAGAGCTCCCATAAGTATCGCTTGTATCACGGCCAGAGCTTCCGTAAGTATCGCTTGTATCGCGACCGGAGCTTCCTAAAGTATCGCTTGTATCGCGGCCAGAGCTGCCGAAGGTATCGTTGTCGCGGCCGGAGCTTCCATAGGTGTCGTTGTCGCGGCCGGAGCTTCCGAAAGTATCGCTCGTACCGGTTTGACGGCCACTCCCGTACGTGTCCGAGTCGTCCCTGCGACCGCTTCCATACGAGTCGTCGTTGTCGCGGCCGCCTGAGCCGTACGAGTCGTCGTTATCGTTGTTCTTGCCCACCTTATCCTTCACCTTGTCCTTGACCTTGTCCATGAATCCCGACATGTTGATAGTTTGCTATAATCTGAAAGCTGATTCTTTTGGGGTGAGGGTAGAGAAGAGTAAGCTGCTTCGATCAGACTTGGGAATAGCTTGACATGCTCCCTCTTTTATAACCTCCCAATTGCTACCCCTCATCCACCCCTCCTCAGTCAAGCCCAAGTGCTAGTCCTAAAACCTGTTTCCTAGATCAGGCTGGTTCTACTGTCAGCTTGGATGGTGCCATATCAGCAGGGTGTCACCCCGCCGGCCGCATTTCGTCACACAAGGCCGAACTATCGCCTCGATACCGCACGTGGAAGTAGGACCGTGGCATAGCTCTTGGTCTCATTCGCCAATGCCTTGCATCTCGGGTCGGCCGTCAGGTTGCGCGAGCTTGCGCGGTATTTACGAGGTGGCTTGGCCAGATGGAGAGTAGCATCAGGACCATCTCAGCTGCCGACAGATGGTAACTATGCTGTCGGTTGGGCAATGGCAGGCTTAGCAGAAAGCTTGGTCGCGTAGCGTACGCGCACTGCCACACATGGCGTCACAAAGAGGGGTACATCGCCTAACACGCGGCCTACGCCACAGGTTGGGCGATAGCCGCGATTGGGGAAAGGGGATTGCTTTGTTGGTGGTGGTGGAGCTACGAAGCTAGGCAATAATCTCGTCGGGCGGATGCGGACTAGAGCTACACCTCAGCTACTGCGGTACAACAACAAAGCAGCTGAGATCAGCTAGGTACATGATCTGGAGTTTGCGAAGAACCGAGTCTTGGACAATCTAGATAAGTCATGTGAGCATCAAGATCAAGTCCCGTAGAAGCTTGTCTCATACAAGTCTAGATCGCTCCGTCCTCGTGGAAGTGGAACGAGAAGACATCACTGGCAGACGTACGAGGGAACTTATCTTCCACACTGACGTTCTGTTTGTTTTTCAATCAAGTGACTACTACCAACACACATCCTCCCATCCAATAGAGAATCCAAGCCCGAGCCCAGTAGAAACGTTCTTTTTGTCTAATGCCAGAAGAGAGGTAAAGGCGGCGGGGAAGGAGCAGAAGCGACAAGACGAGAAGGGATATACAAGCCCCCAACGCATAGCTAAGAAGAGCAAAGGGGATATCAAAGCGAAGTATGTAGAAGGTACAAGGAAGAAAATGGCTGAAGCCGATCAAGCAAAAAAAGCGAGCGTGTCCCAGGGCGAGTGACCAGACCAAGAGTACCAGAGGCGTCCGTCCCATCCCGTTCATCGAACCGTGTGTCCCACCGCCCATGGTATCTCGTTATGTTCCGTCCTCCAGCCCACCGATACCTGACCCGCCAAGTGCAGACCTCCTCCTTCCAATCGAAATGAACTCAAGGAAATCTTGGTCCCATTAGGGACTGCATTATTAATACAGGGCTTTCCATCGCCGAGAGATGGTCATATTGCCATCGATGGTGGTAGGCGATGGCGTTGAATTAGCAGTAAGGAAACCTTACTAACGGTTACCTCACGTTCATGTCGGACGTGGTCTGTTCCGACTCTTCATCCTCAATCCTGCGTCTCATACCGCCTTCCACCTGGATGCCGTTCTGCACCCAATCTATCTTCTCAATGTCTTCAAGGCTCTTGCGTCCTCGTGACACCTTCTTCAGGAGACCCTCGACGCAAGCTCGCGCGCCTTCCCACTCCTTGCCCTTCTCCGTGTCCCACTCGCCGTCATCGTCACCGAACCTGATCCACATCCAATCGCATCGTGCGATACGATGAGCAGGCCGGCTGCGTGCAGGCTTGCCAGGTGGGGAATCGAATGGTAGGCGACCTTCTATTAGCGCATAGAGCAAGACACCGAGCGCCCAGGCATCAGTTTGACGGCCGTCATATGGCTGGCCTAGGAGTATTTCAGGAGCAGCATAATCTTCACTGCCACAGCGAGTAGTCAAAAGAGGTGATTCCGGCGGGGCAGGAACACGACGCGAGAGACCCAGATCCGTAAGTGTTGCAATGGGGTACGGATGTGAACGTGGGTTCTTGAGTAGAGGTACTGTAGAGACGGGAATGTTAAGGAGGACATCTGTGACCGATTAGTAGATGTTGCTTGGGGAAGACTGACGGGACGGGTGTAATTTACTTTCTAATTTGATGTCGCGATGCACGATGAGCTTGTCATGAAGATATCGCGTAGCACTGACCAGCTCAGCGAATATACGCTGAACGAGGTCCACACCGAGTAGTTCGCGGTTCGTGCTGGCAACGTCGAACAAATCACCACCGGGGCAATAGGTCAAAACAAGCAGCGCTTGCGATGCACCATTATCGAACGCTCGTAGATGGACGAGCGAAGGATGAGAGACCGAGCGGAGCATCTCAACTTCCCGCTTCAGGCTTAGTTCTACGCGTTCTTCGTCCGCGCCGCCTGCCGGACCGTGCTCGACGATTTTTATGGCGACAAGCTTGCGGGGATCGAGTGTGGTCTCATCAAGTGGGTCGCTGGCTGGACGCTTCTCGCTTGTTGCTAACCAGACCTTGCTAAATGTTCCCTGACCAAGCTGGCGTACTGGGCGCCAGAGCTTCTTGGCCATCTGCGGGCCCTGTCTCACAATTATGTAGTCGATCTTGTCGTCGTCTCCAACCTCTTCCTCTTCACTCTCAGTGACGCTCCGATTGCTAGCCGGTGGTGTAGGCAGACCCGCAGGAACTGTGGCTGGTACCAGGCCTCGCTGTGCGGCCAGATATGCCTCGCGGTGGAGTCGAGACTCGAACGTTGCATCGGGCTGAGACGTTTGGGGTGCTACACCTGAAATCGTGACATGTCGCGAACCGATATTGTGCATGGTGTCGGGCCTGAACTCGCTAAGGCTCCTGTTCCTCTCGCGAGTTGCCTCGTTCTTGTGCTGGGTCTGCATGCTTGCATCGACTGCCTGTTCTCCGGCGGTCTTCAATTTTTGATATCCTTTCTTTTTCAGTGAAGGTGAGGGCGACAAGGTGGCTCCTCCTCTACTAAACATGGCGAACGAGTCGTCTCGTGACGAACCTGACGCGCCTCTTGAGCGAGGGCGAAACGAAACGCCGCCCCTAGTCCATGATCCCGGCGAATCACTCATGACCAGCGGCGAGGGAAGCGGAGTGAGGTCGACCAGAGCGTTCAATGCGGGTGACGAGAGTGCTGAGCCAGGCGACAGCGATCCGGTCATGCTCCCCGCAGAAAAGGTACTCCGCAAATAGCCCTCCTGTATTGCAATGGGCGCAGTGGCCGAGTGCCGCAGCGACTCCCCCGTGCTGCCCTCCTCGTTCGTCGACTCGTTCGCGAGGCGCTCAGCAGCCTTCATGAATAATACGTCGGTGTTCAGGGAGAGGCCGTGGGCGGAGGGGTTGCGGATGTGAAAGCGTGGCAGCGACGGGTCGGATGAGTCGTGCGTGTTGAGAGGCGGGAGGTGCGCGTTCAAGTGACTCGAGGTTGCATTGCCGGTGGAGTGGAGCGCGATAGAGGAGTTGCTTATCGCATTCTGCGAGTCGGCGTGTGACTCGATGCGCGCAGAACGAGGGGCCGCCAGGGCGGAGAGTTGGGTGGGGGACAGAGGGCGGCCCTGCTGCGAAGTCATCTTCGCAGTGTTGATGGAGCGCTGCGGCGGCACCGTCGTGTTTCGCTCACCGCGTGGATGGTTCGGTGGCGCCGCAGGTTCACGGTTCGGGTTAGCCGCGAGCAAAGTGCCTGTCCGGACGCCTGCCTATTGCGATGGCGCGTGCAAGGCTATCTTGATGTCGATAGTCTGGAGATAGCTGTGACATGCACTTTCACCTTCACTGCTCTCGCTCGCACATATTTGCTGTCTGCTGTGCCCTCCAGACCCTTCAGTCTACCCCTACGGCCCTGTGCAACCCAACATTGCTTCCACGCGCATCATCAAAAGCATCCCGACCTATAAGATTGCTTGATTTGGGCACGATTGCTTTCGGAGACTAGACTGGTGGGCCAAGATTAGGCGTAATATGCAGGTCACGTTCATCTCCAGGGCTGCACATTCGCACTGAATCCACACATAACCTCGCCCAGGGACCGATAGAGGCATTCTGTGGTAGACTGACATCACTTGCTCCGCTCTCCGTTTGTAAAGAAGACGGTGCCGCTTGCATCTTTGCACGCATGCGTCAATTTTTTAGTGTGAATCGAGAAGAAGTACCCCAGACATCCGTGCCCTCCACCAAAGCTGACGCCAAGGGCGCCCTATGGCCAACGCTACTGTGGTAGCGTCGAGACTCGAAAAGAGACGCCATGCCTTCTTCCAAAGAAACTATAATACAAAAACTTTTCGTGGCCAAGACCGTCCTCCAATGTAGGAGATCGTCATCCGCAATAGAGTACAAACCGGCCGGGACATCACCTTGCTGCAATGTCAGCCTTGCCCAACCATAATCAAAGATCGAGCTGTGTTTTCCTAGCATGGGCAATACAAACGCCGACAGTGCTCGACTTTGTGTCCCTGTCCGAGGATCATCAATTATCTCGTGAAAGACTCACGGTATTGGAACCAGTATTAGCCCTGTACGAAGCTCACGGTTGACCAAACGTTGTCCTTCCGCGGTCAGCAGTGTGCAAATCATTGCTTGTAACTTCTCACTTTGGCAGGCTTTGGTTGTACCCATAGGCCTGCTGATCATGCACCGAAGGGTAGTTGTTCATCGGCTGCTGGTACCCCCCTCCTCCGTAAGCATTGATGAACGGAGTACCCGCAGAATGATAAGGGTTGCCGGTGTTGGGAAACGCGTAGCTGCTATTCTCCCTACTCTCGCGACCATAGGCTGTACGGCCTAGCTGAGTGTTATTCCCGAAACGCCCAAAGCCAGGTGGACCTGAGGGCACTGGAGGAATGGGACCGTTGCCAGGGCCGTTGGCATCGTAAAAGGGCGGGAAAGAGGGCTGCGAGCGCGAATTGACGAACGATTCTTTTGACTACACGTCGAGGTCAGTAAAGGTGAAAGTGTTGCGGCACAGGAGATGCATACCTGGTGGGGAGACGGAAACGTAGCTGTAGATGCCTGGCTCTGTGATTGTAGATCCTGCACCGCCTTATGGAGCTCCTTGATGCCATGGTCCATCGCGTTCATTTTCGCAGTCTGCGCAGTCAGAGGCTCCACGACCTCAGCCTTAATGAAGTCGCGAAGCTTGTCCAGCTGAACGCTGAGATTGTGACTCTGGTTGCCGTTATGATCGGCCTTCTCACCGACAGAATTGATCTGCGACTTAATGTCATCAAATCGCTGCTCAATAGTGGTCCTGAGCTGCTCGTGCTTGGACGATGCTGACTTGCTGGCCTGATCGTTGCAATTTGACACCCAGTCATATATAGACATGGCGACCACATCGATATGCTCGTTTGTCATGAAGAAGTGGTCATGTAGGGGTATCCCGGCCCTCGGTGGAGGCGGTACAGGCGCAGTAGGAAATGCGGATGGAGTCCGACCTGTATTGGATATGAATACGTTGGTAGCAGGTTGCTGAGGACCCATTGCGCCCTGAGTAGCCTGTGGAGTTCTGTGCAACGGACTAGGGACCGCACTTGACGAGTCGTATCCGTGAAAGTCAGCCCTGCTAGGACTCATACCGTTCAGCATGTCTGTAAGTCGCGAAGATGAGTGCTCAGGTTGAAGAATGCCATGCGTGGGGGCTGTCGCAGGTCCGTCAGTGCGAGGTTTGATTCGCAGCTCCTCCATGATGCGCGCGGCGGGATCGGGCCTGCTAACGTCGCCGTACGTTTTGGGAGCAAGCACGGGAGATGCACTTGCAGCGTGTGAAACCGACCTCGCTGTAGCAGAATGTGGATCAATCTCGCTCACGTCGCCCTGGAAGACAATCGGGATTGATCCACGCTCAGAACAAAGTGTGTGAGTGTCAGATCTCGGTCGATCGGTGGGCTGGAAGGGATCCTCAGTCTGAGCCATCAGTCAGTCAGTTGGAAGCGTCAATTAAAGTAGAACAGGAAGCGGAGAAACGGGAAGTAAAGGACGGTGACCATCTGATGGGAAGGTGAAGGTGGGGCACTTGTCGCTTCTGCGTGTGAAGGAAGGCACGACTGGGGGCACTTACCTGCTGGGCCTCACTCTTGCGGACTGCAGGCTTCGGTGGCGAATAAACAGTAGGAAGAAGGTATTCCAGCTTCGGCGAACGTTGGTCAGGCGGGGCGCCGTCCGCCTGGGGTGCCCTCCGATGGAGCCAGGCGGTGGTTGCAGTGATCGGAGTCGCTGGAGCACTGCGATGTTCAGCACGCACAGCAGAGAGCGGGGTGTTGTCCGGCGACTTCAGCGGAGCGCTGTGACTCGGCTCGTCTTCCTCAGTTGTGTACGCAATAACGCCGTGGGCAGAGAATAGTGGTTCACCTTCAACGAACCCAGGCTTGTCAGCGGTACCCGGAGGACAGTACTTGCTGGGGCTTCCACCACCCTTTGAAGGAATAGGATCTATCTCCAGGACGGAAGGAAGAAACAGCTTCATGCCGCTGTCATGGAAGTCCTCCGGTTCCGTTTCTGGTGTTGGCGGTCGAAGAAGCTGACTCACGGTGCGCGGAGGAGATTTGTTTTCCATGGCTTTTAAAGCCTCGATTTTACGATCAAGATCAGGAAAAAGCTGTCGAATGTGCGGAGGTAGTGAATCTTTGCGCGGCGGAATTGGTGGAGCCTCAACCTCTCCGGAGCCTGTCAGCGCTTCGAGCGTCTGCTCATGTGAGAAAACGGTCGCTTTCGCCGGGGACTTTGGCGGAGACGGCCTGCGGCCTGTTCGACCCCTAGGCGACAACTGCACGGGGCTACGTCGACGGCCGTGACGAACGGGTTGATTGAACAACTTCGAAGGCAGAGACTTGGATGTATCCGATCTCGGTACGGAAACTCCAGCTGCCATCCTTGCTAAGGGGGAGAACTTCCTGTTCTTCCCAGATGGACTCGTTCCCATCAACCTGGCCGCTTTCAGGGGCATCGGCGGTGTCGGTCCAGTGCTTACAACGGGCCTTGAAGAGAATGGTATGCTCACGCCGAAGATCTTCTTCTTCGGGCTTCGAGTGACGATCTCTTGTTCTGAATGCTTGCTCACTTGAGAGATCCTGCCCGGTCTCAGGTCGTTGATGCTCACATAGTTGTCCAACGCAGGCGCAGTACCTTGCAAAATTAGTTCTGATAATTCGTGCCCGTGAGAGCGACTTACCGTCTGTTGGCGTGTCAGGCACTTGACCCATCAGTTTGAAAAGCTTGCGCTCTTTCTGTGCTTCGATCTCAGCCCTTGACGTGGCTTCTTCGGGGAGACCCAAGAATTGCCTCTGAGTAGATGTGAAGCTAGGATAGCTCCGTTCATTATACTTAGATTGCGTTGTTGATTCATAGCGGCTTGTCACGGACGCTGATTTCCGCGGCGATTTGCGGACGTGATCAACCAGGTTCGAGTGATTTCCTTTCGTCGATAGCTTGGAAGCCGTCGAGTTTGAGCAAGAGACTACTAGGCTTGAAGGGCCATCAGCAGCGGAAGCCCCCCATTGTTGCTCACCGCCATGACCTGGTCTGCTCGAGTAAGACACTGGTAGTTGTTGGCCGCCTTCTGCTCGCCTTCGCTGCTCTTCGGCGGCGGCCCGCTCAGCAATCGCAAAAGCATTGGGGCCCGGAATCTGGCGTTGCGGATACGATTGAGGTATCTCGATGGGTGGGGGACGCTTCTTCTGCGTCTCATACGGTGACGCCATAGCTATTGCACATACAAACGTGGGTACAGCAGCGGAAGGAGCAGGTCTATTTGTTAGTACTGGAACCTAGCAGGAGAGACGCGAATGAGGGGCGCTCACTCGAATTTTTATACCGGATTGAGGCCTAGGGCGTGAGGTTGAGATAAACCACCACAAGAGCGGCAGACCTAGATTCTGCTCAATAGAACGGGTGTCAGCAGTTATCCAAGAGAGGCGCAAAAGGGCGGAAGAGAGTGTCGCGACGATGTTCGTCGCGTTCGAGATGTTTTTGTCTACGCCCGCATAGTGCGCTGTCTTCACTAAACCTCCAAACAACCCTCGTCCGGGGCAACCAACAACAAACGGCACGCACGCACGCGAGCGCACGTAAACAAAGATGTGACGGAAAATAATGGCCAGAAAGGACATACGCCTTTTCGGCAGTCTCACCTTATCTCGTCGAGGGCAGCCCTCGCCCGGCACGCACCATTCTAGACCAGCATAGTAAGCTAGAACATGGTATAGCGGCAAAAGAAGGGATATGTTTGAGATCTTGAATTGGAAGAAGGATAGGGTGCAAGTTCATAAATAAGAAAGAAACATCGCTACTCATTGGCTCCGGCCGCAAGGTATCCAAAATCACGCCAGGCCTTCAAAAAGATTGGTAGAGAATAGAAGTATCATCAACGGTTCACCTTCTAGAGAATAATGCACACTTTGCCCTTCCTTCTTCCTTCTTTTTTGCCTCCCTCTTTCGTTGTAGGAGGCTCGAGCGCTGCCACGATAGCCTTCATTGAGATCAGCATATCAAAATTAGAATACTAGATCAAGGGGAAGCTCACCTCATCGAAAACGTCCTTAAGCTTATACTGCGTCAACGCAGAGCATTCCACATATTTGACTGCGCCCAGATCCTTCGCCATCTTTTCGCCATCTTCCCGTCGTACAGGTTGCATCCGCTGTTTAGCGAGCTTCTCTTTGACTGATGCATCCTCTCTCAAATCTACCTGTGTGCCAACGATGAGGCACGGAACACCAGGGCAGTGGTGATGTACCTCCGGAAACCATTTCTCTCGGACGTTCTCAAACGACGCTGGCGAGGTAACGGAGAAGCAGACAAGGAATACATCAGTCTGGGGGTATGATAGCGGGCGCAACCGATCGTAATCTTCTTGTCCAGCGGTATCGAAGAGTCCCAAAGTGTATGGCTCATCACCGATCCTACAATTCAATCAGTCAATGCTCCACTATGGGGGGTGCTTTGGGTCGTATGCAGCGTGATGAGGGAGCACCGATTTGCAGGATCTCGAGGATGAGGCTCACATGACAGTGACGGCATAGTTGTCGAACACGGTAGGAACGTATTCCGAGGGGAACTTGTTGGTTGTGTAACTGATGAGGAGACATGTCTTGCCGACAGCACCGTCTCCAACGACGACACACCTAATGCGGCCAGTCAGTGATCATTCCTGCATGCTGACTTCCCTCTAGCACGTACTTTATGGTTGCGACGACCATGTTGTGAGAGGGGGGCTGTGCTGTGGGAGGATGTCGGTAGGAGTGCGTCAGGCGGCAGCTGTGGGAGGATGGCTACGGTCGCGTGCGAGGGTAATAGAAGATGCTGGGTAATAATTCGGCGGCTGCAAAGGCTACGGGTTGGCTATCCAAACGAGGGGTGTGGTGGGCGAGGGCGCCTGGTGCCAAACAGTCAGTATGGGTCACGCCGCACAGCAACGGGTGGCGTTGGCGAACAGCGGCAGCATACCTGTGAGTCTTCCCAGGACCACAAGAGGCGCGTGCTACGTAAGTTTGCGGTCTTGAAACTCGCAATGTCGGAAGAGTCGAGGTTTCAAAGCGGCTGCCGAGGGCGTTTGGAACAAGGAAGCGGGCGAGGCGGTGCCAACAACGTGACGCGGCGATCGACCGGAGTACCGATGTGAAGCTGAAGAGTACTTTTCGGAATTCGCGCTCGACAGGGCTTGCCTTGTCGCTACGAGGCGCAGAGAGTGAATGATTGAGAGCTGCAGTACAGCGGAGGTCGGGCCAAGCAAGATGCACGGCCGCTGAGCTTCGGCGGGACCCCTAGCCTGATGTGCGCGCTTCATAAATCGCATCCTCCCCGCGTGCCTTTTCATCTTACGCGTAACAGCACTCATTTTGGCAGCCACGGCGAGGTGCTAGATGCACTTGTTTAAAGTGCGCCGAGCTGCACGAGGTCAAGAAAACATGAATGTAGCAAGCACCGTCAAGTGCTACGTATATGTATGTACAGTGTATAAGTGTCCGTGCGGAGCATACCGAAGGAGAAACGAACAACCTGTGGCTGATGCTCCAACTTGAGGACGAACAAACTACCTCGTGTGACCGCTGGGGGTGTCTTATGCTGTAGATTGGATGCTGTGATGGACGTCTGAGTGTGGGACGATTCGTATTACCGGCGTTACACAGCGACGTCTGGCAATCTTAAGATGCCTGAGGCGTCCTGGTTGCGTGGCCTGCGTCCGTATACGATGCATTGGACAGCACATGAGGAATCCACGTCTTCGATGCTACCCCACTGCATGAAAATCCGAACCTTCGTCAAAGGCACGAAACAGCGAATGTGCACAGCTGGCATCCGAAAATTGTGAACAGGGTCTTCCAGCAGTTGTGAATTGGCCGTTTAGTTTGGGTTCCAGACCCTGATTGCCAGCACGCTCCTGCGCTACGTGATCAGGCCCACGCCTCAGCCATCGACTTCCGCGACGCGCCTGCACATCTCGACGACCTCAGGGCGTCTTGCAGTAAGTCGCGTGAAAAGCCCTATGCAGGGTCTCTACGTGTGCAGATCCGTGACAACACCGTCGGGTTCGCTGTCAGCTCGGAGAGAGGGTTCGGTTCGGAGCTTCGTTTCACCTAGTGGCTTGGCACTTGAGCTCATGCTTTCCTATCGGCTAGCTCCCCGATCTCAAGGAATTCCCAACGCGTCAATACGAAATGATAGACAATCCGTGACATTGACGAAAATTTGAACTCCCTGCGCGCCGTTATGGACGATCTTGATGATGAACTCGATCTCCGCTATCACCGCGGTTTGAAGCCCGACGTCTATTACCGCTGCCCATCCTCGGAGGTAACAAGTCCTCCCGCTATGCATGCAGTCGTGGCTAAGTCCATTTCGATATAGTCCTTGGATGGCGCTCTACGTAACGAGTTCGAGAAGAACGCAGCTAGTCTTATTCCTGTGGACATTGTTACCGAGTTTGTCTTCGGAAAAGCATCCACAATAACAGTGCCTGTGACGCAGCAGCCACGTCTTGATACCCTGTTCGAACCGGCCGACTATCCCCAAAGCATCACTGTCGAACATGCTCTCTGCCATGGAATTGAGGGCAAGGAGAGGCTCAAATTACAAAGGGCCATTGCTCGGTACGGTCACGTGCAACAATCAACCCCGAGGTCTCTAGCATCCATTGACTGTTATGCAGTTGCTTCATCGAGTCAATCCAGATAATCGACGGATTCAAATACACCGAGCGTCAAGCCTGGAACAAAGACGGGGCCGACGGTGTCAGGTTTAAATATGTCTGCCTGGACAGTCTCCAGAATCGCGACCGGAAGAGCAATGGAAAGAAAAAGAATAACAATCCAGAAGACGCTGATAGCGGCAACAACCAGGAGATGACAAATGGATCGAGGCTACCGATGTACGACTGTGGCGGTGCGGTACACGTAAGATTCTCGACCAAGCGTGAGGCTGTCAATGTGATGTACGTCCACAACCCGATACATCGAGATGTCGAGAGTCGTCCAGCAAACCACGATAGGTAAGTACCATTCCCTTGGGCTCAGAGATAGGGGCAGAATGACATTCGCACGATCTGAGCTGCTCTCTTGTGACGACCGAGCTCGGCCCAGAAGCTCGACACCAAGCTAACTTTCACCCTCAGTCAATTACCTGGAACTACATCGAGTAATGGTACTACAATTGCCAACGGTACGCAAGACAGCGCCAAGCTAAAGAAACGAAAGAAGAGCAAAATTGATCATCATGTGGAGGTGGACTCTGTGTTTCACGGTCCGGATTCTGGCATTTCTGCATCTCCCGAAGTCTCCAAAGTCTCTGCGAAAAAGAAACGTAAAAAAGAAGCAGCTCAATCGGAAGCAAGCGGATCTACTACGAAAAAGAAAATGAAGTCAAAGCAAGCGAAGTCACCCTCAAAAGCGCGCCAAAAGGCGCCGGTGGGAGACTTAATCTCGGAGCCTGTGCAGCCCGTTAAAGGCAAATGCCTTCGTTGCCGCGAGAAAGGTATAAATTGCAATGAAGCGAAGCCCACCTGCAACCAGTGCCTCAAGGGACTGTGGACGTGTCAATATGAGGCGCCGGGTCCGAGACAACGCTCGAAGAACGGGTGCCTCAATTGTCGGTCAAGGAAACGGAAGTGCACAGAAGAGAGGCCGTCGTGTGCTTATTGTCTGAAAGTCGATGACGATTGTATGTACGGAGAATACGCGTGAGCTGTTCCGCACCACAGCCATCGAACCACCGACAAACCCGAAGTCGACATACTTTTCACACCTCATTCATGGATGAAGTACATAAGTGAAAACAGGATATCAAATTTAGCGTTATGATTAGGCATTGTAAGTGTTGATAGACATACGTACATTTGCAAGACTAATCTTGAAGTAGAATGATGTCTTTAACTGCGCCTATTTTTCTTCGGTTTAACCAATGATTGCGTATCACGAGAAGCTCAGTTTGAGGTTAGCCTATGAAGGCAGACAAGCATAGTAGTAAGACATTTGAGCTTCCTTTCTAGCTTTGCGAGCCTCTGGTACCACTTTGGTACAATCAAACATCAGCCTTGTGCTGGTCTCGGTGCCCACACAACCCCAGCCCCGCCTAGCATCGATAGAAAGTGCATTTTCGGGAGGCGGCAGATATTGTTATAGTCATCGCTCGGTCCTACATAGTTTGGCAGAAGCACCAAGCGGCGACATAACGCATGCTAATGAGGAATAATCTTACTATTACTCATTCCCTCAACCGGTGACGATGTTCATTCGTCCTTGATACAGTATGTTCAGATGACGTCTCTTAGCCGTCGATCGTATATATACCGACCCCTGTCAGCCAATGAACTTCTGGAGCAGCGGGCCGCCACAAGCTTAAATCCATACGAGGCTTCAATATACCCAGCGAGCGACTGCCATGATCGCAATATAGCTAATACCCATCGCTTCCAAGAAATTCTTGGAGATTTGAGCCGCTCAGCATGTGGTCACTCAGGTTTCGGTGCCGCCCAAGGGGGCTCAATTGTTCCGTGCAACTATGTCGGCTTGTGGATCTCCGCTCTTGAGTAACTGTTGGTACTTAAACTGTTGAGCGCCATGGCGCACATGCACTTGTGTACGAAGTCGATTTTGAAGGGTTTCGACTTTGCTTATATACAATGCGCGGGCCTTTGATTCCTCTGCTGACCTTGACTGTAGTGTCGCGAGTTTCTGGTGCGGCGTGGACTGCTTTAATATTGCGAATCTGTCTTGTACTAATACTTGAGTAGCTCTGCCCTCCGATCAACCATCAAAACGAGCAACCATCAGCTGGGACGATGCATACGCGAAGGCCACGACAGCTCTTGCCAAGCTCTCCCTGAGTGACAAGGTCGGAATAGTCAGCGGCACCGGTTGGCAAGCTGGTAATTGTGTTGGAAACACAAAAGCAGCTGGCTCGATCGGATACCCATCACTCTGTCTGCAAGGTAAAGCGTACTGCCAGCGAAGCGGTTGCAATAGATCTTGACGTTGCACCAGATGGCCCTCTCGGGGTCCGTTACATCAATGGCGCCACCTCCTTCGCAGCCGGTATCCATGCAGCATCAACCTGGGACGTCGATCTGATTCGCGAACGCGGAACCTTCCTCGGACAAGAGGCAAAACAGCTCGGTATCCATGTACAGCTTGGTCCTGTTGCTGGACCGATGGGCAAGATTCCAACGGGTGGACGAAATTGGGAAGGCTTCGGTGCTGATCCCTATCTTGTTGGAATTGCAATGAGAGAGACGATTCAGGGAATGCAGGAGGCTGGCGTACAAGCTTGCGCAAAACACTACATTGGCAATGAGCAGGAGAGAAACCGTGAGACCATGAGCAGCGCGATTCCAGACAGGGTCATGCATGAACTCTATCTGTGGCCCTTCGCAGACTCGGTGCAGGCTGGGGTGGCCAGCGTAATGTGCTCGTGAGTACAGATGAAACGGTCATAAGTGCGGGAAATCCTAACAACAATTTAGCTACAATAAGATTAATGGCACGTACGCCTGCGAGAACGGAGGAATCATGAATAAGCTGCTGAAGGACGAGCTTGGTTTCAAGGGTTATGTCATGTCAGATTGGAACGCCCAACACACGACGGCCGGCAGCGCCAACGGAGGCTTGGATATGACCATGCCCGGAAGTGACTTCAACAAAGGCAACGTCCTCTGGGGCCCAGGTGAGCGAGCAATCTCGTTGTTCATCCTTCAAGAAACTGACACCTGCGAAGCACTCCAATCTGCAGTATCAGGTGGCCAAGTTCAGCAATCACGGGTTGATGACATGGTCAAGCGCATCCTAGCAGCGTGGTACAAAGTTGGACAGGACAAAGGATATCCTACTGCGACATTCAACTCATGGAAGATCGGAAATTACAACGTCGGTGGCAACCACAAGGATAATGTTCGGAAAATGGCGCGTGATGGCATCGTCCTGTTGAAGAACACGGACAATGCGTTGCCGTTGAAGAAGCCTAAGAGCATCGCTGTGATCGGCAGCGACTCGATTGTAGCGCCGAAGGGTGCGAACGCATGGTAATCCAAAGATCATTCGTATAATTCGATCTCAAGCTAACCTAGCAACAGTGCCGACCGTGGATGCAATGACGGTACTCTTGCCGTAGGATGGGGAAGTGGAGCCATAGAATTTCCTTACCTCATCGCACCCCTAGATGCTATCAAAACACAAGCTCAGCAAGATGGTACCACTATCACCACGTCGACGACCGACAATGCACAGCAAGGCGCTTCGGCTGCTCAGAACGCTGAGGTGGCCATTGTGCACATCAATTCCGACTCTGGAGAAGGGTACATTACCGTTGAAGGCAATGTTGGCGACAGGAAAGACCTCAACCCGTGGCACAACGGCAACGACCTCGTCAAAGCTGTTGCAGCTGTCAATAAGAAGACTATCGTTGTTATTCACAGCGTTGGACCCCTAATCCTCGAGCCGTACATCGACACCCCGAACGTTGTGGCTGTGGTGTGGGCTGGACTGCCAGGTTGGTTGAAATTCAATGCACCATAAACACAGTACTGATGTTTAATAGGTCAAGAGTCAGGTAACGGCCTGGTCGACATTCTCTATGGCGCCGCATCCCCTAGTGGCAAGTTGCCTTACACAATTGCAAAGCAGCCTTCGGACTACGGTACTGCTGTAACGAGCGGTGACGATGCGTCATGGGATCTGTTCATCGACTACCGCAGGTTTGACAAGAACAACATCACGCCGCGTTTCGAGTTTGGCTTCGGTCTCTGTATGTTCCTCTCTCCAGTATCTGAAGAACACTCTCTAACTTTCAACAGCATATACGAATTTCACTTACGACGCCCTCGCCATCACTGGCGCCCCCACCGCCGGCCCCGCCACGGGCACCAAAGCCCCTGGCGGCCCAGCCGACCTCTTCGAGACCGTTGCAACCGTCACCGCAAAGATCACCAATAGTGGAGGAGTAGCCGGCGCGGAGGTGCCGCAGCTTTACATCGGATATCCCGCAAACGCGGGCGCACCGCCGAAGCAGCTCAGAGGGTTCAACAAGATCAACCTGGCTGTTGGAGCGAGCGGCGCGGCGACTTTCAAGCTCAGGAGGAGAGATCTGAGTGTGTGGGATGGAGGACAGTGGGTGGTGCCGACGGGTGAGTTTGGGGTGTTTGTGGGGAGTAGTTCGAGGGATGTTAGGTTAACGGGGAAGATTACTACTTAGATTAGATTAGTAGGGTAGGGGAGATTATGTGGAATGGGATAACGAAGGAATGCCATTGGGTTACCAGGTCCATACTAGCTTACCCTCTTGAAGCCCATCGTATCGGTTCATCTCATCAAAGAAACATTAAGCAAGTGACTTTGCTCATACGCAAGTAAGAGTATGGCGACGGCAAAATAGCTCTCCCGGCCGGATGTTCCTCTTTTCAAGGATATACCTTCTTGCACCCTCCCTAGTCCTTAGGCGGATCTTGGTAGATCCAATTGAAACTGGTAGCCCACTGGAAGCCTGGGTCCAGACATTTTGCTTCAACTTTCGCTTCCGGCTGCTAGGATCTTCGGTCTGCAGCCCTAGCGTATCCAATGCGTAACAGCATTCCACCTCGTGGAGATCTCACGGATTGAACGACTAACACATACTCGCGTTCACACTTGAGCGAGGTTATCGTCATTTTGCACCGGATTATAAGCAAAATTTGCAGAATTAGCGCTCATAGATCATTGTATGTACTTCGCAATTCGTAAGACTAATTTGAAGGATTGATCCATTTGTTCTCCTCAACAAAGTTATCCAAAAAATCAATGTCTCTGCACTGTCTGTTTCCCTTGCTCGTAGCCATATCTTTCTTCGGCTTGATTTTCCCTGGCGGCCACTCCAAAGTAGTATCCACAGTACAGCGGATCGCCAGTCTCACATAATTAAAACAGTGCCCAATGTGATACCAATCTTCCCAAGTTTTGTTTTGGCTCAAACCATGGACCAAGCCTCTTTTGTGATCTCCATCAATCTGTGATAAGGACTCGTCATAGACGAGCGCTCGGAACATGGCCTGTACATGTTTAGCAGGCAGTGATCGTAGGGCAAGGTAGATGGGTGAGCTTACCAGGCAGTGAAGTTGATGATATACGCTGATTGAGTAGAAATTGACACCATTGCTGTCTTGTTGCCCGGGAGCTATGCCGTACGTCTCAGGGTTTCCGATTTGGATGAACTTGTCGTCGGAGGTGATCTGGTATAATTCGGCCCAGAGTATGTCGGATTCTTTGCCGGGGCCGACCCAAGCATGATCTTCACTAAAGACATTTGCGCCAATTTTGAGAGGGACTGCAGTCGTCAGTGCAAATCAGTCGGTGATGGTGACAGTCGTTCACGTACCTGTGGGGATAAAGCCAGTCGACTGTATGTCAAACGTTGATGAATATGTGCCAAGCAGATACGAAATGAGCATAAGCGCGAGTACCAGAAAGCTTTGCAGGACCGGCTTCACAAAAGATCGCGAATAACCTCCGAGTGAAGTTTGTTTCTCATTCAGCGGACTTTTATCGTCCTCAACAACACACCCCGCTTCCTCGTTGCTACCATCACTGGTGATAGGGGCGTATGCGCCATGCCTAAATCTTGTAAAGAAGTCATGGAGCTTCGCAGACATTCTGCATATGTATAAGGAAGAGAGTGAAGAACATTCGCCAACATATCACTCAGCTGAGCTATTCATCACCCCGCCGGCTAAAATCCGCTTTGCGATTTCTTAGGTGCTAGATTGTCTGTTTTAGGATTCCCGTACGGGAAGGATCGCATTGTACAGCTGCGCCGACCTTGGCGAGACTTGGGTAGAAAGAATATAGTCACTTGCAGGGCATGATAAGTCGAATTTCAACGACTTCGCCTTTCTACCTACAATAACACAATGAGAGCAAATTAAGACAATCAAAAACATAGGAACTACTCTCCTGACGTACAAGAATACTGGGTAGGAAGACTATAGATGAACATGCTACGCTGTTGTGTTGCGTCGCGATAAAGATGCTGTGTGCCAAGTGCTTGTTCTCGGCTTTTTACGCCCCGCGAGAGATACCTACGTAGTCTCCCGTAATTGCCATTTCTACTAGATCCTCTCGAACTACTACACTGTTTCAAACCACACTACCGGGGAGATAAGAATCCTGGTTAGTTTGACTGATGCATGTCCCCATTTGAAAACATCGACAGCTGAAACGATTCTGCAAGAGCCCAATTAAGGGGAATTTTTTATCGATGTAATGTCTTCTGAGCTATCCATGTAGCATGAGCTAGGGCAAAGTTTACGGAGAGAAGAACATACCATGGGACTGGAAACCTTCTAGTAAAAGGTACGTTCTACGCATGTCTCAGATGTAGGACAAGGAGAGACAAGATCTATTATAATCGAAGGCAACGCATTTGTCTCAAGATACTGATTCTTGAAAGGTCTTAACAGAAGATTGGCGATGGAGAAATTTTCTTCTCCGAAGTCGAGACGCTAACAGGCACACATCTCAACTTCTCAGCATCAATCCTCTACAAAACAACCGTATAGATGTTCCGCCCAAAGTTTAGTCATAAACTTAGACAGACAACCATTTTGCTTGAATACGTAGATGTAATCCTTCCATAACCAATTCGACCCCAAAATGGTGCGCTCCTTGTTGCCAATCTTAGGGTCAGAGAGCCGGGCCGGAAAGTGTTACCAACCTTCGGAGCAAAGCTTGGCCTTCGTAGGGACAACAATTTCCGATGCATTGAACTGGCGACACCGTGGATATATGGAAGATCTACCGCATGTTGATGGCCACAATGCATTCAGGAATGGCTAGCACATCAGTTTCCAATCGCTTGGGCTCTCCATGGTCTAAGTCGTTGCTCGACGACCGAGACAGCCTTGTGATTAAAGCTTATCTCGACTTTACAGTCTGATACAACCCAGATAAGTCATCACCAAAGTTGTGTTAAACAATAAACTTTCCATGGAAAGGTAGCCAGATGAGAAAATGTGGTTTGAGAAGCCTCGACATGACGAAGAGCATCGCTATGCGCCTTTGGATCGAGTAGTAGAAGATCCGTCTCGAGGCCCGCCACGCACCACGTCATTCCTGCCATGGCTTCACCTCGTTGAAAGGTTAAGTATCATGACTGTCAACGCGTCACCCAGTGCAAAGAATACTTCAACGCTGTGTTTGTAGGAGGGTACTTTGTAACAAGCAGGTTCCGAAAAGCTCCACGATACGAGTCCTGCACCCCATGCGATGTGCGCTAGCATTCCCCACAATGAAGACGCCGGCACACTGTCGCGGCCAAACTTTGGCGCCGATGCGGACAATTCGACATCGGAGGGCGCGTGGCATATCAAAATGAAATCTCGGGCCGGTCCCGCTGCGAACGATGTCCAATCAAGAAGACGCTAAAGGAGTGATGGCGGATTTTACAGCAAAACTTTACGAATGACGCGCAAAGCTTGGGCCGCCCGTTGGTCTAGCGCGAGGGTTTATCTCAACTCACCGCCGGCGGGGTCTGCACACTCTCTCATTCTTCATCGCAAGCTCCAGCTCATACTTCTTCCATAGGGTCCATCGTGCCCGCCCTGTCCTGATATACACCGACTGAATCTTCGCCGCGCTTATGCGTGCTGTTTCAATCTTCACTTCCCAGGTACGTGAACAATGACTCTTCCGTCACTCCCTTATCGCGGATCAACGCACACCGTCAATTCTGCGCCTGCGCCGACGGCCATGGTGCTCAATGATCGACCAACTCATCATGCATCTCTTCTTTTCCTCTTTGAAGGCCACGGCTAATTGAGTCACCACAGGACTACATCTCTGGTATGCCATTGCCCAGCGAACACGCCTCTGTGGCGCCGACTAACGACTTTGATAGACCACCTGTGGAAGGCCTCAATTAACTAAGAGCTTTCCTTAAGAACCCGCTACAACATCCAATTCACTCACAACAACCTCCATTCAAGATGATGTTGCAGTTCTTCAAGCCTACCGCAGTCAGGTCGGTTGGTGTCCTGGGACAAGCGACAAAGAACCGAGCACAAGCTCGCTTTATGGCTACTTTTCAGAACAACACACCTCGACAGGTCCCTACGCCTCACCGGAAGGCCACCCCCATCTCTACTGAGAGGGCTACATTCACAATCAAGGTAAGGGTTCCCGAACCTGGACATCATGAACGCGTCACTCACCGCCATTTAGAATGGACCCATCTTCTCCGGAAAGTCGTTTGGCGCCAAAGTCAACATGTCGGGTGAGGCTGTCTTCACCACCTCGCTTGTCGGATACCCCGAGTCGATGACCGATCCTTCCTATCGCGGTCAGATCCTCGTCTTCACTCAGCCCTTGATTGGCAACTACGGTGTGCCATCCTTGGCCCGTGATGAGCATGGCTTGCTCCGTCACTTCGAGTCTCCTCACATCCAGGCGTCTGGAATTGTTGTCCAGGACTACGCTCTGAAGCACAGCCATTGGACCGCTGTCGAAAGTCTTTCCGAATGGTGCGCTCGCGAGGGCATCCCCGCCATCTCCGGCGTAGACACCCGTGAGGTTGTCACATACCTCCGTGAGCAGGGTTCTTCTTTGGCTCGCATTACCATTGGAGAAGAGTACGACGCCGACGAGGATGAGGCCTTCGTTGACCCTGAGGCTATCAACCTCGTCCGCAGGGTCAGCACCAAGGCTCCGTTCCACGTGAGCTCCTCGCTCGGCGATATGCACGTCGCTTTGATCGACTGTGGTGTCAAGGAGAATATCCTACGCAGCCTCGTTTCCCGCGGAGCCAGCGTCACCGCTTTCCCCTTCGATTACCCGATCCACAAGGTCGCCCACCACTTCGACGGTGTCTTCATCTCTAATGGACCAGGTGACCCAACCCACTGCACCTCCACCGTGTACAACCTACGCAAGCTTTTCGAGAGCTCTCAGCTCCCCATCATGGGCATCTGCATGGGTCACCAGCTGCTCGCCCTCGCTGCGGGGGCTAAGACCATCAAGCTCAAGTACGGCAACCGCGCGCACAACATCCCGGCTCTCGACCTCACCACCGGAAAGTGCCACATCACCTCGCAGAACCACGGCTACGCCATCGACCCCACGACCCTCCCCGCAGACTGGAGGGAGTACTTCACCAACCTGAATGACCAGTCCAACGAGGGCCTCATTCACAACACCCGCCCCATCTTCAGCGCGCAGTTCCACCCCGAAGCCAAGGGCGGACCGCTCGACTCTGGATACCTGTTCGACAAGTACATCGAGAGCGTCAAGAAGTACAAGGACCAGCAGGCTATGTTCTCTGACAGGAACAACAAGCCCAGTCCGTTGTTGGTGGATTTGCTCAGCAAGGAGCGTGTTGGCGTGCACCCTGCACACCCCGATGACTCTGAGGGCGCCCACACTGTTGGCAATCTTCAGGAGATTACCATGGACACGAAGGGTACTCCGGCTCCTCAACCGATCGCTGCCGCTGCGTAAATCTGTCGGCGATTGTCTTGCGTAACCTCAGCGATGGGTTTCAGTCATCTGGGAATTTTCTGGTCTGCTTTCTTATGTCTGTTGGGTGCAAAGGGAAATTTGTATATATTAGCTATGGGCTCTTCACAATGATCATTCATGATTTAACTGAATGACTTGCAATGCTTTGCACATGTGACTTCTCCACTGTGAACATGCCACGAAGTTATAGATACAGTTGCAATTATATAGAAGGGTATCACAAGTTCAACCTCAACGCCGTGTTCGTCTAATGCAAGATTTGCTTTATGCCTTCCCAAAGCCCGGCTCCTCCGTCTCGACCACCTCCTCTTCCTCGACCTTCTCATCCTCCTTGGCTGCCTCACTCGCCGTCTTCGTCTTCGCAGCCCTCTTCTCCATATCTCTCTTCCGCGCCCCAGCCTTCAACTTCTCCCACTGATCCCTGTACCTCCCCAAAACTTCGGCGTTCTTCTTGTTTTCCCGCTCTAGCTTATCGTTATCCTTCGTTAGCTCGTCCATCTTCGCATTTCGCTCCGCAACCTGCGCTTCCAGCTCGGCGAGGCGTTTCGCAAGCTGCGGATCTGATTGCGTCGGTGCGGAGGGGGTAGCTGTTGGCGATGGCAGTGGGTGCGGAATGGCATTGGCGCCCATGGCGAGGGCTTGCGCGAGTGCAGTTGGATCGGATGGTGATTTGCGGGCGCGGAAGGACTGCGCCAGGGCGTTGTACGAAGACTGCGAAGTAGTTTCCCACATGGAGAGGCGCTTGGATTGCTTATCGACGGTGGCTTTCAGCGTTTCGTTCTCGAGGCTGATCTCCTCGAATGTCTTGAGACCTGAGCCGCGGCCTGCGGGTATAGTTCGCATGGCGGTCACACCCGCGCCTGTGCCTGTGTGTTCGCGCGAGCGAGGACGACGCGACGCTGTTGGCGAGGGCGGACCTACTGTTTCGCGGGCGTCGACGAATTCTTCGTGCGAGGAGCCTCGGAGACCACTGGACTCGTTGTCCGCTTCATCAATAGACGCAAGATGTGGGTCCTGGGCTGCATGATGTGGGTGGCGCGGTGCATTGGGGTTTTGAAGTATATTGGCGTAGGACACGGTGCCGCCGGAGGTAGGGACAAGGTAGAAGGATTCGTTCGGGCCTAAAGGGGCGCTACCGTCTTCGCGGAGGGCGCGGAGAGCAGGTTTGCTTATGAGGGCGGCGAGGTCGGGCTCTGAGGATTTGACGGTGCGGACGGCTTCGGGAGAGTGGTTCCTGCTCTTTGATTGGGAAGGCTTAACTTCCTTAATCGGAGGTTCGGGGTCGAAGGTTGCAGGGGAAAACGTTAGAGGGAGGGCTGTGAAAGCCAGCGGAGGTGTGATAGCGGACATGACACTGCCAAAAGCTGAGTAGAACCGTCTGAAACCTTCTTCCGTGGCGGAGGAGGTACTTTGATTGGTGGTAGCGACTTCCTCTTGCTGCTTGGGAGACGGTTGCGATTCGTTCCGCTTGCTGGCTTCTGCTTTCCGCGAGAGCATGTCCCGCACTGGTGTAGACGCATGCTCATTGCGACCAGCCAACGCATTTGTAACAGAGACTGAGGCATTACTGGGTGTACCTCGACGCGGACCTATGCCACGCGCTTCGGCTAGATTGCTTGCGATGGACGACTGTGGCAGGCGGCGACGGGATGGCGTACGTGTTGGGGACGTAGTCGATGCAGGCGGTGAGGCAGCTCGACCCGTTGGGTTCTTTGGCGGTGGTGAAGCGGTGGTAGACTCTGTAGATCCACTTGCGGCCTCGAGTTTCTTCCTCTCTGCCTTGCGCGGGGGTTCCTTAACCCGTCTGGCGTGCGTACGATGATTGTTTTCGAGAAGAGCGATGAGGCGCAGGGACTGTTGGTAAACGTGAGCCTGGGGAGCAGTATAGACAGCATCGTACGCACCTCAGCGTTGGTCGTGCAGCTCAAGGCTTCGTGAAAGGCAGCAGCAGCAAGCTCATGTTCCTGCCCCGCGCGTGCAAGATCACCGGCATACGTCGCTGCGGAGGCGTTGCGGACGTGCTCCTGGGCTCTGATAAGGGGCGCAGACTCCATGGCTGTTGCGGTCGAGTTGCTTCATGTCGCAGTCGCTGCAAATTACGCGTGGACGAGGTTTGGGACTTGTGACATCTGGCGTCGGTGAAGCCGTGGTGCACTAGGGTCCAAGTCCAAGCAACCCATGACGCAGATCACGCCTGCGGTGGCACTTGCAGCTGTGGCACAGCCTCGCATCCTCGAACACTTGTGCTGATACGCCTGAACAAGCCCGACCTGACCGAGTCCCTCTCTCTTCGCCCCAGGTGTGACTTGCTGCATACGGACCGAATCTTTTCGCACACCTCTCTCGACCCTTAGGAGTGGTTCATTGAGCACCGGTCATTGATCGCTATATTGGTTTCCCCGCAACAGCACCGCCAACCACCGCCTTACCCCAGATCCAGGGACCCTGCACCAATATAATTGCTACTGCTGAGCAGAGTGCGACCGACCTTTGTCTATCTATCGAGACCGATTGACGGTCGCATTGCGAGAAAGACCGCAAAACATCGCATACAAGCCGTACGAAGCCACTCCAGTCCACCCAGGACGACAGATCCACGAAGCTGCAACCTGTCCCTTTTACACACCGCTATGTTTGCATGGTAGCCCATACGTCGGATACTCTCTGAGCTCAGCCTAGCCTTTGCGCATTGAGACAACAGTATTACAATACAATGGCAGCCGTCGAACGGGCGCGCAGCACGACGCCATCCATGGACCCAAATAGCAGAGACAACTCGCTCGCTGCGCCCGTACACCGGGCGCTCTCCAAAGGCAACATTAGCTCCTCTGCGACATCTGTCACAAGCAGCGACGGCCACGGCGATGCTGGCAGCGACCTGCAGAGTTCTGGCGACGGCGTGTTTGACAGGAGGAAGAGTCGCGGCTCCGAAGACGCTAATAGCGAGACGTCTTCGCACCGCCGCAAGCTGTCGAGAATGTTCAAAGGTCGCAAAGGACGGCGCAAATCCATGCAGGACGACATCTCTCCGGGAGAATTGAACCAAGACGTGCCGCCCCTGCCGGACGTTCCCATCATCAGGGCACCTGGTGACGACCCGCGGTTCCGGAGCGAGGAGTCGTTGGGGCTTCACAAGAGTGTTCCGAGCAGTCTCCTGATCGAAGACTCAGATACAGAATCGTAAGTGTTTCTGTGCTATATTTAATTCTCTCCCGTTCGAAGTCGCGGAAACTGTGGCAGGTGCGTCTCGGGCGAAGCCAAGTGCAGGAGCTGCAGTTCGGCAAGAGCTTTGACACATTTCACCAACAGCGTTCTGGCCTTGTTCCACTTCCCCACATCGTCACCGCAAGCATTTCTACTCCGACAATCGTTTATATTTCCTACCCTTGATAATCCGCGCCGTCCGGACTTTGCACTCGCTATTGCTTTGTTCCGTGACCTACGCACTCGGCTTGCGCGTCATCGCTAACACATGCTAGCTCCCCAGTACGGCCTGGTATATCACCGCACCCTTCCCACGCCGGCTATCTCACGCTTTCCTCGCCATTGATCAATTCTGAGACCCTCGATTCTGTGGCGCAGTCTGAAGCCACACTTATAGACTCTATCGCCTCCTCCGAGGAGCCGCCAACCCCACGACACGCTCAGACCATCGACGTTGCTTCAGCCAAGCGGGGCACTTCACCCGTGAACAAGCTCAAAGAAGCTTTTGTGCCTGCACGACGGTCAACCGCTCCAAAGCCGCCGTCCGATACAGTTGAAGCTGCGCGACCGAGCACTAGTGGAGGCCTGGGAGTGCTTTTCGGAGGAAAGAAGCGGGACACCAGACTTGTGGATGATAGTGAGCTTCAGGCATCACCACCACAGATCCACGACAATAGGGACACTCAGTCTACATCGTCATTGCCAAAACCTGGCCCCCAACGCATCTTCACCCAAATCCCTGCGACCCCACCAAATCTGATAGATGCACCCACCACCCTGGTGACACCACCGACACCGACAGATGTCCGACCTGCTTCCCCTGCGTCAACCTCAAGCGTGAAGAACGGGGGTAAGCACGGTTCTGCCCAGTCAAACCCGAATGTGGTCGTCTCACCCTCGGGTAATATGATATCCCACAGACGAGCGCGCTCAGCCACAAATCCCCCTAGTAAACTGTCCAATTCTATCGCAGCGCCTTTAACGCCTACAATAGAGGAAGCTAAGACCCCTGGTGGTACTGCCGTTCCGCCTCAGTCTCCCAGTGGATTTTTCTCCTCTGTATTTTCAGCAGCACAAAACGCAGCCAATACACTGGGCACTACTATCGCCAACAGCGCCAACCAAACCAAGAATAAATCCACGACCCAGCCAAAATCAGACGACAAAAGAGCTGAAGAGACAGGCGGAGAAGAGGTCATTGGCCCTGACAACGCTCAGCCAACGGACAGTGCTAGTACTGAGAAGCGAAAACTCGCTGTAGAAACGCTTGGAACCGGAAATTTGAGTCTGGCACACCTTGGAATCTCGGATAGCTCGGATCCAAGTCCTATGTCTTCCGCGACACATTTGCCTCTGAAGGCTGACGAGGCTTCGGCGAGGGCAGCAGACATGGCTGCGGCCCAGGCGGTATCGGCCGCATATGCTGCAGAACCATCGACAGCTGTCAATGGCGATAGGCCCCGGTCACTCACCACAAACTCAGGGTTAACTACAGCATCAGCTGGGGCAATGTCTCCACCGCGACAAACAGAAGTTTCTGATTCTCCAGCGCCGGCGTCTATACAGCGTCAGGGCAGTATTCGAAGCCGCATAAGTGGTGGACGAAGAAGACGGCATAGGGGCAGCTCCGCCACCACTGGTAATACGATAGCCGCTGCAATTGGCGCCAGCACACACACCTTGGCACCGCAAGCATCGCTGAGTGGACAACGCCTCAATGGAACTGGATTTGCTGTTGCTTCTTCCAAACGGAACAAGGACTTCCACGCCCTATTTAAGAGTGTTCCCGAAGATGATTATTTAATCGAAGACTACAGCGCCGCCCTTCAAAAAGAGATCCTTCTGCAAGGGCGCTTGTACGTTTCGGAGGGTCATCTGTGCTTTTCAAGCAATATTCTTGGTTGGGTGACGAATTTGGTGATCAGTTTCGATGAAGTCGTTTCGGTGGAGAAAAAGTCGACTGCAGTCGTGTTTCCAAATGCGATAGTGATTCAGACCCTGCACGCGCGTAACGTCTTTGCGTCTTTTCTTACTAGAGACTCGACATACGATTTAATTATCGGAATCTGGAAAATCTCACATCCCAACCTGAAGTCGTCGCTCAACGGCGTCGCTCTCGATGGATCAGGGACAGGCGACAAGACAGAAAAAGCCGAATCTGTCGTCAGCGATGAAGGGTCCGATCAGGATTCCGAAGATGAGGTGTACGATGAGGATGAGGAAGAAGACGGCATTGGTAGCTTTACTGAAGCGGGCGAAGGAAGCATTGCCGGTAGTGAGCAGGAGTCTATACATGGCGAGAGTCGCAAACCCAGTGCCTCAATAGCGCACGCCGTCAGTGGGGGCTCTGCTAAGCTCGTTGACCCGGCCGAAGTTGTAGCAAATGCAGCACCAACTGCTCAAGACTACCCGGGTGCTGCAACTCATGCACCCACTGACTGTGGCGACAACGACCAGCACTACGACAAGCTCCTCATAGATACAACTATCCCCGCACCACTCGGGAAAGTTTACAGTCTCATGTTTGGTCCTGCTTCTGGGGCCTTTATGAAGAAGTGGTTGGTTGAAGACCAGAAATCAACAGATCTGCAGCTTGAAGACGATGGGAAGGGATTGGACGACAACCACAAGGCCATGACCTTCTCATATACCAAGCCCCTCGGCGGTGGCATTGGGCCTAGCAAGACGAGGTGCAACATCAACTCGACTTTGGAGCAGTACAACTTGGAGAAGGCGGTCACTGTACTTTGCAGCACACAGACACCAGATGTACCAAGCGGCAACGTGTTCTTGGTGAAGACGAGGTATTGCCTTATGTGGGGACCCAACAACAGCACACGGATCATCATGACATTCGCTGTGGAATGGAGCGGCAAGAGTTGGCTCAAGGGTCAGTTTGTTCATACAGCCAGATATTTCCCGGTTTAGCCATACTGACGTGTATAGGTCCGATTGAAAAGGGCGCGAACGATGGCCAGATGACCTACGCCACTGCACTCAGCGCTGCGCTACGCACAGCAGTCGTCAGAAACGCTGCTCCAAAAGCGGCCGGCAAAGGTGGCAAAGGAAAGAAACGCTCAAAGAACCAGATTTCGGATGAGGCCGCCGTACCAATACCGGCAGCTACGCCAGCCGCCGCTCAACCTAAAGAGCCGAGCTGGGGCCCATTAGACCCTCTTCGCAGCCTCTTTCCAGGTCCTCTTGTCAGCATCATCGACCTCCTTTTCACTACCCAGAACATTATTCTCATCCTCGGCGCTCTCCTGATCTACACATGGTTCTTCCGCTCCTCAGCTTCGCACGTCGGTCCGCACACTCACCTTTCAACCGCCCAGCGGCAAGTGGCCTACGAGCAGATATGGCGATCCGAGGAAGCGGAATTGTGGAAATGGCTTGAGGAGCGGGTTGCACTTGACCGCGTTCATAGCTCCGTGACTTCGGGAGGAGTGTTGCAGGGCCAAGAGATCCAGAGTCGTCTAGTCGCCGAAGGGATGAAGGAGCGCCAGATCGATGAGGCGATCAAGACTACGGAGGAAAGACTGAGGGCGTTGAAGGGCGCGGTCAGGCGAGAGAGGGAGACAGGGACCAGGAGCCCACGCGAGGAGCAGACGTAGGAATGCTTGTTCTGCAGCGATGAGCCTCTCACGGGGAGTCAGCGGAGCTCACCGACGAGGAAGATGAGGGCGATGTACTACACATGACTGACCCTAGCTGAGTGAAACTTCATCTTAGTGCGATTGGCGATACCCGAGCCTTGTATGGTTTTACAGCGCTTGTTTGGCTCTTTCACCGGGCCGCAATTTGTACAGCGATGGCATTGTATAGATACGCATGACTTGCATCGGTTGGGAGTTCTTTTCTCTGCGTTTTGACAAGATGTCGGGAAGACATCGTCTGGGCCGTACGGCACACTGTTCCATAGCGTTTACACCAAATCTATATATCCCGAAGAAAGACTTCCGCATGTTTCTAGTTGTCAAGAAAGTATCCGAGCTCTACAGCATTGTGCTACATGACGGGCCATTCTGTCGTCGGCCTACTTCCCGCATCTCTATCCTCCTCCTGCGTCTCACCCAGCTCCTCCATCGCAAAACTCTCCCTCCTCACTGCTCTCCCATCGTATCCGCTCCTGAATACGTCACTAACCACACCTAACATTTGACTCATTCTGTTCGCACGCAGGGGCGGTGACTCCGGCGGCGTGATGACGATCTTGATGGGCTCATTCATTTCCCTGAGATCCTGATATCGGAGGTCGGCTAAGGGTCGGTCTTGGAGGCGTACAGCATGCAATCCAGTTGTAGTACCGATGGCTTTCCTGCGCTTCGCACGCTTTTTCTTAACACACCAGTACATATAATATCCCCCAGCCCCCACGAACCCCATCACAAACCCGCAGGGCGAAAGCACGACCATGCACAGCATGACCCACAGCGCGCGATCGTGCCACCTTTCCACACCTTCGCCAACGCCGGTAGCGATGTGGTGCCATAAACGGGCTTGCCACCGGAACGCAAAGTATGCGAGGACTACGACGGGCGTGATGGTGCAGAGCACGATTTTCCGCGTCTTGATGATGTTGTTCTTCTCGGCTTGCTCGGGTGTGGGTCGGGGTACGGGGGCGGCGGGGATGATGATACGGTAGAGGGTGTGGGCGAGACAGAAGAGGCAGTGTGGTTTGTGGCCACTGTGGCCGGTGGGGAGAAGGTCGGGTACGGTGTTATGGTGCTGCTTGCATATGGTACATTCGAATGTTTGGCGGTCGTTAGTGGACATGATGCGTGGCGAGATGTCGAAGGTTGAGGCTCCTGAGTGCAAGCAAAGACAAGGAGAATAGTAAATTCAGGCTTTGATCAAGGAGGTAATTGAAGAACAGACATTGCGGTGTTGGCGTGAGGATGAGTGCGAACCTCCATCCGAGGATGGACGTGAAGAGCATGTTGAACGAACGCTTGTTACGAAAGATAATTTGTGAATGTGTCGGTCTCGATATGCATATCGATGAGCAGACTGGCGTGCGTTTTGGCCGTCGATCGCCCGCGGAAGAGCTAGATTAAGCGTACAAATAAATGAACTATTGTACAAGGGTATAATATGAGCGTGGTCACATACTGCATCACTCTTCAACACCACATCAGTAAATTAATCCCGAACCCTCCACTTCCTCAGGGCTTCCATGCTTCACCCGAGCCTGACTTTCTTCCACATCCTTAGACACTCTTGTAAATCACCTACCACGCTTCCCGAAGGCTCGCTGACCATGTCGCGCATGACGGCCAGCAAGCAGCTCGCCAACGCAAACGTGACATGATCTTCCTTCACAGCCAAGTAATGACTCTTTGTCATTCCCCCTGATTGTGCCCAATTCTTCCATAGTTCAAGCATGACACTGAGCCGCTGAGCGAAGGCTTTGTCCTGGAGCATGCCGTACAGAATATGCTCCACAACCGAGGCCAGCGTGGGCACGGAGCTGAGTCTTAGTTGCTTCTTAAGAAACTTCAAGTTAGCACCCGCAACGACTCCAATGGGCAATTTCTGGCTCTGAATCGCCTCCAACAACTCCGCCTCTCTTCTTTCCTCCTGGACCAGCATCCGTCTCCTGAAGTCGTGGTGGAACTCCATGGCTTCTCTCTGCAATCTGTCTCTTCTTGCTGCATCCCTCTGTGTAGGGGGGAGCCGCCCTTCTTCTAGCAGCACGTGGCTTTGTTGCTGGGCTTTGAGTTGCCGTTCGAGGCGCTCGGCTTGGTCATTGTACGGGGTGCGCCATGCGGGGACTTCTTCATCGCTCATCGTGTCGAGGAGGACCATGATACCGCAAGGGACCGTGGAGCGTCGGGCTAGAGCGAGGACGTCTTGGGGGATGCAGAAGGACCAGAGGCCGCCTTGGGGTGCTTGGAAGGCCGTGGCTGCGCAGCAGAACCAGAAACCTGCTGTTGAAGCTGATGATGAAGATGGTGGAGCAGGGCGGAGGTGGTGTAGTTGGAGTTTTCGTCTCGACTCGTCGTCATAGTAGGATTCCTGGATACCTGCAGTAGATATCCTGACGCGGATTGAACACTGCAGCTTAATGTCTTCGCTCACAGCGCTCGCATCATCCAAGAACGCGCCTTTCTTTTCTTCCGTAGTGCCATCTGCTCTGCTAGCCTCTTCTATTTCGTTCACTCTCGCTAGCAAATCGTCCTCTCCATTCGGTGCTTTAACTCTAACCCAATAAGGTGGCAGACTGTCTCGTCCTCTATTATCCCATTCCTTCTTCCAGTTCAGATTTAGGCTGAGGATACCGTCGCTGTCATCGCTAAATGCCACACTCAAAACTTCCTCCTCGCCAACCGGGCTGACGAGTAGCTTCGTACCTGCGACTGTCCATAGTCCTGCGCCCCTCAAATCCGCCCATCCCGCATGGCTAGGCACCGCGCCTCGGTCCAGTAGGAACGCGATTAGTGCCTCAAAGTCAATCTCAGCTTGCGGCTGTGCCAATTCGTCGTGATACTGCAACCTATAGCTCTTCACCCCAATCACCATCTCTTTCCATTCAAACAGCGTCCAAGTCCCACCCTTCAAACGGCTCGGCGTCTCTCGCAAGCTGAAGTACTTCGGATCACTACGATCCAGTGGGATAATGCTCCTCCTTGGAATCTCTACCTCCACTATACCGGACAGAAGCGCCGAACGCGTAATGGCCGTGACACCATTGCTGTGTAGCATTCGTGTGACTTGACGAAGCGTCAAGAACGATTTCCATGCTGTGTAGATGGTTGGGAGGACGCCTAGAACGGCTAGGGGGATGCCGACGTACGTTATTATGTCGACGGCAGAAGCCATTGTGCGCGCGCAGGCGCTGAACGCAGCGTAAGGTGGAGATTTTAAGGCATCGAGAAGAACTTGTACGTTGCTGCGGCGCCGGACTACCCCTGTGGGCTGCAGATGGGTGTGGCTGACAGGGATACGCGAGAAAGCGCGTCCGTATACGAGGGCACGTGATCGTTATTAGCCGATAGTAACCCATGCGAGAAATGTTCCGAGCGAAGAAATGAGTGTATCGACATCGATGAGCAATAATCCCGACGTTAATCGAGATGGAAGACCTGGGTGGAGGGCATAGTTTGAGCTGTCTCAGAAGTGATGGTAGGAGAGCGAAGGAGCTCATCCAATCAGACCGAGGGTGCAACTTCTTTCCCTCTGCCTGTGCTTCGAAGAAGAAGAAAATTTACGTCAAGCAACGACGGAGAAGTCGTCGAAATGCGGCACTCCATCTTACCTGGCTGTCGTATTTTCCAATGCTCATTGAGCTTCAAGTGTCTTTTCGTGAAGGAGAAAGCGAGAACGTGTTTATACTCGCCCAGATCCACGGCATTTATAAATTGTGCAGTGTGGGTCGATTTGGACCACCTCCCCGCAATCACATTGCTGAATAGTCAGGCATGTTTGAGACACACTCTCCCGCCAAGCACATCAGGTCTCCTCTTCGCAATCTTGGGCCAAGTCTACCAAGCACATTGTTCTTATTCATGTTGCGTTTTAGACGAAATTGGTCAACGGAGAGCCACACCTAGCTCCATGGGGTTGTTGTCAAGAAGTTTTTAGAGCACCCCATATAGTCGAATAGCACTTCTTTCTGTGCCTAGAGATAGAAGTGTGCCCTGAAGTTGAGCACTCAAGGCGGACTTTATACCTTGTTAGAGGTACTGAAGCTTGCAATTGGCAGGAATGTTTACCGGACCATCTCCACGTGAGCACATGTCGCTTGTAGGAAAGTCTTTGAAATCAAGACTCCGCAGAGGACATGGCAATCTCTTCCGTATGATTTGCTCAAGATCCACCGAGCACATTGTCCTGTTCGTCCTATGCTTCTTAGACTATACAGAGTAACTCCAAGCCACGCCCGAGTCTCATGGTGTGATGCGATCGTATCTTTAAGACCACCGCATGGTCTAAAATTTCACGGCTTTGATGCCCACTCAGCTGCAACAACGTGTCTTTGCAGAAAGGAACTAAGCAGGTATATATACTTTCCGCAGACAGCGGACGCGTAGAGCTCGTTCCAGCTCACATCAAGTTGGCAAAATCCGGAGAAGGTATCCTTTCAACCCAGTCTCCCACCAAACACATCAACTTGGGGTCCTTGGGTTTCTGGACAGCTCCAGTAAGCGAATGCTTCCGTACCTTCTTGAATTTTGATTGAAAAGTGTTGGCCCCAAGCCACGCCCAGCTCCATGTCCCATTCGCATGCGCCTTTGTAGAGCGCCTCATACTTAAAATCTGTGAGCCTTTGGAGTGCAGAAACCAGAAAGAAGTGCATCCCACTCACAAATATCCTCTTAAAGTACTTATACCTTCGTAAAGCACCCGAAATAAAATGGCGCTGGTGTGCCTTTCGCTATGCACTCTTCCAAAGACATCACGCTGGCCACGGCGATTTTCGACAGCCTCGCCCCTAGCACATAGCACACCTAGTGAATTGTTCTCAGGACAACCTCCCACAAAGCACATAGTTTAAGCTGCATGCCGTTTTTGAAGCAGCTCGCAGGCGGCCACATAAAGTAGTCATCCATGGCTTTTGGTCAGGGCAAAGGACGCGCCAGACGCCTATGCCAATGCCAAGTAGCATTTTAGAGCTCCTCATAGATTGGTCTCAGTTTTGCTTTTATGCTCAGAAGCAGTGGAATCGTGGCCAAGAACAAAGGAGTCGAGGACGTATTAAATGCCTATCTTCGCCGAAGCAACAGAAAGACATGTTGCCCACATGATTTTCCTTGGAGGCGCCTCCGAGGACATCGCGGCTGCCAACCACGCTTTTCGACAACACCACCAAGGACATCGGTTTTAATGGAATTGTCTTGGGACACGACCTCGCACAAAACACAAGCCAAACATAGTCCACACTTTGGACCAGCCCCACAAACGAGCACCTACCTAAGGTAGCATTCTTGTCCAATCCTTTAGTTCACGTCGGGGGACGCGCCAGACTCCCATCGTGAGCATGCGTGCCGCTTTTAGAGCATCCCACGCTCCTCGTCCAACCGTCTTTTTAGTGCTCAAAGCAGAGGACATGTGGTGTTGTAGCGAAGTGCTCGAGCAGGCATTGATACCGTCTGGAGGGAGTGCGCAAGTAGAGTTCAATCGGCTCAACCAAGCACATAGTGCCATGACAGAATCCTTTGAACCCAAGCACATCGGATTGTGAATTGACAATTTGGACCAGCTCCACGCGAACGCGCATATGTCACAGGTGCCGACGGTTTTGGCGAGTTGCCGAGCGCGCACTGGACTCCCATCAGATCGAAGCACTTCTCGTTTTAGAGGGCCTCATGGGTGCACTCCATTGCAAATTTTAGTACATGAAGCCGGTAGAACTGTGGTGCGGTATAGAGGGATCCGAGAAGGTACTTATACCTCCTGGAAGGGACCAATGTAGTTAGTGTGCATGTGAAGCTGGACTTCCCGAGGTCGCGTGTGTTCGGTTTAGAACTTCAGACATGTTTGTAAGGTGCGGAAGGCGGTACCGTTGCGGGTGCACCGGGGGTTAGACATGCACTGCATGTAGAGACCAGTAGCCAGGATCCGCAAAATCACCATCGACTAAGGGATCGGGTACATATCAATAGCCTCATATTTACCGCCATCGAGAGTTATAGATAGATGACGTCTCCCATCTTTTCGCAAGCACCTATAAATACATCATTCCAACACCACTCTATGGATCCATGCCTCCGATAAAACCTTCACCTCCTCCGACTCTTCCAAATCTTAACGAACTCCGTCTTTTCCCTAACACCTAGACCCACACGCTTGACTCTGCCCAGTCGTGCTAGATCCTCTCCCACCCTGTCCAACACCTGCTGCCCCATATCTCCCTTCTCCTCTCCAACATGCACCCCATTCCGCAAATGCGGACTATCCCAGATGTTTGTCTCGTACCCCATATCCACGCCGCTCGCCTTCTCGCTCTTCGTAGTACTCGGTGTGTCGATAGAGGGGGAATTGTAAATCGGTCGTGCTATGCGCACACGCATCTGGTGTGTAGGCTTGGACAGGAGTTTCCAGACCCAGTTGAAAGCGCCGCCAGGCACGGGTGTGGTGATATCGCCAGGCGTGTAGCGCAGATTGACAGGGTAAATCTTCGTCTTGGATCCTGCGGTCAAGAGCGCCGGACTTAGCGGGAGTATACCCCGGCCGTTCGTAGTAGTGCTCTCTGGGAACACGCAGATGATGCTGTCGGGGTACTTTTTACTCAGCTCCTTCAACTGCACAAGCTCCACGCCTTTGGGAGATTCAAGCTGCGGCTGCGAAAACGCCATGCATATCGCACCCCAAAGCGTAATAACCTGCACGCCCTTCTCCCCAGGCCACGTCCTTACAAATACCGGGCAGAATATACCAGCGAGGTACAGCGGGTCCAACGGGCTCGTGAAGCTGCTCGCTACAATGTCGCCCTCCTTCGGCAGACTCCCGGCAGCTTGTTTATCGGACAGGCGACCGCGCTTCACGCCGTCGACTTGCAGGTCAACCCACCACACGCCTGGCACCGCGAGGAGTAGCCAGAGGACGCATTTCTTGATTATGGTCGGGATGGGGAGGATCTCGAGGAGCAGGAAGTAGGAGAGGGAGAGGGAGAGGACGGGCAAGAGGCGGAGGGCGAAGAGGAGGGCGTGTATGGGGGTCCAGAGGACGTTGGCGGGGGCGAAGGGACGGGGAGGAAGGGTGCGATTGCGGTGCCTGTCACGCTGTCAGAACAATTCCTCTACTATACGCAGCTGAGCTTGAGCGACCTACCCTTATCCCGAAACTGTGAGTATTTTTCCATGACTGCTGCTCGATGTCTTTCTTGCCCGCGATACTTCACTCCAAGCTGTCGCTACCGCTCCATGAGCTTCAGCGTGGGGCAAACAGGTTTATAGCAGCTGGGTCGGTCTCAGCGCAGCAGGGGGCGCGCCTTCGTATGCAGCTCGCCTGAAGTTATCTCTGTCGCATGGGCACCGGTCGACGATGACAGAAGCAGCGAGTCATGTTTCACTGTGGGCTTGCTACGTGCATGTGAAATTCGGTTGCTGGCGTATGCCAAGACTTCGAATCCCCGCCACCCTTGGTCCTGCAGTTGTCGAACTTGAGACTGCACGTGTTGGAACGAGCGAGAGCGAATTCAAAATTGGTATGGTATTCAACTACCTGCGCGCTGCTAAAGTCTCTTTGAGCCAAACCTCTACTACAAGCCCTCAACCACTTTCTATGCATCCCCACGCGCTACTCAACGTTCACCACCTCTGAATTAAAAACGCAACAACACAAATGCTATCAGTAGAGGGCGGGCTGACACCGATCAAACACGCTGATTCCACAACTAAAAAGTAAGCCAACAATATGTGAAATGCTCCCGCCAGCCATGCTAGTAAAGCAACACTCAGAAGAAAAGGAACGTGTACATAGGAGATGTGATAGTTACTTGCAACCCAGTAGCGGGTATACATGAAGCGATAATACCAAAATTAGGCAGTCCTTCCCAAACGCCTTCAGTCCCACCAGCTCCCTCTCTTTTGCTGTCTCCTCTTTTCAAAATGCGACTATGTGTATAAGGTAGGTACTTTTGTATGGACAAAATCGATCTGCTTGGCGGCTACATAAGGGTATTGTTTGGTGAAGATGATCGTGTTGAAGATGGGACGCGCTCACAGCACGGTTGAGGGGTGTATCGCAAAGAAGAACAGATGCAATTCTTCCTTCTGCGGCCTCCCAAGATGCTGCATGCATGACCACCCCATTATGCAGATTACAACTTATTACAAAAGGTACAGTACGGAAGAGGAACCCAAGGGATGCTCTTCCGAGGCGAAGGATAGAGTCCAGAGTCCAGCCATGGCCAGATTCCGGGTACGGGTTTAAGTATGACGCGGCCGAAGATCAACAGTGGGTATCGAAATGACAACAGAACTCCTACAACGCAACATCAAGCACCAAGCTGACATCGCTGACCTGAGCGCCGGCAAGGTCCTCGAGCACAGGGATCAGATCGAGAAGTTCATTGTCGTGAGCATCAGAAAACCAGCTGCTGATCGGGACGGCGTGTTGCGGATGGAAAATGTAGGACGTGGGGGAGTTGTCGATGATGATGGTGTCCTTGAGGTCTCGGCCAATCTGTGAGAGGTCCTGCGCGCGGTTAGCGTCACGTTGCATGCTCAGCTGAGTATAAGCTTACCTTGACGTAGTTGCCTTGGTGGTTGTAACAACTCTCTCGGAAAAGGCGGTGGTGGACAACACCATGAATGTCAAGTATATCAAGGAGAGGGTCACCGTACTAGAGCATGTTAGGCCTGTTTGATTGCGCATTTTAGTGACGTACCTTGGAGACGGAAGCTGTGAATACCACAACCTCGTACAGCTCGCCGACCCTCTTCATGAACTGATCAACACCTGGTCGCTTTATCACGTAGACATTGTGGTACTGGCCCTCAATTTCTACAGGTATGGTGAAGTCGGCTTGAGCCAGAATCTATATTGAGGTCAGAACTGTGCCATACTGTTTCGACGTTGCGGGTCTTACCTTGAAACTGCTGTGCACCAAAGTCTCGTCCAAGTCCAGTACCAGACATTTCTTCCCCTTGAACTCTGGTCTTAGGGGGCCCAAAAGGTACTTTTGTTGAGGTTCAGACATGCTGGTGTCTGAGGTCTGATTGTGAACGGCAATCTGACGTTGCTCAAGTGGCGGGGGGGGAGGAAGGTCGACCTTGGGCGGGACGTCGTTTTGGACGTCGGTAGAAGCTTCGTCGCCTTCATGTCGTACTTCAGTTGAGGCGAGAGGCACATCATTCATCTCAATATCCTGATCCTTCTCCTCCTGTGACTCGGTCCGGTCATGTATTATCTGTTGCTGTTCATGGGACGGCCTCGGCTGCACGGGAGTCGTTCCGGGAGTAGGACCTTGAACACTGATTGCTGGTCCCGTCTGCAAAGTACCAGGCTGGTTAGGTAATGGTGGAAGTGGCGTTTCTGCTTGCTTCTTAGACGAGCTTCTTGTCACAATCTTGGGAGGACCGTCGTGGGATGGTGTGTCCGCCGTACCATCATTGTGTAACCCTTCACGACCTGCACCCAGGGTCTCACCAGCACTCTTCTCATCCAAAGGCTCCTTTGAGTCTGCAGTACTTGACTCTGTCGTCGGTTCACCCTTGTGCACAGGCTGCGAGTTGCGCGAGGGCGGCGCCTTCTCGACTTTCTTGACGTTTTCTGTCGTTTCTCCTGTTGGAGCTGCGTCCTTGGGCGCAAAGCATGGCAGACACGATAGCAGACCTCCCGATTTCTTCGCTTTGCTTCTCGTCGAACCCTCGCGGTTTTCCGCTACCGGGACAGGTGGCGGCGGCTCAGCCTTTTCCGAAGCTGCGGCATGCTGCGATCGTTTGCTGCTCGCCGTGCTTCCCGCTCGGCGCTTGCCCAGAAAGCTCCGCTTCGAGCCTCGCCCTATGCTCTCCGAGTCCGCCACGGTTGCGCCGCTTAGTCCGGTACCGGTGGGGGTCTGCTCCTCGTTCGATTGCGAGTTGGAGCGAGGAATGTTGAGGAAAGAACGCTTCTTCTTGGGCTGGTCCTCGGGTGCTGCAGATGCTTCGGCACCGTCGATGGTTTTGGATGTGTTGTCGCCCTCGGAAGATGACTGCGGCGGAGCTGTTATCGAAGGCGCTGCGGGGATGGTATTAGATGCTAGATGGGGTTTCAGCGCAAGCTCTGACGTAAGTACGTGCCGACGCAGCAGGGCCTGCGCATTCTACATACCGGTGCCGTTGGCGTGCTGGGTGGTGACGTCGCTCGCGGCGGGCTTCGCGACTGACGGCTGCTCAGAGGCGTCTGCAGCAGCCTGGTTGGATGGCTCGTGGCTCATGGTTGAGCTACGGGGGCCTCAGATGTGCGACGGATGCGGTATGATGTTGTGGATGCGGTCGCTCCTTACGTGTAGTCGCGTGGTGATTACCTCGTTGGGGGCTGAACCGATCGCAAGCGCAACTCGGAGTCGCAGGCGATGCGAGTCTCGACGGCGAATAAGACTGGACGCTGCGCGAGACTGAGCGACGGTCGCGGAGGGCGCGGAGGTGTGCAGGACGCGGATGAAGGTGTAAGGAGCTCAGGATCGCTGCCGTCTTGGACGAGGCTGGGCTAGCTCGCTAAGCGGAAATGAGTGTTCACTTTAAGCTTGTCATCAGCGGTCCCCCACACCAAAGTTGCAATCAACGCTGTGGCAACGTGCGATTCCGGGGAAAGCGCAGCTATGCGGCGACTCGGGAGAATGACAAGTTGATAGACTGTGAGGCGAATCGACGGGCTTCGTGGCAGCTGAAGGTGTGTGCCACTCCCGCCGTGGCAGGGACCTTGCCGCACTCTTTATGGCACTCTTGGACTCGCTTCTAGCACACCTCATCCTGGCACCCCAGCCGCCGCTGGCCAGGCCTCTGGACACGCCCGCTGCACTTCCCATTGCGCGCCTCATTGGACGCTCCACGGCGATGCTGATCGCACGCCGTGGCAGACTCGCATGCTGCGGCGTCCGTCTTCTGCAATCAAACGCCCCGTGAAGAGAGGCATTGTAAGCGTTGCGCCCTGCATTCTGGTGCATAAGGAGCCGATGCCGCGAAGGCAAGGTCGTCTCGACTCCATGTCTAGGTTTGTGGCCGCTTGTGCAGCCCACGGACGGGCCTGTTCTCGTAGCACGGCGGTTAGCACTGGAGCCATTTCACTCCAGCCTATGGGCAGGCCCGCCCACTTCAACCGCCGGATCCCGGTACCCGCAGCGATTGTCCCGTCTGTGTGTGGCTCGGTCCCGCAACCTCCAGCACCGTCGCGACCGCACTCCGCACCTCGCCATGACCTTTGGTGTTTGTCCATGGAAGCCGGCTTTGCGGCACGCCAAGCCAACGCGCGCATGTGACGCCTGTCGCCGGCAGTGATTCGTCGGTCTCACAGCCTGTGGCGAGTGAGCAGCGGTCCGGCGCACGTCCGAGTCACACGGGAGACTTGCCGATCCCTACGCTTCCATGCGTCGAAGGTCACGAGCTCAGCGGCGGAATCGTTCGATGATGGAATGGAGTCCATCTACGACAAAACCTCGCCTATCGTCTTGGGAAACCTTGATGAGACATCCATCTGGCAGTATACTGTTATTTGCATGTCCATTCGAGGTACAATGCTCTGGTTCCTTTCTGCAGCACATCTTACAGTGCCCAGGTGCAGGTGCGCATGTCCCCACGTGATCATAGAGACGGGCGAGAGATGTTATCGCCCACCTCGCCTGGGAGACATTGAACTCTTACCATTCCACAACACCGTCCTACTGTTCTTCAAATTCCATCTTGAACAGTCAGCTTTGCATTCTACTCTCATAGCATCCATCCCCTGTCACGCACCAAGTTTTGCAGTCGTGATAAGCTGTAAAATGCGTAAAATGCGGGGCGTAAGACAGTGGACCACAAAAGATGGATTCGTAAGAGCGACACGATTATGGCAAGAGATCATATGATGGGCATTCTATATCGTCGATCGAGGTAGACATAATGGAGATCGTACACCTCGTTCTCCATGCTCTTTTGTACTTGTTCGCCTCTGCACATGCACATTCAAGATGATATCCATTCGAGGCCGCATCGCATGCGAGCATTGCGAGCAGAAATCGTCATCGACATCTCACTGGACTCGTCGCAAACTTGAATTCAGAATTCGCAAGGTGACAGCAGAGGCGCAGGACATTCGTTTCGTCGTCTTCACCTGAGACTGCGGTTGCCCACATCGTTTTGGGACTAGCTGATTGCGCTCTTGGCATTGACAGGGATAGCAGTGTTTACGTTGGAACCGTACCTAAACATGCGATCCGCCAACACGATTACCACCACCGCCGTCTCTTTGACCGTCGCGCGGACAGAACATGCTTTGCTAATAGACATTATAGTGTGAAACCAGGCTTGGATACAATCGCAATGGACACCGCGACGGACAATCAGGTATGTACGCCGTTGCTGTGCAGCTCTGCCGTCGCTCACAATCAAGTTGCAGACTTTCGCAAAGCCCTCGGGCTTGAAGCCACCGTCGAGGGTACCAACGATTTTCAAAGAAGATCCTACGTCGCCCACCAGTATACCACGCGCAACTGGCCTCAGCGAATTGACAAATGCCGCGCAGAACAGCCGCAGCGCCATGGGCCCTCCGCTTCATGGAAGCATTAAACATAAACCGAGTGGCCGTAAGCTTGTCCTTACGTGTTTTCGACCGATATCTGACGTTTGTAGTTCCTGAACCGGAATCAAAGCAACGAAAGACACTCGCTGAACGCGCCGGCGAGTCGTTTGGCTCGAAGATTGCCGCGCCTCAAACTTCGCGTACGGCCAACGCCGTCAAACACACCGTCAGCAATGGGAGTCGCGGCTTTTCGAACTCTCTTTCACGTTCCGCGTCGACCAGAGCATCTAAGCACAAGACCGCAAGCTCGAGCAGCAGCATTGGCCATGGTGCAAGAGCAGCTAGCGCGCACCCTGCGAGACCGAAGTCATCTTACGGCAATCACAACCGTAGCAGGTCGCAATTTCAGCGTCCTGCGACTTCAATGGCGCAGCATGAACCAGAACCAGACCCCCAAGGTGGGCACCCTCTTTCATCTTCTACAAACCCCAAAGAGAGCCTGGGTATGCTCCAAGTGCAGAAGAATTCATCACGAGGATCCGAAAATCGCATGTATTCCCTCAATGTACCTCGGGGTCGGCCTCGACCGTCGGCACAGCGGTCCATCTCATCTCCTGCGACTCTGCGTCCACAATGTTCATTGCCAGACGAACCTGCCGATACCGACTGCGACGATATCTTGAAAGGCTCTGGAGCGCTCACATTGGGGGCTCCAAGCGATCAAGGCCGTGAAAGTCGTATGGGACGTGGCACAAATGTCGGCAAGGATCTGGACATTTCTTATCCGTCTCAAATCCCTCGGCATACGCCAGTTCGGGCTATGCTACCCCCTCCTGTACCATTGATCAAGTCTCCAAGAAGGCCGCGGACTCCAATCACACCGTACCTGAACAAGTATACTAATGACCGTGTTCCAGTCTTCGATGATGACCGCGTAGCCTCACTCGAAGCGCAATTTGCAGCGTGGAAGGAACAAATGGAAATCGACATGGATAAGCAGTCCAAAGTTCAGGAGAGCATCAAACTCTACGAAACTAAAAGTAAGTGCAGGACCGACTATACTCAGGCCTAACTCGACATCAGAGTGTAGGCTGATTCCGACATTGTTGCTGACTCAAATCACCAGATGCTGCGTTGGAAGACAGCATCACAGAATACAAAAGGTTACTAGAAGAGTACAAAACTAATGTGGCCGATCTGAAGAGTCTCAACTCGACAATCACAATGGAACTGGACAACGTGAAGCGAAGTCACACATATGAATTGGACGACCTCCGACGGAAGTGTCAAAATGACATGCAGGATGTCTGTGATCGATCTAAGAGAGAGCTTGAACGTTCACGCAACGAGAACAAAGACATTGTAGATAAGGTGGAGAGGGAACTCAAGGCCGAGATTGACAAGCTCCTCAAATCGCACAAAGATGAGTTGCAAACGTTGGAGAAAAGGCTTAAGGCAGAGCTAGAGGAAGAGCGCGGCAAGCGACAGCGAGAGAAGCATGACGTGCAGAAGGAGTTCGATTCAGAGCTCAGGGCTGCGAAGCTCGAAGCTGATACGAAGGAACGCGAGAACCAGCTGCTACAAGGCGAGTTGACCAACACCAAATCCGAACTTGACCGAGAGAGGATGTTGAGGAATGCTTTGCAAGGTCAACTCACCAACGCCACCACCAGCAACCTGACGCTCGAAGCGTCAAATAAGGCCATGAAGGAGAAGATCGACTTCCTGGAATCCGACAGCCAGGCGCAATCATCGGCATATAACGAATTACATCGCCGAATGGAAGAGGCATTCGCCATCGCCGAAGCAGCCCAGGAGAAACTTCGCCAGGAAGAGACCTTACGACGCAAGCTTCACAATCAAGTCCAAGAGCTTAAAGGCAACATCAGAGTGATGTGCCGTGTTCGCCCTACCCACGATTCTGAGATCAGTCCCGCGAAGATTGGCTTCCCTGATGCAGACACCGACAGCAAAGAGGTTGCGGTGCAAGGGCCTGAAAAGACCAGCGCGATGGGCACAAACATCACTCAGACATACGCCTACGCCTTCGATCGTGTGTTCAGCCCTACATCGCAAAATGCAGAAGTTTTCGAAGAAATTAGCCAGCTGGTACAAAGCGCATTAGACGGTTACAACGTGTGCATTTTCTGCTACGGACAAACAGGTTCTGGAAAGACATTCACCATGTCTTCTGCCGACGGTATGATACCCCGTGCCACAGCACAGATCTACGCCGAAGCCACACGCCTGCAAGAGAAGGGCTGGCAATACAAATTGGAGGGTTCCTTCGTCGAAGTCTATAACGAAACTTACAACGATCTCCTCGGCCGTTCCGAAGACCTCGACAAAAAGAAGATCGAAGTGCGCCACGATGCCGCAAAGAAGCAGACTACGCTGGAAAATGCGGTATCCGTACCCCTAGACGGACCAGACCGCGTAGAAGAGATCCTACAGCGAGCCGACAAGAACAGGACCGTCGCAGCAACGAAGGCGAACATGCGGTCTTCCCGCTCTCATTCAGTCTTCATACTCAAGCTCGTGGGGGAGAACAGTGTCACAGGCGAGCGCAGCGAGGGCACGCTCAACCTCGTTGATCTCGCTGGCTCGGAGCGTCTCGACCACAGCAAAGCCGAGGGTGCGCGCCTCAAGGAGACCCAGAATATCAACAAGAGTCTCAGTTGTCTGGGTGACGTGATCAATGCTCTTGGGTCGTCGAAGGAGGGGAGTCATATTCCGTACAGGAATTCGAGAGTAAGTCTACCCCTTCATGGAGTGTTGGATGGGGGAGATGCTAACAGGGTGACAGCTCACGTATCTTCTGCAATACTCGCTCGGTGGCAACAGTAAGACGCTCATGTTCGTTATGGTATCTCCGCTGCAGGCGCATCTTCAGGAGACGATTACGAGTTTGAAGTTTGCGACAAAGGTGCACAACACGCATATTGGAACGGCGAAGAAGCAGACGAAGGCGAGCGGGTAGAGACCTGATTGTGGAATTGGGTCTGGCGTTGGTGTATTTGTGAATTTGACCATGCTTGGAGGCGCCATCGTGGCGACTATATGAAGTGTTCAGGTCGCCTATGCGCATGGGCCCGTGAAGGATCGGACTGGATGGATTGGCACGGCTGCACAGTGTAAATGGCGTTAGTGTAGCGCTTCGGCGTGCGGAGATACTTGCTTGCGATCATGAATTTGGGACAAGACACCTTTGAAAGAATCTACAAGAACGTCCTGCCATTCAACCACTTTTGCCGTTCATGACCCTTGTGCTTAAGTGGGAAGGAGTTTGATGCTGTGAAACACGATATTTGAGTGTTCAGGGGAGTGTAGAGAATGATCTGGAGACATGAGCGGAGCAGCCGGTAAAAGTATAAAGCAACTATGTAGGGCAGATATGAGAGGCGACCAGAGAAGCCTTCCCGAAATGACTATCCACGTGATGCTATGATGGGGCAGACTGACACACCCCGGCCAAACAACTTGGAGCATGATCTGCTTCCTGAACCGTACACACGGGTCCCAGGGGAGTGGTTTTGCTGACACTAACCGCCCTTCTGTCATTTGCATCGGGCGCTCAGATCCAATGAGGCATGGAAAAGCACCTTTTCTTTGTTCTCTTGTAAATTTTTGCTGCTTTAAGGATTTCGGATCAACGTCGAATACGAAGCGTAGGAAGCTGCTAAAACCTTCAAGCCCCCAATCATACGATTGAGCGCCTAATAGTGCCTCCCGGATGATGTACTACGACTCTGGCGTGTAGCCCAGAAAGCGAGGCGCGTAAGGTGCGGGCCAGCTGTTGCTAAAGCGGCCTTGAACTTTTCGGGCACTTGTTGACCGCACTAATTCTTCAAACTTCGAGCTTTCTTTTCTAATTGGTTTCCCAATAACGTGGCCGGAGAGCTTCTCACCTCACGAGTGTACCGCAGGGCCCATTCGAGAGCATTAGCCGAAGTGGGTTCTAACCAATAAAGCGCGGTGTCACTTAATCGCACTGGACGGCAACGGTTTATGTGAGAGATGTGCTTCCAGACTTTCATGTCAATTGTGCAAGAAGCAATTGATGCCTTCGTATGTAGCTTTACTTAGGGACTGGATATCCTTGTCAGCAGTAGATTCCGTCTCCTGAATACGTTGAGCAAAGCCAGCATTTGCCTTGATCCAGAAAAGCTCTCTCTGATTAGGTTGCTATCGGATCTGAAAGCGCGGTTGGCACGTAATGACAGCGCGTAGCCAGTTCGAAGGTACGCCCTACCATTGGGTTGGAAAAGGTTTAAATAGCCAAAAGTTTCAGATGCCGACCTCCCTCGACCTACACACCTTAGATTCCGACGCTCAGTCTCGTCAATTTCTTCAAGAACATTCCATCTTCCTCATTCTTCGACATGTCTAAAGCCAACAATTCCACTGCCATATCCGGTGAGAAACCAGCTACTCAATCAAAAAATGCTGCCAACCCAGCGGGCGAACATACTCTTTCCGATAAAAGCACCAACGGCGACGTCAATCAGGGTTCTTCTTCGACCACACCTAGGTCTGACGATAACACCTTGACCCCGCCGACAGCGCATGCTAGACAATCCATGAGAGAAACAATTGACATCAATGTTAAGTAGATTCTCACTCCACTAACTCGTTGACTGAACGATACCGCAGGCTCTTTCGAGCTACTTCTGTATTCCTTCCCGAGCAGGTCAAGCTCCATGGAGGTCCTTGTTGGCGACGAAAGCGATAGTGGCAGTCGAGAGTCGTGAAGAAGGGCGGTGAGCATCATATTCTGCCGAATACTAAAATGATTGAAAGGCTCCACAATAGTCGAAAGGACCCACCATTTTCAGCGACTTCTCGGTATTATAGGTGCTTGTTGTGCGCCTCTATAGTACTTGCGCAGCATGTTGCTGTAACGCATGTTGGCTCCAGAGATAGAAGCCTAAATAAACCCACAAACAATCGCTAGTCTGAGCTTTGAACTCTTCTGTTATTTTGCCCTCTTGTGTGCATTTACTAATTCATTGAAGTTGTCATGACGAGCATTGTACAGCTTTGTTGACTTGACGCTCCCATTCTAGGCTCGCACCCTGGGAATGGCGCAGCATGGGAAATCCACCATAGTACGGATGATCGGACACGCTACTGGTAGCGGATTGGATGGAAAGGAATGAAGTTACCGGGGATATTATCGTATATGTCTATGATGTAACTGCGAAGCTGTCAGCATTCGCAAATGCCGTGCTCGTAGGCGCAGCATGGGACCTCTATCGTATTATGGGTTATCGGTATGCCACTGGTAGATATTCGGATGTAAAGGGAGGAAGGTTTTCATCGCACTTGTCCTTGGTGTAGCTAAAGGAAAGCGTGACGGAGTTTAGGACGTTAAGTCCGTTATTTTTGTAGACAAATACCGTAGACTTCTGTTGAGATTCTAGCTACCTAGCTACCTAGATGCCTAGCTCGGCTACTTCGCTTGGAGAAGCTTAGCCTTTACCTCACGTAGCTAAAGTGCCAAACACCTATCAACAGAAGTCTACGGGACCATGTCGTAGGCGACTACATTTGGTCAGAAGCGGGGTCCTCGGAAGTCAGAACTATACCTCAAGAAGTAGTCGACTTACACACCTTACAAATCTACGTCAACAGATGTGCATGAACACACTATACAAATACGACAAGGTTCCCGAAATTCTGAAATTGATACCGCAACGTGACAGAACATACATCTACCGCAATAACTGCTCATAGCCATGGCGCCTAATCAAGCCCTTCCTACAACCTACCGCGACTACCGCAGAACCTCCGGATCCCTCCCACGCTCCATTGAACTCCATACCCAGTCCCTTCCCCAGCAGCTCTTGCCCCACGAAGTACTCATCCGCGTGAAAGCCGTTTCCCTAAACTGGCGCGACATCGCGATGCTCAGTGGACGCTACCCCACCGACCACGAAAACGCCGGGCGACCATGTTCGGACTGCGCCGGCGAAATAGCTGCCATCGGAGACGCTGTAAAGGACTTCAAGGTAGGCGATCGAGTGAGTCCGTGTTTTAACTTGGACGATCTGGATGGAAAGCAGAGAGATGGGGAGGTGAGGACGTTGGGGGGAAGTGTCACGGGACAGGCGGCGGGGCCAGGGGTGCTGAGCGAGTATGTCATTTTTGAGGAGGGGGTGTTAGTGAAGGTGCCGGGCTATCTGTCCTGGGAAGAGGTATGTCTGATTGGTGACGTACATGCATGTTTAAAGGCTGCGAAGCAAGGAACTAATGCGTACAGGCATCTACACTTCCATGCGCAGGCGTCACCGCGTGGACGGCGCTGGACCGTCCGAAAGAACCCGAGCCAGATACTGCTGTGCTGCTTCAAGGTGAGCTGTTTCAAGATCCATAAGATTAGACCTTGACGTCCTTCAGGTACGGGCGGCGTCTCCATGTTCGCCCTGCTCCTCTGCACCGTCGCCAATATTACACCTATCATAACCTCCTCTTCCGATGCCAAACTCTCCAGCATCTCTGCCCTCAGCCCACTCATTAAGGGCTTCAATTACAAAACGTATCCCGATCAAGCTGCGCGAGTGAAGCAGCTCACTGCCGGCAAAGGCGTGGACATTGTAATCAACAACATGGGCGCCGCCTCCCTGATTGCTGATCTCGAAAGCCTGAGGAACAGGCATGGGATGGTTTCTTTGGTGGGAATGCTAAATGATCAGAAGGCGGAGTGGGATCCGAGTGCGCTTATGCTGGTCTTGAGAAAGTTGGCCAGGATACAGTGAGTGTTTGTACAGGCAAATTGTTCTGCAGCGAAGCTGACAATGCAACAGAGGAATAAGAGTTGGTTCGAAGGTGGACTTTCAGGAACTAGTCGAGTTCTTGGAAGAGAAGGAGGTGAATCTGGGGCCTTTGATCGATCGGACGTTTGAGTTCGGTGAAGCGAGAGAGGCATTTGAGTATTTGGAGTCGGGGAAGCACGTTGGAAAGGTGATAATCAAGGTGTAACATAATTGCCGATCAGAACTTATGACTACCACCAGTTGGTGAACCTTTTGCCCGCTTAGCTCCGCAAGCACATTTTAGAGAATCATGTTCAAATACCCGGCTAAATTTTTTCGTGATTAAGTAGTGGTTTAGCTATAGCTGAATAGAGTCCTTTCTCAAGCTCATAAAAGTATTGCATATAGGTTGTAGAGACCTACAAAGAAGATAGGGCACAGTTTTATGTTACTTTTCTTGAGCTAAGCGCACACGAATCAGTTCACCACCTGGTGCTACTTCTACGGACCGCGTTGTGAGGTACGTTCGAAGCTATGCCCAAAAGTCTTAATTTCATATCATAATTGTCGAGTTGATAGCGTTGATTCACAATGACGACGAAGATGATGAGACCGCCTCAGCCGACGTCTCCAAAATGCTGGAGCTGGCCAAACTGGACACTGGCCTCATCACACCCTCCGTCGACGTTATGATGCTCTGAGTGAGATTCTGCATCATATGCACGCCGTCCAGCGGCCGAGGATTCCTAACGGAGGCACGTAAGCGGTATAAAGATGGTAGCAGGAAAGGAGAGATACTCACCACAGCATCTCCTCCACAACCACAAATTCCGCCTCCCCACCCTCTTTGGTAACCGTGAACGTAGCGGTCTGGCCCGGCCTCCTCGCAACCGCGGCCCTCGTATAAGGCCAATTATTAGGAAGTTGGCTCAAACCCTTCGTGGGCACAGCCGTAGCTCCCCCTCCTCCCCCTCCACCGGTCGTTGTCGCCGTATCCGTACTTGTCGTCTTATTTGCCCCCAGCCACTCCCATTCTGTGACCATGAACTCAACGACGGGATCAAACCCCTCAGGCTGCACGCCCAACGGGTCAATCACTAGATCTTTTGCAAAAGCCAGCAATTTCTTGGACAGCACATAGACGGAGGAGGGCGAGGGAGCAGTACAGAACCCCTTCACCGTCTTCTCGAAGGAGTCCCAGATGTCGTGCGTGCTGGAGTCAACATCGGAGCATGCGCGGCAATGGACCATCTGCACTTCCTCGCGCTCCTCGCGCCTTATGGGGTCGCAGAAGATGTTGGTGAAATTTTTGTCAAGGCTAGACGGGGGTACGTTGGCGGGGAGTACGTTCCAGAGCGTGGTTATATTGCCAAACATGTCCGCGCAAACTTTGCCGGCTTCAAAGCAATCTCTGGGATGATCGGCGCTGTTTGTAGTGGTGGAGGCCGCGCTTGACGTGGTAGATGTTGAGTTTGTCGGCGTGGCCACCGTCGTGCTGGGTGTGCTGCTCGTGCTTGATATCGTGCTCGATGTCCTGCTTGAAGCAGCACTTGAAGCAGAGCTCTTGGTAACAGCAAAACAGCTTATGGGTACGATCTGCGCGCTACAGTCGTCTGTTTCGGTGGAAGAGGCGTCGGAATCTCGCTTATCCTGAGGGTCGACATGGTCACTAGACGTACGACTACCTACGCTGACGAGCGTAGTGATGTTAATCTTGCGCACAGTCTCCGCCAGATGCGTGCCGATGAGCATGAAAGTAGTTACGGTGAGAAACACAAATTGTAGCCGCATGTTGCAACAGTGAGCGATCAATGATCGCTTCTCCAAGGAGCAACTAGGAAGTTGCAAAATTATGCAGGCGTATGTACTGCTTCTATCCGATTGCGACAAACGCCGTCACTGTCACAGTTAAAGTCTTCTAGGTAGAGGCCCACCAGCATCACGACTCAGCGACAAACGGCGTGTACGTGAAGAGCAAGGGCTGAGCCGCACACATAGTAGAAGATGCTGTGACGTGCTATGACGTCCTCACAGGATGTTGATCGGCATCACAATGTGCAAGCCGAAGAGCACTTCGAATGGCACATGTCAGATAGCCAAACGATAAGAACGAAGACAGTGTGAGGATCAGTCAAGATACCGAATACATTGATTCCGACAACGCCGAGGCATAGGGGAAAATTCCCTATTTTACTACGCAAGTCGAATTGACAACACTATGCGCGTGTAGGTATGTGAATGATGAGATGATAGAATGGAAAAGGGGTATGGTGTAATCATGGGGGTAAGCAGGACTAGACGAAGGTGAATGAGAAAGAAGTACCCAATACATACAACAGAAGGGAAAAGATGCTAGGTAATAGACAAGGCACGAAGAGGCGAAATTACAAAGAGACAATGAAGCCGTGATGCGAGGTATGACAACAGCAAGGGGAGACGAAACGAGACGAGAGGACGAGACGAATCAAAGAAACAGAACGAAACGCAATGCAAAATGCAAAAGCCGCCCAACCACAGCTCGTCTCACCGTCCTCGTCGCACTCTCAAAATATCTCCAAGCCCTCAAAGTCGACGCACAAATTCCTCGGACTCGAAGTAAACCCTTGCCTCCTCTCGTACATGCTCGTCCCAAAGTTAGCCGGCCGACTCGCATAGACGCCGACTCTGACAGCTTTGTCCTCAACGCCCCAGAAGAACCACGTCACTTCCCGCAGCTTCTTCCACCCGGCCAGCTCGTCCTCGTACCACACCCACAAGGCACATCCAATGCGCTCGATCTTGACGCGCAGCTCCGGCCGGCGAACAATATCGGCGCGCGCCCAGTCGGCACCGTCTGAGGTTGCGACGACCGAGGTAGCGTGGCAGGCGCCGTTGCAGAACTCGAGGCCGACTTTGACCCATTTGGAGGCGGGTGCAGGCGGCATGTACGGCGGTGGAGCCTGTGGTTGTGCGACAGTAGTAGCTACGGGGCCGGGGTGCTGCCCCGCATTCTGCGATGTGGGTGCTGGGCTCGCTTGGGCGCTTGGGGCCTGCGTGGGCGGTTGTGCGTTATTACTGGGTGCGGCCGACGGGGTGGAAGAAGCAGGTGAATCGGCGTCGGGCCTGGGGGATGTCGCGACACGGCCGGGCGGCGCGCCTGCGAAGATGACGAGCCCGCCCTGATCCCACTCCAGCTCCCAGTCGGCGGCGACAGTGACTTCGGCAGCGATGAAGGGGTTGCGCAAGGCGGTGTAGAGAATAGGCGCCGTCGAGGTGTCTCGCGATGGTGGCTTTCGCCAGAGGTCCGTATTGGGCGGCGCGGCGAGGCTGAACAACCCCATATATTCAGGTAGTACGGCATCGTGGGGGCAGTTTAGCGCCGTAAACGACGAACTGTCCGGCGGCATTGCTTCTGGGATGCGTGCAAAGCGAATGTGGATGTACTGTGCAAGAAGGAATGCGCCGGGCCTGCGGCTTGAGGGAGAGTCCTGCTTTTGCTCGAAAGCGCGGTCGCTCCGTGGGCGGTATATGGGTAGCTCTGCGTCCGGCGGTACGTGGACTTGTCCCCGCCAAAGATGCCGACTGGTGGTTGTGGATGTTCTGTACCACGTCGCTGAGTCGAAGATCATTCGCTTCTTCGCTTCGTTGCTAGACTCGTTACTCGTGCGCAAGGATCGCGCAGCAGTAAGCCTGCGCGCTGTCAGCAGCAAATCTCCACTGCGCTGCACCTCGCGAGTATCGTGGGAGCCCGAAAGGAGAGACGCGAGCCAGGCCTTCGTCAGACAGATGGCCCCAATGTGCTTATGCCAATTCACGTTTGCGGTGCTCGTGCTGGCACCAGCACGCCGAGCACCGCATCCAGCAGCCCGATAGTGAAAGGGAGGGGACTGACTGAAGGGCAGGGCGTAGCCGGGTGCGTCCACCGACGCGGGAGAGCAGCAGGCGACATGTTAGTGAGCTGTCCCTATATATACATACTGCTCATGCGAAGACGAAGCTGTCCGACCGACGCTGGATGCCTCGAGCCGCCGCGCATCCGAGGGCTTCGCCGTCAAGGTACGGAAGCAACAGGACCCTGAATCCACGTCGCCGTCGCCGTCATCTGGGGGCCTTGGGATGGCCGCAAGGCATGTGTCAACAAGGTAGAATACTGCCGGCACGCCCAGCGCGAGAGAGGTGCAGCGAAGAGAAGTATGCTGCCGGCGGCCGCTGCGGGCGACGTGGCAGACGAGCGCTCCCAGCGAAGCCCTCCTCGGCCTGCTGGACGAGGTATTCGACGCTATGCAGGCACGAGTGCTTCAGGCCTGGTGCGTCGGCGGTCGGATTGGTGCTGGTCGCTTCTCCTGCTGTGCATCCGTGAAGAGCAGTGTTGGCCCAAGATGCCTCGACGTGGCAAGCAAGGTCCCATAAGCTGAAATGTCTTGCAGCGCCAGCAAGGGCATGATGCAACCCCATGCTCCCACCTATCGCGTTGGAGGGAAGTCCGCAGGCGTGCACATCATCACGACCCGATTACGTAGGGGACCGACGTCCGAACGCGGAATAACAACATCGCACACCACCTCGCTTCCACGTCTTCGCGAGTCCACACCACTGCCCAAGCCGCTTTTCGTTTGTTCGGACCAACTCGCAGATGCTAGGTTTCTGAAGTCTCGAGCTAGGGAACGCGAACGCGAAGGAGAAGAGCGCTCTGTGCATCCATGCATGGCCGGATAGCAACATGAGTTGGAAACAGGTGGCGCCAACGCGCAAAGCAACATCTGGCCCGTTACTCGTCCCTTGATTCGGGTCTGCCGCAAGGCGCTGTTGTACAATTGCGCGCCGTGTTTTGCGCAGTCGTCCAGTCTGCTGGCAGATACCCTTCCTTGACTGGGGCAACGTGTACATGAAAGATACTCGAGCGAATATCTCCATGCCATGGCAATTGAGCTGAAGGACCAGACTTTGCGTCGGATGGTCGCATTCGTGCGACAGAGGCTGCCAGCGATCTTCTTGTGTCGGCACACATAGCTCCCATATCGCGCAAAATCCTTTTTCGACCCACACACACCCTGGCCCCAGTATCCCTCAAGAGGTTTGCGTAATGTGCTGCTTCACATATGTGATGCAAATCCAATGCGCATAACCACTTGCGGTCAGAATACCGGAGGTTAAACCGAGTATGCAGCCAGGAATTCTCGTTTGGTGATTTTTGGCCGCGGATACCGCAGTCATGTTACAGCATCTGCTTGCTGATCGCCGCACGACCGTCGTGTATCGATAAGTGTAAACTGGTGGTACAGACTCAAAGCGCTTTGAAAACCAGCCATGTCATTTGTGTGAGTGTTTGGCTCCCGTTGCAGGCATCCCTTCGCCCAGATTCTGCGTGGGCCCAAGTCTTCAACGTTACCAATTTTGCCGTGCTAAAGAGATATTCGGAGCTTCGCATAGCAAGAACCGTGGACACGGTTCGCGGAGGCGGCATGCCTGACTGCTGGGCTACCTATGCCCGTGCCTGGCTCAGACTGCTCAGCCTACCATTTGGTGTGGGATGCTGCCTCGTTGGATTCTCATTGGCAAACCCACTAAACTCGTCGAACAGCCCAGGTTGCACGTGGCACACTGCCCCGTACGAAGCAATTGAGAGGATGGGCATGGTTTCTTTCATCTTCCGATCGACCGCAGGACTTCGTGGATACCAACGCCTTTTGGTTGCACCGACCTGCTTCACGCGAAACCGCCGCTGTTCAACCTTCGAAATGCGGCATGCCGAGTGCGGCGCCGGGTTACGATCCAGAGACATCGGAACATGCACAGGATCGGGATGCAAGTACAAAGTCGGCGGCCGCGGCTGCCCGGAAGCTGCGGTGCTCGAAACCTTGGCTTGCTCATTGTAGTTCAGCGTCTACTTGTAACGCCCACTGCTTGCAAAGGATCAAACTTCATATATACGTACTGTGGCTGAAGTAGCCGCAGACTGAGGTACCGTGCCGAGAAGTTTCGGACGAGCGTGTCTTCGATGGCTATTGCAGCATCAATTTCCAGGCATGCATTCGGAACTATGAAAGACCTTCAGCCAACTCATCAGAGTCGTATGTTGTGCCTTCGACGAATGACTACTGAAGTCTATCGACCTGGGAGGCTCCAGATCGAGTGATTTATTGAATGCGGTCATTGATACACGGGAAATGGTAGGGGTGGCCGGTGCAGCTCAGACCTTTGAAAGCCGTGTGGGTTTTCTGCTACTGGTTGGTGGGGAATAGTCATCTTTGAGGATGCTGTAGCAGCCATGTGAGCTCCTCCGGCAATAACGCGCACACGTATCGCGGATACCACTGGGCAATGTTCGCTACTGAAAAAGTCGTGTGATGGTGGGTGCAGCGCATAAAGTGCAGCGGTGTGGAGTGAGACAGGATTGGCAAGCTCCCTGGGCTGTTGGTTCCCTTCTGACAACCAAGTCAGGAGGGCACGTCAAGGGTCTTACTAGACGCTGCCGAATATGTTACTGGTTTGGAGAAAAATGCTTTTTCCACGCGATTGGTGATACGCAGACTCCGCTTATCATGGCTCTACTGGCGCAAGCGTAACAAGTTTGTGTACGCTGCGTTAACAGGTACTGATAATCTCTAACATTCAGAGTCGTTCCTAAGTTACCTTTCGGATCAGAACTGGCCGTGTGTGGTTTCTGGATCTTGTTAACGTCTGAGTCTGATCTAGGACGATGTGGAGAGTACCCGAATATGCATTTGATCACAGGTAGTAGATCATGTTACCTATATCGAGGCATAGAGAGGAGTCCAACAGCACAAGTATTTTTCTCGTTCGAAATGGGCCCAGTGAGGATTGATACAGACTTAATTATTGACCTTCTTGGGTGGCCAGACGGCATCACGGACGAGAAACAGCCGTTCAGCGGTCCGGCGTGCGCAATACCCGGAATCCTCACTCAGCGAAGAGCTGCATTATCGGCACGATTAATCCTTAATTCCTCCGTGAGCAGGTACGGTAGCCCGATTCTGATGTTGCAGCACTAGTACGCAGTTGTACCTTCTCTTATCCTGTGCGCATCCTCTCGGGCATCTCTAACTAAAACAATGAAAATCCCACAATATTTGCGGACGCTCTTGATATTGAGCTTCGTGGTGAGACACGCCGGAGCGAGCTGCTACTGCAACGATCGCTGCAACGATCGCTGCATCCTCCCGTGCGTCTCGTAAACGCGGAACATTCGGCTTGAGCCACCAGAATTCCTTGTTCGGAAATACCCAGCTAGCCGACTTTTGGAATATATTGTTGCACAACGGAGGCTGTTAGCCTGCTTCTAGAAAAGGGCCAATCCTCACGCTGCTACATATGTTGATCCATATCCCGGGAAGAGAGAATGTTATAATGTCGCACGAGGCAGAATTTTCGTACTTGCAGAAATGCGCGCATGACGCAAGGACATGTACTGAGAGGCTGGGTGAAGGAGGTGTAGCGGACAACGGAGTTTCACGCAGATTGCCGAACGAACCGAGGCGCTAGATAGATTGAAGTGGAGCTGGCAGGCAGGTTGTCCAGTAGAAATCGCATACATCGGTTGTGGTTGATATGTATGCTTTGCATGCACTGCCATGCAGTAGGCGCACACTGCAGCGCTGCCCACAGCTACAAGATCATCATTCTCTTTCGCCAAATGTCTCCATTTGGCGGCGCATGGTTGAAGGCCGCGGAGCTCGCACATAGTTCACTCACCTTCCGAGTATTGTGGGCACGGCCATGCATGGGAACATTGGATCGCCGACGACGCTATTTGTACTACCTTCGAGCTGAGGTCGCCACTGTTCCCAGATCCTGGCGCAAGGCGCGCTAGTCGACCCTCTTGCGAGAGACATGGACATGCGAACTTAGATGACAGACTTTGCCGAGTAAATGAACGAGGAATGGTCAGCAATTTTCAGGTTCGTGTGAGTCAAGATTTGATGATCTGACCGCAACAGAAGACATATCTGGCGGCTCCTAGGCGCCACGTCGACCAAGGCGATCGCGTGAACCCAATGGACCAGTAAAACCCCCAATGCTGGAATATCGATGGTTCCCCAATATTCCACGTGGGGGTGGTGAAGAATGTCAGATCCTTACGGACCGGTAAAACTGAGGCAATGTTAGCCGGATAAGGTGCGCTTGAGGATGAGGAGCTCAAATGCGGAAGCGCTTACCAGCCAAGGAAAGTCAGTCGATCGAAGCGGCGCATGATCGCAAATACAGGTAATATGTGATCCGTGTTTTTGTACTTATCGCAGGGTTGACTTATGGTATAGAAGCTTTGCCCCTGATGTGTCAGTTGCCGGATGGTGACTCCCAATAGCAGCATTGCATAAGACTTAGCACGAGAAAAGTGCCGTGCAAGGAGGTGGATTGGCCGGTTGTTTTGGAAGAAACCTGGGAGAAGGCTAATTAATTCCCGAAAAGTACAGATGAACAGCGTGGTCTTAAGGAGGAAAACTTGGCTCGTGCGACTCAATACCTGGCACCGACCATTGCGGAAGTGCTGCCGCCGTGCACCCCCGCACTTTTATGCTTTACGGTAGATGGTGATGGGCCGACGTAGTTGATCAGATGTCGCGCAGAGATTGAGACCTTCATCCTGCAATAACTGTGTAAACGAGGTTTCCGGGCGGTATTTCAAGCGTTCCAAGTTCTTCGCGAAGTGAGGGGCGGCGTTTGGTCGAACCGCTTTCTGATATGAATCCCAATTCTGCGCTTCCAGGATCAGGTAGCCGCCTGATGCGAGCGAGGTGCTGCACTTGCGGAAGAAGTTGACCAGCCCCTCGTCCAGGTGCTCGAGATGGATCCATTTTATGACACTTAGGACCAGGATGACATCGTAAGGCCCCGCGAGAGCCGGGTCCGTCGAGACGACCCAGTCTGCAGCGACGAACTTGACACTGGGCCAATGGGAGGCGGCCGAGGATGAGGCTGGTATGCGTCCGTGTCGAAGGACGGCGGACATGGGATAGTAGTCGACAAGTCGCCCAGATGGGTCCGAGGACGGGCGGACACGTGAGGCCTTGAGAGAGAACAGGTCCTCGGCTTTGCTCACCAGGTTTGGATCAATATCGACGCCCACGACGTCGCTCGCTTCGAAGTCGAAGGCTTGTGTGTATTGTATCAGCAGGGAGTGTGTATAGTCGGCTGGCAGGGTGGGCAGGGGTTCCCTCACCAATCTGGGTCGAGACGGACCCGTCATTGCAACCGACGTCCAAGCAGCGGCGGCCCTTGAAGGAGAAGCCCAGGGCGGTGATCACGCTTAGACGCAGATCACGGACGTGAATTGCTGGCGGCGAGCCGGGCGCGTGGTTGGGGCCGAGATAGTCTGGTGGGTCGGTCAGTACGGGTGCAGTGGACACGGAGGCTGAAGTCGGCGCGGCACAGGGCCAGATGCAGATGCTGGCAGAGGATATAGAGTGAGTCGTACTCTGGTAGTTGCCGTAATTGGTGGATTTGGACGCCATGGATGGGGAGGTTTTTGGACTGGACGGGCGGGCGTGAGGGCGAGGAGGGTGCGGTGCCGAAAGGGGAGGTGGTCTCTAGTGGCTGGCGGGTTCGGGCAGGTGCGTTGGAGGGCCCCTCGGTGACCACATGAGTTGGGAGTTGTGTTTGCCCGCCCGCACCGTCGACGGGCGATGCACGATGCACGATGCACTACACAGTACAGTGCAAACAAGGACCCATGACGGCCGCCCTCGGCTCACCATCGGCGCGTTCCTGCAGAAGCCCTGTCTGCCGTCCGCGCTCTCGTTCCATCTAGTGTGTGACTGCGCGTTGCATCCATCTCCACTGGCCCACGGCATCCGAGCGCATCGCGGCCAGTCACACGTCGCCCGCCGTCGCCACGGCCTGCGCCGAAGCAACAGCAGCAAGCCCTGCATTGCCCGTTCAGGACGAAGGCGGTGGCCCGTTGCGACCACGCACCAGGATTGCGGAGAGGCAGGATCCTTTTCACCCGCCGCCCGCTGATAGGCACGCCTGGCGACGATGCTGGCCGCCGTCGCTCGACTACCACCTCCCCCCGTGCGAGGCGTCTGAGCCCCCGGGTTACGCTGGCGAGCACGGCTTCCGGCGCGCCTCTTATATCAGGCGCAACACTCCACGGTGCGACAGTCCGACGTGCGGACACAAGACAAGACGTACCCAGTCTTGTTTAGCCGACTTCCAACGGCTGCTAAGTCGACACCATATGGTATACGCTGCCGCTGCAGAGCCCAATCACGCCGCCCTCTGCGAGCAGGGTCCCATCCATGTCGCCGTTTGAGGACAACTCATCCACCCTGTTTCCAGGGATTTCACTCCCGCATTCCCAAGCCATCCTAGTTGACCGTTGTCTGAGCGCCTCTGGGGTCGACGATCACTCACTGCCGATAGAAAATCAAAGCGCTTCCCACGCCACACTCGATTCCACTCGATTCCTGACTTTGTGTACCCTCTCCACCACCCCTGCCTGAACACAAACCTCCCAAGCAACCAAATGCGGCTTCTCGCATATTTCAAGGCCCGTGAACAAAACGCATGTCGTCCCGCCCATCTGCTATTCCACCGCTCCATCCACCCCCGCCATTCCGCTCCTCTGCAGTCAGTAAAATGACCACGGAGACTCAGAAACCGCCAGCGTTTTCCCCTCCGTCTTTTCTTGATTATCCCCAGAGTCGTCGCCTGCCGCCGCTCAATATCCCGGCCGCTGTACCACCATCGCGGCCCGACTTCCCTTTCCATTCGCCTGTGAACCATCTCCCATCCATACAGCCTGGCCCTCCACGACACGATCCTCACCATCCCGCAGCCCTTCCAAGGCACCCAGCCCCAGTCGACAAGCTCTTGCATTCGTCTTCATACACCCCGCCAAGATCCGACCCACCGTATTCTCCACAGCTATATGGCCCGTCAATATCTCCGCGAACAGAGTATGATAGCAGAGGTCCGAGACGACTGCCCGACCAACGCCATCCGTATGAAGACTTAAGAAGCACTCACCACCCTCCTCCGCACCATGAGCAGCCCTACGCCCTTACATCACCCGTGGAACCACCGCAACAGAGATCTTATGCTCCGCTGCCGTCGCCTGGCTACACGCCAAGTTATGCGTCGAGCTCCACTCCATTCCGCGGGTCCGTGGGCTCTCTCTCACATCGTGGCTCCGTACCGAGTTCCTTGGGTCAGTTAGCGTATCCAGAGCCCCCAACTACTGGTCCTCCACCTCGGCAGGACCCTCGAGCTGTCCCTCTCCCTGGGTCCATACCGCAGCCTGTGTACAACGACCAGCTGTAAGCATGCCGCTGTCTCATTTGGGTAGTCGAATCCCGCTGACCTAGACAGGAATCTCAACTACGAACTCGTGGTCCGACAACAACCCATTGCAGCGCGTGCGTGCGGTTTTGGCGAAAGGGACCGCCGGGTAATAGACCCTCCACCAATCATTCAGCTCAAAGTGACCAACGCCAAAAACGAACCCGAGGAGGAAGAGCTGCGCTACTCTCTGAATGTGGTGCATTGCACGTTATGGAATGCCGAAGGGACGAGCGAAGAGACAGCACTCATCCAACCCGATCGAAGAACAACACGACGACTGATGGGCCAGCTCGTAGCGTCGCCGTCGGTGGCCAAGGACGAACACGACCACGAGGGCTGTTTCTTCTGCTTCCCGGATCTGTCCTGCCGCACTCATGGCCGATACCGCCTCCGCTTTGTGTTGATGCGCATCGACCCGATGAACCTTCATGTTGGCGGCTTTTCCCCCATCTTGACTGAAGTGCTTAGCGACGTTTTCACCGTCTACACAGCAAAGGACTTTCCTGGTATGCGACCCAGCAGCGCCCTCACCCGCGCATTGAAGCTGCAAGGATGTAATATCCAAGTGAAGAAAGGCAATGAAAAAGCATTGGCGCGAAAGCGTCTCACACAGGGTCAAGAACACGAACATGACGACGACGACGAACTCGGAAAACGACGGCGCAAGGAGTAATCCCGGTTTTGATATAGGCGTGCGTGTGGTCTTTTGGCAGGTTTGGGCTTCGGCTTCGATAATTTCAGCACGTTGATTTCGACTAGAGCAACGGGCGGCATCATGATATTTTGAACATTTGGAGCATTTCTCCGCTATCAATCAGCATTCTCACGACGAGACGAACAGTATTACTCGGTGGAGGGCTGGAAGTTTTTGGAAATGACCTAGTATAAGGTTTCTGGGCGAAGACTCAGCTGTAATGCATTATCATAGCATCGGAAGCACGATACCGCATATTATCACAGACACAGCGCGTGAGAGCATCTCTATGCAACCTGCCTGCAGACATGAGGGCATTGTGTTACCTCGAAAGGGGCAATTGATGTTCGAGAAGTTCATGTGAGGTCAAAATTGGCGGTTTGGAGGATGCTTCCTGGCGCGTCTTCGGTAGCGACTAGACTAGCGCCTTCAGCCCCGCTCAGCCGCCGCGGCCTAGGTATAATTTTCCTTTGGCGGCGGTGAGGTTCTTTTCTTCTCTCCCCTTCCCCAACCGCGACAAAGCCGCCGCAAGCAATCATGAAATACGTGCTCGTTTCCGGAGGTGTGATCAGCGGCGTGGGGAAGGTACGTGTAGCATAGCAGCAGGTTGCTCGCTTTTGATCGCTGAACTGACATGCGCAGGGCATCATAGGTAGTCCTGACTGAACTTGCGACGTGACACATGCTGACCCGACGCGTCCACAGCCTCTTCGACGGGCTTGCTGCTCAAGACGCAAGGTCTGAAGGTGTCTTCGATCAAGGTCGATCCTTACCTCAATGTCGACGCCGGGACTATGAACCCTCGCGAGTGCGTTTTCACAAGAGCACGCTTCGTGAAAGCCCAATTGACCCTTGCACAGGCACGGCGAGGTCTTCGTTCTCTCTGACGGCGGCGAGGTCGACCTCGATCTCGGCAACTACGAGCGCTATCTCAACATTACCCTCACACGCGACAATAATATTACGACCGGCAAGATATACCAGCACGTAATTGAGCAGGAGCGCAAGGGCACTTACCTAGGAAAGACGGTCCAGGTAGTGCCGCACATCACAGATGCGATTCAGGACTGGATCGAGCGGGTCGCGCGGATACCCGTCGACGACACGAACGAGGAGCCGGATGTCTGCATAATCGAGCTGGGTGGCACGGTTGGCGACATCGAGAGCATGCCGTTTATTGAAGCTATGACGCAGCTTAGGCGCCGTGCGGGCAAGAATAACTTCCTTCAGATTCACGTTTCGTACGTGCCGGTTATCAATGGGGAGCAGAAGACGAAGCCTACGCAGCAGGCTATCAAGGCGGTCCGTAGTGCGGGCTTGGTCCCAGATTTGGTATGTTGTTCTGTAAGAATGCTTTGTGTCACTCCAAGCTGACCTTTGCAGATTGCCTGCCGCTGCGAAATTGCCCTTGATCAAGGCGCCCTGGAGAAAATCGCACATTTCTGCCAAGTAGACAACGACCAGGTCATCATGGTTCGCGACATGCCCTCCATTTACCAAGTGCCCATGCTTCTCGAGCAACAAGGCCTCATCACCTCCCTCAAGAAGATCCTCGCCCTTGATACCCTAACCATATCCGACACTCTCACAAGAAAGGGCAAACAGACCTGGGCACAATGGCAAGCCCTGACCGGAACCCAGACCCGCAATTTCCACGATACGGTCGAAATCGCCCTGGTTGGCAAATACACAGAGTTGCACGACTCCTACATGTCGGTCATCAAGGCGCTCGAGCATTCCACCATGCGCTGCAATCGCCTCCTCAAGATCCGGTGGATTGATTCGGAGCACCTAGAAGCAAAGACGCAGATATCGGATCCTTCGAGATTTCACTCCGCATGGCACGCCCTGTGTGGAGCAAACGGCGTACTCGTCCCCGGTGGTTTCGGCACCCGTGGCACAGAAGGCATGGTCCTTGCTGCAAAATACGCTCGTGAGAACAAAGTACCCTACCTGGGTATCTGCTTGGGCATGCAGATCGCAGTCATCGAATATGCGCGACACATCTGCGGCATTACAGATGCCTCATCGGAAGAGTTCAACGCGCAGGCAGCCAACAAGCTCATCATGTTCATGCCGGAAGTCGACAAGGAGACCATGGGCGCGACCATGCGTCTTGGTCTGCGACCCACTCTCTTCCAAGAGGGTAGCGAATGGTCGCGGCTCCGCGCTCTGTACCACGGTAAAACCGAAATCCTAGAGCGTCACCGCCACCGATACGAAGTTAACCCATCGTTCATCGAGCAGCTCGAGCAGGGCGGTCTCTCCTTTGTGGGCAAGGACGATGCCGGCGTGCGAATGGAGGTTGTCGAGATCAAGGACCACCCCTGGTTCGTTGGTGTTCAATTCCACCCCGAGTATCTTTCGCGAGTTTTGGATCCTAGCAGGCCATTCCTTGGATTCGTCGCGGCGAGCGCGGGCCTGCTGAGTACTATCACCCAGCAATATCAGGACGGAGGTGCGGAAAGCCTCACGGCTGGCGTCAATGGAATCGCCCTGAACGGGAGCGGTCTCTTCTAGACGGCTCGATGCACTGTTACCCCAGGTTGGGCAACGCAGAGGCCGGGTCATACGGATTGGGCGTGAAGATTTAGGGACCTAGGTCGGATTTACTCGGCGTTTGATATCGGTCATGCATGAACATATATAGAAAGCACTGTTAGTGGCGCGTATTGATACCTCCGCTGTTGTGATAGTATGAGAAAAAGTCGAATGTATAGAGTAGATATTGTCGTGCCCTCAGGGACGACTCTCGTACTCCTTCCCTTTGAGAAATATCCTTGGGTTCACCCAGGATGTATTGAGTAGTGTACATTGTGCCCTTGAGTTCCTGCTCGCTAGATGCTCTAACACTGATTTTGACACGTGCTCTGCAACACCATCTCCTTTTTCAAGGCCCTGCGGAATACAAACGTGGAAGGCATCTTTCAGGCCTAGAATACATACTCGCTATCGCCCGTTGAGCGTGCCGATGGTGTCTAGTCATGGAGACTTGAGGTGCTTAAAATGACAGTGAGTTCAATTTCTCTCCACCATTCAATTGGACAGACGTCGTGAGCGCGAGCACATTGGTAAAAGTATGTGATTCTCCTGAAAATATTCGGCCGATGCGACACTTCTTCAAGGATTGGCCCTTTAGCTGGCGTGGAAGGCATCGATGGTATGCAGCAGTTCGTTCGCAAGCAGAGGACGCGTTTCGGTTCCATCTTTTCGACAGTATCAAAAACGTTTTCCTTAAGTCTCTTCACTGAAGACCTGTATTCTTCAAAGAGGTTGGGTGAGCACGCTTCGTGCGAATTCTCCTCCGAAAGAAGATACTTAGGTTGGGGCAATGTCATGAGATTGAATTTGTATTGTGAACGACCGCCACGAGTACTATCAAAGTGTGTGGTGCGAAAAGCTGTGAGATTCAGGCAGCTGCGAATCTCGTATAACTAGGTGACGCTGACCATTTTGGGGACGGCACTCTCTTCGCTTTGCGCGCACGTGAAGGTCTCTTTACGCATAATGCAAAAGATCCTTGTTCCCATACCATCGTACAGGACTTGGCTTTGTCGCTTGACCAGACGGAAGGTATGCTGTCTTAGTCAGATACCGCCTTGTGGCGCGCTATAAACCGGCGATCGCCTCCGGCGTAAGCGGTCAGCCATTTACACTATCCGAGATACGAATGTACAAGCGGCTACTATAGAACGCGTGCGAAATTGGGCCTCAAAGTAGCTAGACTATTACAGTAGGTATGTGAATCATCATGACTGCTCACCGAGCTATCTTACACTCCCCAACTTCCTCATTCCGCGTGGTACCAGCTCTCAAGCGTCGACATGGCCAATATTGCACTCCATGACCTGCGTGCCCTACAAAGCACCCTCAACGCGGCAATAGATGTTTACGAGACATCTCCTGATCCAGACACGACAGCAGAGATCAACAAAGCTGCAAAAGCGATCGCAGCGGGGACGCGCGGTACAAGCACCGACTTCATCGGTCTCGGCTTCCAGCCTCTCAAAAACACGGTCATCCGCATCGGAATTGATCTCGACCTGTTCAACATCATTGAGGAAAACGTGACGTTGGACCACTCGCCAGCAAAACAGGAGCACACCCGAGCCTCCTAACGCGCATCCTTCGCTTGCTGGTGGCCACCAAAGTCCTGAATGAAAGCAGCTATCACGTCTACTCTGCTACACCACTATCGCACATGTTTCGCGTTCCTCCGATCAGAGACTGGATGAAAACAACGTACGACACTTTACTACCCATCTGGCAAGAGATACCCGGTTGGCTCCGTGAAAACGGCTACGAGGACATTACCAGCCTGAAGTCCAACCCCACAAAATCCATGTACGGCGCGAACTTCTTCGACGCTCTATCTAAAGACCCCAGACGCGAAGCAGACTTCGCTTCAGCAATGAGCTTACAAGACAACATTCCCAAAGTTGCAACCGCGCAGTTCCCCTGGAACGAAGCAGCGGCTACGTTCAATAAGCGCAAATCCGATGTGTTCGTGGTCGACGTCGGGGGCGGACAAGGACAGTATCTCGCCCGCCTGATCAACGAATATCCCGGTATGCCAGGCCGCAAAATCGTTCAGGACCTGCCCACCGTCGTTGCTGGGATAGACAAGTCCAACTCGAAGCTTGAATCACAAGCCCACGACTTCTTCACGCCACAGCCTGTGAATGGCGCAAGGTACTACCATCTCCGCGGTGTCCTACACGACTAGCCGGATGAGTCCTGCTTGGAGATCTTGAGACATGTGAAGGAGGCGTGTACGCCGGGGTATTCTGAAATTTTGATCCACACTGTGATTCTCCCGGAAACGGGTGTAGGAAGGAGCGACGCCGCGAATGATCTGTGCATGTGGACGTGTCAAGGGAAAGAGAGGACGAAGAAGGATTGGGAGGTGCTCTTCGCTAAGGTGGATCTGAAAATAGCGCGTGTAATCATGCCAGAGGCTGGTTTTCTGGGATACATGGAGGTGAAGGTGGCGTGATGATACTACAGAAGCGCTCATTGGTAGAGAGCATGTAGCGATTCATTGGTTTTACAGTTCTACCTACCATCGTAGCTTGGATAGCCATTTCCGGGGCCACCGGATTTTACATTGCTCAAGCTGTTCTTATACAGAAGGAAGTCCTTGAGCCGGTAGATAAATTACTTGTTCCACTACTACATTTTCAGGATGGTATTTCAGTTCCTTGATACGCCAATACAAGATCTGGGCCTTGTCTTCCTGCGCTGGAGTGTATGGTTGCTGTCTGTAAGGTGGTCAATCGACGTACTGTTACATTCCACGATTACGTAGAGAGTCTCCATGTTGATTCTACAAAATTCCGTCGTCGAAGCTGAGAGAACGAGGAACGAGGAATGAGGAGGAAATGTGCCCTTTACATGAGAGAAAGTGATTGTTGCATGTCACAAGCCGCGTAGAACCGTACAACACGGGTTCGCCTCCAGTGGTTCCTTGCAACCGTCCATTTGCTAGAAATTGTGTATCTCCACGTGTCCTAGACAGGCAAATACATAACCTGCTCCACCACCACACTGCTCGGATCATACTTCAGCTTCTCAACACGCCAATGCAACATCATCGGGGGCTCGCCATTCTGCCCATCCACCATCACCCTGACATAGCCGTCTGACCCTTGAGAAGCCTTAGAATGTGGCCCCAACACTTTATTAACAAGCGCCCACACATGCGCCCTGGCCGTAGCCTCGTTCTTCACGGCTCCCTTCACCACCGCTGGTCCGTAGCGATAGTCCGGGGGATCTTGCCAAGCGACCATAGCGATATTGAGATGGTCTGTCGCCGAAAATCCTGAAGACACGACCTGGTTGTTTAGCGAATAGATCTCAAAGGTAGATTTGTGGTAATGATCATGGAAAAAGTGTTGCTGAAGTTGTGTTTGGAGTTCGGGAACGGGCAGTGTGAGCATTGAGCCAGTTCGGTTGTAGTTTATGGCGCTGAGTAAAGTGTATGGTCTGTTGTTTTCAACTGAGGGGGCTGCTGTCTTGTACTCAACTATTACGTAGATAGTCTGCTTGTTGGCGTTGCTGTCGGGAGTAGCTTCCTCTGGTTCCATACTGGGTCAGTTGTCCACGGCGTTATAATTAGTGTGAAATTGAGAAGATGCCGTGTTTAGTGTGAGGCTTTTATGGGAAAGGGGTACAGGCTTTAGATAGAAAGACGTGATTGCTGCATCCCACGCCACATGTAGATCTGGACACCCGCAAGTGTTTCTTACTACACGTGCTTATGGTTTGCTGGAATATCTCGCCTTCGACTTTGCTCGATGCTTCTGCTGGTCGCTCTGTTCCATTCTCGGTGCTACCTTTCGTGACCTCAGGGTCCTACTGATATGAGGCTTGGCCTCCTTGTATGTTTCTTCACAGAAACTCAGCGCGCGTATATTGAGGCTGAACAAGCAGCCGACACCCACAGGATCTATTTCCGTCCGGGCCTCTTTGGCTTCGCAAACCCCTTCTTCTCCTCTTTCTCCTCCACCTTGAACTCGTCCGCGATCACCTGCGCCGTGACCTCGTCCGGATTCGTTGCCTCCAATCTCTTCGCGACCTTCAAACCACCCTCATTCTGCGCTAGACTGATAACATTACTCCGACTCGCCGCGTACAACATTCTCTCCTTGATCTTCGCCCCGCTGGGACACGTCGAGATAAACACGATAGACGACTCTGGATCATCATGTCTGTAGAACGAAAATCGGGGTTCCTGCTTGTCGATGGAGGACGCAAGGCCATCGGCCGACGCGGACGATGATGAAACAAACTTTAGAGTTTCCGTAGGAAGGTCCATGCGTAGTTGTACGAGATTGTCGCTTCCGCCTTCGCCGAGCTGTCGTAACGCACCAGAGATCTCGTCATCCGCGCGAATCGCTAGCCTTCCCCCTTGCGCAAGGCTCTGGCCCTGCGTGCCCCGGCTCTCCAGCGCCTCCGCCTCCTTGATATCCTGTAGACTCTGCTCTTCTGCAGTAAGTGGATTCGAGCTCTCGCTATGCTTGACGTGCCTCTCCCATCCCCCAGCCGTCAATTCGTCGGCCTCGGTGCAAAATATGCTCTCGGGAAAGTGCTCGCCGCCGAGCTCTCGGACTAGTGTCAGTCGTGTTGAAGCAAACAGCATTTTCTGGCGCACTGGCGCGGCGTTTGGGACATATGTGACGGCTACGAGGGATTTGTCTGGAGAGGAGAGGACGTCGTTGCGGCGGAGGAGGATGTAGAGCGCTTCATTAGGCTTGATGAAGTCTTTTAGGTTTGAGAGGTCCTCGAGGAACGTTTCATGCGTCGACGGTATAGGAGCTGCAGGAACTATGGCTTCTTGCGAAATGGTGGCGAGGATACCGCGTTGGGTCGTGGAGGTTATCAGGTTCTGGAGGGCTTCTTGGAGCTCCGCAGAGGCTGAGGCTGTTAGTCAAGGTGACGCATTGGAAGGGAATGACTTGCCAGAGATGCCTGATTGCATGATTGCGAAACTGAAATTGCAGAACGCTCAATGACTTGTGGTAACAACTGTCCAAATTCGAGATGTCGATGGCGTGATGGTTGGGGGGCTGAAATGCACAGCCATGTTTACGCTGACGTCGGAGGGGTTGTAGTGGGGCAGGTACGATGAGGCGCCTTGGCAACGGGTAACTCTATGATTGGAACCGATTGGTATGCATGTGAATCCTTCTAACACTTTCGTGGTACAATAGGTAAGGCATGTGAAGACCGAATATTGATAGCAGGTATGTACATCCAACGACAATGATGCTAGCTACCTCCAGAACGATGCGAAGTGGTATCAACAGTCCCCCTATGTTCGCAGCGAAATCAAAATAGACAAGCTCTACTCTTCGTACTTACCACCCGGCAGCATATCTCTATTCTTTTCTAAAACACCTTTCAAGTACTCGTAAACGGTGAATGTAACGGCTTGACCGGGCGCGACACGCATGATGCGAGGTGTGATACCCTTGTAGAAACTTCGACTTCCTTCCTGTTTCCACATATCCCTTTGCATTGTTAGCTTTATCAATGCTTATCTTTTTCCGATCAATCCATACCTAGAAATCGCCATTATCCGACCCATAGCAGTCTGTCCCGGTTCAGCAGGCGTTTTCTGCAGCCTCGTCTTGATAGTGTCAATAGGCGCATTGCTCAACGGTCCCATGGCGCCCGAGACAAGTCCGATGAACATCGTTTCGTAGCCAGGAAGATCAGTTGTACCATGATACTTCTGAAGCTGAGCCCTGAACTCTGAGTATGCCGTGAAGTTGACAGCCTGGTTTGAGCCTTGTCGGAGTGCCGTTAGTGAGACGCCGCGATATAGAGCGCCAAATCCTTCTTCGCGGACAACGGTATAAAGAGCGTGCGCGGCGTTGCGGTATTTGGGCACATCGAGGGGATCGGCCATGGAATGGTGTTGCGCTTGTAATCGAATCTTGACAACTTCCATGGGCGTGACGACGGCGACGGCTTCGGTGACACCCGCAGACAGACCAGCTGCGTAAAGTCAGGATGATTCCGCATGCTTGCTTATGTAGCATCGCACATACCTAGGAATGTCGCTCGTCCACTGACAAAGCCCTCCTTATCTGCTAATAACTGCTTGTACCATTCGTAACTTGTGAAGCGGATAGCCATCTTCGGTACAATGCCGGTAAGGACAGCACCGAGACCCTTGTAAAGACCCAACGGTGTTTCCCGTTTGACAATCTCTGAACCCGTCTTCAAAAAGCCGCGTTTAGGTGCCTATCAGAGCGTGTGAGTGGTGTTCAAGCGCATACGGAACCCTTCGCGTGCATAGCTGGACGTACTCCTGGTGCGCGCGCTCGCCGCGACAATTGCATTCGGACCTTAATGGTGTCTGTATATGATGTAAGTTGACTGCGTCTGAATCATAGGAACCGGAACACTTACCTAGAGGATGGCACACGAGCGCTTCCATCATGCCTGCGCCTCCACCAGCTATGCGCGCAATATCAGTAATTGTTTGCTGCAGCTTCCAAAGCTTCTAAGCATCTAATTCAAGCTCACCGATCAAATTTGTAGCGGCCGAAGCGGGCTTCTTGCCGCCAGGGCCTTGTATTGACTTCGCAGACATAGTGCGCAAATTGAGTCTGCGCTCGATCGGACGAGAGGAGATCAGGAGGGACGCTTTTCGCTCAATTGAATATATTTTGGAGGTGGAAAGAAGAGTCAAGTGTCCTTTCTAGCTCCTTCCAGCTTCAGCAACGAGCTACAACCTGCGGCTGGCGTGCAGAGCAAGTATGGCAAGTGCGTACTTGTGTCCAATATAACAAAGAAAAGGTCCAATTGCAAGACGACTCGTTGCACCAGGAAGACAAAACCAGAAAACTATTCACAAAAGAGACAGGAGCAAGCTAGAAGAAAAGCAAAACGCCAGTCTGCCATTGCAGTCGTGTTTCCCCAGTTAGCCGCGGATGGGAGGACGCTCTTAGCTCTACCAAGTATCCTCGGCTCGGCCCTGCGTGAGCCCAGGCCTAACGCTGGTTTCGAAGAGCACGCGTCCCGGGCGTCCGCATCGAAGATTCGAAGATCCTTGGCGCGAGGGAAACCCCAGATCAGCATGGTGGACGAACGGAAGACATCGTCAAGGTACAAGCTTCGGCTGGTGATCGGCTACTGGTGGAGTCGTTTTCCGGAATGACTGGCCAGCAATCGATCGCGTGCCCATCCTGCCTTTTCCTGACTGTGGATGAGGCGAGATGCAAGCTGACACGTGCTGTCATTATGATTTTGGATATGGCTATGGATTCATGTGAACGCACTGTTGGACGTGGGCTGGCTTGTGAAAGAGTGACGTTGTGGTACATCCGGAATGGAGCCGCATAGAATGCGGGGTTGTTCCGCTTCTGTCCGAAGGATGGCTCGTGCTTGACGAATACCAACCGGGATGTCCAACAGCAGCCATAATGTGTAAACCGAGATGGTGCGCTGTTGTTGATTCTAAGGGCGGTTGAGTTCTTTGCTGTAGAAGTCGGCAAAGGTAATTGATTTGATGAAAACGCAAATGACAAGTGTTCGAGCAACTTCTCCGTTCTGGATCCTTGTAAACACTTGAAAGGATTCATTTCGATGGTATCTCGCTGAAATGCTCATGTGTGATCTAGTCATCACCACCACCCCTCAAGAACCCTCCTCCACCTACGGCTCTCCTTTCCATCTTCTTGAATGTGAACCCCTTTCTACCTCCGCGACCCTTCCTATCGGCCTCACGCCCCTTCAACCAGTGTTCCCTGATATTCTTCGTGTCACGATTGACCTTCGGTGCGAGTAGTGCATTTCGCTGTGCTAACACCGAAACGTTGACCTTTCCTTTCTTCACATCCTTGATAGACTTCTCGCCACGCTCCAAGAACTTGATATGCCTGTTCATCTTCTCTTTCCTCACTTCTTCTTCTGTCTTGCCCCCGCGAACAGGCGGAGGCGTAGGGGGTCGACGATCGCCTGCCGCTTCAAGGATTGAATCTGGCAGTAGATCCGGGAGATTGTGCATGTCCACGTCCATTGGCGCCCTCCCTGGAGATGAATCTTCGCGTTGCTGTCGGCGAGCGAGCTTCGCTTGGCTCTTAGCCAACTTTCGCGCTTTTTTCTCCTCACGTTCGCGTTTCTCGGTCTGCTGTTGAGCTATGCGATCTGCGCGCTCTTGGCGACGACTCTCTTCTTTCGCTTGTTGCGCTTGTCGCGCGCGCGATGTTTCCTCAGCTGCAGCTTTGGCTTTGGACTCGGCCACCGAAGTGGTGACCATTTCGGGAGCTTCATCGGAGTCGCTTCCATCGTCCTCTGGTTCGGCTGCTGCTGGAGCTTCCTTTGACTTGACCTGCACGGTGGTCTCGGCAGGCTCCTCACTGCCGAAGCGTTTATGTTTTCGAGGAGGGACTATCGCGGTATCTGGCGCCACGTCTTCGAATGCAATACCAAGTGATGCTAGATCTTGGACCTGATCCTTTGATGGCTGTTCCACTGCGCCAGCACCTTGAGCAGCATCAGTGTCCGGTTCCTGCTGCTTCTTTGAGCTTTCAGATTGCTCTGTAGATTTCCACGTGATCTCTTTCGAAAGACCAGAACCCACGTCCTGCTTTACTGGAGAGAGTGGAGCCTGCTCGCTCTCCCAGGTTGAAGAAGGTATCTCTTCCGCCAATTTCGATGCGATAGGACTCTTTTCTGGTGAAGGAGCCTCAGGATGTTTCCTCGGTCTTCCCCTCTTGCCAGATCCTTTACCAGATGCAGGTGTCGCCTTGATAGCTTTTGTAGTAGGCTTGGGAGTGATGGAACCTTCCCTATCTTCCTCGTCTGCAGTTGTTGCAAATGAATGTTGCGCTGGCGTGTAGAAAACGTCTGCTTCATCAGCAGATCGTTCCGACGCAGGCTCCGGTATGACTATCTTAGGACTACCGCGACGTGCGATGGGTGTGCTTGCTTCGGCAAGATCGAGGGTTTTCTTGCTCCTCGTCCTGTGCGGCATCGATTTTGTGACGGAATCCGAATCCTTCGTTTCTTCGGCTACAGAGGCCTCAATGGTATTCTGAGCCTCTTCAACATTTCCTTGCGTAGCGGGCTCTTCCTTGGACACAATCTTCTTTCGCCTCTTAATCGCGGTGGGTGTCTCCTGCACCTCAACTTCCAAATGCCGCTTCCCTCTCGTGCTTCTTGTGGAGCTCGCCGGCGTGCTCTGAACTGACCCTTCAGTGCCGGTACCTCGTCGTGTTGTAACCATGGCTTCGTCCTCAGCAGCTGCGCTTGCGCTTCTCGGTATATTCTTGGTGGCTTCTTGGATCTCTCCCTGATATGACGGCGAGCGACTCAATATACGTTTAGCAGTGTCGAACACGTGGGACAACATTGAGGACGATGTACAAAAATTATTTTTGTATTGCCGCCAAGCGGGAAAGCGCGACCCACGGCTCGGACCCACGTTTCCCCTAGCGCCATTTGCGGACCTCCGAAGCTTGAGCTTCATCGACAACTACCCCTCTTATTGCATGCATTTGCAATCTTTCAAGATGTCAATTCGCTCGAGCATTGTTCGGAGCGCTCGCCGGATATTAAGGAACGAGCCATGTGTTCTTTTCCTGTACCGAAAGCCCCCAAATGTACGCAGCTACACGATAAAACAACGCATAGACCCATCAAAGGGAACGCCGCATGAGGTTCGCGCCGATATAGATAGGCGCAATAGACTTGCATACTATCGCATGCTTCACGCTGACAAGTTGCTACCATGCAAACTTGAAGATGCCAACAAAATCATCAATGAATTTGTGAACAACCAGGCCAAGAACATGGATCCAGCGACTAATGTACGCAAACTGGCAGAACGTAAGTATTTCCTGCCCACTTCGCGACTTCACCTTCTCACCAGCTTAAAGGATACAGGATTAAAGTAGTACATTTACCAATGCTCGCTATCCCAATGTTTCGAATACCAGACGTCAACGATACGAAGCGTCAATTGCCCCCAAGCCAACAGTCTACAGTGGCCGCTTCGATGCTTCTCGCTTGCAGCGCTGCCGGCGATCTCCAGGCTACGCTGCAAATCCTCAATGCCGTGTACTATAGCAGCAATGCCTACAACATGCCCAAAGCCGTGGATATCGCGCGCCTTTTCACGCCAAAGGATATCAGTGATTGCAGGAGGATGCTGGAGCAGCTGGCAGAGGGAAACGATGGAAAACCTGAAGCGAAGGGTGACGCGAACGCAATGACGCTGCACGGGAAGTTGCTAGAATTGGCTGGAAAGCACCAGGAAGCCAAATATTTCTACGAGAAGGCGCTGAAGCGGTACAACACTAAGATCTACCGCGGCTACCCACATCCGATGGCATTACCCTGGCTAACGCCGTGGCTTGAATTCGCAAACCTCGAGAAAGCGTCCGAAGCGCCCCGGTACGTAAAGATATTTCAAGCCCTGGAATTTGGCGCTCTAAAAGCCGACGATCCAATGGCATACTACAAGCTCGCTTCTATGCAAACGGACGAGAAGGCTGAGTGGCTCGAGTATATGACCAAAGCAGCCGCCTCTGGCCACTCCGAAGCTATGTACAAGCTCGGCCGGTTTTACCTAAAAGCGAACGAACATGCATCTGCCTTCTTGAACAGTGCAAAGCTCAGGAAAGTATTGAAATTCGTAGTCTCGTGGAGACCTAACGCTACTGCCGATTTTGGTATGGAATGGCTTCGAGCTGCGGCGCTGGGCGGGCATAAACCGGCTTTGATGGAGATGGCGCAGTTGCATGAAAAGAAAGGTGAGCAAGAACAGGCTAGGGACTGTCTACGGGCTGTCGCGAGCGAGCCATTGGGTGGCATCCCAGAGGAATGGCCGCACTTGGTGCTGCAGGCCAGAAAACAACTTGATGCATTGTGAGAATAGCATCAGGAGCAGAGACAGTTAGCCCTTATATTTGTACATCAACCGAGATACCCTGTATATTATGGCCCAACGGACAGTCGAGAATCTGTCAGAATTAATCCCTTGCCGTACATCGACTTCGCGTTGATGGTCAGCTCGGTGCGCTGCTTCTCGTCTTGCGTGTGGTTGCCGTCAGTGCGGCCGCGGAATGTGATTGGTGCTCGAAGTGAGCATGTCCGCAAGATTATGACCGATGCCATCTCAGTGGTCCGGACTCCAAGGTTATCTCTGATTTGGCCAAGACTCAATAGAAACGAACTCCACGAGCTGAGGCAGAGCCCTCTCGGTCCCGTGTTATCCACCAAGGTCAAGCTGGCGACTTTTATATAATTGAGCATGCAGAGGCTAAGACACCAGTGACGGATCAACAGCCCGCAACACCGTCGACGCTTGCTACCACAATTAGCCCAGAGTCACCGGCACCAAAAGAGGGCGTTAAAATCGCCTTTCCCAGCAAATATCTGTGATCATCTGTGAGCACGAGCGTTCTGAAAATATACCGTGAACTCATGAAGCAGTCTGATCCTCTTGAAGATGATAGCAGCAAGAGGTAAGTATATGTTGAGAGACAGCCACTATTGTAATTGATAACGATATAGTCCGGAGAATAAGCCTTGTGGCCCTCAGGTTCCGATGCTAGGCTTTACGCCCTAAGAGTACTGGCGAGATATCTCCATCAAGAAACCATTTGATGCCCACGATAGCGCCGCTGTAGTCCCGCTCAAAATGAAGGAGTAGTAGTCGCCAATCGTCATAGTCAATCATTCCGAGCTGAAGATGCTCTTCATAATCCGAAGTCGCAAACGAGAACGTGTCGTAGTGGTAGTGTGTCAGCCTCGCTCGCTGAGAGGCCCGTCCTCCATGGTGCAAAATAAGCCCATCACTCTCCAGGCTGACCTTCATACTATACTCGAAACCTTCATACTCGCCGACGTATTCCTCAAGTGACCCGGCATTGGTACCTTGGACCCGATGCTTTGATAAAGGTTTGCTGATCGTGCGCTCGTGCCAGCTCTTACACTGCTCAGCGATAGAGGTCGCCAATGCCGTGTAGTCGACTTGGAGCTCGGAAGTCATGATCTGACTACTTAGAAGATGCATAACGAGTTCATTGGTGTCACCTAGCGCTGTAGTGTTACCGAGAACTATCACTGCCGTATCTAGCTCGGGGAAAAGAGTGAAAGCGGAAAGTGCCCCGGCATTCTCTCCAGCATGAGCTAGTGCTAGTGTATGATCATCATTGTTTCCTACTGGAGGAATGGCAACTTCGCTTGCCACAGTGGCGTTTCGACCTCCATGACTGAGTTTCGAGGGCAGCATGAACCTCAAAAAACCCATGCCGTAGCTCCGCTCCAGTTGGCCATAGGATACGGCATCGGGAAGAATCATCTTGGGAGAAAATATAACCCCAGGATGTTTGCTCACTGGTGAGCGAAGTTCGGATGAAGCATCTTTCGCATCGGCTGCGTAGGCAGCTAGTAATAATTCCGACCACTTCAGCATGTCAACGACACAGCTTCGGATGCCACCTCCTGGAGTAAATGGAGATTCCTCCCATGGGGGTTCGGGTATTGGCAATGCTGTTCGGGACCGCGACGCCACATATGCGAGGCTGATATTGTCATCGGGAATATCTTTTCGCTCAATGCATGACCGCGTTAGACAGTAAGCTTCGAGCAAGCACTTCTTTACGAAGTCCATATAGGTGAGATGACCCTTGTTATGCCGCTCTACAACGACACCCGCGACAGCGTACATCCAGTTATTGTAGAGCCACTCGCTCCCGAGGCTACGCAACTTGGGCAAAGCATTCACCCGTTTTATCAACTCAGCGTGAGACACGAGCACTTCGCTCCGTTGGCCGACCCAGCTCGTATCCAAACGAGCATACCCAGTTCGGTGAGCAAGTAAGTCAACTAGCGTGGCTTGCTCCTCTTTGAGCTCTGGAAGATATTCTTTTACTGGAAGGTTGAGATCAAGGGAACCTTCCTGAGCTAGCAAGGCGCAAGCAGTGGCGGTAAATGCCTTCGTGCACGAGGCTATATTGAACAATGTGTTCTCGTCTGCTGGCTTCTGGTTCTCATGATCTCGGTCTCCATAGCCCCTGGCGAGAACAACTTGGCCCTGGTATAGAACTCCATATGAGAGGCCGACCTGACCCATGGTATTGCATATTTGCTCGATAATCGGTTGTACGTTCTTCAGTCGAGATGTCAAGGTTTCGATGTTCGGAAGGCTGAATTTGATTAGCTGCAATGCTTCGGCATAGTGCAGTGACCTACTTCCTGAAACCACCCGGGCGGGTAATGGGTCTCTGTACGGATCCCATTGCAGTTTCGTCACTGTCAGAAGAATTCTGGGTCGAAATCAAGGATGCGTTAAGAATCGTGATGAACACACGCTCCAATACAAAACGTGCACTAGATTGGCGCTATGGGCCTTTCTTGGACGACACTGGAATTCAAACGCTCTCCGGATTTGATCGTCCAAGCAATTTGGGCTGGGCTTAAAACGGTAGGTACCGCTGCTCAATCTAGGAACCGTGTCGAGAAAGTGGTGGGCTTCGAGATTGAGCAAACAGTTCGAGAGTTCAAATGGACCGGCACATGTCACAATCTCCGGATACAAACAGAATTGACGCCGCCCGGAGCGCAGAGTGCTCGAAGCATTTTACCGCTGGACACGTCACACGATACTTGAGGAATTCTCAAAATGATGCCCGACAAAAGAATTCGTTCTAGCTTGCATAACTTACCTAGGTAGATTGGACTACTGGACGCTCTTCTGTTCCCTCAGCCAATTCACACAGAGGCCGACGCCTTGCGAGTATAGCTGTGTCAGAAAAGTTTGTTATGACCACCGCGCGGCACCTCGGTATCTCAAATGCGGATGTGCACGTTGTGCAAATGCTCGTTGTGCGAGCATGGAAAGCACAGCCAACTATCGTTCAGTCATGCGCCGGCTTGTGCAATCTGTCCACCATCAATCATATGATCTTGATTTGAGGAGCTTCTGACCGCAAAACAACATCATCTACCAGCTCTTTGGATCTTAAGCCGACGCCCAATTGTCGAAGACCATGCTAGTTACCGAGTTATCCATACTATTCGTTATGGCACCTGAACAGATGCTGCGCCGCTTATCTCGGAGACTCTGTTTATATGCTGGACGAGACGACTCAGCTCACAAACGTGATCGATGATTTGGACGCATTGGAAAGGGTGGAGACAGTTTTCTCACTGTCACAAAGTTATATGAGAATGCCCTTCCGCAATTTGCCGCTGCTAAATCATGATAATGTACATGAGAGCTGATCGCGTATGTTTCCTGTGTTCTGATGAAGAGCTATGGGACTCGCGCAGCTGTTTTCTCAAGATTGCCCGTTTTCCAGCTGAACATCATTTTCAGTCGGTACGACTCACTTCGACCGTACATGTTCTTGGCTGTGCGAACCACGATGTTCGGTCTTATCTGGGCATTAATCTTTTCCGTTCTTTCCCATTAACATTTGTTTCATATTCTGTTCCTTGAGAAGGGACAGCTGCCTTTGATAATCGGGCAATGCATGTCTGCTGGCCGGCAAGGCCTTCCTTGGCTGGACTTGCTCTTGTTCGGGCCAAGTACCTTGTTTCTTCAGTTGTTTAGCATTTTCTTGTTCTTGCCTCCACATCAAAATGCGCTTCTTATTCTCTTCCTCGAGGCCCGGTAGCCGCAACAAATAGTATTCCACCCCACCTAATGCACTCTGAGGCTTCTCCTTTGTCTTGATCTGCTCTCCTTGCTTGTGACCGGGCGAATTTCGTCGTTCAGTTTTATTCAAGAGACTCCCGATCTTCATCTTTTCCATCGCCTGGCGCTTCTTGTTCTGTTCCTCGAGGAGTGGCAGCTCCGCCTCGCAGTCTTCTCGAGACCGTTTCCTAGTCGATGAGGTCTTCTTCGATTGCATTTGCTTTTGGACAAGCATATCGTGTTCTTTCCGAGGCGGAGGCGGATGATTGCCTCTCCATTGCTTAACGCGCTCCTTGTTCCGTTTCTCAAGAAGCGCCAGCGCCTCCTGCAAATTCAACGATTTACGACATTCCCGAAATATGTCGTTCTCCATTGTCTGGAATCGGAATCCTGTAGCTAATCACTCGGTATGGAAGGTAGATGTTTGTCTCCTTCGAAGGGATCCTCAAATGCGATGTCCAAGGTCTTGCAGTACAGTGGTCTCTGGACGGTATCGCCGTAGCGCCAACGGCTTCTCGAGTGGTCACAGTCTTGCCGTAAGTCTCCTCAAAGGCAACTTGCGCAAAGCATAACGTGCTTTCAACCACACTTTTAGGAAAATGAGGGGCTGGTGTCCGTGCCATGGTCGACGCAAGCCTAACGTGCGCCACAGTTACACACGTCTCACCAAAAACCCAACACGGTGCATGGCGCATTTTGTGTTTCCTGCTGCTTGACTCGTAGACTACAACCCTCCTAAAGCAGCATGCAGAAGACAGGGTCCCGTGGGTATTCTGTCAAAAATTCCTTCCATAATCTGTATCGTCGCGGGTTAATGCGTCACTCAACACCAGCCTTCTTGTTTCCCGATGAGCTGTAGCAACCCAAGTGATGCGTGCGGTCTCGCCGTTTGTCCTCTCGAAAAGATGATCTCCGAAGAAGAACGTGCTATCGCCCACAGATACAGGAAGTGAGCGGTCTGATAGAGCGCGTATGCTTGAGCTAGTGAGGGGCTGATTTCTGTGTTGTTGGTAATGCTGAGTGCGGCACGGTCACACTTCTCGCCAAGAGCACAAAACATGGCAGGCGCATTGTGTTACCTGCCGCTTTATGTGTATGGGACACAAACTCTTCCACGTCTTTTCAGGACCTTATCGCCCTGAGCCTATGAGGATGACATGCTAAGCTTCTCCATAATTATATACCTCATAAAAATCCTTCCCCAGGCCCAACTCCTCACACTCAACACTATCATCATCAATCAACACCTTACCCAAGCCACTCCACTGCAACCGCATAACCACACCTCTATGCCCAGCCCATGCGCCAGCCTCCTTCATCTTTTGCACACTCTCCGCAAACCCCCTTGCCTCCAACCACCCCTCCTCAGCCTTCATGGTCCCTGTCCTCGCAAACCCACTCCACCAATCCACCACTAACCTCGCAAATGCCGTATCCTGCCCATCCCTATCCTTCCACCCCTGCTGTAGGATGTTCCCAAAGGTATACGGCGCCTCCCCCGCGTGACATTTGTAGTATTCCTCTTCATTCGGATTGTCTACATCCCTCCCGCATATCGGGCGTGCGGCGTCACCGAAGCGGGGAGTCTGGTACGTGCGATTGAACTGGAACTCGTAGGCGGCGGTGAAGATGGAGTTGTGGGTGGCGGAGTAAGCGAAGGCGTGGGTGAGGCAGGTGAAGAAGAGGTGTGTAGCTATGGTGTTTGTAGCGTTGAACACAGCAGCTTGTTTCTCTTCCTCTGTGAGAGAAGGCCATACTGGTGACCTCTCAGGAGAAAACGAGGAGTTCGAGAGGTGCGTAAGGTCGAAGCCTGCAATGGCGGTGATGAGGAGCAGGTTGGAGGTGAAGTTTGTAGTGGGCGTGGTGAAGTAGTAGGATATCTCATCGCGGTTCACGCCGATGAGGACGGGGATATTGTGTTTTTTGGAAAGATGTCCGGAGAGGGGAAGGGCTCGCGTGAAGATGAAATTGTTATCGCGGATGGGGCCGATGGCTTGCGTGCAGGAGGGCTCGGTGAACCATTTAAGTGCGTCGTAGGAGCGGAGACAGGCGACTTCGTCTAGCACGTCAGAGCATCCGCTCTCTTGAAGGACCTTCTTAGTTATTCGGGCGTATATTGCGGATGGGGTGTCCCACTGCGTGGTCTCCGCTCCTGGTCCAGTATTTTCTCCTGGCATACTTTGCATTATCGCTCCATGAAACAGGCCCTCCGCCTGCGGAATGGCTAACAGCGACCGTACGTTGACAGCACCAGCGCTTTCGCCCCATATCGTTACTCGATTTGGATCACCGCCAAAGTTCTCAACATTCTTCTGCACCCAACGCAACGCCGTAATCATGTCAGAAATTGCATAGTTGCCATTGTGCACACCATCGATGAAAGGCAGAAAGCCTAAATTGCCGAGCCGGTAGTTGAACGTTACAACTACAACATCTCCACGGGAAGCAAGGTTGCCACCTTCCTTCTCTGGATCAGTGCCGGTACCTGCGAGGTTGCCACCGCCGTAGAGCCACACCATGACAGCCTTCAATTTTCCCTTGGAAGGTCCGTCAGCGGGCACATAAGGCGTCCATACGTTCAGGAATAGACAGTCCTCACTCAGTTCCGGCCACCGTGCCTCAGGGGCCTGTACGCATCCTGGACCGTACTTCGTTGCGTCGACTTCGCCTTCACCTTCATAAAGACGTGAGAATGTGAACCGCTCAGGTTGGGACGAGAAGCGTATCCCCCGGAACTGGAAGGTGTAGAAATCGCGGAAGCCTGTGATGCTTTGTTTGCCAGATTGCACGTTAAGTTGAAGGGAGGGTACAGGAGAAGATACATTGGCGCTGAGGATAGGACCTGAGTTTGTGCACAAGGCTGGTAGGGAAGTGTCACAAGGCCTTTTTGAGATGATGCCATTGGTGGCTATTGTGTTGCAAAGGCCAGAATTGTCAGATGGAGACGAGACCCAGTAGCGCAAGGACCCATTCCCGTTGAGGTAGGCTTGGTAGGAAAACGCGTTGTCAAGACCGAGCGAGGAGTTCGAGCGGGAGGGAGACCATAGCACCTCGTTAGCAGAAACACATCATTGCCTAGCGATTGAGTAGGTAGATGGCGAGAGCAGAAGTGCCCCTGAGGTCCGACTTGTGAGATTGCCTGGAATTGGTCAGAACAGCGCAATCGAGAAGCCGACGTGGTGAACGGACCACCCAGATCGTTATCGGTAAGAATCGTAGCGGAGCCTAGATATTTTATGTTAGGCACTGCAGCGTTCACCATGGATGATCCGATCAGGCCGGTGACAAAGCGAATAGCTAGCTCGTAGTAGTGCATCGGATCTTGTGTAAATGTGAACACTGACTTGGTTCAGTAATGAACTGTGACAGCTGCTTTACATACTTCGAGTCATGTATGCCTCCCTGAACGTTCACGACGGTTGTCGGGAACCCGACCCGTGATTAGCCTAATCTAGCTCGCATTTGTAGGAGTGTGCATGCCGAACATAGGCAAGCTATGCGCCACTTGTTGGTCGCTTGGTCGCCGCCAACCGGTAAGCTTTCGATCTCGAAGTTCGGTTAGGTTCACTTCAGTGGTTTTGCATGCCTCTCACGATGTAAAGCAGCTGGTCCAGGTGATGCCCTTTGGTATTGATCTTCAATCTCCATCGTCTCTAGAGTGCGCTTGCAAGAATCTCTCTCAAGCAGTACAGTACATACAAGAATATTCACATACCATCGACGATTTACAAGGCACCAAGCTCCTTCAACTTGCTGATCATGCCATCCACATCATCCACCTTGACACCACCTTTCCGTGGCGGCGGCTCCGTAACCTTCACGGTCTTCAACCTCGGCTGTTCCTCCAGCCCATAATCCTTCAGTGTCTTCTTCTCCAATGGCTTCTTCTTGGCCTTCATGATGTTGGGCAGACTGGCATATCTTGGCTCGTTCAATCGTAAATCCGTGGTAATAATCATAGGCAAGTTTGCCTTTACAGTCTCCACACCGCCATCCACCTCCTTCACGACGGTGACTGTCTTATCCGAAATCTCGACCTTGCTCGCCTGTGTTGCCTGAGGCCAGCCTAACAGTCCCGCAAGCATCTGGCCCGTTTGGCTCGCATCGTCATCGATGCTCTGCTTGCCCAAGATTACCAAATCACTCTTCTGCTCCTCAACGACCTTCTTGAGCAGCTTCGCGACACCGAGCGGCTCTAGTTGGGGGTCCTTGTCCTCGACGACGACGTGGATGGACCGGTCTGCGCCCATGGCCATGGCGGTACGCAGTATATCCTGTGACTTGGTAGGCCCGGCAGAGAAGGCGACGATTTCTTGGATGGGTACTTTGCGCTCGCGGAGACGGATGGCTTCTTCGATCGAGAGCTCGTCGAACGGGTTCATGCTGTGCTTTACATTTGCGGTTTCGACGGCTGTTTGGGCCCGATTGACGCGCGGTTTGACCTGTCGCATGTATGTCAGCATACCTTACGTTCAGTCAACTGCAATTGATTCCCCGTTGTACATGATGTTTGAATGCATGACGAGTGTCATTGAGCTTATAATCCGGAAGCTGCTGATTCTTACCGCATAGTCAATGACTCGCTTCACGGGTACGAGAACCCTCAATCCAGACATTGCGAGCTCTGCCTCCTCCTAGAATCAGTATGTGGGAGTTTGAACGTGCGTGGAAGAAGGTAGACAAGGGTGGGATGGCACGTTGGAGCTTGTACTGGTCGTCTGAGCCGAGGAACAGCGGGCACTGGTACCGAAGTCTCCACCGACAGTTTCCGGGCATGACATAATCACCCGCCAACCGCTTCTGGTGTGGTGGGGTACATCAACACTTGAACACCTGGGCAACGCATTGCACAGCATCGTCCATCATTCCTAAATCGCGGATTATGAGACCGTGGACTCAACACGAGACCTTTCTCTATCTGTACTGATGGGACCGATCGCAGACCTAGTTGATTACGCTCGTTCGAGAAGCCAAATCGACCAGCAAGCGTTCCCACGTTTCCTGCCACATAGGGCTTAGATTAATCGTATGTGCACTCTTCGTCGTTTGCAGGATATGTTAACTAATTGGTAAAGCATCCTCCTCTTCCAGGATGGCTGCTCTCTCTTCATCAAACCTACTGAAACTGCCGGACGAACTTCTACTTGAGATTCTCAACTATATCGACCATTTTGCATACGCGTGGCGCACCAATTCACTTTATGGACTCAATCTCGCCAGCCGACGCCTTCACGCTTTGACCAAGCCGTATCTGTATTCGACTTTCTCTTTCTATGCTGGCCATCCTTGCTTGTTTCTCCGCACCATATCCCTCAACCCGGATTTAGCCTCTCAAGTGAAGGGGGTCTGCTGGGACTATGACACCAGTGCAGCAGGATCTTTCGTCTACAAGCCGGGCGTCCTTGCAGTGAAGCAAGAATTCCAGCTTGACGATGCTTGCGACAAGCTACAAAATATTGCCGTGCAAGGGAACTTGATTGCCAGACATCTCGTTGCTAGTCTGACATTAGGACGCCTACATCTAGGTGATCTAAGAGCACTAGAAGTGCTATTGATGTTCACTAACAACATGGAACATTTGGAAGTGGCTGAGACATACAGATGGGATGATCACCATTATTGGTTTACACCCATTCTCTGCATGCCCAACAACTTTTTACGACTTACTTCAGCCACCTTACAAGGTCCCATGCGTTCGGAGAACGTCGTAGGGCTTATGATTCTTCCTTCGATGCGATGCCTGGAGCTTACTCAGGTTGTCGAGATGCGACAAGAGCAGGACCGAACGCTCCAATGGCAGGATCCGTCATCAAACGACCCAATTTTCACAGGCGTCTTCAATCAGCGGAGCTCGAACCTTGAACATCTCCGCCTTCTAGACTCCTACACTCAGCTACAGGATGTTATGCAAATCTTGCGCACTACGCCAAGCTTGAAATCGTTTGTCTACGAGCATATCGTAAACGAGCTAAGCCTACACTACTTGGACATGCCTTACGACAACCTCAACCAAATCTTAGAGCTACAACGAGAGACTTTAACCTCATTACGCATTTCCGCCATGCACAGTTGGGATCCAATCCCACTACCAGCGCCCTGGGAAGACGAGAATGTAATCTTTGAGGCTGTTCAGGATTTTCCCAAGTTGACCCATCTCGAGGTATCCTACTCATGCACCCAGTCTAGGCAGTGGCTCTATCGAGCACCCAAGTGGGAACAATTGCCTCCAAACCTAGAACACTTGACGATAGACTACCTCAGCGCTCATGAGTATATCGAGCATACTGAGGGCACTGCAGAGCTGGAGCAGGGTCTGGAGGATTTAGCGATTCGCAAAAGGCGAGGCGAGTTGCCCAAGTTACGAAGTGTGGCTTTTAACAACTGGCATCCATACTACGGTAGCTTTCCGCGAGATATATCTATCGGAAAAGTACTGGGTGATGTGGGGATTCAGTTGATGTCGATACCTGCGAGAATTGGCTCTACGACATACATGATGGAGGATATTGGATGGGTTGAGTTGCAGTCTGAGCTAGATTGGGTGATTATTGAGATATATCGTGTGGACGAAGAGTGACGAGTTGAGCTTGTTACTCTGCATGCTCTACACTGTCACCATCCCTGACGTAGATCATCTTCTGGCAAGTTGTAAAGTGCGGTCGAACGGAGTTCCGCAATGTAAGATAAACTGCATTGCAAGTTCTGGGGCGGATTGCTTAAAAAAAGCGTCGACGCCCAGCACGGATTTTACGCCGGAGAAAGGTGTTCGCGACCGGGGTATGGCTACCCCACAATCGGTCTAACGCCATGTGGAAGGTCGCTGTTATCTCTAGTCCAACGTTGGGTGGCGACTGGTCTATCTATCACGATTTATAATGTTGGACGATAATTTTCTATCGATATCTTGTTTTTCTGGTGTTGACTGCCCTTACTTTGTCGCACCTACGCAAGTCAGATAAGGGTTTGGTAACTAGACACCGCTCGTTCATCAGGTTACATAACTAACAGCGTGACAGGACTCAAACGACCAATTCAATTCCTACTTTCGACACCCATACCATCTCCTGGACGAGCAAAAAGCCCACCGTGCTTCAAACGCTCATGATCACTGAATCGGCACTTGTAGGGGTTGCCGGGCTGTGCTTCTCCAACATCCATTCCAGGTCCATCCACTCAAAAACGATCTCAACTCCTTAGCACGCGATCCGAATATAGCCCCGCGTATCTAACACGTGTCCAAGTCCCTCACTGGACTCCGCGTCCCATACACCAACATGGCCACCGAAAAAGCCCGCAAATCCCTCATCGGCTCTCCCGGAAACTTCTGGCTCCACCACACAAACCATGGCTTCAACCTAACACACCCTTCCTCCCCAAGAGAGCCCATCACCACGCCAACACTAACCATCGAAACCACCACCTCCCCAATCACAGTCGACCCCTCCAAATCTGCCCTTGTAATCATCGACATGCAGAATTTCTTCCTTTCGACCGCCCTGGGACGAACACCAGGCGGGCCAGGACACAAAGCTTCCGACAATCTGTTTACCCACGCGATACCTGCGGCTAGGAAAGCGGGTATGAAGGTGGTGTGGTTGAACTGGGGGTTGACGGAGGAAGACTTGAAAACGATGCCGCCGGCGGTGCGGCGCTGTTTTGGGTTCTTTGCGATTCCTGAGGGGGAGGAGTTTGAGCGAGACTTCAGCCCAGGACCAAAAAGTGTCGGTGTAGACCGGTTTGGCGTTCCGCGCAATGAGCACGGGAAGGAGGCCATGTATCATGGTCTTGGAGCACCGTGCGGGAGTGTCACGCTCGACTCTGGGGAGACCATTGCAGGAGGAGATCTCCTGGTGCGAGAATCGTGGAACGCAGATATTTACCCGCCTTTGAAAGAAGTGTACAATTCTACCTCCGATGCCTGGATCCACAAAAACCGTATGTCCGGACTGTGGGGCTCGTCCACGCCTTTCCAAGCTTTTCTGGAGAAAGAAGGATTAAAGACATTGTTTTTTGCCGGCGTGAACACAGATCAGTGCGTTGGAGGAACGTTGACTGACGCTTTCAGCAATGGATACGACTGTATTATGCTTAGCGACGGATGTGGGACAAGCAGTGGAGAAGGGGCACAGAAGGCTTGGGAGTATAATGCGGAAAAGACGTATGGTTTCTGTACTACGTGCGAAGAGCTGGCGAAGGGGAGCCGGGAAGATGTAGGAGCATTGTTGGTGGAGATAGTGGTGAGACTGGTGTTCGATGTGTATATGGATGATATCGAAGAGTGTATGTGGGAGTGGCTAAGCAAGATGGTATGTCGTGGGATGAGTTGGACTACAACGAGCTTTCGTGATTATGACCCGGGAGTGTGTAGTGGATGCTCACAAAGTGTATACATAGACTGAGATGAATATCCCTTTACAGAATTTCGCTTAGGGGGTTTTTCGATTGCGCAGTCACGAAACTTGCTGGTATCGTAAAACTGATCCTATGACTTGTCGCTTGGCCCTGTCCGCGCCTGAGCTCAATGCCCTTACACCGTCAAAGGGCATGGTAGGCGCATTGCGACAAGAGCCGAGCGTTTGACTGGGATGGCAATCCTTTCGTGACATGTACTGTGCGGGAAAAAGGGCCTTGTCAATCTGAATGGAACTACGGAACATGCGTTTTGCGAACCACTGCATCTGTGTGACTGACCACCATTATGAACCCGTCCAAGGTGCATCGGGACTGCATTAATCGCTATCCCCTGCAAACGGCTGCAGTCTCTCGTGCGGAAAGAATATCAGCTAAATGGTATTGAGACGAACAATGCAGGCGGTCAAGGGCACAATGCTTACGCCGGAGACTTCTTGATTAAGCGAAAGGTGCCCCTCTTTCACGGAGCAAGGCACAACACGCTTTCAAAACCAAGGAATGTATTGGGTCTATCGAAAATGGGGTCAAACAGCCCCCAAACAGAGTGTCGTACGAAACTACAGGACCTGCCACTTATCACTGATCATGACGTACAAGATGAAAGGAACGACAGGACATCATTTGAAGTTGCTTGGGCCTTTCCTATTGTCCACATGCCTGAGCAACACAGTCATATCGGGTGTACTCTATTTGTCGTTGATGGCGTGGTAGGCGTACACCACATCTTCGTCGCGATCGACGTCAGGGTAGACGATCCATTCGTCATTGTCTGAAAACGGGGTCAACATTCAGGATTGGATCGTTTGATATCGCCCCACCTTTATGAGGCTCGGCCCTCAAGGCTGCATGCTCTATCATCAACTGTTAATAGAATGCCTTGTTGCGGTGGATTGGCGGCCTTACCATTGAGAGCAATGGGTGCTGCCAGGATGAAAACAAACAAAAAGCTTAAAATTGCGATTGATTTCATGGTGGAGCTTGCTGGATTAAAGCTAAATTGTAGCTATGGAGGAAGTCAGAGAACGATCAGTTGATCTGCTGGACAATGGTCGTCAATTGCAGACTTATTTATACCATATCGGTCTGCCTTGCTTGAGTATGTTGAGTTGATGTTAATCACATCTCTATCGGGAAGACTTTGTCTGGATGTGAGGTAGGACATGCATTGCATACTCTGCCCATCAGAACCGAGTATAAGTGCCGCAGTTGTCCAGAACCGGAGTTCAGACGGTGCATGTTGATACATCCATGCAATGCTTGCAGTCTGCGGGGCGTACGGACATCGACTCGATACGACGAAAGTGCGAGCGGGCGTAATCATCATCCCTAACGGGGCCTGGGGACATGCTAAACTTGTTGTTAAAGTTTTCCCTGACGTTAGAAAAGTGGCACGGGCATTATGGAACATTTGACGTGTTATTGAGCTTTAGCTGGTGCATCTGCGATTTCGAGGCTCTTCAAGTCAGGCCAAAACTTTGGCGTATTTAGCTGAGAGCGACAAACATCGTTATGGCCAGCCTTGAAATTGAAAGGGAACCTTTCTTAGGTGATAAAGAAGGGTCTACAAATCACAAAAGGGCCTCTGAACTTGGTCTGAAAACTCGATCGTGGTTGATCATTCATATATGTTTGATCGCAACATACACGATGGTCTTCATTCTGTCGACGAGAGGTACTTGCCGTTTGCAAACTTCCCTCCAACGTGAGTACCACTGAGGCATTTCCTCTGTATTATTAGCGAATCCGTGCTGATGCGATTAGCTATCAACAATCTAGAGGTATTCGCAAGCTCTGAGTCCTATGACGACTTCGAGAAATCTCCCCTATGCAGGGCTGCCGTCATCATCAATTGATAGAGCATGGCACTACTTACTTGAGCCAACGACTATACGAGTCAGTTCTGAAGAATTGAAAAGGAGCGACCAGATGTCCGTACCACTTCCGGGAGGAGGGTATATGGCCTGGCTAGGTGTCTTGCACGAGATTCATTGCATTGTGAGCACTTGAGTCCTGCAAGTGAAGACTTCGCTTTAACGTTCGACCTAGAAGATGCTGCGACAGTGGTCATATCGCGACCACTATCACCCCAACATGACCCAGGATCAGTTTGAGGAATCGAGTATTCATGCAGGTAAGTGAGCCAATTACAGACTGTTACAAATATTTTGTTCTAGCTAACGCATATACCAGATCATTGTCTGGATATATTGAGGAGCGCCGCGTTGTGCCACGGCGACACAACCCTCACTACCTTTGGTTGGGCAAAGAAATCCAAGCCACTACTAAATACTCGTCCAGTAGATCATCGATGTGTGAACTGGGGTCGGCTTATGGCGTCTGTGGAGCATAGAGTCGTTCGTAGGACAGAGATTGAAGCAATGGTCAACCCGAATCTATAGAACATTTGCAGGCTATCAATGTGCTAGCCTATCATTGGTCGAAGAAACTATCTTGCGAAAGGAGCATTTGATCTCAACTGCTGTAAATATGTCATTTCGTAATGCTTCGCGTTTAGACTATCTGCTCGACATGCTGCTTCTTCTGCTGCTCACTTGTCCATGCTTTCAATTGCTCCCAATTCCGACACTGGTGGACCGTCCTAAACCCGTGCACTCCATTGATCTTCTCATCAACAACCTCTAGTGTCGTATCCGCTTGACACATCAGCGACTGTCGGAGTAGATCGATGCAATGTCGCATATGGCTTTCCTGGATATCAACTGGCAGAGTCTCGTCCACCAGCTTATGGCCTTGTAGGGCAGCATGATGACTTGCCCAGTAGCCGCCTCGGAGCGCATTCTGATGACGAATTACTATTCCGTAGCGTGTAAATTGATATGTAATGGGTAAGCATCGAAGGAAGTATTAGATTGCTTACAAGACAATGAAGTTGGTGGAATACTGAGAATGTACTGCGAGTCGGGGCTATGGTCGGATGAACGAAGAAGCCTCCTTCTTTTGGAAAGATCTCGCGCCAGGCATGGTTTGTTTGGTTTGACGGGGGGGTATGAGAAGCTACGGTTGTAGCGAAAGGTGTGGCTGATTGTGTCGACTAAAATTATTCGTCAGGGTGTATGGGATCAACCTGGGACCTCTTACTCACGAGGCAGGACTTTATTCCTCAAGTGGAGGTATGCAACTTCTTCTGCAGCGAGGCAACCCAGTGAGCCGATCAGGAAGCATAAACCTAGGGATAGCATTTTAGTATAGAACGATCTTTGTTTTGGGACGGAGGGATCCCTGTCTTCGGCCAAAGGAATTGGGGAATATCCAGTCCAGAAAGAGATTCGCATGATGACTGTGAGAGGGCAAAAAATTGGGAGATTGGAGACAACGTGCGATCTGGAGCTCAAAAAAAGAAGGAATGTGGGCATGAGAAAACCCCGGAATGATGACCCCGAAGCACATCATCGTAGTGTCACCATATCAGCACATATTTGAGATTACAATGCATATATTGCTAATAGATCTTCACGATAAACTGTGAGAAAGTGTCTAGTGAGCTGCCTTGTTCGCCCTGTATGCGCATGCGCCCAAAGTCCGGACGTCAACACTCAAGGCATAGACCCTGTAAAATACGTCAGCACATCCCCGGAAAGCAAACCAAACATTTGCTAACATCGAACTAGTGTCACAGTTTCACAACCATTCTGGCTAGTCTCCAACATCATCACGGCCTACATCGACCTGCTATGTAGCCTTGTGATCAATCTAATTCACCCTGCAGTTGCAGATCCTTGTCCGTGGACCAAAACAGGCTGATCTGCTCTGTTACAATGCTATGCCGTAATCTCACAGAGGCTGACAGCTTGAACACCCCCCACTCGCCTTCTTCAATGATGTGTCCGTTCGATGAGAATACAGGAGCATCATGCCATGATTACGCTTCTTATCCGGTCCGCGACTAACGGCCTTCTCGGATAGGGTTGCAGTCAGTTTTTCTTGCGTCACCTTCCACTCTGATTCTCCCTGGTCCGGGGCAAAGGGGTGACTCTTGCGCCCAATCGTGGACCGGACTTCCAAAAGCTAGTATGACGAGTTATACGGGAGAGTTAAGGGAAATTCATGTCTAGAGAACTTCGAGAATTTGCGTCTTTTTTTCTGACTGGTGCATACATGATAGTGGATTGATACAGGGTACGTTACTTGCGCAGGACCATTCGATGCTATATGCACGAGTTTTATGGATTTGCAGATCACTGGCAAGTAAAAGTTTGCCAGTAGGCATCAAAGTTCGAATTCGGAAATGCACCATTTCCATCCGAAAACAGCACAATGCTGCCAGGCTGAGTACTCCGAGTTACCGAGGCCTCGTCATCTCATATTGCTCGCTGCGCTCTTCCGAATCCCTAGGGTCGCCCTTGTTTTTTTTTGGCGGTCGTAGTTTCAATTCTTTGCGTCAGATCGGTGGCACTTTCTCCTGGCAGTCGGCGACTTCCGCCGCTCCTGTTGCTGCCAGACCTTAGGCTCACCATAGAGAACATGCTTCGAATCACTGTAGGCAGACCGCGATGTTCCTTCCGCAGTAGGGGTGCACAACCGGGTAAGCAAGCTGCGACGAGCGAATTGCATGGTTCTATGATTGACCAGATGGTACAATAAACCGTTGTAGCTGCAAAGCACATTAGTGAGAGGTTTGGCTTTGTGTGACGGTACCTACAAGAAAATGTATGCTCGACCGGTGTAAGGTTCATCAAACGCCTAAAGTACACTGTGCGCACGATGGACGCAATTATACTGCTACCCAGTGGATTAGCATTTAAACGACATGTACTTGATTTTGCATACAAGAACCCGAGTCCAAAAATGCCTGCGACAAGAAATTTGCGGCGTCTACTGATGTGGAGATTCTTTATGACCGGTAAGGGTAGGCATAGCGTGGCAATATCTTGCGCAAGATTGAGGATTGAATTGACAAGTAGCCACACCGCGTAGTTGATCGGCTGCTGGAAGCGGTAAACATGGTAGCCGGCTAGCGTTCCCTATAGACCCTTTCAGTACAATCGGGCTGAAGTTACATACGATAAGCTTACAATTACGCTAGTCAGACACCAACAGACCGTGAATACTATGAGTACGTTGTCCGCCATCTTGAACTTCGTGGTAGGGAAGACTTTCTTGTAGAAGAAAAGCAGACCGAGTCGGACGAACGTTATAGATGTGGCCCACAGTACCTGGCTTGCCCAAATGACCTAAGATGATTAGTACGCTGCCGCGTTGAGGATTCGAGGCTGAATACCTTGCGGAAGGTATACACCTTTGAGCCTCTCAGCTCTTGGATAGGCCACCCTAATCCACCATCGACGGCTCCATAGATGATCAAGCCGGCATGAGCTAGGATGATAATCTAACTCATAAGCTATCAGTAACGCAATAATTGGTTCACACAGCTTACAAGTCCTGCCAGGAAGAGCCACGCATCCGTTCTCATAGGTTGTTTCTTCAGACTTTGAGCATATTGGCGAAGCAGAAAAGCGACAGTTCCAAGGAAGGTGAAAATAGCACAAGATGCCACCGATGCAACAGAGTACGAAGAATGCATCGTTGCAGATCTTGGCGTTTTCAGTGACCGAATATTGAGCAGGTTATCGAAGGTGAAGATGAGCATACCAATTATTTCATCGATGGGAAAAGGTTCTCAAGCTTTAGTTGCAGCAGTTCGGCCGCTCGGTGGGCCGCATCGGCCGTCGCTTTTGGGGGCGGCCCAAGAGCATCAGGATAGGCAAGCAACTCTAAGAACCATTGGTCAATGCTTAATTCAAACTGCAGCTGCAAAGCTGCATTGATATCGAAGTCCGTCTCGCACGAGACCCGGGTCCAGAACCCAGTGTTTTGGTTCGTGTGCATCCACCCTGGAGCAGGATCGGGATCCTCCCACCATTGGCGGGGTGGTTACATCGCATGCACCTCTGGGCCGAAGGACGCCAGACTGTGCCACAAATTTTCTGGAACGCTAGTGGTAACCAGACTGCAGGTATCCTAGTTGTCATCTGTCTCCGACAACGACATGCAAGCAGACGGCGCAGAGTACAACTGCTGAGGGGCACTTCGGGGTGTCGGCCATCCCCCGACATTTTCATCTTCGTGTACAACTGCACTGTTCCGTTAGGCATGTCAGCTGACGTGACCTATACCTATATTCCAGCTTCGAACCAGCAACTTCTCTCTCACTTTCTGTTCGTACAATTATTCACAATCCTCGAAAATAACCATGGCTTCCCGTGCCGGACAACTGGTGGAGACCATCTCGCAAAGGGTCTTGGAGATCGAAGATTTTCTCAAGACTCAAGGTGTTCCAAACCTCTCGATTGAGCAGGATATCCCCTTAAACTTCCAGGGAAACCCAAACTTCGCTTCGCCCAAGGATGCTGCATTGTTGGCTTGTAAAGAGCTCTCAACGTTGCTGGGAGGGTCATTTCACGCAATAACGAATCAAACGGTAGCTATGTAACTATGCACAAAGGCAACACAACTTATCATATCACAGGCAAGCGAATTTGCGAATACGCAAGCAATCTGCCGCTTCAAGATTCCATCGAGCTTCCCTCCCGATCGCGAACAAGCAACATACGATCAGTTGGCAGCAAACAGTGGCCTTGCAGAGCCTGAGGTGCGACGCCTTGTGCGCTCGACTCTGTCTTCGTATATATTTAGCGAGAAAGAGAAGGGTGTCGTTACTCGCACTGCAGCATCAAGAATGCTAGCCAATAATCCACTTATGGTTCAATGGGTCGAGATGACTGCAACGGAGATAATGCCTGCAACTTTGAAGATTGCAGATGCAATAGAGAAATGGCCCGAGTCAGGGGAGCCAAATCAGACGGTGAGTGTAGTGCTACAACTTGGGCTATGCGCTAATTGTTTGGTTATCAAGGGTTACAATATTGCCAACAGCACCGAAAATTCGGCTTTTGCGCACATGGCAAAGTTTCCCGGCCGTCCGGAGCAGTTTGCTAAAGCCATGTCCCTCTTTAGCATGGGTCCAGGTTATTCTCCTAAATGGTTATTAGAGAACTACCCTTGGGACAGCTTACGCAATGGTACCCTCGTCGATGTTGGTGGCTCAAAGGGCGAGTATAGTATCACTATTGCTCAGAAGTACCCTCAGATCAAAGTGATCGTCCAGGACCTTCCGGACGTAGTTGATAGAGCTAAATCGAGCACACCGGCAGATTCGGCAGACAGAATAACCTTCATGGCCCATGACTTCTTCACAGAGCAGCCCATCAAAGGCGCAGACGTGTACTTGATGCGGTGGATCTTGCACGATTGGTCGGATGTGTATGCAATCCGTATCTTGCGCGCTTTGATACCTGCGTTGAAGAAGGAGGCTAAGATCGTGCTGCATGAATATATCGTGCCTGAGCCAGGGGAGACTTTGACTCTGCAGGATAGAACGTTAAGGTGAGTAGTTTCAAGGTTCCAAGAAACTTCCGGCGCTACTAACAAACTCATGCGCAGGATTTTTGACACTGCGGTTCGAGCCCTAACGAATGGCAAGGAGAGAGAAGTGATCGACTGGAAAGCGCTGTTCGCCGAAGCGGATAGTAGATTTCATGTCCTGAGCATCGAGAAACCAACCGGCTCTAGCCTTGGGATTATCGTGGTTCAGTGGGAAGGATGAGTTGGTGAGGCCACAGAAAGTTATGCAGCCTCTAGGTTTAAGTCACTTCTGTCCATATGGCGGAATAGAAATGGAGATCATGATGATAAGTTATTTGCGATCGTTCATCATTCTCTACTTGTTCTCCAAACCGCTTCAATCACTGCAAGTATGGAACCAGGAGAACAAGTAATTCTCCGCATATTAAACCGGGGGTCGGCGGCGGTGAACAGAGCTCCCCATTCCTTTGCATCCCGTTCTTTCGAATTGAACATCTGTTTCATCGCTATATCATAACCTCTTCCTAGTGAGTTAGCGTGTACGTCACAATGGAGAATTGAGGATGAGCTAACCGGAGAAGCTGATTTTGAGAAGGCGACAGCACATTTGGTTCGGGCATACAAACGTCATTGACAATTATCTTTGCCCCATTCTTCAAGGCTGGAATAAGATTGCGCAGGATAGCTATGCAATACTTATCAGACCAGTCGTGAAGTGTCGAACGGAGGAAATAGACATCTACATCCTCGACTGTTTGTTGGGAAAACATATCGTGGTTCCTAAATTCCAAGCGACCTTCAAGGTCTTGAGCAACTGTGGCTGTCTCGATGACATTGGGTAGATCCTGGACCACTGCCGTCATAGTCGGAAATTGACGCAGAATTGCGGTGGCAATGGAGCCGTCTGCGCCGCCAATGTCGACTAGACGTTTCGGGGAATTCTCTGTTTCCCATTGCAAGTCTTTGAGCAAATGGGATACACTAAACTCAGGTGCACTCTGTAAGAACTTCATTCCGTTCGTGAATCGCTCAGCATTAGCGGGAGCCTGTTGTAAAGATTCGAACAGTGATTGGTTGGAACTGTTGGTGAGTGCGAACGCTGTCTCATTAGGCTCTTCCGAGACTGGCCATGTTGAGAGAGCCTCAACAGTTTTCGAAGCAGCTGGCCAAACTTCGTCACAGAAGTGGCCGATCCAACTGTTCACTAAAGGCATATCGATCATGCATCTTGATACAGCAGAGTGACCGATCAAACCATTTGATTTCTCTTCAAAGACGTGAAAGGCAATCGCTAAGCGTAGAAGGCGTCGAATGTCGTTGACCTGGACATCGCACTCTTGTGCGAGTGCTTCGTAGCTGATCTCTTCGTCCAGTTTGATCTTTAATGCGATCTGATATCGATTGATGAAATGAAGACTCGCAAGTATATTGTGCTAGTTGTGAAGTAAGTGGGATGATGACGCAGTGGCCGTTCAGCTGCGATACTTACAGTGGGACTAGTCAGACCAATAAGGTAGCCCAAAGGACCCTTGATTAAGTCATGAAGCTCTGAAGTAGCACTCAGCAGCTCCGCTCGAGCTATTTGGAGATGTGGTGGGAGAATCAAAATGGAAGGCGCCTCGGCGGCAAAGGAGAGGTCAGGGAGACCCTCTGTGACCAAGTATTTGCTTATCTCTGCAGTACTTTGACTGATAGTCGACGCAAGAGACTGGGTCCTGGTCTGGCTCTTAGGCATGGTGACGATGTTCCGACGAACGCGGGTAAGTCGTGAATTGTACTTGTTACCAATTCATGAACGACGAAGACTAGATGAGCGATATGGAAACTGGCATGTACTAACTGTCGGTCTCCGTGACTACTCCAGTCAAGGCAAGTGACACCGATCACGCTGCATGCACGTATATTAGAGCACACATCGCTGCGGAGTTCAAAACCGATTGCAAGACAGGGGGCTTTCAAGGTCCGACACAAATAGTCAACCATGTCATCGCTCGCGTACCCTAGTGCAGATATGCAGTGACCCTTGTAGCATAGCAAAGGCAGACTCCGTAAGTCTGCCGTATTGCTGCAAGTCAGCAAGGATGACGCACCATTAGTCCCCCATCGCATGTGGGTGGTGATCGGATTCGGTTTGAGACTTCTCTGTGCAGCTTGATCATTGCGATCTCAACTTCATCGGTTTTTACTATCCTGCTCGAATTTTCGAGCATCATGTTGGCGTTGTGCATGCTCGTATTACTTCTTCTTTGCGTTATTTATGGCCTGGCCGAATCCAAATGGAGGGCCCAAACGAATATTCCAGGCCCTCTCATTGGTCGAATAACAACTTATTATCGTGTCTGGCTTCTTATTTGGGGAGATGCTCCTTTCAGATATGCTGAATTGCATCGAAAGTATGGACCGATTGTTCGAACAGGTCCATTCCACGTCTCAATATCAGACTCTCGCTGGATACCAGTCGTATATGACTCGAAACATCAATTTCGAAAGGTGAATAATGTCCGATCAACATCGCTCGGATGGGAATCGGGTCTTCATCCATTTGCAGATCACCGCTGGGAGAAGCCGCATGACCTTATCCATCGCGCCTGGACTATTCGATCGTTGACTTCTTCCAGGGCAGATTTTACGATGTCTTCCGTCCGTTGTACAAGGGCAGGCCGCTCGATACGGTCTTCACGACTTCAGATCCAGCCCTCAACAAGCATCTTAAACACTCTCTTCTCGTGAATTTGTTGAATAAACCCCAGCTGTTCGTTAAAGAGATAGAGTATAGCGTGGACTCTTTTATTCAAGAGATGGAAGTGGCGCAGGGAAAGTCGATTGACTTCTCAAATTGGTCCTTCTATTGGGCCTTTGATATGACATACGCGTTGGTCTTCGGAGATCACTTTGGATATATGTCGTCCAGAGCAGATTTCAACGGGATGATTTTCTCATTCAAAACGATTGTTCGTTCCGCCGCAGTGCTCGGGCAGATCCCTCAGTGGTGTCCAGCGACCCTTGCCAATGAAAGATTCATGGGATTTTGTCGTAGCTTCCGCGGTTTTCCAGATCCCACAATTCAACTTCTTGAAGTAAGTCCGGCACTTCATCTGAGCATCCACCCATAACGTCTCCGCTAGGAGATTGAAAGGAAAATACACGAACACGACGCGCAACCGCATTCTTGTAGGAACTCACTTCTTTGCCGTGTCCTTTCGAGTGGCAAACACAAATCAGCAGAGAGCGCGTATACTGAAGCGGTCAATGTGCTCTTTGAGGCTTTGTGAGTCGACCCTCAGCAGTCCCCTTGATCTAGCTGACTTATACAGCCTTGCAGCCGCCGGTGAGGTGGCTGTCAGCCTTACGACTATCATCTTTTGTCTTCTCAATGACGAAAGAGTCTACCACAAGTTAGCACAAATCTTGCGCTCCAGTCCAGGCGCCGATTACACATACCTGTAAGTTGATGTGGCGCATCCTAGACCCATCACGCTAATATCACGACTTAGCAACGCTGTCATCAAGGAGGCCTTAAGGGTTCACACTTCGAATAGCCCGCCCATTGAGAGAGTAGTGCCCGCCGGAGGTCTACATGTCGATGGATATCTTGTCAAAGAAGGGACTGTACTCGGAATACCGCAATATCTAGCACACCGCGATCAAGCGGTATTTGGGGCAGATGCAGAGCTCTTCCGTCCAGAGCGCTGGCTCGAAGCCGACGCGGCTGCTGTTAAGCTTATGGATCAGAACTTCATGACAGTGAGTATCGGATGGAATGGGCGTCATGACCATTGCTGACGGTGTGAAGTTTGGCAAAGGGTGCCGCGGTTGTGTCGGCCGAGAGCTGGCCATGATGGAAATGCGCGCTTTCGTAGTCAAGGTCTTGACGAGATGTGATGTCGAGTGGGCATCCAGCACAAGGCCTAGAACAGCCAACTATTGGATGATGGAATGCTTCAACTTCTACATTAGATTTAGTGATGCATTGTAGACGGCAATGAAAGATTTTGAGCGACGCGGCCTCCTCAGCGTGGCGTCAGTTGCAAATGTCTGATCCTTATGTAGGGCTCAATGCATGTTTTGTGCATCCAAATTATCATCGAAAAGGAGCAGGAACAATATTTATGCAATGGGGATCGGATGAGGCTGACCGTTTGGGTATAGATATACTCATCGAAGCGGTAGATGAAGGTAGAATTCTATATGCTAAGCTTGGGTGCCTGCTGTTGAGTACGGTTTACCTTCGCTCAGAGTTGCAGAGTCCTAGCGCGAAGTGGAAAGAGCTGGAGCAATTGATTCAAGCGCCACTTCGTTACCACTTCATGTGGAGGCGTGCAGGTGGCTTTGCAGGTGGAGAGTCATTGGCCGTCTTGAACTGAAGCGGAAGGGACATCTGGATGGATGGTTCGTGCCTCGGGACGGCACGGCTTTTTCCGTTGCCAATCATCGACAGCTTTGGTGTTTCGTTACCGAAACTCCTTGTGTTACTCATTTCAACTCGATTCGATTTGTTGTCATGACATGACGCTCCAGCATGCGCAAGTCAATGCTTGCGAAGATTCGTCTGATGACCTGCTGTTATAGCTACCCTTGACACCTGCCTGCTAGCACCGAGCCGTGGCTGCTCATTACGAATGCACTGTGTGATTGGCCCATCGCAAACTACAGAAGTCGAGCCTACGTTGGACGTGCGAAGCTCTCACAATGTACGTAATCTGCGTGTTGTCTATGTTAGCTTACAACTCGTGCCAGGAAAAATACCCCAGCGATAACCCTCGCAACCACGAGGGTCGCGGACGCAGCATGCGACATCAGCGAAATGCTCCACTTTCTGGTACACCGCAACTCAGCTACGCTGTCATCCACCATGGCCGTGTCATTTACACACACCATTTCGGCTCCCGGGACGTGGGGGCCAAAAACCGCCCAACAAAGACACTAGGCACAATATAAACTCATTGACAAAGGCTATGGTGGCTCGTTTACTGCCATGGAAGTGGCTAAAGGAACATTGACCTGGTATAGCAAAGTGGGGAATTACCTCCCAAGCTTCGCTTCGCGATCTACTATCGTAGAGAACGAGTGCAAAATTGTAGATATGTTGTTTCATAGTACCGGCTTAAGTGATTACGATGTACTGTGGGATGGCCCGGATAATCGTTTACTCCTTAGTCGCGCCGATGCAGTACCAATCTTTGCAGTCTTACCATCCGCGGGTACATTTAGGGCTTCATTTGTCTACAACAACTGGGGATACGAGCTCGTGGGTCAGATACTCGAGCGAGTCACTGGCAAATCACTCTCACAGTTGCTTCATGAAAGGTTCTTCAAGCCTCTCAACATGACAAGGACAAGCACACAGTGGGACCATCCTTCCCGTAACATGGCCAACTCATACACCGTCCTTGATGATCGCTCTGTGATCCAAGTGCCCCGCCCCACAATGGAGAAGGGTAATCTCATGGAAGCTGCTGGCGGTGTCAAGAGCTCTCTCGGAGACCTCATCCTCCTCTACACAGAAATGCTCGAAGCTTTGACTTCTGCCGACGCGAATGAACAGCCTCCAAACAATGTTTTTAGAAACAGTCTTGAAATATTCGGCTCGACGCATCCTCTGCCGGGTTGGAGTCTGCGAGAGCAAAGCTATGGCATGGGATGGTGCAGAGCGCAACTACCCGGGCAGCTTGGTCGCATATCTGAAAATGTAGCGCTAAGACCCCAACCAGTCGTTGGAAAGGACTCTCCTTCCCGACTCGACATCTATCATCATGGGAGCATGTGCGGCAGCACAACGGTCGTCAATCTGATACCCGAGACCCAATCGGTTGTTATCGCGCTACGAAATTCGCTGGGCCCTGTTGACGTTGCCGACTTCGCCGCTGAGCTCCTCATCGAATGTCTGCTTAACGTTCCAAAGCCGATAGAATATGTGGAGCTAGCACTAGGAGATACCCTCAAGGCTTTTGAGTACATGGACAGGATCAAACATCAGCTCGACCAGGAGCGTATACCAGGAACCGTTGCGAGACCGGCTACAGATTATGTGGGAACGTATTGGAACCAAATGCACAATTGGCGGATCGACGTATCTCACGACGAAGAAGACTTGTTCGTGTCTCTCCAAGGTCCCTCCGCACGACGTTTTCCTTTGGAACATTATCACTACGATACATTTTCGTGGTGGATGCCCTATAACGATGTCATGCGGTCGGCACAATATGTCATCGGAACAACAGCACATACGTGGCTTATGCAGTTCGAAGCGAACAATCTTGAAGCCATAAAAAGACTAAAATGGGCTCTGGAAGGGCCTCTTCCAGACTATCAAGAGACGTTCACGCGCGAAACCACAGAAACCGCGCATGACTTGACTGTGCCGAACCTCGAGCTTTTACATTTACGTGGCTTTTGAAATGCACGGTCTCCCCCCCGACCCTATCGAGGAGCTTTGTATTGATAGAGACGCATCATAGTCGTGTGTACCTTGAAGCATGGAAGCCCGACTAATTAGGTGTCGATTGAGACAGCCACAGTCGGGACCAGTTGACCTTCCAAATCTATCTATTCGTGTTGATAGAACGCACCGTAGTCAGTTATGGCGTCGTGCATGAGCGTGACGACAATACATCTGATCAAATGCGTTTTCACGAATCTTCGCAACGATATGCTGAATGCATTCGTCATGCTTCGAGACGAATCACTTTGCTTATTTCCTGTTGATATCAACTTTAAATGTCCGGCGTGACCGCTCATGCACTTCCCTAGCTTGTCAGCCCATTGCCGATCTCGACCATATTATAGTAGCCTGGGGCAGGCAGGCTAATACTCAACCTTGCGTGACAAGCTATAGCCTCTTACTAATTACGTTCGCCATCTACTATCCACAAGCGTTGTGACATTGATCCCAGATCTTTCAACCCTTACCGTCCCTGCATCCTCTTCATCCTCTCTTCAGCTGCCCTTGCTCTCCTCTCCCTTTCCATCCGCGCTCGAGCCTCAGGGCCCAACCCCCTCATCTCCTCCTCCCTCCTGTCCCCCGCACTCTTCTCGGGCACACCAACCAGTCTCCCCTTCCCCAGCCTTCCTTCCCTCCTTTTCGCATCCTCGGCCTCGCTCTCTTTTCTTAACTTTTCCGTTTCAGCTTTCCGCCTCTCGGCCTCAGCCTTGTCTTCTGTAGCTTTCTCGGCCTTTTCGCGAGCCTCGCGCTTCTCAAGCTCGGACTTGGAAAGTGGTGAGGGTACGCCCGCGGTGTCCCAGTCGAAGGCAGCTTCACCGAGTTCGGAGCGCGCGAGCCGAAAGGCGTCGCGGGTTGCGCGGTCACCGGCAAGGGAAAAGGGTGTGCGTGCGTCATCGTTCATGATTCCGGGGTCGGCGCTAGCTTTCGTCAAGAGCGCTATCACCACCGGAGCGGAGTTAAGTGATGCGGCAAGGTGGAGAGGTGTTGGTGTGTGGTAGTTCTCCGGGACAAATTTGAAGGTTGGAGGGATGTTGTTGGTTTTGAGGTAGTTGAGCAGGGCGGGAATTTTGGAGCGCTTAATGATGGATGTGATCTGGGAGGTGTGAAGGGCGGCTTCTTCGTCTTCCTTGGAGGGTTTGGGTGGCTTTTGGGGCTTTGGCGGTGTAGGTGCTACGGGCTCCTTTGGGGTTGCGTTCAGAGCGGCGAGGGCGGTTTCGTCGATGGTGCTCTGCTTGACGCGGGTAAGCTCGACGAATGCGCGTATGAGCTCTTTCTGCGTAGCGCGTCGGGTAGTGAACGGGAAGCCTCTATTGCGAGGGTCGTTATTTCGAAGGACTTGCCCTTCGTACTTATCAAACAGGGTCTTCCGGCTAGTGTTGCCAGTTGCACGAATGAAGAGCAGATCAGCTGAATCAATCATTGTCTTCCAGCTAGTCAGTAGCTCGCGTACCTCGTTCGTGAGCGCTGCTTCGTTGTATCGACGCAGCGATGAACCAGCCGAGTGCGCAGCGCCTCTCGCAGCATCACTAGTCGACTGTGAGCCACCCTGTTTTCGGCGAGTGGTGTATCTGTGGAATGTCTTGTGCGCAACGACGGTCGCAGAACGCTCATCCACTCCAGTATGATTCTTTCCCTTCTTCGGCGCAAGGGCGATGATCATAGCAGCAAAGTGGCCTCCTCCTATCATACATAGAAAATAATGCGGTCCAATATCAGTTCCAGGTAATGGCACGCCGCCTTCAGACTTGATCTTTGGTGGTATTGCTGGAGCAATTTGCTTTCTGCGCAACGACTCCATAAGGTGTGCCTCCTCTTCCTGTTCCGCATTCGTAAAAATCGCCCTGTATACACCCAGCGACATATTGTCCGGTAACAGCGGCGAAGTGAACCACAGCAAAGGCGGTTTCCCTGCTCCACGCTGCTTCTTACTCGATGTGTACTCGTCAAACCCTGGGTCCACAATCTTAGCCTGCTTCTTCAGCAACGCGCTTAGCGTGGATTCTTTCGGCTTGGTCCCATCGTCCTCATCACCATCCTCGTCTGATTCCGAAGACTCGGATCCGGATATGCTCTCGTCTAGCTCGCCAACAAGCGTCTCAAAATCTGCCTCCCCGATTGGCTTCAGTCCCTTTATCTTCTGCTTCAGGTTGTAGCCGTGTAGGTCGGAGCGGACGTGGCTTCGTTGGTCTGCGAGCGTCGCGAAGTTCAAACCACAGAGGTTGCATGACGTCGCCTTCGCGGGGCTACCCTCTTCATTTTCGGATCGTTCGTTTGCGTCGCTTGCAGGTGTGTGTAACTCTTGCGGAACCTCTTGGGGTATTTGGTCGAGCTGATTTTTGAGGGTGAGGGTCGACAGGAGCTCTTCCGGGAGATCAAACACTGGGATGTGTTAGCAGCAATGACTTAGGAGCGTGCGCGGAGCCGTGGCTAACCGTAGAGAGGCCGCTGGAGCAAATGCTCTCCTTTCTGGCCCATGCTTCTGAAAAGTTGTGTAGTGTGTTGTGTGGCGCAAATGGTTGATCGACTTTCTAGGCTGTTGACGCGATCTAGTGGGGTCCAGCATGCACGTCACTTTCACCGGCTAGCTCAATGCCAAGGCGCTAGTCACACTAAGCATGCACGTGTTTGCTGACTCAGTTGCGGAATGTATTAGTGTACGTTCACGTTCATTGTTCCCGAATTTCGGTTTTCACATTGTAACGTCTCATCTTCAATTAAGATACATACTCTGAAGTGTAAAGTTTCGCAGCTATTGAACATGCCAAATGTCTTGGTTATGTCCTTTGAAGGCTTCTCCTTCTCCTCCCGTCAGCTCTACGAGCAACTCCTACCCAAGCTCCTTTCACGCGCTGCCATTCATGAATCACTTACAATACAAGATGCATTGAACCGTATGCACCATTCGGGGCACGCCCGCCCTCTTTCTGTTCACAAGGACTAATCCCCCACTGTAGATATATTATCTGGCTGGCCGAATGTTATACTCGTGACCGATCCGGTCATAGCCGAAGACAATGAGGAGTCACAAAACCTCCTAGAAACAGTATCAGACTACACCAAACAGCATTGCTGCACCACCATCCTCATGGGTTTCTTCGCCGGGGGTGTAGGAACAGAAACACTAGACTACATCTTCAAGCACTACTTCGATCTGAAGTGGAAAGCCACCCCTGAAGAACCGACCACGCACGAAGCGCGGCTCGTTGCTTCAGACCAATCACTGCTGCGTACGACGACCCTGGTCCGGAAGATTGTGGCGAACGCTGCGTGGCTGACAGGCATACCGCCGTCTCAAGCGGTGTATTTTGGACCCCTTGAACAGTATAAGGTGTATGCCGCTTTTACCAGGGTCGGGCTGGGGAAGCTGGGATATATTGGGGATACAGGGTTTGCGGATGAACCGGAGAGATTGGTGTTGGCGATGTGTCATTTGGATCGTCCTGAAGATAGGGTGAGGCATGACGATGAAGAAATTTTTGACAAGTAGGTATGATGGCTATTGACCTGGTTTCATCATGTGATTTGCTGACTACCTTATTACAGTCTAAGATTGTCAGGATAAGTACATACAATAGAGGACAGGCTGCACCTTCCGAATGTCCACCTACCTTGGCGCAGTACTGCGGCATACTGTCAGCTTCTTCGACTCAATCACGCTGCGTAATCTTCTACCTCAACGAGTCGCATCTAGGATCTTTTGCTGCTCCTCCCTGCCCTCCCACTGCGACTCCGTCCCCGTAAAGTAGTTCCTCAAGTACATCGATCGAAATTTGCCAATGCGCTCATCCTTCTGATCAAAGGCAAGCTCATCCGGATCGTGGATCTCCAGCTTCTGGTCGACATTGACACCGTTATCCTTCGCAATGATGTTGATAAGCCCAGGGATAGCCATCGTATGTTTCATACGTTCTTTTACGTTGGCGCTATCCGGGGAGCAAAAGATGAAGAAGAGGCGGTCAATGGTGGCGTGGAGATAAAAAGTGAAGCTTGGTCTGTCGGTGGGGATAAGGGATGCGACGTCCGCTGGGCTGAGGTTTCTAGAGTAGAAGTTTCGTTGGAGGACTTCGGTGGAGATATTAACGGACTGTGAAGTGTGAGCGGGAGTTGTGAATGGATATGAGGGCACTTGCGAGCTGAACGCAGTCTCCGCCCGCAGCGAGACTTTGGAGTGCGTCGAGAGCGTCATTGTCGATCTTGTTTTTCATGCGTCGGTCACACAGCCGGCACTTGTTCATTTTGTGTCCGAGGTCCGGTACACCATCTTGAGTCGTCTCGCACGCGCCTGTGCGTTCATCGTTGCCGTCGACCCACGATTGCCCGTTTCCGCTCCTCTCCTCCCACGATCGTACGTCTGTGATCTCGCCGATTTCTTTACATATGATAGACGAAGAGAAGTGCTCCTGGCCCAAGACCTTGACGAGAGCCTCACGATTGTCCAACAGCGACGCTCTGAGGTCAGCGTTAGCAGCATATGGAACATAGGTGATTGCAATCAATGACTCTTTGTGCCGCAAGACAAGGTACAGAGCTGTTCTTGGATTGAGAACCGATTCGAGTTGATTCAATGCCTGTTGAAAGGTATGCTGCGAATGCTTGGGGTACGGGACTGGCGATAAATGTCGCATAGTCCTGTCTGTGACGCTCAGCGGAAGCGCGAACAACGAAGAGTTGGAAGCGAAGTCAGCGAAGGCCTCGGTAACCGTGGTAGGTATATCTATACATCCGATTATTTCCTGATCTAGGCTAAGATAGAGACCAGGTAGTTACCCATGTTAGAAGTGAGTGAGGATTCACGCCGGCGAGACGCTGCGAGGATGGTACCTGAGATTTTCGTAAGTAACAGAACAAATGGCAATTCAATGTAGCAGCGATTTGAATGCATTGGTGATTCCTCAGCGTGTGTGTCTGTCAATACTGCCTCAGGTGATTTTCGGTGGTAGTATGTACTTGGGAGCCCGATCAGGCAACAAAAAAATACCGCAAGTAGTATGCGTACCTCCGAATATGATTGCCCCGCGTATAGTATACAAAAATATTACTCTTGCGATTTGGACCTCAATTTTGGGCGCAGCTGTCGCTTTTGAATGCATTGAGCTCTTGGCAGTTCAGGCGCGGAACTCCGCATATCTGCGGACTTGCATTGTGGTTGCCTTGAATTGAGTGCACGGTCTGTTACTGAGACAGGTGATGCTGTCGCCATAGGGAATGTAATAACATGCTAGACAAAGACTAAGACACTCGTGAAATGGTGTATGGCTAACGAATGTTGGTACGAAAGAGGGAAGCGCCGGAGAAACTTGCGCCCGGACTTCGTCACTTCCACGGCCACAGCTCCTAGGACCAAGAACATCCTCATCCATCTTTCATCTTGTTCAAAGAGCCTAGCACCGGTCACGCACAACATGGCGATCATTATGGGAGCATTCAGGCTGTCTGCAACGCGTATCCCGGATGTTACAATGAAATATATAGTGCGCATCTTCAGCAGAGTGGGTCCTGGGGGAAGTCGAGCATCTCTACAACAGCCGTTCACAAAGGCATCTTGGTTTTCCCTGCGCCCACTGTATGGAATGTTACATACAAAAGACTCCAGATCAACATTGTCTTACTTGTACCTCCAACCGTCTTGTCTTGCCCAATCTAGTTCGCCTTGACAGCTTGCCTTCACGAGGCGAGCTGCTGCTCCACTTTCTCTCACTACGTCCTCTCTCATGGACATGCAGCTCGTCAGCTATATAAAGGCGCCTCTGCCTCCCACCTCCTCTCCTTCTCTCCACCCCACTTCCCATACCTGCCTCCCAGTAAGCCTTGAATGTAGCCACCGATGGCTTATATCTACAGGATCGCCTACTGATTGATGTACAAGCCTGACAGAGCACAACAATACTCCACACAATATTCGGCTCAGCGCCGTCGGCCGTGGAGATGCAGCTCCTTACAGTCGATGAATTTTCCGAGTACATTCAAAAGAACAGATCGGTACAACGGTACAGCTCAAGCCAAGAGACGAAGGGCAGCCATCCGTTTTGGGCTCTACCCAGAGAACGGATCGATGCAGACCTTCATGGCATCTACACAAAGCTATCCGAGATTCTGAAAGGCATCCCGACAGGCGATCGAGAGTTGGCTCATCTCCTCAGAACGATTCACAAGGTTCCGCAAATCAAACGCAGCTCAGACCTAAATATTGGCCTCGTTGGGGCGCAAGGCGCTGGGAAGAGTATGTTTTTGAGTGCTCTCTTCGACATGGAAGGAATCTCTTGGAGTGGGGCGGACGGCGAAGCTTGTACACGCACCGTTGTCAAGTTCGCGTACTTTGCCCCAAATTCGACATCCACAGAGAGCGAATCATTCTATGCGGAGATCAAGTTTCTCGATAACAGAAAGATTGAAGAGATGATCCGCGAACACGTCAAAGACCTGAAGCATTACCAAGAAGACGTCGATGGTTCGGATGATGATGAGCCGCGAGTAGCTCAATCATATGAGCAAGATGAGGCCGACAAGCGACGTCACGACACTGCAAGAGAAATATTCACAGTCTTGTTTGGTTCCGAGAAGGAATTCATGCATTACTGGATGTCTCATCCCACCAAAGAGTTCATGCACTTCTGCAAGCTGAAATGTCTGGAAGCAATGAAGGAGTGTGGTGTCCCAGATGGGCGGAACTCCTGCATACGATCCGGGAACGATGCCCATGAGCTGATGGGAAAGATAAAGCATTTCCTTGCAGACGTGAAAGGTGTTGAATGTCTTTGGCCACTAGTCGATCATGTAACTATTCGCTTCGACCACGAATTACTCAAGTATGGTGCCGTCATCATAGACGTCCCTGGTATGATACGTTACACATGGCATCGCTCGGCACCGCTAATGGGATGTAGGCTCCGGTGATACCAACTTGTCGAGGGCTCGGCACGTTGAAGAAATCAAGGATACTGCCGACATAGTCCTTGTTTTTGCCGACACACTTCGAATCGCAAGTGACAATTCTGCCATAGATACAGTACAAAGCTGTGTTGTCAGTCGTGGCCGCGACAAAGTGAAGTTTGTCGCCACCAAGATCGATGTATGTATCAGGAACACCAGTTCTGACATTCTACTGATACCTTCAGGCACTCCTCAAGAACGATTTGAATAACTGTGGAGGCGAAACGTATGATCACATCCGGAATTTGGTCCAAGATGCCGGTGAGAAGGCCAGAGCTTCGGAAGATGACGGCGACGCTATAAAAGCGTTGCAACTTGGACAATATATAACGTATCTGGAGCGACAACTACTACTGCGCTATTCGACTGCCCGTGCTGCGAAGATTAGCTCCACCTTAGCTGGGAAATTGGGTGGTCGCGGTGGAGCCGACAGTGTCAAGGTTTTCCACATATCGGCAAACAATTACCTTGAGTGGCAATCTAAACCTATGATCAGCTTCCGCGACCAGCCTCCACTTCCGCCTGAATGCACGAACATTCCAGCGATCCGACAATATTTGTTTGGCCTCCTGTCGCCGAGAAACTTCGACGATGTGGCTTACCACCTCTATAACTTCCTCCCGAATTATCTTCAGAAGATCGAGCGGGCCATAAACGAATCTGATCGTGATGCGGATCTTGGAAGCTTGGCCCAGGAATTCGATCGAAGAATGGATGAGCTCATCAAAGATCACCTATCTCAAGCTAAGCAACTTTTCCAGAAGATACTGGAAAATACTCTTCTCAAGGTATGCGCTGACACTGCAGTGTATCAGAAGCAGGTTGATGCCAAGCTGTGCAACGAGATATGCAAGTTCCGAAGCCCAACATTCAACAAGCTTATGAAGAATAGAGGCACTTTGCCTCCAAAAGCATCCAAGGCCAAGGGGCTGGAGAATGGATGCTCATACAACCGAGACTTCTCGAACATCATTGCACCTGCCATCCTCAAGTGGGCTTCCACCTATGTCGATCGCATGCAGCCTATGAGGCAATCGCTCATTGAACTTGCCGCTGTCATGGGTCACACCGTCTTGTCGATGCTAAACATGTCGTCCGCCAATGTGATGGTGGTTGAACGCGCAAAAAAGAAGTGGAAGCCGTATAGAATGGCACTGAAGGTGAAGATGGAGGTTCTTATGGACGAATTTGAGAAGATACACAAGAATGCAGTCATTGGAGGTACGATGGAAGACGGCCGACAAAATTGCTTGGTGGCTACGATAACAGACCAGCATTTCGATGCCACTCTTGATGCTGAGCTTCCTCAAAACTCAGGTTGTCATTCGGCAAAAAGGAAGAACCAGGAAACACGAATCAAGTTCCAGAAGAGGACGCTCACGGAGCGCTTCTCAGGTCCCAATAGTTATTTTGTTGATGATGTCTTCAAAATATTCTATGACAGCTCTAGCAAGAACATCGACAATCTTCTGGATGAGCATTTCCAAAGAATTCGAGATATAATGGAGCAATACAGTGCGTCTTTGAAGGACGAATTACCTATTACCTACAAGGTTGAGCAGGGTGGTATTGATGTCCGAGCAGACATCGCACGAGCTTTCCCTAAGTTTGAGAAGATGGTAGCAGACCTTCAGAAAGAGCTTCCCAATCAGACCAGGGCCCAAGATGATGGCACGATGTACCTGACTGATATGGATGGCGCAAGTACCCTCGCGACGATCTACGCCCAACTGAGCAGAAAGAGGAAGCAGGGCGCTCAGGATAACGCGAAGGCAAAAGTGAAGAAAGAGAGATGCTGAGTATGGACGTGGTCGAAGAGGGCGGTATTCTGATCGTGCATTACCCAGTCTGGGGCACACATGGGATTGAGAGTCACTTCTCCAATCTGCTTTCCCAGCATATACGCTGGACTTGGGGACATATGGGCCGCTGAGTCAGTTCATGGACAGCGATAATTTCTTTGCTTTTTACTTTCTGGCGAGTCATTGTCTTCCTCTAGCCGTCACCCCCATCTAGTCATATCCTTTCCCTGCTCCCATTCCTCCCCCCTGACAGTCGCTCTTGACTTTGCACTGTTTATTCAATGCACTATGTATTCAATGTATACTTTATCTGTAAATGTTCTGCCATTGCTCCTACTGAGTGGGGTGTCGTCGTTGCACTCTCAGCCTTTGAGTCATGCATCTTGAATTAACTCGATCCCACTTTCGACCAGGCAATCTGCACAGCTCTTCTCGTCACATCGCTGTTGCTTCATCCGGTCCCAGAGCAGAATTAGATTCATTATTCGTCATTATCAGTATGCTTCCATTCCACAATAGCGCTCGCTCTGCCTGTGCCACACCATTTCTTTGTACCCTTGCGACCTGGAACCTGTTGCTCATTAAAAGTCACTCTGGCAACACCCCTCGCGCTCATTCACCTTCGCGACATCAAGAAGCCGTAGAAGTTTCATATATTCTCGATTCTTTTCGCCACCCTAAGATACTCCAGGTTATGAATCCCAGGCCCAGGATGCTATGTGGCTATCCAGATCAGCTGCGAGCTCGACCGGCTCGGTATGCACTTCCAGATGGTCACGCGTGGGTTTTTGCTTGCAGTTTCTTAGCGATCTGCAGCGGAACCACCCTCGCTTTGCTCCTGGTTGCTGGATAGCCCAATTTAAAGCTGAAGTCACCATCATTGTCACTCCAACCGCAGTTCACTGGAAAATTTCACACAAAAGGACTATCGCCTGCGGTTTTTTTTTTCAGAGTTGACGAGCTCGCAAACCCATAACAGCTGCGCAAGAGCGCAAATCAACTCGTCCACAAGAACTCCAGCTCCGCTACCTGATCAAAGCCTTCGACTGGTCTTTAACAGTCGTTGCTCACTGTCATGAGCAACGGCGTACGCTCGCGCTTCAATCAATATTGGTCTTCGTTGAGCAACACGAAGTACGAGATTAGGCGCCGCGAAAACAGGCAGAGATAGTTGCTAACGCAGGTGCACTCCTTCCTAGGTACAATCGACTAGGGCGAGGCTTCTGGCTTTTCTCAAGGTTGCCGCTACAGCGGCCAAGTGTACTGCCCGTGGCATACTGGTATTCGACTTAACAGAGCTGCTAAAACAGGTTCTGACATAAGTACTTCCGTATCTTTCGGGGTGATGTCCGATAGGAATAGTGTAGGCCTTGTGGGTTGGAAGATTCGCAAGATCCGTGGCTTGTCTTGGACGCCAACCTCTAGTGCTGGCCTACATTGCTCTTCCCTATTCCATTATATCACTACCACAACATGAAGAGTCTCTCAATTGCCTCATTCTTTCTCTTATCTTGTTCCTAAGCTTGTATTGGTGCAAGACTGCCGCCAACATCGGCATCCATTCCATGCTGACCTCTCGGTGTTCAACATCGATCTGTAGCCCATAAAGAGGGATGTCCTCTTCAGAGAAACAGTGCCAGGAGCCTTGAGGGGAATCCGGTACTTCAAGCTCGTACCCCATAGCAGGAATATAATCAAGCTTCGTGAAAATGCTCTTCACGGCTGCCCAATCTGGGATTCTCCCCGGCCCTAACACTGTTTGGATTCTTTCTAAGCCACGGCTACTCTTACTGCTTGGATTTGCAAGCTTGAAAATCACTCTTTTCTTTTCCTTTGTGAAGGCGCGAAAATCGAAGGCGAAGTCGACTCGTCGTCTGAATCTGGATGGTGCAGATCTGTCCCGGAAGAAGCGGATTGGGCCATAGAATAATATTTCCAGCTTTGCGTTTGGGATCACGGAGCTGGAGAAGCGATTATGGAAATCGTCCTCGACAAGCTCTTTGAAAAACCTGTTGGTGGCGCGAAGACAAGTGTAGTTACTTAGTGGATCACCTGCTGTGACTATGGCGCACCATAGTTCAGTGGGGAGATATGGGATTTGAGACATTGTGTAGTGGAGAAGGGTCCTTTAGCTCGATTTGATCTTGGTGTATGGAGACGAGGAGTGGAAGGTGACAGTACAGGCGCTTATGAAGAGTAAGCAGGTATCAGGGAGGTTATAGCAGAAGCGTTTATGCACGGACCAAATATAGAACCACGGGACGCACTTCAAATCTGATTTTTGAGAGGTTCGAGTCCATGTTTGCGAACCACCCACACTTCGCTACCGCAACACCACTTCCATGGCTTACTTTCGCCACGCTGAGTACGCAATACAGGTATACTTACGTTGTGATGTTCGCATCCTAGATTCACCTTTCCGACTGTTCAAGATCCAGTAAATTGATGGGTCACTCAGCTTTCACCCGTTGGCCGTGCGTGTCCCGATGCGGTTAGTGTCTCGCCTTACTCCCAACATTCAACGAGAAAAGCGCGGGGCCATCCGAGTAATTGAAGACCTTGAGATACAACAACAGCCTTGACGCTCTTCTACCAAGTGATACGCTGCTTCAACTTTTCTTACTTCAGAATACCTCGAGCATCAACAGGTCGCGTGGTCGTAACGTCAGCGCCACAGAACGAGGCCAGGGGCTTGGATACTCATAGCAGCCTGAGTCATCCTTAGGTCAATTACCGAAGTGATTGGTTGAGGCTCCGAGTTATTATACAAGCATCGCGCGCTTCGCAATTCGAGGGTGCACGAATCAACCGAGCGAGGGGATAGAATTACATCGTGAGGACGATATGTTATCTAGAGTACGGACCCGACCATTTTCGTAAACTACAAAGCGTTGACAAAGGGGGGATCGACAGTAACAAGGAGAGCCTAAGTCCCTTGACAGCAATGCTGTCCTTGCCGAATCCTTAAGTATCCCATGGCGTACATACATGCAGACCTCTTACGACCCAAGTATCGTGAAGGGATCCACAAGCCATTCATTCCAGCATCCATATCCAATTCAGAGTGACGATAGCACAGCGTGACATCAATCAGATATTTGACAATCATCTACGAAAACTCATTACATCCCACTATACGCCCCCCTCAAACCCCTCAACCTACAACTCCAGACGCCCCACATCTCACTATCCCTTCTTCGCCAAATCCAAATGCCACTCCATGACCCTCTCAAAGATTCCCTTCCCACCATTCTCAATAACGTCTCCGTGACAGGGAATGATCCTGTCGAAATCCCACTTGTGAATCTTGCTCACGCTTCTTGCGAATCCCGTCCTGTCCCCGCTACTAATTCCATACCAAATCGCCTTCTTCTGCGCTGCGCCTTGCGTATTCGTCAGCGACCCAAAGATCTTTGTGAAGACCCCGGTGGTCGCGCTCTCCCCAGTCCTACTATACTGCTCCGTGCTCGGATAATTGAACATCAGGTCTGCCTCGATGAGTGTGCGCGTGGGCTTGTGGTTGAATACGATTTCTTTGTTTTGATGCGCAGGGACGTATTCCCATTCGAATTCACGGTCGAAGTCGGGGTCGATGGAAGTTATGGGTTTGTCCTTTGTGAAGACGTGGGCGAAGGGGACGTCTTCGTTCTTCTGGGACTTGCGCTTCTCGGGGAGGCCTTCGGGGCCGAGGACCTTCGCGTTGGGGTAGGCGGCGTACCAAGGGCCGAGGAAGATATGGTGCTTTAGGTCAAATGTTAGCAACCGGGTTCTGAGGTGAACAGCAGGGGAGGGCGTACCTCGATGTCAAGCGCTGTGATGTATTTCACTTCGCCTAGCTCAGCGACCTTTTGCTTGACCTCCTCCGTCAGCGCGACAGGGGAGAAGACGGCGAGGGAACCGTTCTGGAGGCGAACGATCGTGCCTCGTCCGCCGACCTTTATGCGGCCGAAGCGAGCGAAGGGAACGGAGAGGGTGGTGATGGTACGCGGAACGACGTCGCGGATTACCATCACCTCGGCGGGATTCGACGGAACGAGTTTCGAGGTCATGTTGGTATACTACTGTTATCGCTGAATCTGTAAAGGAGAGGAATAAGAATGCAGAACTAGAACCGTTGTTGAGGCTCTTGGTAGCTGTTAAAGGACCCTGAGATCGCAAGACAATGACGCAATGCAACAGATAGTGGTTCACACACACGGGAAGTTCTAAGGATATATCAGTTAACGAGTGGGGTTAGCTATACATATACAAACGTGCTCTCGGTCGCGCCGACGTGATTTGATATACAAACTCGTGGTCTGATCATGTTAAACTGCATGGGTGAGCTTGTGATGCCTGGTGCTGCCCAGGTGTGCAAGCAAGCAGACGTTTAATTGTCAACAGCCGAGGCAGTCCCATTGGACGCCCGATGCCTTGTCAGCATCCGGGCTGGCCCACCACATCACGGACCTCTATGGAATCTCAAATTGCATGTTTTCGTCCGAAGCGATCCCTGTGAGGAGATATTATAGTATTATTTATCTGAAGCATCGACATCGAACATTGGTGGAGCAGAGCGGAGCTGCTTCACCGTGCTGAGATGCTCGGAGCTGTTCAGGGAGCCTCGGTGGGTTGTTGCTCGCAAGAACTTTCTGCTACAGGAGCATTCGGATCTCCGTGTTTTGGCCTTGCCAAAATGGGTATCAGATAATGTTGCGAATCTTGCGACTCGCTTTCGCCGACTTTGTGCGCGCTGCCTCAAGCCGCGCAAAGTGCATGCTTCTCGGATGCGTAGTAGGCCCCATCCGGGCTTTTTTGGAAATTTTCATCCTACGGGCCTGTCGAACGGCCTGTCGTTCTCAGCACTGAGCTCTGCCAACAATCCTCCAGCGTTCCTCCTCTTAGCGTCCTCGTCAAGTCGCTCCTGTATGAATTTACTCATCTCTTTGACCTTTTGCAGAGCGAGACTCGTGAGGTTGAATAGCGCATAAGGCTCCACGGGTGCGCCTCCATACTTGGCAATTTGACATACTTCGCCGTGTCGGTTCATTGTAATAATGACTTCGCCGTCCCGAACTTGCTCTTCCGCGAGGTTTGAATCAACCAAGAATAGCTCGCCTTCCTCAAAGTACGAGAAGGTTACGCAGAGCGGTTGGTGCAATATTGACAGAGGTATGGGATCGCGCTCGCGTATGCTCAAGACAGTTGCTTTCTCGCCTTCAACTAGGACGTCTGGTCTTCGGAAGTGCTGCAGTGCGGCCATGACAGCGATGCAGGATGCGTCAATGAGACCTCCATCATGGTCGATGACGTGCACGTCGGCGCGAAGCGCGAAACATTTGAGACCCGCGATTATGCATAGCGACTCTGTGTCAAGCGCGTTGGACCGGCGAATGGCTTTCTCGAGGATTCGTGAAAGGACTACTTCTGCGTTCGTAGGTCTGGAAATTTAGTCAGTTATACAACTCTGAAACGCCCATTGTACGAGAGATAAAGCGACTGACCGTCCGACTTCGAAGGCTGGTGATGCCATGGGAGAGAACTCTGTAATGATTTGAAAGACGCCATCGAACTTGCGCTCAGGTAAAGGCGTCGTCACATCAACGGATATCCGCGCAATCACTCTGATGTTGTCAGTATATATGCTTTCAGAGCGTCCTAGCATTATGTACCTTGTCTTGCCTAGCTGCACGTCTGCAACACCATATTCGTCTCCAAATGTGAGCTCTAGCGGGCGGAATGCATCAAAGGCGCGGCCATCGAGACGAAGCTGCTCTTTGAGAGCATCCTGAATGAATGCGCGCTCATTGACTGAGATTTGCGCTTCCTGAGGCATGTTTGCCTCTCATCAATTAGTCAAGCCGCGATGCTGCGTGGAAGCTATGCGCATCATGAAAAGATGGCGGGGTCGGAGAATACTTTCACCGGCGGTCTTGGCATGGTTTTCGCGATCGCAGTTCGCGCTGGACGCTCACTCTGCATTCGCTACCATCGATTCACAATCCAAAGGGAGACTCCCGAAACCCAACTACTACGACTACGCACACTACAAATAATCGAATCACACAATGACAACCGCTCATCGACCGACCTTCGATCCCGCACGCGGCAAAGAAGCGGCGCGCGGACCTGCATACCACCAGCGCCTCCTTCCAGCCCACACCTTCCTCAAGCATCGACAAGCAGGCCAAGGCGGCGATGCAGATTCAACGAAGCGCGATCTCCGCGCTGAGCTCCTCGAAGCTGAAGCGCGCCACTTCGCGAAGAAGAATGGTACCTACGTTGAAGACGACGCCGCGATTGATGCCAGTGCGACGCCCAAGCGACCGCTCGAGGCTATCGAGGCAGGAGACAAGGAGAATGCGGATGAGGCAGACCAAAAGCGGCGGCGCATAGAAATGCTGGAAAAGTACCGAGACGTGGACGCGGACGACAGCGATGAGAGCAGCGAAAGCAGCGACGACGACGATGACGAGGAAGATGAAACAGCAGCACTTCAGCGCGAACTAGAGAAGATCAAGAGAGAGCGGGCAGAAGCGAAAGCAAAGGAGGATGCAGCACGCGCGGCAGAAGAGGAAGAGCAGCGCGAGATCGATGTAGCACGCGGCAACCCGCTACTCAACAAAGGCGACTTTACGATGAAGCGCAGGTGGGACGATGATGTGGTTTTCAAAAACCAGGCCCGAGGCACTGAGGACAAGAACAAGAAGAAGGAGTTCATCAACGATATGCTGCGGTCGGACTTCCACAAGAAGTTCATGTCCAAGTATGTTCGCTGAGGGAAAAGTCAATGTCACATACATTCCACAAGTTTACGGTTGGTATTTGTAGAGTCATTGTATTGGCCATCGCGACCGAGTCGTAACAGGCCGATTGCATCCGCTAAGGTTAATGGCTAGCTTGTCTTTTATTTGGCTGCATGCATGGCGTACGGGCATTGGCGTCGGGAGTAACTGTTGGCTTAACATGCTCACGTGAAGCATGGCGCGTGGGATACCCCAGATATGCATGGTTTCGCGGAACGGTTGCGTCACAGGGACCCTTATCAGCGATCGTCAGCATGCTACCCTTTCGGGAGCTTCACTATCTATCATTGGACTATACCTCAACAATAACATACCTTTTCTCGGTCGCACACAGTAGGAATTCCTACGAGACCTTCAGTAAGGCGTCTCGATCATCTATGATCGCATGGCAAAATCCGTGGGCAGACTTTCGGAATCGTCACACGATATCCATGGATGCCTCCATGTTCGTCTCTCCTTCCCACCCGATAAGCAACGCCAGAGAAGCTTCACTCGCCAATAACGTCTTGCGCCCCCTCATCCGATCCCCAGACTCTTACCCTTGTCCTACTTGGCTTTTGCTTGGTCTTCCTTAGCCTAACAGTCTGGAGTGAATAGATCAGCGCGGGAACTCACCACTTCATGCTTTGTGACGCCATGTGGCTCGAGTCGTACAGATACCATGCCTACCCTGTCAACATTAAGAAACGACCTCCTCCACGTTGTTTCAGTATCATAATAATCTCCGTGTGCATTACAACAATCACTTGATCACCAGCAATCCCCTTGAGATATACATCAACTTCCATTCTAGTGATGGCAGGCTACGGCAACCGCAACGCCCCCGATATCTCTGCAACAGACCTCGAGACCCAGCACTCAGAGACCCGCTTCGGCCGCGACGACTCCCATCCATACTCAAATCCGCACGACACATATGGCAGTGGGGCAACGGGTGGCGCGGGCTTCGGTGGGTCGCTTTTATACCATTCTGCGCCCGACTTCGATACCCAAAAATTGAATCTCCCACGTTCCCGCCACACCATATCCTCTCTTTTCCATTACGTTGTTTCTGATGTCTACCACTTTATGCCGTCCTCCTACGATGTAGTTTATCGTATCACTTCTACTATATACTGCCCTCTCTTCCTCTTCATACTCCGCCTATGACATCCCTGTTCCTGAAAGCCTTCAATCCTCGATGTCCTCGTGGTGTAGAGCGCAAGACTGACAAAGTTAGGTAACAAATCCGCCCCCGACGCCCCTCCCGATGCAGATAACTCGCACTTCCGTTTCGGCTCGCACCAAGACACGTCGCCGTACAGTGGAGGCACAAGACATGGTAGCGGAAGCACGGGAGGTGCAGGGTATGGGAACAAGACTGGCACCTTTGGAGAATCGCAAGACTCCACGCTTGGGAAGGTCATGGAGAAGGTAGGTCATGTGGTGAAGAACGAGGGGTTGGTGGAGAAGGGGCATGCGAAGAGGGTGGGGCTGGGCTTGGGAAGGAAGAGGGAGAGCTGGAGGGCAAGTATGAGGCGAATTGAAGCACCCTTGCTTAGGTTGTGCGACTGGCGACAGTATATGGTGTTGCGGATGCGGCCTTGTAGCGTGTAGCTAATTGTGTTGATACGTTACGTGATTTTTGGTATACCAAGTTAATGATTACACGCATCTCGAGCGAGTCTTTCTGTTGGGGCGTAGATTTCACTGATGGCATTCAATTTCAAGATTGCTCGACGCGGAACAGGACGAAGACGATAGGACATACAATGATGAAGAGGTTTAAGAAATGGTATACTGAACAAGCCGCTACAAACTACGATTGACATTTACACATCCACGTCTAAAATCATGCTAGACATGCCGCACCTCTTCGAACAAGCTCGCTCTCACCTGCAACAATGCAGCCAGCTCTAAGACAAACTCCTGCAATATCACCACATTAGTCATGATATGCAGCAGGCTTGCCTCCCTAACATCGTCTTTTTCTGTTTCAGCGCCCCCATCCTCAGCCTCGTCCTTCGGCGGCGGCAGGTACTTCGACAGCATCACCTCCACCGTGTCCGAACCTGCAGGCCGGCTGAAGCGTATCCGCCTCTTCAAAAAGTCTGATTTCTTGATGGACGAAAAGTTCGCATCGATATCAGTCATAAGTGTGGTTTGGCGTTTCCCTGCTTGAGGCGCTGGTAGTGGTGACATGCCGCGCGACGGACTTCCCCCCAGAGGTGCGTTTCCTAATCGAGAAGGCGCCGGGGAGGCAGTCGGCGTTCCGCGAAGATCGAGTCCTTCTTTCCGTCCTCTGGGTGTCTGTGTTCTTGACGGAGTCTTGGGTATCTGTGGAGTCCATGATCCGGCTGGCGTCTCAGTCGAGGGGCGCGGGAGCTTAGATGGCGTTGACGAGCGCATGGCATCGTTCATCTCCTCGTGGAAACGGAAGGCGTCTTTGCGGCTTGCGACGTGCTCGTCCCAGTCCTGAATGTCGGCTCGCAGTGCGTTTATCTGTTCTTGTAGCTGCTGGAGGCATGCGAGCAGTTGCGGTGCTGCCGTTGAATCCCAGACAGGTCTGCGACTAGCCTTATACATGTCGCGTAGATTGTCGTTCGATAAGGCATTGTAATCGACTCCTTCGTCCAAGAATCTGTAGTTTGACGGATCCACAGATAGCCACCCCTCCAACCTCAACTCGCTGCAGGATCCGAGGCTTATGATGGTCTCTGTTAGCGCAAGGTTCGTCTCCACGTCATTCGTAAGGAAGCGCAACAAAAGGTCAACGAGGGACTTGAAAAGCGGATCCTCTGGAATTAGGTGATGTGGACCAACTTCTCTTGGACCATTCTCGGCATCGAAGTATGCAGGACTTTGCAGAGATGCTGAAGGTAACGCAAGAGCCTTGAGGGAGCATGGATGCGATTCCAGTATACTAAGTTTATCTTTCAGATGGCTTTCATAAGCTTCATCGACGCCACCTTCGCCTGCAAGGTCAATGGCAATGTTCAAGTACATCTCAAGCTCGGTGTTGAGTGCGCCCACTGTCCGGTGCGGTTCTTTATGATGAATATTTGTGACCTTGACCAACGAGCCGAGCGCATATCCATGGTTCTTGCTTATAAGAACAGTGGTAAGCTTCAAGGCTGCAATAACAGTCTGTGCATTGCGGGACTCTGCGCTCTGCAAGACTAGATCGACAAGGTTGAACAGAGAGGGAGACATGCTATCATCCTCCTGCTTTGGTCCGTTTAGCAGCATCAGTGACTGTCGCCGTCTAAGAGCAGCCGGTGATCGTGGGTCCAGGGGAGTAACAGCAGAGTAATCAGGCAGAGCGAGAAGGTACTGGAGGATCATGTGCACAAGTTCGGGATTATCCAGTGCGTCAAGAATGCGCCGTAGGTATGTTAGTACGGCCACGGAGGAGCCACCGTCAGCATCCGACGACTGAACAATATACGGATACCTGGAAAAAGGATTAATAGAGTACACATATGAGAGCGAGAGGGGGATTTACAGTAATTGCTGGAGGAACAAGACTTGGAAATGGTCGATCAAAGTGTGCCTAACATCAGTCGACCGACAATGTTCGAGCACATCCTGCCAGAAAGTGAGATAGGACAAGAAGGTCACAAGATGACTTTGGAAGTCGTCGGAGAACAAGCTCGTCGCATCGGGATTGGCGCGCATTTCCGAGTAGTCGGAGAGCTGCAGAATAAGCGGCATGCCTTCGGGTGGGTGCAGGATGGACAGCAGTCTAGTGCATGTTAGCTCAAATGCATGAGATCGTTGTTGAGATATTCTAACCTGCTAAGCTGACTGTACAATGCACCCAATCCGGTAGCCATGAGGGTGGGAAGGTCACTGTTCACGATCCATTGCTCTAAGGGTAAAGACTTCGAAGCAGACTCAAAGATGTACAGCAATCCCATGCGCGCGAACTCGCCTATCCGACCCTCGTGATGGACCTTGTCGATGAGCTGGTAACATAGCGGAAAGTCTTCCTTCTGCGTCACACCGGCGAAATCGACCTTCTGATTCACTAGTCGCCCGTTCGAGTCGGCCGATGCTGTGGTGAACCACACAGGCAGTATCTCGGGCTGTAGTCTGATCTTGGCCGCGATCCCGAACAACAACTCTACGATATCGGCCTCTATGTCCTCACCCAGCGTTATTGAAGTGATGGAACGACCGATAAAGTTCATGAGCGAAACCGCAAATACGTCATTTTCGAGAAAGTCCTCCTCTTCGCTATCGATAAGGGCGTTGTACAACTGGACGGCATCGCGGACCATGCCCTCGTCGTGCGACGTCGCTGCGGTCTTGGAGACGGCCGTGTATATCTGCTGAGCAGCGGCGAAGCTAAGACAGAGGTGCGGTGCGGGCAGGCGGGATTCGTCTTCGATCATCTTGGTGAGGCCCTGGAACCCACGGCGGATGTTGCCCAGGGCCTCGCGGTCGTTGGCCAGCGACTCTGATTTTTGCCATGTTTGCTGCGTTCATTAGCATGCATAGAGGGCTTGAGAGTGTGTCTGCGGACCAGGACTTGGTTGTACCGCTGCTTAAAGCGTGCCAGACGCTGTTGCGGGTCGTTGGCTTGGGCTGCCTTCCTGGCCGCAGAGCTGCCGCCGAAGAGTCCCTTCCACTGCGCCCGTCAGCACGCGCTTCACGCTGCACATACAAACGGCGGCTACGCACGAACTCCATGTTGGTTGTCGGTCTGCGGACCCCTCACCGGGACCAAATACAGTGTAGCGTATGCGATGCAGCTCGAGGGAGATGGAGACCGTCGCGGCTGCGGTGATGAAACATGCAGCACGTCCCCAACGCGCAACAAGCTCCCGCACTGGCCGCTCCCCAGACACGCGCCACCACCGACGACCCATCGCCAGCTGCGGCCTTACGCCTGTGGCGCTCACCTCTGTCTACACTCGACAGGCCCGTCGGACTTCGTGAAGACGTAAAATTAAGGTGCAAGGCTGTGTCTCGCTAATCGCTCCCTGTCAGGCAAACTACCTCCTTCATGCACGCGTCGTGAAACCAGGGACAGCGATCTCCCCACGTGTGCGGCCTTCTCCACGCCTCTTCAGTAGGGATGACTTGTCACGGATCCAAGCTTATGGATCCGTCCATCGCTACTCTTCAGCTCTTCTGGCTATCATGAACTACGGGCCGGTGTTGGCTCCCTTCCGCATAGCCGTGGTCGACGACTTTCCGCAGAAAGCCACGCAAGAGCCGGAAATGGGATCTTGGAGTCGTTTTGGGGCTTGCTTGCTGTCGACTAGTCTCTCGTCAAGAATGCTCCAGTGACGATTGAGATGAGAGTGGTCACATATTGATTGTGAGAAACTTGCCGGAGAATAGGACTTGCGCCAGCAGGATCGATACACACCTTGTCATCTTATGCCAATCCCAACACATACACTCCTTAAGGGTCACTGATCGAACAAGAGGGCCGAATGTTTTAGCCCCAAAATACTACACTGCAGGGATGCATAGTCTTGTTCAAGAAGCCAAGCCGAAAAGCTTTACGCCCCGGACATTGACATTCCATGCACACGCTACCACACTCTGCAGGCACTGCCATGTTTCGTTTCCCAATACGAATTTGTGTCTAATATGGGTCCATAATGTCCGATCACTGCTGTTTAAAGAGTGGGGACAGGTACATTGCTTCTGGTATCATTCAGCTCTCTCTTATTCACTAATACTGCCCGGTTCAGTCTCTTTCCTCTGCTCCATCGATAACAGAATTCCCTTCATTCAGACGCCAGGTCGCTCACTCTAGTCATTCATTTTTTGCTTCACAACAAGCCAACATGTTCTTCAACCCGAGATCGCTCCTCATAGGAGCTGCTGCTCTCTTCCTGTCCGGCGTGGCCACTGCCGCAGACTGCGCCAATGGTCCCTGGACCAATGTCCTCTACATCGGCGGCGGCGGAGGTGGCGATTGGTGCAATACAAAGTACGATCAAGGCATCGTCGTCACGGGTATGGAAGTCTGGGCTTCCAACAAGGCCGTCCGCGCCGTCCAGCTCTACTACAGCGACGGATCAAACTCAGGCATGGTTGGCAAACTCGACGACATAGGCGAGCACCAGCGCATCGATTGGGACCCTTCGAAGGACGGTATCTCCCAATTTAAGTCATGGGGCAACGGCAACGGCAAATACCTCGGCCGCGTCTACCTTCGTCTCAAGTCCGGCGGCGAGCTTAATGTCGGCAAGGACACCGACGGCCAGAATGTCTATGAGACGGATGTCCAGTCCGGCATCATGCTTGGTGCGTACGGTAAAAGTGGCGATTCTATTGATGGCATGGGCGTGCTCTTCCTTAAGAGCAAGGTCAGCAAGGTCACCGTTGAGAACGTCAAATTTGTAAGCAGCCTCCTCTACCCATTATTCACAGACCTGACTAACAACGCCAGTCCGACAACGTTGACGACCTCAACGAGCGCATGCAAGGCCTCAACACGATGATCATCGACTACGCCGACCACAAGAACAACCAAGTCAATGCCACCGATGACTTCTCCTTCTCAAAGAAGCAGGCCCGCACCGTAACAAAGACCTACACTACCACCGCCGCTCTAACCTTCGGCATCACCGAGGCCGTTGAAGTCTCCGGCGAGCTCCTCGGCATTGGTGGAAAGTCCACCACCACGCTCAAATTCGAGACCACTCTCACAGACACGTCGAGCGAAGCCACTGCTGACACCGCCGAGCTGACGTACCAGACTAGTACGACGGTGCCGGCGGGCGGAAAGGTGTACTGCCGCGCTACGGCCATGTCCGGTGTATACAAGGGCAAGTACGATGCCGACGTCAAGATCTGGCTCGAGGATGGCAGCGACTTCTCATTCTCGCAGGGTGGTGAGCTGGATCAGGTTACCTGGAGCCAAGCTAGCAGCGAGTGCCAGAATGACCCCTTCACTGATGACCTGCCTACTGCTGAGGCGCCTATCAGCATTGATAACTTGGATAAGCGTGCGATCAAGTTCATTGCATAAGCATTGGTCCTGATTGCGCGGGTCTCGTGGGTGGTTCAGATTCTTGTATTTGTATACCTTTTAGCATAGCGCGGTTATTATGAATATTATAGACATTTGACCTTTTAATCACCATTGCAACCACCTCCACTCTTTCCATCTTGTAGAGACCAATGCATCCCACTCCCACGCTACGCAAGCTCAGTCTCACGCTTTCATCAGCCATATTCGCGCCAATCAAGACGTTTACTCCAAGATCACTCTAACAATCTCATGTATGTCCACACTCTTTTCCAGATCCTTCGTAATAATACACGTATCCCCACCCGCATTCCACGCTTTGGCCGGCACCGACCCTTCCTTAGCCGACGCAACCAGCCAATTCACATGATGGACCGCCGCTTGCCTTTCCCTAAACGCTCGGAGAAGTCGGGTCCGTGATTCGCTGCCATAAGAACAGCTGGTGAGCTCTTGATGCACGATTGTGTACACCTGTGTTATAGCGGATGGGATGTAAGGTGGGGCGGTCGGGCTGTGCGCTGATGAAGGAGAAGATGGGTTTGAGGGCATGGTAGTGGCGCAGGAAGGTAGGGGATATGTAGTTGGGAGTGCACTTGCTGTAGGACTATTGGCAAACCAAAATATAAGTAGAGACTCTGTGTGGAGCGTGATTGTGTGAATACGGGCGGGAGGATTGCTTGCTACTTGTAAAATGACCATGGCAATCGACCCTGTCTACAAACTTCATAGAATTGCAGACTTAGGATGAGCAGAGATGGCTGCAGCAGTGGAGATTAGTACAAGTGATCTTTGAGATAGTAGATAGAACCGAGATGGTAGAATGGGTTGCAATGCCTAGCTATAATGCTTTTCTTGACATTTATCATGTGTGAGGAGCCGCTCGAGGATTAGATGACAAATTGCTGGTTTGCTTCAAGGATAGGCGTTTACGAAGGCTTGATGCGCATGACGTCGGCCGAAGCTTTCATTTGCATGACGTTATTGTGATTGATTTTTTTGACTAGAAGCGTAAAAACATGACGGATGTTTTAAGGGGGTGACAGAGACATGTGAGGAGAAACGATACCAACAGGTCTACGTGCGAAAAAATAAGTACGATGAAGTTAATTATTTTTGGGAACATGCACTTCAAGGCACATCATATTTAAATGAAGAGAACACGAGCTGCATAATTTGGTTTTTTTTTCGCGACGGTACGAAGTCGTTGTACACAGAAGACTAGTCTACTTTCCACCATCGCCTGGGCAATATGATGTTGATACGACTGACAGTACTCAAAGACCACGCGCTTGATAGGTCAAATTGGGGCATCAAAACCATATCTTAAATGTCTCAGTATTACAGATCCATGTTAATGAATACCTCGCAACTGCAGCCTCGCATCTCCAACTTCACCTTTCAGCTAAGGTCGTATCCGTGTACATGGAGGACAGGTATCTTCACGAATGGCTACCGATCCAACCGCCTGAACGAGGATCAGCCTCGCAAGGGCACGCACCGTCACCACCTAGTATGATCTACTAAAGCCTCAGTAGTAAGCTCGCATCTCTGTATTTATGAGAAACAAGGATCCTGCGTGGATTGCAAGATGATCAAGAGGTTCCCTGTGGCCGGTTGATGACAGGTTGGCTGTGCGTTGGATGACACGCTGGCTGTGAAACCATGCCCGCACCTTTTCTCTGTATGTAGGATCCATCTTTGTTCATCACCCTGAGCCGCACAGTCTCACTCAACCCTTCCAAATGTCTATATCGAAACTTCTTTTGTGCATAGCTATGCTGCAAGGCGAGGGTTTCAATACCGAAGAAAGTGCTTTCTGGGTTCTGTACTTCCTGGCCCCTTTCTCTGGTGCCAACGAAGAAGACCTGGATGAGCTTTACGAGCTGGAGGTGGAGCTGGCAGGAGAGGATGAAGCAAACGACTGGCGCCATGGAGTGTGGGGTTGGGAAGGCGATTGGGGTGATTGACACATGACTCATGCAACGCTAGCTGATCTAGCTTCTCGACTCATGCCAGGAAAAGTTGCGGACCTCCGGGCTGCATGCTTGCTGCCTACACAATACACTCATTTGCACCACTTTGCACAATTCTTGCGGACCCTTCGCGTGGACACGACCATCCATCAGTATTTTGTTCCACCTTCAGGAACGACACAGCAAATTGCAGATCCTTCCATCAGACCTCACAGCCTGCCGGCATCCGCCCATTTCACCCGTTATGAGACAATAGCTTCAAGACGCGCCATTGCGCAAATCCATCAACACCATAGACTTAATATAATACATTCACGGCCTTTTCAAAATGGCGATGTCTTTTGTTCCTCGCGCCGCCTTCCCCTCGCTCGCGCATCTGCCGCGCTCCTACTTCCTGGGCCACCACAAATCCGGTCTACAGAAGATGAAGACACTCCTTTCCAGCATCGACCTCGTCATCGAATGCCGCGACTACCGCGTTCCGCTCACCTCACGCAATCCATTATTCGAAGAGTCCCTCGAAGGGAAAGAGCGACTGGTCCTGTACACGAAGCGCGATCTTGGAGGGCGCGATACAAAGAATGAGGAAATCATAGCGAAGTGGCATGCGCCAACTCCAACAATGTTTGTGAGGAATGGCAACGATGAAGGCAGCGAAGCGAGCAGACGCAAGAGCGTAGGGAAGCTCCTAGATTTTCTACGGGAACACGCGCAACAGAGGTGGAAGCTCGTCGGACACAGGATCATAGTCGTAGGCATGCCCAACGTAGGCAAATCTACATTGCTGAATGCCCTTCGCGCTCATGGCATCGGCAAAGGGAAAGTTGCAAAGACGGGCGCGCAACCCGGCGTCACGAGGAAGATTGGCAGTGGAGTCAAGATCATCCCCAGCGAAGACGATGCAGCGAGCATGGATGAAACCAGCAAGAAGAGATATAAGGGTGTGGGTGGTGGCGTGTATCTCGTTGATACGCCTGGCGTCTTCATCCCCTACGTTCCTGACGCGGAGGCGATGATGAAGCTTGCGCTTTGCGGCAGCGTCAAGGACTCCATTATTCCGCCTGTCATGCTCGCAGACTACCTTCTCTATCATATGAATCTTATCGATCCGACTCTTTATGCAGAGTATGTCCCTGGGCCTACAAACGACATCGTAGAGCTATTAGAGGGCATTGCGAGGAAGACGGGTCGGTTGGGCAAGGGCGGGAAAGCCGACACGGAGGGGACGGCGCTATGGATGATTCAGAAGTGGAGGACAGGCAACCTGGGGGCGTTTCTCTTAGACAAAGTGAGTGAAGAGGGCCTGGAGGTGAGCAAGTTGGCGGAGAAAGAGAGGGTGCCGAGTATCAGTCAAGCGCGGAAAGCGCAGCGAGAGATGAGGCGAGAAAGAAGCAAGATGAGAGGGCAAGCGTGAGACGGAAGTAACATTGCTTCTTCGCCATTGGGCACTTTGGCCGTTCGAATAGCGATGCCTGACGACGGCTGGCCTAGGAAGATGTCGGGCTTCAAGCTTCCACCATCACGGTACTTCCACAAGGAGCCACTTGCATCACAACTTGACGCCGTCTCGACTCTACACTCTTCAAGCAGAGATGCCCTCCAAACATTCGCCAACACGATGTAATTGGGGAAAACCCACCTACATCACCAATCGAAGCCGTCTCAGAATCTCTCCACTCTTTGATGATCGGCAAAAATGGTCAATAAGCGGAAGGTTCCGCGGTCTCGGTCCAGTTTCGGGATGACGGCGCGGGGAGCTCCAGCCCTCAATCACCTCGGTCATGAGGACTGCAAAGCTGATCGAGAATGATCATTCACTCGAGCTCCAAGCGCGTCATCAGATTAGATCAAGCCTCACGATCAGATTAGATTTGATACTTCGTCCGGATCCGCGCCGAGTATCAGACCCAATGCGATAGATGATGTCAGTTATATCAAGCGTGAGGGATCACCCCTAATAATACTCTCAACAACATGTTGGAAGTACCAATGGTCTCGCGGCACGTCCAAGTCTGATGTATTGTGGAACGCTGAGCTGGAACCACGACAAAACAGGAGCTTTTGGGAGACGATGTCTGTTTTCGGTCTCAATTCAACCGGCGATGTCGTTTGCAATGCTCGTCTGTTTCTCTCGCGCGAAGCGCGCAACTCCACAGGCAAATTGCGTCGACCAGTTGCAGAGAAATACTCTCCGCTGTTGTACGTATTCTGCAACAGAGCCCGACAGGAACACGAGGCTGGCACCGTCGAATGGCCTAGGCTGCGCCACCAGTTGCATTACCCTGCCAAGTTGATGTACGAGTCGCCTATTCTTTGCATGCAGTGAGAAATGCTTGTCTGAACGCACCCAAGCACAAGAGGTAAACGAGCTGCGAACTTCTGGTCCGGATCGCGCCGAGGGATTCAGGCCCACGTCGCCTGACCCCAGGGAAGTGGTACCACTTGGTGAGCGCCGTACGAGTGCTTCGTTTCCGGTATCGGATCCGCTCCCATGCTTTGACGATCAAAACGCGTCCACGTACGACGGGACATGGGTCGGCAGCCAGATCGATCTGATTAGATGAAAAGTTTTCATCTGATAATGATTAGATGCCGCTAATTGGATGCTAAACGTGCCTGGTCCCGGTCTAAGTCCGAAATAAGTCTGCATAAGCGTTGCGGGTCGGAGCTTAGCGTTCGCGCTACGGCTGCTGAAGGACGGTCTCACTGCTACAATGGGGGGTCGAGTCCATTCGCGTCAATGAGGGCTTACCGCGCTGCGCAAATTTCCTTCGGGCTCGGCCAGCGTTCCAATGCTATGGCTCAAATTTTCAGCATGGGTGGGATTGAGCGGGAGCGCCGACGGCGGGAACGCGAGTCTGGCGTCTCTTCACGCCTTAGCCTGAGAGCTTATTGCGAGTTTGTTGCGTAAAGAGAAGAGTCGGCTCCACCCCGTGCAAGAGCCGATTGCCTGGGTCTGTAAGGAGTGGACCCCGTCCTTCGCCTGCGGTAGCTGTTTGCCGGCACAGTATATGTACCTGCCGTGTCGCGCACGCCTTCGGATCTTATCAATCTTTATCAGATCAACACTCACCTACCTTCTCACCCGCCCCTCTCGCCTTCGGGTTTTGAGCTTCAGCCAAGATGGGTATCAGCTTCAAGGGCCTCACTTCGGCTGCTCTGGTCAGCAAGAGTGACCGCGACGCCAACATGACGGAGAAGGACGTTGCCGACGTTCCTGCCTCTGTTGCTGGGCACAGCACCAGCATGGATGGCGGCCACCGACCTGTCGATGAGAAGTTGGGCGCTCCTCGCTCTGAGGATGAGACCGACGATGATTCCCTGAACAAAGTCGACACCACGGTCGAGGCCGGTGTGCAGAAAGCGCAGGCCATGACCATGGTATGGACCAAGAAAGAACTCCTCCTGGCCTATGTCAAGTAAGTTCGATTCTCCAACAGGCCGATCACGAATTGGACTAACTCGACAAAAGCGTATGGTGCCTGGCTTGGATCCTTGCCTTCACGTCAAGCAGTATCTACCTCTTGACGCCTTATGTCACCTCCTCCTTCGAGGCGCATTCCTTGACTGCGTTGACCAGTGTCATCGCGAGTCTCGTCGCTGGTATCTGGAAGCTCCCATACGCCAAGATCATGAATATCTGGGGTCGGCCAGTGGCTCTCACCATTGGTATCATCAGCTGTGTCATGGGTCTCGTCATGATGGCCGGATGCAAAAACGTACAGACGTACTGTGCTGCCATGACCTTCTGGTCCACGGGCTACAACATGGTTGACTTTTCCATCACCATTTTCGTCGCCGATACCTCCAAGCTTCGCAACCGAGCATTCTTCATTGCTTTCGTGGCTTCGCCTTGGCTCATTACCACATGGGTGTACCCTCCTGCAATGGCCAGCGTCCTGAGTGAAGGTGGTATGGGTTTCAAATGGGGATTCGGCATGTTTGCCATCATCATCCCTGTCGTTGCTGCGCCGCTTATCTTCATGTTCACCAAGAACAACAGGAAGGCTCGCGCTCAGGGCCTTGTTCCTGAAGAGCCTAGCCGTGGCAGCTTCTTCCAAGCCCTCAAGTACTACGTCATCGAATTCGACGTTGTCGGTCTGCTGGTCCTCGCCACCGGTCTTGCGCTCTTCCTCTTGGCCTTCAACCTCTACAGTTTCCAGGCCGACACCTGGCGGTCGCCCATGATCATCTGCTTCATCATCTTTGGCGCCCTCCTGATTATCGCATTCGGCGTGTGGGAGAAGTATGGCGCTCCAGTCACTTTCGTTCCATGGCACCTACTGAAGAACCGCACCGTCATCTTCACGTACACCATGGCTTTCTCTCTGTACACCGCCTGGTATGTCTGGGATTCGTACCTCTACTCCATGCTCGTCGTTGTGTTCAACCAACCCATCCTTTACGCCGGATACATCAACAACACGTACACCATGGGATCGTGCTTCTGCAGTCTCATCTATGGCGTCGCTCTCCGCTACTACGGCAAACTCAAGATGTACTCACTAATCCTGGGTGTACCGCTCACTATCCTTGGTGTGGGCCTCATGATTCACTTCCGCCAGCCTGACGTCAACATCGGTTACATTGTCATGTGCCTCATCTTCATTGCCTTCGGCGGTGGTATCCTTGTCATCTCTGAGCAGACGACTCTCATGACTGTGTCGAAGCAGCAAGACTACCCCGCACTGCTCGCCACCGAGTCCATGATCATCGCTGTCGGATCCGCCATCGGATCTACCATCGCCGGTGCCATCTGGACGGGTGTCTTCCCCGTGCGCCTCATGGAGAACTTGCCTGCCGAATCTCAGAAGGACTTCGCCGCTATCTACGGCGAGCTCGGCACGCAAAGCTCGTACCCCGTCGGCAGCCCGACACGCGATGCTATCAATCTCAGCTACGGACAGGCCCAGCGCTACATGCTTATCTCGGCTACTTGCCTGTACCTTATTACCTGGGTCAGTGTCGCGCTCTGGCAGAACGTGGATGTCAAGAAGACGAAGCAGAGGACTGTTGGTCTGTTGTAGATGCCATGCGAGAAAGGAAGGCCCAAGGGTCCATTGCATGCCATCTGGCAGATCACTTATCGTAAATAAGGAAATGGGCGGATGCAGATGTAGGAGTAGCATAGCACGTGGAACGTGGAAGATGCATATATGAAAAGTAATGTTAATACGATCGTTATACCCACTAGACCAGCTAGTGCCTTCTTTTGCTGTGGTCGTGACCCCTAGGTCCCTCTATTCCCGAATTCGATTCTCCAGAAAGGCAGCAAATCCTTGCCAACTATACTCACTCCTCGGTTCCCCGCCCCATTCCTGCTCATCCGACTCTAAGAACGCCTCAAATGCGTCCCGATCAAGGTCCCCTCTCAGTTCCCTCTCCCACTCCGGTTCCGCCTCCAACACAGCCTCACCGAGCCTCACATATCCGCCCCAGAATCGTGCTTCTAGCTCTTGCATCTCTAACGCCCTCCATTGGGATTCCCCCTTCATACCGTTCATCATCTCCACCACACCGCCGACACTCTCAACACATCCCAGCCTGGAGCTGCGTTTCGTCCTCCCTCTGTTAATCCACATCACCCCTTCATCCCCACCTATGATCGGATCTCTCTCCCGCATCTTCCTCGCCAACTCTCGGCTCAGCTTCTTCCCCGCCTTCTTCCTCCCGCATGCCCCTAGTCCTTTCCTCATCTTACGGATCCGACTTGCATCTCGGGGCGCCATGATCGCTCTCCTTGACCAATCCTTCTTGCTAAGGTGGGGAAGGAGCTGATAATCGAGGTCAATCTGGGTGCCAAGCGCTTCTATCTTGCGGGCGTGGCGGAATTTCTTCGTTGGTGGGAGGCGGGCGTATCCAGGGAGATTGCTTCGGAGTTTGAGGAGGGTGGAGCGGGCGGAGATGAGGTGGTTCGCTGGATAGATGTGAGTGTGAATTAGCCGTTTGAGGATGATGCCAGTACATGATGGGTATGCTGGGGTTGACTTTGGCCTGTTTTGAGGAGAGGTCGTAGACATGATTGGTGGAGCGGGCATGGGGGCGCCCATGTTCGCGCGGTCGTAGTTGCGTTGGAGAACGCCTGCGAGGAGCGGTGAGGAGTCCATGGGGATTGCAATGTCCGTGGTTGAACGGTTGTGGTATGCGGAGACTTTGAGTGATGAGAGACTTGAAGGAATGTATAGCTAGTAGGGTAACAGCAGAACTTGTGCTATTGTGCACTTCTATTGCATTGTGCTCGTCGGTGAAAATGCTGTGGGTTTATGGGTTCGACTTTTCGTTGCTATTGTGCGTAATACCCCAGTGGCTGGGAAAAGATGCAGTGAATGATTACTGGTGAATGGTGAACGGTTTTCAGTTTTGTGCACGCTAAACAGAGGAATACAAATGGCTGTGCAGGATGCAATATTGAGATGCAGTGAATGGGAACGCTTCGCTATGCAAGAGATTAAGATGTGAAAAGTGTGTTGTTTCTGCGTACTTGAGAGCAGCATATGTTGACCATTCATACTACATCTGCGTGTCTCGCATGCTTCTGATTGTCTTCCAAGACTAAAGTAGAACACGCTAGCTTGACAAAGAACCTTCAAAGAGAACCTAAAGAAGTACCACGCGCACAAAGGCCATTGTTGCTTGAAAGTTGCTCTTTGTCCAAGCTCTGGCGAGCGTCCATACTGAATCAACCACACGATGACCGCTATCACTGCTAAAACATGTGCTCTATGGCCACCACAAACAGAAAGGAAAGTGTTTTCTAGATGCAAATTCCTCCCCTGGTTCCTACCCCGGGTTCCTGAAGTCAATTTACATCGTCGCCCAACTCCACAACCTTGAGCCAGAATAGGTGCAACGCCTTCCATGTCTGTTGCCTGTAGATAGTACAGTTTACTACACCATCCGCAATCTCCCCCAAATCACCCATCTCATGCTCGACTTTGACGTTCGGGTCTGCCAGAAAGAGGTTCCATGCGCTGTTGACTATGTCCCAGGTAGCGTCTGATTTACGAACGTATCGTTGTATTCGGTGGACAGGAGTGGGCGTATAATACTGCATATCTATGTAATGGACAAGGTAGGCATGGGTAGATGGTAAACTGAGTGACATACTGGTTACAATTTTATGTGGTAACTCGGGCTGGAGGATCAGCTGAGAGATGGTAGATTGAAAAGAAGGAGGGGTGAGAATGTATGCATTATACTTCGTGACAGCTGGCGGCGAGCTCGAACACAGATGACACGAGCTAGTCTTGTCGAGTGAGTCATCGGTATGATAATTCAGAGGATATATGTGTTGTCAGAAATGACTCCTGATGTAGCAGTGACATTTGGGTTCGTATCGCACACGATTATCACCTTGAGCAGACAGCCTCTCATGGATACCTGCATTGACTGACGGCCAGTGTGACAATCCACCTCCAGTACGACCACAAATTTCGCGTCCTTCTCACCCAGTCAGACTACCACCACCTGCTTCCTGCTCGCTCATACCCTCCAACACATCGATCTCCTGAATCCAAAACCTGTACATCACATCCGACGTTCCTGCCCGATATAACGTCCAGCTCGTCACTCCCCGCGCTATCTCATTCACATCTGCCGTCTCGTACTCCAGATGAAGGTCTGGATTAGCGACGTATAGATTCCACGCATTTTGGTTCATGTCCGCCACGGCGTTGGACCTAAGATGGTACTCATGCGACTGGTGCGTAGGTAGAGCTCCACTCTGAGTGAAGTCTTCATAATGGACGATATATGTAGGCGGACACAGATATGGCATCTTGCTGAGCGAGGTTTATTGTCTTTCTTGTTAGACGATATACTTTGATGAAGGAGAAGACGTCCGTGATGATTGCAATTTAAGTAGATTTTCGCTCCGAGACGACAAGTAGAACATAAGACGACGTGTTTGAACTGCCACGATCACTGTCTGCGCTAGAAGAGTGTGACTTAGCATCAGTAAAAGGCTGTCGTGGTCTTGACGCCGTCCGCAGAATCTTTGCTGTCCACAGGTCACGTCACGACCACAACAGCATAAACACAAATCATAGGAACGCCCTCTTCCATGCAGGACATTATACTCATGACCATACCTACATCACCACTTTACGCCAGCTCGACCTCCAGCTCACACAATGTTGGCCCCTTTCTCGATATGTAACCCAACCTTATCGCCCATATTTCGTACAACACAAACTTCAGCAATCAACCATTTTACACGCTACAAACAAACGTCCAAATTTTTCAAGTCCCACTGCCCTAATAAACATGCCGCCGCGCTCTAACCTTTCCACTCCCCCAGAAGCGGGCTACATCTGGGTGATCGTCCACTCGCACACTCGTCCCAACGGTCGCCTCCAAACGACCGTAACGCAAGCCTTCTGGGATCAAAAAGCCGCCGAAAGAGACCTAAGAAACAACGTGAGAGATCTGGTCCCGAGACATGGTGGTAATCTGGAGGTGGTCTGGCCCGAATCTGACATCGATGAAGGCCGTGCTGCAGACAAGTGCAAAATAGTCAATTCTAGAACGCACGAGGTGGTGCACTCGTTCAAAATAGTGTTGTTGAGGTTGAGATAAAAGGTATAGCGGCAGCTGTAGCGGCTTGGAGCACGTGCATGTCGTGCTCAACGCTCGGGACGGAGATACGTAGCTCATAAAACGTATTCTGATCTCTTGTAAGTCTGGGTAGTTGTAGGCTGCGACGCTGATACGAAGCAAGTAACGGTCTCCTAGGAGTCATAAGACATTACCTCCCTTTGAACATAATTTAGGATTTGACCAGATATTAGTTTCCTAATTACCCCTATTCACCTCCCATTCACCTCCTGTTCACCTCCCATTCACCTCCACTCCCATCCCATCACCCTTCTTCCCCCCTAACTCAACCTTCTCCACCTCAAATCTATTCTCAAATCCCCACCAAGCCGAGCAAGTGTAACTATCCTTGCCCGGACTCCCACATCATTTCACCTCAAACTGTGCCGCATTTCCGAAGGCGAGATGCATTTGCCTCCGCAAGTACGCTTCCGCAGCCTCATAGATTCGGAAGACTACGACCGGGACTTGTATCATTGTCCTAACCCAGTGGCTCTCTTATTTTGGGAGGATGGTGTATAGATGAATTTTCGATTGTGGGGTCGATGACTTGCTGTATGGTGTAGAGTGATGGAGTGGGGGTAATACAGTCGGTCATGTCAGGAGGAAGATCTCTCGGGTGCAGTTGGGAAACGAGTACCCTTAACTAGCTCTTATAATGGTTCAGGCGGTTATTGGGCCAAGTCACCAAGACCGCTGTGCTGGCCGTGGAATGATCCGTTTGTACTTGCGCTTCACATAGCACCAACACAAAGACGACCGAAAGACAGGCGCGCATCAGAAGATCTATTAAAACGAAAAGCTACCTACTGCGAAGGCCAATCGAGGAACGAGAGGAAAGGAAAAAGGAAAGCATACTGTTGTAAGGAAACCGCAACGAACAATGAACGAAACCTGGTACAGCGATGCGAAATCATCGCGTATAATCATACTACCAATCTCTCGCGAAACCCAACAGCGGCAAGTTCCTGCTCACTGGGGAGGGGCGCGGGTAGTAGTGCGAGGAGTTACCCAGGCAGGAGGAGTAGTCTGAGTGATACTTACCGTGGAAGTCGCGATAGAAGTTTGAGTATACTCCGCAATACCGATGTCGATGTTGAATGCGTTCTTCTTCGCACATTTCTCAAACACCTTGATCTTCTGAATGCGTACCTCGGCCTTGCTTTTGCCAGAGTTCTCCCATTCAGCATCGGCGCACACCATCTTGCCCGGCAGCCACGGATGATGCAGGACGACCGCCTTGTGCGGTGAGCGTTTCTCATTGACGGCTGCCGGACTAGCCGTTACGGTGACCTGGTCCGTCGTAGTCGTTGTGGTGACCTGGTCCGTCGTTGTAGGCGTCATGGAGAACTGGTCCGTCGTTGTAGGCCAGAACTCAATACTGCGGGTGTATGTGATGGTGTGCGTACTGGTCGGGGGGACTGGAGCTGGCTTCGGGCCGCAGTCGATAGCGTACTTGTCGTTATGGCCAGAGCGGCAGGAGAACTTGCCGTAATCGAGTTCCTTTTTGGTCCAGCACTTGAAGCAGAGCTCAGATTCTGTCCACGGATGTCTCATCCAGACGCCCTTCTCGTTGTGCTTCTTCTTGCGCGGTTCAAGTGCCGCCTTATGGGTGGGCTCGGCACGAGCATTGAGCTTGGGCGCGGCCATCGTGACTTGATCAATCTCGGTGACAGTCTCGGTGACGTAGTCCACAGGTTGGTGGTACACATGGCGAGTAGCGTTGAACGCAGTCGTGTATACCGAAGGGTAGGCCTTGCCATCGCCGGCAATGGAGTAGGAGGTCACGGCCAATTCGACTTCTCTTGGGAGTGCTAGGCCGTACCAGGCGCGGTTTGGACGGCACCAGAACTGGATTGATCCGGTTGCCGCATTTATAGGGTTGCACTTGGTGAAGTCCCCGGGGAGAGAAGCGTTGTTTATAGCGTTCTTCCGGTCGCAGCCATGGCCGTGATACAAAGTAGCGAAGCATTCGATTTGCCCATCACTCACGTCATTGATCCACTTGCTGTACTTGTTCTTGCCGTGCTTATGGAATCGGACACCGTTTCCTGTAATATCTTCGCATTTGCTCATTTGGTATTTCTTCAGCTTGAGATCGTCGATATCCCCCGAGATAGGATGTCCATGGCAGTCGCCTTCGAGGTATCGCGAGTATGAGACCTTGTCTTTTTGTTTGGCGTCGACGCCGCCGATGGCCAAAAGCGCGACAACAAGAATAGTGCTGAGAGGTGCCATGGTGGCTAGTTCCTAGCAGCAGTCAGACGGAGCATTACGTCAACTTGGTAACAGAGTTGCACCGCAACAGCCTTGGAGCCATGGACTGAGTGAACACAACTGGAACAGTGACGAGTGTGGAGAGAGAGGCGGGGCAAGGGAAGCATCAAACGTACCTTGACCAACGGTAAACAATGCCGAGCCGAACTAGATAAGCCCAGGTCAGCAGAGTTGCCAACGTGATCTTGAAGGCCGTAGCAAACTGGACGTCTCGATATCGGCTTCTCGCAGCACGGGAGGGCGAAGTACACACTGATGCAAACAAAGTATGGAGAAGACTAGAGAAGCGTTAGTCATTGCCCATTGTACTTTCTGTATCATCTGCTGATGAGCGATTGAATGGAGCGTGGGATCCGAGTAGACGGTCAAGCGGGAGGTATCTTGTGGACGAGGGAAAGCGAACGGGAGGGAACGAGAGTAGGTCAACAAACATACCTTAAAGCGTGTTCGCAATCCAAGAAGCCGGCGGTCGAAAGGTGGGCGCTGGATGTGGTGTTGGAGGAGGAAGAGATGCCAACGGCGGGAGGTCAATGAGTTGAGGAGGCAATGCAGGAGGAGCGGTACGGCTTATGTTGGCATGTACACGAGACGGAAGCAGGTGCTCGTATGCGGAATTATGAAAGTGCAGGACCGCAGCAAGTTGCAAAGGGAGCCGCGCCTTCCATTTTCAGTTTGTGGCATCTTCAGCAAGCAACCACCGCAAAGTGAATGAGATGGGAGAGAGTCAAGATATTGTTCGTAATAACGTAGGATTGCGCAAGCCAATGGAAACAGCCAACCGTGTATATCAGTACAACGCACCCGCATTTTCGCTGTGCTACTCCAGAACTCCACCCATGTATCCGTCTATTCGACGCTCTCTCACCAATCCCCCCACTCCTCCTCCTTCTTTCCCGCCGGCTTCTTCATCGCACTCGTCCCAATCCCACTCGGTTTCTTCGCCGCTGCCCCTCCTAGACCCACACTCTGAGCCTGCGTCCTACTCTCTCCCGCACTCGAAAACTCATCCCAGAAGTCCTTCTTATCCTCACTCGGCCCACTTGGCGGCGCACCGAAGCTATCCCAGAAGTCCTTCTTCTCGGGCGCAGCGCGAGAACGAGAGGAGGAAGCAGGGGCATCTGCGCCCTCGACGAAGCGGTTGAGTGTGGTACCTGCGTTGGTGACGCCGGATTGGATGCCCTGGCCGACGAAGCCGGCAGTATTACGCGCTTGGGAGGCGAGGTCTGCTTCGGCGAGCTATTGTACCGTTAGCTGAATACATACCTCTGCGCAAGATGTGGTGTAAACGTACCTTCGCCATACCAGGCTTGACCCAGCCCTCATACCCCGTCTTGCCCGCCTTACTCACGCTCGCGCCCAACCAACCAAACCCCTTCGTCAGTGCAGCCACAGGATCCTTCTGGAAATCGTCCAACGCAGGCGGCTTATCAAAGTCTTCTTCCTTCTTCCAGTGATCTGGCTCGCTGCCAAACCCAGCGTACTTCCCTCCCTGGCTCGGCGCCAGGTCGTCCCTCCTATTTGCGTTTTCGGACCCCATCCGGGCAAAATACGCCTCATTTCGTGCCTTTTGCGGGTTGCCCATGGCGTTCGTTCCAAGCGCCGGTGATCCAGAACGCCCAAGCGCGCTCGCAGAGTCATTGCTTCTCGTCGTGCTGAGCGGCGTCCCGCTCCTGCTTCCCGGACCGCTCGCCCTCCCACTCAGCGGCGCGCCCGATCCCAGCGCCGTAGTCTCTTTCTTCGGCAACCGCTTGGGCAGATTACTCTTGTCGAACTCCCGGCCTTCCACCTTGCAGCTCAGCCTCTCCTTCCACTCGTCGCCCGCCTCAGAATCATATCGCTCCTGTATCGAGCTCGTCTCGAACTTCTTCCCGTCTTTCGTGTTGGAGGAATGCGAATCGAAGAATTCCTGGAACGGCTTATTGCCGCCTGCAGCCATGCGCGCGAGCTCGGAGCCCTTGAATGCGTCCATTGTTATGCTGCGGATGAAGGAGATATGGACGCCCAGACCGCGGTGCACGCCAGAGCAGGAGAGACACATGAAGATGCCGAGCTTAGGAGAAGCCTAGAGTACTTAGTGTTTGCATTGCGTTGGAGGCGGGGGAGGTACCCATTGCGGACTCGGCGCATTGCAGTCCACACACCTATTGTTCTCGTTCGTCTTCTGTATCTCCAGTAACTTGCTCCTCGTCTCAGGATCCACCTCCCACATTTTACTCATCACGAAGGTCTACACGAGTCTGCGCGACTCGTCAGCGATGTGTTGTGTATGCGTGTCAAAGAACGTGGAGATAGACTGGGAAAGAGAGGTTGCGACGCGGAGGTCCAGGTCCAAATTAGCGGTCGATGTTGGCATTGGCCGAGGGGCAGCAACGTCGTCAGCCCTCTGGGATGAGTGGCCCAAGCGCCCCCTTCTCCGACACTGAGCCTCACCTTGCAACTCCGACCGGACAATTGCATTGACAATCGGTAGTAGATAGCAGGTTCTAACGGAGCCTCGAGAACTAACGTCTTCACATTCGAAAGTCAGGTCTCCTACGCCTCATAACATTTAATATGTGATTCACTGTTTCACGAAGACTACAAATGAGGGCGTATGTTCTTCAATTGCGTACATCGCTTTCGCAGGCATTTTCAGCCCGCCAGCAGACATCGCTGGCTACCTATGTTGCCTGATCTCCTATCCGTAGATATCTGGGACCAATTACTCTCAACATCCCGCGTTGCCAATCTTCTGGCCTGCCCAATCTTCTCCCTACCCTCAACGCTCCCGGTGGAAGCTTCCTGTCCATTCCGTATGTACGTGACAGCATGGTAGATTAACTGAAAAGTAGAATTTACAGTAAAGGCATTAGCAGCAATAGCCACGAGAAGGGAAATCGCTTCGGTGCGCCGATGCCGTCGCAGGCCCAACGCCAGATCGATGCTGGTATGTGCCGATAAAGACGGTCACCTGTCAATGCCAGGTATATGAGTCTAAAGTATGTTCGTGAGGTCATGAACAGCCAGGGAAATCCAACTGCAAGAAAAGAAGCAGTGCTACCATCACTAGCCGATCCAGTATGGTTTCGAACGCGATCATCACTGCGCATCAGGATTTCGAACCTGCCAATGGGTTAGTCGATGCGATGAAGTCAATCAGGGGCTGAAGGTACATACGTTCAAGGTGCGGTGGTAATCTCGACTGTCGTCCAAGCTGCCCACACTAGCTCTACTGGTGTTGTCGAAAACGAAGATGGTGGAGGGATTGAGACGCTGGTCAGCTATCCGGAAGGAGCTGTTGCGCCGATCGGATGCAGAGATTGGGCTGATAGATTCCTGGTCCAGCGTACGACTATGCCGTCGGTTGAAGTTTGTTGCGATAGGAGGCGGGTACTGAGGATCCTTTTCGCCGCGTAAGAGGCCCGCTTTGCTCATGGTGCTTGCATAGCGGTGTACGCCAGTCTCATTTTGCTCGCCAGCCTCACCGCCCTGTCTGTCCCGCTGCTGCTTGCGCCGTCTCCAGAGCAGAAATAGCACGCCCGCAACAATGGCTGCAAGAGCCCCAACACCACCCACTACTCCTCCGACGATAGCACCAGTGTTCGACTTGGCTTTTCCGGAAAGTTCGGGCTGAGCGCTGGATGAAGGAGTGATGATGACGGTCTCCGTTCTTACGGCGCCGCCATTGTTGGTGTCCGTAATGGTTTTGAACTGGGTTTGCGGTTCTGCGGTTGATGCAGGAGGATCGTTGGTAGTTGATGGGGGCTTTTGTGAAGATGTCGAGGTTGTCGAGGGTGTGCTGCTCGGGGTCTAATTCGATGTCAGCCAGGATCTGAGATAGTCAAAAGACGTGGGTGGAGATCAAGAAAGGGATGAAGTACAGGAGTTGGGGTAGTAACAAGTGCCGCAGAGGTCGCCGTGCTCGAGACGGACGACGGTTCTGGACTCGATTCTACCACAGCAGAAGAACTTGGCGGAGCCGATGAAGGCTACATGGAAGTCAAAATCACCTCCTCCAAAAGCAGGACAAAACCGAGAAAGAACATGCAATGACTCGCAGAATAGACGACAAAAGAAAGAACACTCGATTCGCAATAGATCAACGCTCTGGACAAAAGAAGGGGATTTTACTGACTGTTGTAGCCTCAGTAGGGCTTGTTGAAGAACTACTCACTTGACTTGTGGAAGATGGCTGTGAGGCTCCCGCAGTCCCGGCAGGGTTCCCATTGAGGTTGACGTAGATGTAGTACTCGCCCGCCTTTCCACAGTTCTCGGTGTCGAAGCCTGCACAGGTATCGCTGCAGTCGCTGAGATCTGACTGTTCTGCAGGGATATAGTTTGAGCACCAGCAGTTCTGGCCCTGGAGCACGAAGAAGGCATAGTCGCCCTGATCGACGCAGTAATCATGGCATTTTCCGTTGGATTGATATTGCCAGTAGACTGGAGAGGTCAGTCAATTGCATTAGTCCCGAAGCAACACGCTTACAAGCTGAAGTGTCGGACGCTGTGTTTTGCGAAGAGCAGTACTTGTAGTCCCAGTCAGCCATGGCTGTGGCTACCAGCAGGTATAGTGCAAGCAAAGTGGCCAAGCCCGGAAAGGCTGCCCTGGACACGGTATACATGACGGCGTTTGGAGTATTGGTTCGCGGCAAACGATGGTATCGGCAGTCGGGCTACAATTGGTTTTGTGGCGGCACAGTGGAGGGTTCGAAGCTACGACGGCTTTGTTTGCGGTCTTTCAGGAACGGTGCCTGAGCACGAGATGGATTGAGCTCCGATTGCCGAGGTGGTCTAGAGGGTGTGTGATTTTGGTTTTTGTTGCTGCAGCGTACAATTCGTGACGGGCAAACAGAGGACGTGTGGCAGCGAGCGTGGTAGACGGGAGCTAAGCCGTGGAAGACCGTGGCTCTCGCAAAGGTGAGGCCTTGATCAAGGTTAACCTGCGAGAGAAGGGCTTGTCAGCATTTCTGCACGAGCGACGAGGACGAAAGGTGTCGTCGGCGTGAGGGTGGGAGGCAAGAAAGTGAGAGGCGGGAGAACAGGTCCACAGCCACCAGGATAGCATGGGAATCTGGGAAGCTGTGTTGAGTGGAGCGCGCACTAGCAACTTACCCTTGCACTCCAATCGGGCAAGCGCCGCCGTAGGTTCCGGCCGTGCACCTCGAATCAACTCAAAGACGAGGACGAGCTTTCACAGGCAAACAGAGGCCTCCGATAATGCCGCAGACGGAAGAGGAGACGGCACGGCTAGTTGTCAAGTGCAGTGCTGTTCAGAGCCCCTCTCGTCATGACGTGCATGAACGAGCAACACCCAAGCGGGCAGGTCCTCGGCGTCCAAGAAACAAGCGGAGCCTCGAGGAGCACAGGAGCGTCGCGCTGCAATCAATTGGCGCCGTGTTTTCGTGCACGCTACCCGCTTCGGACGGGGTTCCGGGCACGGCGGTAGTGCGGGCAAAGACGTTCTATAATTCTAGTGGGAAGCGAATGGCAGTCGAGCCCGAGGACGACAAGGAACAAAAGAAGCGCACAAGAAGCGAGTGTGTCGGTGAACAAAGCAGCAAGCAGAAGGGAAGCAGCAGGAGCACGGGGCCGCGTGGATGATATCGTCGGCCGCCTGTGGTGATAATCCGCAGATGGCGATCACCTGCGCTTGGGCTGGGAATAGGAGCGCCGTCGTATCGTCCGAGTATCGACGACAGGGAAGCGCGTGGGAGCAGGCCAATGGCTGCCACACGGAACCGAGAACTCGCGGGGGCCTGCAGCGACGATAAATAGTCGGTATTGATCGAGTCTCCAGGATCATGAACGTTGGAGTATTGAACGCGCAAGTGCCAGGTTTCCAAGCGCAATATATCAAGCATAGCCATCACGGCCTCAACCTGCGCTGCGCTGTAACGGCACACAACGCCCTCGAGCCGGCCAAGCCGTCCACGGAAGCTGCGTGCGACGATCGCGGACGTATGGACGGTGTCCTTTCGAAACGGTGCTGGCACGCCCGCAAGAGGCGCCCTCAGCGAAGCGCCTGTCGGTCGGTGACAATGAGTGCCCATAGGTAAGCCGGGCGACACGCTGCCACATCCAGCAACCTCTCCACCAACAGTTAGGAGGACTATCGACATCCCAGCACCTCGTCTATCGTGTCCCAAGCCCTCAATCGCAAACACGCCTGCAACCAACCATGCCAAACCTCGCGCTCTCACATGAATCCCACTTCCGCCGCGTCGCATCCCTCTGAAGATCAGCCTGAAAAGCCTCACCTCACCCTCTCGTCCAGGGCCCACTCCCAACATTTTCGACAGGGGGCGCCCCCTGCGTCTCCGCTCCGCGAACGCCACGCCGCTTCCCCTTTCGGCTGCTTAGGTCATGGCGTCATACCTATCTTGGCTTCGGGGGCGATCTTGAGCATTGGGCAGGAAGTGGATATAACAGAGCACGATCGCCAGGAGAGAGATGAAGATGTCCGCAGAACCCGCGACGGTGCTACGCCCTGTCGTCACTGGCGTTTTAAGAAGCGTGCCGTGGGCCAATTGCACACGACGCGATGCGTTGTCCGTCCGACGTCGCCGCGGGAGATCCAACGTCGTCAATCTTAGATGGTCGTGACAGTGGAGCGGATGCAGCGGATCATCAAGTTTTTTCTTCGAGTCAAGGAACAAGTGAGCTGTCATGTAACAAGCCTTCCGGATGTTTGGGTGCCCGCGGACTAGCTTTGTCTGCGTTCCATGGTTAGATTGACGCCTACGGTTACTACGCACGGCAGTACTAGGCTGACATCGACTATCATCTTCGACACCTTGCACACTAACTTCTCAAGCGCTTGACATTGATCAACTACAACTTGGACTTCTTCTTCATACCAGCTACACCCGTCACAGTGTCTCCCGAGAGGAGGAAGTCGGGATACTTGAACGCCCCTTTGTCGATGCTCTGGTTGTGCCATGCGCCGCCATCCACTAGCAATCCGAGTCAGCGAGGCGAAATGATTTCTTGGACGGATACCAACTTACCGACAATAGTCTCTCCATTAACGAAGTTGCCAGCATCCGAAAACAGATAGACGGTGGCGTCTGCGATCTCTTTCACGTAGCCCATTCTCTGGGACGGGATCTGGCGCGGTGTCTCCTTGCGGCTGTCATCTGTTGACAGACGCGCCATGCCTTCTGTGCCCGCAATGGGACCTGGCGCAATCACGTTGGAAGTGATACCTTTGGGTCCTTGCTCGATAGCCACAGATACCGACATAGCGTCGACACCTGCCTTCGCGATAGAGACATGACTCTGCAGCGGAGTGCCTGAATAGTGTAGTGTAGCACTGACGAAGATGATACGGCCTCCAGTGCCGGCCTTGGGAGGCGTCTTGCCGTCCACTTTATACTTGTTTGCTGAGTCGACCAAATAAGGCAGAGTCGCTTTCAGTGTGTTGTAAGAGCCCAGCACGTCAATGTCCATGACCGACTTCATCGCGTTCGACGATATCTGGTCGATGGTAGCGAGGAAGTTTCCTGCTGCACCGGCACTACACTGCATCAGCAACTTGTCTCAGTCTCAACGCAAGGGAGCTCACATCACGAAGTCTATGCTGCCCAGTTCTTTCGCGCAACGCTCTGCAGCGGCGACCAGCGCCTCTGGTTTCCTTACGTCTACTGCGCCTAGACCCAGTACTTTTGCGCCCTTCCTTGCCGTTGCGATATCTTTGGCCATGTTCTCTGTCTTCTCGACATTGCGCCCGATTATGCAAGCGTTGGCACCGAGGTGCACCATGGCGCGGACTTGAGCGGAACATATTGAGCCTGCTCCGCCGGTGCAGAACACGACTTTGTTGTCTGCAGAAAGCAATAGATCAGCGTACGTTTCCTTGTAGCATTCTACTGCAATAGAGCCATTGCACCGTCCTGTCCAGTTGCATATGATTGCAATCGCTGGGAATATGTACCAAAAATGCCATCCCTCCACACATCACTCAAGTATTCGTGCTTCTCCATAGGCATGGTGCGCGGTGTTTTCCAAGGAGGTTCTTCTGTTTGGCCTTCGTTTTCGGGGGATTGCCGTAACGCGGAGCTGCCGATCGTGAGCTTAGCACCCAGAGATTTGATGGCGAGTAAGATAGAAGGTCCTGATAAAAAAAATAACGTAATGCTCACACAGTATGAAAGAAGCTGCCGTGAGACCTCGAGTTGTTGCTGACGACAAGTCGTGGTGTTGCGGCTCCAGAGCTCCGCAATGAGTACCAGCCGAGCCTCGGTACTTTAGGCGTGCTTACTATTCTACCAACGGCCGTAGCAGAGAGTTGGGGAAGCAGACGGAGGGATTGCATTCCGATTAAGGGCAGGTGGAAGGTGGAAGTAAGAACGGTACTCCACACTCCATATTCAAGGAATCAGAATCATGTCAGCATACCCGAACACGGGTTCTTTGAGTTTGTGGAAGTGCAGGAGCTTGGGCCGCCTGCTTCTTCCTACTACCTAATCCCCGCATCACGTGTTGTAGCCGCTCGATCAGAACCACGTCAATCTGCATGACTGCAGCCTTGCCCCCACAACGACATCCAAGCTCCAGCTCCAACGTTGCATCAATTGCTCCGTTACGTGACGACTGAATAGCGGCACTATGGCAAGCCCGACGGTTTCTATCTGCAAGTTCGTGGGGACGATAAGTCTGGGACTGCTCACTGTACGTTGTAGCTACCTTATCGCACTCCGCTGTTCCCACTGCCATCATTCACCTCTCATGGAGCTCTGTGGAGCAATTGGCCGATACGGAAATGATCACTAACATTCGGCAGGGCATCTCAGCCTCCCTCTCAACAACCGCCCTCCCAGCCCTCCTCACCCTCCCCACCGCCGTAACCGCCCGCTCAACACACACCTACCTCTCCTCCAAAACGCGCCTCCTCTCCTCCTACCTCCGCCACATCACAACCTTTACGCTCTTCTCCGCCTACCTCCTTTCGCCGCGCCGCTTCCGCCACCCCTACCTCCTCTACACCTCCATCTTCGCATTCGTCTCAGGCCCTGGTGTTGACTACGCGGTTGCGTTCCGAGAAGGCAAGAACGAGCAGAGAGCCCTGCTAGATCTCGAGGCGCAGGGAGATGATGTCAACGGCGAGGAGGTGCGGCATGCGGTGGAGAGGATGAAGGTTACGGAGGCGTGGAGAGCGGGGATCTCGGGGGTGGCGTTTGCAATGGGTGTGGTGGGCATTTGGGGAGATGGTGCGTAGGATGATGCTTGGATGCGCCAGTCGTTAGCTGCGGTGTATAAGATGACATGGTGACGGTGGTGTTTGGTGCTTTGGGCACAAGTGAAGTTGTTAGTATAGGCGTTTCGCATACTCTCCTGTCAGTTTTATGATCCCCTGTACATAGCGAGAATACACCATTCGACTCATGTCGCTTGTGTTGGACGGTACCTTCGTTACTTACAAGACCACACAGGTCAAAATGCACCGGCGCTCACGTTCATACTGCGTAACGGACTGCGAATCTGCATAATTTGCCCGTCTAGGCATCGCAGCCGCTTCTCAATCGTTGGTCATTTTTCGTGGGCCTGTGACAGCTGTTTGTGAGAGGGCAAGAGAACAAGCTGTAGAGACTACGCGTCCCGCTTACGCCAGGAACCGCGTCCCATGAGGATGTCTTCTCCTTCTTTCTATCTTGTCTATTAACAGGCACCGAAACACGATCCAGACATTGAGAACATTTGCATGGCTTTTTATCCACATGCAGGAGTAGTCCAAGGCTTTTTAGTTCCGCCTCAGTGAGGTGGTGTGTGCCAGGCATGGACTAAGAATTAGCTTCTTATATACCTTCGCCTGCGATCATCAAATGATACTGATGGGACAAATCATCACCAGATCCTAATCGAGGTGACTAAAAGGCAAGGCCACGAAACCTCATGGGCTCGTATTCCAGCCGCTTGTCGTCCTGGGCAGAGACAAGCGAAACGAAGGACATAAGATCAAAGTTCTTGATTTTGGATCTCCATGGATCCTACGATATCCACTTTTAATCACCGAATGGTAGTGGCTGAGAAGTGTGAAGAGCAAAAGGTGCAGGCAAGCACGCTTTATATATTCACTATCCGGGTCGGCAGTGTTGCACAGCACCATGTCTTTATGGTGATGGCTGAGAGGACAGTCTGTGAATCCACGAAACCATTGTCCGTCATCATGCCGTTCTGAACACAGCCAAGAGGCTGGAACGACATGTAGATGTACAGGACTTGCTTTAGACCCCCATGAACTAGTCCAATATGGAGTTTATTCACCAGTTAAGCAGAGTCTAGTAGTGTGAAGAAGATGTACGAAGTAGGAAGAAGACGCTTATATACGCTCAAATTCTCAACTGGTGACGTGGTGAAGAGGATCATCACTGTACCAGCGACAGACGCACAAAATCAAGCTCGGCAGGCATAGGCTTCTGCGTCTTCGTGTTCGAGTAGCCTCGCACACACGCAACAAACATGTCTTGCGAAGAGAAGTACTTTTAGGCTTCCACATGAGCAGATGCGATTGGGGTTTTTAGTCTCCAAGGCCTGGCGGAGCAGGAAAGTGTGAAGAGTAAGGAAAGTGTGTAGAGCAAGCAAAGCGTACGATAGTGCGCTTTATATACTAACTTAATCCTCATCATTCTTCTATGATGCAGCGCAGCATCAATCTGCTAGTATCAAAAACGACTAAAAAAGACTCCAGACCACGTCCAACATATTGCGTTCTTTTCCACCTTTTGGTACTCCAGCACGCAGGCGACAACATGTCATTCTTGTAGTCCTGTTTTTCAAGCCCCATAGGGAAGTCAGCCATAACTTTTAGTCGTCACACTGGCGAAGTGATATTGTGAAGAAGTAAGAACCGCCGCACAAGGTTTTTATATGCTCTACATTCTCTCTCATCGTTACATGATGCAGAGCATCATCACTACACTAGCCATCAAAGATATAAGGATAACACAGCATGATCCACGGCATATTGTCTTTGATGCAGTATTGATATTTCTCCGCACACAAGCAGCAACCATGTTGAATTTGTCCATCGATCTGTAGACTCCCATATAGGAGGAGAGCCAAGATTTGTACTCATCCAGCTGATGGAGGGCAAGTGTGAAGAAGAGAAAAAGCTTGAAGAGTATTGGAGGTTTATATAACCCAGTATCTACATCTTCACACCGTGATGCAGTTCATCATCACTCCACCAGTGATCGAAGCTGAGTGTTTTGTCGCACTTTCGCAGCGCAGTGGCACTTGCACATGGCTTTGCAGCCGCCCAACATGCGGGGAACAGCCATGATATCTTCGATCTGTCCTTTCAGACCCACATTTTGTGGCATCCTTAGCTTTTTGGTCGCCTTGCTGGCACAGCACGAAGTGTGAGGAGTGGAGAGACAGGAGAGAATACGAGGGCTTTTATACACTCAGCCGCGCCACGACGCGCCAAGTTAATGAGCATCATCACATCCGAGTACTTCTCACATAGTAGATTTCCAGATCGTGAGAGGCTATCCTTTCGACTTTTGGCAGCTCGCCGCAAAGGCGAACCATGAGCAACATAGACCCAGGATTTTAGAAGACTCATGGTGTCTTTCTCTTCAGGTTTTAGACGCCATAACTTGGCTGAGTGTAGAGTGTAAATAGGAGAACGAGGACGTTGAGATTTATATCAGTAGATCTGCAATGTAGCTTCATCGTGCTGTGCATCATCGTAGCTAGTAATGGTCATACAAAGACGTTATAGGTTTGCTTGCGTAGTTACATACTCCACTAGACTTGAGCTCATTCCAGCGCCAAAGACGAGCCATGTGGCATGTTCATTCCTTCTTTTGAGTCCTCCATAGGCAGGTCGCCGGACTGTCTTGGTCACCCAACTCCGGCACCAACAAAAGTGTGGAGAAGAGTACGAATGCGGTAAGAAGGACTATTTATATACCCTCACACAACCATCCTCCTTTTATGATGGAGCGTATCATCGTGACCTGAGCCCGCTTTCAGGACGCACCGCTCTTTCCTCATACCTGGACTAGGCCCAGCCCAGCGCAAAAGCGAACATGAAGTAGACCACATTTGTTTTTAATCTTCCATAAATGGGCGGCGGAGACGTTTGAGTAGCCGAAGTCTGCCGGCATTTGGCAGGGTAAAGAAGTAAGCAGGGTGAGATAGAAAAGAGAACTTATATACCCGTATGTATGGGTCATCGCTCTGTGATGACGAGCGTCTTCATAACGTAAACCGTATCTAACCTTGTACGCACGTGATTCTCAGCCTGTTTGACACCTTGCCAAGCCAAGCCATGCTTTTGAGGTCGTGGCCGGTCTAGTCGACTTTCGTGTCCTTGTTGAAGCAATCGCTTCATTAGGTGTCTTTTGCAATCGTGCAGCAGCGGCGCTTCCGGAAGCTTCTAGAAAGAAGACCACCGCAGTATACCTACGGTATCCAGCATACTCCGTCAAGCCAACGCAAGTGCGGATCATATTGGCCATGGTGAGCAGGTTGGCTGCTCCATAGGATGGTGAGGTGTCTACTTTTTGTTGCCACAGGTTGACAAAGCACGAAGTGTGAAGAAGAAGTAAGGTGCAGAGAGAGGGTTTTATATGTCTTTTATGCTGGCCGTGTTCCTGTTCAGTGATGGTGTGCCTCATCGCGGCTCGTTGACGCTGCTCTTTCACCATAGCATGTTCAGCACACCTGTCCAAATCAACTCGAGACGAGCCAAACCTATGAGTGTGACTTTGGTTCTAGTCCTCCATAATTCTCCATAAGAGTTCCTTCGCATCATGTTTAGTCGCCATAGTCTGGCAGGCACAGCAGCAAGTGTGTGGAATGGACAAGGTGCGGGTGGCGGCCACGTATTCGCTTACAAGTATAGAACCCGAGCGTCATTCCAATTATTGATATTTGCTAGACCTTCCCACCTCCCGCTAATCATACACACTCGCCCTGCTCCACTTACTCCTCCTCCGAATGTTCTTTCCGTAGATGTAGAACACAAAGGGCACTGGGATCAACAACGCCGCAAACCCACCAGTGATACTGGCTCCAGGCCCAATTCCAATGTTGTGATACAACGGCGCCACCGCAAGCGGGAAACCCCCCGCAAAGCAACTCCTCAGAAACGTATTCGCCGCTACTGCACTCGCAGCATACAGCGTAAACGTATCGACAAGATAATTCAGTGCGGCTTGGAAAATAGTGAAGAAGCCTGTACCGAGCAGCACGAGCCCGATGCAGGGACATATCCAGTGGATGGAGGGATCCGCCGTCCAGCCCATGAGGAACTGTCCGCCGGAGAAGAGGACGGAGCCGAGCATCATGGGGGGGAGGCGCTTTTCGGGTACGGCGCGGTTGCCGGCGGCGTGGTACGCTTTGTTGTAGAGTGTCTGGTTGTAGACGTTTAACGAGCACCCTAGGAAAGCGCCGATGAGGACGCAGAGGAAGGGCAGGGTAGCCACTAACGGCTTCCAGCCGCGCTCTTCGCCGAAGATGATGGGGATCCCGCCGAGTTGCATGTAGAGGATACCGTAGCAGAAGGAGGCGTACAGGGCGACGAGGAAGCAGATTGGGGACATGAGGATCTGGACGGGGCGGAGCAAGAATTTGCGCGCGAGTTCCACGATGGAGACGTCCCATTCTTCGAATTTGGCGTGCAGTGCCCAGTTTCCGGATTCGTGGCGGAGGCGGCGCGCTTTGTAGACGAGCAGCTTGGGCGGATAGGATTCGTCGATGTAGATGGTCGCCACGAGGAGAACGGAGAGTTGCAGAATGCCGGTGAAATACTCCGTCCAGCGCCAGCCGAGGGAAGCATTAACAACAAAGGCGCTCGAGACAATGGGCCCTGTAATTCTATCAGTTTCATGGTATTTAAGGGCTACGAATGGATGACGTACCCAAACACGGTCCGCCGACAACAGCCATTGCGTAACCTGCCATAGCTATACCTCTCCAACTCGGATCATACAGGTCGCCCAAGACGCCGCCTGTGTTCGTAACCGGCGCACTGGAGAAAAACGCCCCGAAGAACCGCGTGATCATGACCGTCTGAATGTCCTTTGCCACGGCCGTCCCGAAGCTGAAGCACGCCCCTATAAACATCGGTGCCAGTACCGCAAGACGCCTTCCATAGACTTCACTTAATGGCGCCCAAAGTAGTGGCCCTAGACCGAAGCCAAATAGGAATAGACTGGTGCCGAGCGTGGCTACCTCGTCGCCGACATGGAAGTGTCGAGCTACTTGAGAGGTACCGGCTGAGTAGGATGAGGAAGCCCAAGAAGCGGACATGGTACATAGACCGTAAAGCGCGGTGGTGATGATCTTCTTCTTGGTGGGCCAGTTCATAGGTCTGTATGGATCGTCCTTGCCATCGAAATCGACCAGCACATCAGCAGTGGTAGGCTGATGGATCAAAGGGTGATCGAATGGCGGGATGTTATTCCTCGTTCGAATCTTGCTCAGAACGGTATCGCGACGCGAAATGGCGCGGGTGATGGGTTGCGACAAACTCGTGGACGTTGCAGCACCCAGGGCGTCGGATCTTGTCCGTGCAGGAAAACTCCCTCTGTGGCTGCGACTTCTTGAAATTGATTCGGACAGTTCGCGGCGAGATGGGCGATGTCCGTCGTTGTCATCTTTTTCGGCCGCATTCCAAGTTGAACCGCTGGACGAAGAGTCACTTGCTCTTGTTGTCTTGGGCGCTTTATCTAGTGGCGATTCACCTTCTTCGACGGCCGGCTCCACATACTGGCTCTCCAGATCATTGGCGTGGGGATTCATACTCCGTCCTCTGCTTATGTTGGGATACATTTCGATGTCGTCTGCCATCTTATCAATACTGCGATTGAATTGTTGTACTAAGTGTGGCTCACGAACCTAGCTGCGCCCTCGTCATCTATATATCATGCCAGGGCGCGTCTCATTTGCCCCTGTAAACGATCTCGCGTTTTGGGATGGCCACGAATGCGGACTTTTCGGTACTTCGCGAGGCAGAAAGCTCCCGTCCGCGGGTGCAAGCCTATGATTGTACATCGGCATGCTTCTCGCCGGAAAGTGTCGAGGTTGGTGACCTCATCCAGCCGTGTCGGCCGACCCGAACTATCGATCACGCTTACCGATTCGGGCCGTAGCTTGTAGTTATACAAGCTGTTTGTCGGTGCCTTGCCTGAGGTACAGAGGCACATCGTGGGTATAAGAGTCAGCGAGGCGTGAGCTACCGTACGCGGCGCCTTTAGCCTCGTGCGGTGCATGTGTACGCCAGGATTGATAGGAGTGTCGTGGTAGGAGCATCAGCCCTGTAAAGCTTCGTCGACGTGGAGTTGAGGCTACAAAGCTTGCTGCAGGGAAGCCGGTATACCCGCGCTGCGGATATAAGCTTAACTTGCTCACCGAGTGTTCGCTTCTCTCGAGAGCGAACAGAAACGCGGAAGATACGTTCCTAGTCAAACTCTCTGCGCGGAAATCGGCTTGTAACGCGCGTTGCGGTAGTGGCGCAACGTGGCTGAACGGCGTATTGCGGCCGCGCCTTGAAATGTGAACTAGTCACTGTGAGAGTGAGCATCAACGAGCGCATCGAATTGCGACATCAGTGAGCGTGTGGAGAGCGCATGAGAGATTCGGACTTTGAGCAACGACGAGCACCGAGCCAACAACATTTCCGCCGTCTGATGGTCGAGGCCAACCTACTAGTAGGCAATGTACATGGTGGAGTGAGTTGTAAGACTGATCAAGTACTGCATTGGCAAAATTGCCCATGTAGGATTAGATTGGTTCCATGTATAGCGAAGGCAACTGACTCCTCCCCTACCTACACAAACTCATCCGCACCCTGCTCCCAAGCCGCAAAAATACCCACTGGAAACAAATCCGCCAGTCTCTGGTACCCCTTGACATTAGGGTGCAAATAGTCTCCTGAATCGTACTCGTCCTTTAGCTGGCTAGAAATCTTCGGATCCGCCAGCATCTTATCAAAGTCCACCGCGGCATCGAAAGTTCCACTTTCTCTAATGAATGTGTTAATCCGCAGCCGTGTCTTCTCCCTCTCGGGGTCGCTATACGGCTGCCCCGTGAAGTTGGCAGGAGCGGAGAAGGGCGTGATCGTCGCGCCAAACACAGGAATCCCAAAGGCATGTATCCGGGTGACAATCTGCTCATATGCTTGCACCAGCCCCTCGTAGATAGCTCCCTGAGCTGCAGAGGTAGCATCCGCACTCCCGATATCATTCACGCCCTCAAACACCATCGCATACCGCACCCCAGGGTGGGACAAAACATCCCTCTCCACGCGTCCCAGCGCATTCGGTCCCAAACCATCTGCCAGCACGCGGTTTCCACCTGCAGCTTGGTTCGCGATGGCGATGCGGGAGGTAAAGGGGTTCTTCTGCAGGCGCGCAAGGAGCAGATCGGGCCAGCGGTTATTCTTGTCGGTTTCGCTGCCGCGACCGTCGGTGATGCTGTCACCTATGATGGCCAACGTGCCCGAGGAGGGTGGAACCCAGGCTTCGACGGCGGAGAGGAAGTACCAGTGCGCTGCGGACTGTGTGCTGGTATTTGTGACGGCGAGGGAAGAGGAAGAGACGTCATTTCCGAACTGCCAGTATGAGGTTGTGCGACTACCCGGGTGGGATGTGATGCTGTTCGTTGTCTGGCCCTTTTCGAGATAGATCGAGACGGTGAGCATGCTCTGCGGTTTGATTTTGAAGGTCAAAGGATCGGAGACGGCGAGGGCGCCGTTGGGTATGGAGATCCCATCTTTGCCAGAGAAAGTAACTTTTTGCAGTGTCGATGGCTGAACTTGGTGGACGCCTGCGCTGCCGTTCACTGGTAGCGCGACGGTGACAGCGGTAATGGGGAGGTTTGTGACGCCGAATGCGTTGGAGATCTTGAGGCGGATTTGCGAGGCACCGACGGACATGTGGAGAGTTTGTCTGATTGTGGAATTCACGAAGACTGCTCCGGTTTGGTTCTGAGCCTGTCAGTGGGTTTTTTTTCTTAGCAGTACTTGGGACGGCGTACGAATGGGGCAGGTGGTAGATTCGCTGGCTCTGTGAGCTGCGGCATAGACGTCCAGGTATCTGTCCAGTGTCCATTTGGAGGGTTTGGTCGGACAGCGCGTTGCGCAATTCTGGCACCAGACAAGTCCTCGCTGTGCGCTGATACCGCTGGAAGCAATACCCAGACCAAAGCGACGAAGCACCGAAGAGAATGCATCTTGACTACACTCTCTACCACTTTAGAATCCGCAACATAGCAGACCGCATATGCTGGGAACATGGTCTTTAATACCTCCCGGCGCTACGGGAGAAAGCATCGCGAATAGCCCAGTATCGACAGGGCTAACAGAGTCATGGTCTTCGATGTGGGAGGAGCCAATCGAATGACGGTTCCTGACGGGCGGCGGCATGCGGGGATCTGCTAGGTTACGGTTAAATGGCGCGGTAGGTGATGAACGCGCCGCCAACCCGGAAACTAGCAATTTATCCATCGGTTCGGCGATGGACGCTATGATATCAGTATCGTTAAAATCGCGGCATGCCCTCGGAATAGAACTTCGAGCGGGTGAAAGATGAGTCAAGATAGGATCGAAGGTCTGTCACTATCTGCGTCCGAACCGTCGTGCAGTAAACAAACTCTTAGAAACGGGCCATCACGGAGCAAGAACATCAAGTGGAGATAGTTACTCAAATTGTTTGGTATCGCCGTATTGAACCGTCCGATTGAAGGAACCTTTTGGAGTTAGAAAGTGTTCATGAAGTCGGTGAACATTGCACACCTGCTCAACGCCGGTCCCGCTCTAATAACTCGTACATGTACTGCGCGAGATGCGGAAGGGTGGATGCAGAGTAGTGATGCGAGGTCGAGTCATTGCTCCAACCATCATCAAGCAGGGGTCCGCCAGAGCTCGCAGGTTCTTGGCAAGATTTTAAACCTCCCGTCGACGGGAATCCCCTGCGAAGACAAAGCCGCATCATCAATCGTTCCAACACGTATTATCGTAAGTCTTGATCTCATCTCAGTTTCCGAGCCTCAAAAGTCATCATCGTCACTCTTCTTCTTGCGCCTGCTAGACGCCTTTTTCTTCTTCCCACTGTCCACATCCATGGCATCCTCACTCTTCTCTGCAGCTGCCGGCGCGTCGGCAACTTTCGCGACAATGTCGCTGAGGAAGTCGAACTGTGGGTCGTTCGCAATGGCTTGCTTGAGGTGGGCGGCGCCGACGCGCTTGGAGTTGCGCGCCTTGGCTTCGGCGGCGGATTTGGTGACGAGTGAGACCATGAAGAGCTCGAGTGCTTTTGCTGAGCGGTTGTCAGTAATGTGCTTGTTGCAATGCGGGAAAGGGCAGTTCGGCGGGGTCCGTAACGCGTCCATAGCACCCCTCATTGCGCTGCAAGAGTGGGGCACACGCGTTTCGCAGAGAAAGTTTAGGGTAAGCAAGGCAAGAGTACTCACAGACAACAACAGGTGTCACCTGGGCGACCTTGCCCACGTCGTCGTCGGCCTGCATGATGCGCTTTATCCTCGCAACGGGGAAGTGCACCGTAATGTTGACATCTGCGGGCGCGCCTGGCGTGCCATTGTCCTCCCTCTTGACACCCTTGCCCCGCGGCGTCTCCACGGCGGTCACGGGCGCGTCCGCGTCAGGCACGTAATCTGCATCCTGCATGCTCTCCTCCTTGCGCACACCCCGCGGCATGGGGGACGTGTCAGCCAACGGCAGAGCCTTGGCCTGGAGGGTCGGGCTGGACGTGGGCGGCGAGTAGGGCAGCGAGTGCGAGATGGAGCCGCGGTAGCCCTGGTGCTGCGGGTGGACGGGCTCGTCGTCGTTGGAGTAGTGACTCGTCGACAAGTCTGGCGATTCGGGAGCCCACGTCGAGTTGGAGTCCATGTCGCTCTTATGTATTCAGGTATGCTTGCCAGGATGCTTCGGGTGCTGATTGGGGCGGTAAGCGAGGCGAGCGGAGTCTAGCGCTGTTGGACTGCAGAAAAAGAGCGGGCTTCCACGTCCTTTCTATATTAGCAGGCGCGATGATGCCAAGAGCCCAGGTGCCCCTTCTCAAAACAGCGCCGCTGCCTGCTGCTGCTGCTTCACTGCGACGCGCCCGCCCGTCGCCCATGCGGCTCGCGCAGCGTTCGCAGGCTGGGTGATGATAAGAGCACTCCGAGACGGGCGCGCACCTCTGAACAGGTGTCGCGCGCTGCCTGTCCAGCCGTCTCGCCCATCTATGACGAAGCCCGCCCGCCTGCCTGCCAGGCTGTGCCGTGGTTCTGTTGCGATTGGCGCACGCGCTGGACGTCGCGCAGACGTCGCTGACGGTGAATTACTTGATCTAATCTGACAGCCTGCGCGCAGGAAAATTTCTTTCATTATCCTTCGTTGGACCGCCCGCGTGGGGCCGAGAACGTCCGGCTTGCAACGACGCCTTTGAAGACAGATACAGAGGAACGTCGGAATGTCCGGACAGGGGCTGTACGTCGCCATCAGCCTGCCCCGTCTTCTCGAGGTCCTCTATGGGTATAGCGCTCTCGGTCGCTAGAATAACTGCCGCAAATACTCAATACATATTGTACAGCCTGACTGCCTCAGGTGTCCTTGGTGATGCTGCCGTCCTCTTTCCTGCCCTCCCTCTTGGGTCCCTCTCTTAGCCACGTCTCCGCAAGGCCTGCCTTGGGATCTTCTTCAGGGTGACCGCGCAATCGGCGTACATCTAAAACGGCGTTGCGTACTCTCGTCGTGCACTCCTTGCGGAGCTCTTTCACCTCGTCCGAATACTTGAGACTGTCGTTGAGGACGCCCACCTCTAGTTTGCCGCTCTTCTTCTCTTCCTGCGCATGTATCTGTTTCCAACGTGCGCGCAAGTCTCCAAAAACCTTCTCTCCGTCTAGTACGTCGCCAAAAGTGATGCTGATGTTCTTGCCCGGTCGCGGCAGGAAGCGCGGAAATGTGCGCTCCTCGCTCATGGCGTCCTGCGGTCCCTCAATCCACATCGGAACAATATCCGGCAGAGGTTCACTCTCCAGTATCAGTCGCGACACTCCCCACTTGAAATAGCGCATGGTCTTGTCTGGGTGCTGGTGTATCATGCCTTCCGGGTAGATGTGAACCCAAGCATGGCGGCGCGTGAGGTATGCTGACGGCGAAGGGAACGTATCGGTGCCGTTCGTCGAGAATGTAAGATGACCGCCGCTGAAAGGGTCGGAGACGTCTGGGCTGCGGAGGGACTTGGACGGCTTCTCCAAGTGATCGCTTGCGTTGAGGAAGGGACCGCGACATAGCAGCCGTATCGCTTGCGTTATGGTAGGCTGGAAGAGGCCGCCGAACTGCGAATGCGCCAAACGGTGCGTGGGAAGGACTTGGCCGAGAGTGAAGAAAGTTGAAAGACCCCTGCAGTTCTTAGCATGCCATGGAGTATGTGCGGAAGGAACCTTTACTTGTTGGTGAAGCACAGGTCGTAGCTTCCCAGACCCCATCGCAGGTTATCAGGGCTGAACATGTAAGACAACGGCAGTATGCCCCAAACCATGGGGTCGTCGAGTCTGTCCAAATGACGTATGAGTTTCAGATCTTCATTCATATCACCACAGCGGAACGTACGTACACAGAGACATGGTTCGATACTACTTATGTCAATGGGTGTCTATGGAAGCTTTGAGTAATCGCATACCTGTAATTAGCCCTTTCTGCCTGCCCTCGACATCTTCGCGCTCCTCCAACAGCTTCACGAATTCATCCAGCCCATGCGTCTCGGTCTTGCTCATCATCAAGAATCCGCGGCAGAGCAATCCCACGGCGCCCATGACAAAGGCTGACCCGGCCCTCCATGGCGCACTGGGAGCAGCGGGCTGCTCTCCTGGGTCTGGTCGCATCGCAGGTGGGTTGAGGAGGAGACCGGACAGAAGCCCATGAGCGGAACATGGAAATGTTTTCGGAATTGGCTGAAGCTTGGGCCAGCCAACCAACGTTTTTGCGCCCTGAGCCACGTGTGGCGGACGCGCCGTCCCCGAGGCTCCGACATCTTTTCGTCACTTGCTAGATTGCAGTGAACGATAGACAGCGCGAGTCGACGCTCATTGGAGTACTCACGGACTGCATAACTGCTTCTTCTATCGCTACTTCCCAAAATCGATCTTGACCACGACACGCACGTGCAATCTCACTCACTACATCCTCCAAATCTGATTCTATCCACCTTTATCAAAATGCCGCCTCCTAAAACAGTCTTTACGTCCCATGAGCGGAACAACATGAAAGCAACCTGGGGCTCACAGTCCAGCCGCCTAACACGTGACTCCTTCCTTCCCTTCGGCAGCTGCCAGCTATGTCTCCTCCCCGCAGTCGACCCCGTCTGCTGTCCATCAGGTGACCTCTTCTGCCGCGAGTGCGCAATGTCCAATCTTCTTGCGCAACGAAAGGAAATCAAGAGATTGGAAAAGGCAGCTGAGCGACGACGAGAAGAAGAGGAGGACCAGCACGCACGTGAGGATGAGGAAGCCCGGCAGCGAGCAGTCGCAGATTTCGAAGCTGTGCAGATGGGATTGCAGGTCAAGCACGGGGCTGGATCGCGGGTCGTTGGTCGAGAAGGCGGGAAGATTGTCGTGGAGAAGGACGACGAGGCTGCTGCGGGTGAGGGACGTGGGACGAAGAGGAAGTTTGAGATTGACGAGGAAGAGCTGAAGCGCATTGCGATTGAGGAGCGCAGCCGTGCAAAACTTGCGCTCGACGAAGAGAAGAAGGCAGCGAAGGGCCATCTGCCATCCTTTTGGGTACCAGGGGAGACACCGGATCAGAACTACAAGACCCAGGAGAAAGCGAAGCAAAATCCTACGTGTCCATCCAGCGATCCAAGTCATCCGCACGCGCTGTCACTGAAGACGCTTGTAACGACGAACTTCAACATGGAAAAGCCACCAGAAACGGGGAAGTCGACGCCTTCATGTCCGAGTTGCAGAAAATCGCTGTCGAATGCAACGAAAGCTATGATTGCGATACCATGCGGACACGTACTGTGCAAGCCTTGTGTAGAAAGGTTCTTGAGGCCAGACCATAGACACCATCGAGACGCATATGAAGAAGGACCAGAGCCAGAAACTGTGCATTGCTATGTTTGCGATGCGGATCTGACGAGTGTGCCAGAGGAGAAGCGAAAGGATAAGGAGGGGAAGAAGAGCAAGAAAGACAAGGGGAAAGGACTCAAGCCAGGGCTGGTCGAGATACGGAGCGAAGGCACTGGATTTGCGGGCGGTGGCAAGGCTATGGTCAAGAGAGACGGCGTGGCATTTCAAGTATGAGAGACTCAGGTCCCACCGCATGAGCCTTGCGCGTTAGATTTCCTGAAAACCACATCAGAAATGGCAGGCATCGAAGACAAGAGCAAGAGCTCATTCGCACGCCATCACCAGACAAGAATCTTCGCAAAGGGTCAGCTGCTGAGGATTATCATCGTCACGACCTCTTCGCGTCGCAACAACACAAGCTAAGCACGCCCTTGCGGTACGTTGACAAAGCACTTCGATCCGCGAAACATGGAAATTCCATCCCGAAGTTTTTAGACATGCGTACGGTAGGCGCACTATTCTGATAACCCCGCAAAGCTGTGTGGGAGTGGGAAACATCCCCACTGATCATACTTTATACATCACCGCCATTTGGACTTACAGCGTTCATATGCTCTCTTCTGGTGAATATGTGTATGGCTTTCTCCAGTGAGTCAGTGGATCGTTCTCGCTTGCAGATGCTGCGCGTCATCATCACTTTACTCGTACCATGCAGCAAGCCCCAAAAGCAGCCCTTCCGCTACAGGAACAGTCCGACCGCTCCAGACAACATGGTAGATCAAGTTGGAAGGTTTTAAACATGCAAACCAGCTCCCTATCCCTTGGTCGACCCAACGGTCGAGTGCGTGTGCAGATTATCGCTTTCCAAAACTAAGTTTATCTATCCCGGCTCATCCAAGTGTTCCTGTTGTTGCCTCGTTCGCCGCGTGATAATTAGAGTGTATCTCATCATCGATTGCGGTTGATGGGCATCATCACATGTCACCGGTACTAAGATAGCGAACCTAGGCGGCTCCTCTGATAGAAGGCCAGAGGCACCCTCGACAACATGAACATGATGAGCGCCATTTTTAGACATTGAACGAGCGCCTCAGCTTTTTAGTCAGCCAGAAGGTTGTGTGAGTGTGCAGATCGCATCCCTTCCAAAGCCAGGCTTTATACCTCGCCCTATCCAATCTCCTTCCCTCTCTCCTTGGCCGCCACATTATCTTCGTTGCGGTTAGTGGGCATCATCACTAGCGTTATGTGCAGCATATAGCGAGCCCGGAGCGGGTCGTCTGGCATGGAAAGAAGAGTTGAGTCTTCGCGGAAAACATGACGCGCCGGTAGGCCCAATTTTAGGCATTGTACTTCGCCTTTCGTAATGGTAGTGAGTCTCGACGGCGGAATGTGGATTCTCATGAACCTGGGCTGGACTTGTACCTTTGCGCTAATCAAAGTCTCCCTTCTCTTCTTATCCTCAGCATAATTACCACTGGTTGATATTGCTGAGCATCATCACGAGCATCACATAGGGAGTTCGGAGCGGGTTTTATGGCGTCAAAGAAGAGCCTGGTCCGCGCTCGACAACATGGCTAGAGGCTCGGCATGTCTTTCGACTCTTTCGACATATGTCTTTTCCATTTTCGTTTTAGTCAACTAGAAAATTGGACCTGAAGAGTGCAGAATAGGGTCCTCCCAAGGGAAAGTTTTATAATACCTTGCGTCATCCGAACCTGGCACTTCTTGGGGCTGACGAAGTACTGAATGCTTCGTCACTTGATACCGATGGACTATCCGAGTTGAGCTGGTGATGCTATGCGTCGTTACTTTGGTACGTTCCTCAAAAGCGCAGCATGCAAGGTTTGAGTTATGGTTTCTGGAGGCAAAGTACGCGCTCCGCGAACATGAAGAGTGGTGAGACTTGTTTTGGGACATGTGGCCTACACTGAACCTTTCTAGCGTGCCCAAGGCCCTGTTCGAGTGTACATGAACACTATCTTCAAGGGAGGGCTTATATATCTCTCTTCATCCGAATTAAACGCTTCTTCGCATACTCGAGGCACCGAGTACCCTTTGTGTGTCGAGCGAGCTTCACCATCGTGACTTAGAGCCGTTGAACATGATCGCTCGTTCCTCACAAACATCTGGCGGTCAAAGTTCGCCTCGATGGTTTGAGCCTGAGGAGCAACAGGAGCGGACGACAAGCATTGCTCGAAGCTGCCCCGATTTCCGCACATGGCGCGTTTGAACCGTAGCTTTTAGTCAACAGCAAGGATTTGCAAGTGTACGGAACAGCTCTGTCAAAAGTTAGGGTTTTATAGTCCACCCTTTCGTTGTTCTCGTTCTTGTTAGGTACGAAAAGCCTTCGTCGACGTGGAACAGTTGTTTTATCAGCGAGTAATGCTGTTGTTCAACATCACTTCCGCGTTGCCCGATGATCCAGCGTGTGTCTATCCCCAAACGCGGAACAGCGAACATGTCAGAACGACCCAATCACTATTCGAGATCAGCCTCGCGTCAGCGTGTCTTGTCTTAACCCAGGATTGCGTGAATGAGTAAGGGTTAATTTTATCTATATCCTATTCTATCTATATCCTATTCTATCTATATCCTATTCTATCTATATCCTATTCTATCTATATCCTATTCTATCTATATCCTATTCTATCTATATCCTATTCTATCTATATCCTCGGTTTTATACCTCAGATTATCCGAATTGTTTTATTTCTGGAGCACATCAAGCTTTTGCAAAGAATATATCATCATGAAATACCTAGGTACTGTTGCTCAGCACCATTATTTGCATTGAAGATACCGCTATACGTGAGTTACCTCGGTAAAAGGCAACGAAAACGCCCCAGCCACACGACCAGCGGTGTCGGCCAGTTTTAGACATTCATCTATCTTGCTTTTTCAGTACTTCCAGGAAAAGTAAGTTTGTGTGCGTGCAGAATTGTTTTCACAGCTGGTCTTCAAAATTCTCACTCCATCTGAAGTAGATAGACACAAGCTGTCCAAAGAACATGTATGTTGATGTCCAAGTTCCGACACGGGTCAAAGTGTATCAAATGTTTATTCATCTCAAAAATTGGGGTCCTGTGCATTACGACAATTGTAGGAGAAAAGAAATTCATATAGATGAGATGGGAACGGTCACGTGCGCAGACCGAGTTGAGACTAGTACGCCAGGGGCTGGCAGTCGCTGACACCTCTGCAAGGTCGTGACCTCTTATCTCGCGCATGAGAATAGTCAATTTTCGTTGTCGCGTTACCTTTACTGAGCGGACTCTTTAAACTTTTTAATGAGATGCTTACATTGCCCCGGTCTTCTCTGCCTCGGGTAGCCTCATCTGCTAATTTTAACCCAATCTCTCGACCGTATCGCATCCGCCCTGAGCAATACTGGTAGCACTACAAAGCCCACGGCGCCTTCCGCTGGTACACGGCTGTCGTATCGAGTCTATTGAGTCGCTCAATCGCCCACATGTTTTGGTCACCGCTATCTATTGTAGGTGTCATGACACCTACGCCACATCCAGCCGCGCTGCACGCAAGGGCTGACGCGTTCCACCTTGCCGGAGGTGGACAGCTGTCGCCGACGGCAGAGGGCGACTTGAGAGCGACTTCAGCATATCTTACGTCTGTGGGAAATGTTGATCGGCTACCGTTTTGTCTAATGCCTGACTATTCTAGACCTCTCTAGTCAGGGTGAACTGCTACACCTGTCCTGTAACTCTACTTGATCACATTCTTCGCGCCTTATCTCTATACGCGACGGCCGCGTCACTTGAACTTCGAACGTTGCGTCAAGAGTGTTTGCAATGGCTGCGACTGATTGCGATGTCTCAGCGCGCTCGTGTATGCTAACTCTGTGAAGAGGGTATACGCGATGCGACAAGTGCACAAGAGCCTCGTGGCTGGTCTAAGTAGGTTCCTGGAATTTTAAGTAGTGCGCCTCCCAAGTTAGGGTGACCCACCGCTGTGGTCCAACCACCCTCGCTGCGTTACCTGAACAAGATCGAACAAACCATCTCTTCAACCCTCCGTTTCACTTTCCTCCTTCGCTATGGCGGTCACCAATTGCAACCTCCCGCGTCTTGTCGTTGCGGTGGTTTGTACATTCATTATACTAGGTCTCATACTGCATAGCAAACCAGAGGTTGTCCCATCGCTGGAGCAATTACAGGCTATCGCTCAAGAATACAGGTACCGTTAATCGCCTAGTGCCTCGTCTCACGAGGATATGCTGATCAAATCTTAGACCCACATGGAACATTACAAGCACGTCGAGTACACCCGCGAAGGAGGCGAGTGTGAAAGATCGCATACATGCGCTGTTCGGTCCGATACGACATTCGTTGACCGACGACTACATTGATGCCTCCGGAAGGACTTTCGGATTGACTCAATTACCGAGATGGAGAGAGCCACTGAAGGGCAAGGTTCTCATTGTAGACATTGACACTCGGGAACCAAACAACAATAATGAAATGCTGAACCCTAACCCTATGAACTGGGAACGACTCGAAATGGGTGGTGGACAGCTGGTGTCTGGCGCTATCATGGGCCATTATCTCTATTGTAAGAATACCGCTGTTTGAAGCTAAGTCACGCTGATATAGCGACCAGCTCAGATACATGGCTATGACTATCATTTCTTCCAGGCCCATCGCATGGAAGGCTACCATGACACTTGGATCCTGCCTGGTGCAATGCGCAAGATGATTGAGACCGAGAGGTACCAATGGGTCATTACCATGGATGCGGACGTCACGATCACTCATCCCGAAGTACCTCTTGAATGGTTGCTCAATCACTGGGGCGCAACGAACAACACGTCCATCCTGATGCCGATTGACCAGAAAGTCTTCGACAACGACATCATCAACAGTGTTGATAGCAAAGGCACTACTGTGCTCAATACGGGCGTTGTCGTTATTCAGAATCTACCTTACACGAGAGAGATATTGGATGCATGGATTGAATGTCCTAACGAGGGGCGTTATCAGGGTTGTGGCCATTGGAAGGACAATTGGAGCCATGAACAGCGTGTATTCTCCGAATACATCCGCTACGATTTCAATCCCCAAGGTGACAACATTATCGTAAGTGCCACTCTTTGAGGTTCGATGTTCATTCATGTGCTAACGAGGCGCTCAAGGGCATTCCTTGCGACGACGCGATGGGCTATCCGAACATGATGAATGAGTACCAGGGCATGATTCTCAATGACTGTAACGGTCATTTCTTCAGACACCACACCTTGAACAAGGGCAAGGCGAAGCAGAGCCTAGATGTTTCTGTCATGCAACTTCTCACGCAGCTGATCCATGATTCGTTCATCGCGCACAAAGACTACTTGTGGTACAAGGAGCCAGCGTGAGAGCATCTGGGTGGGGCGCGGGAATTTGTTGACAGCTTGCGTGCCTAGCGTTACGCGTCAAAGGGTACGCGTCGGTGGGGAAAAGAATGTACTATAGTATCATCAATTAGCGCGCACGTGCATTTTCGCAATCTTTGTCTATATTCATATTCCAGGGATATCCGACCTGCCAAATCACCAAAGTCGAAAGTTGCATCAACTCTTCGAACTAACTTTGAGACAGCCCAGGATCAGATGGTGTACCTAAAACCTGGAGTCCCTTCCAGTACCACCTCACCTCTCTCCGCCCTCCTGTTCTGATGCAGGAAGAACAACCAATTCAACGAGACAACGATGACAGTAACTACCTGCGATGTGATAGCTGTGATCATTCCTGGGATATAGTCTGGTGCATCTTTCGATTGGAAGGCAAATGATGCCGCGATGCCTCCACAGCCCCCGCCCATGAGCAGCATTGCTGTTGCGAGCGCGCGTTTCGTTTGACCAGCTGTCTTAGGTTAGCTTGGTGTTCGTGGCACAAGTGGCTGTCTGGTTTCTACCATGGGATGACACGGAGTACCTGATCGACGCGGCGCGATAGACGAGACATGCACTTACTGAGATTGTTATGTTGATATCCATATATAGTTGGGATGTTCGAGTTTGTGCCACCTACAGCCAGGAACACGCCAAAGTACCGCGCGCCGGCGTTGCTCGCAAAGGCCATCAAACATATGCCCAGTGTGATAATAAGCGACTGTACAATAATAGTCGGACCGCGCACTTTGAGGCGATCGTTTAGACAACCGATGGCGAACATCCAGACTGAGGCGCAGACATAGGGCGGTATAGTGAGGAAGTATGTCATCTTGGTCGAGTAGTTCATGGACCCGTGCAAGATGATGGGAAGGAAGTAAGAAAAAGAGTAAACGGTGAGGTTGTTGCAAAAGAGCAGGAACGGGAACTGCCACATCTTCCAATCGGACAACGCGCGCAACACATTGCGGCGAGTGAAAGGCTCGGGAACGGCATCTGCCCGGTCACGCTCTATGCGTGCGAGCACAATCGCAGCTTCTTCAGGCGTGAGGAAGCCCTTTTTGAAAAAAATGCCAGGACGCGTCGCACGATCGGGAAAGTCGATAAGGATGATGCCGGCTACGATGCCAACTGCAGCACTGACGAGTCCTTCGATAATGAAGATCCAACGCCAGGCGTTCAGCCCCCCTACACGGCCGATGGTAGTGATACCGTAGACGAGTGCAGACGATATGCCCGAGCCGAAGACACCAATGCAAGCCCAAGCTGCAAAGCGTTTCTGAACCTCGTAGCGTGTGTACCAGGCACCAAGTAGGTAAATGCAGCCCGGTGCCATTCCGGCCTCGAGCGCACCAAAGATTACACGGCAGACGAGTAACGTCTTCCAAGATTGCACAAAACCCATGGCGATGGTCAGACATCCCCACGCAGTCCCGATGAAGCCAAGCCACTTCGCTGCGCCGAATTTTCTAAGAGCGATGTTGGAGGGGTAGTCGAAGAGGATATAGGTCACGAAGAAGATCATGGTGACTAGCGTGTATCGGTTGCCTTTCGTCGTCTCAAGCTCTTTGCCCATGCCTGCAATTTCGTAAGTTCGATCATTCCGATTTGTACTTTAGCTGAAGTTTGACATACCTGCGATTTGAATGTTTGGCAAATTCACTCGATCAATCAGTGCCCACATGTACAACAAACCCAAGATGGGAACCATACGAAAATCGACTTTTCGGATTATTTTTCGAACTCTTTTTTCATCTTTATCGATTTCCGCTTGTATCGCATCGTTCAAGTGTATGTTTTGGTCAAGGTGCGATTCATCCACGGTGTGTTCCTTTCCCAAAGTATTCTCGATGCGGACAGCCTCGTGCTTGTTATCAGCAGCCATCGTTCCTTGTCTGTAATATCTTTCGAGATGTTCGGAACAGTATCGTAAACGAAGGACCAGATACGTCGCAATAGATAAGTGTCGAGCGAGACCTCTCGCCGAGACTGCAGCTCATCAATAAGCGGTTGCATGCTGCGAGTATACCCTTATTGTCCAACTGGGAGCGGAGACTCCTTGCCGATCTCTTCCTCCTCGACTCCCATGCTCAAAAGGTCGCATGCCAATGTTGTTGGCGTTATCCGGCAGTTGATATCAATGTCATCGTTCTTAACCCACGCATCCCTCGCTGAATCATCGTTCGGTCCATCGGCTGCGTCGCGAGCAGACTCACGACACCTCGTCGTCGCGACCAAGCTTTCAATTGGCGGGTATACTAGAGTCTAGTACCCGTAGGGTACCTTGGTGTTTCGTGGGGTACCGCCAAATTGCGGGGCATCAGACGAAGGAAGCTTGTCAGCGGACTTCTGTATGGTCACAGAAGCGTGACATGAGACCAGCAGCATCGGCAAATAACGTTCCATATATGCCGGGGTTGATGCATCCCTTCGTGTCACATAATTCGCCATCCCCTCCCTCCTTCTCCATCCCCCGCTTCAGCCCACTCCACACCATTCCCCACCGATCCACGAACAATCCGCGCTATAAGACGGCGCCAAATCCAGGAATAAATGTACCACCTAGAAGGCAATCACGGCCCCGAGGCGAATATTCTTAGCGACTTGATCAAGAACGCAAAGACAAGGGCTCAGACAATATGGAAAGGACAGGAATCAGCAGCGAGTTCAAGACCTTCCGTGTCAAGGAGCTCCACCCAAGTTTCGGTGCAGAGCTCGAAGGCGTAGATTTTCCGAACCCGTCTGAGGAGCAATTCCGGGAGATATTGGCCGCGATGGCGAAGGTAGGCTGAACTGCTGGGAGCGAGAGTACTTCGATAGAAGTAAGCTGACCCGGAGTAGTACGGGGTATGCGTTTTTCGGAAAACTGGGATGAACGACACAGCTCACGTGGAGTTCTCGCGAAGGATGGGGGAACTTGACGATATTCGGCCGTATATAACGGCAGGGCGCAAGATGCGGTATGACTACTATGAACTTTTTGACGCGGGCAACGTAGACGAGGACGGCAATGTGATCGATCCGAACTCCCCAAAAGCGCAATATCAAAAGGTAGGCAGAGCAAACATACCAAGTTTCTCCAGGCTTTGCGGCTGACTGTAGGATAGGGCAATTCTCTTTTCCATGTTGACAGCTCTTTCAACCCTAGACGTGCCTCATTCTCGCTCCTACGCGCATACGAGCTACCACCGCCAGGACACGGCGGCAACACCGACTTTGCCGACTCTCGCACGGCTTTCGACGAGCTTCCCGAGCCTTTGAAGTCCGAGCTGCTCGAAAAAGAGTATGTAGCTGCGCACTGCATGGCGCACTCTCGGAAAGTCGCCGCGCCTGATTTCTTCAAAGACTTGGACGTGTCCACGCAACCGATGCACCTGCATAAGATCGCACAAAAGCATGAGCCCTCTGGTCGAATGAACCTATATGTTGCTGCGCATGCACACCACGTCGAAGGGCTGGACGCAGCGCGCTCAGACGCTTTGTTGAAGCAGTTGCTCGACCATACTACACAAGAAAAGTATCGGACCAGCATAGCGTGGGAGAACCCAACCGATATGATTATATGGGATAACACCTGTGTGCTGCATAGAGCCGGCAGCGGTACCTTTGCCGGCAAGTTCAAGAGGGACATGAGGCGGACGACGGTGCACGACGCAAGCAGCACAGCCTGGGGCTTGAATGATCCGAATAAAGCAAGAAGGCCAGGCTTCAGTCTAGGCGTAAGTAATCAGGTACCGCAACCGGTTGCGACCTAATTGATATTCGGCAATTGCATCTACAACCTTGCAATCGCGTTGGTTTCGATGCTTACATGGCTTGACGTATGCTGCATACCGTAGCGAAAATGACTCAACTGAGTGAACCCAGCACAACCGATATATGTTTGAGTCGCGCAAATACACTAGGCATGCAATGACCCAAAACATCATTCCAGTCTTGAGCGAGACCGCCATCCAACAATTGCTGGCTTCGCTCGATTTACCAGTTGCCTTGAGCATTAGGAAGCTCGATGCTACCGCCGCCTATCACTCCATATACATCCTTCAATTCGCTTCGAAAGATGCGCCAACACTCGTACCGGATCGCTCAAGCGTCCCTGATGGCTTGGTCGATTTGATACTCCGCGTCTCAGGTAATCACCTACCACGCATTAAAACGCTCAATGAGGTCGCTTGCATGCGATGGGTGAGATCCGCCACCACAATACCTGTGCCAGCGCTGGTTCGCTTTGATGCATTCACCGACAACCCGATCAACCACGAGTTTATGTTGTTGGAGCGCGTACCAGGAATCAGTGTCGATCAGATCTACGACCAGCTCGATGACCGCGCGAAGCGGTACCTCATCTCGCAGCTGACCGATTATCTGACCCAGCTCCAAGAGCATGCTTGGGACCACGTAGGCGGTCTGTCTATCGTAGGTGATAAGGTCGTGCCCGGCCCTGTGCTCGATGAGACGTTTTGGCAGACACCCGATATCGGGAAATACTGGGATGCCGGTGAGACGGCGGAGAGCCTCAATATTGCAGGACCGTACAACACTTATGCGGATTATGCCATTGCGTGTCTTCGAAAATACAGTCAAAACATCGAAAAGCACTCTTCGCTTGCATCTTATCGCGACCTACTTCCTCGCCTTAACGCTCTAATTGAGCGTCTCCAGGACGACCCCGCTAAAACAGATGACATCAAGTACATCTTCGCCCACAAAGACCTTCATTTCGCAAACATCATGTGTGATCCGGCCACAGCGACCATAACAGGGACTCTCGACTGGGAATTCTCAGGCGTGGTACCGGCACCATTGTGGAATCCTTCGAAAGCATTTCTGTGGAATGGGAAAAGTACTGCCGAAGCAAAGAGGGAGCGAGATAGGATGTTCGAGATCTTCAACGAGCAGCAATTCACAGATATCCTTGGGGCTGTGGATCCCAACGCGGTGCAGATGGCGCTGGGTAAGATACTGACCTATGTGCGTGCCCTCGTGTATGTTTGTCCTCGTGGACAGCGGGAGGACGAACGCGCTGGATGGCGAGCGACTGTCGAGGCGTCCCTCAAGTGCTTCGATGTGTAGCAACAACAGCGCAAGCGAAGAATCAATCTCAAGAGGCTCATGAATGGATTCGTATTTAATCAGAGAAATACATTTGTTTTGTACTGTTACACCCGTTGTCGAAAAATCCGACTTCTACCTAGTGCTCGAGAATTAGATTACTGATGGAGGGTCTATTTCTTTTTTGGTTTTCTTTTTCCGATATCATAGCCCCAGCTGCGCAATGTTTTAACCACCTTAGGTGTGACCGCTGCTGTCAGTGGTACGCGGATAAATATGAAAGACTTGTGGACGATGAAGACCAATCCTAGCTTCGTCCAGAAAGCTAACAAAGCTCTGTTAGCGGATCGATTGGCATGTATCGGAGGCACTTACTTGGTTGCCCGCTTTGCTCTTCTTCTTCCGCCTGTGCGGCTTCAACTTCGGCTTCATTCTCCTTTTCCCTGTCGAATAAATTGGGAAAGAACCTTCCGATCACGTCTTTCGCCCCGCCAACGACTACATGCTCAGCATGAGCAATCCGCTCCGCGCCGACGTACTTGACGGCGAGAAAGCACAAAGGAATATCGGCCACTGTAAGCGCTAGATACACACCAACCACTGTCCATCCGTACTCTCTGGACAACTTCCTGAGACGCGCTGTGAATGATAGCGGCTCCGGACTGCCTAGATTCGGAGTAGGGTTTGGTTGTGAATTCGAAGAGTGGTTCTTGCTGTAACTGCGTCGGAACGGCCGGTCCCGAAGCTTGTTCCTGAGGATCGGCCGCTTGATCTGATACCGGATTGGCTGTTGATGGGAGGAAGGTGTTGCGCGAAGTGGTAACCAGCTGGGCCGAGCAAAGGCGGATGCTAGCCGCGTCCTGGCGGCCATCAGTCTAAACCTTGGTATACAGAGCGTAATGAGATATGTGTCAGCAGAAGTGCAGAGCGTTGGTCATATGTTTGGCAGATGATCTCTGATGGAAACGCCGTGGCGGTTGATGTCATCCTTCAGGTACGCCCCGCCAAGATGCCCGTTTAGGCATTCACGTGTCGATTAAACCACCTGGGCACCTTCTGATTAAATCCACCCATGTGCATGCATTTTGATTCGCCTCCTAGTCGCTCATATATCTATTGGATGAAGAAACGAATTATAGGCAATGGTACAAGCGACACGTTCGCGTGAGCGATGGTCCGCAGAATACAGGCGTTACAATTTTGAGCTTCGGAATGTGGGGAACATAACGTGCACTACGCCGCTTAGCTTTGATCCACAGGCATTGCAAAGCTTCCGAAACGTTATTCCACCCACTTGCCAATCAGTTAGGGGTACCTGCATGTAACAGAACACGTTGAAGTCTTTTACCGGTCGCTCTATGCATAATTCAAGCTTTAGCCCCGCTAACACCGAACAGCAAGTAAGGAGAGACAGGAAAGCCTATTCGATCCTAGCAGGACACCAATGGCGTACTTCAAACATCTGGGAAGGTTCTGATCTGTGTCGGATCTCAAAGATACACAATTCGTGGTGAGTATACTATCATTAAGTGCCGCCCCGCATCCCGCGACCCGCGACCCACCACGATCGATTATGCAACGCACAGCACACCGATTCTTTTGGCGCCGGGCGGCTAAGTGGGTGTGATTACAATGGCAGCTGCAGATGCGACAGGTCGCCTTTCGATGGAAACAGCTGACTTCCGCTGTATGCACGCCAGGGGCGTATGCGAGCCGATCACTATCGGTATGGCGCAACAACACCCCCTATCCTATAGTCGGGCCCGAACCCGCCGAACTATTGGATGTTTCGCTCGCAAAGGACTTCCGATGGCTTTGCTGAGCCACAATAAGACATGCTGCATGCGCTTAGCTGCCGAAATGATACGAAGCGCCACCTCAAAACGTCGACCTGCAGAACCAGGACTGGAGAACTCCGCGTGTTCGCTGGCGGACATTGACCCTGGGTAACGGACACAACGCGTCAAGTAGACGGATTGTGTGCACCAGTAAACGACTGCTAGCCTACTACTGCATGTGAGAACACCAAGGTCCGTGTTTCTGATATAGTGTCAGCTCTCCAGCCTGACTGTAGTCGCAGAGCGCAGGCCAAACGCTCCGCTGTTGAAGACAGCCCTACCACCCTCTCGATAGCAATCATATGCCGAATTCGATACCCCTCGAGACTTTTCACCACCAGGCGATGCATTCACAGGTCGGAAGCCCACAACATAGTGATGTGAAGACGGATCCTGGCTTATCTTCGCGCATGCGAGCGACTCTCAAAGTACTTGCACCCCAAACTCACGATGTCGCATCGCAAGCTTGTGCCGATGATTCTAGCACCATTGATCTCTCCACCGCACAGAGCGAGGTTATACGTCCCGAGCTATTAGAATTTCTCAAAACTTTAGTGGAGGACAAGATCACGGAAAAGGCAATGATTGAACCATTCCATTGTGTCAACAAAGCTGACAGAACTGCAGGCTTTCGCTATACCGACCGCAGACGGTGGTGACTTCTCGACAAGAGAAAGCTTAGCTTCGTTCTTCAATACGTCGTTTGCACCCATACACACGGTCAAACCGGAACACGTCGTTCTGACTGCCGGCGCTTCCGATGCGCTGGAGAGCGTTATACATGCTATATGTGACGAAGGCGACAGCATCATTGTGCCTGGGCCGTACTGGTGTTAGTGGACCGCTCTAATCCTTCTCTATGACTGCGCAGCTCACCACGTTATAGTCGGGTTCGACCGCATCACGAGAGCGCGGCAAAACGTCAACATCGTTGTTGCTAGGCCGCCAACGTACCAAAACTTTGACAACTATCTGCTGCCCTCTCTTCAGGCCGCCTATGACTTCTCAGCGGACAAATCGAGGATCAAAGCAGTGCTCATAACAAACCCGCACAACCCTACTTCACAATGCTACACCAGGAAGTCGCTCATTGAATGCATGGAGTTTTGCCAGGAGCGAGGACTGCACTTCATCTCGGATGAGATTTATGCTCTAACGGAGCTCAAAGAAAGACCGCATAAGAGTGCGAAATTCGTTTCAGCTCTCTCGCTGACAGAACCGCTGGTACCGGAAGGCGCAGTAAAGATCGACCCATCCCGAGTGCACGTAATCTGGGCCGCCAGCAAGCTATTTGGATCCAGTGGCTTTCGTATCGTGAGTGGACTACAATATACTCGTCGCACTGACACTGACGTTTTAGGGCTGTTTGATCTCCCAGCAAAACCCCAAGTTACTCTCCGCTGTAGCTCTTCTGACATACTGGCACGCAAACACTTTAGCATCTCTATACCTCTCGAGCCTCTTGAGATGGGCACAACTTCCTACCCTTATCGCACTCAACTCAGAAAGACTCACCGCGTCCTACCGTCTCGTCGAGAATGTCTTGAAACAGTTGGATGTCTGTTTCGTAGCACCCACCGACGGGATATTCGTATTTGCCAAGCTAGCGAAGTATGCCCAAAGCGTGGAAGATGAGCGAGATTTCTACAACCGACTAGCGCAACAAGGTGTGCTCCTCGGCCCTGGGACCATGTACAAAGGTGTCGACAAGGAGTTCGGTTGGGCCAGGATACGGTTCTCGATTCCTGTCAAGACGATGGAAGTCGCGTTGGAGCGGATCACGACTTTCATGGCAATGGAAGGCTAGCTCAGTTTGTATTTCTTTGTTTCTTGCGCTTCGGCGCGTTTTGAGCGCTTGTTATTCCTTAGCTGCACGTTTGGGTGTACAAAAGCTGGACGACCCTGTGGGGATCCTCAGGGCTAGCTCCGCAGGTGGGTATGACGACGCGGAAACGACATTATGAGTTGATGAAGATCCGTTGGGAGCTCCGATTGGAGGCCTCCCTACCTATGCTGCAAAGTAGAGTGACGGAAAGAAAAACGAGATAGTCTTGGATGAATTATGCTATTTGACGACATCGCCATTGTCCAAGTTGGTGCTGCGCTTTACTACTCTCACTGGTGCTATCATTCCAGGAAGTCTCGCATCCAACTTCCTTTCTACTATGCCTAGCGATTTATGCTCATGTACTACGCTGTCTAGGATCTGTGATTTCGCGGCCGGACGTAGCCCATCGGTTATTCACGAGGTATATTACACGAGAAGTTTACGAAGATGCGGCAGGAGACTTCGGGCGACGGACTGTGCACGAGCGAGAACAATGATGAGCAGTGTCGGGCGCAGCTGGAGGGCTTGCGATTATCGCTAGGGGGTATCGCAGCGAGGAAGGACGTAGGAAGACTCAAGGCCATTGAGAGGTGACTGTGATGGTCAGCTTGAGTCGCATCATAATTTTGTAGTACACTGTGACGTACGCGCGAAAATCAGAGTAGAAGGTTCTCAACAAAATTGTTCAGACAGGGATAACTGAATGATAATATGCCTCATCCTTTGCGCAGCTAGAAAAGGGAAAGAACGTACAATAAACGGCGATGGTTGCTGGCTTTTGTCGACGACTGCTCAGCAACCTCTCGGTGTCTTCAGCTCTCTGCGTGCCCAGCCAGTCCCTCTACTCGTATCACGTGTTAGACCCTCCGCCCGGTGCGGCTGTGAGCATCTCTGGCCTTGCTAAAAGTCCGTTGCGCGTAGGTCTAAAAGCGCGAGCTACACCGCAATTCCTGCTTCGACCGAATCGCGGAGACCGGTAGGAGGGAAGGCGCAGTGCTAGGAGAACTCATCGTGCGAAGTGGGCAATACTGGCCGCGGTACGTAGATACCTCGTTGCAAGACGAGCATTGCCGTACGAAGGTACTGGTGTGATGGGAACCGTGGAAGTGTCGCGATAGCCAGTTCGAAAGAGACGCGTAAACTGGCGCGAACGCTTGGGCTTGCCCCACCCAACCACACCGCTTGCCCCTGAGCACCGTGAGCATATTACCCACAAGGTGCAGAGATTTCCATCGACATTCTGCCCCACAATATTCAGATCACCATCTTTACTTCGAAGATTTTATCCTTGCTGTATATATATTATAAAATTTGCGAAATGTTCATCGATCGCCCCAGCACGCGTCCGCATCTTCGCATTCGAACGCCCGTTTGGCTCAGTGGTAGAGCGTATCACTAGTACTCAGCCGCTATGATAAGGTCATCAGTTCGATTCTGATAATGGGCAATCTTATACATTTAATCCGGTGGGAATCTGATTGTATCATCCAACATATGGGGCCATCTAGCCATATACGCTATCTAGCCATATGTGCTATCTAGCCATATAAGCCATTTAGCCATATTTGACATTTATACAATCTATTCCCATCTAATATTTGATCTTTTTGATCTTTTGGGCATATTGTCTTGTGTTGTTTTTGCTGGTGCGTGAGGAGCTGCACATCGTTAGATCTACAAGCCTTCTCATTTTTAGTCCTTGTAGAGCCGCGAAACTCTGTAGGTGGTTGGGTGAAATGTTAGCTTGCGATCAGCATTGTCTCATTAGGGGAAGTCGTAAAAGTGCTTCTTTCTTTATCATGACTAGTCTACTCAACTCACTGATTTGGAAGTCGCACGCCGCCACCCTTTCTTTTGTGCCCTATTATGAAACTGCTGTGGTATCAAATCAAGCGATATCATGTACACTGTGCGACGTCCACGTCAACACAATCCGGTATCGCAAGCCAACGAATTAGAATACATGAGACAACAGCAACGCGTGATATATCCAATGAGTGTAACAATCCAAGCCATGTAAGGTAATGTTTCAGTCCGGTGCAAGAGTGGTCCGATTTGCACACTGTAAGGAAGGGTACGACAATGTCGTTTGAAAAGCAAGTGTTGGCGAAAAACTCATTTCGGAATGCGGATGAAGCTGAACAACGAAGGTCACACCAGGACTGCGCTGTCGAGATAGTATCGCAAGAAGGCCAACTGCTGCACAAGGGTTTGCGCGTTCGTCTAATGTGGTAACGTTGCCTGAACAATGTTTGGGAAGACAGTTGTATAGTATGAGCAACCCTTGCTCTCTATTATCCAATGCCTAGGCGGCTGGCTTGTCTTTTCTCGAATAGCCATTTTAGTCTAGCATCAACCTACAAGTGGTGTGCGACTTGCTGATATCTTGGGATGAGGTGAGCGACGGGCCCGAATGCTCGATATTATCTCTTGCAGGATCCTAAAGAAATTGTGCTGGCAGTGGCTCGGCGGGCATCATTGGCAATGGTGGCAGTCGCTTCTGTAGTCCGCGCATCTTCTTCGCCGGGCTCCGTGGCGGTGGCGGGAGAAGCTGTACCGGATGAGCTGCCTTCGGTACCGCAATGATAGTTTGCTTGACTACTTCGTGCTGTGTGGCGTTGGGAGAAGTTGCGAACTGATCCGTTTCGCCAGGGACGCCATGAACCTCGAAGATATTCTCCAGTCTCTCGTCTGCAAGCGTTGAGCTCGTGAGATCGGAGCGCTTCAAGGAGAAGGCACTACTGGGGCGCAATGCGGGGATTAGACCAAGCTCTATGTCTCCGACGCCTGACCCAACATCGATACCCTCATTGACGCTATCGCGAGGGCTATTTTCCATGTATGGTGTCTGCGCGCCTTCCGTATACTTGTCAGTGTTGTCTTCAGCGTCGTTCTCGTCGTGCTTCCGAAACACAAGCCAGAAAACAACCGTAGTAATAGCCATGGCACCAGCGAGGGAGGCATAGAAGATGACAAGGTTCGGATCATGCGTGATCGGTGTAAGTCCCATAGCAGACGCCGATCCGATCCCCGCCATGAGTGGAAAGATGGCCTGGATCATGGACTTCATATTCTTCGGAGCATGGCTGTATGCGATCTCGAGCGCTGTTACATATGCCCACACCTCGCCCATGGCAATGAGGAAGAAGACCGGCGCCTGGAGCCATATATTGACGTGGTTTGGCTCGCGGTTCGCAACAGAACTGCACGTACGTGGATGATCGTAGCAAGGGCCCGTCGAGTATATGGCGCTCTGCACGATCGCAGCGTATGCCATAGAGGCTACCACAAAACCAAATCCGATGGTAATGCGTGTGATTGGCTTAAGGTAGATGTGACGCTTGTGAAGAAGCGGATAGATAACGTGGTGAATAAGGGGCGTGAACAGGATACAACCCACTTGATTCATGGCAGGAAGCATGTCGTTCGGGGTGCTTCCGGTCTCCATCTGAGCGGATTGAGAGATCAGATTATTCTGCATCTGATCGAAGCAGATGTAGAAGACGATGAAAGCTAGCCTATGAAAGGATCAGCGGAAGATCTCCGAAGATACACCCTGTACTTACAGGACACGGCAGCCTCCGAGGCCACGACGAAGTTCGCGAACTAGCTCACTACTCCAAGGGACGACCTTATGGCGATGATCGAGTTGGTACTTGGGGTCAGCGCGGGCTAGTCTAAATCCATTTCGAGAAGCGCACAACAATATTCGGCTGGCTTGTGCAAAGATCCCCGACTTGTGTGGAACTCTTACTATGTCCCATTAGCTTGCAGATGCATGAGCGTATGATGAACACTTACAGAAGTAATTTTTACCCACACATAGCGTGATCAGGGAAACGAAGATGAACCCAAATGTCAGACCATACGCCGCTGTGAAACCCATGTGCTCTTCTAGCGCGACGACCGCGAACCATGATAGCGATCCAACATTTCCTATCCTAGAAATATGTGAGTTGAGGCTTCGAGCATCTGTGGAGCGACTACTTACCAGTAGTTAAGACTATATATGTATTCGATTGTGAGTGTTCTACTCGTGATCACCTCCTCTCCAGTACCTAGTGTCTTGATGCGCGGTTCGGTCTCGACACACTGATCAGCCAAGAAAGCTGCCATATTAGATTCGAACCCGCCACCCCCCAAGGCTACACAGACCATAGCTACGATGAGGCCTGGTAGACCCCATCCACTAGCCAAGCTTGAAGGCAGAGAGCTGAAGGTCATCACCGCAGCCCCGATATTGAACAGTATCAGGCATGCGAGGAGAGTTCGATATCGACCCAGTCGTGAATCGGACAGAATGGCGAAACCCATCGGAGAGAAGTAATACGCGATATAGAAAGCGCAGTATATGCGCGTAGCTTTGACCTGCCCTAGGCCGAGGGCGCCAGGAGTCTCTTCGGGAGTGAGACGAGGAAGATGTTGCATGTAGTTTTGCCATGGTGCCGTCAACCCCCAAAATGCTGCTTTTTCCCAGAAGCTTATCGATGCGACTATCCATAGCCTCATTGGAATATCATCTCGCACGCGACGTAGCCCTTCCTGTTTTGCTGCTGGGGAGGTAGAAGATGAGCCGCTCGACAAACACGGCATGTCTAAATAAGATAGCTTCTAAGCGTGGAGCTTGCTCCTACCATTTGCGCTGTTCGTTAAATGATCAACTTGAAGTGCGCGATGAGTTGCGCATTGAGTGGCGGGGTGACCTTGTACGATGTGCAATCCGCAATGTTTTATCAACGGCGAGTCTGCCGAGAAGTGACATTCCTTGTAAACTTTCACGTATGCAGCGGCCCGAGCCTGCATGTGTAATTGCGGGTATCGTGGCTGTGGCGGCGATGGGGGGCGGAAATGGAAAGCGCGAGCGCTTGTTTAATCAAGAGCGAAACGCGGATTCGAGGAGTTGAGATTTCGGACAGCGACCATCGTGCACACTTTCAACGGTGCGCATGCGGACCAATGACTGTAGTCTTGGGAGGCGTTGTTAGATACTTGCACATATGCAAGCCGCTGGTGATCTAGGGTGGAACGGCGTAGCCGTACCGATGTGCAAGATCCCGCCACCATCACAAACCCACTGCATTGTACGCTGTGCTGCCTGGCTTTCCCAAAATTGGGCCTTCCAGAAAAACCGAAATGAGGCTTGTTTTGGGCGGTGAACAGCCGCTAAGGAATGCAGTACACAAAGCAGCCGTGACACGGTTCCTTAGGCGAGCCCAAAAAGGGTTGTTGTGCTACCGTAGTGCACGTTGTCGTTACAGATCGATATGCTTTCTGGGGAAGGTGGTAGGTACTGTCTAATTTCGGCTTCATTAGAGATTCTTCCTGGCGAACCATCCTCACTAGACGCCATCTCAATCGACCCAATGTCCGGGATTGAGGTTAGAGCGCGCAGTGGCACAACAGCTGATCGTAACTCGTTAAGCCTGGGGAGGAATGATAGACAGCCACTGTTACGGAATCCAAATTCTCCCTGGCGTTCCCTATTTTTCTGACTTTGCACAATTGCCAGATACTCTAGGGACTCTGCATGACGGCACAGTGCATCTTCTAACCGGAAGAAATGAAACAAATCCCATTCAGATTTGAGAAGATCCACTTCTACGTGGAGATGCTTCACCGCCTTGCAACAATTAAGCAAAACGTTGACTGCGCAGTGTCTGACGGAACCTTCGCGAATTACAATTGTTTCCACACCGGAATCTTGCATCGAATGCCACGATCCGAGATTCGTTTCGAGTTGGCCTCGGCTATTCCAACCTGTCGAACTACCGAGAGCATGTTCTTCACAACCCATAATCTCGAAGCGCCGGAGATTTGGCATTTTGAAGAGGTACGCAAGGTTGTAGAGGTCCAAATTCCGGATGTTAGACGGGTCTGCGACTGATACAGATTGCACTTGATCAAATCTTCCTGACCAGTTCGGAGTGTCGAACAAGATGTGTTCGATGGCGGGGAAATCGTTCAAAACGTTCAGCTGCAAAGAGACATGCTTGATCTTGCGTGATGCCAAGAGCAAAGACAATTCCGCACAGACGGTGGCTCTGGTCAGTCCCATTTTCTCAAGCCGCCATTTCCACTGGTCTGCTAGCGATTCAGGGAGATTCAGCTCATCAATAGCTTTTCGTAGATGGCGAAGCGCGTCTTCCGGCATAGGATTCACCTCGCTTTCGACACGTAGATCTATTATCCGTACATGATCGGCGAGATCCGGTCGATTGATCAAACATAGAGGGAATAAGTGTGGTTTGTCGGTATGGTTGGCATTCGAATACGAAGCATAGAGATATGGCTCGGCTAGGCTCCGAAAGCGTTGCGCTGTTAGGCACAGCGAGGCTAAAGCAGGAGTCGCATTGGGAGACGCCGATAAATGCTCAAGTATCAGCAGCATCAGCTCAGATGGGAGACTGTGCAGATGCGGTGCCATGATGCGGTTTCGAAGGTGAAAGTTGGGGTGACAATGCAACTGCAGCCTACAACCAAAGAAGCGTGGCGCTAGTTACGTCAGCAAGATTTCCGCCATATTGGGATGAAGCCAAAACCACGCTCAGACCTTACGCTGTCTGATAAAGTCTGAGGCTTTGGATTGAATGATGCAAGCACAGACTGAGATGAAGACTATAGGGTGTGCGCTTCCAGTGCGGTTGGCCAAATTTTAGTTCACGCACGCCACCCAATGTCCTTGCAACATCATACGCGCACAATACCCGCAACGAAGTCGTCTTTAGTTGACTTGAAGACCGATCAATTCACTACGAAAATGCACATGACTCGACTGGTGGTAAAAGTCCCGACTCCGGCTGCTATCCGGACTTTTCAATCGATAAGGACCCACTCAATCTCGCTTCTGCTTCGCGTCGGAATTCCAGCGCTCTGTCTGCTTTCCGCCTAGTCGCATCAGAGAAAGGCGAAGCTTGCGAGACGCCTTAGAAAGATGACACTACCATATGTACAAAGTTGGGAGTTTAAGGCCTCAGGTACTCAACACTCTGCGGGACACAAACGCAAGCATCAATGATGTCCAAGACGGCTGGCTTGGAGAAGCTTCGACCCTGTGGTATGTTAGCGATTCGATAGCGTTAGCGACAACGTGTATCGTACATGTATGAGAGAACAGTTATTGATGCGCGTTGTTCAGGTCGCTTTGAGCTCTTCTCGACAGCTCGACACCATTTGGGTTTCTTCAAGAATGTTTCCTGTGTAGCTACCTATACCCGCAGCACCACCACGGATGTATCCCCTATCGAATTGAAAGGTTTCATTTGGCAAGCTTTGCACAAAGTCATTGCGCGACATCCGGCACTCAGCATCATCGTCCTGAAAGAAGACCAGCAAGACGCTGAAGTCCACTTTGCACGGCTTCCCTCGATCGATTTAGAGACTTGTGTCGAATTCATCGAGCATAAGCACGTTGTCACAGCGGGTGACAGAGACGAAGAGCTCGAACTACTTCTTCAAGACCAGCACAGAATCAATTTTCGAGACGATATCGGTTCCCGGCCGTTCTGGCGTCTCCTCATACTGCAAAATCCAGGAAATCAATCGACGTTCACAGCAGCATGGTTCTTCCACCACGCTCTCGGCGACGGAGGATGCGGCCCTATCTTCCATCGCACTTTCCTCGAGGCTCTCCGAAGTAATGCGTCATTACCCCCAGGGACCGAGTTAACATCTACTGTCACACCTCCCTCAACTCCACTTCTCCCAAAGTTCGAAGACCTCCACCCGCACCCCCTCTCCTGGCCATTCTTCCTCCGCGCAATTCTAGGCTCCATATTCCCCTCTTTCTTCGACCCTCGCGCTCCAAAACTATGGACCGGTCCGCCCGTCACCGCTCCCAATCCCCTTCCCGGCTCAAAAGTCCAACTCTTACCGCTCTCTGCATCGATCACAACGCACCTCCTCAAACTCAGCAGAGAAAATAACACAACTATGCAAGCCACGCTCGAATGCTGCATCGCCTCTGCTTTATTCTCTGTCCTTCCCGCGGAAAGATACGACAAGGTCATCGCCTCCAGCCCCATCAGTCTGCGCTTCATCCTCCAACACGAAGGCAAACCCATCGGAAACGACGACTTCGTCCTCGCGCTAGCAGATTACTCGCACACGCACACGCGCGCCTCGCACCCATCTTCTAACGAAAAGTTCCCGTGGGAGGAAGCGCGTGCTGTGCGTGCCACCATTCAGGCCAAAGTCGCGAAGAAAGGTGCGGATAACGCCGTATCGCTGCTGCGCTATGTATCCGATATGCACAAATTCTTCACCGAAAAGGTCGGCCAGGAGCGGAAGGTATCGTTCGAGTTGTCAAATCTCGGGTTGGTGAGGGCGGAGGCGGGGACTGAAAACGAGTGGAAACTGGGGAGGTGCGTGTTCAGCCAGAGTCCGAATGTCACTGGGCCGCCGATCTGTTGCTCGGTGGTCACTGGAGGTGACGGCTGCTGCGTGTTAGCGTTTTCGTGGTTGGAGGGTGTGGTTGAGGATGAGATGGTCACGGCGGTTGTGGATGGTGTGGAGAAGCAAATACAGTGTTTACTTGGTGAGAAAGACTAGACCGGGGGTGCACAGGGTGATGTTGTGATATAGTAGTGTGGCCATGCTCGCGTTGACGAGAGCGGAGAATGTGTTAAGATTACAATAGAATTATGCGTCGTTTCTATGATTCGTCGTCTAATGGACTGCCTGTTTTCCACCCCTCGAAGCGCTATGCGAGCTATATCCGCAGACCGCAGGAAAAATAGTCAAAGGTCTAATGCATGGAGACTGTTGATACGCGAACAGCCAATGAAGGTTACAAAATAGTGGACCAGATACCGCTCTGGAAGATGCTAGGGGATATGAAGTGCCGATCGTAGTCGGAATGCAGATGGCGAGAGTACAAAAAGGAAAGTGCTAATCCGGGGGTATTCATCATGGGAGATTTAATGATGGCGAAACGAGAACAGGGTTAAAGAATGGCAGCCGCTATGAAACAAGTCGTACAAGCTTTTGCATGAGCAAACGGCGCTGGCTTGCCTGGAAGAAGTGTTGAAAGGGGGAGAAGAGGAACTTGAGAATGGTGTCGAGGAGCCGCGATGCTTTGCTGCCGCCAAGCTGCGTCGGTGGGGCAGATATTTGTTCGCTGAAGATGGATTAGCCGGTATATTTGCATTTCAGAAGTAAAAGGAACGTACACTCCTCCTCGCTGATAGCGCGGACAGTATATGCTCCACACGAGGTTTCCAACGTGGCTTAACCGGACAGCCTCTAGATACGCCCGCGTATCCCTCGACAGCACCTTGGTCTCCGGACTATCGATGTTCGCTTCGAATTCGGAAAGGTGTCTCTTGATCTCCTCTCTACAAATATCTATGGCCGTGTCTTCTGAGCATTTGCGTTCTTGCATTACCACCCACACGGCATTGAAAACGTAATCTTGGCCAGCCTGCTCTGCGTCTTCACGTTCTTTGCGCCACGAGTAAAGATCATTGGTCAGACTTATTGCGGCGTAGCCAGGCTGCGCGAGCCTCATGCATAAGTCGAGCTCTGTTGCCGGGATTGTGAGCGCCATGGCGAACGTAAGCATGCCGTACCAGAACCTTGGAACCGCTTCGTTAGCCTTGGCATCGCTGATTTGAACGACATAGCATCGCGGGATTTACTTACAATTCTCCGGCATCAATCGCTCGGCTCGGGAGATATTCGTCTAATGTCTCGAAAGGCTCCGAGCGGGTGCGCGACGCAAGTTCGACGAATTTTGCCCATGCTTTCATCGTCGTTATCGCTCGGGGTCGGTCGATGGCCATCATGTCGGCTAGTATTTGCGCTTGCAATTTTTTCTCCGGACGAACCTTGTCTGAAACCTTCTCGTTGAGTGCATCATCGCGAAAGACGTGAAGCATATCATCGCGGCCTTCTTTGAACTAGATTGGGTCAATTGGATGCATGACCATTGAGCAGAGCGTCCCCTTACGTTTTTCAGGTCTAAATTCTCCATTTCGTCTTCGAGGCGTCAGTGGCTGTGGTCGGTCTTCCGTCACGTGTATCGACTTACCATCGTAGAGGAAAGCATACTCGTTGGCGTACGAGATGATCTCCAGGCGTTCGGGAATACATTCCGGTATGGTGACGCGGATGAAACTGTATGGATGCCCCAAACCGCCCTGATAGTTCTGCACGGTGCTCACGGTAGAATCCCAATCTTTCTGTGCGCGGAGAGAACCGGCGATCTCTTTGTAAGGGTCTTTGTGTATTCTCAGCGGGATGGCGTTCGCCAAACCGTCGTCTCGGTAGGTACCCGCAGCCACGACGCTCGAGTGTCTGAAATCCATGGTTGTGGGACAGAATAGTCAACCCGAGGAGGTGCTGTGGTAGAGAATAGCCGCAGACCCGGGTGGTCGGGCCTCCTTTACATATGTGGACCTCTGATGCGCAGTAAGCGCAAGCGCATGCCTCGCACGCTGTTGTACTGCCGCAGCCGCGGCCCAGGGTTCGGCCTGCCGTGAGCATCTCGCCGACCCTAGCCCTTTAGAGCCTCTTGCCGTGCGCACGTCACGAAAGCCGTTTATCCTGGCCTGAGCATAAGACCAGCCTGAGCTGCCGTGAAACGTGCCACGGGCATGGAACCGTTTCCCTTCCGGCACGCACCCTGGGCATTGGCATCGCCTCGTGGCCGACCATTGCACTCTCTGCATGGCACTGGCAGCGATTCGCTAAGCGCATGTGCCGTTCCGAGAAAATGGTTTCGGTGTATTCCCCGCGTCGAGGAGTCGATTCCCTGCAGCAAATCCTTCGAGCGCCAGGAACGGCTATTCGGTGCGGAAGAGAGCCAGAGTCTGGATGGCGGGTGCAACTCTAGTTCTCATCGGCTAAGAAACGTGACATTGGCAGCGCTCGTGTCGGCCGTTAGCCTCTCCATGGCGCCGGTTTTGGCTCTGGCATCGGTGATTTGGGCGCGGATAGCGCCTGGGTCACTTGCTGGACTGTCGACGAGGTCGCAAATGCAGGCAAGTCGAGCCTCCAGTTGCTCCTTTGCATTCGCCCTCGTTACAGTACAGTAATGTTCGTCTGCGCCGTCGCGTTCGTCTGTTGTTGTGGGCGGGAGAAATCGAGTCAATGGGACGTGTTCAACGGTTCCAAGTGTTGAAGACGAAACCACACCCACGGCACCTTCCTCCTCTACAATTGCTCCTTCCCGCATGTCTACTCAGGACCAAGGACGGACGACGACCCTCTAGACTACACATAACCCCCCACATGACTAATTGGAGTGATTACCATCCCCTATCAGCCAACTCGGGCTTGTCAGTGACAGACGATTAAGCGGGTCGCCGTGCGAAATCCCCCCCATCTTGCTTTCGTATCCGAGTCCAGCCCTTCGGAATCTGCAGGTACTGCATCGTGCCCGGAAGCGGTTCAATCGCATCCCGAGAACGGAAAGCCTTCGTGCGAGTCCGTCGTCCGACAACAATCTCATCCTTCGGAAACGCCCGGATGACCCATCGACTCCAGCAGGACGGGGCGTGGGCGTTCGCGCGACCGCTCCGTCCTCCTGGGGCGTTCGCCCAGGCCCTCCACGCACGGTGCATTTGCTGTCAATGGTAGCGGGCCGGTGTAAGCGAAAGTGATCAGAGCGCGTTTGGATCCGCGCTCACTTTGGCGTGTCTCATGTACGCAATTTTACGTGGCCAGACCTCGCTGCGTTGACGTTATCTCCGCACTCACTGTTTATGAGGCTCTCCCGCCAGCCCAGCAATGACCCCTATCTTGCACCAGTCAAGCACAAAAGCGGTACCATTCGTCTTGTGCATGCTCTCTACTTGAAGCAAAGAGTATACTTCATATATTGATCAAGGCCTGTCTGCATTTTCGACATAGACGCGCGGTCGGCACAAGCGGACAGCAACGACCACTAGGAGCTCTTTACACCAAAACGCACCGTGAGTAGACTGTGGAACCACTTTCGCCTGCCGGCAGTACCGGACAGCCAGTGGGACTGCGCCTATATAGTACTGTGTATGCAGCCGTTCAAGCCAAGGACGGCCCAGTATTCCCCTCATACTCAGTGCATATCCCTACTCAAGCGGGGTCGCAGCCAATTTGGTTGTCAAGTATCACACCACACTCCATGTCCATAATGCAACATTATTGATCTTGCAATACCTCGATATATTGCTGACGATATGCTCACACCGACTGTGCGCAATGGCAACTTGCTCTGCGCTCTCAGGACAAAAGCGGTAGATGTCAATCTTTGACCAATGCAGAACGGGACTAGCCACCAACCCTAGGAGAATACCTTGTACCTACATGCGCCATGCGTGGTCTAGAAAACGGTAACATTTCTACACGAACTCGCGTGTGTGCCGGAAACACCCAAGTGACCTCACCGCACAGTTACGAGAAGTCGTGTCACAAACTGATTGGGACCGGCGACAAGGCTATTCCGCCGAAGGACCCGCGTTGCAAGAATTCGTGCATATGCACGGAGGATTAATTGGGAACGTGCTACACGACCACGGACACCTCCTGCAGGCTGCGTCAAACGAACACCGGCGACTGGATCCCAAGCAAAGCAGTTGTTCCGCAAGATCCCCGCTGTCAAAATTCCTCCCGCTTCCGTTGCACGCACCGCACGCGGCAGGAGCCCAAAGAGAGCCGGTAGTTCTCAACGGTCGTCATAGGTAACACAATGGAATCATTTTCCTCTTGCGACGCCACAATCATCCGTCGGCAGGTTTCGCCTTTGCTCTGGCTTTCTTCCACAGGCTCTCTTTGTTTGGCTCTTCGACCTGCTCTTCGATTTGCTCCTCAATCTGCTCTTCGACCTGATTTTCACTCACTGCATCCTCCCAGCTTTCTACTCCTATCCCAGCTCCCTCGCACACACCACCTTTCTCCTTCCCTACAAACATCACATTCCCATCTTCATCCACAAAAGCCTTCCCCTCCCTAATCAGCCTCTCCAGCCTCTCCACCTCCGCCCTGTTGAACGCCTTTTTCGCCTCCTTCCCTCCTTTGTAGAACGCAACCGCCACACCGGCGGCTATCAACGGCGTATTCCCTGTCTTCATCGCATGCGTCCTCATCTCGTTTTTCACGAACGTTTTCTGCGCTTCTTTGCCACCTGAGTAGGCGGCTTTGGCGAAGCTGGTGGCGCGGCCGTCTTCGACTGAGGATTGGAGAGACTGCAGACGTTTAGGGACTTTGTTAGGTTTCCCAGGTGCGCCAGACGAGCTAATTGATGGTGTAGGCGAGTAGGGTGGCGGGTCTGTAAGCGGGTTGGGCTGGCCGGGTGATGCCTGAGTCGAGGCAGTGTGAAGTTCCATGCCTGCATTGGTATCGATAGGCGATGGATCTAGAAGCGTAGGTCGAGTCTGGGAAGACGTTTCCGAGAGGACATCGGGCGCGTGAAAGATAAAGGACCTTGCCCCTGAGGTTGGCTCGGTGTTCGAACGCGTATGTAGACGTGGTGCACACTCTTTGCCGGAGGGTGGCACTGTATCAGGGTGCAAAGACAGAGCTGTGGTACCAGCCACGAGGTCGTCTTCTGGTTGCGCAACACGTTTGATCTTCTTAAACATATTGGCTATGAGACAAGGGGTCGGTAATACCAGCGACAAGGAGGTGAGGAGCAGAAAGGGTGTGTATACAGAGGAGGATGAACAGCACATCCACGGATATTTATAACGGCTGCCATTCAAGGCTCTGCTGTTTGTGACTATATCACTCAATTGAAATTGCTTTGATATTTGACTCGACTTCCGGTGCGCTGTGATTCATAGTAGACGATGTCCATACTCGCAAAGTCATTCATGACTGTGCAGAAGTGGTTTGACTCAAAGCATGCACACACCTTCAGGGATGCCGCACTTCATGTCACTATGCCCACCATTTATGTGTCTACAATTCACACAATCGATGTCTAATTCTTTTGCGCCCAGCGATACGCAGGTCTCGTTCAAATTGTCACTTGTCGGAACCCAAGGCGATATCTGGGGAAAAGGGTGGACTCGACAGACTGTGCTTGCCTGCATACTGGAGTCGCAGCGAAAAGGGGCGCAGACGCTGTTGTATCCTATCGCTAGTTTGAATGAGCCATGGTGTAGACTCAAGAAGAACAGTGTGGTTTAGCCAAGGAGAAGGGAACACAAGATGTGATTGATAGTCTTGAACATTATTTATGTATTAGAATGGATCATCTAAAAAGCAAACATAGTCGTAGTCGCATCTGCGAGAAGGTATCGAATATGATAACGCTCGAAACCCCAACCAACACCCAGAAATGCACTTTGCCTCCAGATCTAAACCCTGTAGCAACCGCATATTTTCACCCACCCACTCTATTCTCACGGCTTTTCTCCTTTGTTCACCGGCCTCATCGCACCCTGTCCGTAGTATACCGCATACGCGGCATTGACGCTCTCGTGGTGCTCCTTTGCGTGCTTCTTGACGAATTCCCACGCTTGCTTTGTCTTGCTTGGTGGCTTTGCTGAGGCCGAGGCTGTGGAGGAGATGAGGGAGACGTTGCTGGTAGTCTTTCCGGACTTCATGGTGTCGAAGGAGGATCGGGTTGTTGTTGATGGGGCGTAGGATGGCATTGTTGTGGAGTTGGCGAGGCGAGCGGTGGTTGTTTGAAATGTGGGACCGGAGTTCAGAGGCTGAAGCTTGGTGATGAGATTTTGGACAGTTGGCAGGCAAAGTATCTGAGCGCCCCGAAGCGCGGTGTTGCTTGTGACTCCGTTGTCGTGATATGGCAGCTGTACAGAAGGAGCCAAGTTGTTGAGTATAGTATTGATGGTTGACCTTAGTTTGAGGTTGCGATATTGATTGTTGGACGGAGTAGCTTATAGTATGTTAAGTCTGGGCCGATCTGGAATGCTGGTATAACCGTGGTTGAATGCTTTGTTGGATGCCTGAGATGATGGTAATACGGAAGGCGATTTCCATGGCTCTTATATCCCCACCCTCTTCGTATCTAGGTATGGTCTCCTACATCGGCCCTCGCTCAGAGTCATCACTCAGAGTCATCACCTTACCATAACAACTTCGCGTTCTATTTTCCGAAACGCCCTCACGCCTTTCATGTCGAACTCTGGCCCACTACAAATCCACCTCGACTTGGCCAGCCAATCGCGTCGCTCGCTCGATGCGATGCGGTAAGTCCTCCCGCCAGTTTCCCGCCGGCATTTCACGGGACATAATGGCGACAGCAAACCGTGGCTGGTGCCGCCTCATACGATTGGTCAATTCCAATGGAAAATCGCGAGGACTCACCAATGGAAATTTCCGACGGATGGCATGTCTTTGCGCGCCCTGCGCACGGGCTGCAGATGTTCTCTGGGGCATGATTCAGCACTATTGACGTGCGGCTTGCGCGCCCTGGGATGTACATGCGTGACTCAAATAGTCGTTGAAGGCAGCATACGGCAAGCAGTTTGAAATGGAATTTGCAAGCAGCGCAACCGCACAAAGGATCCTGTTGATATGGTCGGAAAAAGCAGTCGAGCATGGTCTAGTGATTTGATGCCATGCCAGTCGGTACCATACGGGTCTGCTCTGGGAAGGATGCTGATGTGAGCGCACTTGATACGAGAACGTTATTCGGATGCTTACATATCCTCCATGATCTCATCAGCTGCTGTTTGAGATTGTGCACTGCTTATTGCTGTTGAGATCTGTTGAGATCTGCCGAGGCCTCTGAGCAAGATCACGTATTTCGCATTACTATCTGTGCGAGCAGCATGTGCCGGATTAGTTGACAGCTATGGAGTAAGTCAGCTACGCGTGGCGGTTGCGCGAAAAGATGTACGAGGCTCTGCGCAACAACCGGTGGTTTAGCGGCACGAGGGTCTTGGTGCTGCCAGCCCCCTCGACCGAGGTCAAGGACACTGGAGCAGGCCGATATCGTTCCGCGATTGTCTCTATGCATAAGGCAAGGAGCCGAGCGTCGTGCATTTCACGCTGAGAAATACACGTTGAGTGATGAATCCAGGCCATACCACAGGTAGCGACATCCGTTCCCTAGAGCATCCGTTCAGAGAAACCAAGTGGCGAAAGTGATACGGTACTGTATATGAGGCTGGCTTGATGCTCTTACAGCGAATGGCTTCGATCGTCAAGAAGAGAACGATGTACACATTGTCGTTGACAAGTCGCGGACCTTTGGAGAATCGCTGACCCCACCCGCCTGGCTTCGGTCCGTGCACTGCGCTTTCCGCTTATCGGACGACTAGATCGACCCCATGATCTTCCTCTTCTTCTCCACCCTCTCATCCAAAGACTCATCTACCTCCATATCGCCTATCTCCGACGATCCTGTGCTTCACTGTGCGCATAGCCCGAGCTTCTCTTGACTATGCATGGGCCCCCTTCACTCGCCGCTCCACGATGGGTGAACCGAGGACTCGTCAGCGCAAATTCGCGCCCCGCTCGCGTCAAGGCTGTCTGACTTGTCGAGCGCGTCGGAAAAGATGCGACGGCCAACGGCCTGACTGCCAGAACTGCACCCGATTGAACTTGTCATGCGAATACCAGGCTCCACGTAGGATCGCTGCCGACGCTGCCAACTCCCGAGACAGCGAGAGCTCTCCGGATTCCATGACCGGGCCCTTAGTGCCTTCTATAGATCCCTGGGATGCACTTCCAGGAGACGAACTAGGAGAAAGAAAACATTTGCTACGCTATTATGTCGAAGCGTTCGTACCGAGCGTATCAGTGGCGACGACTACGTCAAGCTTCTACACTGGTCTATATATTCCTTGGGCCTTTGAATGCGATGGCATGCTTGACGCTATTCTTGCCCTCTCTTCAGCCCAGCTAGCCCGCCGGAGTGCAAGCAATGATCGTGCACAGCACCTTCGCAGTGTCTCAGCGAAGCACCAGCGCAAGTGCCATTCCTTCCTGTCGAACCGTGTCCCGGAAACCGGCGGCCCGCCCCGTGATGCCTACCAGGTTATCGGCATCATCTTACTACTTGTTGGTCTCGAAGCCCTGAACGGAGATAAGAGTACACGATGGCTCTCACAGATGAAATGCGTCCGTGGCATCCTCCAAATGTTAGGCGATCCTGGCGACTCATGGGAGCTCCACTCGCTACGTAGGCACTTCACTTACCACAACGCCATGGCATCCCTTATGGCGCGAGTATCAAAGAACGAGTCACTCTTCGTATACGACGATCTGACGCTAGCCTGCGAGCCTGACACGCCGCTGGTCGTCGATCCACTAATGGGTATCACATACTACCTCTGTAGTTTGATCTCGCGCATACAATACGTGAGCTCAACGAATCCCGCCTTCCCACAAATCTCGGAAGCTGCATTCTCGGTCATCGAGCGCGATATCCAACAATGGACGTATGGATCCCCAATAGGGCTTCCTGGTCTTGATCTCCCACAAGCCCTTGACCTCATCGCGCTTGCAGAGGCCTACCGCCTCGCCGCATTAATACAGCTGTACCGCACATCTGCAGCACATAAATCGCTCATATCCTCTTGCGCGACTCGCGCGATGGAGTTCATGTCCCGAATACCGCCAGGAAGCCCCGCGGAGTCCAGCCTCCTCTATCCTATCTTCCTCGCCGGCGCGGAGCTGGACAACGAACCCGAGATATCGAAATGCTTCAAGAGACTCGCGGAGATCCAGCAAAGGAACTGTTACGAGAACACGAACAATGTGCAGAAAGTGCTGGAGGAGGTCTGGAGGCCTGCTTTGAACGGAGAGCAGAAGCGCGACTGGGAAGACGTGCTGCAAGAGTGGGGCTGGTCGTTCACACTGGGATGACGGACGAAAAGGACGACCGATATGTCAAAAGTTGAACATATATGAGGCTTCAGTGGACCAGTACCCGTAAGCGCCCGCGTGTCGACAAGGAGCTTCGCCAACCCCTCCCAGACTTGACTGTTTCAACATCCGTGATGCAAACATCGCCATCACGCATTACCCATCTCACGACGATTTGCTACGATACGGTCTCATGGTGATCTTCGTCAGCGGACCCCTTCCGCGTCTCAATCACGGCAGTATCACTGCATGCACTACGTGATTCAAAGCCTAGATCTCCACCATACGCGATTTTCCGGGTACCTACTCGATGTAACACGAAGCTCGACTGCGCCGCTATGCGAGCCTGAAACGGCGCGGCCCGACCGTGACGACGAAGCGGTTGCGTTGGTTGAGCCGAACCTTCGCTGCGGTGTAACGCGCATGGGAAGGAGACATGTGGGAAATACAATGAAAGCGCCATGAATCTATACGAAAGATGTGAGGCGGACAATAGAGAAAACGCGGAAAGCGCACAAGAGGGTGCGCAGGAACAAGCCGTGCAGTGCAATTAAGAGGCTGTCATATCTTGCTGGTCGATGGTGAAAGAGAAGAAGCGTTTTGGGCAGCTTAGCCCTAGTTGTTACAGTGGGTGCACACAGAGGACAAAAGTTCATGTATACTTGAAATTCTCATCAGGATATCCCTCGAAATGAAAGTATTAGAGTTGGCCAGGTGTTCCCTCCTAGCTATCAGTGATTAGTTCCATCCATGTGAGCACTGCCATCAGTCACTGCAAAGGGCAATACATGAGCCGATGCAAAACTGTTGAATTCCGCCAACCCAGCCCACAACATAGTCAGTCGCCGGGTGAGACGTTGACCGTAACAGCACTCCGACGCTTGTCGTGCCGACCCTTTAAGGCTAGTTCGAGCAAAAGTAGCTGTATGGGTAGTTGTCGTTCGTGAACTTCACGGTAAAGCTCGAGCTGGGGATCTTGCCCATCCACGCGACGTCGCCCTTGCAGTCCTTACCCCTAGAATCATCCGTTAGCATATACATCCTCTCGTCATTGATCATCATGAGGCAGGCTCACTTCCAGAAGACACAAATCTTGCAGTTGCTATAGCCCTCATTGATGAATTCGACAGACGGCGCGGGAATGTCGCCTGCGTCACCGAACCTATGGCACGCATTGGCCTGGATCCAGACGCTGCCGAGGAAGGGAACCCAGATGGCTTGACCGCAGGTACCAGGAGGTGGGATGTGTGGCGCTGGCGTGTCAGAGACGATGGGCGCCATGTTGGGGTCGATGAGATTGGGTTCCTTGTCGGTGGGAGTAGGGACATCTGTAGAACCCCCGATAGCGCTGGTCGGAGTTACGACCACGTCGGGCGGAGGTATACCTGCTGCAGCGACGGTGAGGGCAAGGCCTAGGCACATTAAGGCGGTAGTGAAAAGACGCATGGTAGTGGCGATGGCGGTAGCGTGTGAGTATTTGATTCAACGAGTGCAAGTGTTTAGAGAGCGAGAAGGGATGGATGCAAAAGCGTTACCTGTGGAGATAAGGTGAAGAAGGTGAGCAGAACTGCACGGAAAGAGACGGAAGGTACCACGTGGGTGCAAACAGAAGCTGACGGAAGGTGCGGTCAAGCTGAGAGCTAGAGGAAAGAGCGAGGATATGCGGAAGGCGCATCTAAGCTTTTGAAGACACGCAAGATTGGGAAGCGTGTGCACATCCAGTGCGATGATAACGGAAAGCCTCAACACCCACCGTGCGCTGTGTGATGCTCCGAGATACCACACAGCGCCCACCGATGCCCAAAGGTTGGGCACGGTGCTGTGAATGCACAACCAAACATCTAACACATCCATATCCTATCAGGATCATCATCATACTGAGAAGCAGATGGTTGTTTCAACGTTCATAGCTTCCGAGTCTCGCTCCAAGAAGCTGCACCCATCTTGTCAATGACCAATCCACGAGAAGCCCGCTTCGCAATGGTAAATATGAAGTGCGGTTTCTCTAAGCCCCAGACCGCGGCGACGATTGCTATGACAACCAATTGAAAGCCCATCTCTTCAGTTCGTCAGATAGAGTTTTCAAGCAGATTTCCTCCATACGTTCCGGTTATTCTTGCTCCATAGTCGCCTTGCACATCAGTGGCGTGACAAGCACTGTTAACTGCTTCAGAGCGGACGAATTCATTTACGAGCCGGCCACGCCCTGTCAGTTATGCAGCGACACGCCTGAACAAAGGATGATCCATTGTCAAGAAGGCTCAAAAGCAAGACAAAGATCTTTGATCAAGAATGGTACCTATGGTACCTAGTACTGCATTACTATCTTCGCTTATCCAATCGCCTTAACGTGATTATCGACCAAACACGTCCAATCCGAAGTACCGTAGTAAATCGTATTCCCGTCATTAGACGTCTGCTGCCCCGTACTCTTAACAGTATCGCCAAGCTGCCAAAACAGATCCGCCGCCATGCCGCTATCCTTTGCCGCCAAACTTGTCTTCTGCCAGTCGCTTTCCACAGTGCAGTGATCAGTCGCAACGCCATATTCCTCGAACAAACATGGCTTGTTGAGCTGTGCGCAGATCTTCGCGTGTGCCGTGATCCACCCATTACCCCAGGCATTTGTCGTGCCCCATGAGCTGGGGTAGAGGTGGAAAGTGCCGAATGACACGTTGGGCAGGGCGAGGTTGGCGGCGAAGTCGAGACCTTCGCCGGATTGGTAGGGGTACGAGCCATCGCCGGTGAGACCGAAACCCTCATCGCCAATAGCAATCATGTGGTCGCTATCGAGCGAGCGAATGTAGTCTGATGTTTGACGAATCCAGTTGGTGAGGACGGAGGTCTGGCAACCATTACAGCGGGGCTCGTTGGCAAGTTCCCATGCAAAGACTGCAGTGGATGTCCGGTAGCGTGAGATTACAGCCTTAATGTACGCTTGGTACATTGTTTGGCACTTTGCTGCGGCGTACCACTGCGCGTTACTGCTGACGCCGCAGGCTGAGTAGTAGGCTGCCATTCCTCCATAGTCGGTCCAGTTGTTGACAAAGTTAATGATGAGTTTAATGCCGTGCTTTTCCGCTGCCTTGACTACGGCGTCGAGACGCTGAAGGCCGTTGGCGCCGGTATTGATGGTTGCCGAGGAGCCGGAGAAGGACTGGAAGTAGACTGTGCCTGAACCGGGAACTGTCTTGACATCGTTGAAGCCCCAAACTCGGAGTATCTTATGACCAGCCGTCTGCAAGTGGCCCATGATGACATCGACATCGTTGTCATTGGTCAGGAATGGCATCCAGTAGGAATTCGTGCCCGCATAATCTATGATATGGAGTCAGTATGAGCTTCGAAACTTTGAAGGGATTTGTATAACAGATTGTGCTTATGTCTCGGATAGGAAATAACAACAAACATCTAGCATATCTACGACGGAAAGACAGATGTTGAACCTACATTTTGTAACACCGTCTATGTTGAACTTGAGTCCATCAACCTTGGACATCGATGCCCGCGGCGCAATATCATTGGTAGCCGGCAAAGCTGCCGCTGCAGCGACAAGAGAGAGAATCGGAAGCAACTTCATCTTGAAGAGATATTCGCACTGTTCTGCGTAACTCCGTGAGTGCAGGATGCAAACTTATACTCAGCAATTAGACTATGTTTCGTGAATTGGCAGGATTAGGCACGGAGGCTCTTGTTCCGATCGATATTGATCATCTAGCATCAGGCGGCTCAAGTGGGCCTAGTTGTGGGGTACGTATAGTTACCACGGTTCGGGGAATTTTTGTTGGTGCTTAATAGCAGATTTGCGAAACATCGCGCATTTACTGGTGCCAAAAATTGTAAGTAGTCGGCGGAGGCTTCGCCTCCGTGACGTTTCAGGTAAAGCGCAGGGGATTAATTGTGTCTTATGGGAGAATTATGTTCAGCGGTGGAAAGGGCGCACGCACCTTTGCTAACGTTAGTTCAGAGGTGCAAATGTTCGTAGCGTTGCACTAGGGTTTCTCCAGCAATTACGCTTCCGCCGGGCAATCTAATCGTAACCGAAACCATCGCGCTAGCCCTTTGATGCTGTATGAGAAGTGGTGATCGACTCAGTGGACCTTCATAACCGCTTGATTCATTTTCGCGATGTTTCGTGCACGTTGCTGCAATGTGCACAGAATTTCGCGGAGCAAATCGACTTAGGGAGACCGATGTACACGCAAAACACGGGGGGAGGGACAAGAACATTGCAAAGTAAGTTTTTTCTTTTTGAACCATTTCTATAAGAGAAAGACAGATGTACATACAATCTTGGACCCGCAGGTGCTACTGTGTAGCACGCATGATCCTACATGGAGGTGATAACAGGAAAACAATTTGAGACCGTCGAACAGTTAGGGAACAGACAAACGAGAAACTCGGAACCTGGCGGGATACCAGTCATCCTAAGTGGCCTTCACAACCTCAATCTTACGCTTGAGGATCTTCCTACCGTTAAGCACTGAGAGTGCGCGCTCGGCCTCCTCATGGCTGGCGAGCTTCACGACAGCGTGAATGTCGCTAGCGATCGAATTGTGCAGCACGACTTCCTCAACCTGGAACTTCGCGTTCTCGAAGACCTTGCGGACTTGATCTTCTGTAGCTGCGTATGCAAGACCATTGACGCGGACCATGACAGGACCCTGGACGGGAGCAGGTGCAGGCGCAGGCTTCGGAAGAGCGACCTTCTTGACTGGGGCTTCAACCTTTACCGGAATACTGCTGTAGCCGCCGTAGGTCTCGGTGTCGATCGGGCCAGAGGCAGGAGTAGCCATGAACTCGCCGACAGATGCAGCAGGTACACGCTTGCCCTTACCACCCTTCTTGTCGTTGGCATACTTGACCCGGTAGTTCCAGCCACCGTGCTTCTTGCCGTTTGGATAAGCCGCCATAAACTTAGCAGCAGCGTCCTCATGCATGAACACGAAGGCGAAGCTCTTACCCGGCTGCATCTGGATGTCCTTGGGTACATGGGGCGCGAACATCTTACGCACATCTTCAGTCGAGGCCCCAGGCTTGACGGCGCCGATGAACAGCTTTGCCGTCGTGTTGTTCAACTTCGCCTGTTCCCGTTCCTCCACGATATCATCGAGTGCCTTGTCGTCGACACACGTCGCGTAGATGGTCTCATTCTTATAGTAAGTACCATTGTACTCAAGGACGATGTTCTTGGCCGAATCGACATCGACAAATCGAACAAGGAGCTCGTCACCATCCTGGATATACTTGATCCAGTCATTCGAGGACTTCTCCGTGTCATTAGGAACATCCTCGTCGATGTATAATGCGAAGGTTGACTCGTCAAACAACTCCCTAACGACTTTGGACTTGTGAGCGGAAGGGATGTTGTCAAACCGCACAGTCTTCGAGTCAGGCATCGACTTCTGGATGGCAAGGAAGTCCGACAGCCGCTTCAAAGCAGCAGCGCCGGGTGCCTCTGTGAGAGGGACGATCTTCAGAGTCATCGGCATGCACAGATGGCTCTTACCCCATTCAAGACCGTCCAACTCTTGCACCGCGCGCTGAGCGCTATCGTGCGAGTCCATGAAGACGTACATGGTTGAGGTACTCCGGAAGATTCTACCGTAGTAACGGCCAAGAACCATCTCGATCTCGCTCACAGAATCTTGCAAGTCGAAGGGAAGAATGTCATTGTAGAATACAATGGGATCTGTTCCCGGTGATAAGTTGGTCACACGAACCAGCGTGCTAGAAGAGTTCATGTTGGTCGACATTCTGATCAAGAGATATGTTGACAGAAACCCTTCAAATCCGGAGTTCTGGTGAAAGGGTAGTGGGTTTTGGTGAAGAGACTCGATGGGTTATGAGTTGTGAGTTGTGGGTTGTGAGTTGCGAGTTGCTTGATTTTCAATAGGGAAGGATTTAAGCTAGTATATATATACCAATGTTCGAGCTTTTACAAGGTGAAAGTATTGGTGTGTAACAAAGAAAGAGTGAATTTCTCAGAACATAAGGTAATAAAGCCCTCCAGCAACAGTGATAATGTCGAAGCTAAGTATAGCGGCATGAAAGTGGTTCAGCATAGGTGATTGTGCATTGTGTCTCGCCTCCTATGTCTCGTCTCGCATGCGAATCGAAGGCAAATACAGCGGCATTTGCTTTATACTACCTAAAACATAAAACTGTTGCACAATAAGAATGTGCCACTTTGAACGTTGTCTCATGTCTTCGAAAGATGATGGATATTCGGTAGTAGCCGCAGCAGTCAGCTGAGCGGAGCTGTCGGAACTCTTTGCGGACCCACTTTTAAAGGGTCTATATGATTTCATGTATCTTGGACAGGCATGAAGAAGGTCGGGCAAAAAAGGATGTCATTTTTCCGTAGCTACACTACGAGAACCAATTCCATCTGGGATATCATGTTCAAAAGTAAGTCATCATGCCGCGAAGCGCATCATCAGAAACAAAGTGCCATGAGCTCATCAAGTAAAGTCAAAAACGCTGGGACAATGCTATGCAATGCGATATCCCACTTTTTCGAGCTCCGTCAACTCATACCCAAGCAATCGTTCGTTTCCTCATGAATAGTGCGAAGTAGACTGTCCTTCTTTTCCCAGGGAAGACGTCAGAAGAGAAACCGGTGCATCGATTTAGGTGCACTTGACGAAGTTGTTTCCGCTAGCTCCAGTGTGGGTAATGGCGCCAGCCTGCTTGCAAGAAGTGTTGATGACAACGCGGTCAGCTCCGGGGGATCCTGTTAGATCATTAGTACCAAAGGCTTCCAGAGCGACCAATGACATTGTAGCACTTACCGCCAGTGTAAAGAGCACCGCTGGAGAGGATGGGGAACTCAAGGTAAGGACCAGAGACAGCGAAGGAGAACCCCTCGTTGTTGTTGAAGGTGTGGGGGTAGCTGTTGGAGCCGACCTGAGTACCGGCCTGGTAGTACGAGCAAGCCTTCTGGGAGGCGGCGTTGACTGCAGCGGCGGTGTAGCTGACGCTGCCGCACTTTGCAGCGGCGCGCTTGTCAAGCTCGGCGGGAAGGGCAACCGCGGAGGAGACGAGGGCCAGGAGGGAAACGAGCTTGATTGAGGCGAACATGTTGGCAGTTTTCTGATGCAAAGAGCAAGAAGTGAATGATAGTAGAACGACTGGAGCTGAGTGAATGTTTCTCGAATGCCTACCGTGAGCCAGGTACGTTGGGATAGCCCATCTATATACTGCTCAGATGGGCCTCTCTGTTTCCTTGGCTGCAAGTTAATTGGTGGGTACCTGTGGTATGCATTCAGTAAAAGGCCGTTCCTGACTTACATCCATACAGTGAAAGACCTCCCAAGCGAATTGCAAGCACACGACTGGTCGTCCAATCACATTCACCTAGCATTCAACACGCCCCATTATGATTGGCCTTCGCAATGATCGACGCGTAAGCGTATTTCCTAGTTCTCCACGGCCCTGCATGATCGACGGACATGTATTCCTTGAAATGGCAGGTATACAAAGGGTCGGACTACACGTGTGCGGCGACCAAAAGCCGTGTCGATAAGGTTGGCCGGCAATGCTGGGAGCAGATGGGGACTATGGTGAAACACGGCGCTTGGCCCGAGGAGACAATGAGCGCTTGCACGCAATAGGAAGGCTGCGATAGCCAATTACCCCGCAACGTGGTGGCACATGGGTGCGACTTTGGAAAGTCCTGTAATATCGTTGATATAGGCGTCGGAACTCGCCTCAGTGTAGAAATAGGTAGGCTTGGTCCAGGGCTATCTTCGTCGCGCGACCAACGGTGAATCAGAGGCGCTCTGCTTGCGGCAGCGTATAGTGGTGGAAAAAGCGGTTGGAGATATGGATCGAGGTTGAACCAAGGCTGGTTGGTATTGGGGAGATTGACCTCTCGCCCACTTTTCGGCGACTGCATGATTGTATCGCCGAACATCGGAGAAAAGAGCGGCGAAAACATTGTTTACAAACACTACGGAGCGTCGACCGAAATGATTGATCTTGGCAGTCGGAAAGTACTCCCAACAAGCAAGACCGCGGGATTTCAGCTTTCTTTGTTTAGTCTAGGCACAGATAACACTTGAAAGAAGATCCGGTAGATCCGTGATGGATGTATTCTACGCATTTTTGCGATAATCCTCAAACGTAGGCTTTTATCATGAGGGTTGACTTCGCAAGAGCTATGCTTGTTGATAAGAGCGACAGTGTAAGATAGTCGTACGATTGTTCACTTCGTCGAACTTGCCGTCTAAACTTGTCTACATACGGTAATGCTCGCTCTCGGTACTGGCTATGCATCCGAAAGCTGGGCTCTGTCAGGCCGAACAAATCATGGTGGGCAAGACTTCCACAGTCCATCCTGACAGTACTTGAAGTGACTCGAAACTGCCACTTAGGCCGGCGCTTCCACAGCTCAGATGAAGAACAGCACTCACATAGCAGCGTGAAGTATTCATTCGGTATATACTACCTACAGTGCATAGGATCTGTGTGACGCTGCACCAAAAGGTCTCGAAGGATTGAGCAGGCCACAGTGTGAGCTACCGCGTTCGCTAATATGCCAGCATGGCCTGAGCTTTCACTCAGACTCAGAAATATTCAATCGCCGGAAGCAAGACCATTCCGAAGGTATAACCGTGTATTGCACCGTTCCTTCATCAGTCGCCAATGTGGTTCATGCTTACAAAAGATCTACCTGTGTCAGCCTTAGCCAAGAGAGGGCATTCTAGAATTGACTTACCAAAGCCAGAGACCTAGAGCAAGACACAGATGACCTTCTTGCCGAGGAGCTTGTGGCGCTTGTTGTTGTTTAGAACCAACTGCGCCTCCTCTGCCTGGTGCTGGCTCGTCACCGCCACTATCGCTATGCCCTGGTTCAGGACGATCTCTTTGACTGGGTAGCCCTCGAAGAACTTGCGCACGTGCTCCTCAGTGGCAGAACGAGGAATTCCGGTCACACGGATCTTGCTGGCAGCCTCCGGAGTAGACTGGCCGTTGCTGTGCTCTGAAGCCTTTGAATCGCACTGAATGCTAGCATTCGTAGCAGTCTTTGGGACAGCAATGTTTTTCTCGAAGGCGATAGTAGCCTTAGAAATCCACCACTCATCAACAAGGGGCTGGTCGCCGTCGTAAGTATTGTTGGTGCTGGTCGAAGCAGAGCTGTTGTTACCGCCAGTGACCGACAAGTGAGAGATACCGTAGGTGAGGTCGGTCGCACCTGCATCATTGCGAGCGGGCCCGGAAAGCCGGCGTAACCTGGTACTTGCTGTCTGGCACGGCAGGAGCGGCGTTGCCCTCTGATTTCTTCTTGTTCGATTTGATGCGCCAGAACCATCCGTTATGATACTTTCCGTTCGGCTTATCAAGTGAGTCAGAGAATTGGGCAGCTGCTTCTTGGTACATGAAGACAAAAGCGAAGGGCTGGCCTGGCGGCATCTGGATGTCTTGACACTCGTGGGGTGCAAACACCGCGCGAATGTCCTCCTTGGAAGCACCTGGCTTCACTTTTTGAATAAAGAGCTTGGTCTGCTTGCCCGGCATCTTAGTCTGGATGATGTCATCCATCTCGCTATCGGCAACAAACTCGGCGTAGACGACGTCGTTCTTCCAGAAGCTGCCGTTGTACATGGAGACCATCTCAGCAGCGGCGTCCTTGGAGGAGAGTCGCACAAGTGCTTTACCGTCACAGGCCTCGATCTTCACGACATGAGGGTTGGTGTCGGTGTTCGCATGATCGATGGGATAGAAGTCGTCTTAAAAGTCCTGGGAGTGTTCGAAGCACTGCTTAGACATCTCCATGATTGCACGCCCTGGATGTTTGCGCGGTAGCCCCCGAAACTGGACGGTCTTCGTATGAGGCATGTTCTCCTCGGTGCGCAAGAAGTCGGTCAGACGAAGGCTAACAGTATTGGCAGTAGGAGCCTCCGCCATAGGAACGACCCCGACGCAGATCACTTTGTAAGCGTGAAGGTATTCTTCCAGAACGCCCTGATAATCGAATTGGGCCACGATAGACTGAGCACAATCCGGGGTGTCGACGTAGCAGTAGTAACCGCCGGGAGCCATCTCAATCTCCTTGACGGCGGAGTTGCGATCTAGGATCTTTGTGAAGATCCAGGCTGGCGCGGCGGAATAAGGCATGTTAGTCATCTTGACCAGCGTGCACTGAGTAAGGTCCAGCATCGTGATTGGAAAGCTGCTCAGGAGACTATGGGTTAGTATACAGATCGTAGAGCTAGAGGCAATATGTGTCACTAAACCTAAAATGCCTTTCGCGTCTGTAAGATTGGTTTTGAGGGCAGGCTGAACATTTCGGAATGGCTGTCCGGCGTGTCGACGAGCTGTGCGCGGTGCTGGGTGACCAGGGTGGGGAATGAGCAGAGTATATATAGATATAGATTATGGGACTACTTTAATTCCACGGTCCAGGCTTCTGGAGCTAGCGAAGCCGGAAGGCTCGTGTCCGGGGCAGCCGTGAAAGGGCGCGACACGTGCGCTTTTCAATCCCACTCAAATTTGGTTAGAGCATAGGTCGTAGGGACTCAACATTAATCCATATCGATGTCAATATGGTTGAGAAGAGGGATATGCGCATCGCTTATGTACATGCTGTAGACACACTCAATAACGCTTGCGCAAAGTTTCCACATTCAACATCTCTTTGCCGAGCAGAAACACGGTTCATTGTCAAGATCAAGCCATCAAATGCAATCAAGGTCACAAGTAGCTTTCAATCGATCAGTTAGCAAAAGCATTTTCGCTAGCACGCAACTCAAATCTGCCGTAATTCCTCCCGATCGATGCCATCCCGTTCGATTGCAATCGAGTAGCTAAGTTTCAAAGCATCTGCGTCTATGCTGTGGAATTGCTGTTAACGCGAGTTTTCATGACGTGGCAACCTAGATAACCCAGGCAAGAAACTTTGGTAACCGTGGTTATAGACTAGGTCGCGTTTCAAGTCTGGTATTACCAAGTATGGGCTCAACAGAACCGAACCTTGCGACAACGCTTGACAATGAAAGCCTTGGGCTGTAGCTGCTGGAAGGTTTTCTGATAGATTGATCAATGTGCGTGGAACAAAACCGAGTTCTGCATATGTTCATAGGAATTCATGGTGTTATCTATTTGACAGTCTATCTTGATAGTACTTGAAGCGATATGAACATCCACTCACGCTAGCCTTTCTACGCCGCGAGCCAAGAATTACTGTCGATGCAGCATGAGCATTCATCAGCTATATGCTACCCATATATCTGAGGGAAGACATCCCAGGCATTTCCAACATGATACTGATTTATTCTCACGCATTCAACGTCGTGTTCTATTGTGTATGAAACACGAAGGCAAACACCTTTCTTAATCATACATAGCCGTTCCAGCCACAAATGTCGGCACTATTGGCGGAGCGACGCTATAGCACTTCGAGACTCAATTTAGCCCATTTTGACCACGACCACCTTGTTCTTCTGGATCTTCTTCTGGTTGAGGATCAGAGCAGCATAGTCTGCGTCTCCTGAGCTCGTGAATTTTATCGTAGCTTGTTTTTGGTCCACGTGGTTTCCCTGTGGGTAGACATCATGCATCTCGCAGAAGTCCTGGACTAGGGTCGCTAACGGCAACATAGTGTCTATGGATGCTCGGAAGTACGATACAAACAAGCCCCACGAGGCGACCCGCTTCCTTGATAAGACATTTGTCCTCTTCGGGATCCAGAAACCGGAAGCTGCTCTTCGCTGGCTCGCCTTTCATTCTCAACTGGGGCCACAACATGCTATCATCTTCGGCTCTTAGAAGATTGCATAGGCCAAGCAAAACGTAGCAGCAATCAGAAAGGGTTAACTTTATGACGAGTAGTGTTGGCATTGAGTAGCGTATGGGAGCCTTTGCGCTTGTCGTAGTCCCAGTAGCCACGAAGCTACCTATGGTATTGTTGGCTGTAGCTTTCTAATCTGGCCCAACGTTCCTCAGGGCTGCTACGGTTGACGATTGCTCACAAGTCTTCACAACCCTTTTTCTTCCGCGCGTACGAACATTACTGCTGCGAACACAACAAAGATATCTATCTGTATGTAATCCTCTCCAAGAAGAAGCAAGAAAGAATAAGAATAGCCGCAGGACAATAACAAACTCTAATACGCGTGAAAGGACAGATGCACAACTCCTGAGAACTACCCCCTTCATCAGCGACCCCAACTACGCACCAGCCCCTTTTCCATCCAGCTTCTTCTTACTGGTCTCCTTCTTACTGGTCTCCTTCTTACTGGTCTCCTTCTTACTGGTCGCCTTCTTACCTTTAGCTTTCCCACTTTCCGCCTTCCCACACTCCAAACACTTAAACCCATACCGTCCCCCCGCCGCATCAAACGCAACACTAAACCCCTCCAAGAAATTCCTCCCCATAACCACATGCGGCCCGGGACCCACCCTTGTCGGAAAAACCCACTTCGGCACGCCCTTCTTCTTATCCCCGACCTTGAAGTCGAACCCCGCAACACCCTCCTGTTCTCTACCCGTCGGGAAGCCGAAATCGAGATGCGTGCCAGGCTTCACAACTGTGAGCTTCTTGTTCTTGTCAAGCGGTTTGTGGATGGTGTCTGCGACGGTGGTATTGGGCACGGAGCCTGCAGGTGAGGCTTGGACGTACATGTACCCGGTGGTGGTATCGATGAGCGCAGACCCGTTATACGAGCCTTGCTCGTCGATCTTGAACTGCGTGCGGACTTTTGCCCAGTCGCGGAAGTCGCCGGTGGTGCCCTTGTCCAGCTTCACCCAGTTGTACTTCGCGGTGTTGTTACTTGTCAGGCCTAGGTATATCCCTTTTGTCGAGAGGGTGTACCCGTTTCGGAAGTCCTTGTCGTTGGTTTTGTTACCGTTGATTTCTTGGATGTTGAGGAAAGGGTTGTGGCTGGGGATGGCGTAGGGGAGGCCACTGTTTGGGAGGTTGTGGCCGAAGCCGATGCCCAAAGTCAACACTTTGCTGACATCGTTTACTTTGGCTTTGGCATCTTCACACCTTCCGGTGTTCTTAGCAACGTTGTATTTCGGACACGATGTGCTTTTGTCTACGATGTGGACGAGGACTTCGGAGCGGGCGGAGTTGTTTTTCCCGCTGAAGGTGATGTTGAGGCGCACGAAGCGGCCGGTGTAGAGCGTTTTGCCTAGATATTGAGAGATGGGTGTGCCGGTGGTGTTGGAGATGGTGGGTAGCTGCGGGGCGCCAATGAGGAGGCCGGTGCTGCTGGTGTCTACGGGGAAGACAAAGGATTTGCCCTCGATGGTACCATTGATCGTGGGTGTCTTATTTGGGGAGAACTTAGATGCATATGGTAGGTAGACTTTGGTCGAGTATGTGGAAAGATCGTCGGCAAAGGTACGGGCGACAACCACAGAGCAGAGAAAAGCCTGTAGTATTAGTTGAAACATGATTTATGACACAGAGGAAGAAAGCGTGAAGCCCCAATCCCATAAATAGACAGAAGCCACAGGGTGAAAACAAACATGTCATAGTTCTGCTGATCAGTCGAGGAATGCCAGTGTAACATTGAATCGTAATCCTCCCATACCCAATCCCATCCCTTGCTCAAACTCCGTGCGCCGTTGAGAAAGAACCGTGACACAATCAAGCCGCAGCACTGATCTCTTGTACTCCGACTTCGCCCATCCTGACAGTTCGTGGCTTCTCAGTTTCCTTCTCTTCCTCGACATCTGTCAACCCAATGTACTTCAAGTTGCCGGCCCAACCCAGATCATCGCCGAAGTAGCCCTGCATAACCTCCACGCCATACTTCATTCCAGATTCTGAGCCCCATGTGAGGCACTGCTTGCCGATTGCAATACCGATGACGGGTTCCCACTTATTGAGCTTGAGAGGCTTGTACTGGTCTTCTGCAGGTGCGTTGATGTTTTCTGAGTTGAGGATGGCGGCGTAGATGTTGACAGCAGCGGTCTGACCCATGACCATAGCAGAGCCTGCGCGCTTAATGCCGGACCATTGGACCACGTCGCCGACGCCGAAGTGGGAGGCAGCGTTGGGGATAACGTCCTGGAAGGAAAGATCCAGGTTGACCTTGATCTCCTTGTCCTTGTTGAGGCACGCATCTGGGAGGGGATCTGTGGTCGGTTCGCCTTTCCGTGTGGAGTCGATAACGAAGTCTGCGGTGAGAACATTTCCATTGGCAAGCTTGACCTCAAATTCTCCGCTTGGCAGCTCAGTGATGGCTGCGCGGTTGCCAGTGATGACCTTGACGCCTTCTTCGACGAGGATGTCCTTGACTTTGTCCTTCACATCCGAAGGCAGCGGCTCAGACGAGAGAACTTGGTCGCGAGAGTGGATAAGCGTAACGTCGATGCCGGGGTAGTAGGTCTTGATCTCGCCAGCGAACTCAATGCCCACAGCTCCAGCACCGATGACAACCACTTTTCGACCTTCCTGCGGTCTCTTTGGGTCACCGCCGACGATCTTCGAGATGAAGGCCTTGCCATCCTTCAAGTACTCCTCGTATGAGCCTGACTTGGGTACGGCAGGCCAATGCCTCTTGAGTCCTGTTGCCATGATGAGGTAGTCGTACGCTTGGTGTTGGGTCTTCCCACTGCGATCCTGCCACTCAGCAACCTTAGCTTCGGGATCTACCCGCTTGAGCGAGCCGTGCTTGAAGTTCAGGTTGCGTTGTGAGCGAAGCTCGTTGGTGTGTGAGAAGCGCTTCCACATGTTGACCGTATGCTTTGGTGCCGTGTGGGCGAGAGGAGCACCGACAGAGTGGACTAGAACATGCAGTTAGTTCTGGGTATATATGTATCATAGACAGTAGTCCAACAAAGGCATCAACGTACAATAACCATCCCGCTCATCAAGGACTGTAACTTCCACACCCTTCTTACTCCTCTGTTCTTTGAAGTTTGGAGCTTCAGGATAGTAATTATCCCTCGCCTTCCCTTTGTCGCAATCGAGCAGGTTAACCACTGCCGAGAGGCCACCGTAAGCACATCCTACAACCAGCACCCTATGTGGCGCCGATAGCGAGAGGTTCGCTAGAGGCGAAATAGGGTTCAGCACATCTGAGATAGCCTGCAGCCTCATCTTGGCAAAATGTGTAAGCTGAAAGGAGGAATGTAGTGAGGTAACGCGAGATGATCTGATAAGATTTAAACGCTGCGAGCAAAGGCCGAGGGACGGCGCCTTTTAAGTCTTCCCCACCGGCATCGGAGGGACACATCGCTTTGTCGCGTCATTCCCACAGGCAGGTTCGATCAATCGGACCACAACGCAGGGACTCGGAATAGACGGTTAATGGTTAGGCATCGAGGGCTGGCCTCAGCGGTGATTGGCCCGGTGGCCTGTGACTTGGCAAATTGAGTTATCAGATCTGCTGAAGATTTTATCAGATCCGCTGCTAGTGCACTTGGCGCCCCGCTTCGGTGTTACGGAGGCCTGGAGAGACACGAGCCGAACATTTCCATGAGTCGAGGGACATGGCGGAGGCGGAGAAAGGCGATGAACGATCAGCAGCGCGTCTATGTGCGTGCAGAGGTTGCTGGGTGTAGACATTCGCTTGCTTGGAAGATGGTGGGCAATGTGTGGGGAGGGCAATATCGAAGGCCGCGCCTACCTACCATAGCCGAGCTGAACCGCGTCACCGTTCTCCTTGCCGATCCCACCATCTCCCATAATATTTGTGACACAGAAATCAGTTCAAAGAACGTCATTTCTTGCCGATGCTCGATATCTTGAAGGCGGAGAAGCGTCCGCACATTCCGCTCCTGCATACATTACCGGTAGTGCTGACTGTCTGATTCATGAAGACCAGCCAAGCAACTGGGCATGCTCGAATGGAGGTAGTGGTATACCCACTTTCGAGCATAGAACTCTTGCTAACAAAGCTTGATTCCTCCACATGCAATTGCTTTGTCAAATCACGCAGGTCTGGGGCATGTGTTGCCGTCGGTCTTGACTGGAGCCGACCACTGGTGTGTCTAAGGAGATGGCTCGGAGATTACACGGATTTCCCCTCCAGGATGTACCTGGAAATCTTGCGGTTCACGGCGGAAGCAAGAGGAATGGATATTTGAAAAGTCATTTTAAAGACGTATACATTGATCAGAGGAGTTTACTATGTGCTTCATTCTTTTCAATCCGCGAATCGGTTTTCCTAGAATAAGAAAAGATAAGAGTAGAACACTGTCTTGCTGGTTCTATTCCAGTCAAACTGTACTTCCCTACTTCAAACCATCATTCCTAGCCATACCTAGACATCCTAGCCTTCATACTTATCTCCGTGTCCACCCAGTACATATTCCTTCTCTCCTCATCAACTTGTCTCCTCATCCACTTCCCCTATCCACTGCTCTCCTCCCTTTGAATCCACACCCACCCGACCACCTCCTCATCAATCCAATCACCATTTTTATAATTCTTCGCCTTGATGTATCCACCATAACCCCTATACCAGTCCCCGACAGGGGTTGGAGACTCATGCCGCCGATGATAGGGATAGTTAGCCAGCATGTACCTGATTATAGCAACCTGTGCATCTTCTGGATTGTCATACACATAGTGCGTGGCGCGAACTGGGGCTGCTGAATCGGCGAGTTGCTTCATGAGGAAGTAGTGGAAGAAGGCTTTGGGTAGTGAACCTGTGGTTTCGCTGAGGAGCTTTTTGACACGATCCATGGTGGGGTGTGGTATTTTAGATCGGAGAAGGGACTGGACGTGAAGGCGGTGCTTTATAAGATCGATCATTGATCGATGGTAGTCAGCTGCCATCGTGAAGGCAAACGCAGATAGCATAAATTCAAATGCAATTGAAAGAAGTCAGAATGGCTGCCGATGGCAAACAACAAACGCATAGAATCCCTTAGAAATTGCGTCGATGCCTGTAGACCTGTTACTGAGGACCGGGGTGTGTTGACTTGCTGTTATATCTGTCAGTAGTGAGCATGATACTTATAACCTGGTGACATGCAGTCCTGTGTCGGGTTGTCTTGGAAAGTTTTCGTCAGGCAATCGATCCAGAGTGTCTTGTTAGCGAATACAAGACATGTGTGTCTTACCTCTTCGGACTGTAGAGAAGCCTGCTTCAACATATGGTAGCGAAGGCGGCGCAACTGCGGAAGAGAAAACGAGGGTAAGCGTATGTAGGGCAGGCACTGCGCACTTGCAATCACCTTGTGAATTTCGGTAATTATACATGTTTGTGGGATCCCAAAGGTCGATCCATGGACCATGGTAGTATTGTACAATGTTTTACAACCCGTGATGCCACCTATCGGATGCAGTTATTCCACGCATGCCTTATACGTTGTACATGCCCCCATATGTTACAAACCCAAATACCAGGATATATATTCGGAAGCCAGGGTTTTGAGATGCAATTCTCTCGTTGCGCGGCCGTTCGATGTTCGTGACCGCTGAATCCTCCTCATTCTCGTTGGTCCGCCAATGCAATCCGTCTAAAAGCTATTCGAAAGCGCGGCACCGGTTTGCGACTCTTTCTGTATCCGTGCGACGTATGTCTTGGAGACAGTGTTCCAGGCGGACATGTACTTCTCCATGCAAGCGGTAAAGCAGCCCTCCTCGCCCTTGGACAGCGAGGCGGCGGGTTTAGGAACGCAGCGATCGAAGCAGTGCTCGTTGAGTTTCTGTTTTATGTAATCAGCAAATATAAATTGGTAGGTAAGGATTAAGGAATTGATGTACCTCGACCAGCATGCGAGCGTTCTGCATCGCAGCTTCCTGCTGGACCTGGCGCATAATCTGCGTCTTGGGGTCGCCGCCACCGAGAGAGCCCATTCCGCCGAGAGAGTCCATGTTGCAAACTGATGACAATTAAGAAGGAAGATTGTGTAGGTGGGCGATTGACGTTTCGACAGTGCTGGATGTTGTCGCAAAAAAAGTGTCGATGCACGACGTCAAAGGACCCCGGCGGGCGGCGCTTTCTCGGCAGAGCGCACGAGCTTCGCGGAAAGGCCACGCTCTCCGCAACGCTCACGACTCCGTCTTCTACATGTCGCCCGCCACCGACGCGACCCCTCCTCTCTTCGACTAGCCGCAGGGCAATCTTCTTAGCAATTGCAGAAGCTTAGCCTTCTTCCATTCTTTCCCCGGCGCATCTTTACACGGTTACGAATACGACGCGGGAGCTGTTAGACATTGTCTTGGAGTTGGTGCAAGGACAGACGAGACAAGATGTTTGGGAAGCAATGGAAGAGTTTGTGCCTGCTGGCAGGGAGCTTGACGGGCGCTTTGGGCTTGGGGTTGGCGGAGGATCCAGATGTTAAGGCCATCACTGTGAGTCTGTATGTCGAGATGCAACACGCAGCTGCTAATGGGTGATAGTTACGGACACATAGTCTCGAGACTGTAAGCACGACGCGCATGCGATGATCCCGAAGGTCCCAGTATTGATATGCTACAGCCATACCTCGACTCAGATATGCAGAGCCGCTGGTGGGACTTTGGCGGCGATTGTATTATTCGCACCGACAAGTACATCCGCCTAGCCTCAGACAAGCCCTCGCGCAACGGTTGGATATACTCGCGCGTGCCGTTGACCGCGACCAACTGGGAGGTACATACAATGTTTCCCTGCCCCACTCACCGCAAGCGTCAGCTCACGCGAGTAGATCATGGTTGAATTCAAGATCTCCGGCCAAGGCAACCTGTACGGCGATGGCTTTGCGATGTGGCTCACCAAGCAGCGCGCCAGCCCAGGCAACGTTTTCGGTGCCGCCGACAAGTTCGAGGGCCTCGGGGTCTTCTTCGACACGTACAAGAACAACAGGCCCGGCACCGTGTTCCCCTATATCATGGCTATGAACGGTGATGGGACGACACCATATGACAAGGACAATGACGGCAAGGCGAATGAGCTCGCCGGATGCTCGGTATGAAACTAGAACCTCAATGGTCCACCATAGGACCTGGGTCAAATGAGAGAGAAGATACGTATGCTAATATTACGTGCAGGCCCGAGGCATTCGCAACGCCGGAATCCCCACCAAAGCCCGCTTCACCTACTTCGCCGACAAGTCGCTCAAGCTCGACCTCCAGTACAAGCAAGAAGACGAATGGACCGAGTGCTTCGAGATCGAGAACTTCAAGGTGCCTCCCGTGGCCTACCTCGGTTTCTCCGCTGAAACCGGCGAGCTGTCCGACAACCACGACATTGTTAGCGTTCGCACACAGAACCTATACATGAAGGGCGGCGCGTCATCTTCATCGAGCACTAGTAAGAAGACTGGCAGCAGCGCGGTCAGGCAGAAGGAGAGCAGCGGGAGCTGGGGCTGGTTCTTGTTTAAGTTCGTACTCTTCGGATTGGCGCTTACAGGTGCATACGTTGGGTATACCGTTTACCGCGCCCGGCAGAGAGATCGATTTTAGAAGCGCCTAGAGTGAGATTGGGTTGCGATGGCACCGCCGGATCACCGGAGCGCGAAAGTCGACATTGCATACGCAAAAAACCGGGATAGGTCAGAGGCTGAGGGAGCTTTGGCATCGGGTATTGGTGGGTTGATCATGTACAGGGTTGGATGAGGTTGTCTGACCTGCTCGGCATTGATAGCGTTTTCTTACTCCTAGCGTCACTGTTCATATATCTGTCCTACGATTTCGAAGGCTTGAGATTTCAGGGTTTTGGAAGTATTTCTATGTGACCAGAGAAGAATGCAATGGATAACGGGTATGGGAAACTGGAGGCGTATTCGACTCGGCTTCCAGCAGAATACCGGCAGCAAACATTGGAGACAGCATTGGGATACCCTGGTGCCATAGTAGTCATCTTACACGTTCCTCCATTCTCCACATCGCAATTCTGAGCCTTTAATGAGCGCGCTCGTACATGACTAATCGCCTTAGCGCGTCTCGTGACGTCGCGCCTGCGCCTAACTTTCCATCGCGTCGCACTGCACCTTCTCACATCTACCACCCAAGCTGCGAGTAAGTCTACCGCCCTCCACCAACTCATTCAACACCACGCAGAACGTCACAAGGAACCTTTACTAAACCTTCTCGTAGATCCCAATGACCGAAATCCCTCCACCAGCCAGGAAGCCCACCGCGGCCTAATCACCCGCGCGGCCCCAATGGCTGGAGCCGCTCCCCAGCGGCTCACGAGAACAGATATCAGAGGGAGTGCCTTGTCTTGCAAGGCAAGCACGTCGTATCCGCGACTTCGCGCCCGTCCGCCGAACCTCGCATCGCAACCGCCCCCACCGCGCATTGAGGAAAAAGTAAAAGGGTTGAGGCAGGTACTGCTCGCAGTGCTGCTGATGACGACTCAAAAGTAGTTTTCAATCCGAGCGTCACCTGCGGGTGTGTGTCGGGGTGACTGGTTGTTGTTGTTGTTGTTGTTGTTGTTGTTGTTGTTGTTGTTGTTGTTGTTGTTGCGGGTGCATATGGTTTGGTGGATGGGGGAGGTGGAAAATCTTCGGCCTGAAACAGACAGTCGCTGTGCAGGGTCAAGGGTCCGGTGATGATGTCCCTGTTGGGGCATTAAAGCCAAAGTTGAGAGTAGCCTGGTGATGCTGAGGGGAAACCCGACGCGGAGCCGTGGTTGCAACTGAGAACAGCAGGAGAGCTAATCTGAGGACCAATACGGTAGGTAGAATACAAAATCTGCGTCTGAGTCTTGCTTTTGAGATCAAAGGTGGAATCGTGAAGTTTGCGAGTCTAGGCTCTTGATTCTCAAGGCTAGGCCTACTTTATCTCTATTTTAGCATCTTTGCTGTTCATAAGGCGCATTTATCATAACTACAAGGACAGCAAACCTACTCAGGCCTACGCCATGTAATGCATACTTCAAAATATGTCCATCGAAGGCAACGCTGATCAACACAATTGAATGACAGATCTTTCAGCGAGCGCGTTTCCAACCAGTTCCAAATTTTCCTTTACCCATTCTTGGAAAAATATGCGCTTCGGTATTGAAAACAACTTCAGTGAGTGGAAGAAGATCATCTGGGGAGAACAACAGGTATAGATACTTGAGCGTTTCGGCCTTGACAGCGACGTTAGCTAAGGCGTATTGTGACGTGGGTCTTACTTACAAGCCAGAAACTCTCCATATCATCTCTTCGAGGAGGTGGAATTTTGTTCACGTCATTAAGAGACGAGAATCCTTCTCCAAATTCCACAGTCGAGTACTCCAAAAATGCCTGGAAGATTTGCCATCCCCATTCTCGGTAGATGGGATCTTTGGTGATTCGCCACATTATAAACAGGCTCTCTACTGTCTCAGGACGTTGTAGGTTATGTGCATCAAGCGGTTTGATGTTGTAGTCCTTCTTCCAAGTAGCCTCAGAATCGGAACTACGAGCTGACGACGAAGGCCTGTCAGTTGCCGAGCGCAACATCGTCTCATCAGCAGAAAACCAAACGATTTCAGGCGCGATCCCAGTCTGCGTAACCTTGTACATGCCCCAACATGTTTTCGTCAGCTCTCTTGCCAGCTTCATTTGTTGGGCTTTGTCGGCATTCCAGCTAGGCAGACGCCGTGCTTCGGCTTCCGTAAGTCCATTTGTAGCACCGAGCGCGATAGAGCCAGGGAGAAAACAGACGAGGTGGTCCATCTTGGGAGACAACCCTCCATCGACTCCGTTCGGTAATTCGGCAACAATACTGAGCTTCGCGTGCTTAGTAGGAATGATCAAGTACTTCTGAATTCCCTTCATAGCTTGTTCCCACATTTCCAGGTATATTGGTTCTGACGTTTGCAGGTATTGCTTGATAAGATATTCTGCAACCATCAGCTTTCGCGAGATATGCACAGTGTGGACGGGGGATCACCATAGTATGAATCACCTCGACTTCCAAGACGGATCTCTTTACTCGTAAATCTGCCTGAGTGGGGCGATACGAAGATTGGGACGAGACCATCGGTCGCACCAATGCCGTCGATGACTTCCATGACCTTCTCGGCTTTGCGCCAATATATGTCATTTCCGGTGATATTCGACAAGTACTTCATCTCCAGTTGTAATGTTGTGGCCTCTGCGGTGGATGAGGCTCCGCCATCAGCGTGCGATACAAGGCCTTTGCGCGTGGCTAGATGGACGCTTGCGTAAGGGATACCAGAGGGTGAATCGTAAGCGCCAAGGAGACGATCCGCCAAATCAACAGCTTTGGTCAAATAAACTTGATCCCTTCTCGATGACATGTCGGGGAGGACTCGGGACAGGTAGTGTGCGGAGAGCAAACCGCCGAGCATACGAATAGTGGTTTCGAAGGTATTGACGTCTTGGTCTTGCTCATAGTCAAGCTTTCGTTGTAGCCAGATCCTGGCGTCAGACAACTGGGACGTAAGGTTCATGATCATCATCGTATCAAGACTATCGACGATGATCCAACCTAGACCTTTAGGACTCATCTGTGAGCCTCTCTTAGAGATTGGGTGAAAACGATCGTGGCCTGAAATTGGAGATTAGATTTGAGTACTGCCTCGAGATGGATGGTCCCGACTCACCCCATGCATATTTTGTGTATGCGTCCCAGCTGCTGACAAAAGCATCTTTGACTTGTTCTCTCCTTTGGTCCCATTCTTCGGCAGGGATGGATGACCACCGCCATTTCACTTCCAATTGTCCGATGTTCCCAGCAAGCAAGAAAACCAGGAAGGCACCGAATAGGATCGCCCCTATAAATGATAGATCTCTGCGAGTTGATCGAGGATTAGGGACTGAAGAGCCTGACAAGCTCTTCGGACGTCCAAAGTTTTTGGTACCGACCCGGCTCGTGCGATCTTTGCGACTGCGCGCAGAGTTGGCCATACTGCGGGATATAGAGCAAAATCTGTTTCTGTTGAGAAAGAGAGCGTGTCTTACGAAGAAGCCAAGTTTCATGGTCGTCCGAAACAACAGTCAGAGGCAGGAGTGCGGCACAGTCTGCGCTTGATGTGACACCCATGCGCATGGCTTGTAGTCACTCATTCACATTGCATGATTCGCTATTTCCAGGGAGTGTGCGTAACGTGCCTTGCTTTTGCAAAGGGGCGAAAAGGCAAAGCCTTACTCTAGCGGTCCCTTCTGCTGCACTGCTCCATTTCCTCCCCAGATGATGCGTCTTCCTATGAATCGTCCAAATTCTACTGTTATACAATAGGCCTCCTACGCCACTTCACTCGGAAAACCTGGAAAGGCTGGATTTACATCAAACTCCTTCGCGATGTCTCTTGCGGCAGAGACCAACGGCCGCGATGTAACATCCTGGATCCCTCTCACGAGCGTCTTCACACCATCACACGGCTGCGAGTCTATCTTTCGTCTTAATGGACCCAGCCTAGTAGCATTCGACCCGGGCTACGGGCTTGATATCGACACAGCAGTCAAGTGTGCACCTTCCGCCGTAACTACTTGGTGGGAACAAGCGCGCTTAGGTGTTGGAGGCGATGATCATACCGCTATAAGCATCCAGCCTTTGACATGTCCGTATCTGTGGACGACTGTCGCAACCTTCGTAGAAGACAGTACTACGACGCAGATCATGTGTTGTCCCTCGTAAGCCGTTAAACCCTCTGAACGCCTTTTACTGGCTGACGCTGATCCGCAGGGGCTACTCAAACCTGCATGCAACAAGCGGCTCCGTGAACGGCGACTGTATCTCTAGTGTATCCAAGGGTGTAGTTTTAACGTACGCCGCTACCGGTGCTGGGGCGTCCACAGACTGGTCAATGGTGAAAACGACGCTGTCCGCTTCTTCCAGCGTTGGTGCCATTGCTGTGGTAGGATTCCACATTGCGCGCGCAACCTCAACAGCTACGTCAATCTCTTCTGCGAGCCCAACAGCCAGATCGTCTCTTCCATCAGCCTCGAGCACCCCGAATGAACAACCGTCTCCGACAGCCACAACAGTCGTGGATAGTTCGACAGACAATGGAATGTCAACGGGAGTGAAGGCAGGAATCGGAGTGGGTGTGTCGCTTGGTGTACTCGGCATCGGCGCGTTGATCATCACAATCGTTTTGCTTCGGCGCCGACGCAGGAACAAGCCAGGCACCTCTGACGCAGTGGTACCAGGGGCAACCCTTGGAGTGGAAGACAAAAGTTTCAACACGTCCCATCGAGCTCCTCATGCCTATCATGATTCCCCTCATGAAATACAGAGCCGCCCTATGCCTTCCGAACTGCCTTCTGCTGAAGTGCACGCCCCAGTAGAGCTTGACTCACACGGCTGGTCCAGGTGATTCTTTAATGCATAACTCTGCTTTTTTCTCCATCGAATAGTGGATTAGGATAATCATCGTTATAACTCCAAAGTTTAGCCATTCAGGAACGACCATTCGTCCATATGTTGTCTCGCCTCTTCTTAGGACTTCCGTCTTTCCCACATTGAGACCAAGATTCCCAGATCTTCATCGTTGAATAATTGACGTTATTGGAGCACATTATGGGGCGACATAGTGTAGCTTGGTTCAGAAGAACAGTGGTCTCCGCTTCTTGGCCTGGACTAAGAACGGGCGGAACTTTTATTGTGGTTGGATAAGATGCGGGAGCGTTGCGAGGGCAATTGAAGCGACAACGGTGCGCTGCAATCCATCCTGTGGTGGTGTAGCAGTGCATTTAGAGCTCAGCAATTGCATTGAGCCGGGCGCCACGTCAACACATCCTGTACATTCCAGCTGTCTATGTCACGTTGTCTTCGTTTGATCATGGTTGAATAGCCTACTTTGTTCACTGACTAGTGATATAATGGCACTACGCGCTGCCAGAATATCATCCTCATGCTAATGTTCAACATTAGCTGCTAAACCGATAGGACGCTCTGCCTCAGCTACGATTGGGATGCGCTATCTAATTTCATATACAGACAGACACGTTGACCTGTAATGCAGTGCGAGGGCTTTATGAGCGAGGTCGGCCTCAATACGCTCCTGGCAAGCAGCCAGCGCAGTACTGGTAGCCCGAAAGACGAGTGTTGTCGGGCCTACTCTGAATTGCGTTTTTGATGGAGCAACACAGTATAATAGCCTTACAAACCAAGATCCCAGCTACGAAATGGAAGGTTTTTTGACGTTAACATCGGTGGGTCGCACAACTTCGAATTATGTGTAACCTCAGGATCGAGGATCGATTTTTTTACCTGCGTGGTAATATCGCCCCGCAAAGATCTCGTACCGACAGCCAGAAACGCGGGGATATATTGCTACAACCATGGTTCGGGTTCGGCATTCGGCCAGGAGGCAACCTCACCTTTATGATGCCCGACATCTGACCATGTAGAGCGACTCTCAATTTGCTGCTCTAGCAGTTATACGCTCGTAGGCTGCTGGCTGCTAGCTATGGTAGTTTGAAATAAGTCGTGTTCGATCCCCTGAAAGAACGAATGCATCGATCGTTGCGACTCTCGAATGAACCTGGCTTCAATTATTCATGCACCTGTCGCCACGCTCATCATAGCAATTGAAAATACTCATGCTGTCCGAAGATCCAGATTTTCTTTTCGTATCCAGTGTGGCTGCCTTGGCATCTCGCATCGGCTGACGAGAATAGACGAGCTTCTTCCGGCAGAATCCGCCGCCTCATTACGAAATTGCGGCCTAACCAATTGCAAACTCTCCTCCAATGTATTTACCACGAGATTCGAATTGTGGTGTCACAGTTTTTGCACGACACGCAAAGTTTCGTAGCTTTCCCTTTCATCGTGTTTCTCATGGACACACATAGACTGTTCAACTCAGCTACACATCCTAATATCCTTGTGAAAAGACCGAACCTACCTCCCTTTGCCTATCTCCACCAGAATCTGAGTTCGTAAATCTCAAGGACCGAGCATTTGACCATCATTCCGAGCCGTTTGTACAAGCACCCTGCATCGGCGGCATCCTTCCTACAGCATGGTTCGACGCCACCTCTCTAGCAAATCTCGTGCTTCGTCTCCGTAGCCATTCGCTGCCTTCGAGATATTAAGCTTCATCTTGGATCAAAGGAAATTTTTCTAAGTTAGTCAACCCCCAGTGCAACCGACTTGGCACCACATGCTGACCCCAACAGTGACCAATTGGCCTATACTCTGGTTGGCCAACGTCTACACTCTCCACGAAAAAGCAAAATGCAGTTTACAGTACCACAGACGATCACTTGGCCTAGGCGTATAGTATTCGCGATCGAGCTGACCTCCTCAAATAACCTCTGGCAAACTTGCGCCGGGACGATATTGCTCAGATCCTCGTGCCGTCTTCTTTCACTTTCTCCAACCATTTCCCCGCAGCTACTAGCTTTTCCTAGATTGTGTCGAATCTGCCGAACCTCGATGCCCTCTCTTGTTGGCGCGCACCTCGTAGACATGGATGCTTCCTTGTCCCCTACACCCAGCAATAACGCTCTCATCTATCCGCTCTCCAACGTTACACATGCTGCCGGCACTCAATCGGTTGGGCGCTCCGGTAGCCTTGTGTCTAGGCGAGAGCGATTACTCGTGGATTGCCTTGTATAAGGCCGAGTGCGCTTTCTCCAACACTGTTGTGTGCCCAGCGAAGTGGACCGAGTAATTCGTTTTCTCCAACATGGTCGGCGGCTCGACACTGCGGGGACTGTGTGCCCTTTTGGTTGCGCTGAGCTTACTAAGTGCGCTATGTGCGGCGGATGCGGTGAGCGATTTGCAGACTAAGGGAAGGGCTGCTGTGGATGCGGAGGTTGCGAAGTCGACGACTTGTACGAAGGATAAGTTGCAGGTGAGGAAGGAGTGGTATGCGTTTTCTGCTGGCAGCTTCTTCGGGTATTTCTGACTGGGTCATATAGGGGCGACATCACTGCTTCAGAGAAGAAGGCGTACATTGCCGCAGTTCTGTGTACGAATATCCCAGAAGCAAATGCATGATTAGATACTGAACATTGATCAGGTATCACCAAGGCACCGTCGAAATTGCCAGCCGCATCATACCCAGGAGCGAAGTCTCGGTACGATGACTTTGTCGCCATCCATATGAAGAATACCATGTCCATCCACGGCACCGTAGGTTCCACAAATCGGTTACTTTTGACCCAATCTCTAACTTGACCTAGGGTAATTTCCTCTCCTGGCACCGATACTTCACATTCGCATACGAGCAAGCCCTGCGGACAGAGTGTGGGTACAATGGCACTCAGCCTGTAAGACCAACCAGTAGTCCAACTTCGAAGTCGTATTGACATATGGATGTAGTACTGGGACTGGGGCAGATGGGCGTCCAGCCCGGAAACCTCGCCCATATTCGACGGCAGTGACACCAGCATAAGCGGCCAAGGCGAGAAAGTAGCGCATAACAGTAACGGCATGAAGCCCGCCGGAAACGGGGGTGGTTGTATCGCCAGCGGTCCGTTTAAGGATATGAAGGTCAACCTAGGGTATGTCCAAACAACCGCTCCCTTCCCCACATCAACTGGAACACAGTTCTTGCAGACCACGTGCGCTGATAATGGCATACACAGTCCCATGGCCGCCCTCGGCGATACATCCCCGCCCAAGAACCCCCGCAGCGACGGCTACGGCTATAATCCGCGTTGTATCAAGCGCGATATCTCGGGTTACCTGAGTCAGCGCGACGCGTCCACCGCGAAGATCGCAGCCTTGATCAGCGGCCAGAGCACCATCGCAAGCTTCCAGAATCAGATGCAGTCCGGCACCGGGGTACATCCCGCCGGTCACTTCACCATCTCCGGAGATCCTGGCAGCGGTAAGCCAGCCTAGTCTGACGATAATTTCCATGTCACTAATACTGATGCAATATTACAGACTTCTACGTCTCTCCGGGCGATCCGGCCTTCTGGCTGCACCACAGTATGATCGACCGCGTGTGGTACATTTGGCAGACCCAGGACTTCAGCAAGCGACAGCAGGTCATTGCTGGTGGAACGAGCATGATGGGTGGCGGGAAGGCAGCGACGCTCAGCGACGGCATTGATCTTGAGGTGCTGAACGTCGGTGGAAGTAAGTATGCGATCAAGGATCTGGTGAGCACGGTTGCGGGACCATTATGTTACGTTTATGAGTAAGGGTGAAGCGGCAAGAGGCAGATGGTATATAACTCTTCTTGGGCGGATATTGATGTCGACAGGATTGAAAAGACAAGTTCAGCGCTCATGTGATGCATTTTCGGTAGATTCGTCTCGAGCGCGTCGATGTTGTTCGGGGGATTCGTGAACAGTGCATTTTTGATTGATCCAAAGATGCGCACTTATGGGTCTTGATTCTGGGCAACGAACTAGAAGGTACGGAAAACTAAATGAGCTGCACACCGAAGTGAACGTGAGCTTATTTTCGGAGTAAAACAACGAGTCCAACCAAGGTGTTTAGGCACAGGTATGTCATTGTCTGGTGCGGACCTGATGACTGATTCCAGATGTAAGAAATAGCGTAGATCTCGGTCTCTCCGGTGTAATAATTCTAGGGGCTCAGGCAGAGGCGTACCATTCCATCGATTGGAGATCCATTTTAGTCAATGCTGAGTGGCGTGGCGGGCCTCGGACACGGTCCATCTGTGGGGGGCGCAAGCCATGCTGGTAAGTTCAACCAGCTCGTCTCCGGAGCGAGGTGGTATTCGATAAGAACCAACTAAGCCGCACAGAACCTCGCACATCTCTGTGGATGTCCTCGAATATCAGATGTAGGTCACTCTCCATATTTGAGATAATGTTGCGTTGTTCAATATCGGCGATTTGGATTCGATGGGTATAGTACTTAAAATCAGAAGAGGGAATGTAAAGCTGCGTAGGCTTGCGCGGGGTGGCTTGTGGAACTGTCAAGGAGGCTCAATGATTGAGGAAGACGCCATCCGTCTGCTCGACACGCGTTGGTGCATGAAACGGCTTAGACAGCGGCGCATGTTCGTATACAGTAAACAGTCCCTCCTAGTTCGACAGCGGCTCCCACACAGTCGCTGAATAGTTCTGGGCACAGCATCAGACTTCTTGAACAATGACGTAGAGGTAGCTCTTCGACTTCCGATTGCCTCTCCTTCGTATTCCATTGGTCCACTGCATGCGGAGCTTCATCCTTATCACCACATTCTCCCTCTGAATTCTTGGTCTGATGGCTGGATTCTTTCTTTGGGCATACGTCTGTTCTTCCGTAAGAGTTGTGCTGTTTTGGTACTAATTGTCGACATATGGAGCCAATTGGATTGGTCATGTTGCATATGCGGTCACAGTCTCTCGGCAGAAGTTGCGTGAAGGGATACTCGATCTTCTGAGCCCCTCGACCTTGTCCGAGATGATGCACATATATGTACCAGCGATATTGACCTTCCGTTATAGACGTTGGAGCGACCCAAGGTATTGCCGCAATCATCTCTTCGTACGCGCTCAGCCCTCATTCCGCGTAGTAGGTATCTCCCCCGGCAGCTCCACCGGTCTTGGATCGTGGTGCAGCTCCGCATGCGGCGTGCCATACGCCTCGTACTTGATCGTTTCACTCTGCGGTAGCTCGTACCTCGGCGCAGCCGCGCTCTCAGCAGGCTGTTTATCGCTTTCAAGCTCTCTTGGGGTATGCGCCGCTTGGTTTCGTCTGTGTCGTTTCCAGAGGAAGAGGCCACCAACCACCAGCAGGATAAGCACGGCGAGAGCTACGCCGACGCCGATGCCAGCTTTTGCACCTTTGGACAGACCGCCGGAGGGATTGCTTGGGTTGCCTGTTGAGCCGGGCGAGCTGGTTGCGGCGATTGTTGAGGTTGCAGAAGGAAGCTGGAGAGGTTAGTCGTTGTTGCGATTCGAGTGGGTGAAGAGCTTACTGAGACAGTGGAGAATGCATTATCATTAATGGCAGAGAGAGGTTGGAAGGAAAAGTGCTGGCCTGGTAGTGGGTCGTCGGCCGAAATGTTCGAAGTCATCGCGCCAAGGCTGTCTTTCTTCCTTGTGAGGTGGTACGCCGTTTTGTTCGCCTTGTTGGAAAGGAAAAAGGTCCCATCCTTCCAGGTGCCGACGTTCCAGAACGCAGAGTCGTCGGAGATGTTGCCTCTAACTACGTACGGTACCGTCTTGCCAGGTGTTTCCTCCAACTCGGAGTACTTGGTACCCAGGAAACCCTCCGCTCCTGAAGCCTTGGATCTTAGCGCGTAGAAACCATTGTTGTTGAGTGGGAAGAACTGCCATTGGTGTGCCGGATTCTTTTCTTCGTAGGTTCTAAAGTATGCAGTACCGCTCTGTGTGGTTTGATTGTACAGTTGGCTTCCCGTCAATGACGTGTTCTTATTTTGGTTGTAGTAGATGTGGTACCATTGGTTGGGATCGAAGTTCGCCATAACGCCGCCTCGCGAAGAACCCAAGACTCGAGTACTGTTTGCCCTCTTATGATCTACCTGAGGGTGAAGCAAGTCGTGCAGGGTCTAAGGGTAGATGTACGTCACCAGGAAGTAGAGTGCAGTGAACGTGGATATCGGACCCCCGAAACAAGGCGACCATCTTCAGTTTTGTATGGCGATGGCCCAGCTGCTCCACAATTCTTTGGCCCCTTCAGTGGTGGAAATGAACCCCAACACCAGCCTGTGGCTGTCCAAGCACGGGCGATGGGACGCCCTAACAAGGTTGTTATGCAGGCGGGTCGCAAGCGGTTAGGTGAGACAGTGTAGATCTGAGACATCAGCAACTTAATTGGGCGACTCGTTCACAAGGCACAGCAAGCTTAGATCGCCAAGACGACGGACTGCCAGGGGTTAAATTTGGGAACTTCAGCCTCACGCTTCGGCAGGCTGTGCTTCCGCTTGCAAAAGAATTAAATGCGCTCAGCTGGTGAACAATGCTATCTCGACTCCATGACATTCTTCTCGATACCAACGACCGCGTCCCGTATTGTTGGACTGAAATGTTTTCGCAAAAGCTCGCCCTCCCAGACAGTGCCCGCGAACGGGTTGCTGCCTTCGATTTCGGGCTTCAGCGCGTCGAACACACCGTCCCCGCGGCGCTCTTCGGTTATCCATAGCGCATTGACTTTGCGACCGTGCGCTTTGGTGACTTGGTTGAGCAGTCCGAGCATCGCTGTACATGACTTCTCGGGTAGCTGCAGGGATACAGTCATCAGCTGCTTGCAGAATGCTGCAATACGGTTCGGCGGAACGGCGCGTAAAGCTTGCGCGGGAAGCAGGATTGAAGACAACGACCGGATGAGCAGGACGATGGTGGTTTGGACGTTGATTTTGTTGGTTGCCGCAGCTTGTGGTTGTGCTTCCGCGGAGTGGGGATCGGCGAGGTGCAGCGACTTTGCGCTCAACTCAACGTCCGGATTGAGGGACACTGCGTGCAACGTGCGGTATAGATGTGTGATGAAGAAGCTGAGATCCAGCTTCATGGCCGACGCAGACTTGGTAACGTCTTGACCTTGCAACAGGGCGAAAGCTGTGATCACGCAAAGAAGCGACTCACGCGTGATATTCCTCTCCGGCAGCTCGTTGTCATCTTCTTCCTCCTCTTCCTCCTCGTCATCGTCTGCTTGCGCAGCTTCTGAAAGCTCTGCTGTGCTGATGATGTCGCGTAAAGCCTCCAGAATGTCCCCGAAGAAGTCCTGGTTGATAAGATGTGCGTACTTCGCCAAGCCCTCCAGGACAGCACCCATGAGCTTTCCCGAACGCGCCTTCAAAATCCTGAAGTATGCGACGAAGACCATCTTCAGCGTTTCCGCCTGCATTCTGTCTCGCTCCTCGTGGCTAACCGCAGCGTCAGCCTCTTTCATTTCCTTTTCGATCTTCTTATTCTCCTTCAGCGTCTTCCTTAGCCTTTTGGTTCGGAACTCGCGCTGTTGCTTGATCTTCTTGCCATTGATCCATTCTGGCTCCGCCTTATCGACGGAATTGTAAGAGGCTTTCTGGGAGAATTCGGATAGCAGGCGCAAGTGAAGGAACGTGTTGAGCACGCTCTCGTCGAAGTGGTAATTCCTGCTCTTCATCATCTTGGTCAACATGGTGACAGCTTCCAAGGATGCGTTCCCTTCCTCGTCCTCTTCGAACAGTTTTTCCAGTGTCGATCGACATTTGACGAAATCTGCATCCACGTGTCGCATGCTCAACTTGCCAATGATGATCCCAAGAAGCTCTCCCCGAAAATTGAAGTGTGGTACCGCCAGCAACATGCTGCATGCGCAACTGATGGCTACTGAAGCAACACTTGCAGCAGCAGAGTCGCCGCCGCTCTTCTTTGCCGCCTTGCCCAGATCCTGCACGTATGCCTGGTACCCCGAAACGAGCTTTTGCTCGAATGCGCGGAGTTTCCGAACTTCCTTGGACACCTTCTCGCCCATGGCCTCGTCGGAAAGCGGTCGTATGCGATAACCAGGGATCAAGTCCTTGAAAATAGCCGATTGCGCCACCAGAGTCAGCTTCCGTACAGTGGTGTTTCTCGATGCTGCAAGTGCGGCCAGAGTTTTCAGCGCACCAATGTGCTCTTCGGGGTCTTCATTGACCAGCCCAGCTATTCGCGCGACCTCCTCCTTGGCCTCCAGTATCTGTTGCTTTGGCGACACCTTTGGCTTCTCTTCCACCACTTCCTCCTCTTCGCCCCCCTCTCCCTCGCTCCCAGAGCCTAGAAAGCTGTCCGAGACTTCTTCTTCCTGTGTCTCGTTCGTCGTTGGATGTGCCTGCCATCCCTCGGTTGTCCTCACAGGAAGCTTTGCAGCCTCTTTTTGCTTCTTCTGCTTCCTCGGTCGCTGTTCGTAGTCCTGTTCGAGGTCCCATTTCGCCGCATTGGCGAGGTAGCTGGCCTTGGGGGTTCTGAGCGGCTGAGCAGCGTTATCGTTCTCTTCCGGAGGCGACAAGCGCCGCCTCTTCGCCGTGGGTATCGTACGCGACATTGCGTTTCAATGGGTGAGTGTTGCTATCAAGTGCTCGGAGGTGTTGCGGAGCTCTCGCACCAGTAATTTTTCTCTTGGCATCGGCGGTTGCGCCTGCAGTTTTCGCCGACCTCCACAATTTTTTGGTGCAACGACATCGCGCCTGCCGCATTGCGACTTCAGTCTCTGCATACAGCACCATGCGGCCACTTACAGAGGTAAACTCTTCCGCTTGGTACATCAAATGTTGGTAGCTAACGATATGTAGCCCGAGACGAAGACACTCTTCGAAAAGCTCGCCGGCTACTGCGGCAAGGGCATCCAAGACCTCATCACCGCCGGCGGCGCAGATGATCGCCATGTCTTCCGTATTCAAGGCTCCCGCGTCTACTATGTGCGCGAATCGCTCGCCAATCTGGCCACCTCCGTAGCCCGCGACAATCTCCTCTCGCTCGGCACCTGCCTTGGCAAGTTCACCAAGACGGGCAAGTTCCGCCTCCACATCACTGCGCTGTCTGTCATAGCGCCGCATGCGAGGTATAAGGTGTGGGTCAAGCAGAATGGCGAGATGCCGTTCTTGTATGGTGGAAATGTGCTGAAGGCGCATGTGGGGAGGTGGAGTGAAGATTGTCCAGAACATCAAGGTGTAATAGTATTGAGCATGAACGATACGCCATTGGTAAGCTCGATGAGAGTCGATAGGTGCGAAAGTTCGCTAACATGGTGGCAGGGCTTCGGAGTGAGCGCACGATCAACAGCAGAGGCAAGAAAATTGGACCCGACCGGCATTGTTACCTTCAGACAAGCGGATATCGGAGAGTACCTCAGAGAAGAAGACACACTCTTCCAAACATGAGTCACGGGTCACAACAATAGACATACGAAATCAAAAACAAGCAATGCGGGACGGTCACACGGCTCTAATCGTACGGCAGCCTCGGCAAAAGTCGTTTTGGGGCCTGAGGTGTCAGCGAGTGGCAACGTCGAAAAGCGCGAAGACGGAGTCATACAGACGAACGTTATAGATGAAGAAATGATACCCTCTATGTCAGCATTTATTCCGATCTTGGCTTCGTGAGATCCAGCGCCTTTCCAAATATCAAAATCCTACCATGACAAAAAATCATGGAAGTAGACTGAATCCACTGTCCTGAGGATCCTCAGCTAGCGAGGGTGGCAAGGCCATACCTGATTCGTGTCTATGCCTCAAACGACAGCCGTAGTTCCCAGCAGAAGAGTCTACCACTATTCATATTCAATACACAATCTAACGATACTTTTGCTACAAGAGGTACAGTAATTGTTCTCTTCGGTATAGTTTTTCCTTTTACGTGGGCAGAGGTGTAAGAATCACGGTGTTGCTCACACGAACATTAGTAAGGACTCGCTAGCTGTGAGTCCTCCGTATGGGTGGATCAAGTCTACTCACATCGTACGTGAGCGAAGAGTTTATTGATGTGACTACACAAACCAACCCTTATAAACGTTAACGCAAAAGCAGACAGTCACATAAGAATTACCTTATGATATAGAAACTCCACCCTACCTAAAGCAAGATCATTCGCAATATACAACATTCGCAACATACCACATTCGCAACATACCACATTCGCAGCATACAACATTCGCAACATACAACATTCGCAACATATAACATTCCACAGCTACGTTGGACTAGCGATAACTCTTCGAAATTCTGATCCTACTACCACAAACTATGTCCAAGGACGGCTACGTAGTCCTGCGCATAAATTCCGACAGTCATCCTTTCTTCAAAGTCACCAACGTCGTCCAAGTCATATCCATTCACCACACCCTCGCGGATGCACAATCTGCGCGTGATCAATACCTGGACGAACTGATGGCAAAGAGGGTAGAGCTAGCAGAGGGGGAGGAGGAGGAGGGAGGGGAGGCAGCATACATGATTCATGGAATGATTGGTACATTGGATCAAGGAATGTATGAAAAGGAGGAAGCAAAGTTGGTGATCAAGTCTGGGAAGATGGATGCGTGTTCGGTGGCGTAGGAGAAGCGGAAGGATGGCGGTGCGACTGGTATCGGCTCGTGGAGTACGGGTTTATCTGTGTAGGGGCGACAGGTGATGTGAAGGCGGGTGGCGGAGCGGGACTGGAAGACGGAACAGAGGATTAGGACTTTGTTGTAGGTTCATGACTGTTGGTAGAGAGTGTAAGGCCTTCGATGGTTTATCTAGGCTACTTGGACGCGCCTTTGCCGACTCAAAATCGTGGAAGCCTGGAAGACTCAACAAAGACATTTGACGACACTGTGTATCCACAGTCTATCGTATCATAGACCAGTGGTGAATTCGTCTCTCGCATATGTAGCCCGTCATTTCCTTACCCAAGCGCAGCCGATCCTATGCGATTCGTTACTTATATCTTAAGTGCATATGCTACTATATCCCAGAGAGCTACGTACCTAGATATTCAAGGGCGCGGGAAATTAATAGAAGTAGTTCACACTCCTTCTATTTACTGTGAGGGTTACACAATGCGCGGAGCAAGTCAGGAGAGCGCCTGAGTCATGCTATCGATGAGATCCAGTGCATATAGACGAGAAGTTGAAGAGTCGGAGGCTGCAAAATCTGGAGCCGGTGGAGAAGAAGCTCTAGAGGCGTGCGAAATATGAGGAAGACCGTGAGACGAGATTGTGAGGTTTGCTTTGCAAGAACTATACGCCTTCATCAATCTGTAAAGCTTGACCCTTTACCGCAATTTCCCGTATACCCAGTGTCAATGGTTAAGTTTCCGGTCATTATATTATACATGAGACCATTTCACAACGGGCAAAACACTTCACAGCGATGGAGTTGCACTACACGCTATCTAAGGTACGCAAGATGTGTCTGGCATAACATCTTGCAAAGGAGACTTGTTGAACCCACAAGCGCCCATGAAAGCCCTAACCTCATTTTTTTCTTTCAGTGATAGAATAACACGCTTGTGCCAGTAGGTGTTGGCCCAGGTGAATATTAGCGGGTCGGCTCCGTAGTGGAGCATCGCTGTCAGTAAGCTCCAAGTTATGTGGTATTGCTCATCTTTTCTTAGGAGTCATGTCGAATGTGTGGCTCAGTGTAGGTAATCATGGATCCCCGCGCTAAGGTTGTTGAGGTGAGTATATTTTCGCAGTTGCTACGCCTTGCAGTCCTGTTATACATACGCGATTAGGCACAGTCAATGGAAGAACTACATCTTTTAGCTAAAATTCACGGCCTCAAAGACACGTCGATTGAAATTCTAGCTGGAACAAGGTGATGTCAAGTCACCCCCGTGCGAATCCATACTAACGAATATCTAGGCAATAAATCTGTAAAAGAGAACCAAACTGAGTCACATCAATCTGCGTGGAAACCTAGACTCTGCCCAAGTCACGCTCACGTATTCTGATAGCCCTCCCATTGTCCCTCCAAAGCACTTGAGTGACCCGCATTCAACTTCGCTGCACTAACCTCGATCTCGTAGAGCAAAATCCAACCAGATACAAGACATCTCGTTGAGCTCGCACATGTGGCTGGTCATTCACGCGCGGCGCTGTATAGTTGTAAGGCAACTCCTCGAAACTGATCCTCAGAAAATTTGACGTACCGTGTCAAAGACTAAATCTCCTATAAGCTTGACTGCAATGTCCAGCCTTGCATCCCTCACACAAATCGCTTTGGTGCGGCCCTTCGCTTCGACCTCCATATTCAGGCGCCTCCATAACCACTCCATGCCACTTCTTCAAGCGGTACGCTACCCTCTCCGCATATGTATCGTCCAAGTGCGGCTTGCTGATAGCGTTGCACTGTTGGCAGCGCTGATGGTATACCCTTGCATTATATCGTTCCTGGGAGTATAATCGGATCGTGATGGCAATCACCATGCTGGACCAGCCACGAGTCGTGCACTTCTGGTTGTGACAGACGAAGCGGCCCATGATATTTGTGTCGTAATCTTTGATGGAGTCTGAGCTTGAGTCGTCCCTGAAGAACGATAACATGAGGTCGTCCTCCGCTAGGAGGCGCGAAACGTCGCCGTGCAGCTCGGGATGCATCGACCATCTCGGTACAGGCTTTCGTTTCTTTGGAGGCATGGTGGTGGTGGTGGTGGTGAGGGAAATGGTAGCTTGATCAGTGCGCAAATTATCGTGCAAGCTTGGGGATATGTAGTTTGGAAGAACCTATATCTAAGTATCCCTAGCACGATTAAAGCATAACTGGGACGAAACAAAGGCACGCATCGTCTTAACCTCATAATGGAACCTCTGTGCAGAGGTAGCACAAGGCAAGGCCATGGGTGTTAGGAATGGAGAGCGTAAGGTTACAAGACATACGCGTGGATGCCCCACGATCGACGAGGCGCTTTACTTCGAGTGGCCTCGGAAGGAAAGGTCCAGGCGCGCATACCGAATGGATGACATGTAACGCCCTTAGGCGAGCATGGAATGGGCGAGGTTCAATGCCGCTAAAAGTCGCGATGCATGCTTAGAGTGTCGCCAGGAACACCTCAAGGTATGGACATGGACGATTGCATGTGGTTGATGCTCATCCATTGGCCGATGAAATGACTCATAATAGATTGCTCGGGGGCTCGTTCATGAAAGCACCTGCGTAACCATAATCGTGATCTGATATAAGATTTTGTTTGCATTATGAAAATTCTTATATTGCGTTGTGTCCTGGCTTGTGACTGCTCACAAATGCATTAAAATCAACGAGGGAACCCGGTAATCAGAGCATATCATTGGATTAGAACGAGTGTACCTGACTACCTGTTACTCATAAGACCGAACAATGTCCTCAACTCTGGCAAAAAAAACCCCCCCAGGGACCAGATCTGCCGTCACAGATGGATTTACCTAAAGAAGGTGTGTCGTGTTGAAGAGACGATTGCCCGTGTCCGTCGTGCCACTGCCGGTAAATTTTGTGCTAGAAATTCGAAGCGTCACAAGACTGACATCTCCACAAAGAGCGAGTGCTTTGTACGTTGCACTGCTCGAAGAAACACATTGGCCCTGAACAACCCCTGCGACCACCACAATGCGAATGTTGGCATCGATGTTGCGAATGTGCTGCACAAATTCTACGATCGTCTTACCACTATTGATAACCGAGTCGACCAACAAAATCTGGCTCTGACTTTGGACATGATGAGGCGCGAGGTCGCTGGGCTTGTTCGCATGTACGTACATCGCTAATGGAAATGCTTTGCTGACACCAGAAGCCATAGGGTCACCAGCTCGCATAACTGCCACAATTGTCGTCGTCTTTTCGTGCAAGAGCCTAGATCCAGTCGATCCATGTCCGAGCACATGTGCGATTGGGCAATCCTCCATTCCGATTACATTCGCCACGAACTCACAGGCGAGATACCAGCCTGCCTGACGATGAGCTTTCCTCAGTGCCGGTCCTGCAACGGCCGCATCGCGACTTGGTGTTGCAAGTAGTTTTGCCGCACTCTTGTTGGTTGCGTGGTAGATCGGGAACCTAGCAGAGCGATCACGGCGACGAAGCAAGGCGCTGATCATTTCAATACGGTTCATGTCGACCACTGGGAGCTTTGAAACACTCAGCCGCGGTGAAGCCGTACGAGGTAGCGTAGCCTGACGGGCGCGCAGGCCACCCTGATCCATGGTTTCTAGGAGAGCTGATTCCATACTTTTGCTTCTAGTAAACTTGTCGCCGACCACAACAATTGCTTCATCCGCCATCTGCAACATCGGAAGGTCAAGTGGGCTGTCACCAAAAGCCCAGACGTATCCACCATGTAGGGTCTGCAACCGTGACACAACAGCGGCTTTGGTTTCCGCTGTCACCACGAAGCCGTCTGAAATGCGCCCTCCTGCGATGACCGTCATGGTGCTGGAAAGGCCTTCCTTTTCGAGGACCTTCTCCCAGACCCGACGAAGACCGCAGCTCACGATGATGGCTCCGATATGTTCTTGCTGCGCCACCAACTGGAGCAACGATACAAATTCTGGATGGATGGTCACCTCTGAAGCAACATGCTGGCAAATGGTATCGTAGTTTTGCTCGTCGACAGCGTCCTCATACAAGAGCATGGCTTGTCGAAAAGCTTCGTATGAGTATCCCAGTGGGCCGCTGAACAGTGACCTAAGAAGATCTTTGCTAGCCTCTTGTCTCGAGCCATGAAGCTTCTCCCAGAAGAGTGAACCCGTGTCCTGCGCAGCTAGCGTCCTGTCGCCGTCCAAGACCAGGAATGTCTCTGGCGAGCCTTGGTATAAGGCCATAGAGGCATCCAACGTGATCTGAGTCTGGATTTCGTTGTATGCTTGGGTATGGACGCTGAAATCTCGGAGGAGCACCAAAGCTCTGCTCTTCAAGGTCGAATCCGACGTCAGGATGGAGGACAAGATGCCATGCTCGCGGCATAGCGATTGCAGCCAGGTCTTTTCGGCTTGCTGCCACTTAAAAAGGTGGGCTACGGATGTGTGCGGACGTGGTTTCGATGCATCGTTCCAACGGCGCTGCTCGATAGTCTCAATCGGGATGTTCAGGTAAAGAATGTGTGTATATGTAACCAAATCATTCTGCGTGTAGACCGAGCAGCCTTCCTTCTCAGCTTCTGGCCAGAACATAAAGTGGCCTGTGACAACCGCCGTCCTCCCACTAGTTTGAGAATGGCTCCGGATAGTGTCAATTGCAATTTCGCGCCAATGTGTCTTCTCCTGGGAATCCATCTCGTCGAAAGCCTTGAGACCTCCAGGAACAAGACTGGCTATCATTTCCGATCCTTCGTAGAAGTGGAACAAATTCGCGCTTAATTCATGCTTCAGTTGATTCAACAAAAAAGTCTTCCCTGAACCCGGGATTCCATAGATACCGATGATCGCTGGTTTTGCGTCGATTGAACCGGCTCCGTCCGTGTGCTGGGATATTTTCGACTGGTGACTCGTATCGTGGGCTAGTAAGCCAGCCGAAATCTCATTCTCGTGAAGAGGCATTGCTGTGGAGGCTTAGAGTGTCGCAAAAAGCTGCTGGAAAATGACAGATTGGATGGATTTAGGACCGGAATGATATCACAGAGGCATTGACTGAACGATTTATCACCTCCACCGAAAGATCGTCCACACCAATGAAAGTTGGTGGCCAGATAGCTACCTAACAGTGGCACTTTTGTGTCCCCATCGAGGTCGGCTATGAAGCTCTCAGAGCCTCGCCTGGATGCTTCGTATGTAGTGCGACCTGTTGCGATAATTGTGCAGGTCCCTTACTATGGGGGAAGCGGCCAGAATCCTCGGAGCCTCCTAGCTGCGACTTGGAATCGTAGGGGGTCGATACGGTGACGCAAAGCGACTTCTTGAAGCTTGTGATATTTGTCCGGTGTGATCACCTCGTAAATTGATTCGTGGCGAGGGGCACCACATAGGCGGGCCGCCATCTGGTAGAACTTCTAGCGCGATGCATATTTCACTAGCATGTATAGATATGCAGGCGCAATGCGCAAGGAGAACGGGGTTAACTTCCGCATCGGAAACCCATCATGCAGGGCCCGACTGAAGGAAAAGTAAACATCCGAGGTTTCACTAAGTCTCTGCCAATATGTTGTTGCCGCGCGGCGTTCCAGAAGCTCCTCTCGAATTCGACCGCGATACCAACCTGGCGGTGATTGGCGACGCAGGCCCAGCATAATGTGCCATCGGCGCCGAAGCAGGGTTATGGAAGGACCCATCTATAGCAACTTTGACCGCGTTGTAGAAGCTTTCCGATACGCTTGTGTCTTCTTCGTTGAATGCAGAGGAATGTAGATAATGAGCGAGCCGGGTTGTGGAACAACACGCGACTGGAGCGAAGTGACCCTGAAGTATTAGACTTTGGCGCTTTGCTGTCTGACAACAGGATCGTAATATAGTGTCATGCATGTGCAAACCACGGAGGCCTAACATGATAGCAGATGGTACATCTCTCGAAGCGATGTGTCCAAGACTACAGGTGAAATGAGCCTAAGCGACTAAGAAGACCTAATATATGGACAGACATGTATACGTCTTAAAAGCCACATTGATCAGGATTCAATCCATACCTATGGTAGATTCTGTAGGATATGAGGGTTTTGGCGCGAAGATGGAGGGTGAAGCTATCCAAACCCTGCCAGTATTCTGCATTGTGACGTTTCAGGTGCCACATGCCCTAGCCTAAGAAGGGTCTTTACTTCTTTCCCTCAAAGGAACCTCTCCAAAACAGAATAGGGCCAGGATTGTGATTATCGCATCAATTTCATGAACCGGGGCATGCGCTATCGTACCATGGTATCGATGGTCGTCTTCAGTTCGTCCTACAGCCCGCTTCGTTGATGACGCGATTATCCTTGCTCAAGTCCTTGGATTTGAACACCAGCCTTATTTGCTTTGCCAGAACATGATTGTCACAATATGAACAAATGAGTGCCTAGGATGAGAAACGGGGGAGCAGGGTATTTGCCATCGTTTACCTAGGTATGTCACATCTAGTGCGCGACTTGATGCATACCTACCATCGACCTATAGGTTGTTTCAGAGTCACGTGTCAGTCTGGCCAATGAAAAGCTGACATTTCCCACCCACACCACCTTGATCTATAATGGGCTTAGCTAACACGTGATTGGAAAACGTGACTGGAAAACGTCCTTGGGCTGATGATAGCTCGCCATTGCCAGTCACTGAGCGTCGATCAACCCAATTCTGAGGTAAGTTTGCAGGTATCGACCGAAGCGTTCAGGCTATATCTAAAGGACAAGCGCCATCTCGGAGCATTTGCCCCCTGATCCCCAGGGCCCCTTCCCAAGGTCGCCTAGCGAAATTTAAGCGGACCTATGGTATGCATACTACTTTTTCTCCGCCATAGCTTTGTGCCTGCTAATGTACCTTGTACGCCAAGGCGCCACACACAAGTACCCCAATTGCGGTCGATCCGCTTACCGTTCATCCACTTGCACTTCTTTCGGCTAGCACGCTAAGGCCTAGTCGCCCCAAAGGAATCTATATGAAAGTACGCCTGATAAATAGCAGAACACACGACCGAACACCCTACGAACTTCATGAATGAGGAAGCCTCTCGGTGGAAGCATCAGAGCGATGTTTAGGCAGCAATGGAAGCTTCTCGAGCGTGAGCATAGGCTGCAGCCAGGTGTAGTGAGCCAGCAGTGCATAATGCTAAAGCACTCAACGGTCTTGCTGTACGCAATGTAATTGATAGGATTAACTCGTTATGTTGCAATCCTAGAACTTGTGCAGTGTAAAGAGTGGACAATCTTTTCCAAAGGGTTTTGGATGCAGTTCTAGATCACTCGAACGAAACAGTGAACTATGCACAGCGTACACGTGTCTGTCTCTGTATGAAGATCAAGCTTACACGTCACCATTGCTGCCTGCATCTCACGCCTCAGGCATGCAAACTCGTGCTTCTCTTCCACTTGAGAGCCTTTCCGACCGTTGTGTAACACACTTTCTCATGTTGACCGGAATTCCTGCTCAGAACTACCATGACAAGACTGAAGCATATTGTTTGGCAAGCCGTTCTTGAATTGTATTTAAGAATGATGATGAGGATTGCTCAAGGCGAAGTTGTAAATCTTAAGATACACAATCGAAAAACCCTGCCTCATTAATTATCCTACATGGCGGTCGAATACATCCAAGAGAGAATTGGCTACCAGTTTACCAAGACTGAGTCACTTTTCTTGGCTCTAAAGGCTGCCCATCGGAGCGACTTGGACGGGTACTCAGACGATGGTAACAGGGGACTGGCCTTAATTGGCACATGTGCTGTGGAAATGACTCAGACATACCATACCATCATAGTGGAAGGAGGAACTAGCAGTAGGTCCCATCAATTAATCATCCATCTCTTGATTAACTAATACTTCAATTGGGTAGAGGACGCTAACACCCAAGATCACTGGTTCAAGAGCAAGAAAAAGCGAGCTCTTGTATGCAAAGAACTGGGCATAGACCAGTATGTAGTTCAGAGTGTTCGACAGCAGCAGTATCAAGCCCCTTCGACCGAGGTTCTAGCAACTGTTTTGAGCGCCATATTTGGCGCCCTTTGGCTCGATTTGCATACACAAAACGGCAATTTCCCGATCATCGTGGAACAGACCTATACGGTACTTCGCCGAATGAGGACGGCTATTGCACATATGGAAAGCACCGGAACACCCCTGACCCCAGATCCCCTGACTCCACTCTCAATCACCGTCGAGATAAAACCCCCGCCTTCTCGACTGATCAACGACATACAAGAGAGCAGATTTATGCAAGATTCTGGCATGATCATGCCCAACGCAACGCCGCATCAGGTTCAAGCTCACTCGGCGTACGAGCAGCTCCAATCACACGATAATGCGCCTATCAGTGACAGCCTTGATACCTACGGCATGTTCAACGTCTTGGCAGAAATGCGGACATATCTAGATGTTCTGACACTACTACAGATTTCGTAACTGATTTTGGTTTTTTCGACTTCGACTCAGGCGTCATTGGAGACATATGGGATTGTATAGGCCTCCCTAACATGGAAGAAGTCGCTGGTGCCCAAGAGACCGGTCCTCGAGTTGCGAACGAAGAAGTAGAGGCTGCAAAGCAAGGCTCTATCGACAATAACGTCAACACACAGCCAATCACTAAAGGCAGAAAGAGGAAAGATCGCAGCGAGCAAGATGACAAATACGAAGAGACCACGCTGCACGAACGTCTCATGCAAGAAGAGCTAGAGAAGTCAAAACATTGCCCCTCTCATCATTCCAGCGACCTGGTAATTCTTCTCGACAATGCTGAAATCGAAAAAATCGACCCAGAAGCCCCCGGGCATGTAGCGCGATTACGGCTGCTCTATTTGACTATCGGCAGTTGCCAGTCACTGATCGGCTTCAAAGAGATACTTGACACAGCGCGAAATCTACCAAGTACGCATTCCAATCCTCCTGGATCCAACATTGGTCCTCAGGAGCGATACGCAGAGATCTGTCGACTTGGAAAACAGGAAGCTCTGTGTGTCCTCCTGAAGCGGTATCATATCGTTCAGCTATTCAAGACGACTCAAGCTGGTCTTTTGCAGGACAGCGGGCTCATTGTGGAGACACCGTCAACGCGCTTGTCAGGGCAACGAGCCATGCCGGGCAACCCTTTTAACAGGGCTCAAGCCAACCTGACCGAAGAAGTGTTAGCGACGATACTGCCTGGACTGCCAAACGGATCGCCAATTTATCAGAAAATTCGCAAACATGTCTCACACTTACGGAGGCTAGCTAACATATTGACGATTTGGACGGATGCGTACGGCTTTGGAGTTCTTGCATTACTCACACCGGGCCCTATTCAACCTGATTTCCATGTCACCGATTACATGCAAGTATTGAGTGTTAACCTGGAAATCAAATGATCTGACTTGCGTAGGCTACAAAACTTGGCCGAGAAAAGGCTCAAAGGCTTTTCAGAAGTTCTGTACCGGTACCAAGGTCAATTTTTGACAAGGCTCAGCAAAGCTGTAGAACCGGCACTTATGGCACTAGTGGATGGGAGAATATCGACCTCCACCCCATTTCCAATCGAAACTATCCAAGATCGTGATTTGGAACGTTCACCAAAGGGGTCCATTCTCAATCATCTAGGGTAGGCCATGTCAAGTATCAATATAGATAGCTTAGTGTCGCCAGAAAGTAAATTCAAACGGAGGAGGATTGGCAAGCTGTATCTGCACTTCCGTTGTCGTTCGATCGCGACGAGTCTACTTTTGGTACGTTTCCTTCTCCCGATAATGACACACTAGTCTTGATCATCAAGGGTTGATTAGAACTGTAACAATCACTTACTCGGCCACACGTCTCGCTGTGTTGCCAAACTAACTCTTTGACTGGTGCCCCGCCCGAATCAAGCTGGACAGCCTCGCTGAACATGTCGGTTTGCTGACCACGACCGAATACACGCCTGGGGGCCACGTTGGACTCCACTTGAAAGATAGACGACAGAACACAGCATGTGCATTTGTTTCTCATGTCTTGCATTTCTTTGAGCGAGTTGCGTTAGGCCCGGCAGTATATGCTGACCACCAGTATATTTTTAATAAGATCGATTCATGTCTCCCAGGACTGCATCATTCATCCCGTCAATCTAATCCCGTCTATTTGTTATCCATCTAAGTTGCCTGAAGATATACCCAACTCGCGAAGCATTTTCGCAGGACCAATGTCCATCCACTTCTTCAACAGCATACTGTTCGATATTGTAGGCATACCCAGCATCCCAGCGGCATTCGCACCTATACCTTCAAAGCTACCTCTACGTCGTGGTATTACCGCTATCCACTCTTTGACTAGAATCATATTGTGAGGAATCAACGCTTTGTCATCTTCCTCGCTGATACGAAGCACTTGTCGACATTTCTTCAGCAGGTCGGAGTAAACATTGAATACTGATACGCTGTCTGGTGTGGATCCAGTCTTGAATTTGTGTACGAAATAGTCGTAGGGAACGGGAGTAGTAGAGTCTTTTATGTCAGGAAAGAAACGAAACTCCGATTCGCAAGCTTCCGGCTTTTTTAAGACTTGTAGGTGTTTATGGTTTCTGCTACATCCCGCGTCTTTGGTGCAATTGTACATGGCGAAGTGGGGGGTGTTTGTTGATTGCAGAAAGGTCCACGCGGCTGCAATATCCTCGTGATCCAAACACGTTCTGGGAACGGAAAGAGTCGACTGTCAGGAGCAGGTATTGAGGTCGAAAGACAGGAAAGATGTTCAGGGCTAGTATATGTGTGTCGTTGATGTTCTTGAGCACTTGATCTGGATGACTTCGAAAGATGTCGCTGCCCGCTCCAAATCTCTCTGGCTTTGGAAGATTTTCATCATGTTCCAAAACGTCGCCCACGTTCAATGGCTTTTTGGACCAGGTCGGACAGATGCGAAACTCGAACTACGCAACATAAGAGCCTGATTTAAGTCATTGTGAACGTAATTAGGTACCTGGAACCCCTCGTCTGTTGATTGTACTGCGCGTGATGGTCCATATGCGATTATCCCGAGTGAAGCCAGCTTGTCAAACCTGGCAAAGGCATCCTCCTCGTCGAAGCTATCGTTTGGCATCCTGGATTCTTTGGTGTTCGGAATTAGCGGTAGGCTGAGATGGCCTTCGGATCTCGCGTGCCAGGCTGAAATTCGCTTCCCTCATGCTTCGCTCGCAAATTGATTACTGTGGCATTTCTGCATGCGGTAAGAGATAGTATCAGGGCTAACGAATGGATGATTGGAGCGAGGGGGTTGGTCGCAGTTGAGCTGCTCTTGGCGAGTTGTAGCGAAGGTAGATGATTCGCTATAGGTGCGCCCGCGGAGGCAGGCGCTCAACACGGTTGGTGGGGGTTGTTCGCACGTAATATAGAGCAATCTCGTATCACAGATTCTCCACCCTAATACCAAGGGCTAGGAGTTCGTTTCACAGCAAATCGCAGTCTGTTTAGCTACTTCAACTGGAAGAGTTCTCCAGTAGCGGAATTCTGGCTCAGCATCTGTTCTCCATCCATGATGCCATGAACGTAGCATTCGGTCACAAACGTGAAAGCACCCCGGCAATCGTCAAGCCGCCGAACAATGAATGGTACCTCGCCTCCATGGAATAAACAAATAAGATCTCCGATAATGAAGCCTGAGCGTGCTAGGCCTATGTATCCTTTCTTCGTCACGAACATTTCTTTATCGGTAAGGATGTGTGCGATTGACGTTGAGAGTTCTTTCCATGCACCCTCTGGTAGATCAAAGATAGAACTGTCTGGTTTCAATCGCCAATCAGAGTAGGAGGTAAGGTATCGAGATCGGTAATTGTCTGCTACTCGATAAGATAATCCTGTACGATCCGCTGTCACCGTTCGTAGCGCAGCATTCGTAAATGATTCACCGGTATGAGTATAGATAGTCTGACGACTCAACCAGGCTACGAAATCCGCGAACTTCGTTGGCGTTAAGGGAGTTGGCTCACTGGTAGCGATTCCTAAGTCCAATTTCGCTGGTATAACTTGTGTGATGGTGTCAAAACGCTCACCCTTGATTGTGAGTACATCTGACTGTTTGTTGACAATGACACTTGCGACAGTATTGCCTGCAGCACGGAACATATGCTCAGGAAGGAAGCGAAAATATCTCTGGATGATGCCAGTTAAGTGATTCGGTTGAGTCCAATCAGGTACCCAAGATGGTAGCTCAAGACAAGTATTGGCAGAATGACATGGCTCAATTGTTGACAGAACTCGTAGATCGGACCGAATAGTAAGCCAGTGCTTAGCGCAATCGATATACACACGCTCGACTGTGTCGCTGTAGTTGACAATCAAGCCCCCAGCAAATCTTTGCGTACCTATTCCTCTTAAAGCATATACCTTGTCTCGATCGTCTTTGCAGAGCTTGTTCCGAGAATACATCAGCAAAGATTGGAGATCCAAAGCATCATCTCGCTCTTGGCATGGGTGATCAAGGAAGTGTTTCCGCCAGTCTCCCAGTCCTGTCACGATGATGGCGAGCGAGTGTGGATAGAAGCCGGAACCAGTAAGTCGGTTGAAGGCTCGTGAAAATTCAGTCAAATCCATGGATTCTAACCCGCATTGCACGATAGCAATCTTAGCAGCGACAGCTTCTTGTATGACCCAGCCGCGACTAAAGTATGGCCTCTCCAAGAATCTAACGATGGCCTCTTCCCTTTCCTTGCGTGTAGTGAGAAGATTACGGTATGTGGCACTTCCATCCGTAGTTCCATCTTCTTGTGCGAACTGTCGTAGTGTATCAAATGCCAGAGCCGTAAAGCCGTCAGACTTCCCTAACCGCAGTAAAACTCTTCTTGCACTGGAATATATCTCCGCCATTTGCATGACTTGTTCCGACTTCTCTTCATCATCGTTCTGATTGATGCAAATTGCATCGACCCAGATTCTCGTATGTGACGTTCCATCTCCACTCCGACTTGTACGAAGTTGTTGTAACGCATCGTGCAGATTTTCCGAGATAGGAAACGGTTGATCATTGAGATGTATGTTGATCCTTCCACCTGGGCTGCCCCAAGTGTACGATAAAGCCTCGTACTCAGGAGCTGTTTCTAGATCGGACGCTTGGAGACTGCCCCGTATATTACGATTGTCGAGACTCGCCGAGTGAACATGCGCCGGAAGTTGGATAAAGCGAGCGTATTTTCTGCCTCGTTCCAAACGAACTGAGTCGAAAATGCCCATCGTGCATGTAGCAAATCGAGATGACGAAACAGGACCCAGGAATTTCATTAGTTTGAGATTGGGAGAGTCGCAGCGCATTCAGGTCATAATGAAGACGGGGAGACATAAGGCTCTGAGGCTTCGCATCTTGTCTGATGGGCAAGCTGAGGTAGTCACCCAGGCCGCGGGAAGGGACAGCAGGGATGCCGTGCCTGCCTTACGGAGGTCATTGACCGCTCAAAAGCCACATGAGACGCCCCTCCACCGTGTTTTCGGCTACCCTATCCTGAGAGCAGCCACAATGTCCTTCTAGGCAGGTAGGGACCACTGGCCCTGTCTTCCGTGCAATATATAAAGCTTTACCCCTACGATTGTTATGCAAGCGACGGCTAGGAATGTGATCTTTGGTCGCACTGTCTTCAATAGATGATCGAGTGGCAATTATTCACTTCGTTTTCTTTGAAACGTCCCGTCCCCTGTAAGTGATCACGATAGAGAGCTACTGCTCATCTGTCTTTGATAAGCGACTACACTACATTCGAACAAAGAAGCCATTGGCGCGTATGATACAGGCGACTAAACAGTAGTAATTATTCTGCCACCAAAAGCAAATGGAATCCCGACAAGCAAGTAATTCGGATTAGGCTTACCGGTCTGCTTACTCACCTTCTGTTACATATGGCAGTAGCGAAAACGGGGGCCAACTCCGCGGAGCGGTAGCACGCGAGTCCTTGACCATACAAACTTGCATCTACCCGAAGGTGGACCACTCGTTGGCAAAAGTCGCGCACGATAATCACACAGATACGAGATGAGGAGCAACCAGCCTGGTTTGCGTAGAGTGATTGCGCAGCGTCGTCAGTTGATCCTACCGACCATTCAGGTTTTACCCAACTCTTGTCCGATGACGCTACCGCATGTAGCCTGGCGTAACCATACATAGACCTGACCCTCATCTCAGATCCTTGATACTGAGGCTTTGGTACAAGAACCACAAAATGTCCTCGCTACACGTACCGTTATCGGAAATACGCGATGTCGTCATGGACCTTGCCAAAGAAGCTGGCCAGATTATCTTGTCGGCAAATCCTTCGGAGTTCGACAACAAGAAGAACAGTGCGTCGCCAGCCTTGCGTTGAACCCATATGAAACTCACAATGACCAGCCGTCGATATCGTGACAGAAACGGACAAGGCTGTAGAGTCCCTCATCTCAAGCGCCCTGAAAGCCAAATATCCCTCCTTCAAGTTCATAGGAGAAGAGACGTACACACCAGGAACTACAATTACCGATGACCCGACTTTCATCGTTGATCCAATCGACGGAACATCCAATTTCGTGCATGGATTCCCCGCAGTATGTGTTTCCATCGGCCTTGTGGTAGAGAAACAGCCAACTATAGGTATTGTTTACAACCCTTTTTTGGATGAACTCTACACAGCAGTGAAAGGCTCCGGCGCGTTCGTCCATCACGGGTCAAAGTCGCAAAAGCTGCCGCTCCGGAACAGCCCCTTGAGAGGGCTCGGTCCCGCATGTATCGGCATCGAATGGGGCAGCGATCGCGAAGGCGTCAACTTCGAATTGAATTTGAAGGTTTTCACTACTCTAGCCAGAACCAAAGCCACTGGTGGTAGGTTTGTAAACTCTCTGCGGTGCACTGGCTCTGCCGCTATGACAATCTGTAGAATCGCGGCCGGCCAGCAGGACATGTTCTGGGAATGTGGTTGTTGGGCATGGGACGTTGCCGCAGCATGGTGCATCTTGAATGAGGCTGGTGGCATGATCGTGGATGGGCATCCGGGGAACTGGTATCCACCGATCGATAATCGAAGATATCTAGCGGTTAGAGCAGCGCCTGCCGGTCAGAAAGAAATTGTAGAACAGTTTTGGGGTATCATTGGCGAAGACAGGTCGACTTACGGACCAAGCTGAGGACACTAGCATCACTTATTCGTACACATACTCATGTGACGTACAGTGTATCAATCGACGATCCCGTCCTGTCTTTTCTCATGAGCAACAGACTCGTGAAATGCATCAAATGAGAGATGTATCTGTTGAGGTATTCGCCAAGTCTATGTAGAGCTGAACTCCACCCATGCATGCAACGCTGATGTTCTAGTACAGAAGAAATAAAATGCCGACTGAGAATTTGCACATCGCTAATGATCCGTATATGCAAGCACACCTGCATGCTGGTGACATCCGCAAGATTAGCCCTGATTTAGATATCCTAGTGTCCAAGCCATTTATTGAATATCACCTCATTGTTGTTTTCCGAAGCTCTTCTGCCTCTGCGCATACTCCTTGATGATGACAGAGCAGTTGACCTCCTGACACAGCCTTCTCCTCCTCACGGGATCGAGTTTCGATACGAACTCCAGCCCGCTCGCCCTTTCGACTACCTCGACCGGCACTTCAAAGTCCGTGAGCGGCTTGTGGCTCGCAATTACCGCGTTGGGCAGGACGAACGCGCCCAGCGCAACCTTCCCACCCTGCTGTCCATCTTCCGCGAAGATGACCTTGTAGAAGTGCGTCGGCACGGCAACGTTCGGCGGCGACCCGATAACCTCATATGAAACCCTCCACTTGCCGTCCGCCTCTTTCTTCGGTAGGTACAAAGGCCCAGTGACAATACGCACGGACGGATAGCTCTTCGTCAGCCTCCTACCGAAGTCCTCGAAATGCGCCCAATAATCCCGGTTGAACCCATCGCCCACCTGCGGACACATATTACTCAACGAGAAGGTATCGTCCATGGCTTCCTGGCTCCACTTCGCGTCTGCGGCAGGGACTTGGTGGCCGCGGTCGTAGCCCGAGCGGAAGTAGTCTTTGAGCTTTGCGCGGAACATCTCAGGGATGGAGACATCTTCAACGAAGACGGAATGCTTGCGGTCGGCGTTATTGTTTGCGAGCGACTCGGGAGTTATGTGCTCGGCGACCCAGTGGGGGTTGCGTGTGCGGCGGTCGAAGGAGGAGGTCAGGGAGGCGGCAGGACGGAGGTCGTTGACGGGGCCGGGGAAGCCATATTGAAAGATGCCGCTTGGATCGACCTGGATACCAAATCAGTACGGAACGTTGCTGTAGATCCTGGGTAGCCTACAATTGCTTTCGGGGCTGGGGCGTGAGGATGCCGTCCAACAGGTAAAGGAGGTGGAGGTGCCTTTGCTATGCCACTTGTAGTGGTAGTAGTTGTAACAACTGTTGGAGATGGTGTCTCCTTTTTTGTAGACCACAACGCCGCAGTGGCTGCTGCACCGGTGGCAGCTCCGGCCGCTGCTACGATCGCAAGGGTCACTTTCGACATCGCGATGGTAGGGTTCAGCCTAGGTTTTGAGGTACTTTGGGGATTTCGCGAGCGCAAAGGAGGAAAAGGTCACTTTAAGAATTGTCACAGTAATCAGCCGGCCGAGCGGCGCGTGAACAGTGTTTCACACGCGTCGAGTTCGCTGTGTACGATTTGCTGGCGCCTATCCAACAGGTCATCTGTCGTTCCTCCACACAGAAATTCTGGGTTAGCGCTGCGCTTACCCTTTGAGATCTAGCGCGTATCGGAACTTTTGACATCCACGCTCTTGGAAGGGTCAACACCATGAGATCATCATCATCGACGAAGCGCAAGAACGGCATTGTGACCTGTCGTTCACACCTCTGTACATATAACTAGGCACATGGCGCTCTCATAAGCTTTCTGCGTTGTCTTAGATACCTGAAAGAGTGAGCAGAGATGTCCTCGTGGATATCTCGGGCCACCGAGAATCGCAATGCGCAATTGATAACCACAGCGGTGGTGTCCGGAGTTGTGGTGGGAAGCGCCATCCTGGGCTTTCAAAAGGCGAGGCGGATGTACAAAGTTGCCGATTTGAAGGCATCAATACCAGATGTTGATGAAGAGCATCACGCGACCAGATTGACCGAATATGGCGCTGCAACCAACGCCTTTGCTCCGAGCAAAGAGGACAAGAGGAGTATGGAACTTGCAGCAAGAGCGCGGAAAGGAGACTACGACGACGACCTCATTCTCGAACAGCTTGCCCGCAACCGCGTCTTCCTCACCGACGACGGCCTTGCCAAACTCCGCTCATCCTTCATCATAGTAGTCGGCTGCGGCGGCGTGGGCTCTCATGCAACCGCCGCCCTCGCCCGCTCTGGCTGCTCCAACCTCCGCCTCATCGACTTCGACCAGGTAACCCTCTCCTCCCTCAACCGCCACGCCGTCGCCACTCTCGCCGACGTTGGAACTCCCAAGGTGCACTGCATCCGCCGGCGCCTTGAGCAAATCACGCCCTGGACGCACTTTGACTGCCGCAATGAGCTCTTCAGTGAAGCCACCGCGGCGACGCAACTCGCGCCTGATGCGAACGGGCAGACGCCCACGTATGTCATCGATGCTATCGACAATATCGAGAGCAAGGTCGCGCTGCTGAACTACTGCCACAAAAATGGGCTGCCGGTCATCTCCTCCATGGGCGCAGGATGTAAATCGGATCCTACGCGCCTGTTCATTGGAGACATCTCCGCTTCCACCGACGACCCTTTGTCCAAATCTACACGACGCCGACTCCGCGCTCTCGGCGTGAAGGAAGGCATTCCCGTCGTGTTCTCGACTGAGAGACCCGGGCCCGGAAAGGCGCAGCTGCTCCCTCTTTCGGACGAGGAATTCAAGAAGGGCGACGTCGGCGAGCTAGGCGTCCTGCCTGATTTCCGCGTGAGGATTCTGCCCGTGCTGGGTACCATGCCTGCTATCTTCGGCCTTGCGGTTGCGAATCATGTAATTCTGGCTATCTCGGGGTACCCCCAGGAATATCTCCCGTCGAAGAATAGGGATAGCATGTACGACGGCATTCTAGGCACGCTACAGGGATCAGAAGGCAGAATAGCGAAGGACTTCGGTTACAATCAGGAAGGCCTGCGAATTCCTATTACCAAGGACGATGTCGGGTATCTGATAGAAGAAGTGTATCATGGCAAGAGTGTAGTTAGCGGGCTGTCGACGAGGCTAGCGTTAGTGAGGTGGCAGAAGCCGACTACAGACTTTATTGATAAGAGGACGCCAGGACAGAACAACAGCCTGCTGAGAATGAATGACTTGGTTTGCATGACGAAGGAGGAGGCGACGAAGCACGAGAAGGAGGTCCTCAGGGGTGGGAAGATGCCCGGGGAGGTGTGGGATGGGAAGGTTGTAGAGGCTGTGAGGAGGAAGATGGAGGAGGAGAGCAAGTATGAGAGATTCAGATGATAGTGAGCACGATTGGAGTCACGAGGGCGTGGTTTTTGTATACTATGTATGCTAGTAGACGATACACTGCAAGATGTATATAGAACCATCATCACCCATCAAGCTGAACGCCACGTGATCAGTACCTCTGGAATTTACTAGAGATGATCATCATTACCACGCGAAGAGGCGCCTTTTTGAACGTTCACCCGCAGCCCTTCGTTCTATCACATGATTTCTGGATGTTGCTTGTTTTGGCGACCGGCGACACTCTCTCCACCCTCCCATAGCTCGAGTCCATCCCCATTATTGTCTCCAGTTTTCCACTCGTTCCACCGCAATATGTGTAGCCATACGAACGACTTTTTGTGCAGCACATGTATCTGTACTCCATGTGCTTTTCGCTCCATGCCAGGGTGTCTTCTCGCGTTTAGTCAGACCCTCCCCATGATTGTATATTTACGAAGAAGAAAGCTCGGCCAAGAGAAGAGTGTTTATGTTACTCCTGCTCCCCCAACGTTCTATACTCGATCCACGTCGAATTCGAGCTACTTATGACAAGGTCTCGCGGAAAGGAAGACTCAGTCAAGACAAGAACCTTTGTAATCTGTGCTCCTGCCTTTGTCTTGTGTGTCTTGTGCATAAGGCATACATTCCGGGCCGGAGTGCGGCCTCAATTACAACAGATGAAGCATACTTTTGTGGTGTTTTCTCTGATGTGGCGACGGGCGAGTGTCCTTTCCTCATATGTGCTAAAGAGCGATGGTTTTCCGGGGTGCTCTCGTCTTACACATGGAGATCATTTGAAACAAGTTCTAGAAGCTCAAGAGAAGCACATGTGTACTTATTGTCACAGCTTTTCGATCCCATCAATGTTGCCTCGATCGACTTTCATTCATCTGCAAGCGATGTGGTGTGAGAATAGACAGTTGGTAAGAAAGGGCAATTTATAGAGAAAGGAAAATGGAGAGCTCATCGCTCAAACTATAGTGGGTTGGGTGAAAGATTTCCCATTTGATGTTCTTTCTTCCGCATGAAGCATTGAACTCAAAATTTCGCGGTTAACCATGATCCATGAATTTTTCGACATAAGCTTTCGCACTTCTTCGCTTCTTCGCTCATGCTATATTTTTTTGACACACTAAAACGTTTAGAGCTTGATTCTTGAATTAACATCCACTTGTGAACTTAGGCGAAGATAGCGCTCCTTGCAAACAAGACTTAGAGCGCTTATTGTAGCGTTTTCAGCTTTTCTTCTTCTCTCTCATGGGCGGCTCCTTCGTCGACTTTTAGAGACACCTGATACAGGATAATATAGAACTCATCTTTCGGTCACTAAAAATGGATTCATACAGGCACTATTTAGACATCTTTTTGAGCAAACGGTTGGTTGGTAGAAGCGAAGAAACGTTGAATACACGAGACGCATTACTACTATCTAGGCCGGCGCCTAGGCGTCTCGTTCCTAGGCGTCACCACTCAACAGAACACCAACAAAGTCATACCAAAGCTATTTCCACGAATGTCCACGAGCTGCGTAACAGCACGTGATCGAAGTGCCGAAAGAAGGCGTCTCGGTGACGGGATTAAGCCGAATTAGGTAACGCGCGTTTCGAATCAGATAAAACGTAACTCGTCATTGATCGCGAGGGTACGGGTATCTATTGAAACTGACAAACACTGTCATCATGAAACTATACTCCCCAAACCCTTCACCAACGACGTCTACAAAGTGTTTACACTCACTCACCGCCCACCATCATTCTGCAGCACTCTCACTCTCGGCCGACTTGCTTCTGACGCTGCTTCTCGCAGGAGTTCTCAAACCTGGGTTCAGAGATTCTTCCACTAAGGGGGCAGTGTTGTGAGCCCTTCGCTTTGCTGCCGACCGCGAGGTCAAGTCCGACTGAGTACGCTTCCTCGACTCCGGCGACTTTGGAAGCTGTTGCAGCTGTCCTGGACTACTTTTGCGCCTGCTAGGATTTCTTCGAAGCGTCTGCTTGACAGCATGCCGAAGCACTTGACCAGGATTTCGCTGCTCCATCTTCACCCACTCCATGCGCCGAATGGGGATACCAGCCTCCTTGCAAAGCACGGGCAGCTGACGACCTAACTTCTCAATCTTCCCATTTTCTAGATCCCTTGTTTTCAGTGAAAGTCTGAGCACTAGCGACGCTTGCTCAGGACTCTCGCCTTTGAATGATGCTTCTCGGTCTGACTCGGGTGCTAAACGGCCTAACTCGATGTTACGTTTATACCGCTGAAGACGGTCCCAAATTAGCGCAGCCTGCGTTTTCCTCTTGGTGTTGATTCTCTCCCAGAGCTTGATGACTGGAAATGTTTCATCCTTAGATTCTTTCAAGAGCTCTTCTAGTGATTCACAAAGCGCGTTTGTGAAGGATAGTTTCCCAGGCCCATTCGTTGGATTATCCTGGGCTGATGCTGCAAGGAGTTGGTATGTCCTGAACTCTTCGTTCCTGCCTTTGATAGCGGCAGTGCTCGCAAAACAACAGTCTAGTATAGCCAGAGCATCAGCTGCAGCAAGGTTTTTCAGTGGATCTTCGGCTTTGTCCCAGTGAGCTGCTGGAAGGTATTCGCTAGTCTCTTCGGATTCTTGAGTGCTAACGAGAGTCAGGCTCAAGCTACCACAGCACAGTATTATTACTTACGCGGAAAGCTCAAGATGTTGACCATCCCCATCGTTGACTTGGTTCCCATGGCCTGTATAATATACGATGAGCAGATTGTTCTCCCCATCATGCTCGTTCACGTGTTTCAAAATCTCGAAGTTGAGGCTTATTTGAGGATTTTTATCGTTCTTGATTCTGGCGACTCTACAGCCAAAGCCAAACCCCAGAGTGAAAATGTTCTGGAGTCTGTCTATCTGCGGCTGAGTATCAGCTAGGGAGTTCGATGTTGATCACAGTAGGCGCCTTGTCATACCTCTTTGTCGTGACCCTTAAACTCGTCAATGCTCTCATCCCATCGGATTATCAATACTTCGACTTTTCGGTAGCCATTGGGGGCATCCAGTTTGAAGTTCGATACCTTTTGAAACAGTGTCTGTCTCTCTGCCTCGCGCTTGAGCTCTTCTTTTATCGCCTCGTCATCCGGGCGAAGGATAGCCACACTGTCGGCAAGCGTAGCCGAATTTTGACGCGAGATACCTTTCCGGACAGGGCTGCCACCGCCACTGGAACAATTGGCCATCTTGGCTCGTGACAAAGGCTGACGTGGTGCGCTCATTGTGGGCAATGTTTTGGGCTGATGCTCTTGAGGCAGCACAGCAGCGAGCCTGCTTTAAATTAGCATCCTATGGTATTGTTTGTCACCGTGACACACGCGTCGAAGGACCCCATGTGGCTGTGTCGCTATGGCTGACCAGAGCTGCCTCACATCTGTTGAGCAAGGCCAAACGTATTTGTTTGTGCAGGCAAACAGATAGGCTGTCTGCCTTGTATCCTGATTGGCTCTGAAAGGTCGACTAGGGTGTTGCATCTGGTTCTCCAACGCCACAATGCCGGCCTTCCAATCAGGCGTCGACTTCACCCTGCACTGCCTGTCGGCGTCTGATCATGCGTTTGTCCAAAGAGGGGTATGAGGCTCTGATTGAAAAGCAGTGGGACGGTCCGTCCCCAGGTACGGACAGCCAATGCATTTGATACGGTGGGTCATAAGTTGGCTCTCGAGGCTGAAATCATAAAAGAGTGACAGTCTGACCTAATTCCCGGCCTTTTCGTCTTCCTAGCACAAGCCGCCTTCCGCAGAAATATCACTGGCGAGCTGATTTAGAGCGAGACAAATATATCGTCAACTATGTCGCAACAGGTAAGATCGTACAGCCCCACTCTTGCTCGACACTACACAACCTTCCTCGTACTGACCGGTGCGCTTGGCTGTATCACAGGGGCCTATCCCAGAAAGCGAACGAAGCAAGTCTGGAACGACTCTCGACAAAACTGCTGGACCGGTGAGACTATCGCTGTCATCGTATATGGCGTGGCTTGCAAGGTGCTGACCTCTCTCTAAGCGGTCAGGTGCATTCAAGGAGGGGGATCCAGTGAAGTTGTTGGTTGTAAAGCCTAAAGCGGACGGGAATGGCACTCGAAAGATGTGGAAGAACTTCAAGATTGCGGGTTGTTTTTGTCCTATCAGCTCTTGGGAGTATCAACTGAAGAATGATGATGGCTCTCTGTACGACAATGGGAAGAAGTTTGCCGAGTCTTTGCTTCGAGCAGGCTGAGGCTCGGCTACAATTGTGTCTGTCGCATGCATGCAGAATTGCCTGAGGCTCGCTTATCACAGCCTTGCGCCCTGTCGTCTCGCAGCCTTGTGCAGCCATTGTCAGATTAAATAGCCTTTCCTTCCGTACGTGATCTGTTCCTTCCCATGAGTTTGTTGCATTCAAAAACAGTCCCAATGCAAGTATGTCGCCTATCAGCTCTTCTACCATTTCCGAGAAACAAGGATCCACTTACTATCAAGGGTCTGGTGACGCCATTATCGACATTGATAGCCGCACCACGACACTGAACAACCAGGCTGTGTCTCGTTAGTCTCCCAGCGGAACTTTGAAGACCTCAGCCTAGTGCTAACCATAAGCAGCCTGTTTACCTTCGCGTGCAGAGCTAGAGAGGAAGATAAGCGAGACTATCACAGTACCGCGTGAGCTTCGCCACTCTACTCAGCCTTGTGTAAATTTATTAACATTCAGTAGTGCAAGAGTATCCGCTAGGCTATCCTCTGCAAGCAGCCTTCCAGTCTAGCGAGCCTAGCTGGTCAATCTACCGTAGTTTCGACTACCTGCATTCCCGGGTCATACTAGACCTACAGGACGAGCTACGCTGCCTGGAAGAGCAACTGGAGGATGTTGATATTAAAAATGAAGGCGAAGAGCGATTGAGGTCGCGTAAAGATGACTTGAAGCACTACAATGAGGAAGAATTTCCAAGTCCGCGCGCAGTCTTGCTAGAAACAATCCGAAACAAGCTTGTCAACTACGGTACACAACACCGCGATGCAATACGTATTTATTCCATTGCTAATGGCTTCGTCAGATGAGATCTTGGCGAAGGCACGAGACCTTAACACTTTCCAGCGACCATCGAATCGTGACTATCGCAGCTTCCGCATATGGTTCCAGAACAAGAAGCCCCTAAACTACGAACGGGAGGAACAGTTCATAAAGCGCAGGGAGGACCTTATTTCGTTACGACAAGGTCGGGAATGGTCGGGCTTCGACGGTTTGGTGGAAACATGCATTCGAAAATTGCACTGCAAGCCCTTGCATGTAAGTCGCCAACACCTCAAAGAGTACGACGGCACTGACCAGCATGCAGTTTATCTTCGCGACCAAGGAGCTTCGCGACAAGACTAACGACAAACATGTCTTCTTCTATTCTCACCAACGCATCGAGAAACTCGTCGGACTCATTATCACATTCATCATCTTCATCCTGCTCGTCCTTCCTGTTGTTGCGATGTACAACCTAACCTCCATTGGAGATCGTGATTCCACTCTTGACGCAGTTGGCATCCTTGTCGTCTTTACACTTCTCTTCTCTGCGGCCATGTCTCTTCTCACAAAAGCCAAAAGGCATGAATTATTCGCTGCGAGCGCAGCCTACTGCGCGGTGCTTGTGGTTTTTATCAGCAACTTCAACAACGACGGAATTCGGGGGAACCTTAAGTAATTACTGTCTTGTACTTCGATTTCTCATCTCCTGTACAGTTCCTGCCAAACTACCTGAAGTCCGACACTCCCTTGGTCGCCTATCTTGCAAGGCTATTGGACGCACTGTATCGCTAATAAAGGTCTACTCTCAGTCTGTTCACGAAGGCGAAATAGACGTAGCCTAGGCTGTATATAATACTATGTACTGAAATTACTAGTTAACTAGTTTCTTTACTATTATAGAACGCTTAATACGGTACTATGATTGTACATGACTCAGCCCATGGGGCCCACCCATGCTTTTGAGCACGAGCGCTTTGACACAAGCAATCAGTCGGATATCTTTCGTGTTCGGTCGCCACAAGCACAGAATTCATGATTTCATTCTTCTGCGGTTTCCGGTACCTCCCAGACACTTTCCTCCACATGTTCGCTTGGGAGGAACCTTTTAGTACCTCACACGTCGAAACACTCCGATGCTCATGATGCTCGGGGACTCGTGAGGGACACTGCCACTATGTATGCGGACTCGAGTCTTTTGCGTCTCTATACTTTGGGAGGATAAGGGTAGTGCAGAAGCAAAGCTGCGGAAGAAAGGGTTTACATATGCCATCACCACGTTGAAACGCATCGGGGCGGACATCGCATGGTTAGTCTACATAGCGCACCGATCCGCTTATGTCAATGGTTACCTGCTCGTTTAAGACAGGACGTTCTGCCAAATTTCCGCCCAGTTCTGTCCAATTACAGACATGACTCCCGCAGATCGATCATCTTGAAACGTATCTCCGCAGACAGGTCCCCATAGTCCTGAGCTCTCAAACTTCCGGTCCGCACACACCGAATCCCATACAAGTACAGGAATTTGGTTTGCTTCACCACAAACTCTCATGATCAATACCGCACAGGGTTTTAGTCCCCGTCCACCAGGCAAGTAAAAGGTAAGGTGCAGAATAGAGACTGCAGAAGAGGCGGTTCATACGCGCGCAGTGTTCCTTGAAGGGTATCATGCCGGTCGGAGCTTACTAAACCCACCGAACCGCTCATATTCCTTATCATCTGGATTTTGTGGGACAGGGCAAACCGTGAGGGGTATTTGTTTTTAATCCCCTCCCGACACACAAATTCCCCTGGGTCCATAGCGTTGGGTCTTGTAGTCCACGCACAAAGGGAGCCAGGATTCCTGGCCTTCAAAACTTTTAATACCCACAGACTGGCTCCCATGGAAAATGATGGATTTGTTTTAGTCCACAGGACATGCACATAATACCCGGTAACTGCTCTTGTAGTCTCGGTCCACGGGCAAAAGTGGTGTCAAAAAGGACTGTACGACCCAGATCGAAGTTTCTACATGTGTGAGAATCGTGTTGAACAAACTTGGAAATTTTAGGTGCCGATTCCGGCCACAACCTTCCGCAACATCAAGTAATAAGCTGGAGAGAGTGCCCAGACAGGAAATGTTATGTTCTTGCGGGAATTTGACGTCCACACAGCGCACACCCATGTACGCTTAGTCCATGCTTCTTGTTCGAGACAAGACATCATGCCGTAAGTTTGCTGTTTGAGTCCCCCACGCATCCTCGTCCATGGGGCAGGGTGAAATGTTTTGAGTCCGACGGGGCCGGCCAACCCATCGTGTAGTCCCCGCACGCCGACTCTCATGAGGGCTTCTTTGTATAGTCTTAGTTCCGCACACCCACTCCCATGCAACCAGCGTCCACCACTTTAGTGCACCCCTAGCGAAGATACAAAGTGGTGTAAAGAAGAAGAGTGCAGGAGATAAGGGCATTTATGTACTAGGTCCCTGTACCAAAGCACATCAAACCGTTGTAGAGCTCTTCATGGACTGCCTGAGCTAAAGTGTTGACCTCAGTCCTCCGCAACCATGTGCTCACTCTTCAGTGCTTTTTGGACAGGTCATGCGTCTGCACTGCTGGTGATTCTAGTACTCCGCCCAGAAAAAATCCCATAATACCATGCGATAAGAGATTTTAGTCCCAGGCCGTCCCAAGCATTGTGGTGATTGCGCGAGACTTTGAGACAGGTTAGGGCGCCCGGATCGGTTCTTTTGTAGTCTCCCACAAGGCCACTCCCATAGGTTCCCAAAGAACTCAATTACGGACTCCCATATTCCAGTCCGGGGGAGCTTTTAGTCCCACGAGCCCGGCACAACCATTGCGTGGTTCGAAATTTTCTTTAGTCCCTCCACACACCGACTCCCACAAAACATCGTGAATCTGATTTAGTGCACGCGGCAGACCCATCAAGGGAGACTATCTTTCTTTTAGTCCCGGCCCACTGGACAGAATAGCGTGAAGGAAAAGAAGGCAGGAGAAGAACGGAGGCGTTTATAAACGTGACCACCGTGTCGGAACACATTCAGACGGCAGTCAGGCTCCTCAGTTCCCCACAGACTGCATGAGCGAAAGCTTGGTCCCAGCTTACCACGCCCATAACTTCCAATGGTTCGTCCACAGATTGGAGACAAGGAAATGGTGGTTAGCTGCTCTGTCTTTGAGGGCCACACACGGCCCCGCCCATCGAGGTTTCTGCCTGGACTTTTGTCTCCGCAAACCGAGTCCCATGTAACGACGGAGTGAAGATTTGGAGTCCACCCTCCGAATCACATAGGACGTGACAGTGTCTTTTTTTGAGTCACAGGCCTTCGCATCCATTGGAATTGGAGGGTGCAGCTTTTTGGAAGAGACATGTAGTATGCGCATTGTTGGTCTAGTCCCTCCAGAAGCTCACTTCCATAGTCGATTGCTCGCCGCCAGACCATGAGAAGATCGCGCGACATCTTTAGTCGCCGTCCACTAGACCCATCAAAAGTTCTTGCATGGATTTTGGTCCCGCCCACCAGCGAGTGAGGAGAAGAGTGCAGAGAAAGACTGCAGAGGAGGGGGGCTATATATATGAGCGCTATGTTGAAGCGCATGCGGACGACTTAGATTTAGTACCATAACCTCTGGGCTTCCGAAGCAGTCACGTGCAGCATGCCGAATAATGTGAAGTAATGGCATTAAGACCGATAAACGGACGTGGTATCAAGAAACATGAATCGAAAAAGCACTACCTTATATAGCTTACAGCTCAATCTGCTCCTCTCCCTCCTCCGCCTCTTCCTTTTCTACACTCTCCCTCCCCTTCATTAACACGTCTTCAGCATTCGGCGCCTGATCCAGTATGCCAACCTCCCCCAGCATAAACCTCCCCAAATACAGCACCGACTCAAGGATCTCGTTCCCCGTGGGCACGATATTATCCTTGGGCAGCAAAAATCCATAGCTCCCCGTATCCCGCAGCTTGATCTGGAAGCTATATCTGACTTTAAGTTCGTGGTAGAACCAGTCCAGCGCACTACCGCCGGCGGATTCGATGCGCGGGAAGATTTTCTTTCCGTCTTTGGCGAAAGCAACGTTGCCCTCGCACGCGGAGGTGACCTTGTAGGCGTGCCCCTTGTGGGATGTTCGAATGGCTTTGCCCAGCCCCATGGCGAGTTCCTCGAGGTCTTCGATGCTGGGCGGCTCCTCGTTGCATGTGTAAGAGTAGGGATACAGAATCTGCTGGCTATAGCTGTGCAGATCCAGAAAACCAACGAATTCCACATTGTTATTCTCTGTTTCGTTCTTCGCCCAATCGGCGAATTGTTGGGCCTCGACGCCGGCGAAGGGCGCATCGCCAGGGAAAGATTCAGAGCAGGGGTTCGTAGGCTTGGATTCACCGTCCCACTGGAAGGCGTAGCTGCGGTCGAGGTCGACGCCCTTGCAAAAGCGGAGGGAGGTAGGCTGGCGATTTTTGCGCCACAGGCGGTCGACCTCCCAGGTGTGGACGTAGCCGTCTGGGTTGAGCGTGGGGACGAAGACGAAGTCGAATTGCTCGAGGAGGCGGGTGATTTCGCGGTCTTTGCCGTAGGAATTGATGAGCGTCCAGGCGACGTAGTTTACGGTGGACGTCGAGATCCATTCGCGGGCGTGGGAGCCGCCAGCGATCAGGACGGTGCGGCGAGGGAGGACACTTTGCTGGGCGTTGGTGGGGTGGACACCGACGCGTAGGGCGGGGATGTCGCGGCCTTCGTAGCTTACGCCGACATTAATACGGCGGACGTGGGTGGTGAACATGGAGGCTATGAGACTCATCCAGGGAGTGATGACTGAGAGGGGTTGGTAGTCTTGGAAGAAAGGATGGCCTTTGCCTCCCAAGCGGGGTGAGGGCTTGAGGTTTGGGGAATAGTGATCGTCATCGTGTGATTGGGTTCCGGATGGTGATGGGTAGGAAGAAAAGATGGCTTGGGCAAGATCGAGGTCCTGCATGAGAGGGACGTGGGCATTCTGGAGAGATTTTGGGAGGAGACCAAGCAAGGATGGCAACTGGTGATATTAATAGGCAGCAATTGAGTAGGGCGAGAACAACATACCACATCCTTGGCTATTCTGATGTCGACCCAGTCTGAAGTGAACTCCCACACATCTAGGAATAAAATATCTGCGGCCTCTGCGAGAGCCGATGCCTCGTCCGGTGTGGTGATTTTGAAGCGCAACACGATGTCCTCGCCGTATCGTGCGATCAGAGAACGGTCGGGAGTCCCTCTCGCAGGTGGTGTATCTGTACCCAAGCTCTTGTGTGTGTCTGGAAGACCCCATACGTTCCTAATAATGGCATCTGACAGCTTCCGCCATGGCCGCGGGGTGTAGCTTGGACGGTGGTCGCTCGATATCGATTCGTGCGGGGCGGCGGCGATGAGCGAGGGACAGAGGAGCAGCAGGCTGAAGACGGCGACGGTCGGCCGGCGCATGGTAGGAAAACGAAAAATGATTACCAAAGAAACAGCGTACAAGTTCAGACGACAATGCGCCTGCTGGCGGCGATGGTGAAGAGCATGTCGCGTGCCTGGGAGTGGGTGGACCTACGTTTGGTAGCTGCCTGAGGCTCTTGGCGGTGGATCCCAGCCGGCTGGAACGTGGAACAGGGCCGCGCCGTTCATAGACACATCAGCTGCTGACCACATTGCTAGATCACTAGATGTAAACAACCCCTCAGGGTGCCAAAATACACACGCTGCATCCGCGGGCTGCCTCATTGCAGCGACCGTGACTCGTCCGCGCCGCCTGGCTGTCATCTTGACCTGGGCTGATCCATCGCGCTCAGCCTTACTGCAACGCAACCGCATCCACCCTCTTCCGTCCGCATCCCCGACCCTCGTCACAAGAATCCGTGTGCCATGTCCAGCGCCGCACGCCGCACGCCTGCGTACATGAGCTGTTAGGACCGCTCCAGCAATGCCTCTGCGCCCCCTCCGACCCAACCGCAGCGAGAAGGACCTCAAGCGCCGAAGCACCCTCGATCCCGCCGGCCTCTTCAAGCGGGGGGATAAGCTGAACAAGTCGGCAGAGTATCTGGGAGATGCGCGCCATGCTGCGTCCGAGGATGGCGGCGTGCGCCCGCAATCGAGCAGCCGTGTCGACGAGCCGCGGGAGTCGTGGACAGCCAACGACGAGAACCGCCCGCCTACGCCGCCCGTCCAGGAACACACGCCTCTGACCCGCCGCTTCAGTCTGATGCGCTTCCGCCACGCCTCCGACTCGCAATTGTCCATGCGCGCGAAGGAACAAGCTGCAGAAGACGCCCCGCCCGTTCCCGCAGTGCCCGCGAATGCATCCGACAGTATGTATCACCATGACGCACTACGGTTGCGACCAGTACTGACACATGTTGCTGCAGCGCCCGCAATCATCACCACCGCGCCGACCATGGTTATATCCGAGGAGCAAGGGGAGCAGGCACCCAAGAAGCGCGGTCGGCTGCAGCAATTGAGCTTGCGTAGACGCTCGTTCGACCCGAGCTCGGTGGACAGGCCCGGCATTCTGCGGAAATCGGCAGACAAGAAGAGCAGTATGGACGTGAAGAGGTCGGCATTTGGTTTTGGGAAGAGCAAGGACAATCTGCTCGAAGAGTCGGGGCGCTTGTCAACTAACCAGCGGCCAGACACGCTTGCCGAATCTGCTCACGAAGATGCGGAAGGCAAGTCTTCTCTGTCGCTTCCTGTTCCACGGCAATCAGATTCCTCCCGATCCGACGGCAGCTCTACCGGCCATGTCTCGTTTGAGAACACTCCCAAGCCGCGGCGCACGCCCAAGTTACACTCTGGCCGTAGCTTCTTTGGCCGCAAGAAACAGCAAGCATCGTTATTCCCTCTACCTATGAAAATCACCCCTCCCGAGTTTCCTGATACAGCACCAGCGACACCACGCGCGTCAACAAGCGGCATCAGCAGCGGTTCTGCTCACCACTCTCCTGGTGCCGAAAGCCCCCCTCTTACCGCCATACATGACCGCCGTCATCTGGAGAATGGATCGAGAGCAGCGCCGATGCCTTCCCCGTCGCAAGTGGCTTTGACTGCTGCAAACATGAATTTATCCTCACCCCAAGCAGGTGCGCTACTCCGCAACGACTCTCAAAGGTCCATACAATCCGCTCGCTCCTCGCCCCATGCGCCCAGACCAAAAATATTGGGCCTGCGGGGCCGGTCGTCCACTATGGGTTCGCTAGGTGGCTTATCCGATGACGATCCACCCCCTACACCGCCCTATGCTACCAGCGGAAGGAACTCGACGTCCACAGCGGGAAGGAGCAGCTTTAGCAATCTATTCGGGCTCAGTTCCAGATTCCGTCAGAACTCCGAACCGTATTCGCCCCGTCACGGCTCCCCCGCTCACGGTGGTACAGGCACCCCCGGTCTCATGTCTCATCAGAATTCGATGAATATCAGCCGCGAAGCATTGGTCATGCCAGAGCGAGAAGAGGGCGAGACACCTGGTCATTATCTGGAGCGCATCGAGGAAAACAATTTTGGCAAGAGCGCGATCGCTGCCTATTTGACGAAAACCGAAGATGCATTCCTGCTCGCGGTTCTGCGGAGTTACATGCGGAAGTTTGCCTTCTTTGGAGATCCGATCGACATGGCTATTCGGAAGCTACTCATGCAGGTTGAACTTCCAAAAGAAACACAACAGATCGATCGCGTTCTACAGGGTTTCTCCGACCGATATCACGAATGCAACCCCGGGATATATATCAATCCAGGTATGATTAACGCACCATCCGGTAAGGACTGCTCGCTAATTGAGCGCAGACAAGGCTTATTTCATCTCGTTCTCCGTCATCATCCTGCATACTGATTTCTTCAATAAAAATAACAAGCGAAAGATGCAAAGAGGTGATTACATTAAGAATTCATCTTGCGATGGTGTCTCAGAGGACGTGCTTGGTTGCATCTACGACAATGTTGTGTATACTCCATTCATCCACATTGAAGATGACGTTGATCTGAAAACCATTTCTTCGAAACGAAGCAAACGAACCGCCGTGTTGAAGGGTCCCATGAATGACCCAGCGAGGAAGGCTGCCCGCGAGCCCATTGATCCATATACCCTAATATTCGAGGGCAAGCTGGACGTTCTCCGGCCGAACATCAAAGAGGTGATGAATTTAGATGATCCATACAATTACCTCGGAACTGCACCTACTCTAGATACTAAGACTCTCTGGAGGTCTTTCTCGAGATTCGGTATCATTCAGATTGTATCCTCTCGATCCAGACCGGAAGCTTTCATGTCTCAAGACAGCCAGGACAATCCGCAAGAGAGCTCGGTTGGTATTGTCGAGATGCCCGTCACCAAGGTTGGGGTTTTGTGGAGAAAGGATAACAAGCGAAAGAAAACCAGGTCACCTTGGCAAGAATGGGGTGCTATCTTGACTCGCTCGGGTCTTTCACTGTTCCGGAATTCCAGCTGGGCAAAGAATTTGATGCACCAGCACGAGCAGCATGAAAAGCAGGGCGACACAAGTCCGGTCCATTTCCAACCGCCTCTACAAGAGTTCAAACAAGACCACATGATTCCAATGGATGGTGCGGTCGCGCTCGTGGACAATACGTATAAGAAACACAAGAACTCGTTTGTCATGTTCTCCAGGGTTGGCGAAGAAACGTTTCTTGCGGATAGCGAGAAGGACTTGAATGACTGGCTGGCAATGCTAAACTACACTGCTGCCCACGAGACACTTGGTGTACGGCCGCGCGGGCTGCAAGGAGACCTCTATGAAGGACAAAGGAACCGGGCGATTCGACGTGGTGAATCCTCGGCGTCGACAAAGACACTAACCTCGCCGACAGGAGAAGTAACGCACCGCAGTGGAGCCATCGACAAAGAGCTTCAGGCACAGATGCGCCAAGCGCGGAAAGATCTGATGCAAACCCGCATTTCAGAATCCGAAGAGCGACTAACCGAAGCAATAAGGCAGCTAGAAGGTCGATTGAGGGACGCTCGGCATCTTCAGATCCTGGCACCTATCCAGCCCAAGACCCGGGAACTTGTCATACACGCAGCAGGACGATTATCGGCCAAGCTCAAGTGGGCCCGTATCGAAATATGGCGCATGAAGTGTCATCGAGATATCCTCGCACAAGTTTTGGAGGATGAGAAGCACACACATCTCGGTGCTCCAGCGCCAACCGAACGCGCTACATCCACGTCGCAGGCGTCTGATCACAAATCGTCCAGAGCATCAAGGATTGGCAGCCTAGCGCGCCTCAGCTCGAAGACGAGTTCTCTGACCAACAACGCGAAACCGCCCCTTTCACCAACATCTATACGACCAGAGACTAAATCTTCGCGAGACTCCGATTTCGGTGTGGACGACATGTTTAGGACGCCACCAGAAACCACACACTCCAGTCCCAACATGACACCGACTCCTTATACTCTCCCTCCGATCAATCTTAGCCCACGAGTATCGGCACACCGACCATCCAAGACCAGCTCAATGGCCCAGAGTCCTATTCTTTTCCCTAACGACCACCGTCCATCCATATCTACTGCCGATGAGTTGGCCATCAGTTCCGATGGCGCGTCTGATGCTGGATCGCAGTATACAACGCCACCACATTCGATCGACCGCCAGAGGCCTTCTGTTGATGTCCAGAGGCCAGACCCCAGAACACCCGACCTGCCAACGGATGGACTGCGTCTGGACAATGACTCCGAGTCAGAAGCCGATCAACCACCAGCTGCGTTGACAGGGTCGCCCGAATCACGCTCCAAGGTCCGTAGGAGTCTGCACCGCACACTGCGAGAGTCGCATGGCAGCTCTTCGCATCGCCGTGGGCATAAAGCTAGAGACTCTGCGTCAACCATCATGAGCAATGAATCGGACGGGGAGGGTCTAGCGCGCACCCATGGAAGCTTCACTGTGCATGGAAAGAAAGCTTCTGTCATCCAATTCGGCCCTGATTGGCACAACACGTCTGCAGAAGAGCGACTCAAGACCAGGAAGCAGGCGCAGGAGGCCATGGAAGAAGCCGGCTCTGCAGACGAACGGGGTAGCAGTATCGTCAGCGACAGTGCTGTGGCCGCGCGCGAGGGTGCTGTGGCTGCGCTTGCTTCTACAGCGATGGAGACCGCCGCACGACTGCCTGCGTCCAGCGAGGTTCGCAAGCAACGACATGTCTCCTCGCAAACGATCACACCTACTAGCTACAAGCAATCTCTCGAGGGTCACGAGAGCGATTCGGACGCTGCATCTCAGATGAGCGAGATACAAGAGGAGTCTCAGCGGGAGTCGCCCAAACACTCTGAGGAGGGTCCACGACGCGCGTCTACCGAAGAAGAGCACTCGAGGACGCACCTCACGGGCCCGCAGTCGCAGAGCGTTGAAGCATAGTTTTGATTTTCATTGCATCTTGGATTTCTAAAAGCGGGTTTGTTTTCAGCATTTCCCCGCCACCGATCCTTCCATATCCGCATCTCCTTTCACGATAGCAGGGCGCAGGTGGGGTTTTGGTTCAGGCAACAACGGCCTTTCTCATTTGTTCTCTTCGGTGGATCATACCCTGGGCGTGGGCTGTATATGCATAGACTTGATATGAGCGCGTTGCTCGTTTACTTTGAGGGTCGGTGGAAATAGCTGATTGGTGATGCACATATAGATACCTTTGATGTGGAATGGGATGAGGGCATATTACCTGAAATGGAGCTTTTGCTTAGCACACCATCGCTCGCTTTGAACCATCGCGCAACGGAGTGACCACATGCTTACGACCGCTTTGGGAAGACTACTTCACGTTTCTGGCAGATGTTGTTAACGATCAACCATGCAAGGACATGTGCTGGATTTCCGTGTTCATATTAATACATTGCATTGCAAGGGTCCTCTATTTATTATATCTTGCTCTCGCTCTTTGCCTTGCCCCTCCAGCCAGTGAGGTTCTGCCCGCCATCGACCTCGAGGACGTTTCCTGTCATGTGGGCGCTCGCTGCGAACGGAGGTTAGATCCAATTTACACAGATGTGACGATCTGATAAGGGAACGAAGGCACTTACCAAGACTACTCAAGAACAACACCAGCCCTCCAAAATCACTCGGTTTCCCGATGCGGCCCGTGGGCTGTCCAGCCTCGAGCGTGTCCCTGAACTTGCCTAGCCCAAAGGCCGTCATCCTGCTGGGGAAAACACCCGGGCAGATGACATTCACCATGATGTTCTTTGGTGCAAGTTTCGAGGCCTGCAATTTGGTGAGGTGGATACATGCGGCTTTGCTCGGGCCGTAGCTGTATGTTCCTGTCCCTGGCTGCGCGAGGCCCCCGCTTTCACTCACGGTCACGTCTACAGTCTGGATGCCTGCGATGCTAGCCACATTGATAACACGGCTGGGGAAGTCTTTCGACGTGCCCTTCAGCAGCAGAGGCTCCAATCCGGCGGTGACGTAAAAGATAGATTTTACATTCAGCGCCATGAGTTTGTCCCAGCCGCTCTCGGGGAAGTCGTAGTAATCTGCGCCCCAGGTTGCGCCGGAGTTATTCAACAACACCGTCAATCGATCTGTTCGTTTCTTTACTTCTGCGCAGAGTGCGAGACAGCCGGCTTTGTCTTTTAGGTCTGCGACGACGTACTCGCACTTTCCGGGGCCGAGGGAATTGAGGCGGTCGGAGGTTTTCTTGAGCTCGGATTCTTTGCGAGAGGCGATGATGACGCGGGCGCCGTTTTGGATGAAGGCTTGGGCGGCCATCTCTCCGAGGCCGCTGGCGCCGCCGGTTATGAGGGCGACGTGGGAGGAGAAGCTGAAGAGCTTTGAGGCGGAGAGGTCGTCTGCCATGGTGATGTGATCTTCCTCTGAATGTGGGCAATTGCGGAATGGTCTCTCCTCGCGTTGAAAAGGTTGTAAGATTGGTTTGAGGCGATTCGTAGAAGGGGAAAAGAAAGAACGAAAGACCGAACGTGATGTTGAGATTGGCGTAGCGCGATGTTGGATGTTCAGAAAGTTACCTCGGCTGGGGAAGGGTGTGGGGTAGCGGCGGCGATATGGCGGAGATAAACTGACCGAGGCATCTTTCGTGGTGGCTGCTCGACATCAACTAATCCTCCTACCTTATAGCAGAGGTGTTTTTGTATGAAGCCTTGTAGGATGGGCGTGGAGATCATATATCTCACGTCCCAGCGTCCTACATCAGAAGCTGAGATAGCGGCGAACCGTGGCTTTTCTTGAGTCTGTGACAATGTCGCTTGCGAACGACCAAAATGTGAAATATTTGGCTTAGCTATATAAAGTAAATACATTTGTTTTATCATACTGATCAATGCCACATGTTGCTTCAGGAGACTTGAGAAATCCAAACAAGGGTTCTCTCACCCTTCTGATAGCTCATATCGAACAGAGAAAAACCGAAAAAACCAAGCTCGTCGAGTACAAACAGAAGTCACAGTAGATGATTGCGGGTACAACATAGTAATAATTCTGATGAACTTACATGCCCGCCGTGGGGCGGCTTTTGATGCTGCGAACACATCTAGACAGGAAAGCTCGAAGCGGTGTAGGCCAGCTTAAGCAGCAGTGGACTGAGCCATGTACAATTCCGGAAGATCATTCAAAGCTGTCCCGCTGTCGTTCCGCTTTCCCTCAAAGTCCACTACCTTGAGCTTATCATCTTCTACCTTCAGCTTCTCCTCTCCCACCTGAAGCTCGGCAATGGCCTCCTGCGCCATCCAGGCGTAGACTTGCTGCGCGGCCTTGGGCAGGGCATTTTCACCACCCTTTCCGGCCTCGATCTCCACCATTTCTGTCGCCCACGCGCAGATAGCGGCTACGATCTGCTTGACCTGCTCTTCGGTGTTGTGCGCATGAATGGTGATCCTGACCCTTGCTTTGCCCTTTGGAACTACAGGGTAGGTGATTGGGAAAGCGCAGAAGCCGTTGAGACTAAGGTGGAACGCTAAGTAGTAGTTGTATTGTTGTTTGGTCCAGATGGGCACAAGGTGGGTGAAGAATTCCTTGTCCTTCCAGCCCTCGCTGACAGGAACACGTAGAATGCCCATCTCGTTAGCTTTTCCCCATATCGGATCGGATGTGATCGTGGTGCAGAAGAGCTTGACGAGATGCTGGACGCGATCTTGTACTTCTTTCGTACGGCCGGTCCGCATCAGATTGTATGCAGAGCGGATTGCCGCTACTCCGGTGAAGGGAGGCGCTGTCGTGTAGATGATCGAACGGGCAAAATTGAACATGGCAGTCCGGACGGTAGCGTTGCATAGCAACACTGCTCCTACGGATGCCAATGCTTTACCGCAAGGATGCAGTCTGATTGCGAAGTCCTTTTCCAGGCCAAGCTTATTTACCAGGCCTGCACCTTGCGGGCCGACGACACCCGTCGCGTGCGACTCGTCGATGAAAAACTCGATATTGCCTAGAGGGAAAACCTCGCGCCCGGTCGCTAAGAGTTCCTTTAGAGGACAGACATCCCCATCCATGCTGTATACCGACTCGACCGAGACGAGAACACATCTTTGACCTTGTCTGATCATAGGCTGAGAATCCTTGATGGCTTGTAATTGTAATCGAAAAGAGTCCATGTCGTTGTGCCTGAATGGCACTCGAGTGGTTGCGAGACTCTTCTTCATGCCGTCATGAATACTAGCATGGACAAGTTCATCATAAACGATGGCGTCCCCAGGTCGTGGTATCGCTGAGTAGATAGCGAGATTGGCTTCGAACCCTGATCCAAGGATGAGGGCGTGCTCTGACCCGTGGAACTCTGCAATCTCTTGCTCGACCTGCTCTAAGTATCCGTAGTTCCCGTCAAGCATTCTTGAACCCACTGCGCCGAGTGGATGATCCGGATAACGTGCAAGCTCCTCCATATATTCTTTCCGGAGCATGCCACTGTTGCCCAAAGATATGAGATCATTCGAGCAGAAGTCGACGGATGCATTGTCCTTCCATGTGTCTCGGTGGATCGAGTATAGAGCATGGTCCTTGCGGCGAGAGTCCAAAGCGTCTTCTAGATTGCGATAGAACGCTGGCGCATCTTGCATGGAAGGAGCTTTCAGCTTTTGGAGCTTGAGCCAATGGCTAACCAGTGGTGCAGTTTGGACTGTCATGATGATGATGACACAAAGAAGCTGTAGTTCTATATCAAAGGTACGCTAACTTATGAACACAGTAGTTCCGTGAAATGAAGCAGCAAGCCGTGATAAGTTGGCGTGCTACTGGAAGAAGGAATTAGACGGTTTATTTTATACTTACATCAAGTACGTAGTAGCTAAAGTAAAGCAGCCCCAGTCTTGTCAAAAATCGCCTGCAACCCTTGGAACTTGAGTGGCGTCTTCGGATATCATCAACACCCTTCGGTTCATCTTCAGGTAAAACATTTCGGACTTCTACATGTCGCGTCATGCCTGCTTTCAACATCACGTTGCGCAAGTTCTGCCTCGAGCATCGCGATACTGCAGGGAAGAATTGAGGGTGCTAGGGAGGTGCAGGGTACCGAGTACCATAGGTACTGGACAGGTTCTGGCAGGCGGCTGCAACATGTGGGTTGTAATCCGAAGATCGTGGCCAGGGCCGGTGTGGCCTACGATGAGCTGATAGGACCCCAAAACGTGGCGAGGGACCTGTTTTCGATTGGGTGGTACATATTCGTGCGAGTTGTCGTCTCAGACGCATGTATATTAACCGGGCGTCGTCGCAACCTTCTCACTTCGAGGCGGGCTGAACAGCCCCCACGACGAGCGTACATACTCTACGATCGGCTTAAGCCCTAACTCTAGGTTGCAAGGCTGCATTGGTACTTGCTTACAATCTCGTCATTTGCCTCCGATTCGTGCGTCTGGCAGGGATCTTGCGATGAATGTGAGATCGAATTTTTGGAAGTTCTCGAAATACGACAAGATGACTTCGACTGTTCGCATAAACGAATTAGGCGTCAGCAACCTTACGAGAGCAGCCGTAGATCGCCTTTTCATGTGAGAACTTCAGTGTTGCCTGATCAGAAGCGTTAAGTGCAGGTTATACGAAAATTGGCTGGAACCCCGAAAGGGAGGGTTGACGCGCCATCTGACTGGACACCGTCGACATGGTATGTTATTACACACCGAAAACGTTTCGCCTAAAAATAATCCGATAACCCCACCAGGTTCAGTTGTGGAAGCGCAAAGGAATGTTATGCTGTCAGCAATAGGCCTCTTGATGTGAAGCGCATCGGCCATAATCCGGTTGGTGGAATCATCAGGCACGTCGGGCGAGGGTTGATGTTGATAATACCTTCCTCAAGGCGCCCGTTACCAAGACCAACCCCACTTCTGCTCACAATTTTGACCGCGCTGCCCGAACCACCGGTACTTGTCTCATTACGAACATGGTCCTGACACCAGAGGAGCGAGAGGCGTGGTTAGCGAGGCCAGCGATGGATCCGCCTCCCGGCATGATTTCGAATTTCGAGAATCCCTCAAGCTTTAGGTCGAAGAGCTTAGGGATGATTACATCCCTGCTCATCATTGTCACTGTCGTGTTCGCGGTATGGGTGTACACGAAGACCAAAGTGCAGAAGAAGCTGCATCCAGAAGATTATGTCATTGCTCTAGCATATGTCAGTATACGACACAGTTGTTGTGTGTATCCAACTAACGTGTCTATCTAGGTGGAGTTTCTTGTTCTCACTGGTGACGGGTACATGATGTCCGAATCAGGTCTTGGGGTGCACATGTGGGACATGACAGTCCGCACCCAGACCAAATTCTTCAAGGTATGATTTGTTCTTATCATACTTCAAGGGACATAACGAACAATTGTACAGCAGTACTATGATGGTATCGTCATCTACCTTGTTAGTATGGCGACCCTAAAAGTGGGGATCATACTCCAGGTCCTGCGAGCATTCATGCCCGCAAATACTCGAGACTGGACATTTTGGGTCGGGCATGTCGTGCTTTGGATTAACGTCACATACTACTTTGCCATGGTTGTGGTTGAGTTGAAGACCTGTACCCCGCGAGCAAAGGAGTGGGACCCGACAATCCAAGGAGGCTCATGCATTGGTGCATCCGAAGTTCGATTTGTTCTTGCGATGTTGAATGTCGCTACCGATCTTGTCATTATCGCTCTTCCCCAGCGGGTCATCTGGAGTTTGCATTTGCCTATCAAGCGGAAGTTGGCACTTTCGGCACTTTTTCTGGTCGGAATCTTGTAAGCGAAGGCTTGTTCAACGCAGGATTGCTCGCTAATGCAAGATCTAGTTCTATGTCTTGTGGATGCGTGCAGATTTACTACGGCATTGTCCTCGCCACAGATAAGTCTGACAAGTCCTACAAGATCTCTAACAACGGCATCTGGGCTTTGCCTGAAGTCGCCACTGGTCTTCTTGTCGCATGTCTACCCGTGCTTCCAAAGTTCCTGGGTGTGATAGGAAAGACAGCCACTGTGTCCAAAATCGGTACATCGATCAGAGTATTGCTTGGAAGGTCTTCTGGAAGTGGTAGTAGCGGTAGTCGAAGCCGTGGCATTGGGAAGAATGATGTACCTACTATAGGTCAAGCGCGCGTAAGGCAAGCTGGTTCTGAGCCTGACGACATAGAATTTGCGACCCTCATAGATACGAAGACTGATACGAGGCCAGGGACGGGAACGGATAGTAGAGTTTGAGAGGATGTCTGGAGAAGTGAAAACAATTCCGAGTCTGCTCGCGGATTTCTTAGATAGACATCAAAGAGTTGAACAAAACGAAGCTCACAGATAGATTAGATCATGATTGTATTAAAGTATGACAATACAAGGGTCATCTTGTAATGTGCGCTTTTGCTGCATCTCATTGCTCCAGTTGAGGGGGTGTGATAGCTGATCGTGTCAAGGAGTGCTGATCACTTTCTATCCTAAGATACTTACAACGTCGGCAAACCATGCACTCACAGCTTTCCGGAGGGTCGAAACACCAAGTACGGACCATCATGTGTGGCAATGAGCTGATCGCGGATTTTGAACTCTTTTTGTGCAGGATCGGGGCTCATGTGCGTTTGTGTTCCATGATCAGGGTGTTCTTCGAAATCAAAGTACCATAGGGTCTTCGCAACCACAAGGCTAATCTCCATGTAGGCCAACGCTTTACCAATACATCCACGTGTACCAATCGAAAAAGGCGAGAAAGCAAGCTGCTGAGTTTTGTTCGCTCCACTCACTGTTGCTGTCTCGCTTCTTGGTAGGAAGCGTTCAGGCCTGAACTTGGACGGATTGGGAAAGTATTCTTCGTTGTGGTGTATCGCATAGATATTGATACCCACCACAGTGCCGCTGGGTATCACATGGCCATCCACAACAACAGATTCTTGAGAGTCCTCAGATATTTCCCTCCACAGGGTTCCAGGTGCTGGAGGAGACATTCGTAACGCTTCGTCAATGCAGGCTCGGAGATATGTGCAAGTAGATAGCTCATTGTGCTCGATCTGATCACCGCGCGTAAAAGTTGAGCGAATCTCGTCGATGAGCCGAGAAGCGCACTCCGGGTTCTGAGCAAGGTAGAAGAATAGCGCAGCGATAGCCGAAGAGGTAGTCTGTCCACCGGCAGGAAGGAAGAATTCTGCTTCTGCGAAGAGATCGTTTTGGCTTATCTCGTCCCCGGTCTCTGGGTCCTTAATGCCTGTGATGAAGGAGAAGAGGTCCTCTCGGGCGTCCTTGCTAACAGTCAAGCGGTCCGCGATCATAGCCCTCAACGCTGTCTTATATCTCTCTTTGATGGAGAAAAGGAATGGAAGAAGGAACGCATCAACGCCGAGATATTTCGACAATGGGTATTGCATATGGATATTCGTGCGATACATACCGGCTTCCATTCCCTCGGCGATGAAGCGATTTCGATCGTTGGTCTGTAGCTTCAGAGAGGAGCCAAAACCGAAAAGTGATGAAATGTCAAGGGCTAGGTACTTGCAAGCAACGGTCATGTTTACCGGCTGACAAGATTGAGCAGCCTTTTTAAGATTATCTAGGTAGATTTCGATCTGGGAAGTCATTGTGGGCTCAAAGCGACGGATACTCTTCTCTGAAAGACCGGTGCTGACTATCTTCCTCCTGGAACGATGGATGCGCTTGTCCAGGGCACTGAAGACACTGTGGACGTCCGGTTTTGATTGAGTCATTAGATAGGCCTTTGATTTCCCGAAGGCTTCGTTTCGGTAGATATCTGTCACGTCAATCCTATTCTCATAGTCGCGATCGTAGGGGCGTACCTTGAAGCGCGGTGGCCGAGTTGAAAACCAATTTATTCGGTCCATGCCGGACGACGTTACCTGTACATCGACATGAGCTAGGGAGAAAGAAAACAGATGTGGTCCACAGACCATATCGTTGGTGATCTTGGAGTGTGGTGTAGTGGAGGTTCTTTCGTAATGCCTGCACTGCCCCGTACCAATCGGAGAACTTTGCTAAGAATGGTCCCGGGTATTTCGCGAGGGGATGGAGCAGTATCCGATAACTGTAAACCACAAGGCACTGGAAGGCCGTTAGGACATTCGTTCTCTCCTTAACATGAACTAGCTTACTCGCAAGACCACGAGTAAGAGAGCATAGTAGACGATCCAAGCGGCCGCCATGTTGAGCACTGCTCACGATCAAGACTTAGAACAAGGTGAAGCAATGAGCGCCTTCTGATGGCTCGGAGGCTTTAGGCCATGTGTAAAGTCGTGTAGAGTAGTCGCATTGGACAGCGACATATCGCGGGTCGGAGGCCAACCTCAGAAGCTTGGGCGGTTTCACCAGCATGCGGGTGCGCGGCGTTTGCCGCGGCCATGTCACACATATGTCACCACACCCATGGCTCGAATTTAGTAGATTGATTGCTACCCTAGTATCAGCCTGCAGCCGGTGATGTCTTTCGATCGAAGGGCTGCCCTTTGTTTGTCCCTTGGCGCCAAATGTCTTTTGGCCCCCGCATAGATTAAGGTCCGCTGGGCCAGAACTCTACTGCTGATCTCTGCTTCGCCTGCACAGTGACTCCCACCTACGCCTCAGTATCGGCCAAACAAAAAGTCCCATCACAGTTGCTAATACGGAGTCTACCAGTCCGAAACCTCGTTTAGGAGATGGGCCAATCATATTAGCGAAGAGAAAACTTGCTTCCAGCGAATCATTGCACAGCGCGAAATCACCTCTTTCTGTACCTTGAATGATTCCTTCTGCTACTTTCCTGGCAGTAGGAACCTTTTTCGCGAGCTCATCAATGGATGCAGTCGTTCCCTCAATCTGCTTGGTCAAAGCGGGCTTCAGGCTCTGTTCGGCCAGGAACTGGGGCGACATGAAGTTCGAAGGGAACGCGCAGTGAACGGTGTACGTACTCTTCGTAGACGAATAGCGCATTATCTCCATTCTAAGAGTGTCCGCAAGCGCTCGGAGTGCGGCGCGGGCTGGGTTGTACGCAATGTAGCCCGGCACTGCCGCAAACGCTGCAGCACTGTTTATGAAAATAATCTGTCGGTGTCTCGCAGGCTCGTTTGGAGACTTGGGAACAGATTCTTTATTCTTGTCGTCATTGATCCAAATCTTCAGCAAGGCTTGGGCTGCGTATGCGGCGGTGAAGTAATTACTTTCCATGCAGGTCTCCAAGTCTTTGGCATTGAGGTCAGCGAGGAACCCAAGTTCCACGTTGCATCCTGCTGCACAGATCAAAGTATCCGGGATCTGTGGCTGTGATGCAAAGACCGAAGCGACCGCAGCTGGATCGCGAAGGTCAAGTGATACTGCGTTGATCTCTTGATTTGGATGCAGTCGTTGAGCAATTATGTCGCTTTGTGCAATATTCAGTCGCTCTTTCCTCCTAGCAAATATTGTAACGTGAGCGCCTTTCGAGGCAAGCATCTGGGCCAACTCTTGCCCTAAACCTTGAGATCCGCCCGTGATAAAAACATTCTAAAATATTATTAACTAGGTGGCGAAGCCATGAAGAAGACACCTACCTTATGTCGGGTCGAACTATCAGGAGCCATATTGGGTAGGTTCAAATTGAGATTCCAAACAGGCCTTCCGGAGTAATGGTCAAAATACGCGAGCGCGAGAAGGCAAACTTCCAGACACTCAGCTCAGCCCCTACTGAATTATCTTGAATTAATGATTAGAAGTGCACACCGCAACCTAGAACGCAGAAGATCCAATGGTCTGGTAGACGTGGGCCACATGCAAGCCACAGGGCCTTTTAAGCTCGGACATGCACAGAGACATGGTTTCATATGTATGATATATTGAGGTGTGTTTGGTTCTGCAATGGAGACAGGCTGTATTGCCCGATGCATGTAAGCCTTGGGCCGACGAACCTTGCGTGCCACCCTTGCGCTAATCAACCTTGCTAGTGTTAGGCTACCACAACCAGTTCCCTCATACTTGCTTATCAGCTGATAAACGGGTCACTCCAGCCATGTCGATGTGGATTGTTTCCAGGATGGTATAGATTCGGGTTTTGCGGGATCTGCCTTGTCTGAAATCCGTCGCCAAAAACATCAAACATGAACTAGCAGGCTGAGTGGCAAGCGGAACCCCACGTCACCGTTGGACCCCAATGAATCCCCCTGTGAAGTCGAGATACAGCCTCCGCAACTTGGTCCCCGCCGCTCCGCGAGGCCCTATCCATTCCATTGCACAATGCAAACTTGCGACAATGGCGAAGAGCAGATCGAAAACAGACTGGACGCTCGCGAGGGCGAAAAAGAGGGTAATGCAGATGATGCAGGCCGCTTAACAAAAGAACACCTCCATCAAAGAACCGCATCAAAAAAGAAAAAACCTCTATCGTTTTATCTTGCATTTCTTGCTTTGAACATCAGTACAGTTGTTGTGTCCCTCGATGCCACAGCCCTTGCAGTAGCAATTCCAGTATGTTTAACCTTCAAAACATCTCCCTCCCACATGTCGCTCACAATGCCTAGATAATCACTCGCGAGCTCAACGGAACGACCTTGGAGGCATTCTGGTCTAATCTTGCTTTCATGCTCACTGTTGTCATCAGCCAGCCAATCTATACAAGCGTCTCAGATGTCATCGGGCGCAAACCCCCATTCTATACTGGCTTCGCGATATTCTTCGTTGGGTCTATAGTCTTTGCTCTAGCAAAAAGCATGCCAGTTCTGATTGTTGGTCGTCTACTGCAAGGGCTTGGAGGCGGAGGCCTGGATGTACTCAGCGAAGTGATACTAGCCGATATCACGACGCTACAGGAACGTCCACTGTACCTGGGTCTACTGGCGCTCCCCATGGCAGGAGGTGGTGTGTGCGGGCCTATAGTTGGTGCCGCTCTAACTGAGTACGTAACTTGGAGATGGATCGGGTGGATCAATCTGCCCTTGTGCGCTTTGGGATTATTGTTAACTGTCTTCTGCCTCCGTCTGCAACCTCTTGATCAACCTGTCAAGGATCGTCTTCGCCATCTCGATTGGCTAGGCTTGGTGGGATTCGCTGTTGGTTGCACTGCCTTTGCGCTGCCACTGAGCTGGGCTGGCGTTTTGTATCCTTGGTCATCCTGGAAGACTATACTCCCCTTTACTATGGGCTTTCTGATATTGGTTGCCTTCGCCTTCTACGAAGCAAAGCCAGCGGAACCTATATTTCCCCATCGCATTTTCTCCAGCGGAACAGCTGCAGCAACAATCGTCGGGGCAGCACTACATGGAATGATCTTGTATAGCGTCATGTTATACGTTCCGTTGTATTTTCAGTCAGTCATGCTGACCACCTCGATCAGATCAGCGGTCTTGGTCTTACCTGGAAGTGCTACAATCATCGCCTTCAGCGTTCTTGCAGCCGTCATTGTCGAGGTGTATCGGAAATACCGCTGGATCATCATCTGCAATTGGGTGATTGCATCTTGCGGCGTCGGACTGTGGGCTCTATGGTCTCCCGAATCATCCGTCGCTCAAACAACCGGCTTACAAATTTTCGCTGGCATCGGCATCGGAACGGTCTTTACGATGTTGACCATTCCCAACCAGACAAGTGTGACAGACGTAAATGACTGTGGAATCGCGGCCGGTGTTCTTGTTTCCTTCCGGTTGTTTGGTGGGCTGATCGGCCTGGCGATATGCGCGGGAGTCTTCAACAACGTCTTTGAGAACAACATCTCGTCTCTGACTTCCGTTCCGCAAGAGCTTGAGCTGCTTAGGGATGTTCGAGAAGCTGTCAGCTTTATTCCTGCTTTAAGAGAGATCGATTTGGAACCTGATTTGCTGAGCCCCATACTTAAGGTGTACAAGCAATGCTTCAAGGCCGCATTCTTGACACTCGCGGGTACTGGGGTTCTTGGGCTTTTAACGTCGCTCTTTATAAAAGATTTGACGCTTGAAAGGACTGAAACCGGAAGGCAGCTATTTGTAGCAGAAGCTTGTTAAATACCAACCCCGTCCTAAAATTACATGCTCTTCTTCCAAGAAGAATACTATACAGTGGTTTCATTGTCGCAAAAGCTACGCCTACAACGCACTAAATAAGCAAGCAGTACCAGTGGCAGACTGACCGATCCAAAGGCTAATCTGAGTCTGCTCGAGAGCATCGCTTCTGAACCAGAAAGTCACATCACCCTCTCCCCTTGCTTCAAGAGCGTAGCGTTGAACGCCGGAACCGTTACGCCAACAGCCTTCCCACCCTTAATCTCGAACACAAACTCGTCCAAGCTAACTCCGTGCAACTGGAACTGATCAATGTATCTCCACGTATCGCAAGTCGGTGTCCCAGCATCTGCCAGCGCGCTAACGTCCTGGAAGCTCGCTCTGAATACCATCTGCTTCCCGTCGCCGCCCACATTCGTCGGATATAGCCGAAAGCTCAGATTCTCCGGGTCGATACTATTCAGCTCAGCATACGCTGCTCTTATATCCTTATCCCCCAAACGGAAGTGTGACACAGAGAGCCCTGGGCTGCTATCAGTCGCCTGCGCAACAACCAGCGTCATGTTAGAATCAGAAACATAAGTCCCAGCGTACGCCGTCGATGCCTCTACAATCGCACTCTGCTCCAGTGCAGGTATCAGCTCCGTAGCAATAATATCCGCATGCGCATTTAGATCTGGGCTTCCCTCGCTATCCGCAGCCAGGATAACAAATCCCATGTTGTAATCTGGTACCAGGCCGATGTGAGAGGCGTACAAGCCTACGTTGCCGCGGACTTGATAGACTGGTATCACGGGGGAGATCGGCGTATCGGACAGAGAATAGATCTCCCAGGGGCGACCCACGGAGTTGACAAGGTTGGATGTGTGCGAAACAGGTTTGAGCCAGCGGCGTGTGGTCGATGGAGGGAGGAGTGTGGAGGCGAGGACGGCGCGGAGGGCGGTGGACATATCGTGCGCGGAGGATGTAAGCCCGTTGTACGGACCTTCGATTGCGTTGAGAGAAGCGCTTTGCGAGGGGTACGTTAGAGCGGTACTGTTCTGCGTCGATGGTTGGAGATACGTTGTTCGCGAGAGGTTCAATGGTTGGATGATGGAGCTCTCGAGGATTGACTCGTATGGCTGGCCGGTTATGGATTCTAGAGCGTAGGCCAGGATGATGAAACCGGCGTTGGAAAATATTGGAGTTGTTCCGGCTGCGAAGACCGGGGCGCGGCGGCCAAAGTACGACAGGAAGTCTGCGCGTTCGCAAGCTGCTGAGATAGAGTCGCAAGGAGCTGTAATGGTCGCATTCGTCAAGCCGTTGAGCAAGGACTCAATTTCGCCAGTCATGTTGGATGGAGCGTATCGCCCGATGCCTCCCAGATGCGCAGCGAGATCTCCGAGAGTTACGTCGTCCCAATCGACTGATATACCAGAGGCCGTGCCGTTCGCAGCATCTAGGAGTTCTGGGACCCATCTACTGACGGGATCAGTCCAGTGTTGTTCTCCAGCCTCTATGAGAAAAAGCCATGTCGTGAACAGCGTCGTCGAGTCACCGATCTGATAGACAGTATCTGCGTCGACTTCTAATGTACCGGAAGTCTCATTTGCAAAGGAAGGTGCCGTGTGATGATACTCGTACAAGAACGGTTGCGTGGAATCTGTATCTTCGGTCGAAAAGAGAGCGACACTGAAAGATGTGCTGGAGGATGTCGGCCCGAAGGTTCCATTTAAGCTGGTCACGTAGTCGTCAAAGGCGTCTGTCAAGTTCTTTAGTCCTGATTGGAGTATTGGTGATGCTGAGAGCTGTGTAGGAATCGGAAAGCGCGGTCCCAAGAGTGGACAAGGCGAGAAAGGGACGTCTTCAGCGTAGACATGCTTTGTAACTAGCGAGAGAAGTATGACGGATGAAAAGGCCTTCAGAGCCATTGTAAGCGAAGAGAATAGAAAGCAAACACTATGAGCTCAATACTTAGGAGAGGAAAACCGCTTAAATGCAGGTACTTAGTGCTGGCATGGTTCCCTCCATAATCAAATGCTCGTCGCGGCCTGTGGATCTACATTACGATTCGTAACTAAGATTGAGGCTCAGTCTTACGGACATCTCGTTTTGCGGGATGCCTACGACCACAGCCATCATCTTCACCCTGAAGAGACTTTCCATCCGACGCTCGTGGTTGATAAATGGGGATAGCGAGAACGCAGAGGCCCAAAAGAAGTCTGAGAAAGTTGGCATGTAGCTTGCGTCCTTTGATTGGTTCGGAGAAGGTCAAAGGCGGAGCCGTGTCATCGATGCACAGACGCTAAACCATTTCGGACTCACGATGCGACGTCTCACTGCCACAATCTTTGAGCGTTGAATGCACGTCGGAAGAGCAACCCTTTTCCACCTCGTCTTCTCTCTGTGCTTTTTGAAAATGCCAAACGTCGGCCGTCCCTCTAGAGCTTGTCTGACTTGCAAGCGAAGAAAAGTCAAAGTATTATTCGCCGGGTCGTTCATTGGCCGCACTGACGAAGATCCATAGTGCTCCGAGACACCTCCCAAATGCCGTTGCTGCGCAAGACTAGGCCTTGTATGCGAGTGGAAAGATGTATCGGTGTTCCGTCAACAAGAAGACTGGGCAGAGCGGTTAGTCGTGCACAGAGTGAAGCAAGCGAAGTTACGCCGCGGCGATGTCCCGGTAAAAGCATTAGGAGCGCTAGCACCAGAGCGTCCATTACCAAAGCAGTCGACGATCAATATGGAGAACGCTGCTCTGCATCGCTTTTACATGGAGTATGCGTACACATCAGGGACCTGTCCATTCCTGTATCTTGTTGCGCCCATGTTTGAAGAATCTTCGACGCCGGCATGCCTTCACAGTGCAGTGCATGCTGTCTCTTTAGCGACAATGGCAAGGCATCTCAAACGTCATGAGGTCATGAAAAATGCACAGGGATGGTATGGGAAAACTTTGAAGAATCTCGCCAGTGCGTTGAGTCAGCCCAAGGTTGCGAAGCATGATGGTACTCTTCTTGCTGTCGCCTTGCTAGGCTTATACGAGGTAAGTCATATGTCCAAGCGAGATCGATTTCCAGTGTATAGAAAGACGATCAGCTGAACCGCGTCACTAATTCTAATGTACGGAACGTCACACTGACACGAGTCTTAGACAGTCATCTTCAGCGGTACCGCAGGGAAGAAAGAATTGAATGACATCCATAGTAAAGGGCGCCTAGCGGTGCTCCGTCTGAGGGGACCAGAACAGCTGTCAGGAAAAATCGGACGCAACTTGTTTACACTCCTCTACCATCAGCAACTCATCGGATCATTCTTCGACGGCGGTGCAGTCATGGAAGAATATCCTGTTTGGATGAAAGAATGGTATCCAGAAACACCAGTGTCAAGACTCGAGACCTTGATGCATGAAGTCAGTGTCTTGGTGTCCGGGGTGAAGAAGGCTATAACCAAAAGGCACACATCTACATTGAGGGATTTGCTGGAACAAGGTAAAGAGATGGAGAATACTCTGGCTACCATCGTCGAAGAACTTCTTGGATCATGGCCTCACCCCGATGTGATATTAGCACGCATGATCGGAAACGAATGCGCAGCCGATATACCCCAGCAACTCGAGTTCGATATTGAAAACCTGAATCCCAACGATATGAACAAATACCTCATGATCACTCGAGCGCTTGTTGCAAATATGTTCCGCGCAATACGTATCCAGCTTCTCCAGGCGCTCAACTCGGCTGTACCATATCTTTTTGAAGCAGGAGTCGGTCTGGACTTGGATTTTGCTTTGCTCGTTGAGCGTTCGAGCCAAGTCATGATGCGGATCGCCGAGAACATCTGCAACGACCTCCCTCTCGCCATTGGTGACTACGACGATAACAGTCATCCGCAGATACCACGCATCCACGGGCGCGCGATCAGAGCCTGGGCCCAACTATTCCCTTTGGAAAGCGCAATGAGCGTGACGTGGCTGTCAGATCAACAGAAAGAGCGGCTGACACAGTTGATGGAGTACACCATGGGAATTTTGGGGATGCACATGCATAATAAGGCTACAGGTGATGTAGACTACACGGCATTGATAGCGGTACGGCAACTGGAAAGTAACGGAGCGTAGAGAACATCAAATTATAGTTTCTATGAACTTTTGAACGAGATGTCATTTCGCTGAAGACTATTCACACGGGGGAAACTTAGGATTGGGGCGTACGCAAATGAAAATTACATGATCAAGCGCACTCGCTGATTGGTCATGACCACCTGCGGCGGTTCACCAGATTGTGAAAGCCAAAACGTAGTAAGGTAGGATCCCATTTAGTTATCCGTTCTGACCCAAGAGAGCGAGCAGTGTACTTTCCGACTCTAGCCGTGGTCCAACCATAGCTCAAATTTCACCGTGCCGCAAATCTCAGATGCCACCTCTTGCGAATGTACAGCATGATACTGTTAGCTTTATCTCGTGATAAATCATGACGTTCGCCCACTAATCTTTACTTTCACGATCCTCAGGGCCTCCAAGGATAAAAGTGTCGCACAGCTAGGACATCTCCCTCCGAGGGTTGAGTCTTCCTGTGTATGAATTCTCCGTTAACGGTGGAGAGTGGGCATTGTTCGGGACGGTTGGTGAAGCAGAGCTGCCGGTCCATATAAGAGCTGCTGTCGTAGTGCATGATCGAATCAACGTCGTAGGGCGTAAGAAACGTCATTGGCAATGGCCACGGCATGAACTGCGTTGATATAAACCCAAGGGAGCGTGCAAACACATAATCGGTGCACAAGCGGTTCTGTGCCTCTTGCATACTCATGGTCGGGTTCTGGACGAATGCCCTCACCATGGTAGCTTGGAAGCCTGCCAATTTATCGCAGCGAAATTTGACGTGGGCGTCACCTAGAGGAGTTATTGTCATGTGACTAAGAGTGGAGGTTTATTACCTACGATCCGAACGCTGATGCTCATGAGGGAATCCCATGACATGACCAAACTGAATTGCAGAGTTAGCTTATGCTATTAAATGCGTGAAATTGTGTGTTGTCTCCGGTCCGACCTACCTCGTGCGCTAATGTAGCCTGCAGAATATCTGGTGGATCAGGTCCCGAGACAAGATGATGACATCCTGGCGGCCCTTGTGCCCAGTATCCCAACGAAGACTTTGCTCCGTCCTGTTGCTGAAAGTGGATACTCAGGGCACGTTTATCCATTGCACCGTGCCATGTTCCAGGCTGCTCGAAGCTCTGGTAGTCGTTGAAGTAGCAGTACATTGGTTGACCATGTACGTCTAGGGCTTCTTCAAAGGACAAGCTATGACCATTTTCCGCAGAAGCAAAACCGCCGAGAGCATTCCTCCATATCTGTATTGCAACGCCAATGCTGTGACTGAGCTGCGTCCGCGCGTTGATGTTGGCGTAACAGTAAGTAATCTTAGCATTTGTCAGTTCAACGTCCCAGAAACGTTTGATATCGCTCCGACCATGACACTGAAATTCAAGGATTTGAAGACTCACCTTGCCACCGGGCCATGTAGTTCGAGGACCGCCGGTTAACGCGTCGGCGGCACGCTCGTGGAGCTTGATACCGTGGGTCGTGCAGTTGTCGTGAGAGCCCCAGCAAGACTCCGCGCCGACAAGCGACATGATCACGCTCAGCGCAATGAGGAACATGAGTTTCATCATTCCGAAGATGGACATACTTGTTCAAGTCTAGATTCTGTAGCTACTCAATAAGTAATGGAGCTCATCGTGGCAGATAGAAACTTACTCGAGGGGTTTGGTAGACCGTTGAATCTAGCTGAGCGAGGGGCTATACGGAGTGTTCCTGTGTTTTTGACTTTATATAGGGCAAGGGGGGTGAACAGAGCACACGCTAATAGAAGGGTCAGCCTGTTTGAGGAATGGTCTGTGTTCGAATGGTTGAAGATTTCGTGCACAGGGCAAATCCAACGACGTCACGCGTTATCGAAACAGAGAATTTAGGTGCATACATTCTGTAGTAAGCCACTACAGTCCGTAATTTGACTGCTTTGTTTCTGCCTGCGTTTATACTTGTAGTAATTCAACGTTCATCTGCGTGGCTTCCCGTCCGGGCAGTAAAGGTTCCGTGCTTCTGTCAACCCCTGTAAGTCATTCACCCCCGCTGTGCTGCAACTGCAGAGCTTCAGGCGCGTTTAATTGATACTTGAAAATTCGACGCCGAAGTTACGACTGTACATGTGGGTACATTCATATGGTTCGGTCCATCATGAACGTTGAGATGATGAGATTCTGGAACAGTTCGGGAATCCAAGTGGTGAGGTCGCGGATAGGTTTAATGGTGTAATCATCATCCAGAAGTGTCATGCTCAGTGTTGATGTGTAGAGAAAACTACCATCTATTTCTAATTCAGGATTGAGATCCGCGGTATTGGCGCATTCTGCATAGCTGTATCTTCCCTTCTAGCCAAATGCCCCTGGAAGTAGTGGAATAGCCCTCGTGCGTCACTTTCAGGTCCTAAAGCTCCTGCTCAACTTTTTGAGGCTCGCGATTACACCCTTTGTGGTAATTGCTCGGTAATGCGGACTGCGTTACTTTCAAATTGTATCAATGCGCGCTGTTGATGTATCTCGCTGAGAGGCCATAGTGTGCTTGTGAGTGCCCACAAACGATCTGTAATAGACTAATATCAGTTTCTTGGAACAAGCTACAGAGTATAGAAGAAGTATCTACACGAGCGTAACTCGTACGTAGTTGTAATGGATTAGAATTAACATGTTCGTATGATTCTGCATATGTGACATTTGGAGACCCAATGCTCGAGTGGCCTCATTCCGAGCACTGTAATGTATCGCGGCAGAGCCGTACACATAATATGAGTCTCTCGTATCATAGCGGTCGCCGTAGAGGCCGCAACGACGTCAATGTGTCTTTCTTTGAATTTCCAATGAGAAATTACTCATGTCGACCTCCGCATTTTAGGGGTCAAAACTCGGAGCAACGGAGCTCTGTGTGTAAGAGCAGTTGAATCCACAGATTGTATCTGACGATATGAAGGCGATATGACCGGACATAATAGTCTATTAAATTCACTTGTCTACACAGGGTGTGTCCAACATCTTCTTGCCCAATCATCCCCAAGACCAGAATCTGCCTTAGGAGTTGCTCAAAGTTGGTACATGGCAGTGTTGAACTGTAGTTCTGTGGTTGGCGAGCGATTCGAACGTTGAGCGTTCCAGGTGGGAGTATAGCAGCGAGAGGCAAGCCCCGGCGCAGTGCGCTTGGTATCAGTGCTAAGCTTACTGAGGCTTGTGCATGTCAAAAATGATAAGATGGCTGATATCGGTGACGGTATCGGGACGAGTGAAAGCTGTTGGCTTTTTTTCAGCCAGTGAGATTCCTCTAATATGAGCGAATTATGGATTTGCCACGTTGTACCGGTGGAAAGACGATCCGTATAGATGTGTCAAGATTGAAGTTCTCTTGCCCATGGACTCTCCGCTCTAATGCACAAATCTGAAGTCCAATCGCCTGCTTGCTGTATCGGTAGTAGTCTGAATGTAATTGATACGCTCCTATACGTTCGTTAGCCCACAAACTCGATTAGAAAACCACGACCGTATGATGACTTACCTCATACGACATAGCCTTCCACTTCCGATCCCGATCCTTGTTTTTCCACACATAATAGGCTTTCACAAATAGGAACCAGGCTATCGAGGTAATGTTGATGATAATCAGGTTGCGATTACCACGCCTGTAGTATGGCTTATCGTCCTCACGATAAATATTCGACCCGATGACACCTCCACACTGCACCATCATATTGTATAGCGCGGCGGAAACCGATCGCGAACCAACATTATTCGAATTCGTTGAAACCCATCCAACATTGATAGCATGGCAGTACGGGTAACTAAGAAGAACGGTGATCAACGCGTATGTGCCCCACTGGTTCTTGATGAGGTTGGGCCAGGCGTAGAGCGCAATGACACAAGGTAATGTCCATAGGTTCTGCCAGATAGCGATGAGCGCGCGTTGGTTAAGCTTCTCGCTTATCCATGTGATACTCAGAAGAGTAATAATATGGAAGACTGCAGACGGAATGACGAGGAGTTGGACATTGATGGTGGTAAAGCCCAGAGACCGTAGAACCAGGGTCTGATAGTAGTTTACCGGAGATTGAGGAATAAAGCATATGAGGCCCACTATGTAGAGTGGCCAGAGATCATAGTCTTTCATCGAATTCCAGAGCCTTTTGGGTGTAATGGCCTGACGGTTGTGCATGTCGCCTTTTCGGGGATCGTCACGGAGGACTCGGTTGACAACGATTGTGAGTTCTCGGTCGGTAAACCAGCCCTTGGGACGGTACCAAGTTTTTGTTTGAACTGCTGATGCTGGCATGAGGAAAAAAGACGCGATACCGATGAGTAGGGTGATGAGTCCTTCGAGCAGGAAAAGCCATCGCCATCCCGCCAGACCGTTAACGCCTTCCAGATGGAAGATGGCAAAGGCAAGTAAGGATGTAATGATTGTGGTGACACTCAGCGCAGTCCAGAAGAAGCTCAATCGGATTGGTAATTCGCGACCTGTGTAGAAGTAGGACAACCAGAGCACTAGATCGGGGATGAAACCGCCCTCTAGAATTGCTAGAAGAGCCCGGGTTGCCAAGAAACTGGTCCTGCCTGTCAAAGCCGCTTGGCTCATAGCAACGATCGACCAAAGCACCTATTTTCGATGAGTATTGCTTTTGTAGTATAAATTTCAGTGTGGCCACAGCTTACCATCTGGGTTGGAATCCATCGATCAGGACCTATCTTCTTTGACAAGAGCTGAGAGGGAAGCTCGGCGAGCAAGAATGAGACCAGAAACACAGTGTTTCCCGTGTTGTAGTCTATTGTTCACTGAGCAAGACATTCGAGAGAAATCTACGAGAGAGCAACAACGTACCATTTGTGGTCAGCTTCAAGTCTTTGAGGAAGGTGCCAGACACAGCTTGGGTCAAATTGCCACGATCAACTTGCAGACTAAAGAACATGGTGCATGCCCAGAAGCATACCCGCAAGTCTAGCTTCCGTATAACTCTCTTTTCTTCTTCGTCTGTCCAGGTGGCAGTGGGGTCGAAGACATGTCTGCATTCGTACTTCGCTTTTCCATACACATCTTTATAGTAAGCCGCAACTTCGGGGTCCGCAAAGATGTTGCCGGACAGACTGTCGTCGGAGTCGTTCGAAGAGAAGACAACACCGTCCTTGGAGATGACGTTTCCTCTCGCAGTGACAAGTTCTGCGTCTTTCGCGATGCCCTGCGGTGGCTTGTTGCCGGGTTTCTCGATGGATTGAATGGAGACAGTGTCCGCCTGAGCGGCAGTTGGAAGTGCGTCTTCGACCGCAACGCTCGCCATGACGATTGAGGTGTCCGAACTCTTGCGAGCGAGCTGGATGAGTCTTTGGGGTCCCCGGAGCCATATATATATACATTGCAACATTGCTCAAGCACCCAATCGCGTGAAGTATGATACCAATTTCGAACGGCAGTAGGTCCATAGCCATGCGTGTAGCTCGAATAATGGAAGATGCTCATTGCGTGCGCATGCGGGTCATGCAAATAATTCTGAGACCCGCTTCCAGAGCACAATCGGCCCGGTATCCAGGAAAGATTGGTGGATTAGGATATGAACCTGAGCAGCCCAAGACTATTGCAAGCTTCGCCCGGTATTATTGGCGGAGTGAAGCTTTCGACAGGCTTTCACGGTCGAGCTTCGACGCCTCAGGCGCCAATAGCCAGCTCAATATCAGCGGCAACGCTCGCGCGAATCGGAGATCGATGCATCACGTCGTTTTAGAAGATATTGTGCTATCGCGATAAGCGTAGAGAAGGCGTTTTGTTCGGTATTCCGAAGCGCTTTTATTCGTCACCCCCGTGCCTGGACTCTCCAAGAAGACTGACCCAGGGATGGCATGTCCAGAAAAGCTGCCCAGGTGAGGTTTGACTGCACCGACAGTAGTGACCGGTTGATATGGAAGAGCCTGCAGTTAGATAGTATCCGCGTCCCGATCTATTTGCCCATGTGTTGGTCTTTGCCGCAAATCGCATGTTGAAGCTTGCTCTGCGCTAGCTCCGAGCTTAAGTTCGTCGTCATCAACCCCTCGAAATACGCGATATTGCGAATCGAATGCTGGCACTTGCGCAACAACACCGCACACCTTCCCCGAATTATATCAGTATGCACGCTTGAGTAAAGGGCACACACATGTTCGTATCCGAAACCACTCGGACGGAGTTGCGTCCGAGAGCCATGAATGCCGGCATCGGATAAGGAGCGACAGTGTCTGGTGATCTAGGTTCCTTGGAGGGTGCGAGCCCATATAAATACGTGTATTGTTGACAGTAATGCGGCACATAAAATCGTACTGTGAGAAACATGGCGACAGAATTCATCGGCCAGGCAGAGACCGCTGTCTCAGCGCCCATTACGCCCAGAGAGTTTCCAGAGCGCCTCGCTATCCGAGCTGACTCTCCCATCGAGCAAGATCAGCTTGATGACCAGAAAATTCCCGTTGAACAAGAGAAGCCAGTCGAGCAGGAAAAGTTTGTCGAGCAAGTCAAGTCTGTAGAGCCAGAAAAGTCAGTCGAAGAGGTAAGATCGGTCGAGCAAGACAAACCCAAGATTCGCCGCGTCATCGACGAAGAGGGTGGCAGCACTACCGCAACTGTAAGCGTCACCGATATATCGTTGATCTTGACTGACTATTAGAGTACCCGCACTATTTGCCAGTATGGGACCACGGTGAGAAGTACCCACCCTGGGAACGATTCACCCATACCGAGCATGGCAAGGACGCCGACCCCAGCTTCAAAGACCTCCTCGTCGTCGGTTCGAAGCTTCAACATCTCACTCCTTCTACTGGGTCCGAAGTCACCGGCGTCCAGCTGAGTAAGCTTAGCCACGCTGGAAAAGACCAGCTCGCGCTTCTTGTCGCACAACGCAAAGTCGTTGTGTTCAGAGACCAGGATCTTGCAGGTCTTCCTATTCAAGAAGCTCTTGAATTCGGTGCATACTTCGGAAGGCATCACATTCATCCAGTGAGTGATGGTCGTAGGAATCAAGTGAGACATACGCTGAAATTAGTACGATGCCAGACAAGCGGTGCACCTGAAGGTTACCCAGAGATCCATCTGGTTTACCGCAACGGTGGCAACGGCGAATTCGACAGCTTCCTCGCGAACCGAAACAGTGGTGTAGCATGGCATTCAGATGTGACATATGAAGAACAGCCTCCGGGCACCACATTCCTGATCATCCTCGATACACCAGAGGTCGGAGGTGACACAGCGTTCGTAAACCATGTCGAAGCGTATAATCGCCTTTCCCCAGCTATCAAGGAGCGCCTTCACGGGCTTACAGCGGTTCACTCTGGATTTGAACAGGCTGAGTTCAGCAGAAGCCACGGAGGCGTCGTGCGACGCGAACCTGTGAAGCACTCTCACCCGCTGGTCAGGACGCATCCTGCCACTGGTGAGAAGGCACTGTTTGTAAATGGCGGCTGTGAGTAATATTTCTTCATTTGCACAATTCTTGACTGATCAGCGGTAGTCACTCGCTCTATTGATGGCCTGAAGAAGGAAGAAAGCGAGTATCTGCTCAAGTTCCTGCTAGACCACATTGGTCGCGGTATTGACTACCAGGCACGCGTGCGCTGGGCGCCGAAGACCGTGGTAGTTTGGGACAACAGGTTGACCTCTCATTCAGCGATTGTCGACTGGGTGACTGGAGAGCGCCGCCATCTTGCAAGGATCACGCCTCAGGCGGAGCGACCTTATGAAACGCCGTATGCGGCGGAAGCCAAGTAGTTTCGAACAGATTCTGTCATCCATAGCGTATCAAAGTTGCTATGGATCTATTAAGCCTTTTTTGGCGTTCTCATAGAAACACTGTGTGATCAGTGAGCCAGCGAGCACAACGCAAAAGGTACACTCACTGTATCGTCTAAGCGATTTTTTGCACAAGACTGTGCGGATTCATCTGCAGCCTCCACTTTCCAAATGTATTCGGCTAAGAGACTCCTTGCCCTTGTCGTTCTCGACGCAGAATAGCGTGTTCTTTATAAGCTATCCAGCGATCTAGCCACTAGATCCAGTGCGCCTCTGCGAAGACATCACTGAATGCAAGGTCGGCAGATATCTGACCGACATGAAATCCAATTGTCTTAATTCCGCTCGCTTTCAGAACGACATGATCAAGGTTTCCAACTCGTATCTTGCCGTACCAATGGAATTCCAAGTGAAGCAGCGCCTCTATCTTCGGACTAAGACATCGCGCTAGCCAATCAGGTCGTTGATGCCACCTGTCCGCCAAACTAAGACCACGGGCGCAAAATAGCTCTCAAGCGTCTCAACAATGACAAGCTTCCAGGTATGCGTACAAGCAGGCTTGTATCCTCCGTGTCGATGAGGTTTAAGAGCGTGGATGGTGAGTCTTTCCGTTCTTGGATATCTCGATTCGCGAGGGCTTTGAGGTTTGTAGTACATGAATTCGTTGAGATGTCGTAGACCATCCCGCCCTGATGCGGAGGCCCATAGGCATGACCTCACCAGATGTTCCCAACGTTGAATAGGTCACCCGCATGTCCTGACCTATGGACTGAACATGCCCTACGCCTTCGGAAAATACAGCGTTAATATGTTTTACGTCATTTAGCAAGATTTATAGTCTGGTCGATGTGGATAAAACAACTGTCCACGGACGAATGTTACGTCTAGCTCATAGTCGTTACCTATGCGATTGAGAAGCTCCCCGGTCTGTCGTTGGGTTTGTTGGTTGATGAATTGCAGAGGCGACGATATAAGGTCGCTGCCATCTGGACTGGTAACGTAAAAGATTTTTTCTGAACGTTGTTCTAGTTCTGTGAATCGATATCGGCAGTGGGGTCTCAGGTGCCGGACGGCGTGCGAGAATCACAAAATCGAGGATCAAGTTCTGAAGCTCTCGGGGAATGGATGCGACATGGCTTCAAAGGCTCGCACAGGAAGATTCCACAGATAGGGATTCAAGAGGAGTCGATGTTGAAAGGGAGAATTGTGTGGTGTGGTGTGGTGTGGTGGCCAAGTATGCCTAGGACTCGTGTGATAATCGCTAAGCTCAAAGAGATTAGTGGCCTGAGGCGGGGTCCACCGCAATTGCCATCCTGCCTGTGCCTTTGCAATGCCGGTCTCACGCATGTTCGTGACCCTGAATACCCATTCGCATGTGGATCAATAGCAGTACTGTCTGTTCGGGTGTTCGTCGCTCTTGTTTTCTCCCACCTTTCGCACAGCTACGCGTTTGATGTCCTACTTTTCGGCACTTTCATCGCGTGCTTTAAGGCAGCGTTCGCGGGAAGAGTCGTGATCTGACATGCATTAGGTCCTATCTTTCTTTGATCAATATTTACCCAGAACTCCACCAGCCAAAGATGTCACGGGAAACAAAGCATTCTGAGATCGAAATGCATACGCACGAGAGGTGAATGCGTTGTCTCAGGTGCCTGGGCCTATGCTATGCTCAAGCAATAACCTCTGGAGCCGACGTCATTCGTTCTGCCTACGAATCCGCCCGAGCCTAGTAATATGACATATTCACCCATTCCCAAGACATTTTGGGTGCTTACCCACCGTAGTTAGGGGGCCAAGGCGGATGCCTAATTCCATCAAAAGCGAAGCGCATCCTTCCTCCCTTTCAACCTTCTGCGCCCTCATCTCAAATCCGCGATATACTATGTCCGATTCTGCAAGTAAAAGTAGCGACGATGGTGTCGTACTTATTGAATGGGATGACATCAGCAACTACAATCCTGATCAGATCCTCCCAGAGTCTTCAGAGCAGATTCAAAAGATACGCACATGGCTGAACCCTACAGAGTATGCGCTCGCCAGCGGAGAATTCAGCAAGCATCTCGCATCTCACCTACCCGGTACCAATGCGTGGTTCACTTCAAGCGATGCCTACCGCGGTTGGCTCAAAAGCAAAAAAGATGGGCTTATGTGGATCAAAGGAATACCTGGTTCGGGCAAGTCTGTTCTCGCCGCACATCTTGTGAACGAATTGGCCCAGTTCGAGTCGGGTACTCCGGTGTTGTACTTCTTCTTTCGTCAAATTATTGACGCGAATCATGAGGCCGCTGCCTTGATTCGTGACTGGCTGGATCAAATACTGGTGTATAGTCCACCATTGCAGAAGCGGCTAAAAGAGTTAGTAGAATCAGGACGATCAGTGACTAGCATCACAATGGAGGATCATTGGTCCAACCTAAAGCTTGCAATCAACGGGCTTCCTGGCCAAATCTTCTGTGTCGCCGACGCACTCGATGAGATGGATGAGGGGAACGACGATTTTCTTCGATCTCTGGCTGCATTCGGGCAGTGGAAGCCTGATAAAGCAAAGGTGCTAATCACAAGTCGGCCGGTACCGATCGTGGAATTACCCTTACGAAACTTAGATTTGCTAAGCATACGCCTACATGAGAAAGAAGTTGACATTGATATTGAGACCTACGTCGAGCATGGCTTGAGGTCAACAGACATAGCGCCTAGCGACCAAAGGCTCATCAAGGAAGCTATCCCGGGCCGGGCAAACGGCCTCTTCCTGTACGCAAAACTAGCTCTGGATGCTTTTCTTGAATCGGGCGCACGCATCGACGATGTCCTTCAGGCACTTCCTACCGATCTGCACGACATGTATACACGCCTACTCCGTGAACATGCGGCTAGGTCTGGTGTGCCGCACGATATCCAGCTGCTCGTCCTTCAATGGGTGACCCATGCTACACGTCCACTGCGGCTTCTAGAACTTGCAGAGATGCTCGATACCACATATCCTTCAGAGGCGGAATCAGATCTGAAGGCGAAGAAAAATCTTGTTCGTGCAGCAACAGGACCCTTGCTTGAAATACTGCCAGACGAGACCGTCTGTGTCATTCATCATTCTTTTACAGAGTACCTGAAGTCTGAAACAAGAGATGAAGGTCATGGTGGATACCCGATACTTCGTCCGGGTCCCACTCATGGTCGCCTTGCCATTGCGTGCTTGTCTTATCTGCAGTCTGGATGCCTCGATGCTGTGGACATCTCGGGAAATGAGTATGTCCAGGCTGATAATACTTCATACAAAGACACGGCCTGCTCAAAAGAGGAGCAGCAAATTAGGTTGCGCTATCCATTCTTCTTGTATGCAGCCACCAATTGGCACACACACGTCGCCAGATCTGCATCAGCAGGCTTACCGCAAGCTGAATTGAACACTGTCGTTCACAGTTTCCTGCACAGTCCTGCAAGAAGAAAAGCGTGGTTGAGGTTGCAGTGGTCTGAGCAGATCCACAGCCCTACTGCGCTGCACGTGGCGGCAAGGTATGGTCTGTACGACTACGCTCAATACCTCGTTCAGAGTGGAGCTGACGTTGACGTGCACGATGTATCTGGCAAGACACCTCTTTGGTTAGCTGCCTCTTCGGGGCATCCGGATATTATTAGATTATTGGTCCATGCTGGAGCAGACCCAGATGTGGACGACGAAGTGAATGGCTTGAAGCCATTGCATATAGCAGCACACGAGAACCAGGCAGAAGCTGTCAGGGCCCTCCTTGAAGCTGGAGTCGATCCCTTGACTGAGCGGACGCGAGACACGCCAGCAGAAGGATTTGTTTGCGGCAATGGACCCACGTCTGTGGGGCATACTCCGTTGATGGTAAGTCATCCAACATCATTACGCTGATCACGAAGTAACTTGCAATAGTACGCATGTAAGAATGGTCATCTAGAAGCTCTAAGTGCTTTCATTCCATTCCTGCATGATCTAGAGGCGGTTCATCGAGCTCTAGAATGGTCTGCATACAAAGGCCGTGTCAAGCTCGTGCGTCGCATTCTACAGTACCCTGGCGTACAGGTGAACGCCAAACCACGTGGAGACACCGCCCTCGTTGCTGCTTGTCGATCCTCGAATCGTGATACAATTGTGACGTTGATTCACGCTGGAGCCGATCCGACTGTTCTTTGCGAGAATTGGGGTCCTGAATTTGGTGACATGTACTCCGGTAGCTATGGTTGCTTCGCAGAAACAACAGAAGAACGTGTAAAGCGAGGCTTCACTGCGTTGCATGCTTTGTGCTCAGGATTCCGGTACGGAAGCAGCAAGACGTTCAACGCAGAGGAGTCGCAAGAACTAGTCACGTTGCTGATTGACAAAGGAGCCAACGTCAATCAAAAAGAACATCAAGGAGACACTCCCCTTCACTATGCAGTCAACACGCCAGTCGCGGTCCGTCTGCTTCTTGAGGCTGGTGCCGAAGCAAACGCTGTCAACGATGCAGGACAGGCACCATTACACCTTGTCACCTCACCCGAATCAATCAGCTTATTGGTCGAGATTGGTCACGCGGACATCAACACACCTACCCGCTATTTCCGCCAAGATGGGCAATCACCTATATGGATCCTGCTGAATAGTTATCATGTCAATGCGACGCTCAAACTGCTGGACTATGGGCCAGATCTGACCCAAAAAGACAAGGATGGAAGTGGACCTTTGCACTTTATACTTAAACAATCGAGTGCAGATGTTCCCGTCTTGAAGGCCCTGTTAGATGCAGGAGCCGATCCTAACGAGCGAAATCATCTTGGCGAGACGCCGTTGCTTTGCATGCTCATCAACGGAAGGCATTCGGAAGCACTCCTCGACCTTCTACTCGAAGCAGGTGCGGACATAAACGCAAAAGATGTGGAAGGCTTGACCGTTCTGTCTCGCGGGGTGAGCGGTGGATCCTCTTATGATTCAGAATACCAAGAGCTGGAAGCCTTGCTCAAGAAAGGAGCGGATCTCGATGTGCGCGATTTTGATGGACGAACGCTGCTTCACATTGCCATCTCCGGCCACGAAGACACAAGGCGTCAAGTAACCAAGTTCGACTACCTGTTGCAGAAAGGTATGGATCATACAGCAGTCGACTATAGGGGGAACACACTCTTGCATAAGCTAGCTCCTTCATATGCACGGAAATACCTTCCCCTTGCAAGGCAGCTCCTCGCCTTAGGCATCGACCCCGATCAACGCAACAATGCGGGAAGAACCGCTCTACATGTCTTAGCAAGCAGGCTACCGTCCGGGTATCGAGCGTCTTCGAGCTTGCCAGGCCCTCGGAATATCTTTGAACTATTGATATCAACGTCCAAAAACATCAATCTATCAGATAGTCAGGGCCTCACAGCTCTTCATCTCGCAAGCACTGTTTCCGAACGCCATGTGAAAATACTGCTTGATGCAGGGTCGGATGCTACGATCGCCAGTTTCCAAGGACTCACGCCACTTCATCGTGCGGCGCGCGCAGGGAAAAGCAATATCGTGGGGCAAATTTTAGAGGCTGGCAAGACCGCAAAGCGTGATGTGGTCAATTTAAAAGATGAGAAAGGGCATACTGCGCTATACTACGCTTGCAGGTCCGGGAGACCAGAGACTGTCAAGTTGTTGCTTGATGCTGGGGCCGACGCATCAGACAGAAGTCTATTTACCGCATGTGCGGATTACGAGGAAGCAGGGCCAACTTCTACTTTCTACACAGGTTATAGCTCAAAGGAGTTGAAACCATACAAAGATACCACTAGACTTGATGAGATCCTGACCATGCTAATCGACAATGGGGCCAACGTACGCGACATGCATTACGTTAGTCCCTCAAGTGGGGCAACTGAAGTATCGGACTATTCCGTGGACTGTTTCGTGCGAGCAAAAGAGCTATATACGGGAGCCTCAATGTCCAATTCAGACGGTGCGCCGAGCATCTTATTCACTGAACACGCCGCGAAGATTCGCAGAGATGCTCAGCTTCGCGCAGTGTCTGAGTTCAATGTAGTGAAAGGACAGCAAAACTGGGATCTAATTCTCCATTTATTGCAGCAGCGGCAGTATCATACTATGGAAGTACTCTTCCACAAAGGTGTCAGCTTCCTAGAAGACGTCGACAAGTACAGCCATCGCTCGAACATGCATGTCTTTGTGCGATTGGGCTTCGCCTCACTCGTGCAGCAGATAGGCGACCTTGAGGCCGAACGAGAATTCGAGAAAGGCCAGTGGCATGCCTTTAATGACAGTTCGAGACGCGGTTTACACATAGATGTGGACCCCAACGCGGATAAGAGTAAAACTATTCCGTCCCTGCTAGAAGAAGCAGTCAAGAATTCACTGCCAAATATGGATGTTGTGCGTCTCCTAGTAGAACGATTTCACGTGGGTGTGGATGGAGTCATGCATTACCTAGCGATGGGTATTCACTGGTGGCACGTTGCTCAAGCTTTGCCATACCTTATCTTGCAAGGAGCAAACGTAAATATTCGAGATCAAGGAGATCATGGTCGCAGTCCTTTGCACGTTGCTCTTGCCAAAGAGAGGTCATATCATGATGACATTCATGGCATATTCCAAAAAGAGGCAGCAACAGTGTTGATCTCAGCTGGAGCAGACGTGAATGCTCAAGATAAGGACGGAAAGAGCTGCCTTGCTCTTGCATGCGATGATAGTGCAATGGTATGTGCACAATCATGTGACCCAGGACTAGTTCACTAACGATCCCCGGTTCTAGGTCAAACTGCTAATTCAGAAGGGTGCCACTGTCGATGCACATGCTTTGTTTGCTGCGCTCAAGTATAAGCTCGTCGATGTTCTCGAAACGCTCCTCTCTACAGGAGTCGATCCTAACATACGCCGACCACCTGATTACAACTCACGAGGTCATGTTGGTGATAAGGTCTCCGCCTTGGAGGAGTTTCCGCTCTGGGTCGCAGCAACACGACACGGTATTGAGGCAGAGAGGACGCTAAACGAGAAGCGGAAGGCTACGGACACTGCACTAAAGCTCGTCAACCTGCTATTAGCGCACGGAGCGGACCCATTTGCGATGTTTGAGAAAAAGAATCCGAGTCACGTATCAAAGCGGGACGATGGGGCCATTGAAGAGGAGGGCCACGATTCAAGCTTGATCTCGGCCGAAGAATTGGACGCTGAGAGCGAGCTCCAGACTGTTTGTATCTTGCACGACCTCCTGGAGAACGACAGCCTAGTTCATCCACTACTCACATTGTCAAATCTTGATCCACAACGGAGGGACTCTCGCGGTCGTACTGTATTACACGCCGCATGCAGAAGCCGAGCCGGTATACGAGCACCGATTGATACACTTCTCACGGAGATCGATCCAGAACGTGAGGATCCTGGAAATGAAACACCGTCCTTCTTGCATCACCTAAGCTCTCGAGGTGCAGACGTACTCGCAGTGGACAATGATGGACGGAACATTCTACACCACATGCTCGCTGCGCCAAAAGTCCATCTTAACTCGTGTCACCCAATGCTTCGGGTGCTCGCTCTCCTCTCTAAAGCAGACACCGCGGCTTTGATCAATCAAACTGACGTGTATGGTAATACGGCGATCCACCTAGCGCTGAGATACGCCATCTGGCAAAGTGACGCTACGCTAGTGGAGGCTTTGCTCGCAGCCGGCGCCGATCCTTCTGTGCAGGATAACCGAGGGAATAATGCTCTACATATCCTAGCATATCGCGTGCTAGAGAGTGAAGCAACTCGAGTCCTGTTCTCCAGCATGCTTGAACACGGCCTTGACGTCAACACCAGGAATGCCTCAGGTCAAACTCCAGTCTTTAACTTGAACAAACCGTTCCCGAGCTATATCGACCAGGTCGCATGCAACAACGAAGAGTACATCACACCTGCACAAACCCTGGCTCTCTTCGAAGACGCAGGAGCGGATCTTTTCCTGAGAGACAAGCAGGGAAGAGGATTGCTGCATTTTGCTGCTAGGTGGACAGGAAAGAACCGTGCGACGAGATTTGAGCTGCTAGTGAACAAGGGCCTTGATGCGATGATTGAGGACGAACGGAAGAGGACAGCGTTGGACGTCGCTGCTGCGTGCGATAACCAGAGCGTTTTGAAGCTATTTGATAAGGATAATGTGAGGAACAAGGTTACGGCAGAGGAGCTGGAATTTGAACCTGAGTACGAAAGTGATGGCTTGGGGTTCTGAGCGAGTTACACCAACGATAGGAGGATAACACAAAGATATATTCAGCGTGAACGGGCCGTTCGCAGTGTGGCTTTGTCGGAGTGAGGGAAGGGTCAAAGCGGCAGACTCAGATTTAAGATCTCCCTTGCTTTAAAGCTAGTAAGGTGTATGTAGGAGTAACGCGGAAGGTCCGCTGGAGACTGTGGCCTGTTGCTGCCGGGTCCTGCTGCATGCTTACGCAACAACATCAGCTGTTATACGCGTCTACGAATGATACCATAGGTAATGGAGGGTACGCAGAGATCGACTTTGTTGTGGGGAAGTTTTACCTGTCACTAATCTAAACCACGTTGCACGACCCTGAAAGAGGGTACGCTATTCACGCTCAGCCTCAAGCTACTGCGTGTGAACAGCCCAGCCACAGCTTCCTGCACTGTTCAGCTCGTGAGGTCCAGATGCGTCTTATCTCACCGAGCTCGTTCTTCCGTGCGACAACATAATTGGGCATTCGGAATCAACAGAACCCTCCAAAATATCGTGGCTGAAACTCAATCCCTGCATTGGATGCATGTCGCTACGATATCATGCACACCTTCCACCACCTCATGGCACATGTCGCACGTCTCTCGTGGCACAGCAAGCCCTCAACTGGAACCTTGGAGCGGACCCTCGTTGCCGACAGCTCCACCCAGCTGCGCAACGACATCACTTGCGCCACAGTGGTACATAAGCCTGGAATTAACCCTGCATTCCATTCACCGCCAAGTGCTCTAAAAGCTTGCCGAAAGCTTGTGCCTTGTTTTTCTGAGGCATTTTCGACGCCAAGGCGCGTCTCAGAAAGCTTGGTTTAGCTTAGCGGCTGACTGATCCCTGCAACAGCATGCCACAATCCTGCACATCGGCGCCCACGGACGCGCGCTGGTCACGAAGCGCAGCACATGCGGCCAATGATAGCCGTTGAAGGTGGAGTGTTGCAGTGGCTGACGTGGCTTAGCTGATTGTGATAGATTGCTTGCATACCGATTGAGGTAGAGGAGAGGGAGTTGGCGAATGAGAGCGGGAACAGTGGCAGGATGGACGGGAAACTGGAAAGATAGGACCGCAAGGGTGTGGTTGGGGTGCGGGATCATGGGAGACTTGATCGGGCCTAATGACGCTCAAGGGAGAGACGCGTGGAACCACTGGCTGGGGAAGGTTTGCTCCTTGGACCTGCGTCTAGGAGGACAGGTATAAAGCGGGCGGCTGCCAACTTTTGGTGGTTTCAGTCCATCACCTCACCAAGTCACTATACATCAACCCACCGCCGGCAACTAATCGTGTTCTCATCACTCACTCTTTGTAAGCCATTCCTTCAGCCTCCTTAAAGTGACATCTGCTAACGGGTGCTGCCAACAGAAATCCCCGCACTCGTCACCATGAAGAGCACTACCTCCTCCATCTCTTCAATCATCAAGCCGAAGCCCATCAAGCCAACATGCGGTGAATCGTGCGACTGCTGCGGCTGCGACGAATCGTGCTGGTGCGTTGTTATGTGAGCGGCCTGTTGGGACACATTATGGGACCATGAAATCATTTGGAGTTGGGCATTAGCGGACGAACGACAAATACCATAAATATCCAAGACATTTCAAACGTCTAGCACGTTACCCTTTTCATTCACGCTGTAGACTCATGCTCTTCGCCAACGTCATGCATTTATTTCATTTCCAGCGTTACAGAGGTAGTGCTGTGTCTTCCTGCCTAATCCCGCACCACTCTACACCTTTAGCGAACAACCTCCCCTGAACCTTCTCATTATGACTATCGGGTGAGCTATCATCATGCTCCCTCATCAGGAAGTGACCTTCCTTCCCAGCAAACTCTTCCGTAACAGCCAAGTCAACCACGTCTCTTGCCGCATTTGCGCTACTGTTCAGCTTGGGATTGAGCCGCTTGACCAGAGGCTGGAGGAAATTTGCTATACCAATGACAATCCTCCACAGAAGGGGAACATCGGCCTGTGAGAACGCGCGCGAATCGACCAGACCTCCTGGATCAACCGCTAAGACGCGAATCTTAGATAACTCCGGCTGCTGTTCGGTCGAGTCAGTTTTCTCAACGCTACAATGGAAAGACCACGACATACCTTTTGCAGTCTCCGGTTCAATTCATACATCAACATTACCCCTACCAACTTACTCAACCCGTACCTTAAGAATCCCCCCCCCGCCTCCTCACCCGGCACATCTTTCTCATACTTTACCAACTGCTCCAGATCCTCTGGTATTACCGGCGGGTACTTTTCAAAGCCTGCTTTTCCTGGCCAGTGCGATTCGCTCGATAGGAAAACAACGCGCGCATGCTCTTCCATTACGCCGAGAAGCCTCAGCACGATATCAAAATGCGCCAGCGTATTGACGGCCATGGTGAGCTCCAGTCCATCTTTAGAGAATCGCACGCCGGAGTTTAGCGACCACGTCATTGCGTTGCAGACAATGGCGGCAAGCTTTGGGTATGTTCCCTTTGCTATACTCGAAGCAACATTTTGAGAGAACGCTGTTACATCTTTCAAAGAAGCGAGGTCAAGGGTTTCGATGTGCACTTTGGAATTTGGATGTTTTGCGATGATGGCGTGGAGTTTTGTTGTATTCGGGTCGCTCGGAGAAGGGTTTCGGACCGTGAGAAGCAGCGTGTGGGCTGGGTAGGTGGAGAGGAGATAGGAGACGAGTGCAAGGCCGAGAGAGCCGTTTGCGCCTGTGATGAGGACTGTGCCTGCCATGTCTTGGTGGAGACGCGAGAGTTGGGATAAGCGGGGATCACAGGAGTGGGTCAATGCGTGTCACTGAGATGTTGCGACATGCCGCAGATAAGTAGTTTCTCGTTACACCTTTCGATATTCCACCGACGGGCACGGGTTAATTATTGGACTTGCTTCGTTTCGTTGTCTAAGTGGGGACTCGCCATCTCGGGGCTTTGACATTGCGGTAGCGCTTACGCGGGGCGGTTGCTACGCTGTCCCACTCCCGGTGCCTGGGTGGCTCATTCTTCGTCATTCTTTGAACAAGACGAAGAAGAATAATAAACGGTTATCTCGAAGGTGTGCGCCCCATTTAGACATGGCCTTCCTCAATCGAGTGACCGGTGTTCTTCATTCGCCTACCCCTGCCCCCAAGAAAACCCAAGAACCCATACGGCACCGATCTCCACCCGCAACCCCAAACAAGACAACCATAGCGAATACGGTCGCAAGACCGCCTCGTGTCTGCAGCACCGCCTCAAGAGGCTGTCCACGCGCGCCGTTTCACGACACCATAAGTCGACGATGAATTCCACGTCGAGATGCTATATTCATGCCCCTCATCCGATACTCCAGACAAAGAATCACTACAATGCACGCGCACTTCGCCAACACGTGAACGACAATACCTAAAACCTTTGAAGACTTTAATTTCATTTCAACCAACAAAATAACTACCACGATGTCGTACTCCTACCCTCCCAGCAAACGATTACCCTCACCACCCCTCGTAATCCAATTCTTCGCCATCATCTTCTCCACAGTCTGCGTGGCGCTTTCTATCGCCTACGCAGTCCAAATCCACGAAGCACCCACATATTCCTACATAAACAACACATGGGAAGCCACCGGCTCAGGCACCTTATAGTACGCTTCCTCCCAACTCCCAGCATCTACATTATTTCTTCTCCGTCTCCACGCATCACAGCTAAGTGTAACAGCTACCTCCCTGCGCCCTTCACCCTCGCTCTCGCAGTAATAAACATGTGCCTCTACCACCGCCTTTCCGTCCCCATCGTGTACAGCCTGGTCGCAGCATGTACCCTCGTCACCGGCTGGATCGTCACACTTATCTTCTGGACGCAATGCCATAATGATCTCTGGGGTAGCTTCACCTACGACGACACGTTTTGCTACCAGCGGAATCTGCGCTCTGGATCGCGGGGTCAGAATTATAGGGGCGTGGATGACAGGCTCGCGGAAGCGAGTATGGCGATGGGCGGGCTGCTGATTTTCGTGTTTGTGATTGAGGTTATTGGCACGGGGTTGGAGTTGAGGAGGGGCAGGAAAGTTGGGGTTTGGAGGTATGCGGTTGCGGAGAAGGGGACGGGGAAGACGGGTGGGAGAGGGAGGGGAAGGGAGGTGGATATGTAGTGGATGCGGGAGGGTCTGCGGGATTCTGGTCTGGAGGCGGAGGGGACGGAGGAGGCGATGGCGGTGGGGAGGAGATGGGGGCGGTGGTGGTGGAGGCGGAGATGGAGGTGGATGTTAGCGATTCTCATTCACGTTCAATCTTCGAGTCTTTTCAACGTCTTTTGGAAATTCAGAACTTTTGATTTTGAGATAATAACATCAAGGGGTATCAATCGAATTACAACATCGCCAAACCAAACACACCAACAACCACACCAGCCAGACCCTTCGCAACACCGAAAGACGACGCGGCACCAGTAGCCTCAACCGGCGCAGAGTTTGTCGCAGATGGCGAACCAGTGCTTGCGGTGGCGTTGCTTCCCTTGGTCGTAAGACCAGTCACATAACCGCTAAGCCCCGCGACACCAGTGCCCGACGCCGCTCCAGAAGGCAAGACAGCCTTGCTCGTCACCATTGTGCTGCTCGCGCTTCCAGTCTTTGTCTCGTACGCCGGTACGCTCTCACCCGCCGCACTCGTAGCCTCCTCAGCGCTGCTCGACTCCTCTGTAGCGCTGCTAGCCGCCATGCTGGCCGTCGCCGTCGCAGAGCCCCATCCAGGAAGGTAATCAGGAGAGTAGGTGGCGGAGCCTGCGTACCCCGGGCATCCAGCAACGGTGGTCTTGGGCGGTGCGCGACCGCCGCCGCAGTCAAGGAATGAGCAGATTTCGCCGTTGGTCGGGTCCCAGTAGATCATGGAGGCGCCACCGAAAGCGACGGTCTGGGAGGAGGTGCAGCCCTCAAGATCGGTCTTTGCGAAAGCCGTTGCGGCGATGGCGGCGAGGGAGAAGAATGTGGCCTTCATTTTGATGTTGGTTGGGTTGGATTTGAGTAAGAGGTTTGACTTCGTTGGTATAGGTGGTAGGAGGACGAAGGAGTGTCCGGTAAGTATTAGATACTATTAAGTATGTATAGGTAATTGGTTGAGCGAGTGACTGTTCGAAAGAACGAATGTGTTTAAGAAACCGCACCGAGATGGACGAGGATGAGCGGGACACCAAGCGCGCGGCGACAAAGCTCTTTATACCTACCTCTTCGCAGACAGTTGCCTAAACGCCATCAATACTTTACCGACCGCAAGTCTAGAACCGTCTCACTCCCCAAACCTTCCCGGGACTGAGACATGCGCTAATTCCTCCTTTTCCCGAATCCGGCCCATGCAATTTTAGAAATCCTATGCAGGTACCCACTCGGGAAGCTACCGAAGTCTGCACAAGCAACGCCCGTTGTTCTGGCGAAACAAAAACATTTGAAACGATAGATGGGAGGTCAAAGGCGTCCAGACAAACAGATCTTCGCACGAGTTGCCGGAGTAAGAGATCAACAAGTCCAGAACACTCGTTGTCCGCGAGGAACCATCCGAGATTGCGACGGACGTTGCACGTTCCCAAGCTTGACCGCTAGCGCGGAGATTGGCGACCTCACGCTATTTTCGACTGCACGCCCCTGCGCGCTTTTCCGCTGCTGGCGGCAGCATCATGCTGGTAGATTGTTTATTATGCGCCCGGGGTTTGCTGATTTCCTATTCTTGGAAGTTGAAGACATTCATCTGGTGATTGAAATATTTGAAAACATATCGACACATGCCGCTAACTACCAGACGGAGGAAGAGACACCCAACGCTACCAAGCAGACAGACAACACCCCAACATATCCAACATCGGTCATATCAACATAACCTTTGTAATCTCCATGTTTTACATCGCGGACTAGCGGCTCGATATCGCAAGTGACATCTGAAGACGATCCTTAGCAGGGCAGTGTCCTACTGAAACCTCGCCTACAGGGAACTGTACAGCTGGCGAGGAACTCATGCGAGTCAACTGGCTCTCCCTGCTATTTATCTTCTAACTGATCAGGATCGAGCCTCTTCCAGTTCGAGCTCCAGTTCGCGGATACGCTCATCCTTCTCGCGATCGCCACTTTGCGAGCCGACCTTGGTCTCCAACGTGCCGACCTTCTTCAGCAGGAGCGCGATCTGGTCAGATTGGTCCGACATGATCTGGTTTTGACGCTGTAGCGTCTCACTTTGCTGCTGAACCGTGTTCTTAATATCGGCCAGGAAGTCCTTCAACCCAGCTGCAGCACCCGAAGCGCTCGGTGCCGGCGTGGCCGTCGATGATGAAGTAGGAGTTGATGCAGCGGGTGCGGGTGTAGAAAAGGTTGGAGCGGTAGTCGGGGCAGGAGTAGGCTTCGATGGCTCAGGCTCCTGCTTGAAAACTGGACCGCGCGTCTTCTCCTCCTGACGTGCAGTGGTGGCAGTTGGACGTTCGACAGGTTTCGATACCTCCTCGAAGCTGCTGTTATCGTCTTCCAGCTCCTCTTCCTTGTCAGCAAATTTCGAGGCGCCCGCCGCGAGAGATGCCTTATTGTCGCTCACGGAAGGAGGTGGTCCACGGGCTACTGGCGATGGCGCAGGAGGTTCAACCGGTTTCGGGGCCTCGGTCTTGGTAGGAGAAGCGCTTCGAATGGGTTCAGCGGCGTGGGGTGCCTTGTACTCAGATGGGACCTCCTTGGGACCTTCGCCTTCATAGACCGATTCCAGAGAAATCTTGGGGGGTAGTGCAGTCTTGCCGCCGAACCACTCTTGCGCAGTAGTACCGGGCTTGATACCAGTTGTGGGTGGGTAAATGTCGCTTTGGAACATCTCCGCACGCCTGGGAACGATGAAGGAGATGGGCTGAATGTAGGTGTCGTTGACGGTCTTGAACCCACGGAGGACCTCGTTCTCGTGAAGGTTGATACCGCGCTTAGGCATAAAGGCAATACCACGCTGCGGCTCCGACGACTTGTATTCGGAAAGGTACTCGAACTTGTCGTTTTCGTACTCGTAGTATCGGATGTTGCCGTCACCTTTTCCAGCAAGATACAAGCACTGTGTGCCCTCGTCCCAGAATGGCATGCAGACACCGGATATGCTATCCAAGATCGTGAAGCCGCCGATGGGCTCTCCCGGTTTGCGTGCGTCCCAGAGAGCGAGCTGGCGGTCGCTCATGCGAGAGAAACCTGTGGTAGCGATACGGTCATGCTCGCCCAACCACACAGCACGGCTGCTCTTGGCTCCTGGATGGCCCTGGACCTCAATCGCGGGCGCTTCTTGTCGCACATCCCAGACGCGCAGCTTCTTGTCTCGGCTCGTTGTGACAAGTTGAGAGCCGTCGGCGCTCCACGAGAGAGACTGAACAATATCCTTGTGCTTCAGGGTGAGCTTGGGTGCGCCGGCTTCGACATCCCACAACTTCACAGTATAATCTCCAGAAGACGAAGCGAGGACGTTCTCGGCGGCCGGGTTGAAGAGAACATGTCCGACTTTCCTGTTGACATATGAGTGCTAACTCCTTCAATGCGAGGGGTAAACGGACCTGAGATGGCCACTCAGCTTGGCCACAGGAGCTACGTCGGCAGGCTCTTCAGCGTCGGAGTAGAGCGAGAAACCCTCTGGCACTTTCCAGATGAAGACCTGCTTCGATTAGCTTCGTCCTCCCCATGACGTTGTATATGTGGCGAACGAACCTTGCCATCGTCAGAGGCAGAGGAGATCAATGAATCGTTGAAAGGGCTCCTAAGAGTATATGAGCGCTAAACCCTCGACGTACATCCCATGCGCGCGTACCAGTCGGTGTCAAGAACGGCGGCTGTATGCCCTCGGAAGAGGGGTATCTGCTCGGGGACGCGACCCTTCTCATTGAGGGGGATGACAGCGAAGGCACCACCACCGCTAGCTTCCCAGTTCACGGAGAGGTATTCTGGATTCGCCTGTGCAACGTGAGCGCGTGCTCTGATTCCGTCGGGTGGAACGAACGGACCTTGATCAGGTTGGTGTCCCAGGCGTTCTTGGAGATGCGCAAGTTGTCGTAGCTTTGCTCCTGGTCACAGAGTCAGTCATCATGATCGCGAATGCTGCTATGTCTCGTACACACCTTTTTCGCGCCTTGTCCGAAGACATGGCCTGCAATATGTTAGCTGTCAGCAACCCATGGAGCTCGCGCGACACTCACGGTATTTGGACGCTCGTACAAAGCGGCCAGCCATTGTATTTTGTACGATCTAACAAGAAGTGTAGAGAATGGTACAGAGTTACAGTGGCAGTGAATGGCCCCTGAGGAAAAGATGTGGGTAGGTGTGGGTGGGAGGCTGTGGCAGGGTTTCGAGTGTCGAGCTGTGTTTCAACTGCAGGGTAGCCGTCTCTGGTCCTTGGCAGCGGTCCCTGGTCGACCCTTCCCTAAACGAACAGCCCCTCACCCCCTCCACACCAATGCGAACTGTATCCAGAATACAGACGCTAATGCAGCAATTCGCATTGCAGACGCGCGCCTACAGTTGCATTACATTCGTCTAATGTTTCTTTTACAGTTGGCGGCTTCCTACAGTAGCAATTATCACAAGCCTGCGGCGACTCGCAATCGTGCACGTTACCGTAGGTAACATTAAGTGCGCCGACCCACAGATGTTGACTCTCGGGCGCACCACCAGATGCAGTAGCAAGAAGTGCCGTTGTAATCTTCTGAACTCCTTCACCGCCTCACTCATAAGAAGCATGCTGTCTCCGCACCATCAACCGGCGGTGACCATCCCAGTTCCATAACCCAACAGCCGGACTAGTGTATGATTACCATCATCACCATCAACTAGCCCAGTGCTGGTCACGTACTTCTCAACGCTATCCGCCAATGATGGAACTTGTTTCATACCAGCTTGCGGGATCTGGAAAGGACCCTTGCCAACGAACTCTTGCGCGAGGATTAGCGCGGGTATCTGATGCGGCACAGCAATGTCGCGGTACACATAAAGTGCGCTGTATGCTATTGGCAGCAACTATGCGGTTGGGGCACCGAAATAATCACGACAGCTCAAGATTGTACTACATTACTGGGTCGAACATCTGAGCACTGCATTGTCTTTTAAGGGCAACATAAGGTACGAAAACGGTTGATTTGGCACTGTAGCAATGGCGGAATTGCATGACCTTTCGACCGAGCTACTACTCAATATATATGAGCTTCTCGACAGCATCGATGATGCCCTGCATCTGGCAAGAGGTTCCAAGCACCTTCACGCCGTCTACGAGACCCACCGGTATGAAATCTTGAGGAACATCATAGTGAGCGCTCATTCACTTGCATTGCACGACGATTTCGCTTTGAAGATTCCTCTCTAATCCTGAACAGCTCTCTTCTCATGTTCACGTATACGATATCCGCCTCTGCCATTTTCAAGAAGCTTTCCAAAATTTTGCTTCGGGGCATCTTACTAGTAGCGATACTACGCCTGACTCCTCCCGTCCATCGATCGAGGTCTTTGAGCAGTGTTGCAACGCAACTAAGATCACCAGAGTACAAGTATGGGACATCGTCGCTCGCTGGCAAGGTCTTCGAGCGTTTCAACACTTATATGTGGACTCGAAAGTGAACGCGAAGTTTTCCAGAGGTCCTCCGGACAATTCGGAAATCCTAAACGTCGTGGATTTGGTCGAAAAGGGCGAGTGCGCGGTGCGCAACATTGACGAGACAAAGATTCGCTTATCTTTCTCTTCTGCGGCGATTGTCCGCTTCTACAAGGCCCTCACTAATTATTGGCTCGCCACTGAGGCCCGAAAGCTCGCTGATCAGTGTGCCTACACTTTGCAATCATCGTCGCTCAATATGTGGGACCGAGTGCACAACATTTTCGACGACCGAAGCGGTCTACAAGAGAGCCTCGATGTTTTGGAGGTATACGATTTCGGCGAATTTCTATGTCAGCACATCGATCATGCCGACAAAGATTCTTTGGACCATTGGCTCAACGAGCAGGACTGGTTCATGGGTGATGACCTGCATGTTGATAATCGTTACTTCATCATACAGCTCGGCGCTCATCTTAGCCCTCCGGACATTCTTGAACTCCTGTTTCTGACCTCGGTTTGGAAGAAAGACGGGGATGGGCATCGCCGGGCGTGGTCAAAAGAGAAGAGGCGCGCTTATTTGCAAGCGCGCGGTTCCTTCGACTCTTTCACTGGTCGCCACTTAGTGCTTGATGTTGGAGGGGAACTCCGGGACACCAATTTTGCGATAGAATATGTGGAGGGCGCATGTATGTTGCAATTACAAGAAACGTTCCCTAAAATCATACCAAAAGATATTGCTGTTGCATGGAAGCAATATCGGGGAACTCTCTGGCTGTCGCAGATTCGTGGGCAATTCGGTTCTATGTCCTCCGGACCGTGTCTGGCATATTTCACAGAAGTCTTCGAGAGCCTCGAAGATAATGGTCTGGCTCAGCTTTGATCACGGTCGCTTGATGCTCATAGCCGAGTTCGTCATTGTTTCCCTTGCAGCCAATCAAATTACATATCTTTTTCGAAATATCCTCCAATCACATCCCCCACCCTCCATCCTTGTGTCACGCCTCAAAGCCCGAGCCGAACCTCGGCAACCATCCCATAGCTCACCTGCCAAACCACCGTGGCGGAGAAGCTTACCAGGCCGCACCCCATTGCTTCATTAGGACAACCGACCCAGAAGCCTTTGCCCCATAATCCACTCGCATCCTCCACAAATGTCAGACAAACTCCCAGACCAGGCGGTGCAGGCTGCCGATAAGGCAGTCGAGCAGGTTAAGCAAGCGGCGGAGAGCGTCAAGCGGGAAGCAAAAGCTAATGGCGGAGTGGGCGGCAATGCAGCGGCCGCGCTGAGACAGGCGGATAGATTTGTGCTGCGGTTGAACAAGTGAGTCTCTCTTCATTCCTTCTACTTACGTTCCATGCGTTTCCATTGTAAGTGGAATGTATCGCTAACCCACCTTACCCCAGATTAATCGCAACCCCCGGTGGCCTCTCCGCCTTCCTCTCCACGTCAAACTACATTCTCTACATCCTCGCATACTTGCAACCGCGCGCTCCCACCGTCTACGCCACGCTCCTCACGACTCTCAAATTCTCCTCCTCGTCCATTACGCTCACCGCCGTCGACCCCTCCGCAGTCCCACCCCTCGTTGCGCTCGCCCAACTCCTCTCAAAATGCCGCACAACCCTCCGCCTCCTCGGCACGCTCCCGCTATACGCCTGGTTGCGTAGCCTGATGGCCGGCCCGAAGCCGGGCAGCGATGTCGTATTGCATAGGATAGCAGTCGTGCAGGCAACCAGTTACTTCGCATACCAGATCTTGGAGAACATATGCGTGTTAGCAGACCATGGCGTTGTTCCGCCTAGCTTCATTGCAAAGCTGAACCGGAGAGATCCTACGACTGCTCGGCTGTATACTACGGCGTACAGGCTCTGGCTTGCAGGTGTGAGCTGTGATTTCCTCAGGCTGGCGAGGGAGGCGCAGAATATCAATGCGAAGCGTGCAGCCAGGGGCCAGGAAGAGAAGGGTGAAGTGGCGGTGAGGGAGGAGGACGAGAGGGTGGATCGGAGGTGGTGGATGGATGCGGCGATTGCGGTGGCGTGGTTCCCGATGGCGCTCCATTTCAGTGGGGTTACGGGCGGTGTGCCTGGGTGGCATTTGGGCTGGATGGGAGTTTGTGGGTTGGTTGCGGGCGGAGAGAGGATGAGGGGTTTGTGGAAGATGACGGCATGAGGATATGCGGTGAAGAACAAAATGTGGATGAGATAAGAGACTGGTGTTGTTGGGATTGGATAAACACTTTCTGCAGAACAAGCTGTCCATATGGCGGACGGAGCGGAAGATGTGGCACCACGTATATATGTCTGGGATACTTCCATTGATGCGATTTGAGCGCGGGGTATTGAGGACCATATAGAAACGCAATGGTCAAGACTTCTGTTTGATGTACAAGAAGACACGAACCAAAGTTTCAAAACTCCAAGGTCGATACAATTGTGATGGCAACTGTTCAAGATGCAGGGCGGTGCAAACTCGACGAATTCCAAGTACACTGAGAAGAAACCAGATCTACGCGTGGCATGAGTTGAGAGGGGCGACCTAAGGACCCAGTGCAGAACGGGAGCTTGAAACACGAAGTATCAACATCTTTGGTATGCGAGGGGATTCATGTTCAAAAGTAATATGGTACTCTTCGTTTCAAGTTTAAGCTTAATCTCCTACCGCCCAGCAAGGAACATACCAGCTATTCGGACGCCATTTCAGATCATTTGAAGTATAAAAGCTTTTCGGTATAAATCCGCCTTGGTTCATACCCGGAACGCGCGTTCGAGCTATATTCAGCCTCAACGTAGCCCGTCTCCGCGAGCTTCCCCGCTATCCGGGAATGGATACGAACCAGTGATCTGTGCTCCGATCCTACACACGTCAGAACAGTCGCCTGGATTGTTTGATCGATGTTGGCTGTCAGAACGACTTTCTAGAATGTCACCAATTGCTTGCGTTGTACACGGATATTTTATTCTGCTCTATCAATATCTGCATGCTTTATATTGAGGAGAAGATGTGTGAGAGCAAGATTACCTATAATACCATAGGTACATATGGTACTCGGCAACTGCGGTCATCCGCAATGTAGTTCTTGCACAACAAAACCTACGTTTCTCGAGGGCCCCATTCGAGCAAAAATACCAGAAACAGCGCCAGGTTGTGATTACCGTTGATCAATTCTGGGATTTATCAAAAGCCTTGTAAGATTTGATGAATCGTGTCTACCAATTTGGTAGTATCTGTCGTTAGATTATTGGAAACGCTTTAGCGCAGTACGTATACTTACACACTTCAAGCGCGAGTCCAACCACATTTGGTGACATATGACAGTAGGGTTACGCTGCATGTGCCGTTGTCTTGGTTTCTCTGTTCTCTGACATGATAGAGCGTGGGTGGTTTGCTAGCAACTCATATGTGTCACGGTCACAGGTCCGGGGTTGGGCGCGAGTGTCGCACTGTGAAGAGGTGATCAGACAATTTTGCGTATTTACGAGCCTGTCGATCTGTGAAGTATCGTACTACCTTAGGTATCTATTGATTCGCGGGCCTAATGTAACAGGAGCACTACCCATATATCCACGTCGCTCCTTTCCCCATAACATAAACCAACGGTGCCTTTACTTAGCATATCTCGCTCGAAAGATTCCACAACATGTCAGAGTTGCACCCTCTAGCATGGTCAGTTTACGATATCGCGGACCAAATCGACAGATTCAAGGAATCGACCTATCCAGAAAATCAACATTGGATCAAAGAAGGCGATGAAGGGTTGGAGAAAGCTCGCCTAACACTTCTTGGCGATCTCGAAGCGATGAAGAGACAGCTCCAGAGCCCTGAGGAGGCGCTTTCAGACATTATGTACTTCGTAAGCAGGTGCATCGGCAGATACTGTCATCCGCGTCCACTCGCTGATAACTGCGGCAGCCTGCGGACCTAGCATCTCTGCTCATCATCCATGATCTGAACCTCCCACAACTCATACCTCCATCAGGATCCATAAGCTATGACGACTTAGTAATGTCCCATAACACTCAGACGGGGACATGCGTCGAGGAAGACCCACTTCGTCGCATCATAAGCTACGCCATCACCAAAGGCATCTTCCGCGAGCCCGAGCGAGGTCGGGTCGCACATAGTGAGCTCTCACTGCTCTTGAGGGACTCTGGACTCTTCGAGCTGCTGGGAGTATCGTTGCAGGAGCTGCTGCCCGCCCTGTTACGGCTTCCCGATGCATTTACTTCCCCGAGGGAGTCCATCGAGCCAAACGAAACAGCGTACAATATTGCTCACGGAACAGACTTACCCATGTATCGCTTCCTGCAACAGCATCCAGAGCGTGCAAAACGCTTCGGCCGAGCGATGTCGCATGGTCGCCACGTTGATAACCACTTCCTGCAGCAATCTTTTGCTTGGGCTAAGTATGATAGCCCCGGCATGACCATCGTCGATGTGGGAGGCGGACATGGCAACGCGGCTGCGTTCCTCGCGTCGTCTACCAAGCACATGCGCTTCATTGTCCAGGATCTGGACCACATAGTAGCTGCAGGCAAGGCGATGTTGCCCGCCGAGTTGCGATCAAGGGTTGACTTCACAGCGCACGACTTCTTCGATGAACAGCCTGTGAAAGGGGCAGACGTGTATCTTCTCGCAAGGATCATGCTCAACTGGAGCGAGAAGTACTGCCTAAAGATCCTGCGGGCCTTGGTCCCAGCGCTGAAGGTAGGAGCCAAGATACTCTTTTACGAGCATGTCTTCGACGCCACGGCTGAATATCGGGGGAATCACAAAGAGAAATGGTAAGTGACCAATCGCTACATTGGAACTGACTGCTTTGCTGACGATCATCTCCTCACAGTTTCGTGGACATGATCATGATGACTTTCTTCAACGGTTGCGTTCGTGACGGGGGTCAATGGCGGGAGCTCTGAAAGAAGCGGATAGGCGATTCGTGTTTGAGGATATCTGGGGGATTGAGGATTGTGCTTTGAGCCTTGTTGAAGTCACCTGGGGAACGGATGAGGATATCGATAGCAGCTAAGATTGCACACCTTGCAAACGCGATGACGAGGTAACTCACAGTTTTCATGTCAACTAGGCATCGAAACCACTTTTTTAACTACCTGAATGGTGTTGAGTTTATTTACATCCTGTCGTGTAGAATATTCCGATCCCACTCGCAAAAGTGACTCGCCTGGAAGCAGTCCCAATTTGAACAAGCAATGACTACAACCCATTGGCAGCCCTGCCTTTCGCCATCTGCTCCTCAACCTTCTTCACAGAGTCCAAGCGCCTCATGGCTGCGAGCCATCCAGTATACGTGGGGAACCGCTCCTCGAACCCCTCCCACTTGCCCAGCTGCTTCACAAGCCCCTCTGCTACTGAACTCCATGTAATGAACGACAGATCTGCATATGTCACCTTGTCGCCAACAAGCCATCCAGTGCTGTTAGCCTTGAGAGCTTTATCGAGAACACCTGTGACTCGAAAGATCTCGTTCACGTAGCGATCGATTGCAGAAGGGATCTTCTCAGCGTGGAAGCGGGCGAACCATGTCGCTTGGCCGAAGTATGGACCTTGTCCTTGGCAAATGTCAGTTGTTGATAGGTCTGAAGTTGGTATGTCCAAACTCACCGGATATCTGGAAGGCGAGCCACTGCTGGGTTAGGTACTTCTCCGGGAAGCTCTTACACGAGATCTTCCCCTCTGTGTCGTACCGATCTACGAGGTATTGTATGATGGCGCCGGACTGATGTATTGATTAGTACAGTGAGCCTTTGAGCGATACCTGTAAAGAATGACTTACCTCCCATAGCGTCAAACCAGAATTCGGGTCTTTGATCGTTGGCAGGCGACCGTTGGGATTAATTTCGAGATAGTCCTCGGTTTTCGTGTCGGTAAACTCCTTGTAGTGGATCTTGTACGGGAGCTGTAGTTCTTCGAGAATCATACAGACTTTCCTACGATCTCACTGTTAGCATTGATGGCAAAGTGTTGCGAGGATGGTGAACGTGTTCGACGCACCATGGGTTCGGAGCACCCCAGTGGCCCCAGAGCTCGATACTTTGGATGGACATCGCTGAGATAAATTGATGTCGTGTGATGAATGAGATTTGGAGGAGGTGGCTGTTGAGTAGTGATGGAAGAGGATGAGATCTTATGGGTCTTATATATCGTGGTGCCCGGAGTAAGGGCGGAGACATGTAGGTTGTGGTATCCGGTCGAAGCACGAATCACCCTCATTGGATTTTAAACATAGCTGGTACTCTCCATTGATCCCGGACATGTCGCGCATGAGGACGTGGCTGCCAATTCATACATGATGATCGTCACTCTTATGGAGCCTTAAGACGCAAGTGACCCATCACGAGCCTTGCGAATTAGCTAGCGTATGCATTCGTATACATCTGTCTCAAAGTAATCAACGAAAGAGGATAATTTGCCGTTGCGAGAAAACTAGCGGACGGATAAGGTAGAGACACTACAGTGTGGGAATGACGGACTAGAGAAGGGCCAATCAAAGGCTTTGCGAGAAAACTAGCGTGGCGCGAGTCTATGCTGACGAAAAGGCGCTTGCGTTATCGTCGGAGACGTCTTAGGACCGAACACCACTATACTATCGATTCCATCGTCCAATTTTCACAATTGCTGGGATATTGGTAGATCCTGAGATTCGGTGGCGGTCCGGTGATGCATGATGGTTAATCCCGGCCATCTAAGCAATGGTTGCACTACTTGCAAAGTTAGGCGGATCAAATGCGACGAGAAATGTCCGAGTTGTGTAAACTGCATGAAATCGAAAAGGGTTTGCCTCGGATACAAGATTCATGAGAAACCTAGAGTGTCAGAACGCATTATTCCGCAAGACGACAACAGGCCGGAAATCGACCGCGACCCTGATCATTCGGCAAGTGCAACCTTATGCCACCGACAACATACCATCTAGCTAGAAGCTAACAGCAAGTTGAGAAACCTGCGGCGATGGCAGTGGATCGGCAGTTAAAGACCCGTGCTCCCGCCAAGTTTGGTATCAAAACCTATAGCAGTCCACTATCTCAATCTGCGATCATGTCCGTCAGAGAATCCATGAGTGCGGTGTTCGAATCTCTTCAAGAGCCCTATCAGACTATTGAGGACCGGAGAACATTGCACAAGAAGTATCAGTCTGCTATACGTAGGTTGCGAGATGAGCTGTCCCATTCTTCCTCGCGCGACCCGCCTCTCGAGTCTGTCTGGCTATTTGCGATGTATGAGGTACGTCATCTAGCAAATAGATTTAGGAATACGTCGGATGATCTGAAGTTGACGAGCCCGTTGTGCTAGATGACTGTCAACATCGACCAAAGCGATCGGACGTGGCTCACGCATCTAGAAGGGTTTTTTGCATTGCTACAGGAGCCACACAACGACGCCTTCAAGCATTTGATGTTTTACAAAGCATTACAGTATCTGACTAAATCAAACGATCACAATAAGGATGGGCGAGAGAGTGACATAATTGAGACCGAACGAACCCCCTTCACAATAGATCTGTCCAAGCTGCGACTAAGGACTTATGTCTTTGAAATGGAAGAGCTGCTACACAGTGCGGAGCACCCACGACAAATTGATATACAGCGGATCCGAGGCAACGTAAAGCGGGTGTATCGAGATTTGGCAGTGGTTTCCGCTCATGCTGAGGCCGGCAACGGTAAGTTCTCACTTACGCTACGTAGCGCTCACAGTTGACTCATCGAGCAGATATTACACCCACGAGGTACATGGAATACTGCACTCTACTCATTGTTACAGCCAAGGTCCTATTACAGATTGACCAGCTGCTGAATCCGAATGGCGTTGCGCGACCAACACGACATTCCAATAAGCTACCTCATGAGGCCTTGATGGCAGCTGAGAGCATCTATAGATCAACTATGACATTGCTTCCGAATACAGAAGCACCATCAGTTCCACTTTCAATGAGTCTCGACACTGGTGGGTTTGGGTTGAGTCAGCTCATCACTGTTATCTGGCCACTATATTGTGCTTCGACTGCCCCTGGTATGACGACATTCCGGAGGGAGGAGATGAGACAGACCCTTCGGCATATCGGTGTTGTCGCACGCATTCCCAAAGCCATGGCATTGGTAAGAAACTCCCATAGTCTGAGTAGCCTCATACTAACTTCTGACTTTTGAAAGGCATTGGTCGACTGTGAGGAAGTATCTTCCTATGAAATAATATCCGGATTGATTCTGTCGGGGCTGATTTGCGACACCAACCTGCAGTAGTGCACATGGGGACTTGACCCACCACAGCGAAGACTTGATATTTGTTTACAACCTCAGCCAAACGCCGCGCTAAACAGCAAGAGCATGGCTTGTTTTGGGGCAAACATGCGCCATGGCAACTGCCCAATCCGCTCGGATGAAAGCAGTAGCGGTTGTCAGATCTTGGCAAACCTCTCCAGGTTTCCACCCGCTCCTGCATGTGCAATATAAGTCAACAACATGCTCGATATCGCTTCCCCCCACATCTCTACACACCACAGTCGCATTCAACCTTCCGGGTCTTCGAAATGGCTTCAGCTACACCTCACCTGCTCACCATCCCGCGTGAGATCAGAGACCTCATATGTAAGTAGCATTCGTTGCAGAAGAAGCGGCTATATACCGTACGGCCAGTGCATGTACTTAATTACTGTATATGTGCGACCAGTGGGCGCCCTACCTCATAACTTGCTTTAGTCAACTATGCTGACAGTATCAACTCTATAGACCCCTACCTTACGCAGGACAAAGAATACATCTGGGTATTTCCACACAGAGAAGCAGTTGCTAGAGTCGATTACAGTCATGCCGGCGTCGAAATATACGGTGTACCTCGTCTTAGCGTTCTCCTGTTACATCCTCAGCTCAAGGCGGAGTATCTTCAGATGTGCTCGAGGAACCTATCGGCAAGGTTCACTTTTGGATTCAAGTCACTAGCGGAAGATCTTGGTCCTTTGGAACTACCCGGCAATATCCTGCAAGACCTCAGTCACGCGACCCTTGTCATGGACTATAGCCCGAGAGATATCCCTTTTGACACCTCGAGCGACGTTGCCGACATATGGTCTTCTATACAGTATGGAGTTGACGCGCTTTCGTTGAAAGCGCCCAACCTGTCTACACTACGCGTCACATACATAACGGACGCGAAGTGCTTTCCCGATGGTGGCTTGGAGGACGTCGATGTTCATAACTTTCTTCCTGATCCGCCCGCACATGTCTTGACGCTACCGCTCGCACAAAAAGGTACATACGCACCTTCCCCTCAAGTCATATTGGTTTGAAAGGTACGCAACCATCCGCATCGGCATGTACTTGTACGGAAGGGATGCTGCCGTCAATAGGGAACGTATCTGGACCTCAGATATGGTCGCGGAGACTTTCGGTGTCGAGGATGCAGTTACCACCGCGGAGTATCGAGAAGGCGAAGAGGTAGCTCGCTCCGCTGGTTTACCGCTTTGGGTAGACCAGCGGTTTACATGAGGAACAAGTTTGCCATCATGGCTGCCCTCGTTTCGGACACGGTAAACATTCCCAAAGCAGTTCTCGTCATACGTTAATGCATGTTCAGCATAGAATTATATCACAGGCGTGGCGTTGGAACTGTATTCCGCTCATGGCGCGGGAAAGAGGAGATTTGGGAGTTTCTTAAGCGGGTTGTACTTGGGTATTTGTGTCCTTTCCCCAGGGGATCTCGTCCTGGAGTTGGAAAGGGATGCCCTTCAGCTTCATGGCTATGCGGTTCATGCGGGCGAAGGGCGACGGCGTCGCGGATATCAAGATGAGGGGACCTTTTGTTTTAAATATTTTGATAGTGAGTGTGTGTGGCGGGTATAGATGTGCGGTGTGGAGATTGCAGCTTGTGCAAGAGTGAGTGAAGTATTGGTCCGTAATTGCTTAAGTATATCTCCGCGTTTACTTTACCATCTTGTTTCCCATAGCATTTGCATCTCTGCAGCAGGGGAGCTACGACGTTGGGTTATAGCGTCATGATACGTAATGTGGAGACGGATCCGCTGGCGGCATGGCACGGTGCCAGACTAGTTGTGCAGTAGAACCACCCGTCTGCAAAAGCCATCATTCTTCTCTTTCTGGTCTCCGCCTCGTCATTTTAAGAATATCTTTCAGTTTTGTGAATGCAGGAAATCTCCCGCTTGTGCTTTTCCGCTTTTCGGGTTCCTGCGCGGTCTCTTCTTTCGTTTTCTGCCTATCCCTCACTACCTCGTTGTCTTCCTCGCTGTCTTCCTCATTCCTTCTTCTCGCCCAGTTTGTATTCCTTATCAAAGCTCTCAAAACATCTTCTAGCACGCCCTTGTCATATCTATCGACTTCGAACGCCTCAACGCCGACCATGCTGGCCCATTCCTCAGCCAATTCTTTGGGAACCTCCCTCTTCTCGCTATTATCACCCTGGACAAGATCGACTTTGTTCCCAACCAGCACGCACCCAAATTTTCTCGTCTCTGTAGAGCATGTAAGAATACGAAGGTAGCAAGAAGCTTGAATATGTAGACTTACCACTCGGAAACCTGTGGTATTCCTCTTCGTAATCGCCGATCCGCGACTGTCCCCCCGGGTCTCTGCACCCCCATAAATAGGTCCAACCAAACTCTGTCACGTGTCTGTAGCTCTCTTCACTCGTAATGTCATACAACAGCACGACACCTCGCGAGCTTCTCAAAGCACTGTTAATTATAGCATCTGCAAACCCAGGTTCCCTAACCCTGATTGGCGTCAGGCTGATGTCCTGGAAATTCAGGTCATAGAGGTCGCCGTCAACTTGCAGGCTCATGTGCGCGAAAGCTGGGCTTATGGTCGGAGCATAGCGCCAATATTGGGTGTCGTGGGAAACTTTATCGGCGAAGCTGGTCTTGCCGACGCCCGACTCGCCGAGAATGGTGATGTTGAGGTGGACTGTGGACATTGCTACAGCATGAGAAGCTTCAAGGGAGAGCTGGAGACATTGGCCGACGGTATCATGAAGACATACAGGGCGTGGGGGCCTTGACGAAAGCACGCTAGTACCGAAACCGATATTATCACGTGACTAATTTGGTCAGAGGTTCTGAACCTTGGAAACGACGCTGTGGATACGGATATGATACCTCAACGGAATATCTATCCGAGCTCTACAAGATGCATTTCCCAGCAGCGGTTTTTGTGTCGCATGCACTATTTCCTTCTTTATCTTTCACAGACTACGCTTGCCCGGAAGTAGGTCTTCGTTCATGCCAAGCCAGTGCCAAGTTATCTCCGGCACCGACATCCGAAACCGATCCTCGTCAACCAGACTGTGTTTGGCTAGATGACATCGGCCAGTCCTTTTTCAATGCATGCGATATGGACACCAAGAGCCCCAGTCCGCCTTTCAATGCCTTGTCTTCGCCCAGGGTCCAGATGCGGTGCCTCCTCCCTCGACCTCTTCGCACACCCACTGCTGCTTCCACGTCTGGCGGTTGAACGAGAGCAATCTTGACGGACGACTCAGGGAGCCGCCACCGCCGCCCCACACATCGATCGCCGTTTCCGGCTTTGCGACGCGCAATCGACCTCAACATAGCTTTCACATAAGGAGGTTCGCACAGCGGGACGCACTCTGTATCTAACGTTGACGGAAAATTTGCCCTTAATCAAGCGCACCGCATCCGCCGTTCCCCGCGACGCACAAGCAATGTCACGCGACCACCACTCCCGCCGCCCGCTTATCGACCTCGTACATAGTAATAGCGACCTCGACGTGTCCGACGAAGAAGACGCCTTCTACGCTGTCGACGAGGGCGACTACCTACTGCACCCCAAGTGGCGGGCGATGATCACACGGACCTCCAATCGCATCCCGCGGAGACTGCAGCGGTATTTCGTCATCTACGCATTTGCTGCCGTTGTGCTGCTGATAAGCTGGCGCTTGTACCTAGGACCACATTACTCTGCGTATCAGGTGGAGCAAGCGCGTTTGGACGCTGCGGCGAAGTTGGAACCTGCAATGAGTGCAAAACCAGAATTCAAGGACATGTTGCAGGTGAAGGATCTGGAAGATAAGCATTTGCCGAGGGGAGAGGGAAGGCTGGTGGTTGTGGGAGATGTACATGGTTGTAAGAAGGAATTGAAGGCGCTGTTGAAGAAGGTGGATTTCCGGGAAGGAAAAGATCACCTTGTTCTCACAGGAGACATCATCGCGAAGGGTAGGTTACCGTCCGGAATAACGTGCAATGACACAGCTAACACTAACCAGGCCCCGACTCGCCCGGCGTCGTCACTCTTGCTTCGAAGCTAGGCGCATCCTGCGTTCGCGGCAACCACGAAGACAAAGTGCTCCTCTCGATCCAAGAAGCCGCCGAATATCACGACCCCACCATTCCGCGCCCAGATGTCGACTCGGTTGATCGTCCGGTCGATGTTGAAGAAACCGCAGCTTCCTATAACAATCCGAAGCTGCTCAAGCTCGCAAAGTCCTTCACGCAGGCCCAAATATCCTGGCTTCAATCCTGCCCTGTGATCCTCCGCGTCGGTCAAATCGGGTCTCTCCACAGCGTCGCTGTTGTGCACGCGGGCCTCGTTCCAGACGTCCCGTTTGAACGGCAGGATCCCTTTCAGGTGATGAACATGCGAACGATAGACCTAGACACATTGCTGCCGTCTGAGACGCGAGAACACACACCGTGGGAAAGGTACTGGAACCATCAACAGGAAAGCAAGCCGGAGGTTGAGCGGACAACCGTCATCTATGGACATGACCGGAAGCGGGGGAAGAACATCCAAAAGCACAGCATGGGCCTCGACTCAGGATGCGTGAGTGGTGGCCAGCTGACGGCTATGGTCATCAAAGAAGGAGGCGAGCATTCTTATGTGCATGTCAAATGTAAAGGATATGTCGATTAGATGGTGTCGATGTTTTCTATTGATATCTCTGCATGGGAAAGGGGTTTCGGCGTACATGTTCGATTCGATGTCGCATATTTCTCAATGGGTATGATACCACCAGAGGGCTCTGTCGAGCCGTTGTAAATGTAATTGGATGCCATCTTTATTTTCAAACCGGCTTCCAGTACTTCCCCACGTAAAGAGGTTTGATGTTTGACCGAAAGATCTGGTACGTTCCCTGCATGGACATAAACTGACGAAGTTATCGGCGATAGCAGAATCGGTCTGATCGGCCGAGCCGTACCAGTTGCTTCCGCCGTCGTATTGTTATGGCGAAGATTGTCGGACATCTCACAGTTTTCACCACGCTTTCGCAGTTTGCGAAGGATGCCGCAGAACCGCTCGCCGGCCCGACGTATTTCGGCTTGCATCACCAGCGTGGTAATGCTTGGCACGCTTACACAAGGCTCTGCAACCAATTAGCACGTTTTCGTAGATTGCTCGCGTACATGTACGCAAGGAGTTAAGCTAGCATACGCAGGGTAGACGTTATTCTAACCTCCCTCCATTGCAGCATTACGCAACTTGGCATTTCGGCGGAGTTAAGAGATGCCATACGGGCGTACTCGATGTAAGAATTACGATGATGCGGTCGAGAGTATATAACTCTGGATTTGCGCTGTTGCGTCGAGCATCTGGACGATTCATGCAACACTTCTCGTTACCAAGACCAAGAACAAGTATCAACATCGCAACATCACCAGCTTAACACTCTGCACTATCCTGAAGATGGCTGAACAAACACCCGTCTGGTTCATCACCGCCGCCTCCTCCGGCTTCGGTCACTACCTCGCCCTGGAAGCCCTCGCCCGCGGCCACCACGTCATCGCCTCCGGCCGCACAGTGTCTAAACTTGATGCCCTCAAAAAAGCAGGCGCGCATACAGTCGCACTGGACGTCATCTCCCCCCTTGATGATATCAAGAAGGTCGCGAAAGACGCCGTCGCAAAGTATGGCTACATAACCCACCTCGTCAATGCCGCAGGTTACGTCCTCGTCGGCGCCGTCGAAGAAACCTCCCCCACCGAGGACTACGACAGCTTCAACACGAATGTGATTGGCGTGTTGAACGTCACCAAGGCTTTCCTGCCGTATCTGAGAGACGGAAGCGGGCACCGGACGATCTGCAATTTCGGGAGCATTGCGAGCTGGACGGGGGGTCCGGGCGCTGCGCTGTACTACAGTGCGAAGTGGGCTGTCAGCGGCCTGTCTGAGGCGCTGAGGGAGGAAGTAGCGCCGTTTGGAATTGCTGTCACAGTTGCCGAGCCAGGCTATTTCCGCACTGGGTTCCTTAACCCTGGTGCGGCCGTCCAGTCGAAGGCTAGGATTCAGGCGTATGAGGAGAGCGCGGCGGGGAGACGAGGAGGGGCTGGGAGGGGCGGATGGGAAGCAGATGGGGATGTGGGAAAGGGGTGTAAGATTTTGGTGGATATACTGACGAAGAGTGGGGTTGGAGAGGGCAAGGAGGTCCCTGTGCGAGTGGCGCTGGGGAGTGATAGTCCGCCGGCGATTAGGGAGAAGATTAGGCAGACGGAGAAGTTGTTGGATGAGTGGGAGGGGGTTACGATGGCGACGGATCATGAGGATTGAGTTTCGGTGTATGAAACGCGTGGGTATGGACAAGGGCGCTGGTAATGACACAATCTAGGATATTATTTCATGGAGCTTATGCGGGACGACTTTACTTTTTATTATGGATGAGCGGCATCATGTTTACCGAGTTCCAAGGTAACCCTCAAAGTCAGTCTGCATCCAATAATCTTGAAATGCTGCCCAAATCACGGAACTGTATCTAGAAAACTGCTTTGAGAGATCAATGTTTACTGCTTTCTCTAGCCATGTAGAAGCTGTCTTGATGCTATGATGATAATCTAGTTTCTATGCTACCCGATAATTTCAATTCATCATGCAGGATTTCATCCTCCACACGATCATGCTTCCATATCGTCTCTAAAAGAGCAGCCATTCCATACAGGACCTCACTTGTCCCCTTGCGTTTTTTTCTTGCTCAAGTTATCCGTTGCCTCAAGAACATGGCTATAGAATTCTGTGAAGTCATTCGATAGCCCGTACGGTGCTGGCGCACGACGCTGAGCAGCCAGCATGGATGCAATTTCGGGGATGGAGGTCCACCAGGGCGGCGAGGGATTTGTTGGAGGAGGCAAGAAGTTGTGGGGAAGGGGAGTTGGGGTTTGAGGCTGTGGCTGGAGCTTGTTAGTGTCATTCCAGATTAGAGGGACTGAGGTGGTCGAGGAGGTACGTACTAGAGTAGCTGTGGCCTCTTCGGACAACGTGGAACGAGGAATAGTAGTCGGCGCAGCAAGAGGGGCCGAAGGTGGAGGATGACCGTCAGATGGAGCGGCGTCCAGTGTTAAGGGTTGCATACGAGGCCTGGTATTCTTGCCTAATGCCGTTTGCGTCTGTTCCTGGAACGGATGATGGGAGTCGGAGAGGAAGGCTTGGTCGACTGGTGATAGAACGGTGGCAGCAGACCGTCGCGCGGTTTCTAGGCAAAGTTAACATGGACTGGGACTGGGCCTTATGACAAAATACTTACCTTTCGTTGAGTAGCCTTCTGTTCGTGGTTGAGGAGGAACAGTCTCGATGTTCAAGAAGAGTTTTCCAGCCGAGCGACCCAAGTGGTTGTCTTCTCTCCAAGATTGTACTTGTGTAGTGTCTACCATAGGTATGTCGTTGTCCTGGGGCTGTTTCGTGACGTTGGAGGAGATAGTTGCTTCGGCTGCCAATCCAGGCTCGAAAACCTCAGCATGAACAGTCATCTGGTCCGCTTCGACCATCTCTACATCAGCCGAAGAGTCATGCTGAATCGATGGGATATGACTACGCGTGTCGTGGCTCTCCTTGTTTAGTTTCTCATCCTTGTCGAGAGCTTCTTCGTTGTCACTTCCAGCAACCTCATCGTCCAGAACCTCGTAGGCATGATCCTCCCGCTCCCCCAAGAGCTGTCGTGGGCGCGGCTCTGGAGCACTCTGCGAAGCGTCTTGCTGTGGCTGTTGGGACAATTGGTTCTGACCGCTCCCCGTCGCCTTGACCTCCCTAGGGTCACCAGTGGTGGCCTGACCTTCCGATGGTTTCGTACATGCCACTCCGAGCCTACGGCAGTTGGCACAGTCGCCCTCCTCTTTCGCGGCGTCACACCTATCGACACCTGCTTCGGCGCACTCATCGCATTTCTCCCAGCACTTATCTTGCATGTGCTTCTGTATCCATGGTCAGCAAAGCATCGTAAGTTGAATGTGGGGTACGTACTGCTGCTGACCTTCGGTGCGCGGTTCGCAGGCCGCAGCGGGGACATTCCCACATAGATGCGCCTCTGTGAGCGACAGCGCAGGGAGAGGCCCTACAGTGATCCTGAAGTTGATTAGTATCCGAGTGACCTGCGTGTTGGTGGCAAAACATACTGCGAAAGAGTGTTTGTTGCGGTATACCTTGCGGCAGTATTGACAGGACCATTCCTCCTCGTTGGCGTTTGATACAGCAGGTAGTTTCCTCGTCTTGGGAGCCATACTTAGCGCTCGGTGGACAAGGTACTATGTTGCTTTCGGTTGCTCTAGAACAGTTGTCGAGTGGAATGTGCCAGACGTAGGGATTTTCTTATATGAGCAGAAATTCGACCAGGTGGGTTGAAATTCTTTTTTCACGGGGTAAAAGCAGCCGTATATATTGATGGCGCTCATAACGAGCGGAAAAAGTTGAGCAGCGTCCATAGCGGCTTCTGAATCTGGGCTTTAATACGCCAAGACCCTTCCGGTGAAAGGTATGTCCCGTGATCACTGTGTTTGCCGCGCAGTCAACTTCAGACACATGATGAGGCACAGCTGAGCCCTGTTTCCACGCTGCTGATAGGGCACGTATAACGTACCGAGCATGGGTGGTCGTGCAGGAAATTCACCCCCAATCGAGCATATGAGGCGCTAAAACTGCACTGCGCGTCTTCGTTTTAGTTATTCAGCAGTGTCAGTCGTTATCGCCAATCCATCGTTGCTAATCTTCGTCGTCGGATTCATCGGTTCGTTCGGTAGCCACTGATGCTCGCAGTCCCGAAGTCTTCCGGCATTATCTGTAAGAGCCAAGTTGCAATCTACTGTCATGCCTTGGACGATCATCTAGGAAATCAAAGACAGGAATTCTCTTATTCATCTTGATAGGGACATTGAAGAACCGTGGAGTCTGGAGGGCCTCGTCCAACACAGCGAGTACTGGTCAGTTCAAGATGATGTGAGGAGTGGCAAACATAAACCTTGAAATGTTTGGATATATCCTACACCCTTGACGATCGATATGGTATCGGGCCCATTGCTGAAGGGGCTGAGTCGCATTGAGCAACAACATAATGGATGTGTGAGAGAACTGCACTCCGCACGCGAAGCGAAGTGCTCAAGGAAAAGACACCAACCAATCCCGGGCACTATTGCGCACCCCCCAGCCATACTCCATCCCTCTCCGCGCTAAGCCGCTTTCTTCCACCACTAATCCGCACCCGGTAAGCGCTAAGCCCCATCAAGCGGGGTACGGCAACACTATTGGTCCTAACACCGCTCATCCTGCTTCTGCTTGCAGGACGATGAGTGGAAACCTCGGTAGGAGCGTGGGTGTAGTATAAGTATGCTGGGTCCGCCGCCGCCGGATCTACTGGTTGAGGTAGAGGCATCCGTAGGAGAAAGTGCCAAGATATTTGCACGTGCTTTATACGAACTTTAAGCTTTGGGACGTGGGAAATGTCAAGTCAATCAGATCGTCGTCGAACTAAGGGTTCTGAGGGTGGAAATCAAGTTGTAACCCAGTCAAGGTGAGTTCTTCGATTCATTGGTCATGCATGCGATCTGATTGACGTTGTTCAGTTCCGAGGGTGAGATCGCTAAGGCGCCGTTGGAATGGTCCTCAATGAAGTCGGAGGTTCCCTTGACCAAATCGGCTTTGCAGACCCGGAATGCAGATGATGAAGGGGTAAGGCTGTACTGGGAAGCTCGGGAAGAAGAGAGGGTAGAAAGGCTCGTGCGGGCCTCGAGAGAACTGGGTTTTGAACTCGCACGACGATGTTATTGAGTGACACAAATTAAGACCGCAATGACTGGAGCAAAGTCGGTTGGCGCAAGGGCACTGCGAATCGATGTTGTGAAGGATTTCTTCTCCCAGATTGCGTTGATTTCAGGTTTAATGTATGCGACTGCGAATAGTCTGCACAATATCCCTTAAACCATGCAACCGCATATCTCTCGTCTCGCCCAGATACAGCGACGCCACGGGCCAAGCATGAATACCTCCCGGCTGTTCATAGCTGTCAACGTTTGTGCCAGTCTTCTTGAGCAACGAAATAAGCGATCGAGTCTCAGGTCCCAAAACCTCTTCAGAACCGTATAGAAAGAACCACCCTTTTTCTGGGCTTGCTGCCGTCCACTTCTTCATGTCTTTGCAATTGCCCGGCGACACCAGCGGATCGTCGGCTGGTACCTTGGGGCCAATGTACTGGCGACCGTAGAGCTCTAGGCTGTTGGCGTTGAGATAGTCACTAGGGGTATCGCGGTTGTTCTTCGAGATGATGGTTACCCACGGCGAGATCATGACAGCTAAACCCGGCCGCTGATGGCGCAGTTCGGGATGGTCGGTCATATAGAGCAGGAAACTGAGCATTAGGGTGGCTCCAGCGGAATCGCCGCTGACGCAGATCCGGGTGTGGTCTCGCGCGATGGAAAGAACATATTCATAGCCAGCGAGAGTTTCTTGTAGTTGTGTGGGGTAGACGGCGTCTGGAACAAGGGTGTATTCCAAGGCGAAGAGGGCCGGGTTCCTGTAGCCGGCTTCCTTGAGTAAGGCCACCCAAGCGAGAAGGAACTCCATGTAGAAGAAGCCAGAGCCCATGGCGAAGCCTCCGCCTATTTTGGGTTAACCTCACAGACTCGAAGAAAGAGAATGTATGACTGACCATGGCAGTAATAGACAATGATGTCCGGTTGCTCTTGTTTGTTATGGGTGATCCAGATACCTCTCAAACCAGGCTTTGGGAGTCAGCGACGAGTTAATTGCACATGATCAGGACCTACTCTATTGATCTCATTCCACCGCAAAGGCGAAGTTACAATGCCATGTCGCAACATGCGAAATCTCAGGAAAGGTAGAGAAACACCTTTGGAAAAAAATACTCGTCCCAAAAAGGCTGGCATAAAAGCGAATGCATATCTAACGCATCTGATGACAAAGTCCTGAAACGGAGTTGCGCGTTGCACGAACGGACTGCGTTGCTCATAGGGTGTGAAATATCTTTCCCTGATGAATTGATAAGGTAGGACGAAGACTTGGAAGGCTGTGAATATAAACATGCGGAGATGAGATACATATGGTAGACATACTCAGTGAAGGCAATGCACCAACAAGCCATGTCGCTATGCGGATTAAACCGACATGTATCAGGAGCTGCGGGACCAGGAAAATCAGGAAGACGATGCAGTCTAGATAAGAGATCTGGCTTAGTATCATAGTCGAGATCACAATGAGAGGGTGGTTACATCCAAGAGGGGAACACAATCGCCATGTATTGAACGATGGTGGCACGGTGGGTACCTACTTTCCCGTGATGACGCGCTGAAGGCAGAATGGCTTAGCGCGCGTTTGCGGAGCGAGCTGCTCACGTGAGCATGCGGCGGTCGCGCTTTCCTTGGCGACGTAAGTTTTCCAGACACCTCACTTGCGACAGCAACTGCACCCGCGCCCGCAATCAACGTCACTGATACTAAAACTTTCACCTCCGCGCAATCTATTGCTTATTGCGCGACCGATGCCGGTTGCCGCGCTGATTGTCTAACCGATTGATTCCGGCCGGCGGATGCGATCGCTTAGATTGTGACTGCAGTTGCTGTAGCCTTGCGCTCGCTCTGCGTCCCGGAACCTCACCATGGCGACCACGGCCACCGACCCCAAGTTGGCGCCGCTCGCTGACGAGCTCAAAGAGTTTGCTCTGTACGTCACTCACTTGTAGATTTGCAATAGCGCGCTCACAGTCACAGTACGCTCGACCGAGGTGCATTCCCCAAGGGCTTCTTCTGCGCGCTTTGCGACCAGCTCGCTTTCGATTCATACAAGCTTCTGTGCTGTAACAAGGTCATTTGCTCGTCCTGTACGTACTACCAGTCACAGTGCACATGACGAATGGCTAACCCTCTATCCAGGCCAGTCGAAGCTCGAATTCCCTACAACATGCCCATCGTGCGATCATTCGCCAGTAGAAGCGGACTCATGCCCCCCGAACAAGGCGCTGCGTAACACCATGCGAGTCTGGTTGCAAAAGCAAAAGAAGAAAGAAGAACTCAAGGCAGCATCGGAAGTACCGCCGACACCTGCTGTCGAACCGACGCCCGCACCGTCTGAGGCGCAACTCCCGAACGATTCTTCAGACAAGCCGGTCGAAAGTATTGAGGAAGCACCGCGGACAGAACATGGTGGTGTAGATCAGAGCGCGGCCGACAGTGTGATTGAAGACAGGCCTGCTTCTGCTGCACCACAGCGCGAAGAGGTAAGCTTTTCAACGGGAGAAAGCGGCGAGTAGCGATGGCTCGTAATGGTCAGGGTTAACATAGGACAGGGGTTCACGACCGGCCCGGATGAGCAACAGCAAGAAGATGTCCAGGACGGCAAGGCCGCGGAAGATGATAATCAGAGTGCTGAGCCTGCACAAGACGAGGACAACGGCCAAATCCCGAGCGGACCCAACGGCCAAGTGTTTCCGAGCAACGCCATGATGAACGCCAACGGAATGCCTAATCAGTTCGGCTTTGGCTTCAACGGTCAAGGAAACTTCGGCATGGGGATGAATAACATGCCCAACATGATGAACCCCGGTTGGAACAACATGGGTATGACCTCCATTCCTTCGCATTATCGTTCACACGCTAATTGCCGGTCAGGCTATGGCATGAACAATATGAACGGCATGAACGGCATGTTCGGCTTCGGTGGAAACATGGGCATGGGGATGAACGACATGTCCATGAACTATGGTGGCAGTTTTGGGAACGGATGGAATGGCATGGGCGGCGGCGGCTATGGGTTCAATGGCTACAACCAAATGGGTGGTGGATATAATCAATCTGGAGCCTATCCCGAGATGATGAACCAATACCCCAAGAATCATATGTCAAACCAAAATCGTTTCCAAGGCAATGGCCCAGGAAACATTTCCCAGCAGCAAAACAGGAACGGAAGTTTCGGAGGTGGATATGGTCCAGGTACCGGCAGGCAGCAGAACAGCCGCCCAGGGAGTCGGACCGGTCCCAACAACGTACGTCGATTTTCACGCTCGAGTTTGCCGAAGCTACCGAAGGCATCTCATCCTTTTCATCTTTCCCCCAAGAACACGACAACTGACAATCCCGGTTTCGAACAGCCCGAAGGCGAGTCCCGCGCAGGAACTGTCGAAACTACCACCGAGGATCAAGGTAAAGATGAGCAGGCTTCTGCATCCGCTGAAACTGCCCAAGAAGGTAAGGCGGAAACGACCGCTGCCGAAGGAGATGGCAAAGAACAAGCAGCCGAAGGTGCGGCTACCGAGGACGTGCCAGAGGCAGCAGAAGATGCGAATACAGCAGGACCTGGAGCAGATCAATCTTCTGCGCTTAATCAAATTCAGACTGTTGATTCTGTGGAGATGGAAGACCAAGAATTTGGCTCCAACATGATGGGTGGTAACATGCAGTTTGCTCCTCAAATGATGAATTCGTTCAACGCGAATCAAATGAACGGAGCGTACAATCACGGCATGGGCAACATGGGTTACCATAACAACAACTTTGGTTCTCGTGGCGGCTTCAATAATGCCTATGGTGCAGCAACCGTTCTCACAGGCGAGCCCCGTGGAGTCGGCGTGGCAGGCGCTCCCACAGGACCTCGAGCGATGCGTGAGGGTCGCCCTAATACCGGATTCTCAAGTCGAGCAAACAACGTTCGTTACAACCCGCCTCCTGTTGCAACTCCTGCCGCCGAGGCTCCGGCTGGAAGTCACAGCCCACCGCGACGAGTTCGATCGTAAGTTTGAATCTATGTCCGGGGTCGACTTGGAAATGCTGACAACACACAGCCGATCACCTGTACGAGACGAAAGCCTCCGTACTAGAGACAGGTCACGGTCTCGCTCGCGTGCAGAATCTGAACTGAAAGCTGCAGTCCAAGACGAGCAACGTGATCGATCCCTTTCAGCAGAACCCGAGCGGCGGGACGACCGTGCGCGATCTCGAACACCACAGGCAGAAGACGATGATGACTACGAGCGTCGAAAAGAGAAACGTCGGCATCGGTCCTCACGTTATGACGACCACGACGAGCGAGATGAACGTGACAACTACGATGATCGCGGCCGCGATGACCGCGAATCACGGGGCTCGCGGGGCGATCGAACACGCAGTGCCTCTGCCGATTCCAAGTATCGTAGCCGTCGTGACAAAGATAAGTCTCGCTCTTCTCGATCGCACCGAGATCGAAGTCGGGAGCATAGGCGCCGTCATCGCTCACGTTCTCGCTCAGTCACTGTGGGAGATACCGAAAATCATGCCAACGACGATTCGAGCTCCCGCCGCAAGGATCGAAGTGATAGAGACAAGGATCGCGACAAATATCGTGATCGGTCACGGTCACGAGACCGTGACCGCAAGGATAGGAAGGACCGGGACTATGAGCGCGACTACGATGACGAGAAGTACCGGTCTCGCGACAAGGACAAGGACAAGGAGAGACGCCGTCGCCGTGACCGTGAAGCCGAAGAAGACGAACGCGACTACGATGACGACAAACACCGTTCCTCACGTCGAAGCCGCAAAGACCGCGACCGCGACCGCGACCGCGCTCGTGATCGTGATCGCGATTACGAGAAGGAATCATCCACCCGTGCAGTCTCCCCGCCAGTGAATGCGCCCACCGGTCCTTCAGCGGACAACTTCTCCATACGCGGAGCAAGTAGGCCAAAGACTACGATCTCCATGGGTCCTCCGCAACCGCCCACCGGCCCCCGTGCCTTGATGCCGCCTAAGGGTCCGGCAGCAGATCGGGACCGGGACCGCCGGCACAGCAGGAAAGGCAGCATGAGCTCGTCCCTCCCTTCGACCTCCACGGAATCAGCGCCGCAGGACCATTACGCCGCGGAGCGCGAAAAGAACGCCCGCGCTCGCGACATGCTCGAGCGTAATGCGCCCTCCGACCGCCCCGAGTCTCGCTCGCTTCACTCCCGGATCTCGTCTTCCCACCAATCCTCCTCTCGGCCAGCATTATCTTCGAAGCGCTCACGCGACGATTATGACGACGATGAGAGGGAGATCAGGGGCAGTGTGCCCACAGGCCCGGCGAGTCATAGTAGTAAGAAGAAGAAGAGCGGGGATACGGGGGGTGCAGATCTGGCGAGTGTGCTGGCGAAGGGGCTGAGGAAGAAGGCTGGGGCGCCGAGGAGGGGCGGCGTGAAAAATGAGGGGGATGTGGAGAGGGAGTTGGAGAGGGTGGAGAGAGAAAGGGATGGGAGGAGGTGGTAAGTCATATTGCATGTTGGCGAATTTGTCTTCCGTGCGGATCTGTCAGGTGCGGGTATAAGGGATTGGAGGGGTTTCAAGGTTGGATCGGAGGAATATCGGTTTGACATTCGACTTCCCGGATTGCAGTATCCTGGACGACACGACTACGAGACACTGCTCTCTCTTCTGGAACGGACCATCATCGGATCAGCGGTACATTACCAGCTCTACAGGTACGTTTTGTGCACATTGACAGCGCATTGGCATCAGGCATCGGGCATGAAGCGGCCTTTTCACTTCTTTCGTGACAGGCAATTCTTGTATTATACCCTTCCGCCACTCAGCACTGCACAAATCAGGCTGCGTTTGATGGATGTAGCAAAACATCATCATATTGAATACCAAAAGTCAAATCATTCGGGTCAGAACGTAATTGACTAATGAAACCGCTACTCAACCTTTCATTTATCGTTAATTTCATTGTTGGTGCAGCAGCTTTGACATCGCCACTTAAGGTTACTTTTCGTTAATTCGGGCCCAACCTACCTGTGCATCACACTTTTAAGTCGGCCGTATACTCTGACCACCTCAACGCCTCGTTCCGTTGACATTCTTCACGCCTTGCCCCAACTGACTCGCCACACACGTCGCCTCCCTCACCGCCCGTGAGAATGCGCCCCTCACGCCGCCCTCCTCTAGTGCCAGCAATCCGCCAATCGTGCATCCTCCCGGCGTGCTGACCTTATCCCTTAGGATAGCAGGATGCTCGCCACCCTCAAGCACCAGCCCCGTGGTCCCGCGCATCGTCTGCGCCGCCATGATCTGCGCCTCCGCGCGCGGCAGACCCATCGCTACACCAGCGTCGGCAGCAGCTTCGAGGACAAGCGCGAAAAACGCGGGCCCAGAGCCGCAGAGAGCGGTGGAGATGTCCATCAGCGCAGGTGGGAGTGTGACGACGCGGCCGATCGAAGAAAATATGAACTCGACCAGCTTGTGTTGTTCGGGCTTGAGTGGTGGTGTTGAGGTCTGAATGACGGACATGCTTTCGCGGACGAAAGAGGCGGTGTTTGGCATAACGCGTACGACGCGGCATGCATCCGCTGGTGGGCCATCAGGGTACAAGAACCCCTCGATCTGCTCCTGCGTCACGCCTGCCAATATAGATACTATGATCTTTCCCTTCAACGCATCGCGCACGCCCTCCTCGCCCAGGATGTCCTTGAAGATGTGCGGCTTGCAAGAAAGCAGGATGATATCTCCCTTCTGTATGCCCTCGAGGTTTTTGTTGGTCAGGGTGGTGAGCGAGAAGTTGTAGTGGCCCAGCGCGGCCTTGACCTTTTCTTCAGCAGGTGCCCAGGCGTCGCAGGCGACGAAGTTTTGGAGGTTTGGCGTGTCTTTCGGCGCATCTGATATGGCGGCTTGGGTTTTCGCGGCGGCGAGAGAGGCCATGACACCGCCCATTATGGCGATGCCCATTGTGCCTGGGGATCGTTAGAATGGTGGAAACGAAGTGGTGCAATGACATTGAGGGATTTGAGAAGTTTGAGTGGGCGAAAAAGGTGACCTGAGAGCCATGGGATCTCAAACAACAGTACGTATAACTGTATGGTATCGGAGTGTTCTTTGAGCTCGAAATCACTCGTGTGCAACTTTGTGCGGGGTCTCAATTGCGGAGTAGACTTCTACGTACCGGAGCCGAGCACGGTCAATGTTAGACCTTTGGAGTCCTGAGAAGCAGCCATTTCGTTTTGCGTATCTTGAAGGCAGGTAATAGTCTTGTAGGTGCAAAATTATGAAGAGAGGGCGCGTAGTCATAAAGGTAAAGCATCCCGCTTTCGGATGGTCCGTGCGCGACATCATGGGTAGACGCGGTTCATCGGAAGACAAGCCCAAGTGGGAACTTTGCACTTTTGGCCGCTGGCAACGCACGACATCCCCGCAACACGCTAAACCTCCGACCTGCATATGCAGCTCAACCCACGAAACATCTATACCCCAGTAGTTTTCACGCGACACCTATACTGTACCTGTATATGTAGCGGTACCCACGAGACAGTCACCTACTTCTCCCCAGGTGGCACGCAACCTTCTTTTGACTACCGACTGCCTCCCAGTGCACCTACCTTGTGCTCTACTGTAGCTATTCAGAGCTCCTGCGCCTTGCCTCCGATCACCTCCAACGACTCTACACACGATGGACCCCTTCGAAGTCCGCATCCGCTTCACCTCTCACCTCACCCACCTCACCGCCTCGCACACTACGCACCAACGCGCCGCCATATTCGCCCTTAAGAACCGCTCAATGGACGAAGATCTGCACTCGTGCATCCTCGAACAGCTCGAAACATCCTCCCTCAACACGCGCGCAAACATAATGTATTTCATAGAGACGCTCACGAGTTTAGCGAAGCAGGAAGGCGCGTTGGAGTTCGTGAGAATGATGCAGAGGGACATTTTACGGGTTGTGGACGCGGTGGTCCCGGGAGATGGTAGTGGGGCTGCGAATGTAAGGGTGGTGAGGAAGGTGCTGGGGGGCTTGGGAGAGAAGGGCGTATTGATGAAGGATACGGTTGTTGAACTCGAAGACATCCTCAAAGAACGCGAGCGCGAGGGAGGAGAAGGCAATCTCTTCGTTAACGCCGGCGATGAAGGTACGCCCAAGAGGAACGGCGCGAGGTTGGACAAACGGCAGATTGAACAGCGCATTGAAGAGGATAGGGAGAGGCATAAGCGCGCGAGGGAAAGCATCTGGGCTGTCCCAGGAGAGAACGAAGCTGAGATGGAGAGGCTGTGGGAAGAGGCGAGTGAGATTGGGGAGGATGATTATATAGCGGCGAGTGAGGATATGGTAGAGAGGAGACAGGCTATTGCGCTTGGCTAGCGGTCAAGTACCGACATGTCTGAAGGGGATGGGAGGAGGGATGAAGCTGAGGAGGGCTAGGCAATATATGGCGACCAATATGCCAGAGTACTTCTACACCAAAAACCTGGGCAGCTTCACCAGGGATTCGATCATGGATGGGCATCTCGAATGCTGCACGGTCGATGGTCACGAGATATCTCACTCGAAGCAAAGGGCAGCAATCGCGTGGCATTGGTAGGCGTTTTGACTTTTTGGGACCTCGAAAAGATACCACAGGAGCATTCTGTTAGGCGTTTTCGAGACATTTTGAGTAATGCAATCCAAGAACTTGTTCTTATACATATCTGTACACGCGCAAATGCTGGTGATATAGTACAACTCCTCCATTCCCCTTCTCATGCATCTAATGCAAGCCTTCATGAAACGGCCCCAATCCATCTTTGCGCTCCCAATTACATTCCTTACTCCATGATGACTGTCGCCCCCAACGCCTTCAGCGTCTCAACAATCTTCTCCGCATCCTCCTTGGGAACGCCCTCCTTCATCATCTTTGGCACGCTCTCAACGAACTTCTTGCTGTCTACCAGCGACAGGCCGAGCATGGCCTTGATCTCCTTGATGACCTTGGGCTTGGCACCGGCGTCGAACTTCTCGAGCTTGAGGTTGAAGAGCGACTTCTCGGCAGCGGCCGGGGCAGCCTCCTCTTCTTCCACGGGGGCGGCGGCTGCTGGACCTGCGCCGCCGGCGCCGGCGACGAAACCGCCCATAGGCATGTCGGGGATGTTGAGGCGAGTCTAGGGAGGTATGTTAGCAGTTGTTCGTGCTCTGTACAGATGTGTAATATTGAAGGCGAGAGCGACGCATTTGAAATGCTAGAAAACTTCTGAGTTGTGGTGGCCAGTTGAAGAACGCCGTTGCCGTCTGAAGAACGCGACTGTCCTTTCCTCCCATCCTGCCAATAAGCGGAGAAGTCGTACCTTCAGCGTCGAGACCAAATCTGCCGTCTCCAGCAATGTCAATTGACTAATCTGATCCACAATCGTCGCGATTTTGGGGTTCGTAGGCGCCGTTGCAGCATCGGTCGACTGCCATCTTTGTGCTATCCTCTGCTGTGCGAAGGCGGCTGTGGGGCGGAGGTACGAGGTGTTGGACTTTGCGGTGCAGACGCAGCGCCTGAGGGCGCGAGATGCGGGGGCGGACATGACGGCGGAGACAGGCGTGTGTGGTTGTCTTTGATGAAGTGATGAGCTGCTGCGAGGTTCACAAGTTCGCGAGATTTTGCGGAGCGGAGAGGTGTGGATTAGGACTAGCGGCTTGGCGCGAAAGTTGAACGCCTCGAACTTTTTTGATGCGCGAGGCGAGTTTCTGCAACGACCCAACCACGGGGTTTTTGCGACATTTCGGGCTTGTGGACCGATATACTGAGCGTTCTGGAATCTTATACGACACTGAAAAGCATGGGAACCCGGCCTGAAACGTTTATCACCCGGATATCACGATATGGACGGCTCCACGCAGGCCGGTAAAACGGTCGACTTTGAGTGGCTCGCCCGGAAGTCAATCATCCCAGCACGCACGGATGATCTGTTTGTCCAATATGAATTTTTGTTTGTGGAGGTCTGCACGAGGTGGATGAGTGCAGAAGTCACGCCTGAGCTGGAGCTTGCCGCTTTAGGAAGAATATTACCTCTTGCACCTCATCTCGCGGAGCATGCGGAGCGACTCGCCGCGTCGCCTCAAGTGCCGTTTCTCGGAGCGCAGCAAAGTGGAATCCAAAGACGAGATGTTGAGAGACTACCAGAGCAAGAGTTATGTCAGGCTTTGCTGGGATGGTTTCGCCTCATGAGCTTCGACTGTCGGAGTTTTGCGAAGTATATGCGACCAGCTGCTGTGGAGCAGCTCTTTCAGCACACGAATCCGTGTGTACGGTATCTGGCAGTCAGGAATTTCTGCCTGTATGTGCATACGGCGGATCATGCAATGCAAGAGATGGTCAAGAGAGTCGTTGGAAAGGTCGAGGTCGAGGGCGTATGGGAAGGTCGAACCATCGATTTTGTATTTTTGTCGTTGTGGGAGGAGAAGAGATGGAAAGAGCTGCAGTCGAGATTACAACAAAACCGGTCGGTAGAGGCGCGACAAGTCCCATCAGCACTAGCTCGACAGCTTTCGCCCTATACCGTCAACGTCAGTGGAGTGTTACTGCCGCGTTTGGATGGAGCTCCATCAAAGGAAAGGCCGTTGGAAGTTATCTCGACACCTACGACGGAGTCCAATCTGCAGAGTATCGCTCATGGTTTGTTAGGCTCAAGCCCTCTTCTACTCACGGGCCTTGCGGGATCCGGAAAGACGCTACTCACACGGTATCTATCATGGCAACTAAATAAGCTGGACAGCATGGTCACTCTCCATCTGAACGAACAGAGCGATGCGAAGTTGCTTGTAGGCATGTACGCCACTGGGGCAAAACCCGGAACCTTCAGTTGGCGACCCGGTGTGCTCACGACAGCCGTCCGAGAAGGCAGATGGATTTTTATCGAAGATCTTGATCGAGCGCCGAACGAGGTCGTCAGCACTTTGCTTCCTCTCATCGAGCGCGGCGAGTTGCTCATCCCAAGCAGGGGAGAAACCGTCCGAGCTGCAAGAGGTTTCAGGATCATCGCCACTATGCGCAGCACGCTCAATCCGCGAGGCCAGGAAATTGTTCCCCGCCAGAACATGATTGGTCACCGCTTTTGGAAGTCTACTACAGTCCACATGCCAGGGCTCGACGAGTTTGAGAAGATCGTGTCAGACAAGTACCCAGCACTTGGCAAGCACGTATCGGGTATTATGAGAGTTTATGCTCGCCTGCTTGACTTGTACTCAGATGCAAAGTTCTCTTCGGAGAATGGCACATCGCTACGGGCACTTACGCCGCGAGATCTGCTGAAATGGTGCGATCGCATCGCAGTCCTGCTAGCAAAATCTTCTTCCTTCAGCGAGGCTCAAAGGGATGACATCTTTATGGAGGCATTCGACTGCTTTGCGGGCAGCTTGCGAAGTGAACACACTCGAGCACGAGTGATGGCGTGTGTGGCTGAAGAGCTTCACATCGATCCTCAACGGCGAGATCATCTCTTACAGAATCGAGATATCAAGCTTGAAGCTCCAGCCAAGAGCACGTCCTCTGGCACCATAAAGATAGGAAGGACACGGCTCTCAAGACACAAGAATACAAAACTGAACACTACGAGCAGGCCTTTTTCAACGAATGGCTACACTTTGCGACTACTCGAGAAGATTGCAGTAGCTGTCGATCGTCAAGAACCACTACTTCTTGTAGGCGAGACGGGTACTGGAAAGACAACATGCATCCAGTACCTAGCCGAGCAGCTAGGAAGGAATCTCATTGCATTCAACTTGTCGCAACAGAGCGAAAGTGGCGATCTGCTTGGCGGTTATAAGCCTGTCAACGTTCGTAGCCTTGTCATTCCTATGAAAGACGAGTTCGATGTGCTGTTCGACACCACGTTTTCGCGAAAGAAGAATCAGCGATTCATGGAGATGCTTGGAAAGCGTGTCGCAAAGGGCAATTGGAAAGGTGTGTGCACGCTCTGGCGGGAGGCATTAAAGATGGTAGATGCAGCACGCAAAGCACACGAGTCGCAGACCTCATCGCCAGATCCTGATGGTGGCCAACCCAAAAAGAAACGCAAGATGGATTCGCTACCAGCCACGTTTCTCGGATCGCGGTGGGATAAATTCGCAACAGACCTGCATGATCTCGAGGCGCAGCTTGCGAATGGCTCTGAGGCATTCGCATTCTCTTTTCTCGAAGGCAACATTGTAAAGGCTGTCAGGAATGGTGACTGGGTCTTACTCGACGAGATAAATTTGGCATCTTCGGACACGCTCGAGGCTCTTGCGGATCTTCTGGGTGGAGGTCCAGATGGCGCGCCATCCATTTTGCTTACAGAAACGGGCAATGTCGAACGTGTGATCGCTCACCCAAATTTCAGAGTCTTCGCAGCTATGAACCCGGCAACCGATGTAGGCAAAAAGGACTTGCCACCGGGCATCCGATCTCGGTTCACTGAGCTGTACGTTGAGAGCCCCGATAGCGACAAGAAGAGTCTGCAGAGCATCGTAGAGAAATACCTGGGAGGAGACCAGCTTGACACCACCATCGTTCGGGTGGCCTCCGATGTCACGAAGCTCTATCTCAAGATTCAAGAGCTGGCTAGGGCGAATATGCTGGTAGATGGCGCAGAACAAAAGGCACATTTTAGTCTTCGCACACTGACGCGGACACTCTCATATGCCCGTGAGATTGCGCCGCTATGTACATTACGCCGTGCGTTGTTCGAAGGCTTCCACATGAGCTTTCTTACGTTCCTTGGCAAGGCGTCGGAAGATCTCGTCGCACCGCTCATCAAAGAGTACCTCTTCCAGCAAAAGTCCGTTATGAAATCTGAGCTGGGCAAGCCGATGCTCCAGCCAAGTGATGGGAGGAGTTACGTTAGGCAAGGTCACTATTGGCTTCGACAAGGTGGGCAGCCGGTCGAGGAGCAACTTCACTATATCATTACGCCCTTCGTTCAACGCAACATGAACAACTTGATCCGAGCTTCCTCAACGCGGCGCTATCCTGTACTGATTCAGGGTCCTACATCCTCTGGAAAGACCAGCATGATCGAATACCTCGCGAAGCGGTCGGGCAACAAGTTTGTGCGCATCAACAATCACGAACATACTGACCTGCAGGAGTACTTGGGATCTTATGTTTCGGGCGCTGACGGCAAGCTTACTTTCCAAGAGGGTATCCTTGTTAGAGCATTAAGAGAAGGTCACTGGATCGTGTTGGATGAACTGAATTTGGCGCCCACCGATGTTTTAGAAGCCCTCAATCGACTTCTCGACGACAACCGAGAACTGCTGATACCGGAAACCCAAGAGGTAGTTCGACCCCACGAAGACTTCATGCTTTTTGCAACGCAGAATCCTGCAGGCCTATATGGTGGACGAAAAGCCTTGTCTCGGGCCTTCCGCAATCGTTTCTTGGAACTTCACTTCGACGATATTCCAGTAGAAGAGCTAACGGAAATCTTACATCGACGTACCATGATCCCCGAATCATGGTGTAAGCGAATCGTCAGTGTGTACCAAGAGCTTTCCATCCTACGACAAGAGAACCGAATATTCGAGCAAAAGAGTTTTGCAACACTTCGGGACCTGTTTCGCTGGGCTCAGCGCAAAGCAGATACGATTCAAGATCTTGCAAGTAATGGTTACATGCTGCTTGCTGAGCGCGTACGGAAAGAAGAGGAGCGAATAGCCGTCAAGAAGATCATCGAGACTGTAATGAGTAAGAAGGGCCCAAAGGTGGAAATACAGGAGGAGATCATGTTTAGTGAAGATGATTCACCGGAAATCAAGTTATGCAAGGAGATGACTGGTGCGGATGCCACTGTTGTCTGGACAAAGGCAATGCGGCGGCTGTTCGTATTAGTCGCACATGCTATCCGCAACAACGAGCCTGTGCTGCTTGTCGGAGAGACAGGATGTGGCAAGACAACTGTCTGTCAAATGCTCGCAGATGCCTTTCAAAAGCAATTACACATCCTGAATGCACATCAAAACACCGAGACTGGCGACTTGATTGGTGCGCAAAGGCCGATTCGAAACAGAGCTGCGGTTGAAGACCTTCTCTACAGGCAATTACAGGAGGCTTTGGGTCCTCATCACCAGTTGCAAGAAGTGGCCCCGGGATTATCAGAGCTGCTCGGGATATACGACAGATTTTTAGCCGAGAGGCCAGACGCACTTGATCTCATCTCTCTTTCACATCGCGAAGAGATTCAAGCGAACCGCATCAAGGCTGCAGCTTTGTTCGAGTGGGCTGATGGAAGCCTAGTCCACGCAATGAAAACTGGACAATACTTCCTACTGGACGAGATATCACTTGCAGACGACTCTGTGCTCGAACGCTTGAATAGTGTCCTGGAGTCGTCGCGAACCTTACTACTTGCTGAAAAAGGACCTGTGGACTCCCCTGGTCATTGCAACCCAAGGCTTTCAGTTCCTCGCCACAATGAATCCCGGTGGTGATTACGGCAAGAAGGAGCTGTCGCCTGCTCTGAGAAATCGTTTCACTGAGATATGGGTGCCTGCTCTATCAGATGACGAGGACATTACACAGATTGTTCAATCGAAGTTGAAGCCGAGCGCTGTGCAGTATGCGGGAGAACTCGTCTCGTTCTCTAAGTGGTTCAACAACAAGTACGACACCTCTGCTGCAGCATCTATATCTATTCGAGACACACTTGCTTGGGTTACGTTCGTCAATAACTCTCCAAGCGACGAACCGGTCTTCGCCATCGTACATGGTGCTGCTATGGTCTTCATCGATACGCTAGGGGCAAATCCTGCAGGCCTGCTCGCTATATCTGCAGCATCGATTGATGAGGAACGTAAGGCATGTCTGCGCTATCTAAGGCATGCTCCTTGACGAGGACGTAACGCCGATATATTTCGGTTCCACCACGGTCGCCTCGAACCCGAAAAGTCTTCAATTGGGACCTTTTTCGATTCCGAAATTCTCATCAACGACTGCCGAGGATGTCAGCTTCTCGCTCGAAGCGCCTACTACACAACTGAATGCCACCAGAGTTGTGCGTGCTTTGCAGCTGTCAAAACCGATCCTGCTTGAGGGTAATCCCGGTGTCGGTAAGACCACGCTTGTTACCGCTCTTGCCCGAGCAATTGGGAAGCCCCTCACTAGACTTAACCTGTCCGAGCAGACAGATCTGATGGACTTGTTTGGATCCGACGTACCCGTTGAAGGCGGACAAGCCGGAACCTTCGCTTGGTGCGACGCGCCCTTCCTCAAGGCTATGAAGAATGGCGATTGGGTGCTGCTTGACGAGATGAACCTTGCATCTCAATCTGTACTTGAAGGTCTGAACGCGGTGCTTGATCACCGTGGCGAGGTTTATATCTCAGAGCTCGATCAGACATTCCACAAACATCACGACTTCCGTGTATTTGCCGCACAGAATCCTCATCATCAAGGTGGTGGTCGAAAAGGCCTTCCGGCGTCTTTCGTTAATCGGTTCACGGTTGTTTACGCCGATATATTCCGACCCGAGGATTTGTCTCTCATCTGCCGCAAAGTTTTTCCCGGCATTGCTGAAGAGGAAGTCAAAAAAATGATCACATTCGTCGCACAGCTCGATGAGCAAGTTGTAAGTCGCCGCGCTTTCGGACACCTTGGCGCGCCGTGGGAATTCAATTTGCGAGATACCCTTCGTTGGCTACAGCTGCTTACCTCGCCACAATTCTCTGGGACTGCAAGAGACTTCCTAGATACTGTCTTCGCCCAGCGCTTCCGTTCAGAGACAGATCGCGTTCATCTTTTCAAACTTTTCGAGTCGATATATGGTCAGCATGATCCTCGAATCACACTTCACCACAATCTTTCCTCGTCGACTTTACAGGTTGGAATGGGCTTGCTTCCCAGACACCATGCCGTTACAAGGCCTGATCCTACGTCTACTTTTCGTATCAGACAGTTGGCTCCGATGGAAGCGCTCGTGGTTAGCGTGAGGCAGAACTGGCCTGTGATACTGGTCGGGCCACCCGGATCAGGAAAGACCTCAATGCTAAACCAGGTTGCATCATTCGCTGGTGCCAGCATGGTCACTTTTTCAATGAACGCAGATATCGATGCCATGGATCTTGTTGGCGGCTACGAGCAGGTTGATCCGTCTCGAGAGCTACAGCACTTCATGTCAACACTGGATGAGTTTGTCCGACGTGCACTTTCATCCGCAGCGAATCCAACACCAGTTGCGACTAGATTACTAGAACTTCTCACCAACTACTCCCTTGCAGATACACGAGAGATCTTGGTGCTTCTGCAAGGCCTTGCACAAGAGAACCCCGCGTCCACAGAAGCCATTCAACTCAGCCAAGAACTCGAGGTCCTCATCAATACACCCCAGCAAATCGACGGTGCCCGCTTCCAATGGGTCGACGGCATTCTCATACAAGCCCTCCAACAAGGAAAATGGCTCGTACTTGATAACGCCAACCTGTGCAGTAGCGCGGTTCTCGATCGCCTCAATTCGTTGCTCGAACCAAATGGATACCTTAGCATCAACGAGCACTCGACTGCTGACGGTGAGGCGAGGGTCGTCAAACCGCATCCTGATTTTAGGATCTTTATGACTGTGGATCCGAGGTTTGGAGAGCTAAGCCGAGCGATGCGAAACAGAGCTGTTGAAATTTGCTTGTTGGTTGAAGAAGGTGCTAACCAGGGTGAGGAGGCCGAGGCGGCAGTGGAATACCCGCTTGACAGTCGAATGTACCGCTTCCGGCAGTTGTGTAAGGTGGCTTCGATTCAAGCTACGCAGCCGCAGCTTGAAAGCCTCTCGACCGTAGATACCAGCTTGCTTCTAAGTTTTGAGAAGCAAGTGTCGAAAGGACTGCTTACATACCATGGCCAGTGTGCAACAACGCTTAACGGCATCCAAGCTGGGTCCGATAACACCATGGAACATCTACACCATCAGCTACAGTTTTTCACTTCGGTGGCCGATCCTCAAGCGCGATCTCTTCAGCATCTTCTCGGCGATAACCATGGTATAGATTCGACTCATGCCTTGCAACCATATCATCCACTCAACAACGAGCTCATTCTTCGCCGTAGCAAAGTCTCCGAACTCCTCTCCAAGCGGTTCGCCTCAGTCTTCGACGTCTTGCTCGAATGCTATAACATGCAGAAGGCTCTCGCGGATCTTCCCTCCATGAAATTCGAGCGCCGGAAAGAACTGCAAAAGCTCCCTGCCTTCTTGTATGCTTTCTGGCAGGGCATATCATCGTGCATTCAGGCCCTTGGCCACGCTGGAGACTCTATGAGTTTGATTGAGATCGAAGGCTTGACGCCGAAGCTCTTGCGTCAACTATTCTGGGCTTTCCACAAGCTAATGACGGGGTCGAACTTCGATCGCGCGACGTTTCAGACATATCTGAAGATGCTGTCGGATGTGCTAATACGACTCATGAATGCCCCTGTACCAATTGCTGTCGATCTGGGTAATAAGTTGTCCAAAGAGGTGTCAAAGTTTGGCAGCGACGTTCAATTGAGTAGTGGGTTGGGCATGGAACGCATATGGCGGCACTTCAAGCCTAATACGTCGAAGACGCAGGCTCAGCTTGCTGCGTTGCTTGCGCTCGAGACCCTAGCCGACCGGCTGGATGCGACAATGTGGAAATCGCATTTGAAGCTGGACGAGATGATACAGATCCGGGAGCGGTTTGCCAGCTCCTTAGAGCTCGTCAGGACACAAGACGTTGATGCTGGCGAGCTTGTCACGGCGCTCGAAATCGCCGTCCGCGAACTCGAAGGCAGTGTTGGCGAGGACGATGTCACGGTCACGCCCTACTTCGAGGATGTTTTTGAAGGACTGAATCAGTATCTTGACATCGCGCAAAGTCCTATACCAACTTCGGATCGCCGGTACATTGCGCCAACCGCTGATGTGCCAGTTGTGCGAGCCAAATCCTCATTACTTGCGAGAAGACCGACAAAGTTGGCCAAACTTGCGGACGAGCCAATGGAGCAAGTTGGTGCGTGGGGCAATATGGACCGTCTAGCTCGGTACATCGGATTGCACAAGCAGGCTAGTCAACTTGTTGCTATTGAAGGGCGGGTCCACACCGCTATGCTCTCGCGTCTTCGGGGTGCGGACGATGTTCAGCTTGCTCAGCTGGAGCGATTCGAAGCAGAAATTCAGGTTCTTGCCCAGGAGCTTGTCTTAGACTCGGAGCACTTTACCAATCACCAACACGATGCGCTGTCCTGGATTTACCGCCAAATTCTCAATGGGCTTTATTCATCGCATTGCGTTGATATTATAGCTCAAGTCGATCAAAACTCATTGGAGTTCCACCCTACAGCACCCATATCAAAGGATTATCGCAGAGCCCTGGCCCCTTTAAAACAGTGTTTCCACCACGCAAGTGCCTTCAACAAAATGGACTCCCAGGCTTGGATTTTGCTAGCCCTGACGGGTTTGAACCTCTACGTGCCAAACTACCCTCATGATCCGGCATTGCGACCCATGATTGAGCGTAACTTGTTCGACGAAGAAAGAACCGGTCTTCTATGTGCACTACAAATGTTACGCGAATTCCAGATTGATGTAACTGGCCAAGAGAGCAGCTTCCGCATACGGCAAACAGAGAGCGCGATCCGCGAAATGGGAGAAGAGCCACCGGTACCCGCCATCGTTCGACCCCAGGTTTCCCAGCTTGATGCTCTCCAGGGCGAGTTTTCGAACCTATTGAGCGTGATACAACCACTTAGCGCGGGAGCATTGTCCGTCAGAGAGGCTGCTTTAGACAATACGCTGAAGCAGAACATTTCACATATCATACGGAGGCTGACAGAAGGATATCGGAGCTATGATGATATTACTAGTCCTGCTGTTGGCTTCCTCGTGTGTCTCAGCATTGGTCTGTCGCTTGGCGCGATAGAGCAGGAAGAGGAGAGCGATGTCTCTAGATCATTCGCATACATCACAAGATACACTCCATTCTTCGGGTTTCACGCTTACCACACGCGCAACATAAACTCTGAGATCTTGATCCACCAGTGCGAGGTCGAGTTGGCAAGGAGTCATCATGCCGTGGACCTCAGATGGCATGCTCTGCACTGCTTGGCTATCATCAAGGCCGTAGACGCGCAGTACCTGTCCGCCGAGAGGCCTAGGCATCTCATCCACAATCTCTTTTCGTCTCTCTACGGCGAGTGGAAGGCGCAGCTTTTGAAAGACCAGCAAGACGAAGCCAAGAACAGTAGCTTATACACCTACCGTGGCGAAGAAGAGGATGACGATGAAGAAGACCGCTCGCTATTCCCAGACTACGAGGACGAGGGTACCATGCAGACAACACAGTCTTCTACTTCTCGCGAACACGCCATCAGGCTTGCTAATATGCATGCTTCAATCTTCCTTAATAGCGACAGTGCCTCTGACGGTATAAAAGCACTACTCGAATGGTGCGCCAGAGAGATGAGTCGTGTAGCAGAAGGCAAAGCACACGGCTCCCAGTACGAGTTCGCTTTGCCCGCCATTTACATTGCGCTCGAGAAGAAAGCAGACACACTCGCATCTTCGGGACAAAACAAAGCGTACAACTTCTACTTCGATGCCAATCTCCCAGAAGCAAAGCGAATGATGGCCTTAATTCACCGCATCCAAATTCGATATCGACAGATTCGCAGCATATGGCCCGAACACGCCACCCTGTCGGAGGTCCTGCGCACATGCGACGAAGCGCTCGAGTTTCGACATGTCGATCCTATCGCAAAGCTGATCACGAAACTAGAGAAACTACACGGGTACATGTACGAGTGGCAACGGGTCGCGAGCAAGGAGTTTAGCACCGCACCTCTTTTCGATGACCTCACAAGCCTACTTGTGAGTTGGCGACAACTCGAGCTTACGACATGGGCGCGGTTGTTCGACATGGAAACCGCCAAGTGCCGTGATAGTGCTAATAGTTGGTTCTTCGTCGCGTACGAGACTATCATTGCCGCTGCAGATTCGGTGGAAGACGCGCCCACCATGAAGATCTTCACAAAGGATCTGCTCAAGACGCTCGAAGGCTTTTTCTATGCCACTACACTCGGCCAATACGAGCAGCGCATCAAACTCCTACAACAATTGCACGCACACGTTGTCATGCGGGTGCAAGATAACGGACTCTTCGAGACCCTGGGTACCGCACTGGAAAACTTCATCACTTACTTTTCCCGCCTGCAGAAGCCTGTGCGCGAAGCACTCGCCCAGGGACGCCAGAAGCTTGAGAAACAGGTTGTCGATGTGATCAAACTGGCTAGTTGGAAGGATACGAACATCGAAGCCCTAAAGCAGAGTGCGAAGACGTCGCATCGCAAGCTGAGTAGGTCGGTGAGAAAGTTCAGGGCGATACTGAATCAGCCCGTTTCCGGTATTGTTAATGCTGGCTTTCCTGAGGAGCAAATCCCAATTACGGCGATCGTTGTGGGTGAGGTGGGTACCACTGTTTCGCCCACTGCTGTTGCGCTGTGTGAAAAGAACGTCCAGGGCTGGAGCTCTCGGCCTACAAGATTCAAGAACCTGGTTGTCACTGTGCCTATGATGCGTCGGATGACGATACCCAACACTGAGACCATCGACGGCGCTATTTACATCGACAGCTTCATCGTTGACCTTGAGAGTTCCATTGTTGAGCTTCAGAAAGCCACTCCTACAACGCTGACAGAGGAGACCAAGGTGACTGTTCAGCATCTCAAAACCCGGAAGCGCAAGGTCTACGCCGACACGATGAAAGAGCTCCGCCAGATGGGTGTCAAGGCCAACCTGAGCACTGAGCTATTGGCGCGGCAAGACGAGCTCTCCACGGTGCTGTCTGCTCTGCCTCTCGTTGGGGCTGGGCAAGGAAGCGGTGCTGAGTTCTTCCTCCACAAGGCGCTGAGCATGATGGAACAAGTTCGGGGCATGGCTAAGGAACATCACGGGGATTTGACGAGCAACGATATCATGAGAAGTATTGGATATCTTGAGGGCTTGCTGCATGCTTCAATCCGACAACGCAGCCTCTTGAGCAAGGCGACGAATACTCTCACACGGCTGCAAGTTCCGATCTCAAAAATAGTGCAACTCTCTGCGATGCATGAACAGAATGTTGTGCGCGTAACAACGGCTCAAGTCGCAGCTGGGGCTACTGTGCGGCCCAGTATCTCGTGGCTCTGCGCTATCCTCGATACCGGCGCAGAGGTCATTGCTGCTCAGACAAAACTTGGAAAGATCGCAGAAATAGATGAGCTAAGAATTGACATGCGGAAGTGGAGTGGTCAACTACGCGATTCAGCTGATGAGTTCGACCACTTACCGACCCTGCCGTCGAATGTGTGGTCCGAAGCTCACAGCCACCTCGAGCAGTCTATTCAAAACCAACTGGAAGATTTCGGCAAAGTCTTCAATACCTGGATGGAGCGCTTCCCCGTCTCTCGCATTGTGCTCAAGCATGTCGAGAGCTTTCTATTCTCTTACCCCAATGCCACCTCAGTCATGGCCAGTGAACAGCGCGTCACGGTGGAGTCACATTCGAAGGAAATCCTTGCAGCTATAGACCTAATTCTCGGGTCGATGCAAGATGTTGAGAGTGCGCTGAAGGGTCTACCTACCTCGACCGATGACGCTGCCTGGCTAGTCAAGGAAGAAGAAGCATTGTCTGTCGCCATCAATGCGCTCCATGCTCCGCAAATCGGCGAGGCGATCACAACACTCCTCGAGAAGGTTCACCTTACCTCTGGAGACGACAATTTGCGTGTCATCGCGGCCCTGTTTAGCACAGTGCAGCCTCTTCTAGACCAATACCTCGTCTCCTATGTATCCCTCGTCGACCGCTTCTCCACCTTGCACACCTCAACATCTAAGTTGCTCCACCGTCTCGCTAAATCCTTCATCCAGGTCGGCACCCAAGGCTTCTGCCGGCCCCCCGAGAAGTCTTCCGACCAAGACGATAAGTCCAAGGACGAGAAACTCGAAGAAGGGACAGGTCTCGGCGCTGGTGAAGGCGCAGAAGACATCTCGAAGGACATCGAAGATGATGAGGACCTTGAAGAGTTGGCGCAAGAAAAGGGCGAAAGGGAAGGCAGTATCGAAGACCAGGAAGATGCTGTCGACATGGGCGACCAGGAGATGGAGGGTGAGACGGGTGAGACGGCCGAAAAGGAGGATAAGGGTGATGAAGAAGGCGAGGAAGGTGATGATGATGTGCAGAGCGAGGTTGGAAGTGTGGATGATCTTGGACCGAGTGCGGTGGATGAGAAGATGTGGGACGAAGGTGGAAAGGAGGAGGATCTGAAAGAGAAGGAAGGCAAGGAGGATGTTGGCACCGAGAACCAGGATGAGCAGGTCGCTGCTGATCAGCAACAGAAGGATGGCAAAGATGAAAAGAAAGATGAGAAAGAGGATAAGGAAGGCGGCGAAGAAGATGAGGAGATGGAGATGGAGGGAGAAGATCAGGAGGAGAATGTAGGCGTGGGGGAGACGGAGCAGATGGATCCGCATGCCAAAGAAGAGGAGACGCTTGATCTACCGGACGAGCTTAACATGGATGGCAACGAAGACGACGAGAAGGGTGATGACAACAACGATGACATAGATATGGATGATGATCTGCCGGAAGAGGAGATGGAGGGAGAAGCTGGTGCTCAGCCTGACACTGTTGACGAAGAGATTGGTCCCGAGCAAGAAGGCGAAGAAGAGAAGGAAACCACAGGCCACGTCGAGGACGAAGAGATGAAGGAGGAAGAGGAGCAGGAGCAAGAAGGCGAAGAGCCGGAGGACGATGCTGTACCTCTACCTGATGATCATGTTGTAGAAGACATGTTGAACGATACAAAGGACGAACGTCAGGCTGACCCGGATGCCGAGGCTGGCGCAGGCGCAGACGCCAACGAAGAAGCGCACAAGAACCAGCAGGAACAAACATCCGCCAGTGCTGCTAACCGTGACGAGGGCGCCGAAGGCGAGTCAGCAGAGCAGCAACAAGAAACCACTGCTGAAGACGGCACTCTGGGTCAAAGTGCTCAACCTGATGCTGGTGGCCGTGGTGAACAGCCTGAAGAGTCACCTGAGACGCAATCTTTCAAGAAGCTGGGCGATGTACTGGAACGATGGTACAACCAGCAGAAGCAGATTTCAGATGCTCGCCAAAAGGACGAGACTCAAGTGCAGCAGATTGACAAAGAGGTCGACATGGCCAATGCTGACTTCGAGCATCTGCAAGATGAAGAGGAGCAGGCTGATACGCAAGCCCTAGGCACGGCAACTGAAGAACAAGCTAAAGCTTTGGATCATGACATGGCTATGGCAGTCGACGAAGAAGAAAAGGGCGCTGCTCGACCAGAAGACAACGAAGAGGTACAAGATACGCAGCAAGACGTCGACATGCAAGACAACGAACCCGCTCAGCAGGAAGAACAAGAAGCTCAGCAGCAGTCTACTACCGATGGCCGTCCTCAAGCCTTCATCGGCGAGCAAAAGCCTTTCACAGAGGGTGACGATGACGCCAGCATGGACGACGCCATGCCTATCGAAGATGATATTTCTGATAGCTCCTCAGTCGACGAGGTCGAAACCAAGTTGGACCTCGTCCATCTCGATGACCTATCCGCGCTCACGCCAGAAAGTGCCCGTGCTCTATGGCTCTCTCACGAAGCATCTACGCACTCGCTATCTCAACAACTCACCGAGTCGCTTCGCCTTATCCTCGCACCGACCCTCGCTACTAAGCTCCGCGGCGACTTCCGCACCGGCAAACGTCTCAACCTCAAGCGCATCATCCCGTACATCGCGTCCAGTTACAAGCGCGACAAAATCTGGCTACGGCGATCTTTGCCCTCCAAACGGTCCTATCAAGTCATGATCGCCCTAGATGATTCCAAATCCATGGCCGAGAGCGGCTCCAGCAACCTCGCACTGAAAACGCTCACCCTCGTCGCACGTAGCATGGCCATGCTCGAAGTCGGCGAAGTCGCCGTTACTGGCTTCGGCGACAACATCAATGTCGCGCACGACTTCGACAAGCCATTCACTAGCGAAGCTGGCGTCAAGGTCTTCGAGCAATTCGGCTTCAACCAGCAGAAGACAGATGTGCGGGGTCTGGTTCACAAGTCGCTCGATCTGTTCGCTGAAGCGCGACGTAAGGGTAGTAGTTCGGCAGGCGAAGATCTCTGGCAGCTCATGCTCATCGTGAGTGATGGTATCTGCGATTCTCACGCTGAGATCCAGCGTCTTGTTCGCCGCGCACAGGAGGAGCGCGTTATGATAGTTTTCGTGATCATCGATTCCTCTGCCTCGTCTCCTGTTAATCAGTCCGAAACCGCAGCCGCAGAGGCCGAAAAAGTACAAAAGGGCATCATGGATCTGCAATCTGTGGAGATTTCGCCCGAGGGCAAGGTCGTGAGATGGAAGTATATGGAAAGGTTTCCTTTCAGGTACTTCTTGGTGGTGAGGGATGTGCGGGAGTTGCCAGGGGTTTTGGCGGGGGCGCTGAGGCAGTGGTTTGGGGAGGTTGTGGGGAGTGTTTAGAATTTTGTAGCATTTGATGGCGTTTGTTGGGGCAAAATCGTGCATTTCTGGCGTTGGGTAACTCATCCGTGTTGACGGAACCAAGAGTAGGATATGAAATGTTTGGCATTTTCGAAGATGGGTGCATGAGGGCTCTAGTGACTTGTGACTCTCATGTGTGCAAGCGACAGTTCTATGAGATGTCAGTCAACTTGTGACACCCACAATCTCAGTGAGCGACGTAGTAATAAAGTTGTACCTGCATTGCTAGCTGCCGAGTTTGATGTCAACGAGCATCGCCAGCATGGACCCCACCCCGACTTGTCTCATCTAGCCACATCGGCAAATTAGGCCTGATAAAGGTATTGGATCTGTTTGTATTAACTCCTGGGAATGAGTGCTTCGCCACGTGTGTAAAGCTCCATGTATCTCATAGCATGACACCCGGGAGCATTGCGCTAAGTAGACATGATAACCATTCAAAAGGGTTTGTTATCTGATTTTCTCGCGAACGAAGACATGTCCCTCACTTGTTTTGCACTTCTTACAGCGTACGCCCACATGAAATTTAGAATGGACTAGAGATTGCGGTGGGCTTAACCTCAGATTTCAGTGCGCTTTGGCACCGCCTCGCGAGGCCCTTCCACACTCGAACCACCTTGGTCACTCGAGTTCCATCTCACTTGAGCGCAGGATTGCTTCTCACGCCCAGCCTATTATTATCTTGCACGCGTGGCTCGTTGCTCATCGCCAGAAGAAAATCTTTGCAAGCAATTATAGACAGAGCATGATGTACAGTGAGCAGAAATGACTTCTATAGGCCAAATCCAATACCTTTAGAATTGCCACTTCCCTACTTGTCACTCACGGATCTCCAAACCATCCGGTCGTTCACTCTCACGTGACGTGGCGCAGACTTCTTACCCTCTTCGATTTTCACCCCGATCGCGTATATCAAGCCCTTTTTGAAGACAAGTCTTTGTACCCTCTCCACTCCAGAACAGCTTTGACTTACCCTGTTCGCTCTTCTCAACCACTAATCGTCTCGGCTAGCTCGGAGCTGCTGAACAGTATGGAGCTGCTGGACCTACCGCCAGAGGTCTTCCAGAAAATCGTCCACGACCTTGTGCGCGAGGCGGAGCCATCCGGTGCCTAGAAGTTGCGCGCTGTCTGTCGTAAGTAGACATTATGAATCATCGCAAAGCTTTACTCTTTTCTACTACATGTAGTGCCGCATATGCTAACATTCCTAGGAACCTTCGCTGCGGAGATCGAATACGATATCTTTGCCAAGCAAAGCAAGCAGGTCTTCGAAGGAAGAAAGAATCATAAGATCCTCCGGCAGAAGATCTGGCTATATCTCTTCTACCAGACCAAGTTTCGTAACACTAAGCACGCGCTCTGCAACGCTATCAACAATATGATCGCCTCTTTTCAGGATGAGCTGGGAATTACTACAGAGGCTGGCCTCTTTAGCCTTCGTGAGAAGTTTTGCAAGGCGGTCGCCGTAACTATGGACAGACGACACTCAGCAAAGTACCAGGGAGAGACCTTGGCCAGTATCTTGGGTATCGGAAGCAAGTCGTTTTGGGATGCAGACGAGATGACCAAGGCTCGAGAGAGCACAGCAGACCACTACCAGAGCAAGCTAGGAGCGGCATCCGCTGTCGGAAATATTAAGATGGTCAAGGAATTATTATTGGACAACCGGCCCACTACTTCAGAATGCTTCATGGACAACTCCATCTTCGGAAACCCCATACACAACGCGGTGGCTCTGGAGAATATTGAGATGCTCACTGCCATCTCAGAGTCTCTTAAGGCTATCCCTCGAACTGAATTTCACTCTACCGGTGATCTAGGTTCTTATCTGTCGATGTATTTCACCCGCAACCTTCAAGAAGCCGTTGATGCCAGGAGGTTGGATATGGTGCAGATACTGTTCGACATGCACCATGCAAGGCTTAGGATTCATCCCCGCGTTTTCACCCGCTGGGTGAAAATCGCTCTGGAGTCCGGTATGGATGAGGTACTCGACATGGTCTTCGGTGTGAGGTTTCCTCTGCATCAGGAGATGAAGATAGAGAAACAGTTGTTCCAGCTGGCTTGCAAGCTTTCTAACACAAATGCGATCGCAAAGCTCATCGGACATCCTGCTATGGGACCCAACCACGTCTGGCGAACTTCAACCCCCCTTCTTGTCGCAGTGAAAGAAGGCTGTCCTGAAGTTGTGAAAACTGTTCTAAACAGCGGAGCTACAGTCAATGGCGTCTATGTCACAAAGAATCGGCCCTCTGGATATATGCAAGAGCATGTCAAGCCCATCGAAGTCGCCATGAAGCGAGGCGATACCGACGTCATTCAAGTTTTGCTCGATAGTGGAGCTCAGCTTAGAAACTTGGTTGTTGCGAGCAGGAAGAAGGCTGTCTACAACCTGCTTCGAAAGGCAAAGATGGAAGCGACTAGATCCCCTGTTCCAACCTACGCGGAGAAATATCCCAAACGCAAGAAGTCGACTGCAACATAGTGATGCAGTCTGCTTTCCTCGAACAGCAGACGGAGCGGAGCATGAACTTGATTACGATTCAAGGATGGATTGGCGATTGGTCGATGGCATACACGAGTTTCTTAAGGTGCCATTTCAGGGCCTGGCATGATTTTCACGCGTTGGAGTTGCCGAAGGCGTACCTACACCTTATTGTTGCGTAGAAGAGTGATGCATTGGTTAGGTGGCAAAACCCGCCTATATACGCTATGGATCTAGTGCAAAGCACCTTCCGCACACCTCAGGGAGCACCTGCTCAACGCACCTGGTAGCACAGAGACCTCCAACCGAATTAATCCGAAGCCTGAGCCTGAGCTCTCTGTCAAAATGATTCTCTTCGCATCTACCGCTCATTCAATTGTGCGACGTGCCGAAGCGTGCCACCTTTTCACTTTATCCAACTAGATGATGTGCGGATATGCATACGAAGGTAATTAGGTCTTACAGAGACTAACCCAATGCATTTGACACCTTCCTCATCCAGCAATTTCTTGGCGTGACACGCCCTACGCTCAAGCATATATCAGGCTATGACTCCAACCATTCTGTCTACCTACCTCAACTCCGGTTTACGACAAAATGGATTCCATCGAGCTCGAGGCTCGCAACGTCGTACCGGCGACTTCTGTAGCGGCGCAGAACGCCGTCACAGATGGTTCCAAGGATGACTCACGCGAAACAGCGTCGATCATCACGATCGCTACAGCATCGCCGCAGTATCAGCATCCCAAAGGCATCAGATTGATCATACTTACGCTCGGCCTCATGATAAGCATCCTCCTTGCTGCCCTCGACTTCTCCATCATCGCAACCGCCATCCCAACCATCACCTCAGAATTCGGCTCCATCGCCAACATCGCATGGTATGGTTCAGCCTACTCTATCACAAATGGAGCCTTTAAGCTGGTCTGGGGCAAAGCCTACCAGTACTTCCCGCTGAAACGAGTCTTTATGCTCGCGGTGGCGATCTTTGAGCTAGGGAATATCATTTGTGGCGCGTCGAAGAGCTCTGAAGTGCTGATTATGGGGAGAGTGGTGGCGGGGCTTGGTGGTGGGGGCTTAATGACTGGCGCGTTTATCATTATTGCGATCAGTGTTGAGGATAAGTATCGCGCGGCGTACATGGGTGTGGTCAGTGCGACATTTGGGATTAGTAGTGTGGCAGGGCCGTTGTTGGGTGGTGGGTTGACGGATAGCGTGGGGTGGCGATGGTGCTTCTGGTATGTTGATCCAAAAGCCTTTTTGCCTTCTACATCGGGCCCTATTGTGTGAGAATGTAATCACCTTTTTGACCTTCCCACAGGATAAGTCTTCCCATCGGCGGCCTCGCAGTTGCCATCATGACCCTAACATTCCGATCTCCGATCGTGATCAGAGACATGAAGCTGCGAGAGCGCATCATCGGCCTCGACTTGAATGGAGGATGCCTCGTCACCTCTTTCCTCAGTTGCTTTGTCCTCGGCATGCATTTCTCCGGAACCCACCCATGGAGCTCGCCCACAGTATGGGGCAGCCTCGTCGGCTCTGTTCTCAGCTTCCTCGCGTTCATCTACAACGAGTACAAGATGCGCGATAAAGCCATGGTCCACGCCCACCTCATCAAGAAATGGGACGTTTGCCTGAACTTGATGTACGCCTTCTTCCTCTCAGGAATGTTCTTCCCTCTGCAGTACATGCTCCCGGTGCAGTTCCAGTCTGTAGACGCAACATCCGCTTCGCAAAGCGGCATCCGACTTATCCCTCTCATTCTAGCCGTGTCGGTCTTCACCGCATTCTCGAACGGCGCACTAACCTGGTGGCGCCACCACCAGCCATTCCTCCTCGTGGGCGCCTTCCTCGGCACCGCGGGCACAGCGACTATATACTCTGTCAATGCACCCGCTTCGACACGTGAATGGCTTGGATTCGAGCTGCTCACGGGTATGGGTGTAGGCCTTGCCCTCCAAATTCCTATGATCTACAATCAGGCTCTTGTACCGCGCAACGACATTCCCTCCGTTACTTCATTGACGCTCTTCACCGAGAATCTGGGTACAACACTATTTGTAGCCGCCTGCGAAGCGTCGTTTCAACAAGGTCTGGTCGCACATCTCAAGAAGAGTTTGCCGAGCTTGGATCCGCATGATGTTGTGAATGCTGGAGCTACGCAGATCAGGAATCTGTTCCATGGCGGCGACTTGGATATGGTTTTAGGTAGTTACTTACATGGGTGTCGGGTCAGCCACCTTATTACGCTGAGCTGCGGAGTTGTGGCTTGTATGGTTAGTGTTGGTGCTGCGGGTCCGACCGTGGTTAGAATGGTGATGGAGAAATGGGGAAAGAGCCATGCTGGATAGGCGGAATCCCGACTCGATATGATGGAGCGTGAAGGCGAGCATGTGGGTGGGGAAGAAGAACTTGGATCTGGATTGACCGTACGTTCCCAAATTGGATAATATTCGTTTTTCAAGGTTGCTTGATCGTCTCGTTCAATATTGGTAGCAGTGCTACATCAAAAGTTGAGTAAAGTGTGTTGCCCTAGGATAGGCAATACGCTGGCCGACTGTACTCGAGATATTGACTTAGGACTGTATTAGATGTGGTATTAATTCAACCTGATCCACGGTAAGTAGGAAAATGCCAAGTCTAATAATGATTTTCATTTTCTCGATCTTTATTCAATGTTATGCGCCGTGATATGTGGTATAGATGTGCCTCCTTGAGAACTAGAGAATTGAGGAACACATTCGGAGCAAGCTCAAATGACGAAAAGGTTTTATGCAGATGCATGAGTACTAGCAAGCACCTCGAATCATGATGTGTATTGATGATAGCTCAACAAATAAGGTTTCCGCGGCAGGATGAGCTCTTCCAGCGGAGAAAGTGGAAAGTTCGGTGGAGCATCGGAGCTTTGCGGAAGATGGCTCAGATTTGTACGTAAAGGCAAGATTGGCAAGCTCATAGCCCGCGGTCTGAGGCGTTATACGCTCCGCTAAAATGCATTCCTGTGTGTTCGAAAGCTGGAGAGTCATAACGGTCCAAACTAAGCCGCATCAGTGCATGTCATGGCTGATCTTCAAACGCTTCAAACCCTTCCTTTTCATCTTCTGATCTTTACTCCTTTGCTTTCTAGCCGCATCCCTTGCTTTTCTCGCTTCTCGGAGATCTGCATCGATCTTTTTGATTCCATCTTCGTACTCTCGTTGATTGCGCCAGTAGCTTTCCCACAGCCTCATCGTAGCTAGCTCTCGGAACTGTAATTCGGATGTGGTCATCGAATCTAGGCGCCGAGAAAATAGATCAAGATACTCGTGGTTCAACATGTGCCGTAGGCCACTCGCCGACGTAGTGAGACGTACAAAGCTATCGGACAATGCTCGCTCATGCTTTCTCAGGCCGCGATAACTCTTCTTCATGATAGCATCGCGGAGCCATCTTCTCAAAGTCCTAGACAATTGGAAGGCGTTCCATTTGGACACCTTGACATAGAAGTGAAAAGCAGAATAGATGCTCTGTGTGCCAAAGCCAGTAGTGCGTCGCACGGAGACAGCTAGAAACGGCGAAGCCTCTGCCATGCACCGGCTGAATTCCATACTAGACTCTCGATAACGGAATAAATACTTTCGGAATCCTAGATGCCTAATTTTTCTTAAGGTGTCGCTCACAAGTATGAAAGTGATGTCGTAAGCCAAATGGATGTTGGCCAAGAGCTTTTCGATCGGATATGTTACTAGCGCCAAGTGCGCCGCCCCGGGATTGACTACGAGATCGGATCGAATCTTTCGAAGGCTACTTAGGGAATGGAGATCATTCTTGAACCTCTTCCGGAGGTCGTCGGTTTGGATATGGAAATCTCGCAACAATGCATACGGTGAGCGTGACAGTGCGAAAGTCAGCCGTTGAAGGAAACGCTCATTGATCTGGAAGTTGAGAAGTTCGCGTTGCTCGTAGCACGAAGCTTGACTGCTTTGGATTTGAGCAGCTAATTGCACCTTTTCCATTCCCTCAGCGCGGTCCAATGCAAGTTGTAGTTCCACTATATGTAGCTTCCAGGCCTCCAAACGTTGCTGGCCAACACGTAAGTCTAGTTCAATTAAAACGAGTAAGTTATTCCAGGCACCCTTTCCTCGGGAAATGAGTCTGTCTTGATCTAGGCACTCTTCTCGAATTGACTCAAACCGTCCCCATGGACCCTCGGTCTCAAGAGCACGATCGTCGGTAATTGATGACGAGAAATATCGACGAGTAAAGAGCGGTCTAATTCGGGAAGCAGTACGATATGACATATATCGACGCTGGCCTTTCGGAGCCTGATGTACTTGAGGCAGATCTGCGCGCTGGCTGTCCCCTACTGACGGTCGACTCCGCGAGACCGCTGCTTCACGATGTTGAGGCGTTGGAGTTGTCGCATTAGTCTTAGTGATTAAGCGCTTCTTTGTAGGACGAAGTAAATAAATGAGAGGCGGATGCCCTACGTTGTGCTTCTCGAGGATTGGCCGCCTTGTAGGGATCTTCCGTGGACCGCCATCCTGGACAATTTGGTCATGAACGGCGATATAAGCTTTTCTCTGGTTGAGAGCTGCTATATGAAGACTTCGACTCGTCAGCAATCTGAGACCTAGGAGGGTGCGGTCAAGTTTGGATCGCAAGTCGCTCGGCGAGGGTCTGACATGGAACCGGGGCAAGTGAGGGCATTCTCGTCTCTTCTCTTGTCGGACTCCCCCTCGTATTGCCGTCGGGGAGATCACTCTTGGATCATTGTCGGACTCGGGCGTGGATTGACAGTTGTCGTATTGTGGTCTTGTGATCTGTAGCCTTTGCTCCTGAACATTGTTCAAGTTCGTGAGAGTCACTTGCTTTGTTGAATTTTCAGTTGAGTAATGTCGTCTCGGTAGGTATGTCCTTCCTTGCAGGATTCTTGAACACATAAGCCGAGACATCGCAGGAACATATAACCGCTTGAGGTAGCCTGAGATTTTCATCAGAGAGATGACGCCGGCACCACAACAGAAGGCAAATCAACCAGGCTTCAAGCGTTCATCTGTAACGAGAGACGGCCGGCTGACGCAGATTTTCTTGTGCAACGTAGGTCGCGACGATTGCTCTTTCTAACGCGTCTCAACAGACCCAATTGCATTCGAAATCTCCTTTAACGATGGACTGAACGCGAGTAAAGATAGAAATCCGTAATGACGCTGCAGTGTGATATTAGAAAGCGGCAAGGAGTAGAGAGATGGTGCAAGAGCTGCGGGACGAGAGGTGCGGGCTGCGTCCCTCACGATCCGTGCGTTGAACACATGATCCACGCCGCATATCCACGTTACACAAGCGCTTAAGAAAGAATGATCAGCTGCGGAAGTTATGCGGAGAGGAAAAAGCAAAGAAGGGTAAAACCGACTGACACCTGCGTCCAGTCTAACGGCTATGTAGGTAGCATGGCATGTCGAAGCGGCTACTACGCACATTCACACCTATGCACTAGCGCGCACGAGTAGAAGTAGGGAATCCAGGGTATATACCATCAAACGTAAGCTAATACTCTCTCGCCGTAACCGCCTTCGTAGCAACCAATTCCACACGCCGCTTGTACATACTCATCTGGTGCTTCACTGGGTCGCCATATACGACTTTTCTCAACATCTCGTCTTCTACCGTGATGGCCTCAACGTCTTCCTCCGCTGTATTCCCCAGCTTCTCTCTAAGCACGATTAGACGTCCCGCGTTGCTAAGCGTGCATGGAACCAGGGGCCATGGCGCGGATGTTACGGTCGTCAGGCTTGACGATGCCGCAGGTAATGGAGCTTTTGATGGCTTGACGAACTTGCGCGATTTTTCGGGCTTCGTGAGGTTCGTGGAGGTGAGGTTCAGCTTCGACATGCAAGTCAGGCTGGAGGTGTACGTCGTATTTGGCGGAGGGCTAGACCAGAGTTTGACAAGGCTCTTCACGACTGCCTTGTCCGCGCGGGGCACAGGATCTCCCTCGTTAATGAAGCTGTAGAAGAGGCTCTTGCGATGCCGCTTTTCCTGGCTGGGTCTCAACGGGAGGAGCGTGATGGGCGGTGCGCCAAACGTTATGCAGTGCACGCGTTTGAAAAAGCCCGTGAGGTAGCTGAGCTCGGACTGGATTTGCGTGCTCATCATGTGAGCGTAGAGGAGAGCGGCTACTGCACCACCCGCAGAGTGGCCGGTGATGAGCAAACTGCAGTTGGAGCGGGCTGGGTTTTCTTGGAGCAGAACGCGCAGACGTTCGGCGACCGGTGCTACCATCTTCCTTGCTACGTAGAGAAATCCGGCGTGGCAGAGGTTGCCTGGGTCGTCCAGGAAGCCTTCTGGGCTTGTTGGTGCCGATTTATAGTTCACAGCCCAGTCCATGAACGTTTGCGACCCACGAATCGCAAACACCACTGTGTTCATGTCATCGCGAGGGAGCGACTTTAAGATCATAGCTTTCGTTCCCGAGCGCCAGTCTGCAGGAACATGCGTCTCAGATTCCGTGTTTGGTAGCGCAGCCGGAGTATACACCCGCTCAGAGTACGCAGCAGCCAGACACAGCAACGGATACGTGGGCATGTAGACCTTGAAGGGTGGAAGGTGCGGCGGGAGTCGCGAATTTGAGTATAGCCAGACCTTCGAAAACATATTTGAGCTTTTCGCGTTTTTCTGACTAGGGTATACAGCCGCAGCTGCTGATCGGTCGAGCGCAATGCTGGGCTGTAGCGTAGATGTAGAGGCATATGGCGTCTCGTCATCCTCGACCATGAGATCCTGCTCTTTCCCGCTGAACATGCCCTCGTCAATACTAGTGATGACGGCATCTAGCTTCGAGCTCAATCGATCGCAGAGCGCCGCACTTTGGTTGATCATCTGGACGCTCTTCTTCGTAACCAGCGTAGTGGGCCTCTCAACGAAGGTCGTCATTGTCACTGCGACGCTCTTGTTCGCGAGCTCGACGCTTTTGTGGGCACCTGAAGAGACTTGAGCCGTCAGGTCCTGGTACGATCTTGAAGCTAAACGTCCAGCTCGGTTCCACTGAGTCTTCAGCACTCCATCGTTTCTTGGGGAAGACTGGGTAGCAAAGCTAGCTGTGGAGTCGCCATAGTAAGGCTGCGGCTGTTGATAAGGTGGTGAAGCGGGATAGGGCTGGTGGAACTGCTGCGGCATTTGCGGTGTTGGTCCGTATACTGGATGGTGCTGTGCTGGTGGCGAGATATGGCCAGCGGATGGTGGTTGGCTTACGGCGTACGCAAAATGTGGTGGAGGGCTTGCCGGGTACGTATGGTGCCCATGAGAGGCATCCGGTGTCGCATAGCTTTGCTGCGTATACAGCGTCGACTGTGAGGCCGCATGCATGTACGGCTGCTGCGCGGCAACAGGTTTGGACAGTTTCTTATGCTTGCGCTCCCGACTCGAGAAGCCAAACGTCATGGTGGTGGTCGCGGGAGGATCGCCCTTAGGCGCAAGCGTTCTCAATCCTCCAAGGCTTCGTTGAGTCGTCTGCGATTTGGTCCTCGAGGTCCAAATCCGTATATCGCCCAATGCATCGTATGCTCCAGCTTTTTCGTCCCAGCCTGATCTTATCCAAACCTAGCTTTTCCTCGCATACCACTCCACGCAGAAGGTGAGAGACTGCCTGTATTCAAGTATGAGTACAAGGCTGAGATCGTCGTGAGCATTGGCAACGTGAGAAAAGAGCTTGTTTAAACACAGTGGCAGGGCATGCGATGTGCACTGCCTCACCGCTTTCGACCCCTGTAATCTTGTCGTCGCTTACCTCGCCCCACGCGTACCTTCCACTCCGATTGGCGCGATGATTCATCGCCATCATTTCACGCATGGGGTGGGGCGATTTCGCGTTTCTAATTCTGTCCGGTTAGCTTCGGGAACTGCGAAGTCGCAAGCTTACTACGATATTCAGTAATTGGCCTGAATTGCAAGGCTATACTAGGAAGAAAACTGCGCATCATATCTCCTAGGGTACAAATAAGTTCACTCACTCCTGCTCTATTCGGTGTTGAAGTCTATCACGGCCCTGCCAGCGATCTCTCCTCTCCTCAGCTTCTGTACCACCTCATTGAACTGGCTCAACGGGTACACCGTGCAAATTGGCTTCAGTAATCCTCTCTGTGCAAATTGGAGCGTTTTGTCGACATCGCCCATACTGCTGACCAGCGTGCCCTGCACCGACTGCCTCCTGAAGCACATCTGGTTCGGGTCCACATCGATGTGGTGGGCTCCTACCGGAGGCAGTCCAATGCACATAACCTTTCCTCCGACTCTGCCGCCTAGAAATGAGATGGACTGTGAGTAGGACTGCACGGCAGTCACGTACACGGCATGCGCACCGATGCCATCACATAGCTTGACCACTTCCTCGGCGATGTTGGACACCTCCTTGAAGTCGATGAAGTGCTCTGCGCCGTTCTCAACGCAGAGCTTCTTCTTTTCCGCCCCTGTGTCTATTGCAACAGATCGCAGACCCATAGCTTTGGCGAGCTGCAAGCCCTGCATGCCGACACCGCCGCCTGCGCCAGGGAAGACAGCCCAGTCACCTGGTTGTAGACCGGACTCCTTAATCGATGTATAAATTGTAGATGCGGAGCACATAATCGGACCGGCGATAATATCGGACACTCCATCGGGGATGATGGTGGTGTAGCGTTCGGGGGAGACGATGTATTGCTGGTATGAGCCATTTATTGTCAGGCCAGTCAGGACGGCTTTTGCGCAGTAGCATTCGTTATCTGTACGGCAGAGCTCGCAGGCGCCGCAGGTATCTTGGATGGGCTACGGAAATTGTCAGAATGCTCTCATGCGATCGGAATGGGATTCTGGTGGCGTACCTTAAGACCAGCTCTCATGCCAGGCTTCAAAGTCTTGACGTTCGAGCCAACCTTCACAATTACACCGGCACCCTCGTGTCCTGCGCATTGCGTACCGAGCTCGGACATCTTAGGTAGGGCCCAGTCATTGAGCATGAAGTGTAGGTCGGAGTGGCAGATTCCGGTCGCGTTGAGCTTGACAAGAACTTCGTGCGGTTCTACAAAAGTCAGTCGTTTTCATTCCAACCTTGGAAAGATGTTATGAATGCAATGACAACAGCGACACGTACGTATCTCTGGGACCGGCACATCTCGAACTTCGATGCGAAAGTCCGGACCTTCGTTGACAACGACACCCGCCTTGCACGTCTTCGGAATGTCGAACACCTGCTCTTGCTCTTTGCTGTCCGCCATGCTTATGGTATCGGCCAATACACAACGAGGAAACGATGCTAGTGGGTTCGGAAGTTGGTAAGGCAGGGACGATAAGCAACCTGCGAAAGAACAGGAGTGGTCGGATACGAGCAGATGGGTTGAGGAATGAAGTACACCCCCGCCCTTCCCCTCTTTATCAACCACACGCTGTGCCCATGACGCTTCCTACATCTCTAAGCCTCCTCCTACCGCCCGGACAACCCACCAACTCGTTCAAACCTCGGTCTAATGACAGCGACCACTCAAAGACGGCGAATTAGGACCTCTAAGCGAATCGTCAAGCCCGAGTCGTCTCAAAAGCGGAATCGATGCGCTTGGAAATGCACCAAGTGGGCTATCTGGCGGCATCCTGCGGCAGGTGTTGCGAGATGCTGGGGAAGTTGTGGGGTACGAGGTGGGAGCGCGCTAGCTGCGGGGTAGGATGATGGGATTGCTCCGGGCCGAGGGAGGTGGGAACGCCTTGGAGAGCGTTCATCTCATGCTGATGTAAATATAATAGGCGTGGTCTGTCTCTGCAATCCATGAGTCTCATCATGTCACTACAATCTGTACACCGATCACCTCCTTACACGATGCTGCTCTTCTCGCGACACTGTTGATGAAGAATCCTCGCTGGGTGGAATCGGGCCGTATCTGCGATACTCCACCGAATTGTAACTGCCGTCGAAGACCACCGGTTCAGAGTACCAGAAGGGTTTCAGGTGTCTTGACTTCGGTTCTGGTGGCTGACCATCGGTATGTGAAATCGGCTTGAGAGACAACGGCCTGGAGACGTCGGTTGAAAACCCCCACTACCTTGATAACATTTGCAGTCGTTAATATAGTATCTGAGATGCAACTGATCAGGCCGAACAATTGCGGCCGTTGTTGTGCTTATCCAGAAGTAATTGTTTGGATCCCTAGGGGTCTTTAGTACCTACAGGCGTTTCGCAAGTTCGTATTCCATGATCCTGCGGCACTGGCCCAGTAGATAAGAAAAATATCAGCACTAACATGTCTCACTGTATGGATATCAGAATATACGAGCTCAGATAGCAAGGGATGCCCATATTGGTGGCTATATGGTTCATGAGCATCACGTGATATCAACACCGCCAGTAAAAGTGTAGGAGTCTCTAAAAGGCGAAAGATCCGAAATCAGAGGCGCAATGAATATCTCCAGATGTAGTTTTAATGATTCTTTACGAATTTGTATCTTACCATCGCGCAACATGATGACCAATACCTTCCATGTACGTTGCGAGGCGAGAACGTTCAATGTTCCGCTGAGCAAGGCAGTAAAGTATCAGCACTACGCTCAGGGCATCTACCTGTAGAAGTCTTTACTAACCAATTGACTTTGCACATATATTGTGTCGAACCAAGCTAATGTCATACCTAGGTAGCCTCGATGTGCCTGACGCGGGTGTGGCGCAGCAGCCGCACGGCCACAGTTTGGTCGCGTTTGTGTCAACCTCCGACGACCGCGTCGAGCTTCCGATAAGCACAACCACGAATTACAGCATGCGCACATGAGAACATGCCCTCTCAGCTGATAGATTCCACATTCTCAGGGCATGTCCAGCTCTTCATCAAACCAGTCCGCCCACGGACAGGCCGAAGCGTCCTCCAGCCGATCCCAAGCGAACAGGCAGCCGGTCGTCGAGGATGAGCTCAGCGAGGAGTACGGCCTCTTAGATGAGGACCCGTTGGGAAACGCACTACCAGAGCAGTAAGGAGAAGGACTGTATCATGAGTCCCAGAGGGAAGCTGATTTGGCTAGAGTATCGTTCAAGCGCAAGCAAAAGGCCACCGCATCCACTTTCGGTCTGTCTCGCTTCCTCTCGTCACCGCTTAGTGCAGCCAAAGACCGCGCCTCTCCCATTCCACGGGCCCCAAATACGCGCGCCCATCACCTGAGGTCGAGCTCGGGCGCAAATGACTCCACAGAGCTCATCCTAAACTACCTCGATACGCCCGCCGACGCCGGCGAGCAACTTCAAGACACAAAAGATGCCAACGGGCTCGACTGGTATGTCGAAGGTCCTGGGCGCCGTGTAGGCTACGATGATCTTACAGCCATCGACTGGATTTTCGAATATGCGAAGGAGCGGCAACGGCTGAGATATCTATATTCCAGCGCGTCAGGCATACTCGGGCATATCAAGCAAATTGCGGATGCGAGTCAGATATGGATTATCTTAATTGCGGCCGGCGTGCTCTGCGGCGGTATTGCAGCCTTCATTGACGTTGCAAGCGACTGGTTGGGCGATTTGAAAACCGGATATTGCAGCAATGTAAATGGGGATGGGAGGTTCTATTTGAACAAAGGCTTTTGCTGTTGGGGCTATACCGAGTATGCGAAGTGTAACGATTGGCATCCTTGGAGCACGGCGATGGGAATCCGGTCCGTGGGCGGTGGCTGGATCGTGGAGTATATTCTTTTCGTATTGTTTTCGGTAAGTTGGCGGCGATCGAATTGCGGACACCCGACTGATTATGCGCAGGTTCTGTTTGCAGCTTGCGCGAGCCTTCTTGTGCGCGAATTCTCAACTCATGCGAAACATAGCGGTATCGCAGAGATCAAGACGGTTCTTGGTGGCTTTGTCATACGACGTTTTCTGGGCGTTTGGACCTTGGTTATCAAGACCTTGGGTTTGGTAAGGAATACTCTGCCGCAGAAGGAGCCATCTCTAACAGTTGCAGTGTCTGGCGGTTGCATCGGGCCTTTGGCTAGGCAAGGAAGGCCCACTGGTTCACGTCGCGTGTTGTTCCGCAAATCTCTTCATGAAACTATTTCCTAATATCAATAATAATGAGGGTAAGCCACTCGTCTCATTGATATAATGAAGCTGATTATTCTAGCACGAAAACGAGAAGTACTTTCCGCTGCGGCTGCGGCCGGTATATCGGTTGCATTCGGCTCTCCTATTGGCGGAGTGCTGTTCAGTCTCGAGCAGCTATCCTACTACTTCCCTGACAAGACCATGTGGCAGAGCTTCGTCTGCGCCATGGTTGCAGCGGTCACCCTGCAAGCACTCAATCCTTTCAGGACAGGCAAGCTCGTCTTGTACCAGGTCACCTATCATAGCGGGTGGCACGATTTCGAGCTGGTTCCGTTCGCTTTTCTTGGAGTCCTCGGTGGCTTATACGGAGGAATGTTCACCAAGCTCAACATGCGGGTCGCTGAGTGGCGGAACCACCGAACATACTTGAAAGGTCCCGTCACCGAAGTTGTCGTCGTCGCCGTCGCGACAGCTATGATTAACTACCCTATCAAATTCATGCGCGCCCAGGCTTCTGAGCTCGTATACTTCCTCTTCGCCGAATGCGTCGACCTGACAGACGATACGCTAGGTCTCTGCAAGGCAGGCAAAGCCAACACTGGCGTTGTAGCCCTACTTCTCATCTCAGCAGGCCTCGGTATCATTCTTGCAAGCTTCACATTCGGCCTTCAGATTCCAGCCGGCATCATCCTTCCCTCCATGGCCATCGGCGGTCTCTACGGCCGCGCCGTGGGCCTCTCAATCGAACAATTTCAACAGGCCTGGCCCAGCCTCTTCATCTTTGGCTCTTGTGAGCCAGACGTCCCCTGCGTTACACCCGGCACTTATGCTATTATCGGCGCCGCTTCCGCCCTTGGGGGTGTAACTCGCATGACCGTCTCTCTCGTAGTCATTATGTTCGAGCTAACAGGCGCACTCACCTATGTACTCCCTATCATGATCGCGGTCATGATAAGCAAGTGGGTCGGCGACGCCATCTCTCCACGCGGCATCTACGAGTCCTGGATTCACTTCAACGGCTACCCGTTCCTCGACAATCGTGACGACAACAGCTCGTCCATCCCAGATGTACCCGCTGCCCAGGTCATGACCCGCATCGACGACCTCATCACTATCACCGCTACGGGACATACCATCGCCTCTCTCCGCCAGCTGCTATCGCAGCACCGCTTCAGGGGTTTCCCAGTCATAGACAGCTCTCAGGACGCGCTCCTTCTAGGTTACATTTCCCGGACCGAACTCGCATTCGCTCTTAAGTCTGCACTATCCACACCACGCAATCTCTCACCTGAGACAGAAGCCCATTTCTCTCATCAGCCGCTCGCCGACCCGACGACGTCACTTGATTTGCGGCCTTGGATGGACCAAACACCCATAACGCTGAACTCTAAAGCGAGCTTCCAGCTCACATATGCCATGTTCATGAAGTTGGGACTACGATATGTAGTCTTCACAGAAAGAGGAACGCTAAAGGGGCTGCTAACGAAGAAGGATGTGTGGTTTGTGCTCGATGGAGTAGAAGACAGGGAGGCATATGAGGACGATGCGGTTGGTGGAGGGAGAGGCGTTGGGCGTGTGCAACCTGAGGATGAGGAAGACGAAGGGAGGGGGCTATTAGCTGGGGAGGATGCTGGAGATACGAGATTGGGTGGGAGGGAGGAGGTTACGTAGGCAGGGAGCGTTGAACAATATGAGCTTTCCTTCTATGTGATGTCAAAACCTTAAGCAGGAACGAAGCGATGGCTCACCGTGCCTTTCACAGAAAAGAAGGCTAGGTATCTATCATAGGTGCGCTGCTTCGTTAGCAGGCTTCTGAAATGTGACAGCTGCAATAGCATGAGTTATGATATATCTGTTGCCATACCAAAGGCTACGGTGAAAACATGAAACTCGAAACGTACGATTCGAACCTGCATACATGACGAGAAGATCTAGTGTCCAGCATCTCATCAACTGCGCAGCGTAAAATATCTTCAATTACGCACTGCCCCAGTTTCCTCTTAATACTTCAATATAACTCCAAACTCTGCAAGTACAGCTGGTCCATGTTCATGCACGGCACAGCGCGGCGCAGCATTCTATAAAAGCACAATCAAACACTCGCGCCATTTAATATACCAATCGAAGACCGTGCTGTCACACCCAATGACCGTAACTTCGGGACCCAATCAAATGTGTATGTTGCATGATACGATATCCAAGACCAAGTCCCGTGGGATTGTGGCACAGTCTGAATGATGCTCGCGTTTCCACGCCTCGCCCGCGAAAGATGCATCGTCTCGTCCCGTTCTCTCTCCAAATCAACAAATCTTTCCACTTGCCGGTGACACTATGGAACAGAACGTGCATCAGGCGCAGATGCTGCAAAAGCTTATCCTCGCTATGTCTTCTTCTACGTCCGCGGCACTAGCAATGGTCATTACCATCGCCACTGTTATCTACGGAGGCTTGCATCTAATCCTTCACCTCACCCAAGATGCAAGAGAGCCGCCACCTGTTCCAGCTTTGGTACCTTTCATCGAGCCCATGGTTGATCTTTCGAGGAAGAAGAGCAGATATTACACCGAGCTCTGGTACGTATAAAATACTGGACAGATTTCTTATATAAACCTCTAGTCTAGCTATACGCAAAATATCTAATGAAATCGTTAGGAAGCGTTACAAATTGCCGGCATGAACAATTCGACTTCCCGGAGAGCGTCTCTACGTTATCAACGCGACGTCCTTGATTCCAGCCGTCCAACGGCAATACAAAATACTAGCCTTCCCTCCTTTGCAAGCGAAACTTGCAATGAACGTATGCGGATCGAGTAACACCGCCAACGATATCCTCAACACGAACGTGAATGGCGACGAGGGATTCTGGGGTTATTCAGTCACTCACTACAAAGCTATACACCCGCCACTGTTTCCCGGTCCAGGGCTGGACGCGATGAACCGCGTCATGGCACGGAAGATAACTTCATCCTTGGAAAGCATACAATCGTCGGAAGTCATTAGACTATTCGACTTTATCAAACGAGAAATTACTCTTGCAACGACAGATTCAGTTTACGGAGACCAAAACCCTTTCCGGGATCCAACCATTGTAGAGGCTTTCTGGTACGCTTGCCAATTAGCATAGTTCGATGTGCATCTGCTAACTACGTGTAGGGAATTTCAAGAAGGTGTAATGGGTCTTCTTATGGGCTTTCCCCAGTCTTTTGTTCGAGAAAGCTTCAAAGCCCGAGAATTTATGACCAAGCGCTTTGTGAAATACTTCAATGACGGCGGCCACGAAAAAGGCTCAGCGCTCATCAAAGCTCGTTACGAGCATAGCATAGAGCATAAGATACCGCTTGAAGATATCGCAAGGTTCGAAACAGCTGGCGCGATTGCAATACTTACCAACACTTCGCCCGCCTGCTTCTGGCTCGTTTACCATCTCTACTCAAGCCCGGGTGCCCTCGAGGACTGTCGAAAAGAGCTCGGCCAGATCTTGTCTGCGACATCGCACGAAAAGCGTGAAGGTGCGTTTGACAAAACAATCACACTGGATCTCACTCAAGTCAAGACTTCCTGTCCCATCTTGCTTTCTAGCTTGCAAGAGGTGTTGAGACTTCACTCAGTTGGTATCTCCACGCGGTTGGTCATGGAAGATCATGTCTTAGATGGGAAATATCTCCTCAAAAAAGGAGGAACTGTCATGATCCCAGCACCCGTGCAACATCAAGATGCCGCTATCTGGGGTGAGAACGTCCACTCGTTCGATCACCGCCGCTTCCTGCCAAATGAGAAACGTTCGAATCCGGTCGCTTTTCGTGGCTTTGGCGGAGGAACTACGCTCTGTCCAGGTCGACATTTTGCAAGCACAGAGATCTTTGCATTCGCTGCATTGCTGATCCTACGCTTTGATATGCAACCTTCGGGTGGCACATGGAAAGAGTTGACTACGAACAAGGCGAGCCTGTGGGAGGTAACGCCTCGGCCCGATGAGGACGTTCTCGTCAATCTGGTTTCGAGACCTGGGTTTGACGCGACCCTCAAGTGGGAGATTCTTGTTACCGACTCAGATAAGATGATGCCACTTTCGGCTGAAGATGTTGACGCTCTCAGGCAGCCGAATTAGACTCAGAGTATTGCCGGCGTTTTGTTGGCGGGCAATAAGGATGATGCAGATAGAAAGCTAGGTGTGAGAGAAGAGCTCAGAGGAGTTTGTAGAAATATGAGCTTGTCCATGTCAGCGGCGCTGAATCACACGCGGTTATGGAACCCGATGATGCCCGGGTGTGTAGCAATAGCGATCGTCAAGAGGGCACGCAAGCAAAAGCGTAGTCAGCAGCTCATTATCGGCCTAGCAAACAGCCAGCGCATGAAAATCAGTCTTGTTAGTCTTGTGGAATTTTGCCCGACTCTCACTGATATTGAGTTGCAGACCCGAGACTGTGATGAGTTCCTGGTGCTTGCCCGACCCAAGCTTACCTCAGTTGAGAACTCGGAAGTAACAATCGATTAGCATGAGTTCTTCCTGTGGGACAACCAAAGTCTTTCTATCAGCGTACAATTTTTTCGCTTTTACTACCATTAAGTTTGCGTGGCGTTTTGTTTTGATGGAGCTGGGGGCGGAGGAGGGCCCCGCATCAGTACACTAAACTGCTACCCCACATGCGGTCCACGAGTGGATAGTCTAGCCAACACTACCTCCGGTGCTCCGTATCTCTAGGGGCCTTTAAAGTGGCGGCCTACTTATACGCGGGGGGAAAGAGTGCGCGTAACATACCTGCATAGACTTCATTAACACTCCAACAGCTACGGCCGAATCAACAGTGCCGGGACCTTTCTGCCCCAGACCCCACACCAATCTAGCATCCACTCAACACTACCATCACCACAATCTCCAATCACAATGCAAGCGAACGATCCAAACTTCCCTGCAGGCCCTTATCCTGCCGGCCAGCATATTCTACCGCCCCCACGTCCTTCCTCCCCATCCACGGCAGGCTACCGCCTGAATCACCTCATGCTACGCATCAAAGATCCCGAAGTATCCCTCCGCTTCTACAACGACTGCTTCGGCCTGCATACCGTCTTCATCTTCAACGCCGGCCCCTGGACGATATACTACCTCGGTCCGCGTGACACGCAGATCAGCACCCTCGGCACATCGAAAGGCCTGCTGGAACTGTACCATATCCCTGCTGACAAGGATCTGGAGTATGTGAATGGAAATGAATACGGAAAGGGAGGTGTAGGATTTGGGCACCTAGGGTTCACGGTTCCGGATGTTGAGGAGGCGCTGGAGAGGGTGAGGAGGTTTGGATTCGAAGTTATTAAGCCTTTGGGTGAGGATAAGGAGGAAGGGATGGGCTTGCCGGAAGAAGTGGTGAAAGGGAAAGAAGGGAAGGTGGCGGAGGGGTATAAACATGTTTTTCGGCAGTTGGCTTTTGTGAGGGACCCTGATGTAAGTACGAAAGCTAGGAAGTCGGATTGGGGAGTGCTAACGGTTGCAGGGTTATTGGGTTGAGATTGTGCCGCAGGTTGTAAAGAGTCCGGGGAAATAGTGAGGTTGATTTTCACCACTTGGGTGAGTTGGGCTCGTCGCGAACTCATGGTGCGGTAGAAGTACGGAAAGAAGCACCATAATATACAGGTCCGATCTTTGATGTATCTACACAGGTGTTCCCTCCAACAGTATTGAGGTAAAAGTGATCACGTCTCTGGTTTTCATGTGATATGAGACGTGTCCTAAGACATTGTTCTCGAATACCAGTCCTTCACCAGATGATCTCTTGGACCTGGGCCATCCCGTCGTGGAAAGGCAGCAAAGGACTGCTCGAATACCCTCCCCAATAGCATGCCCTCATCCGATTCCTCCGAGCCCCAATATTCATGAAGTTCTTCCCCGTGCATAGTCGCGCCTATCCCTTGCAGAAGTCGATGTAGTGAAGGCTTGGGCCGCCATCCCCCTACACTCCACCAGATTTGCCGGAAACTTGAATGGGGGATGCCAGAGGATACATCTAAGGGTCGAATTTCGTTGGGTATCGTATATGCGAGTCCCCATGCTCTATGGTTGATTGGTGCCCATAGCACTGCAGCACGCAATGCATGCATTTCCGATGCAGCTTTGGCAAACGCAGATAAAAACGGCGTTATCACATGATCATTCGGCACAGCTCGAAAAGTAGTCATCGGGACATAGCTGTCGCTAGGCGCAAATTCTTGGCGGCGCTCATCATGCCAGCGTATATCCTCGTCATTGTCATCGCTGAAAGGAGGCCGCATAGTGTCTGTGATCGCGTATCCTATGTCACTTTCGCCTTGACCATCCGGCCCGCGGAAGTACCAAGAGCCTGAGGGTGTCCGTAGGTGAAAGGTGGTATTCAAGAACTCGAGGTTGGGCCAGTACGTGATTGAGGACTGACCACAGAAGAGCGTCTGATCGGCCATAACACGTAGGTCAACACGTCGCAGATTCGTTGCCAGTGTCCTTAGGCTGGTACTGAACGGGTCGTACTGAAGTGGATCTATAAATTCTGGACCAGCGCCGCGTTGTTCAGCTATGTGCTTCCACAGGGGGTTGAGGAAGTCGAGTTGCACATTCTTTAGTGACGCCGGTAGAGTAAGCTCTTGTGCCGCTGCTGCGAAGTCCTTTCGTGTAGCAGCGATACATGCGTCGTAGTCTCGCTCAAAATGCCACTTCTCCCTGTTTTCGGGCGATACCGTCTCCTCGCGTGAACCAGTTTGGCAACCCAGATATTCCAAATTTGGGCATCGGCTCGCCACATCCAACAGCACGCGCCAGTCGAGTCTTGAGTCGTAACGAAAGTCCTCTTCGTCGAATTTTCCGCTGTTGATATATTCGCTATCTTGGGGATTGCAAATAGTCAAGCTGCGTACGCAATCAAGTTGAGGTAGGCGCGAAGGACTCAGAAGATGGACTCGCCAGGCGGAGCTTACACGATGGTGACAGAAATCTGCATCCACCCACTGCACGGGAGTAACGATACACAGTTCAATCTGGCCTTTACTTTGACGGGAATCTACGAACTTGAGCGTTTGGAACACTCGATCGATCTGTTTCGTAAAGATCTCGTCTTTCTCCATCAGTTCTTCAGGGCTTTCGCGGCATGGAAAATCATCGGGGTCTTCCTCAAGATATTTCAGCGTGGGGAAAGCGGTATGGACCTCGACGTAGCGTAAATATCGGAAACGGTGACCGTTATAAGTATCCAAGAACTTGGTGAAGACATCTTTCTCGTCGTCTCCCTTGAGACGTTGGCGAAATCTGGAAGATTGCTGAAAAGGCGATTTGATGATGAAGTTTCGAAATGCACCGGAATGGTACTCAGCACTGGCCTGGAACGCGCGAGACACAAACAGCGTGCGCTTAAGAGTATTCTGGTCGAGAAAAGAGCTAATGCAGTCGATGATCTCGATAGGAAAGTCGTCCATGTTATCTGAGAGCCATAGATACAGTCACAGAGGTACTTGTGAGTCAGCAACAAGAGAGGGAGACAAAAGACTGTGTAGCATCTGACTATCCTGCTAGGTGAAATTTTTACGAGCTGAAGCTGGTGATGTTTGCCGTATTATTGATTGGCGGAGTTGCGGCACAGCTTTCAGATGGGGCAGGCGCAGCCAATCGCATGTGCAACGCCAAACGCAAGACTAGGCAGCGGCCAAACTGATGGGGGGCAGAACCTTAGACTTGGGTCGTGCCACTTCATTACCACTCACATGTCCCAGCTACCGATAATAAGCGTAATATACCAACTTTACACACATATCTTGTATGCATGTTCCGACATAGAAAAGACTTCTTGACTCAAAATTTATCGGAGACAGTAAAGCAGTTCATGAATCGACTAGATGTTTTCCTCTATCTAAGGTTGTTTTCCCTAGGCAACTCGCGTGCCTGTCTATAGCGACAAGAAAATCCACATTTTGATCTGGGTACACTGGCTTTCAAGAGGCCTAACCCACCCATGGAGCCCAACGCTTCCGTTTTGGATAAAGCACGATGCCGATACATGGAAGAAGCGGCGAATTCCGAGTACAACCACAAGACCGACATTAGTGTGCAAGATTCCATGTGAAGTGTTTGCCTCCACTAGTTTGGTTCATGACTGGTGCCATTCATTGAAGCGCAAGACAGCACATTGCATGTAAATTGCCACCCCCGATCGACTGGTCCACAAGCATAGAACGAGCATGGGCCACAATGTAGTGCGTTTTTGAGGCTTCCGAGACAAACGGACCATATCCCTTGATGCGTATGATAGTAGCAAATAGCACGTGTAATTGCGCACCTTCAATGCGAGAGCGCGGGAAGCGCAAATCCTCTTAGTCAATAGCTTTGAGAGCAGGCACTTCGATGCTCGATGTGAGCGACGAACATCAGAAGAGCTCATCATATAATACAGTGTCCTCTTCTGGCGGTCATGTCGCCCAACAGCACGCAACGGACATTTTTCCATGTCATGCACATTCCAATTCTCCAATTTCGGACGAACAGAACCGACACATGGAAGCTTTACTGTTGAGGTTCTTCAGCGAAAGCGCAATCCAGGCCGCTCATGGATCAATGAGGAAGGGTATTAAGCCAAGAGCATGCAGAGCTTGAACCAAGCTTTGAAAGCACGAAGTCGGCACATGTGCATCTCGACTTAGGATCAGCCCGATCATTCACCGTCCGGTCCAAAGACCAAGACGCAACCACATGCAAGTTGCATTCCACTGTTTCTGGACAGCGAGAACAGGCACATGTTTCTGCGATTGTATGTCTTTAGAGACAAGGCCAAGCAAACCATACTGTGCTCGCCTCTATCGTTTGCAACAGCAAGCGGCATGTCATTGAGGTCTTCTATTTTAGAAAGCCAAGAACAAAGGCACACAAAGCACTGGTCAGGTTGTCTTTGAAAATTCCAGCAGCACGCACAGACCACATGAGGTGTGGATTGTGAAAGAGAGGAAGAGGCGCATGAGTCCAATGGATGATGATTCCTGAGAGCCAGGCGCAGACGCACATCACAGTGCGTTCTGTAAGCTTTGCAGAGGAGACGCACGCAAACATGCGTGCGGTCTGCCTAGATCTGTAGAGGAGCAGAAGCGACACATCACTCTGTCTCGTTGCGGCTTTGGTCGACAAGAGCGCACAGCGCCATTTTGTCGATGAGTCTCGCTTTTGAGAGGACAAAAATGCAGATATACCGCGTTGATTTTGTGTTGGAAAGAACAACAGCCCATAATTGTGTCACCTTCTCTTTTCGGACAGAAGAGGGCACGCGAAACGTATGCATGTCTTTTTGAGGGAACAAAGCTGCTCATGCTTGCTCTCTGTGAGCGCTTTGGAGGACAGGCAGCACATGAACTCACTCGTCAGCAGATTCAGAGGTCAAAGTGCGGAGAGATATTTTAGAACTGCTCGAGGCTTCGCAAAGAGCAAAGCCGCTCATGGGTTGTCGTCTTCGCTGATTTTCGAGGAAGCACATTTGCACTACGTAGCTGGTTTTGGGAGGCAGAGCGCGGAGGCACATCACATTTTTCTTGTTCTGTTTGATCACCCTCAACCCGCACATAGAGTTATGGTGTGGTAGTTTTAGGACGGACGCGCGGCGCATGATGGTTTTCCCCGTTGTCTTTTCCAGCCAAGAGCACACTCGCACACATGGAGTGCTTCAAGTCAGACTTTTGAGAAAGGGCGCTCGCCCATTTGCGGAACAGATGCGTATTTTGGACACAGGAAGCACATTCCAGTGAGACCAAAGCACAGGGACACATCTTCGTACTGCTTTAGGGCTTCAGGAGAACAAAACCGCCCATGTCCCAAAGTTCCCTCACCTTTTAGAGAGGTGCTGCATTTTAGGATCCATCGACGTTCTTTCGAGACAAGAAACCCCAAGCACGCATAGCATTGTTGTAAATGGCTTTTCAAGAACACAAGCCAGTCCAGCCATGAATGTGAACGGCTATTATCTTGTAGCAGAGGAGCACATCGGTTGTGCCATCCTCACATTTTAGAGAGGCAGCCCCTCAACGAAGTGTGAAGAAAGAGAGTGAGAATTGAGGAGGTATATATACTCCTCGACCATCTTGTCCCACGCCGGTGGCCGAAGAAAAGTCAGGCATTCTCTGTCTCTTTTCCAATTTTGAGAAAGGGAGCCAGTCCGAGCGTATAGCTACAGAGTGCAAGCTTCAGCGGAGGAGCACATAGACATGACTTCACGAGGTTTCGGTCAAGCAAACGCCTGAAAGATGGCAGTGTGGAGAGCAAAAGTAGAGAAGCAGGAGGGACATGAAGTGGTTCTCATGTCTCTTCTGAAAAGAGCAGGAGAAGAGAGCGGCACATACTTCGTCTTCTTGGGGTTTTGTGACGACCAATCCTCCACATTCCAGGAAGGCAATTGGATTTTTGAAAAGCAGCGGCACATCGTACAGATCGCGGATGTCTTTTAGAAGCCTCTGCCTCCTCAAAATGTACATCGTCGAAGAGCAGAAAGCAGGCTCCATGCATACTCTGGTCCTGCATCTTTGGTGAAGAGGGAGAGAGAGGAAAGGCACATTCCATTGATCTTGGACCCTTTTTGGCGAGCGCAAACCCGCCCACCCATGGATTGTCGCCCTAGGGACTTTTCGATAAACAGAGTAACCGCATATGAAGGAGTCCTCCTTATGGTAGAACATAGGAAGCGACGACTTGTCCTTGTCGTGGTGGGGTTTGGAGAACAGCACCGCGCATGCACGACTCCCCAACCTTTTTAACATGTCGCCGCAACCGCGCCCACACATGTAATCGAAACCTTTCTCTTTTCGATAAGAGAATCTCACTCCCATATCTCATGAGGCTTCTCTTTTCGGAACTGCCCAGGCACGCGACCCATCTCCGGCTTCCCAGCGGCTTTTTATTTTCGATCCGAGGAAGAAGAGAGGCATATCCGTCTGTTTTCTGTACTTTTTGGACGACCAGCCAGCCCGCTCATGAAATGAGGGTGTCGCTATTTTGAACAAGCACGAGCGACCCATGACAGGGGTGCGTTTCTTCTTTTAGTGAGACAGAAGACTCGACGAAGTGTGTGGAGCGAAGACTGGAAAGGGAAGTGGTATTTATGCGTTTTCGAGGGGTGCGATGGGCGGAGCTGTGGTGATGATTATAATCGGCTATTGCTGACGATTGGGGACGTGGATGGGATGGAGAGGCATCAGTGTCCTTTCCGTGACCGAGGAACCCACACCCCTACGTCTACATAATCAATCCCACACATCCAACGCCGAACCAAATGATACTTGTCATGCAGAAGGTATTACTATTAGTTTCTATATACATAGATATCATCCCTTTCCTCTAGCGCCTTGCCGTCTTTTTCAGGCTACCGTATAAAGCCATCTAACGCAGGCTACGCCCTCATCTCCGCCAACAAGTACGGCCCAATAACTATACACGCCTTGTAGATAATAAGAACGCTTTCTACAAGGAAAACATAGGGTATCCGCCAGACAGGACCCTGCAACGCCCTACACCAAATGGCGTAGAAAGCCACCGCAAAGAAATGGTACACTAATACCCACGGGTTCTTCAGCAGTCCGGACAGTAGCCCGCACGGTTCCTCGATGCACTTCCCGCCCCGTTGGAAGTATCTGAAACATCCGTTCTGGAGCGCTGTGAGGGCAGCATCGTCGGCTGCGAAAAGAGAGTACAACGCCATGGCGAGGATATTAATGACGGATGAGCTGTCCTTGCGCACCCAATGGAAGCGGCTCATGGCGCTCAGCACAACGGATGTCTCTTCGAGATTCGGCACCGCCTCGGGTGACAAGAGGCGCGAGATGTGCACCACGTCGTTGAACGCGACCGTCATGCCGCCGCCCGTCAGCGGATGCCGCATGTTCATCGCGTCGCCGAGGATGATCATGCCGGGTGTTTTCTGCGTTGCAGGTGGCAGGAACGAGTTCGGCATGCTGCGGAGCTTGCCTTCTTCGAGGGCTCTCCGGAACGAGGGTTGCACGGATTTTGGCAACGCGGGGAGCGCGACGTTAAGCATGTGGTTTTTGATGCCACCGGCCTTTACGCTCGCGGAAGGGCAGTTTTCAGGGACGTCGATCAGGATGCGGGTTTCGTGGGTGCCGATCTGGTAGATGAGGATCGGGGGTGCGTTGCTCAGAATAACGTGACCGTGGTTTGGCCGGGGGAGGTCCGCATCGATCAGCTCCAGAGCCCAGAATTTACTCCGTACTTGTGGCGTCTTGTTGATGTAGCCTTTCCGGAACTTGCTCGCGTAGCCATCGGCGACCAATGTGAGTGCGCCAAAATAGTAGTCTGGCTTTCCTGCTGTCTGCGCTTCTACGCCTAGTATCTGATTAGTATATGAGTCCTTGACGATGTCTGTGACGGTGGTCTCGACAACTGTGACGTTGGGAGCAGCGCGCGCGGCCTCTCGTAATTTCTGGATAAAGCGGCCGTGGTGGAAGGCGCGCCCTTCTGGACGACGGTTGGATGTGGGTGTGAGATTGGATGGGTACGGAATGTGTACGTTCTCCTTGTGGAAGTCGATTTGATAGCCGTAGCAGGGTATCGCATCAATGCCCTCCAGACAATCTGCTTCTTGTTAGGCCGGTCCAATCCCGCATTGTCCTCCTGTAGACATAACGCACCTCTCAAACCCAGCTCCTCCAAAGCGCGAACCCCACCAGGCTGCAGCAGCTCCCCCACTATCCGATCTGGCTCCTTCAGACTCCTCTCCAGCAGTATCACGCTACGCCCCTGCTTGCCAAAAGCGACCGCCGCCGCGCATCCCAGTACACCCGCGCCCACAATTACAATGTCTGCCTCGTGGTGCTCTCGCCGCCGGATCTCGCGGTGGTCTCGCGTCTCGATGGCGCTGAGCGCGCCATTCTTCTGTTCCATTGGCCGTGTGCGGAACGTGGTGGAGGCTCTCCGTGTGCCCGTCGAAGTAGCAGTCGTGGTCGTCGTGGTTGACATTTCGCGTAAGAATACGTATTAATTGCTCGCCCTTCGTGTCGTGGTGGGAGTGGTGTGAGTATGCGGAATGCGTCCCCACGAGGTTGAAAAGTCACAGAACGAGGGTCCGCTAGCACGAGGCGTTCAGGGTCATGAACTCATAATTCGCCGGCAGGTGGCGATCTTAAGAAAGGACGTCGAGGCTGGCCATCGCCCGCCCTCACCGCCTCGCTTCTGCCAGGGGCCAGCCAATCAGCCGCCCTGGTGGTCCGATAGACACGTGAAAATCATTCCGCCCTCATTTCTTTCCCCAGAGTTCCGTCGGGTCGGACCATAATCAGTCGCGGTGCCCTTTGCAAAAGGAAAAATTCTACGATAAACTTCACATGCAAGAGAAACGAGTGTTGGAGAGTAATGGGTATTTTGTGGCGAGACGCGACGCCAAGCTATGCATATGGGTATTGCGCGTCTAATAGAAATTATAGTAAAGAGTAGGTATAGGTAGTGCTTCGTCGTCATGCCTACACTGAGTCCGAGACGCGTTATGTCGTCCAACGCCTCCGGTAGAAGTTGCGTAGCCGCTCGCCGTGACGCGTCGGTAGTCGTTGCCTCCACAGCCCCTCCGGTCCTTCCTGCCATGCGTCTTCCATTGTCCAAAAGGAAAGAGCTATGCAGTTGATATTCCATGGAAGCATCACGGACAATCCACACAGCGGATGGAACGCCTTTGCTGTGCAAAATGCGCCCTGTGCGCCCTCCCCACGTGCGCGCTGAGCGCAACGTTGTGTAGCGAAGATACGAGCTCACTTCAGCAACTGCCAAGCGAGCCCCGTCAGATTCTGGCTGGCCCTAAAAACCCAAAATCAACGTCCTCACATTGCCATACCCGCACCTGCCTTACTCTCGAGGTGGAGTTCATCGTCAGGTCGTGATGCATTGTTGGCATTCTGGCCGGGGTTGAGCAGAGACTGGCGGTAGTACGCATCATAAATGTCGCTGTACCGATTTTCGCCAGCAGCGCCTGGTGCAAGGAGGAGGGTCTTGCGGTTGTCATCCTTGTTGGGGAAAGGTGCAATGCCGGATTTGCGATTGGAGTCGTTCTCGATGGTGCTGTGCCGCTTTTCGCTGTAAATGCTGCTCGAACCGCTGTCGTCACGTTGGTGGGACGGTTGGTACGTCTTTGGAAGCAGCCGAACGGGAGAGGGTGGAGCAGCGTCTTGTTCAAGTCAGCCGTGTTCTCTGTGTATAGCCCATCTGCACAAAACAGGTTTTCCATGACAAGTAAATTCTACGTACCACCATCATTCAGCGTGATGCCGGGCATAGAAGGAAGAGCTGGTGAGGTAGACCCGCTAGCTGAAGGCGAAGCCATAAGGAGAGAGCCCGTTTGCGACAGGTATTGCTCGTGGACCGACACAAACGATGCTCGGAAGCCCTCTGGTTGTGGCATCGGTAGCTGCGGCGGGTTGGGCGAGTAATGCTCGAGCTTCGTGAAGCTGGAGGAGGTAGGTGACCGCTGCGAGCGCGGCGAGAGATGTCCGTCACTGTCGCCACTTTCTGAGCCACCAAATGTAGGAGACGATGGTCCTCGCGAGACGGTCGGGGAAGGAGGAACGCTCAGGTTCATGTCGACCGCTTCGCTAAGGCGATGCCTTCCAGTCAGCTCAGCGGTTGAGGGTGCCAGTCTGATAGCCGGGGGTGACTTCATTCGCGGTGGGGACTCAGACTGAGGCGATGGCAGAGTATCAGAGTCGCGGAAGCTGTTCTGATTGCGCTCTTTAGTGTGGGCAAGTGGGAGCGTAGTGACACTGCTGTTCATCGAGTCCTTGGGGTTCCCAGCACCGCCAACGAGGGTGCTGGTGCTCATGTAGGGGCTTCCAGCGACCGAGCCTGCTCTTGAAGTTGGGCGCGATTGCGCCACGCCAGCGTAGAAGCCTGCTTCCAAAGCACGGATGCCAAAGTAATCACCTTCATCCTTCTCCCGTCCTGTCAATTCCACCCTTTCTTCTCTGATGCCTGCATCTTCGTTCTGTTTCGCCACAAGTTTTTTCAACCTTTTTCTCTGTCAGTTTGTCGTGAGACACGTCTTTGGGTCCTACTCACTTCCTACGATCGAAGAACACTTTGATCAATCCAGCAAGGATTGTCAGAACCAACAGCGATACGAATACGACTCTGCGAGAATTAGCGAACAGCCGATGTGGGCGGCAGATACGCTGACATACGTGTACTTGTAGGCAAGGTCAAGGTTCCCGAACCAATTACCCATGTTGAATATTAAGATATGTAAAGATGGACTCGTGAAGCAAACGAATGACGGGAGATCCTGGACCCTTCACAGACGGGTATCACGTCTGCTATGAGGGCACGAAGCCAACACCAAGCAACGAGGCGAAGCCTTGCGCGCTAGGGGCTTCGATAGTGATGACTCGAGAACAAGTCCAGAACCGTCCGTTCGATTGCGGAATAAGTTGTTACAGGGTGCCAAATGCGTCGTGCTCGTGGGAGAACGCGGAATCGTTGTTTCAGGTGTACGCAAAAACTATCCCTGCAACTTGGGGACGAATGAAGGAGCGTGGTGGTGACGAAGCAGTTCCGCGACTGTATATTGAAGTGAGCAAAAATGAAAGAACGTGTGGCAAGGCACACTGGTCAATGAAGGCTTGACAGTCGCAGAAACCAAGAAAGAGTGAACACAGCGTGACGGATGGGGCCCAGTTCAGTAAAGAAGCAGACCATAGCCAGCCCCTCGGTATAGTGCCCATACCCTGCGCCATGGGGACGATGGCCTGTTTGGACCTTGAGCGCTTTGAGTTGCTTGCGAAACGAGGACTTGAGTTCATAGTGCATCCGCGAGCCGAGCGCTTGTGGCCAATAATTGGGCCTTTGGCCTGTGCAGTTCCAATTCTGGACAACCATTTTGTACGGTGCTAGCCGTTCTGGTGTAGAGCGTGTTTGACATTCCAATGGTTGGATGTTTGCCCAGCCGCGATGTAGAAGCTTCGTGGAAGTCGCGTGATAGTCAATGCTTCGGCTGAATCAAGTGTATGTTCTTTACGATGTTGCCTGGCTTGAGCTTGCGTTCACCATTCGCATAGACCTTTCTTCAGGTACAGTGTGTCGATTGCAATAGTTAGTCGGCAATCTGCGAGCAAGAACATGGGTGGCACATTCATCGTTCGGGCCGCAGCCCAAACGGTGATGGGCTGCAGGCGGCAGGCGGCACACCCTTGAAACGACTTGAAAGACGCAACGAGGAACAGGACAAGCGAGCGCGCTAGCTACGCCGGCGTCTCCACTCTACCTGCCTTGGCAGGGGACGATACGTTGAGGCGATAGATTCGTAAAGGAGAAGAGCGCGAAGTCTTTCCACGCTGCCACGTCAAGGGGAAAGCCTCGGACGACATCGCTTTCTCGTATTGGGGATCCTTATCTGGTCCATTCGTGACTCGCTGCATGACTCTCGCTTGTTTAGTGGACCGACTTATCGAAGCATCTCTGAAATCGCATTGGATCTATGTGAAAAGAATCTCGACAGCAGCACATGGACATAGCCGTGCAGAGCACACACCTGCCCGAAAGAGGTTGACGATTGTAGTGAGCTGTGGGTGATGAGGTCGGCACATGCATGTGCTCTGCTGTTGCACCTCTGGACTCTCAATGGCTAGTCATGTGAGCAAACCTAGAACGAACTGAGCCACAGGCCATCACGGGTATCGGTATACTTGGCGATTCGACCCATTGTCAAGACTGAGCCTGGTCACTCGGGGTCACGACGCCGCTCCATCAGACGAAGATCCCATCCAGACAGACTTGGCTTTGGCGTAAAACGTGCGAGGAGTTTTTGATGTTCAAACAACGGTGCCCTTTCGAACTAAACGCCCTTTTGCGCCCAGACCGTAAGCGATTGCCATGCCCTCCAAGGTGAGAGGCGTCTCGTATAGAAGTTAGCCTGACGGCATCATTGTCGGTGCGAAGAAAATCCGGCGGCACCGGTTACACGGCTCAGTGTCTTCGCTGAGTGTCTCCACCGTGATTGAAATGCAGGTCCAGGTGTCTGCAGCGTACTAGCCTCATCGTTAGCCTAAACAGCGGCCAAGAGCCGGTCGAGACTATCGATTTTAATATAGCAAGCTTCTAAGTACCGAGTTGAGAGGGGAATGCCAACACCGTTTTGACATCAGCCGTGTTTTCAGGTTGGCAAAAGAAAACAATGCGACGAGGCGCGGAGCGAAGCGCGTCAGAAGACTCCCGTCCGCTCGAAGTTGTTCCATGCCTGTGAATGCAACGAGGGCTCGCTTGGTTGTTGAACTTGAAACATAGCCTCCTCTATTCGTACACTGATCTGGGGTAGTCGTCGTCATCGTCCGCGGCTCGATGAGGCGCTGCTCATGACTCTACGCAAACACCGCTCTCGGCACGACGCCAGAGAACGTAGAAACGACGCATCATCAGCAGACACTGATGAGGATCTAGTTCCGTCGCGTTGCTTCTCCGAGGCTGGTGAATAGTGCATGATGGTGAGGGGGATAAGAAAGGTCGCCCACATTCTCAGTTGCGGTCGCCCTTCTTGGCGCGTGTTGAGCGCGTCCTGCCCCACCAAACTTGGGGAAAGCGTCTTCCAACCTCAGCCCAACGCATCAATTGACAGAAGGTAGCCATGGCGGCAACGAAACAGTCAAAAGTAGTCAAGGTTGAACCATTGGTATGTCGTGCACCATCCAGATCTTGAACATTGCTGAGCCTCTTCTCTAGGATCACAAAGATGCTCGTTGGGCAACTTTGGTCAAGTGAGTATTTACGTCTTCTAAAGCATGTCATGTGACTAGTCTTGACAACAGATCGTGTTCAGGATCACCTACACAGATCCTGAAGGCGTGGAACGAACATGGGAGTCAGGCGAGCGTCTCACTCGCCCAAAAGGCTCAGATATCGACGGTGTTGGCATCCTAGCAGTCCTACAGGATCCCTCGAAACCAGATGACTCTCCGCGGATCCTTCTACAAAAGCAATGGCGCCCTCCCGTCGATGCGATAGTGATCGAAGTCCCCGCTGGACTCATCGATCCGAACGAAACAGCCGAGGTGTGCGCAGTGCGAGAGCTCAAAGAAGAGACGGGCTACGTCGGCAAGGTAATGGAAGGAGACTTCGGCGTCAGCCCTATCATGTTCAACGGTGAGTGTTGCCTTCCCCGGGACGTTATGATTTGATGTTCATCAAGCGACAGATCCGGGCTTCTGCAATACGAACTTGCGCATGATTCATGTTACTGTCGATCTCTCGCTACCGGAAAACCAGAATCCTCAGCCGTCACTAGAAGATAACGAGTTCATTGAGACCTTCTCGGTCCCTTTGAGAGATTTGTGGGACGAGTGTAAAAAGTTTGAAAAAGAAGGATATGCGATTGATGCCCGAGTGGGTACAATCGCCGAAGGTGTAGAGTGTGCCAAGCGATGGAAATTGTGAAAACGCAGCAAGGCATTTGCACGATCGTATTTGCATTTAGCGATGCTGCCCTAGGCCGACGCGAACAAAGTTCAGTTCAGCGAACGTGAACGGTCCATCCGGATTTTTGATTGTCCAAGTCTTCAATGAAGACCCAGCAAAGTGGAACCGGAAGACCCCCAATCCGTCCACGCTTTCCCCTTGACTTGACGATGGGACCAGCACGGCCACTGCCGTATGCTTTCCATGCTCCTGCTGAGCATGTTTGAACTGGAACGTGTACTCCGGTATGCCTGTCCTGAACCCGTCCTCTGCTACGGTCCATACAGTAATGCAGTCAGCAGCCTCTGAGTATCGGTAAACTTTGCGCATTGTCTCCCCATGCTCTTCACTCACCGCGACATACTCCCAGTCAAATGCCTCATCTGTTGGGTACCTAGGATAAAAGGATAGCTGCACGACCTTGATCTCACCATTAGGTATCTGCCCAGCTGCGACCCACTTCCCCATCAAGCCACGAGCGACCGCTCTGGCCAGAAAGCTACCCTGCTGCCCTCCCCTCCGCACTCTTTGTACTTCCATTAACGTCTTCATGGCTTCTGTCTTGTCGCTACCGGGCTCCGTGTACCGCGCCGCGCACACGAAACCTTCTGCCTCTGAGAAACCCAAGTCGAAGCGTTCGAGGTCAAGCTCACGACTGGCTTGTTCAAGCGCGCCGAGAGAGTCGCCAAAAGGGTTATGCGGTACTTCATCTTTTCTGCCCTCTTTGAAGGTCCTTCGCAAGTCCGCATAGTATCTTCGCAGCTTAGACCTTTGTTCAACGTGACTGGGCGTGTTGGTGAGCTCAGGTAAAGACGGCGAGGTCCAAGCCTTGACGATGGCGCGCGCTTGCATCTCGAACAGAGGCCAGTAGGCACCTGGGTACCCGACAAGCCCGAGTGTGGGCAGTGATGAGTTCTGCGACAGCAAGTTGGTGTCGAGGACGAAGGGCGCTGGGGAGCATGTTGGATCGTGATCGAGAGCCATCTTGGTCTGAGGGGAGAGGAATGCAAGCGATGAAGCCGTGTCGAACCCAGTGGCTTGTATGACTGCGCACACATTGTGGACGGCGAAGTTGCCGTCATTCTTCACCTTCTGGATGGTAGCGGTGACCAAGTCTCCCTTGTCTACTTGATGGAGGCGGGACAGAGTCCCACGGACCTGCGCGATGCGTCCTGCTTTGACGAATTGTGGATAAGAGTCCCCCAAAATTCCGATCGGTGCCAGTTCGTCTGTTTCGCGAGTGTCAACATACCCTTCGTCTCCATCGCTGATGGTGTGAATCATCTTGCGTGAGGCTTTTACTTTTTCTGGAGTTACCAAGCCCACTGTAAATGATGGGGGTGGATCTAGAATTGATAATAATTTAGTAAAAGTCAACTTCTTGCGACTTCGCAAGATTTGGAGATTCTTACAGATACAGAATCACATACCACTGGGCCTGCTAGAACGGTTGAACAAGGTAAAATCAACTGGCTGGAAGGTGCAGGAGGGGGCACGCAAGTCTTGTACGAACGCTGGCAGAGCGAACATTTCGTGCGAGCTAACATGTACAATCCGAGTATTTTTCCATTCTGCGCGATGGGAGCCAGAAGATGTAGGAGAGTACTGCGCATCCGAAAGCTGGAGCGCTATCGAGGCAGCAATATCTCCGCCCGAATGTGAGCCTCCCACTACTAGTATCACGCGCTCCCTGTCTGTGGTGGGCAACCTTTGATCAATGTCCTCTAGGGTTCGGTACCGAGTGCTGTGCAGCACCGGAATGTTTAAGTCCCCGGACCGCGGCATCTTGGGGATATTATAGAATCCGGGCGCAGCTACCAGGTAGTCAAAAGTCCTACTGAATTCAATCGAGCCTCCGTCTGCGGTTGTCTCATGAAGATGCAACTTCCAGCGATTGCCGCCGGCTACGGGCTCGTCTGGTATCCGTTCCACCTTCTTGACAGCAGTGCGGAAGCATACAGTTCTCACAGGAATGTACCGCTTGAAGTATTCCTCAAGATACAGATAGACATCCGCAGCTTTGGGATAGACTGGTGAAGATCCGAGAGACTCCCACGACAGATCCGAAAAACTCATAGTGAATTTGCATTGGTTGGTCCGCATGTTCGGATTGATAATGCCACCCGGAACCCATGATCCCCCCGATACAATCTCTCTTTTCGAAGATGGTGACGTCGAATTGGCCACACTGGAGCAGCTTTCGCGCCGCGATGATCCCCGCCGGACCGGTGCCGATGATGGCGACGGATTTCGACATGTGGCTTTCTATAAAGTTAAGCCATAGAGACTTATTACTCCATGTGTTATACGTACTGGATTATGTCTCGATGTTTTTCAGGCTGTGTAAGTTCGCTTAGATCAAAAACAAGATAGAAGGTGCTTGAATGTTACGAAACGCGTTGACTAATCTCAGGCTTTAGGATACTTGCGACTGTACGAGTCTGATGTTGACGATAGAGGGATTGTCGAGATATCATAGGGTTACCCCGAATTGATCGTGTATTGAAAGCGGCACAGCAAGTGGCGAAGTGTTGCGGTTGCTGCCGACCACCTTTCGCGGACATGGATGCACTTTGCGTTGTGATACCTTCCAATTCGGTCTTTGGATAGATGTGTAGATGCAAGATTACAACGCCGAAGCCTTATTGTGGTACACTCTGCTCGTGGTGGAAGACATACAAACATTTACTGCGTGGGGAATGCCGCGTGCCTGCTGCTGACATTATGTAACTTTCGAGCTAATCTCCCACCAATGACCTGGACGTGGCGAGTAAGCTGATCTGACGAGCTCATCCTTATTCCTGCATGCTCACGAAGTTCTTATCACGAGGATATACACAGCGCATCAACAGTCGCAACCTGTAGTCACGGCCTATACTATCGCGCGAGAGAAGCCAACGCGAAAAAACACCGGCCCGTCCCTTCTGTAGTGTAGCGCCTCCACCTTGACCGGTGTATGTATTCACCCGCACTCCATCAAAATTATGGGACCATCTTGGTACCTTCACCAGTTCCCGCAACACCACTCTGATACAATCGAGAAACTGAAACGAGAGGCTGTAGAGGCCGGGTGCAAGACCGATGCCTGTGTCATTCGATACAGCTCTGATGCCATGGAATGAAATAGAACGAAATATAGAAAATGGAAGATAGATCCAGGGGCGGGAAGGAATTTACATTCTTCTTAATTGCGTGCACAAATTAGATGAGTGAAGCGATATGTATGCTAGTGCAACCGTATTAATGCTAAATCTGGATAGTGTCTTATGTTGCCATTCCAGCATTTCTACTCGTTGACTTTGAACATCGGGCGGTCCATCTCACGGTGTTATGGATGTGGAAAATCGATTCAAATGACCTGACATATAGATTAGACGGAATATACGCGTGGAGAAAATCTAAGAACTCCTATCATCTGTCGAGCTCCATGATTCTTTAGTGTACTGTTACAAACAGGTCTCACATGAACCACAAATCCCACATCTAGGCGGCACTTCTCACCCTTCATAGGCATCAAATACATTTGTGATCATTTTTACATTTTTACTTTGTAAGCTCCGCTCACAAGATCGTATTTATCCAGCGTTTTTGGAAACCCTCTCGCGCGCTTCGGTGCGACCTTATCCGTAAGCGTATGCACCTCGATCCCGAGCTCATGTCCCATTTTCATCGCTTCTAGAAAACACACCAGGTCCACACGTACTCTTTCTTTGACGTAATTGGGGGCCTGTTCCTTTCAAGGTCCTCAAGGTAGATTGCTTGCAGCTTCGGATACGCTCTGCACTTTATTAACGCAAGCGCGAACTATTCTACCTTACCGATATAATCCGCCTTACTAAGTATTACAATCGTTTCTATGTTCTCAGGATACGTCTCTTAAACATATCCCATGCAACCCTCTAGATCTTCAACTCGCTCGAAGTGAGAATATACATCAGTGTGCACTTACTCCCAATTTACTGAGAAATTCTTTCAGCGGCACATTCTTAAAATGGGGCGAACATGCAGAACAGCAGTAGCCGGAGATCGGAGAACATGTTTGTGGTGACGTTTAGAAGCCATATACGTTCCGTTAAGCATCTTGCTAAGCACTTTATAGGGCCATTTCCAAGGCAGAATGCCAAGCTAGGCGGCCGTGGCACCGCATAGAACGAATCTTGGTTCATAGAGATGACAGTGATGCCTACCGCGAGTCCAGATAAGGGTTTTCTGTTTTGCGATTTCCAGCTGAATTACAGAACTCCAAACCATGAAGTACAGGATAGAAGCTCTCGAGGGCACAATTGTTTTCACATTAGCATGCTTTGTTGGAGCGCTTCGACTTTGGGTCGTCACAAGTACGTTCGAAAGGTCCGGCCTTTAGTGCGACAGTCCAAGGCATGCATGTGTAGGGAGTTATCAGGTCAAACATGCTATGGGGAAATTAGCCAGCGTACAAACAATCGTCAGAAATTCTTGTATTGCGTCTCATAGACTTTGCTTCATGTCATTGTGCATATCGCACAGTGAGCTCATGGCAGCCTCGCTGCAACGATATCCTGAACCATGAACGCCAAGCTCTACCAGTGACGGCGACGCGTCAGCCGTTTTCATCGCAGGTTAGCAAGGAAACTTTTGAACATGCCCTCCATCCAAACAACCCAGGTAGTTGTACAGGGTATGATAGAACCTCGACACAGCCACAGATAGACGCGCCTCTCTTGTTGTGGTTGCGGATTGACTCTGGCGAACGCAACAGACGGTAGATGTGAGCAGTTGCTCCAAAGCCACGCATAGGAGCGAATTGAATAGAGACGCACTCCGCAATGCGCCATCGCTTTTCTTCTTACCAGAGCTCGTTTCTACACATCGTGCTTCTGGTGAAGCCGGTGTACTGAATGATTTCAAGAGTCAACAGGTTTGGGGCTGTATGGGAAAGTCACCCCGAGAATCGTCGTCAGCGATTCTGAAGCTGGAAAGTCTGCGCGGTGGAAAAAAAGGGTTCAACACGTATCCGCGGAGTGACGATCGTTTCAAGGGTTCGATGTTTCGAATACAGCAAAGTCATAGCTTGTGGAGATGGCCATGGTAGGTGCCCCGCAACAAACGTGCCCGCAACCAACCATACGGCAAATGATTACCGGACAGAATCCGAGACGGCGAACAACTGAGGTGGAGTACGTCCAGAAGGATTCGTTAGCGCGTGCGATGTTTGGGCATTTCAGCCATTCGTTTACGAGCTAAATTAGCTTACGTAGGTGGGACGTGGTTTGGTGATGCAGCCGCTTACGTGTCTCAGCCTCGACGTCTACCGCAACAACATTTTGGGGCTTGCTCGATGGGAACAGTGCGCACAGGCTCTCCATCGCACCCACATGCAGAAACATCGAGACGAGACATCATAGAGACTGCATGTTATAGCGATGGTATATAGGTCACTAGAATCCTCCCGATGGAGGTTCTTCACTACAGCTGTACATTCACTACTGCACAATCGCTTTTTCCATTCGCATATTGTCCAAATAAAACAATATACCTGCCTTCAATATGGTTGCCTTCTCTCAAGTCACGATGCTGGCGGCGCTTGGCTTCGCTATCCCAGCTTTGGCCCACCCAGGTCATGAGCACGAAGTTACGAACAAGGCCGTGAAGCGTAGCTTTTTGGCAAACTCACGTCGCTCGCTTGACGATTGCGCTGCCCATTTGGAAGCCAGAGGCACCCTGAAAACGGCAGCGAACCACCGCAGAGCGCTGTTGAATGACTTGCGTAAAAAGGCCCTCGGTCAGTAAATTATCCTCGGACACTGCAATGTTATAAGGCGAAGTACCAAACTGACATCGTCAAAGGTGACGGCCTCGAACGTCGCGATGCTGATACTGTGCTCAACACGACCCATCACTCAAACGTAACCGGCATCACGACTGATACCGACGCTTCCACTCTCTTCTCGAACGACACCTGCATCCTCTCCCCTGAGGGCGAGATTGGCCCTTTCTGGGTCAAGGGTGAACTCAACCGTGAGGACATCGTCGACAACGAGCCTGGTGTCGTAAACTACATGCACGCTCAGTTCATCGATATCAACACTTGCGAGCCCATCCCACAGCTTTGGTGGGACGTGTGGAACTGCAACTCCACTGGTGTCTACTCTGGAGTCCAGGACGACAGCAACGGAAACGGCGACGACGCGACAAACCTTGACAAGACCGCCCTGCGCGGCATCCAGCAGACAGACGAGAACGGTATTGCTTCCTTCCGCTCCGTCTTCCCTGGCCACTACAGCGGCCGCGCAACGCACGTCCATGTCGTTGGCCACGTCAACGCATCGCTCCTGAGCAACGGTACCATCACCGGTGGCAGCGTGTCCCACATTGGACAGCTGTTCTTCGATCAGGATCTCATCACGGAGGTCGAGTCCACGTACCCTTACAACACCAGCACCGTCGACATCACCCTCAACTCTGTCGACCATGTCTTTACCGTTGAAACAGAGGACAGCAACTCCGACCCCGTATTCGACTATGTCTACCTCGACGACTCTGTCGGCGCCGAGAGCGGTCTCTTCTCCTGGGTCACCATTGGTGTCGACCCAACTGCGTCCTACAACACCAGCTATGCTTCGCTCCTCACCGCCGACGGAGGCGTCAAGAATGAGGACTCCGCCGGTGGACCCAGCGGTGACGCTCCAAGCGGTAGCTTCTCTGGATCAATGACTGGTGCTGCGCCTACCGGCGCACCGACCTCCTCCGCTTAGAGTGGAGAAAGAAGCTTCACAATGTCCAGTGGCTGGAGATCGCAAAAGCCGAATTGCGACCGAGCTTAGCAAAGGGGCAAACCGCGTATCACTGTTGAAGTGTGACAAATCGATCACGGTTTGCAATTCGGTGCAGAGATGTGTATATAAGGGTCTTTAAGTGTTATGTAGATACGGGTTTTTAGGTGCTTTGATATCTATCAAATTAAACTGTATATATTGGGAGTGCTGAAGTCCAGATCCCGCTCGCTTGCTAGACAACTTCATCACATACACTCACAATTCTCTCACCGCATTCTCCAATGCCTCTACTTCCCCCTTTTCCCACTCTGTAACTTTGCCCTGCCATTTCCTCCCCTTGCCCCCACCCTTCGCCGTCTTCACAACGTCACGTACCTGTGCTGACAATCCTGTGACCAAATCTTCCCTCCCTTGTATCACAACCATGCCACTCGACTTCACATCCCCAGTGCACAGTACGATAACGCCACCTTGGTCGAGCGTATCCGCCACCTCAATCAAAACCCGATTGATGAAGTCCACGTCATCTTCAGGTCTATGCAGGAACGCACCACTTGAACGCTGGAGCGTCTCTTTAATCTCTCTCGCCTCGTACTTTGCAAGCTCTACTACCATCCTCTTTTCTTTCTTCCTACCTTCCGAGACTTGCTCGTTGAGGATCTTAATTTTGTCTGCAATATCTTCAGGCGCCGCACTAGTTGAGAGCGAGACGCCGATGTTCCGCAGGCCGTTGATCGACTCGGTAGCTAGCTTTAACGCGCGGTCACCTGCTGTGAAGAAAAGGCGAGAGTTGGTTCCTCTTATGGATTGTGTGTGGTGCAAGAGGATGACGCCGATGTGTGACGTCTGCTTGAGGTGCGTTCCACAGCAAGCGTTGTAATCTAGGTTACCGATCTTGATGAAGCGTACCACACCCTCCGCTGCATCGTAGTCTAAAGGTAGACTTGAGGACACTTTATCCTTCGGAGTTTCGACTGTGACTGGAAGGTTTTCGCGGATGGTGGCGTTGCACTTCAGCTGGATGAGGCTGATCTCTTCATCTGTTGGTTTTCGGGGTAGTTCGACGTAGTTCATTTCTCCTGGTTGTCCCATACTCCAACCTAGAGTTGGTAACTCCATACCGTCCATTATCGCCGAGAGTAAGTGTTGTCCTGTGTGCTGTTGCATTAGGTCCCATCTTCGTGGGTAGTCGACTGTTTGTCGCACAGTGGTGCCGACTTTCAGGGGCGTTGGCGACAGATGTATACACCGTAAGCCGTGCCGCTGAATGTTTTCGATGGGTATCGGGTTCACCATATCTGCGCCCAGTGGTGTAATTGAGCCGTGATCGGTATGTTGTCCACCGCCCTCGGGAAACAGAACTGAGTCAGCGAACTCGATCATCCATTTCTGATTTGATGCTGGATTTGTGCCTCCTTGGATCTTGGAAGGGTCGTGGGACTTTTTGCTTTTTGATTTTCCGTGCGCTTCTGGGCGAATGTATTGCTCGCATGAAAGGACTTCGGTTTCCAGGGTCTGCAGGTAAGAGTCTTTCTGACACGACAGCGCACCGACGACACTTCCAGCTCTAACGGCTGTCGCCATATTCGAGTGACGAAGACCACAGCAAAGATAGGCGCAATGTCAAGTGTAAGAGCATGTGTGTTGCGATAAGAAAGTATTGATCCGTGTATTAGTGGCGATGGCTATGCGATAGTGGGGCTAGCGGCGCTTTTAGGAATAGTCTCACCGTTTTGCGAACCCCTCCACGTCCGATAGAAGCGCGAATGATACATCTAGAAGTCGTTGTACACAAGAAAGAGGGTGCGATAATGTTTCAGGAGATAACTCGAACAGAAGCGCGCATCACGTCTCTATCTCACAAGTCCGATCGTCGTTGCACTCATAACAACGTCAGTGATTGAGCAGCAAACCAACCTTGTATCATTGCCAGGATCTCATTTAACCAATTACTTATACAGATAGTTCCCGAATGCAATCGTATTGGATAAACCAAGTCATAATGTAACATTCAAGTTCTTTACATGACAATATACATAAACCCTATGTAACCCACTAGCCCACTCACTCCTTATAAATCGTGCTATTCCCCGTCCACGACCCATTCATTTGAGTAGTGAAGCTAGCAGTATTACTAAAGTTATCGATCCTGCCAAGCAGAATCTCCAACATGCGGTACGCAACACCAGGTGTATACCCGGGAAGCTCGTGTCCCGCAAGATGCGCCGTGTAGAACGTCAAGCCGCGCTCGGTGGTCCACACACCCTGCGCACCCGCGCCTGCAAGCGAGCCGCCGTTGTACTCCGGGTGGTACGGAGCGTAGAGCGTGGTAGTTGGGTACTTCTGCAGGCCTTGGAGGCCGTTCCATGTCATATTTTGAATGGCGAGGAGGGTTCCGTTGGTGGAGAGCAGGAAGTCGAGATCGCCGGAGCCGATGAGGGTGTTGTTTGTGAACTCGATGACGCGCTGGAGAGTGCCGTCGATGGCTGGGCCGGGGGACGTGTCGTCGCCGCGGTCAGTGCCGTTGCCGAACACGTCCACGTCGGTGCATTGCTGCCAGTTGGAGTCAAGGGGCGCGTGGAGGGCTTCTTTGACATCGGTGCGGTTGAAGTAGACTATGGCACCTGGAGGCTGGTAATCGCCGGGGTTAATTATGCCGAGCTGACCGAAGGGATGAGGGCAGGTTTCGGTGATGTGATAGATGTTGAAGCAGGGGTTGACTTCGAGTATGGCACCATAGAAGTTGTCGAACTGGTCGCAACTGTAGTTGTTCCGACGGGACGGCTCCGGGAGAACTGGGAATGGTCCCTGAGGAGGAGGGAATTGGAAATAAGTGTCCAAGTAGGACGAGTAGTTGCAGGAGTCTTGACGTTCCCGCAACTCGTTGAGGATAGTTTCATTGAGGTCGATCAAGTTCTGCCAGTACTCGACGTAGGGCAAGGCAACAACTTGAAGATGTCAGCTCAGAAACTTTGCTTGCGCAAGATTCTTACCTTGTTGCTGGTTTGTGTCGTCGCCGATGATGGGGTCATTGATGGAAATACCCTTTAGGTTGAAGTACCTGTAGTTTGTGTGATTAGCGTATGCCTTTAAGAAGCCAAAATCTCAGCGTGAAACTCACTCGGTGTCATTGGCGCCAATAAAGCCGTCGGCAATGTAAGGCACGTAGAACCCGGCATAAGATTCTCCAGTGACGTAGACATCCCACTTCTGCATCTCGAAGGTCGAAATGAAGTTCTTCCAGAAACCGCGGAATTCAGCTGCCAATTCGATTTCATTGGTAATGTTCGGCGTTCCCTGCGAATATCCCACTCCGACCGGCTGTTCGACCCAAATCATATTGGTCAGATTCGTCCATGAGTATGAATTCTGCACAGGAGCGAGGGTCCCGGCTTCCCATGTGAATGGGCCATTCTCAGTCAGAAGACCACTCAATGAGCTGCAGCCTGGGCCACCATTGAGCCTGGGTAGGTTAGCAGATACTCGGCTCTTATCGACAGATACCCTTACCAGATGACAACTTCTTTGGGCGTTTCTGCCGCCGTCGTTGGGAAAAACCTTGGCACATGTAAGCTTCTTGCGCGTATCTAACATTTGGCGGACGTACCAAAAGAAGAGCTTGCGGGACTCATCTGGATCCTCCGAGATGGGTAGCAAACCAGCATAGGACTCTCCGATGTCGAACGGTACCTCAGGGATGCCTGAGCCGTTGACAGAGAATTCTGGACAAAGTTAGATACTTTGTCGATACACGAGGAAGTTTAGCTTCGCGTACGCTTCGTCTTGTCGGTCAAGAAGGACGACGCTCTCTTCTGCAACTCGGGGTGTTGGAAGGGCTGGTTTGCCACGCGCTTCTCAACGGTCGGCCTGTGCTTGTGGAACACATTGCGCTTGTGAGGCGAATTTGCGGCCAAAACGCTGGAAGCACACAGCAGCGAGCTGAAAAGTGAGAGCTTCATGATGCGTGGAGGAAGGACGAGAGCAAGTCACAGCTGGTCAATTCGAGCAATCGCCGTCCCAACGAGTCAAATATAAAATAGCTCAAGCATGACGGCATCGCATCCTGGTGTAGAGCTGCTTACCAGGAAGAGTAGGTGATATGGCTGAATTGTGCCGGAGGCCAGTGTCCGGGGATAAAACTGGAGCCGCTAGGTAAGCTTCCGACCGGGGGATGCAGATGACTGGCTGCTCAACGTTCCGTTTATCGCGTGTGCGGGCCCCGTTCGTGTTGATGGGGTCTAAAGCATGGCTGTGTACCCTTTACCAGCGTATGCCCAAGGTCTCTCAGGGCTTGCGAATTGATGAGCGCCACGTCGTGTGTCACGGAGACCTGGTGTTGCTCCATGTCAATGAAAGGGAAGCACTTCACCGAGAGAGTCGGTGACAATCGGAGATTCGACATGTCGATACGAAGATCCCTCTTTTAGCAACAGGCATCAAGCAGGCACACGCCTCGGCTGCAGAGCTTATCGATGCTTGACTTTCGCCTCGTGTGGAGTCCCCGGACCAAACAGGAAGGTGGACACCAGTCGATGGCATCACCGAATATGCGCATGTCAGCGTGTATGTTATGCAGAATGTTCAAATGTTGTCTACCTCGTATTTTGTGCGTTGCATGTTCGGCTGTGCGTCGTGGATAAGCACGTCACCAGCCCCAACTTGATTTTCTGATTGCAACTCGGTTTATGCTGACGGTGAAAAGACAATGAACACTTTGTAGTCTGAGCACAGGTGTGTAAATTTCTAAGGATCGCTAGAGGCTTTCTCTGTACCAGGTAACAGTACATGTAGGTTCGCAGTCCTCTCAGACGCTCACGCGACATGCTTTCTAGCCCAAATTGCGGATTTCAATCGGCGAGTTTTCATCGGCGTATTGCCATCGGCGTATTTCCATCGCAAGCAGTCAAACAAGAGTATAGAGAACAAAGCACAGGAAAGCTTGTATCATAAGCGAGGCCGGCAACGAGAGCTTCACGCCGGGGTCGACTTGAGTGAATGCATCTGATCCATATGTCAGACGGAAGTCACGACTGGAGAGGTTTCCCGAGCGAGTCTGGGACATTCATCAACACAACCTATCATCAGGAGCTATCTATCCAACTATCTTGTATTCTTGCATGCGCCACATTCGCATCGTCCATTCAGCGCGAGGAAAGCGACGAATACGAACACCGGCCCAGCCCTTTTGCGCCAGCTTACGCGGACAGCACAGCCGCAACGCCTCAGGCATCCAATCCTACAGCAGGTGTAGCCATATAACAAAGCGAGAGCTGACCGCGCACGCCTACTCGGTAGTCCTACACCTTGACGATCGCAATACACGACACATTTCGTGATATCCACTGCGACTGCGATGGCCGAATCTTTTAAGCGCACCGAGAGCGCGGGTATCCCGCAGGACGAAGCCGCCCCAGCCTACGACGACGTCATCCACCTCCACGGGCCTACAAATGCCTTCGCGCACTCTTCATCTTCGGGCGTAAGCATTCTCATCTCTCATGCCGAGTCTAAGCGTCGTTTCTTCTGTAGTGAAGACTCCGCGCAACGAGCTGCCTCTGGTTCAAGTCGCTACGGATGCGGCACCAGATGCTGCATGCACGTTGGAGCTTCAACGAGACGCAACATGGATGCGATAACACTTTGAAAGATCTCATGCAGCTTACAAAAGCGTTTCCTAATGATTTCCGTAGTACGCCGCCGTCCCCCAGAGCGACGTCGAGCAAGACGCCCACAACCACAATCACAGCCATAACCTGGCATCGATGCCAACCGCGCAGCAGCAGAGCCCGGAAACCCTTGCGCAGACCATCGCTGGCGTGTTCCGCCCCAAGCCGCACGTCCACTGCGAAGAATGCGACAAGCAAGCCGAGAGACGCGAGCGCAGGGAGTCGGAGCGCGCCTGCTGTGCCATGGTCGCAGGGGTGTTCATGGTACTCTTCATTTGCGCGATGATATTGGGCATCGTGATTGCAAAAGCAGCGGCGAGAAGGGCCGAGAAGCACCGTGGTTTCTGAGCGAGCGTGCGTGCGTGGGAATGATGTGCTAGGTCGTGGGTTTGGGATGGATGGATGACATGGCGTTGCGGTGTAGAGGGACGATGCGTGCCATGTTATAGATCTCCCCTTTGATCATGCAATTCAGATTAACTGAGACCCTCTCAGCATGTGTGTAACATTCCAGTGTGGGGCTATCTATCCCTTGGGCGCAGCGCATACACGCCATTATTACCCTCGTTACCTCATGCCAGGCGGCCCTGGTTCAATCATCGGTGTTATTTCCCATATTAAACTTTTCCCAAAGGAACTCCCTGACCTCTTCGTTGCACCCCATCTCTGATTTTTCGGGAAATGAGATCACCCTAAGTCCCTCTAGAGTCGTCGCTCTACTCAACGCGACATATGCCATTCCTTCTTCGAAGTTCCTGCTCAAATCGACCTCTACTTTCTCGAGAGTCATGCCTTGGCTTTTATGGATAGTCATGGCCCACGCAGCCATGAGTGGAATTTGCGTTCGACTCAAAAGACTATATCGTGGGTTGAGAGCCGGCTCGTCGCCAAGCTCTGTCGGGTAACAACTGGCCGTTATCGGAAGTACTTTTGGCTGTCCTCTATGCCAGAACCTTACGATTGGCCATTGTTTGCAGGGTGCAGCCTTCATGAAGTCGAAGATCCGACGCGCGCGATATCGTTTATGATCTCCCTCAAGCATGATCTCAATATCTAGAGGGTGTAAGTTTAGATGATAAAGTGGACGCAAAGTATGCCCTACTAGTTATAATCTGGTCGTCTGGTCTCTGTTCCTCTTCGACGTCCCAGAAGTCCTGAAACCCAACGATTGTGCCTTGGGATCCATTGACCAGTCCTTCGGATATGCTGATGTTGGCCATCAAAACTACGAGCATTCCTGCCTTTAGCTCGAGCTGTGGTTCATAACGATGCTCAGCCTGTGGGAATGTTAGCACGTTTACAACCGCGCAAATAGAGGCTGCCGTACCAATTTTATCAAAGTGCCGTCCACTGCTCTATTGTTGTAGAACTGAAGCATGCCATGATGGTGCTGCTGTTCGAAGTGATCGGTGGAGGGGTATAGCCGCGGTTCCGTCCGTAGCTTCTTAAACTCTGCATTGTTTATTCTCTTCACGTCTTGCTTACGCGGATAGAGTTTGACGGCATTGTGTATGCTTGGTTTGCTCTGGCATAGGAGTTTTCTATCGCTCGCAAGTAACGGCAATCCCAGGCGCAGCTTTTGCAAGATGTCGATAAACGCCCGATCACGTTGTCGAAAAACTGTTTCCAGATTGACATATTCAAAGTTCGCTTCCTATGTCGTGTTAGCATCCGCACGGGTCTAGAAACTCTGTTGCTACACGAAGAGCATTCGAGTCAACTCTTGCACGCGTATGGCGTCTTAGGAGCAGATCTCGTAAATAGTGTCTTCATATTGTATATTGAGGCTCACCTGCCATGCTTTACTCTGGAAAGCCCATTTGTCTTCATCGTTGTAGATTGCATCGCACTCGACGCACTCATAAGCCGACTTTTTCGCCTTTTCAATGAGAGGCTTTCCACAGATGATGCAGTACATGAACGGATTGACTGGAGGAAGCTGGCAGAAGTCTCCAGTAATAACTACTTGAACACCGCCGAAAGCTTTACCATTGTGTCGCACTTCTTTCATGATGGCGCTCAGCCTCTCCAAGTGGAAATTTTCGACCATACTGATCTCGTCAATCACAAGAACGTCTGTCTTTTTGTAGACGCTTCTTGGTCGTGTTCTTCCAAGCCTCGTTCTGGAGGTCCTTCAGCGGCTTCTTCATGCTATCTGGTGTCCAGCCAGCATACGACCACGTAGTCGAACCATTTATGTCCAAAGCAGCACGCCCAGTAGGGGCGACAACGTTCACTTTGTAGCCCATGGAAGAGAGACGTTGCCTGAACGCTTTCAAGACCCTCGATTTTCCGACACCTGCTGACCCAGTATAGAAGACATTCTTCCTTTCCTTGACGATGAGATCGACCAGCTTAGCTTGTTCGGGGGACAAAGGAGGTTCCCGCGGGGGTGCGAGGCTGGGCATGGAGGGGGACGGGGCGGAGTCCCTGTGGGATTGTGGGTTGGACGACTCCGGCGATGCTTCAAGCATACCGAGTCGACGCATCAGAGCCGCGGCGACCTCTCTTGCGGTGGTGAGAATGTCGTGATCCAGCGGTATGACATCGGCCTCGGGATCCGGTACTGTGCTCGATGGCGGAGGCTGCGGTGGGCGGGGATACGGGGACTGGTCTGCTCGTTGGACATTGGAGGGTCCCCGAGGGGCTTGCGGAGCGGCATGGGTCTGTGGGCGTACTGGGAACTGGTCTGATCGTTGAACAATGGAGGGCCCCCGAGGGGCTTGCGGAGCGGCATGAGTCTGTGGGCGTACATTTGCCAAACCAGATCTCTTCTCTCCTTGATAGTATTGCCATGCTGACCCAGCATCTTTGAAAGAGCGTTGCATCACGCTATGCCTCTCTATCCATTTCCGCGCGACATCCCAGACGGTATAGTGCACACCAGGATTCGGGCCGCCCCAGACCGCGTAGTATTTCTTCTTCCCCCCCCTGAAAAGGGCGTTGCGCATGTGTGAGGCTCTTCGGTTGGGCAGATGGCGCCCTCCTGTCGCTGTCGCTTTTGGGGTTCAGCTGCCGGGCCCTCGTCGGGGAAGGGTCTTTTGAAGGAATTGTGAGAGCTCATGAAGCCTTCTCAACGGCGCAGGGTCTGCGATCGCGATTCAATTCGTTCGGAGGTTGCGTTGGGGGAAATGATCATGCGTCACTTTGCAGCAACCGCGAAGCTACGAGCATAGGGGAGACGCGACGACGCGCTAGTCAAACCGCGGCCCGCGCCTTAGCTGCGGGGGTCGGTCGGACCTCCGACCGCTGCATGCTTTCATCTTCCATCCCAATAGGGTCGACAAGTACTGAACACCTGACAAATATGAAAGACTGTACGCATGTACAATTCTACACCTCACTAGAATATGCTTCGAGCTCTGGTTCCACGAAAGCTTGTACCCCGGCCCCCGGAACAGCAATGTAGTCTGGGAAGCCCATTCGCCGCCGTATACATTACACTACCAGATTTCGCCCTCATGAGCCCAATCCGACCCACGTCGCCTAATTGCATTGGAGGGGTAACCACTATAAATGCTCGAAGCATTTATCAGGCGAGATTGTATGCACAAAAGTCCATGTGGATTTGCAAGCAACGAGCCTCACCCTTCCGCTTCGTTCCTTAAGTACTTCGATACTTATATGATAGGCTTCCCCCAACTACTCAGCATTCTACCCTCTCTGAATCAGCTCCTCCATTGCCCCCATAGCCCACAATGCTCTCCACACTAGCCACCGTCCTCCTCTTGGCCCCCGCCGTCCTCTCCCATGGCATCATCATGAACCCTCCCTCCCGCGCAACCGGGCCCGGACAAACCACCGCCTGCGGCCAAGCCATCGTCTCAGCCATAAAGTCCGACAACACGTCCTACGTCGAGCAACTCACCAAGCTCGCCAGCACCGACAGCAAATTCAGCGCCGCAGCCTGCAACCTCTACCTGTGCAAGGGGCTCCAGTACGCCGACAACAGTGCCAACGTGCAGACGTGGAAGGCGGGAGATGTCGTCCCAGTCAAGATCTGGCTGCGCATTCCGCACGAGGGGATTGCGAACGTGAGTATCGTGAGCACGAAGCAGAATAAGGTGGTGGGAGACTTTTTGAAAGTGTGGACTAAGGGGTATGCGCCGGGGAAGAGCGAGGCGGATGTTCCGATTGAGCAGAGGGAGTTCAGTGTTACGGTGCCGAGTGGGCTGGAAACTACCTGCGCGATGGCTGGTGACTGTGTAAGTGGAAGGTCCGATTTGCGAAAGACTAGCTGTCTTGCTAAAACGAACGCAGGTGCTTCAGTGGTGGTGGCTCGGTACTGCTGCAAAGCAGACTTATGAGTCTTGTGTCGACTTCAAGATTGCAGCGTCTGGGGCCTCCCAGGGGCTCGAATTTAAGGCTTGAAGGCCCCAGCACGAGGTAGACATGTTTGTGACGATCGTTGGCTAGCATCGAAGAGTTCCGGATGAGAGTCGCACTTGTAATCGCAGTCGAAACCGTTGTCTACCATCTCAACTTTTCCGTATTCCCATCCTCTGAAGCTTCCAAAGATGTGAAATTACGGCCATAATGGATTTACCTCGGTCAAATACTATGTTTGCAATCTACTTGAAGCGAATCATACATATGCCGGCCGGGTGATATGCAGGAACCGCTTTATTGCAATATACGAGATCGACTGCTGTGCAAGGCATTTCAAATCATCGCAACCCGGAACGGAATTATCAGCGAAGCTACGAAAGCTTATCCTAATGTCCTTCCAGGTTTACTGTCCAGGGTCCCGCGACGCAACCGCATATGGACGCGAAGTGATTGATGAAAGGAAAGGACTTCCAGTAATACACGTACACGCACACCGGACAGCAAGTTCAACATAAACATCGGGCCTCGTTATACAATGTTCCATTCCCAGAGCCCATCACAAATCAACCTCCCCTTTCCTAAACAGTATCATTATACATACTCGCCACCGTAGTATCCCCCCTCGCCTCATCATGATAATGCGCCCCCGCCGCACTACCACTCGTATCCAGCTCCTCCAACCTCCTCAAATCCATCGGCTTGTCCAGCAGCGGAAGCACATACGGGTCGAAAGTCTTCCAGTAGGGATTCTCGAGGTGGTACTTTTGGCTCTGGGGTCACGATCACGTGTTAGCTGACCACCTTCTACTTCTGCACGTTTCTACTGGCGATGGTAGTGCTTCGATATTTCATGTTTCATTCTTGCTGAAGCAGACGGAGAAGACGGATATGGAGGGGAGTTGACGCCAATAAGGGGATGGGATACATACCGACTCCTTCAGGTACCGCTCCACAATGGTGAATTTTCTCTTATCCGAAACATCCTGCATGACGAACCACGAGAGCGTCTCGCGGTCTTTGCTGTATACCTGGCTCGCCTCTATCAGCTTCGCCTTGAGCTTCTCAATGCTCTCTTGGTCCTCTTTGGCGTAGAGGTGCACCACAATTGTGTAGACCATGTTGGCTGATTTTGCTTGCGTTCAGAGGTCCGGATGAAGGCGGGTGGGGGATTCGCAGTAGCAGTCAAGTGGTTGTGCCACAGGAGGTACAGGGCCGAGCGTATATGTAGTTTCGAGAAGTGCAACCGATGAGGGGTGTTCTCATTTTGCTCGTTGTGCTAGTAATGTGACGTAACTATCACGGCCCTACGGCGGCCCCGCAGCGGATCGCGCAAAAAAACGAACACGACCCCATCTCCTAGCCGTAATCAGGTCAAGTAAAAGTGAAAAAGGGTATCGGACGGACGGTATCGTTGCGGATGCGCCAGGATACCCTGTTCTCCCTAAAGGATGTGAGAAGTGGCTTGGGCATTGCATCCTTTTCACGCGTACTTGACAAAGCTGAAATGTTGAAGTAATCTTTGTGGATAGATAGATCTAGATATCTAACTCACTTTTCTTGACTTGACATGCCAATGAAAGACATCGCGGCGTTACAAAAGCAAACAAAGTCGCTACGCAACAACTCCGCCCAAAGCATTCACTACAAACACGAATCAATGGAATATCCTGTACACCCGCCTCATGATAATCCGAAGATCAGAAAAGAAAATAACCACCTATTCTTACATTCCAAACCCGAGCAAGCGCAAACTATGCTTATGCTTTTGACAACATCTTGAGTACTTCCTCCTTCTCGCTGGTCGGCAGAGTGCTCAAAAGTGCCATAACACCCTTAAGGCCACCCTCACGATCTTTCCGCATGAGCTGCGCAACCTCAAGCGCAATGCCGTCCCTCTTCAGGAGCTCGACGCGGTCGTGTACAGTCTTCCTGTTCTCCTCGTACCATACCGCGACGCTCATGTCATCGTTGTCGAATTTGGGGATCGCACACCAAGCCTTCAGCATTTCAAGGCCCTTAGCACGGGTATAGTTATCAAGCTTAGCAGATGAGTGATCGGCGGAAGAAGGTGCTGCCGCCGTAGCAAGCTTCCTGAGGATGTACTCCTCGTTGAGACGGCGACGGAGGCGCCAGTAGAAGAAACGGCGCGCATTTTGCCATCGCAGGGCAGAGCGGATGACACCCTTGGCCTCCATGCGGCCGGCGCGGTCGTGCAGGTCGGCAAATTGAAGTGCAATCTGGCTGTATACGGGCAGGAGTAGCTGTTCGCGCTCCGTCATTTCGGCCTTGATGCTCTGGAGCTGGTCCTGAGGTGTCGCAGGGTCGTTCAGCTTGCGCTTGAGAGCACCATAAGTCGGGTCGTTGCGGGCCATCGTCTCGAGCTGGCGTTCCTTGCGGTACTTGATGCCGACGATACCTTCCGGCTCCAGAACACCACCGCGGGAATCCTCATCAGCATACATTTCCATGTATTGAGGATTGATGGTCGGGTCAACAACGACCCAAGATCCACCGCGAAGCTCGCCGAAGGGTGGAATGTAGACGAACACGGGCTGCTCGTACTTGACGAGGGCGTCGACAATGTACGAACCATACTTGAGCACCTCGTTGTACATGTCGCGCTGGCCACCAGAGAAACCACGCCAGTTGGCAAGGATCATTAAGGGTAGTTGTTCACCATTGTTGAAGTCCTTGATGGCCTGAGCGGTCTTGAAAGCGGAGTTGGGGTACCAAACACCACCAGCTTCTGACGTGACTTGCTCGATGGAGTCGGGGTTGGCGGGATCAGCCGGTGTAACGTTCTCAACCGAGCGGGTTTCAACGCCAATAACACCAATGGGGATACCACCAAGGCGAGCGCGACCGACAACGACAGTCTTGGCCCACCCACCGAGAGCCTCCTCGAAGGACCCGCGGTCGAACAGACCAGCCTGGAAGCCATCCTCATCCTCTTTACCTGCGATCAGATGCCTGACATCGTAGGCAGATTTGCCAGGAGGATAGTAGGTGACGTCACGATCCCACTCGTCTGCGGTCGGGGAAACGGGAACTGGGTTGCCCTTCTTGTCGGGTACGTATGCCATCCACTTGACGATCTTGGACACACCCTCAAAGTCGTCCTCGGCGGTCATGTGAGAAACACCGTTCCTGTACATGATTTGAGTGCCACCGAGCTGGAGGTTGGAAGTGTACACTTCACGTCCAAGGAGCTTGTTGATAGCTTGAGCACCAGTGAGAATGATAGGCTGACCCTCAATCTGGATAGCACGCTGGCCGAGGCGGACAAGATAGGCACCAATACCTACATAGTGTTAGCAATCACGATTGTTGTGAATTGGGTATAGCGATACATACCAACTGAACGGCAAGTGACCAAAGTGATGGTGAAGATGTCCTCATAAGCCCTTGAGGTTTCACCAGCAATCAGACCCGATCCACGGAGAGACTCGACACCGAGACCATCTTCACGACCAATGACCGTGGTGATCTTGTATCGCTCTTCACCTTCGATGACGACCTTCTCGCAGATCACATCCTCGCGCTGACCGTCAATGAAGGCCTTGTACTTCTCTGGCGTCAGGTAGAGATACTCGAACCCAGATTCAGGCTTGCTGGCATCCTTCCACGCAACGGAGAAATGAGGGATGAGCTCTTCAGCGAGACCAATGCGTGCACCAGAGTTGGCGGATAGGTAAAGTCTGGGGATGCCGAGCTTGCGAGCGAGCTCAGAACACTTGTGGAAGAATTTGTCTTCCTGAGGGCCGAATGATCCAATCTTGAAGGTAATGTCATTGGCAATAATGATGTAACGGCGGCCACGTGAATACTCTGGTGTCTTGGCCGTGACGATCCATCCAACCATACCAATGGTGTTGGTGCCTGAATCACGGTTCACCTCAATCAAGTTATCGTTGTCATCGAGCACCAACTCGTAGTACTCAATGCACTCTCCCTTTGACGGCTGCTTGTCGCTCAGGTGAGGGTGTTTGGCAACAGCGTTGTTCCAGCTGTTCTCTGTAGCCTGGCGGAAGAGCTCAGGGAAGTCGTAAACGTATTGAGTACCCATGAGATGAGCCTTGTAACGCTTTGGCTGCAGAGCGCCCTTGGTGGGGTAGGGAGTGTTGACGGGCTGGAGATGAAGAGCACCCATCTTGGTCGTTCCACCAACGCTGTGGAAGACCCATCGGCCAGCCTTCTCAGACTTGCGCTCAGCATACATTTCCACGTTGATGACATAGCCCGAAGTGTTGGTGATGACGACGCGCAGAGGATAGGGAGCACCAGTTGTAGGGTCGGTTACGATGATGCGGATCTCAGCACCAGTAACACGCAGACGCCAAAGACGACGACCGAAGCGGTCCAAGAAACCACCAATGGCTTCCTCAATCTCGCTTAGCGCGAGCGGGAAAACGTGAGAGAAGTTGATGAAGATGTGGTTCATGTCAGCTTGAGAGGTTCCGACGATTTCAAGAGCATCGAGAATATCGGTCATCAACCTGTCTGTCTCGGAGATCATGTACTCGGCGGTAGGAATGTCCTCCCGAAGGCGGCCGGAACGAACGACAGCCCTCAAAAAGTAGCGCTTGTCGCTCTCAGCACCCTTGCCCACGGCCTCGTAAATGTGAATATTTCGGTTCTCCGTGAAGACCGGTTTGATGTTGAACTTGGACAGACGACCAAGCTCGAGCTGGAAGGCAAGAGCGGGTTCCACGTGACGAATGCTGTCGTCTTCGGCGTAGTGAGGGCCACGGAAAGTGTAGTAACCAGGGTAGGTTCCATCCTTGTGACCGCACACGAATGTAAGACGGCGGATACGGCGGGCCAAGAGCTCTTCCTTGTACTCCTTTACGATGGGCAAGATGCGCTCCATGATCTCCTTGTCATCGAAGCTCTCCACGTCGCGAACGGCAACGTTCAGTACCCCGGTAAGTTCATCAGGAGTCTGATTGACGTTCGCTCCAGAAGTAGGAGTACGCTTCAAGGTCATGGTGTCCCTGAGGTTGACAGCGCTCTTTTTCGCACTAAGCGATGGGAAGATCTCAAGGGCCTTGCCGATGGACTCATCGACGTCGTCTAAGTATTCCACGGGAACAACCACACCCTTGCGACTAGGCTCGCCCTCTACCCTCGAGTTCAGATAAGATAGATCACTGATAGAGTGAATGCGAGGAGGTCGCTCAAATGCAGGCGTGCTTGGTGTGCCAGGCTGTGAAGCCTCGACAGGTAGGCCATACTCTTGCTCGCCAACTTTGCGAAGGATAAAGTCCCAAGATAGGAGGTATGGCTGCTCGCTGTCCGTATGGTAGTGTATGTCCTTGAGCTGGTAGGCGCGGTAGGCGCGACGAGTGTATACTTCCAGAGCAGCGAGAGCTACCCATGGATCTTGGTGGACGAAGAACTGAGGCAGCACATCGAAGACAGTGTACCTGGAGTCAACGACTTCCTTGATGACCTCGAAATTGGGCTCGCGGTGATCCCAACCACTCTCGCCGTATCGAGACTCAACAACGGCGGAACGGAGAATGTGCTCCATCTGCGAAGTACGCTCTTCGAGGGAAGGCATGGCGCACTGAATGAGCACCTCACGAGCCTTCAAAGAAACCTTGGCAGTTTGTCGGGATTCGAGCTCAGTAAGCTTCTTGAGAGCATCCTTGAAGTATTTGGCAACATTACCAGCACCAGGCTTGTTGGGCCGGTAAAGGTCTAGAATTGCAATAAGAAGGTTGTTCTTAGCGTTGACTCTGGTGTGAGAGAGAACTGTGTGAACGACAGGAACAATGTTGCCCCGGTTCTCGTCACGCAACTTGAGGATGACCTCCTCATCCCGGCCAGCACGGTTGGAGAACAGGTTCTCAACGGTCCAGTACTGCTCCAGAATGCGGATCATAACGTGGTATTCATGCGCCTTGAGCCCGTCGGCGTAGCGGTCGATGATCTCGGTCAGGGGTGACAGACCGGCCTTCAAAAGCTCTGCATCGTTCCCGGGAACATTCTCGTCAAGGAAGCGTTGGAAAGCCTTCGCGAGTTGCTTGGCAGGGAATTCTAGGTTTCGCTTGTGGGCGCGCTCGACAACTTCGGACAAGGTTGTGTCAAGCTTCTGGGGCATGCGAGAGTGGAGAGCAGAAGCCTGTGCGATCCACTCACCGTATGGCAGCTCAGAGTCACGGAGGACCTCGACAAGCTCTTTCAGTGTGCTCTGCATGATGACCTGGTTGTCGAAACCTTGTAGAATGTGCATAACAACGCCAAACAGGTAGGCGAACCTCTGCGGCGGCTTGTTACCCATGACCTGCGGCGGACCGAGATCGGGAAGCAGGCCCACAAATGGCTGAGCCGACTTCACCTTAGAGGGGTCATCCAGTGCGAGTATACCAAGAATGTCACCGGCTTCAAGGGTAGCTCCGGGCTGCTTGATTAGGCTGACAATACCGTCCTCCTGTGCAATGAGCGGCATGTACATCTTCATGACTTCGACTTCGGCGAAAGGTTGTCCCTTCTTAATGTGGTCGCCGTTCTCAACAGTGAATTTGACGAGTTTACCAGGAGACGGCGTGCGGAGCTGAGTAGGGTCGTTCTCTTGTTCCAGAAGCGCGGTCTTTCCATCGACGGAGACACGAGTAGCGCCGACCTCCTCCTTCCAGTACACGCTGTGGGACTTGCCGCTGAGAAGCACAAGAAGACCACCATCAGCAAGTGCTCTTACACCAACGGAGCACTTTGAACCGTTGATGAAGAGAGTAAAGCTGTCGATGCTGGATCGGGTGGCAGTGAATTTGTACCGGAAACCCTCGTAGATAAAGTCGATGGGGAACACGGTCTTGAGAACATCCTTGGAAGGAACCTGACCCTTCTCAAGGCTGGTCTTGTACTCAGTAATGCAGTCTTCGCTCGCAACGTGCGCCTTGGTGACGGCACCGCATACAACAGCGATCATGGGATCAGGGCGCTCGGCAGTGAGCTTCTTGGAGATCAGTTCGTCCAACCAGCCAGTGGTAATGGTGTTGTCTTCGAAAGCAGGGGTCTCAAGAAGCTTGATAAGGTACTCGACGGTGGTCTTGAAGTCACCACGAATGCTCAATTCCTTGAGCGCAACGACCATGTGTTTCCGTGATGCTTGTCGGTTCTCGCCATAAGCGAAAATGTGACCGAATTGGGAATCGGAGAAGCTGTGGATACCACCAGCGGAACTGACGGAGAAGTAACCCCAAACGTTCGAGCTACTCCTGAAGTTGAGGTCGTGCATTGTACCGCCAGAAGGCTTGAAACCCTCGTCAGGATCTTCGGATGTGATACGGCAGGCAGTGCAGTGGCCCTTGGGAGTGGGTCGTCGCTGCTTCTGGACGCTGCCCTCCTTGTCGAAGTCGAAGTCTAGGGGAGTGCTGGTGTGAGGGTCCGCGCCATAAAGCAATCTGATGTCGCGAATGCGGTGCAGAGGGAGACCCATGGCAATCTGAAGCTGGGCAGCTGGGAGATTAACGCCAGTGACCATCTCAGTGGTAGGGTGCTCGACTTGAAGACGGGGGTTCAGCTCTAGGAAGTAGAACTTGTCGTCGGCGTGCGAGTAGAGGTACTCGACTGTACCAGCGGAGACGTAGCCGACGAGCTTGCCGAGAGCTACAGCCGCCTTCTCCATCTCGTGGAAAGTCTTTGGTGTGGCAACCGTTACAGGCGCTTCCTCAATGATCTTCTGGTGTCGTCGCTGGACGGAGCAGTCACGACCAAACAGCGAGATATTGTTACCATACTGGTCAGCGAGCAGCTGCACTTCCAAATGACGTGCAGTGCCTGCGAGCTTCATGATGAAAATAGGCGAGCCAGGAATTTCCGACGCCGCCGCCTTGTACAGCGGGATGAAGTCTTCCTCACTTTCGACCTTTCGAATGCCCTTTCCGCCACCACCTTCCGAGGCCTTCACCATGACAGGGAAGCCAATCTTCTTGGCTGCCTCCAGACCCTCTTCAGGTGTCTTGGTGCAGCCCTTGTCGTAGACGCTTTCCTCGACGGTGACAATGCCCTTGTCATCGACCACGACCTGATCTACGCCCTCTCCCGACCATGGGATGCAAGGCACCTTGGCGTGCTGTGCGACGATTGTGGACGAGATCTTGTCTCCCAGCGACCGCATGGCGGACCCTGGTGGACCAATGAAAACGATCTTCTTCGGGGAGGCGGCGAGCGATTCGGGGAGCTTTGGGTTCTCGGATGCGTGACCCCTAGGTACACAGTCAGATTTTATTCATGGTTGAGACTGATAGGATACGCACCATCCTGCCCACACGGCGTGAACATTCATACGCTCGGCAATATCGACAATCAGCTCGACGTTGGCGTAGTTGTTGTTGTTGGTACCTCCCGGCACCTGCATCTGTCAGCCATGGTTCTTTTCCCAAGTGATCAAATTTGCAGTATCTGCCCACTCACCTCAACGTACTGGTCAGCCATGCGGATGTACTCTGCGTTCGCCTGCAGATCCTCGGGCGTGGCCATGACGGTGAACTGGATGGCCCGCTCATCGCCAAAGGTCTCGTATGCCCACTTCCGCACGGAGCGGATCTCCTTGACTGCAGCAATACCGTTGTTGGCAATGAGGACGTTTGTGATGACGGTGTGACCATCCTGAGCGGCCACAAAGTCCTTGACCTTGCCGGGCGCCGCTGCACCGAGATGGTTCCCGCCGATGAAATGCGGTGCGAGGTTGTATTTTGCGGCCGAAGAGCTCGGGCTACCATTGGCAGAGCCATTGGTGCCGTTTTGCTGAGCTCCGGCCATGATGTTGAGAGGAGGGGAATGTGCCCGTGCAGGGACTGCGGTGGAGGGCGGAGGTCGGAGGTGGGTCGGGATAAATTTATAGGAAGAGTGTCGGCGATTTTGCGTAAATCCCGGGACCTCTTGACGACGGGTTGGAGACAATTGCAGCCAATTGCACGCCTGCTACAGTATGGTAGAAGCTACCGGTGGGAGGTGCCGGAGCTTCGTGTATTAGTAGAGCAGTAGCACGATAGTGCGAACAGCGGTCAGCGGGCAAAGCTGTAGACGCTGGGCCTATACGTGTGCAATGGGCAGAGCTGCGGAGGAGCTGCCTCGCCGCAATGCAATGCAAACAAAGGAAGGAGCAATGAGCGTATGCAGGGTATCGCGGGTATTAAGAGGCGGCAAGGACAGGAGCAAGCAGAGAAAGGGAGCGAGGGCGGGCGGATGTTCTCTAGTTATTAAAATTCTACTCTACGGGACACCCCCAAGCTCGACCCGAAGCTGTTGAGCAGAGGCCACGCCCGCGCGCATCGTCGTCGACGCCCTACCCAAGCAGGCTAAGCATGCAGCCCGCAACTCGCCCCAAGAGCTCCCGCGACCAAACGCTGCCCCTGGCCTCGCCGAGCGCCCCGTGCAGCAGAGAGCGACCGACGTCCTACAGCGGCGCCGGAGCCCGAGGGCCGCATCGGGGCCCTATTGCAACAGACTCTGCGCCGTCGTCGAAGCAGAGAGAATGCCATCGTGCCCTGCGCGAATTTCTGGGGTGCAGGGTCGGGCGCCCGCCTGCCCACGACTCGTCTGCGCTCCTGTGCCTTGTTGAGGACCATATGCAGTAGTCGGAGGCATTGTCGGTCAACGTCTGACTTGCCCTCTCTCGTTGAGCGCACCAGCGTCCACCACGATAAAGACCCGCTACATCCATCCTCGCACCTGCTGTAGCTTGCCAGCTTGCCCCGTCTGCCGCCGCCTGCCCATCACTCCCCTGGCGCCAGTGTCTCTGCCTCCGAGCCTGCCCATCCAACACTCCACCAACACAGCTACTGCGCCCGCCTAACATCTCACACTGCCGGCGCCCCTCTACAGCTCCGATCATTCGTGCTCAAGTCGACGTCTAACCAGCCCTTCGCTCGTGTCTTGATGCTACAAGCGAGTCGGCTCTCCACTGACAACCCTTCGGAGTCCGTCCGGTACGACCCCAACTACCAACTACCGCTCTATCGAAGGGCCATCGTGTGCCCGTCATGCTGCATCGCTATTCTCGAGCGGAGGCCTGTCAGAAAACACGGTTTCAGCCATGAGTCTCTCGGCGATCCTCAGTAAGCCGAAGCCTGCTTGTCGCGCTGCTTCGCCGACCCACCTACAAAGTACACGACAGGTACTGTAGAATCTGGCTACAAACATACACATGTAGAACACAGACGGTAAGATAAGATATACGTCGGCCTTATCTGGATCTAGGAAGCTCCGTGATGATTAAGCTGCATCGTTCCGACCAGCTGAGCACTCCGGTTCCCACCTGCAGGGTCTGTCACGGACCGATCCGCAGAAATCGTACGACTCCCGCATGGTGTTTCCCACTGACAGCGTCAACACCTAGGCCCGTGCTCGCTACCATACAATTTTCCCCATCCGTGCTGCACCTGTCAGAATCTGTACCTGGCATCCGGCAGACTTGTGTTCCCGAAGAAGCTGATTGTGTGAAAACCTGGCTATGTCGGCGTGTGCATTGTGCGGACTAACACGTGCGAGATGCCCTGCAGGGATCTAGGCATGTCATTTGCACACTGCTTTGGCTCTGCTGTACCATGTCACTTAGTAATATAGCAGATAGTGGGAACCACTCTTGATTTGACAATATCATTGAGACGCGATTGCCGTTTCTGCCTGCCTACTACCGGGTATCCTCTCCGCCGAAACAAATGAAATGGTAAAGTATGTGAATGAGATGCCTAAGAATGCCAATCTCAAGAAGCGTCCATGCCGCGACCCGACAAATAGCCGTCTCATCCCATATGTGCAATGTGTTCCAAATTGGGCATTGAACCCCAGTCGCCTTCGATGCAGATGCCATCCCAACTCCAAGCCAATGCAGAAGATCGTAACGAATCATGTACCGATAAGAAGATGCGTCGTCTGCAGGAACCTGCCCAATTTGCTCAAGTGTATGCTCACTCCTAGAAGGACTCCTCTACCTGGCTCATCTTGCGCGGCCTCGCAGGAGGACCCATTCCATGCATACCCAGCTCTGCGCTGGTCCTTCTTCCTGCGCTCTGTCTCCGTGGAATGCCGCTCGGGGTGGGAATGCCTGTCCTGTCGACCGACATGCGGCGCCCTATAGGTGTGGCTGAACTGCTCCCATCACTCAGGCCGTCTGGGTCGTCCCGCATGGCGCCCGATAAAGACATCGAATGGGAATGGCTGTGCCCACTAGACTGTCCGCTCATTGAGCTCCGTGGGCGTGGGATCCGCCCCTCTACCCCACTGATGGACGAAGAGGCGTAGTGGCCCAATGGCGTCCGCGTGCTGCTCCTGCTCGCTGGTCGCTGGGACGCTACAGAGGCCCGACTGCTCGGGCGGCTGCTGCTGGGCTCGCGCGACACTCCGAAGGACAGACGGCTCACGCCAGTTTCACCAGTGTTGTTCATAGCGGAGCTCGTGGAAGCTTGTGACGTTCGTTTGCTGCTTCTTCTTACTGTCACGGTGCTCGGTATGTGGTGTCCGAGAGCACTTGCGGTACGCGGACTGGCACGTGGTGGGGTATGCGTCGGAGCCGGTAGTCTCGATCTCACGTTGTGTACACGCTCCTCAAGCTTCTGCATGTTGCCAATTAGATTTCGAATCTGGTACAAGGAACCAGACCTCGGCAGACCACCCGCTGGCTTTCCTCCCACACTTGGCCTGGCGCTCTTTTGCGCCGGGGCGGTGGTCCGGATAGAAGGCGTAGCACGACCGCTGGGTGTGGCTGCAGCCCTCATCGACGTTGGAATACTGGGGGCTCGAGAGTGCCGTGCTGGTCGTGAGGAGTATATGCCAGGTCGGGGCGTGGCGGAGGGGTCTAACGCAATAGACTTTTTCCGTGCAGGCATAGGCGTCGAAGGTACAGGCTTTGTAGCAAGTGATGCTTCGGATAGAGGTGGAGAAGGAGGCGTAGTATCGGGAAGCAAAGATTCGGGTTTTGAGCGAGGTGGCGTGGAAGCGGTCGTGGGCGAAGAAAGCGTGGTGGCGGAGGTCGATGTCTCTGAGACGGGTGAGCGGGGACGTAACGAATCGCCAGCAAGCAGGTTCGAGGTCTTGCGTTGATGGTGGCTCTCTATGGTCTCCTCTGCGATGCGCAGCTTCTCTTGTACGATCTCAGCCTCGATGCGAAGGTCGGACAATTCGTCCCGAAGTCGTTGGGTCTCGATTCTCAAGCCCTCACGCTCCTGTTCCCCAATCTTGATCTCCTCGTCCAACATGACGGTTCGTTCTAGGGTGACGTTGTATTTGGACTCCAGGTCCTCAAGCGACGATGTTTGATTACGACCTTGGCGCTCTAGGTCGTCGTTCTGGACTTCGGTATCGCGGAGCTGCATCTGGAGCGATCGCTGCGACTCGCGGAGCGCCGTGATCTCCTTCTGGAGTGTATTCTGCGCATTGCTGGCTTCGGTCTTGCTTTGCTTGTATTTGGTCTGCACACGAACGTCAGTATCTAGAGCAAAGTCGCTCGCGGCCTAGGCGGATGATAGCGTACCTTCCACTCTTCAACTTCGAAGCCGAGCCCCTCAACTTTCTCTTTCAGCTTGCGCTCCCGCTTTTCGCTCTCCTCGATGTCCTTCTCCATCTCCACCTCTAGCTCCTTGCTAGAGGCCTGAAACTCCTGCAGCTCGACCTCCAAAGTTTCATACTGCGTCTTGTAGTATGCCAGCTCTTCCTCGGTGCTGCTCCACTCGCCTCGCGCGGGCGAGGAGGCGCCGTCGGCCATGGTGCAGGCGCGACGTCAGTGTTGTTGGCTGCGGCTCAGGAGCAGGCGCTGGTGTCGTTATGCGGGGTGCGCCCGGGCGCGCTGAAGGAATAGAGTTGGTGGGCAGAGTAGTGAATGCGCTGCGCAGTAGAGGGAGCGCAAGTGAGAGGCGGTCGTTCCTCCCTTGTGCGGCCGCGGTCGATGTTTCACGTCGCGGGCATGCGCTGTTGATAACAGTCATGCGGCGACTCACAATTCAGCCGAATGTCTTTGCGCCGCAAACAGCGTCGCAGTATATATTTGTCCTGTCCCTGTGCTGGTTAGTGGTTAGTATCCGGGGCGGTAGAGTAGGTGGTGTCGTGGTGATGTTGGTCGAGGGGCGTTTGTTGACGCACCAGCCATCTCAGTTTCCCGCGTGGCTAACCGTTGCGACTGGAAACCACATGCAGGCCGCTAGCTCAATGTGACAGCGTTACCGCTTGCAGTGTCTATGCAGCCCAACACACCTGTCTTTCCTGCTCAACTGCTAACCTTGAAAGACAAATCGCACCAGTTGAAAATAAACGTCTGATACAAATTTTATTACATTGTGTCTCGAGGTTCTCACCTCGATCAGATCAACCTGAAACGCCCCAATCTCATAACCAGGTCAGGCTCGCCATCGTCCAATTTGCCAAAAATACACCCAGTACATGGAAATGCAACGCTACAACCCTGGTATATATGTACACTTTCAATGTTCAAAAACCTTACCCATCGCTCACTTTTCGCCACTAAGCTTCTCCTGCACCTGTTTCGAAGCATTGCCCGCCACCTCTCGCCCTTTCTCGAGCAGCTCCTCTGCCTGTTGCGACCCAATCACCACCACTTCTTGCACCTTGCCCGCAGCAGACTCAGCAACTACCACGCCCTTGGCATACGCATCGCCAGCCTGTTGTTTGCCTTGCTCATATGCATCCTGTGCCTGTTCAGACGCCAACTTCGCCATTTCTTCCGGGCTAGGATACTGCTTGAGTGACTTCAGAATGAGGTAGTACAGATTGATGATGACAGTGTGAATCTGATCTTTCATGAGCATCGTGATCCCATGCGAGAAAAACCCCTTCAACACTTCTGCACCCAGGCCTTGATAGAGCGCCCACAAGCCTTCGGTCTTAGCGATGCGGAGAATAGTGCTGAAGACGGTTCGTTGGCGTGCTTGTACCGCTGGTGACTGGCTAACGTCTGACTTCTCCGTTTCAGACGTAGGGCCTGTGGCCTGGGACGGCTTCTGCGAGGATACCTGAGCGCGGGTCTTTGCTAGCGAGAATGGGTATGTAATCGTAGACGCGAGCGCTTTGCTGACTGCCGCTATGAGGAAAGTGAGTCGAGCTCCGGGGTCCGATCGCTTGTCTCTCGATACAAGTAGCCGTAGTAGCATCTTGTGCAGCAGGAACGTAATCGAGGGGTTCAGCGTCAACACCAGGCTCGCAGAGTAACCCGACCAGAAACCCTGCCATCCCTTCTCATCTCGAATCTGTAAAGCTATGTCCTTGGCGCTCAAATTGGGTGAGATTGACGATATAGGATCCCGTGCGTGTACCAGAGCGGCGGTCTGCTTCCGCGTGACGATGTTCTGTATCGGCGTTGTCCATAACTTGGCGAATGCCCCAGCAACAACTCCTACACCAATCTCATCTACAGCTGACAGCTTGCGTGATCCTTGTGATGCTCTCCTCTTTTCACCAACGTAAGAATATGCAAGGAAGAAAAGAAAACTGTCCGCCATTCCCTTGACGATCTCCTGCGAAACACCGTTGTAGAACGCCCCAATTCCTCCTTCATTTTCGTAGATCTTTCGTGCTGCATCGAGGATGCCGTCGTAGTCCGCCTTGCTTCCATCGGTCTGGAATTGCTTCTGTGCTTGCAGTCGCGTTATCACAAGTTCCAGAGGATAGGTTATGAGCTTGGAAATGGCCGTGCCAGCTGCACCGGAAGTCGCGTGCCCAAGTGCAGGCAGTGCAGGTCCCGCCACCTCTTTACGCGATCTGTCTTCGTTCGACTGGTGGTACAGCGTGAACGCATCCTACATAAATCAACATTCGCATCACTTCGAAGCGCACGTGAAGCTTACGAGCTGCGCATTGTAGACGTAGGTCATGGCGATAAGTGGACGCCTTGCAAGCGATCAAAGCGTTTCTGCGAAGGACAGAATAGGCTTTGAAATGGTATTCAAGAATTAGATATCTGTAAGAGGAGCGAAGAAACGTGCGGGGATGTTGTAGGCGGCTCCGCTCTTTGTGTCACCTGTGAAGACGTCATCTGGAACGCGGATACCCGAGGCTCGTGGGAGACCCTGAATCATGGACCTCGCTCGTCGACTTCGCATCATGAACACTTCCCTCACACTATAGAATCAGTGCCACAAGAGGAACGAATTGGTTGACTTGAAAATAATATGATTGTGGACTTGTCCTGCGTCATGGCACGTATCATCGTTGAAACGCAGTCCGATACCAAGTCATCAATAATTTTTAGATCTGCCAATGCCCTGGTCATTGGTTTCCCTCGCTCCTCCAAGAGACCTTACATACCCTGAGAAAGTCTTGTTGTATAAGAACAAGGTTGTGTCAGACCCAAGAGGACCAAGTCGGAACGCCAAAGTCAGGTATACTAAGCATATTTCTCCTGCTATATAGCAAAAGAGGCAATCCTCCCGGAGCAGAAGAATTGAATTAGTCGAGTTCAGTCCCGTTCAAGCATGTGAACGTCGAGCTACCCGAGCGCCATCGTCACCGCCGAGTATTGGAGAGCATTCGCGACATGAGCATCCGCCAGGACTGGGGGTCTTCCACAACCTGACAGGCATTATCTTCGAATGGTAATCAGACGTGACTTCGTAACCTTTATCGCTACTGCGATGGAAATAATTATGCGCGTTCAAATACTGATTTTCACAAGGGAGTTGGCGAGTCGGGCTGCATGTGCTGTTGCCCTGTTCGTGACGCTTTCCTTGTTTGCCTTCGTATCCTTTTCCACGTCCGTTCGCTGCTCGCATCTGCGCTAGCAAGGTGGAAGATTACTGGAGCGGGGTGGAACACGAAAATTGTGGGTGGAGGTAGTTGTGTTGGTGAGTGGTACCTTGGGGTCTCGATTATAACGTTGTCTGCACGTTGAACGGGTCGGCGTGGTCTTGTCTTTGTTGGAGTCATGTGGATGGTGATTGTGAGATGCGAATCTTCGTTGATGCACGGCGTAGGCTGCTGAGCTTCTCGAGCTGTGTCCATTGGCAGCTTCATAATTGTGGTCGATGTGTGAGATATGGGATGATGGTCTTTTGCTCAATCTCAGGTGGTTTTGGGTCGATATATGAACTATTCGCAGGGAAGCGCTAAATGTTATATTGTCAATCGCTGCCATGTAGAGAGGGGTTGGCTGTACGATGCTCAGCTTCTAACGCAAAGTGCATGGTCTAGAACTCCACACTTCCGCCACCCTCGTACTTCTACCTGGCTGAGCGCAGTCGTCTTTTACATTCGAATCATCTTGAGTTGATGGCCATAAACACACCGTCTACAGGATCTAGACCCAGTCTTCAGCTCGGATAGATCGTGATCACGATACGTCAGTATGCATGGTATAGCGGTCGTGGTATCGATAACGGTGCGCGGGGGACGAGGGTGAGCACCACAGCCGCTGCGCCACCGATGTCATACTCGACGTTGCTGGGGCACTGCAGGGCACAGAACACAGCCTTATTGCCGCGGCAAGGGTCTAGAACAATGCTACAAGGGTGTGAATAAAGTAACTGTAGGGCACTGTGATGCAAGCTTCCATTATGGGCACGGCTGCGCTTATACGCAACGGCCGCTAAGCCTATGAGGCATACTGATATGACCGAAATAGTAACATGCCTCTGGAATTTTGATCCCAGTATTCAACTATGTTGTTGCAACACCCTCCGTATGGTCCGTTGAATGAGCCTCATTGCCTTCGCAAAGCCATATATCTGGTCCCTCGCTGTTCCGCGTCCTTTTATTCTAGGAGGTTACCCTCTGGTAACTATCCATTACATCCCTGTCCGCGACGTACAGACATGACATCTGCATCATCCACTGATTCCGGAAGCGACATCACACTTATCCCGACAACCTCGCTTTGACACGTCGAGCATTGCTACCTCCTCGCACGACAGAGGTTACGGTATGCTTTCTCTTTTGGTTGTTCTTGCCTTTGGATGGGACCAGAGCCTTTCTCCTCTGCGAACGTAGGTCTTCGAAGAATTGTAGATCGAGCCATTGATTAGGATCGAATGGGACATAAGGGCAGGAGCCAACTAATCCTTGGAATATCATTGCAGCTGCCGTGGCTGCGCCTCAATTAGCAATCGTTCTAGAAATCGTGCTAGCACAACGTCGAAATACATGGCAATGGACTGCTTACCTGCAGGATCTTCCTCGATCGGTGATTCCAGACTTGATTGTGCTGGTGCTTCACGAAGAGCTGACTCGGACTTTCGTTGGGTAGCTGCCACGGATGCTAGCCAACGTGCGAATTCGCTGGTGAAGCTTGGCTTCACAACCTTTGGCAGTTCCTTTGCACCTGTGGGAAACGAAAGAGGAGCATTGACTTGGAGGTAGACATCGGGCTTGAACCTGAATATTATATCGCGCTTGATATATGTGCGGATCTCCTCTTTGGACCTGCTTCGTGGCGCACCTTCCGCCGTCCTCGCAACCATCGATGAGAATTCCGTATCTGTTCCGGAGGGATACCACAGCTCAGTATTAGAGAGGAGTGACCAAGCTTCGAGTTCCTCCAGCAGGTACCCTGTGAACTCGCCAGATCCGTTGTAGCCCCGCAGAGAGGCTCCGTAATCGTGCTTCAACATGCCGATGACATCTCTCAGTGGCCTTAGACGACCGCGCCCCTGGTCAATCAAGAGTAAGCTATCTTTCAGACAATCCTGGAAATGAAGATCGATTTGACACAACTTGGGAAGCAAGCCGTTGAAATAAGCCGCGGCCAACTCTGGGAACCACAGAACGATGAAGCGATTGCAAGGTTTGATCTGTAGATGATGAAGGCTCGTGGGCAGCGCCTGAGCGACAGCAGTTGGTATCCGGGACATGAAAATCAAAGCATCTGTGGGTATACTCAGGAACGTCAGATGTGAGTATCCGGACAGTGTCACGTTGGGAGTCTTGAGAAGCATGTAGCCCCTAGATTCGCGGATCGTGAGGGTCCGTAGTCGTTTCTCAAGCAAATCTCGCGATACTCCAAAGAACGGATTCAGCGCGCTACCATTTTCAATGCCTGTTGGAAGTCAGCAAGCGATTTCATGGATATGTAAGATTTCGATAGCTGTTGCAAGCCGTATGTTGCTCCCAAATAAGCAACAAGACCCATACACCCCAAGGTTTGTTCCGTGGTTATACTCACCCAAAATGATTTGCACCGGATCTTGCTCGATTCCAGGCAACCTTATAATGAGCTCCTTGATGTTCGGGCAAGCCGCAATCAGGACGTCCAGAAAGAATGGGTGCTCCTTGGGGCACGGTAGTTGTACGCCATCCTTGCGGTCCACAACCTTGTTGAAGACTTCTTTTCCGATGATTTCGCGGCACTTGCGGAAGTAGCTCCACTCGGTGGGTCTGAAACCATGTTTTGGGCGTCCTGAGCAAGCGTAGTCGTCGAGATCTACACTATTGATCTTCCCGCATAGATCTGGACGGTCGCACAGCGTTCGGACTAGCTCGCGCGTACTGTAAGCTGGCAGCACGACCTCTTTCAGAAGTGTTTCTTGCGCGACATCCTTCAACCTCCGGCAAACAAGTGAAAGCTGGCAAAGATCGCTGTTATCGCAGAGTCGCTGAGTGACGGAGAGCAGCAACTCATTAGGGAGCTTTAGCAGAGGTGAGCATTTCGCCGGCTCAGTCGATGTAGGATCTGGCGGCTCAGTCCTAGCTGACAGCGACATGAGGCACAACGCGACTCCCATTCCGCGATGTGCTGTGGAACCCTGTTGATAAGAGAGCGTCGAGTGTTGATAATGAGTGCTACGAGTTCGGCAGTCGCCGAGCCGCTTCCGTGTCGCGTGACTGGCGCGCCTGGAGTGAATGCTGCCTCAGCCTATCGCCGTCAGTCGGTTGTCCGGGCACCGCCACGTCACACCTCGGCGTATGTGTGAAAGTGTGAGAAATCCCAGAGTAAACACGTGTTGTAAACTTCTTCAAATCGTACCGGTAGATGTAACGATTAGATAGCGAAGGTGCGATAGAACGACGGTGCAACGGCTCGGCTAGAATATTGAAACCCAATCCAATGGATCGGTCATCTGTTCAGTTGAGAACAAATATTCAAAAGGAGCCAAGCGAGCGTGCTGGCGACGCTTCCGCATATGCTTTTGTTTATGAGTAGCAAATCAAATGGAGCAGGTGCCCCCGCGAGCGGCTGAGGTAGAACTTGACCAAACACATTTACTGCCGCAATGCGAACATAAGACGCGACTCAGACAGGTCAGTACTCATCGCAGCTCCTCTTGAGAGCCACGCTGTCAAAGTCGCATGACCCACAAGCCGCCAACCCTCAGTGCGCCTCAAGTTGTGTTAAACTTCCTTAGATTGTCTTACTTACTCTCAGTGAATCCACCCACGGTGCTGTTTACTTGGGCAGACGGACTTTCCGTGAAATCATTTTCCAAGCGTCAGGAAGAGTCTGTCTCCAATATCACCCAGCCCGGGCTTGATCATGCCCTTCTCATCAACCTCGCCATCACATCCACCTACCCATATCTCAACACCCTCCTCCCACTCGCCACAGGCCTGCTTCAGCCCCTCCTCAGTCGCTAGTACACTGACGACAATGATCCTCTTCACACCCCAGTCCTTCAGGCTGTCAATGGCAGCAGAGGCAGTCGCACCAGTGGCAATGACAGGGTCGACGATGATGGCGAGCTCCGAGGGACCGCTGGCATTTGGGTTTGATGTCGTGGGCGCGTGATATGGCAAGTTGTTATAATACTCGACCGGTTGGAGGGTGCTCTTCTCACGGTACAGGCCGAGGTGGTGGACTGCAACGGGCTGAGGAAGAAGTGAGGTCAGGGCGGGGACCATGGAGAGGCCGCTCCGTAGGATGGGGACCAGGGATATGGAGGTGGGGTGTGGGGAGGTGGTAGTGGTGGTATAGGAGTAGCCAAGCGGTGATTTGTCCTGCTAAAGTCAGCCTTTTGAATGATTTATAGTGATATGTGTGTAGCATTAGACATATGCTATTGTGTGTGACGGGACATGGCGGGTGGGGTCCAGAGCAGATGCGGGGAACAAGCTCCGCGCTGATGGAGGAAACGATGCACAGGTATGATTCCAGGATGAGATATGGTGATACGTACGGTGCTTCCCTGCTGTGTCTTCAACCCCTGCGCCAGGGCCTCATAGCCGACCATCATGGCGATCTCGTGTACGAGCGACTGGACATCCTTGGAGCTTGTGGTTGCGGAGCGCAGCTGGGAGAGCTTCGCTTGCAGACACGGATGCTGCGAGACGTGGGCATTCTTGGGTAGGTTCGCCATGTTTTATGTTTGTGTAACGAGCTCCTGCCACGCTGCAAATACTACACTCTGACTATTTGTAACCGAAGGGGACAGCTGGAGCTTTGAGGCTCCGTTGTAGCTGCAAGGCGGGCGGGACCGCTGATAAGAGGGCGGCTTGTCAAGCTATCGCCTAGCGCATATGCGGAGGAGGCCGAGGGCTGTTCCTTGCAGGCATCGTACCGCGACGATCGAGCACAACCGTCATCGTGCTTTTGTGCCTGTTACACCATGCCCTGCCATAGCACACTGATCCCAGCGCACGCCGCCTCGCTTCGTGCAATAACAGCGGGCGATCCTTTTAAAATATCGTTGAGCTGAGGCGGCCTGCGGTTCGACGGCTGCTCAACTCTGGTCCTGGTGGTTCCAGCCGGCGCCACAGAGCCTGCCGTGCCGTCCGCATACGTTTTAGAAAAGCTGCATGGCCGTTGTTGTGTTCCCATCCATTGATCGTGCTGCGTCGTCCAAGAAAAAGCAATAATGGCCGACAGTGACGATGCCTCGCGGCGGCGCGACTCGCACTACAACCAGCAACGCTCTTCTTTGCGCTCCGACCGATCTCACACCCCGTCGCGCCCGCAGTCGCGCCCACAGTCACGTCCCGTCAGTGGCCAGCAGGCTCGCGCCTACACTCTCGACGACGACTACGTGTCACCCCCACACTCGCCGACACGCATACCAGACGTACCGGATAGATCCTCGCCCGCTCCCAACGTGCCACGCATCCCACAGAGAAAGCATGGCTTGGACAAGCGAAGAACGCGAAGTAGAGGCGGCACTGGAGGGAGCAATGCGCCGGCGGGCTCACGAGGCAGGAACATAGAGGAGCTGCTGTTCCCGGATGGGCCTGAAGATGACGACGGACTGGATGAAGTCGAGGCCCCGGCGCCCATACAGAATCCAAACGAAGGCCGACGATACGTCCACCACACGCTAGAAGAAGAGCGCTCAGCGTCACAATCCAGAAAGCAGCGCTCTGGCCGAAGCAGCTTCATACCCGGACGAGGCACCCCATCTTCCGTTACCGCCCTACCCTCAATAGGCCGCCACCGATCTGAGCAAAAATCAACGTACCACCCGTTCGCTACAGAGCTCTACACCATCTCGTACCTGATTTTCTTCGCCATACTCGGTACACTCGCGCGCCTGGGCGTCCAATGGCTAACCTTCTACCCCGGCGCACCATCTACCTTCCCAGTGCTCTGGGCTAACTTTGGCGGCACGCTGTTTATGGGCTTTCTCTCGCAAGACCGCCGCCTCTTCCGCCAGGAATGGGGTCACCGCGCACCTACGCCTCCACGCACACCGGCCTCCGACGAAGAAAAGGCTCTCGAACACAAGAACAAGGCAGCCTCGCACGCCAAAGTGAAGAAGACGATCCCGCTATACATTGGACTTGCGACTGGCTTCTGCGGCAGCTTCACGAGCTTCTCAAGCTTCATCCGTGACGTCTTCCTCGCCTTCCTCAATGACCTCCGGTATCCCAACACTAACGTGATGGCTGGGCGAAACGCCGGATACTCTTTCATGGCCGGCCTCGCAGTCGTAATCATCACCATAGCAGTATGCTACTCCGCGCTCAAGGCAGGCGCACACATCGCCCTTCTACTCGACCGCTTCACACCCACGCTGCCCTTCCGCTTTACGCGCGCAATCATCGATCCCATAGTCGTATTCGTCGCCTGGGGCGCCTGGCTCGGTGCCATCTTCCTGGCGATATGGCCCCCTGACCGACACGCGTCGACCGAGACCTGGCGCGGCCAAGCCGTCTTCGCCTGCGTCTTCGCTCCCCTCGGCTGCCTCCTGCGCTTCTACGTCTCGCTCAAGTTGAACCCCATCATCCCCTCGTTTCCACTGGGTACCTTCGCCGTCAACATCTTCGGCACCGCTGTCCTGGGCATGGCGTACGATCTGCAACACGTCCGTATCGGCGGGTCTGGCGTGGGCGGCGGCCGGACGGGATGCCAGGTCCTGCAGGGCATCATGGACGGCTTCGACGGGTGTCTGACTACCGTGTCTACATGGGTACTAGAAATCGACACGTTGAAGAGGAGTCACGCGTGGAAGTACGCTTTCGCCAATGTCGCTGCGGGGATATGCGTGCTGGTTGTAGTAATGGGCAGCGTGCGGTGGAGCGTAGGCTGGACGGCTGTTGCTTGTGTGACGAGTCGGTCGTGGTAACCCTGATGAGGCCATGTAGAATATAATGTTACGATGATATGTACGCTAGATGCACGGAAATCTATACGACTGTATCCAATTGAAATTACCGTATTTTCCCAACTTCTCACGAAGCTCCTCCCCCCTAAGCAGGCGATTGCGGGCTCACGTTTCACCACGTTAAAGATATATACACAGGATTAAGAATTCATCCCACCACGCCACCAATGCAAACCACACGCAGTTGATTGCATACATTCTCTCGCGTGTATGTGAACATGGACTTTACAGCGTCGAAGTGTAATCCTAAACAAGCATGGTGGAGCGAGCCACTCTGAGACGTACAATCTATGATTGTCTTGCTTAAGTGCTGGTGAGCTTGTAGCCCGCTTTCGCCTAAAAGTGAACATAAATCCTCTTATCACGACACGGTATTGGATATAACTTCAATAAGAATGAGTCAACATTACAATCACCTTCACGAGAAACAGAATCAATGCATAACAAACTACGGAAAATTGCATTCGTGCGCTAGTCATTTTATCCATCCCACGCCCAAGCCTCCACATTACGAGCGAACTTATCCATCCAAACCATTTTTGGAAAACCATATACTCATGCGCCAATAGGCGAGGTGGTATCATCCATTACCAAAACGAGCCGAGTAAAAAGAAAATTCGTGAATATCAAGTCACGCGGGTATATCATACAAGAAAGCAACGTCGATCAAACGAGGCGCTTAAATGTCACCGCGGAGAACGGGGTTGTTGGCACCGAGGGTAGTGTTGACTAATGAATGATAAGTAAAGTTCAAAATGCTACAAAGATGGATATTACTCACATTGGCCTTGGCCTGGCTGGGCGCCAGCAGTGCCAGTACCTCCGGGGACGGACTCAGTGTTGGGGGCAGATGCGTTGAAAGCACCGTCCATCTGATTGGCGAGGCCAGCACCAGCACCAGTCGGGTGACCTTGTGCGAACCCGGCACCAGTTGGACCTCCCTGTGCGTATCCGGCACCAGTTGGACCTCCTTGTGAGTATCCGGCGCCAGTTGGGCCTCCTTGTGCGTATCCAGCACCAGTGGAGCCTCCCTGGCCGTAGCCAGCACCATCGTAGCCAGTCTGAGACAAGCCCTGACCGGCCTCGTTATGGAAGCCGGATCCAACACCCTGAGAGCTACCAAGACCAGCACCAGGACCACCCATGCTAGGATCAGCTCCGTACCCCTCGGGGCGACCGTGAGGCTTGCGCTGGACGGAGGGAATCTTGGGAAGAGTAGAGGTCTCCTTGGCACTGCCGATGCCGAAGATGGGACTCTCCCACTTCTCACCTTTAGCAGCGAGCTCCTTGTACTCAGTGGCCTTTGTGCTGATGCCGCCGGGGAGGTTGATGTTCTGGAACATGCTGTCATGTTGAGTAACGGCCATGTTGACGTGTGTATCCTTGGCACGCTCCTCAAGCTTGTCCTTCTTCTGCTTGCCCTGCATAATGCGCTGGTTGGCAGCAGAAGCATAGCGCTGGTAGATGTTCTGAATGTTCTCCGGATCAGGGTTACGCTTGGCGTCCTCGGCAGCCTTGTCGGCTTCCTTCTTGATGTCGTAGATAATGGCGTCGAGCTGATTGACGTTGTCCTTGATCTGCTTCTCAAGGACGCGCTGAATGACAGGGCGCATGACCTTAAGCAGAAGTGGCTTGAAGAGGTTGAAGAGAAGCTTGTGATTGCTCTTCTTCATCTTGATCTGCAAGTTCTCGATATCGCTAGTAACCTTGTTAATCTTGAAGTAGTGAACGTTGTCGTTGGACCTGTCAGCGTTCTCCATCTCGACCTTAAAGCTGAATCCATTGCCACCCATGAAGATGTCCATGACACCCTTGTCGGTAATCGAAGGGAAGCCCTGCTTACGCTTCACATAGTATGAAACGTCGCGGAGGTCCATCTGAATGCCGCTAACAGACAGCATAACCTTGTTCTTGTTCTTGCTGGACACGTGCTTGCGGCCCCAGCGCCAGTAGTTGTCAGAGCCAAATTCGGCAACGTTAGGTGCGAGATTGTCACCCTCAATGACGAGGTTCTCAACAACAGCGTCGACCATAGGGTCAGAGTACTCAATACGAGGAATAGGGACATAGCGGATGTTTTCGAAGATGCCGGGAAGGATGACTTCAGTCAAATCCTTAACGAGATGAGGCTTGAAAGTCGTCGTGCCATTCTCGTCATGGCCAAGGTCATTGAACAGCTTCGTAAGGGAGTTGGCAAAAGCCCTGTTCTGAGGGTCAGAGTCGAACTGCTGACCGATGAACTTGAACTCGTCGGCAATACGGTCGGTATGGCCACGGTAGCGTCCACGAAGGAGCGCGTGTCCATCGTCATACAAGCGGTTCCACTCCTCGTTGGAGCTATCCTCCATGATGAAGCCTTGCTGCTTCAGGCACTTGCGGACGTAGGCATCCATGTGCTTGAACCAGTTCTTGAGGTCAGGGTCGCGGTCAGCGTCCTTGTAGATCTGGTTGATGGAGTCGATTAGATCATCGAAAGAGGTGCTGTTGGCAAAGCGTTCCAACAGAGTCTTGATATTCGTTAGCCAATCTATATTATCACGAACAAAGCCTGAAGAACACACCTTGAGGTCAGCTTCCGCCATCTGAAGCGAATCATCCTGATGCGCACCTTGGACGGATCCCTTGCCCTGCTGGGCAACATCACGACCGTGTCCGGCGTAGCGCTCGGCCAATGTTAGCAAAGTGTCGATGGCGCGCTGGTAGTCTTGGTGGCCCTGGATTTCGACGACCATCTTCTTTAGACGCCAGATGGTCTGCTCACGGCGCTCCTCGGGCATCTTCTGTCGGAGGTAGTTGTTCAGGCGCTCGCGTTGTTGACGCGCGCGGTCCTTTTGCTCCTCTGGAACGTTCTCGGACACCTGACGCTTGGCCTCGCTCGCAGCGTTTTGAGCATTAAGACCGGTCGCCTGACCAGTCTGGGCTTCGGTGGCACCAGCTTGAGCAACATCAGCGGGGTCGCGCGAGCCCTCGGGGTGAGCGGCCTGAGTAACATCACCCGCGGCCTTCTGAGCGTCGCCCTTGGAGAAGGGGGACTGCTGCTTCATCTGATTCTTAAGGTTGTCCTTGGAAAAGTCGGGGACGTCATGCCAGGTGTTGTCTTCGGCCGGGCGGTCCATCTGGTTGAGCTGATGCTCACCCGGCTTCACCTTGTTGGCCGTGTTCTGGGCAGCGTCGCCAGCAATGTCCCGTAAGAGGATGGTAGCGTCCGAGAGGAGCTTCCTGAACTGGCCATTGGAGATGATAAGGGTGCCGAGGGTGCGGAGACCCTCGAGGGCCTCGTTGCCATGCTGCCTGGCAGTGTCCTTGTCGACAGGTGCTTGAGGAACCTGCGCGTTGCCGCCGGTAATCTGCTCGGTCTGCCAAATGAAGTCTTGTAGCAGGTTACCCTCATTCTTGGTGAGCAGTAGTGTCTTGGCCTGCTCGATGACGTCCTTCAGATCGGCAACAAGTGTCTGACCCTCCGCGGACAGCTTCTTGGAAGGAGAGCTCAACTGTCTTGAGGCCAGCGCCGAGTTGAGGGCAACATCAATCTGCTTGTTTGAGGGGACTTTGCCGTTGGCGAATGCTGTGATGCAGGTCAGTTGTTGTCGCGCACGTGGCCCGGGCGCGGGTATGTGCCGTAGCACCTTCATGTGCACATACCTTGGGAGATGCCGTAGAGCTGGAGCTTGTTGTTGACATCCTTCTCCTTCTGTTTCTCGTTGACCGGCACGTTTACGGCCTTGGAGGACGACATGGTGGATCAATATCAATCAGGCGTATGCTGGGGTATCAAGTATACGGACGCGAGCTAAATAGTGATTAGGTGGGGGATGTGGGTGGTGGGTGGGCGAGTTAGGGTATCAAAAGAGGTGGTATATGTGAGTGAGACAGAGCAGGAGCGCTGGGCACGTTTTATTCGGTTGCTGGGCTGCGTCGTCGTTGCCGTGGCACGAAACCTGCCCTGCGTGTGTTCCCCGACGTCATGGCCGCGACACGCAAAATGAGCTTTCGCTACTCCCCGCACGCGCGCCAAACACGCCTGGGCCAGCGTTCTGCCAGCAGTGATTTGCGCTGCCCGATCGAGGCCCGGCGCAGGACAAAGCGAGTAATGTGCGCTCAAGGCCGCAATCGCCATTCCAGCTCCCTATGCCCCAATTGGGCTGGCTCGCGCCCAAAGGAGGCCACAGAGGCCCGTCAATGACGGATGTCGACGGCGCGGCCTGGCTTGAAGTCTCGGATCGCCAATGGGGATGCCAGGTGTTGATCCTGGTGTGCGTCATCGCATGTTGAACGCGCTCAAGCCACAGGCGCAAATCCCATCCTGCGCGCCAAATCCCATCGCCATGGCCGCCAGGGGTGCCTTTACTCCGCACGTCGCCCACGTCCTTCGTTCAATTCCTCCCCTCCAAACACAGGATTGCGAGGACCGTCCAGCCACAGCAACAGCGAGCGTCTGTAAACGCGCGACACAACGTCTAGTGCACGATGCACTGCAGTCGACAGTCCAGACATGCGACCCGCATTGGATGGCTGGTTAGTGCAGGTGTGGCGTAACGCGTTATGTCATTGGGGTCTTAGGTCACCATGACGCGATCGATCACCCTGCTGGCATCTCAACACCTTGGAAGACAGACTAGAAATCCTTTTCGTGTGCCAATTTGCGGATACGCCGTGGCGTGCCTGGCTGACTCCTGCAATCAGGGACACTCACGCCATGGTCGAAGACTATGAATCAGTCTGATGAAGTGAGTTTTGTGCCTTGATTGGGAGCGGGAGATGTGCATTGGCGTTGCAGGGGTCACGGCACCGGGATCCGGCCTGCACAAGTCACCGCTGGTTCACACGGCTTTTAGCACACACCATGGGCTCCAAGCGGGATCGTAGCGTCCGTGCATGCGAGTGTCACACCACGTACGCGTATATTCTCCCAACATTCATAATGTGTAGGGCCACACCTCGCCTGAAGTTTGCATCGAGAACACCATCAAGTCCCCCCAGGAAGGGCAACACAGAGGCCACAGGTACATTATCTATACGCCCGGCTTTACTCACAGCCTTCACGGTTCTGCCCCTCTGGTATCATCGTTAACCCAATTCACGGCTATGTAATCCATTGACATTATTTTCGTAAATGCTGTACAATACCTACACAGTACTCAAGAACATCCCTATGCGCGCCAGAAGTACCAAGAATCGACTACCTACGTCGATCAATCACATGTGAACCGAGGACTCCTAATCATACAGAAAAGCCTAACCTAATATGAACATATCGTAAATCATGCAAGACGAAGACGAAGACATGAGTACGATTGTGAGCCTAGCCCTGATCGCAGCGCTGATCGTACTCAGACCGTTCTCCTGTGGGAAAGCATCTAAGCAACTCCCTCACTCTGCCTTCCCCTCGCTGTAGGTCTCTTTCCAGACGCTTTCCTCGACCCAGGTGCCGCAGCCGGTGCACTCGCTTGCGCTCTCTGGGTCTCGACTGCGGCTTCCGCTTCGATGGTCTTGACTGCCCTGCTAATGGCCACACTGTACCCGCCAAACCACTCACCCCAGCTCTTGCCATCCGTTTCCTTTGTGACTTCCATGCTGCTCGTCTTCCTGCTAGGCTTGGGCGTAGTATTCGTCGACTTCGCGGATGCCGCACTTGGAGTGGGCGGATTGGAGGATGCGGAAGCCCCACGAGCGGCCCGGCGTTGCTCGAGGAAGGATCTTGCAACATTTTGGGCCGCTGAGACTCCAGATTGTATGGTCTTTACATCCTTCATATCAAGCTTAGCAGGCAGGGGAATGCGATAGCTGCCTGTCAGAGTAACCTGACGCCCTTCGTTGTCTATCATCTCTTCGGCTCCCTCTCGTGGAATCTCTTCAATGTAATCTATATCGCCCGACGTAGACCTCTTGCCCCGCATTCTGTTTCTGGGTTGGTAGATCTCCAACTCCTGCCTTGCGCTTTCTAGCTCTTCTTCAGCGCGTATGAGCTCCTCGTCTGCTTCTTCCTCCTCGACCTCGGCAGAAACAGTGTTGACCGTAGGGACTGACTGCGCGGACGAGTTTTTACGGCCCTTGCCGCGACGTCGAGGCGAGCGAGTTCTCCCTTCTGACGACTGATAAAGCTCCTCAACCTTTGCTTCGAGCCCCCGAACACGGGATTTCAACGCTTCGATCTCGGTGGTAGGGGCCGGCGTGATCGGCGCGCCAGTAGCGGCGGAGGGAGCGTCATTGGCAGGAGTGTCTCTGTTGAGCTTTCGTGGTCGCCTCCGTTGTCTGTTGGGGCCTGTTGAGGTGATCGCTGCATCTTTATCCTCGACCTCCGAAGTCGCAACAGCTGCGGCCTTTGCAGCCGGTTTAGAAGGAGCTGTTCCCTTCGCAGTACGGTCCTTCTCTAGCATGACTCCACCGGCGGAGCCTGCTCTCCCAGAAACATTCTGTTCAGCCGGAACTGCAGCTTTTCTCGATCTCGCTTGTTTCGGCTGTGACGTAGTTGTCTTTGGATCAGGAGGTTGGCTTTGCGAGGACATTGCACTGGAAAATCAATCTACATGAACATCAAACGGGGACGCGATACGGTAAAGAACGAAAATGTTATTGAGGAGAGTTGTTACAGGAATTCAGTTAAACCAAGATTATCGAAGTTATACAAGCGGTGCAGTCTGACGTATGAAGATCACGCAGGGTCCAATTAGGCTAGGCCCCGCAAAGGAGCGATCGTCAAATGGCCACGAAAATCACATCGAGGCTTTTATACTCGAAGGATGGCCCTTGCACTCCATAATAGTTGGAAAGAAGTCTCGATTATTGGAGGCTCCGTAACATGGTCTTTGTTAGTAGGTCCTGTGATGACTTTAGACTGCAATGAGTCTCCAAACTTGCGACCCAATAGCGTATTACCGACGTTCACATGTACGCGAGTGTGGCTACTATCTGAGTAGTGAGCCAGACATTGGGACACTCATACAAGAATACATATCCTTCCGTACTACACTAGACTGTGCGTTGATCGAAAGCGAGACAGCGCGTAGTCGCTAAAATATTGTACGCATGCTCTACTTCATAATTCGTAACACAGCACGGGCTGATCATTTTAGTATTCTTCCACCCTCTGCCTCTCGCCGTAGCACTCATATGATTGCTGCGGTGGGCTGACTGTTTCCGCTTGCGGTCGACAAGCGGTGGAACGATATTTCTGCAGGCGAGACCAAAACCACCGGCTGCAGTTAGACCCATCTACTGCCTACACCTTCCCAATCAAGGCCCGACATATGGTTCAAAATCGATCAAGTCTTTCAAGCGGTGAAGAAGATAGACAACTCATTACGTATCTATCGTGAAAAGCTAAATACATGCCCGAGCACCAAATCGTCTATCATTTCGCGAACAGAATGTGACCACCTCTTCCTCCATTTCATAAATCCGAGCCTACGCGCCCAGCCCTCAAAATCCGAGCAAACAATCGTAACTGCCAGTCATTGCGCGTATGCCTTCGACCAAACCCAAGCTAGCACGTGCAAATGGAGAGGGGAGGTATAGATGCAGAAAATGCCGTATTTTCAGATCTGAAGGAAGTCGAAGACATCAAACTTTTGGAACACAGGAAACGAGTACAAGGTGTGGTGCGCTCAAACACGTAGAAGTGGAGATGGTCATGATCGAAGAGACGTGAGAGCCGTTGAGCGTGTATGATATGGGTCCAAGAAGACCCAGCCTGCACCGAACGAACAGCGCCTTGCGAGCAGATACAGGCAAAGCAACCGAACATGCTGAAAGAGATATATGCCAATGTACGACAGAGGACGTAAAATTGCCAACAAGATCTTGAAGCTCGCAAATTTGAGCAAGTATCGAAGCCATGAAACCGGACGGCCGGTTCATGTCAAGACTCATGCGCAGCGTTGCGAACATCAAAAGATGCTTGATAAGACAGTGGATGTCTAATCCACAACTAGCCCATGGCTTAGGAGGCAATGGCGCGAGCTGGGCCACCGCGGCCCTTTCCGCCCCTCGGATTCTTCGTAGGCTTAGTGACGGTACTCCAACCGTCATCGTCCATGCTCTCTGTTGTGGTAGGTGTGGATGCCGCAGGCGTGCTAGACTTTCGTCTCCAAGAGTTGTCCTGCTTGGTATCACGCACTACTTCCTTCGGCTTTACATTCTTGTCGTCAACAACATCATCGTTCGCAGGTGCGTCGGCAGCTTCAACCTCTGGAGGGACATCAGCTTCCTCTCCTACACGTTGTAGAATCTCAAAGTTGGCACGCGGCTTCTCCTCGTTCCCATTCTCAGTCTTTTCAGTTGAGGGGGTAGATGGTGCCTCGGTTTTCGGGGAGGAGACACTCTTCTCGGCGGAATCCTTAGCCTTCCGCTCCTCGCGAGCCTTGTCGTCAGACTCCTTCTTCTGACGGATAGCCAGTTGCCTCTTCTCCTCAATTTCACGCTCACGAGCAGCGGTGTCAATGGGTCTAGCAGCGCCAAATGGGTTGGACTTGGAGTCAGATTGGGCGGCGGCCGAGGGAGTCTGGGGTGCCTCCGAGATAGTTCGCTTAGCGAGGTTGAGCTTGGGGCGAGTTGCCGGAGCGGCAGGTTGAGGCGCGGGAGACGAAGGAGTGCTAGCATCAGGCGTAGCTGTGGGCGACTTGACTGGAGCGTCCGGACGCATCTTAGTTCGCCACTGGTTGTCGAGCTCAGGAGCAGTGGGCTGACGGTCATGTTGAGGTCGGTCAGAGAACTCGCGACGCGGAGGACGAGAACCGTCGTTGGAGCGTCCCTCACCCCAAGCGGGAGACTGTCGTCGCTCGCGGGGACCGTCGTTGCTGCGCACACGGCCACCTTCCCTCATAGGCCCCGTTTGGGGAACAGGAGAAAGCGGACCCTTGCGCTCCCAGTTGCCGAAATCGCGCTCCTTGCCATCGCTGCTGAATGGAGGGGGGCGTCTCCGCTCACCACCTGCATCGGATCCTTCGTCGAACTGGCGATATCCACCGCGCTCAGACGGACGGCGCTGCTGACCGGGAAGGTCAGGTAGAGGACCCCTTCGGGTCCAGTCGGACATATCCTTTTGTTCGGGACGGTCTTTGGCTGCAACTTGTCAGTATCTTGTGTTCGCAGCCATATGCACGTCCAATACGTACGAGGTTCAGCAACGCTAACTCGGATATTTCTGCCTTGGAATTGCGTGCCAGACAGGTCGAGCGCCTTCTTCAGGCCATCGACACTGCCGAATTCAACATATCCGAAGCCTTTCGGCTTTCGCTCGAGCTTGTCCTCCACAATGCGAACATTGGTGACCTCGCAGTCGGTGAAGAAGTCGTTGATATCGCCCTCGGTAGCATCGAAAGAGAGGTTACCCAGATGGGCCGTATACGGGGGCCTGGAAGGAAGAGGGAGTTCCTCGCGCACAGCGTAGCCTCCAAGGCGGTCGCTACCACCTGTCGAATCCATTAGCACACGTTCGAATACCGCAATAATCAAACATACCGAAGCCACCACCGCCTGCGCCGCGGTCGGAACCGAATCCACCGCCAGCGGAGCTGAAAGTGCGCCTCTCGCCTCCTCCATAGCCGCCGCCGCCGCCTACAAGGTAATTAGTACACCGTTTGTTGAGAACTTGCGAAGCGAGAGATGGGGTTATTTACTTGAGGCTGCAGCAAAGTTAGTACTCAAAATTGCGACTCGCAAGAGAGGGGCTACTCACCATTGACGGGCATATCCTCCATTTCATCAGCCCATGATCCGAGTGCTACAACAGCGTCAGCCTTTCGCCTCCCCACACGGAGCGGGGTCGGGCCTACATTGGTCGCCCAGAAAGTCCCCCAGGGACATTTTCTGCTGCTTTTTCGGACCTGCAAAGCACAAATGTTAGCTACGGATGTCGCATGAATTTGCAGGCCGCGCAAAAGGTGGGGTAGAGTGTCGGCGCTGCCTGACGTCGTACCGAGTGCGCGAGGCAACGTACCCATGATTGCGGTTAGCAGTCAACGCGCTGTCGAAACTGCGCGCTGGCCGAGTATATCCTGAGAGCTATGCGGGCTCTCAAGAATTCTTGTATGTGTGTAAGTGGTTCGTTCGCCGAAGTATGTGGGGGTGTGGTCGAGGGGACCTGCCTGAAGAAAATCGCGGGCAGGCAAGTGCGATTAATGTTCATTCTCTACACGCTAAAACGCTTGGCATTCCGTAGTGCTTTCCGTCCCCGGATTTTGCGCCTCTTACAGCATTCCCAGTCGAGGTTCGTTTTGCATCTGTCGATGTGATAGCAATGAGTACATCGCCTGACCAGACTCTGGTCACGCATCCACTCCATGTGGCCAAAAAGGGGGCGCTGATGGGCGCTGGTTCTGGTAAGTCCGCATCTCGTCTACTATTCCCTCAAGTACAAGCCATTGTTGTTGTATAACCATCAATCCACCAAAACTTCAAGAGTTACTTTCGGAAGCTGCTTGCATTTCAACCGGCAGGGAGGCAGCACCCAAAGGAATTGCGCACCTGCCAAGCGATATCACGTGCCCTTGCTCCATCCATCCATGGATCCATACACACGTATGCATCTACGGGGTTCATTTCTCGTGGGAGCTCTGTCCTTTTTCTTGTCGCGATCAATTCTAGCAAAGCTTTGCAAATTTAGATAATTCCTCATGATCCGACTAATATACCCAGCTATCCCTGGTCTCATTGTCGGCGCTACCTACGGCACCCTCCGCACCCAAACCCCCGTCCTCTTCTCCCTTGTCTCGGGCGCTCAGTGGTTCGCCATCGGCACGACCTTCTTCAGTATCCGGACCTCTATCCTCAACTCTACCGGCCTGCGAAACTGGTGGAATCTCACTCGCGGTGCACCCCTACTCCCCCTTCCTGATCATGGCCCCTCCCACTCAGACCGCATCCGCGCATCCACCATCTCCGGCGCAGCCACTGGCTTTACGTTGGGCTTCCTTTTCCGTGGGCCACGGAACGTTATCCCCGGTACCATTATGTTTTCCTTGTTTGGATTCGGAGGACAGCACGCGTATGAGTGGCTGGACGTTCGGAAATCGGGAAAAGCTAGGGAGGAGAGAGAGATGAAGGAGAAGGGCGAAGTGAAAGAGACATTTATGCAGCGGTTAGGGAAGAGCAAGTGGAGCCCTATGCGAACGCTAAGTGATGAAGAATATGAGGGGATGATGAGGGAGAGGATTTTGAAAGTGGACGTAGAGATAGCGCTTCTCAAAGACAGGATCGAAGCGGTGAAGAAAGAGAAAGAGATCGAGGACAAGACAAGGGTCGAGGCTCCGTTAGAGTCGCACGAGAAGAGATAAATGTTTATTGTACCTGGAAAGTCGTCAAGAAGTGGACTTGGCCGATGACGAGCTAAATCTCGTTGTAGATTACTTGTATATGTACACTTGTACAATGTGTTGTTCATTGGCAGTATAGAGCCGTTCTAATCATGTCACATGCACCGCGTCCTAGCATGACTCGACCTACGGTGTGCCTCTAACTTAGCATCTTGAAGTCACATCGTCGTGCGTTTCACCCAAGTGTGACAAACCCACTTAGTCTATAGCGTGCATTCGTACCCTCAACAGACAATTTCATCACACGTTGTCGCGACCAAGTTCTCAAAGCAGTAAACGATTGCACCCCGCCGGCTAGACTTGACAGCTTACCATACTCCCCTGGCGCTGAAACAATACCCCAGCCCATCATGCAGGAACAGCACCACAACCATGTTGATCTTGTATCGACAGCTGCCACTCTTAACCAGTCACTACGATTCGTTCAGGCTTCTGCGAAGGGTCGTATGTGTACTGGATATTCAATATGATGATATTGTTACGACCTCTTATTCCTCCTCTCTCCCTCTACCCATCTACACCCGCCTATCTTGTCCCCTCGAATCAACAGCACCATCCACATGAATTCCAAACTTTTGCTCGCAACTCAAATACTTCGCTATGCAAGCCATGAAGTAGAAAAGGCGCTGCAATTCTAACAAGACAGCCGTAGATCATGCCGGAAATGCTTTCCTCCACATACAACACATCACTCTCTCCTTCTTCGGTTACCCTCATAGATGAAACCTCCCAATCGTGACAACATGGCGATGAAGACTGCGCTGCCAAAGCCGCCCCACCCAAATGAACAACAACGCCGAAAGGCGCCGTACAACGGAACTGAAGAACGCTACATTAAGCAACAACCGTGATTATCTGGAAGTAGCTCGCCATTGTGAATGTCCGGCTGCAAGGGGTCCGTTATAGGCGATGCAGATCGCGGACGTCGTTTGCGTAGGGCCACACCAGTTTTCCTCGTCCTGCCTCTGTGCTTCTGCATCTCTCTCCGGCCATATAAGGCAAGAGTAGCGGTGCTGTGGCTGCGCACAATGACCATGTGAGTCGTCTCGTCCAATGCGTGGTCTTTGCCCTTCTTCAATCCAGTTCTTCAAGTGCGTGATAAAATATACTGTGAATGGAAACGGCGACGTCGTTGAAGCTTTTCGTTTGGAGCTTATAAAACGCCTCCAGGTAATTGGACTCCTCTGTTGTTCCCATCCCATCCGAAACTGCCGGTGCCACCGCCTACGCTTCTTATATCGTTCCCGCCAACAGTGCTTACGTGGCCTTCGGCAGGTGCGGCGTGTTTCCGAAGCATAAACATGGGTTTGCGACCTTCCTTATCTAATTGTTTAAATAATATCAAAGGCCTCTCATTCAGGCCCAGACATCGTTCTTGGTCGCCATGGACAATGTACAGAGCGTATTGTCGCCAGTCAGCCGTAATGTTGTACTTCTTCAGTGCAACAGGTAGGACTTTGTGGCATGGATCGTCGATGGACACGCGGAACGACTTGAATATTTCGACTTGCGGGTTGGTTGAGGATGATTGTGCGGAGGGGGGGTTCGAGCTCATGGTACCTCCAGAGAGTGGTGGATCGCGGTCGTCAGGGTTGGGCGTTGGTGCGGCATTCGACCGCATTGGCGCTCTAAGCGGCGCAGGTGTATTACGTGCTCGTTCTGATGTCATTGTTGAATCTGACCAGGTGCTATTATCCCGAGACCAGCTCTGCGTATCGTGGTCTGGATGTGCGCTGCGTGAATTGTAGGAACGGTTCTGGTTGTTGGTTTGATATGCGGGAGAGGTAGGAGAGGGCTGCGGAACGGCATTGGGCGACATTTGATGGCCGCCGGCAATTGACGCTGTGAGGTGTGAGGATGCTGCCAGAGCTGCTGCGGAAGGATCGAGAGACGAATTGTCGACCAGGGCGCGCCCTTCCGGAATAGTCGGAGAGGGGTTCTTCGGGCCAGACGCAAGGAAAAGTCTCTTGGTAGAGAACTTACGTGACAGACTGCTCCCCACGCCTCCCATTGCAGCCGGGGGCGACGTGACAGAATGGTCGTGAGGCGTGGGCAGCGGCTGCTGGCTGTCTTTGTATGCGCGAGCCATGGCGAGGGTCTCGTCACGGAGCTTCTTGTAGTCTTCGAGCACCCGGTTCAAGTCCTCCTTCAGGTGTCGTATCTCCATCTCGCTGGCGTGTAATCGCTCGTCGCGTGCCTGCACTACGCGTATGACCTTAGCGAAGTCTTCCTGTGTGGGCGGAGCGTCTTGAGCGGACGTATCTGCGGCTGCTAGCTGTTAGCAATTGCCTTGTATCTAGTGCAAGGGGCCGTACACAGCGGGACGTAGTGATCCGGCTCGATGGGTATGTTCTGCTTTACTTTGATCTCATAGACACCCTTGAGGATAGTGAGCCGGTGGCCAACGCTGTGAAGACCAATCTCTTTGAGCTCGGCATGTTGCACCTCGACGAGCACCTCCCCCGAGAACTCGTGCTCTGTGAACCAGTTAGCAGGCTGCCGCCGACGTTTACCATGTAAGTTGCCTACCGATGAAGGTGTCCGCATACTGCTTGAGACCCAAGCCAGCCACAAAGTCTGCGACCTGCCCTTTGGTCCACTCTGTTATCAGGCCAGTGGGGCTGCCCTTGCTGTCCCGCGAGTGCGTGAAGGTGGTGGGCGTGTGCTCGGTGCTCATGGGCCCGGACGATGTGGGCGAGCTCTCTGCGTAATCGACGGGGAGGGTCGGGCTCTGGATGACGCTTCGCTCGTGTTCGTCGCTGGCCTCGTAGTCCTCGTCGGAGTCGTCGTGGTAGTTGGATGTGTATGCCATGGCGGGTGACGCGGGGAAGTAGCTCGCGGCGCTACGGTGCGGAGGATGGGACGGCGGCGCCAAGGCCTCGAACTTGGTTGCTTGCTGAAGCAGGACGCGCTGGTCTCCGTTGTCGTGCTTCGATGGAGGTGCAGTGAAGTGGAGGTCCCGGCGCTACGTCTCTTGCGCTGGGCATCCACGACCCTGCTGAGACGAAGCGAGATTGACTAGGCGTGTTTCGCGGCCTGGCACTCGCTGCTGCTGGAACGTCGAAGCTCGAAGGCCTGTGTCAGATAGACATGCGGCGGTAGCGAACAGGGCGGGCACGCGCGGGGAGCCTGTGGGCGGCGGCGTGGGCGTGGATGTGGGCGTGGAGTGGGCTTTGTGGTTGTGGAGGCGGGCACGTTGTTGTTGTCGGCGGCGCACTTGCAAGCACCAGCAAAGCTTCCTCTGCTACACGGACTGACTCCTGCTTCTCCAGCAGATGAGTCTCTGAGGCAATAGCACGGCAACACGGCAGCGGTCTAGCCAAAACGCAGCACAAGACAGAAGGCTTCAGCAAACGACAAGCCAGACGAATACTGTGTACAGTGCAGTAGTCGCTCCCTCGGCGGCAAGCACACTGCAAGCAGTCAGCCAAGCATTGCCCCGGGCTCCCAATAAGAAAAGTATTGGCTTCAATTCCCACAAAGCCCTCCGCGCCTGCAAATGGACAAACCCAGCCCAAGCCCACAGCCGGACGACGCGCACTAGGCAGTGGGTCGCCATCACAGCCCGCGCACACGCAATCTTGGATGAAAAGCCCTGCGCCGACAGCCAACCACACCTCTGGGCAGCCAGAGAACTCTCGTTGCAAGCTGCACACTCACCGCCTGGCGATCGGCAGCCCGAGCTCGCGCAATCCTGACGGCTCGCCAACCAGCGGGACCCGCCTCGCTTCCACTGTCGGCCATCCCACCGTTGCCAGCCTGCGAGCCGCCCGACTATCCCAGGCCGACGCACACACCAACACTTCACGCCCAACCCCATATCCGGCGCCCGAACCCCCATGTCCGACAGCAAGCCCATCACCATGACTGCTTCACAGGCCCAGGAACGACTCCCTGACGATGTCCGCAACGACATCTACGCTGCCCTGCTCTCAGGCGCCGGCATCCGCAACATCGAGGAAACACTCAACCATGAGATGCAAGCGACCGGTTTCAAGGCCACCCTCAGAGCCTACATCAACCACTTGCTGCGTGTTGAAGGCGTCTCCACCTTTCCAGAGATCTTGCAAAGAGTCGAAGCTAAGGTCCTGCACGACACGCAGGCCGCAAAGAACAAGGACGCCGCCAACGGTGTGAACGGGGTCAACGGCCACAGCAGCGAGAGCGACGATTACAACCTCGCCCTGCCGACCAGCGTGACCAAGGAGGGCGCCAAGACCGTTGTCAAAGAGCTCAACAAAGTCTGCGAGATCACTGCTGACACGAAGTGATCTGCATCACGAGTCCTCTAGAGATGACTCAAGAAAAGACTCGGCCGTAAAATCTTCGGCAGCGAGGGCCTTGGGCAGCAGAGTGTTGCTTTCAACAGCTCCGTTCTCAGCAGCAGGATTACTATAGCAGCATATCCGGGAAAAAGAAACCACGTGCAGGGCCCAACGAAAGCATGATGAGCAACCCCAGGACATGCCACAATCCAGCCGATCACAGAACACCAATACCATGGCCCTGATCGACATCACTCCATCAACCTCGTGATGTTCGATACGAGTTGATACCCACCGTCCGCGTTCACCGCAGCAGGTCCAATCGTGTCCACCAATGAAGACCACCACCAAACCAAAGGTCTAGGCCTATCAAGCTCCACGCTTACAACCTGGTCCCTGGACGCTGGAATTCGTGGGGTTTGTTCAGGAACGCGAAGCGGGGCCGCCTCGTTGTACGGCAGGCAGCGGGCGGCAAGAGTAGCGTATCGTGAGTAGCACGGCAGCGTGCCACGACGCTTTAGGTAGTAGATACTACCGGCACATGCGAATTTGAACTTTTATAGTGTTTGTCTTTACCTGTGTGAGGAAGTCGGCCCCTTCTGCGTAAACCTGCCAGGGTAGTATCAAGTTGTAACTTTAGACACTGCAGGGTGAATTACATAGGACACATTATCCGACAGGTCACTTGCCAACGTTTGTTCGTTCGGAAGTTTTCAGCCGATCTTGATGTCCGCGAGAGAGAGCACGTGATAGTAACATCCCCGGGCACAAATAAGTCGGAAGGGAGCCGCGGTGGCTGGTTACGAGCATGGTATTTAGGCACATCTCAATGACAGACACAGTCACGACAATTCAGTCAAGATAGCAAGGCTCAAGTGTTACTTCTAAACATGCAAATTTCATTATGGATTCTTCATTGAGATCGGTAGCCACGCTCCTCCGCGCAATCCATCTCCAAACTACCAATATAACATCTCTAGCCAGGAAGGCGAAAGCACCTCCCGTGGCATGCATGAACTAGACTACCATTCCACATGTGAAGAGATGCGCCGACATTAATCCATCGTGGTGATAATCCGTGAACCGTGTTGAAGACCGACAGATAAACTCAGGGAACGTAAGACGGTAACCCCTAGCTGTACAGATCCTCGTCCTCACCAGCCTGCCCGAAAGTGTTCTGTTGCTCGTTGGCGGGATCCTGTCCATCAGGGAAGCGGAAGAAGCTTGAACCGCCAGAGTTCTTCATTGACTGAGCGAAAGCCTCGTATCGGCGGATCTCAACATCGGTGACAGAGCGACGGGCAGAGCGCATGGCCTCCTCGAAGTGTGCCTTGGTGAGCTCGGGAACGGGGTCGTCGCCACCGTCCTCCATGTCAACGTCCTCACCGGCAGCCTCGCGAGCTTTCCGGCGCTCGATCTCGGTAGAGATAGCCTGCTTTATGGCAAGCTTGACAGCACGCTGAGTAACGAAGCCAAGATCGGCACCAGAGAATCCATGGGTGTTGGCGGCAATGAAGTCCAGGTCGACATCGGGCGCAACAGGAGTCTTGCGGAGCTGAGCCTTCAAGATACCGGCACGGGACGACTGGTCAGGCAGAGGAACGTAGACAAGAGTGTCAAGACGTCCAGGACGGCAGAGAGCGTTATCCAACTGTTCGGGACGGTTGGTAGCACCGATGACGAAAACGTTCTTCTTTGATGTCATACCGTCCATCTCGGTCAGGAGCTGGTTGACGACACGGTCTGAAGCACCGCCAGCATCGCCCTGAGATCCGCCACGAGACTTCGCAATGGAATCTAACTCATCCAAGAAGACGACGCAAGGTGCGGCAGCGCGAGCCTTGTCGAAAATGTCCCGGATGTTGCTCTCGGATTCACCGAACCACATGGAAAGCAGTTCAGGACCCTTGACGGAAATGAAGTTGGCAGCGCACTCGTTGGCAACGGCCTTGGCGAGCAGCGTCTTACCCGTACCAGGTGGTCCATAGAAGAGCACACCACGAGACGGAGACAGACCAAACTTGAGGAACTTGTCGGGGTGATCGACAGGATATTGGACGGACTCGATAAGCTCGCGCTTGACGTCCTCGAGACCACCAATATCCTCCCAGCGAACGTTGGGCACCTCCACGACGGCGACTTCGCGCAGAGCAGACGGGTTGGAGACACCGAGAGCAAAACGGAAGTTCTCCATGGTGACACCAAGAGAGTCAAGAACCTCAGCGTCAATAGTGTCTTCGTCCAGATCGATGAGATCCATCTTCTCACGAATCTGTTGCATGGCTGCCTCAGAGCAGAGGGAAGCCAAATCGGAACCAACGTAACCGTGAGTCTCAGCGGCGATGGTCTGTAGGTCGACATCGTCACCAAGCTTCATGTTCTTCGTGTGGATCTGGAGAATCTCGAGACGACCAGTGGGGTCAGGGATACCGATGTCAACTTCGCGATCGAAACGGCCGAAACGACGCAGGGCAGGGTCGATGGAGTTCGGGCGGTTAGTGGCAGCCATGACGACCACGTTTGAACGAGCCTTCATGCCGTCCATGAGGGTGAGCAGCTGAGAAACCACGCGGCGCTCGACTTCACCGTTCGTCTTCTCACGCTTGGGCGCGATCGAATCGATTTCGTCAATGAAGATAATGGCCGGTGAGTTCTTCTCGGCCTCTTCGAAAGCCTTTCGCAGATTCGATTCTGATTCACCAGCCATCTTGGACATGATTTCGGGTCCATTGATCAGGAAAAAGAAAGCACCAGTCTCGTTGGCGACAGCACGAGCCATCAGCGTCTTACCGGTACCGGGCGGGCCGTACATGAGGATACCACGGGGCGGCTTGATACCGATGGACTTGAAGAGCTGTGGATGTCGCAGTGGCAGCTCAACAAGCTCTCGAATCTGGGCCATCTGCTTGCGGCAACCACCAATGTCGTCGTAGCCAACCTCGTTGAGGTTACCCTCCTCATCTTCGCGTTGTATCGGCTCGCCCTCGCAGTGGATGACGGTGTCCTGCGCAACGATACCAAACTCTGGTGGGTCGACCTCCACAACCTTGAATTCGACTTGTCGCATACCACCGCGAGCTGTGAAGGTATCGCCTTGTCGCACGGGCCGGTATGCTTCGCGGAAGTATGGCGCAAGGAAAACGTCGAATAATGAGCCAGTGATGCCCTCAACGGTATCGGCAATGGGAAGGACAGCAATGCGCTTGGCCTGCAAGGGTGTCAGTCAAAACGTCGACTTTCTCTCGACCAGATGAGATACTCACGTATTTGATGTCTGGGCACGGGTGAATGGTGATAACGTCGCCGTGCTTCACCCGCAGGTTGTGGCGAACGACTCGGTTTATCCGCGCGGAGCCATCATCGAGGTCGTCATCTGCCAGCACAATGAGGACTGTGTCCTTGCGCTTCTTGCCCTTGACCAAGACGGTGTCGCCACGGAAGAGCTGGAGCGTCTCCATCGTGTTGTTGGAGAGGGCAATAATGGAGTTGTCATCGTTGACGGCATCGGTAACGCTGCGAAGCTGTCAGTTTCCGCCTTCGGACTACATGTGCAAGCGGCTTTCACGTACATGAGGGAGTTGGGCTTCTTCTTCTTCTTGAGAATGGCTGTTGCTACCTCGTCGTCCTGTGGCGGGTTAGCGGTGCTCATCGCTGAGCTCTCGGAGAGTTTGCCTACAGTCTTGTGCTCGCCGCCCGAGGGGTCCCTGATCATGTCAGTAGCTGTAGCTGAGGATAGAGAGGCTGGAAGCGCCGCAAACTTACTTGGACAGGTCGACCTTGGGCTTTGTGTGATCTGGCTCAGCCGACATGATGCGCGGTCTATGTGTTGACTAGGTGGAAAATGACAGTGTGAGTGTGACGCAGAACCTGTTTGCTGCGCGGAATGTGGAATGAGCCTGCTTAAGAGGCAGTTGGGGGGGGTTGATGGGTGGAGATGAATGGGGCAGTTGGGGCGAGACGTGGTTTATATGAGCTCCGACCGTGGATCTAGCGGCGATGATGTTGGTGAGAGCTCGCTGCCAAGCCATGCTTGCCTGGAAGGCGGGTCCGTGCTCCTTCCGCCGCCTTCGCCTGGGTTCGGTCGTCTTGCTCACCAATGCGTCGCGCCGTCACCACCGATATTACCACCGTGTCCCCAATCTTCTTGAGCGAGAAGCCATGCTTTTGCCGCGCGCGCCAACGAGAACGCCCTGTGCCACTCGACCGAACTTCGCAGTGAAGTGAAACATCTCTTAAGCCGCCGCCTTCTGTATCAGGGCTACTTCAGCCTCAAAACGTGCCACTCACTAGCGCCGAGTGCTTGTACTGGTAGAGTAAAAGTCAAAGACATGGACGAAATCGTGGCGACAGATCTCACTTGCTCACCATCAGAGTTCATTTACATCTGTCGGACGCAATGTACGGAGTTTATTCGCGATATGACGGACATGCCTTTAATCCTATTTATTATATCGTCTCGGTCATCCATACTGTGTAGATAAGTGCAAGTCACGTGCGGCAGTGCCAGTGAAGGAAGCAAAGGTCTGTACAGCGCTGGGTCGATCTTCTGAGCACCCCTTACCCAGACTAAATTCTGCGGAAGCCGACAGCACTCGGATCTTACAGCGAAAACTTGTCTAAAGGTACCATGACGCGTGGTACTGCTGTAGCTTAAGCTTCCTGCTGTTCTCGGTTTTCTCTTGTGCTATGTCTCGCAGACAAGGTGCTTCGAACAGCTTGCCACCCACCATATTCAACACGGTGACGGTGGCAACGAGCATCCAAAGCAACAAGATACTTACACCTGGACTGTCGGAGGCTCTTGTGTTAACTCTTAGGATAAAGCGTTTACAATTCACATTTAAGATAGTCTACTCTAAGGTAACTTGAGCTATGATACGAACTCTGAAGTCATGGACTGTGTTCTCATTTGCGCGAGAGGTAGGACCTGGCGCGCAGAAGTCACATTTTCGTGTCGGCCACTGTGGTGTATCGAGGCAGCGGGCTAGACTAACGATCGCGTCTAGCCACCACATACGCCTAACATCAATTATTGTTCAAGTCACGACTACCACAGCCCACTATGGCTACTGAAGATAGAATTCGGATCTCATGGCGGTAGCATGCATACGTATGGTATCTTGCGTGTGAACATCAATGATACTATTTCACGTCGTAACATTGGACACTCATTAAAGAGTAAATTACCCCAAGATCCATAATGCCATCTATTACTTGCTAACCGTTCACTGCATAGCCGACCTGATCTCGGCGGGACAATGTGGTATGAGTCCGAGTTATTCCTGCAGCCTCTGTGGCTCTGATCGAATGGAAAATAACAGACGTTCGTAAATTGACATATCGCTGACGCCCTTCAAGATGCAGGCTAAACCGTCGCGAAGGTAGACGAGAAGATGTCAGCTAAAAACGTGCAGGACACAATGCGTTTATCATTGGTTTACAAAAGTTCCTCCCCCACCTTATCATGGTTTTGGGTACCTCTTTCACTGAATTTCAGCCAAGCTGTATACTATACGAGGCTAGTCATTGGCCAGACTCTGTTGAGTCTATATTCTGGGCCTGGTAGACGTTAAAATGGGGCACCAAGCTGTCAAAAAGACAATAAACAGCCTAATAGAGCAGGGAGACAGTTCTTAAAATCTAGTAGCAGTTGTATCACGTTGAACTGCATTTACAACATTGAGTAGATTACTGATATCATTTCTTATAAGGCTGTATACAACACGAAACATCGTCGTGCCAATTAGAAGGATGTTTATACTGGACGTGAACGCGCGATTGCTGGACAAGATGCTCAATAGGGTCATCAAGGAGCAGCTTTTCCTGCAGGAGCCTGTTCGTCCTTCTTCCTCGTCCAAAGGCCCATGGACTCCATCCAATACCGCGGATGTCCTACTAGCGCCTCCTGGAGCTCCTTGCGCAACGCTTCTTTTGAAAAAACGCCAGAGTGCTTGGTGTAGTTTTCCACCATGTGCTCCGCGCGTGGTGAAAGTCGATCATTACTCTTGTACATGCCGGGTTCATCGCACCTGCGCTGGATGTTATCGATCAAAAAGGCAGCCGGACCCTGACCCTCCTCGAACGAATCCGCCATGATTTGCATGAGCGGAAAAGCAGTCGGTACAAAGGCACCGATTACCAACGTATTTTGGTCGATCGCAAGAACGCCTTGGGGATCTTCGACGAACTTGACGCCTTGTCGCAGTCCTTGGAGAAGCTGTCGATCCTTCTTCTGGTATGCCGGATCTTGGAGGAAGACTTCTACGGGCGAAATTGACGAACCCTTTTCCTTGTTGGTCTCATCGAGCAGTTCGGCAAGTTGAAGGACCATCAAGTGCTCCAATACCCTGTTAAAGTCTTTTGCTTCAAACGGCAAAGTTCCTAATCCGAAGCATACTATGCGTTGCACAGGAATCGGGCATCCAAGGATAGCATCCCCAATATCCTTACAAGCTTTGCTGTTTATCCAGAACTTCTTCATTTGCTGCAAGTGGTCTCGCCACTCTCCCATCTTGTTTACGTCTGCATGATATGTACTCTGGTCTCGTTCGACCAATTGAAGCGCGAACGGCACTGGCAGCCAATCGCCCTCCGTATCAACATCGTCGTTATACTCTCGCAATAAACCGACGGATTCCGAGGTTCGACGAAGCTGTTGGAACTCTGGGTGCAGTTCAACACGGGATAGGTATCGTACACTGACTATGTCATCGTCGTAGTGGTGGCTGTCACGCACCTCTCCTATGATGAATCGGTCACCATGTCCCGGCTCCTCAATCCTAGGCGTATGGAACAGCGTCAGGCTTTTGTCTTTCTGTAGCGCTGAATCTGCGTCGTCCTTTTTCTTTGCGATATATCGAAGGAACTCCCGAGTGAAGATGGGCCTGTTGCCGTACCTCTCTTCGAACTCAGCGACATTGAAGGAGTTGACTTCCCATTTGTAATAGGGTTCGCCGCTTTCGTAGTAAACAAATTCATCGTCCTGCGATTCATTGTTGGTCGGTGGTGGCGTTTCATCTCGATCTTCCAAGGAGCAGTCAGCCAGCAGCTCAATAAAAGGGTTGTGGTTCAAAGCCATGTTAGTAGTTGAGAGTATAATATTGGTTGTGCAGGTTCTCGGATAGAGTGGAGTGCGAAGTTTTCTTTCCTTGCAGAAGTTTATGAATGTGTTTATATAGATTGAGAGTAGAATTCTCTTTTTTCGTGAAAATGGACACTACCGTTGGTAAAGAATGTTGAACCAGGAATAGTTGGCTTGGTCAGGCATCAGTACCGAGCTTATGCTGCCTTGGAGAATCCATTTGATATCTTTTTTGGGAAATTGCATCTGTTGAGGTGTGTAATTTGGTAGCGAAGGGCCCCGTTTTCGGGGGTACCTTTGTTGCAAAGTATTTGTCCCATTCCATGGATGGTTCATTGCGGAAGCAACGTACTCCGGATGGCTTAAAGGCGCACAAAGCTCTGAGCGATCCACCGCTTTCCGAAGAGAATCTCAACAAAGACATGTCTTTATATACAGCATCGTGGCAAAAGGTTACACATTGTTCCAAGCTAGGAGCACAAAGGACAGTCGCTACAGAGTGGTTTGTCAGTGATTGTTGCTGTGGCATCCATTGCTAGCGCAAAACAACGCATGACTGTCTCAAAAAGTTTTCCTTTGCAGACAAAGAGGTTGCTGTCCGGGGGGGGCTATAGAAACAAAGCAAGACAGAGGCCACAAGCTACGACTTTGTTCCTTCAGAGGCGGAGTCGGACAGCGATAACGAGCAGCGTAATTAAGAGCTGCAGAAAGTATCCTTCAATGCCACCACAGTGGCCGACCAATCCCAAGTCTTTCTTGTTAAGACAGGGGCCAGCTATAAGTGCCTAACCTTATAGCGTGGGGTAACTTACACTATAGTATGTGTTCCAAGCTGTGACCTAATACAATATGACCGACTCTCATGTCGGCGAGGAGACCGATTTGATTTGCGATGTCGCCCGCTGTGCACTTTTTAGAATAACAATTTCAAACAACTGCATGTATTACATTTCCCGACATAATATCGCTATCAATCCGTTCCCCCCATATAACAGCGGCTTAACCGCCCCACTGCAAGCATCATTCCCAAGGAAACACGCGCCAATACTGAATAGACCGAAAACTGTTGGTATCGTTCGAAGGAGATGCTCACCCATGACTCAAATCGCCCAAATGCTTGCGTCGCTCGCCAATATCCAACCTCCTCTTGAACGCCTCTGATGATATGCTCGATCTCAGTAGTGTCTATGTACTCTCTACGACCAAGTCTTTAGTCCCCGAGTCTTGTTCACGCGGACACGTTGTTCTCCATTACGATGATGCGAAGTCTGCCACTATCCGAGAAGCTGGACTCGCACTCCATCAGCTCTTCCGCCGCTTCAGATTCGTTGATGAATGACATGAACTGTTGCAGGTGCAAATCATCCTCGAATGTCGCTTCGATTAGAGCGTCCTGTAGTGTCCATTAGCATGACTTCACGTGATCATACAACACAGTAATGATATAGCAGAGGGTGCCTTGCTGTGCATAACAGGACAGCAGAAAAGCTGACTCACCCAGGTTATTGATTCTGCCTCGCCAACTATCAATGAGGGAAGCCCCAATGGGCCCGACCTATGTCTTTCTCTTGCGTTGCCGTCTGCGGCGATGTAGCGTCGTGAATATGTGAGTGGAAACAGAGGACCAGTGAGCTTTTCCAGTAGCGGGACAAATCGAGTTTCCATAGCTTCTCTGAACTCGTTGAAGGTAAGATCCTCGCGTTTGCTGAACAAGCATATAAGTGCTTGCACCATAGTGGGCAATGTTGGTTTTCGGAAGTCGGTAGTCGGAAGTCGGAAGTGGCTGCAACGGTGGCGGTCCTCGCGGTAGCTATTGGACAGTAACACAATGGTATTGATGTAGAAATTTGCGCGGGAAGAGTGTGGATTTTGAAGAGTCCCCCGCAGGTCCCTTGTGCACGCGGCAGCGGCAGTGCGATTCGTGCCGCCAACAAGGATTTGGGATATGCACGGCCTTTTCTCAGCCCACTGTGCGTGTGAAGGGGAATCCTCCAGACGCAGCTCGCTCGATTTGGACATGGGCCTAGGATCCTACCAGGTCATTGACCAAGGCGTTGATGTGCGGGATCCAATCGACGACTTTTGGCAAGTGCAGGCGCTATCGGCGGCACTTCATCCTGGCTACGGGAGGCTACGCGGCAAACGGGAGTCCATGTCATGCACTCCACGCATGAGTAGGGTCGCAGATCTTCTCGCAAGGTCTTTCGGGTCAGCAAATATTGAGAGGGCCACAAGTTTGGAACCTTGAAACACAACAAGCCTGCCATCTGCGCCAATGTCGGTTGTGTCGCCGCAAAGGCTCTTGGGAGAAGATTGGACAACGCGCTAACGCAGCTTCAAGTTTACAAACTCGGGCCGTACGGTGATCACTGGCACAATGAAGCGGTGCCCGTCGTCTGCTTTGCTAGGCTCTCCTTGTTGTTCTCTACCGAAGTGGTCCACCAGGTCTAAGCACTAGTTCCCGAGGGTTCAAACGGACTTTCGAAGAAGACTTCTAGAAGGAAACGGATATCAGCGCAAGCATGGTGGTGTCACCGCTAATAACTAGACCTCTGCAGAACAGGAGAACGACCATAAAGTATAGGATGGCAGCGGCCCGACTCTGCTACATCACTCAGCCTGGTACATAATCTCCAGATGTGCGACGCATGATCAATCTCCAACGGCCGGCATGCGTGCATGCACATTCAGGGGAAGTCTTCCGAGCCCGTGCGCCGTGGGGGCAGCTAACGGTTTTATACGTCGTTCCGTTCTTGCAGTGCGACCCGTACGAAGGATGTGACAATGTCGATCTTGCGGCGTAGGCGCAGAGACCTGTGGACAGGTGAAGCGCAATGAATCATTTATCCGTTGATGAGATGCGGCACCTGACCCGCATTTGTGCTGCGAACTTCGGTTGTCAACCGAACTATGCTAAGGAGAGAAGATCGCAATAATGACACCTTGGTTGCAGAGAAGAGTCTCGCCGATTTCAATACTTGTTGGGCTTGGTAGAAAGCGCAAATTGCGGCACGGGGCGAAGTGAGACGATTGTCCGCACAAAATTTTGGCGCCGGAGACGCTCTCCGGCGGCGTATCAAGCTCGCGCGTCAAGCTAACTAATTCTATGCGTCTTACGTACAGCAGGGTACATGACGAAACCTGCCCAGGTGCACTACCGTAGGGACTGGACATGGTTTATGAATGCCACGTACCTGAAAGGAGTCAGTAGGCCAAGCCACGATAGGGCTGCCATCGTGTGCAATTTGAGTGCGACAATTACATTGTCCTTCACAAATTGACTTGGATCGCGATTCACATCAGTGAGATGTCGACATGTTCTTTACCCTTGCAAAATCGTGATCACTCAATGATAGAGGAATCGATCCCTCTTTCTGGTGCTTGCTCACATTTTTAAAAGTAGGCGCAGGAAGGTTTTAACGATTTTGGTGACGTTTGTTGTACTGTGTACAAGTGTCCGAATCTACCCTGCATCCTAAACCGAAAGTTCTGACTGGGCGCACCTGTAGATCGGCTCGAAAACGATGCCCAACTCTTCCCAGCTTTTTAGACCGATGTAGCCCCGTCACGAAGACGTGAGGAATGCCTTACAACCCCTGACAAGTCATAGATCGCATATGCCTGTCCACCCTACATCCCTCTGATGCACACTTAATCCTCAACTTGTTAAGATAAAATTGCTACACTGTATTATATTGCTACTTCCTCGTTCGAAGCTTGAAAACTGCCCGACCGAAGGTCACTGCTAATTTGGGAGCTTCTCCTACTCCTTTTTCTCATATTCGGTATGTCGTTCTAGCCTTTTACCGTACCAATGTCTTGTTACCAAGTACTGTTCTCGCCTTCCTTCGAAGACGGTCTGGTCGATCAACCATATCGGCTGAGTAGGAAGCGGCTCAGGTGTCCAATTGCACCCTCATTCAGCGTCTGGTCGCAAGCTGATGAGTCGACGTGCTGAAAGAGGCTGGAGAGTTTGGGAAAGCCTGAGTCGCAGTCCGGGCACTTGTAGGGGAAGACCGTTCCTTGATACATGCGCTTGAGGTCACAGCTGGCCAACATATCGTCGCGATAGTCTGTATGAATGAATTGAGCCCATGAGTAACACTCGGCTGCCGAGGAGTTGAGGTCCAGGTAGTCGATGTCAGACTCGCAGGCACCAGACTCGAGGTGGATGATCTACACAATCAGACTAGTATCTCCACAGAGCATGACAAGGTGCTCACCATGCCGCCGTATGTTTTGAAGTTGCGGTAGCAGCCCAAGCACTCGATTTCAGCGGCGCGATGAGTCAAGCCATGCTGTGCCAGATCAGTCATCGTTTATGCGTACGAAGATGCGGCGCCTTACTTGATCCAAATTGCTCTCGCTGTCGAAATGACGGTCGCAAGTGGTGCAGACGTGGCAGTCTTCAACGTGCTCCCAATAGGCGTCGCCATCCGAATCCCAATGAGCGCCTTTTCCGTCGTCGCACCCTTGACACACTATGCGGCATTCGTCTTCACGACAATGATTCAGCAGCTCCTCCCAAGTTTCGCCATCGAAGTCGCACTCAGGGCACTCGTAGTGTCGCGGAGAGTCCTGAACATGTTGGCTCCGAGCATGATACGTCCCGAACGCTCTGTCGCATCGTTGGCACCACCTAGTAGAGTCAATTTGATGTTTTGTTGAACACTCTACTACTTACACGGCCATATTTATCCCTATATCAGACTGCAGCTGCGCTTTGGGTTGCGGGGGTTTTGCCAGTAGGTTGCGAGGTTCAAGTGGATTTATAAACGGCGCTCTGCACGTTGAAGATATAGCCCGCAGTCGCTGTGCCAAGGTTTCCACCTAACGGACAGCTGCAGAACGTCGGGCAAGCAGCGGTAAGGGTGAGTACCCTCGTCGACTAGGTAGCTGTCCCGCAGCGGGTTGGATGTGTTTTCGACAGCTTATTCTCGGAGGCCTTAGCGAGAGGTTATACAAGGCCCGAACGATTTGATTTAGTTTTCACTCAAGACTTGGTCCAAGTAAACGTACCTAGGTATGCTCCCGGTCCTGATGACCATATCAGGAAGCTGCGGTATGTTATTCATACACGAACTCAGTTGAGTTTATGCAATTTGAAGTGGATTTATGGTTGTGTGCGTGAGTCAATACTTAGGTAGGCACTGTTGCGGCCACGAGTCGAGGCTGTTGAGTTTCGTGTGTTGCTCCTTAGTTGCTATGGCAGATTCTTGATGTCACTATTTGGGACGAAGGTAACAATGGCTTATGGTACTGGTACTCCGATGAATGACTCGCTGCACCTAAGTGTACTGATCAACCACGAGTGTCGAGGATCTGGTTCTGCGGCCTATTTCGTCTCGTACCAATAGCAAAAGCAAGGAACATACCGTATACAAGGCACTATTGTGGCACACAATTGAGTCACAGCAGGCTTACTGGTAGCTCTATAACAAGGCTCAATCGTACGCCCGCAGATGTACCTAGGAGGCAGAGCGGTTGTATGCTCTTGATAGTATGTCATACCCAGAGAGTACTTGAAAGATAGGGTGAGCCGGCTAGCACGACCGGACTGTCGGAGGTGTGAGGTTCCCGAACACACGTCGGACGGCGTTAGCGAGCGCGCATGTGAAAACTTCGACCACCCCACTTCGGTGCCTTTTGCCCCGCTTCCACGAACAAAGGCTTCCAAGTTATCATAATTTAGTCAATGTCTGATGCGTTGAAAGATAAATTGTATATATAATAATGTTTTGCCTCAATTTTCATCAAATCAGAAAACAACACGGCCGTGTGGCCCAATGGCAAGGCGCTTGACTACGATTCAACCGAAATCAAGAGATTCCAGGTATGTAGTTGATACTGCAGAGATCTTATCCGCATTGATTACTAACTCTACTCAGGTTCGACCCCTGGCACGGTCAAAATACAAATTTCTTTTGGCTCCCGGAGCTTGTGAGCGTCGAAAGGGCGTTCAGAGCCAGTCACAGCCATGTTGCCCACCGCGCATCCTACCACGCCAAGCACCATTACTTTTTGCTAAAAAGCTCAGGGCATGCTTTGATATGTGTTAAGACATATCTGCCAAATTTTCATTGGGAACAATCTCAGACATTGTGGCTACAAAGGTGTATTAACATCGTGCCTCTTGAAGACAGCGACGCCACAAGGATGGACTGCCTCGGACAAGCGCAGCGCGAGACAACATACCGAAACTACTCTGTATTCAGTGCTCTAGATTTAAGGCTCTTCCTTAAAGCAGAGGATCGATACTTCGTATTTGACTGGTCCTGCATGGAAAACACATCATTCGTGAAGGCCTCGAGCTGGCTTTTAGTCTTGTTCTGGGTTCACTTTGCATACCCTCTATGATCCGATATCCACATGTCCAAATTGGACGTACATTAGGTTCCGATAACCGCTGTTGAAAGGCTTCATCACTCCGGCGCAGCCGCGAGACTTGAAGCCTGTGTATGCACGTGATCCTTTGCGAACCTAAGCCCACAACTAGTCACACTTGATAATGGAGCAGACTTTCAAAAGATCCAAACTCAGTATCACTTTGTACTACGATTTACTCTAAGATGTGTAGTGGCCCCCCGATGTGAGCTGCGCGACGTTACGCAATAGCACTTGTCCCGCTCTGATCATCAAAAATACGTGTTATTAATTGTCAGTCATGCACGACGCTTAACGTCGCATTACTCAAAACATTCCTATCTCGAACGCCCACCTGACCCTGCGGGCAACAGGATTTTAACGCCTTCATTAATGCCATGGCCGTGCTTTGCACAAAATCAAGTATCCCTTCGCCGCCACCAGGCCCTGAACTCCGTCCCAAATGCCAAATAAAGGTGTTAAGAATGAGAAATTACAAGTTTTGCTGCTGGTCCATAGCCCATAGAGCTAAAAGGCCGCTGACCACCACTGCAGACTACGCAGTAACCATGGGCAGGCTTGTTCTACTGCCGCCAGCGCGATTGGGAGATTCACCGGCCGTACGCATCAGATGTGGACTGTGCGGTAGCTTGACATGTGCTTTTGATGAAGGAACGTCTGTTTCGTCATCCGAGGTGAATCGTGTCGAGGGTGAACCTTCAGAGCCTGCTTCTGATGTTTCGGTGTCGTCGAAGGTTGTTGCTGATGGTGATTCGGGTGATGGAGTGAGATAAGGGACATGGGCATCCGCAGGCATCGTTTTTCTCGCTTCGACAGGTGCTGTTGGGTCTACATCAGAACCGTCTGTACCAGAAGAAAGAACTGATTCTTGAGTATTGCTGGTGACGTCGAGATGCAGCGCCGTACTTTCAGGAATCGGAAGGCCCTCCTCACTCGTGCGTAATGTTGTAAGTAAGTCATCATCATCCGGTAGTGGAACCGTTGCTGCAGCATCGTCGCTGAATGTTAGAGGTACTCGAGCATCGTCCGGAGGTAGGGGGATATCCTCCGCTACCACGATAGTCTGCCGCGTTGCTTCTTCCATATGATCAGGAACCGGAGAACCGCCATCTATGCGTTCGTAGAAGAGCATGAAGATGTTCCCTTGATGAGCTTGCGCCTCCGGGATAGCGTAGACAGAGTCATCGCTAAAACGCCACCACTGCTCGCCAGTAGCTGCAACTTCCTCTTCATCTGTAGCAGCCTCCGGGGCAGGCGTCTTAGCATGTGGCCGATAGCAGACGTAATGTCCGTTTCCGTGGCTGCCGTAATGGGTGACGGCTGCTCGCAATCGGTACTGGTATGGAGAGTCTGTCATAGGCTCTGCATTCGCATCACCGAGCATTGACTTCGTCGGATCCCTCGGCCATTCTCCTCCAGCCAGGTCTGTGCCCAGACACCAGTTTCCCAGATCGAGCACTCTCGGATACGAAACTTTGGCGGAATTCTTGTACATCGCACCGGTCATCTCGTCGAAGATACTCCGGTTGACGTGCAGCACCAGTGCCTTTGGCGGACGAGCAATGACCGCCTGACGCGATTTTGTGCTCTGTGTCCAGTTCTTCTTGAGAATCTTAAAATTCTTGACCAACGTCTTGTCGTCGAAATCGTCGTTTTCGAGGGCATTCTCTACAGATTGGAGCCTTTCTGCGTATGCCGGCGCACGATCCGCCAACGGTGCAAGTGCAGCTTTGTTTTTGAGAAGAGTGCATTTCGCACATTCAACGCCCTCGATTTGCTCCAGGTCGGTATAGTCATCGAGACATTCGCGGATATCGTAGGCACCGTTTCTACCAAGCGAGACTGTGACACAGTTGAATGGAATGAGCTGGAGACCCTCAACATAACCACATCTAATGCACCCAACTCGTTGAGCCAACAGTCCGTCCAGGGGGTTCGGGATACTCTTTGGCTGCTCTGACAGTGTTCTACCATCTTTCTGTCCCGCAGTCGACTTGTAGCTGCTTACAGTCTCCTCAGAGACATCTTCTCCACTCTTTGCAGCCACCTTTGCAGCGTCTATCCACGCGTCACTAGGCCTTCTCTTCTTCACTTCTTGTTGCACCTCCTTCTCCAGCGCATCCAATATCTTCGAATAATACTCTTGCGCGTCTTGCTGTTGAAATGTGCTCATGCTCTTGAGTTTACCTCGGACCCAAAAGTTCTGGCCGTGGTTTCGCGGGTCATTTAGCTTCGTGACCATATCGAACAAAGCGCCGTTCGTTGATTCGATATCGAGACTGTCATACTCCGTCGTTGCTTTGGCGAGGTATGCGCGTAATGAAGGAAGTGAGGCCATGCCCTGAATGACGCTGTTCTGATAGCATGAGTTGTCCCAGTTGCCCAGCCCCGGAGGTATATCGCTGGGCCCTTTTGACAAGGCACCCGCTACTCCCCGTACACCCTTCTGTAGCAGACTGGTGCTGTTCAGCCCGAAAGTTCTGCCCAGTATGCCTACGCCATTCTGCATCTTCGTATCGTCGTCCGCGGAAGGAGCGACCGTAGAAGAAACCCCATTCATACCGACGCTTTTCGCTCTTTCGAGTGCCATATAAATCCACCACCAGACAGGGTATCCAAGGAATTCCAGTGCCTTGAAGCAAGTGTATAACCCAGCTATGACGAGCAGTACCACCGACACGTAGCCCGTTAACCGCGATTCCGCGTTTAGCCTCCGGTCGTTGAAAGCGCGGAATACCGAGTCGTCGTCGAGGAAATCTCCCATGGCTGTATAGGATCAATCGCCCACTCTGGCACGCAGGCGTTGAGCGTGATATCGGTATCGTGCGGGGATATCGTAGGCTTGTCGTGTACTTGTGGTTGCGACTGGGTGGATTCAGCCCTTGGGGCGACGCGCAAACGCTGGGTGGAGCAAACACGATGCGCTGGGTTTTGTCCACGACATGGATGAGCAGGCAGACAAAAGCTAGGAGCAGGGTTTGAAGGTTGTGGCGCGGGAAGTGAACGTTTCTCGAAGAATCGTGCGCTTCGGCATTACGCGCGAGTGCCCGCTGCAAGGGTCCGGCGCCTTGGCAACTATGTAACTTCCGTTTACCATACAGAACACCCGACATGGACATCACCAGACATCCTCACGTGTTAGATTAACGTTCACCCTTTAGCTTGATATGTGATTACATTATCAAGCCTCACTACTAATTGCAGATTAGACAACTATAGAAGAAACTATCGAGAAGGCACAAAAGATGTATACCGAGATCTATGAGGCACAACGAGATAAACAGTGAGTATAAGCCGTAAACTACGTCGAACAACAAGTTCGTGCATGAAGGCATCGATCAGTCTAAAATTCGAAGTCGTCCACAAGTGCAAAATCATTCTCCTTCGAGTCGTCCACAGGTGCAAAGCCATTCTCCCGCGAGCGCAAGAAGGTCCTTGTCCACTCCTCAGTCTCGGCTTCCGTCGGAACTGGGAGAGAAGTGTCCTCAATGGTCAAGGATCCCTCTTCCACATGCTCGGGCGGAGTTGGCTGAGAATTTGCAGAAATATCGCGAATAAGAGCAGGGACATCTACAGGACCCGGCGCCACGGCAGCAAGGACGTCATTGCGATCGTTGCCAGCAGGGAGCGCAGCGGGACGTTGAATCGGAGCCCTTGAAGTTCCAATGCCCGTGGTGATGGCATCGTTAGCAGCGAGCGCAGCGGGATCTTGGATCGGAACCCATGGAGTCTCAAGGCCCAAGAGAAAAGGATCGATCACATCGATCATAGCGTCGTTGTCAGCAGCCATTTGTTGAGATTCGATGGGCTCCTGGAACATCATGCCACCCATTGGCTGCGCGGATTGAGCTGCGGGCAGCTGTTCGGAATGGTTCTGGAAGCCATTGTAGTTGTGTTCTTGTGGCTGGAACATAGACTGTACTTGAATCCCTGACTCCTGGATCATTAAGCCGCCCATTGGCTGCGTGACTTGAGCCACGGGCAGCTGGTCAGAAGGGATCTGGAAATCATTGTAGTTGAATACTTGTGGTTGAAACGTAGGCTGCTCTTGAATAGCTGGCTCCTGGATCATCATGCTGCCCATTGGCTGCGCGACTTGAACCGCGGACAGCTGCTCAGACGGGTTATGGGGGCCACTAAAGTTGAAGTCTTGTGGCTGGATCGTGTGTTGTCCTTGAAAGCCTGGCTGACCGGCATTATTGTGAGCCCAAACAAGGTCTTGCTGTTGGTAGAATCGCGCAGTGTAGCGCCGATGCTCATGCATTTGGAGACTATCGAGAATCTCATTTGGTTTCATATTGGCGTATCGCTTGGTAAGCCCCAAAGCTACATGCATAGGGGGGAGTTCTCCTCTTCGATTTTTCTCGGCTTCAAGTACATCCGTCGCAGGAGCAGGGAAGCCGATGTTGCTTTCACAGAAGTAAAGCTTCTCGAGCTCATCGAACTTGAGATTGAGGCGTTGGTGGCACCGAACCTGATTGAACTTGTTGACGATGCTTTGCGCATCAGGAACTTTGGGGCTGTAGCGGGGCATGTCGACAGAGGTTGAAGGTCGAATTTGAGGATCCGGCGAAAGCGTCTTACAAGATCGGGCTCGCTGTATGTTGAAGTGGAGCTTGCTTGGTATTTTAGCTTTAAGTCTTTGAAAGGCCTTGCTGTGGTGCTGTTGTATTCCTGTGAGTGTTGTATTAAGCTGGTGTTCGACGAAGATTGACGAAGAGGTATTGGGCACCGCATTAAATACATCAAGCTAGGACAACACATTGAGTTCCTCTGGGCAGAAATATAATTTTTGTAGGCTGGAAAAGCTGTCCCAACGGGTATCGTGGGTTTCGATGTTCAATGTACCACGGAAATTCGTTGTCGAAACCCATCCCATCACTTGTGACTCTGCTCCCATTACAAACACGTTCTTACTGTATCAAGCAATGACTAAACAGTGAGAAGACGTTCCAACGGTAACGTCGGGATTCCCCCGAGTCACTGAGGCCTCACCGAGTCTTCTGAATCAACATCGCATAAAGTTGGATTACTATCCATGTAACCGACTGAGTTTGGTATATGGAGTGCAGTTAGGCCTATTCGATCCATAATTTTCACATAAAATTCAGTTATAGCCCACGGTTCCAACTGCACTATGGAACAAGCTGGCTGGTTCAAGCCCAAAGTCTTGAGAACATTCACGCATGTCAGGAATATCGGAGAATTTATTGCAAAGAGTCACACTGAGCTTCACGATGGTGTGTTGTGCGCTATGCATCCTAACAGCGATGTTTACAAAGTCTCACATCACCGACTTATCGCTCACTTTGCAAGGGGATTGTAGTTAAAAAGTCTATTGTGACATTTTGGTCGACATGGCCAGTGCGGTGCCCGGAGCCGTAGTCTGAAAAACGTCTCCCAAGGTACCGGTAATAACATTTTCAGGCCTCAGGCAGCAACAGTACCGTCGGAACCCTCGCGAAAGCGATTACTTGGTAACAGTCAGCGAAGTACGAGACGGCCTGCCTATCAACAATCGTAATATCCCACATGGATCCAAATAGCGCGGGTTCCGTAACATACCTGCAGACCCGAGATCGGCGCGGTATTCGCAAAGGAAAGAGCGGAACACGTCGCGGTCATGACTCGAAGATCGGCGGGTGGGACGCGTTGAAAACACCTGCGCGGCTCAAGCCTTGATTTCTGCAGACCATCTGCGTACAATACTGGTTACTCCCTGCGAGTGCAGTAGCACAAAAGGCTCGGTGAATGTTGCTGCACGTGAACCCTGAGATGGCGGATATCTTCCCAAAGGAGGCTGGGCCATAGAGGACCCTTGATCTACAGCCCCTGTCCGGCCCTGTTTCACCTCGAACTTCGCCTCGTCGACACGCACCCCACCGTGCCCACTAATAGTCTTACTACAACCTCCGACAGCCGTTACGTCGTCATCAGGCCTGAGGCTTTGACGTCGTGGAAATAAAAAGATACGTCGTGCGCATCGCGCGCAAGAGACATGGCAGCCACCCTCCTGGACGAACCGCCCGCCCCGTCAATAACCGCGAAGCGCATGCAGAGAAGCAGCTGTCTGAGCTGCGGGGCCGAAATGGACATGAGCGAAGCAGAGGAGGCGCAGAAGCGAATAAGAGATTTGGAGAGCCAGGTCGAGCTGTTAACGGAGAAGGCCACAGCTGCTGGTATGTTGGCGTAGATGGGACTGTACGCTGGCACACGACTAACACAGGGAACAGTGGACAAGTGCGCGGACTACGAAGACCAACTACGCGGCTTTAAAGCACAGAATGGGCTCCTACGAACAGATACGCAAGACTCGCTACAGCCCCACCGAACCTCCAACGAAGAAGCCCGCCCTACTACCGCGAACTCGGCCTCTGCGCGGCAATCTCGCTTCTCCTTCCTACGACGAGGCTCGCCGAACCCGCCCATACCCTTCACCTCGCACTCGCCAAGCCGCTCCACTGATACGGGCCTCTTGGAACAGCTGGAGAAGGAGCGTGGACTGCGCGCAAAAGCAGAAGAGAGGGCTCGCAAAGTGGACAGTGAAATCGAGGAGCTGAGCGTGACGCTGTTCAGTCAGGCGAACGAGATGGTGGCGCAGGAGAGAAAGGCGCGGGCGAAGCTGGAGGCTAGAGTTGAGCTCCTAGAGAAGAAAGACAAGGACAAGATGGCGAGGTTGGAGAGGTTGGAAAAGGCTGTCAGCAGGATCGATCGTGTCAAGGCGATGTTGGCACCGGTCCCGACAGCAGCGCAAAGGAAGAATTGAAGAGTGTGGGACGGACATGTTTGTTGGCGATGCTCACTGGGAGAATCTTGACGGTCTACAACTTGGTTTGCGAAGCTCTCTACGGGCCTGGAGCTTCGGCAGCGATTTCGTTATCTCTACTCTCGCCATTGTTTCTCACGATACCCCCGTTTCCTTGTATCGATATTCAGCGCTGCATTGGATTTGGCGTTTTACTGTAGCATTGCATGGCGTTACATTGCCTTGATCTCAGACACGATTGGACACAAGCTACTGCTACCTGCATACTACTTTGTAATTGAACTGAGCTAGTACTATTTTCCCCATCGGTCACACCGACCTATCCATTGTTCGATTCGTCTTCCTCTGTTCCTTTGCCCGCTATTGTATAGCACTCTTTGTCTAGCGTTCCACCTGACCATAGCTGCGCCACTAGGGCTTCGAGTCTATGGGATCTTGCATATGCGTGTGATGTTGGCTTGAGTTTCGAGATGCTATTGGCGAGATACCTGGCATGCTGGCACTGGCGCTTGGAGACGGCGTGAGTGGTCCCAGAGCCAATGGACACCAGTATGAATAGAGTCATCTACGATACATGATATCCGTATGCTTACTCACTGCGGCTTGTACCTGAGGGCATCTGGCTCACAGATCCACAAAGCCACTCCACAGCGCAAGCTACAGGCGGGGCGGCGCGCTCTGACGATCAGGCAGGCTCCGTCCGGCAGAATGAAACGCGTGCGGGCGAGGTGTTCTGTTTGACGTTCCCCAGCGGTGTAGCAGCTCGCTTCTGTTTCATGAGGCGTTCGCAGCAACGGCACACGGGCGTCTTTGAGCACTGGCAGGGCACTTGTGGGTTCTAGAGGGCGCGCATCAGTGTCTATTCTCCGAGCCCCTTTCCCACGGGCTTCATGGATGCGGGCACGCGGACTAGCGCGTGAGGCAGCCAATGACACCCAGCAGCTCGGCAGTGTTTCACGTTGGCAAGGGGCCAGCCGTCTGGAAAGGTGCCCAAAATAATTCCCACTCTACGCTGAAGGACGACGTCCGCATCAGCACCGCCAGCCCTCACCCTCGCCGTCCTCCAGCATCGCCGCGCTGCGCATCGTTCTCCAGGAGGCCCCCGGACTACTGTAGGCTTGCGCACCCACCGCGCGCTATTCCGTCGTCGCGCCGCCTGCTATTGGCTGCTGCTGTTGAAACGACCACCGACCACCGCACTCCGCCAACTTCTCCGCCGCCCGTCTCGCCTGCCTCCGCAATTGCATGTGCATGTGCAAGCCCGATTGCATGCCTCTTCGACCGCCGCTGGACGACGTCCACTCCTTTACACACGCCCCATTCTTCTTTTGACCCTGTTACGGGTTCGACGCTGCGCTGAAGCGCCCCTCGCATCCACCGCGCCGCAGCTGGCTTGGCAACATCTTGACGTCCGAGATACACACGTAGACGCAGCCGAGCGCGGGGGACATGAGCGAGCATGACGCGCCCTCAAATCGTCAGAGCTGGTACGCCCAAATGCGTTTATCAGGGAGATTTGCACTGATTGACCGTGGCAGATACGCTGGATCTCCAGGATAAGACGTCGCCGACCGCCCAGGACCACACCAATCAACCCAGTCACCCAGCGCCGCTCGGAATTGGCCCTGCTGCACCGCATCAGGAGGCATCGCTGCGTCGCGTCGAGGACGAGCGCTCCGACGAAGAGGCGCGCCTGCAAAATGGTGCACACAACGACACGAACGGACTGCGTCATGACCCCGCGTCCGACGACGAGAGCACCGTAGCGGTCAACGGCAATACGGGCGACAACGCTGCCGTCAGGCTCAATGGTGGTATGAGTGGTGAGGGCGATGACGCAGACATGCAAGACGCCGATGTCGAGGAGGACCTGGACGACATGGACAGAATATCGAGCTCGCCCTCGATCTCCGATGGTGGGTTGCCTTTTCATTCTACTATCTGGCAGGAGCCTAGCTCGTCCCCAGGTCGAAGCTCTTCGCCAGTCGCATCGCCGCCGTCTTCGGCAGGTTGCGATTCCTCCTCTCCGTTCACAGAAACCCCCATCCATTTTCCTTTACCGATGGCTGCCGCTCGAAGACCGCTCCGAGTCCCAGCTGGCAGCGCAAGATCAGTCACGCATTCTTCTTATCGACTATTTCCTACTTCTCAGTCACTCCCCTCTCAAAATAGCCATACGGTACAGTCAGCGGATCATCATCATGGTGAGTATGCCGGTTCACGAGCCACCAGCGACCAAGACGCCACCAATACTGGAGCTGGACAAGATTCCAAGATAAGTCCAGACACGGTACACCTTACGCAAGTGGAGCATCGATTACAGCACATGCGCCTGGATTCTCTGGGTTCCCTATTGTCTGAATCGGACGACGATACGTTGCAATGTATGCTGCAACCTGTGCCTAGCCCTTCATTCAACGAATCTGAAGACCCGTTCTACGAACCTAAGAGGAGCAGCTACGAGATACCTAAGAGGACGATCAGCTTATCACGGACGTGGTTCGAGGAGGAAGCACACGGGAGCGGCCAAGACGGTAATCCCCCACTAATGTCTAGTGAAGATGAGGATAATTCCTGGACAGATGACAGCGATGCCGACAGCTGGGACGCAAATCTTCATGATGATGATGATACCAATGACGTTTCTTTTACCTTCTCTGATGACCCTCGCTTTGTGGATTCCGGATGGGGTGGAGAGTGCTTACGTGAAGTAGAGGACATCGATTTCGAATTCGTATACTCGTTGCATACATTTGTCGCGACGGTTGAAGGGCAAGCAAATGCTACCAAAGGTGACACTATGGTACTGCTCGACGACAGCAACAGCTACTGGGTGCGTTAATTTCGCTTAACCACATTGAGTCTACTGATGAGTTTAGTGGCTTGTTCGCGTTGTAAAGGATAACAGCATCGGATACCTACCGGCTGAGCATATCGAGACCCCAACCGAACGACTTGCTCGGTTGAACAAACACCGGAATATTGACCTTTCTGCGACTATGCTTGGTGATACAGCTGAGAAGACGAAGAATCCATTGAAAAAGGCTATGCGAAGGCGCAATGCTAAGACGGTGCAATTTGCGCAGCCGCAGTATTTCGAACCGTCGGACTATGACTATTCCTCCGATGAAGACGACGGCGACGATCTGTTTGGTGGCGCAGACCCAACCCAGGCAGACGCAGAACAGCAGCAGCAGCAAGAAACAGCTGAAAAGTCAGAGTCAGAGCAGGATGAGAACCTTAAGGTTCAGCCCCTAAAGGTGAACGGCTCTAAGAAAGATCCTCAGGCCAAGTTGGAGGCAGAGACGGGTGATCCCGCAGATGAAGCTGGGAAAGGTAGTGGCGAGAAGCAGAGAAGTAGCGACGAAAGCTTTGACAAACCTCTGGATCCGAAAGTGTCTCGAAACGGGACAATGAGGAACACAGACTCCTTCTTCAAGGACGAAAACACAGAAACGCGGAAGATTACCCTTACACCAAATTTGCTCCGGGATGACTCAAGTACTTCTACCACTGGCTCCAGGGAGCGTGGTCCCAGTCTCGAGAGCCTAGAAAAGAACGGGTTCGCGGACAAAGTCAAGGATGACAAGAAGAAAAAGGAGAAGAAACCTGGAATGCTTAGTGGGCTTTTCAAGCGCAAAGACAAGAAGGGCAAGGGTGTCGGCATGGATTCCAATGATAGCGACGCAGAGCCATCTTCGAAGCAGTCGGAGGAATATGGCCGCGAGTCACCACAATCAAAGCCATCGGACGACTTATCTGCGGAACGTGCGTCCTCTGAACAGAGTGCTGCTCCATCGAGGCAGTCGAGCAAGGGCAAGTTGCAGAAACCACAGCGCAATAGGGAGGAGTCGCCTTCCAAGGTGAAGGGTATACTTAAGATGGATACTCCTGAGCCTCTGGCAGTGCAATCAGCGACCGCACAGGAATCTGTTGTCGATCAACCGGCGACGCAAATGACTTCGACCATGCGTTTAGTACCCTCAGAAGAACCCCCTGTCGAAGAGCGCGCACTTTCGCCTGAGAAACCGTCATCGTTAAACACCGCAGCCTCGAAACTCAATCCCCTCAATATCGTCAAAAGTTCACAAAATGCAGAGCCGAAGCCTGAGAAGGTTAAGAAAGCTAAGCAGCGCGTGCAGCTGGACGACTTTGATTCTGACGACGAGAAAGACCCGTTTGCAGACCCGGCAATGCAACCGCAGTCGGCCCAACATAGCGAGTCGGAGCCAACCGGAAGACTTTCCGAATCTCCCGTGCATGTGTCGGCAGCCGACGCTCAGCCGTCAGCGAAAGACAACACCCAAGAGAAAGATCAGGAATCCGACTCTCAGCACCCTCCAGGTCTCACAGGCGACACCTCAAGTCAAGACACGAGCTCACCCATATCGACACCTACTCCCGACGACAGTCCTTCTACAACGCAGCCAAGCAAACCGACCATCTCCACTGCTCAAGCAGCAACGTCGCCAGATCCCACCGAGCCCACGTCCGCTTCGTCGATGCCACCGCCCTCGCGACCAGCGCCAGTCCCAGAAAAGGCAATGGACGTCTCGCCACCAAACTCCTCCGAGAGCACAACGTTACCTGCATGGTCAGACCATTCGCTGCGTACATACCTCGACGATGGAAGCGATATCAGGGACATGCTGCTGGTCATCAATGACACCACAGGCGTCGTCCCCGTCGGTCCTGAACACCCCATCATGTCGCAGCTATTTGTCGAAGAGACAAAGACCGTGACTGGCTTGAGTATCCAGCTTGACTCGCTGCTGAACGGACTGCTGGAAAAACGTTCGAAGAGATCAGGATCGAGTCCGGTTGCCGGACGATAGCACGACATTGCATGATGTTGTAATGCACATGGGAGTGCTGTTGTGACGCCTTAATGTACGATGACGCTTTGCGGAAGTATACCCCTTTCTATTCGAGAAGATTATGTTGGGTTTGGGATGGGCTTTGACACGGACTGGCGCTTTGGCGTTCTCCCCCTTCCTACACAATGGCGCTCGGTTGAACTTTGGTCGTTTTGTATCCTTTTCATTTTTCGTATCTTTCCGTTCGAGAAGTTTACCCACTACACATGAGCATTTTTGCGTCTGCGATGTTTCTTCCTCTTTCTTCATTTTCGCATCTTTCTTCCATTCTGGTGCTTAGGTGCTTTTACGGATGGCGGAGTTCTTCAGCTTCATTACTCTCCTTAATCACGTTCGTCTTGCAATGCATCCCACAGCGGTACGCGGCGCGCTACGCTTCTTCAATCTTTGCGATTTTATTTTGTTGTTCTTGGTGGTTTGGAGTTGCGATGTATACATACATAGCATTCTGATTAGCATTTGTGCGAGATCCGGGACTGGATGAGGTGTACATAGCGGAATCAAATGTGTGAGTGGATGTGTATTGTGCCCTCGTGAAGTGTTCTGGTCTTGATGCGTTTTCACCCGTTCTTGACCGATCTAATTGACGATGAATCCGTGTATCCAAAGGATAACAACGAGAACAACATCAAGTGGTTTCTTGCTTCATGTCTGTCTCTATCTTGTGTAGTGAACAGTGAATCAAAGACTACAATTGATTATCCGCGTGTCTATTCCTAGCTAGGCACGCTAGGGTGAAGGACGGAAGTCCGTGCACCTTTTTGATGAACTTTTAGCATCTCACTCCGTCGCTATTTCCATCGTTCTATTATCCATGCGTACCATCCTGTCACTCATTCCAAAACACTCAATTCAGATATCGAGGGGTTTAAGACCCGCATGAGCGCCGCAACATATATGCCCTCTGCTTTGGGCGGCCGCTAAGCTCTTGGATAGGCCAGCACATCAAATTCTCCATGCTATTCGCTCATGCTTCCATATATTCTACCGATTGCTTTCGCGTAAAGCCACGTGGGGGCTTGAACCCTCGACCATTCTTTTCCATACAAACCGGGCAGTTCCATTAAACAGCCAGTTCTCAGTAGTCCGCCATGAGCCTGCTGCACCAATCCCATCTAAACGGGGAGCGTCTCCTCGTCGATCCCTGGGCTCATGGCACCGGAGTCATGAGAGCCGTCCTTGCCCGCTTCAACTGGACCGCCTCAGATCTCGACATCACCCACGTAGGCTCCCTCATTGCTATTATTGGCGCTGCTCCTGCAGGCTGGAGGCTGCTACGTAGTGCATGGCACGAAACCTACGGCTGGATCCGGCAATTCTTCCTTGCTTCTGTTACCGTCCCGGGAGGCGATCCAGTCAATAAGAATTGTGTGAAATGGCTTGCGTCCCAACAGACCACGGCACCATCGTGCTTTTACTGGTCGTACAGAGATGGGCCGTGGAGATGCGACGGATCGAGCAGCCTCGCTCAAGAAAACGCGACGAGCTGTTCAGTATGCGCCTCACTGGGATTCGAGGTGGTTCTGGTTTAACGGAAGACTATTTGTGGCGACGCGGGACAACTTCAGCAGTTCGGCAATGTCAGATCCGGCATATGATGGCGTTGGCGGCGAGGAGTTAACAATCAGCTGCTTCGGGTGGTCCATTGAGCCTGTCCAGAAGTTCATCGAGGTAGCCCGCGAGTGGGCCGACCGTCAGACGCAGTACTTTGTGATTATCTATGGGCGCGACCGCTATGGCATGTCGTGGCAGCCAAAGACACGCAAGCCCATTCGACTACTGGACACGGTGCACTTTGACGACTCCGTCAAGCAAGAGCTATTGGACGACGTCAGGACTTATCTTGACCCGCGGACACAGCGCCGGTATCAGAGCCGCAGCATGCCCTATCGAAGAGGATACTTGTTCTACGGCCCCCCGGGAACAGGCAAGTCGTCTTTGTCGACAGCGTTAGCTGGCGAGTTCGGTCTTGATCTGTACGAGGTTAAGGTACCCAGCATCGCGTCGGACTCGGATCTCGAGCAAATGTTTCAAGAGATTCCTCCACAGTGCATTGTTCTTCTAGAGGACATCGACGCTGTTTGGATCGAGCGCACATCCCGATCCCACTCCCCTGACCGGAGAAGCGAGCGAAGCAGCGGAAGCGATAGGGACAACAGCAGGTCAAATTGCACACTGTCGGGCCTACTGAATGTGCTAGACGGAGTGGGCTCGCAAGAAGGACGCATCGTGATCATGACGACCAACAAACCCGAGCTGCTTGATCCTGCGCTTATCCGGCCCGGACGTGTAGACATGAAGGTTTTCCTCGGAAATATCACCCCTGCCTCAGCCGAGCAGATGTTTGTGCGCATGTTTTCCCCCGACGAGTTAGCTGGCAGCGACAACGCGAACTCGCGTGGCGTCGTTGTTGATATGGACGAAATGAGAAGCCTCGCGCGCGACTTTGCGAAGGCAATCCCCGAGAATTCGTTCACGCCGTCTCAGTTGCAGGGTTTCTTCCAATTGTACCTGGACAGCGCCCACGCAGCCGCCAAGGGGATCGCCTCTTGGGTAGAAAAAGAGGCAGCGCGACAAGCCGATGGATGCTTCGAATTCCTCGAGAATGGCATCGCGAAGAGGTTGTAAACTAATGATAGATTACGGAAGAGCTTCGGGGCATCTTAGACACAGGCACTGTTCTTTTCGGTTCTAGATTTTTGCTTCTCGGAAGCTGTATATTTGTATATGTACTGGGTAGGCGTACGAGGTGTTTAGCATTTCTCTGGGTGCGGGACTATACTTCATCATACATTGTAACATCTGTTTGTTTATCTAGAGTAGCATCATGCGCAACACCAAATACTGTACATTTTCTTTTACCCGAGTCAAACTTCTGCATGGTTCATACTAGAGTAGTACTACAGGATGTCGAATCAGAGCTATTTGGCCCTCCATTTCGCACATGAGCCCGCTAACGATGGACTGCATGAAGCGCAGCTTGCATTGCAAACAAGAAATCTATTTGGTATTTCGCGTTCTATAGTCATGATTTTCATACAGTACAATCGATATATACAGGCGTGTAGCTTATTATTTACATGTACAAACGAGCGTATAGAGTTGGATGAGAACAAACTATGCAGAAGAGAGATGGCCATTGCCCTTTTCTAAAGGGATGGGCTTGCAGCTCAGTAGGCATACATTCCGAAGTCTGCTACCGTGCGGTGCGTCTGGGAGCGATGCACAAGCTAACAGCTCTAGAGCTGCTTTCTTGTATTGCATCGTCCGTACAGAAGTCAAATTCTAGTACACAGGCAGCTTGAATGCATCGAAGGTGTATGTCCAGCTATCGATCGAAGCCTCGTCGTTCTCGCACTCGAAGTCCGTGCTGTTACCGGACCACTTCGGTCTCTGAGGCCACTGGCACAGCTGCTGCACCTCGCCGGAGTAGTCGCCCGAGGATACGGTGGCGTTCAGGCGGCTGGGCGTGATGCCGTTCTCCACCCAGTCGATGATGGTCGCCATGTTGTCTTCGGGAGCGGGGCCGTTCGGCTGGAGGGAGTTGCTGCCACAGTGGGCATATCTGTAAGAATTAGCTTGGCTTGATCAAGAACTGACGGAGGGTCGAAAACCTACCCAGGGATGAGGTAGAACTGGTACCAGTCGGCCATAGCCTCTTGAGCTTCCTCGTCGGTGGCGTTGGGATACATAATTGAGCGAACAGATTGCCAGTAGTGCGCCGAGGAAGCGGAGGGAATACTGGGGTCAGATTCGCCGTGGTAGTGAAGCAACTTTCCACCAGTTGACTGGAAGGGCGTAAGGTCTGGGAGGGTGGTTTGAAGGCTGTCCATGTAGCGGATCATACCCGTGTTCATCCAGTCAACAAGCGTGTCGTACGTGACACCTTCCAGATCCGAAAGGTTGTCCAGATCGAGGAGCTGCACAAACTTGGTCACGTATTCGCCGCCCGTAGAGGGAATGTTCATTGCCCAAGAGCTGGTGTCGTTGTCCCATGTGGTCTCTGCGTCGCTGAGCTCCGAACCAATCCGCCATCCAATGTAAGCGCGCTCGCCCTGGGAGTTGAACAGTCCGTCGTAGACACCCTGGGCGACGGCAATATCCTCTGCTGTGACAGTGCCGTTCTGGACTGGCTGATAGGATGATGAGCTACCAGCCGGTGCTTGACGCTTGCTGAAGCCGAAACCAAGCGAAGTGCTCGTTTGGCCTGCGCAGTAGTACGATTCTCCAACGATGGAGCTCAGATTGAAGTTGAGCATGCAGAGATCCGTACGAGAGATGACACCATCAGTGCGTCCGTCAAGCGAATCGCAAGCATCGATGGTCGCATTGACGATCTTCTTCAAGGCACAAGGCGGTGGATAGTAGTCTAGAGTTTGCTCGATCGCGGAGGGAAGCACATGGGTGACTTGTTGCTGTGCGAAGCGGAAAGCGGGGGCTCCAGCGACTACCCCATCGTACTCTTCTCCCCAGCGTTGGACCTGGCTCATTGCCTCTCGGCCACCATCTGAGCAACCCTCGAAGTATGTGTAAAGTTTCGAAGCATTGACGGACCCATAGAAAGCCTGAGAAAGAGGTTTCCCGATCTTAGTCAGCTCCCCAAGAGCAGTGTAGCCGAAAGCGTAGGTAGCATCCCAGTTAATGGATCCATTGCCATACAGGACCTTCGTGTCATAGGCGTTGTTGAAGGCATCGTATCCGGCCGAGGTAGCGCCAGACGCAGCTCCATAAGAAAGACCACCTGTAGCGGAGCTAGAAAGGGAGAACCCTCCACCACCGCTGAGGTAGAAGCGGTTCTTGAAGTCTGACGGTTGAGGCAGAGCGAAGATTACCGGGATCGTGTCGTTCTTGCCGGTATGAGTGTAAGACACGGTAACGTTGCAGTAAGAGTAGGTGGCACTGCTGGTCGATCCTCCCTCTTGTCTCTTCATCATTCCTCCTCCAGTTGACGCATTATACACAGCGGCCGCGGTGATAGTATCAGGGAGCAGGTTAATGCCTAGGATGTCACCATCCGCAGGAAGGGCGGACTGCACGTTCTCCACAGTACAGACATCCTCGAGAGTAGCGGCAGTAGCGGCCGTGGCCAGAACTAGCGGCGTGGTGAGAAACGATCGACGCATGTTCGAGACGATTAGTAGAAACAGGAAGCGAATGAAAAGCGAATGTAGGTAGGTGAGAAACGTTTCTCGACACCGGCGGAACACATCTCTTGTATGGAATCAATCGCAGAGGCCGCGTAGATCGCCTTGGGAACAGCACAGTTTGTCGTCACCAGGCGCAGGTTGCGCTTGTTCTGCAAATACACATTGTACAAACCTACTCGTTGCCAAGTCTTCTGCTTCAGGTTGTGACAGTGTTCGACGATGAAGTCTCGTACATCGGCCAGATCGGCCACGACTTCGGGCGCCAGATCAAGGCCCGAAAGTAGTTCTGTACCTCAGCCACAATATGTTTATGGCAATTGGAGTGTGGCACTGTAGTACGAAGGCCAAATTGGAGGTTCTTGCCGCGTCATGGTTGCTTGGGACAAGTGACGCGTCCCAAGAGCGGAAAACATGAACGGCCCGTTTCGATGGCCTTAGCGCGACAGTGGCAACGCTAGCGACAAATATTCTCCGATCTTGTTTGAGCCTCATCTTTAGCGCGGCACAGCTCTGGATTCTGCAAAGGATCACCGAGTGGATAATGTTCATGTATATCGACGGTCATTTCTGCAAGCTGTTCCGATAGATACTATGGCAACCTATTCCGGTGGCCATCATTGCGAGCCAACGAAGGCATGTCAACCTTTCTACGTTGAAGCGATGGCACCCTTCTTCATCGTCTGAATAAAGGCTTGGAGTGCCAACTCAGGCTGGTAGTACGGCACCTAGACGCGCGAGCACGAATCAGTGTAAGTCAAAAGGGGGTATAGGTACGCAGTAGCTATGTCTATGACATAGCCACTTCGTACCCGGGATTAACGCACCTCGTGACCGGCATCATAGACTCTCAAGAAAGACAGATTTCCTTGAGTCTTGAATTGCCCTCCTTCCTTTCCATTGACCTTATACGGGCCAAGGGTCTTCGCTCTGAACGCAGTCTGGTCCGAGTATGTGACTTGATTCACAACGTCCTGCACTCCATACCAATTGCAAATCCAGTCTGCATCACCCGCCCAGATAAGCGTAGTGATACCTGCTGAGACTACATCACTAAGCTCATCCAAGAAGGAGCGCGGGTCTGGTTGTGTTAGACGTGGTACTGATTACACGGAATCGTCATGCACTTTCAAGCGAGGGTGACGACTAGGAGACAAGTGTTCCGAACCAAGAAGAGCTGCACTTACTATCACCGCTAGGAGAGAACTTGTTGCCTGCGGAATCAGAACACTCTGTATAAGTAGACTTTGCCCCAATGGCCTTCACGACAGCGGCCGATGTCAGGTAATCAACGTACGTCTCCGGAGGCTCCGGGTCATTGCTTGGTGCTCGAACGTCATAGACGTCGAAATCTGCGACACTCGAAAGTGGTCCTTCAATTGCGTTGTAGCAGACATTGTTGGCGTTGCTGCACGCGGAATTGGTGCCACTGGAGTAGCATGTGTTGATTGCCGGAAGACATTTACTGTTGTAAGCATTGATGTACGACGTGTATTGACTCTTGCTGATCAGCGGCTTGTGGCTGTTGTTGTACAGATATGTAGCATAGGCGGGTTCCTGAATCTTGGCATCGAACCAGCCGTTGTTGATGCCTAGGGCGACAATGTTGATCTTCTCCCCAGCATTGGCCTTGTTCTGGTCCAGGATATATTTGGCAAATTCGGGCCTAGAAAGGGTGGCAAAGAGATCAGTCAAGTTCAGGTAAGTGCGAATGGACTCAGTAAGTCTCAGCACCACTTAAGCCTCGATACTACTTACCCATAATGTCCGCCATAAGATTCTGTGAAGATACCAAAGTCGCGAGATTCGTACTGAGGGAACGACGCATAGAACGCTTGAATCAGCTTATACACGTACGGAGCCGCAGTCTCAGTGGAAGTGACTGAATCGGTACCGTAAGAGAACCCCACGCCAATTGGCTGATCGATGTAGAGCATATTGGCATAGTTGTTGAAGCTAAAGGTATTGTTGACGGGCTTGGTACTCGACCCGCCTAAGGGAAACTTGCAGGGTCCATTTTCCTGGAAGAGCCCTATCATCGAGCTGCAGCCGGGACCTCCATTGAACCACGCAGCGAGAGGAGCAGTGGAGGGGTTTTGTCGTGCTTCGAAGAACCTTAGCCTGTCAGCGACGTCACAACTAGTAGTGGCAGGCAACTCACCAGAACCACATGTTCATGTTTGTGCCGACACTGAGGTAACCAGAGTATTGGTTGACGCCTGGGGTTGTTTCGCAAATGCCGGAGTTATTGACGAACTCAATCTTCGCGCCTGTGGCAGCATGCTCAAAGACATTGTATACAACGCCTTCGCGTTCGACTAAAGAGCGTCTGTCATGCTTAATAGATGGAGCAGCTGAGGCAAGGCCAGCGAATACAGCGGCCGTAGCCAGGAAAGATACGATCGAGCGCATAGTCAACGGTTGAAGGAGGCGATCGTTGCTGGAGCAGAGCTGGCTATCGGCGGTCTTTTATAAAGGTCGTGTAGGGTTCATGCCTCCAACGGAAAGTGAGCTCTGCATGACGGGTATGGCTCAACGCCAATAGATGGGTGTAGCAGCCATAACAGATTGAGTAGGTGGCTCAAGGAGAATGTGGCTGTGGGCAAATCACGCCTCGGTGTGCTGTTGATCGGCAGAATTACCCTGGATAAGGTCTCGCATCATCGGCGGAAGGAGTGACGAGCCGGGAAGGTGCTAGGATGAGCGAGGCTTGTAATCAAATGAGCACGACTAGGCACGACAAGCCTCAAGGCCCGACTTTAGTGCAACGGGTGTAACTTGGGGCTGCATCAAGGTCGCTACGGCTACCAGGTGCCAGTCAAACAGCGATCAGCGCAGGTCAGGTACATCCGCGAGACGTTCATCTCTAGTGGCGAAAAGGGGGCGTCGCAGTTGAATCGCCATATAGGAGTCCCAGGAACGAGGACGATTGGTAGGTTCTACAGATTAAAGCGGAAGAGATAAGCATTGCGCGATGCGCTAGAGCCGAGGCTTCTCGATGCTTAAAAGGGCTGCACTTCTGATAGGCTCATTCCGAAAGAACTATCATCAACAGGAAGGTATGTATGCATCGTCCCATGAGTACAAGCCTTGTTAAGCTTCAGCCTCGAGGCTTGCTTTGGCGCCTGCCAACCTGGGTAAATTAGCACCCGCTTTCTATAATGTATTGCGCAGGTGGCAGAACCTTCGTTTCGGATGAGCTTGGTTCATATCTTTGTAACGAGGTGTCTGTGAGGGCAGACCCTGCAGATGGCTAAAAGATCCTGCTATAGAGCAAGCACTGCGATGACTCCAGATCATGTGTGGCACGGGTTCGTTTTGAAAGTGAAGACATTTTGTTGACGCGGAGAAAGGCCGACGCAGAGCCGCCGCAAAAGGAGCGACGAATGTCGGTCTTTCTATAGGACTTCTGGCGGAGGAGGGCAGTGAATCTGTTATGTGAATGAAGATCCTACAGATCACTCAATAGGCGAACAAGCTTATTGTTATTGGTGCCCCGAGAGCCTTCGTGGATGATGCAGCTCACTCAATGTCACTCCGTATCATCGCAAGCCTAAAGCCGCCGTCCGTACCTTTGCTGGTCATCTCCAAGTGACTAGCCGTCCCCGACTCACAAATCCCTACTGCGGCACAGATACCGAGTCTGCGAAGAGGGCGCCGCGATCAGTGGAATTTAGGATACGGCTATCTCGAACTCAAGATGGCGGTCACAACAGGTGCTGTGGCACATGGATCGCAAATTTGTATGTACGAAGGAGCTCGTATTGTAAGTCACCACCCTCGCCAATCCTATGTAAGGTAGCCAAGGCTGACTCACTACATACGACCTCCTTCGTATGTATGAGAATTGCTGCGTGCCTAAGTTAGATTCCCTCACGACGAAAGCCAACAGGGTGGGTGAGCAAGTGGGTCAGATGGACCGGCAATGATTGGTCGGAGCTTAGAGCTATCGTGTGCTTGGCGAGCGACGTCAACGTTCCCATGGTTTAACTCTCAAGAACACTCGACTAACCGGCCCTTCGACCTGTCGCGTAAACAAGTCACAACTTTCTGCCTCTCCTCAACCCTACTCACACGTCTTCTCGTATCGCAAGCGCGGAATTCGCTGCCTATCCTTATCGCGCAGATTGTGTTAGGTGCTAGCCGCGGGCTATCCCCCAGTGCTCCATCGATCGCGCGTCGCTCTACATCACCACTCACACCTCCACACACACACCATGGCATCACGAAAGAAGGTTCTTCTGAAGGTAGAATAGTGACATCACCGGTGTACTTTGAGTTATTGACTAACGATGAGTAGGTCATCATCCTCGGTGACAGCGGGGTCGGCAAGACCAGCTTGATGAACCAATATGTACGCGCGCGCAGTGCCCCCTTCGATCGCATCGCAAAATACCCCCAGCAGCTCGGTCTGACACATAATTAGGTCAACAAGAAATTCAGCGCGAGCTACAAAGCCACGATAGGCGCCGATTTCCTCACCAAAGAGGTACTCGTAGACGATCGCCTCGTCACGATGCAGGTGCGGATACAGCAACTAGAACATATGGCATAACGCTGACATGGGACAGTTGTGGGACACCGCTGGGCAGGAGAGGTTCCAGTCTTTAGGCGTGGCCTTCTATCGCGGCGCTGACTGTTGTGTGCTCGTTTACGACGTCAACAACTCCAAGAGTTTCGACACATTGGATAGCTGGCGGGACGAATTTCTGGTACAGGCCAGCCCTATGGACCCTGAAAGCTTCCCCTTCGTCGTGATCGGAAACAAAATCGATGTGGAGGAGAGTAAGAGAATGGTGAGCTCATGGTGCGTCATGTTTGGACCTGACTAACTGCGTGCAGATCTCGCAGAAGCGTGCCATGACCTACTGCCAGTCCAAGGGCGGCATTCCATACTTTGAGACAAGCGCAAAGGAGGCTATCAATGTGGAGCAAGCGTTCGAGGTCATCGCGCGGCAAGCTCTTGCACAGGAGGAAGTTGGCGACTTCAACTCTGACTTCCCCGAGACGATTCCGATTGACCTGAAGCCTGGCGGTGACGGTGGCTGTGCTTGCTAGTCTTGGGCATGTTGTGCGCATCCAGCGCTTTGGCGACTTGCATATTCTACCTGAGTCTGTTGTGGAGTTCGGTGTTTGGCGCGTGCATATCTCACCATAAGAAACTCTTCTAGTTGTTTCATTTCTTGTACGCAATACACTGGAGGATCACATAGTACCCGAATATTGATATATCAGAATTTACAGCTTGTTATCCAGATGCATTTTCCGAGACCCCACGGATCGTAGTTAGACTTGTGCGCAAAAGTGACATAGCAATTTGACATTGGAACAACTTAAGGGATTCCGTATGTCGAATTTACAGTTTCTTCAGCAGGCGTTTAAGGGCGGACGTGACATGCAAGCGTACATGGGATGACATGGTGCGTCAGCTGCATCGCTCTGAAGCGGATGCCGGCAGCGCCACAAAGTGTGGCTTTCGTGCACGCGCCGCTGGCCGTTGGACTAGTGCACAAGGCCGAGCTGTGCCAGAAACAACAGATACACTTCAAGGGCTCCGAAACGTCCGTCCCTGGTCACAGGTTCCCTCAACTACCACGTTCACTGCCGCCTTAGACTTGCCGGTCACCCGTTCCAACGTTCCATGGGCACCCTTTCGCTCGATGCTGCGCGACAACGGAGCACGCTGACTTCCATCTCTCTCTTATCATATCCCCGACTGCCTCCCTAGAGCCTCCGCAACGCGCCTATACATACTCCGTCATGCCTCCGCCGCCTTTGAACGCGGTTCCCTCGCCGCGAAATAGCGAAGATGCCCAAGACAGACACTATGACCGAGACCCGGCAAGCCCCATACAGAGTCCGGCGAGCGTGATTAGCGTGTGGAGTGAGGGCAAGAAGCCGCGCAAGTCAAAATGGAGACACGCTATAGGAATCCTACTGTTGCTGGCCACAGTGTTTTTATGGACGGCGTCTAACTTCCTAGCTAGTGTGCGTCCCCATTCCACCGCACCCTGGAGAGTGACCAAAGCTGATTGTGCTGGACAGACTATATTCGCTGACAACTCCTACTCAAAACCCTACTTCGTTACCTACGTAAACACCGCGTTCTTCATGATACCCCTTATTCCTATATTTTTACGGCATGCTTGGGACGACCGAGACAACATCAAGCAGCAACCCTTTATTTTACAGATTCGCAACCTAGTACAGCGTCGTGTCGGTCGCTACAAACTCCTCCGCGACCATGAGTCTTCGTCTGGCTCTTCTTTGTTTTCCAAATCGAGCCGTGATCGCGCTTCTGGCGCAACCTCCCTCCTTCTCGGCGATGAGCTAGGTGAAAGCCAGGAAATAGGCGCAATGTTGGATGCTGAAGAGGAGGGACTCACGTTGGGCGAGACAATGAAGCTTGCGTTTGAGTTTTGTCTGCTATGGTTTTTGGCCAACTACTTCGCGGCCGCCTGTCTAGAATACACGACAGTCGCTTCGTCTACGATCCTCTCCTCCACGTCATCGATCTGGACGCTCCTTTGCGGTACGCTCATGCGGGTAGAGCGCTTTACCTTGCGCAAATTCATCGGTGTATGTGCTTCCCTCGCGGGCGTGATCCTCATCTCCTCTGTCGATGTGTCCGGCGAGACCGACGAAAACCGTGGTTCCTTTCCGCACAAGACGCCGCGCGAGCTCGCCATCGGCGACGCCATGGCCTTCATCTCCGCCGTCTGCTACGGCTTCTACGCCGTCTATATGAAAAAACGGATAGGCGATGAAAGCAAAGTGAACATGCCGCTCTTCTTTGGCTTAGTCGGCACACTGAACGTCTTCCTCCTCTGGCCCGGCATGGTCATCCTTCACCTTACCGGCACTGAGACCTTTCAGCTGCCGCCCACGGGTAAAATTCTTACCATCGTACTTGTCAACTCTGCTTCCTCGCTGGTATCCGACTTCTGTTGGGCATATTCTTTGCTGCTTACGTCTCCACTGATTATTACGGTCGGTCTTAGTCTGACAATTCCGCTGAGTTTAGTGGGGCAGATGGTGTTGGATAAGCAGTATAGTAGCCCGTTGTATTGGGTCGGCGCTGCTGTTATGGTAGTGTCATTCTTGTGTATCAATCATGAAGATACAAAAGACGAGGAGATGGGCACGCAGGGCGCGGAGCCTATTCTCAGTGTCAGGGAGAGTCTGTCGAGCAGGAGAGACAGCATGCGGAGTCGAAGGGATAGTATACGGAGCACCAGGAGTCTTCGTAATGATGCTACATGAATTGGGTCTTTTCAAATTTTCTTAGCATGCACGACCTGAGGGGTGCTATGGTCCGGATCCCATTAGACTAAAGTGCATGGGCAAGGTGTTAACCAATCTTATTCTTCATGTATGAATCAAATCTGAAGGGGTATCTCAAAGATATGCAAGTATACTAGTAGAGCTGCCCAAGCCACATCATCGCCTCCACTTCTTCCCACCCCCACGGTAACTCCTATCCCTATCATTGTCTCTTCGCTTCTCCTTGGCCACTTCCTTCCATTCCTCCTCATCGAGAACCTCTTCTGCTTCCCATCCTTCCTTCTCCATGAAATCTTCCAGGTGTTTCTGCACCTTTGGCTCCCAGGTGTCGGCGCCAGCCTCCAGGTCAGAGTACTCAAGCACATTCTTCTCCAGCTCGTAGTCGCCTTGTCGCGTGCGGATCAGAGAGGACATCAAGCCGAGCGAGTTACAGGCTAGCCCAAGGTCGTGGCAGAGGGAGCGTACGTAGAAGCCGGAGGTTACGGTCATGCGGAGACGCACTGCTGGGGGCTTCGGTGATGGCTCGGCTGGTTGGTTATCCTCTGTGGGGTTTGTCTTTGCTCCGTTGGCAGGTTCTGAAGCTCCTTCTGTGGGGGTTTCCTTGGTGGAGGCTTCCACTGGAACTCCATCTGCGGGTACTTCCGTCGGGGCATCTTGTACCGGAAGTGCGCCGGACATAGAGTGCTCATCGTCCTCCTTCAGTTTCTTGGAAAGCGAATTCTCGTTAGCCACAATCTCTTCCTGGGGCGATCGCGACCTCTTTCTGCTTCGCGACGCTGCCACATCTGCATCCTTCTTCCGTATTCCTAACAGCTTCTCCGCGCCCACCTTTTCTGTACCATCGACCTCTTCTTTCGGCCACGCAAACTCATGCGACCCAGGCTCCAGCCATTCCACGAGCTCCAGCTTCTCCACCTCTACTGGCCTCGCCGGTATCTCAGGGATATCTCCGCCGGCCCTGGCGTACTCGTACATTTTCTTCCCGTCGACCTTCAGCGCTGAGAATATGCTCGGCTTCTGCATAATCTTTCCCCTGAACTGAGCCAACTTTTCTTCGACCAATTCCTTTGTAACATGCTGATAATCGTTCTTGCTCACAATCTTGCCTACTGCATCATAGCTATCCGTTGCAGCACCAAAGAGCACCACGCATTCGTACGACTTGGTGCATTCGAGGAAGCGCGAGAGACACTTGGTACCGCGCCCTACACCGACTATCAGGACGCCTGTTGCGAGCGGATCGAGGGTGCCGCCATGACCGAGCTTGACTTTGAGATTCTGGATGTGCTTTCTTTTCGAGCCGGATAGCTCCATCGAGCGCTTGGTGTGTGTCAGCCATGGAGCGAAGAGGGTCGATTTGTCGAAATGAGTTTGGAGATCGCGAAGGACGCCAGCGGAGGATGCCCATTGGGGTTTGTTGATCGCTATGCGTTCATTAGCTCTTTCCTCGACAAATTTTGGAACCGAATTATGTCGCATAGGTTCGTAGAAGCAATTTAATTTGGAATTTTGCTTACCGAAAATGCCCTCGAGCACCTTCCGGCTTTCTTTTGAGGAGGAAGCCATGGTGGTGCGCTTGAGTTGGTGAGGGAACATGGGCGGGGCGGGGGAGCTTTCTTCAATTGAGCTGCTTCAGGAACGGTGACGGAAATGCTCCGATTTAGCGGCGCCGATCATACACGTGATTCAACTTTCCAACCTGCCGCCTTCGCAAACATAGTCCATTGCGCGAAAACTTCTCGAATCGCCCACACGCGTCGCATCGACATAAAAGCACTTGCAACCTCTCACTCAAAGTTGCGCGCCTCCTATCGCAGGTTCTGAAAGAGGGAAAGATCACTGTCGACTTCACGAAACCGGGCACTGAAGCGCTCAGTTCCTGACGCCCGCGTTATAGACCAACACAATATCCGGCATTATGGCCGATAACAAAGATCTCGAAGAAATTGCGAAGAACTCTACCGATGACTTCTACGAGCTCCTCGGTGTGGATGTCCTTGCCGTTGAATCAGAAATAAAACGCCAATACCGCAAAACCTCCGTGAAATACCATCCCGACAAGAACCCAGACAACAAGGATGCAGCGGACCAGTTCATTCTCCTCGGTATCGCTCGTGATATCCTCATCGATCCCACCCTCAAAGGCGAATATGACAGACAACGGCAGCGACGAAAAGAGAGAGAGCTCGAGAAAGAGCGTCTGGGCGGTCAGCGGCGAAAGATGGTGGAGGAGTTAGAGAAGGCAGAGCGCGAGGGTGTACAAAACCTCAAGCGGCGACGTGAGGAGGCCACAGAGCTCGAACAGAAGATAGCACGGCTCGCAGAGGAGGGACGGAAACAGAGGGAGGAATACCAGGCCCGCCTACAGAAGCAGCGACAAGATGAGGAGCTCAAGGCACAGGTAGACCGCTCAGTCAAGGTGCGGTTTCGACGAGAGGGCGAGGCTGCGACTTGGGATAAAGACATCATGACGAGCATATTTGAGCGGTATGGACAGATCGATACCGTGGTCATGGGCAACGACAAGAAAGTCAAGGTTCCTGGAGAGAAACACAGGAGGCTAGAGGCTGTTGTGACTGTTGTCTACGACCGTCTCGACAGCGCACATGCTGCGATTCTTGGTGGCAAGAGAGATTACCCTTTTCTAGAGTCTGTCGCATGGGCTAGCAAGGAGTCAGAGGCGAAGTCAGACCTGAAGGGCAAGTTCTCCGCACCTTCCACGCCGCTAGGAACTCCACAGCCTAGCAAGATATTCAAGGCTTCATTCGGTATCGGAAAAGGCCTAGGAGCTGCCCCTGGAAGACCCCAATTCGCGAACCTCGCCGAACTAGAAGCATATACATTGAAAAGGTGCAAGGAGGTAGATGAAAGAAGGCGGATGCAGAGAGAACAAGCAGCTTGAGGGGAAGGTCAAACTGAGCGCCGTGCGTTATCCTGCGGCGGGCAACGCAAGGTCGAACAGCATTTGGCATCGTACGAGGTCATGAATTCCTTTCAGTGAAATGATACCCACGGCAGAAGGCGATCTCTTCGCTTCTATATTGTAATTATACATGTCGACACTACCATGACTTATGTCCTTGCTCGACTGTAGCGGGTGATACCATAACGATTGTTGGGAAACTGCGACTCATGCTCAATCAAACGCGATCGCCATCAGAAACATCCCAGTGCCATTTATAGCCTGACGATTCCCAGCAGCGTAGCTATGTACGGTGGTCAAATCGTGAACGACTTGTAATAGCCAATCTCACCGAGTAAATAAGGGTTATGCTGCGACATTACTTCCACATACGACCACAGGATCCTGAACACAGCGCTTCCCGTTCGCTCAGCGGTACTTAAGCAGGATACCGGCGGATTAGTACGGAAATCGGTGATCGTTCCGGAATCCCCGCTGTTGTATGTTTTTGGATTTTTAAGGCGCAAGTTCTTGGTGGGTGACCATTTGTTTGGTGCTCATCTACCTTTTTGAAAACTGAAGGACTAAACCACCAGAGCTGTGTTTATGCGCTGTGATCCTAACATATCTATAATGACGCCCAACAGTGCATCCTTCTCACAGCAGGATCGGACATTTCAATGGATACAACTTCAAAGCTGGTGTGGTATTTCAGCAAGGACAATTATTGTGCAAGGCTGTTTATATAGTACTTCAAATTCTAGTTACGAAATTCATTTTTCCGACTATCTTAATCGGGTATCTCCAAATTCGTTGTATACATGAAATGCGCTACATGAACTGGGCGGATGGGAAAAGGTTGCTGAGCGAGTTACGTACTGACCTGAGCGACTTAACCATGCTGAGATCACCTTATTTTTCTCCAACTATGAGCGCTCGATCTCAAACGCATACCTACGCGGATCCTGCTCCTGCTCCGCTTCCTCTTCGCCTACCTCTACTACTTGCGCATCGTTAATGTTGATAGCGGTAGCTGCATCCTCTTGAGCGATGGCATCGATAATGTGCTGCCTAAGAGCCTCCAGTCTCTCTCTCTCCTCCATCAATTCTAGGTAAAACAGCATATCGTAAAGTCCACGCTCATAGAGCTTATCTAACGCCAACCTCAGTTTCGGCCCAGCGTCGTCAAGATGCCACAGTACGACATCTTCGAACTGTCTCAGACGATCCACGCGGATGCAGAATGCGTTTATTGCAAATTGCGGATACCACTCGATAAAGTGGGCGACGTTACGCACCAAGGCTATGAAGGCCTCCTGTCTATCCTCGGACCGATCAGCGTCTGGCCGAAGGGCCCCAAAGCCGTGCTCGAAAGCGTACTCGAAAGCGGAGACTAGGTGATGATGGTACGTGTGCATGACTAGATTTCGGGCGTCGTTGTTGTCATGATTGATACCAGGCTGGGGTTCGGCATCATCGCCGTTGGGGTGGATTTCAGGCTGCTGTTCGGCGTCGTCGTCTTCGTCGGCTCCGGGCTGGTGCTCAAGTTCCCAGTCCCACTGCTGTAGGAGCTGTTCGTAGTTGATACCAAGCCTTGCGGCAATGCGTACGAGAATATTAGGTGGTGCAGGTAGGTACGGTAGTCGCTCGATACCCCAGTCCCCATTATGCACGTTATTCATGTGCTCGTAGGTCTGCCCGCTGGTGCCGAGGGATGCGAGGCAGGACCAGCAGAAGTGGACCATACATGCCGGGCATCGCATGTGGTTGCATCCGGACTCTTTGATGGTGGTGGTACTGCATTTTGGGCAGTCTTTTGCGCCACTTTCCCGTTTCCACTCGTCCAAGCTCGCGTTGTTGCCGGCTTGCTCGCAGGTGCGATTGGGATGTGCTGGAGCGTTGCACGTGAGACAAAAAGGCTCCCGGCAGCCATAGCACGTTATAGTGACCGGCGAAGCATCAGGCGGCAACATTCTCTTGATAGGATTGAGCCGGCCGCATGTCGGCACGGGACAGTACCGGAACTTGGCCGGACGAGAACGTATGTACTGCTTGAATGAAGCCTCGAGTAGCTTGTCCAGCGTGCTAGCTGGAAGGGCTCGCTCTAGATCACATAGCGACAGAGGCTGGTTGCATGCTCTTGAATCTCCGTAGCCTTCAAGGCACCTGATGGGAAATTCCTGCGAATGTTGTGTACACTGATCGACGAAGCATTCCTTGCAGTAAACATGGCCGCAGTATAGTCTGAGAGCATCCTCAGCAGGACAGGTACATACGGGGCAGTTCACCTGCCGTGTAAGCGGAGTGTTCTTCCCTATTGGAACCGTGCTGGGATGCGGGTAGAATGTATCCTTCCGCGGCAAAGTCATGTGAAGAACCTCTGCGCCGAGCGTAAAGGTCACCGAGACTTGGTCGAACGTTCGGTGCATCCTCGTCTGTTTTGACATGGCTGCGGTGTTAGAAAAGCTCAAGGAAAACTGCTATCGTCAAGGGCCGCTTGAATATACTTGCAGGTGAACGCAGTCGATGACTTCCTCATCTTTGTGGGCACAACTTCTACCTTCTTTACTAAAGGGCCGAAAGAAAAATGCATTTCAGAAAATGATGCAGCATGTAGACCAGACTTGGCGCGAAGAGTATCCTGGGATGACTTGACTCACTATGCACCACCCACCTCGGTACTGAATCTAACAGCCACGGTATGCATTCTATAAATGATGAGTTTACAGTACAGAGGCTAAAGTACGCGTCTAATACAGCTTGGTAGAGGCCGGTATACTCCAAAGCCTTGCTCGGTTTCTGTAACTTGACAGGTAGATTCCCATGGTTCGGCCAAGGCGATTATTTCTTGCAGCCGCAGCTCACCGGCTCTTTCATTAGCTCAATATTTCTCACTATTCACCCGTTCAATATGTCTTGCTACTCTCTGTTCCAGTGGGGTTCAACTTCAAGGCAGCATGTCTGCCAAGACTCACCCGGGGGGCTCTTACTGGGATTCATTGAGTGCGACCAGCAGCATCCTTTCGACAACGCTGAGCAATTTTCGCGATCACAAATCGTCTAAACCATTTCTGTCAGGGGTGGGTTGATGTCTGGAAGCTCGAGACTTCAACATTGTTTGCTTATCGATACGAGGTAGGTATCGTTGACGTGCAGGTCTGAGCTCGGCTTACCCTAGTCGCGTCATCCGCTATCGCCGCCCGACCAACGAAGCTCGTCTGCACGTCGCATCGTCACTAATTCCCCGCCCGCCAATGTCCTCGACGCAGGCAACCCAGGCCGACAAGAAACGCAAGCATTCGGACCGAACTATCAAAGAGCTGTTCACCTCCCAGCAGAAGCCAAACGTCTCTGGCACAGCTCCCCTCTCGCCTTCTTCGAAGCGCCCCAAGCTCGGTAGCTCCCCAGCCGACATTGAAACGACCCCAGAGAAAGCCATGAGCACCGCCAGCATGTACCACTTTCCAAGCAAGCGAGGGGAGCCCGAGGTGATAGACCTAGGCTCGAGCCCGGACAATAGTCCTGCGAGGAAGAACGGTTTTAGGAAGGCAACGCCGAACATGAGCGCGAATACGGGACCAAAGAAACTGCTGGTGAAGAACTTCAGGCCTACGCGAAGTGTCGATCCTAAGGCATTTCTGGACCAGACATGGAAAAAGGTGGATGCTGCGTTGGACACCATCTTCCAGCAGGGCAAGATCAACTTTAGCTTGGAAGAGCTCTACAGAGGCGTCGAGAACATTTGTCGCCAAGGGATGGCCGTGGAAGCAAAGAAGAGGCTGGTTGTAAAGTGTAAGACGTATGTGGACGGGCCTTTAAAGCAGCGAGTTGATGAGATGCTGGGAAGGAAGAATGTTGATGTTTTGCGGGCTACGCTACAGGCGTGGGCGATATGGAACGAGCAATTGGTACGTGGTACAAGAAAATGCGAGATTGAGCTTGAGTCTAGATTGCTAATTGTGTTCAGAAATATGTCGACTGGATCTTCTGCTACCTTGATCGTTCGTATCTGCTGCCCAAACAAGAGTCGCTCCGCGACATTACCGTCAAGCTTTTCCGCTCCAGCATCTTCGAGAACCCAAAGCTTAACCCTCGCATCGTGGACGGCGCATGCGACCTCATTGCAATTGACCGAGCAGGCGAGGATCTTGACCGGGAGCTGTTCTCCAAGGCTGTCGACATGTTCCATGACATGCAGGTCTACACACATCACTTCGAACCGCGCATGCTGGAGTTGAGTCAAACATATGTTAAGGAGTGGGCGGATAGGGAGAGCGCAGAGCAAAGTCTGCCAGAATACGTGAAGAGTGCACAATCGCTGATGAAGAGTGAAATCACAAGAGTGGAAGTCTTCCGATTGGATGGGTCAACCAAGCGGGATCTTTTAACACTACTCGAGGATCACATCATCTCGCGGAAAGAAACGAGGCTCACTAACGAAGATGAGTTTGCTGATCTACTTGAAGACAATGCAGTCGAAGACCTTGACCGGCTGTATACCCTCCTTGAGCGACGCAAGCTGGGTGTGAACCTACGACCGGCTTTCATGAAGTGGATCGAAGACACCGGTACCTATATCGTGTTCGATGAGAAGGAGCAGGATGGCATGGTGGTAAAGCTGCTGACCATGAAGCGCCAGCTGGATACCATTTGGAAAGTGTCATTTCACCGGAATTCGGCCTTGGGTCATGGCCTCAGGGAGGCTTTCGAGACTTTCATGAACAAAACAAAGAAATCCAGCGGAACATGGAACACAGACAACTCTAAACCTGGAGAGATGATCGCGAAATATGTGGACATGCTGTTGAGAGGTGGAGCCAAGGCCATTCCTGCACAGCTGAGCAGGAAGACGGAGAAGGCCGTGGATGTAGATGCTGAAGAAGACAACGAGGACGTGGTCTTTGACGAAGACACCGAAGTTAACAATCAACTTGACCAGGTGCTTGACCTATTCCGTTTCGTGCATGGCAAAGCAGTGTTTGAGGCTTTCTACAAAAAAGATCTCGCCCGTCGGCTGTTGATGGGTCGAAGCGCAAGCGCTGATGCTGAAAGGAGTATGCTGGCGCGACTAAAGACCGGTATGATCATCCCGTTCCTCGTACTTTTATACGCTCGCTGACCTCGCGCTAGAATGTGGTGCTGGCTTCACGGCCAATTTGGAGCAGATGTTCAAGGATATCGAATTATCCCGAGAAGAAATGTCTTCCTACAAGATGATTGCCGAAGAACGGAATGAGAAGCACGCTATCGATCTCAACGTGAACGTATTATCAGCCTCTTCGTGGCCAACCTATCCTACCGTTCCCGTTATCATACCTCGGCAAATCAAATCAGAGATTGACAAATTCGAAACACACTACAAAGCGAAACACTCTGGCAGGAAGCTGGACTGGAAGCATGCGCTTGCTCATTGTCAAGTCAAGGCGAAGTTTCCAAAGGGAAACAAAGAATTGGTTGTATCGAGCTTTCAGGCAATTGTGCTCTTGCTGTTCAATGGCCTGCGAATCGATGAGCACTTGAACTACGAGTACCTCAAAGAGGCCACCGGTCTACGTAAGTGTTCGAACAGCTCTGCTGCTGACTTTTCCACACTAACATCTGTCTAGCACCACCCGAACTGAACCGCACGCTTCAATCACTTGCTTGCGCCAAACTACGGCCACTAACTAAACATCCGAAGGGTCGTGAAATTAACCCGACCGATACGTTCACCCTCAACGCCAATTTCACTGACCCAAAGTACCGGATCAAGATCAACACTGTTCAGCTGAAAGAGACAGCTGCAGAGAACAAGGAGACACACGAGCGCGTTGCAGCAGACCGCAATTACGAAACTCAGGCTGCTATCGTGCGCATCTTGAAGGCGAGGAAGAAGATCACTCACAGCGAGCTAGTCGCAGAAACAATCAAGGTGACGAGGAATAGAGGAACGCTGGATGTGTCAGGTATCAAAAAGAACATCGATCGACTGATCGAGAAGGAATTTTTGGAGAGAGAGGACGATGGCATGTATGCTTATATCGCCTAAGCTGTCGCAGACGGGTATCTGTGACAGGCCGCACACTGTACTATACATCGGATCTTGAGTAGTCCTACATGTATGTTGTACGTAGGCAGGACACAAACGGACCACGTCAGTATCGCTTGAATACATCTAATCGACTATGAGCTAGGATCCACTACCGTGGCCAATGGGCGCTTGACAGCGGTGTAGGGCACATCCTTGTACGTGCATACTGTGATGGGTTTTTAGAATCATAGCTACAGACCTCGGTCTTGCTCTTCCCGACATGACTTTTCAATATTATTCCACTCACAAGAACACATAGACTGCTTTCCCTCGTCCCACCTAGTGCAGAAGTCCAAGCAGAGACCCACCATACCTCCGATCATGGCAACCCCACTATACATCCTCGTCACAGGTGCTACAGGCTTCATTGGCGCCCACGTAGTTGACGAAGTAAATACAGACAATTTTAGTAGCATGTTTAGGACGGACACCTAACCCATGCCCTCGCAGCTTCTCCGCCGCGGCCATCGCGTCCGCGCAGCAACACGCTCCATCCAAAAAGGCGAGCTAATGAAGATCTCCCGCCCGCAATACGCCGCCCAGCTCGAGATTGTGCAAGTATCCGACTTTTCCGCATCGGCATCTTTCAAGGACGCCGTGCAAGGCGTCGACGGTGTCATTCACGTCGCGAGTCCCTTCACGTACAACACCACCGACAACGAGAAAGAGCTAGTCAAACCGGCTATCGCGGGCGTGAAGGCCGTGCTCGAGGCCGCAGCGCAAGAGGAGAAGGTGAAGCGAGTGGTGATTACAAGCAGTTTTGCTGCGATTCTGGATGTGGACAGGAAGGTGCCGCCACGGTTTACTTATACAGCTGAGGACTGGAATCCGCTGAGCTATGAGGAGGCTGTGGCAACAGAAACGAGCGCGGTAGTAGCGTATCGCGGGTCCAAGAAGTTCGCGGAGCTGGCGGCTTGGGAGTTTGTCAAAGAACGCAGGCCTGCGTTCGATATAGTGACATTGGCTCCGCCAATGACGTTCGGGCCGATCGTTCATCCCATTGATCGTCTTGCAGATCTAAATGAAAGCAATGCGATGTTATGGGCAGTGGCTAGCGGGAAGGCATTGCCTGTTGCGCGCGTACCGTTCTGGGTCGATGTGAGGGATCTGGCGGTTGCCCACGTGGAGGCGCTTTTCAGGCCTGAGGCGGGCGGGAAGAGGTTTGTGGTTGCGAGTCCGGAGAAGTTTTCTTATGGGCTAGTGAAGAAAATTGTGGAGAGAGAGTTCTTATGGGGAAGGAAGAGGGTGGCACAGGGGGAGCAGGAGGTGGATGATAGCTATGATTTGGATGGAGAAGCGGCGGGGAGGGAATTGGGCGTGAGGTATCGGAGTTTCACAGAGACGGTTAAAAACTTTGTGGACCAGGCTTTGAACATGGAGTACAATGAAAAGAGATGAGATATGGTGAAATGGAATAGGCTCGGGGTGTGTTGTCGGAAGGACTGGGCTACTAGCAACAAGTTCACCTATGAAGGTACCTCACTGAACATGCTTCATTGCATGGGAGATGACTATGAACAATTGTGATCGAAAGGGACTCATGGTAGCGCAGGAATGGGAACGCTCCTCCCATCTGCGCTGTGGTGTCGGCAATGTGCCTTCCTTACTCGCGCGTGATGTTGTGTCAAGTGAAAGCCACAAGCAAGAATCTAGTTCGTCTTCGAAAACACAAGAAATAATGGTTCGACAAGAATAGCATCCGAATGCTGTGCTACGCGATTACGTGGACTCAATCGCGCGAAGTATGGGGCGATGTACTCGGCAAGTCTTGGCGTAAGGCGCACAGGCAAAGTCGCGTATACTGGTCCCCGCTTGCACGCGTACTGACAACATCATCCCTCATAATTTATCGACGACGCGCATTCGCGCACCTCTCCCCTCAACCTTTATCGCGCAGCTACAATGAGCACAGACGTCGCGTCTTCTAGTGTTGCCGACATTACATCCTCCGCGCCCCGGCGCAAATCGGGACGCGTGCCCACTCAGCGCCAGCTCTACTCTCCCACAGGAAGCGCGAAGAGGAAGCGGGGAGATGGAAATGATAGCGATGTCGACAACAACGCACCCTCGTCGGAAGAAGAGGACTCAGAAAGCAGCGCCGACGAGGAAGAATTGAAAGAGCGCCGAAAGCAGAGCAGAAAGAAGAGGAGCGCGACAGCTGCGAAGAAGCCTCCACAGAAGAAACCAAAGACCAATGGGGAAATTACTGGTCTTGCGATTCGTCCGGCGACAAACACGAGGAAGAAGGCACCGCGATCGCGAAAGGCGCCTATTCGCAAGAGCGCGCTTGTCGATCAGGACGCTGACGGCCTGTATGGTAAGACATGGTGCAAAAGGAGACGTCTAACGCGGGTGCTGACTTTGTGGCAGCTGAGATATTTGCGCGTGGAACGCGCCTGAACGATGTCGCCGCGCAATGGATCGGCCGTTTTCACGAACATGAGGCAAAAGCTGTGGCGGAGATTGTCAATCTTGTCGTTCGGGCAGCTGGATGCCATGTTCAGATCGACGAGGATGATATCGCCGAACCAGACAACTGCCCGCATAGGCTTGGAGAGCTTCAGGATGAATACAATGCGGTATGTGGGATGGATTGGCCACACGCGCGTTTCTGACGGACAACAGGAGCAAGTAACAGACTATCCGCTCATATCAAAGACCAAAGGCGCCGCTGCTTTTCGAAACGCGTTACACGATTTTTTCATCGCCCTAACGCAAACGATAGCCCAGACTGGACTCATGTACGAAGAGAATCAGCTCATGGAGAACATACAGGTGTGGGTTTGCACCATGACTTCCGCCACGAACCGCCCTTTCCGCCATACCAGCACAGTAGCCGCTTTAGGGGTCACTTCTGGGTTAACGAGGATCGCGAGCGACATAGCAGAGAGCACGGCGAAGATGATGCGACAGAAGGAAACAGAGTCGAAGAAGTCGCGCGCAAACAAGTCACGTTTGGCCACGATTGACCAAGAAGTGGAGGAGCTCAATCAGAAATTAGAGCACGTGAAGGCTCTGATAACAGATTGGTTCGACACCGTCTATGTCCACCGATACCGCGATGTAGATCCTAAGGTTCGAGTTGAATGCTGCGAAGCACTGGCAGATTGGATCATGACATATCCTGACAAATTCTTTGACGGCCAACATCTACGATATCTGGGTTGGATACTTTCAGATACCAACGAGGGCACACGCGCTGAGGTTCTGAAGCAGCTTTCGAAGCTGTACCATGACAAAGACAAGCTTGCTGGTCTGAAGACTTTCACCGAGCGCTTCAGGGCTCGCATCGTCGAAATAGCCACTCGCGATGCGCATACCAACATCCGGGCTAGCGCGGTCGAGCTGCTTGACATCTTGCGCGAAGCCGGATTTCTAGAGCCTGACGATATCGACACCGTGGGCAAGCTCATCTTTGATTCGGAACCGAAAGTTCGCAAAGCTGTTGTTGGCTTTTTTGCCGAGAACGTTAACGCGGCCTACGAACTTCAGATTGAAGACATGGGTGGACAGGAAGCGCTGGATGAGGCACTTACCGAACCAGATGACGAAGAATACAGAAACGCCAGGCTTGAATGGCTGAAGATGAAGTGTCTTGTCGAGCAGTTATTGTCTTACGATGAGGACACTGGGCTGCCTTCGCAGATCGAGCGTGTCACACCATATGGCGCTGAGCTAGGCTTGGTAGCTGCAGGCATAGAGTCGCGTTTCTCCCTCGCCGCTCAGGCGCTGTACGACGCAATCCCCGAGGTCTCGTCCTGGGAAGTACTGGCAGGCTATCTTCTTTACGACCATTCGCAGACATCTACTGATGTTGCAGGCGACGATGCCGAGTCTATGCTGCGACGGAATTGTAAGCTGGAAGAGCACGAGGAAACGGCGCTTTTAGATATTCTGAATGCCTCGGTCCGGATACGACTGCAGCGGCTAGCCGAGACACAGAAAGACAAAAAGAGGACGAAAACACAGCGCACGCAGGACCAGATTGAGCAAGAAGATACAGCTAAAAAGCTCACGACTGTCATCCCACAGTTGCTGAAGAAATTTGGCGCGCTGCCAGAAGCTGCATCCTTGTGTCTTCGCCTCGAGCGCGAGCTCAATCTAGACGTGTTTCAGGAGCTACGACAGAACACTGCGTTGACGGCGCTGCTGGACGACATCAACAAACAATTCCTCACGCACAACAGCGAACGCGTTCTTGGCGAAGCGATAAGCTCGATACTGCATGCTTTAAGCAATGATGAGCTTAGGGAGCTTGTCGACAGCAAAACCCAGTCTCTGTGGGATGACCTCTCCGGGACATTTGATGCTTTGCGACGTGGGCGAGATCTTTCGATCCGTGGTGGAATTGAACAGAATATTCTTGCCGGCATTTCCAACATTGTGTTGAAGATGTCAGAGCTCGCAAAGGCCTCAGAACCGGCAGTCTTGGACCAGATCCCCGCACCAACAAAGGCCAGGACCAAGAATAAGAAGCCTGCTGCGTTGGACACCCCACCTATGTCGGCACTGCTGGAAATGCTCGACCGAGGCGTGCCTGCTGACGACTTAGAACCTGAAGTCGATGAAGCTGAGGATGCCCTTGTTCGTCATACCATGTCATTAATGCTTCCATATTTCCTCTGGAAGTGCAGAAATTTCTCGACACGTATTGAGGCCGGCACACGAATACCTGATGATGAGCTTACGGTAGTAGCAGAACGACGAGACATTTGTATCACTGCGCTCATGCGTATCATTGAAAGTAGGAAGGCTGCAGATGAGCTTCGAGTCGAAGCAGCGGACCTTCTGCTTGACCTGTACAACCTGTTTCGGGCACTGAAGGCAATGCAGGCGAAAGCTAGCAAGGGAGCAAAGAAACCGAATGGACGTGCGTCTGATGCGTCTGATGATTGGGAAGCCTTGTGCCAGGAGATCGACGGCAAGACCGTTCGGCTGCTCCTACACATCCTGACGGCCTTGGAGCAAAACCTCGCGAAGCGACTCCAGAAGCGGCTCGAAGGACCTGATGTGGATGACGACCCGATCGATGACGACGACGAACCCGAGAGCAGCGACGACGAAGGCGACGACGAGCAAAAGCAGAGTCAAAAACAGATCCGCGCTTTACTCGCTGAGGAGCGCCTCTGCACCTTCGGCAGCCGCATCGTGCACGGCGTACAAGTCGGTTCTCTCGACGCCGACGACGAGAAGACTGTGCGGACGCGGCTCGAGCGCAACAAATCTAAGCTCACGCCTAGCTGGAAAGAAGTCGTCAGCCACCTTGATGTCAATAAGCACATCAAGGGTAAAGGTGTGAAGAAAGCTCAGCCGGCAAAGGAGTCGGCGAAGGCTGCGAAGAGCAGAGCCATCGTTGTCGATGATGTCAGCGAGGACGAGGAAGTGCAGGATGATCCGATTGAAGATGATGAGATGCCTGATGCTGATGCCGGAGCGGGAGCTGAGGTCGAAGAACAGGTCAATGGCGATGCGGAGAGTGCGAACGGGGATGTGGAGAGGGAAAGTGTGCTGGGTGATTGATGCACTGTATCTTTCTGGGAGTTGATGATGAATAGGACTTTCTGTTGAGCTTCTTAGCCGTTCTTGCTTCTCTATTGGTTTTCTTTCGTGCGCATAATTCCTTAAGGGGGTTATAGTTGTTGTGTGGGTATACCACTTCGTGAAAGGCGTTTTGCTCGATTACCATGGCGTTGGCATCAGGAATTAGGAATGAGTGAATGGAAGGTCTGAGAGATGCAGTGTGCATATTGATGTGGATGTTTTGCGCGCGTGCGGGGCTAAGTTCTGTGCTACCATAATGTATGACCAAATGCGATCGTGTAACGGCGGGTGATCTGCGTGACTGTTCCTTGCCATAGTGTTTTGGGAGTCTTTGCTTACAGGTGTGAGAAGCTGTGGAGTTGTAGACTCATCCGAGTATGTGAACAGTAGGTCCATAATGCCGTGTTGCAGCACAGGGCCTGCGTCATAAACCATGCGAACAGTGTGCGCCAAGTACAACATTTGTCACGAACGATATATAGAAAAATAGTCAAGTGGTGCCTTCATCATGGTGGTACGATAAGTAGTCAGTGAGTAGCGTACAAGTGTTCGGCCAGCTTCATTATTGTCGTCGCCTGCCAAATACCTCCAGGGCTTAGTTCAATAGCCCCAAGTAATAGTTCAGGCGGGCAAAGTGCGCTGACAATTAAATGAAGCCCAATCATAAGTTATGTAAAGTCTTTCCAACGTTGTTTCAAGGCGTGACTCCACTGGCTATGAGAACATCGAGTGATTCATCGTGGTCCCGCACTGACTGCTTTACTCCACGTCCTCATGACCACTTTGCTACTCTCACGCTTTGACGCAAAGAACGCACAATTACTCACAATGGACCTGAACACGCTAATAAAGGGGTATATAAACTTCCGGGCCACCTTATCCATATTCCTCTCTATTGAACACACTCTTATACACAAGCAACAGCAGAGCAGCAACACGTCACTCAGCAACACCAACCCCAATCATCTCACTGAAGTACAAAACGACCAACGAACGAGAAACCCACCATCGGATCTACGAACAACGACGAACCATCAGAACACAACAATTTAGTATCGCCACATCTAGAACCTTCAACTTACGACTGGAGCCTTTCACGAAAGCGAAGAACACGTATAGCGATCGAGACTTCAGAGTCGCTTTTCAGGGCACGAACGGGACCGTCGATCTGTGTAGAGAGCCAGACTGAAGATCACACGTCTATCGAAATCTATACAAAACAGAAGGAAAAGCGTCTGCAGATATCCACGATGACTGACCGCCGCAATCGCTGCACTCCCTGCAAAACAGAATCTAAGGTCTGCAACAAAAAACACCCATGCGATGAATGCGTTCTCGGTCGAACGCCCTGTTATTACGGTTCCAAACCAGGCAAAAGGCAAATTTACAGGTTCAAGGAAGACGAACTCCTACGCAGTAAGAACCTCGACCCAATGGAATACTCAGAAAGACCCTCCGAAGATCGATTGAAGCTGATAAAAAGGCTGAAGAACGAAGACGAGGCAGATTTCAGATGCGGGAAGGTAGAAAGGGAAAGGCAGAAGACGATGGTATGGGTCAGGAATCTCCTAGCCCTCAAGCAAGAAAAGCGCGTGAAAGCATGGTCAAAAGCTCTTCAGAGCCATTTCAGCAATTCCCGCCATAATGAAAATATCGTCTGGTTCTGCTACCATCCGATACTTTTTCATCATGTTCTCGATAAGACACCAAAATTCAGCGGAGTAGGATACACTCGAAGTGCTGAAGTGAGCCAACAGGTCATGGCACTCGAGATCGATGAGCGAATCAACGCGACTCGCGGTTTTCGTTCCAGGTGGGGAATTCTTCTAGAGTTGCGGCTAGATGGTGAAGGACTAGAGTTTTGGGAACAACAGGTACAACACGAACCTTTCTTTGACGGCGCGCTCCATAACATTGTATCCGGGAAGATGATAGAGCCCACAGCTCAAGGATGTGAGTTCGATTTCGTTGTTATCCTCCTTCACGTTGGTCGTTAACGTTAGTCAAGTGATATTGGCTTTGGAATGGCACGAAGACCATTCAAAACTCCCGCGACTTCCGCCTGGCTTCGACCAACCAAGCTACTACATCGGGGATTTGGGAAACGATATCAGCGATGATGCGGATGATGATGCGGATGCGATGCATCTAGACGAGGCCGAAGCTGCAGGCCCTTCCTTGAACAAGCGTCAACCACGAATTCGGTCCACTGATGATATCTCTATTGAGGGCGATACATTACAGCACAGTTATGAAGTTGCCGAGTCGGATGATGGGCTTCTCGAGAAGGGACCTCACAGAAGGTGGTTTATAGGCTATCCAGGAAAGGACGGGAGAGCTAAGGGAGTGACTGGCGACGAAGATCTCGCAGGATCAATTGAGAATCTTGAGAAAAGTCCCGACGGCCATGGACAGTGGCATATACTAAGAATGGGGGATGTTGACGACGGGTCTGTGCAGAGATTGAACGCGAAATACCGCATAGGAAATGAACTCGAGTCCAGCACTACACCAGAACGTAAGCTGTAATCATCAAGAACCCGTTTGACTGTGCTAACTCGAAAGCAGTACAGGAAGCATTCAACCTATGGCAAAACCCAATGACGGCAGTTTTGGCCGATCATCCCGACGGTGCTGGCTATGTTGAAGGCATCCAAAACAGGCAACCTCCATTCTACGAGCAGAATCTTCGCTATCTGGAACGTACCTTTGGAGCTCCTTGGAAGGTGACACGCGTGTTCGAACCGGTCAACACGTTAACGGCACAGCACGCTCAACGCAAGGAATATGCCTACGCGAAGGACGGTGGTCCTGTATGGAAAGATTTTGGGTTATACAGTATTCAGATTACTAAGAAACGTAAGTAATGGTCAAGTTATTTGGATGGTATAGCGCTGATTTCCGACCACAGTGGAACGTCAATTGAAGCGCCACGAAGGAAACCCCGGCGAACGCCCTTGGGACATGCTTACAGACCTTGTGTCTGGCAGAACACACAGTCAGCATCAACAAACTGCACCTTCAGGTGCGACAGTCAGCAGTAGAGCAAAGGGAAAGCAACGAGAGATATCCACAGAAGCTCGTGAGCGCGCCGAGACTTCTCCAATGCAAACAGGAAGCGAAGTTTCGAGTCCAGCGCAGAGTGAGGGCGGTTGGATAATAAAAGTGAGTGTCGACGGGGATATCATAGGTGTAACCGAAGACCAGAACGTTGTGACTGAACTCTTGGGATTCCTGGACTCCGATATGGGCAGAAGCCGCTGGTCAATACAGAATGTCGCATATGACCTTGAGGGGGAGGTCTTGAGAAAAGAGTATGGTGTGGGTCAGGGCGATCGGACATCTAAAGCAGGTATATGTCGCCCACTCAGTATAATGAAGGATTTCACTGACAAGCGGCAGTGTTGGACGCGATTGCGCTTTGGAGAAGACCAGGTCTTGCGTTAAAGTGCTTTTTTCCGAACAGGGTTGGTGACGGAAGTCGGCAACTTGGATATTCAGAAGTAAGCGCTTTCCTCACCGTCACACAAGCTGTATGACTCTTTGTTTACATGAAACTAGTCCAAGAGTACGACAGCTTATGTCGCTTTCATCGAAGCGTGCGAACATATTACCTATAGAGATATCCCGGAAGTCAAACGTTGGACATTGGCGTGGACTCGGCAACTCATGACGCACAAAGAAGTAATACAAGCACGACAGGGTTTTCCGCAGATGCTAGGCCATGAGAAGGACGAAAATGCTTATGATCCATCCGAACCCTTTGTCTCCGCGGATCGTAAGCTATACTTCCTTGCTGCCTTGTAAACGTCGGAGCTAATGGAGCGACAGTACGCAAAAACCTACGGGATTGGGAAGATAAGCACGAGAAGATCGACATGCAACGCTACCAAGAATTCACCGATCGATTTGGTCAAATCACTCTAGAAAACTTAACGCTCTGGAGGCAAGGAAAGTCAGCATTAGATGCTACCAGGGAGTATCCAATCTATTCTATCGTTTACTCAGACAATGGTAGCGGTCCGATGAAGGAGGGAACTACTGATGATCCTTTTATGAGAGACAAGGTCAGGTACATTCGGAAGCATTGGGATCAAAGGTGGAAGATCAGCCAAACCCTGGTCGAGGACCGCGAACAAGCTCTTCAACGCATGTTTAATGTTGATGGTGGGAAATGGCAGGCAACTCTACCCTACTACTGCACCGAAAACTGTAAGAGCTCTGTCTGCTGATATTGGACTTCACTAACAGGAAACCATAGTGTGGCGATCAATAGAAGATATAGAGATGTACAAGCTCGGGCAAGACAAGAGAATCACCCGTGACATGATAAAGAGTTTAGGTGATGACGACAGCGGAGACGAAGGTGATAGGGAGGACGACGACAGTGGAGATAGCGATGACGACGAGGAAGACGATGATGGCGAGGATGGAGATGGCAGTGAAGACGGTGATCAGGACGTTGCGATGGGCGGAGTGACCCAGTTCCCCTAGCCATACAGAGCTCCTCGATAGGTGCGGCCGTAGGAATGCAACGGGGCGCATAGATGCCGAATCGTCAACAGCCGGTCATAGGCCCAGGCGGGATGTACAACAATGGTCACATACAATGCGGGGGGAGAGGGGGAAGTTTTCTACGAGTAGAGCGACACAGAGATGGTAGACTGAATGTCTCGAGATCCAGGTCTGAAGGTTGCTAAGCGAGGTCTGGTTTCTGCATTGTGACGGGCAAGACTAGGGGCATTACATACGTAGTGAAACTAGGCTGAGCATGCATTTTGTGTTGGAGACTAATATGTTATCTGAGATGATTATACTTGCAAAGCAGATTGTGAAATGAAACCACCTGGGCAATGTCGCGAAACAGAGCCAAATTGTAGGTTGTTGCCTGATCACGAGTGCTTAGGTGAGCATATCGCACCCGTATAGGAGACTGGTATATTTAGTCTACTATGGCGTCTCCAGGCGCTTGTTGTTGCAATTGTGCCTTTCCACCGGGACCACAGATTCTCTACGCATATCACTTGTGAAGAGTGGGTGGGAACTTGTTTACAGGTGAGATTTGCTCCGAAGCCGCCCCTTTCTACAGATGTGTTCGTTGAGCGACATGAGCCAGTCACTAGCCAGTGTATGTAGTAAATCTAGTCACGTTGTGTATAAACAGGTCTACGAGCATATGAGTCAGAGTGGAGCCCAATCAGCACATGCGCTACGAAGTATCCCAGCTGCGGTTGGACCGTGCGAAATGACACATTCATGCGTCCACTTTCGACCAGCTTGGGCCATTACCAGAAGGCGCAGGGCAGAAGGCGTACCAAATGTTAGGGTTTTCTACCGTCCCCTCTAAGGCTTACGGATCATTATGCGCGATGCCTCCGCAGTGATTCATGGAAAACTCGAAGTCGCTTTGGTAGGAATTGGACATGGAAGGAACGCAAAGTTCCAGTTTCTGTAGTAAAGCACCGAGGGGACAGTCTCTAGTAAGACTCTCGGATCGAATGACCCCTTTTCGAAGTTTTAGCCTACCAAGATCTCAGTCGAGTTCTACTCGCCCCGCCACGTCCACAACAACATCCAAATGCGCGAGATACGCGCTGTACGGAACGTGCTCGCAGTCATGATATATGTCGTACTGACTGTCTTCTACCGCTCCCTACGCGGATCTCTTACTCGCCCGTCATTGGTCACTGTTATCCTGCATCGCAAGCGTACATATGGCCTTTTACAACATGGCAAAGAAAATACCTACCATCAAGCCCGTATCAGCGACAGATGAAGAATCACCCAAGTCATCTGTCGAACCCAAACGTCCAGGCACCAGCGGAACGGAGCTCTTCCTCACTACCAACCGTCGCACCGCTTCAGCACAATACGTTGCCGCGCAAAGAGCAGAAAATGCTTATAAGGCAAAGAAGAGATCAGCAAGTGCACGTCAACATCGGTCCGAGGCTGCATCCCACTTCAAGCTGTCCGCGCATCATCTGAAGGAAAGCGTCAAGAGCTGTTGGAGCATGGTTGCTGCAGTACCGTGGATGGTGAGGGAATGGAAAGGGAATCGACAAGCTGAGAATGAGAAGAAAGCCGTGGAAAGATATATGGAAAAGAAAAAGAAGCTGGAGGACCGTATAGCAAAGCAAGAGGTCCCCCAGGATAAGGAAAAGGAGCCGGAAAGCGTAGGTGCATGAGCAAGGTCATACTCACTGGTGGAATTCTGGATTTCATATGTATTAATCTGTTTGCACTCGGATCTACACTCTCGTTAGCCTTTGGCGTTTCTTTATGTCACCTGTACCCAAATCAACATATCATTAGATTTACTCTCTAGTGCGCTTTTATGTTTGTCAATCATCCAGGTTGCCTTTGCCAGGAATACTTCTTATTCGAGTTCTCTAAAAGCCTTGATTTCGGGATGTCATCCGTATGTGGAGGGATTTTAGTGAGAATGCGCTGTTGTAGAGTTCAGTTGGACATGTTTGGGCAAATGGCTCCCAAGCAGCCAAATCCTGCTCTTGGTGGGAGTTGAAGCGAGACGTTCGATGCTCAGACAAAGCATACATCACTGAATCATGCAGCATTTCGCTACTGTAATGCAGAGGCTGCTGTTTGTGTTTGCCTTCGTCTAAATTCAGATGATCCTGCATTTGCCTGTCGACAAGCTTTGAATACTCTCATTTCAACATGTTGGATCTCCACGCAGGAGTGGAGGTAATGGTTTGTGACAAGCGTGAGAGTTTGCGCTCAAAACATGACCAATTTGAAACCTAGGAAGCAAGCAACAAGACGTATTTAAGAGCCATAGACCTTCGAAGAACGAACGAAAACAAATTTCCCAAGAGACACTGCTAATTATCCCAAATCTCGTCGTTCAAGTGAAAACATGTTACCCGATCCACTTCAAGATCGCATCTATAACCTCCTTCTCCCCTATTTATGCACCCCGTGCGGTAGCTTTACACCGAATTACAACAATTTGCCCGGACAAATCAACGATGCCCTCGCTCATGCTGCTGCTCAACTCAGCTTCCTTGTCAAAACCTATAGCACTTACGACTATAATCCTGACGTCATCTCGGTTATCTTTGCGCCCTACATTGGAGAGCCAAGCATGGGCCTGACACTTCACGGCCGTGTGGTACTTCTTGTGCGAGTTCCAAAGAATTCAGCGGCAGTATATGCGCTCATGGGCGCGGCCCGCAATAAATCTGCCGAGATCATAGCGATCAATATCAGGTCAACGAACCTCCCGGAACCGACTGGAGGTGTCTCCTACTGGGTATTACCAAACAACTGATTCAAGCATGACTAAAGTGGGGAGTGAACCGGAGGATGATAGCGAAGGAGATGTGTGAGAATGACTTTATGCATTCCGCAGTGAATGGGATCTACAAGAGAGAACGCGGAACTAGCTTCAGGATTGCTACAATTACATGTGTTCTAAATTGCCTTTGTCACCCTCCCGCCATATCCTCTCCACCCATCCCCCCTGCATCCCTACCTCTCTCTACCTTTCTTAAGTATCCCCTACCACCACCACCAAACCGGCACCCACATCCACACCCAACAACTTCCCTTCACCGGTGAGAACCCTGACCAATACGTCGCCCACACACAAAATCCTACATCCAACAGCGCCATACCGAGATAAGCCAAGATGAAAATGATTAAGAAAGTACATGACCAGTTTATAATTGGTTGAAGGGACCGGCCTCGTTCTGGCATTTGCGCGGCTGCGCCATGTTCGGTGTAGGGAGGCGGTGGTACTTGATAGCAAAAGCAAGCTGGAGGCGGTGACTTAGGATTTCCGGCACAGAGGGAGGGAGGAGATGGAGGTGGAGCGCAAGGAGGGTTGGCGTGCTTGGTGTGTTGCGGGAGGAGAGGCTGGCGCTCAGAGGTGGAGGTGCTGTTGTGAGAATTTGTAGGCGTCATGCGGCCGTAGGGTATGGATCTTGCCATGGCGTTGTCCGGTGTCTCGTCGATGCAGACACGAAGGCTTGAGGTTGACAGTTCTTGTTCAAATCGCTGCTGCCTTGGGCGTAATGAGACTACAGAACGCTCTGCCGTTGCGCATACAGGCGAGTATCTGGAACGTGTCGGGCGTAGGTGAGGTAATGTCATCACTGCTCGCCTCATCAATACCTCTGCTTGATTGGTAAACATACAATTCATAAGTAAACAACGTTAATACCAGGCTCACAGCTTTGCCCTCGCCCAGTCTTTGACCACTTTCGCGCTGCCCGTCCCACTGTCGCCCTTGTAACCCAGCAGAAGCTCGAGAAGAGGCTCCATATGTGCAGCCTTTGGCGTGACGACTACATTTACGCGACCACCGTGCTTGCCAAAGCTCTTCGTGAACCGCTTCGCCCATTCCTCGATACCATCGAGCAGAATCTCATTCCCGCCGGCCCAGACCAATACCTCGCCAATAACAGACGCCGTGCCTTCCCACCAAGATGATGGCGCAGTGACGGGCTCGCTGTAGAAGTCACCCGCGAAGGGCGAGTCGTTACCTAGGAAGGCGGATGACCAGCGCTCGAGTGCTCTCCGATCGAAGCAGTCCTTCTCCGCGTTTGTTTCGTAAGCGCGTGTATGTGTGTTGAATGAACACCATGGCGAAAGAAGCAATGCGGCGTGCAATTTTGTGGGTAGGTGTAGTGCCGGGATCTCAGGATGAGGGTGCGCAAGATGTGACAAAAGCCCAAGACATAGGTTTCCGCCTGCCGAGTCGCCGCCTATGCTGATATCCGAGGGGATGCGACCGGTCGTTTGGACGAGATATCTGAGGACTTCAACAGCTTGTGTCAATTGAGTGGGGTATATGTTCTCGGGAGCGAGGCCGTAGGCTAGGAAGAGGACGGCTGTGTCGGAGCCTTGTGCGTTGAGCGTGTCTTTCATGTCTACGAGGTACTGGAAGTGGCCGGGTGTGGCAGCCACCACGTAACCACCACCTGCTGCTTGTTAGCCTGTGCGATAGCATCCTACTACGACGGTCGCACCATGGAACCAGAGGAGGACCCTCTTCGCGTTCTTGTTTCCCAACCAGTGCGCCTGTGTGCCGCTTGACAGCGTAACGCTCTCGGGTGCTATGCCGTTATCCTTGCAGAAGTTGAGGTAGGTTTCAGTCGTCGGAACGCGCGTGTACATCTCCTGCTCGAGGTCGAGGTTACCCAGCTGGGTGCGCATCATGGTGAAGATGACATCTTTGAAGTAATTGTGTGCGCCTTGCTGGCCCTTGAACGGCGAAGTCCATAGTCGAGCAGATGCGGCCGTCACTTGTGAATGGATCAGTACAGCTCTGTAGTACTTGAACACAGGGACGGACTAGCTTTCAGGGTCGTCGACGCAATGCCGACCCTGCTGCCGAAGGAGATGCTCTTCGCCTGGTCCGCCATGGTGAAGATTGGGAAGAATTGGGTAGGTCGGACACGTAGAATAGACCCTCAGAGAACAAGACGTTACTCACCATATTACCATGTTGATGCTCCTCCGTACTCCCGTCGCGCTAGTTCGTGGTAGCGTCCAGGAAGTGATTACCCGAGGCAGGAGAGCGCAGGCCTTCCCCGCAGATCCCCCCGACATGACTCAACCTGCTCAGGATTTCATGCACCGCACGACTCTTGCTTAAGAACAACCAGGACCTCGCCCCAGATTGGGCCAGCGATAAGATGGCCGGGGACGCGAATAGCCCGGCCGACGATGGCCCAGCCGATCATACCGATGGAAGTGCCTCGCAACCGCCTACGAAGAAGCGCCGGACTGGCACTTCGTCCAGAGGCGTCGCCAACCTCACCCCAGAACAACTTGCTCGGAAGCGCGCCAACGACCGCGAGGCGCAACGTGCCATACGCGAGCGCACCAAGAATCAGATCGATGCATTGAACAGGCGCATCCAGGACCTCGAGAGCCAGCAGCCCTACCAGAACCTCCAGCATGTGCTGCGTGAGAAAGACCAAGTCGTCGCCGAGCTGCAGGATGTGCGAAAGCGTCTGGAAAGCATCATTTCGTTAGCCTCACCGGTCCTACGCGGCCCGAGTGGCCTCAGTGGTACGTTTCAGCTCATGAAAGGAACTATTCAGTGGTCAATGGCACTCACGCGTCGCAGAATTGGCAGCAGCAGCGACTCGCTCGCCCCTTTCCGTTCCTCCATCCCACCCACCTGCTTCGCATCCCCACGATCCACGCGCCCTCAACACCACACTCGGCGAGATAGCTGCTGCTGCCTCTCCCCAGAATGGCGTGCACTCACCCAGCGTCGGCGAGGGGCCGCGTCACTGGGGTTACACCGGTGACCCACCTCCCAGCCATGACCGCCGCTGGTCTGCCGATGGCGCCCACTATCACCATGAGCGCGTCTCCCACGGTACACCTGAGTTGCCCTTCGATCAGATGCCTTTCGACAATGATAAGCGGATGGGCGTGAACTTCCTCTTGGAGAATAATGGCCAGTCGCGGCACTTGGATCCCAGCTTGCCTCCTCCCCCTCCTCCAATTACTGTCACAACCAACAGCCTGGGAAGTGGCCTCGGTCATCACGCGCCAATCTTGGTACCTCATCTCACCCTGCCACGCAATGTGCCCACGACCTGCCCGCTTGATGCCATTCTGCTTGATTTCCTGACCGAACGCCAGCAGCGTGCTGCACAAGGTGATCATATTAAGACTTTGGTAGGGCCACAGTACCCTAATTTTACGCCCATTGTCTATCCAGAACGGAACATCGAGGCCCATCCATTGTCAAAATTGTTCACGGATATATTGCGCACCTTTCCGGACATTTGCGGGCTTCCTGAGCAGGTTGCCATCGTCTACATTATGTTCCTGGTCATGCGTTGGCAGATCGAACCGACAGCAGAGAATTACGACAGGCTACCAGATTGGGTCACACCGCGAGCTTCGCAGCTCTTCGTTCCTCACGCGGTTTGGAATGACCATTTGCCATGGTGAGTTTGACGTCAGTTCTCCCTCGAAGTGACCGCCACTGATAGACTCACAGGCCCAAGTTGCGCGACCGCTTGATCAATTCTCAAACGTCGGTGCCGTTTGATGCTTTCTTCATACCGTTCACCACCACCATCTCCTTGAATTGGCCGTATCAACCAAAGGATGTTCTACTCCCAGCGTCTAAGCTCTATACCTCTTCGTTGTCTACCACGTCTTCTATCCCAGCGTCGAGCCCGTTCTCCACTGCCGTACACGCTGGCTCTCCCGTGGGACCCGCTACGCCTCACGCTGCCAGTACGCCCGGCACTACCAAGGAGGAAGATGAGTGGCTTATCAATCCCGCTTTTGAGAGCCACCTCCGCAACCTCAACAACTGGAGCCTGGGTCCTGCCTTCCGCTCTGCCTTTCCAGCCTTCGGCGATGCAGTTCGCATCAAAGAAGGGCGCTAGCGCGGCTTGTAGATGTCTGCCGCGCGCGGCCGGAAGGGGGCGTCTGGGTGGCTTTTTAATATACTTATTGCGAGTATCTGTATGAGTATTCAAAACGAACACGTCAGTATTGCTAATTGACAATATTGGTATGTATTCCTGATTTAGTATTCGCCTGAGGCCTGAGTCGGGTTGGCGGAAAAAGTTCGAGTTGTCGGACGGGCCAAGTAATGATTGTTGCGAATGGGCGATTATCAATGTATTGTTAGGTCACATCTATAGTAGCCCACTGGGGCTCGTTATACCAACGAATTTGCGGGGGCCTGTCGGCGCACTGCAACGAAAAGTACTCTTGAGTGACGCTAGGTTGCTTTGTGATGATATGCCCCTAGCTTGCAAAAGTTTCATGCCTACCCTCCGCATTTCCGAAGGCGTGATCAGGCCTCCACTATACAAACGCCTTGTAGATCCCTGCGTAGTTTGATGGTCACCTAGGATGCTGTGGTGTTGGGAGTCAGGGAGGATTCTTGGAGTCCTCAAAGCAAATATTGTTAAACAAGACCGGCTTTGGATTTCTTCTTCGCTATGATCTGACTGACTCCTGTTCACGGCATGCTTGGTCCGTGTCTTACCGGATTAACCATCATGCGGCCTTCAGTTCCTCTATAGCATGCTTCAGACAAGTCTGCTTCAGAGTTCGACGGAACATGTAGACGTTGTTCTACAGCATTCCAGCTGCTCAATCCGACGCCTTCGGTTTCAAATCCACATAGACCTTCGTAATCTTCTGCTGCGCTGGTGCAAAGAACAGATTTCCCTCCTCATCTTTGTAAGTACCGGTGTGGAACTCACTGACATCACTCCCCTTGTATGGCGCAGGAGGATTCGACCACACATGCGCCACAGCATCGTGCACGCATTCAATCTGAATGCCCCTAAAACCTCTCGCGTCCGCCTCACGCATCAAGAACCTCGCCAGCCCCGCCATGATCTTCTCGCCTTCATAGTCATGTCGTGTCGCAGTGGCATTTCGCATCAGAACCTCCCCGTGCGTCTTTGGCGCCCAGCTGTCCTTCTCGCGCGGATCAAGCACCTCCAAGACATGGTAAAGAGGACCAAAATGCGGAAGAACACCGAGCAGGGGCATCATTTTCTCCAGATCAAACGGGTCTGCGCCATCGTAGCTCAGCGCGATGCTCACGAGTGGGAAGTCCATCTGCTCGAGCAAGCGTTGGCCTTCCGCCTCGAATCCCTTCTCTTCCTGTACGCTCTTCTCGTTGCGGTCCCAATACAGCTTGCCGCCGCTTGCCTTGCTTTCTTCGCGCTTGAATTGGTACTCGGTGTCGAAGACGCCGAAGGAATGGCCGCTATTGATCTGGTGCATGACGAGGTATTCCGCATTATCGAAGCCCTTGAACGTGCGCGCGTTGATATTTTCAGGGTAGAGGACAGGCCACACGGGTGAGTGGAAGAGGTTGCAGTGGATGACGATGGCAATGGCCCATTGTGCATGTTTCGGCTCCAGTGTGCGGATCTCATAGCGAGGCTTGAGAGAAGACGGGTTGGATGGGTTGGGTGTCTTGGTGTTGTTGTTATTTTGACTCATGGCTGGAGTGTGCTTTGAGGCTTTGTTGCGTGGTCTCAATTTGCAAAAGCTCTGGCGGAACGTGTAGCTAGGATAAATAGTACGGCCGTGAGGCTGAGCTGACTACGCCGCAGCGAGATTAATTGTGCGCTTGGCAGCGGTGCGACCTTGAAATTTTGGGACTCGAATGGCTGACTGGGGAGGTATCAGAGTTCGATGGGGCCGTTGTGAAGCGATCTATATAAAGCGCGGGTCGTTCGGGTGTGCTGCAGTAGAGTGTAAGGTCTCCCCTCTAATCTACCTGTACCTCACAGTAAGGATTCCAAGATATTCAGCTTGGGAGTCGTTCCGAGTACGCCTTTCCAAAAGCAGAAAGACCTGTAAGAGCTGAGCGTGATATTACTTTAGCCTGCAGGAGTCGGAACAATCGGAGCAAACGTCAGCAGATGCGAGAAGCGATCGTTCGAGGTACGTAAAACGATGTGGATGGCCGAAGCTTTGGCTTGAGTTAAGATGTAGGCGGCACGGTGCTTTGTCATTCATGCAGGCAAGATCAGCTTGTGCATGTGATTGGCCCGAAAGGGAAGTTCGAAAGTGACTGAGGACTAGTAATATATTGACGGCTGTACTGAAGTACTAACAAGGTAGTCGCCAGGTTCAAAATCTCTCGTGACAAAAGCCCAAACATCTAATCGTGAATACCGTGGCCTCAATGCTAGTTCATGTAATCACCAAGTACCCACTGAATTTCGCCGGAGCTTACGTACGAAGTCGCTTTGCTTCTTGGTCTTTGGAACGATAAATTGCATCGAGTGTAGCTAACTTGAGCATAATTTGCGATCTTCTAATGGGTTTGTGATGCTAATGACGATGGCTTGATTGCGATACGATTATACTTTTTGATCCATGTTGCAATATACTGTGTTGATCCGAGATACTACTCGCCGAACGGTGTAAATCGTTCCAGAACACTTTCTGCATCGACAAGCTCGTTCTTTAGTACCTGCTCGTGCGCTTGGCTTCTGATCTTGATCTCGCACTCAAACTTCCTCGGCCGAATGTTGAACCCGTCGGTATACGCGAAAGTATCATATCGTACGCCCTTGAGCGGAGTGATGTCGAAGGCCCACAGAATCTTCGCCAGAGCAATAAACAAGCTGTTCGCTGCTAGATCCGCGCCGGGACAAATGCGCCGTCCCCATCCGAACGACGAATGACCTGCTTTTGCGGGATGCGGCTTGCCGGTTTCTGAGGTAGGGCTTTTCGATCTCTCTGCTAGCGCAGTGTCGAGGAAGCGTGTAGGATTGAAATGATGCGGATTGGGATAATACTCCTCGTTGAGATTGATAGCCCACGAGTTACCAAGGACCGTTGTCCCAGAGGGGATGTAGTAGCCTTCGTAGTGATCATCTTCAGTTGATGCGTGCGGTGTACCTCCAAGCACAGCGACAGGTCGCCAACGAAGGACTTCCTTTGCCAGAGCGCGGATATAAGGAAGACGTGCCTCGTCTTCGAAAGTAGGTGTTCTGTCCGGTCCAACGACGCTATCTAGCTCTTCATGTGCTGCCCGCAGGGTTTCTGGGTGCGTGACAAGTGCCAGAAAGGCAGAGCACAGCGTCGATGCGGTTGTGTCAGAGCCAGCGCCGAATAGAGATGCCGGGACATAAGAGAAATCCCTGTCGGACAACGGAATATGCTCCTTCTCACGGAGCTCTAAGAGCAATTTGCAAAGCGAATCCGGGATTTCTTCGCCTCGCGTGTTGGCTCTAACGATATCAGAGCGGACGAGATCGACCAACTGCATGTTTGCAGCCGCCTCTTCCTGACCATGCTTCTTGATCTCGACCTTCCATGGTGCCAATACATCCGGAACGTGCTTCAGAATTGGAAAAGACTCGACTTGGTATTTGCCGGGCACATTCAGCGACGAAGCATAGTGCATGAACTTAAAGCGCTGGTGAATGACTTCGGCATTCAAGGAGTCAATGCGGTGGCCGTATGCCACGGAGAAGACGATACTTGAGGTGAATCGCTCGAGAAGCTTCTCCCAGTTGTTTGGCGTTTCGAGAAGCTGATTGCACAGGCGTGTGGCTTCGGCGGTCTGGATCGGTTTGTATAGCCGGAGCGCTTTAGGCGTCATAGCCTGATGCAATAGCTTCCTCCTGACACTCCACTCTTTACCATACGGCTGTACCAGGATACTTGCACCGTCCCAAAGTATTTCGCCCATGGCCACCATACGTGGTCTCGAGGAATACTTCGTGCTTCTCTTCTCCATGAGCTCAGCCGCTACCACAGGATCCGAAATGATCACTGTCGGTTTCCTCCCGATCCATATTGTAAAGATCGGACCATATTGTTTTGACCATTTCTGGAATTGTATCCATGGTTGCGATTTCGGAAGTTGTAATTTATTCCCTACGAACGGCAGCGGCGTAGGTCCAGGAGGCATGCGATACCAAATCCAGGCATCGTAGAGGAGCGTTACGGTTGGTATAACGACTATAAGCGAGAGCCACGCATAGGGCGACCACAATATCGACTCTATAGCCATGTTAACGAGTGCGAGAAGAACGGAGGAAGAATCCAGGTATGTTGTCGAATGAGAACGGATTACTTACACATGAATCACAAGATGAAGCTAGGCTATTAGGATAGCAAGCGCGAGTTTCGGCAGTTGTGTAGGCCGCTGTGCTTTCCTACCGCGGGGTTGCATATCCGCGTTGCCTGTGTGTGGGGTAGACGGCCTCGCCCGAGAGGTTTAGAAAACAGTGAAGCGCGTGTAGAAGGAAGGTAGTAGATTCTCTAAGAGCTACAATATCTAAGTGAATTTAGGAAAGCTCAGGATCATGTTTCTCGATGAATGTTCGTTTCGTTTTGATGAATCCCGGTTACTTGGAAGAAGAGTCCGGAGGGATGGCCACCGAAGTGCGGGGCAGTTTGGGGAAGCACCGCCGACTCCACCCCCACAAACTGGCACTTTCCACAGCCTATCATTTCAGATGCTTACTCGTAGAGATGTATATCAAGTCACTTGTAATGGGAGTGCCGCGCAGAACTGTAACTTCGTTGTCTTCTTTTAAACCGCAACCGGATCATCCACCTCTCGAATAGGTATATACGCTTACAAGTCAATCTACACACCAAAGTGCTGCTTGCTACAAAGCGTACAAATTTCCCTTCGTTTCTTCCTCCTTTAACTACAATGGGCAGCATGTCCGCAGAGCCCCTGAAAGTTCTCATTGTAGGCGCAGGCTTCGGCGGTCTGACCGCAGCAATCGAATGTCGCAAGAAGGGCTTCGACGTGATCCTCTTTGAGGGTAACAAGAGCCGGCGCCAACTGGGCGACATCATCTCTTTCGGCTCAAATTCTGGTCGCATCTTCCGCAGCTGGCCCGGCGTGGAAGAGAAGCTGGATCCAATATGCCACCACAGCGACGGTCTCGACTTTCGCACCTACGATGACGAGTTCCTTTGTCGGCAGACCTGGGGCGCAGAAGCAGACTGGGGCAAGAGATTTAATGGCCATCGAGGCGAAATTCACGAAGTGTGTTGGAACCACGCCATTGAGGTCGGCGTGGACATTAGATTGGGATGCAAGGTTCAAGAATACTTCGAGACGGAGACGGAAGCAGGCGTCGTAGTGAACGATGAGAGAATAGTGGGTGATGTGGTTCTTGCAGGAGACGGTGTGAGGAGTTTGGCGCGGACTATCGTATTAGGGTTCGAGGACAAGCCAAAGAGCTCTGGATACGCAGTATATCGAGCATGGATGCCTACTGACGGGCTGAAGAAGAACCCATCAACGGCGTGGTTGGCCAATCCAGAGAAGGATCTCCACGTGGGCTGGCTAGGACCTGACGTACATTTCTTGGTTGCAACATTACAGAAAGGCACTGCATGTTCTTGGGTACTGACACACAAGGTAAGAGACTGAACATGTCTGTATGAACATAACTTAACACATCTCAGGATGAAGCTGATGTAGAAGAAAGCTGGTCTGCGCCTGGCTACGTCGACGAAGCGATCAAGGCAATCCCTGACTGGGCGCCGATATGCCACGATATCATCCGTGCAACCCCTGAAGGAGCCCTCGTAGATTGGAAACTGGTGTTCCGAGACCCTCTGCCTACGTGGATAAGCCCAAAGCGGAGAATCGCGCTTATCGGAGATGCGGCCCATCCTTTCTTGCCAACTTCCATTCAGGGTGCATCGCAGTCAATGGAGGATGGTGTGACGGCTGCCGTATGTCTCGAACTTGCAGGCAAAGAGAATGTACCAGAAGCCATTCGTGCATACGAAAAGATTAGATATCCTCGTGTGCTCGCTACGCAAAGGACTGGAGTAACTAACCGAGATGCCTGGCACAAGGCAGACTTCGACTATGTAAGAAAGAATCCGGAAAGCGTGAAGCTACCGCGGATGGACTGGGTGTTGAACTTTGACTGCGAGACGCATGCGTACGATGTGTATAACGAGACAGTCGAATCTCTGAGAGCAGATCCGAATTGGAAGCCGGACACGACGTTGTGATACGAAGCATTGAACGAAAGTCAATTCAGAGCAAATTCAGTCACTTGAGTAGCACCAGAGACCAATATAACAGTGATCGTATCCTCCCCCAAAGCTGCGAGCTTGACGAGCGAGTAGTGACCGCGGAAAGGGGGTTGAGGGCAACTGATGATAATGAGTGCAACTCAAAGTGGCTTGTCTGGAGCAAGGAACTACCGCGTAGATATGATTGGCATTTTATGCGCATATATGACGCATAATAACGAAGTGGGGTTGACACCTGAGGATCGAGTCTCGACTGGAGACGTAGTTGCAGCTGGGATGGTGCTTGCACGTTGAAACTAGCTTACCACGTTTTGTCAAACATCGCACCGGAGAAGGTGCATCCGATGCGTTTCGATAGACGAGTTTCGAATCACCTGTTCATGCATTTCAATCATTTGACTTGACAGTGCAATCGTTTGGGTTCATGTAAGTGTTCAAGTGGATGGAAGGCTCGAAATACATTTGCGAATCCCAGCATGTGAACCAAGATGTAAAAACCTCTGATAGGGGTATATTGACGCGCATAGCGCCCTGGAAATATAGCATATTGTAGCTTTTCCCTAACCTGCGCCAAAACGCCATGTAAATGCACTTCGTACAGTAAGTAAAGAAGGCGCTACTTCTCCATAGCATTTACCTCCGTCACAGCTTCCTTGGCCGTCGAGTAGTACGCCTTCAAGTCAATCCTGAAGTCCGCCATCGCGACGCCAAACAGCTTCAATAGCGCCGTTTGATGGCTGTTCAGCACCTGACCCTCTTTGCACACGGTATAGGGCTCACCAAGAATGACCTTGCCCTTGTCCAGCTTCGTAGGCATGCCCCATTTTCTAACTGTCGTCTCTTGGCTGTGAGGTAATGCTACGTCGTCCTCTGCCGGCTGTTGTCCTCCTGTTGAGTATACGACTCCCGCAGGTACCGTGAAGGTCTGAGTGGCTGTGACCCCGGCGCGCGCAAAGTCGGTCTGCGAGTAGGCGGAGAAGTATTCGAGAACCTCTGAGGGCTCACGATTGGTGAAGAAAAGGCCGACGTTGCCGACAAGGTAGGGCGCCAATTTCGAAAGATTCGTGAGGTGCTCCTCGGCGGGCGTCTGCCCGAGCGCTTTCGCCATAACCTTGGTCTTGCCAAAGAAGAATCTGCACAGTAGTCAGTCTGCTGCCCATCGTGGTAGATGAGCTGATTGCGCGCACCGGCTGTCCGAGAACTCGGCGCGCACTTCCTTCAGGTAGGAATTGCGCATGTTCTCCACGGCGAAGACGAAGATGTACTGGAAATTGTCGGCAGCTTCCTGGACATTAGCAAAGAGCTTCTGCGAGAGCTCCTTGCCCTTCTTGTCCGTCTTGGACAGGTGGACGACTTTGGAGCGCTTCGACTTGGGCATGGTGGGTGTTTGAGGGCAGTGTGTTGCTTATCGATTTGCTGCACAGAAAAAAGTTCGGAGGGTTGCATTTTTGGCGGGGATTTTGGTACGCGAACGGTCTTGGCACCTCGGCTCTTCGCGTGTTCTGAGCTATGCGACTGCAACTACATGTTGTGTACGTTCGTACCGTGATGAAGGCCCGCGGACGAAGACATGTTGGACTTCATGGAAAATGTGCAACATGCATTCTATGAGGCTTCGCATTGGAATCTGGACAATTCCTATGGCACCTTGAACGCGACCGCGCGAGGTAGGTCTCAATGTGCATTCCGTCGCAAGACATTTCTGACTGTTTACGCCAGCATTGCTCGACTTCCAGACACCTAGGGGCCTGAAACTGCAGCTCTCGTCCCTTGCCGCCCCCAATTTTGCGACATCGTACACCCTAGGCAACGTAGGAGTGGTCGACGGCTCCGTGTCTTACCTGTACTCGTCCCTGCCGCTGCAGCGAAAGTTGAATAGTTCCGAACTAGATTTGCACAATGTCATCAGAGGCTACAGGCAGCTGCAAGAGCTGCGACGGCCTGACGAGGACTGGTGGTGGGAGATTTGGCAAAGCGGGAAGCGCATAGACCGGAGAGGTATGCTGTGGCTGCCCAACATGCTGCACGATGGCTAATAATCCACAACGTAGACACTTTACTTTATGGCCGCATATTCCTCCCTCAATCTAGACTCGAAGCACTATATCTCCGCCGCCTGACACCGACCCGGCAGCTGCGCGTGAACGCAGTTAGCGACTCAAATCTCAACAATGGCGGGACTATCCTTACACTGCTGCAGAACGACTATGGCAAATATAGCACCGAGTACATGTACAGCACTGATTCCGCACTGATTGGATTACGCGGTCTTTACAATTTTGGCCCCGACCCCAGAGTTGCGCCTACACAACCCACAACTGCTCAGCAGGTGGCTGAACCCATGCACGGCCGCTTCAGCGCCGGAGCAGAACTCTATTATGGATTGCTGAACAAGAGTGGTGGCATAAGCACCGGCTTACGTTTTGCGACATTACCAAACCACCGTGGCTTCCCATATACCATGACACTCACGTTAAATCCGTTGATGGGGAACCTTTCGTCGACCTACGCGGTCAAAGCTGGCCCCAACCTGGCGCTCTGCTCCCGCTTCGATTTCAACTTTTACTCCTATGAAAGCGACCTGCAGCTCGGCTGCGAATTGTGGCGACGCCGCAGCAACACCGATGTCGACTGGGCGTCCAAGAAGATACGCCCAGACTGGACGAGGCCAACGGTTGCACCCGATGACGACGTTTCCGGCATCTTGAAAGCCCGTGTTGATCAGGAGTGGCGCATTGGAGTGCTGTGGGAGGGCAGGATCAAAGAGCTGCTGTTCACTCTCGGCGCGAGCCTGGACCTCAAGAAGAGGGAGCAAGTATTCCGGGCTGTTGGTATCGAGCTGCAGTACTCCTCGTGAACGAAAATGTAGCCATACTGTTGGGTATCGCTTGTCGGCACTGCACACTTCTCGGATGGCGTGACCGATCACGGAACATGCTTGCAGCGCGAAAGGGCATGAGCCGGCCAACCGCTTCAACAAGCCGTCTAAACTTTGTGCTGCAAGCCCACTTTCGGGGCGCTCGTGCGAGGTCTCCTCGAGAGGCGACTGCATAGGAAAATTGCTTTTCAATGCATGTGGATCCAAATGTTCATCGATGCCGCGCGGTTCTTGTTCCTGGGGACACGGAAGATAGTAGTATCCCTGCTCTTGACTTGCAGTCAGTTGCGTGTCTACCTACATTCGAATCGTTGCGGGGACCATTTGCTGAAACACGCTGGTGAGGGGGACAAGATGTCCGGGGTCAACCTTGGCGCTGCGTGCGGGCTTCGCGTTACGCGGCACCATACTGCAACAAGCTGTGCTACTCAGCAGGAGCGGGGCGCATTTGGAGGGCAGCAAACGGCATTGAATGCGGGTGGGGTCCAAGGTTGATGCGCGATGCTTGGGCGTCTAGCGAGCGGCCACGGTTGTTGGTCACGAGAGAACTAACGCCAGGAACCAGGAACGGCTGGGACCTGGACTGCGGTCCTGCCGAGTAAGCCTTGCGATAGGGTTAGCCAGGAACACGAGCAGGGAACGGTAGTGCGTACATATTGACAGGTGTATACCAGTCCGCTGTCGTGCCGCTACCCGATGCTCAAGGGAAAATGGCAGCTGTTCACTGAAGCTTTCGCAAGCTGCAACTTTGTCGGGTAAAGTGATGAATTGAGCGTGTTGGAACGGAACAGGCGTCAGCGCTCGGTCTCTCGTCTCGCTTCACCCGAGCGATCAGCGACGGGGGCGCGTCGGGCACAGTTCTCACGATAGCGATACGGCCTGGCCCCCGTTGCAGACAGCGTCAGCAACGGACAACCGTCGTGCGCCCGGTGTGTGCGGCTCATGATGCAGAACCAGAAGCAGAGATGCGCGTGCCGGCGTGAATCACTTGGCAAGCCTTACCGCATCCATGCCGCTGCGTGAGGCCGTCGTCAGTGAACAAAGGGAAGCGCCTAGTGGGCGAAACGGCCCCTCCGGCTGGCGGGTTCCTGAGTCCTCGGCCCCTTCACCGCTGCGTACGTAGGAAGCGTCAAAGCGAGGCTTCTCGAACGGCGATGTGCTCTATGCGCCTCTGAACTAGCCGTGCACCAGCATCGCTCCCAGCTGGGCGGCCATTTTGGCGTGGTCAGAGCGTACGGCCAGCGTTTGTGGATGGAGGACCGTGACGGAAGTCTCCTGAGGGCTGGGATCGAACTTGACACGGCATCGAAGCACCGCTCCCGCAACCCTGTCGCCCAGCGATGCGGTGACAAGGGCTCACTCCGACGGCGTCCTGTTGCCACTCAGCTGTGGGAGGGAGCCCCCTGGACGACGCGTGCTGCAGCGCCGTTGCGAGGACGCCTGTCAGGCCTGTCTCATGGACGACTCAACAGACGCAGAGCAACATTGTATGCGACAAAGAGCGTGGAATGGGTGCTGAGACGGAGAGCTGCTGGCGCCAAACGGGCGCTCGCCGATGTGCTAAGAATGGGCGTGAGTCTGGTGTCTCTGTGCATGGGTGTGCTCGGACCGGAAGGCGCGTCCAGCGGAGCTCGCAACGGCTTAGCGCGCCCACTCGCGCCTTCCCCCCTACGCAGCTGGCTTGAGGGCCCCTTCCTCTAATCTCCCCTTCTTTCCTCACCAAGTCACTCATTTACATCCGCCCGATCTTCCTCCTCCGGATTTCGCATCGTGACCTCACCCGGTGCGATCTTCGTCGTTCCCTTTTTGTTGTGCTTCTGCGACGAGCTGCCACTCCTTTCGGCTCTCGCTCACGTTCCTTTCATACCCACCTGTTAGGCTCTGCCGTCCACTCCTTAGGATTCCCACCCTACCACGCTTCTCCATCGCCCCCGGCCGATCGACTTGAACTCCTGCTCCCGGGTAGCAGCTTCTTTCCTTGAACCCTTCAATCGCGCGACTGGACCGTGTATTCGAGCCCGAATCTTGCGACGGATCAAGACGCATCTCCTGCATTGACCGCCCAACACCCTTCGGGACTCCCCTCTATTCGAATACCCCATCACTATAGCTTGGACCTATTATTTCACGACACCTTACGACAATCGATAGACGACCACCAGGTCGACATCCCCCCTTTCGAACCCCCGACAGAAGCACATCGGAGACCGCAACCATGCAGTCACCCGAAGAAACTACCATGGCTTCGCCCACCGCTTCCGTCTCAACCCCCACACACGGCTCTGCACCGCGCAGACCGCCGCGAAAAAGCACCCTTACCCAGCAGCAGAAGAACCAGAAGCGCCAGAGGGCGACGCAGGACCAGCTAGTGACACTTGAAGTTGAATTCAACAAGAATCCCACTCCCACCGCTGCGACAAGGGAAAGAATAGCCTCGGAAATCAACATGACAGAGCGCTCTGTGCAGATCTGGTTCCAGAACAGGTACGATGAGAACGGCTGAACTGAAAGACCTCAGTTTCTTTGACAATCCACTAACTCGTCCCAGGCGTGCCAAGATAAAGAACATCGCGAAAAAGAGCATTGAGGATGGAGGTGACTGCAACGACATCCCGGAGTCAATGCGTCGGTATCTGGCCCTCCAAGCCATGGAGTCGGGCAAGTCCATTGGCACGAGCTTTCTGGGCCGCTCTGGTGGATCAATGACACCGTATGGCAGCGGCATGTTGCTCAATACGGATACGAGCTCTTCCAAAGTTGGTGAGTTGCAACCCCGATTGAAACAATTCGAATCACAAAGAGTCGCATCTAACCTGTCTCAGTCATTCACCATTTCGCGTGCCGCTCGTTGAGTATCGGCTCATGGCGCCGTGTGGGCCAGAGTGCCATGGATCTCGTGATCTTTTACTCGCCCGAGAAGTGCTGCGTTACGTACTACATCAACAATGACTCAGCAGGCTACAAGATCGAATACCCCTTCTCGTACATTAAGAACATTACCTTAGAGAATGGGGACATGAATGGTAACGCTGAAGGTGCCTCACAGCGACCGGGAGGTCTCATCGTCGAGCTGAATCGCCCTCCGAATTTCTTCATGGACTCATCTGGATCTGGAGGCTTCTTCCAGTGTGGTGACTTCACCGAGGAACAACAAGCGTCGACCATGATGGTGCATCACCTGGGTGGCCACCCGAAGGTCCTGAGCGGCCAGCTTGCGAAGTTGGTCTCATTGGAGTCCTTCCAGAACCGACATAACCTCTACGACCATAACGCTCTCGCCGCATCTGCACCCGTCTCTCCGATCAACCACCGCCCTGCTTCGCAGCCTAATCACATGCAACATCCTCACCTGGGACATGGGTTCCACGACTCACCCTTTGCGCCTGGTGGCTTCCAAGCGCGTGGTCACAAGCGCCAGCGTAGTCGTTCCGTGCCTGTTGCGGTTGACTTCTCGCTTCTGCGCAACCCGATGCCTTCGTTCTTGATTCAGCCGGAGCACTCACCATATACGCCTAATCCGGAGATCTTCGCCCCTGTACCTCAGAGCGCTTCGGGCTCGCTTGGACCTAACCTGAGCATCGATACCTCTGCTGGATACGGGATGGAGTACCGTCAATACCCTATGTCTGCTACCACGGCCAATTCTCCATCAGAGTTCGGCACACCGGCCTTCTTCACTTCAGGTCCTCGGTCGGAGAACGTACCTGCATCGACATTCGGTCAGCAGTACAACATTCCTCCTTACTTGCACACTCCTATGGGTCCGCCTCCTCACTCGGGTGCCTCCACGTCTCCCATGCCAACAATGGCTCACCAGGACCCTATCATTGCCAATCAGTCTCCGCCGCTGAGCTCGTTCGGTCGCTCTAGCTCAGCAGACGTGTACCCGATGTCTCACGAGAACGGCATGTCAGAGGAAGCTCTTCAGATGACGGACATGTACGCGAAACAGTCATTAAATCTTCCATTCCGATCTCCGTTAATGGAAGAGCACGGTGATGACTTCGACATGCAAAATCTGGTTTCTTTCGGCACGATAGATCCGGCTAGCTTGTCGCCCGAGAATCACCACATGTAATGAGCGCTACATGTTTCTCATCGTCCATTATCATCATACCCAGCAGTTGTCAGCTTAAGCATGCTTTGCTTAGTGAGCACATCGCAACCTCGAAACAGGTGAAGCGACTGCCGCCCTGGCCTGCGTTGCGCCCGCCATACGTAATACAGCATGCCCATCGTTTACATAATGCGGCTCTCTCAGTTCGAAATATTGCATCCTCAATCACCGGCTTCTTTTTATCTGGCTTTTAGCTTTTTCTTCGTGCTCCCAAAGCACTCCATTTTCTCGACTTTTCACTGCGTAACGCAAATCAAACGACCATCTTTCGGAGAGGGTTCTTTCCACGGCGTTGCAAGGTTGGGAAGCAAAGGGAACCTATTCATACAAAACAGCGGACTGGTAGAACCTGCGCTACTACCTCGAAAGAGGAAGCGCGACTTGTGGGGAGGTTCTGAAGCTGAGATGTTTGGTTGTCGTGTGGCACAACGTGCTTGTTGTTTTCCTGTGTTTATCTTGTTGCTGATTGGTATGTTGGAAGTCTTCTCTGCTGCTACAGTACTGCTATGTCTGCTGGTTTTTTTCTTTTTCATTTGTCACTTTTGGAGAGGAGAGGAGAGGATAGGATAAGAATCCGAACATTCAAATTTTCTGCGAAACACGGATGAAAGGACCGCTGGGCGGAACTGGACAATCTTCCATAGGGTTATTAGGTTAGCATCCCGTTGGCTCAGATCGGATAAGGAAACATGAACTATTTCAACTTCAATTGCTGTGTTCCTGGCGTGCGTACCTGTGATGTCGGGGACGGTCTTCTCAAGGCTGTCATCATTATCAATCGGACTAATGCAGGGGACCCGAACGCTAGCAGCACAAGTGCATGAATAGGGGTCCAGGCCAATCAATGTGGATACGGTGAATGTAGTGAAAGGATGCTTGTCATCTACATGAGAGTACCTTGTGAAGCAAACCAACGTGGGCGCCACGCGTCTAGGAAGATGGTCTCCCAGACTATGCGTAGGTAGAAAAGCCACTGGCTTAAAGGAGACTACGCCAGGCTATGGGACAGGAAAGACTTGATTCCATACTACAAGAGGTCCACATTAGTTCAGAATACAGGGAGAGAATTAACCAGAAGCTGATGATGTGGAGTCGCCAGCCCGCAATGTAGCGCGGGTCATCCGTGTTAAGTCAGTGTTGGAAGCATCCGCACCTTTGTAAGAGAGCAGCTTAAGTTAGAGAATGGCACTGCGTTTCGATTCGATGAAGAGAGTGTGCTAGGAGCTAAATTGAGTAAATGTAAGTATCTGCGTGCTTGTATCAACGAAAGCCTTCGTGTAGCGCACCTAGCACTGGGTGATTTACCTGAGAAGTACCTCCCGGCGGCGCAGTGATTGATGGAAAGCACTACCCTGGTGGTAATCTTGCTGGCTGTGTGAGCTGGGGCATGGGAAGAAGTGAAGATGTTTACGGGGATACCAACGTTTTCCGTCCTGAACGATGGATCTCGTCAGACGATGCTAGTGGTTCACATATAGATGCTGATATACTCAAGCTTAGATGTGCGTTCTATCCGTTTTCTGTCGGTATATGAACTGTGCAGGGTAAAATTTGGTAATGTTGGGGGCTTCAGATGGTGGTTGCGAGAATTGTTGGGCCATGGATATCAGTCGAGTATCGGGTGATGGTGCGGGGATTGATGAGTCGCAGATGGAACGGGACCAGCAATGCCCGCTCGTTTACCGTGTTAAACATATCTACATTACTGTGTAGTGCAAAGGACGGGCCGTTTCTCGATTCGAACCAAAGTTCAAGTGAAGGGAGGTCTCTCAGTTCTCGCTTCCGCATGCATGCCGGTCGTTCTTTTGAGCACGATGTTTATACCTTCAACATCAGGTGGTACATGCAACATGTTGACGTTGAGAGCTTCAGGAACGGCGTTTACAGATCTGGCACGTGAACAGTTAGTTGAGGCGGAAAGCAATTGTTGACAGAAGCCACACTGTCGGGATGTGCCGCTCGCAGCCCTACAACATAACTACCATGGTCGACTACTTCATCTTCATGACATTGGGCCCAGAGGCCGTCGGCTCAACAAATTCCTGGAATTGGAATCGGGATCTCGAAGTAGGCTCAGTAGCTACCCAAAGCGAAGGAGTGAGAATCCGCCAGAGAGCTCTGGATCATGCATTGCGAGCCGGGCTGGGATGCTTGTCTTTGGTGGAACCAGTGTGTTCACGAGCGCGTCCTTCTATACGGAGTGCGAGAAAGTCGAAGAACGCTGTCAAACGGTGCAGTCAAAGGCCAATGTGCTTTTCAAGTAAATTGATGGCCTGACTCGCACCGAAGAAATAACTCACGAGATCTGCCGATCGTCAGATATGGTCATGTCGTTGCTCGTAGGGTTTCCCCGGACAGCGTTGCCGACGTGGAACCATAATCCAGCCGCCCCCTATGGGTTGGCAAGGAACACCATCTCAACGGTAGCGGGTACATGTTGATGAAGCGATGACGAGATGATGTCAAAAGCAAATTTCCCACGTGCTTGTTAGGCCTCGAACCGTCATCACGCGCTTCTTTAGGTCGTCGATAGGGAACGCGACGGTGGCCGGGCCGGCCATGGGAGCTAAGGATCGGAGTGGGAACAGGCTTGGCCCGGCGTTAGTCATCCAAACCTCGATTCAAGCCAGGGGAGGATCTTTAGGGCTGATGGAGGACGCATGGGCGAATTGGGAGCTTTGAGCGCGCGTGGAATTGTGCGTTCTTTTCTTCCGACGCATCCGGGGTCTCGGGCGTTGGTAAGCTGGGAGCTGCGGCACAAAAGGAGGACGATGGTGCTCGCGTGCAGCTGGAAGGCATCGGCGTGTCACAGTGTCAGATGGGATGATGGACGGCTCAATGCGGCCAGGCGCACTTGAAGTGGGCTGACTGATGATGTACCTAGGTAGAGTGCGGTGCGGACCAGCCAACGAAGCGCTTCACGGATTGCTCTTGTATCAACAGCACAGGCGCAGTGTCGTTCGGCCGACGCAAACAATGCTCGGTCCCACGGTAGCTCTGCGGCTGGCTGCTTGGCTGGGCGAGAGCGAGGCCGTTGAAAGGCTCTCGGGCGCGGCTAGCGATTGTTGCCGACAAAGTCAGGCACCACAGCTGCCCCTGACGCTCTCGGCTGCGAGTGGCGACGGGTACATCTCATTTTACATCCCAACCATCACAATTTTGCTCCCTAATAAGGCCTCTCCCCCTAGCCCAAGCTCGACCGCCGCCTTCTTTGTCCTCGGTCACCTCGCGCAACCTTCCATACGCCAATTCTTCGCTGGTGCGCGGGTAACAGTCTTCGCATAGCGACGTCACGTGTACGTTGGTCCTTGGCGAGCTGTCAGCGCGGTAGGCGGTCAATTCTGCGCCACGAGAAACACACGTCGAGTCCGGGGAGCAGCACAGTACGCGGCACTCACCCACACGACTGCGCAATAGAACACCGACACAGCCTTGCGAGACCTGCTGCGGGCATCCTCAGCCAGTACAGTGTACGTCAATCCACGCGCTCGTGCAGCTGCATCCGCGTCCTCCGCAGCTCCCCATCCGGCGGTCCCCGGCGTCTATCCAACGTCTAGTGGACCGTCCGCCTGCATGAACACAAGGTCTTAGGAAGCACCTTATATCCCCAGCAACCACCGACCTCCGCCTTCTCCGTTCCTCCACTCCACTGCCGACCGAGACGCCGTGCCACTCTGCTCGCGCTCCTGCTAATTTTCCATGCAGCACCGCTCAATTGCTCCACCACAACCCGCTCCCTGATTCTCACCGCCTGCGTCTCGAAAAGGTCTTCCAAGCACCGTCGGCTGTAGAGTGACCACCTGCACGAGCACCAATTCCTCGTAGCCGTTCAACGCCGTTGCACGTCGTCTGCCATGCCTACTCGAACCATCAATCCGTTTGCGACCGTATCCCCATCCTCTACCCCTTCTCTCGACGCCTTGAACGAGAAGAAGGAGCAGCCGCGGCGCTCGTCCTTCACCAAAGGCAACAAATTCACATCGCTGTTCGGCGGCAACACGCCTAGGACACGTAGTGAGGCCACTGCTCTGCGTGACGCTCTTGTTGCGCAGCAGCAGGCTCTCTTGGACAATCCATCGCCCCAGCAACAGATCAACACCGCCTCAATCTCCCTCCCGACCATCAATCTCACCGGGGCAACGGGCGAGAAGATGCTAGCCGAACCCCAGACCCTCTTCAACCCCGAAGAAGCCCGGCGGAAAGCAAGAGCCGATGCACAGTTCGGTCCCATTGGATCGCAGAAGCACCGATACACAAGCACTTTCGAGGGAGAATTTGGAGACCCCATAGAAGACGAACCGCCATATTACTTTCTGCTCACCACCTATATCAGCTACCTAATCTTAATTGTATTCGGACATGTACGCGACTTCTTTGGCAAGCGCTTCAGGGCTGCACACTACAGCCATTTGGCAGAGAGAGATGGATACGCGCCGTTGAACAGCGACTTTGACAACTTCTACACCCGCCGTTTAAAGATGAGGATCAACGACTGCTTCTCACGACCGACTACTGGTGTTCCGGGCCGATTTATTACCCTGCTCGACCGCAAGTCGGACGACGGCAACAACACTTTCAAGCTTCTTGGTACGACCACCGAGACTTTGAACATGAGCTCGTACAACTACCTTGGTTTTGCACAGTCTGAGGGACCTTGCGCCGACGCTGCAGAGCAGGCAGTCCGCAAGTACGGTGTCACCATGGCCAGTTCCCGCACCGACGCTGGTACGTCCGAATTGACCATTGAGGTCGAGGATTTGATCGCTCGCTTCGTCGGCAAGCCTGCTTCCATGGTTTTCTCTATGGGTTTCGTTACGAACGCTACCGCTTTCTCCACTATCATTGGCAAGGGCTGCCTCATGCTCTCGGATGAGTTAAACCACTCTTCGATTCGATTTGGCGCTCGTCTTTCGGGCTCGATGATTAAGATGTTCAAGCACAACGACATGAAGGATTTGGAGCGCTTGCTTCGGGAGGCCATCTCGCAAGGACAGCCTCGCACTCACCGTCCATGGAAGAAGATTCTTGTCACAGTTGAAGGTCTCTACTCTATGGAAGGCACCATGTGCAACCTCCCCGCGCTGATCGAACTGAAGAAGAAGTACAAGTTCAACCTGTTCGTCGACGAGGCGCACTCCGTCGGTGCTGTTGGTCCTCGTGGACGTGGTGTTTGTGATTACTTCGGCATTGATCCCTCCGAGGTCGATATCCTCATGGGAACTCTGACAAAGTCATTCGGTGCCAACGGAGGTTACCTGGCAGCTGACCAGGAAATCATCGATAAGCTGAGGACCCAGAACGCCGCCATGATGTTTGCCGAATCACCAACCCCTCCCGTCCTCGTCCAGATCGCTTCTTCTCTCCGCATCATCAGCGGCGAATTGGTCCCCGGACAGGGTCAGGAGCGTCTACAGCGTCTTTGCTTCAACTCACGGTACCTTCGTCTTGGTCTCAAGCGACTAGGCTACATTGTTTACGGTCACGACGACTCGCCTATCATTCCTGTCATGCTCTACAACCCCGCCAAGATGCCTGCTTTCTCCCACGAAATGCTCAAGCGTAAGATCTCAGTCGTCGTTGTCGGATATCCAGCAACACCTCTCGTTTCGTCGAGAGCCCGCTTCTGCATATCTGCGGCCCACACCAAGGACGATTTGGACCGCATGCTCGCAGCCTGCGACGAGGTCGGTGACCTATTGCAGCTGAAGTTCAGCAGCGGTGTCGCTGGCGGCGGCGACCCGGAGGAACTGAATGCGCCAGAGAAGGATGGGCTCAGCATTGTCAAGCCTCCCAGGTGGAGATTGGCCGACGTTGTCAAGCGTGGAGTGGAGGACGTTCAGATGGCCCTCAATTAGCCGCACCGACGCGGCTAGGCTGGCACGTGACGGGGCAACAACGGAAGCAGGGGCAAAGGGCGCGCTCCAACATCCGCACGAGTGAGGCGGAAGTGTCCTTGTTAGCTCGTGTTCGCGGATCCTTGCAATTGCGCGATTTACCCAGATGACGCGGAACGGCAGGAAAGGATACGAAGTGTGGGTGTCCCAGGTTCTCAGTCGTAGCCTCGTCGTCCCGATCTGAGACATCGCCCTTGCCTAGTTGCCTTCTCTGCTCACCGGTTCCAACCTCCTCTGCTATTCTCTTCCTGCATGCGTGGCGCTTGTCTCCTTTGCGAATACTGGGTCCGGCGCAATCTGGGTTTACTGGGGCCATGAGCATTCTTGTACGATATCCTTCATACCCTCGCTGTCTTATGTTACACATTTTATATTTCTATTTCTTCTTCTTCTCGTCATATCGTTTAGGACACTTTTTAGGAAAAGTTTGCAAGTGAGAGGGGTGGGGATTGTTGAGTTGAAGTTGCGGCCTGTGCGATTGAGCGCGGCGCATTGTGGATTGGCTTTTTGTTGCATGATGTCCTTGAGATGCGTGTAATGGTAATGTCTGTGGTGTGAGAGGTGGAAGGTGTATATAGGAGGACGTGTTGTGGGGAAGAGGGGAGGGGGTAGTTAGTGTAGATGACTACCAAATCAATGGAATGGTGAAGAAGTATTTGGTGTGCATGTGTCAATTCTCGTGTGAGGTGGTGAAGCGCAGTACGACGTAAGCTCGCTCATCATTGCGGGAGTGAACGCATTGTCGATACTATGTGCTACTTTACAGGCAAAGAAAAAGGAGGATAACAGGTATGACATTCTAGATATCGGATTTCTTGTTCATGCCAGCCCTACGCTATCCCAATCAAACGCATCAACATCCCCAGTCCTCGCGCGCTTGTCAACTAGACTGCCGCTTTCCTCGATCGAGCACGGCTCTTTGCGCTTCAGTATCCGGTCAGGGTTCGCAAAGACCGAGTCGAACCCCTGTGCCTCCTGTCCGAGTCCGAGTCCGAGTCCCGAGTAGCCGTTGATCTGCTGCTCTAGATTCCAGGCGTTCGTCGATGCAGCACCGAAAGGGTTAGATGTGCTGTTGAAGTTAGGATCGAAGCTGAGAAAGTCGTAGGCAGCATGCGCAGTGGGGAACGACTGCGAGTTCCAGGGGTTCAGCAAGTGGTTGCTTGGTTGTAAGTCAGCTGTGGGTTGAAAACTGGGAGTGGTTTGAAAGCCAGCAATAGGTTGAAATCCTGCGGCGGACGGATCCGAAAGCCCTGGAAAAGGCAAGCCAAGTTGGTTGGGAAAGGAGACTTGGCTTGCTGGGAGCGGTGGCGCAAGGCTGAATGGGTCGTATGTGAGGGGTACTGGATCGTATAGCTCTGACGACATTGTCATGGAGTTGTAGGTCTCGTTTGTTGAGGGTGCCCATGATGGCTGGTGTGCTCCCATTGCAGTAGCTGGGAAGGTGTCGAACGTATTGGCCCGAGTGGGAACGAACGAATACTGAGACGAAGAGAAAGCACTCGAGAAGCCGAGCGGTTGTTGACCGAGCAGATCTATTGGGTGGTTGTGTAAGGTGTTGTCGAAATTGAGACCATGACCTGTAGGAAGGCTTTGTGCAGGCGCGACGAAACCCTCTAAGTCTAGTGCAACTGTGTGGAGATCAATCTCAGTGGGTATCAATAGGGGCTGGTCGGATACAAGCGAGTCTTCAGCCGCGCTGTGGATGTCCCAGTCCACAGGCTGATTGATGCCCGGCTGTACGGCATCAGGGTCATGTCCTGGTGCCGCAGGAGGCCGACTTTCTAGTCGAGCTCTGCAAGTTTTCTCGTGTGCGTCCCGATTATCGCTCCGACTATGCCAACTTGAGCAGTACTTACACTGGTATTCCAATTTCTCGGCCTGCGTATCGGTGTGGCGCGTAGTCATATGGCGGTTCATGTTCGTACTTGAGAGTCTCTGGCCGCATACGCAGCATGGACGAGGGGCTTTCGGGTTGAAGCCATCGCTGAAAGGAATGCTTTCGATAGTGCGTGTGGATAATCCGATGTAACAGGCTATGAGAATGCAATTCCGTCTGTGAGAAGTCGAGAGGTCGGTGCCATGACTGGGTATCTTTTGCAGGAGGGTTGTGAACTTGATGTACGCTTGTGATTGAAAGATATCTAAGACGCATCAGGAATGACTGTGGTCGTGAAAGATTCGTACTTACACATTATGACAGCTATCACTACACAGAAAATAATTGTTGCAGCCAGTAGTATCACTCGGTCGTCATGTGCGGTCCAATTACCGGTATAGTTTTCCGAACGATGAGTGGACGAACTCTCGTTCGTGTCGGAACCAGCATCAGACTGAGATTGCCGGAAAGCACTAGATCTATTCGCATTGTCTGATTGACTGAATGGGAGGTGTTTTCCGTTACACGCGTTAAGGGGCAGCTCCTCTATATTTAAATCGGATAACAAGTTCTGGAAAACTTCCTGGAAGTGGAACAGATTGTCGGACTGGTAAGCCTTCCTCGAGTTGTCCAGTTCTTGTTTCCAAAGACGATAAACGACCTGCTCGAATAACTTCCTGTCGTTGACAGGCACGACATCCTTCCAGCGATGCAAGTCACGCCAAAACCTTGAACCTGTTAGTATAAGATATAGAGGACAGTAAGTAAACGCACTCGTCTTGATTGCGAATGCAGCTGACTGCACCAGTGCTAGATCTCATCGCATCTGCAGTCATGACGCATAGGACGACTTGCTCCACAGTTTGTGGAAGCTTGCCTCGTTGTAAGCGACGAATGACACGTATCCCAGCTTTCCAAGCACTTCGTGGTTCGGGTGGCAGGCGTAGTCGTGCAAGTTCGCTCTTCCTTGAGTAAGGCCTGGCTCGGTTGGACGGTTGCTGTTTCAATGTGGACAAGCGCTCATGAAAGTATCTTCGGAAGCAGAAAACGAGCCTCAGCCTCTTTTTCCTGGTTTTCTCGTCCTCGGTAGCTTCGTCGTCGTCCTCGGTAGCTTCGTCGTCGTCCTCGGTAGCTTCGTCGTCGTCCTCGGTAGCTTCGTCGTCGTCCTCTATAGCTGTGTAGTCGTCCTCGATGGCTGTGTAGTTGTTCTGGATATCTGTATACAATCTGTTCTGGATAGCTGTATAGCTGTTCTTGATGGCTGTATAGCCGTCCCCGATGGTTGTGTAGTCGTCATCGATGGCTGTGTAGTAGTTCTTGATGGCTGTGTAGTCGTTCTTGATGGTTGTGTAGTCGTCCTCGATGGCTGTGTTGTCGTCCTCGACATCCGAATTGTCATATTCAAAAGCAATTGTTTGATCTTGAGTTGTGAAATGCGCAATTGGCTTCCAGCAATCATCTTGCTCCCCAAACGCAGGTGTGGAATGCGCAACTTGTTTGGGGCAATTCTTCTGCTCCACAAATGCCGGACGTCGTAAATTCCCTTGTCTGTCAAAAAATCTGTGATAACCCTCGTTGAGCAAAACAGCGTTGAAAAGGGCCTCCCTTTTGCATTCCGCACTCAGTGGAGCTGAATCCGGTTCAAAAAGCTCAAGGAAATGCTTCTTAGGCTCTGGGAGGTCATCTGTCGCATTCAGTGCTCTCACGCCGTCAAGACAACGGCGCTTGGCTTGGTAACTCATGTCCATGGCCAATGACTGTTTCGCAGTAGCACCCTTTTTCTGCCATCAGAGAAAGATATTGTACTCCTGGAATAATTGTAAGAGAACGTGACTCGCTCGCACAGTAACGGGTCCAGCACTTTGAGATACTGCGTTAAAGCGCTGTACCTGGTTCATCACAAGCTATATGCCTCGTAGCTATCATGGCTCAGGAAGAACTCACTAGGATGGCTTATGCGCTAAGACCTTCGATCCAACGACTGATGGACAGGAGGGTAAAGAAGATGAAGGTTGGTATCAACGATTCGCGAGCTTACGGATGAACAACACGACTTCGCGAGCGCAGATCAACGCTTGCTGTAGATTGCAGCATTAGAATGGGAGAGGGGAAGAGTCAATTATCTTTGCAATTGCGCTTCGTTGGGCATGCGGCGCTTCGTTCTTGAGGTGTCGTGGCTGAGGAAGAACTTACAGGGAGGAGAGATGGGCTGTCCAATGAACGATGTACAACGCACCCACTATTCAGCCTCGCAGCAAGCGAGACGGTAAACGAAGTGTTTTAATCGCGGGCGCTCTGGTCGGGGCCCAGGAAGAACAACAAGGGTAGTTGAATTAGCCCCATGTACATGCGTGTAGCTTACATCTTATTCGCAAAGACCCGAAGTAAAACCAGGTGTAACCGAATAGGTACATCTTCCTGAGAAATTCAGCCCATCGTTATGACGTACGACCTCCGGAAATGCGATCGGGTCAGCTAGATGCAATGGCAAAGCAAGATGGACTCGATTCTTCCTAATGTTTGACAGCCGAATGATGGTAGTTCTTCCTAGACTACAGTCCTCAACTTCAGGAAGATTCATTGATATTGGGGTATAACATAGCGTCGAAATGTACTCATTTTGTAGCAGTTTCGTTCCGAAGACAGAGTTTATCCACACAGTGAGTGCGACTGCAAACAAGGCCGCTTCCCGCCAAAAAAAAGGGCGTTATGAGTACACGGACCCCCGGTGAGTACTGATTGATTACTCGTGGCATGGTCTCACTCTCACTGGTCCCAAAGTCAACGCCTCTCTCACAGCGGTTTTCCATAACGCCTCCGCAACCGTCAATGACGCAGTTCTTCACAACGTCACCGAGACTACCTCACGCATGGAAACAGGCATAGCGAAGGCGAGCCTTTCTAATGAAGCAATCATCGCGATTTCCTTCGGTATGGCTATTTTGGTCACGACTTGGACGGTCTACTGTTTGACGAAGCGGGCTCGAGCAACGGAGAGAGTAGGGGTTGTGTCGGCCTGAGGCACATTTATGTGATGGAGGTCAGCGTAGACTGTGGCACCTGGATGTATGATAAGGAGAAAGGGGATGTCAGTGGAGCTGGTGCTCCAACGTAACTCAATCATTCGATGTTGGAGTTCAATTCACATGTGATTGTGAACATCCGCGTCAGCACCTGTTGGTGCCAGCAGAGGCGTGTTGTCGTCGTTCGTCTGTTCGAGAAGCACGGCGACAGTCACTCACCTCACTTCAAGAGGCCACCCACAGTAAGTTCGGGGTAGTTGTACGCTGATCTTACAAGTTTACAAGTCCAGGCGTCGGATGCGCGGATAGATTCCGGGGAGTGCACAGAGGCAGGCACGTGGCAGGCAAAACATTGACTCGCCCCGTCTTGCCCCGCGGCCCGTAGCGCCCCCCAAAGCCAGCCGTGCGGTCTGTGTAAGCTGAGAGAGGTGCCGTTTACGCCCAAGGCAGCTGCCCGTCCTGTGAGACGCGAGACTTGGCTGAGTGGGGAAATTATGTTGGATATCTCAGATACGTAGAGAGCAACTTACAAATTGTTTTTCCACGCATGCAGGGGAGCAGCTCCTGATCTAGTGGGGAGTTGCAGAAGGATTGCCCTTCGAGTGAAGTGCAAGCTTGAAGGACAGTGGTGCATTGTGCGACGTTGACTACTTTGGGCGCGCAGAGTAGTTGAGGAGGTACTGTCCCACGCTACGAAACTTGAGATGTGTAGTGTATAGGGGGTGGCGAGCTGTCTGTTCTTGTGGGCGTGGATAAGGCTCAACTCCTCACATTCTATGGCCGATCAAATGAAAAGATCTTAGCTCGTCTTCCAGTTCTTTCACTGGCTTGTAACTGGCTTGAACAACGCTTATCCGTCGTTGTTCGGTAGAATGCGTCAACCCGGATCGTGCGTAGCAAGCTACAGAAGAAATAGTCGCTCGCCAGACTAATGGGTTGTCTCTTGAGTGGGAAACCTCGAGCTGCCTCACGAGGCGAGGAGCTCGTGCCATTCGCGTTGTTCTTAGCCGATATATCGCGGCAAATCACATACAAAGTAAGTGCCGTCCTTGATGCTCGATCGCCCGCGAAATCCTTCTGAATGTATCAGGTCTGATGGTGCTCAACCCTGGTCGGGCTAGGATGAGTGTTGCAGTAAAATCAATGTGGCCGCGCCGAACAGACGCATCCCGCCCGAGCCGGTGAGCAAAAGAGCGCAGATACGGAGAGCGGGGATACGGAAAGCAGGGCACAGCAGGACAGTGTGAGACTTAGAAAGCTAAGGTCGGTATTGTGTGATCAGGATCGAAAAAGAATGCACTGCCCGGTGGTGTGTTGGCTATTGCTACCTGTGCAACGCGCAATGTTCCTTAGGACAACGGTAGTCATGGTTTCTTGTCGACTGTGGTTCGAGCCCACAGTATCATCGCAATCCCATGCGGCTCAAGTGTCACAAGTGACTCTGTTGCCTATTCTGCACTTAGGCGCCAGGCTGGGCAACTTGACGAAATCATCAGTGCCACGCGTACGTCCTGTAGCCGAGCCCACATCAACGTCGATTTTACTTTTTCTGTAGCGCGCGCCCCGATGCAAACGCAGGAATAATAGGGTTATCCTTGAGCTGACCAGGCGGTATCGCCGGATCGGTCGTAGTACTGGATGTCAAGGGTAACCTAAGGATAGTGCTCTTTCTTGTGGCGTTTGCTGAGCCCTCATCCTCGATGGCGATGCTGCTCTCGTCGTATCGCACTTTGCTCCGGTAGCAGCGTCGACATCACCTAGATAATGCCTGCCGGTTCCACGAATACATTTCCGGTTGTAGACTTGATGATGTATACGGAAGATTGACGGTCGCCCGTAATGCGTCGGGCGCTCAGTGTCGCGGGTTCAGATACAGTAGCTCCCAAGGATGACAGAGATGATTCAATACATGGTTCTGAACCGCAACTGGTATGTGCTTGCAAGTCTCCAAATTGGCCGTGAGGTGCTCGAGGGGAGGACCGGCGAAAACGCGCTAGATGCGGAGCTTCCATCCGGTGTGAGTCTGTCCCGCTCGTGATAAGGACCGTGAGAATAAGCGTTCAAAGCAGCTTCCAATTGGACTTGCAGAAGGGATCGAGCCTATGGAAATGAATCTGGTCCTGCTTCTCTCGCGAATCGTCGAGTAACAGGCTGGCACAGTCCACAAGGCTGAGAACCGAACATGTCATTTGACGTGCTGCATGCGCCCCGTCCGGTGTAGCTGTGAGCATCGTATTCGCATGCCCGTCCCTGCTCAACCTGCAGACTCATCATTGGCGGTTTTGAAGCGAGGAAATGCATGTCCAACATGATCAGCTGCAGATGAGGGCGTCATGTAACGTATGGGCCCAGCATGAGAGATCGGAGCAGCATAGCGCATATGCCGCCTTCGAGATAACCACAATCTGAAGCTGCATTACATGTTACAGTGCCAAAAAGCTGTTCCTTGTTAGTCGTTCCTCGAAGTAGGGTAGCCAAGTCGAAGCCCGGCTAAAGAGGCTATGCAAAGGTCGTGTATCGGCTTGTAGAGGCCGGCTGAGGAGGAGGACTGACCTGGGATAGTACACACGGATAGCTGCTACTCAATACAGCTCTTTCGCATAGCGAAACAGAAGCAAAGACACAAAGGTAATGCAGGAAAAACGATGCGCAAGCCACATTTGCGAACTTGATGAGCGGCTAGAACACTCGCAATGTACAGTAGGAGGTTCAGTAGGTAGCAAGCGGATGCTGGATGCCTGTGGTGGGAGGAACACAAGTGGCGTAGGCGCGCCCTAGCGTAAACACCCCGTTCGAGCGCCGATCTCCTTCCCACCTCTGCCACTCTTCTATCTGTCGTATAGCCTCAACGATACCGCATCCAAGGTCCCTGTGTTTACGAGACGCGAATGCAGCGCCTCTCAGCGTGCATAGCGGACCCGGCTGACAGGAAAGGTGCTGCGTCGACCGGCTCCATTGCAACCAGTCTGACTCTTCCGGTGAATTCAGAGCCGCACAACTGTCCCAAGGACACGGCCTTACTACGAATTAGCCCTGGGAAGATCCCGTTTGCCTTATGTTGCCTTGTGGCCCGCTCTGCATTGATGGCTGCGGCCGGTCAATCCCAACAACAATCTGGGGCTTGCATGCGCCCTGTCCATGACACAACGACGACCTATTGCCCCCCACACGACGCATCCAGGACTTACCATGCTCGCCTGGATCTACCGCATTTGTGCTTGAAACGTCAGTGCATGGCCACGCCGGACTGCAACACTCTCAGTATGCTCCAAGATCTGTTTCCGTCGTACATGGCAGGAACACAACTTGGCTTGTCTATATAGCTTTCTTGACATCTCCTGTCTGCCTCACACTCTAGGGACCTTCCTGCCTTCTTTCTCATCTCTTTCGTACGGCGTCTTTCCTATCTCGCTGAACGAGGCTTCCATGCCTATTGCTACTTGAAAAGACCTAGCCAAGACCTTACTTTGATCATATGGCGTTCCCACAACACATGCTGGGCCAGCACCCCGCAGGCCAACTTCGTGGGGCCCAGGGCACCTTGAGGCAACATGGATTCCCTGGTGACCAGCAGCACCTCAACTCTCTTGACCCGTCTTCGTATGAGCAATTGGCGTTCTTCTCGATCCATAAACCACTGAATGCAAGGTCATGGGATGATGCTACGCCCCTACGTCACCGTCTATCGTCATCTGACACTCGGAAAGCCCTGGCCAAGATGAACCAGAACCCAAGGAAAACCGTAAAGGACACTTTGATGAACCTCAAGTCAGACTCTGCTCGTAGGGTCATTGATGCACTTGTACAAGAACAAAATGCAAAGCTCTCGGAGTCTGACTCCACTAGTGAGTGGATCATTGCGGGTTTAGACATGCAGAAAGAGATTGTCAAGCAGTGGCCTAGCCAAAAGAGTGTCATCAAGAGCATCGAGGTCATCCTCAAAACCGAACCAGCACCATTCGCGCAAGACTTTGATGATGACGACCGTTTCGAGGATGGCGGTGCCCATCTGCAACAGGCGCATCGAAATGTGCATCAACATGGTCCCGCTATGGTACACAACGAACCTCAGGTTGTCCGTCCACCACCACCCATGGGTAACCAGCCGATGCCGATGCCAATGCACGGACATGAACGAGAGCCTACGCCTGCGCGTCAAGAGCTTCCGTTTCCACCGCACCACGGTCAAGGAGGTCATATGCAGGGTCAACTTGGTCACCATCATGGTCAAGGTGGACATGTTCACGGTCAAGGAGGTCACCATCATGGTCAACAGCCCCATGGCCTAGCACCAGGCCCGCAGCATCCAGGAGGCGGACAACAAGCTGCAGTAATACCACCGCCTCCACCGCACGGCGGGCAGGGCATACCCATCAAGCATACACAAGTCGTAGCACCACCATTCGACCCTCAACAGCCGAGGGCTATGCCCGGTGGCTTTCCAGAGCCTGTACCTCAATTTATTCCTCCTGAAATTGTCCTCGATCCACGTGTACTCAAGCACCAGAAGTCGAAATCGAAGAGTCTACGCCAAGAATTCCAGGAAGTATATGAGCCTGAGTCCGAGTCTGACATTAGCGGCTCTGACGGCTCCCATTTCAGCTCGAGATCCGTCGAGGACGGAGCTTATGGATTCATTGAACGTTCTCGCAGCCGTGGCAGGAACAAGAGTAAGACACGGTCTCGCGGCCGTAGTGCGATCAGGAGCCGAAGCAATGGTCGAGACCGGATGCCTAAGGTATACAAAGTGAAGAAGTCGCATGGTCGAAGTCGATCTGACATCGAAGTCGTCCATGAAGACAAGCATAGCCCTCCTTCGAAGAATAGCTCGCCACGGTCATCTGGCTCTGCTGTTCCGACGCAGCAGATATTTAACATTCATATCGACAACGACAACGATCGCGAACGGGAAAGAAAGAAAGACCGTGGCAGAGAAGTCCATGCTGCTGATTACGATTCGCGACGCAATAGTAATCCTATGGTTCCACCGGCGTTCTCCAACCCAATGTACACCAAGCGGGACAAATTTGATACTCATCCAATGTCACGGCACTCATCTGTTGGCGGAAGCGATACCGGCTCATCAGTCATCGATGGCAACTCCTCCATCTATACTTCTGATGATAGTGTCTTCTCTGAACCTCCGCGTCCACGCATGCATAGTCGTACTACTTCTGAGGTAGGCGGAGGATTACACCTTCGCTCTCGCAACATGCCCATTACACGCAATGAAGCTTTTGCACCTGCCTATCATGAGGCTCAACGACGACAGAAGCTGCGCTTTGAAGCAGACGACTACCCTCCACACCGCGGTAGAGGCTCTCTTCACGAGGATTATGCAGAGCCGCACCACTCTACCTCGTATGGCCGACCATCTATACCTGCTCGTCACCACAGCGTGCAGATGAATAATCCCTTCGACCCAAGATATGCAGGCCAGCCTTCAAGATCATACACTGGCTACCCCAGTCAGCCGTATCAACAGCGGTACATCGCAGAGAGCGGACCCGATGCGTTTGATTTTCGCATGATGGCCGATCAATTGGGCGCGGTGGAACATATGAACCACTCCCGACGCAGTGGCTTGCCACACAGGCGGAACAGCTATAGGGGTAGGATGGCTCCTGAGGTTGACGAATGGGCTTACCGACCACGCGTAGAAGCGTATAGTGGTTATCGTCATGTCTAGGCTGTACCGACAAGGCTATGGTCTTGTTCCCTTATGGTGCATCTATCGTGAGATTTGGTGCACTCGGCACTCGCGTCATGTATCTTATATCAAAGGATGAACGGCCGCTTACGATAGGGAGTGAAGAGGTTTGTTTCCGAGTAGGCGTTCCGGACATACGTTACCAAGATGGACATTGCGACTTGGAAGTCTGGCGTGGAGGAGGCGGTTTCGTTCGTGACTACCCTGGATACCACGGTTTTGTTTGTTTATTACTTGGTGCGATAGTCTAATTGAACGTTCCACGTCTTTTAAGTACCCATTTGACCCGCAAGTGATGTTTGCAAGTGATAATGAGCCTAGGCATCTGACTCACGTGCTGTGTAGGATCCGGCATCGTATCTAAATTTCTTTCCTAGCGGTGACTCTACTCTAATTGAACATTTTTGTGACTACCTTTAAACGGAAGACTTCACTTCCGTTCAATTTCCATGTACAAACCTACCATCCGCTCGGCTCCCGCCTTCGTTCATTGCCGGAGTCCGAGCGATTCAAACAGCACATAACTGTATTCCGCACCCATAACTATCGAAAATCCCTGTCGGAAACATATACGCTTGTTTCAAGTGCTGATGTGATGCTCACTTACCCCAGGATGCCCCAATAGACTTACTCTCGCGGCACACTCGCGTACCGCACATGTATGTCAGCACCTGCAGTGCGCCAAAGCAGCATCGCGGAAATGACCCATTGCCCGCTTTGACATGTCCGCGGGGTATAGTTGGATGATGCTAGATCACGATAAGAAAAGCACGAGATGGGAAAGTCGCGTCACCACCACCAAGAGCAAATGCGGACCTGCCCGTCCCGTCCAAGCATGCAACCCCATACTGTGGTAGTCCGAACTCCGCCACCACAACCCCAGGCGCTTTGATCACACCCGCTCTCGCTCTCCACTCTGGTAGAGCGTAAACCCACGTCTACGCTCGCGGGATGCGGGATGCGGGAATAACATGGTTTGCCATGAGAGACTCTGGCGGTGGAAAAGGAAGTGAGACACATCCCTTACAGCACGAAAACAACACCCAAGCGAAGCAACACAACAGGTGTGCGCATCTCGATGGCGCTCCCCCACCCCTACTCACCATTCTCCAGCAGTCCCCGTATAGCCCAAAGCGCACACCAAAAAGGCTCACCGAAAGCCCATGACAGCATGCCACAAGCACAGCGCCCAACACAGATAGATACCCATCAAAACATCTATATTTACTTTCTTTCGTTTCGCCACCTCCACCCCAAAGGGTATCGCATCGCACAATGTGTTGCCACGTCACCTCTTGCACGACGTGCGCACGCACTGAAACAAGAAAATCATTTCACTACATATCTTATATCTCTGGCCAAGATTCCACGACAGCAGCCTCCCTCGACCCCAAAGAGTCTTTGCCACACACAGATTGAGAAGAATGAGTAAAGAAAATGGTGTATCCCGCGTCCACAGCACACGCCTCCCCCGCCAACAGCAGCGCACCACTTTAATTAAAAACAAACATGGATGATAGGACAAGATGATAGGTATGGTGCTAAGCTTAATGTCGCTTGCCCACAACAGTACAGCGTAAAGAACATAAGGTGAGTTAGGTAGGTGGTAAGGAAAGCGATTACCAATGCCTCGCCTTTTGGTAACAGTAGAGAAGAAGGAAGATTTGCTTACTACTATGGCGAGTTGCAAGCCCCGGCCCACGCAGGGTATCAAAGAGAAACTTGGGACGAGGCAGCCACTCCACCAAGTACGGCTGATGAACGAGTCTGGTCGACAGGTGCGACATAGAGGTAGGTAAAGGAAAAGCATTTTCACAACGCCGTGCATGAATGTGGCGATGTCCTTCGTCATCAAAGACATACATCCCGTCACTCGACTCCCAATTAGAAAGTCTTCAAATGTCCAAGCGCCAAATTACACATTGACTATATCAGACCGCACAATCGGAGGTTCTCCTGGATTATGATGTCTACATTTCGTTAGCCAGGGTAGCGCGACGATGGAGAAGGGGAGCGTACCGTTCACAGCAGCCATAACGAATCGGATCTGCATTGTGTCCGTGGCGCATGTGAAATGGGTGTAGATTTGCTTAGTCTCGTGCTGGTTGAGCGAGACGAATCGGTTAAGGATGTAGTCGCAGGCCGCGGCGTAATCTGGACCGCCTGTAATATGGATTAGCACGGATCGTCGGGAAGCAGTAGATCAAATCATACCCTCGTAGTCAGGGAAGTAGTTCTTCATGGGGCTGACGGGCAGCTTCTCCTTGAATCGATCGATCTTGTTCAAGAAAAGGATGATCGAGGTCTTTACGAACCACCGCGAGTTGCAGATGGAATCGAACAGGGTCAACGCTTCCTGCATACGGTTGACTGTCTCATCTTCGAACAGCAACTGGTCGTACTCTGAGATAGCCACGAGGAAGAGGATCGTAGTGACGTTCTCGAAGCAGTGTATCCACTTCTTTCTTTCTGATCGCTGACCACCAACATCGAACATGCGGTATGTGAGGTCGCCAATGATGAAGGTCGTTTCGGTGATACCGGTGGTCTTGACACGGGATCGAAGCACGTCCTGGTCGTTAGGAATGTAGTCGCCGGCCGCAATACGGTCGATGGAATCGAAATAGCTTTAGCTGTCAGCATGGCTTGTCAGTCATAAATAGCAATTATCGACTCACTATTTCGCAGAGTCGTTCAGCTGGTATTCACGCGAGCGCTGGAAGCACTGCTGCACACCCGCGTCTTTCCAGAGCACGGAGATGGCGTTGCCAACCTCCGGAGGTAGGCTGTCCCCTTCGATTTGTGCGGGTTGCATGAAAATGGTCTGAACGTGGTACTCGGCGCGCTGGTCATCCAGAGGAAGCTCGAGGGACTCCATAGCCTCGAGGATGACACGCATCGACTGGACCGTGTTGCTGAAGATGATCTCCTTGAAAGATTCGCGCTCGTCGCGCGAGTAGCCGCCCTCGTGGATAAGCTTCATCTGCTTGAGAATCGTGGATTTTCCAGATTCACCAGCACCTGCTCCGAGTTAGCATGCGGGTGGCCGACGCCGACGGCTGGACGGTTACTGACCGAGCAACAACATCTTGATTTCATTGCGCTGCAGCATCTTGTCACGCTTGAGCTGGTTCTCGATTTCCTCGTTCCTCTGCTTCCCCTCCTTCTCCTCTGTGCTCATTCCGCAGCCCATGATGACGGTTGGGTGAGGTGTGGTGTATTAGGTAGGTGGGTAAGATGTTCCGTACGAAGGCCGGCCGACACGGAATCTGCGCGCAAGACACGTTAGTACGGACTCTACTGGCGGCGCGGCAAGGCAGAACAGGTTGTCGCTGCAATGGACGGCGGTTGCGTGGAGTGAGGCAATGGGTGAAGCGGAAGGTGCAGTGCGGTTTCCTGCTTCAGGAAGGAGCGACGCGCGCAGCAGCAGCGGAAGGTGAAGGTGTCAATGGCAGACAGATGGTACTTACGTATTATTACAAAGACGCAGGCTCAAAATCGCTTTCGCTGCTGGCGTTTGGGTGGCGCGCGGGCGATGGATGGCTGGATGATGGAGAGGGTGCGATGGGGTCGGTTCGCTCGGGGCGGAGGTGCAGCGAGGTGCGCGGTGGTTGGAGAGGCTGTCGTGGGCTGCGCCGGGGGCCGTTCAGGTGTCGCAACGAAAGACAGACGCAGCTTCGGTGAGAGTGGCACGGCAGCACTTGACAGGAGATGCCGACAGCACGACGAGAGTGCGGATAAGAAGAAGGTCTGGGAGCGCGAGGCTTTTGGGTGGTGTTGCCGAGAAAGGGGAGAGATCCAGGAGCGGCCTAGTTTCAAAGCACAGGCCTTTGGAGCGTTCGCTCGCTGCAGTCCGCCTCCGCCTTTGAATGGCCGCACACAGCACCCAGGCCTGCGCTCGGCCTGCTGCAGACGTTCCTGCTGATTGATTGATTTCTAAGGTTGCCGTCAACCGTCGACTGCCACTCCCACTGCTATGCTGCTGTGCATACTGCACCGCTGCGGCCGGCATCGAGGTCTGACTGCGTCCGCGGCGAGCCAACCCAAATCAACTCGCCACCGCCATAGCCAGAGCGATCAAGAAGCGGGCCAGGACCAGGACGGTCCCCCAAGCACCTGTTGCACACCTGTTCCACTGTTTGGCGCGTCTGACTAGCAGCTCTTCTAGAAGCTTTGTCGAAAAAGGGGCGCGACAAATAAAGGCTCCGCGACGGGGCCAGCCTGCGAGCGCAACACCCCGGCAAATCTCAAACGCTGCTTCGTCTTCGATCATCATCTTGTCTTGTATCGCTTCGTGTGTTGCGCCGTCTGCTATTCAGTCGAACCGGCCAAAGAACAGCGCCTTCCGCCCGTCGACCCGCCTTGCAAGGTTTCACTGCGTCGCTCGCTGCCCGTCCTGACCATGACCCGCGTCAGTTGCTCCGTACCCTGTCTTGGCCGGTCGCTCACGCCAGCTGGCCGTGGCCTAGCGCTCTCGACGCAAACTGTAGTCGCAGCTCTAACCACGGCGCCTTCATCTCCTTGATTCATGGTGCTCATTTCAGCCAATCAGCGCCGCTCGACAATCCTGGATCCTGGCGCCTGCTCGCCTTGTTCGTCTTTTCCTCCTCATGCCCCTGATTGCGCGTTCAGCAGCGCACAATTGTCCTTCCTTGCTGCGGCATCTGTTTCCATGCACTCGTGGTCATCCAGGATGGCACTTGTATGGGTCCGTCAGCAAAGACATCATCAGCACGCAGCAGTTGTCACACCACCTGCTACACTCGACAACGTTTCATATGCCATCCTTAGTCAAGCTCAGGTGTTGCATCACCCTCGGAGCACCCAGGACCTGCTGACAGCGTGACTCTATCCTAAGTCTTTGGCGACCGCGTTTACAGTGTGCATCCAACCTTAAACGCAATGAACAATGAACACGCGATCTTTGTCATGCAGATGAACAAAGTATGGATGCGATACTAGTCCCTCGAATGCTTACAATCTTGCAACGCCATCAGACGAGCTCATCGATTGAAGGGCACACATCCTCGTCGACTCACGCCGTCTCGCACTTCCGTCACTTGGAAACGTTTCAGCATCTACGTGAGCAGCAACCACTACATTGTCAAGAGCCTGGTCGAGCACGTGCTTATTATAATATGATAATGATGCAATGTCCTATTACTATGGTAGATGGAGATTTGGGGGAGTGTGGGCCTGACTTACAGACTCTACCATCCCATGTTGCTCTGGTTTGCCTGCCCAAAGAACATTAGGATCCTGCTCTAGTATTGAAGCAAGTCGGATAGTGAACACCACGAGGTTTTGGCGAATCATGTGTCGGCGGAGCATCCTCGCTATCAAGTTTCAGTGCTCACATCAGTCGCTTGTCTGGAAGTGTCTACCGATGCACCACTTGCTACGACATTGGAAAACAGCCATCGTATCTGAGACTTGATGCCAAAGGCGTCCAAGCTATCTTTGATGTCTCGACCCCGGATGAATGCTACTTGCCAGTGCAGACCAAAGTCTTGGACGTCTGTGGCATCCTCCGACACTGACAATGCAAACCAATCACTCGAGGTGAAACATGCAGCCTGTAAGCTATCAATAAGTCGTTCGTTTCAAAGTCGAAGATGCGGCGTGGCTGTGGCTGCACTGGGTAAACTTCTGGGGGCCTATACTCACCTGACATTGCCTTTGCTGGCAATTCAGAGCATCCTCACCGAAGCACGCATGTAGTATCTTGAACCCCCGGACACCCTTCAATGTCTGTGTCAACAGGGCAATATCGAGATGCAGATAAGAAAAATGTGATCAAGGCTTTATCGATTTCAACCCCAATCATGCGCCCTTGTGCAATATCTGAGGCTGAGTGCAGCTTCCGTCCTGCCGGATGGCCATGAGCCCCAAACTCGACACTCCGCCGCCTTACTGTGCGCGGGAGCGGATCGTGCCGGAGCGAAGCTAAACCTACTGCACGATGAAAGACTGCGAACGGCAGGCAAAGTCGATAACATCATCAGTATCGGTGACTTCACGTGCTGCGTGTTCATGTACATGCAGCGAAATGCTAGACGGTAAAACAACCGAAAACAATGGTTACCAGAAGAGAATCAAAATGGCCTAGAAGCGACACATACGTACGCCAAGCTCTATTTTCGTCACTAGAAGAGACAATTAGCCATACACTGCGTTTCTTCGTGCTAATTTGGTGGGCAAGCGCTTAGGCTAAGGCCCAATGTGGGAAGGCGCGATCTCGAAGCGCCAGCAACCCGAAGTCGTGTATCCTAACCACACTCTCTACAGATCCTGCGTGCATCTTCTGGTAATATGTCCCGGGCGCTAGAGATGTTTGCACCAATCCTTTTGAGAAGCTCTGCGAACCGACGCCTCGGCGGCTGCCCATGCATACGTCAGACGCAGCGCTTCGGAGGGGTGTTCCTACATATTATCAACATACGATCCACTGGCGAGTTCCCTCTCGATGCATCAAAACATATCGCATGAGACGAGTGTTGTGTGACGAATTTCCTTCCGTCTCTCCTTCAATTTCCTTGTCCCGACGCTGCTGGTTCAGCGCCGTTTCTCAAATGTTACTTTTCTAGATTCCTTTAGGTCTGTCAACGCTCTCCGCCCCACAATGCAGAATGCCGCTTACTTCTTCATAGCTTCTGTACAACTATGTTTCTCAGCCACTCTAGCTGGCTATGCATTATATTGCCTACCCTAATAGCAGCCACGCCTCAGAAGACGGTACCGGCACGACCCAAGCGTTCACTACCCCCAAAGCTTCAACAGGTACCTGCATGTGCACAGCCATGCCTGCAGACGTCGCTATCCGAAAAGTTTCCTTTTGCATGTACTACCCCAGTGGAGCTCAGTTGCCTATGTTCTCGATATAGTTTCAATGGCCAGACGCTGGGCGAAGTGGCTGTTGGATGCATATATGCGTCTTGTTCCACGTACCATGGCACGACTTCAGCATACAACATTTGCTTGGGACAGAGATATGCTGTTGCACCGACGTTGACAGCTATCACTGTAGTAGTAAGAACCTCATCGACGTCAGCGAGCATGACCTCTTCCCGTCCGGTCGCTATCACAACCTCTCATACAACACCGACAACTTCATCGACGCCTTCCACGCGGACCTACGTTACAGAGACGGTCATTGCAGACTCTGTCTCCTTGGTTCCGTCAGCAACCTCGACAAAATCACCGGAGACGACAACACCGCTTGCTGCTTCAACCCCTCCCAAAACAATGACGCCCGCTCAAATAGCTGGACTAGCTGTCGCAGTCGGAGCGGCCTTTGTCATCGCTATTGGTCTCATGGGCCTTACAGTATTTCTGAGAAGACGAAGAGAGCGAAAGAATGGTATCCCCATCGACGAGAAGGCGGGACTATCACCAGGGCCAAGTACCTACTCGCTACCTTTCGCGCCAGAGTCCCCTGTGCCAGATCCGCCTAATCGGTTCCTACTAGCTCCTCCTCCGGCGCAAAAGAGGTCTGACCGAAGCTTGAGAGTTCAGTACGTAGCAGATGCAGTGCCGAAGCCATTGAAGCTCAACGCGACTCGCAATCTCACCGCATCTTCGGAGCTGTTGCCTGCACCGTCCCACACCGACCTGAACACAATACATCCTCTTCTACGTCCTGGTCGTTTTACCCCAGACAATACGTCCAGCTCTTCCATCCCACTTGAACAAATCGGCCTTGCAATTACCGTCGAGCCACCTCGGCCGGCAGCAAGTCAAAATGAGCAAAAGATGCAAGTCCCGGTAGAGGAGATTGCACAACAACGGCCGACTATCTCTCGACGCAATGCCGACATTTCACAGCGACCGGATAGTGTTATGACCCAGACGACCTTGTTCGAAGAGGACGATATCCGGAGGGAGTCTAAATTGCTGCCTGCATTACCTCAAGTTCCTATTCCTCCGATACGTACGTTTCAGCCTTCGCGACCTTTGCCTTCTACGAGCCCTATTCAAGCTGCGATGGAGAGCACAGTGACCAGGCGGGTACCGCAACAATCCGAGCTTTTCTTAGACATTCCGCTCCGATACTCAAGGTCGCAACCACCAAAGGTTGAAACATCGGAGACGCTACCTCGTGGCAAGCGAGTGTCGGCTTCTGCCACTAAGAAAAAGCTGGCTTCCAGAGCTCGGACATCAGAACACAACCCCAAGTCTGCTGACTCGGAACTCAGTCATGGTGGGGACATACCGGACTACTACTTCACCGCTTATCAGCAGCCCAAGACGATACACTCAGTATCGCCTGGCAACCCAGGCAGGCGTTTTCGATCGAAGGCAGACCAGACATACGGTAACGGCAAACCGAAGCGCACCTCCAGCAACGTGTCACGAGCGACCTCAAGAGCTTCGACAAATATTCGCGACTCCTGGTCATCACAAACGTCTTTTGAGACGGTTGAACCCGATGATCCTACGCCAGAAGATGGTGAGACCGACAAGCAACTCCAAGACGGCAAGCTCTCGCCCGTAGCGGAATCTCCCATTCACAAGCTGCGTTACCCAAAAGTACCACGAACCACGAACCAGCTCGTCCCACGTAGCCCCAAAAGTCCACTAAGCCAAGCTGGTCAAGATAGTCCCCTTTGGCAATCGCAACCATCTTCACTGCTTGTGAAACGGAAAGGCGAGCAAGGCGCTCTCAAACTCGGCAGCCCGTTCAGATCAGGCTCACCCGACGCGCGGACAACGAGTGAGATACGCAGGTACCGGCAACACCTTCGTAGCAGCAGTGTCGAAACCTTCAGTCCCGCGCGGAACAGCGAGCGTTCCACTCGTACTCAAAGCAGCCTCTGGCCAAAGAGCCCTGCTATGTTTGAGCCAGAAGTTGTGCGACCACTTACGATTCGCAAGACACAGCTGCTACAAACACCAACTCAGGATATGGAGGCGTTGAAGAGCCCGGTTTGGGTGCCGAGATTGACACCTACGAGGCAAGGAAACGATCTTTTCATCAATGTTACCTACTCGAAGCCGGGCCAGCCCAGTAGTGGCACCTCTTCTTACGTTCCCTAACTTTTAACCTTTTCCCTTCTCTTCTTATACTTTCTCTACTACTTTGTAATATCGGCAAAGCGTTGACGCTGCCTCATCCTGTCATCACCACGATGTTTCCTATTAAGATCAGGGATCTATGTCAAAACTTGACGACTCCATCTCTTTGTTATACTGTGTATAGTACGATACCCATACGCGCTCATTAAAGATATTTCTCGGCATCAAAATGGCGTTCAGGCTGGCTGCTGGAGGAGGAAATGTATCATAGTAGAAGCGACCTAGGTATATATGAGAAATTGTGCATCGCTAGACAAATGATAGGTATTTCTCGCATCGTGAGCTGTGTTAATTTCTCCGCCGGCCGGAATTTCTTTAGCCCAAAGCCACGATTCTCGAGCGACCAAGGAGTGATCTGAAAGACCTTCCAGGAGGCTGCAGCACGTGGTGTAATTAACCGCCGGTGCTGGTCCTTTACCCGTTGGTCTGGACGTTGGGGACTTGCGAGCATCGGAGATATTTTCCACCCGCGGAAATCGCAGTTCCTACCACAGAGCCTCATGTTCTGGAGGGCATCTAGGTATCTACAACTGTCCAAAAGACAAAATTAGCTCATCGCTGCGCCATTCACGGATTACCTATCCGGGGTGAGGTTTGTTTGTACATGAGGGATGCCTCGCATCGAGGCTCGCTCGCAGCCAGCTGTCAGGCGTTCGCTGGACAGAAAACGAGCCTTATTGCCTTCATACTTGTCTGTTGTCACGAGTAGACATAGAAGAGTTTTTGAAATTACTGTATTTGCACGATAGTCGTGCCGACGGCGTGGGTGCACAGGGTTCCCGTATGTAAAGGGTGTTACATATCCCGCCGGAGATTGAACCGAAGCAGACATGGTCGGCTCGGCTTTTGACAACACAATGATGCAAACAATGGGCTCTGCTCATTCCACGGTGGAGGAATGAACAGGCAGAGCGAATGTTCGCTTTGGGAAAGAGTAGCAGCGTTTATCAGTGAAAGCTTTGAGTCAGAAGATGAGGTTCAGTCAGCTAGTACAGAGCTTTGTCATTGCATAATCACTTCTGTATGAGAATCTGCAGGCCAGTTGCGGCGAGGGTGCTCCTCGGGCTTTGCGCGGCCGGCGTGGGCTTTGGTGGGGCTGCCAATTGCTCTCATCGACACTGATTAATCCGCACTAACCAACAGAGACCCCCATCTACCTGCATACAAAACTTGTAACCCTCCCAACACTTCTTCTTTCCTCTCCCTTCCTCTCGTCACATTGCCCATCATGACTTACAGCAAGACTGATGAGCTCGCAATCAACACCATCCGAACCCTCGCGGTACGTTCTCGCCCTTACGTTCCTACCCCGCCATGACGGCAAGCTTGCCCCGCTATCGCGGTTTTCTCTCAACGCGTCTACGGCTGGATTTCAATCATTGTGCACGCTCTGCAGCAATAATCACTGACGAGATTCGTTTCTCCAGGTCGATGCTACGCTCGCGGCGAACTCCGGCCACCCGGGTGCGCCCATGGGCAAGTTTTGCCCGGCTACGAAGTCGATATGCCTTTCTGACTTAACTGTCTAGGGATGGCCCCGGTTGCCCATGTCCTGTTCAACAAGTTCATGACTTTCAACCCGAAGAACCCCGACTGGGTCAACCGCGATCGTTTTGTCCTCTCGTACGTTCTCTCCGTTTCCTACAGCTCCGCGATAGTCACATACGGCGCATTTCTCCGAACAATGCGCCGGGAGACGGCATGTCAAACAGCTATCTCCGCGGGACAACGGTGTTCAACAGGACTTGCTTTTGCCGTCTCGGATTGATCCTGCATCATGCTAGAATCTGGACGAAGAAAGCAACATTTCCGCGAAGCTCCGCTGTTTTGCAAGATCTGCTTGGATTTTTGCGGGGCATGATGCAATGAATTCACTGACGCCGAGTTTAGCAACGGTCACGGATGCATGCTCCAATATGCTCTCCTCCACCTTTTCGGCTACAAGTTGACCATCGACGACTTGAAGAACTTCCGTGTAGGTCACCCAGCGTACTTTAAGTGTGTCTATGATGCAGGTATTGATTCATGACAATAGCAAGTCGACAGCATTACCCCCGGCCACCCCGAAGCTCACGACACTCCTGGTATTGAGGTCACCACTGGTCCTCTCGGCCAGGGTTTCGCCAATGCCGTCGGTCTCGCTATTGCGCAGGCGCATACCGCGGCCGTCTACAACAAGCCCGGCTACGAGCTCATCAACAACCACACATTCATGTTTTTCGGTGATGGCTGCGCCATGGAGGGAATTGCCAGCGAAGCTGCCTCTACTGCAGGTCACTTGCAGTTGGGCAACTTGATTGCCATCTACGACGACAACCACATTTCCATCGGTACGTTTTTCGACGGTTTGATATGGTTGAGACGCTGATCATGAGTTTGCAGATGGTGACACCAAGTGCGCATTCACCGAGGACGTTCTGAAGCGATTCGAGTCCTATGGATGGCACACTTTGCACGTCGAGAACGGCGACAGCGACCTCGAAGGCATTGAGAAGGCTATTGCCGAGGCCAAGAAGGTCACGGACAAGCCCTCAGTCATCAAGCTTACCACCACCATTGGTTTTGGTTCCAAGCTCCAGGGTACTGGTGGCGTTCACGGCAATCCCTTGAAGGCCGATGATGCCAAGCAGGTCAAGGAGAAGTTTGGCTTCGACCCCGAGAAGACCTTCCAGGTCCCCCAGGAGGTCTACGACCAGTACCACAAGCACGCTGCTGAGGGTGCGGCTGCTGAGGAGGAGTGGAACAAACTCTTCGAGAAGTACGGCAAGGAGCACAAGGACCTCCACGCCGACCTTGCTCGCCGATTGACTCGCGAACTGCCAGAGGGTTGGGTTAGCAAGCTCCCCACATACAAGCCTTCGGATCCTGCCATTGCGTCCCGAAAGCTTTCCGAGAGCGTCTTAGAGGCCATTCACGACGTCATCCCTGAACTCATTTCTGGTTCCGCAGATTTGACTGGTTCCAACAACACCCGCTGGAAGAACGCCGTTGACTTCCAGCCCCCGAGCCTTGGTATCGGCGAGTGGTCTGGTCGCTACATGCGATATGGTGTCCGTGAGCACGCCATGGCCGCCATCATGAACGGCATGTCTGCCTACGGCACCATCATCCCCGCCGGTGGTACTTTCCTCAACTTCGTCTCATACGCTGCCGGTGCCGTCCGTCTCTCCTCGCTTTCACACCAGCGTGTCATCTACGTTGCTACCCACGACTCTATCGGTCTTGGAGAGGATGGTCCCACCCACCAGCCTATCGAAACGCTTGCCCACTTCCGTGCTCTGCCCAACATGATGGTGTGGCGCCCCGCCGATGGTAACGAGACCTCGGCTGCCTACTACATGGCTCTCACCTCCAAGGAGACTCCGTCCATCCTTGCCCTTACCCGTCAAAACCTGCCTCAGCTTGAGGGCTCAACCATCGAGAAGGCCATCAAGGGTGGTTACGTTGCTGTTGAGAACGAGAAGGCTGACGTCACCCTCGTCTCCACTGGTTCGGAAGTCTCGCTTTGCTTGGAGGCTGTCAAGACCCTCAAGGACCAGGGTCTTACCGCACGTGTCGTGTCCCTACCTTGTTTCGAGGTTTTCGACGCCCAGTCCAAGGATTACCGCCTATCTATAATCCCCGACGGTATCCCCACCCTCAGCGTGGAGGTCATGTCCACTATGGGTTGGGAGAAGTACTCTCACGAGCAGTTCGGCCTTAACAGGTTCGGTGCTTCCGGTCCTTATAAGGAGGTTTACAAGGTATGTTTGCCCTTTCGTCTACCAAAATCACGGACTGACAAGATTACAGAAATTCGAGTTCACTCCTGAGGGCATTGCCAAGCGTGCTAAGCTCACCGTCGAGTTCTACAAGGACGTCAAGCCCCTCCGCTCGCCTCTCAACCGTGCTTTCACTCAGCTTATCTAAGGCCTTGAGGACCGCTAAGATACGGTTGCGGGTAGGATGGTAATTGTTACGATTTGCTATGACTGAATGGTAGATAGGATGAGCGCATTTTGCTGGCTCGCTATAGGCGCTAGGGAAAATGAAATAGGTGTATAGAATTGATATCTTTGTTTGATCCAATGTCAACTTAACAGACGATTCGGAAGTCCAGCGGTGCTTCGTGTGTGGCAGAAAACGCTGACGTCAAGTTTTCTTGTTACCGCAACATATCAAATAGGAAGTGAACAAGTAAAATCTGCTACACTGCGCTGTACTTAACTTAATCGTGGACAGGATTAATGATAATCTCTGGCTAGAGCTATGTTTAAGTCGAATTAAATCTCCTATATAGTATTCGACTTGGGTGTCCAGGCATGGGATTCGGGTGATGGTCACCTCCGAATCCCTGCTATCAATGCAGGGCGCAAAGCGTGGACAGGAATTCGCTGCTACCCTAATGGCGAGGAGGCAGTGGGCCATCCTATATAAGATTCAGAGTTCTGCTAGGAAAATGTGTCGTGGGAAGTAGAAAGGGTCCTGCAAGATACTCACTGCCTTCCTTCATTCTCCTTTAACCTACTTGCTTGACTTCCAAGAACCAGGCGAAACGCTCCCCGGAAAGTTAGATCTAAAGCCTCTTGCAAGATGCCCAAAATCCTCGCCGTCTTCGGTGCCACGGGCCAACAAGGCTCCTCCGTCATCCACCACGTCCTGCAAAACCCCAGTCTTAGAACCCAGTACACCATCCGCGCCCTCACCCGCGATGTCGATTCGCCCTCCGCACGGAATCTCCAAGAAAGGGACATCGAAGTCCTGCCTGCCGACATACTCGACCGCGCCTCCCTGGATCTTGCTCTCCAAGGCGTCCACACCGTCTTCGCCATGACACCCCCCTACACCTCCGCCAGCGCACTCCCCAGCTCCTCAGCCCTCACGTTCGAATTCGAAAACGGAAAGCGCATAGCCGACGCCGCGCTCGCCGCAGGCGTAGCGTTCTTCATCTTCAGCACTCTGCCCTCCGTGAGCGAGATTTCGCACGGGAAGTACACTTCCGTCGCGCCCTTCGACGGCAAAGCAAAAGCCGAGGCGTATATCCGGGGGCTTGCAGCGTCTGGGATGGACAGCGCGTTTATATGTCCTGGGTCGTTCATGGAGAACTTTACGGCGCAGAGGTGGAGCGCGCCGAGGAAAGGGGTGGATGGGGTGTGGGTACTTGAACGGCCTAATGGGGCGGGGTTCAGGATTCCGCTGGTCGCTGCGAGGGAGGATGTGGGGAGGTTTGTTGGTGCTGTTTTGCGGGATGGAGAGAAGTTTAAGGGGAGGAGGGTGTGTGCGGCGGAGGGGAGGTATACTTGGGAGGAGGTAGCGATGTGTTTGGGGAGGAGTGCCGGGAAGGAAGTTATGTTCAGGCAGTGTTCTTGGGAGGAGTGGAGGAGATGGCGCCGTTTGAGGGGTTGAAGGATTTCTTGGAGGAGGTGTATCGGTATGCGGAGGAATTTGGGGGTATTTTGGGAGGGGAGGAGGAGAATGTGAGATGGGCGGTGGAGAGTGTGGGCGGAAGGAGTGAGTTGACGTCTTTGGAGAAGTTCTTGGAGAAGTATCCCTATGAGTTGGGTGATTGAGTGTAAAGAGCCGAGGAGTGGGTGTGAGACGCAGCGAGAAAGTAGGTCAATAGCAATGGAGATGCTTATTGTGAAGGGTTGCATGGGCGGAGATAGTGCACGAAAGTGGCGCATAGGGTCGACTTCTTGATTGAGGAGAATTTGTGCTTTGTTTGTTACTTCCCGATGGTCTGTACGTGTATCTGATCTTAGCTGCCCAAGGCCGCTCTGCGTTCGTCACATGTTGGTACTCAGCCATGCATTCTTGTTGAGGCGATCAAACGATGAGATGGCGGTCGAGGTACGGAAGAGGAGTGCTCCTTGATGTTTTGGTCGATAGAATCTCCTACCATGGCAGACAGAGGCCAAGTTACACCTGGTACAGGGCAAGATGGATCGTCACTAGGGCGTTGTAACATTGGCCGTGTGAAAGACATGGCTCGGAGCAAACGGGATCAGTAGTCAACGTATGCTACAAACACAATGCAACACCATGGAACCACAACGGTGCCACACCGTCGCCGAGGCGGCCTGGATCTAGCGACAGGGCCGCTACCCGCTCCGCTCCGCTTCATGGGTACCAACCTGTAATTGTACCTATGACGTGCCGCCATCCGAGGCTTATTTTAGGCGGCAATGGTTGGTGGGCGTTTTGTGGATTGACAGGCCCACTTTGCGGATCTCCCATTGCAGATGCGGCGTTCCTGGAGTGACATGCAGGAAAAGACGGCACTTGATAAACGTACATAATTGCAATACTCAACAAACAGAAATACCTCACCGCAGTTGGGTGTGCCATGAGAGCTGTGTCGATCCTGGAAGGTTCGAAGAAGGATCGGGCAGGTAAGATGCAATTACCATGAGACAAGGCTGAGCATCAATTCGATCTTCGATGTGCTAGGCATGCGTAAGCCAATGAAAGGAGTGGCTCTGATGCTCTGTCTCGTAACATGATGCAACAACAAAGCCACACAGACTGGATGAAGGCAATGCGAGCGCTGGGAGGTGCTTTGGGCCGCAGCTTCTCGCTTCTGCACACACGACGAGCTCCCTTCTAGATGCGGGATTTTTAGATGCTACGGACCACGGACCGGTCGAGGGGAACGGAAAAGAAGGGTGAGATTGCTGGGAAAGGAGGTGATTGTACTGCCAGGAGATGGATCTTGATGTGTCTGTGGATGGGGCCAACCGTGGCCTGGGATCGTGCTGTGACCCTCGCTTTTGGCGCCGCGAATTAGATATACCGTTTCAGGATAATCAGAGCGTCGCCGCCTTGCGCCAGAGGCTTCAGCTTGCTAAATATATAATTCAATCGCGTAAAGGAGCGAGACATAACCCAGCGTACATTGTGCCGGATGGAGCATTGATGGGTGTAGTACTTCCTAATGCACTGGTCGCAGGTTCCATAAGAGCGACCCGCACCTTCCGGGTCAACCTGCGTCCTGCGTCATATCTGGAGCGTTAGACACCTCATGCTCAATCGCAACGAGCCGCCATCGATCGCTCAGCTTTAGATCCGCCTTCCCCAACCGCGCGAGCTGCTACACCGAACGCGAGCTAAAGGGACGCCTCGGCCCAAGCCGCATTCCCCGTCCTCGTACTGTCCCATCTGTCCTCTCAGCTACCTACTCGTCGTGGGCAGGCAATCGATCTCCAAAGACATCGACTTCCTTTTGCTGCATGTATTGATCCGCATTTCCCGGATTCCAAGGAACCTGGCGCGCATCAAGCGTCCTTGGCCACCACTCAGCCCCAACCAGCAGGTTCCTTCTATGCAGCCTAGTTACGTCGACCAGCATGCCTGCGCGTCCCAACTTTACGAGCAAGCTGTCGCTGCCGGTCCGCCTCAAGCACAACAACAGCACAAACCTGGCACCCACGAGCGCTCCCAACAGCCGCACTGTCAGTCCAAAACGTGCAGCAATGAGTGACAACAGCAAGCCTGGGCTGGTGCTGCGCGCGAATGTCATCCAGGTGGGTGGGCGCTACCCCGCGGAGAGGTACCACTGAGCTAACCGCCGCTGCAGGGCCGCAACCTCGCTGCAAAGGACAGGAGCGGCACTTCTGATCCTGTGAGTGCATCCCGACTACCAATTCCTACAACTTGTTGCAGTACGATCTGTAGCTGACAAAGAGTCCCGCAGTACCTCGTTCTGAATGTAGGAGACGCCCGCGAAGCCACGCCGCCGATCAACAAGTCCCTGAATCCAGAATGGAACACCACACTCGAATTCCCCATAGGCCCTCAGAGCATGTTGCTCGAGGCTTGTTGCTGGGACAAGGACCGCTTTGGCAAGGACTACATGGGCGAATTTGACGTCATACTCGAAGACATCTTCCAGAACGCACGAGCGGTGCAGGAGCCGAAATGGTTTCCTCTGGAATCAAGGCGCACCGGCAAGAAGAAGGCAGTGGTCACGGGCGAGATCCAGATACAGTTCTCTCTCGTCGATGCGAGCAATCCCAACGCCACCAACGAAGAACTCATCCAGAAGTTCATGTCTTTCGTCGCGCAAACGCCCAGTCCTGACGAGGACGAAGACGAACTGCTGCTCCGCACAGAAAGCGCAGAGAACGATGACGAGGCCGACGAGGAGGAGGAGAGTTCAGACGAAGCGCTCGACGAGAGCAAGAAAGCAGAGAAGAGGGAGAAGCGGCGCAAAAGGCTAAGGTTGGCAAGACTGAAGAAGAAGGCGAACAAGCTTCGAAGCTACGAATTTTCTGACAAGACCGAAGTGGCGGGTGTGCTTTTCCTGGAGATCAGCAAGATCATAGACTTGCCTCCTGAGAAGAATGGTGGGTACAAAAGTTGCAGGCAGCTTTCGTAGGCTAACATGCTACAGTCACTCGCACCTCTTTCGATATGGATCCGTTCGTCGTCACTTCACTCGGAAAGAAGACGTATCGCACGAAGACCATCAGCCATAATCTAAACCCGGTGTTTGATGAGAAGCTCGTTTTTCAAGTCCTCAAGCACGAGACGAACTACTCCGTCTGCTTCACAGTCATAGACAAAGACAAGTTCTCTGGAAACGACTACGTTGGAACAGTCAACTTCCCGGTTGAAAAGGCGCTTTCCGTTGCCCCTGATGCTGACCCTATAACCGGTCTCTACAAGCTGCCTGAGCCGTCCGATTCTCCGGGACTTCCAGAGACCAAGGATGCCAGGAGATCGCGCTTCCGGCTTCCTTTGTCTAGATCGTCATCCACTAATAGTCTTTCCCGTATTGGTCGACCCAGCTTGCGCAAGGAGAACTCGGCGGGCTCGTTATCAGGAAAAGAGTCCAATGGTAGCTTAGCGCCACCTCCGACGAGTGTCCCGCAAACGCCTGGGGATGACGGCAACGGACAAGCCGCTCCTGGCATTCCATCAGTCACCGTGGATCCGACCGCGGTAGATGACCAAGATCTCAAAATGTACACACTGCCCCTGGTAATGAAGAACAAAGAGCGATGGGAGGCCAAGCACAGTCCAACCTTACACATCAAGGCAAAATACCTTCCTTACAAGGCTTTGCGACAGCAATTCTGGCGAGCCATGCTCAAGCAGTATGACGCCGATGACAGTGGCCTGATCGATAAAGTCGAGATCACCACCATGTTGGACACTTTAGGCTCGACACTACATGAATCCACCATCGATGGCTTTTTCCGCAAGTTTTCGGGAGAGAACAACGGCGAAGAGGTGCTCACTTTTGACCAAGTGGTCATGTGCTTGGAGGAGCAGCTACAACGCGGCGAGGAACGGGACGCTAAGAAGAGTCGTTTTGGACATCTCACAGCTTCAAGCAGCGATCTTCTCACTTCTGGCACCGCCACACCTTCCCTTACCTCTGGCACACAGACTCCGCTAAACGCGCACCCCTCTCAGACGTCGATACCAGCACTAGAGACAGACCACCTCGGCGCCGAAGGTGAGGAAGGCGATGTCCTCCCAGGAGATGATTTGGCGGACGAGAAGGGCGAGGAACATGTTATTGAGATTCGAGAGTGTCCTATCTGTCATCAGCCACGTCTGAACAAGAAATCAGATGCTGATATTATTACCCATGTCGCTACCTGCGCAAGTCAGGATTGGCGACAGGTCAACAACATTGTCATGGCAGGATTCGTTACTTCGAGCCAGGCCCAGCGGAAGTGGTACTCGAAAGTCATCACGAAGATCTCGTACGGGGGATACAAGCTCGGAGCCAACTCTGCCAACATTCTAGTGCAGGACCGCCTTACGGGACAGATCAACGAGGAGCGCATGAGTGTCTATGTGAGGCTTGGCATCCGTCTGTTATACAAGGGTCTGAAGGCGAACAACATGGAGAAGAAGAGAAGTGAGTGTTCAAGTCATTTGCTGTGCGCTATACTGACGTTGACTAGTCCGGAAATTGTTGCGTTCCCTCAGTTTTAAGCAAGGAAAGAAGTACGATGACCCGGCATCTGCCAGGGAAATTGAGGGGTTTGTTGCGTTCCATCAGCTTGATATGTCTGAGGTCTTGCTCTCGACATCAGAGTTCAAGAACTTCAACGAGTTTTTCTATCGAGCTTTGAAGCCCGGAGCGCGGCCGTGCTCCGCACCCGATGATCCCAGAGTTATTGTCTCACCTGCAGACTGTCGGTCCGTAGTCTTCAATACTCTCGATCAAGCACAGGCGATTTGGGTCAAGGGCCGGGAGTTCACGGTTCAACGACTGCTAGGCGATGCTTATCCTGAGGATGCGAAGCGCTATGTTGGAGGATCTCTTGGCATCTTCCGTCTCGCCCCACAAGATTACCACCGCTTCCATATTCCCGTCGATGGTGTCATGGACGAGCCAAAGGCTATTGAGGGAGAGTATTACACGGTCAACCCGATGGCTATCCGTTCTGCACTTGACGTGTACGGCGAGAACATCCGGGTCTGTGTACCGATTGACTCAGTAGCCCATGGACGGGTGATGGTGATCTGTATTGGTGCGATGATGGTCGGCAGCACAGTCATCACACGCAAGAAGGGAGATCATGTCAAGCGAGCTGAGGAATTGGGTTACTTCAAGTTCGGTGGAAGTACCCTCCTGTTACTTTTTGAGCCAGGACAGATGCGCTACGACGATGATCTGGTCGACAACTCCAGAGCTGCTTTGGAAACTCTCGTGAGTACTCATTCACCACCATGCTGGACCCATCTAATTCGTACAGGTTCGCGTCGGCATGTCTATTGGCCATAGCCCCAATAGGGACGCCCACACACCTGACATGCGAAAGGAGAACCCCACGAACGAAGAGAAGCAAGACGCAAAACGTCGTATTGAGGGCAGTCTGGCGCCAGAAGGAGCCCAGGGGCCAATGCCGGGCGCAGGCTTCCAATAGTTGTTTCCATAGTATTGGGTAAAAGCGAGGAGGAATATCTGAGTGTATAGGGGTAACGAGATGATGAAGGCACGATAGCATACAGGATTGATTGCGGCTTTGGGATGCTGCTCTCTCCAAGGCGTTGGGTATATGACGGCATAGCAACATCGGATAGCTGTAGTTATATATTGAATTTAAGGCTGAATTGCCAGCTTTGCCAAACTTGTACGATCAAGGGAAATCGCCCAATGTGACATAGCTGCTACCACTTGTCTTAGCAACGAAGAAGCTCAGGAGAGGAAGAGAGGAGGAGAGGAGGTGGTCCTGTGCTCGTTGACTTAGTCATCCGGCTCGACGCCAACTTTGTGCCAAGCAGCCCTGACCCAGCAAGCCGCCCGTGTTTACACTGACGCACGCCCCCTACAATCCCAGCCCTTGAGCGAGTGCCAACACCACCCTCGAACGCGCCCAGGCAGTAATTGCATTAATCGCCAATTCCTACGACATTTCCATACCAGATAATTGAATATAATATCCGCGCGCCATCCGAAATCGCCGTCGTGCGCGTGTGTTGTTGCCGCGCACAGCCCATGCACGCGCTTCGCTCTCCGCACCCACCAGCAACCACGCAACAACCGAACTCATGACCGCTATCTTCGCAAGATCACCTTTGCAACCGCTACCGATGGCCACAAACCGCGCGACTGCGCGACGGAGGAGCGCCAGAACAGCATTCGAGGAGGAGGATGCGCCTGCTACGAAAAGGGCAAAGACGGAAGTGAATAGGACAGCGAAGAAGACAAACGGCGCGACAAAGAAAGCCGCGAAGACAGGTAAGCTGGACGCACTCGTGGAATGTCAAAGTGGGATATCGCATGGCTTCAATCGCGCGCAAGTCGCGTCATTGAGCAGCAATTGCAGGACGAGACCGGCTAACAGGAGCGCAGCATATGACGAGGATGACGACGGTTTCCAGTTCACGCGTCGCACGTCAAGACGAACGTCCAAAGCACAACCAGTGCCCGAACCGATACCCGAAGAACCAGCCAAGCCCCCGCCAGCGCGCAGAAAGAAATCACTTGCTGCGCCTGAACCCGAGCAATCTGAACCGCAAAGAAAAAGGAGGTCGACGCGTTTGTCAGGTAATAAGGAACACTTGGACGAGGTAAAAGAGGTAGATGAAAGCGCAGAACCAGCGAAATCCGCGCCAAAGCGATCAAAGAAAACCGTGCCTGTGGAAAAAGTCAAGAAGAAACACGTCACTCCAGCGCCGGAAGAGCAATCAGAAGAGAAGGGAGAAGCGCCTCTTCTAGTGCAAACACCGAAGATTAACGGGCTCCATGTGGCTAAGAAGCGCGATGGAGCGACCAAGATCATGCTACCTTTTGCGGACACGCCTGTGATCAATCGTAACAAAGAAATGCGAAAAGCAAGTAAAGATGGGCATCGACGGAGCAGCACAGGGCTGAGGGGCAGGAGAGCAAGTTCGTTGATCGATAGTGGGATGTCTAACGGTAAGCTTGCGCGAATGCGTCTACTTTGAGGAGCCCGTACTGATGTGCGCCAGCATTACCCCATTCCGAGGTCGAAGTTCGCGATTTCTACAAATACATCGAGCAAAGCTTACCGGAACCGCGGCGCATGAAGCAACTACTGACTTGGTGCGGCTCCCGAGCGCTGCCAGAAAAGCCATCGGGCAACGTCAAGAACGCAAATGCGATTATGGCTGCACGAGCCATCCAGCAAGAGCTTATAGACGATCTTGCGAGCAAACCAGAACTTTCGGATTGGTTCAGCAGGGAAGAAACAGCACCGCCGACTGTGGTGAAGAAGCCCAATCCTCAGAACGTCAAGAATCAAGCAACGCTTGAAGAGTTCGAACAAGAAATTAAACGGTAAGACATGTCCCATATCATGCAATGACGTACTTTGATACTGACATCAACTAGTCTCGAGGAAGAGAAAGCCGCCTGGGAAGCTCTGGCCTCGTTCTCGAAGCCCCCACCTCCGCCATCAATACAAACCGCAACCCCCACATTTGCCGACATCGACGCCTCCGTTCTCGATCCTGAACAAGCTTCCATACTAGCCGCTCTTCAACAGTCACAACCACCACCACCCGTAGAGTCGTCCGAACCTTCCTCATCCGCAGTCACATTCACATTTACAACACCCGCCGCATTACAAGCACACCTTGAAAAGCTCTCCGTCTCTCTAGAACCCAACATCGACCTCTTCGCAGACGGCGTGCACAAGATCGAGCAGTACAGGAGCACAGCCGAGCGGGTAGCAGATCGCGTGCTGGGCACCGCGTCGAAGCGGCTGGAAGAGCGGGACAAGGAGAGCAGGGAGAAGGTCGGCAGCGAGGGAATAGGCGTGGGCGATGTACTCCGGGGCTTGGCCGGCGTGCTGAAAGAGTCGTAGGAAGTCTCTCAGTCGGGCGCAATCATAGTGACGGTTACGGAGGTGGTGCCGCTGAAAGAATGACTGGCTGTTGTGCAAGAGGCTGGCTGGCTCGCTCGCTCGCTCTTTTTATGAATGATTGTTGATGCGACGTGCTGCTTTGTGCGTTTGCCAGACGGTCTGCATGGGAATGATATATGTGGAGTTAGTTTGCTTTTTTTGTCGAGTTGCATTTCAGGCGTTGAAATTATTATGGGGGAAGGGATCTGGGTATACCATTCTCTGTTGAGTCTATGCAGTTACAGCTACATCAAGTGGTCAAGTCATCTTCGCATTAGCCTGTCTGATCCTTGCTACCATAATATTCGTCAACATTGCGCTCCATCAGTTCTCATGTCTAGGCTAAATCTCCCCAGAAGTGTGCGCCTCGTTCCGCTTCCTATCCATTGAATGCTTGGTCCTTCACATCTTTACGCACCAAACCACTAACCTGCCGATCTCTTCATTTCCTAGATGGATTCCGAAGCCCAACGTCAGTCTGAGGAATAGGAGCCTTTGTTCGAGGTACTTCATGACGTCCAAAGGAGCGCTCACGAGCTGTTCAGCAGTGCGACCGAGGAGCTGTTCCCACGCTGCGTCGGAAAAAATGAGCTTGCCGGTGCCGATTGCTCCGGTTTCGTCAATGACGTCTCCCAGCTGCGTCACATTAGTTGTAGTCTTTCCCAAAGGTTTGAGGGCTTGATGACATGACATCCTGGGCGACTTGGTTCCCCATGCAGGTACAAACTTACTATGCGAGGATTGATCCGTAGCATACACTCCCTGTCGCATTGTCGACAACTAGTCTTCACTTTGCTAGAGAAGATTGGCTTCCCGCAGCATTCATTGCTCATGAGCATCTCGCGCTTGTAGTTCACGACGATGTTGAGCTGCGTGATGATGACACTCATGTATCCCACGGCTTTCTCCGTCGGATTCGTCCTTGCGAATTCGTCGATCTCGCTCAACTTGTATAGGACCTTGACTGCTGCGCCTCCGGCTTCCTCTGCGTCAAAAACATCGTGCGGGAAGGGTGGGTTCACATGCTCTCTCTTTATGAGACGCTGAGAAAGAGCCCGGAGATAGCGAGCGTCCGCAATGGCTGGGTCGATGAACAGCTGTGTGTTTCCGTTCAGCGACAGTTTCGCGCTCTTGTCAATGCGCCAGCCAGGGTTGGAGATGAGCAGTACGGTGTCGTAGGGCTTCCACGCAGATGCTGACCCTGAAACAGAACCGTAGAGGGTGAGGATGCCCTCTGAGGTATCATCCAGTATGACAGCAGTCATCGATTCTGAGGTATTTCCGTTTTTGTTGGTGACTAGATCAAGTTAGCCTCAAGAACTGATGCCGAATACGATCAGTCACCGTATAGACTATATTGCCACAGTGGTTTCCTCTTCCGTCAGACTTGAGGGTGCGTCACCTACACTTCTTCCTCGGTCCAATACTCTTTACACAAACCAGAAGTTTACAGTCGTCCACATCAAAACCGCCATCCGTGAAGTTCCTCAGCGTCATGAGACCCGGCCACACCTGGCTGTCGTTCGCTCCGAATGGTCTCTTGAACATGGTCCCATCGTCGCTTCGCTCATGTATCATGAAGTGACAGTTTCGTTCATTCTCGGGGAAGATGCTGGTAAAAAGCGGCGCAGCGTTCGGCGCTAGTCCGATCTGGCCATCTCCTTGACTGATATGGACAGTCCACAAGGTCACCAGCTGGCCTAGCTTGAGTGCGTAGAGTGGTGTCGCGTACCAGAGCCGCACAGTCATGACGCCAGTGTCATCAGCGATCATTAATTTGAAGAAGCCTTGGGCAGCTTTCGGTCGCTTGCTAGGCTTGGGCGTGTCATAGACGTTGACGATGCGTCCCATGATAGTCAGGCAGCGTGGACCTGGCTCTAGAGAGGCGATCTCGCTCTCTTCATAGTCAAGGACAGGAACCCATTCAGTCGTCGGTGAAGACACCTGCAACTCTTCGGACGTAAAACCATCGCCAGGGAAAGATTTGGTCGGCGAGGACGATGAGAAGTACGATTGGATCGAGGAGGCTGGCATTCTTTGCGGAAGGCTGTACTGAGGACCGTGAGTGAAGGATGGAAGGCGTCACTTAGTAACAGGGTTCGAACACCAGGCAACGCAACAAAGTGAGAAGAATAGCAGAAGAGACTGTAAGTGAGAGGAATGAGGAGGGAAGAGAAGGAATCCGACGGGCTCGCAAATTGTTGAGGGTTACGCTCCAAAGGTGGAGGAAGCCGTGAGGCAGGTGCATCTGGGGGCGGTCAGTCACAACAGTGGCAGGAGCGACCGTCTGCTCGGAAAGAACACTGAACGAAAATCACATGCTCATGTAGGGTCCATCCACGGGTTGAGCACATCGCAAATTAGGGTCACTGGAATATGAGAACGATAATATACGTGCACAAGCTGACACTGTCTTGCGGAGGACATAGAGATATGAGGTGGTGCAAATTGCTCCATTTGAATACTGCCATAGTAAAAGAGCGGATGGGGCAGCTGTCTACCCGCCAGATCAAGGAAATCAGCCATGGGTTGAATCATGGCTACGAGTACCTCTTAGTAATCAGATACCTGCGGCCAAACGTTCCGGAGACGTGGATCCGCGTCGAGGTGGGAAGCCAACTGAGGTCGGATTCCTAGAAAAGCTTGTGCTCAAGAGTCATACTGGACGCGCGAGTCAGCGTAAGTCAATGAATTGGGGTCAGGTACGAGCTATCCATGTCTGAGACATATCGACTTCGCACCGGGGCATACGTACTCGCTCTCCGGCTCCAGGGCGAGACACGCCCTGAAGATGTTCGTCATGGCAGCACGCTGCTTGGCGAGTGCGTTGATGACAGGTGTGCCAGTAGGCGTCAGGGGAGCCTACGCGAATTAGCAATAGGTGGCAGGAATGGAGAGTAGGGAACTCACCTTGAGCATGTAGCTTAGGATGCTGAGAACGCTGTGGAACCCGGCGTAGTTCGCATCGGCGGTGTCGGCACTATGAGCCTTCCACTGGATGCGGGTCATCATCTCTGCAACCAGGACCAAGTCGATGATCAAAGGAGAGGCCAGGAGCGAATCCTCGCAGACGTTGAAGATGCTGATGGTCTGGTGTCCACCCAGGAAGATCTCGGCGTAGTACTCGTCGAGAGCACGCTTGTCATCGCCAACAGCGGGCATGTACTTGATCACAACGGTGTGGTCCGGGTGCTCGCCTTCCTTGTACAAGACTGAGTTGGCAGCGACCATGTCATCGATAACGTTAGACTTGGAGATCTCCTTAGAGCGGAACTGCTTCTGGGAGCTGAGGTTCTTGCCATCATTATTGCCCAGGTGGTTGTAGCTGGCAACAGAGGTGAGCTTGATACCCGCGCTGATCAGAAAGTCCACGAGTGCAGACTTCATCTTGGTCTGGCCAGATTTGAAATCGTCACCACCAATGAAAGCATTGTGCTTCTCCGCGAGCTGGATAGCGCCAGGGACGAAGGTGTTCTGAGGAGAACCGTTGATGAAAGGCACCTTGTCCAAAATACAGGCAACGGCGAATACGGTCGATGGGGAGACTTCCTCGTGGCCATTCTCGATAGCCTTCAGGAGGTTGTCGGCAGTGTCGTTGACGCCAGGCTGAATCTCGGCAAAGCGCTCCGTGTTGGCAGTCCACTGAACGATAACCTTGTCGAGACCATTGGCTTCCTTGAACTCGCGGATGTCCTTGCGAATCTGCTCAACATGAGCCATGGATGCCTTGGAACCGGGGACGAGGTTGTCAGCGCGATCCTCCTGGTTGGCAGCAATGAAGTCAGGGTAGTAGATGCTAGGGAGAGGCTTGATCTGAGACATCTCCTTGCGAACTAGAGACTTCAGAGTCGGCTCAAGCACCTTAGCACGATCCATGGCTTCGGCCAAGTTCAGACCGCTGATATCCCAACCACCGATAACGAGGTCGTTGGGATGAACCATAGGCATCAGGTCATGGAACGGGATGTTGACGTCCTCACCCGTCTTGCTGTCGACGCCGAGCTTGGTCGTGGATCCCATGATGACAGAGCCATAGTAGTTAGCACCGCGCTTTCCTTCCTTGGTCTCCCACTCGAGACCGCGGCGATTAGCAAGAATACCAGCAGTCACAGTGGTACCGTTGTTGCCACCGAGACCGATGAGCATGACACCGAGCTTGGGAATCTTGCGGTCGACTTTGAAGTCGTAAACAGTCTCCTTGGGGACGGCCACATACTTACCGTCGGCGTTCTTGGAAACAGCCGTAGTACGGTAAGTGTACTTGGACTTGATGGACTCGTTGGTGTATTCCACGTTGGGCGAGTCGACGACGAAGAGATCCTTGGCTGGGGTAGCCGCTGTCCCACTTCCACCGTTCGCAAAACCGACGGACTCCTCAGCGTGAGGGGCCATCTTGATTGAATGAATTGATTCGATGCCTTAAAAGCTGATTTGGTCGCTTAGTAGGCTAATATAAGATCCGATGCTCCTCCTGAAGGAGAGGTGCGTCGGCCTGCGAAGGTGTTGTGGGACCTAGTTCAATTAGAGAGTGTTTTCTAAGGCAGTATCGAAAGATTGAGGGCACATACGAGTTAAGGAGATTGGAGAACGTGGTGACTATCTGGGCAATGGCCCTATGATACTCGTTTGAGCAATAGGTGAGGTGGGGGATCGGTCGATTGAGACGTGCGAAGAGCTTCAAAACGTGTAGCTGGCTGGTCAATTGGAGGGGTCTTGAAGTTGAGGTTTGGACGAGCGAGATAGACCGGAGCAATGTTTGATTGTGGTGGGTGAGAGGACAGTGTGCTCTTTGCGGGGAGGGTCTTTATAGGTAGGCTCGGGTATTCTCGACCGCACAATATTTGCTCGTGGAAAGGCGCGTTATCGCCTGCGCTAACAGAGACGCCAACATCCACGACACTCCGCAGGCACCCGGACAGCACACGCTAGACGCTAGACAGCTCTCCACCGCCTTTTCAATAGCGAGGCTCGTTTGCATGGAGGAGGCCAATAGAGACATGTTCACAGAGCGAGGGCCGCATTGAAGATACGCAGATTGTCCACCTACGGGGCGACAATGGCATGATGTCCGGAGCAGCATCAGAAAGCATTCACCATAGAGGAGCAACTGAAAGTATTCACGATCATCCTCGCAAGTTCCCAGCAGGCTACATAGGTACTCAGAGACTTGACAACGTTCGCGGGGTCGAGCTGCAGTTTCTCCACTACGATCAATCTCCACAATCCACTTCATTCGATGTCACTGAATGCGCAGCCGTTCTTCCGAAACAATCCAGAACAAGGAAAAGGACCCGGACTACTCGACGGGCTCGTTCATCAATGATTCACGTACGCATGCGAGCCGTCGGGCATTGCGTTGTTGTATGGCATCAGTCGCGCCTCATCGCGTGCAAAGAGTACCCCGCCATGCAGGTCGAGTGTTTACTAAGTACTTGTTGACGTGCCCCCACTTGGCGGGAACGCGATTCTGACTGGTTGACAAGTCGACCGTTGAGCACGCCATGCCTCCCGCCGGACGTTCTGTTTGCCTTGTATGCACTCTTCTGGCGCGCCCGGATCGATTGACGTTGTTTCGAAGCAAACCTCTCTCGACATGGCAGTCGGTTTCCACGACGACCATGAGACCTCATGGGCTTCAAGACTGTTTACGATGCGAAGCCGGCCAAGCACGCCAACGCAAGGCGCCCTGGAGACAGGGTTCCGCTCCGACTCTCCGAGCACGGCATGCGGCGGTTCGCTGGCTGCTGAGACGAGCATGGCGGTTCTGCGAGGCTGAAGGATCCAAACGGCACCTCATGAGAGGTCATTCCAAAGCGGGTCGAGGTGGTCGCGAAGGGAAGGTCGTCGGTCTGCAACTTGTCTAGCCTGCACATCCACGCAGGGTCCCGCAGAGCCTAGGCGGGTGACAGCAGGCCTGTCAGGCACAGCAATAGCAACGTCAGTTAAGCCCGTCGAGGCACACGAGAGCAGCAGCGCCGTCACAGCCGGGAGAAACATGTCATCCGCCAGCAGCGACCTCGGATTCTCTCGTCTTCAGTTTCATGCTCGTACCCGCCCACCACGAACGTCCGAAACATCGGGCGCTAACACAAGCGCGGCGCACCTGAGACTGTTCGCGGTGTTCGGTTTCGCCAGATCTCGTGCCAACAGCGCACACGACAAGTTGCGCAACAGGCGGCCGTCTTTCATGCAGGAGGCGTTGTGCCTTCGACGACGATCGTGCAAAGAGGCAGCGATCTGCCTCACTTCCAATCATACGCGAACGTTATATCGATGGCTTAATGGTTCTCCTGAGCTTGGACGCGATCCCCGGCTGTGCGGCGTCCCCGGCTCAAGTCAGCGACTCCTCCAGCAACGACATGTCCATGTCCGCCGCAAAAAGCCGCCAGCGTAGGCGCGCAGCCTGATGACAGACACAGCCGTCGTCATCGCCAGCGCGTGTGACACAGCACGACACAGTTCCGATGGGCGCTGTTTCATCAATATCTGAACCAGTTTCTGGCGCGCGTGGGCCGCCGCATCGTGGGAGTTCCGTGCGCTCCTGAGCAACTATCCGGCAAATCACAAGCCGCAATCTCAAGAACTCCACGCCACATTCAGGGACAAGCGCGGGTGCCTCGCAGGGCTCACCAGGTGTCTCGAGTGAGAGCTTGTCTGTGGTCGCCAGCTCTTTCCCATTTGATTGCTTCGACTCGCGCTGTTGATAGTGCATTTGTATGGTCTCTTTCGCTACCACCTCTCGTGATATTGCACTTTATCATTCGCCAGGTCTAACATTGCGAGTCTCGTCCGTGGGGCTAAAGACCTCCCAAACCGGGTGTGGTTCGCTAGATATCTTCAGACCGCTCTGACGACTTCCCGCCGCCATCTTCACATCAGGCCCGCTTCGAGCATCATTTCCGCATCACCTGTCTCAATTCAGCAAGTCACTGCCCGCTCTAACACCCATCGGCTCTTGGGCGTTCAGGGATTGGTCTCGGCGTGCACTGTTACCGTCGAAGGTAGCTGCCCTGACTCGACGTCGCAAGCATTCATGATCCAACACCCAAACACCTGTCTTTCCGGAGAACGCTGGACGTGGAAACCTACACCCTTCACCCACCTTGCGCGCGAGCTACCATCGACTGAGGATCTTCGACTCGGAATAGGGCGACTATGGCAACCGATGGCATAAGTTTTCTGCCCACCATCAAGTGCTCAGATTGCGGTGTGGACATTGAAATCTCGCAATTGGCCGACCATGTCTGCCTTCCCACCTCTCTCAGTAAGAACAGCCTGTAAACCTTTTAGATGCTTGACTCTAATCCACTCCTCCAGGCGCCGACGAGCCAACCTCACCAAAGCTTGATCGCGCAGCTACCTATAATGGCGCATCTTTCAACAACAGGCCCGATACTCAACCGCGATCCGCCCGCATGCCACCACCACCAAGAATCGATCCTTATGCTGCTAGTATGTCCTTCAATGCATGATCTCACAAGCACGGAAAACGTTACTGACCTCAGAAGATAAACCCTTTTACCCGGAGGAGCCTTCGCCTGACAGCAGTTACGGCGACCCGAAAAGTCGAGGCGCTCTTTCACCTGGATCTGGAAGGTTGCCCTACCCGATGAATCGCAGCGCAACGAGCCCTTTACCGCAAACCCAAAAACCTTTGCCAGACCTATCGTCCAACCTGGACTCCGCCTTTCCTCGCTTTCCGACCAACCGAAGCGCTACGCCATCGAGCGCAAGATCAAGAACTCGCGACAGATTGGAGCCCTCACCCTCGTACGACCAGAACTACGCCCAGCCGAGCCCGCTATTCGCACCGCTGAGTCCACGTACAAATGGAGGAGAAAGCATCGTGAAGAGGATGGATACCATTGCACCGGGTCCTTTCACTGGTGATCGCAGGCCAAGCACATCCAATGGTCCATCACCACCTAGTCAAGGCCGGACACCTTTCAGTCACCAGAGGACGAATACTCAAGGCAGTATCAGAAGCAATGGCATGCTACCGAACTCGAGAATTTCAACGACGTCTAGCACTTCGCGGGGTTCTATTTTCTCGTACGGCAGTTCTGAATTTCCTTCGCGACCGAAGCTTGGTGCGGGACCATTTGCTACGATGCCGCCTCCACCACCACCGCCTCCACCGAAAGATGAAGAACCGGAAGGCATCGATGCGTTCCTAGCGCGCTTGCAGAACGAGACCCTGAAGCCTTCCAAGGTAGATCAGGATAGTCGATCGAAGACATTTCCTATGCGACAGGATTCAAGAGATGCTATGGACCCTTCAGCGCAACCGACCGATCGTATGCCGCCTCCTCGGCGTCCCACCGATATCGATTCGCAAAGTGGTTACACACTCTCATCGCGTAGTTATGAGCCTAAGTCAATGAGCCGGAAAGACAACTTGCCACCTTTGCCATCTATCCCGAACTACGCTCGAGACTTTCCGAGCGACACCATACACACCCCTTCAGATTCAGGCTTGTCGGAAGACTCATACGCAAGCTCTGGGTTCAGGAGCATAGCAAGCTCGAGATCGAGCCCACCCATATCTGAGGCCAGCCATTCCCGTCAAGCTTCCAAGGTTGGTCGCTTAGAATACCTTCATGATGAGCCTGTTCGCAGGACACAAAGTCCGGAGATGTTCTTGGACCCACGACCAGCACCGCCACAACCGGAGAGCCGCAGGGCGAGGAGCCCGGAGGCTTACCTACAAGCTCCCAAGGCGCCTTACATCGGTGCTCCGGCGTCACCTATAGATCCCGCCATCCAAATGGGGCTTCCCTCTGCCAAGCGAAAAGAAGAGCCTCAACACATCCGCGATCCTGCTCTCAACACCCCAGGCTTACTGAGCTCACCACTGCGAATCCCGGACCCCGAGCCAAGGCGCGAAGTCAACCGCCGGCCCACGACAGCCAACAAGGGCAGATGTCGCGGCTGCTCAGAGCAAATCGTCGGCAAATCTATCAAGGACTCTTCCGGGCGTCTCACAGGCCGCTACCACAAGCAATGCTTCGTCTGCCGCACTTGCCGCGACCCCTTCCCCACAGCGGAGTTCTACGTCTTCAACAATGCTCCCTACTGCGAGCAGCACTACCACCAGCTCAACGGCTCGCTCTGCCGCGCATGCAATCGCGGTATCGAGGGTCAATATCTCGAGACGGATCAGCGGCTCAAGTTCCACCCAAGATGCTTCTCCTGCAACACGTGTCGTATCGTACTGCGCGATGACTACTACGAGGTCGGCGGCCGCAACTACTGCGAGCGCCATGCGTACAGCGCCGTCAACCAGCGAAACAACTACCTCGGCCCTGGAAACCAGCGGACGCAGAAGCTGGAGAAGCGCCGCACTAGGATGATGATGATGGTGAACTGAGCAAGCAGCACGCTGCCTCGCCGCACATCTCTCCTACCTTCTCTTTTCTTTCCTTTCCTATTTATTCTAACTCTTCAGCTTTAGTGTGGTTTTCACGGCGTCTTTCGGATACCCCTTCAGCATAGCGTTCACTTACTTTGATTTTATTACCCACCCTTTTCGCTTCACGACGGCATGTTTCGATGCAGAGGTTTACACTTCAGCTTATCACCTTCTTTGCACCTGTTTATATACCCACTCCTTACGGCATTGTAATTACGTTACTTATTGTCACGATACGGCTCGTTGGCTTGGGCTATGGCTAGGAGATTATACCCCCCCTTCTTTTGCGAGTGTGCGCTGTGCGAGCTGTCTCTGGGAGAGGCGGGCTTGATGGCGCGATGGCCTGTAGTAATTGAATGTGTTGCTTATGTTATGTAATGTGCAGTTGGTCTCACTTGTCGTGGTTGTATAGTGACGTAAGATGGGAGTACCGTGGGTGTAAATTCAAATCATTCATTCGTGGCATCTGCCTTTGACTATTCTACTAGACAAGATCAAAAGGATGATGCTCATTCAGTTCGTGTTCCGTTACTCATCAACATCGGGTATATCCCCCAAATTCGCGACTCCCTGATGTGGGTGATGAGTGATTCCTTTCATGCAGACGCGTCGCAGGGTGGCGTCTTCCATTCTCGCTCGCCAGAATCCATCGATCGCTTGTCATGCCATGCCGCACTGGAAACTGTAAGTCTTCAACCCTCCCTCCCTCAAGTGCTGTACTTCGCAGAGCTCCCTCGCTCAATGTGCGCGCTTGTTCTTGCGCCTGACCACCGTGCCCGTCTCATTGGTCTCGACATCGGTCTCATCACCGCACTGTGCGTCGTGCTCGCGAAGGAAATCCATGAGACCGATCGTATTCTGGCGAGGGCTAGTGACTTTCCCAGGCTGCTCTGCAGCTCCTCGCACCGCCATGATGTTCTGCCTCGCCCGGGCAACACTTCCGGCCTTCTTGGGAGCCTCGCGCGATGCCATGATGTTCTTCCTAGCACGGGCGACACTGCCTGGCTTCTTTGTGAGCGCAGCGCCTGCGACTTCGCCGCTCAGCTTCCAGTACGCGTCTTGCCTGTGTCGCTCCTTCTCGATCTGCTCTTCCACTTGTTGCTTCACCGCGTCGAAGTCTCCGAACGGGCTGAGGGGACTCAGAGGACTGATCTCGGGGGCCTTCATGAGGAGAGCTGGTGAAGAGACTGTAGATTTTGGTAGAGGCCAATCGATGGTGGCATTTGAACGACGCGAATGAAGGGTAATGGACTCGTTCTCCACGGACTCAGGAGAGGAAGTAAGGATCTGAGCATGACGAGCAGGGGAGCCGACAGCTGAGGTATTGTCATCGATATTGACCTCGGTACGCTCTTTCGCAGTCTTCTTCGAGGAAGCCGGGCCCTCCGTCTGAGAGTAATTGGACTCCGAGTAGTACTGCAATCCGATGTCCTGCTGCCCAACATTTGCTTCAAGGTCCAGGTCCGCAAGTGGCTGGGACCTCTCGCTCTTTGGTGGAGTGTTCCAACTATCACTTCGGCGGTAAAGCGAGGCAGGCACAGTCGAACCTGTAGGAACTCGCGGACCTGGAAGCACACCGCGGTTCTTTGGATTGCGATTATGACGGTGGAGTTTCCAGCGCCGACACAAGAGCCACAGCGCAAGCAGCAAGAGGGTCGCGCCTGCTAAGACACCCACGATGATACCGCCAATGGCAGCTCCCTGGATCGACTTGCGATCTGCTAAGTCGGCGTACGAGAAAGACGAGGCTTCAGTGATTTGCGCGGTTTCTGTGTCTGTATATGACGAGGAAGCAGTCGCAACCGCCGTATTGGAGGTTTCTGAACGCGCCATAGCAGCTGTTGCGGCCGTGATCCCGCCCGTGAATGCGAGCAAAGTCGTTTGGGTGTTTTCGACAGCCGACTCCGTCGCAAAAGAAGGCACATGCGCCCGAGCAGCGACGCTCGCTATGAGCAGTAAGAGCAGCATGGCCGTGAAGATTGAGGGTATGGGAGTTGAACCATGCGGCAGTGCCATGCCGGGGGTCAGGTGCGTGTTGAAAGGAGAAGGAGCGTAAGAGTGTGCTTGTTGAAAGTAGAAGGAGCTGTAGAGTGTGCGGAGTAGAAAAACGAGCGGCGAAATAAGAGGACCACTTTCACTTTCGTGACGTGAGAATGTAAACTAACCCGAGGACGGTCACGAAGAACAAGACCAGAGCTGTCAACAGTACTAGCGATAATTGCGCCGGAAATGGCCGTGGAGTGAATGGTGGTTGATGTTCCATAGTGAAAGGGCACATTCTATTGAATTGTGAATATGGTGGTGGTTCTTCGAGTGAATATCTGATATAAGTGTGTGGTGGAGGAACAATGTTTTCTTCGTCGGTGTTGACGTTTTTACCAGCCATGACGATAGGCAAGCGCAGTAGAGGTGTAGTGCAGGTGCAGTAAAGGCTCGGTGCAGGAAGGTCTGAGTTATATGTAGGCGTGCTAAGGATGTTGAGGCAGGTACCGTGGTACACAGGCCGCCCAGCCCATAAGAGCAGCATGGCCGTAAATACGGAAGGCACGGGGGGTTGAACCATGCCGCAGTGCCATGCCACGGGTCGGTGGGAAAGGTTGAAAAGCTGGCCTCAATGTCACGTTGAGGTGAAGACGAAAGGCACGGTGAACAATAGACCCGTTGGCTAGCGCGAGAACGTATTGTGCGTCTCTCAGAAGACCCTGTCAATAAGGTCAGTGAAGTACCGTCCGACGGAAGATTCAAGGCCGCAGTAGCTTACTGTGTAATACCGTAATTGTGGCCCGCCATGCCTTCCCAAATACTGGTGAACGCGCCTCTCGCATCTTCAAATTGCATTCTAGCGTACTGTAGAAGGAAACCGAGGGCAGCGGAAATGAAAATTCGTCAATTCATCAGAGAAATACCAAAGTGTTGTTACACCTTCTACCGGTTCTATACCAATATGGAAGGTATCATCTTTACACTGGAAACAACATATCCTCAGTTATGAACATCAACTGCTCGAATCCAATCGTGAAAGAAATCTTGTTACAAGACATATAAACCATCAGGATATGCAAACCTTGAGGATCCCGCCTCGCAACACAATGCGAAATCGATGTTCGCTGGCTTCTTGTCGTGACAAGCTTGCTGTGTCTCTGTTGGCGTGAGTGTCTTAATTTGGCTTGCCCACAGGGACCAACATTTCGAAGAAGCTAGGAGTGGAACGATAGGGATGGGTAGGTCGCTCTTAAAGTCGTCTTCATCTTGATATCATATTCCTAACGAATGGAAGCACCGAGCTTCTGGTATCGTTCCTTCGCCCGTTGTTCATCCAATGCCTGCACACTGCCATCGATGAAAGAGAATAGCTCTCCGTATGTGTCATAAACCCAGTCACAGAATTCCGTCCAAGCTTTATTGAAATATCCCTCGGCCGTTTTCTTCTGCGTTTCCGCAAGACAGCTATATTCCAAGCTCCATAAGGCGAGCTGCTTCCAGCTGTGTACTGACATTGTAGGCGAGCCGACCATGATTTGGTAGAACTCATGAGACATAGAATTACTGGTGGACGAATTAGCACGCAAATTGAGAATGTGGAGAGGGCAGTAACGAACCTGAAAAGAGAAGGATTGTCGCTGTTCACGCAGCACGGGATGCCCGCTGCAAGAAGTTCTGGGTATGGATGCTCCTTGATGTTCCTGCAAAGATGCAGAAGCTCGTTGGAGATCGGGCACAGTTCGATACAGATGCCTTTGCTATCTTTCGTGCGCCTGAATTTTTCCACGAGATGCGGATGCTTCATTAGTGCGAAGCCATGTCCGATACGTTTCGAGTTCAGTGCCACGGCATCATAGAGATTAGAGTTTTGCGGATCGCTCGATCCTCCCGTGTCGAGAAGCGTTTCACCGGCATGGAACATGAAGGGAATCTCGATCCCCTTCTCCCTGCATTCCTTTTGCAGACGCGTCAATTGTTTGTGATAGAACCCGATATGATTGGGTCGATCTTCTGCGCCGACAAGATCAAAACCTTCATCCTGTCAGTTGGATAATCCTCAAATGACACGCCCTTTCATTGCTTACCACAGATCAGCTCCTTGAATTCCATCTTCAACGCTATGCAATCGTCGATTTCTCTTTCCATGATCTTCTCAGGAATAGAGCGCGGCGTGCAGTATATGATCTTCAGTCCGAATGGGAACAGATGTTCCTTACCAGCCTTTTCGAGCTCCTTGTGCTTCTTTGCTATAGCTTGTTCAATCAGCCGCATCTGTTCCGCGTTTGTCACTTGGCGGCCTCCGTCGTTGTCTTCAATGAACTTGTCTAAAAGCATAGGCCGAAGCTCAGCATACATGATCTTTTCATCGATCATCCGGTCGATCGCTGTCCCAATGTACCATTCGTATACCTTTTTGTAATTGAGCAGGCCTTTGAAGCACCGTGTGGCCTGATTGAACCGAGCCCATACTCTGCAAACACGATCGTTAGTAAGTCGAGTCAAACTAAGTCATGAAAATCATCTCTCGCCGAGGACAACGTACCCATTCACTGTTTGAGAGGGATCATAAGCTTCTGTTTCACTCAACACCATCTTCGATAATATCCAGTTTTCAGCTGCGTCGAGTGTGACCTTTGTGGAGTCCTCACCAATACCGTCATCGGCTCTCTTCTTTTCATCCTTCTTGTATTGTCTCGCGAAGTCTTGTTTCTTGAATGCGTCACGGAACGTCTGCCACTTCATCCACACCCTGTCTGAGTATTCTGGATGTCTCCAGTTATCCTTAACTGACCCATCAGCACCCTTCACCTTTCCTTTGCCCGCATATTGTCTATCGAAGATATTTGAATCCCTTGTGGTCTCGGGTACAATTTTAAACACTATCTCAGTCTCACGTAGGTCTTTTTCATCGAGCAAGGGTCTGATGCTCCAGACGTACATATTGTCTCCCATCGTTCGAGCCTGCTCAAGCAGTCTCTCAGGGTTTAATTCTGCGTTGAAATGCAGATGCAATAGGGCTCCTTTTGGGACCTTCTTTGCGATCTGAAACAGAATACTGTGTTGCTCAATCCGACTTTTGTTGGTGAGAAACTGACCACCCATATCTAGCGTCCCTTCTGCGGGAATATCTTCCGATGGCACATTCCCAAAGACGTATCTGCGCTCGAATTCTCGGATGAGGCGAATAATGTCTGCGACCACCTTCTGCTTTGGAGGCGGATCGAGCGTGCTTGCAAGATAGTCCCAAGCTTCCTCCAGTTCCTTTTTGACTAGGGCATTACGTGTTTCTAGGTAGTTATCCGGTTCGTACTTGTCAGTAGCCGGTATCTGCGGCTGTGTCGAAGGCATTGGTTTCTTGGATGGGGTCCTTGGATTGAGCGAACTTCTTTTCCTCTTTTTCTCACTTGAGTCAGCAGAGGGTTCTCCTAGGCTGTCTGATCCTCGATTAGGAGCTTGACTGTCACGTACAGATCTGTAGAGTATCAGCAGAAGTTTCAGATTAGCAACACCACCGTTACTTACAGGGCAGGTAAGCAAGAGAACCACCCTTGAGGGGAGCTTTGAGACTCGCTCGACGACTTTGAATCGCTGTCAGCAGGCATGCCGATAGCTTGGTGCATTCGCCTCTATCAACGACTTCTCATACCGGTTACAAAGAGTGTGGAATACCGACAAATGGGCAGAGGTGGTGATTGGAAGCACTCGTACTGGCCGCCTCCGGATATGAATGCTATACTGCAGCCTGGCTTTCTCTGCCGTAAACAAACCGGTGAATGTTCGATGGTACACTTGTGGGGTAGGGTCTGTAACAGTGCTCAAAGATCCACAGAACTGGTAGTCCTAGGCTATTCGTTGCAAAGTGGGATACCTAGATGTGGAAAGATCGTCCAGGGGAGGTGGACGGAATTGTCCTGATATGCTCGTGCCGGAGATTTGGCCTATTGGAAATGTGATAGTCAGTACGTGATTCACATGGCAGTCATAGTATAGATCCAAAGGGATAGAGTCAGCGAAGCTGCGCCCCGCGGCCCAAATGTAGTGCAAAAGGCTGAATCACAGGTCTGGTGCCTAAACAAAAGTGACGGCGGGAAGAGCGAAGGGTCGCTTAAATAGACGATGTGGGTATAGGACGCTACAGAGAGGGCGACAGGCCGTTGAGGCCTTCTCATGGGCCGTGATAGCTTGTGCACTTGATGGAGATGCCCAGCTATCTAGGCAGGGGGCATCGCGTGGCTTGAGAATAGAGGGAAAACGCAACGAAGCGCGCACATACATCAGCGCATGGCCACTGCGCGCACTGAACCCCTCCTCCTATGACTGCAACCACGATGGCGATGCGCGGGACTCTGTCGTAAATAAATAGTCGGCGGTCGGTGCGGATGTGAGTGTATCACGAGGCTGGCGCGTGCGCCAGAGTTGAGGGCTGGGAGTGCGGTTGGGCGTGGGGTAAGCACGCGCGGAGGAAGCTGCGACGGTGCTCAAACTTCCTTCCTGTCGCAGGTTCTTGCAAGGCGCACTTGTTTCAACGACGATGCGGCAAGCGCTGGTGCAAGAAACATGTTCCAGCGTGGGCTTGCAACCCATTCTCACAGCCGGTCACAGATTGAGGCTATGCCTGCGCCTCCTCCAAGCCCATGCCGGTTTCCTGTAGCCTAGTCACAAGCCTTCCCAATCGCCAGCGATGCCCGTCGCCGGCGCGAATGCCTCAGGCATGCTTCGCTGATTACTGGCCTTTACGGCGCTAGCACGCTGCTGTGTGAGGCTGAAAACGAGCAACAAAAGTCGAGCACTGACCGGTTCGCCTCGCATCGTCGCCCCCAAACGTCCGTGTGAGGCCGTCGCCGTCTTGTCCTTGTAGTGTTTCCCGCCACTTTTTCCCAGCAGTCTGTCTCCAGTATTCCTACTTACGCGTCCTTCATCGTGGCCTCAGGCTCTCATTTTCGATATATACCCTCGTTTCGCTACGCTGACCCCTTCAACGGCCTGCTTCGACCCATGTCTGTTACTCGTACCCGCCCGGAGCTTTGACTCTTCTCCGCATATCCAATTTTCCACAGCCCCATCCTCCCGTCACTACCATGCTCTGGCTCCAGGCTGAGAATGGGGAGCCCGTACTACAACAATTGCAGCTCGACATCGTCGGTTTCCTCGCCATCTTGGGCGAGGGTTCCGTGCTTGCTAATGCCCAAGTTTCGACTCTCTCGAGATGGATTTTCCTTCCGCGCTTAATCCCGGCTCCTCAAGCTTTAATGAGGCCTACGAGGCCTACTGTACTCGAACCGGTCGATGGTCATATCACTGGTATCTACTCAGGCAACCACAAAGATTCCATCAACCACATTGGAAACATTGTCTGGTAAGCCTTCCATACTTTGATACCGCTTGGTGAATGGTCTCAGATTCTTTTCGTCTGCGAGCAATGCTCTGACCTCAAGGGTCATCTGTAAGCGAACGGCATTGGCAACAATGGCTCGACTTGCTAAAGGATATTTGGAGGGCGATTCAGTGTTCCAATTCTTCTTGAAAGTTCCAGAACTGAACTGATCCTCAATGAGTCGAGGCGAAGCTGACTCAAGGCATTCATAGTGACGCCAACAACCTCCCTGCACACTCCGTTCGTGTCGTCCGTATCGAGCGCACCGCTTCGAACGAAGTCAAGTCGCGAACCATCGCCCCTCTTACTAGCGTCCTATTCCTCGGATTCTTTCTCTCCTGCGTCCTCCTTGGACTTTCGATATGGCGCCAAGACGGCATGTCTTTGGTCGCCACATGCCTTCTATCGTCCCTGTCCTCGCTCATTGGGTACGGCAACAAGTGGAAACTCAAGCTGCCGAAACGCGGATCGAAGAAGGGCAAGGTTCCACCCGGTGACGTTGTCATACGATACCCTAAAGGCAGCTTTTTGATCGTCCGTTGTCCAGAGGACGTGGCAAGGGAATTGTATTTCGCACCAGAGACCATCGAGTATATGTTGCAGCATGGCCCAGCGTATCGCCTTCTTAGCCTGGTAGGCACGATCATGCTCATGGGGGGAGTCATCTGTCTTGCCAACGCCCAGATCGAAGCTCAAATAGCGTGGGCGGCATCTTACATGCTGTTGGGTTCCTCGTACTGGATTGTCGCTGCTTTGCCTGCAAAGCTACACTGGGATTACTCATGCTATACCGTCACCAACGAGAGCCTGTCTAACTCGGATATGTCAGCCAAAGGATACCCTTCAGAAAGTGACACATACACCCAGGCTCTTTGGAAAGCAATTGTCGTATCCAAACGAATAGACTGGGTGCGGCTGAGCAATGCTTGCCCCGATACGCGTGCCTGGAATAAGTGGTTGGCGCAGGCCCAGGAGCAAGCTAAGACAGTGGAGCTAACAGAGAGCAAAACGGGAGACAAAGTGACGACATGGGAAGTCCCGGACTGGAACGCACAGCAGGCTCTGGTCGCGCTCATGAACAAACAAGCTGCGGACGACACAGCGAGCATTAAGAATCCCGAAGAAACTGTGGTGCGCAACAGCGAAGATGTTTAAAATTGCAATCTTTTCAAATTTATAAGGCGCCGAATCTGCTTTCCAACTACGATACGAAATTTACGACTCACGACCTAACGATTTTAAGGCATTTGGATCTACAACCGCATCGCACACCTGAGCGTTCAGCATCTCTTGAAATAAAAAACTAGCATATAGCGTAGCATTACCTCGGGCATCATTATCATATCCTTGATTTAGCATGACTTCTTCGTCCTACATCTTCTAGACGTGCTTTATGTTCCGACTTTGTGGAACTGCTTGGAGCGCATGCTCCTTCACTCGCGGAGCCAACGTAGCCATCTTAGAGACGAGGCGGTACAATTGAATGACCACCTCTTGACCCATGCTCAACACTTACATCTGCATGTAACGCCCACCCTTTCAACTCGTAGACTTCCACCGCTGCTCGTGTCCCACCTTCGTCCGTACGACACTCCGCAACCAGTCGTCTAGGTTCTGTCCTTCTCTACCGTCTACTTCCATGCCTTCGCCCAGACCGACCCCACCGTCTTCCTTGCAACACACTTCTTGAGCGGCCTCGGCCGCCTCGTCCCACTCCTCATAGCTGAATGTACCGTCGCTTTCATTCAGCAGCAATTTGCCCTCCCCGGAGAAGGCGAAGACATGAGCAGAACGTATGGGTTTGGCGCGTAATAGCTCTTGTGCAGTGGGCGAAAGTAACTGCGTGGAGGCTGTCGCAGTGTTCGTAGAAGGTAGAGCGATGAGAACGGCGGTGAGGGTTGTAGATAGAGGTATCGACGCGCTGAGGAGGGCGAGGAGCGATGTGTGGAGGAGATGTGGGAGGAGTAATAGACTCTGCATTGCGTCAGCGTTGGTCTTCCATTGACCCAGCATACTCGAAGGACATAACGTACAGGGCTGACACCAGTCGAGCTCTCCTCGTCTGGCAAGCTTCGCACTTGGAGGGTAATCTGTACGAGCGTCCGTGGTATACTCCGCGTCAAGATGATGCTTCGTAGTGTGCTGTGTAGTAATGTCTCCAAATGTCGCTCTTTCGGGCCTTGCCTCACAATTAGCGGCGCATTTGCTAAATGTCTAAGTGTATATACTTCCGACGCCCACCGCTGGCCTCACGTTGACTTCAACAGTCGCTTCCTCGGGCATCTCATCGCGCCGCAGCACTTCGATAGGTCCATTGACGGCGCCAATGATGCAGTATCCGTTGTGTGTGTACGTCGCCGAACCGTCTGCGCGGTGCAGATGCGATAGTATAGCTTCGGGCGCCATTTCCAAAGGTATGTTGTTTGCGCTTTGCGATCACCCAGTGATGTCGCTAGCTCTTCGAAAGTTTGGACAGGGATCAGTGACGGATATGGTGGGGTGAGCGCGGTGCACCACGCGGCACAAGCGTGGAACCGAGGCTGGGGCTGGTCGTCGCTGCCGGCGAGCTTCTAGGTCTGACCTTGAGTGCGGCTGCGCGCTGCATCGCAACTTTTATTATTACAATTCTTGGAAGATAATAGTGGCGAGGACAATATGGCAAGCTCTTCGCGTGTCCAGTCCCCCACTAAACGGTTGCTCACGGAGCTGCAAAGCTACCAGTCCGACCCCAATGACGCGCTGCTGGAGCTGGGTCCCATAGACGACGATGAACTGATGCACTGGAGGGCAGTCATGAAGGGTGTACCGGGCACCGCATATGAAGGTAATTCACTCTCTTCCATCCCGACACTCTCAACTCCGTCTTCGCTCTCTCCCATTCCGCAACACCCATTCCTACCTTTCAATCACCAAGTTAACAACATCCCAGGCGGCCGCTGGGCTCTCGACATCCACATCCCAACAACGTACCCCAACGCGCCTCCTTCAATCCGCTTCATCACCCCCATCTGCCACCCCAACGTCGACTTCAAGACTGGCGAGATCTGCCTCGACCTGCTCAAGACGTCGTGGACGCCCGCCTACACCATCACGACCACTATGACGAGCATACAGCAGCTATTGACGAGCGCGGAGCCGGATAGTCCATTGAACGTGGATATTGCGCAGTTGTTGAGGCAGGAGGACTACGTGGGTGCGGAGGCGCTCATCAGGTTTTATACCGTGACGGAGAGATGGGAGGGTGGAAGGAGGAGGTAGTTATGGGTAGAGGAGAGGATGACGAATGAAATGTGTCTAGTTCTGGAACTGAGGAGGCCATATTTGTCGAACACGAAAGGAAGCGATTCAAGACGTGCATAGCGATAGCATTGTTGCATGCGCTTCAGCGATTGGAAGGACGAGGCACACATGGGCGATATGATATCCAGAATACATGAACTTTTTCTCCGACTTTGAGGAAACTGATCTTGTGGATAGATTTCGAGGTTGCGTGGAATAATCGCGTTCGACACACCTATCTACCCTGGGTTATCAGCTAACACAAGCGCAAATCAAAATCAACCGAGAGACCCATCAATTGTGACGATTAGGAAGGACTGTATTGCAGGCATTCTTACTTCGGAGGATCAATGTGCGGACCCATAATGGCAAGTCACGAAAATGGAGTGGTTACTCCGGCTTTGTCCGATCCGACTTCTTTTCGCACAAGTACGGACATTCGAAGCCCGGGGACTGTGACTTGCAATAAAAAGAATCACTCACGTCTAAAATTACGTGTGTGCCAATCCTGCTCTCGGATAAGTATTCCTGTCTTTTCCGTGGTGACGGAAAACCATAATCGACCAGCTTAGCGATTTAGTATAAGGACTGCACAATACTGTGTCTAGTATAAGAGAATCAGCAACACCAAATACCGGGCTAAATCCTATTCTTTTCGACTTATAACCTTATCAACATGACGGACACAATTGCATCCTTCAAACCCAAAGCCATCGTCTTCGACCTTCTCACCGGCCTCCTCGACTCCTGGACCATCTGGGACGCCTCCACGCCCACCGGCACATCCCTCGAAGGTCTCAAATGGCGCAAGCAATATCTGGAAGTCACATACGGCAGCACCGTTTACGGGCCCGGTAGCACCTACGAAGAGCTCGTCTCCCGCGCGGCCGCAGAATCCGGACTCCCATCGTCATCTCCTGAGGCTCTCCACAAGAACTGGAAGGATCTGAAGGCGTGGCCGGAAGTAGGGCAGGTGTTGCGGGAGTTGAGGAAGAAGGGGTATTTGCTTGGTATTGTGACGAATTGTTCGAGGGAGTTGGGACATGCTGCTGTAAGGAGTGCAGAGAGGGCTGCTGAGGAGGCTGAGGGGGAAGGGGAGGGAAGTTGGAAGTTCGATGCTGCGGTGACTGCGGAGGAAACGGGGTGGTATAAGCCTGCGGTGGAGGCTTACCATGGGATTTTACCGCTACTGGGTGACGTGAAGCCGGAAGAAGTGCTCTTTGTAGCTGGTAGCGCAGGAGATGTTGTAGGGGCGTCGAAGGCCGGTTTTAGGGTTGTGTGGAATAACCATGTAGGATTGGAGAGGAAGGGGGATGTGCTGCCATTGCGGGAAGGGCAGAGTCTGGATGAGGCGTTGCGAGACTTCTTGTAATATGATGTACAAATACACTCGGTACTCAGAAGTCGTCATCTATTCACTCAGAAGAAATTGGCGTAAAATGAAACAGAGACTGCATCAGCAGCCACATGTACTCGTATGAGGTACAACCTCGGAATACTGAAACATAAAAAGGTCCAAAAATATTGCCTAATTACCCTCCTAGTGATATATAGATAATATGGACTGGTAGGGGATCGAACCCTAGACCTCCCGCATGCAAAGCGGGCGCTCTACCACTGAGCTACAAGCCCCAGTTGTCATGTGATCCGAGGAGGCTCGTAAATATATATACGCTATCAGATTGGAATGCGTAAAGTTGAACAGCACCATGCAGGTACGCACACAATCTGACTCTTTTGGAGAGTGGTTACTGGCACATCTGCGGAAACACTATCAGACCCATAATAAACCTCACGGTGGTGCGCATGCGACTAGCGAAGCGAGTTCGTCCAGACCATGTCTTAACTAAGCTACCCACCACACAAGACACGAAGTGCCAAGGTATTGCAAGCTCGAACTGTCGATTCGAGTGCAATAGAGAGTAGAAATCACATCGTTTCGCGTAAGCGATATATTGTATAGCATAACTATCAGCCAGCCTTACGCTCCTCCACCCCTGTTATACAACGCCATCTATTAGGCATGTAACCCTACGGAGCTGTTCTCCGGCCAAGTCCCACCAACAATAGCCCAGATTCCAAATACAACCTCTGGTAGGATTTGCGGATCTTTTGGACACGCGACTCTCCCGCTATCCGCTGCGAGTAGGTGTTCGGCTCGAGCTGGTCCGCCCCACATGTCCAGCTAGTCAGCGGAAGCCACCTCCGGTACAGCAACGGAAAACATGCCACTTTGCGTCCATACTTAAGCGAGGTGAAGGACGAGGGCCTGGATGCGGGTAAGACTGCACAATGCAGAGTGTTGCGGTATTTGCGGCTCCAGAATGACGTGATAGTCGGCAGTGTGGTTGCAACGCAATGCACACGGACTCTTTTGGCGCGGTTGGTCATTGGATCGATGATATTCGAGACTTCATCCTCCAGAGATAGTCCATTGTTTTCTTCGCCAGCCTTTTGAGGAAATGGTCACTGTGCCGCGGAGCGTGCTGTGTTGAGTGGGAATGCTGTTCAGTGATACGCGACGAGTATACGAAGGTGCAGCAACATCTTTAGATTCTGGAACGGAAGGATCACAAGAATGTCGTCTAATTGTCGGTAAAGGATATAAACGTGGATCATACGGTCCAGGCAGAGGTTGAGGAGGAGACGTCCAAGGATATACAGACTTGTAGACTGGGGTCTGCTGATGCTGCTCTCCCGATGATGCGTATTGTCTCAAATCTTGTTCCGATCCTTTTTGGCATGAGATGGGGCATTTCTCTTTAATGTCGGCGATAGTTTCTGAAGTTGATATCCTTCTCTTTCTTGACGAATTACGGATGATGGCTAGTCGTAGACCTATTACAACTACCAGCGCCAACAAGAAAAACTTGGAGAGCACCGCGAATTCATGTTGACAGGATGATGAAAGTTTGAGGATGCGGTTTCTATCCGCGGGTACGAATAGTTGAGGAGGCATCAGGAATGTGAAGAAGACAAGAACGGAACAACGACTTTCTGTGATGACTTGTGCATGCGGGAGGGTGTAGTCTGCTGCAAGTATCCGCTCTGCCAACCAGTCAGTGCAACGGGCACCCGCGCGCTTTCATACAACTCACATGGAAAGACGGGAGAACCGTTTGCATAAGCACTAGCCTTCTGTGACACCGGTGAGAGTCAGCAAGAGTAGTCTTGCCGCGTATTGCCTGTCGGATTGGCACAAGGATGGGAAGCGTGGTGGCCGAAACAAGGTGCGGAGGAAGCAGCGTTCAGGTAAATACATCATGAAAGCTCCACCAGTCCCCATAGAATTACTACGGGCGCCGCGATGCCGCCGCTTGTCTGGACGCCCAAAGTTCCGTCATATGAAACCTGGTCAAGCCAGCCTGTACTGCGATGCTCTGTTCGCGGACTTTCGAAGTGATGCGGCGACCACGCTTGAGATGTCGGGCGCAAATTAGGACTTTCAGCTCCCTCCGCTTGCGCCGCAACCATGTTTAACAGAATAAGGCTGGGGCATCAGACCGGAAGGAGCATAGTCGATGGCGGTTTCAGCGCTGTCGTGCGTCTGGTGGTGACAGTCGGAGGGCCCTTCAGCTGGTGTGCGAACGATGGCGTTGCTGTGGCGCATTTGACAGGGTCAGCATGGGCCACCCAACCAGGTTGAGCCGAGATCCGATGCAAGGTGGAAGCAACGGCGAGCTGGACCTCGAATTCGCATCTCCTCTTGCGCGCCCGCCACAGAGACAATGCTCCGCGTACATAACCTCATTAAGGAGACGCGTGATACTGGGGCGAGTCCTTCAGCTGCATTGGCAACGCCCTGACAAGTCCCAGAAAACTAGATTACATACATCTAGCCAAATAGAGATATCCGGGACAAGACCCCGTCTATACAATTCACAACCCGAGCTGCACCTTGCAATATGGCGTAGTGGGTTCCGCCTGCCAAACTACCCCAGCAACCGCCGTGGCCGTTGCCATCGCTCTGGTCTTGTGCCGCATTGTAGCAGCGCTGAAGCACCATCTCCACAACATGATGTACATGGCTTCCTGAGCGCACGCACAAGGCACTCGCGGCTTCAAGCTGCTAAAATAGTACAGATCTTAGATCTCGAATAAACGTCCCTCGTCCCGTGTGTACACCGCCGATCAACGCGCGTGATCACGAATCCTCAAAGATCATCCGTTGACCATCGCCAGAACTTACAAGCACAGGCGAACTTGTAGCTATTCACAGTAGCCTGCAGCCATTTGGAGATCTAGACCCCTGGCTAAGCGCAAGGAGAGCACGAGATCGCCTACCGTAGGGCTGAAGCGATGACATGACTAGTGCTGGGACAGTCGAGACGAATCGCTCGAACAGACATTCGCTGTCTCTATCTGCCTCCAGGAAATTCGAGCTCGTATTGCAAGTCCTTTGCTGTTGACATCGAGATTTCGCGCTGGCATCATCCTACATCCAATCCCTCGGCTTTACTGACGTCCAGGCCAGCACCGCTCACTCAGACCAGTAGTCATCACGGCGATGCCGACCGCGGACATTCTCAACGTCAATGGGGCGAAGAGGTCTGGTTCGGTTCCTGGCTTGACGCCGCCTTCGAGGACACTCTTCACTGGTTGCTTGCGGCAAATTGCACTCTAAGAGGCACGTTACCTAGACTGCGATTACAATCGCGGCCTCCGAAATCATTGGCCTTTCAGCTCAGATCGAGACAGTCTTGCGAATCTCACGGAGAGGCCGTTGCCACACATGTCACGTGACTAACCTCGATCACAATACCTTGGCTGACAAGAACAAGCCTAACATGATCCCTCCGCAAAACCCAGTCCAGTGGACGTCGAGACTTGTTATCCGTACATTGGCGCGCTATGGAAATGCTCACGCTAGCTTCGTCCAGACCATCCTACATGCACAGCCACATCGACGTCTACTCGTATCTATTCTTCCTGAGATCCAGAATCCAGTCTAGACGAAGTTCGAAATTGCGGCCTCTGTGTCCTGTCCCCGCTTCTGAATTAAGCCTTGCACAGCCGTCCTCTGGCCATTTGACCGGTATTGCTCTGGTAACGTTGGTCCCACACTGCATCGCCTCCTACTACACCGGTATACCAACTGCGGGGCCCTCGGGACCAATATCATGCAATGTCGATACCGGAAATCAATAAACAATGGGCCTTGTTCGAGCTGCGCCTCCACCGTCGTACGCTGTGTCCCAGACCCTGTGCCCACACTCACTCTTGTGTATTCTCTGTACTGCCTTGCTATATTGTGTGTATGAGCTTACCCTTAGCGGTTACAAGACGTCTATGTATCGTCTCTATCTATTCAAGAAGCAGAGTCCGTCCTGCATTGTCCTGCGTTGTCGAAGTGCACAAGCTCACACGGCCTACGGCAGCACCACGATTCGCATTCATATCCCAAACAAGTATGAGAAGGTGTGGATATTACTGTGTCTGCTGGCGTGACCCAGCTAGCGTGCTGCAATTGGGTGGTGTCACGACTCGTAGCTCATAATGGCTTGCCCCATGTGATAGCTATTCCAAGAAATTATGAGAATATCTTGTAGCTTGAACTCGAATTGCATATAGTACCAACGGTGGAGTAGAAGATCTGGTACATAGGAAGGGTCCCTTTTTTAAGCTACGCAAAGTATTGAAAACTCGGATCCAGACATTTCTGTCGTCACTTCCACTACCACGAGATTCGGTTTTGCATGATCTATTATTGGAGACGTTCAATTGTACTACTCTATTCTAAGGATAAAACACCTATGGCTGTGCATAGAGCTTTAACGACTGCCTTGAATTACGATAGGCGTGGATTAAGTCTAGTTGAAGATGTCGGTGTTGTAACAACACAATGGTAAACTCGCATTCACATAAAGTAACACTTGCGCCGGTCACTCCTTCGGCATCATCTTCACGCAAGTTGTCACATTACAGTATCATCAGGCTATCGGTAAGCCCAAAATCACAATCCGAAGCCCGTGGCGGTTGTCAATGGTGCCGAGGATCTAGCCTTATGCTTTGAGGATTGCAGTTAAACCGTGAACAAGGCGGAGGGGATGTTCCTGGTGCTAACCTTAATACGAGCACGACGGGAATTTGATTGGCTAAAGGTACTGGGCATGGTTTGAGTTTGTATCATTTGGCTGCGGAGGCTAACCACTGGATTCAAGATTCCATCGGCATGAATGTGCGTTGACTACGTGATAATCTTGAAGCGTGAGGAAGGGCTGTGTATTGAACATAGTCTGTAGTCGCTCGTTGAATCTATTGGCAAGGTATAAGATTGTCAGTCGATTGCGACTCTTAGCTTCCCATAACGAGTTTTTCACACGAATGATTGATCTTTTGGATAACCATGCTTGCTTAGTGATAACAGTTGGAGACATGAAGCGAAGGTTTGATACGCAGTAACATACCCGAAGGGGTTATACTGATGGATGTGGTTGAGAGCTTTAACACTGGTTCATGTGCGGTAGCAGCAAGGTTCGCTTCGGAACTGGACATATTACAAGTTATCACCATGGTCATGCATTCAGTCGACAGAAACATTGGTTACGTTTCAATCAAAGCATAATCAAGCCTGTCCGTACACAGAAAAAGTACATGTATATATTGGACAATGGGATTACAGGAAACTTTTACAGTACATGTTGGGGATGCCATTTAACATCGCATGGCGGTATCACATCTCGTGCATCGCAAAATCACACCAATAGCATTTGCTTGTAAGACCAAGTAAGGAAACCCCTACCTTTGATCCTACCTTGAAACCGCACTGTAAAGGTGCCCGCAGATAACTTACACATAGCTTATACCTACCCAAAAAGAAATATGAAGGCACACTGAAATTTGCCAGCATCGGAGTTGAACCGAGTCCTACCCTTTCCGCAAGCTTTACGATCCGAGGAGAGTTCGCCAGTAAGTACGATTACTGGTGATGACTCTCGCGTATACCTGCTTCCCTCTTGAGCGGGTAAGCTGAGAGTGATCTGAGCTTGACGGCCGTTACTCGTTTCCAAATGTTGCAGTCGAGACCAATAATGCAATCCAAAGTTTTGGTTTTTGTTGAATAGGATGGTGAGGGTTGTTGTGTCTCGATGACAGTCCTGGCTGCTGAAATACCGCACTTTCGTCCTTGCTTACCCTCTGCAGATATGTATGAATTTGCTGTGCGTTCCGCGAGGTTACTTTGCTGGTCTTACCCTTGCTGATGCGGAAGGGTTAGATAACAAGGCGAAAAGGAACGTAACCTTTTGACAAACCCATAGCAGAGCGAACTGAGCAGTCGCTCAAGCTTAGTACCTCCGGCGCTGTCGGGGATCATCGTAGCTGTCGCCTTCGTAGCCACGCTTCCTTGAACCGGAGTCATCTCGGCCGCCATACCCACCATCGCGATCACGCTCGCGGTATCGATCTCGGCTGCCCAGAGGCTCGTTGTTCGCACCACTGGATCCTCTACCGCCGTAGTCGCGTCGATCGCCTCGGTCACGGCCCCCTCCGCTGCGATCACCACCGCCGCGATCACTTCCGCCTCCGCCAAAGTCACGGGGGCCGCGAGGACCGGCCGGGGCGCCATCTGGTGGTCCGTACCCGTTGGATTGAAATCCAATGCCGCGGCGATCACCTCCGTAACCACCACCACCACCACCACCACCACCACCGCCTCGACCACCGCCTCCGAACCCACCACGGAAGCCACCTCCTCGATCACCGCCGAATCCTCCGCCTCGACCACCGCCACCAGCGAATCGTCCACCCCCAAAGCCGCCTGGTCGACCACCGAAACTACCTGGCCCAGCTGGAGGGCCGCCGAAACCTCCACCTCCAGGGCGAGCAGCAGCTTGCTTAGTGTAGTTCCGTCCACCAAGACCGCCACCGAAACGGCGGGGTCGCCAGCCGGATACAGTGCGACCGCGTTCGACATCGACGGTAACTTTGCGATCCTTGATCCTCATGCCATCTGTCTCTTTGTATGCAGCCTTCATGTCCTTCTCGCGCTCGTATACAATAAAGGCATATCCGCGCTTGCGTTTCTTGAGCGATGCATTGGGTTCTGCTTTGATGTTCTCGACGATGCGTATGCGCTCGATGGGACCATAGCGACCAAATTCGCGCTCCAAATCTTCCTCGGTGGTGGTGTAATTGAGGCGCGAAACGAAGAGTGTTTTGAAAGCGTCGCCCTGGACTTTGGGATCCTCCTGAGGTTTGTCTGCGCGAGTCAGCCAGTGAACAGAAGATCAAAGTTGCGCGTGCCTCAGGAACAGATGCGCATTAGTGAAGCCATACAGTCCTTGACACCTTCAGTGAGGAGCTTCTCCTGGCGCTCCTTTTTCTCGAGCTTCCTGCGGTCACGCTTTTGTAGCCAGCTGTCCGAAGGCACGTAGCCGTCATTATCCTTGTATTCTCTCAGTGCCTGCATGTATTGTCCAATGCCACCAATGTTAGGTGTCTGGCGCTTCTCAGGCGCGTGGTCTGCAGGTTCGACCCAGCGCAACGGCGGACGCGGAGCGAACAGCTGCAGCAGCATGGGCGGGAGTTTGTCCGTCATCGCGATCTAAATTCTGGGCTGCGCGCCAGATAGCGATGTGGGTGGGTGATGTTGAGGAAGAGTGAAGGTGAGCAAGGGCGAAGAACTGGTCGAGGATAGCTATCTCAGGGCGTTCTTGGCGCGCAACTGCCTAGCACGTGATGGCGCTTTCCTCTCGAAAAGTTTGGGGAAGCGCGCTCGAGTCCACCCGACAGTGAAGCCACATCATCGCAGCTATCACCCGTTCATTATGCCGGTGTCGGCGATTCAGAAGGTCGCCACGGCCCAGGTGAGTTTTGGGTCGATGCATTGACAATGCGGTGCATTTGCGCTCGCAAAGAGCCTTCCACTGACGTGCGTAGAATGGCGTCGGCGCCTTCATTCTTCCTTGCAAGCGCATCACGCTCAGATATTGCGACTGGGCCGGATCCTCGAAAGGCATGAATGCCTACCTCAAGACCCAACTTGGTGTTTTCGCGAAGCGTAACCCTCAGATCGAAATCCAAGTCTACAAGAAGCACAACCACCACCCAGTAATCACCGCAAACTACCTCAACGGCCACGAGAAGACAGTCAATGTGAAGAATATGACACCCGAGGGCGTAAGGGAGAAGATTGAGCTGCTGAGAAATTCAAGTCCGGAAAAGAACAAGAGGGTGCCGAGCAAGCCAGTCACCAGTATTAACGAGAACGTCAGGGGTATATGGAGTCCCTTCCATGGAGCGAAGATCAAGATATAGCATTGGATCGCAGGAAGGGAGAGGGAACAAAGATCCTGGTTATATCCAAAGCATACCGTATGATATGGGGGTGAACGGGATGCAAGCATTGCGAGGCGTTTCTCGGATACATATGTAAAACTGTGTGCAATACTGTATCAATACACACGACTCCAGAGTTCAGTACATTTGCTGCACGATGGTTTCATTACGGCATTTACGTGGTAATCCTCCACCTAGTCACGCTGACCTTGTCATTGTTCCAGCAACTCCAGACCCAAATTTACCTTTTGCTACAAACGGGCTTCGGCGCCATGTATTCAGGCAGAGTTGGAGTTGATGATGTCGATGAAAGCGGGCTTCAAGCTAGCACCGCCAACGAGGAAGCCGTCAATGTCAGCCTGCTTCGCCAACTCAGGGCTGTTCTTCTCGGTGACACTGCCACCGTAGAGGATGCGGGTCTTGTCTGCGGCCTCGGAGGAGACGTCCTTCTTCAACCACTCACGGATCGCAGCGTGAACTTCCTGTGCCTGCTCGGTGGTAGCGACCTTGCCAGTGCCAATAGCCCTGGTCTACTGTTAGTCGAGAGGAATCTATCTCAGGCGATGGGTACACTCACCAGATAGGCTCGTAGGCGATGACGATCTTCGACCAATCCTTGACCTTGTCCGCAACGGCCTTGAGCTGGGTCGTCACAACCTCAATGGTCTTGCCCGCCTCGCGCTGCTCCAAGCTCTCACCGCAGCACAGGATGACTCCCAGTCCGCCATCGATCGCCGCCTTGGTCTTGCTTGCGACGAACGCATCGTCCTCCTGGAGGATCACTCTCCTCTCGGAGTGGCCGATGAGAGTCCAGGTAATGCCGCTCTCCTTCAGTTGTTGAGCGGAGATCTCGCCAGTAAAAGCGCCGTTGGGCTTGTCGAAGACGTTCTGAGCGGCAACTTCAATGCCCTTGCGGAGGTGTTCGCGGGCGAGAAGGAGGTAAAGCGAGGGAGGAGCGATTACAACCTCTACAGTGTAGTTAGCTTTCTGTCTTACAGCTTGTAGTCGAGGTGGAGGTACGTACCGGCGTTCTCATCAAGCTTGGCCTTGTTGAGGTTATCGATGATCTCGGTGACCGACTTGATCGATCCGTTCCTTTACTCTCTGTCAGACCAGCTTTGCGCGATGCTGATACTTACAGCTCGACTTGTTACGTACATCTTGAAGTTACCTCCGACAAAGAATTGGCGACCCATCTTGGCGGCTTATGTGTGGAATGTGGATAAATTGGGTATATGTAAACGTGGGAGGAGTTATCGAAGAAGAGTGCAAGAAGCGTTGTTGCAATGCGTTGTTGAGTTGAGTAGAAGTTTCGCGGGTTTTGGCGGGGTCGAGGGGCACTACCTATGGCGTAGCTGATGAGCTGTTGGCGGAGTCCCAAGAGTCGCCGAGTTTCGGGTCACTTGCCGAAGTAAAAAGAATGGAGATGCAGCAGAATCTTACGATCTATCCTTGTATCCCAGTCACTCTTCACGTTTGATAGTGTTGTTGGCGGTCACCCTTTTTTCGCGCGCGGCCGTGGGGTCGTGCTGTATCTTTTGGAGGTCGACAACAACAACATCGACACCTAGGTCCTGAATCGTTGTTCCATCCGAATGCCACGTCGTTACTACATTACCTCTTCCACCGTGCTCAAGATTACTTCTGCAAAAGGTGCTGCGTAGAGTCCGCGACTTCCTCGAGTGGTCGCTTCTTGAGCATTGCGCCAATCGACCTGAGTTCTCCATCCCGTCGCATCTGTAGAAAGTACGCTCTTTCAATGCAGGGCTCATCCTTCAGCATGAGTGTCCCAGGCTCCGACTCTCCCCACGTTTTCGGCATTGAGGTCACACCATTAACACATTGTATCCACTGGTCGTCCCCACTTGACATCATTGCTATCCAGCACTTCTGCTGCCGCAAGTTCTACGCTTGCATTAGCTGCCACAATGCATCCGAGACCCATGCACCAGATGTATGGCCTGTGTCGAAACGAGGTGCAAGCGCAGTACTGTGTGGGAAATGCAAGCACGTACATACCGTCGAAGAATATATGGAAAGTGGCTCTACTTGTATAAAGTGCAGCAGCGCGTTCAACCCCAGGTGCAAGCTTCACTGGAACCGGTACTTTGAGGTCGATGAGGCGACAAAATGAAAGAGTACAACAAACTGCACAGAGTGGCTTTTCAAGAAGGTCTTCATTCGGGATCCACCGCCTCCAGTCCTATCACCGTATTGATTGAGAATACTTGACTGCTTACCTGGGCCAGGCCCAACTGTCCAACACTTTCTCTCTATACGACTGGCGACGAGGCTTTCTGGGAACCATAGTCTTGCCATCACCAGCGACTTGAGTCTGTTAAGCTTGCTTGACTGACTGCACATATGGCACTGCGCAATGCACATGGAAGAGCTTGTCGAAGTAGACCGCCCTAGGATGGTTCCCATGGTTTGGTCCCATGGTTTGGGCAAAATAGAATTCATCCAAGTAGCATCAGGTGAACGGAGTATTTTACCTAAAGGCAATTTTTATCTATCATAGCAAGAAGAAGTTACCAAGGGCGTCTCAACCGGTATTTGATCTAAGAAAAACTGTACAGGCAGTGAGAACTATTCTCGCGCAGAGTTTCCGACGCAGAAGCTACTTAGTTAGCTCGAACATGACAAGTTGTCGAGTAATGGTAAGGTTGCGTTCAATGCCACAGTAGTTTTTGTAGTGTGGTGCTTGAAGGGAGTGACTTGGCTCGGTATCTTTTGCCGCGAGGACGAAACAGGCAAGGTTAGGCGAGCGCGTCACTTCCGCATCTGCAATTGAACTTTTGGAGCGCATTGCCGTCTTGCAGATGACGATGACGGCCGAACGTAGCGACCAAGACGACGCATCGCAAAGCACACGTCGAGCTCAGCCTGCGCCCTCGCGAAGCATATTTTCAGTCCCAACGCCGATAAAACAGCTATTCGACCGCTTTCCGCTCCTCACGTACTCCCCAAACGACCTACCGCAACGCGCGCCGAGGAATCGCGATGCACATACATTATATATCTTCGCAACAGAGCAGGGAGCGACAGACGGTGCACCCTCTTATAACCCAGCATGTCTGAAGTGGCAGGTAAGGAAAGCATGTTCAAGAACTATGCTTCGTGCTTGGTAAACTAATGCGCTGGGGGCACATAGGCGTACTTGAAGTTCTCCGGCATTCAGTTCAAAACTGTTCCTTCGACTAATCATGCCTCCCCTAGCGGAGTGTTGCCCTTTATCCTACCGGCGTCAACGGAGACCTCAAAACCCCCGCCTCCTGTTCCCTCTGCGAAGTTGCAAAGATGGGCGATGAACAACACCAAAGAAGTGGTTGAAGAGCCGGGAGACCTACGATACGAAGCATATCTGTCGTTATTGGATCATCGAATACGAAGAGCATGGGTACGATATCTTCACTTTCTCGAAGCTTTGAGACATAGCCTAATCCGATTACAGCTATACAGCATCTACCTCTCTTCGAACGCCACGTCCATTGCGGAACCTCTCTACATCCTTCCTACCTCCGCGAACCCTTTCGTGCGCCTCGCAACCGCGAGCGACCTCCGGCGTGCTGCCGAGAACGAGATTCTTAAATTCTCCGCAATCATCGATGCAGAAGAGCTATACAGGCAAGCAGAGGAGGCGTTTGAGGCGCTTGAGACCGCTCTAGGAGAAGACCTTTGGTTCTTTGGTGCTGAAAAGCCTGGTCTGTTTGACGCAAGCGTCTTCTCATACACCCATCTGCTCATGGACGATAGTCTAGGCAACGGCTGGACTGATACCCGTCTTCGGGAGGCACTGCTCAAGCGGAGCCATCTCATAAGTCACCGCGACCGCATAGTCGCATCACACTTTCCATTTTCAAACCCGGGCAAGTCGCTGCAATAGGCAAGATTTATGTAGGATACCTGTATCATACCTCATGTTCGAACGACCAATAGATTATTATGGAACAGACGAGTTGGATATACATGATCATGTGTTGACCTTGGTACTAAGGTGGTGCTTGTGAAGGGAATAGTCTTCAGCAAGGACTCACAGCATTGGAAGTCGCTGTACTCGAGAGATATCCAATCTACATTGTGGCTCAATGCGGCCGAGGGTGCGCGATCCATTGCGTCTAGGCCGTTCGCGAATGCCCACGCTTGTAAACGCACCGAAGTATGGCCAGGCGTCTTCGGAATCTTATTCGATACCACACGTGTACAACTGACGAGAAATACGCGGGCGGCGCGTCCGCTCGTGATTTGGCGTCAATGGCATGCAGACTATCGGGACGTGAGTCATCTGGTTCGCGTCTTGCACTACAATATCGCCTAATCGGGATGCGAGGAGAAAACGCAGGGCGCATCCCCTTTGATATATAATGCGTACAGTATCAACTCATTTTACGATCAGTCCTCAGGATCTAACATCTTTGCGCCGCGCCTACCTCATTGCAGCACATTTCTAGGCTTAGTTTGTCTGCCAACTAACATAAACCCTCTGTTACTCTCACTACCTCTGCCAAAAGCTATAACCACGACTTTCGACTCAAAAATTACACATCGAGCTCTAAACATAAGAACAGAAGCTCAGAACCATTTCAAAAATGACAAAGCCCTCTGTCAACATGACCTTCGACACATCACTAGTCGACACGCAGAACCCAAACACATCGTTCTCGACCACAGAATCAGACCCCTCCGAAGCAGACCCTTCATCAACCAGCAGAGCATCCCAGCACCTCGACATCACTCCCACGCCACCTCCCAAGACCACAACGCCTGTGCAACACGTCCCTACGCAAGATGCCTACGACTCCTGGGCCTCAATCTACGACACAGACGGCAACATGCTACAGGCAATTGACGACATAGAGCTTTCCGTCCTCCTTCCCGAATTCCTAAGATCAGTAGAGTCGTCCTTCCCAAAGGGGACTCTACAGCTGCTAGATCTCGGCTGCGGCACTGGGCGCAACACAGCGAAGCTCTTAACCTACCCATGGGCTCAAGATCCAGTCAGAACCGTCGAAGTAACAGCACTGGACTTCTCTGCTGGCATGCTCGACATAGCGAGGGAGAAGCTGGCGCCTTTGGAGAAGTATAACGTCAGGCTGAGGGTCAGGCAGGCGGATTGCTTCCCTACTGTTGGGGATAAGGAGGCGAGTCCTGTGCCTGCTGTTGAGGGGCTTGAGGCTGTGAATGGGGTTGTGAGTACGTTGGTTCTAGAGCATGTTCCGCTCGAGGATTACTTTGCTACTCTTGGGAGTCTAGCGGGAAGAGGTGGGTTTGCGCTGGTGACGAATATGCATAGCGAGATGGGAAGGATCTCGCAGGCAGGGTTCGTGAATGCGGAGGGTGTTAAGGTCAGGGGAACGAGTTTTGCGCATACGCCTGAGGAAACGGTGGAGGCTGCGGCAAAGGCGGGGTTTGAAATTGTGAGTCTGAAGGAACGGATGATGACGAGGGAAGATGTTGAGAGTGGAAGCGTGGGAGAGAGGGGATTGAAGTGGGTTGGAATACCTGTGTGGTATGGCATGGTGCTCAGGAGATTGTGATAGGAACTGTCTATCTCGAAATCAAACTTCCGATGCATATGCTGCCAACCGCAATCATGACGCCTTTTGGACTCGTGCAACTTCCCTTATCCATCCATGACCCATCCATAATGACTACAAACCGACCCAGAACCACAATATGCCGCCCGATACTGAACAGCAGACTGCCCTCAAGTCCCTTCTATCCACCAATGCTTTTCGCGGTAGGCGAACGAGCGACTACTCCGGTGCAGCGAACCCCTTGTGCTCCTTGTGCGCCTTGTACCAGTAGCTGTCCTTCTTCGGCTCCAGCTCAGGACTCAGCTTCTCCAGGATGGTCTGAAGTAACTTCTCCTTTCCAGCCTCGTTATCAGCGTCGCGGGTCCAGATAGCGATCTGCACGGCGTTCCAGCGGACAGAGTACGAGACGCCGCAAATGTCGTCGTTGAAGGCTATTTGCATGTTAGTTGGCCCGCCCGAAGGAATTTAGGATAATTGATTGTACTTACAAGCTCGCTTTGTCTCCACAGCACCCTGGAGCACATCTCCCACTGCAAGAAGGCAGATCTCATGCCAGAACTGCGACGCTTGCTCCTTGCCTATGCGGAAGTACCAAGCGCCGCCACGCGTGTTGCGCGGGTCCTCCCAAAGCGGCTTGACACCAAGGTGAAACAGGTGGATGCTGTCCCTCAGCTTCAGGCTCTCAACGGGGATGTTGTTGAAGTGCTGGTAGAAGTCCTTGACGCTGATGATCTGCTCGCCAAGCGGCTTCGGTCGGTTGGCGTACTCTTCAGCTCCGGCGGTGGTCGATGAGGTTTTCGGAGGCGGTTGCTGCTGGCCCTTTTCGGCCCAGAATTGCCAGCGATACTTGAATTCGGGAACGCGAACCGATTTGAAAATTGAGTTCAGCATTGCAGAGCCGCGAGCTGGTGAGGCGGTTGCTGATGCTTCAGATGGGCTGGCTGAAGGGAGGTCCGATGTGGACAGAGCGGGAAGACGACCGGCCATTTTGGTTTTGGAGATGGTTCGAACTGTGTGGTTGTTGAGAGTGGTAATGACGAAGTCGAGACGAGGTAGGAACTCCTTGCCGAAAGGGGCGTTGGGTGGCGGAGGAAGAGGCTGGCCGTCAGCGATGGAGTGAAGGGCCTCAGAGAATGTGTTTGGGGCTTGGGTGACGCCCTTGTAGGTGGTATGGCCTGTCTTGATGGAGATAAAGGCCGGATCTTCGAGGAGGTTGAGATCGAGGGGCTGGGCGTATGGAATACGCTGAGCTGCAGAGGCCTTGAGCATACCGATTAGACGAGCCGTCTCAGACATGTTGATGATGGGTGAATAGAAGAAACTGTCTGAAGACTGGAATAGAAAGAGAATAGACGGTTGATGCAGAGAAGAGTAGAAACGTAGAATGTGGAAGTGATGTGGAAAAGAGCTGGCGAGCGAGCAAGCAAACAGGGCGGGGTGTTATATAGAGGTATGACTGCACCTTGCGCACAATAGAAAAACTTGCTATTGAGCGCTTCCTATTGTGCGCTATTCAGGAGGCTGGAAGGTGAACGGTGAAGAGCCACGGTGAACAGTGAGGTGAACGCAGCCGGAGGCGAGCATTTCAACCCTCACTGACCAGGCCTCGTAATCTCTTATTGTGCATAGCAAACATGAAAAGTCTTGTTTTGCAAGAAACGGTTTGTCTTAGACAAGGGGGAATCGATGCATCGTAAGGTCGGAAGTCTCAGCCCTTTGCGGGGTTGAGTTGTAGAGATTCCATGTTCCCTTCTCTTGAGATTGCAGTGACAAAAGCCATGGAAAGGAAACAGAATGAAAAAGATGCTGGGATAGTAGTTGATGTGTATGAAATATACATACCTTCTATAACAGGGTCTAATGCCTGGTGTGATACACTCGCTACCTCGGGAACCGTACGACGGAGGGGCAACGCTCGAACGCTCCGACTGAACGTTAACAACACGTACACAAAGTCTAATGAAAGGCCCTATTTGCTTGACTGCACTGTGGAAGAAGAGGTGAGATGTTAGCTGAGCTGCGGACTCCTCGAACTTAAGCGCAGTCCATGCTGGAACGGGGCAAGTCAGCGCAACCCGTAGCCGCCAGCCGTTGTGTTTCATGGATCTGTGTGGCCCCCGTTTCACGACCCCTGCTGACACCTCGAGCAAGCCTGGCCTGAGGCAGCCAGTCGCTCGACAGTGACGTCGTATACATGTTTCTCCACGATAAAGTTGTATGGATGTTGGTGTTCTGCAATGTTGAGGTATGCTGTCAGAGCAATGGTGGCCTAGTCACGTTTTCACGTGTCGCACAGAGCAGGGCGCGTCTGCCCCCGCCGATCGCGCCGTTACGATAACGCTTTCGCGAACCGCTGCGATCATCCAGACGTCCAGCACGTACTTGTCTAACAGAGCGCTATGGCACCGGCCGCGAGCCCTTCGAATCCGTACAAGAGGCAAATTGATGCCGTCCAGCGCGTCTATGACTGCGCAAAGCGACTGAAAACGAACCACGAGAGCAGCGACTCCGCAACCTCGACAGTTTCCCTCGAACCTAAAACATTATCTACCAGCGCGCCGGAAGTAACGAAAGGGTCGAGCGATCATGAAAGCGATGACGAGAGCTGGGTTTCGGAGTCAAGCGAGGAGCCCAGCGAGGAGAGCAGTGAGGAGGACAGCTCAGAGGCCCAAGATGATGACGAGCGCGAGATGGATGAGGAAGGCGTACAGCAAGATGCGGAAGAGGTAGTGAATCTACGAGCCAATAGAGGGAAGAGGCCAGACTTCAAGCTACCTGGCGACGAGGAATTAGATGATATACGCCCGTTCCTGAAGGACTTCTTGCCAAAACTCAAGGCCGCCAACGAAGAGCTCGAAGCGCAGAAGAAGGCGGGAACATTGCAGAGTAGTGAGATAATAGGGGATGAAGAAGCAGACGGCGAAGAGCAATACATTGAAATGGTAAGCTCTTGGATTTCTTTGGCTTGCATCTTAGAGGTCGAGGACCTGCGTCGCTATTGGACTGCGCTCACGGACGGATGTTGACATATGCAGAATCTTGGCCTGGGCGTACTAGAAGAGCAGGGCGACGAAGCAGACAACGATGCACACGAGTCTTTAGACAACAATAAGGAAGGTGAGGAGGAACAACAGGATAGTGAGAAGGATGTACTAGGCAAGCTCATGGGCCGCGAGAAACCGAAGGAGCCGGTTGGCATTCAAGAAGTTACGGATGTGCAAGGCAACACTTGAGTTCGGATAAGGCTTTCTTTAACAAATGGACAGCGGAAATTGCTGCTACTACCTTTTCGACTCTCGGAAGACAACCCTTTCCGGTACATTGATGCTTTCAAGCTACAACGTGAGTCGCCCTATACTAGGTATATCCTCCACACCTAACTTGTATTCCGCAGTACCTAAACACGGTATCTGACCTCAGACGCCTCCTACCACACCCACATGAACATCGGTCGGATCTTTCTTTTTCCTCTCTGCCGTAACCCTTTCGGCCTTCTCTATCATTTCTCCCTCATCCGCCTTCTTCCCCTTCCACGCCCAGTCCGCATGCTCATGAATCTTGGGCTCCTCAATGTGCTCCCTCACCTCCTTCTTTCTCCTCCAATCGCTTCCAAATCTCTCGTCTCTTCCACCGATCACCTTCTCGAAACCACCAGGTATCTGCTGTGCCTCCGTGTAACTTGTCATCAGCTTTGGCTCTCCCAGCGGCAGCGTATCTCCCCGATCTGTCTGCCATAGATGGTATACTTTTCCATAGAGATGTACAACTTCCTCCATCTCCCTGTTCTCCGCGAGTTCCCACGCCGAGTCGGGCACGGCAGAGGGCTTGGGCATGATGAGCATGCCAGACTTGACTTCGAATACGTGCGAATGCCAAAGCTTCTGCTCAGCTTCGTCTAGTGTATTGTACAGGCGAGGAGTGATCATGTATTCAATGCCAATGATCCGCGCGGGTTGTTTGGGAGAGTCGTAGAGGATGCATTGGCGGACTTCATCGTTAAGGTGCGCACAGTAGTGGTTCGCTTCTACTGGATCGCGGTGGGGTTCGTCGGCGTAGGCGTGGAAGGCGTTAAGGTGGGCGCAGATGCGTTGTACCGGTTCGAAATTCTGGGGTAATTAGTATGAGTTGCAATTCACGTCCAAAGTGGGATGTACTTGGACGGCAGCAGCACCGGTTTCGAGCGTCTTGTTCTTGAGCGATTCGGGTTCGCCCGTCGTTTTGTTGGTTACAGGGAGAGAGTCCATGTCTGGCATTTGTGGCTTTGCTGGATTAATGTAGATAAGCTCTCGTCAACAGTTATACCCCGCCTGCAAACACACCAAAGTGTTTAAGGTAATGAAGATATTCTGACGTCATTGTGATGCCTGGTTGGGTGACCAGTATCATTACCATACATTGCGTTATGTTGAACGCACGATATGTACATATGTAGCTACTACAGAAATCTGCTTGCAAGCTGATCTACAGGCGGGTGGCAGCTGAAGCGAGGTAAGAGTATCCGAGCATTGCGCAGCAAATGTGACCTTTTGATCGCGACCTCGTAAACACTGCGGGGCCCCTCTTCAGCAGATCACATGGTATTCACTGACTACTGTATTATGGGCATAAATGGGAAACATGTTGTTCAATTCTTTCGAGAGTGTGTTTGTAAACTCAAGCTCCCACGGCTAGAAGCATATCACAGCCACGATGTTTCCAGGCCCTACTTGAAGTAAGAATCGGATTGCCGAACCTTGTAGGTTAGTTGTCAAATGAACATAGAATATGTGCGAAACATGTTTGCCATAGGCTTGCTGATCTGCATGCGGTGTAGTACCACCTAGTCGATGTTGAGGTGGAGGAGATCTACGGCGAAAGAAGAACGAGAACAGCAAGAATAGTGTAATAGCATGGTATCTTGAGCGACTGCCAGCACAGAAACACAGCTATACTCTTGCCTTGTGGGCGAGAAGTTTCCTTCCTGCCTTGTTCCAGCAACCTCAAAGCGCCGCCGCCCTCTTGAAACATCCGTCCTGCACCGCTGAACTTTATGCGAATATCTTCATCCACTCAGCATTTTCACGACCAAGCCAGTATCTAGGACTAGCCTGCTCTATCAGCTCTCGATTACCAGTCCGGCCAAAAGATCGTTAAAGCATTGCTCGATCCTGATACGGTAATGCACCGCTCTCGTTACAAACATTGCCCAGCCTTGCCGGCCGAGGTTCATGCGCTCGATGCATCCCAGAATAAGAGAACAACAACCAGGATTGCAAGCAAACTGCGGAACGAAACCGCAGAAGAAACTCCAGTCTAGAAGGCAGACAAGGTGCAAACACTGCCGAGACAGCGTTTGCCTGCTTCGTGTTTCACCGTGCCCCAGGCACCAACAGGTGCTTCACCACCAGGCTGAGGCTCGCTAGGGCCTCAACAATCGTCTGATGCGGAAGGAAACTTCACGGTCCGGACACACGCATGATGGAAATGAGCGCAATGGGAAGGAATGGGCACTATTTCAAGGCAACGACAAAACGGCCGTGGTCAGTAGTCCCGAGAGTGGACCAGCTGTGTGCCTAGGTGAGCGCCGTACTCGACAACAAACGACTGCGCCTCAGCTTGATATCATGTGTAGACCGGATCCTGTTAAGCACCGACGACGATAGGGTGGGAGTGTCGCAAAGAGGGTGTAGGGTTTAGCGACCTAGCCACACAGTGTGGCGGTGAGGGCTTTCGACGAATCACAACACAGTGTGGCTGCAAGAACCCTGGTGTAGCTGGCGGTGAACGCAAACACTGGAACTTCTCCAGGCTCCCCCAAGCCTTACATAGCCCATCATGACGAGGAACACATATACAAGCTCTCTGGCGCTCAATCGGACCTTTCCTTGCGCCCCTTCTTACGTCGACAGACACTCAACATTGACGAAGCGATGGCGATCAATACATCGCGCTCGCAATCCGGCATTGATCTAACCCTCAAGATTCTTCAATTCGTCAAGCAGCTTCGCAGGCGTCTCAGGCCCGGCCCGGCACCTGTCGACTATGCTGCTATTCTTGGTAACCAGATCTGCGCTAGTCTGGACATGAAGAAGTTCCGAATGCTCCAAAGGGAGCGGCCGCAGTCAAGCTCGCATAATCGAAAGGCCATTCTTGCTGCAAATCGTGTTTGCAAGGACCAAAACAAGCGGAAATCCCGTCCATCCCTGAAACTACGGATCCAAGGCAAGGATCAGCACTCGCTTCGAAACAATTCTGGGATAAAGGTGCAACAGTAGGTTCAGAAACAAAGTTGTGTTTGGTTCCCCCGCTAAGCTTTCGGATAGGACGCTTGACTCCATCGATACCAAGATCAGCTTTGGCGGGAGCCCATTATCCGCTGTTGCTGGTGATAGCAAGCTTTTCGTCAAACAGAAGGCGGAATTCAATTTCGAAACGTACTCCCTAAACCAGGTGGCTCAGCTGCTGATAGCCGTCCATGATGCAATCAACGTCCTCCAAAGCTGCCGAGCGCAATTCGACGACGAATGGCTCGTGGCGCAAGGTCTCGATGCAGGGATCAACTTTGATGCAGTCTTCTTGGCCAACTACGAGCATCTGCTCATGAGGCTGTATTCACAGCTGGTGACTGCATTATCCCGCAAGGCGCTTGATCTGTTGCTTCTTGGTGGCTACGACAAAAAGCAACACAGACTGCTAAGCTGGTTCACCGAATTCTCCGACAAGCCTCGGCCGCTGTCAACGTCCCTTGACATCAAGCCCTCGCTGGCTGTGCTGTGGGGTGTCTGTTGGATGTTTTATGCGGATAACCAGGCAAACAACGGTCGAGTGCCGCGTGATGCAGTTCTGCAGCACGTCGATCTGGCGGGATGGCGGGCACCCGAACCAACAGAGTGTAAGTGCACGCTCGCATTCACGAGATGGAGCGTTTCGGTGCTAATGGAAACAGACATGAATTTTGGGTTGGAGCTTATTGGCACGCAGCCGCAACCGGCAGCGCCGCAGCGCCCCCAGCTTGGCGGTAACGTGGGCCTCAGCAGTGCTATGGACCTGAGGTTGCGAAACGCGGAAACCTGGATGCCGGCCGATTTGGAATCTGGCGTTCCCCAGGCTCGCCAAGGTGTATCACGTGTCGGGGGTAGCCGATCGGGCCTGCAGGGATTAGCTGGTAAGTGCGCCGGTCCGCTTGACTCACATCCTCTTCTGCCTGCCTCACATTCCACTATACGATTGGTTTCAGCCTGCGCTTCCGAAGATGAGGGCAGCAGCTAACATGGCCTAGGCCTGGGTACTTATTACCCTGACTTCCCAGCCACCTCGCCAGTAGATCTAGATAATTCCAACCTTAGTAATTTGCTGCCCGATATCCAAGGCAGCGCCACCGCCCTAACCGTCTTTCCCCAGCACTTGGACCACAACTTCGACAACCCTTGGCAGCAGCCGTTTCCGCCCAATTCTTTGCCACAGAGGACTGCGCGTCATCTGACGACCAGTATACCGAGCGTGCGAGTCACCGGGAGCGCGGAAAGCGAAGGCTACGCTGCGCCACATTCAGATTTCGCGTCCTTTGATTTATTCTCATCCTCTACCCAACCGCCTCAGGCCCCCTCTATCAACGTCAACACCGACTTTTCCGACTTCATCATGGGAAACACTACCATCTCTGAGCACCCTCCAGCACACGGCTTCTCGGCACACAGACACGAGCGCACGTCTTCTCTTAATTCTAATTCTAACATGCCTACGCCGGTGAGCATGGCCGGCTCTCATTCGCCGCTATTGTCGCCTGCAGAGGATCATCGAAGATATTCTGTCGCCAGCTCCCAAGGCCCTATCCGACAACAATCCGAGGAAACATCTTCTCAAGGCGATCCTGATGATGTTGATTCACTCCGGAGAAACCATGCGTACAAAAGATCCGAGGAACCACCGAAGAATCAGGATGGGAAGATGATATGCAAGCACAGTGAATGTGCTGGTCAAACATTCGATCGCAAGTGCGAGTGGAGGTGAGTCTGTCACAGCGAGATGTTGGAAACTCTACTGACCCTTTCACAGTAAACACATGGACAAGCATGACCGCCCTTACAAGTGCAACGTCAAAGGGTGCGAGAAGCTACAAGGCTTCACGTACAGTGGCGGGCTCTTACGCCATGAGCGCGAGGTGCACAAGATGCACGGCGGCACCAGAAAGTCCCTCTTCTGCCCCTTCGCCGACTGCAAGCGCAGCTCAGGTTCCGGCTTTACGCGGAAGGAGAACCTTGCAGAGCACATCCGTCGTGTGCATCGTCGGACAAGCATGTCTGCCGACCTAGGCCACCTCATCATTCCCCGGGAGCAAAGGCAATCAAGCCTCTCTGCAGATGTCCGACTTCCTTCGGAGTCGCAGTATGAGCGTATCGTAGAGGAAGACGACACACAGCTTGCTCTGAAGCGCAAACGCCTATCTGAAGTCAACATTCCTGAAGACGATCGCGATAGCGATCTTCGCTCCCGAAGTCAAGCGGCTACGCCGAGAGAACGAGGAAAAGGATGCCAGACTGCGTCAACTGGAAGCAGCAGTCATGGCGCTCCAGCAACGCCGATAAGCGTTCCATTTTCACCAAGCACTAGAATGGGTGGACCATCTGTCTCACGACAGTATGGCCTACAGACTGGTTGTTGTTTCTTCGTTAATGTATTGTTATCTAATGGCGCCCAGGCATTGCGCCCTGGGCGGGCAGGTTGGCTTGCATAGCACGGTGCTGTTCTCCTTCCACAAACTGATATCCAACTCTCTTTCTCTGGTAGAAGGACGCTCGTTGTATATATAGTAGAGGGCGTCTCGATTACTTGCACATAGTTGCTTACTTTATTATGTCTATTGGTATTGGTATTGGGAGGGTAGGAGCGTGTGAATTGGGCAGCGTGTCTGGTTACGCGCATCTTGACGATTACACGATACACACTGAACATACTTCGCTCACTTAGACTGAAAGAATGGACGACATTCATGGATTACGATACACTACACTATACTACTCTATATTACACTCATTGTACTCATAAGTACGCATAGTGGCCACTCGCTACTTAATCAATATTATAACTACATCGGAATTTCAACTTCATCAAATGACGTCTGCTTTAGCCTTTGATGCCTGATACACCTCGTACATCTGAGCCGTGAGCGCCCTCTCGGTGCCTGGCAGGATTATACGCGAACCACGGGTGTCATCAACATGCAGCCTAATGGCGCAATCTCCTACCCACCGTGCAGTAGCTGCCTATTAAGGCTGACGCTTTCCGCTCCGTTCGTACTCGCTATACCACGTTACGCACTCAATGATGCTAACGTACAAGACGCAACTGCCTGTAAACATCTAGAAGCATGCGCGTAGTGGGGATTACAATAGCACCAGACTAGCCAAGTAAGGCGCAGCATATGGACCCGAGCTCGGCCGGCCACAAGGCAAAGACTCGCCCGTCTTGTATACGCGGTACGCACTCCGAGCCCTCCGGCCTACGGTAATGGCCGGTACCCAAGCTTGAGGAAGAGGGTCACCACCCGTCGATTCCGGCTTACGATCGTTGAGCCCTCCGCCCTCTACCATACAGCACGCCTCCGATCGCGCCGGACTCCTTGTCCAGGTCCAACGTTCCTTCTCGCGCGTCCTAATGATTCGCGCAGGCGTAAGAGTCATATCTTCGTCGCCTCCACCGTTGCCCGACTATATTGGGGCGGTTATTGGTGGCTATCGTAACATGTGACTCCGCGTCTGCGCGCACGCGGTGGGTACGTGATACGTGTAGTTCGTTGCCTGCAGGCTCTGGCCTTGTTCTACAGCAGGCCTCCGAGTATCATTCCTGATTTTCCCCGTCGGAAAGCAGGATCTGATGTCGGGCGACAAGACAAAAGCACAAATGATGGGAGAGGTGGTGGTGGGCGGTTGGCCGAGGTTTGATTAGACGTGTGGCGGTGTTGCGGATGCCTGCTGGTGATCGAGGGGCTGTGCGCATGCGTTGATGCCTGGCGTGGCGAAGTGCTGGAGGAATGACAGGGGTGAGGGATCAGGCTGCTGTGAACGTGCATTGGGAGAACTTCGATGGAATATGCCGGAGATTTTGATGACGGATCGAATCACTGCTAACATTGTACAAGGATGCCTGACGGTGCAATTATTCGACATACAGATGCACAGAAAATAGGGCAGATCAAGGTGCAGAAAGTGCCTCGAGCGACGCACAAGAGGTGGAAAGGCAATGAGGTGCACAGGCAAGAGCAGAGCCATCTCGCAGGCAGATTGCCGGCTGAGGTACGGATCGTGATATATGCATATTTGTGGGAAGATTCTGGCGCGATCACAGAAGCAGGGGAAGACGTGAAGCAGCCGGTTAAGACTTCGAATGGACTGCTGAGCGAGAGCGTTTGGAAAGAAGACGCGGGAGACGTTGCGAAGAAGACTCCGCACCCTCTATCCTTACTGTCCACATGCCGCAAGATCTATCTCGATGCCGCACTCTTTGCCTACAGCAACCACGCCTTCACTATATCAAAGCTGGATGGAGCAGCCACGTATCTCGGTTTCTTGCGCCTTACATCGCCACTCCCTGAATTGCTGTCTAATTCGATTTCCCGTCTGGCATATGAAATTCCAGCCGCAACACCGTACACTTTCATGCATTACGCGCTATACGTTACGCATTCTCTACTACTCTTACCATCCCTTGCACACCTCGAGATCCGCATGTTTAAAGATCGAACCCTTGATCATAGTCTTATACACGATCGAGACCCTAGGATCTGTCAAAGAGGAAGACCGTTGTTCGTGCCGCAGTGGCTGCATGCAATGCTCAACGATGTGCTCAACGGGCGGGTGTACATGTGGCAAAAGGGCGAGAAGTGGAGCGTTCAGTGGCCTCAAGAAGAAGATTCCGAATGTGCGCACATTGCCACGCTGCACGAACTACAGATACCTATCGCCCTGGAGGGAAACCTAACCGAGCGGTATCCTGGCATTGATCCCGCGTTGATGTCGCCGTGTGTGTGCGGCTGCGGCGCGCCATGTTGGTACTCTGCCTTTCTCGTTCAAGAGACAGGCCGTCTCCCTGTATCACTGCAAGTCAGATACCATGGCGATAGAAGGACGGAGGAGTTGAGAGAACATAAGCTCAAACTTGTCCCTAGATATGGCAGTACGACATTCTTGCCCAATAGAATTCTTTCAGGACCAACGCCTGCAATAGTACGGAGCAATGAGCGGACGATGGGCTTCGGATATGATGCTGAGGGTACAAAGTTCTGGAGAAAGGCTAAGGCGTGTTGGAGAGCGGCTGTTGGACGATGGTGGTGCGGAAAAGGGAGGTAACGTGAATGTAGCACTGGATCGAAAGCCTGGAGACTGTATCGCTTACCTTGGGGTAATACGAAGCGCCAAAAGTTTTGACGATACATGGTGAAGTAGAGGAAATCGACACGTGTAAATCAGTTCATCCGAAACGAGTCATTGAGCAAGACTTCAAAGTAAAGCCCACATTTAACTTCACTCTTTGATCTTCCGTTGCTGTAAAGTGCCTATGCCCATCAGCCTTTTCCTTTAAAAGGGTAACAGCACAACTCGAAAGCCCCTCCCTTTCTACTCCTGGGTATCACAACACAAACTGAAAGCCCACAATTCCAGACGTGCGTACCTTGTCATCGCTTATGGAACTGAGCCAGCTTACCTGGAATCACCGGCATCCACTCCTCCCGCTGCGAGCAGAAGAACTCGCCCTGAGGCGGCAACGCAGACGCCTCATCCAGCGAGCCGACGACTACATAGCGAAACGTATCTTTCGCTTGCTCCTGGTAGTTGTCAAATACGTTTCCGAGTCATCTAACGCACCGAACGGTGGAAGACATACCCCATATTCGCACACATAGCTCCCACACTTGCCGCAAAACTCCCGATAAACGGTCGATCCTGATCCGTTATCTGCGGCGTGGATCTATAAAGCTTTCAGAATTAGCATCTTCACATATCCTCAGTTAAGGGAGGGTTATCGCCACGACGTACCGTTGGTTTCCCACTCGCACTGTCATACCGGAATGCCTGAATCGGCACTTTAGCGGTCAGTCCGAAGGCGCCGCCGAATGCCTTCTTGCAATTTACGCAATGGCACAGCGTAGTCCGAGCATCTTTTTTGTCTTCTAGTATCAAGAGGTACTTGAGGTTGCGGCAGTAACATGCTCCAGTCAAGTTGAGCGGCTTCTGGACGGTGTCGCAGTCGGGATTGATATCAGTCATGGTGCGCAGGTCCAATATTGTTGTTTGATCTAGCCAATGTGGACGTAGGGTTGAGTGAGCAGTTCGGCTTCTTAGCGATAGAATTTGGAGTGACACTTCGGCATTAAAAACCGTTGCTTGCGGTGAGTCCTACAAAGCAAAAATGCCGTTTGGTTGCCAGTACATATATCTGATATAATTGTGAAGTGGATATCAGGGAGGTTATCGTGGCGCACCTGTAGCTCTCCGCGGACACTTCGACGAGCTGAAAGTTGGTGATCCGCGGAGCACTTGGTATTAGAACCGAACAGAAGCGATCAGAAGTGGTAAACCATCTGTATATTTGTAGCTCATCTGTTGTGGAACACAATTAGAGAGTCGGTGAATGGCCACGTGACGTCACAGTGAGGTGCTCTCATCTGCGAAATCGTAGTTGTGAGGTCACCAAGTGTATACGGGTTGGAGACACGATAATGAATAGAGACGAAAGAGGAGTCTGATTCCCTACGTTACAGTGAATATATCATGCCCACAAGTAGTATTATACAGCATGCGCCAAATGTCGCTGGCCATGAACATTTTTCAGTAATCATCCAGTATGACCCTCAGCAATCTCTTAACCCCTCAAGCCCAAGAGGAAGCTCCCGCCCGACTTGCCCTCCCCACCTGCACCGCCATTTGGCAGATACGAAATGTTCGGGTTTCTTGCCAGCATCTGTGCAATGTCCTTCTGTGTCTCGATTCTTCGGATCATGATTAAGCCATCACCGCTCTTCGCGACAGCCTTGCTGATGGTGTCGGCGGCCTCGGCTTCACCCTCTGCGCGGATGACGTTCGCTTGCCTTTCTTGCTCTGCCTTTTCAACAACGAACCGTGCACGCTCCGCCTCTTGCTGCGCAATCTGCTTCTCCTCAACAGCCTTGGTAAACTCTTTTCCGAAGGTCATGTGCGTGATGGATACATCTTCGAGCGCGATGTTGAATTCGCCAGCGCGCTTGAGGAGGTCGTTTCGGATGCGGTTCGAGACGGCCTCTCGCTGGGTGATGAGCTCGGCGGCATCGAACTGAGCAACAATGGCTTTCAGGACTTCGTTTCCGATGGAAGGGAGCACACGCTCGTCGTAGTCTTGACCGAGGTTCTGGGATCGGTTAGTATTGTATACTATCATTGATACCTCAAGCAGCTGCTGGCGCCTGTTGTTTTTGGACTGTAGGAAATTCTACAGGGATGGTGGGAACGCACCTGGTAGATCTTTGGCAGCATCTTGACCTCCGGACGGTGCAGCACCCTCAGAGTGAGAGTAACCATCTGCAAGTCCTTGCTACCCGTTGTCGTCGAAATATTCCTCGGTCGCGTCCTCACATCGTAGACGATCGCCCTCTGCAGCCACGGAACCAAGAAATGTGTGCCCTCGTTAACCACAGTTTCCTTCACACCGGATAACCTGTCGAAGATGACGGCGCGAGTTCCGCCCTTAACATCGTAAATGGAGGCTTGCGCGAAGCTGATGGCGATGGCGCCGGGGACGGCCCAGCGAAAGATGGATTGTGGAATTCCGGCCATGGTGATGGGTGGAGGTGTGCGAGGTGGCCGGCGGGATGGCGATGGCGATGGCAATGTAGCTGTCGTTCAAAAAGACGACAGCTGCAGGGTGGTCCGAGCTCTTCTTTTAGCGCCGTCGATTTAATTCCACCTCCACCCGCCAACTTCCAACACCACGCTTGATGTAATCCCGTGATATCGAAGTTGATGAGCGCAGAAAAAGCCTCTCACGTGATTCTGAACATTGGCCATACACTATGAGGTCACAGCTTCAGAAAATCGATGTAGATCGAGGTACCCTACGATACATGATGCTATAATCGGTCTACCATGCAAGCTAAGGTAGTAGCCGACCTTAATCTCGACACCACACACAGTTTCTAGGACAGTTCAAGAGCCTCCAAGTTCATTTTACGACAAACTCAAGAGGCTATCACAACTTCAAGACCCAATCACGAAAACAACGTCCCAGTCACCAGTAACGATCCTATCGAACGAAGTCCCTCTCCCGCCACATCATTGACCCCCTTGCATATCTCTCCACACCATCCCTACCTCTCCTTCGCGAGAAGCCCATGCGCCACCAACCTCCGCTCCATCAACTCAGCGTACTTTTGCCTCTTGTCTTCTTTCCTTTCCTTCTTCTCTTCATCGATCCTTTCCCGTTCCTGGATGTCAGTGATTTCTTCAGCAGGCGATGTACCAGAAAGCGAACGCGGAGGCGAACGATTCCACACAGAAGGGGCCGTCCACTTGCTACCTCCCACACTTCCCGGATCTACGCTTAGCATTCCATGCGAGGTTTGCAGAACGGATGCATCATCCTTGACCGAGTGTACCAGGCCTCCCTGCGAGTCTCGCACTTGCACAAATTGTCCCCCGGAAATAGGACTGTGTTCTTGAGCGTCGTAAAGTGACTCTGCAAAGGAGCTACTGTCCCACTTCAGTTCCGCGAAGAGGTCCGCAGTCGAAAGCGCACGTGGAGGTATAGTAACAGGACCGTACTCATCAACAACAGAGTCATAAGAATCTGACAAATCGCTCCTGTAAGATTGCAGGTCTGAAAAAGCGGTAGACGGAGGTCGTGGGCGTGGTGGACGGGGTGGGATCGAGCCTACTAGTAGGGGAAAATCAGTTGCGGATGAATTGGCCTCTGAGCCATGGGCGTGCCGGGCAACGTAATCTTGACCTTCTTCCTTGATCTCTTCAACCTGAGTAGCGTTCGTGTCCGGTTGCAATCCCAATGAGCCCTGTCCGTAGTGCGCCGCGACCGTGGCGTTGGCGCTCTCGTGGTGCTCTTTTACGTATCTTTTGAGATGCTGCCACATTTGTTTCGCTTTGCTTGAGGCCTTTGTCGAGGTACCTTCGGAGCTGGCTTGCTGCCAACTCTGGCTGGAATCGGGAGTGGGCAATCCTGAGCCACGGACTGTGAGAGGTCTTGAGAGGGCTATTAGTTTCCACTGTTTAGCGGATGAAGTAGATGGTGGCGCCTCTCCCGCAGCACTTCGATCGTGTATGTCCGCTCGAATGGTGGTTCTTGAAGACCGTTCGCAGCTTTGAGACGGCAACGGAGCCTCTGATGGAAACTCTCCTTGCTCGTTGTAAGGATGCGTAGCCTTGGATGTTTTAGTTCTGACCTGCGAGATAGTCGATTCGGTCAGATTGCTCGACGGTGTATCTACAAGCGGAACAACTGCTTGAGATCCTGGCCCTTGCTTTGGAATGCGGCGCGGTAAGTTTACTACCCACTCCTCGACAGGATTGAGACTTGGCATAGAACAGTATCTTCTGCTGAGTGCACGCAGGTTCTCTTCTGTGAGTTCGTGCTCCACGTGCGCCTTGCTGATTGCTTCTGGGTTCTTGAGATGACTTCTCGCAGAAGTGAACGAATCGGTCGAATGCTTCTCACGAATGTCAACCAGCTCTCCGCGTCCCCCCTCAAGCCCATCACCACCTCCAACATCCTCCTCCCCCTCAATATACCTCCTCCGATTATCCTCCCACTTATCCCCAAACCGCATCGCATGGACACACAACGCCCTCGCCAAGTCCTCCATCCCCACAACCTTGCTTAGCTCTTCTCTCTCTTTAGGATCCAGTGTTTCGCCGTCCCCATCCCTGAAGCTGCAACATTGTAAATCATGCAGTGTATCCTGCCACACATTGCACGCTTGCTGCATCCTAGCCGCCCACCTCCCCGGCCCAGAAGGCTTCGGCTGCCAGCGATCTAGTGCATACCCCAGCTGAGCGATAGCTCCTGCCCTTGCACGGTCCGCTTCCTTGAGGGACGAATCTACGCCGAGCCATGCGATATAGTGCACGAAAGCGGACCATTTGTCGGTGGGCGGTTCGAGGTGCGAGGCGATGTGATTCATGGACTTGAAGTGCGGTCTAAGGCTGTCGACGATGTTGCTCGTAAATCCAGCGTGGGGGAGGAACCGCTTGGTTGTGCGGTCGAGCTCCTCCAATAGACGATTGAGACGATCCTGAGACTGGGATATGCGGTGGGTTAGAGATGAGTACGGTTCGCTCCTAGCTGGTGATTGTACGGGTGCGTCAGCTTGAGCAGCGGGTCCAGCAGTGCTGGGTTCGCGAGTCTCGCCTTCTGACCTTGGAGTATCAGGCTCGGACATTTCTTCTAGGATATCCAGATTGGTGGTGAACTTTTCCTCGACCGGCGAACACAAGAGGTTATCGCTTCCTGGATCTCCTTGCCTCTTAGTCAGTGACTTCAGGTTAGCGGTAGATACGCGCTTTGACCGTTGAAGTTTGTAAAAGCCTCCATGTTCGTCGGTAGCGTCTTCGTCGGGATATAGTGCGATGTCCATCTTGGTAGATAGAAGCTTGGAATTGTTGGCTCTGTTGACGATGTCATTGTGTTTGAAAGCACGTGCTCCAATTACCGCGACGTGTAATGAGTCTTTCTCTAGGAACTCAGGTGCCATTACAGTCGTGGGAATGATCAAGCCATTGAGAACCTTTCAATCATCGGGGAATCGATAAAGATGATTTGTGGAAGGGCAACGAGTCCCTTGACAGGTCAGTCGGTGAATCAACACTTGAAGTTGTGTGTGAAGACGCGCAAACCCACATCAATTCCATACACGCATGTCAATGTAATTGATCAGCTTTTTACTATGCTTCATTCTGGCCAACTAGATCATACAGCTAGCAGCTGTCCACTGCACCGTGGACTAATTCAACTTCCCCATTTCGTCTTCCAGACTCGATCAAATTATCCTTCGCATTCAGCATCAGGTTCTTGGTTCCTTCCTTTTCCCAACCTACTTCGTTCCAATGCCGACCTTCCAATATGTACCTGTAAAAGGACCGGGGGTATGTATTATATAAACAATCCAAAGGACCGATATGAGCCAAAGACTCCATGTACTATGCATCCGAAAAGCAAAACCCATTTTCCCAATGCAAGCGCTAATGATCAGATAAGGACAGTTCTATGTTGTTGCAAAAATTTGTACACCGAGCTTGAAGCGAAATGTGTCGTGTCGCAAGGAGCGTGGATGACGGAGAGTCGTGACATCGTTATCTTTTGCTTCTTCCTCGTGTTCTTCGCGAAATGTAATGGATGGGGGTGGACAGCGCTCATATGAACCACGCCAGCGCAGCGCCACCCAGCACAGCAGCGTCCACAACGCGATATCCCGCCGCCGCCGCACCCTTCTGCAGACTGGGCTTCGCGGTGCTGCCAGGCTCATCAGAGCTCCCTTCCGTTGCCTGCGCCGCCGGGTCCACGTAAGTATAGCTCGTCACCACGCTCTGCTGGCCATCCGCACCCGTCGTAGTAAGCAGCACAATACTGCTCACGCGTCCGCTGCCGGGCGTGTACGTGGTCAAGAACGTGCTGCCCTCTGCATTCGTCGTCGTCAGCACCTGGCCCTTTGTGGGCGCAAAGTCGACCGCGGAGGTTGTCACAATGGCCTGACCGGCGCTGTCAGTGGTCGAGAAGACGACGGCGGGCTTGGTTTCGGTGGCGACTTCGGTGGAGCCCTGGGAGTTGGTCCGGGTCACGGGGACGGCGATGGAGGCTGTGGGGCGGGATAGAATTTCGGAGGTTGCTACCGTCGTGCGGCCATCGGAGTCGGTTGTGGTCACAGAGACGGGGATGACGACGGCGGAGCTCTCTGGGGGAGCGGCACTGCTCTGCGATGCTGGGGCATTGGAGCTCTCGGGGGCGCCAGTGCTTTGCGGCTGGTCTTGAGAGCTCTCGGATGCCTGGCTGCTTTCCGGTGGAGCTTGGCTGCTCTCGGACGGGGCTTGCGTGCTCTGAGGCGTATCTGTGCTCTGGGGCTGCTCGCTCTGCGTGGTGGGAGCTGTTCCATTGTTGGATGCAGGTGCTTGTCTCTTCTTGAGGTCGTTTACGGCGGCGACAATGAGCTTGGTAGCGAGCGGCGGGTTGTCTTGGTGAATGTGCTCCACGCCACGTTTATTCGACTCGAAAACGCCCTCGCGGTAGTGGTGGAGGGAATTCAAGGCTACGTGCAGAGACTCCTCGGGTAGAGCATTGAGCAGGTCCTGGAAAGCTTCATTGGCGTTCGCGTAGATGGCCTGGACGGCGTTCTGGGCCTGTCCTTTGGTGGGAGACGGCGAAGCAGGTTCGTTGGCTACAACTCCACCGAGCAGCGGTAGGCCGAGGAGAGCGAGCTGGCGGAAAGAGCGCATTATGAGGCTGATGGCGGGCTGAGCGAATGTACGCCTTCGTTGCGAGTATACGAGAAGCGAGAGAAGCTATTTACTTGATTGATGTTAGCAAGGCATTGGCAGTGTGAAGGCAATGAAGCATTGAACGCCCATGCTGGGCCCAGGCAAGGCATAAGTGCTTCATCAGGCAGCTGAAGCTGGCGGCGCCAGCTGTGTTGAGGCAGGTGTCGGAGGTAGTTCCGCTTACACAGAAGTTCAGGGACCTATGGTGGCTTACCTGGTTATCCGCGGATCCCCAAAAGAAAACCCGTGCTGCGTCCTGCTGTGCAACACCAAGATAGTTCCTAAGCGATTGAAGTCGAACGACGGTATGGTGATCGCAACAACGAATGTGCAGAGTGAAGACAGAAAAGACGAGTGATGATCAGAGAAAAAGCACCCGGGACAGTGGATTAGAGAAGTGGCGAGGGAACGGGCTCGACGGCAGGCAAGCTTATGCTCGGCCAAACACGAACAGCTTTGTTGCAGCTCGCTAGCTCCCCTCCGCACGCACCTCTCCGCCGAGCTATCCTATCACCACCCCAATAATTCCCATTCGACTCCTTCCGCCGTCGACTGCGTCCGCTCCGGTCCTGCAAGACGTCCAAGCTAGACCCAAATGTCTTGATCACAAACTCCACCTGCTCAAATCACGACTTTCCAGGCAGCATTTACCCAACCATGGCATAGCTCCCTGTCTTACAAATCCCATTCAATATCACAAGCATGCTATTATTCGTGACATTTCATCGACGTCGCGACATTCTGAAACTGGACAATACCCCAGCTCGTCAGTATGCATGCATCCCTGCGTTTGACGACGACTTCGTGAAGCGAGCTCGCGCTCGTATCGGCGGCGCGACGATCCCTGCGCGCACCATCCAGAACGTCATGTGTGGATCGTCTTGGGAGCTCGGCACACAAAAAGGACGTGCCGGGGCCAACAGTCGAGATATCGATATCCACTTTCTCGTCGAATCTGACATCATCGTCGTATGCCTTGATTGAGCTTCTTCACTGTCGTGGACTGCTTTCTCGGTGGGAATTGAGAAGGTTCAAAACAGTTTGGAGAAGCGACCCACAAGTGATTCGAAACATCCCCAGCGCATGCATGCGGGCATCAAGTCTAGCGGCACATCAACCGCGGTGGAGTGCTGACTAGAGAAGAAAGGATTGGCGCGTGTTGGACCGTCCAGCCTCTCACCACCGTCACCACGTCTCGTCGCCTTCCTCTAGCGTACGGGCACTATTCGCTGGCACTTGCATCCCATCGGTTGCCCGCCATACACAGTACAAGTGTTTGATGAGATATATTTAGATAGAGACTGGCGTTGGGCAGTCGCCACACACTTGCACTGACGCAGGGTCGTCCAATCGCCTGGATTGCTGTACCAGACATGGCTTTGTCGCGGCCTCTAGTCTGGGACCTGCAACGCGTTTCGATAGTCCATCCGTTTTGCATCTGATAATCGTGGGAGAGCATCAACGTTACAATAGGCGATGAGGATGCTGGGCATGCAGAGGTCAGATCATGTTATGTGTGCACTTGTACGCAGTGCCAGCAGCTTACGGCCAGAGGAGCGAAGCTGGAGTATCGATTCGTCACCCCTCACCACCGACGTCTTACCGCAGGTGCACCGCGCACCTAACGCAGTAAATGGGTACATAATACCTTCACGCCTAGAGCCCGTCTTATACGGTCCGCGTGTAAACCGCGACTTGCATATGAGAGATGATGTGCCCTCACAAGCTCGACCGTGATGCGACTTGATTCTCTCTCTCTGATGTCTTGACTTTGAGGAAGCAACGCTGAGAAATGAAAGAGATTATATTACACCTCCCTCCAACCCTTCACATTCCTTCCATCCCCTACCTTCGTCGCAGACCACACATGGCACACTCACTCTACTCAAAATCAAACACGAGACCTGTAGCCCAGGCTGGCGACTAGGCAGCGGACCAAAATAAAGAAAGGCTATCCTTCCAAGCCAACCAAACCAAACCTATATAACCAAGAAACCCCCAACATCATCACAGTATTCTGCGAGTACAAGACCGCTCGCCTTCCGCGGAAAATACAACCTGAGTAGTCACTCAATCAGCGCATCCTGAACCTACGCGTTCTTCTCTAGATCTGCATCCAGAGGGTAAAGCCCGCTCTTATTGGGTGACGGTCTGCGAGGTTGGCTCTGAGGAGTATCAACAGGGGGCTGAGGAGCAGCGGTTTCCGAAGCAGGCTGCTGCTGTGGCCCTTGTTCCGCGGGTTGCGGTGCTTGTGCAGTCTGTGACTCTTGTTGCTGCTGCTCCGCTTGCGTATGCTCCTCTTGCGGCGGCGCTTGTGGAGGCGACTGTGACTGCGAATACGGCTGCGGAGGCTGCTTTGCGGGCTGTAATGCCGGTGGCGTACTAGTCAGAGGCTTTGGACTTGTACCAGTAGGCGTGACATCACTTGAGTCCTGGCTTGCATTGTTCCTGCTGATATCCGTTTTCGGCTCATGGTTGCCGTTGTTCCTTTGCATATCCATAGACCGACCCCTGGGAGCGGATTCACCTTTGGGACTCAACAAGCCAATGGGCATCGCTAGCTCAGACGAGCTTCCTGGTGGACTTTTAGCCCGACTCTTCCTGTCTTTACGTTCGTCGTGTTCCTGTCGTTTCCTATCGAGCCAGGCTAAGGGTCCGCTCTTCTTCTTCTCGGCGGCTTCCTTGGACTCTCCGTATGGAACAGAAAGATCCGAGTTTTGATGAGAATCATACTGCAAACTTCTTCGTCCCCCACCGCCCCATCCGGAGCTGCTTCCGAAAGAGCTCATGCTCTTGTCGCCTCCTGGAACTGACCCATGTAGATCTGTTTGGCTCGCAGTTGGCGTCGCTTTGCTGCCACCGCGCGTATGTTTCCAGAAGGATCGCTTCTCCTTCTCTTCCTTCGGTGGCTCCTCCAACTGTTCGGCTTCGGAGTACTCGGTCGCAGTTGAATGAGATCTAAAGGACGCCGAAGGCGACATGGTCGGTTTCAGAGTCGCGCCGGAGTGACGTGAAGATACTGTGTCGAAGTTGGTGGACTGCAATGCCTCTTTCGAGGCACCCGGTAGCGGTGGCGGAAATGCGGCTTGGGGCAGTGGAGAGGGTAGTCCATCAAAACCAAATTGCGACCCAGTCAGCGAATGAGTAGAGCTGTGTGCGCTAGGATTTGCACTGGTGATACGCTTCTTTTGCAGTTTGTTCGGTTTACGTCCTGGTTGCTTTTCATCACCGGCCGGTGACGCTTTAGTACCGGACAAGATCTGCGTGAAAGTTCGGACCACTGACGAAGGTTCAGCAGGAGGCCCGGAGTCCACCGCTCCTTCCATGAACTCGGACTTTTCGTGCTTTGGCGTAGCGTGAGGACTGCGTTGTAACGTCTGCGGAGCTGGTGCCCCCAAAATATTGGCTGCTTCTGACGCAGCAACAGGCGTGACAGCATCAGGCGTGGGCGGAATCAAGCCAGGAGATGGAAGCGGGAAAGCCCCAGGTATCTCATAAGCCGGCGTGGGAAGGGCTGGTATCACAGGCTCGGTTTGTAGTGATGGCTGAGGTTTGACAACGTCCAGCTTTTCCACCGGGAACGTCTGAGCTCTGGGCGCAGTTTGGACAGACTCTTGTACGGGCTGTATAGGCAGAGTATACTCCCTTGTAGGTAAGTCGATGTGCTTCGGGGGTCCTTCCAGAGGTGTGGCCACCGGTGTCGGCATTTCAGGTGTGACCGCTGGCAGTTGAGACTTTGGTTCTTCTGTCGCGGGCGTGGGAGGATCAGATCCTCTTTCTCTTGGAAAACGCGACGCTGTGAGAGCCGGTGATCTAGAGGGAAGTGTATTGCTGCGATGGACACCTGAGCCGGAAGTGAACGCAGGCGTTGTTGGACTGGGTACAGCCCCTGAATGCCGCGATTGTCTCGACGATGTCGAAACATTTCTTCGCACTCCTCCGAACTTGCGCAGACTCTCTGCTCCAGCACTTGACGCAGCCGAAGCTGACCGTCCGAGACCCGACTTGTTTCGACCAGGGGTGGTTGGAGTTCTAGCTTGCGGGGTCGAAGGCCCACTCTCGATATGCTTGACGGTGCCCTCATCGACAGCGGTACCCTCCATACCTATCAAGAAATGATCCTGGTTATCAATAAGGAAGATAAGAACATCCTGGCTGAGCCGATAGTCCTGAGGAGACATGTCGTGTTGAGGATGGGAGAGAATGCCTGGTTGAAAGATAGCAGCCAAATTCGACGTGGTCATTTTGTTCACATCAGACTTTGCAGCAAAAACAGCAAGCAGGTCGAGGATGTAGAGGAGAAGCTGACGATTCAAGGAGGGAAGTTCCTTGATCAGCTGCTGGTATACGCGAACAGCAGCATCGGGATCAAACCCCCCCATAGAAGGAGCCTGACCTTCGATCTGGCCAACAGCTTCTGCCTGGTGCCCACGTAGAGGTTGGCGAAAGGAGTCGTAGTACTGTAGAGGAATGATAGGCTCGGGCAGTTGATTGAAGTACCGTCGAAGGATGTTTGCAGCATCGTGCACAGTGTAGCCCGACCAATCGAGACCTTTGCCCCAGCGTGGTGGAGTGTCGAACTGAGCCTTGAGTTCCTTGATTCTTTTCTCAGAACCGGCCAGACGGAATATGCCCTCTACATCGGTAGCTACACACGAGTTAGGATGATCGTTGACTGGTGGCCACGGGCGCAAACCTTTTTCTTTCAAAAAGACGCCGCACTTAGCGACGACAATGGGGACATATCCGTAAATGTAGCTTTCACCACTCTCATTGAAGAGTGAAATCGCAACATTCGCATAAGGTATGCTAGTAATGAGAGGTACGCCAAAGATGCCGCGGGGTACTTCAGGCTCTGCAACGGAACGTGTCAGCGCCTATAGGTAAGGTAGCCGTAGGGAGATACCAGGCAGCTATCAGAGTTACCTGTCGCGAGGAAACCGGTTACACAGTAGTACCCGTAAACGGTTATTCAAGCTGCGTAGGCATTGCGTACCTTTTTCCTCTTCCTTCTTCACGCTACGTTTACTGAACTGTTTCCACCATGATGTGAGGTCACGCTTCGCAGAGCCAGGCTCGATGGGCGTCGCCGGGGCGGGTTGGGGCTCCCCATTGCGCACTCGAGGCGTCGCAAAAGCGCCGTGGTGATTGTGCACGCCGTTAGGCATGGTGGGCGACGGCGAAGAGCTGCGCAACTCTCAAACGGGCTGTCGCCGACTACAAGAAGCGCAGCGTGTTGCGGGCGCGTCGGGCAATCTTGGGCGGTAATGAGGACGGCGGGGGGCAGACGTCGCGGGCAGCAGCTAGGAACGCGCTCTTGAGCGACAAGTGAGTGAGCAATGTAGCTATCGCGTGTGAGCGGTAGGTAGTAAGGGAGCGTGGTCGGACTCTGCGTGGGCGGGCGCGGTGTGCTGGCGCGAGAGCAACGGTTCGGAGATGACTATGGACGGCAGAGCAGACGGATCTCGCGAGCGCAACGCGGCGTACAAGACGGGCGGTGGCACACGAACAGGCGTGGAAGCGTGACGGGGCGGGCTGGGCCGTCTGAGACGATAGGGCATGCAGGGACGAGGGCCGCAGTGTGAGCGTGCCAGCCGATGTTGGACTGACGACGTAGGATGCAGTTGTCTTGGCTTGGCGGTTTATAACAAGGCGGCACCTCGACTGGCCTGCTCACTGCTCTCTCATGCGAGTGCGTCAGTCAAGGTCAGCCACAGCCACACGATCAGCGAGTAGTATGTATGGAGTATAGACGAATCTAATTAGATCTACGTGGGCAGTCTCGCTTGCTTGACCTTCACAGGTAAGGAGTGGCGCCTTGGCCAGCTGCTTCTGGGGTGGCTAGATTTCATTTGTTCACGACGAATGCTCAAGGAAGATCAAGACGTGACCATACATGATTACCGCCTACAGTACACAAGCGGACTTCCTCTCTCCCAGGATGTTTTGGGTCGAGCAGCTTTCTCGCCCAGTCGTGTCCGCTAGCATGTGCAAGGTAAAACGCGGGCGGCACGAATGGGGCCGTATCATGGCTTTTGAAGCCGGGCACCCGTGACGTAGGCTACCATGGAACTTGGCTTGAAATCTCACCAGCTACAAGGTACGGAAAACGTTCGTTAACGAGAAATAGCTGTGGAGCTTTCGGAGAGCTGTAAAGGCTAGCTCCGCAGGAGAGTGCAGCTTACGGCCCTAGCTCCTTCCTCAAAAAATTGGCTGGGGAAAGCTCCAAAGACACCTCCCGTCACTACGCGGTCGCAACTCACATAACCAACAACTTCCATCGACAACCAACTATTCATTTCGTCCCATCCACTGCACTATGGATTCGTACGTTGGACTCACCCAATCTCTGGACGCTGCTAATTGTGACTAGCCTCTCGTCCGCCGAGCAGCGCGAGCTGCAGAACCGCATGGAGAAGAAGCAAATGAAGGAATTCATGAACGTACGCCTTCCCCTTCTCTATTAAGATTTCCACCCACGGGATTGGTGCTGATGTTACTGCCAGATGTACTCCAACCTCGTGCAGCAATGTTTCGATAACTGCGTCAACGGCTTCGAGAGCAAGTCGCTCACCTCGCGGGAAGAAGGTTGCGTCATGAAATGCGTCGACAAGCACATGAAGGGTTCACAGCGCCTAGGCGACCGGTTCCAGGAGCAGAACGCTGCTATGGCACAAGGCCAACAAAGTGGCTTCGGGCGGTAATCGAAGTACGACGAGAACGGACTTTTGCATCGACGAACATGCGCTTTTTCGCTACGAAGGATTCGTAACTGCTGAAGCGACACCTACGGGGAGGCTAAGGCATCTGTTTGATACATTCCGGTTCGAGCTTTGCATGGGAATATATGAATGGGCTCACAACGAGAAAGGGACCATATGTACGAGTAAATAGTGGCTGGATCTGGGTCATTGGCGCAATGATATCCTCTCAATGCTTCGGTCATCATCGTCCATCGGAATTCTGGAGGACCAGACTTCTATAATTTCCTTTCTCTTTTCTGAGGCGATTTCAAGCACGTTCTCCTTGAAAGGTTTTCAGTGCCATCTATCCCGTCGGTGTACCTCTCCCACATTGTCTTGCAGTACTCTCACTTTTGCTAAGAGCGACTTGAAATGCTGAAAAACGTGTCGACACTCCCCATACGTTGCGAAGCCAAGGAGTTCGAGTCCATGATGCCGATTCTGCCGATTTCTGGGGTACGACGTGACGACCGATGATGAGCCGCGATGTTATTGAAGGGCTTTCTTGAATTACAACTCACACGAAACAACATGACACGCTTTTGTCTTCTACCTATGTCTCTGTACCAATGTTGGGTCGACACTAGAGCTGACATGCAACCTATCTGAGTGAATTGCGGAACTCCCACTTTCCAGCCACCTCATTACATGCACCCAGTCCGTGATCACAGGTCAAAGGCCGCTACTACAGTACAACACCAGGATCTTGACACCTCCTTTGATTAGCGTGACGTCACTGGCCGTTTCAATATTGTGGTGACGCCACACCTGTGGCGGTGCATGTCCACCTGAAGCAGGCACGATCTTGGCCGATGAGGTCGGCCAAGGGACCCAACAAACACATGCTTGTTTCCCTCGGGCAGACACGCAGCCGCTATATAATCCCCTCAGCCCTTTCACGTTACCTCCTCACATTCGACCATCTACCTCGCAAATAACAAACAGCCAACCTTACTACTTCACACTTTCAACCCACTACAAAACACCATGCCTCTTATGTGGACAAAGCACTTCGGCGGCCGCCACGGTGGTAAGTAACTGAAGCTTGTAAAGGATCGCAGGCTGTACTAAGCATACCTAGGCGGTGGTGTCGTGGTTGACAAGCACGGCGCGCGTCGTGCTCCTTTCCGCATCAGTTGCGGCCGCTTCTCTTGCTTCCGCTAAGGTTGCAATCACCTCTGACGACTCTACGACTTTGTATGTTCGAATACCATCAAGATCGCAGAACACAGTCTGACTTATTGTAGCCGGCGTTTGATTCTTCACTTTACCTATTGCATCCTAATACCCGAATTCGGCGAAGGCGTTCAGCAGACGAGGAGGCACGGTGACACAATGATACGATGACTTCAGGGCAGCATTGCACATTGGCACATACTTGAGGAGGACTATGGCTCGAGCTTTTGTCGCCAGCGCTGAGCTATAAGCACATGCAGGGTCCTATATGGTTCAATTGCAAGCCAATCAAATCAAGGTGCTCTCTCAACAGCTTTCTGCCCCAATGTTAAAGTTAGATTCAACGTCTACCCTATAATACAGTCTCAAAGATTCTGGTCGTTGATAGCTCTAGAGCTCAACGATTTAGTGTTGCGTGACGTCAGGCCAAACAGGTGACTCAGTGAGCACGCACTCGGCCCCACCCCCACCAAAAACTATACACCACATTTTCAATGGGAGAGTATCGTCAGTCAAGATACACAAAGATGCGATCAATCCTCATCATCCAGCCGAACTCGACCAAGTCGATGACCGACGCGCTCAAGCCGCTTGTCGAACTGCTCGGATTCAAAGATGTTCATCAACACCACTCACCGCAGCTCTGCAGCAACTAACGACAGCTAGTAGACCGCTCATGAGTACTTCACTGCCCCATCGGGACCGAAAAGCATCAATGACGAAGACGATGCCGCCGAGAGCGTCAAGCATTGCTTACCGGAGCTAGAGAAGGTGCTCAGCCAGCACGATGGCTTCCTCGTGGCGTGCTACTCCAAGCATCCTCTCGTGCCGATATTGAAGGAGCAGAAGGCTGTGAAGTCTGGTCGCAAAGCGGTCACCGGCATCTTCGAAGCGAGCGTGAGCACGAGTTTACAGATCATTCACCCAGATGAGAAATTTGGCATCGTGAGTACAGGCAAGGTCTGGGAGAAGATATTGTCAGAAGCTGTTGTGGACTTTCTGGGCACTGGATCGGACGCGGGCAAACGGTTCGCTGGTGTGGAGACCACGGGTTTAACTGCGACGGATTTGCATGACGCGCCGGTGGAGGAGGTGCGTAAACGGATGAAAGATGCGGTGAAGAGGCTCTTGAAGAAGGGCAAGGTCGGCGCAATCTGTCTCGGCTGTGCCGGCATGGCTGGTATGGATACAATGGTGAGAGAGGCTTGCGTGGAAGAGCTCGGCAAAGACGATGGAAATAGGGTTAGGATTGTAGATGGCGTTGTAGCTGGCGTAGCGTGGCTCGAAGGCGCTGTACGCTCAGGATTCTAGATGACATAGTCCTCGAAATGCCCGTAAAAACAAGGCAGCGAAACATGCAGTAGTATGGCCTAGTACGCAGCATTCGCAAAATCACAAGTGGAATGCAGCTTCTCCAATGCGCGAGCTTTCCTATCTAGTAATTCGCTGCCAAGTGTCGTCATCCCGTCTCAGAAAGTTAGCGTCCATCGACCTCAAAGCTGCCGCACCCCTCCGCAACCTCAGCCCTTCTACTCTGTACGGATGGTTACTACACTCGTGTTCTAATTCATCCATACTCTGTGTCGTACCGTGCAATCCATATCGCAAATCGCTACGAACCGCTGAGCCAGCAGATTAGTGGCGGTATCCAGATTGAGGACCATGGAAAGACTACCGAATGAACTACTCATATCAATCGCTTCATATCTGGATATCGAAGCGCCCTCTGTCACCAAATTCTCTCATGAACCGACAGTGAGATTGACTTACTCGGTCGAGACGCCGCTCAAAAATCTTTCACAAGTTTCGTGGCGATGGAGGAAGATCCTGTTACCTATCCTTTTCCGTTACTCAAGGCTTTCTCTGGATCCAGATCCGCAATGGGTACCAATCGATGCTAGAATTCTCGACAACATGCAAGGTCAGCTCACCAAGTTGAGCGCCCATGAGTTTCAAATATACACACGCATGATGAGCAAATTCAAAGCAACCGGCACGGGCTCTGCGTTCGACCAAGCATTCGATGACGTCCTAATCAATCTTTGTCGTGTAGAGGAAGACGACCATATCCTGAAGAACGTACCGCATATCCTGTGGTTTCCGCATCTTACTAAGAGCTTTGCCGGCTTCCTGCGATTTATGCGGCAGTATGACCTCAAGAAATACATTAGAAACATCGTGGTCCACACAGATAAGGAATACCAGCTTCGGCACGTATCCACGGCAGATGCACCTTTAGCTCGTGCTGTGCACGAAATATGGGACCAAGTATTCTCTAACCTGGACCCAATTCGCGTTGTGGTAGCTGCACCGCCGAGTTCGCTCTCCGCACTTCTCGACGCACATATGCTCAGTTCTGACACGTGGGCTTTCGACATGAAGATGCACTACATCGAATTCTCCCAAAAAGACCCACACCGTACCGCACATCGGAATCACGGATGCCGACCTTGGGACAACGCGCTCGTCCATCGCAAGCCTTGGACGCATCTAGGCTACAATGAAGGCTCCTCGATCGCAGCCTACAGCACATATGAGTATCATCTTAAACAATCACCGAAGATGCTTTACCTGACCCTCCTCCGCCTGGCGAAAGAAGTTCAAGATTGCTGTAACATTACGAGCTTCTCCTTTATTGGTGTGTTCCCGTTCAGCACAAACATGAACACGGTTATCCGCGCCCTGCAGAAAATACCAATGCTACGCGAGATCCAAGTCCAACTCGCACCAGGTCCGGAGAATGATCTCCTTGATACACCCAAGAAGCTGGGAAGGGCACAGGCCTCGGACCTATGGTTGGAGTGGAACGGGTGTTATAGTGGCATGGCTGGACTGCTGGGTACACAAGAGCTTAGTGATGGAGCGAGGTTCGTGAGCAAGGACTGTGGGGAGACAGAGGTAGCTAAAGAAGTGGAAGAGTACATCGAGTCATTGCAAGAGAGAGGTCAAGGATGGCGTAAAGACGGAAACGAGGTGTGGATAAGGGATTCGAGTCTCGATCGAGAGGTGACGCCTGATGAGAACCTAGGAGATGTAGGGTCTGCTTTGCATCAATTGATGTTGGCCGCTGCCCACGAGCTATTGTAGCGACGCTGTTTGTCAGCGACAGGTATGTTCAGACTTAAAGTGCTCACGCACTGTTCTTGGGTCAGTACTATACAGAAAGATAGCACTATTGCTTCAATGCTCGAAAAAACTTCCGATGGTACGAAGGGCTTCAATGTATCGGTTCACATGTCTGATCCGCGCGTAGGCTTGCTGCAGATTTGGTTTTTTCGAAGTCTCTGAGCTAATCCATCGGCCAACTGCGGCTACAGCACGTTAACAAACACTCTGGAATACTCAGCTTGCCTGATCAACTCTTATGTATTGTCAAAGCTCCCAGCTTGGGCATTTTGGAGCTTCATTGCCCTCCATGTGGGGTCGCTATTTTGCCGCCAACGAAGCGTTCTTGAGAAGACCCGGTTCAATATAGATCAATTACGGCACTTTACCACATCAAATCGGGTTGAGCGATCCTTTGGGGTGTTCTTGAAATACTGACATATATCATTACCATGAGTAATCTCAAGTTTCAGAACAGCCAGATCAACCCTCGAAAAGTGCACATCAAACCAGACAATGGTTCCTTCAATCAAAAACTATCTCCTCATCGGCTTCCTAGCATCTGCTTCCAGCGCGGCTCCACTTGCTCAAGCAGCATGCGATCGCACTATCCTTACCCAAGCCGCAGACGCCTACATCGCAGCCCAAACAGCGGGTTCTCTCACCCCACTGCAGCCCATGCTGGCCACTCCATGGCTCTACACCGAAAACAACAAGAACATTTCCACCACATCTAGCGTCCTCTCAAAAAAGCTCACCATCGATCACCGCCGCACAAACTACGACCTCGTCACCTGCGCCACCTACACCGAGCTCATCGCCGCCACCGGCCCTTACGTTATCGGCACGCAAATCCGCCACGGCGCAGACGGCAAAGTCTCCAGCATCGACACCATCGCCAGCACAACCGGCTCGTGGCTCTTCAACGCGACAAAGACGCTCGAGTACGTGAAGGCCGAGGACCCGGGGTGGACGCCGCTTCCAGCGTCGGCGCAGTCGAGCAGAGAAGTCATACAAGCTGCGGGAGATGCCTACCTCGATATGTGGAGCGATGCGCATGCACATGAGAAGGTGCCGTGGGGGACGCCGTGCGTGAGGCTTGAGGGCAGCGCGTATACGGGGAAGGGAATGGCGAATGATAGCTGTCAGCCTGGGATTCCGAGTAATCATAATCAGGCGCCGAATACGAGGAGGAGGTATGTTATTGATGAGGAGATGGGGAGTGTGAGCGTCTTTTGTGTGTGGGAGCATATGGTGAGTTTGTGTTTCTTTTTGCTGTTTTGGATGATTGGACGCGCTGAGGTCGTGTTGCCGTTTGGTCTTCAGATGGGATTCGAATCTTGTGACTAACGGTGATAGATGAATGCGGCTGATTCACATGAGTTCCGACTTGAGAGTGGGAAGTTACGGTATGTACACACGATGACCGAGTGTGGTGGGAAGACTTGTAAGCTATAAAGGAACGTAAAGCTTGGTACGCGAGATGATTTTGTCTTGTTATGTAGAAGAAGTGCGGTGGACAAGGAGTGTTGAAGACGGCGCATAGTCCATGAAGTCGACACAGAAATCTTGAAGACGAACAAAACAGCAGGACAGCAGTGATGATGTGTCTTATGTCCATTCTTACAACAACTATGTATGTATGCACCCAGGGTATTGATACACCATTTCTCCTCAGAGGCCAATCCCAACCCAACAAGCCCACCTAATATGCTGGACTACGCTTCGCAATCGCAAAACGACCGAGGTCCAGATGAAGTATGCAACAGAATGAAGCGCCCAAGATGCCATCTGGATATCAATGCGCTAAGCACCACCATCCAAGAAATTGTCCCTGCGATATATACACCAATGAGGAGCAAAAAGCATACCTGCAGTGGGTCCGACGTTGCACAGAGCAGGATCGTCCTCGAACCATAGTTTCAACTGGCTGACCAAGCTCAAGCTCAACTTCTTCTCGGCCGCAGCGCCCTGTTCCATAAGTTCGTCCAGGGTCTCCGGACGTCGCTTCCTCGTGCCCCTCATCAACCTTTTTCTCTTCTGTAGCTTTGGTGGGAAACATCGCGCCTTCTTCATGATGTAGTACTCGTAATTGCAATCTAGGAAAGCAGTGTCTTAGCGTACTTTCGTCATGATGAAGTACTCAACGCTCTCACTCGCCCAGCTGACACTACCCGTGCCTGAGTCGTACCGCTCCTCGTCGAACAGATTGGCGATGCTATTCTCGTTCCGCACGCCTTGCTTGTTGCCGCCTCCGCCGAAGCTCGCCAAGCTCACAACTTTGCAGCCAAGCCTCAGATCAAGGAATTTGTCAAGGAGTTGGTTGTTCAGCTTCGACGGGAAGACTTTGTTGTTGACAAGTACCACGTCCACGCGGCGCAGCAAATCGTCGATTTGCGGTGATTCGAGGAAATCGCCGTGGAGCAAAGTAATGGGGCCAAGGTTGATGTTCCAGAGTTTGGAGCGGAGGCGCAATTCATTGGCCTGGTCAGTCGCATACTCAGCGGGCGTGTCCATGATCTCGATGCCGTGGGACTCGGCGCCCGTCTGCAATGCAGACTGCAGCACCACATTGCCAACACCAGAGCCGAGATCGACGAAAACAGAACGAGAGTTGAGCCCGGTCTGTTGGAAGATAGCATGTACGAATGGCGGGAGGAGTTCGCCGTATGTAGTCTCCTTTCCTTTTACCCGTTTGAGAAGGTAAGCATACGGGGAGACGGTGCGCCAGTAGACCTGTGCCAGGATGCATTTGACAAGTCCCAGAGGTATCGCATGCTTAGAGTCAAGAACACTGGCTATGGTCCCGTCGTCGACTTTCTTCTTGATCGTCGCATTGAACTTTTCCACGATACGGCTGAACTCCTCAGGCTGTTTCTTGAAGGCGGCACGCTTGAGCAGGCGGACAGTCCCATCGGCTTCGGAAGACAGCTCGGTGGACAGGTCGGCAGGTAGATAGTGCTGCACGATCTCCTCGATCGCGTAGTATATATCCTCGAGAGGGTTGAAGTTGCTAGCGTCCTTCGGCAAAGACAATTGGAAACGTTCAGGTGCCGAGGGGCTGGGATATTGCAGATGTACCACGGGTGGCTCATCTGTACCTGGGAAGGCGGGCTTGTAGTCCGTTGCAAATCGTCTACAGATGCCCCGACCATGGATCATTGCGGCCTCGCTGCTCCTTTTTCCTTTCGCCGGCGCGGCGCCCTTCTCTCGCTTTGTTTCCGATGCTTGTTCGGGCTTCATGGGTGTATCAATCTCCTGCTTTATGCATGTGCCGTTCTCCTGCTTTGCCGACACGCCATTTTCCTGCTTCACGGACACGCCATTCTCCTGCTTGATCGAGGTCCCATTCTCTTGCTTTACTGGCGCACCATTCTCCCGCTTTATCGATGTGTTGCCATCTACTTGCGCGCCTCTAGGCTCTGGTGACGGTAATCGTATGCGCCGGTTGTGGTCGGGCTCCAGGCACCGATTGATGCCCGTGGGCTCCATGCTACTGCTCATCTTCTGTCGCTTCCGCCCGTCCGCCGAGGAGTCATCGTCGCTGCTGTCGTCGTCGCTACTCAGCGGCGTATATGTCTCGACCTTGCGCTTGCGCACACTCTTGACCGTCACCGACTTGCGCCCATTGCTCGCGCTCGCGTGCGCTGTCGTCGCCTTGGTCCGCGGCGGGGACGATAATTTATACCGGTTTACGGGGGCCGCCGCCGTCGCACCACTTCTCCCGATCGCGTGGCCGTTGGATTGCGCGGGTTTAGCGGGGTTGGGCGCCTTCCTGACAGGCACGGCTACGGTGCGCGTCTTGACCTTGGGAGGCTTCACGCCGAACATGACCGCGGAGGAATACGGAAAGAATGCGTGGGAGTGAGTCGTGTGAGCATACGGGGCGCGGGTCCGTGATGCGTGATGCGTGATGCGGATGCGCGCTGCTGCAGGGTCCCGTAGGAAAAGAGCGGCTTGGGTAAGAAATGCAGGAGCGAAGGAGGGGTGGTGGAGGAAAGTAGGCAGTCGCGGCCGGCCTCCGATCAGCCACGAGAAGTCCACGTAAAATGTGACCTTCGATCTCGGTTTCCTACAGGCTACGCGTTCGAACGCCACTGCACATGCAGGGATCTCTAGGGTGCAGCCTATTTAAGCTTGGCGTGTGGCTGACATTCACTGGCGTGCAAATCTCGCTAGTCAGACCACCAACCTTCGAGAAGGGCCGGGGCCCGGGTGTTTCACATCACGTGCGCAAACATTCCTTCATCATGTCTCATCGTTGTGAAGGTCAGACAAAACAAGGCCAAGAAGAATTCAGGGAGAAACACACGAATATCCTCAAAGTCTCTGCGTATGCTGAACGTCCGCTACCGGGTTTAACGTACATACAGATACAGTCTAAGAAACTAGCTCAGTACCAGTGAGCTGGTCAGCATTATCTATCCTTTAACTTCTGCTCTTCTTTTATTTTATCGTCCTTTTCCCACCGCACTGCATCCAGCACGATCTCCTTAATACTATCATACGCGGTCTTCCACTCCGTTCCGAAAATCGTGTCACTCTTGCTCGTATCGATCTTCGCCAGTTTGGCCCGCCTGCTTTCGTATCCCTCTTCATCGACCTGCACGTCAGGCAGCCTATCAGCTACCTCCGGATACTCTTTCTTCATCCTCGCGACAACGCTTCGTAGATTCACCCCCTCGTGAGAAGCGAGAAGGTATCTATGATTCCCAGGCACTTTCTCCTGCTCCAGTGCCAGCACGTGCGCGCGTGCTACATCATCTGTATCCCTACACGATATCAGCACACACTCCTTACATCACACTTCCTGTACTCACAAGAACATAGGGAACGTAGCATCCATATCCTCTGCCGTCCTACTCACAAGCAAAGCGCGGCCTATACTCCCAATCCCACCGGGCCCAGCACTAGGTTTATATCCAACCTGCGGACTCCTCCCCGTAATCATCGGCGGCAACAACATCACAATGTCAAATTTTGTACCTTCTTTACCACCGTTCTCCTCGTACCATGCCCACGTCTTCCTCTCAGCATTTGTCTTCGAGTACATGTATGCGTTTCGCCAAGGTCCGTCCTTCGCTTCTTCGAAGGTCATGCTATTGTACGACACATCAGTGATAGTTGCCGATGGGTCAAAGAGGTTGTAGGGGCCCAAAGCCTGTAGAAGTGTGCCGCAGATGATGACGCGTCTTACGGCGGGAGACTTCCGGGCTGCTGTGAGGATGGAGTGGTCGATGGTCCACGTCGGGTCGATCATGTCTTTGACCCAATCGCTGTCGCTCCCGACAGGAGTAGCGCAGTGGATGACTGTGGTTGCGGAAGCTGCTGCGGCGTCGAAGGCCTCTGGGATGGTCATGTCTGGAATGGACGTGAACGTAAGGCGGCCTGTGGAGATCTCTGACGGAAACCTTTCCCGGAAGAGCGGGATTTGCTTCGTAGCATTTCGCAGGACGATGTTTACATTGTGTGGTGTGGTTTGAAGAAGGTGTTCGAGGATCACGGCACCGACGTTGCCAGTTGCACCTGTGAGTAGGACGGCCTCTTTTTGAGTCATGGTGTTATAGCGTAGCTGGAATCACTCATGGGTAAAGTCGTGATCAGCTTTCGAAGCTTGTTGATGGTGATTGCGCACCCCTTCAACACCTTTTTGTACTTGGATTGTCTCGCACGCCCACTCCGCTCGCTCTTTCGCTCTTTGGCTTATTCAACGTCCCACACACATGGACTATGAATCTCGCATGAATATACTCGATTACTCAAGTATACCTACCGTGATCGTCCTTTACATTGGCGGCAATGGCCGTCCTCTTTCGTAATTGTGGCTAGCGCGGTGTTTACTAACGCTTACCCTACGAAGGTCAGTAGCAAAGGTTCACTAATCGGCATACCTGAAGCGCTGGTAACCAGAGAAGATGACAAGCCAGTGTTCAGGTACTGAGGAAGCCAGATAATATCGTGCAACCTTGTAATTCTTGAACAGAGGGCGCGCGTGGGGTGTGGGGCAGCTGCCTGCGGGATTGTGGTGGGGTACGTCGTACGAAGTATTGCAGGGAGAACGAATCAAAAGCAAATGTTCAATTGTATCGTTAATGTTTGCTTTACCTCATGAAACCATAGAAAGCAAGGGTAAAATAAATGGCACAAGACCAGAGGGCGCCTAAGACAGCATGAAGCTCAAGGCTAGCATCAAAATCTGCGTCCCTTTATGAAAGCATAACACCAGCTAGCCGCGTCCCCCTTTTCAGCTAACGATAGAGAAAGAGGTAAAGAACGGAGAGACCGACGCATCCAGAGGCAATAACCCCAGCATTAAGGTCTTCCTATCAGTCCAGAAAAAGATAACCAAGATCAGCGAGCGCGTCCAGAGGAAGAGGTTGCGAGCGCAATGGCCGAATCGTTGAAGGCTCACGCAGCTTCCTGTCCAGTCGCCTGGTCTCGAAGAAAGATTGCGTAGTCAATTTCCTCGGCACGGTTCACGATATCTTCCTCTTCTTGTAAAAAGTTTCTGTCGCATTCCTCGTCGTCTGTCCCTTCGGCGTCCACATCTGAGTCCTCTTGGTCCGATACGTCCGTCATGTCGATATCGTCATCCTCGTCAGACTCATCCGCGTCAGATTCGTCCGACAGCTCACCTGGATGGATCCTCGGTCGTGCGTTGCAAAGCCGCTCACGGTCATGCGGGCACATGTTGGCATTGTCCATAGCCGAGTCGTTAACCCAGAAGTTCAGGCAGTGACCGTGGAACAAATGACCGGTCGAGCACCGTGAAACGACAAGCTCACGATGGTTGTCGGCGAATTCGTTCATGCAGATGAGGCACGTGCCTTGAGCGGGGTATGGGCCTTGATACGGAAGGCTGAATGCATTCATTGGTACCGGCTCACCAGTTGACTTGTACTCTGTGGGTGTGGGATCTGGTTCGAGTTGTACGGGACCGTGAACATCTGCTGGACCGTAGACCCAGTATGGATATGTCCATTTGCCTTCACGAGCTGCGTACGGCGTGTCAGTAACTGGCCGAGCCGCACTGTGCGAGATCTATGGTCGACTTACCACACATCCAACCCCATCGCACAAGAAGGAGTTCTTCGTGGGGTTGATCTTCCTCATCGACCCCGCCCAATCCTTGCATCTCCTTGATCGCGTTGTCCAGCATGGTGCCGAAGATTTCTTCCTTTGCCATGACTTTTACCTCGACCTGCTCATCCGTGAGAGGGACTGCTGGGCGGGACAAATGCTTCACCTCGACCTCTTCATGTATCATGTCAAAGAAGCTGAGCAGCTCCTCTGGCTTGATCCATGAAACAGCCTTTTTCGGTGGTGGGATCTCCCACTCATCGCTTGGACGACAGTACCGCTCTTTGAGAGCTGACGTGAGTAGGTGTGACTGACTCTGCGGAAATTTGTCATGATTGTCGGTCAAGTGAAGGGTTCTACGTGTTGGGACGCGGATTAGCAGCCGCACTAAGGTAGGCTTTCATACTACAAGACGGACACGGTACTTACAGGCAAAGGATCACATCGTGAACACAGCCCGCCAGCCAGCCCATATCGAAATCTTCTCCTTCTACACGCCTGAGCGCACGAATCAGGCTCGGAAATGTCTTTTTGAAGCACTGAAGATCGCTTTCGAATCCAGGAAGGGTACTAGGAGGGATCGGATCATAGACATCCATATCGTCTTCGCTGTCATCGCTGGCATCGCTGTCGGAGTCTGAGAGCCTATCAGGACAGGTCTCCTGCAAGCATTCAGACTTGGTTTTGAGGCAAGAGGAACAGGTGGCCATGCTGGATAGCTGAGATCGTGTAGCTTAGAAATGCGCAAGCAGAAGTTGTTGTCCAGGTCGTGGTTTTACGGGAGCTCGCGATCTTTATATAAGACATGTCTCTTCGCGCCTGAAACCACCAGTGAAGCAGTATCATATAGCAAGGTAAAAGAATAAGGAAAACATATGGGTTAGGAGTGGGTGAAGAGTAATGTTGGTATAGCAACAATACTCTGATTTCTACCCTAATGCTCACTGCCACAAAAGCTGCGTTCACCGCAGGACCCGCAAGAAAAGTGAAAGACGTAGGCAGCCACATCCCTCAAGGAGCTAGGTGACAGAGCCACAACAGACTCTATCTGATTGTAGTATGAGCATGTGGAGAGCAGCTCAAGTGTCTTATTTCTTTACGGTCGTGTGTACGCTTTTTGGTCTCTTCCTGAGTCAGATCTCGCGTCACTCAAAATCTTCTGTGAAGCGAGCGGGAAAATCGCGCCACCTGCAGGATCCGATTTCTTCGCGAGTTGGAGAAAGGGCGAACTTTCATGGCTATAGATTGCGAATGGAGAGCTTCTGACGTCGAAGGAGGATACGATGCGGCGACTAGGTGTTGACGGCAGTCCAAAGACTGGGCGTGTATTTCTAGGTGTTCCGCTCGAGTTTCCAGAGTTCGCATTGATACAGCGTGATTTCGGAGGGCTTTTCCGGAATGTCGGTTCATCGCTTGGAGAACATGGTGCTTGGCTTGCTTCACGATGTCGAGCATTGTTGGCAGGCTCGACAGGCTCCCGTCGCGGCGATGTGGCACCAGGTTGTACAACTAACGACAGTCGTTTCGTCAATGCTGCAAGATGTTCCTCCAATGGTCTGAAATAATGGCGTAGGTCCGAAGGGCAATAGGTGGAGGCAAGTCTTGCAAAGAGAATCTCCTCCGCTTCTTCGTCACCCCACCCACCTCGAAGTGAAGGATCTGTGTGGTCAGGGTTGTAAGTCTTCCACGAATAGCATGAGCAAAAAAATGGTTTAATTTGACTCACGTAAATGCAACCTTCGGGATTGTCCTGATTCTACAGGAGGAGGCGCAGCGAGAGAGGGTGGCAGAGTAGGATAGTTGACTGTATTCGGCGCCAATGTGTTCTCCCCCACATGCGGCTCCACAAATTCAGGTTCTCCAGGTAGTTCGGCTGGGAGGTTGTGTTGGGCTTGATGCGGCTGGTAACCACCAGTGCGGGAATTGTGACTGAACCCTGCGTTATGATCATACCTGGTCGTATGACCTTGCGACTCGGCGGCCGAATGATATTGAGTGGGCTGGGGAATCACGTCGGGTATCAAGTCCAAGGAGGCTTGCGTCTGAGGTCTGTCTTTCCGACCGCTAGCATCATGCGCGAGCCCTTGTGTTGACGGTGCAGGTATAGAAACCGCCGAATCGTTGCGTTGTTGGAGTAAGGTCTCGACACGTACGACCCGCTTCTCGACGCTTTTGAGATGTGATGTCACTTCCTTGAGCTCGGCCTTGATCTCTTCGATCCCGGCGAGAATGTCGTGGATGGTCATATTGTCTGCGTGAGGATAGCGGAAGTAAATTGTAAGATTGACGACTGTGTTGCTGAAAGTGTTGGCCAAATCGGATACCAACGCTCATTGTGTAAAGAAACAGAAGCTAAAAGGAAGTGAAGCGTCATGTCATGAAGAAGGTAGGTGCTGGTGTGGAAACCGCCAGCAGGTAGACTGAGAGATGCCTTCCTCATAGGGCATGCGCAGGTCAAGTTTGCCGCGTCAAGTAATTCTTCATTTCCTGAAAAGCCTCGGCAAGCTCAGCCCCATCCCACTCGTCTTCCTCATCCATAATGTATAATCGTGAACCCTCGAAGTCTTCTTTCGAGAGGCTGGTCGACGGCATGATCTCCAGATGCAGCACCTGGCGAATCCGTTCATCCTTCATGGGGCAGTTAATCGCTAGCCATCTTGATGCGAACGCAATTCGATGCTCCTTCGTCTTTTGCTGTGCAGCCAAGAAAGCTGGCCGCCATGTTACGCCTACTTGATCGGACTTGATCGGGAACGTTAAGGCCTCCAGGTTCGGATAGCGACCCAGAAGCTTCGTGCTCATGTCGATGACGATAGGCCAGAATACCCTCCGCCTATACTTGTGTGAGGACGTAGTATAAATATATTCCATAATGGGCCTTCGACTTACCACCAATACGCCATGACCTCCAAGTCGACGTTGTATATTCCTCTGCCTGCCTCCATCGTGAACGTAACGTGCCGCACCAGATGACATGACATCGGAGCGAAATCAACGTTGCTCATGTACAAGCGGAATACGTTTCTGCCATAGAGCACTTCAGCGCCCTCTGCGAAGATTTGTCGACATGTTGCTAAAAGGCTCGTCGGTATTACGCCGTCCACTCGTTGCGGTTCCGATGGCCCTTCATTCTTATACTTCACAATCTTTCCTCTTATCACTGGGCGCGATGCGTATGCGTCTGAGCAATATATAAAGATCGCACCAGATATTACGAAGGCGTATTCATATATAATGTTCCTTAATTCTTTTGGGAGGTCAAGAAAGCTTCGCTCGGTGGAATTATCTTTGTGGGATTGCGCCCACTCAATGCTACGTGGCTCGCTCGAAGGAGATTTGTGTGCAGAATCATCGACGACGAAGGTACGCAGTTCTGGTGTTGCCGCTGTCTGGTACAGCCTCTGGCGAAAGGCGGCTGTTGCTCTCGCTTTGTCCATGTCAACAATGGAGATGTGAACAAATTGTGCTGAGGTCGTATTTCGGCACTTTCAACCCCGCAAGGATCAGTCGTTAACGAGTCGGAACATGCGCCCTACACGTGACGGTGAGATGTCCACGGCTACCATGGGAGCGAAAAGCGGCTTCCTCTTTCGCCCTAGCTCGGATCGCGAAATCAATCCTCCGAGCAAGCCTGTGCAACCTTCGAAGTACACAGCGCTGCCTGCCAAATTGGAAGAAGACGAATTTTGATTCATTTCCTAGTCTTGTCGGGCCTTGTCGACTCAGGCCCAAGTAGGTAGGGATACGGTTTCGGAATATACCCGCATGCGAAAGTGGGGAACACCTGCCTTATTGAACCATCCAACAACCGCACGGTACAACACAAAGGCATCTTATGTGAGTACATACGATCAGAGTACCTGATTTCATTTTTGACATTCATTGGAAGGAACTCTAATCGGCGCAACGGGAAACCGGCGTCCTGTGAGCCGTGTAAGTAATCAAGGTCTTGCAACATGCTTATCAGTGTCAGGCACCGAATGCTAAAACTGCACAGGTAGATTGAACAAGACTAGATGTGATCATGGAACGCCGATATGTAGCCGCTGTATCCAACGTGGTAGGTGTCACATTTTTGAACTCCCCAGGCCGGCGCTCATCCTAGGCCAGGAATACCGGATCGATGTTTCTACCACCCAGCTCCGCTCACCAAGCGCAACACCGAAGACGATGCCGGTAGCCGCGCAAAAGATGCCCCAGACGTCCTTCGACCCGCCAAGCGAAAACGAATTTCTAAATCGCTCGCTGGACCTGATGCTCCCTCTTTCTATGTTAACGACAAATTCGCTGATGCCGTCCCCATGACTACGAACCAGCCAGGCTACCTCGGGCCGACGAGTTACACTGCTATCCTGCCCAAAGATGAAGCTAATACTATTGTGCTTGATAGAGAAGCATCAATGGCATCGGATGGCTCCGATTACGAGATGGCTCACCAACATCCTTTGACCAAATTTATGCGTGCTCAGATGACCACGGAGGTGCTGAAATGCTTGCGACATTATCCCATAATACAGGACGTCATTAATATCCTTCAGCAATATGCACAAACATGCATAGTGCCGTTACCCTTGGAGATCGATCTCATCAATGGCCTTGGACCCATAGTCGACCGATTCAATCTCCTGCACTCTGTGCCCGACCCCAGACTAGTCGCCAGAGTCTTGGACAACAGTAGCCGGCCCCTGGAGATACCCGACGATATGAAAGCAGGCGACTTCCACCAGATATGCTCAGGAGACAATATAAGGTTAGAAGTACTTGGTTTTGTCCTCGCCACTGCAGGAAGGGCATTATCCTTCGGACTCTGTTCGTACCACTTCGCCGACCCAGCAAACCCAAATTCAAAATCTCGACTGATTGATGAGCTCCTCCGAGCCAGCACGACATGCACTATTCTCTGCAATGTGATAAGCCCCGTCAATCATATAACTATATGGATGCTCTACGAAAACTATTCCTTCACCATCATGGTAACCGGCTTCTCCGGTGCCCCATCGTGGCGGCGTTTCGGAGAGCTCGCGTCTCAACTTTACGCCATCGGCCTCCACAGGGAACCACCAGTATCCAACATTCCCACCTGGATGCTAGAGACGCGTCGAAGAGCCTTCAGCACGTGTTTCTTGCAAGACAAAACACTCTCTACATTCCTTGGTCGACCTCTCCGACTGAGCAAACGACACACCGACATGAAATTGCCCCTCGACCTCGACGACAACGACATCATGGCCAACGAAGAAACAGTCTCCCGCACGATCGCCGCGCTCGACGAAAACGGATGGAATACCGAGAAGCGCTACCTGCGCACAAGCTGGGTCCGCCTGCGCTTCATCTCTGCCACTTACCGCGAGGAAATCCTTGACGTCGCCCTATCAAAATTAGACGAGAACGTTGAACGCCAGCTCCTGGATATATCCCACCGCATCCAAGAATCTTGGAACAACTTCCCGCAACACCTGCGCTACTGGCCCAACTGCTGGAACGAAGTAGCCTCGCCGTACGTGTGTCTCATGCTGGTCATTGCGCACCAAACGCACTGGTACAATGAGTTCATCGTACGAAAACTGCTGGACCAGGGACAGACGCCGATTACATCGAATCTTGAACTACTCCGCGTGTCGACCTCGCTGCTGAGCACGACGCTCACGCTCGGCACAATACGAGACAGGTTATACGACATCCACAAGGAATTCCTCATAGAGGTCATCCTATGCGGTATCCCCTCCGCCAGCGTCCTCGCCACGGCCCTCCAAGAACAACACCGCACGAACGCGCTCTTCCCACCCTCCATCTCCCGCGCGGAAATGATACGCATGCTTTCGGTTCTGATCTCCCACCTTGAAGCTGCAGAGCACCTCGAATCTTCTTCCGCTCGGCCAGGAGAAGCTAATTACAATCTTTGCAAGAAGGCGTGTAAGGCTTTTACGAAGATTGTGGACCATGTGTTGGAACCGAGGGCGGAGGAATTTACGCCAAATACGGCAGATACGGAGCTGGATTTGAATCTTGAGTTTTTGACGGCGCCAGGGTTAGATGTATTTGAAGGGATGGAGTTTGCGGCGGGGGACGATGGGAGTATTGATTGGGGGGCGATGACGCAGTGGACGCTCTGAGTCGGCTCGGTCGCGTACCGCAGCCAGGAGATCGAAAAGAGTCTTTTCGAAGGGCGTTTAAGGACTGAAAGGTTGACATGGCATCGGGTTTTGGCTCGGTTCTGCAACATCCATATGCGGCTCACCGCTTTTCCGTGCTTTTTTGCTCTTTCCCCAGCCTTAATGTGTTTTGGTGCTCCGCCTCCCGCGCGATGCTGCTCCTCTCGCAACTCTCAGGATACTCGACGTAGCCGTTCCACTTTGTGTCGCATTGTACCCACCATCTTGCGCCTCCAGTGCTCCATGTACAATCTTCGATAGATTTAACCACGGAGGTTTCTTCTTCCGCAACTACCGCTTGATTTTGATGGAATGCTTCAAAGAAAGTCACCGCCCGCCGGTTGGGCTGCACTGACGGGATGGACACAAGCGGGGTGGGCAGGGTGAGCATGTAGGTAACTGTGTCGTTCATGTGAAAAGGCTGAGAGGTCGGATATCCAAATGAACGATAGTCAGGATTGGCCGCGTACCATAACTCTTCATTACGTCTAAGCGAAATCAGACTTCGCTGCGGATGATGCTGTATAAAAGACATAGCGAATGGCTTGGGGTTGATGTGCTCCGGTAATCGATATGGTGGTGGGATATGACTGCGATCTTTAGCGTGCAGGCAGATGTTATTTTTAAGAAGAGCAGTTCTAGAACATTGAATGCTTTTGTTCATCCGAGCTTTCTTTAAGACCGGATTGGGAAGGCACGTGTGCACTTTGGGCAGGCATGAGGAACGTGAACACGCAAAACAAAGGGTATACAGCGCAAGCGCGCGGAACGTTGAGACAAGAGAGGGAATAGCCCGAAGAATGCTGTTGTCGCGCGGCTGTGCGACATCAAATAGATTGGATATCTAGACACTGATCGTTTTGAAGACACTGTTTCACCGTTAGCTGTCAGGTCCTTGCAATGCACGGATAGAATTGTACTAACCCAAAGCCGGACCCACCCGTAGCCATGACCGCACCCGGAATCTGCGGATGCCAATGCGCCTCCTTGACCTGCTCCATATAATGCACAAATAGCAATTGCGGCGGCACATCCGGGACACCACCGGTATCCCTGCTTTCTTCATCGTCAAGCTCGACCGCAAGGTCCCATAGTGTTAGCGTGTTGTCGCCAGAGCACACTAGCACGATACTGCTGTCTGTTGGATGCCACTCAACAGCCGTAATCTGCTCCTTGTGGAAATTGAAGTTAGCGATAGGGGAGGGTTTAGCGTTTGACGAGAGTGAGGTGGATGGCTTCCACTGGCGGAGGTCCCAGACGGCCCATTCGCCGTCATCGGCGCCCGATGCGAGAAGATGCGCTGTCTGGTTCGACCAAGATAGGACATTGACATCGGTATTGGAAACCTGTACGCTGACGGCGGGTTTCCGTGACTTGGAGCGCGCGTCCCAGATCTTGACAGTGCCGTCGTTGCCCGCAGATGCAAAGACCGTCTTCTCGCTGGGCGACCATTGAAGCTCCTCCACGGTGCCTTCGTGGCCCGTAAAAGGCGTCGTGTCAGTGACGAAGCCGCCGCCTTGTGTGCGTGTTGTGGTGAAGATCTTGCCTGTGATGTCGCCCGTCAGAAGCTTGCCCTCAGGTACGAGCGGAGACCAGTCTAGTGCATATCCCTCGTTCGCTTTGTGTGCTCTTATCGTGCTAAGAGGCTTATTTTGTGCAGGTGTAATGGTGGAGCCAGGTGTATCAAAGGCTGTGAGGTGAGGTGTGATGTCGTGAATCAGAACCTGGCCTGACTCGGTCATGGCTGCCGTGAGGGTAGTCGCTGGTTTCGCTGACGTGCTCTGTGGTGCTTGATGTACGCGTATCCGGTTCGTGCAGCTTGTCATTGGTATTGATTTCGTCTCGAGGATGGGGTCTGAGCCTTCGTCATCTGAGTCTTCCTCGTCTTCGTCTTCGCCCTCCTTCTCCATTCTCGACAAGCTGCTCATTTTCATGACCATGATCTGGTTCTCCTTGTCCCGTCCTTGCGCTGCCTGCGTACCTGCCACTGAGTATACGGTCGCAGGGTATGTCTTTCGCTCGGAGCCAAGGTTGTCCGGCACAATATCGCAGGACAGACACGGCCAGGGTGCTTCTAATGTGTGCAGCATCTCGTATGTGGATAGATCGGGTGCGAGGGTCTCTCCAGCAGAGAGCTTGTGTCGACCGGGTATGAAGGTGCCTTGGTCGACCTCCATGGCGTCTGTCTTGAATAAGTTGCGGCTCACTGTACGGACGATACAAATACGCACGTTCTTTCTCCTCTGCTTCCCTCTCTTCGTCTGGCCTACCGTCTACACCGGCCTCAAATATCTCGTCCTCGCTCTCGAATTCATCTTCAAATTCGTCTTCGAACTCCCCCGCTTCGTTTTGGTCGATTTCCATGGGTCGGTCGCCATTCTTGACAGCCTCCAGCTCTTTCTCGTCCGACTCTGCGGGTCTCTTGGCCATGTTGTGCAGTATTATGTTGTGACGTTGTGTGTAAAATCGAATTGCAACTTTTCTTGCCAAAAGTTTCGCGCTGCGGCGGGGAATTTTTGGCTGCTGGCCCGTGCCATCAAACCAGCCCAGCAGCGCAGGCCATCCCCCCACCGACGGCCTCGATTCGCCAGCCACACCCTTGTCAACGGAGACGCAGCAACAAGCAACAGGGCCCGAGGCGTCAACAGACGACACCTGGGCGATACACTGTTTCGCGATCGCCTGTTGGCATCCACAGTCCTGGCACCGGAATAGCATGCACCGTGGACTCGTCTACACGTTTCAACGCGCCGGCTGCTGATCCACCACCCACGTCAGGCGGGGCCGTCACAGCGCCTTGTAGCCGCATCTCACACATCCTTCTATTCGCCCACCTGAGACACTCCCGCGGCTCGAGTCAAGACACACAAGAGTCTCAGGCATGGAGATGCAGCAAGAGCCCGCGCCTGAAGAGGCCCAGGAGGCGCAGAAGCACATGGACCAGCCCATGGACGTTGACGACAGCAATAACACGACCATCACCGCCGCGACCGTCGCGCCGCTGCCCGACTTTCAGCAGAGCAACAATGGCTACAACAACGGCTACTCGAGCGATAACCACCACCGGCCGCAGACGTCGTACTCAGACACGGCGTACCAATATAGCGGTGGACCTGGTGGGGAGGGCTACCACTCGCGCTTCAACACGCCGTCAGACGCAGACACACCGCCACGGCAGGGCTACTACAACAGCGGCAAGGAGACACAGATGGGGCAGCCCAATTCAAGACCAACATCGCAATTGGGACGGTACTCGAACTCAGAGGGCAATGCAAGGTCGTACAGCCAGGACCAGGTCCAGCGGAGCTCGCAACAGGACGCGACTAAGAATCCCAGTGTGGTGATCAAGGTCGGCATGGTGGGCGACGCACAGATTGGCAAGACCAGTTTGATGGTCAAATATGTAGAGGGCAGCTGGGACGAGGACTACATCCAAACCCTAGGTTGGTTGCCCCGTGGCGTTCTGGAGAAGGCATTTACTGACTGAAGCAGGCGTCAACTTCATGGAGAAGACTATATCCATCAGAAACACAGAGATCACATTCTCGATTTGGGATCTCGGAGGTCAGCGCGAGTTCGTGAACATGCTACCGCTTGTCTGTAACGACGCTGTCGCGATACTTTTCATGTTCGATCTCACGCGAAAGAGCACGTTGAATTCGATCAAGGAATGGTATCGTCAAGGGCGAGGCTTTAACAAAACCGCCATACCATTCTTAGTTGGCACCAAGTACGATCATTTCGTCAACTTCCCTCGGGAGGAGCAGGAGGAGATTTCCAACCAGGTGAGCAATACATGCACTCCATTATGGCGTGGAATTAACACATTCAGGCAAAACGCTTCGCCAAAGCCATGAAGGCTAGTCTCATCTTCAGCAGCACCAGCCACAGCATAAACGTGCAGAAGGTACTGTTTACCATATCGAGTCTTTAATTGACAGCCGCTAACATTGTCGCAGATCTTTAAGATTGTCCTCTCCAAGGCATTCGACCTCAAGTGCACCATTCCCGAGATAGAAAACATTGGAGAGCCGCTCCTCCTCTACCAAGCCGTCTAATTACTTCGTCACTCTGACCTACAGGCGACGGATAGACTGAAAGGGGCGTTCCACCGTCCCACGTGCGATGTTACCAACGACGAATGGCTTTTCACGACTTTAGTTTGAGAAGGGAAGACAGGCAGGACTTGCATGGCTCGGCGATCGGAGCAATCTTGTTATTGGTATTGCGTGCATTTGCACAAACGGCGTTGTCAACCGGAGCGGCAAAACGCATGTTTTCTGTAGAGGCACTGGAATGCGTCTATGTTCTTTCCGTAATCACGAGGAGGTGTACGAAGCGCCCTTGATTGATCTTGTAAACAAGTATAGTGTAGTGTCTTCAAGCAAAGAGATTCGCAGAGCGACAGTATCCCTAGCGCGCGCTTCGGTTGGTCTGGTATTTCAAACGTGCTCAATTGATTCCTACACGCACGATGGACCTTCATAGAACGCTTGACGCGATGCTAAGGCCCCGGGGGTGCTATCATCACGTGGGAGCGCGAAGCCTCCAGGGAATGACGCAGGTGCAAAGATTGGCAGTTTTAGCCGAGCTAGCTCTCCCATGGTCAAAAAGTTCCAATCCCACCACCACACCAATTGACATGCGACGCATGACCGTATAGCTTTCTATCATATTGAACCACGCCTCCGTCGCGTCCATAGACTACCGAATCCTGAACGCCACCCACATCGTCCCAAACCAACCTTAAACGCACCCCAAACCCCCACCACAATGGCCCTCCCAACGCTCGCCCTCCCAGGCACCCTCCTCGGCCCAGCATCCAAATACGCACCCGGACCAGGAACACACATCCATGACTCCTCCGTCTATGCCTCAATAGCCGGCACCGTCGCCTCCAGTCCCTCCCTCAACCCCACTACTACAAGGCTCCCCCTCCTCTCAATATCCCGACCAGGCGAAGCAGGAGCCTCAGACAACGGAAACATCCTCCCCGAAGTAGACTCGCAAGTCCTCGCACGCGTAACCCGTCTCGGTGCGCGCTTCGCCTCCGCCGAAATCCTCGTTATTGCGCCGTCCGCCGCGACGTCCATATCTTCCGACGCGGCCGTCTGCAGCACACCGTTCGCCGCGCAGATACGCCGTGAGGATATTAGGGCTACGGAGAAGGATAAGGTCACTGTGCAGGATAGCTTTCGGGTCGGGGATCTGATTCGCGCGGTGGTGATTAGTCTGGGGGATCAGGGAGGGTATTACTTGAGCACTGCGAAGAATGAGTTGGGGGTTGTTGTGGCGCGGGGAGAGGGAGGAGAGGTGCTGGTACCGGTTAGTTGGAGGGAGGTTAAGGATCTGAGGACGGGGAGGGGGGAGGCGAGGAAGGTTGCGAAGCCTTTTTGAAGGAGGGAGGTGTGAAGAGAAGGGTAATAAGGCGAAGGGACGACGACCATGGAAGAGAAGCAACGAAGTCTGGCACAAAGATCCCCGGCGTGTGGGAAACGTGGATGCACGAGAGAAGCCTGCTAAAATATGATACCCATGCAATGAACTACAATCCGGATACCGAAAGATTGTTATCGTGCGGCTTCAAGTCCTGTCTTCCAGGCACCAGGCCTACCAACTCCATCAAGTCCGCAAAGTTACACCATCCACATCACTCCTTCACTTCCTTCTCAGATCGTCGCAGCAGCATCATCCTACCAGACCTTTCCTTCTCATCTCCTCCACAACCTTTTCAACTAGCTCCTCCGGTGTAGGTGGCATCTGAACCCGCGAACCATCCGCTTTGACATCATTCTTCTTTCCAGAGGCATCAACGTTGGGAGGCGTAGTCGGATAAGGGGGTGAAGCATCGCCTGGTGTAGGATTTGAAGGATCCGCTGTAGCATTGGCTGCGGCTGGAGTAGGAGGCTGACTCGGGGCGGACGATAACTTGGTATGCGGAGGAGGCGTGTCTTCGGACACAGGGTGTTCGGGTGTTGGCTCTGTAGACGCGTTCGCGGGACGGTAGTTTGTATAATGCTCTGATGCGGGTGTGTTACCTTTGTCTTCGGCAGATTCAGGAGCATTCTTCGAGGAATCCCCTACATCTGCATCTGGCACTGGCTCGGGGACGTTGTCTACTGCAGAGGCAGGAGCATCTTTCGAGATGTTCTCCTCATTCATACCGGGAGTCATCTGCAGAGTGGGTGCCGGAGACGGTGACGCAGCACGAATAGAGCCCACAGTTGGAGAGCTAGACCACTTGTCAGACTACATATTGCCTGTGAGCTGGATGACTCACTGATTACCAGCCGCTACGTCCACCTGAACTGATACAGCAGGCTGAGGCTGAGGCTGATGCTCAGGCTCCGGCTCCGTCTGCACCTCCTGGTCCCTCTTCTCTGGATTATACGGTTTTCCACCTTTGTTGCCGAAGACCGCCATGCCTAACAGCCCACCCATCCTCTTCTTCGGCTTCATCTTGTTCCACGCATCCACCGTGATGGTTTCCTCAGGCTTTCGACCTGTAGCACCCGCCAGGTAGAATAGGGATGCTGGGATGCGTTTCGGTTCTCGACTTTGGTTCCCGCCACCACGGAGATGGGGAATTTCGCTTGTAGGGTTCATGCAGGTGGCAAGGTTGTAGCCTTCGGGAAGGGGGTATCGTTCGCTGTGTGGAGCTTCTTCCGGGTGAGTCTCACAATCATGGTCCCATCCATACCAATGCTGGTCGAACCGAGCCTCCCTTCTCACAGGAAGCGAAAAGTAATCTTCTCCACCGCCTCTCATCCTCGGCTCTTTTGTTACGCCATTCACGAGTCCAACCCCATCTAGCGGCGTGGTCCCATGACTCCAATTGTCTTCCTCGCTTTCTCCCGTCCTGAAACTGTCCGGGCCATGTTGCTCATGCAAAGGACTCGGCACCCTAGGACTATAATCCTCTTGCCATGCCCTGTACACGGCGCTATGCCTCAACACGCTTTCCCAGCTCTCCGGCGCACTTGTACTCCTCCCCCATTCCCTCAACGGCCTCACCACCGTCCCCTCAGGCAGCGCCGGCACAAAAGGCGGCTGGTCCAGCCTGGGAACCAGCACTGGTCTAGCAACCGAATCCAGCCGAATAGCCTCTCGACGAAAAGGTGACATCACGCGTGCAGGGGAGGGGACCTCGCGCGGCGAAGGAGGAATATACTCGCCTGGTATGGTAGAATTTGAGTACAGCGCAGTGGAGGACGAATCTCTACGGCCGGGGTGGAAGGTGTAACCTATGACATCTATGGGATTGCTGCCGCGGGCTTGGTGTGAGAGGACGGGAGAGGGACGCCCTGAGCGGATGGCGGCTTGGTGGGTGGCGACTTCGTGGCGGTGGATGAAGGAGATATCGGGGGAGAGTTGGTGGAGATGGGGAGGCGGAGAGTGCGGACGGCTTGGACGGCTTGGGGTGGAGAGGACGACTTCTTTGAGGCGGGCTAACGTTGCTTCGCTGGAGGTTGATGGCCTGTGTCCCATGCGTTCGGGAGGTCGCTGTAAGAGGCTCCGGTTGCTTGAGGTTTGCAGGGACTTTCGCCATTGTGACTTGGGTACTGGGGAAGTGCGTGGTTGACTGTTACGGAGCTCTGAGGGAACTTCCTTGACAGGTCGATTAGGGACTTCGTCCACCTTGACATTACGCGCGGAACTTCTACGCCGCTGCGTCGTCGAACGAGCCTTGGATAACTGACTCGGACTCAAGTTAATGTGCGCACGATCGGTGCCTTGAAGACAGTCATCGCACGGTGTAGGTATTTGTCGTTTAGCGGACCATGGCCATGCTGAGCTCAAGCCGCAGAATGAGGTAGAAGCCTCAAATTTGTCAAAGGACTGCAACACTGCGGGGTCGTAAGGACACTTCTGCTTGACCTCAGCAGCCAATGATTCAGCCGATTTGCGTGTGCCTTCGATACGCAACTCCCAACGGATTGGGTGGAAGGTGATTGAGCTCGGATTTGGTGGTGCTGTATGAGGTCGATGGTTCTGTATCGGTGTAGATAACCTTCGGCCAAGTTGCGCAATGCGTAAGATCAGAGGCGCATTAGTCGTTGATTCTCCGCTCAAGGGTGATGAAAACTGCACCAAGGACTGCTCCCCTCGTGGGATTCGTCCTCGAGATATTCCTGCTTTGAGCGTTCTGCCGGAATGATCCCCACTGCATAGGTGATGACACTCTCTGCCGGATTCGTTGAATCCATGAGGTGCGCCTAGGAGCGGGTTGTTGGACATCTGGTGAAGGTGTCCGATGAGAACCTTTGCTGTTTCGAGAGGTCATGCCTCATGCAACCGCGCGATATGAAATGGAGTACGTGATGCAAAGGATGAAAATTACGACTGAGGATGTTGTGGACCAAAGCATTGAAAGGTCAGACGCTGATCGAGAAAGAAAAAGGCTGCACAAGGAGCGTACCGTCAGGGTTCTGAAAGGCCATAGTATATGGTTACCCATATAGATAGCTGTAGAAGCATCTTAAATCTTAAGTCTGCAATATGACAAGTGAAGTGCGATATCAACGTGACGTGGTAGATTTGCGAACGATGAACAGCGAACGAAGTAGTGCTAGCTAGAAGCAAGATCTCGTTGTACAAACCGAGAAACAATCGACGAACATACCAGCAATCGGAACAATGTATATGTGCGTAGGCAGTACGCCGTGGTCCAGAAACACGCAGCGAGTGATAAAGGCTCTTGACCTGGCGCATAAGACGTTTGTTGAAGGCGCAAGATGGAACTTCTCGTTGAACACGGTGGACGCTGAAAACGGTGGAAAATGATGTTGGCAGTGCTTATGTGGGAAGTGATGCGAGTCGACATATGTGAAGTGCGTCCTGCAGTAACTTGATGCACGATGCCGCGCTAGAAGATGCTGCCGTCTACTGCGCTCTCCTGCAAAGACATCTTCGGATCGACACACATCTGAGTGCTCAACCTCGACAGCTATATGTCGAGCCACAGCCCATACTCCTCTTCCGCATGTCTCATCCCAACGTGTGATTTGGGCATATAAGCCCACTCGTCATCTCGTTCGCCCCGGTAGTCGTCAGCGTCTTGTGAGCGCTTCGGTCTTTGCAACGGTGTCCACGCTAGTGCTCGAGAGCCGCATGATGCTTCAGAGGCGCCGTGATCGGTGAAGCTGCTGCGAAGCCGTCCTAAAACAGCGGGCTTCCCATAGATTGCAATCTTCGCGCCTTCGGAATACCAGCCTTGTTCGACCCCGCACTCGAGACAGAACCTGGAACGCGCATTCGATGCGCTACGAGCGCGTGCACCTTTTCTCATATCGTCAGCGAATTGATGCAGGCCGCGGAAACGAATGCAGCCTCTGCAAGTGTAGAGCTGCTTCAATATGGCCCACTCGCTTGCTTCGGCTCTGAGAAAATCAGACTGGGTTGGAGCTGGCAACGTAAACCGGAGATACCGATTCGTCATGGCGAGTCGAGCTTTGTCTTGGATGTCCAGGTAGTCCGTGACGTTTCGAAGCATCTCCACGGGTAGTCGCAAGAGTGGTGTGGAAGCCATCGTTGAACGGGCGAGCTTGCGATGCTATGATGTGAAGTGATCTCAGCAAAGTCTGTATTTATTCCCAAGTCTCTACGTGGGTGGCCTGTCAGGAGATCAGGCAAGTGGTATGGTGCGCGAAAGCACGGCAAGCGCGGATCACAACTGAACGCCTTTACTAGGACCGAAGCGTTCTGCAGGGCATCATCTTGGGTTCGACACAATATCGAGCAGCGTAATGGAGGATGTATCTGGACGCCCTCGGAAGAAGCGCTGATGTACAGCGGTGGAGTGATCTTGGACTGGTGGGATTTTCTCTGCGAGAATGCGCGACAGTGTGACACAGCACCTTCTCGCAACCAGTCGTTGAGCTGAAACTTTAGTTTGATCAGCAGAGAAAGTATAGTTGGCCCTTGTGCTCCTCAACACAAGTTTGCTTCCCTTTTCCGCTACGAATGTAGGACGCAATCGTACGCTATACTAGGGCTGCGGGAAAAGCTTGAGGACAATTTACATCCTAGAAACACATGTCCTTGCTGACATGTTCGAACTTTCTTCATCTGATCGTTGGTGGCATCGAATTAACGATGCTCAGAAACCTAAGCTACAACGTCTTCTCCTTCTTCAGATCGTTTAGCACCATGTAGCGGGAGACTGTGATCCAACCCCACCGGAACCATCTCATTTGGCTCTCATGCGCGGTAGCCATAGCTTTTTGTGCGGTCCTGTACCCGACCGGTGAACTAGCGAACACTAGAGGGGTCGGAAAGCCACCAAGCTCCTTTTTCCGGATCACGGCGCCAACCATTGTAGCTGGAGCATCCAATATGGCAAGATATTTCCGCAAAATAGATGTCGTGCTCAAAGTATAAAGCTTTATCGGGCAATCCCAGCCACTGTGACGGTGCATGAGTGCTTTCAGGAACGCGTGCGCGCCATTGTACAGCGATATGTGGTTGGGATGCGAGGAGATACCATGAGCATCAAATGTGATGATAGCGTCAATGTTGGCCTGTGGAGCTTGCTTTGAAGAGATAGAGGCCATCTTGGGGGCAAATGTTGTGGTTAAAAGATTCGAAATCAAGCGTGGATGCCATGTCACTGTCATGGAATCTGGGAAGTTGCTGCACATCGTTAGTGAAGAGCGGACAGGGCGACAAGGGAAGACAAACGTGTCTTCTATGACAAGTATATCGTCTGCTGAGCGTAATCCGAGCTGCAAACCGCTCTTGACAAGCTCCTTCTTTCTGACCTCGCCCAGCCCATCGGCATCACCTGCAGGCGACTTGTCAGTTGGTGGTCACAAAAGAGCGTTGCTGACTCGTACCACTGCTGAGACACAGGATTTTCACGTGGTTACCAAGCTCCGGACGCGTCAATGCCAATAGCGTAGGTGCGAAGAACATGGCTTCATCATCCGGATGGGCAATCAGGAGTAGGATCCGTTTGCCTTGTAACGTTGGAAACGACCGGGCAAGCTGTGAAGTGTAGAGCCACATGCCGAATATGAAGATGGGTACGACGGCCCAGGTAATCCAATTCATCTTGTCAGCAACCCCTTATGAGGCACAATCAAGCGAGAATAGCAGCTTGAGAATTGTGAGGGATGTTGGTGGTGGGAAAGGAGCGATGATGCACTTTGGGAAGCTTGGACCCTGACCCGAACTTTTGGCCGCAGAGCCGCACCTTCCTTTCCATCTCTCCCCGCACAGCTCTCACGCGACACAGCCAGCGCCATGGGAGGCAACCGTAAAGAGCGGCGCGCAGCCGGCAAAGGTACAAATCGCAACGCCACGACCACAGGGTCCGCCTTCCAGCCGTCGAACGAGATCGATGAAGATGGCATCAACATGATCCTCCAGCACCCCGACCGCTCCGGCCCCAAGGGAAAGACGCTATTCGAGCTCGCCGAGGAACGCCAACGTGAGCTAGACATAGCGAATGGAAAGAAGCCGCGGTGGAACATTGATAAGGACAACACGCCTGCGGGCGAGCGCCCGTTCAACGACGAAGAACCTCTGGGTCCCTTGGCAGAAGGGGTTCTATACTCGCTCAGCATGGCCGTCATGCACCTCACGGTCGACATTCTCGTGTACAGCCAGTATCGCGAAGACGTCATCTGGAGTGAGATTTTCAAGCGTGCAGGAACTGCCTTACCAATCTTCTTCCTCCTCGTCTACCTGACCCACGTCGAGTTCTCCAACCGCTTCCCGCTTTTACGCAATCTCGCCTTCTTCGTCGGAGCGATAGCTGCAGGGTGCTATCTCGTACGCTCGGGGAACAAGCATGGATACTTCTTCGTCATGAAGACGGCACCTCCGATTGCTACACTGTGGGTGTGGAGCACCATCGAGATGGACATCATATACTCTGCTCTCAGCGCTGCGGTTGTGCTGGGTTACTCTTGGTGGAATGGCTTCAGTTTCTTCTAATGAGCCACTGCTTATCAAATACTGTCAGGCTCGTGCAGTACGGCCACATCCGATCTACCGACAAGCCTTAGACCACAACATGCGTCTGCTTCTAACTTGACCTCACGCTCGACGTCTTTCCTTCGGGATAGCTGCACGCCCGCAGATTCAACGACCCGTCCGGCCTGCTCCCGGTGTTAGGCCAATGATTCCGCAGGCCCTTACATGCCCCGCCGTCGTCTGCGGTAGAAAATGCGCAGTATACCGCTCGGACACGACCGGCCCCGTCTCTACGCCGTCCAAAATAGTAGTCCGACAAGTATAGACCATGCGTGATAGTGCTCGAGATCAACCCAAACCTCTTTGCGTCGGAACATCTCGTTGATAGGACCAGGTACTCAAAATGGAGTTATCGAAGTCAGCTTGTGCTGCGCTCGTGATTGATTCGTCTCTCCAGTGCTTGCGGGAGAAGCCGGTGGCTTTTGTCTTCTGGGCGAGTCACTGCGTCTCTACATTGATCGCTTCTAGTGGCCGAGCTACGCCGACGATGGGAACGCTTGTGACTAATGCTTCTTGCATCTTTCGCTCGTGTTCATGACGCTGAGATGGGGTATTGTAATGTAGGAGCGAGATCAGAAGCGAGTACATGAAGAGGTCCTTGAGGCTGGACACAGGCGCCTGTGATGCCATAACCCGGCTCCACCGGACGCCGGCTGTTTGGGAAGGCAGTGCAAAAGAAGGACATGTATACCTAGATCGGATGTGAAGTTGTGTGAGCAGGCTGTGGTGGAAGTGAGCGCGTGAACTCCTCCAGATGAATACCTGCATCGAGCACAGAAGGAAAAGCGCGATGCGAGCCCTTTTTCGTATTTCAAGACATTATGGTATCGGTTCATGCAAATTGCTATATTCGGCATTTCTATGTCGTACAATGTCGTGATATCGAATGATCGTGTTGCTTACTGGCACAAGCATCCTTGCCTGGACCACAGACTTCTCGCGTCAGCACAGCTATGTGCCCAGAGAGGCTACAGCCGCCGGTAGCTAAGAAGCATCTCACGAAAGGGGAGTTCAAATCAGCATACTTTTGCTGTTCTAGGACACAGACTTAGCAGTGTCCTGATAACGACCAAGCATATTTACAATCGCGACAGGAATACTCAAGAAACAATCACGTACACTCCACCCACACAGGAGGCCATGTTTCGAATTGTACACTACTATAACGATTCGTTGCTGTTTCAAAAACAATGAAGCAGAGCACATCTGCGATTATATTCGTTACGGTGATAGCGCAAAAGGTGCCCAGCAGGGTTAAAGCTGTGAGAGTGTCGTGTAATAATCAATAACGGTGATGATTTGTTTTCAAGAGAGATCGTTACTGATGCTGCACTTGCTTAGAAGCTGTTGGGCGGTCAAGGGCCAGCAGATGGATTCCACGAGGGCATATGCCGTCAACAACGTACACACTTCAATGCAATGCAGCAAGATTAAGACAATTGCTATTACATCGACTCTTGAAGGGGTCGATGTGAACATGAAAGGTTGAGGTAGACTATGCGTTAATATTTCTTCTCATGCTTTTGATGTTGTAGAAGGTAGGGTGGGACACGACTTCCCCGCCTTCCCTTCAGATGGAAAACCCGCCCTTCCTATCAACCCTCTTTGTCCATCGTAGGCACCCCCTTCTCTACCATGTCCACCCCTATCGCAGCAGCATCCATCGTCGGTTTGGGCTTTCGTGGCCTGCAGGAATCATCGTGATGATTCGCGGCTGCTCTGAGATGGCCGCAGCTCGGGACTCTCCTTTCCAGAACGCGAGATCCGCGCCCACGATGTCAACGGCTCGATCGTATCAAACAGCTTCGGTGCGATATATTTGGCTAACGGCCCCACACTATCGACTGGCTGCTGGGCGCAGTCGGATGCAGCCGCGTTGGTCCCCACATGTTCGAAGGTTGCATGTAATCAGGAACCACCATCCCACCTCAGCACGAATCGCCGCCATGGCCCGAAGACGTCGTGACATCACCAATACGGCGCGCAATCAGCTCCATATCCACACAGGGACGTCTGCCTTATACGGGCGTATTACGCCTAATCCTACCAAAGGGTGCCTGTCCTCAGTGTTTGAGCGTATGGCGCATCCTATTGGTGCGGGGCCGTTCTTGTGGTGTTGGGGCTGAGGATGGATGAGCCATTGTCCAAAAATGGCACCGAAGTATAACGGGCTACGCTAGTCTCGCTGATATACTTACATCTCCTTGCATGAGTATTTATCGCCGTTGCAGAATCTGTTCTTTATTCGGGCACCTGTCACCATTCACAATTACTCGCGGCATAGAAAGCGATTATACAACCTACGCCAATGCATTCCGACGAAATACAAGCATTGCTGAAGGTCAAAGCAACCCCGAGGGTGCACGAAGATGAACAGGAGACTAGGTTCAACGGCAAGCCGCAGAGCAAGCGGTGCTCCACATGGCTACTTGTCTGCGATTGTATCTTGCTTGGGTACTTCTGCTTCTATTGGAATGGTCTCCCATCACTGAGGCTCGGTGCTACCTTCAACTCTTCGATCGAAGGAAGTGACCCTCTACGATTCAACTATACGTGCGTGCCATCGCAAGCATGTTGGCCAACGACGAACCAATGGGCTGACTTCAACCGGACGATCAACGGACATCTCAAGCTTACAGTTCCTTGGGCAGCGCCATGCTACGCTGGCTCTGATGGATGCCAACAAGTCACGACCAACTACATGAATAGTTCTGCGAGAACTTCTCAGTATGGCGCAATGGAATTCCTCGACTGGGAATCATGCGGCCTATCCAGCTGTATGCTCAACTCATTTTCACCATCCGCTCCTGTAGACGGCACCTGCTCACTTGGACGTCTTTCGACGTACCACGTAGAAGCGCATACGGCGAATGACGTCCAGAAGACACTGAACTTTGTTCGAGCCCATGACATCCGCCTGTCCATCAAGAACTCGGGCCACGACTATTTCGGCCGAAGCAATGCAGCCAACTCCCTTGCAATATGGACTCGGAACATGAAGAATGCCCGATATCACAAGACGTTCCAGGCGACAGGCTGTCAGTCCACTCTTGAGAATGTTGGGGAGATAGGAGCGGGGATCTCAGCGCAAGAGGCATGGGAGTTTTTCGAACCTCTCGGAATGCTTGTCACTGTCGGCGCTACCGGCTCTGTCGGCGTTGCCGGTGGTTATGGTCAAGGAGGAGGACATGGGCCGCTCGGCCCAATGTATGGATTGATGGTCGACAACGCGATTGAGTTCGATGTCATCACCGCAGACGGTCGAGCACGCACAATCAACGCTTGTAGTCCTGCCGAAGATGCCGAACTCTTCTGGGCAATGCGAGGAGGTGGAGGTGGCACGTTCGCAGTCATGATATCCTACAAGTTCCAGCTTCATCCGGCGGTACCGCTCAATGTGTACAGCTTCCAGGCTAGCTTCCCGGTTCCAGAGGGACAGCTCGACATTACTGAGTCGGTCGTGCACCGCGACGTAATCAGAGCATTAGCTTCGAATCAAGCGCTATTTGCGTCTCACGGGATGGCAGGCTACAACTTTGTGCTGCCGGATCATATGGTCTCTCTGCAAATCCTTCCCTCCACGAACACTGAGCTCATCAAGAACATAACGTCATCCTACAACAAGTTCCTTAGCCGGTATCCTGGTCTCAACATCACCGAGAACGCGTACTACACATTTCACAAGTTCTCTGAGTGGTATGCGTTTGCGCAGACTCCCTCAATCGCCCGTAATGGGCCTGTGGGCGTAGGTATATCTGAGTCAGGTCGATTCCTGCCCAAGAGGCTCTTCTCTAGACCACAAGCGGTCGAGAAACTCGTAGATGCCGTTGTAACTGCCATGCAAATTTCCTTCACCAACGGAGGCGGCGGAGCTGCGCAGCTTTACGCTACCGGGCCGTTCAGTCAGCCCGTCAACAGTGGGACAGGCGTGAATCCTGCCTTTCGCGATGCGTTGTGGGAGGTTATTATGGGAGGGATTTGGACGAGTAACACACCAGAATCAGTACGTCGCCAAATTCGCAACACCATCTCCACGTCTATTGGGCCGTTCAAGGCTCTAACTCCGGGTGGTGGCTGCTACATGAATGAGGGTGATTGGACAGAAGAAAATTGGCAGCAGACATTCTTCGGCAGCAACTACGATAGGCTACTGGAAGTGAAGAGGTTATTTGACCCGAGCGGTCTATTCAACTGCTGGAAGTGTATTGGTTGGTCTGGTTACGATGAGTGAGTCTGACAGCATCCGGTGGCACATTCTGGAATTGACTAACTCGGAGCAGCCCTATGTATTCGTGCTACTCACAGAGCCGTACACATCCAAACCCTACGATACCCCTTGGGCCAGTGAGTTGAGGAAGATTGACCACACGTTTGGTGTCGGCTGCCCATTGCTCGCAATGGGCTCACTGCTAATTTTTGCTCTTTGCAACCTTTCGGCTCGATCTTAGATGCATTCATAAGAACTGCTCTTTCAAATCCGTCTATCTCTGACCGTCTTGTCACACACAGAATCCTGTTCATTCGCCATTGTACTGATTTCCTTGGTCGTTTGGAGGCGCGTAGCACACGAAGAGACCTTGTTCATCAGCTCCTGCGCTCAACCCAGATGAGCATGTCCAGATAGGCCTTGAACAGTCAGTCGCCTGGATACCTACAGATTTGTGTGCGTGTAGGTAACCATGCGCAACTCAATATGTTACTCACAAAGCAAGCTGGGCGGCATAGTCGAACGGTACTGGCCAATCAGAGCGCGGCACGGGAGATTGCGACGGGGGCGGGCCAACGGGCAGCGCTGAATCGCACGTTTGCCTTGGTGACGGTGAACAATTCAAGATTGAGGCGACGGCCGGTGAATGGACGAAATTGCGACAGAGTTATCTTCGCCGCGTTTGACCCAGCAACGCAAGTTCGTAACCCTCAACACCAACAACCAGCGACCACGACTTCTCAACGCCATCGACGTCAAATTTCCGCTTCGGTCTGACTAGCTGTGCCACAGGGGTCAATCTGCGACAGATAAGCGACTCCGGTCAAAAGGTATACAATTACCCCGTCCCTCCACTAGCACCTTTCCCTCTTCCCGCTGCCTTCAACCTCTCTTCTCCTAACCCTAGTCACTCCTTTGGATCGCATATCGACGGCATGGAAATCAACATGTTGAGCCGGCTCATGCTCGTCTTTGCGCTGGCGCTGGGCGTCGCGGCCAGCTTCCCCCGGCACCATAGGCACGCTCATCATCCACGCGCTGCGGCCAATACTTGCGCAGTCATGGTCACAGAGACGGTCTACGTGACAGCAACTGCCCCGCTCGGCGAGAGTACGTCTTCAACCGCGGATCTTCCCAGCTTTGTCCTCAATTCGTCTCCGGTTCTTCCTTCGTCCTCGGTCGTTGCGCCGCCTCCGTCCTCAAGCACTGCTTACGTCGCGCCCGTGCCGCTTTCCTCTGCGCCGCCAACATCCTCAAGCGCTGCCTATGTCGCGCCCGTGCCGCTTTCCTCTGCGCCTCCAGCATCTTCAAGCGCTGCTTATGACGCACCCGTGCCGGTCCCCTCTGCGCCGCCAGCCAATGGAGCCACTTTCACCAGCGCGAGCAAACCGCAGCCAACCGCCGACTCTTCACTGCTGTGCCCGCACGTCATGGACCAGGCGAAAGCCGCTGGAGAACCCATTCCACCTATGCCCGTGGGTGCCGACAGAGATCCCAGCGTCGTCACCTACAATGCATTGCCAACGCTGGCCGCGGCGCTCTGTGAAGCTCCGTCCAACTTCCACAAGCTTACGACAACACCAAACCAAGGCTCGATCAAGAATTCCTGCGACTACGAAGTGTACGTGGATTCCATGGGCTGTGGTAAAGGCGCACAACATCAACTTATCCCTGCCGGCCAAACTTGGAGCGAGCCATTGCGGTCCTGCCCTCCTGAGGAAGGTACTGTCGTCTATAAAGTCACAAAGGCAGACGAACCTGCGAAGCCTGTTCAATTCGAAGTTGGCCTAAGCGTCAACCCCGGTCAGGAGAATTCAGTGTGGTACGACATCAGCTTCCTCGATTGCATGCAACCTAACACCACCGATCTGAGCGCATGCCCGGGCTGGGAAGGCGGAGTGCAATGCATCCCTGGAAAACAAGGCTGCCAAGTGTTCGTCTGCGGCCCTGGCGAGTATTGCGATGGTAGTACATACACCGTCCCTGAATTCGGCATCATCGTGGCTGGACAGTACAAGAACGACGATTGGAGGGTAAAGGCGGGATCTCCTGTTTGTTCATGCGACACCAGGCAGGAGGGAATTGCATTCGAGCTTTGTGCCGCGAACTAGGAAACTTATGTTTCTCTCTCCGCCGCTGACCAGGCGTCTTTGGATTCACTCTATACCGCCAAAGGAGCGGTTTTTTGTTTCATGATCATGGTTTTCGGAATTGTTGAAGGGACTCTGCAGGGGCAGTGTGTTCCCAAAGCTCTTCGGTTTTGCTTGTATCTCGATGGGCTTCTTTTCTTGCATACTAGATCGACGATGGCCCGCACGAAAAGTGCTGGCTGATCTCGGTGTACATTCGGTCGATGACTGAACGATGAATATACCCAGTTCCTTGTTAACCTGAAAGATTGAAACGTGATGCAAAGTCGAGTGTGTTACCTTGACGGCGTGTGATGGGCAGCTCAGCTAGTTTGCTGTCTTGAAGGGTACGTCCATCACGGTGCAATTAACGAAATCCCTGTGGCTGCCGAGATGCTCAAAGAATCGAACGTCGGGGAAGTTATCGCGCGCCAGCACTAGAAAGCAAATCACCGGTCCCGATGCTCACATGTTCGGTTCTGAACTCGTTGTCGCTCATATATGTAGCGTCGAAGCCGCTAAAAGCAATGTTACAAGAATGACTCTGTTCATATAGTCGCCGAATGGAGGCTAGCTTATTTACCGCGGCAGTTGGAATCTCACAAATCTCACAAACCACGTGTGACTAGGATTCACACTACAAGATCGAACGCCTCGTACGTAAGGTCTTGAGCACGTGGTTGGTCCTTTTGCTCGAATGTCCAATTCGAGATGTTCGACCGCTGGCGCAGTAGTGGGAAAATGCCTCAAGCCTTCACAAAATGCCTCACGCTAACGTCACAAAGCCACTCCACGCGCTTTCGTGAACGCGGGACAAGAAAAGATGCGCTTGCCAAGTTCTTTGCTCTCGTCATTTCCGCATGGTACAAGGAGGCTGTGTACTTCCTTGGGCATTTGTTAAATCCATTCCTCGCTACCAGAGGTCAATGATCTGTTACACCACCTGCTTCGCTTGTTGAGACAATACATCATTTATCCAGCAACATCCTATTCGTTCCACTTGCACGAATTTCGAGCAACCGGCGGACCGTATACGACAATGTGGAGACCTCCTCTCAATTTCATTACTCTGCACTGTCAGTATTGCCAACAACAAAATTCCTGCATACTAACGTATGTGTCAATAGATGCATACATCTTGTGTATGGGCATCCTGGGGCTCATCACGTTGTATCCATACGGGAACTTAAGTGCCGTTGATGCCTACTTCTTCGGCGTCAGCGCTACTACCGAGTCTGGGCTGAATCCGTGCGCGACCCCCCGACGTAGTGCTCGTAACAGTATCTGACAGGTGCATAGAGTGGATGTCAAAGCTTTGAAAATCTATCAACAGCTCATCGTCTACTTCCTGCCCATTATCACCAACTTAGGCTTCATCAACATTGTTGTCGTTATCGTTCGTCTACGTTGGTTCCAGAAACGGCTTGACAGCATTGGTAAGATCAGACTTGATTGTGTGCCTTTGATAATGAAGACAGTCGTTGACAGTCTTAGCTCCGACACTGCTCCGTTCGGGTCTCACGAAGCAGAATATTCACGGGTCTAAGGACCTGGAAGCTAATCTAGCCCAATTGAATGACAATTCAAGAGCTGATTCAAACGCCAATCCGCCGATTGTTAGGGAGGACACCCAGGGCGCTCTTGCAGTCAACACGATCCGAGCGTAAGTCCGTTGATGGATGCTCTGACATTGCATTGACGTCACACTGACTTGTTTCCAGAGACACAGACAACACCGATTCTAGCGGCGTCAACGATCATCCTAAGCAAGACGATCAATCGAAGCACATCTCATTCGCCACGGCTCCAGCTCGCACGGATGCCAAAGCATTATACATCCCCTCACCGAGGGAGATTGAGCAAGGTCAACGTAACACGCAAGGACACTATTCGATTATGCTGAGAAGTTGTAGGTCAACACGTCCGGGAACTGAATGACGATTACAACAATGATGGTAAGCATATACCTGGGATGTGGTATTACTCGCTCACACTGCGTCAGATGATGATGAGATAATGAAAGTCGCAAGCCAGCATGACGAAACCAGCGGCATGAGGCTGCGAAAGCTGCGAACTGGCAACCTCCCTGAAGCTACATCAGTGGAACGTGTGGCATCCTCGATGTTTGTCCTTGGAGCCACCCCTAATGCTGGTCGATCAAAATCTAGAAGATCTTCGGTGTCACTCCAATTGGACCTGCCCGCTCTTTCATCGCATGCCACTGTCGGCAGGAACTCTTCATTCCGAGGGCTGACGAAAGACGATCGTGATGTACTCGGTGGGCTTGAGTATCGAGCACTTAAGCTACTGCTCAAGATTGTGATTGGTATTTATGTTTGCTACGCGAGGCCTTTCAGAAACTTACACGAAACCAGGCTATTTTTTTGGGCTGCATTTGTTCGGTGCTGTTGTTCTGGTTGGGTGGATTCACACTTGTAATCCGAAATACCGTGATTATCTTACGTCCCAAGGCCAGGACTTTACTTGGTGGTATGCCCGGCCAATATCCGTTATCTCAACCATTTACTTATTTCTCTAGGGGTTTCTATTCGGCCCAGACAATGGTTGATAACCTCGGCTTGACGCTTACCCCTGATTCCATGGTCACCTTCCAAGACGCGCAATGGCCTATGATATTCCTGAGCTTCTTAGCCTTCGCTGGGAACACGTGTTACCCCTGTCTATTACGCTTCGTCATCTGGGTCATGTACAAACTTACCCCGCAAGAGTCTGCGATGAAGGCATCGCTTCAGTTCCTGCTCAGGCACCCACGCCGATGCTACACGCTGCTCTTCCCTAGTCGTCCTACCTGGATTCTATTCGGTATACTCTTCGCCCTAAACTTCATCGACGTCCTTCTCATCATCGTCCTGGATCTTCACAACCCCGTTGTGAGCAGCCTCCCAGCAGGCCCTAGAGTAGCGGCCGCTATCTTCCAGGCAGCCTCCTCGAGACATACCGGAACAGCTTCTTTCAACCTTGCAGATGTGCACCCAGCTGTGCAGTTCAGCTTGTTAGTGATGATGTACATCTCGATATACCCAATCGCCATTGCAGTCCGGGCATCAAACACATACGAAGAGAAAGCCTTGGGTGTGTACTCCGCCGATCCTGATCCGGATGAGGAAAACGGTGCTTCGTACGTCATGAGACACGTCCAGAACCAACTCAGCTTCGACCTGTGGTACATCTTCCTCGGAGTCTTCTGCATCACCATCGCGGAAGCGGGCAAAATAACCGACGACAAGGATCCCGCTTTTGCAATGTTCCCCATCTTCTTCGAGGTCGTGTCTGCTTAGTATGTTAAAGTCACCAACTTTCCATTGCGATATCGCATGACTGATTATATGTGTAGTGGCAACGTCGGGCTTTCGCTTGGTCACCCTTCGAATCTTACTTCGCTTTCTGGCCACTTTACTACCTTTAGTAAGCTCGTCATATGCGCTATGATGTTCAGAGGCAGGCACCGCGGGTTGCCATACCAGATCGACCGTGCTATCATGTTGCCCAGCGAGCGGGACGGTGAGACTGGTGGCGTCCAGGATGCTGTCGGAACCACCAGTATCGTGCAGGGAAAGGCGGAATAACAAGTTCAACCATGCAGACTCCGCCCTGCGTAGCACGAATCATCCAGAAGTCGTTTTTAAAGAATATGGAGCAGAACCCAAGACTATGTATCCGTAAAATGTGAATTTTTGTCGTTCACAACGTTCTCAACATATATCTTCTATCTGTCTCTTCATTATTGTTTATTTCTCCACGACCGCAATCCACTGACTCGCCTTCATACTAACATACCCCCCTTCTACCGTCGTCCCCGACTGCTCCTTAAGCACCTCAGCCAACCGATCAACCTCCTCATCCCACCTCTCCGCATCCACCTCATGCCACCCGCCAATCCCCGCAAGATACGCCCACGTCTTCTCCGCCCAAGCCCTAAACTCCCCCTCAGGAATAACACTCTCCACCTCCTGGCTCTCAAGCCTCAGCTTCTCCTCCCTGAACCCAGCGTCCAGTATCACCTTCTTCAGCTGCTGCCCGTCCGTCCAGTTAACCGGCGGCGCAGGAAAGGGTATCTCGCCGCGGAACTGCTTGTGCACGAGCATGATGGGCAGCATCCACGTGATGGACTTCCAGCAGTTGAGCACCGCGGTGCCGCCTGGCTTGAGCGTGCGGTACACTTCCTTTACGCCGTCGAGTCCTGCGCCTGTCCAGAAGATGACGCCGATGTTAGTAATATCATAGTCGAAGAAGTCGTTTTCAAAATTCGTCTTCTCCGAGCGCTGGTTTGACGTCTCGACGGGCCAGGAATTCTTCACTGCGTCTTCAGAGAGTACATCAAGGAAAGGCTGATCGATGTCCGTGGCGTAGATCTTGACGTCGGGCTGTTGTTCTAGGATGAGGCGCGAGACGGTGCCGGAGCCGGCGCAGTTGTCGTGGATGACTGAGCCTGCTTTTATGGCGGGGAGGAGGGAGAGGTTGTGCTGGGCGAATTTCCGGGTCGTCTTGCCGCCTGTGGATTCGTAGGTTGTGACTTTTGCGGTGCCGCTCATCAGAGCTTCGGCTTGTTTTGGGAGGACTTTTTGGATGAGTGCGTGGGACATGCTGTGTTGATTCTTGGATGGTGAGGACGAAGTGTGTGTAGTGATACTATCGAGTTTGTGGCTCAGTTGATGGATGTGTTTAGCTGCTTTGGAGAAAGAGGCCACGGATTAGTATAACTGTAGTGCTTTGCGGCACGGCGAGCCGTCAGCATCTTATACCTCAGGTTCTCAGCCGGGGCTGCTTAGCGCTGACAGGCGTATAGACATGCAACGTATGTTAGCGGAAGGTGTTCCGCACTAGCTGGGCAGGAGCCACCGTACTAGCCTACTATATATAGGCGGCTTCTGCCACCCTAGTAATCTATTACTCTTTTACCCACTTTATTTAGTAGGTTATAAGCCTAGTGCCTATACTAGCTACTACGTAGAATAATTAATACTTCTATTCTATTCTATATAAGCTTTATAGCTATATATACTACTATAATTATAACTACTAGTAGTTTTACTATATACTACTATAGATTTTATTACTTAGCTACTATTTTATTACTAACTAATACCTATAGTAATACCTATTAATTACTATATTCTTAGTATAGTAGAGTATATTAGATAAAGTAAATATCTATTCTAATAGGGAATTATATAGAGTAGAGTAGTAAAATAAAAGGCTAATAAGCTTTTAAAGTTTATTAAGGGTAAAAAAAGAAATAATAATAATTAATATAGTAAAAATAGAACCTAGAATAGCTATATAATTAAAACCTCTACCTAATAACCTCTTAGTGTATAATTATACTACTATAGTAGGTTTTATAAAAGAATAATTTAAGCTAGCTAGCTAGCTACTAGTTTTATTTTATTTAATATTTATAAAATTTTTACTTTTTTATAAATTTTATAGAGACCTACTATATCTATATATTAGTAGTAGTATTACGGCTGCTATACCGTAATAGAATTATAGGACTTACGTTAATAATAGTAGTAACTAATTATTACGAACTAGATAATAGTGGGGAAGTTCAGGCGCTTATAAAGGTAGAAGATATAATAACTAGGATTATAATAAGATAAGAACGCGCTAAGTCGCTTAGATAGTAGTTATATAACTTACTTAGCTATTTAGGGTTCCTAAATAACTAAGTAGCTAAGAGTTATTACGTAACCTACTTAGTTATTTAGGGCTCCTAAGTAACTAAGTAAGATCCCTATATAAGAATATAAGAATAAACCTTTATACTTATATTTAACCTAAGTTTTAATCTATTATTTAGATTTACTTAGGCCTCCCTTATTAACTTATTACACTTCGCAAGATACTTCTATATTAATAAGAACCCCTTCTTCCTCCCCTTAGTAAGTCTTGCCCGAGAACTAACCTTAACCTATTTAGGACTAGCTACCCTTTCTAGATTTAACACCTTTCTCCTTTTTTTAGTAAGTCTTACCTAAGAACTAACCTTAATCTATTTAGAATTAGCTACTCTTTCTAGATTTATTAAATTAATACTTTATAGAGGTAGAGACTATTAGAAAGGCTATAGATATAACTAAGGCTCTAGCTACTTAGTAGTATAGATCTACTATATTAAGTACTATAGAGAGAGTTATAGTAGTTACTATAGTAGTAGCACTTAAATCTATATATACTTAGTAGTAATTATAGAGACTATTAGTGGAGATATTATATATTCTATAGAGGTGTCGCGTTCTGCCAAGGTGGCTGGAAACCCTAGGTGGCCGGCATCTATATGCGCTAGCTTACTCTTTTACCCACTTTGTTTAGCAACGTACAGACATACGGCTACGCGTGCTGGCATCGTGGACCTAATGCCCGACGATCCACCAGCCTCAGACCATCGGTGCGGCTCTTCGGAGCTTCAGCGAAGTCTCGCATATTGGGAGATCCTTGCGCCGCATCAACAGCCACGCCGACCGACCCCGCCGAGTGTGGGGGCGGGCCATATCCGTGCCTCACCATCATGTCCGAGGGCTCCTGCGCCATCTCCGCCGCCAGCGACGGCTCGTCTCGCGCGAATGAACCGGTCTACGATTTTGGACAATGCTCAACTCTAGATCGAGCCGGGACACGTTCAGACATTGAAAGTGAAATGAGCCTGTATTCCTAAAGAGCAGACTATGTAAGCTCAACTATCGAGTGGTAGGCACACCGTGTGTAATTTAGAGATTAGGGAGGCAAGCGGCGCTACTCATACACCTATCCCAATGCGGTAAGAACGTCTCAGTCAATGACTGGTGACGCTCTTCAAACTCTTCTATTCAAATCGTCCGCATCAGTAATCGGACTATAATTATCCCCGCTCGGATGCTGGATATCTAGACTTTCACTCTCCCTACCATAGGTCGGGCTCTGCTCGTCGTGCTCCGTCGAAACTCGCTCGACCGCATTTGATTTCAGTATTGCAAGCTCCCCTCCTAACGAATCTTGAGGTCGCAGTCGTGTATGCATCGGATCCGATATGTCCAGTATACCGAGGTTGTCACTTGGTTCCGTCACAGGTATGGTGTGGGCCGTAATGGGACCAAGTCCCCAGGCCCAATGTCTCGTTAGCAAGGCGTTGTAGATGGAATGGCGAGTTGCTGGTCCACTCGAGAAGTGCATATTGCGTTGACCTGCCATCGCGACGTCTCATTCGGTCAATGAAGCGACAAAAGGAACTGACGATCGATCCGATAAATGCGGCAACGAGCATGAGGAAGAGCCCGAGAAAGATGATGATGGAAATCCCGAGCACACTAAATGAATAGAATTCACCAGTACGAATTTTCTTCGTGCACTAGGTCAGCATGACGGCCATATGTGTGATAGGTCTCCCAGTACCTGGTTATAGCAGAGCTTGTGGCACGCATCTCGATCCGGACAGAACTGCCTTTCGGGACTCATCTCGTACGACCCTTTGGTCGATGCTTCTAGTAGTGCTGATTGCAGTGCAGCAAGCCAAGCTTGGAACGTGTATTCCAATTCCAGTTGCCATCTGTTAGGCGGTATCATATCTGACTGAACTGAATTGCTTATCGTAAACCTTGAAAACAATGACGGTGTTCCTGAATCGACAAGGCTAAAGTCAGCGGAATCCAAAGAGGTGAGGATGCTACTTGCGTATGTGCATGTTTTAGCTAAGCCAGAAGATGCCTTGCTTGAGCCAAGGGCTAACACATGTGCATTGCACCCGGTGGGTAATCGTACCGGGGTACGCGTAGAACATCTCAGGTCCCTGAAAGATATTCGCGATGGCGAACCTGAAACCCACAATCGCTTCCCAGTCCTCTGTATGAGGCCACAAGGTGGTGACATGTTTCATGAGTGTTTCCTTGTCGCCCGATATAGTCGCGCAATCTGATGGAGATCCTGGGGCACAAAAAAGGAACTGGGAAGCACAGCTGAGTACAGTTGCTGGCTCGTCCGCTCGGTAGAACGAAAGATCACCTTCACTCATGAAGGGCGGGACATCGGCAGGTGTAGTAGCGTGAAACCAAGGATCTTCGGTCTGGTTCAGATACAGAATGTTACTTTGGTCCAGGAAGATCAACATAACTGCAGCATCCGTTCGATTTAATTCTGGTATGGGTGCGAAAGCCGTAGGCCCATTCACTGATGTTTCCATGATCCTATGACAGTCTTAATGATACATTGGGAGAGGGACTTCAGGTTGAACTTACCGAAGGCGATAGTCAAAAAACCCATTCTCGAAGAACGACCGGATGGAGACAGCTTCGTGGGGGTTTCTTACTCTCGCTTGATATATATAATCACTTACGGTGTCATTTTCATTCTCCAACAGCATCGGTTTTCCGTAGTTGTACCGCAAGTAAGTGAAGGACGCGTGGTCCTGTCGTTCAGTGTACCAGGTGGTGTAACCTTCTGTGGCCAAGGGAGCGCATTGTCGGTTAAGCCTCACTGTGAATCTCGGTGCATGATTGATACCAAGGTCAGTCAAGCTGTCAATAGGTCCACTATCGGGGCGCACGTTTCCGCTTGGGCTGCGACAGATTTTGTCTGGAAACGGACAAGTCGCATTCGCGTTCAACGTATAAGGAAGCCTGTTTCGAACATGAATCCGGCACTGCTGAGGCTGGTTTAGATGCCCGCCGCGATAGCATGCCTGGGCTTGTGCCAAATAGTCGACTATCCTCATCTGCAGATCCCGCATATCAGTCCTGAAATCCTCTATGCCCTCAAAGCTCTTATTCAGGTTGCAGCCCTTTCCTAGCAATAAGACCTCGTTCGAGTCATTCGCCGTGACGCGTGACGAGAAAATACCTAGAATGTAAAGGGTAAGTGGTCGAAAGAGTCAATTGTCATGTTCGAATTTGGTACAAGCTGTGTCCCTGCCCGAACATACCCAACGTGCACTATCGAATCTTCAGAGCCTTCTCTTTCTATATCCATGAAACCAGAGGGTCGCTTACTAGCTACTGTGAAAGCTGAAGCGACTACGGCTGCTCCTACCACGACCGGTATAAGGCGACGGAGGCTAGCCTTGTCCTGTTTCTTCCATGCCCAAGACAGATCGAACGCATCTTTCAATGTTTCGGGTGCGGTCCTCGCGTTCTTGAGCAGCACTTGTCGTTGGTGATACATCCCGTCTGGGCGAAGCCTTGAGGAGAACAAAAAATGGAGACCGAAGCGCGTAATCGTCCATACGCTTTTGCTAATGAAGCCAACGTAGACTGCTAGGAAAGCAATGAGGAATCCTCCGCTCTGTCGGCTTAGCGTCAGTGTAGCTCCATAGGGACTTTCGTACGCCTTGTTGACCCAGAAGCCGGTGTACACGTGCTGGCTCAAGGAGCCGGCATCGGCTGCCGCCATGTCGGTATGTCGGATTGGGGAACGTAGATGTGGGAACGAGCAGATAGAACGCTGTCGCGTGCCTTTCTAGTTTTGAATGTTCTGAAAGGGCAGCTGGAAATCCAGAAGCTTGAAAAAGACATGAAGGTGGAAAGGCTTCGGCTTCTGCGAAATCTCGTCTTCGACAGTTTCAGCCTCGTCGAATTCCTTCAGCCTCAAGCAATAGGTATTGGCAGGGATCCTTGAGCGCAATTCGGTCTCATTGGTCGAACAGCGCCGGTATGGCCCTTGGCCCCCGACATGCTGAATCAGTGGACCGAAGCATTACACACTACACTAAAACAAAAGGCCTATACAAAGCACGTTGTGTAAGGATTGGTGGGAAAATCGATGGTGATGAGGAAGGTCGAGCCTGCCACTGGTTACCGTACTGTCAGAGACAAGGCGTTTAGCGCGTGACGTCAGTAGCCATCTCCGCATCGCATCTCACATCCGACCACAATGCCAGCATTACATATATCTTTATTGTTGTACTATATTCTACGATAACATTCACTATCATCTTACGCACATTAGTAACATCGATCCTTGTCCCACTTCTCCAGCCAGTCAAAGCTCTTCAGTTCACGATCGAGCGCACGTACCTACCCAAGTAAAGAGCTAGTCCCAGGCCAAGATGGGCATACCCTATTCGCGTGAGATCAATGCCGCCTTCGAGCAAGTCACGCCCCTGGTGGCGGCCGGCTTCAAAGTCCTGCAGACAATGAAAGATATCTCGATACTGCTCGCAGTCATACAAGTGTTGACTGTGCTGTCCTTATTAATGATACTATTTGTCTTAATATTGCTGCTGTACTCTGTGAATCCGGATTTGGAAGTATGTCGTCTCTCATATCCAATTTCCGTGTTTCTGCGTGATTGTGTATTCCAAGAGTATAGGAAAGGAGCATTGGATATTTACTAACGTCCCACAGCACGAGCGAACAGTTCTTGTTACCCCACTCCTTCGCAACCTCGCCTCTCTCACGCTCTGGGACGTCTTCAAAGGCCTTGTCACGCCGGTCGCATCTACAATCCTCGTCTTAGGCCTAGCATGGTGGATCTTCCGGCTCCAGCATACAGAGCAGCATGACCTCGAGCGAACAGCAGACGATGATGCGGATGAGGCGTTGGAAAGCATTACTGGAGAAACACCGAAAAAGAAGAAGAAAGGGAAGAAAGAAAAGGGAAAGGGCGCAAAGGGGAAGGGTGGAAAGGCTGAGCATGAGGGAGAGGTGGATGAGGAAGAGGACTGAAGAGGGAAAGCAAGCGGTATCGGTTGGTACTTGGTATGATGGTGGCCTATATTTGGGCTTGCTTTGCGCATCTGATCAGCATACTGCGAACATGTTATAGTTCCGCTATATCGGTGTCAGTCAAGCAAAGAGAGCGAAACAGGAGGCGGATTATACCCTGGGCGTTTTATTGTTGTAACCCCACGTTTATTCGGTGTACCCTTAAACACAGATTGAAGCACAGTAGCGAACCAGAGAGAAGTGCAGCGTAATCTGAGAATTCCATTATCCTCCCCATGTGTCATGAAAAGCTACCGGGGTATCATCTGTTTACCGTGCCGTGGGTAGAGGCGCAAAAAGCCTGTAAACCTCGACGCATCTTCCATGCCTTTGATGTGTAGGTGCCGACTAGTACATACTTCCTCTGGTCATTGTCCTAACGAATGACCAGAGTCTTCACCACATTGCAATCTATGTCGTGGAGATTCTCTGGAAACTTGCATGTCTCGCCGAAAATGCAGTTCTTGGTGCCCTTCGACTTGGTCTTGGACTGCGGAGCCGGGCAACGATGGCCATAGATGCACTTGATCTCCTGGCAACCGCTTCCGTTCTGGCAGGGTGCCATGCGCGCAACTAAACGAAGGGTAGCTATCTCGGCCTCGGTTGGCTGGTAGTTGTGACTGCGAAGGCGTTGAGTGAATTTCTGGCATGGGACTAGTTGCATTGCGTAGATGAACTTACAGATGGGTGCATTTGTCTCCAAAGGCGCACTCATTGCGCAAGAAATGAACGTTACACATCTTGATCTTCTTAATCCGATCAACCTCAGCTTTATCGTAGTCTCGGCATGGAGGATCAACCCGCTGTCCTATGCGGTTACGTGCAATGATCTCATCGCGGTTCGAAGGCCTATACTCAGAGACGGGTTGTGCGGTGACAGGTGGAGGAGGCGCAGCAGCCAATGCAGCCCAGTTCTTGGTCTTGTTGACATTCGCAAGTCCGTCCAGAGTCGACGTCGACGGCGTACGAGGTAGATCCAACGACACTGCTCGGGGAGGCGGAGAATCGAAGCTGGTGAGGGGCGGTGGCAGACGAGTTGGCAGGCCGTTGAGCACGTTGTAATGCTTAACTGCAGGTGAAGCCACTCCGGCTGGACCACCCAGAACGTTAATCTTAGCCTCGCGGAATAAGCCGTCAAACTTCTTAGTCTTGTACGGCAAACCGAGAAGCTCTTTCTCGAAGGGAACTCCTTCCAAAAGCGTCACCTTGGAGATCTTGACATCATCACCCAAGTATTCTTCTAGCGGTCGGGCAAAGCCGTTGTCGTGCGAGCAACCAAAAAAGATTTGGCGGCAATGGAAATCGTCGATGAACAGTTTCAAAGTCTCTGATGTTATGATTAGCAGGGTTGCTTTAGGATGTAGATTATGGGAAGCCATAGATACCGATGATTTTGTCGTCAGCGCGATCTTTGCCCGGGCCTACGTCGATAAAATCGAAGAACGTCCTTCCGCTTGTAAAACCGCGGACAAACTCCTCAAATTGACCAGCGTCCTCTAGGATTCCAGCCCTCACGAGGACGTCGGCAAGACCCTTGACGTTTGCGTATATGCGACATAGGACGCGTGAGGTCGTCGGAATCGTGTTAGTTTCCCGCTCGATGTAGGTGACAATAGTGTGGTAAAGAGCGGCTGCAGCTTGTTTGCCACCAGATAGACCCTTCTGAATAAAGTCGTCCTCGAAGATCATGCCGTCGCCGTCAATCAGGACCATCACAAATGGGTTGCGCTCCTGCGTGATGTCAATACCTCAACTATGGGAAACTTCTCGGGGCTTCATGCTCGGAAGTAAAAAGATAGGGAAGTGAGCAAAATTTGATAGCTAGATGTGAGTTCACCAGGGATACAGAGAAGGGCTTGTGTACGTCCATAAAATCCGCTTACCAAAGCTCCGTGCATAGCGGCCAGCTGCTGTTTTAGCTGCTGAACCTGCGGCAGATCGCCTTGCTGGCTGACAACGCGTTGATAGTCCTGCGTTATGTATTCATAGCGCGTCATGAGTTCCTGCACAAGTCAACCCTGACACCCCAAAACTTGATAGAGCGTCCGCAACTACCTCAATCAATTGCTGCTTCTCACGATCGCACCGGAAGATCTCGTCGACGCGAGCCCACATTGTCGCCGACTCGCTAGACATGTTACCAGTCTGACGACCGCTCGTACCGTTGCCATTGCTATGTTGTACAGCCTGAGCAGGAGCGCGCACTGGCGTGCCGATGGGAATTACGGGCGAAGCCGCGTTCGAGAAAAAGGACGCGGGCGCCATGGTAGAGAAATGGTGGTGGAGAGATTGAGTGTCGTGGGTGTGTAGATTGGCGGGTAGAAGAAAATATTGAAATAGTGAGGTGAGCAGACTTGTGGAATCCGGCGGAAAGGGTTCACGGTGGAAAAAATGGAAGCGAGGGTGAAGGAAATAATTGTCCCAAAGAGACGTCAGCGACAGTTGACTAACAAGAAGAGAACGAAAGCTGCGCAGGTGAGTTTTGTACCTGGTGTTAGTCGGGCAGAGGAAATGTCGGTCGCGACCATGGAAACACGCGCTGCGGCGTATGGAGCACTGCAGCCACGGCGGTGAGCAGGCGCGATCGGGCCAATCAGGCAAATGCAGAGCAACTGCACAGGACGTGTCTATTTGCGACGACGGTTTCCCTTTGTTTTGCTGCAGCGGCGTGGTGACACAGGGACGAGAGGTCACATACACAAGACGCGATTTTGGCGGTAGGTTTGGTGAGCTCCCGTTTCGGCTAGAAGCTGCAGCTCGCCCTTGTTCCACCCCAGCAACTCAGGCCACGTTCAGTGTTCGAACATCCCCTCAGTGCTCCATCCCATCTCTCTTGCACGCATCCACCGCCACGTCCGATTCTCGTCCCCGCCACCATGATCGCCTGGAAACTGTCTACTCTATTTCTCTTCTCGCTGCGGGCACTCAATGCCTTTGCAGAGATCGAGGTGAGGCCCTGTCATCTTGACGACGCATGACATCAACCCGCTGACGCACGCTACCCCAGGTCGAGAATGTCGAAGAAGTCGTCGGCGAGCAGGCCCAGTCGCCCAACCTGAAGGTCTCAATCTCTGCCAGCTTCCCGCAGTCCGAGATCTTCGGTGTCAAGCTGATCAATGGCCACGCGACCCAAGCTCGACTGTCCATCGATAATCAGGAACCAGAGGCCGTCACCGTCCAGATCGTCGGAGGCTCGTTGATCAAGGATGCAGGCGACCAGACGCACATCTTGCGCAACCTTACCGGCCAGCGCTACGGATTGGAGATCCCCGCGGGCGAGGAGCAGACGCTGACCTACAGCTTTGCTACCGAGATGCACCCCCAGGACGTCCGCCTGCAGCTCGTAGCTGTGCTCCAGGACAAGAAGAGCGCCTTCTACACCATCTCCGTCTACAATGAAACCGTCAGCATCGTTGAGGCGCCCACCAGCATCTTCGACCCGCAAATGTATGCAACTTTCCGATTACCTAAATGCGCAATTTCTCGACATAGAATTGACTGCTGACCGCTTGTTTTAGTATCTTCCTCTACCTCGTCCTCCTCGGCGCTTTCGGCGGCACCGTCTTCTTCATCTACAACACCTGGATTACAACCCTCTTCCCCCAGCAAAGGCGCGGAGGCAAAGGTGGCGAGCGTGCGAAGAAGTCCTCCGGTGGCTCCAAGAAGGTCGACCCAGCCGAGCAGGTTTCCGTTGTCGGTGCCGACGGCCCCGCCGTTGCTGCCACCGGTTCGAAGTCCTACGACCAGAGCTGGATCCCTGCCCAGCATCTCCAGCGCCCCGAGGCCAAGCGCGTCAGGAGCGGCACCCCCAAGACCAAGGTCAAGAGCTAAACAATGATAACGATTTGGCATCATGATAGGCGGTCCTTTGTATCAATAAGCTGAAGAGATCTTGTCTTGGATACTGTTGAAGAATGACTGGATGTCATCATTGTATTCTTACACTGGGGGGTCGTTACCTTTTGTAAGAGTAGGAGTCGAATTTGGCGCAGCATTGCATGGACCTGGCGATAGGAAGGTGCATGGGCATATCAAAAAAGCACTCACTGGAGTTGGAATTGCTCCGATGGATATGAACAAATATCTGTGAATACGAATGAAAAAACGTTCACTGTCCAGGGTATCTACTGCCACTAAAATAGTTCTACAGGCGTCGCGCCATACCCGCCGTGATGAAAGAAGAATTGACGCAGAACGCTGCCTTTATCACTCTTTCTTCCAGTCCTCGAACTCCTCGTCAAGATGCTCCTGCAGCGCCTTGAACCTATTTTTAAAGTTCTGCCCACATCTCCAACATACCATATCCCAGCTCGGCCAATCTCCAGGATGAAACCTCGCACTCCCCTCCTCTAGCGGAAACTCATCCAGCCCTACTAAGAAACTCGTATTGAAGCTCAGGTAGTGATTCTTCTTCTTCAGCCACAGGCTACGCATGTCGCGCGACAGAACATGGATGTGTAAATGTTTCATGGACGGGTGCGTGTGCACGCCTGATATTATTTCGCGAGACCAGTCGCGACCTGGTGGAAGGAGAGAGTCACGTTCGTCTGAGGGCGGAGGATCTGGGCCGCTCATCATGTCTTCGAGGGCAAGCTGGTAGGGTGCGTCTGACGCGCTGGAGAGACCATATTTGCGGCGGAGTTCGCGCGCTGCGAGGAGTTTGAGGCGCTCGACGCGGGGTTTGACTTTGGCGAGGAAGGTGGGGTTTTTCGAGAAGGTGATGAGCGGGTGCTCGAGGGTGAGGGCCGGATCTCGGGGTAGGAGCAGAAGGTGTACGCTTGGGATAGCCTTATGTCAGTGTAGGTCCGGATTAGCGGGGAAGAAAGAAGGTCGTACCTTGCTTTTGGATATTTATCTTGTATCACCACGAATTCATCGTCGTATTCAATCACTCTTCCCTCTGGGTTTCGCTCTGGGTACTTGATGTATATGCCCAACCCATCTCGCGCATCGAAGCTCTTGGAGCCGGAAGAGGAGGGTAGTGGCGAAGTTTTGCCTTTGTTCGTATTCTCGTTAAGGGTTTGACTGTTCGGTTTCGGTTTCGGTTTCGGTTTCATGAGCTCTGCGACTGCACAGTTACTTTAAGTATCGGTTGAAGTACACGAGAGGGTTGAGCTTACAGGCGTTCCGTGGCTTTTGTGTGGCGGCTAGGTCATGGTCTGCGGGTTTCTGTGGAGCGACATCTCCTTTGATCTCTCCTGCAGTGATGGCTTCATCGGGAGCGTCATCTGCGCGAATGACTGTGTCTTTGGGAGCCATGTGAGGCCGTGGAAGTCGTGGACGTCTGCGGGAGATTTGGGTTCTTGTAATGGTTCGTAATTGTGGAGGGAGGATATCTGGTGTCCTGCAAGCGAAATTGAGCCTTTTATACAGACAAGCAAGTTTAAAGCTCATCAGCTGTGTAGCAAAACAATTGTGGTAAATTTCAATGAGACAGATGGGCAGTGACGACGTCAGTGTCGCGTTCGGAACGCAGTGGTCCAAGCTTCCGAAAATGTCGCCAAGCATCGGAACCTCGGACAGTACGAGGGGTGTTAATCGAGCTTTATTTTCATCACTTCAAGATGCATACACGGGTGGCTAAATCGATTCTTTCCCCAAATATTCGCTTTCGGGAGCGAATTCGGGCACGGCCAAGTGATTGAGCGCTTATTGTCAGCAAGTTGCGCCCTTCCGAGCGGCAAACAGTCTCACAGATTGTTTTTGGTGTCTCATCATTTGTCGCCTCGCTGCATATTCCCACGACGTCCCTCCATGGAGACGCTAGAGTCGCAGATCACGTCCGTTCAGACCAAACTTCAACCGTGCAAATATGCCGAACAAACCTCATGCCCCGCGCGGGCCGAAGAAATCTGTCCTGCCTGAAGAGGACACGAGTTTCATCGTCTTCGATGACGGCAAGGGCAAAAAGAAGAAGAGAGGCGGTAATGCACCTGGCGCTGCTGCGGAGAGCAGCAAGACTGATTCCAAAGGCAAAAGCAAAGCTGCTACCGAGGAACCTTCTGATGCTCCCAAAAAGCCAGATACTAGGACACTTATTGCTGGAGCATCATGGACCGGCAAGCTCCCTGTAGCCCTACTTTCTGAGTACTTCCAGAAGCAAAAGTGGAACAAGCCAGACTACCGAATGCGCAATGACTCTGGTGTCTACTCTGCACATGTGGTCATATCGAAGACAAATCCCAAAACTCGGGAGACTACCACACTGCCCCCAATCCATATACCACTGGAGCTCGCCAAGAAGGCCCGACAACCGTCTGCGGTGGAAGCTCGTAATTTTGCTGCTGCCTATACACTCTTTCGGGTCGCAAGCGCAAAGAACATGCACATGATGCTACCGCCGACTTACAAAGATCTCTGGAAAGGGGAGTTCAGCGACCTCAAGAAGCAGGATGAGTCGACCGGCCAGGCTTGGATGTACGAAGCTGATCCGTTCTTTGGATACGCGGAGCGTGAGAAGGCAAAGGAAGTTGCGGCAAAAGAACGTGAAAAGAAGGAAAGGGCTCGCGTTGAGGCGGCAAAGGCACATAATCAGACGCCAGGCATGTCTACACCCAATGCGCAAGGTGCTCCTCCTAGTCGAAACATCTTGAAAGGTTGGGAGCGCGTGCCCAAGGTTGAGCTTGGCAAGAGGACAAGGAAACAAGCTGAGCAGCTCATTCGACGAGATGCGGTTTGGAATCCAAATGGGATTGTCATGGATAATAACACTCGCAAAAAGGTCGTGGAAGAAGTCACTAATTTGGGGTTCCGTCAGAGCCATGTGGAAGAGGCTGCGGAGATATGCAAGGACCGCGAAGAAGTCATTGAATGGCTGCTTATTCACGTGCCTGAGGACGACCTTCCGTCTTGGAGTCTTCCGGAAGGCTACGTCGCTGGTATCAGCATGGCAAGCGCGAACCTAAAGCGCGAGGGTGCAATAAAGCGCCTCGCGGCGGCCGGTTACGCGATCGAACTTTGCGAAGAGGCGTACGATAGCCAGGCTGGAGATGAACGAAAAGCAGCGGCGCTTCTACAAACACAGCTGCTTCACCCTCTCGACAGTGACGTTACCCAAAATCTTCAGCAACTCACAATCGCGGATGATGCGGAAGAGGAATCAAACATGGATTCATGGGAGGAGGAGATGGCATCCCTGGAAGCGATATACGATAAACTCTTCTCACAACCATCTCCAACCATGTGCCGAATTGAGCTTGACATTAAGCAACAAGGGAAGCGTTTGATACTCCAAGTCCATCGCCCATTCGGGCCTTACCCTATGGTAGTGCCAATCATTACGTTCGAGGCTGCTATTCCCGCTTATATACGATTGAGTATCATCCGAAAAGCCCTGCTCCACGCGGAAGAGAACTTCCTCGGCATGCCGATGGTATATGATATCGTCGACTGGCTTCAACAGAACGCAGGGGAGATCTTCAAGAACCCAGGACGACTCACTGACGTCTCCGCCGGTTTGTCCGCAGACCATCAAACCTCGAATCCGCAGAGTCATCCGAGGAGCAAAGGCAGGCCTCGGAGACCCATCGATTGGAAATTAGCATCTCCCCAAAGCCAAAAGCTACTGGCGGAGTGGGAGGCTAAGCAAGGCACACCTGCTCAACAAAAGATGATGGCTGCACGCCAGTCTTTACCCGCGTGGAAACTTCGCGAGCAGATAGTCAAGGTCGTAAACATGAGCCAGGTCACTATCGTCTCTGGTGAAACAGGCTCTGGAAAAAGTACACAATCTGTCCAATTCATCTTGGATGATCTTATTCAGCGACAGCTTGGGGGCGTGGCGAACATCATCTGTACCCAACCGCGCAGAATATCCGCCCTTGGTCTTGCGGATCGTGTGGCAGACGAGCGATGCTCACAAGTCGGCGGTGAGATCGGATACACTATTCGTGGAGAATCAAAACAGAAGCCGGGTGAAACCAAAATCACTTTCGTTACTACCGGTGTTCTCCTAAGGCGATTGCAGACCTCGGGCGGTAGTTCGGATGACGTTGTGGCCGCACTCGCCGATGTCAGCCATGTTGTCGTTGATGAGGTTCACGAGCGCAGTCTGGATACCGACTTCCTCCTTGTCTTGCTTCGCGATATCCTAAGGCGGCGCAAAGATCTTAAGGTTATATTGATGAGTGCTACGCTCGACGCGGACGTTTTCGAGCGATATTTCCATGACGTGGGTCCGGTAGGGCGTGTGGAAATCCAAGGCCGCACATACCCCGTGCAAGATTGGTACATGGACGACATCGTGCATGCTACAGGCTTTTCCGGTGCAGCTGCCGGCTTCGAAGAAGATTCTGGAGGCAAACAACTTTCCGGCAATCTCATGAGTGTTGGATTTGGCATCAATTACGACCTCATTGCGGAAACGGTCCACTACATTGATCAGCAGCTCGGCGAAAAAGACGGTGGTATCTTGATCTTCTTGCCCGGAACCATGGAAATCGATCGAACACTTCAAGCACTTAGGAACTTCTCCCACTTCCACGCACTCCCTCTGCATGCTTCTCTCTTGCCAATAGAACAAAAGCGTGTGTTCCCTCTGGCACCTCCAGGAAAACGCAAAGTCATAGCTGCTACCAACGTCGCAGAAACTTCGATCACTATCGAGGATATCGTTGCTGTCATTGATACTGGCCGTGTCAAGGAAACTAGCTTCGACCCTCAGAACAACATGGTTCGACTCGCCGAAACATGGGCCTCAAGAGCAGCTTGCAAGCAACGACGTGGTCGCGCTGGCCGTGTCCGCGCTGGAGAGTGCTACAAGCTCTATACGCGCAATGCTGAAGCCAAAATGATGGAGCGGCCCGAGCCCGAGATCAGACGCGTGCCGTTAGAGCAGCTTTGCTTGTCAATCAAGGCTATGGGTGTACAAGACGTTTCTGGCTTCCTTGCATCAGCACTTACGCCTCCTGAAAGCACAGCAGTCGAAGGTGCCGTCAGGCTGCTGGGTCAGATGGGTGCCATCACAGACAACGAACTAACCGCACTGGGCCGGCATATGTCCATGATCCCCGCGGACCTGCGCTGTGGCAAGTTGCTCGTTTACGGTGCGACATTTGGCTGTCTTGAAGCTGCTCTTACCATTGCTTCGGTTTTGACTGCAAGGAGCCCATTCCTTTCGCCCCGACAGCGAGACGAAGAGACACGGAGTGAGTTCGAGCGGATTCGCTCTTCTTTCTCCAACAATCAAGGCGACCTGCTCATCGATGTACGGGCCTACGAGCAGTGGTCCGCCCTCCGCAGCAAAGGAGCGTCAGCACGCGATCTTCGCGCGTGGTGCAGTGCCAATAGCCTTTCATCGCAAACTCTCTTCGACATCGCGTCAAACCGCTCGCAATACCTCTCCTCGCTCAAGGAAATCTCGTTCATTCCAACGACCTACAACTCTGCCAACCCACAGACTCACGGCTCGTACAACAAACAGAATCACAACGACGCACTCATCCGCGCCCTCATCGCTGGCTCTTTCAACCCCCAAATCGCCCGCATCCAACTTCCCGAGAAGAAGTTCGCAGCCGGTATAGCAGGTGCCGTCGAGCTTGACCCGTCGTCCCGCGAAATCAAGTACTTCAACCAAGAGAATGGGCGCATCTTCGTGCATCCCTCCTCGTCGCTTTTCTCAGCCCAAACGTTCCCATCGAATGCCTCATTCATCGCGTACTTCAACAAGATGGCCACGAGCAAGATCTTCATACGAGAGCTCACGCCATTGAATGCATACAGCCTGCTGATGTTTGCGGGTGATATCAGGGTGGACACATTGGGTCGGGGATTGGTGGTAGACGATTGGATTAGGTTGAGAGGATGGGCGAGGATCGGGGTGTTGGTCAGTCGTTTGAGGGGCATGTTGGATAGGGTGCTTGAAAGCAAAGTGAGGGAGCCTGGACGGGAGCTTGGGAAGAGAGATGGTGATGTCATTGATGTTGTTAGAGGGTTGGTGGAGAGAGATGGGTTGGATAACTAGAGGGATGGATAACTAAGATTGACAGTGGATCAGAGAGTGGATCGTATTTACTGGTACCCTTGACGGTTGCGGCTGGTCGGCTGGTTATAGACGGTAGAAATCATAAGATGGTACAAGGTAGTGTAGTATTGAGAGTGTTCAGCATTATGCTTCGTGCCGGAATATGCAGACCTTAGGCTGACGATGCTCAGACTTCCGGTGACCTTCTGCAGGTGCAGGCAGGGGTGAATTACCCCGCCACGTACCGGAAGTGGCGCAGGCAGACAGCTGCAGCATCCTCCGGCAGCAAGAAACCCAGCTTCGCAAGGACCTTCTATCGGCCTTATTGCTGACTCTTTTGCTGGTCTTCTTCATTGCCGTTACACTCCTACCCAGTATAGTGGCCTGGTGCTTTACAGTTGTTCCCGAGACTCGTTCTTCCAGCCTTGCCAGGGCCTTACACACGATGCTGCAAGGCTGAAAGGGTTGAACACTGAACGAATTCGTGGCGAGCTCAGCAGTCAAGACCTCATTTAATGGTTCTGAAGTAACATTTTGAGAACCAACATGCCCGTACGTATACGACTACTATGTGCAACATGTCTAGCTGAATCATCTAGGTCCCTGGCTGCCGTTGTCCGACGTGCTTAGAGCAAGGCCAGACTGTCTGGGTCATTCCTGGTAAATGCTGTCCGAACTGTGCTACGCCAGTTAATGGGCCAGCTAAAAGTGGGCGGTTGTATATCTCCAAGAGCACCTTAGAAAAAGGTATACAAGACTCGGGGGACGCGACGATCAGAATCAAGTGTGTGTGTGGCTTCACCAGCGACTCGAGGTATCTTGTGCAATGCGAGAAGTGCGGGACCTGGCAACACATCACCTGCTATTACAAGAAGGCGAAAGAAGTAGTAGAGATAGAGGTCCACGAATGCGTGGGTTGTACACCGAGGGAAATAGATCAGCAAGCCGAAGCCGGGTCTTCGCACTTGGAGAATAGTGGCTCTTCGATCACTGGCTCTGCACCATTCGTTGGGATTGCTGCAAGCTCTGCGGAGGTGGGCAGCAGATTTGCGCTCACGCCTGCGGAAACCAATACGGCACTCACTATAGATCCACTTTCTATATCTGGTTCAGAATCCGCCGAACAGGAATTCATTACGCGTCCTGTGGAGAAGGATGTTATTGCAGTCATGGATCCAAGACCGCTACGTTCGTACAGTAGCGATGTTGAAGAGGTGGACATCAAAGACCACAGACACGAAACAAGCCCCACGCCTGAGACATGTTCTCAATGCCGCATACGCGATGAACCCTGTATCCCTAGCATATCGCGCTGTGGTCCATGCGAACAGAACAACTCTCACTGCGAATTCTATCACGCTTCACTCGGTCATCGTATAGGAATACCCCAAAGCTATGTCGTACAACTTCGGGAGATGGCCCATGAACTTGAACGTAGTCACAGAGGGGAAGAGACGTCTGTAGTAGGTTTTGATAAAGGTCCCCGTTCGTCGACAGCTGTGCATGAATCTGAGCATCATGAAAGGGAGGGCGTGAAATCGGAGGCAAATTTGAAGCAGGCAATAAATACCTGGACCAATCCAGTTCGGTTGCATCAGAATACATATGGTCAGCCAACGGCACCTTTTATGAGATGGCCTGACAAGTCAACTTCACACATTGAGTCCGGCTCTACCAGTCCTCCATACGATCCGGAAGCGGGAGCGCGGCTGCTTCGATCGCCGCGCCGGCGCCAAGGTCCTCCTCAATTGCAATTTACGACTGGGACTGACCCTTCCGACATGAAGGGTGGGAAGGCGATGACAAGCGTACGGCCTCAGGCTATGATCCAGTACAGACACCAATCGGCAGAGCACGAGGAGCAGGCCCACAGCGCTGAAGAACGGACCATCCTAGACCTAACGGGATCGAACGTCGCAAAGCTTGCTGAACCTTCCAAGATCAGGCAAACAGATGGCTTCATATACCGTAATCGTGTCATACGAAGTGCGCGAAGAGGGCATCCTTTGTCGAACAGCAAGCACAGTGCGAGGTCGGACATTCCGCACGAGCTAAAGAAGCCAATAGGAGTCTATCCCACGGGTAATATAGCCAGAACAGGTACTGATGGAAGAGAGGGTGGCGACTTTCCACTTCGTGTTGATGCTTCCATCACTATGGGTCAGTCGTTTGATGATCATGTAAAAGGTGATACGGTCAAAGTGGTCACTGAGGATGAAGGAAATACCCACAACGAAGAGAGTGATTTGACTGTACACCAAGATACGCCATCAGAAGCAAGTTCCCCACCGTCTCCGGACCACTTATCTCGATCCATGCTCCATTTTTCTACTTTTGGTCCGCAATTCCTCAGCTTGAGGGGTTATTGTAAAGCTCGCAACATGTCAAAGCCAACACTAAAGGCTATAACAGCCCAATTTGTGCCAACTGATACCTGGGTTGCTACAATGGTGGCAGATGGCGTTCAATACTATTCGCGCAGTTGGCAAGGTGCCCTCTGTAGAGATAATGCTGTGGAGGATGCTGCGTTGAGAGCCTTGGAACATTTGGGCCAAAAGGAATTAGCATTTCGACGGAAACTTAGCCCTGAAACCGAAGATACGACGACGAAAGAGTCACTATCACACGATTGGTCAGATCTTTCATCTCTCTCAGACAAAGCCCCTCTCATGAGCAAGGCCTCCACACACACAGAGGCGCGACTTGAATCTGTGAAGCCACCACCAATACGTCACGCCCGCCTCGGTAAAGAGCGAGCGCTTAATTTACTCCGGACCGGAAACCAACGACTATCACGTCGTACTGTCCTGATAGAAAGAGACTGCGCGCGGTGTCGTCACGAGAACCTCAAGTGCGATAAAGGGAGACCGAATTGCAACAATTGTCAACGTAGGGGAATCATCTGCGAGGGCTACTGGAAGTCAACGCGTATTTACTGGCCAGGATCACAGTACCCCAATATCAGGAACTATTATCAGCGCTATGTTGATGATACCGACAAAGACGTGAGGGTGCATCAGAACAGCAATTTCTGGTTTGAGTCTGGAAATATTGGTCTAGATTCCGATCCTACTCCAGATGTAAGGCAATGGAAAACGTTGGAGAAAAGTGATACCTGCGTATATGCGACCTTTCACACTGCCTACTTGCGTCATGGCAGAAGCTTTAACGATGTCGCGGACGAGGTCAGATGCCCAAAATGTTTTGAGGTGTTGCGCGCCAGGCTCTATGTTCCTCCACCTCCCCAGCTACGTCAATCCACTATATCCGGAGAATCTAGTACCTCAGCGAGTTTGCATCAGAGAAGCCCACCAAAGAGTTCCCCTAAGGGGGATCCTGTTGCAGGTACTTCAGAAGAACAGGGGAGCACTCGATTGATCGAGTTAGCTCAGATCAATTCGATCGATGGAGCTCGAGAACTCGGCTACGTAAAATGCGTCTGCGGCTTCGACGATGACACATGGCACATTGTCCAATGCGAGAGATGTGAGACATTCCAGCACATTGCCTGTTATTACAGGCATGCGAAGCAGATACTTGAAATACACAGATGTGTAAATTGCTCGCCGAGAGGCCTGATTCCTCGATCTGGGGCCACATTTGTATCAGGTAACAAGGATGTTATGTCAAAGACTGGCTCCGCGCTTGTAACAGGAGCCTGGAAGAGGTTCTCTCAATCCGAGGTAGAAGAGAGATGGCCCATTGGGAACATCGATTTTGCAGTAAAGGCCGATCACGAGCGCTTCGGGACCATATCCACGAACATAGAGAACAGGCAGAGGTCCCAAAATCCGGCATCAATCCCGAAAGCGCGCACCGAATCTTTATCGGACGTACACGCGTGTGAAAGATGCCGAATAGGCAAGAAGCGATGCGACTCTCGTTTGCCTCGCTGTGCGCCGTGCGAGACGACGTTTTCCGAGTGTGTATTCTTCGATCCAATTGCTGAACGAAAGATTCCCCGAGATTATATCTGGAACCTGCAACGTAGTGTGCACAATCTCTCAAGAGAACTCGAAGTAAAGGAGAAGATCATCCACTTTGCGGACGGGTCAGGACTTTTTTTGCCCTACTTACATGACCTTGAAACCTATGAAGCTGAGCTGAGGCTCGCATCGGAATCGAGTGTGGCATTAATACCGACTAGTGTAGCGCACTCGCGGACGAACGTGTCAGTGGTGGGTTCGGATAATCGCCAGGACTCAACCGGTACTCCAAGCGGCAGTGCCACGAAAACGTATCCTATTCAGTCTTCTCAGACTTCAGCAACTGGAAGAACACATGAGGCTGGGGTACAGCTCATTGGGTCGAGGTTCGAAACTGTACCTTCTCAGATACACCGACCAAGGTCTCCCGTATCTTCTGCTCCAAAACTTGCATCTATTGATGAGAGCCCTGAGGAATCTGAGATCAGTGATGTACCCGCCGGGTTCCGTGGACTGCTTCGCGATCCCAGGTCTACGCAACCCTCTGAGCAGATGGCTTATTCACTTGAGCGTGGGTCTCACTCCGCTGGCACACAGCAAGCGGAGGATGTTAAAGTCTATTCGAATCCCGATTCCGAAGCTGTTACGTGGGGTCATGGACCGAAGTCGTTGGAGCATATACCTAGGATATTCCCCCTGTCAACTTCAGCAGAGTGTGATGACTTGGATGACACCTTTAAAGAGTGCACCTGCGGAAATGCCTGTGTCCCCCATCTACTCCCCCATATCACTCTATCACGCGACATAAGTTGGAAAAAGATCCGGTCTTTATTGCCAGAGGAATGGATGTGGGACGTTGAGTATCACACCACCCACAGCACCGATGGCAACGACCATAGCTGCTGGACCTGCACCCCAAGTGAACCGGAAGACCCGAAGAATTTCCCGCTCACAATATCCCTTGCCGCAGTGGTGATACCTGTGGAGTATCAGTGGCCACCAGTGGGTGGTGTGCACCCGCCTCCAGATCCACGGCCATCTGTACTGGTTGACTATGCGAACGTGCTTCCACTTGAAGTGATCCGCGACATCTTTCTCACTTTTGAAGGGAGCATAGGATTCTATTTACTCATCAACGGCCTACTTCAGATTATTGTTCCGGAGACGTTCGACCGGAAGTGGGCGTCATCACATCTTCCACATAAATTTGGAGGCCTGAAGATATCGTACATCAATCAGACCTTGGAGCCCACAGCCACGTTATCCCCAAGCAAAACAAAGACAGTGAAAACGCAAGGGTCGCACGCAACTCAAAACTCTAGTAGAGGCAGCATCTTCCGGCCATCGCGAACGTCGATTGCATCTTCATCACAGCCCCTTTGCATCAATGACTTCATCGAGGCGAAATCCAAATCCTCGCACAAGAAAGAGAGGTTCTCAGGGAGAATTGGTCTGAAAGTTGCGAGAGGCGGCGACAGCGAACCATACTTGATCATGTCAACGCATGTGATCACCGAGGCGATACTAGCGAAGTCACAATTATCGGAATTCTTGGGGCGGCGTGATCGTTTCGAGAAGCTTGATGATGAATGGAACGACCACGTTGAGATCTGGGCTGGCAATGAGAGAGTAAGCCACCCCGTCAGTTTTGCCAGCCAAGCTAACTCTTCACCAGATTGGTACGATCCACCAGACTTTTGACCAGGAAGCAGAGACTTACCCCAACGGCTTCAAACATGACATGACCTTGATCAAGCCCATCAATCCCTCTAGTATTAACGATATCACCACCCCGATTCAAGACCTGGGCTGGCTTTCGCGCTCCAGCTGGCACGCTTTGCGCCAGCAGTCGTCATCCGTCAAACTTCTGCCATTAACAGACTCGCATCGTCCTGCTAAGACGCTCAAGTGCTCTACGCCGTCGCAGGTTCTCGTGGTTGGCGAGGGCATATTCCTCAATCAGAAGGCTGCACAGCCTACACGCGACCAAGACATTTCGACCTGGAAGGATCTCGTATCTCGCGCAGTGTTGTACAGAGTGTTTCCTGACTTTGATCCGCCAACTGGGTATAGTGGAATTGCTCTGTATGCGCAGGGTATGAGAGAGGATGGGACAGAAGGACCAGGTGTGGTGGGGTTTCAAAGCTTTGTGCAGAGGAGCGGACATGTGCAGAACTTCGAGATGGATGGAGGTGCGTTAGATAAGAGGTTGAAGCTGGGACGGGTGGCATTCTATGGCGCATTTGAAGTACCGGATGAGGTGAAGAGAGATTATCGAATTCTATGAATAGTATCTGGTTTGCATAATACCTACAATGGACAATCTCTAAGTCCTGGGAAGCACAACTGAGGATGAGCTAACATGTTATTCATTTGAAAGAGCCTACAACTTGGGCAACTCCAAGGACCACTTGAATGAACGTCAACAAGACGACGATCGTTGCGAAGCTATCCCTCGTTAGCCACGTCCCCATTTCAGGGAAAGAACGTACCAGAAGGTCCAGAATTGGAGCGTATCTCTTCTGTCCCTAAACAGTATCCAGATGCTCCAAGGTTTCGCGGCTTGCAGATGTTCCTCCAGCTCCACAACGCGAGACCATAAGCAAGGGAACAGGTCCGGCGTCCAGTCCGAAGTTTCAGTGCCGTTCATCAGTGCAACAAGCAACGGATCATATTCGCTTTGGTGATCTTTCTCCCGATGTCTCGTCATTCTTCGAGGTTTAGCACCACACAATTGGCGATACCTGTCAATGGCGCGAGACTTGTGACGATCAGCAGAACAGGACCAGCACCAGCAGAATTTCCGAATGCCTAGCCAACGCCAGATTGTCGCATGCTTGCGCGGTTGCGTCCATGCACTAAAAAGTATACAGTATGATTCTTGAATCTCCTGCGCAAGTTCGGATGAGATACCCACCGCACTTGACGTCAAGGAGTCTGCGTTCAGAGCGCATGGAAGTGCGAAAAGCTCGAGAACATACCGCCCTCCGATGCGCGAGAGCATCATATGACGTGATATGTTATATGTCCATGATATTTCCACAGCTGCGAATACGTTCAGTGTAAAGGCGTTGAGACGGGAAGCTCTAATCGCCATCGCTTCCAGTGAGTCCATGGCATCTACCTGGTAAAGAGAATCCCAGCGTCTAGTAGGACCTAGAGTGGATTGGGTCAAAAGGGACCGGCTAGAAGGAGTTCCTAACAGACTGTTCCCTTCCGCCGCACTGCTTCGACTCAGCAACGAGACGAGCTTCGCCGCAGTACGCACTATATCGTCGTCGAGCGCAGCCTTTGCAGGATCTGACTCCGTGTTAGAACGGGGAAGCAGATAGCTTCGTCGGAGTAAGCCTGCTAGATCCTCATCATATGCCTCTTTGTGAACCTCTGCCTGCAGCTTGTACGCCAGCGTCACCTTTCGAAAACCGTTGGGCAACTGGACGAAAGAGCTCAGCAGCATTGCCCAAGTGCCCACCATGTACATAACAGTATCCTCTACATCCTCTTTCCTTGACACACTCCCAGCTTTCGTGTCCGCAAACATCGCTTCGCCGTCGGCACCGGTAAAGGCATCAAGGAGTTCGCGAATACTGTGCGATCCGACGGGGGTTTCGGTGGGCTTCTCATGATGGACCGAGAAGTGCTTGATCACGCGCAAGAAGAGAGCGAGATACTCCTCAAGCGTACCGCGCCCGATATGCCGATTTTCAATGTATCGCAGATGAGGCTCCGCTCTCAAGTCGTTTGGATAGTCGTCGTAGCCCAAGGCATGGGCAAGCGCAATGCGGAGATGATTAGAAGGGTTCGTGCGCCTGCGAGACATTGTAAGTTGCTAGATCTTTTAGTGGAGCATTCAGGTGCTGCAGCAGCAGGACGAAGCACTGGGTAGGCTTCCATATTGCATATACTGCTCTAAGGCTGAGGCTGTGGTGCATCTGCGGGCTGAGGTTCACTGTGGGTACAGGCCAGGGTCGAAGGCGGGGATGATCTAAACCACTTTGAGACGGATCCGGGGAAGGCAACTGTGGTTCGCACCGGTCACTGGTGTTGACGACGTAGGAAACCAAACATGCAGGCCAGCGTCCGTTGTAATAGATCCTCACAAGCAAATTAGCCCATATACTTTACAGGATAGCGGCGGTATGCGCCATGTTTCGTTCACCTGAGACATGAGGCTCTCTCGTATTACACTTCTGTTTGCCTGCCAGCTCAGGCTTACACGTCTGCTGCTCGTATCATCCTGAACACTCCATGTATATACATTCAGCACCCTTCGCAGGTCCCTAAGAGAGACTCACACCTATCCTTTTGAGGAGTTGAAAGACCATGTTCGCCTGGATCCGAGACTTGTTGGCTCCGGCACCGCCGCTCACCAACCGTGACCGACAGAGAGCGCTGAAAGATCGTAGACGAAGCCTATCAATCGATCGGAAAGGTCGCAAGACGAAAAGGCAATCCCATTCGCCGCTTTTCTCTAAATTGCCACCCGAACTTCGGATCATGATATACGAATTGGTACTCTGCGAAACGGCACAAGTGCACATTATCGTCAAAGGCGGCAAGCGCGGAAGCGATACAACTGAACTGTACGGTAGGACCTGTACAGAGCCTCGAAGATACTGTCCACCGGGCTCTATGTGCAGGGTGCAGAGTCAGCTGCTGTTGACTTGTCGGATGATGTGAGTACACCGCTTTCGAAATTCGGTCCACCACAAGAAATTGATCTGAATGCAGATACCGCGAAGCGATTGATGTTCTATATTCGAAGAACGCGTTCATATTCCAGACCGAATACGACTTTGTGCTGTTCAGCCGGCTGACGGTCCCCCATCATCTTCGCAAAATAAAGAAAGTGTGCATTGGTACGTTCGACTATGAGGGGAAGCCGCGGTTTAAAGATTTGCCTCTGGAACTATTTCATTGAATATCCTCTATAGATTCGAAATATAGGACACAATTTTGCAGAAGTCGAAGATTTGAGCCACCAGCGTCTTGCAACTTCAAGATACAATATGAAACTATATGAGATGAAAACGCCTAAACAAGGGGTATATAAATGTCGCATCGAAGCAATCCATCCCGACGCCTTAGTAGATCCAAACGGCAGCCAACGGTTCCAACACCAATACAGTCATACAAAACACTTTCTCCAGACAGCTGAGCTCATGAGTCCTTGATGATAGTATTATGCGGACTCCATGTTCGCTTCCAGGTCCTGGGATTTCCAAAAACCTCCACTGCAAGCTTGCCGGCTTCGGAGTCAGGATTGCTCATCTCTTTGATGAAGTCTTCCACCTGGTCGTCTGTATATGGGATGCCTTTGTCATCGGCGGGGACACCGTACTCTTCGACGCAACATTCGAAGGGCATGTTACTAAGCGCTAGTGTCTCATCTCCCACCGGTAGTGGCAGGTTGATACCTTGCTTCTTGAGCGCAATCTTTCGCTCGTGCAAGTTGCCCCAGAGAAGGAACAATTTCTGTTCGAGTTCGAAGAGCTTGGCGGGGTGCGCAGAAAGGCTGTAGAGATGTTAAAGAACCGTGGTGCAGGGACACAACGTTAACTTACTCGACAGGCTCCATGTTGAGGAGACATTGCGCTCGAGCAGTGTCAATGGTGAGAGGAAATCGAACTGGTGTCGTGCCTGCAGGCGCATCTGCATCCTCCACCAGGAGAAAGAAGTGCCAGGCAAATCTGACAGGCGTTGGACCATGCTTTGACGGCTGTGAATATTCATCTGAGGATATCGAGATCGACGCCTGACTGTTAACTGGGGCGTTTGTAATCCTAGTGAAGTTCTTGAGCTGGAGAGGGTAGTGGTCGACTACTCGTAGGCGCGTTCGGTATCTGGAGTTTACAAATGGCAATAGCAGTTCATCACCGGTCTCCGTTATGGTCTTCAGCCATGGGTTGTTCACGATATCGTCCACGGTGGAAATGCCAACATCTTTGTCCCCAGTGCAGACTGGAGGTACTCAGTATAGTGTCAATAAGCAAATGGGGGTAGTCACCGTTCTTGTTGAGCCCTTTTACTGCTGTCTCCGCTGCGTCAACTTTCTCTTGCAGCTCCTTCTGCTGTCGCTCCTTCTGCAAGCGCTTCTTTTCTTTCTTGGTTTTCTTTTTCTGGTGAGAAGCTATCGCTGAAGGCTTTTTAGGAACGTTTGTAGGCTCATCGCGGGCGAGTAGAGTTGCAGCATGCTTCTTCTCATATTCTGCTTTCCGTTCTTTGAGGGCAGCCACCTGTGCTTGATGGGTGCATTTTCGAATGTTGATTCTGTCTCTATACTGGGGATCCGCATGGATAGCGCCTTCCAACGTGTTCATTGCTGAGAACTTCGAGCGGACATTCTGGAGGAAAACAAAATCGCCTTTATCGAGTTGACGAGCCACCCCGGCGTGAGGCTCGTACGTGCGAATTTGGATAGTCATTTGACCGAACGGGCCGGGCCAGGGCCTCTTAGGACCCCCGAAATCGTCATAATCGGTCTTCTCTTCATATAGGAAGAGGTCTTTGTTCGTGGTGTAATCGGTAACATAGAGATCCACAGTCTCGGCAGGACCCCAGAACGTCTTGACAACTTCACCCACTAGATCGTAGAAGATGCCGAACGTCCATTCACTGAGAGTGTGCTGCCTTTTACCTCTCTTGAGAATAGTATTAGTTGGTCCAAGTCGAGCTTTGAACATGGCCCCAGGCATCTTCAACTCCTCCAGAAGTGGTGCTGCCGCAGCCTTCATGTTGATGACAGCCACCTGGTCAGCACGGCCTGGAGGTTTGGTACCAAGCATGCGTGAGTAAATAAGCTTCGAGGTGCCTCCGGGGTGGTAGTCATGGCCGGACTCTGGCTGGGGTATGCTCTGCTCAGGGAAGAACAGCACTTCTGATTGAAGCTCTGAGCAGTTGACAAGGGTCTTCTTGCCCGGCGTCCCAAGGATCTCCACCTTCATGCCTCGTAGGATGGCTATGTCTCCAGGGTTGCCCGTGGGCAAATGGTCAAGTTTCCGCCGCTTGATGATGCAAGGCACACTGTCCTTCTCCTCACCAGGAAACTTGTCTTTGATGGTGAATTTGATGATGTGGTCTCCGCCAGCTTTGTTAGGCTGGTTAGGAGCAAGAATGTTGGTGATCGCACCGATGAAGCAGCTATCATCTTGAGTCCATAGAACATCTCGTAGGGGAAGAAAGCCACTGGACTGAGCCATCGGCTGGAAAAGGTTAGCGCCCAAGTAGACGCGAACTCAAGCAACCTGTGAGTGGACTCGAGGCAAGTCAGAATGTCACGTGCGTCTCCGTTCCTCCAGACCAGTACGCGTGTGCATCGATACAGGTGAAGCTATGAGCAAACAATGACACGCTTGCCGTGCTAACGATGTGCGGAGGCGGTCATTGTGTTTGGGGAGGACGCGACAAAGCGATGGTAAGTGCCAAGCACGTAGGCCCAAAGCGGCATTAGTTGAGCTTGCCGCTTCCGCCTTTTCATGTCCCCTGCGGGCCCCACGACAATATAATCCCCCTCCAAACAAAAGGCCTGTCGCCCACAACACTCTCTCACCGCCGCCAACCAGAGAACAGTTGACAGCACCGCACCATGGCCGACAAGTACATCCCCGAGCACCGTCGCACGACGTTCAAGGCAAAGAGCGCTTTCAAGCCTGACGAGCTCCGCCGCCGCCGCGAGGAGCAGCAGGTCGAGATCCGTAAGGCGAAGCGTGAGGAGAACCTCGCAAAGCGACGAGGCATCGCCGGCCGCGACCAGCCAGGCGCTTCGCTCGGCGCCGCCCCCGACAGCGATGACGAGGGCACCAACATCGAGGGCCAGGTACGATTACCCCTCCTGCACCTGCCCGGGGTGCTCGCTGCGAGACTATAGAACATATGGCTAACCCATGTGACAGTTGAATGAGGAGCTCCCACAGATGGTCAAGGGTGTCTTCTCCGACCAGATTGACGAGCAGATCCAAGCCACCACCAAGTTCAGAAAGCTCCTGTCCAAGGAACGCAACCCTCCCATCGAGCGGGTTATCGAGACGGGCGTCGTGAGCCGGTTCGTCGAGTTTCTCCGGTCGCCGCACACACTCGTTCAGTTCGAGGCAGCATGGGCACTTACCAACATTGCCTCCGGTTCTGCCCAGCAGACGCAGGTCGTCATCGAGGCCGGCGCTGTACCCATCTTTGTCGAGCTTCTCAGCAGCCACGAGCCGGATGTGCGAGAGCAGGCCGTGTGGGCGCTTGGAAACATCGCTGGTGACAGCCCGCCTTGCCGTGACTTTGTTCTTCAGGCCGGTGCTCTTCGCCCGCTCATCAACCTCCTTGGTGACAGCCGCAAGCTTAGCATGCTGAGGAACGCTACGTGGACGCTAAGCAACTTCTGCCGCGGAAAGACTCCCCAGCCGGACTGGCAGACTGTGAGTATATCCTCTTATACATGCATTGTACCGAAGTTGACTTTGTTAGATTGCTCCTGCGCTCCCCGTTCTTGCTAAGCTCGTCTACTCGCTAGACGACGAGGTCCTCATCGACGCATGCTGGGCTATCTCATATCTTTCGGATGGCGCAAACGACAAAATCCAGGCTGTTATCGAGGCTGGCATTCCCCGCCGCCTTGTTGAGCTGCTGATGCACGCTTCTACCTCTGTCCAGACCCCCGCCCTCCGCTCTGTTGGTAACATTGTCACCGGCGACGACGTGCAGACTCAGGTCATCATCAACTGCGGCGCGCTCCCAGCCCTGTTATCTCTCCTCAGCTCCACTAAGGATGGTATCCGGAAAGAGGCTTGCTGGACCATCTCCAACATCACTGCTGGAAACTCGACCCAGATCCAAGCTGTCATTGACGCAAATATTATCAAGCCGCTCATCCACCTCCTCCAGAATGGTGACTTCAAGACCCGAAAGGAGGCTTGCTGGGCTATCTCCAATGCCACTTCCGGCGGCCTCCAAAGGCCCGCTCAAATCCGGTTCCTCGTCGAGATGGGCTGCATCAAGCCCTTGTGCGACCTGCTCGCATGCCCGGACAACAAAATCATCCAAGTCGCTCTTGACGGTCTTGAGAACATTCTCAAGGTTGGTGAGATGGATAAGGAGTCTGGTAACGAGGCTGGCGAACCCATCAACCGTTATGCACTTTTCATCGAAGAAGTTGGCGGTATGGAGAAGATTCACGACTGCCAGAACAACGCCAACGAGGAAATTTACATGAAGGCGTACAACATCATCGAGAAGTACTTCTCTGATGAGGACGGTGACGCCGAGAACATGGAGGGTAACGGCCCTCAAGTCACCCAGGACGGTCACTTCGGTTTCGGCCAGCCGCAAGCACAGCAACAGCAGAACTTCAACTTTGCCAATGGCGGTGACATGGAGATGTGAGCGACGAACGCATGACTCGGACCTTCAAAAGTATATCCTCTCTTACCGCAGCCAAGTTGGATCTGTACCCTCGAACTGCAGCCCGAAAGCTCCCTCCGGCTAACCCTACCCTTGGACTACAACATCCAGACGGGAATTTCTACACTGTTTAATATACGACACGTTTCCACACATCCTTCCGTCCATATGGAACACAGTATTCCTTTTTTGACGGATCCAGTCACACCCGAGATTCCCAGCGGCCGACCCCCTTGTTATGTCAAAGCCATGAAAGCATCGTATGATACACCGTCTTGTAACCCCCTGAATTTAATCCGCATCATATCCCCGGCGTTCTCAATTTGGTTTTGCGAGTTCAACTCCCTTGTTTTTGTACGGCCTTTTGGGTGCTTGGGTGGATGGACGGTGACGTGCAACACGATGCGGTAGGATGATGGGCTCTGTTTGAGCAAAGATCTTGGCGGCTGGTGTCTCTTGCCTGTATTCCGTCCATACACGGCCAATAGCTCAATGCAATTACTGTTCAAGAATCTCTAGTCATTGTGACATTTGTGATTCGTGGGGACCCTGTACGAGTAAGCCCTGTAAGCCCCGCATTGCGCTGGTGCGTCATGGTCCTTGGCGCATACCCCACGACAACCGAAACCACACGGTGCACTTCGCGTGGGGGCTTCTGTCCTTGTCTTGGGCGTTGTCCAACAGCAGCCCTCAGGTCGGTGAACACGTCGCTGTGTCGTCTCAATTTATAGACACGGTCTCCTGTACATATAGTTCGCTCACCGATGGCCCGGCCCGCCATATCTTTCTTGAATGGCGCAATCTCACCGCCTTGACTCACCACATGCTCACTGCCACATTCCTACAGCAACTGTGAAGAAGCTCACTAGACGCGAATTTAGTCGCTCATTCTTCGGTCTACGTTCTTTTTAGCTTCGCGTCGTTGTTTCTGCAGCAGTATGTGTAGATTTATGGTATGCGCCTTTACTCGCCTCTATGCTAAACACCCTCGCTCACAAACACAGGTATACAAGGGCAAGGACGAGATCCTCCTCTCAGAACTCATCCTCAACCCCACTCATTCCATTCTCACACAGTCCTTCGACTCACGCCTACGCCTCGTACGCCCTTTCCATCCAACAATCCAAACGCTCAACTCTAACACAGCAGACAGGACACGCGCCGCCCGCACAACGGCGATGGCTTCGGCATCGGCTATTACACCTCCCCCTCCCTAGGCCCTGAGCCCTGCGTCTTCACCTCCACGATTCCAGCATGGAACTGCCTCAACCTCTCGCGCATCGCGTCCAAAACCACATCAAGCCTGATCTTCGCGCACGTCCGCGCCACCACCGAGGGCAACCTCAGCGACCAGAACTGCCACCCGTTTTCATACAAGCGGCTGATGTTCATGCACAATGGCGGCATCGGCTCGTTTAAGCGCATCAAGATGAAGCTCGCCATGTCGCTCAATGAACGCTGGTTCACACTGGTGCAGGGCTCGACAGATTCGGAGTGGGCGTTCACGATGTTTCTAGATTGCCTGGATAAGGCGGGACATGATCCGGACAAGGATGGTCCTTTCGGGCACACCGTGTTAAGAAAGGGCATTCTGAAGACGATTGAGCGGATCAATGCGTTGATTAAAGAGGTGGTGGACAGGGACGGCGTGGACGAGGAAGACAGCAGGAGTCTGCTGAACTTTGCGGTCACAGATGGCGAGAGCGTAGTATGCTCGAGGTATGTGAGTTCGCGGACGGACGAGGCAGCGAGCTTGTTCTGGAGTAGTGGGACGAGCTGGAGAGAGGCTGAGCCTGGACAAAAAAGACTACGTCATGGAGCGACGGGATAAAGGCTCCGATATCGTGCTTGTCGCGAGCGAACCGTTGACTTTCGAGAGAGGTACGTGTCTAATCTTACGAAGCTATATGGGATGTTTGCTAACGGTAGAGAAAGATAACTGGGTGACCGTTCCAACCAACTCAACCGTGACTATTCACAAACAGACTGTCATGATTCACCCTATCATCGATGATTTTTACTCCGCGAATCCAGCACACGCGCGATCTGCGGGGTTTGCACAAGCGAAGGGGCAGACGATCACAGGCCCTGACAAGGTAGTGCTTCAGCAGCGCGTGAACGGTGAGGGGAGTGGGGGCAGGAGTCCGGATCAGATCAGTAAGGAGGTGGTGAGGGAGGCAATCAGTAGGCTAACGGTAGCTTAAATGGCTAGAGGAAAGGCGGTTGGTCAATCCTGGAACTACTACTGAATTTCAGGTGTATGTTCAGGCCACAGGCTCATAAATCCAATGACAGTGAGTCGTCGTCTGCAGTCACACTACCTACCGGTACGGCCACACTAGTCCTGTACATGAACCCTGAACCAATCATGAGCAATGTAAATCGCTTAGGAATACGAGTCAATTGTCTAATCGCCACCTTGGACGATCATCAATCATTATCGCCGGGGGGGCTTCACGTCGGTATGCTGGGTCAGACCATAGGACAAGTGTTCTGTCCGTACAATTTGTTCAACAGATAGCAGTATCGCTTCGCAGAACCGAACAACACTCCAAATCCCTGGCCCTTCAGCTTCTCACTTTTCTTTTTTTGGAGAAGGAATGGATTTGTGGCTGCAGCAATCTAGACTCCATAAATGATAGCAGCCGTGTTTACCGTTGCGCTGTGTGTTTGGGGGCCCAAAGTGCGGCAAGGTGTGAGCTATACGGACAACATGTTTCCCAGCGACCGCCCTAGACTTGTACTTACCATTTCGCAGTCATGTCAGGCTGTACTTTCTGTATCTGCAGCAACAGAACTACTGTTTGAGGCCACTATGCGTACTCTTACCTACGCTCTGAACTTCGCCAGCGTCGCGGCAGCCGGAGCTTTGGGGCTTGCACCAACACCTACAGCTTCAGCCTTACTTCCCAGAGAGCCTGAGACAACCGAAACTTCACCTCCACTGACAGTCGGCTGGCTTGCTATCGGATCGCTAGACGGATCCACGGCTTGTGGGTTTGACGCAGACTATTACAAGAGTACTGATTGACTATCGACAGGGGCGAGCTCCACAATCCGAGAGGATGAAGCTTACCTTTGGACGCAAGACGACCTCTGGCAAGTATGCGCCTCTACAGAGACCATGTATAGCGGTAAAGAGAGTCTGTCATTTCTGTCAGTCACTACTTACACAACTACCCCTTGTGGGATGTGGACTGGCTGCTCCGATACCACACTGTACATGTCTGGAAGAAGCACTACATGGTGAGATCCAAGTGTTCAAGGAAAACATCTGCGACATTCGTGCTTACCTTTTATCTAGCCTCGGATTAGCTGGCGCATGCTACATGGACATCAAGTATAAGTCAGTTAGCGCTACGTTCGGAGTCACTCGCTATTACTGCGACTGGACAGGTAGGCACCAAGAGGGCACTACGTCGGTTTATGAGACCCTTCCGCCATCAGGTCAGTATCAAGGAAGGACGGACTACAAAAGCCCAGCTTACACTATGCAGCTTCTATAGCCATTACATCGGACCTGTCCTCACCCAGCGTGCCTACTATCCAATCGACGATCGCAAACTCGACTGCAGCTTCTCCACAGACCTCGGGATCTCCGAACGATAACGGCACTACTTCCGGAGGAGGTGGCTCAAATAACACTGGGATAATAGCTGGTAGTGTTGTAGGAGGCCTCGCCATACTAGCTATATGCTTCGTAGCAGTCGTGTGGCTGCTCAAACGCGGGAAGCGCGAGAAGCGCGAGAAGCGCGAGAAGCGCGAGAAGCAAGCTGCAGCAGATATGGCGCATCAAAGTGCTATGCAAGAACCGTATGCGAAGGCGGAGCTTCCCAGTGATGCGCCTAAATATGCGGATCAGCAAAACACGACGAGTTTAGCGCCAGCGCCGGCACCGGTTCCTCCTGAGGAACTCTACGGGAGCGAGCCAAGTGGGAACCCTTATGGGCGCGGAGATGTGAGTGAGACGAGGGGTATGAGATCAGTGCGATGAAGGTCACGAGGCATTGAACTGGGCATTGATCAGACAGTGGCTTTTTAAACCGTATGCCGTGCGGATACTGTGCCCTATTTAATCTAGTAAGCATACGATAAGATGTGTATTTCAACACTTACTGCATGCTGAGAGATTGTGTTACCACAGATTCTATCTATGTTATCTACACCATTTCCAGGGATATGACGCCCTGTAACGCCAATGCCGATGCCATGCTAACAGACAAGCTCATGCTCAGTCAGTCGGCTTGTGGAAAAGTAAGCCCATACTTGCGCATCTGGAGATTCCAACGCCAATGAACGCCATATGAAGTTGAAAGTGTGAATGGAAGACGCACCTGAGCTATATGTGCTCAGTGCAACCTCAACGTCCCGCTTCCTCCCAGTCCTCAAACTTGATCTCCTCCGCCCCATCCGTAAGCGTAAACCGATGCGTCGAGAAACGGATAGACTCGTAGAGCGTCCGCCCCGCAGCCCTTGCCTTCTTATGCCACGGACCTAGGCCGCCGAGATGAGCGTCTTCCCGCGAACGCCAGAAGCCTACTTACGTTAGCACTGCACATTCCTCCCCCTCTCATCGCCTTGGAAACTTACAAGTAGCCATGTTTCTCCGCTCACCATCCGTCTTCCCGAACCAGTACTTCAGCAGGCCCCCCGACTCGCATGCCTCGCGGTGGCTCTCGTAATCGAGTTTGTAGAGTAGGTCGTTGTCGATGTCGGCTTTTAACTGGGAGCGGAAGATGACGACGTAGAAGGTGTGTGATTTCCAGGTGTAGTTGGCTTCGCGCGAGAAGGAACGCACGAGGGAGAGGACGGTGGGGAAGTCAAGTGAAGAAATGTAGGGCGCGGTGGCGTAGTCTGAGCGTAGGGGCTTGAGTGCTGTGAGTGCTTTGGCGAAGATCAGGTTGGGCGTGTCGAGGGTGCTAAGGTCGAGATAGTGTCCGGGGTTGTTGTATGGCGAGGATATGAGCTGTGAAGAGCGGTCTGTACTGTGGTCTTTTGGGTCTGGGAAGTCTAGTTGGCGTGATGCTGCTGCTTCGAACCGCAGTTCGTCGAACTCCTGGGTGATTGATGCGGGATCCAGGACTGAGTCGCGGCTCTCAACATCAGTTGAAGGATTGATTTTGAGCTTGCTTTTCGAAATGGTAATGTCGTTGGGCGCTTTCGCTTCGTCTGCCAGGGCAGACAAGTCAGGACCCGGTGCCATTGTGTTCTCAGTGCTCTATTTCTACTCTGCGACGACGGAAGTTTTCTACAGCCGCTTTTAGTTACGCCTTTCCAGTAAAGAATATCTCTTGTCTTTTCACAGTGCGCTTCCAGTGGGCACTTGCTTGATCGACCTCGTCGAATTGGGTAGAACTTTGTACGCGCTTGTCCCTAAGGCTCCAGAGAAATGAGTTTGGGCGTGAGAAACAGCCGTTGTTGCAGGTCAAAAGGCCTAGGTATTTTGGTACACCGCGTTGACAATTCGCTCTCAGGCGTGCGATCACGCAATATGTCGCGACGTCCAGAGAGTGCTGTGGCGACCGTCCCTTCCCCATAGTTCCCCAGGCGTCCATCTTGCGCCATTTTGATCTCGCCATGCGGAAGAGGGTCATCGTGCCTGATGTACCCGTACCTGCGTGCTACCTGCGTGCGTATAGCGAATCAGGGGATTGGTTGCTGATCTAGCGCTGCGACAGGGTGCGTTCCATCGCATGCCGTACCACTCGCAAATGTTCGAATCTCAACATTCTGAGCTGCATCGCGAACAACGAGCAAAGAATGTGTCAATCATATGTCGTGTCCCGGCTGCTCGCGCAAATGTGATCCCCTCGGTATCGGACAATCAGAATCGTGGTTCCTGCGAAGTGCCTGTAAATGTTCCTCTTTTCGCAGGACATTAAGCCTGATCTGCATTGCCCGTCGATCAACGGCACGCATACTGTCGGCCTCATTGAGACGCGTAAGTGCCATTCTTTAGGCGTTCGAACGTTAGTACTGCAGGAAAGCGGTGTGAACTCGGTGCCATGCTTGCATGGAACCGCACGTAGAAGACTAGACCTCCAGCAGTATTGCTACCCAGCGGTGGGGTCCCTTCCAATGCTAAGGTCTACATATTGCGGCACAGGAAGCGGGCGGTGATCCGCTAGTCGTCCTGGTCCCTTAGATGAGGTTGCACTACGCGTTCGTTCGCCGAGTCGTTCTTGAGATTTTGCGGTGTTGTCATATGATGCGAGTGCTGCCATCAAGGGAAGGAATGGAGAAAGCACTGAGACCTTCCACAGCATCTTGAATGCTAGGGCGTGCCTGCTACCGTACCTTCTAGCATATACGAAGTACCGACAGAGCTAAATTAGCGCTGAGCCTATCCAATCACGATGCACAGTATTAAAAGCGGGATACATAGTCTCTCACTGGTCCATACTGCTGTAGCTCTGTTAGTACATGCAAAAGTCTACCATGGTACGGTAGTCTTTGCATTGTCGTGCAGCGGTTTCCTTATTGAGAAAACGCCACCGAACACAGCACCGAACGGTCCAATGCTACCCAATATGTCACTTTTCCTATCTTCCAATAATCTGAGAAACCGGAGTAGCGCTATTTAGACAGAACGCCTGTGGTCGTGATACATACCTGTAAGGTTCGATGATGTAGGATTTTGGAAAGCTCCTGGCGAGTCTATGTACTAGGCAGCACGGTAAGGTTATACTTGAGGCATGTCATGGCATACCAAAGATTAATAAACGCAACTCTCAAGCTTCCTGTAAAAATCTATAGTTTATGTATCAGAGCTCATCTACGGGTTTCGTTATGCACGGGTATACAATTCATATCTCGCAGCCACGCCTCTTCAAACCTCCAACAGACTCTTAATCTCCTTGACTAACATCCTATCTTGCAACACCTTCGGCTGCAGCTTCCCCACTGTACCAGCTGCATCCATCGCCCTCCACAAGTCCCTGACCTCACCTTCCATATCTGCGCAATATACCAGCCAGCCAGCGCAGATCAGCGCCATCTTCTTCACATCGCTAAATTCGTCCTCAGACCCAAGAATCTCGAGCAATGAGGCTAGCAGCTCGACCTGTTCTGAGTCGTCGAGCTCCGACTCGGAAGGGAGAGAAGCGGCAGGATTGGAGCTGTGCTTCTTCATCCGTATCTTGTGGTTGGAGGAGGCGATGTTCATGGCCAGACTGAGGGCTGACGCTTTCAGCGCTGGATGCTTCTCGTCTAGGAGGGCAGTGGTGAGGATGGAGATCAGCGTCGAGGATAGTGGTGGAGAGAGAATATGAGGAACGAAGAGAGGAGAACTGAAGAGGTTGCAGGAAAGGTGCAGCGTAGTGAGCCGCAGTGCATACGGTGCTGATTCGTCTAAGCCATTGACATGGTCGAGCAGCTGTGCTACAGTCGCCGGCGTGCCAGTTGCGCCTGCGTGCTCTTCTGCGAAGAAGCCTGCCACGCGGACGTCTGTCAAAGCAACGCGCAGCAGGTCGAGAGACGTGAATAGAAGCTCTGGTGGTAAGGTAGATGTGCTTCCGCGTAGAAAGTCGGCGAACTTTGGCAACTTGGTGAGGGGCGCTTCCATAGCACCAAAGCGTTCGCGAGCGTCGATGAAAGAGACGATGGAGGAGACAGCTTCGTCTTTACCTGCATCTCCCATCTTCGCCACGACCTTCTCTAGTGGAGGTACTTTGGTGTACAGGATCGGTCGCTGGCTCTGGCTTAGCAGTGTCGGCAGACTCTTCGATAGGTGGGGGTGCGTAGGGAACGCTTCGTTGAGAAGAAGCTCTACGTTGCTTCGTAGTTGGCGTGGGTCAGCCCCACTCCACTCATCCCGCTGCTGACCGCGGAGGAATGTGATGAATGTCGGCGTTGCACGGACGTGAGGGAAGCGTGATCCAATTGAGCGGTCCGCAAAGCTGAAGTCGATCTTTAGAAAGACACACTTGTCCCCAGCTTCCGCGGCCAAGTCATCGAAAGGCTGATACATGATCTTGCAGGGTCCGCAAGTTGAGCTCGTGAAGAAGATGATCGCACAGCGGTCTTTCGCAAGGGCTAGCAGGCGGTCCACAGCTTGTATAGTCGTGACACTGTTGACCCGACCAGTGGCTTCCTTGAGCTCCGCCTCAGCCTTCGTTAGACTAGGTGCTGGCTTTGTCGTGCCATTTTGTGCAGCGTTTTTGACTGCCGAGGGTGCGACAGCACCGTTCTGAGGCGTCGGCGCTTGGGTGACAGGCCTCATCGCCGCGTCAATCTGTGGCCGCAACATCTGCCCGAAAGGCGTATTCAAAACAGTTTCAGGCAGGCTTGTGATATGACCCGGTATGCCCTTCCCCACCAAAAACATCGCAAAGTCGTTCGAAAAGTTATTGCAGTTATGGGCGAATAGATCGTACGACTCGGGCGTATATACGGTCTTCAGGCTTTCTAGATATTCGAGAACAACTTCGATCGGCAGGTCGGTTCGGCCCAAGGGTATTATCTCCATGGGCTTGCCATGGTGGGTGGCGCCCGCGCGACAAGTTTGTACACCTTGTCCGAAGTAGTACTCGATGCCTCCGAGCACGATGGAGGTATGGTAAACGGCGTCGATCTGAATCCCGAGGAACTGTCTGGACATAGAACGTGCAAGGCCCTTTTCGTTGTCAGTACATACATAAAAGTACTGCCTGGAATTCTTACCTGTGAAAGGTCGTACACGTAGAGCTGGACATCCATCGTGAAGGTCTTGGTCCACAGGAGGGGATGCTGACGGGCTATCGGGACATAAGAGCTATTGCGATCGTACGGATAGTATAGTCGAGGCAGTGGTCGCTGATACCTGAGAAATGCGCAACAGTGTTTGTGCAGAGTGGAAGCAGCGTTGCGAACAGTGAATTAGTTGTCAGTGAATGTTCTAGCAAATGTACAGGCTACTGTTGACGTACCACAGTTCAGCGCTCGCGGCCGCCCCGCCACCACGCTTTCCCGCAACGCGCCAGCACGTGCGCCCGCTTTTTGTCCGTTACCCGCACCTTCCAGATGGTTCGCTCGCAGCGAGATACATCCACCAAGCCAACATCGTGATCAGGAAAATACGATCAGTAAATCACGGTATAGCATCCTTGATCTTTCATGGCGCATTCAACGCACGCTTACATGGTACCTTTTGATCATGCGCGATTACATTGTACCAGTCTTCACCAGGCAGCATTGTACAAGAGATTAGCAGACCTGATAGTCAGTGTTGACTCGATGAGCATAATGGCCTCACTGTGATATTAGAGCTCGGTATCAAGAATGGCGAAATTCTCAGCATGCTGCCATTAAAGGCAAGTTGTTTTCGGTATAAGTGTTCTAAGCGTTCGATATGTACAACAGAAGAGTGAGCGGGCGTCGAGGTGCAACCGGAAAAAGAGCTATACACAGTCCAATTGTCACCCAAAATGACCCATCACGTCCGCTTATTTGCCGCTCTCGTCGAAAGGAGCGGCGCCGATCCAGCTCTTCACCGACGCATCCTCGAAGCTCGTGCAGCCATCAGTCGTCGTGAAGACAACGACCGCGGTCCCCTTGCAGTCCGCCTCGGACCATCCGGTGACGTATCCGTGAGGGGAGGAGGTCGAGATGCGCACGAGGGCAGAGCCACCCTGGGGAAGGGTGCGGTTCACGCAGCCGGTACCAAAGACCGCCTTTGCAGGAGAAACAGCGGTGTCGCAGGTGAGGCTCGTGTCGAAGACGCTGATGACGAAGTCAAGGGGAGTGTCGGCCTGGGGCTTGGGGGCCGCGGCGGCGATGGTCGCGAAGGCGAGGGCGAGGATGGACTGGGTGCGCATCTTTGCGTTTGTAGGGTGAAAGGTATTGTTGAGTTGTAGAAGAACGAGTGTTTGGCTTGTCGGTGGTACTCTGTAGGTAGTGGCGCAGATGCTCTTATACTGTCTCTTCTATACCCTGTTTATGCTTCCAGGTTCCCATGGAGTCGGCATCGCCTTGTACAAGGGTGACCCGCACGGCATTTGGAGAGCCCCGACCGACATGTCTACAATCCTTCTCGCAGACTGCACAACTCTGTGAAACGACTAATCTGATAGCAGTTGCCCGAGGTAGCATGATGCTCACGGACAGCGGTCGAGGCTATGGCAGATGAGGCTGAGTGCCTTCAAGGTGCCCTGTAACGGATTCATCGTGGTGCTAATTGTTCCGGGAAGTGCATGGCTAGCTTAACAGAAAGTAGGGCAATAGCATAAGGGTCTGACGTACGCTAGGGGCCATCTCGTGCGGGAGGGATTGTGACTTCTGTTCTGGGTTAGGTAAGGCGGCCAAGGACTTCTCTTGTAATTGGCCTTCAATGCTACCTCGGCCACAGAGTTCATGTCATAAGTGGGTAATTGTAAAAGTGTAGAAGGCTTCACGAGATTCTCTCGGTAGGGTAAGGATTGCGGATGCTATTTCTCAATACCCCAATCAAGAACTGTGTTGTGATCATGCCATAACTGTCAAAGCATCTCATCTCCAGGACTTCAACACGTCACCTCCAATCACCGTACACCGCCTCGAAACCAAGAAATCTAAAGGCCGCGGCAAGATGCATGCCAATGAAAGGAAAGATCGATGAATATGAGAATCCGCTTCGAAGTTCGCGTATCCACATCCCTTTTCAAGTATTCTTCGGCTAGCTGCGAAACCCGGACTTGAGCGAGGTACTGATGCTTTCGGACATGCGCGACATTACCTTGTCAGAATCGTTGTCAAGTAGAACATGGCCCCCACATACCATCATGGGAGGCCAAGGCCTACGCTGTGCTCCTCGCGTAGAATAGACGTGGGTCTACAATCTAAACCCAACAACTGGTTCTCATATCCACCACTAACAACTCGCTTCATGACTCGTATCGTGTGCGAGTGACATACACAATGGTCTTACCGTTGTGCCAGTCTACATAGGCAGACATCATAGTAGAGTAGGATTTTCAGACCACCGGCTTCTAGAAGTTTAGTTTCGTTTACAGGCACCTGTAACATCCACATCTGTTCGGAAGTGGGTAAACTTGTAGCATCCCCACCCGCTCGGAAGCCACTCTTAAAGGTGGAACAATTCAACTTGATCCGACTTCCATGTCTGCAGTCCACTTAAATCGGATCCGACCACGCCGACCACAGCAGCTTCGATTCATCAGCCAACTCACCTTGCTCGCACTGGCTCAATCAAATCACCCTCTAGTCAAAAACTCGCAGCAAAGGCTGTATTAAACCAGCTTTAAACATATTCACAATATATCTAGGGGTTCGCAATATGAACCAATTCAGCAAGCTGCCTCCGCCTCGCTTCTATGTGGCCAGTTCATCCCAGAGGTCAATTCATGTTCATCTAGTCAGCATGTCAACATAGTTGCAACCCGAATACGTAAGCGGACGTCGCCATCCACATCGCTAGCCTGACCTTCATCCCCGGTACGCCTCATCAATAGCCACTGCGAGCACATGTCCCTCGTCGCGCTGCCACAGCGAATCGCTCGCCTCGTGCGAGACGTAAGCATCGATGCCGAGGCAGAGGCGCGGCAGGGGAACCGGAGAGCTGCAGCGCTTCCTTCGTACGCAGGTGGCAGATGACGTGCGGAAGGAGTAGTGCTCGCGCAAGGGTGGCCTGTGTGCGACCAAGAACGTCGCATAATCTGACAAAGCAGACACCAAGGTCTTGGAAGATGCTTATTCTATCTGCCTCTATGCAAATTGTCTTCGAGAAGCAGACGTAGTAAGTCAAATGTCCCAATCTCACAGATAATACAACTAGACCAAATCATTACATTGCCAAACCTAAGAAAGAACGGGTATACCCCCAAAGCCCAAACGCGACCGTGTACGCCTCGCACTATAATCCCACCCAAACCCTCAACCATCAAAAGTAATGCGGCACATGCCTTTTCCACCCTTGCGCAATCCAGCACTCCTCCATCTCACTCTCCAAATCCACATACCACCCCCCATGCAACAACCCCTCTTCTTTCTCCGTCCAATCGCCCATCTTACCGGCAGACTTGAAATCCAGGTCCCCGAGTTTAGCTTCTATCGGCGCGGTCTGGTCCGCCCAGGGAATGCGGATGAACAGGGAGCAGTCCCTCAGCGTCATGGCGAGGCGAAGGCGGTAGTCGTCTTCGGGCGAGGAACTGTGTACAAGGACGCCCTTTTGGTCGAGCTGCGCTTGGAGATGGCGGATGTGTTGGAGGATTTTGTGGCCTGGGCCGGTGGAGAGGTAGGGGACTGCGCGGTTGGTGATGGCTTCTATGTGGGCTGGATCTGGGCCCATGATTCGCTCTGTGCGTGTGTCAGTGAATAGTTTGGTTTTTAGAAATTAGGGACTGGGGTTCAGGCAGGGGCCAGACAACTCACGAATAGGCCTTCTCCGGGGTCTATTCCGAGTTGTGGTATCTTGCGCCATTTCCTGGTATAGGGCGGTTGTGTGCCGCTTATATAGGTACCGGGGCGATACATACTATCCAGGCCACACGGTATGAAGGGCGTCATAAACGGAAAGGGTCGACTTACTCTGTGGGCCTTTGCGGGCCTCCTCCTTCAGTGCAAGAAGGGAGCTGTGACGGACATATGGATCAATTGCGGCAGTGCTGCCGGCTACGAGTGCGAGCGGGCAGATCCAAGCTCCTTTGTAAGTCTTCTCAGCTTTTCGTGAGGCATGGAGCGCGCATGTGCGGCATAGATATGCGCCTCGTGGCGCGTTCGGTGACTGGAGTAGCCATTTGGGCTTGATCTCGATCGTGGTGACTGATCCAGGAACCGAAGACATGTCGGGAAGCAAGATGCCCCTCTCTTCCAGGTGGTGCGGCTCGATATGCCTATTGTCAGGACAGTGTGTGTGCAACTCAGCAATCAGCGCGGTCAAGGCTTCGGGTGCTATTGCGACACCCTCGTGTTCCATGACGAACTCTTCAAAAGACTCGTTGATCGAAAGGTTCAGAGCGTTTCTGAGACCTGAGACTTGGTCTAGCGGTGCCTCAGTTTTGCGAAACAATGGTATGACCTCGTTCTCAAAGCCCTCCATGATCTCCTTGTATCTTAGCGTCTTAGGTTTCCCTTTGCTGAGGCGTAAGACCTTCCGACCAAGGCTTTCCTTTCCCAATATCTTGCCCTTCTCATCCTCGAAGACGAAGCTTTCCTTGCCCTCGCCCGGATTCGGGATCACCTGAAAGACTGCGTTCGCGGCACCTTCTGCGAGAAATGCAAAACAAAAGGTGTTGAGCGACTCATCGTTACTTCCATAGAGGGCTGGACGACAGCGAATTTTGGGCTCGTGAGATGGTGGAGAAGCTGATTCGGACTCCTGCGTTTCCTGGCTCTCTGCGTCTGGGTTTTCGACTGCGGTCAGGCCTGGCAGGGGATCCTCGGACGCCATTTCTAACGATGCAGCGAGTGTATAGAAACAAGAAATGAATATGGTTGTCCGTGGCAAGTCACTAGAGCGGTAGAGGTGTGTGTACGCCGGATTCCCTGTGGGTCGCAACTATTGAAAACCAACTCCAAAGATACCGTTGTTGTAAGGCACGACTCAACAGTATGGTCCTGCCTCTGACTCCTTCTATTTCACACAGTGCGCCGCTCCTCACAACGTCGAATTCTGCGTCGCGCTGGTAGCATGGGTGTTGCGCGCGTCCTCCAATGACGTGTGCGCGCAGACTCAGAAATGTGTCTGCGGGGCTCTTTTCCACACGAACTCCACGACAATTCCGGGCAATGAACGCTTTCACTCATCTTTTCGCGGGTCCGGGCCTTTAAAGGTGAACGATACGAGCTGGCTGGTTTTCGTGGCGGCGCATTTCGCTACCAGGATTGGATGATTTTGGAATCGCAGGCGGCGCGCGTGCGCCAGAAACACGGCTGGCATCCCTGCTCTCAGCGCCTTTCGTAAGCGCCATTCCTCATTTTCACTAGTCCCAGGCGCCTGAAGGCTCAGAAGACCCATTGATGATGATGCAAATGCCCCTAAGGCAAAGATTATATGGATAGATGGAAGTCTGCAATACTAATGACGCTCCTATCCTAGGCAGCATCGGTCCATAACCACCAAAAACGAGTATACCGCAACGCCGCGACCAAGGGTATACCAAAAGCACATCAAGATGGAATGCCAATCTCGTATCCGAGCAAAACCTCCGTCGTACTCCCTTCCCAGCCTCTGTTCCCGCCGGTTGATATCATGAACTGGCATGTAGGATCAAGATACAGCTGCGAAACTACACCTGTCCGATGACCTGGAACGATCCAGAAAGGTACAGCGAGATTTTTGTTTTCTTGCTCATGAAGGTCATACAACCGCAGAATGTCATAGGAAGCGCTATTCGGAGTTAATCAGGCAACATGAAGAGCATGGTCAAACGTACCAGACAAGGTGTCGCCCGTTGGGCATCGCCCGCACAGCGCTCACGGCACCACTAACCCCGGGAAATTTGAAGGTTCGTCGAGGTTCTCGCAAACTTTTGTGAAGGCTGTACTCATCAACAGTACCGTTCCTTCGGCCGGCGTAGATGAAGTTGCCGTCCGGTGACCAGCAAGCATTCATACACCAAGGCGGGGTATTACGTGGAGGCGCTATGCGAGCGATTGGATTCGATTGCCGTCGATCCCAGATGCGAACTGTACCGTCAATTGCCGCGTCAAAGAATGTCGTTTCGGACGAAGCTGGTTGTTCAGCTTGCATTGAGTTTGTACCGGCCGATCCTGAGACTTCTTCCGAATGGGGAAGACCATTGACAAGCGCGCTGGACTGGGCCTCCGACACTCCGTTGGGCAGTGTTTCGGTCTGCGTAGTTCCCAGAGATTCCTTCAAGGCTTCAGGTGATTGTTCGCGGGCGGGAGCTTGGACCGGGCCGCCAAGATCCATCATGTCCATACCAGCGTTTGCATCCTCGTCCGCCTGCTGTATACCATTGGCGATGGCTCTCGAAAACTCGTCTTCCTCATCGTCTCCGAATGGCGCGAGCCCCGATGGGCCATTGGATGGGTCTTTGTCGTCACCGAACAGGGAATCTTTGTCGCCGAACAATGAGTCTTCGGGCGAGCCAGCAGCATCTTCGTTCCCGTTCGCTTCTACAGCCGAAGGTCGACTGGAAGGCCCGACGCCATTAGAGAGACCATTGGCTTGTGGGCGAGCTGCGTTATTGGACGAAAACGTGCCGTTTGAGACTGGCACTATGTCGGTGTCCTGTGGAATAGGCAATGTAGACATCGGTCTTTGCTCGATCGCGGAGATCTGCTGACCATTACTTGTCTCAAAGCGTCTCTTCACTTGTCCTGTGTTGAGATCCCAGTCGTTTATAGTCTTGTCCCAACTTCCTGAGAGCACCGAAGTCTCATCTTGTGCGAGCGTCAAAACAGACACAGCCGAGGTGTGCTGTCGAAGAGTGTGTATCCGCTTGCCTTCTTCATGTCGCACAGATTGCAGGTTTATGCCTCCTGACTCTAGTCCAGATAAGAGCCAGAGTGACTGGTGGTGTACAGCAAGGGAGTATACTGGCGAGAGACTGGTAGCCTCGTTGCGGTCGGAATCGTCGTTTTCCCAGTAGCTAAGAAGCACCCCAGCTTTCGTGACACTATCAACGAACGGGTGCCGTTGAGCCACGGTGAGGGCCAATTTGCCATTGGCCGTATCGATCCAATTAAACTTCCTTATGTATCCATCTGCTCCTCCACTGAAAACCCACCGCATGTCTGGCGTCGCAGTCACGGCATTTATCGAGGTGCTGTGTGGGGCTGCGATCGTAGGGATGATGTCGTATACGAGCGCATTGAGGGCTTCTGGTCGTACACTCGGTCGGAACGGCAGACCTCCTGCCAGTTCGGCAGCTCGTGGAGAAGGTGAGGTCAAGGTGACGGTCGGGTTTGTATCGGTTCTTAAGGGGCCTGGCATAGCAGAAGAGCCATTGGGAAGGCTGCGCGGCCGTTGTGAGGGGCTGACTGGCTCCTCCTGGTCGTCGTCGTCATTGTCCCCGTTCCCATCATCATCGTCTCCGTCGCCATCATCGCCATCCTCGTCCCCTTCGTCGCCATCTCCATCGCCATCAGCGTCGGCATCGGCATCTGCGTCCCCGTCGTCTACATCCTCCATGATCTCGTCGGCATCGTTCTCGGAGCCTGAATCTTGGGAGCCTGTTGCATCTAGTCAGCTTCGTGCGTGATAATCAGGAAATGGGAGAGCGACCTGCTCCATTCTCGTCCTCGTCGTCGAAATTCATGCTGCTCCCATGAACCTTGACTAATGGCCTGCGGGGAGGCTGACCACCGGGAGTCGACAGCAGATCGTATGCGCAAAGTGTGCTAGAAGCGGTATGCTGCGTCTACAGAAGTAGACAATACATGGGAGAGGGGGCGCATGCGCATGTAGCCAAACAGCTCGCAGTCTCGGTCGCGTTGCGCGTAGACGTGCACGATGAGGCTCTCGGCTGCGGGCTGCGGGCTGCGGAGCGGGTCATAGTTGCTGGGATGTTCCAGTGGAGGCTGGCGCTAAGCAGAGCGAGAGAACCTCGCCTCAACACCGATCTTCTCCAACAGCGATTCACATAGTTGTATGCTTGTACTGCCTTGGAGAGTAGCCGCACTGCGTGATTTCGAAGCCAGCACTACTGCTCAATTTGCATCGATCGACATGTTCCCCGTTCAAGATACGCCTGGTTCAAAATCATGAAGTCAACAATGTCTTACCTTCCGCGTCAAAGCAAATCCGAATTTGAAAGCTGTCTACGCAAATCGTTTGCTCTTGCAAATGCTTATTGACTGTCGTATTCTTTGAATACCAACATCTCGTCTAGAGCACGATCTACCAGGCATGAGGTCGGATGAAAAAATCGCATGGCATCGCTATAAGCTCATGGACGTACCCACTCTTCACCTTGCTGTGGTGCGAGAGGTCTTCTCCATCCCTGTGAGGTTTTACAAAGCTAGGTCTTCTTCATCCATGTTGGTCCAGCACCACCTTGACTTCATCCCACTTCTGTTTGGACTATGCTGAGGTACAAATCGCTCTTAATCCGAATCACGGTTTCACATTCACCCCTACTACAAGCTGCCCCACTTTGTACTTTGTTCACATAAGACCGTCCCCGTCACTTGTGTTTGTCTAGCGGCTTGTTGACCGCCTGCTCCTTCCGTTTGTGCTGGGCGCACCCTCCACCAGACCGACGCGTCTACGACAATCTCGCCGCACCGCCACATTTTACACAAGTTACGCAAACGAGACACCGCCAGTTTGCGATAATGGGGAAGAAGAAGGGTTGGGGCCGGGGAGGCCAATCGAACAATCGTTCACGCGGCGCCAATATGTACGACGCGCTTGCTCTTGGAAGCGGTGGCGACGAGTACGGTAAGCAATTTGCCAACAAGTGTTTGAGTACCCGTTGTTTCCAGAGGACACCCAATACAAATGCCGGAAGCTGTCGAATACGTGCTTTTCAGTCTACTACCTCACCCGCCATATCAGAAGCACCCTCAGCATCGCATAACCTCACAGTTTCTATCACTTCTGTGACATCCACATATCATTCTCCGGGTCACTAACTCAGTAGGCTCTGGGAGCATGAACGCCCATCTTGTGGAGCGCTTGCGCGCGGTCCAACTCCAAGATAGCTATCCGGACCCTGAGGTCGCCCCTCTGGCCAGGCCTTCGCGTACTAACAACGATATTGATAAATATTACAAAGTTGCGAGCAAGTCGGTGGCCAATGCTGGCCCATGGCTTCATAAGCCAGAGTTCCCGACGTCCTCTGAACTTTTCCCAGACGTCTTGACAGGGACAGGGTTTACAGAAGGCGAGCAGATTATCAGCTTCAGCGAAGAGCTTCGCCCAAACAAAGTGGATGGCGATTACGAGTGCAATGAGGAGTACCTTGGCACGCAGTACGAACTGTTACGCGAGGACGCTATCCGCCCACTGCGGGAAGCTGTTCAAGAGGTTAGGAAGGACCCTTGGCGAGATGAATCAGACTATCCCTCGTCAAGTGGAATTGGTATTTACGAACCGGTATACTTGAAAGCGGTCCAGTTCTCCTTCCGCGGGCTTTCCGCTAAGGTCGCATTCTCCTTGACTCGTGTCAAGAAACTTGTCCGATGGAACCAATCGAAGCGCCTCATTACCGGAACACTCGTCGCGCTATCGCCGGCAGACGATGCCTTTCAGGATCCTTCTAAATGTCTTCTTGCGATTGTTGGCGCAAGGCCTCTCTCTGCTCTTGAAGCAAACAATCCTCCAGAGATAGACCTATTCTTCGCTCATTCAGAAGAATACGATTGGGACCCAGCGCGGAAATGGATTATGGTTGAGTCTCGGTCGTCTTTCTTCGAAGCGAGTCGTCACACACTCCTAGCTCTGCAGCATATGATGCGAGAGCCGTTTCCTTTATCTGAGCATCTTGTGAAGGCTCAGAAGGAAGTTGAGCCGCCAGAGTACGTTCGACTTAATCCTTATACCGACCTCAGTCCCCTCGTCAGCCTTGACGAGGCTGATAAATTCCAAGACGTGAATATTCTCCAGGAGTGGCCAACCGGTGATAGCTTGACCTTGGATATTTCTCAGTCTAAAGCGCTGAAACGGATCATGACTAAGAAGCTAGCTGTTGTACAAGGCCCTCCAGGTACTGGCAAAACGCACGTTTCTGTTGTTGCGCTCCAGGCAATGCTGCAGAACACACGCATTGATCCTCCCATCATCGTTACCTGTCAAACCAACCACGCCTTGGATCAACTCCTTAGACAGGTGGCTGAATTCGAATCAAGCTTCATTCGGTTGGGCGGTCAGACGAAGGATCAGGATAAGATTAAGCAGAGAACCGTAAGTACTGGCAGCTGAGTGTATCGAGGCGATTCATCACAAACGAAGGATAGCCAAACTGACCAGAGTAGTTGTACGAAGTGCGATCTACGTTTGAGCAACCCAGGGTTCCCGGAAGCCGCAAGAACCGCGCGATGGGTGCTATGAAGCAACTGACGGCAAAGATGCAAATGCTTCTCGCCCCTTTTGATAGAGGCCAGCCGCCACTGGACCAACGTCTCCTTGCTAAGCTTGGCTTGCTTACTGAGGAGCAGGCCGCATCCTTGGAGATTGGGGTAAAGTCCGTCATGGGTATTCCCCAGACTACACCAGGGATACAAATGGAGCAATGGCTTGGCAGGTGCATTGAGCGATGTGAGCATCCTTATCGGCCCGACGATTTTGGCATGCCATATGAAGAAGATGATTTCGACGAGGCCGAGCAGTTACAAGAACTTGAGGCTGAAGCAGTTGCTCGTGATGACGACGACGATATAGAGGCTCTCAGAGGTCCCATCGCAGCCTTGAGTGACAACTATCGGGGCCTAAGGGGTTCAGACTTGAGGACTGAGGCCGACGTTCGTCGCAAGCTCGATGAAGTGGAAGATTTGGCAACAATCCGTGTTGAAGACCGTGGGACCATTTACAACTACTTGTTACGCAAAGCGAAGCAAAGCGTTCTTAGGGAGTTCCGAAACCTCGCCAAGCAGTATGATGAACAAGTCCATCTGAAAAAGGTCGGACAGTGGGAAGAGGACCAAGGGATCCTTCTGAACCAACGAGTCATTGGGATGACTACTACTGGGTTGAGCAAGTACCGTGCTCTTATCTCAAGCCTGAGACCTAGGGTAGTTCTGATTGAAGAAGCAGCGGAGACACTGGAAGCTCCTGTTACGGCGGCCTGCTTTCCGACATTAGAGCATCTAATCCTGGTTGGCGATCACCAACAGCTGCGACCTCACTGCAACGTACATGAACTGGAGGATGAGCCTTTCAACTTCAACCTGTCGCTATTCGAGCGCATGGTCTGCAACAACATCGAGCTTGATACGCTGAGGCGCCAGCGTCGAATGATCCCGGAGATACGCCGTCTACTTCAGCCGATCTACGGTGATAAACTGAGAGACCATGCGAGCGTCTTGAGCGGGGATAATCGACCTCCTGTCGAAGGCATGGGTGGTGTCAACTCTTTCTTCTTCACCCACGAATGGCCCGAGTCGCGAGATAACAACCAGTCAGCCAAGAACGAACAAGAAGCTGCTATGATTGTGGGCTTCATTGATTACCTCGTTCTGAACGGGGTAGACCCAGCGAAGATTACTGTCTTGACGTTCTACAACGGCCAGCGCAAGCTCCTTACCTCAAAGTTGAGGCTCCATCAGAATCTTCGTGGTCAACCACTCAAAGTCGTGACCGTTGATTCTTACCAAGGCGAAGAGAACGATATTGTCCTACTTTCTCTGGTTCGAAGCTCTAGGGATGGGAACATCGGCTTCTTGTCGGTCGACAACCGAGTCTGCGTCGCGCTTTCTCGCGCTAGGTAAGTCGACTGTCTAGCTTTTAAGCTTCTACGTCGTAGTGTTACTCTACGGTTCACTTGTTCAAGACAGACTGGAAAAGATCTGTGAATCCGTTCCATATAGCTAACAAGAGCACAGGCGGGGATTTTACTTGTTCGGGAATGCAGAGAAACTCGTCTGCGGCAGTGACACATGGGAAGCCGTCGTAAAAGTCCTATGGGGACGTGCCAACAAGAAAGAGGTTCCAATCGCGGGTCCATCTAAGCGCATAGGCTACCATCTTCCACTTACTTGCCAGAAACATGGCAACAAGATTTTCCTCGAAGAGCCTCGCGACTGGGAACATGTAAGCGGAGGCTGTGGCGAGAGGTGTCGCTGCCTGTTACCCTGCGGGCATACGTGCATGCTGGCCTGTCATCCGTAAGTTATTTGCCTCCGTCTCTCTCTTTGACAACGCTCATTCAATGAAGGTTTGACAACTCTCGCATCAATTGCATGCAGCAGTGCAACAAGCCCTGCAGCACGTGTGGCCAAGCCTGCAGCCAGATCTGCTCCGACCCTTGTAGATGCACGTATTGCGACCGTCGTACTGGCGGCAGGAAGGCCATGATCAAGCCAGTCCAGAAGACGACCAGCGCCGTCCAACAAGCAATTCCAAGCGCCTCGCTCCACACTCAACCTCCTACGCTTCCAACAGCTCCCACAGTTCGCGCAGCTGCAGCCCCAATGATTGCAGCGCCGGACACGGTCTCAGAGAATTCTGGCAGTACTCCCCATCAGTGGCAGGCCTACGCCAACGGGGGCGTGAAGACAGATGATGCTATAGCATGGCAAAAGAAACGCAAGGAAGCGGCTAGATTCCAGGAGCTGATATCGAATGGCTCTTCTGCATCTAGCTCACTTCCTTCGGGAAAGCTCATACAGGTCTCACCTAAGAAGAAGATCTCCCAGCTGTCCTCTGCAAACACGAACCTACTGATTGACTTGGTCGATGATGGCGTACCGGCAGCGGCAGCGGCAACAGGACCGACAACCCCGCGTAAGTCTAATTCTGGACGCACGTCCTACAAGGAGAAGTTCTCGTATGTCGGCGAGATGACGAGTCCGATTAGCGAGAAGGAGAATGGGAAGGTTGAGCAGAAGGTGGAGGAGGAGGAGCGTACTCCTACACCGGTGTTCAATCTGCTGGACTGAGGGCTCTCGGGCATGAAGATGGTACGATACGGTGGGAGTATGACGCTTCTATTCTCTGTCCGTATGAGGGACAGTTGGTGGCATCGGTATTCAATTGTCGAGAAGGACACAACGTAGGCGTATGGAGTCATGGTGCCCAGCTCTCGTAGCAGGGGTGATGTACTCTCTACGAGCATGGCGGATAAAGGTTAAGACTTAGAGTGATACCACTCATGAATACGACATTGATCTTTCCACTTCCTCTTGCGTGTGCGTGATATTGGTCGCTACAGGCAAACGATCATACTACCAAAGCCCGGGCTCACGCTAGATGCAGTTCGGAAAACAGTGTCTCCTCTAGTTTCTGTGAATGCTCTTCGCTCTTTCTCACAGTACTTTCGTGTTGTGCGCGAAGCCGCGAATATCCCACAGTTGGATCACGTCATCACTCCACCTTGTAACCAACCAATCAACCCCGCAGTTACCATGCAGAGAAACTCTACATCGGCAAACAACAAGCGCAACGATGGCATCTTCGGACGATCTCACAAATCTGCAGACGCCTCCGTCATGCACAGCGGACTTTTGTCTCATTCCGCTGGGCACGCCGACGGCGTCAGTGTCTAAAGAGGTAGCTGAGGTACAGCGGCTGCTCAAGAAGAGCGGCCTGGAATACTCGATGCATTCGGCAGGAACTACTGTTCGTAAGTCCAACATAACGCTTTCTCTATTATAACAGTTTGGTATTCGATGTACGACTCTGTGGAAAGGGGCATGAAGCTGATCAGAAGCAGAGGGCTCGTGGGACGATGTAATGAAGGTCATCGGACAATGCCACGCGATGCTGCATCAGAACGGCGTGGTCAGGATCCAGAGCGACATCCGGATTGGAACGAGGACGGACAAGAAGCAAGGGTTCAAGGACAAGGTTGCGGCGGTGGAGAAGCTGTTGAAGGATGATGCGGCTTGAACGACTTCACTGTATCGGGTTCGATCTGACGAAGCGATGGTGCCTTGAAGAGCCATTAAGCGGTGCACAGCCTAGCATGAGAAGACCCAAGAGCACGGAATATGATGGCTGTCAATGTTCTTGTGTACCACGGTTGCTACGCTGCTTTCACGTGTGACCTGCACCAACCAGACCCTTGTATCTTGACGCGTTCGAAACAACATCAACAACAACAGAGTTCACAAAGCATCGCGGACGTCACACCAGAGCCATCGCGTCTATCCCGCAAGCGCGATGTTTGATGTGCCCGCCAACGCCAAACATGAGTCACAGGGCTATAAATGCTCGAGTTATAACCGCCCCCTTTTCTACGATTCGCTGTATGCTTGCTCGACCTGAGCCTTGCTGGGATGCTCGTGAGGGTTCGCAGTGTTTTGGGAGTAGTGACAGGAGCGCCGTGGGTTTGCGACGGGGATGCGCGTGTGGAAATTAAGGAGATGCCTGTATCGACTGGGGTTGAGGCCGTGATGTTTTCCGGCCAGCGCCGTAACAGGAGCCAGGGAAGAGGATGCGAGGATTTGATAAGAAATGATGTGCCGCTGCGTATCGATTGACACGATACATAGCGTCTGCAATTACTGTGTACATCCCGCTCTCACCACTTCTCCAGACTTGACTATTGTTACTGTGCCTTAGCTCCGTCATCGTCCGAGACGTTCGCAGGTCGCACGGCCCCTGCCCCGAAGAAAAAAGTTCGGGATCCACTCGTCCGCAGGCGAAGCGAAGCTGCACCCTCTCTGCATCATCGCCAATCCTGAGCCTGCCAACTTCCGTCACTTTCCCTCCTCACACCACCGTCACCCGCCCATCGCCTCGTAAAGCCGCCCATCGTCCGGCTTATTATTTCGTATCGTCGCGCCGCAACGCAACAATTGTCTGGTATATTGGACGGTGCATCGCAAGGCACTGTTCACGTGGGAACCAGGAGGAATGCACGCGACCCCTTCACGAGCCAAACCTCGCCGCAGATAACAACATCGCCCATCGCTGCAACACTTGGCGACTTCATAATACCGCCCCAGCGCCTCGCGCACACAGTAGCACATAATGGCTTTCAACTTCAACTGGTCGCCGCTCATCGCGGATACGTCGAGAGCGCGCGACATGCTGACGACCGCCTTGAATAAAGGCCCCAAGCCGCCCATCATCGTCGACGACATCACCGTCACCGAGCTGAACCTGGGCTCGACTCCGCCCGAGCTGGAGATACTAGAGATTGGAGATCTGGCTGAAGATCGGTTCCGGGGCATCTTCAAGATGACGTATACGGGCGATGCCTTCCTGACGCTCAAGACGAAGGTCCAGGCCAACCCACTCAATACATATCTCTCCACCAAGCCCGATTTCGCATCACCGGAACCTCTCGCTGCATCAGCTGGGTTGACGATACCGCTGCAAATCACGCTGTCGGATATTAGGCTGTCGGGGTTCGTCATATTGGTGTTTTCGAAGCAAAAGGGCATTACCCTCGTATTCCGGAACGATCCGTTAGAATCGTTGAAGGTCTCATCGACTTTCGACTCGATACCGTTTATCAAGAACTACCTCCAGAAGGAAATTGAAGGCCAATTACGTGTGCTCTTCATGGAAGACTTGCCGGCCATCATCCATCGGTTATCGCTACGGTTATGGTCACCCGAATTCCAAGAGCTCGATGCAGAGACGGAAGAAAGATTAGACAGCTCAAAGAGCACTATTGCTCCTATCGATCCTCTGTCCAGCCCACCGCAAGACGCCGTGGATGAGTTCGGCAACCCGATCGATGCATCGCAAATGGCGACACTTGCGCTCGACTCTGCTTCGGAGATACACGCTTCTTTCTCACAAAAGAACATGCTGCGACTCGCGGCACTATCGCAGTCTCAACAAACACTATCCCTTTTCACTCCAAATATCCGCGAAGCCGTCTTCCGCGCCTGGGCAAGCAACCCCGAGCGTCCAGACTCCGGCACCTCAACACCCGCACTTACCCAGTCGAGCCTGTCCAGGATACAGTCTACATTCGCCAGCGTCAAGTCGAATGCCTCGTCTGTTGCCTCAGGTAGCACAGGACAAGATACAAATGCTTCGCGACCCACCATGTCCTCAAACTACTCCTCCGCCGCAGGTTTGAGTCTTGGTGCCAACCGATCCCGCGGCCACCAAATGCGCAAGCGCAAGAAGCGCGTGGTCGACCTCCGAAAGAACCGCGATGGGGCGGAATCCTCCGGCCTCTCCACCGAAGCCAACACTCCGCTCCCCAGCACCACCGTGTCGGAAACCGCCAGCGTCATCCCCGAAGAGCGCGAGCGAGAAGAAGTGCCCATCGCATCAACGCCACCAAGGACACCTTCCAAAGCTACGCACGGCAGCCTCGACGCCGGCGAACCAAGCCGACTTCGCGAAACGGAAACGTCCGCCCCAACCGACGGCCTTCTCCCACCCGCTCCGCTCCTGTCCCTCCCACCCAAATCAAAGGCGAAGCAAATGGCTTCCACGCCTGTTCACCACCTCGTCGAGACCGAACAGCAAGAAAAACGCTCCTCCCGCCCTCCACTCTCCCACAACCGCCTCCGCTCCACACAACAGGCTTCCTCCCCACTCCTGCGCTCCCTCTCCTTCGACAAAGTATCCTCGCTCTCCGCTGCGCATAACAAGGGCCCGCTCTCGCCCCCTTACTCGGAGAGCACGACGAGCTCCTCGGGCGGCATCCTCGAGCAAGCCTGGATGCTCAAGATGGCGCAGGAAATCGCGAAGAAAGTGCGTGAGGAGAAGGACAGGAGTAGGAGTCCGAGTCCGCCGCAGGGTGGGCGGTCGTCGAAGAGGTCACAGGGGCTGTGGGAAGCAGAGGAGATGATGGAGGCGCCGCCGGCGTATGTTGCGTGAAGCGAAGAAGGGGGGAGTCACGATGTTACGATAATGTGTCACGATGGCGTTTGAGGGTTTTTTTCTTTTTGTCGCTCGCTTGCTCGCTGATCTGTCGTTTTCTTTCTTTTGTTTGGTTTTTTGGCATGTAGGAAAAGTGTGGTTTTGGAGCGTGCGTGCGTGCTTGTGTGCGCTTTTAGGCGCGTATTTGCTGAGCGCTTCAGCGTGCGTTGTAATCGTAGTGTAGTATTCTACAGAGCGTGTAACATAGGTGGGTATTGGTAGACGAGAGCCACCTCTGGGCATCGGGAAGAGCTGGACTGTATATATCGGCGGTGGAAAAGGAATGGAGGAAAGGTACTCAGCGGTGTTCAGTGGCGTATACCCAACCTCTGCTCATGTAGCGGCGTTTGAGGAGATAGACAATTGCATTGTTCTCCCTTTACTCGGTCTCCTACGGTTTCCTTGATGTGGATGTGAGTCCAAAACATACTTAGTACAGGACTTGTCAGACACGAGGAACAAAGGCGTGTCTACAGCTGAGCGCATACCCAAGGCTTGACTCAGCGCCTTTGCATCCTTCCATGCATCGTAACTTATGCAACACCCTGCACTCAGATCTCGGCACAGCCTCCCCTCACCAGATCTCGAAACTAGGTTTTCACTTCTTCATTATACTACTACTACAACATTCAAATAGCTATATACACCGAAGCTATGCTCACTACTACTACATCCGTCTACCCATATACACCTTGCTCTACGCACTCTTTTCAACCCTGCAAGCATAAAAACATCTACGTCATGTTCTTAAGCAAGTACGCAAGACCCGCCCACGTCTCCTCGCCGCTGGGCTTGATCTGAGCCGCAGGCAGCACGAAGCCGTTCGCACCCGTGTCGCGAAGCTCGACCGTCATCGAGTACTTGACGCCGGTGTTGCTGCCGGCATTCTCAAGCGCGTAGTCGACCGAAGACCCGGAAACTTGGTAGATGGTGGAGCAGATGGGACCGGCGGTGAAAGTCGTGCCGTGGACGGCTTTGAGCGCAGCGACGGCGCCCTTGGCTAGGCTGGCGTAGCTCGCGGAATTGGGGATCGTGCCGGAGCAGGTGTAGCCGTAGGGGTACATCCACAGCTGGGAGTACGAGTGGATGTCCATGTAGAGGATTGCGCCCTTTGAGCTGGCCGCGATGCTGTCGAGGTGCGCGCGGAGCGCCTTGTTCTCGACGGTGTCGCCTTGGGCTTGGCCCTTGTAGTCTTCGGCGCAGGGGTTTGTCGAAGCACCGGCGGCCTGGCTCCAGTGGTTGGGCCAGTTGCGGTTGATATCTGTGCCGACGCAGCTTGAGGTGGTGATGGACTTGCGGTTCTTGCGCCACATGCGGTCGGTGGACTGGGTGTAGGCAAAGCCGTCTGGGTTGACGATGGGGAAGATGTAGAAGTCGTACTTGTTCTTGTAGGAGGCGTCATCCGTGTTGGTGGAGGTGAGGAGCTGGTATGCGGCGTACTCGACTACCATTGTGGTGATCCATTCGCGAGCGTGCACAGTGCCGTGCCATACCACACCCTTCTGCGAGCCCTTGCCGCCTGAACCCCAGATGTGGATACCCTGGATGTTACGTCCTTCGAGAGAGTTACCTGCTGTAATAATCTCGGAGTTGCTTGGGTATGCAGCTTGGAGGTCCTTCAGCCACTGCAGATGCTCCGCAATGGTGTGGTAAGCATTGAACCAGGTCGCGTTGGGAGCCGCGGCGGCAGAGAAGTCGGCTGATGTACCGTTAGTGTAACGCCGAGATTGGAGTGGGCCAAGGGTAAATACAGGCATAAGTCTCGAAGATCTCCTCTTGGGCAATTGAAGCACCAAGATCCTCGTGCATGACCAAGGAGCTGTAACCTTGAATTCCGGACTCAAACTCCAAGGCCTGGAGAGGAGGAACTGGAATATCGACGACCGAGCTCGTTGCGACCTTGCCCTTCCATGTGCTCAACTGGAGCTTGTTCATCACCGAGCTGAGCTTGCTAGAATCATCGCCGACGGTGACGCGGTAGACCTTCCAGCCATCGTAGCTGACCTTGTTCTGGACGGCTGCGGCAGATGCCAGGCCCAAGATGGCCGAGGAAATAGCGAAGAACTTCATGGTGGACTTGACGAAGTGAGGCAACGTGAAAGAAGCGAGAACACCTACCGTAGTACTTATAGTGTATACTGGGCGGTCTGGAGCAACATGTACATCAAACAGATCACTCGGTGTTTTTACACCTGCCCGTAACGAGTTGATGATGAGCGGGGGATGTGCCCCGTCCAGGAAGTTCGAAACCCAGGCGAATGGTATCTCGCCGTGACTTAATCTAAAAAGCTGCCATATAAAAGCACCGCACGCGTGACGATTCGGCCGGCCTGTCCTTCCTTAGGCTACCTGCGTCTGAATCCTTGCAACCAGTGGCTGTAAACGTCTCGCTGGCTGTGGCGACCACCACTCGTGCCGCCAAAGAGTCTGGGCACAAGGCTTATCGACAAGCTTAAGTGCAGTATCTCAACGATTAGCTCCCGGAAGCTGGAGAAGACAAAACGATGGTGGCTTGGTACTGCACAACGACCTTCCATATTGGATGGGGCCCAGGAACATCGCTAAGGACGGTCAATCAGGCTGCGGGGTGCTGGCGAGAAGAGGAAGTTGCAAAGGACCAAGCAATTTGTCGCGCATTACGCTCTGGGCATTTACGATAAGAGTGTAGGGCGGTCATGTTGGATAGGTGGTGCTGGTGTTTACGGTGGAGGTTGGAGGAAATGCGGAGGGTCCCACAAATGCATCGCGCGAAGATCTTGACACTAGCGAGCACACCGCAAGAAGCAGGGGCGATCGCGTGACGTGCAATGTTCAGCCACCTTCCCACCAAGTGTGAATGAATTGTTTCGGACTGCGTTGTGTGAGGATTCGATCCGCAGCCGTGCGACCAATTATACGTCACTAAGCCCTTATGCCTCCCAAACAGGCTGTGCACTCCGTTGCACCCGAAACACGAGCACTCCTACACAACGAAGCTTGGCCGGAATACCACTGCGTACGCAACCATCTGAGACCAACGTAAACATTTTGGAGGAATCGTTCTTTCATATGTTCGAGATGCCACCAGAAAGGGTTATAAACTACGCTAGAACGCTAACCGTTTCCGTATTTCAAATGCCGCCTGTTACCGCGGCCCGATGTTTCGTTCATCGTCACTTCTCCGCATGTTCGAGCACATTACAGCGAGTGCGGCCAGCCTTGCGAAACAACATAGTCTGAACACCGAGGCATATATCGGTCGCAGTACCATGAAGGAAGCCCGGTAGCCTATAAGAGCATAGTCGTGGTCACGGTCATCGCCGATGTGTGCACTCGGCTTCCGAACCTGAAGCCGACGACATTTCGCACATCGGACCGCTTCAACAACACCACCCTGGACGGAACGGTAATGACCCGATGGAGTCGACAGCTTCCCCACAGCCGCCCGCAGAGGCCGTTCCGGATGCTGCCCAAGGCGACGACACACCCAAAATCAAGAGAGCGCATCAAGCATGTTTGAACTGTCGCAAGAGGAAGAGCCGATGTCTTTTGTATGAAACGCCTCAATGCCCCAAACCCCCCAATTCCATACTGATAATCGAATTCAAGAGACAATGACGGATCCGTACCCTGTCTTCGTTGTAAGCGAGATAATCTCGATTGTGTACTGGGTGGCAGCAATCGCGGCGGTCGAAGAGTACGTCGCAAAACAGTTGAAGAGGGTATTCTCCCTTCCTTAACAAATTACCACCAAGAGGAGAGTAGTTTCCCTTTAGGCAACGTCGGAACAACACCATGGATCCGGGCCGACCCCGCCTCTCAGCTACCCGAAGGAGACAATCAGCTCCACAGTTCCGAAACGTCAACATCCGAAGAGATGACCTTTCCTAATCTACAGAATCCTTCCGATGCTCTTGGTATACTTGCAAGAGTTGCAGAATCTAGCTCGGAGGAGACTGCGCCCAACAACCATGCTCCACCAGCAACTCAACCTGTCGTCGTACCCCCAGTACACACGCAATCTTCAATGATATATGGTTATGATCCACTTGACAAAGGAACCATCACGCTACCTACAATACACCAATTGCTTGCGCGATACCAGGAGAACTATCACCCTTACTATCCGCTAGCCCGCGTAGAGACCTTTGATACCTCAAGACTGGCCCATACTGCGAAGACAGAGCCTCATCTGCTGACGGCCATTTTTGTCATCGCTTCGAAAGACCTGGTGGAAGAACCCTACATTTATGAAGCATGCTCGGGGCATATGAAGAGCCTTGTCTCCACCTTGGCTGCTGGCGGCGATGCCGGTGTAGAAGCAGTAGAAGCTCTCTTGATCCTTGCCGAGTGGGCTCCCTATACACAAAGGAACTCGGGCAAGGTCGGTAAAGGCGAGGAGGATAAAGAAAGCTGGATGCATGTCGGTTTGGCTCTACGCATAGCTTACTTCCTGGCTCTGGACAAGTACTCCTTCCGATTCGTGGACCAGGAGAAGGACCCCGACCATGACCGCAAGCGTCTCTTGTGGACATCTGCCTATGTTTCAGATCGACACATCTCCATACGTATAGGAAAAGCCTTCTGGTCGAGAGGCCCGGGTCCGCTTACAACGCTTCGACGTGAGGACTACCCTTCGCTGTTCCCGAGAAGTGCAAATCAAGAAGACTATGCAAGTATTTTCCAAGGTAAGTGATTGATTCGTTCTTTTTCCCAGCGTATGCTAATCGGTCCAGCCAATCTGGAACTCACACAGCTCTTCAGTAACGTTCATGACACCCTCTACTCAAACCCGGGTTCCAGTTTCCGCACGCACATGAGTGGCAGTTACATTAAGTTCATCGACGACTTTCGTGCAGCCATATACGGTTGGAAAAGTGTATGGGGTACACTTACCTGCTCACCGCCTCTAAAAGCTTGTCTACTAATGTCTTATGATTATCTGCGATTATATATCAACGCTTTTGCCTTCCAAGCGACGATTCTCCGCGCGCTCCCCGCTGCTAATGGCTCTATAGACCCTTCAGCAGGTGGGCACAGCGACCGGCGCGGATCGAAAATGCACGCTCCACAGCGCGTCTTCGTCAACAACGTAGGAGCAGTTGGAGATGCACGATTCATCTACGAAGGACTTGATGCAGCAAAAGCCATCCTGACCACCGCCAACAACTTCGTCGACCCAGAGAAGTCGCTTCGCTACATGCCACTACGGTACTACCTCTATCTAGTCTATGCCGGCGTCTTTCTCTACAGAGCACGCTGCACGGGCGTCATAAGCAACGACGAAGACCGCGCAATCCGTGCCATGATCAACGAAACAGTCACCCGTCTCCAGCGCAGCAGCGTGGGCGCCAACATTGGGATTCAGCACCCCGGCTCCCGCTACAGCCAGCTGCTCCGTCTCCTCTGGGCCAAAGCACCCCGCAAAGACAAATCCAGCAACACCACCTTCCGGCATCCAGGCACGCACGTAGCAAGTCACTCTCTCGATAGCGGTAGTGGAAACTACCCTCCTCTTCCAGGCCAAAGTGGCGGCTCGGCTCAATCACCCTCCCATACTGGCAGCACTGGTACCGCGGAGAGCCCCGCGATGACCGAGCAAATGGGTGATTTTGGGTGGACTGATCTCGGCGCTGTCGGAAACTTTGCCATAAATGGGAGCGGGATCACAGGACCGGTCGATGAGGCAGCACTGTGGTCGGGTTTCTTGCCGCTGGACATGGGATGGAGTTCAGCCATGGGAGGGTCGGGATTAGGGTGGGATGGTATGGGATTCGATGGAGCTGAATTGGGGATGACTTTTTAGTTGATGTTTCCCTGGTATGTGACGGTACGTTGAGATGCAAAAGGAGGCTAGGCTAAGACTAGACTATCGCGCATTAGCTCCCGTCCATTTGTCACAGCAAACCATCTATGACCAGTCGGATAAAGCTCCGATAGCTTGATAACCTTATACAAGCCCTACCCAGAACACGTATCTGACGCAAACCCAAGTAAGCATATACATCGTCAACCCTCATCCGCGAGACAAGAAGGCCATCATTTACTTGAGATCATGCCGAAAGCCACAGTCCATCTTATCGCTCTACAGCCCACCACCAACGCCTCGAACTTCATCGATGAACTCAAACTAGTGAGCTTCGACGAGCCACCATATATCATCAAGGGCAGACCATGCGGCTGGGTCCAAAGTCCTCGCAGTCTCCACAAGGAAGAACTAACCGACCACGATTGGGACATCTTCCTCCTCACCAAGTCGGAGACCCTCCCAGCTGGAATGGCCGGCTCACTAGCAAACCGTATCTCCACCACCGTCGAAGTACCTCAGGCGCAATACGACAATCTCCTATCGCAAGCGGGCCAGAAGCCCCAGCCAGCGAAAGAAACACCCCCACTGCCAGACGACTGGCAACCAGATGAGGTCCACGCCGGCAGACGAGGCTCAAAGTTCTACGGCAGGATCCCATCGCACGAAGTGCTGGATGCGCTCGACCGAGAAGAACACCCAGGCGAGCTCAGGCTAGATCATCCCATGGCGTGGTTCCTATCCAGCGCTGAACCAGCTAGCATACGAGGATCGCCGACTTGTTTCTTCAATCTTTTCAAGTACAAGAACGGCGATAAGTCGACGCATGATGGCTACATGCGGGGCTTCCAGGAGAAATTCGGACCGGCGGCAGGTGGGCAGATTAGGTTTATGGGACCTGTTGGGGACCTGAGGTTTGGCGCGGGTGACGGACAGAACGGTAGTGGGTGGGATGAGGCGAACCTGACGCAATATGATAGCGTGTGGCATTATGCGTATATGTTGAGTACGGATGTGTATAAGGAGTTGAATAGGGAGAAGGTGAGGGGTCTGGAGGATACGTGTATTCTGATTGTGAGCGAGTTGGCGCTGTGAGGTTCGTGTGTCAATGATGATAACTTTGTGTTTCTGTGAGTGCTTGCGGGAAACCAGAATATCGGTGCTTTGCGAAAGCTCAGTCCCCACCTCTCGGGGTACTGGGTAATGATTTAACATATCTTTAGCTAACCTGTGTACTATAGGAGGCTGGTTACTGGCTAGAATCTATTAAAATTGTATTCCTGGTCGTAGTAGAAGTTAAGATAGGACAATGAAAGAGTTAAGTAGGCCAATAATCAGCCTGCTATAGTACACGATTCAGCTGGCAAAGTGTGGAAGTAGTACCTAGTAACACGGAAGGTGGGACTCCTATCTACTACAAACTGTTGGCGGCAGGTGTTCCGCACGCAGCTGGCAGGAGCTACCTAGCACTAGCCAATGTAGACACTTCTCGCCACCCTAGCAATCCATCACTCTTACATCCAACTTTGTTTCAGCACAAACAGCATATACAAGCCTCCACAAACTCTCTATGTGTAAGGCACCGCTGGGTTGAATGGCCAAAAATATCAACATTTCCCCACGCTGTGGTTTAGGCCCCCGCCCCCGCAGTGGTGAACTGCGGTGCCACACCAGCGACTTGGGATCGCTGATATTCAGATGCCCCAGCCGGTTAAAGGCACCGCAAACCAATAAGATTGCATAGTAACGTCGTACGCGGGCTTGGTCTCGAAACACAACAATATCAAATTGCAGCTTTTCGGGGCGCTTAATATTCTGCATGCCCCTTACCTGGTGGCGAAGAGCAAATGTCGTATTCTTGTATCCTTTTAATTCCTCAACAGCTCGTGCAATTGAGATTTCTACTGATCAGAATTCTACACGATGAGTCTCGGGCCACTAACGACAGCATTCGTACCTGCCCTAGGATGCAATGACACCATCTACGGCAAGATCTATAGCGATGGTAGCGTCAGCGATAAGTGGCACAGCCTGGGACTCACAAACACCACATCCTGCTATCCGAATTCCTTCACCGAAAACGCCTACTATTCTCCTGGATTGTGCCCGTCGGATTGGTCGTCCGCATGTGACCGTATATGGCTAGTTGGGTCAACGAACACTGAGACCAGGGTTACGTGCTGTCCTGCGTAAGCCTGCAGTCACACTCCCCAAAACAGCGCATAGAGGAATGCTAAGAGCTGAGTGTACAGTGGCTATGTGTGCTCAACAACCACGGACACGCTGGCATCGTGGAACACGATGAAGTGTCGCAGATTGTACACTACCACGCCAATGCCCACAATCACCGTCCCGCAAGACGAAAGTGCGACAACGAATTACGTTGAGACGGTACTCGGACCGAACGTCGAGGCTTTCGCGCAACAAATAGAGGTTCGGTACAAGGACGGAGATTTAGAGATTGATGCTTCCACGACGAAGATAGCGTCGTCGCGTCTGGCCGGTCTTACGGCCGCTGCGCCGTCGCGACCGACCTTGAGTGAGAAGGAAACTGAGACTTCGTCTACCAACGGGAATGCTGCTGAGACTTCGGGTGCGAATGGAAATGGCATCGATAACAGTCCTCAGGGTGCGAAGCATGGAGAGAAGAAAGACTTGACTGCAGGCGCATACGCAGGCATTGGTATTGGCGTCGCTGCGGCTCTGGTCGCGCTTGTCGGGGCCTTATTACTGTTCATTCGGAGACGCAACAAAAACAAGAAGCTGACCAAGACGTCGACCGATACGCCAAACACAGGGTGGAGACAAGTGGGTAGTGCGGCTGAGGTTGCCAATTCGACACCGGTGTGTGAGGTAGGATCAAGGGAACCTACGGAAGTAAGAGGTGATCATGCCATGCCAGTTGAACTAGATCCAAACAGAAGAGTTCACCAGTTAGAGTAGTCTGCTATACTCGAACGGACGGACTTTATCATCGAGTCGAACACATACCATTCTCAATCGTTCTACTTTTCTAGCAACCATCTCACGCCATTCAACGTATCCTCTACAAACTCCATGCTCCTCTTCATCTCCGGATAATTAGTCCAGAACATATGACCATAGCCAGCATACAGATCAAATCTCGTCAGCACACCAGCCTCCCTTAGCTTCCTATCGTACAACACCGCCTCGTCCCTCAGTGGATCCAGCCCGCACACCTGAAAGTAGGCCTTCGCTACACCCTTGTGTTCATTCGGATGGTTGAAAGGGTCCCATAACGGTGACTTCTCTTCAGGCTTGTAAATTGCTTCTATCATGCCGGGCTGCAAGTCTTTGAGGACAGGATCCGAGCGGGAGTCATAGCGCGAGCGGTAGAGCGGGGCGAGATGCTCCGGGACATTATACTCAGGAAGCACGGCGGGAACGCAGAGGTATTGCCCCGTTATTGGAGGGGAGAGGGAAGTGTCACGGGACAGAAGGGCGACGACGGCGGCAAGGTTGCCGCCCGCGGAAGCTCCACCGACAATGACACCTTGAGTGGGTGTTGCCTTAAGAGACGGGGAGTTATCGAGTGCCCACTTCAAAGCATCCCAGCAGTCGTTGACGCCGATGGGAAACTGATGTTCGGGTGCGAGTCTGCGTTGTGAATCAGTCGTGCACCATAAGTCCGCTGTGGAGAAGCCATACCTGTACTCCACGTTCACGCACACACAGCCCAGGTCCCGAGCAAACATCCTGCAATTTAGATCTTCATCCGTGAGATCGCCCATACTCCAGCCTCCTTCATGATACATCATAACAAGCGGGCTGCCTCCCTCTGGCGGTCCTTTGACAGGCTGGTACACACGGACGCGGATAGAATACCCATCTCTTGCGGGCACTTCATGCATCGACTCTGTAACTTCATTGGGGATAGGGCCGGGAATGGGATACAGATAGCGAAGTTTTTGGAGGTGTTCCGCACGGCTGGCGCGAACTTCGAAGAAGTCATTGCCCTTGATGTCCATGGGACGAGCTTCGAAGGCCTGTAATAAGTTCATTGGTGCTCTTTGGTGCCTCGCAGAGGTTGTACCTTTCGATAGTCTTTGGCTACCTCGCCAGATGCTAATACCTCATCGCGTGTGAGATGAGCCATGGTGATGTGCTTGTTCTGAGATAATCGGTCAGTCTTCAGGTAGTAAATCACATTAAGCAGGGTGTGCTGACGAATTCGCTCAGTATTCGAAATTGAAGAGCTTACTGTGGAGTTCTGGTCGACAGTACTATATCACGCTCTTCAACGCTCTTGTACTCCTCCGAAGGAGCTGCGACTAGCACGCTAGAATCTTCAACGCTCCAATGCTCAATTGAAACTTCCGGGACTCGTTATAAAAATGTAAATAAGGAATCACCGCTATTTCAACATTCCTCAAGCGTCAGCTCAGGTGCCCACGCAGTAAGCTCGTCCCCATCCCCACGTACGGAAGTCGCGGGGCAAACTCAGGCGGGGAAGCTACCCCGGCTACACCTTCCTCCAATCCAATAACATTCCATACAATCAGCAACCGCAGACCACAAAGACGTCAGATATAACCACGACAATGCACCAACGAAGGACTTCCCAAGCATCCGCCTCCGCTATTCCTCCACCACCCTCCACTTCCTCTCCTACGCACCCCCGCACAATGCCCACCACCCACCTTAAAGCTCCGCTTCAAGGCAAAATCGCCCTCGTGACAGGCGCAACAGGCGGCATTGGCACCGCGATATGCCGCCGTCTCGCTGTGCTGGGCTGCTCGATTGGAATCCATTACAACACCGACCAGGACGCTGCGTTGGCGCTGTTGGAGGAGTTCAAGGAGGAGTACATGCATGCATTTGGGAGCAAGTTCGTGTGCTACGGTGCGGATCTAGGGAATTATGAAGAGGTATGATACGGATTATCTCCCTTTTATCCATCTGTACAGTGAAGGTGTTATGTTGCAAATGTGGATGGAATGCTGACGTTTTGTTGCGGCAAGGTCAAAGAGCTTCATGAACACATCGTCTCTCTGCTAGGCCCGCCGAATATCCTCATTAACAACCATGGCGCTACTATTCAGACTCAAGTCAAATCTATCGACGAGGTGTCTGTGTCCGCTTTCGAAGACGCTTGGCGCATCAATTGCGGGTCTTCCTACCTTCTGACACAGCTCTGCATGCCCGCTTTGGAGGGCGAGGGATGGGGAAGGGTTGTGTTTGTTTCGAGCGTGGCGGGGATTACGGGCGGGATTATTGGACCGCATTATGCGAGTGCGAAAAGCGCATTGCATGGGCTAATCCATTGGCTTGCCATGACGTACGCGAAGAAGGGGGTAAGTGATGTCTCATGTTGGAGTGGTGGTGGATGACCGAGCTTATTTTGTTGCAGATCACAGTCAATGGAGTAGCACCCGCGTTGATCGAGCAGACGAAGATGTTGCCTGGAAGTAGTGAGGAGCTAGCGAAGAGCGAGTATCTCTTTCACAGAGCAAAGGTAGCGCTAACGACATCACAGAGGTTCCTGTGGGAAGACTAGGTACTCCGGATGAAGTCGCGGAGACAGTGCTCTGGATGATCAATACATCGTATGGTGAGTGATATTCGGCACGTGCACATGATTGTAAACTGACTATCCAAGTGACGAATAAAGTCATTGCTGTGGATGGCGGAATGGTTCCGCAACACTGAGTTGCTAACCTTAGCGCCTTGACTACCTACTAAGTAATCCACGCTCTTTTTGCGCCTTACCTACCTACTTCCGTATCTTATCTGTAACATTGCGATTACTTGATTTGTGGGGAATTGGAGAAGAATTGAGGAGAGGCATGTATTGCAAAATAGCTATAGTGCGGCTTATATGGACGTCTGCTCATTGGTAGACAGAAGGGTTCCTCCATTAGGTTTGAGGATCAGGCTTCTTTGGCCTGTCCATTGTCGCTGCCGGCAATACCTTTGCAATGTCGTCCGCATTCAGATTGCCGAAGAACATCACATTACCATTCTGTGAATCATCGTAATTAGCATTGAAAGCCAGACCTGAGAGTGGAAGATCAAATTACCTTTCGTCCCGCGATCTCGAGGTGTCCCGAACCCTGTGGTGCTTCGATCTTTGCCGCGACCACTCCTTCGATCACATTGTCTTTGATGGTCATGATTATCCCCCCCTTGGAAAAGTCAGCAGGAGCTCGGAAGGACGTTCTGGGAAAGAAATTACCTTCTGGTCTGTATCCGCGGGACTCTTTGACTTGAGAGCCTTGATCCATTGTACCAGCTGCCCCTCCACTCTATCGTACCCGGGAGCGTAGGTCGCCCCAAACTTACACATAGTGTGATGGTTCCCTGGAATAGGCAGTACAAGATCCGCATTCTGAAAGGTCGCTGAATCCTTTGTAACAATATGGCCAATATCCACCTTGTCGACATACGTTGGAAACTCCTCAAAGTAGCAGACAGTGTACAGCGGTGTTCCACGGTCTCGGTCCTTCACGTACGTCTGAAGCGCCGCATTGATGCTCTGCAGTTTCGCCGAGCGCTCCTTCAGGTCCTTCAGGTCTTCCGTCTTGATGCCGGTCATCTTCTTGAGGCGTTCACCGAAGCTCCCCCACTCTGCTTTCTTGGAGCCCTCGAACGGTGTGCCGAGGAACAGGATGCCGAAGGTGTGGTCGGAGATTGACTTCCCCTCTTTGTTGACGCCTTTATCACCGGCCACGGCGTTGGCTACTACGAGACCTCCAAGGCTATGCGCGACGAAGATAACGGGCCGGTCTTTCGGGGTGCTCGTTTTCTCCCGGAGGTTGAAGAGGTCTGTTAACAAGCTGGAAGAATAATTGTCGATGGTGGTTTCCTTCGACACTGGGTCTTTCGAGCGGAAGACCGGGAAGAAACTCGCAAATTTCGAGTTGTATCCGAATGAGAGGATACGTGCGGTGGGACAAGCTTTGGGCAGGAGCTCCTCTGGCCAGAACGTCGTCTTGGGGATTTCTGGTGTTTCTTTACTGGTCCATGTACCCCTCCTACTACCGCCTAGACCATGTACAAAGACGATGCTACTTGGCTGTCAGCCGCATATAGGGAAATGCCCATCTCTGTACGTGGTAGGGCTATACATACTCAACGTTCGCGTTCGGCGGGTTCGCGAGAGGCTCACCAAGCCCGTACTCTTCAGACATGGTTTACTCTGGACGAGGTTGCGACTCGTGCTAGAGATCTTAGTGGTTAGTGGACTGCCAGGCTGAGAGCGAGAGGCATTTGTATATGTATGGCAAGGTTCGTCTTCGACTCGCCGGAGGTTGGACCACCGGTCGACAACCCATTTGCTTAACAAGGCAACTGCCTACCCTCGGCAAGTTGATTGGAACCATATGTAGGAAACAATCCACAGCCTACCTGAGGTTGCATTTTGGAGGCGCCAAGCCTTCAGCCTTCCGCAGGGGTTCAACATACAAGAGTCCGTATCAGCCTGGTGGGTCGCTTAACATGACCGGATGTGATGTTCGATGCATCGATTTGTAACGCAGTCAGCATATTGATAATCAATGCGTTCGAATGGGATGTGCTCTCCAACGGAGCCGCCTTAACTTCCGTCCAGCTGAATAGGAGCAACTCAGGCATTTGAGGAGAGCTTGATTTGCCGCTGAAGCCATGGGACATCATGCCTAGAAATGGATTCAGCCTATCCTTTTTAGTACTTTGCTTGAATGGATGAAGCTGGAATCAGCTTTCCCACAGAGGTTCAGGTTAGTGGAAGCTGAGTGAATGGTTGCGGCAATACGAGGGAGCCCGGCCCTTACCGGTTTGCCAACTAGTCTATGCATTATGGGAGTCAAGACTCTTGTTTCCTTGTGTTGTGACCTGTATCTGATCAGTACCACCACTGGAGTGAGAGTTGGGTCTGGTGTGGCCGCAAAGTTAGGCTTCAAGCCAATGTGCTCACCTTCTATAGGTCCAAATACGTGGCAATGAATCGAGCCTCGTCTTGGATATTAGTCTTGATAAGTGACAGATGATTGACTGCGACTGGATGAGACGTTTCTAATGTGCCAATGGGTCAAAGCAAAAATCCAGATCCTCATGATCCGCCCGAAGGAGCTACTCAGGTCAAGATCGATGGTAAAGTTGAAGGCGTGGTAGCAGGCAGTATTAGTCTTAGCGGTGGAAAGAACCAAATCATAGGTACGTGTTGTTGTGGGTTCAACCACTGGAAAGATTTTGACGCAGAAGCAGGGCAGCTGCATAAGACGGTCCATATTGCAGTAAATTTGGCTGACCATATGGTTGGCTACGCTGCAAGAATTAAAGGTGCCGACGTACGCATGAGGGACATAGCTGATCGAATCCGAGCTACATCGTCAATTTTGCATGGGATCGAGATCCTGTTCGAGCAGCTCTCATCAGAACCCAAAGAAGGATTTTCGAAGGTCCCCGATGCAGCTAATGATCTCTACGCTGAAATACAGAGCTGTGAGACATGGCTTGGAGGTGTCGGAAAGCAAATGTCGGATTTCATGGAAGGCGTTCCCGCTCCAAAACGGGTTGAGGGGAAAGTGAGAGAGAAAGTCGAGTTGGCACAAGAGAGCCTTGTCCTGCTCGAAACGAAGATTGCAACCGTGGAACTCGGCATACAAGACCATAAAGTGAATCTACAAATCCGGCTGTCGATATTCTCTCTGTCGTTCTCGAATCAAAAGTCAGTAGTAATCTGGATGATGGCGCGCACATAAAGAGAACTTACTTGCTCGCATAGGCCAGACCTTACTTGGAGCGACGTGATTAGTGATATGCTCAGTGAGCTCAGACGCATACTTTCGGAGTTGGACTTGCTTCGAAATGGCACAGAGCCGAAAACTTTGCACTCTCCTGCACTCGGTGCTTCAAATGCTTCGAAAATAGGCCTAGTGCCGGCACCCGCAGCTTTCAATCCTCGCTACGCCGGCTGGCTTATCCAGAACGGGTCCCCACATGCAAAGAAAAGTGATGCAAAGATTCGATCTTGGTTGAAACCAGGTGTCACGCCATTAGCCTTTTCGAGCGAACAATTGTACCTCCAAGTCGTAGGCCTGATGGTCGAGGACGGCAAGAAGAATCAAACATTACATAGTACATACGAGAGGTTGGGACCACAAAGGCAAAGCGCCATATTGGACCTTCTTGCTCAAGAAAATCAGGAATTACAAAAGGAGCAACCTGTCCTTGAGTGGAAACTGGCCAGTATCCGGCCGCAAATGCACCGCATTGACCGATATCAGAGGGAAATCGTTTCTATGCTAGTCATTCTCAAGACGGAATTGAAGCCGCATGTTGATTGGGAGAGTTTGAAGGGTCCCCAGGTGCCCCATTTGCGAGGAGGTGCAGACCGCGCGGAATCGGACTTCGAGGATGAAAGGTATATGATTAGGCACACTTCAGGGGCTCGGCATGTTCGTCCGCCACGACGCCACGGGCGGGATCATGAACACCATCGAGAAATGCCGGAAGAAATGCCACGCATTTACAATGCATATGCTGGCCCCAGCCACGGGCGAGAAAGGCCACAAGAAATGCCACGCATTTACAATGCACATGCGGGCCCCAGCCACAGACGGGATCATGAATACCATCGACAAATGCCGGAAGAAACCCCACGCATCAACAATACACATGCAGGGCCCAGCCACAACGCCAGACATCAACATCATCAGAGAACTGAAGCTTCTTCCGAAAGATTTCAACAGCAGCAATCTTTCACTCGTGCAAACCCTATCCTTTCGTTCGGATCTCTTCACGCAGGGGTGTTTTCGATGCACGCGCCCAGCCATATCATGGCAAAGGAAAATCCAGAGCCCATGAAACGCGAAGAAACGACGACGAACTGATCCACGCTCTCGTGGAGGACTGGTATGAAGTCGTTAGCGTATGGCCCAGAAGCAATCCAACAGCCAGCTATAACGTAGCGCAAACGGCAGGCCCTGGGTTCACTCACGGTACTGGTGCTTCTGTATACGGCACTTCTGGAGGACAGCAATATGCCACCACCGGTACTTTGGCATATGGCACTTCTGGGGGACATCAATATGCCACCACCGGAACACATGCAGGCGTTACCTTCGCGGCGCCCGGGCATGGGGATACAGGTATGCCCGCTCATAATGCCGGCGACACATATACAGGCACTGCTCAAGGGCCAACTGCAGCGCATCCGACCGACAATTCCGATGTAGTCTCTACATCCACTAGACGAAGACGGACTGGCCGCGCGAGAAGACAGGGTAGAGTGATTACCCTACAGGCTATTATCAGTACTGCTAGACAGCGGCGAAGGGAAGACGGCGGGCGACGGTGACCAGGAGGAGCAGAACAAGATTGTTGTTCAGCCATGTCCAAAGAACACTAACAGCGCATGGGTGTTGAGGCTTGCTGCTTAACATATGGATATCGAGGAGTTAGCAGTGATGGTGTGTAACGTTGAGAAGGCACATTACCCTAGAGCTACCTATCGGCCATGCAGATCCATCGTCTTGCCCTTGCACTGGCGTCGACGTTCGGTTTCTCACCAAATGAGCGTGATGATATACATGAGCCTCTTTACCCACGTGGCAGCTCCTTGCGTGCTTCATCTCTGGTTACTTCGTCTGCAAGCCCATGATACTTCTCGCCTTTTCCATCACCCGCTCTGTGCTGACTATTATCTTGCACGCGTTCAGAGTCTACCTGCTCAGCCCTGAAAGTATGCAAGGGATAAGAGATCAATGCGAACGTAAGCCAAAGAAGCTGCATGAACGTTTAGAGATACTGTCGTAATATCAGGGGTGTTTTGGGAGTGTCTGCACAGCAGTACAAACATTATGTACATTGAAGTGTGATCTCTATTGTGACATGTATACCCAATCAGATGGTATCCCACCAGGATATGAACAAGCCAAAAGTGGGTATACCTCGTTCGCCATAGATTGCCCTCCAGTTAGTCTAGCATTTGGTCGAACACCTAAATCATCGGGCCGCTGAAGCGAGCAATCGCCCGAGTTCTGCCCCGCGCTAAAATGTGCGCTACTGCACTATATGACCCAAGCCCAGGATCGTTGACTTGTGATGCAGCGTTTAGAAGCAGAAGACCTGGTCCTCGAGCTTGCTGACAGGTCTTGCCTTCTGGTATCCCAAGCCCTCGGTAGCCTTCTTGAGCGCAGAGATCATAGGTGGGGGTCCACACATGAGGATCTTGACATCCGAAGCCGGAGCAGGGAGCTTGGCCTTGATCATGTCGGCGGTGACGAAGCCCACGCCGCCATCCCACTTCTCAGGCGGGTTGTTCAGCACATAGTGTACTCTGAACTTGGGGTCCTTTGCGGCAATCGCATCAATGTCTTCCTTCAGCAGGATATCCTCGGGGTTGACGTTTGCGAAGATGAGATCGACCTCGGTCTTGTCGCCTGCTGCGCGGCCGCGCAAAATTGCCTTGATGATCTGCAGCATGGGCGTGATGCCGGTGCCGCCTGCGATCATACCGAAGTGTCTGACGAGGTTGGGTGTGTAGACCATGGCGCCCTTGGGACCTCGGACCTTGATAGTCTGGCCGACGGCCAATGAAGCGACGTGCTTGGAGATATTGCCCGTAGGGTAGGACTTGATGAGGAGATCGATGTAGCCGTGGTCTTCGTCGGAAGAGATGGGGGTGTAGGAACGGACGACTTCCTTGCCATCGATGGTAGCGGCGAGGGAGATATGCTGGCCGATGGGCAGACCAAGGATGTCGGTAGGGCGGGGCAGCGCAAGGCGGTAGCTGTGAAGCATTAGCACACGATGGTATTGAGCGACCGTGGGTATGTTGCGTACATTGCGGTGTTGTGCGAGAGAATCGTCTTCTCCTTGAGCGGGAATTCCTGGAACTCAGTGGGCTTCAGCACCTTGCGGGGAGCTATCCAGAGTCAGTACGAGAGTTCGAATATCCACAGGGTTATTTCTTCTCACCGTTGCTGTACACCTTCCATCCTCCTAGCATCAGAGCCAAAGCTGCAGCGAAAGGCAACCACTCCTTCTTGACGATTGCGGTTCCTACGATGAGCAGGGCGGAGGGGATATACACGCCCTGGACATACTGGGGTGCGAACAGGCCCGACATAGTGACGAGCGTTCTGTGTGCGAGACTGCGGTCGATTTGACGGTGTTGACGTAGGTAGGCAGTCAATTGGGGCCACCGAGGGGAATATAAAGCGCCGCAATGCGGAACCGGTCGTCTGTGGGGTACTAGTTGTCAAGCAGAGGGTCCAGGTCGGCGTATGCAGCGCTCAAAAAGCTGCCGATCAGACCACCCCTCGGTGATTGCTCGTGCGCAGCGATGATTGGTCCACTAAGCGAGTTGCCTAGCAAGTTGCCTTGTTGGGATGCGAAAACGACAGCGGGTTTCGCGTCACGGAAACCGACAGATGTTGTGCGAGTTGTTGCAACGTCTTTCTGTCTAACGAACCAGTTTCCATGTCCGGTCTGACGGTGCCTTGCGCGAACGATGCATGAATGTAGCGGAAGCGGGATTTCAGATCGCTTTGGGAAAGAAGTCCCGGGTGTGACCATAGCGGGCAACTTCCGCGCTGGTCGCGTGCTTAAGCGAGGCATACAGACGACCATGCGGCTTCGCTGCCATCCTAGTTTTCATATGCAAGTAAGCCTGTCGCTTTTTCTGCCTCCAGGAATCACTCTTACGCACGCAGCCAACAACCTAAGATCAAGATAAAGAACTTATGGCCATTTGGCCGTGTTTTTGATGCCCAAATCCTGAGAGTTGCTTTGGCTTTTGATCATATATACCCTGTTCGATGATGGAGCAAGAGGTGAAAAGGCTACAGACAGATATCATGGCCGAGGTAAACGCGACGGTCTTCTGTAGAGAAGTATGAACATGGTGACTGGTCCTGAAGAGTATGTACTGTGTCGCTCTATGCTGAGGACGATCTTTGATGTCGCCTCCATTTAGCGTGTTGCTCCACGCTGAGGTCTCCCAAAGGATCGAGATGCCGTTTTAACTGCAGCTGCGTTGATGGCGATCGAATGACCTGTCGGTCTCGAAGATATTCGCGGACTGTGCTTGAACCTGGCCTTACAACTGTCTGGCTGGACCCGTCGCTGCCAACAGCACGCATCTCATCAAATAGTCTCTTTAGTGGGGAGCACGGATCCTGCATTTCGACACCGCTGCCACTCTCAACGTCCTGTTGCCGGTCTCCTGGTCTAGAGCCAGTGGAGAAAACATAACGAATCTCTGTGAACGGTGAGCTCCAGACTCATTCATCGGCAGTGCACACCTACTCCACGCATCATAAGAAAGCTGAGCAATAAGCCATGCCCATGGTATAAGCGCCATCGTCTGCCCAACACCCCAGGTGTTGTCGTCGAAATCGTCACCAGCCATCCTCTGTATATTGCGGCGTTGACAAAACAGTGCAGCATAATGTGCAGCCAGTAGACATGAAGGAACCAGAATAGTAAGACTATGATGGACGACCAGTCTCAGCCTTTGTAGCTTCGTATCTTCTACCCGCAAAGTCCTTGAGACCGCGTAAAGCCGGTTCGTTCCTACGCTCGGTTTGTACCGCCAAAACCCCAAGGGCACTATTACGCAGAAGTTGAACAGCGATGGCAAGAGCGTCCAGTTGAGAGGAGCAAGACCACTCTGCTCGTTCAATACATCGATTGTACCACGAAGCCGATGACACGCTGTGGAGAGCTCTGCTGCGTTCGTGATGGACGAAGCAGAATGCGTGCTCAGAACGGTAGCTATCAGCGTCAGAGGGCCCTGTATGCTCAAGCCGATGTGAAGCCAAGAAGCTCCCTTGCCTCGAGTGTGGAAGTATCTCTCATGGAATACGTTCAGAATCATCGTCAGTAGTATTTGTACATTGACAAGCCATTCCAAGTACGGTTTCTCCAGGACGGGTGGTGTCTGTAAGATTTGGATAATAGTGGCCGCCGTCAACGATATCGCAAACACAAGGTGAGCGCTGGAAGTTCCTTTCGAAAAGGCGTGGAGAACTAATTCAAAGGTTCTGTCAAGGCGCGCTCGACATTTTGCACACATGCATACTGTTTCGTCATGACCATGCGAGGTGTCATTATCAACGTTTTGGATCCCTGGATTCAGCCAGCGGCGGTAACGTGCGAAAAGCACGATAGGAAGGAGCGGGCCAGACGTTATGACTGCGGCTGCTTGGACGCAGAATGCGACCATAGCTCCAATTCCAGATACGTCCTACAGTAGCGTTAGGCATATAGTCAAGAGCATTTGGGGTAACAATTAATATCACTGACTGGGTTCCCCGAGCCGAAAATGACTACGCATGCATCTTCGCAATTGGCAATGTAGTCGGTGGCATTCAGACCGTGATTCTTTGCAGCGCTCACGACATGTTGAAATTTAGTATATGCATTGCAGTCCATTATGGTGAGCTAGAACATGAAATGAAGTAGACATAGCAACGAAAAGAAGGTCCAGAAAATATATAGTTGCGCTCTCGACGTTTGAAAGCTGTACGACAATCTTTCGCAACGTGCGTGTACGAGAGTGAACTCTTTTCAAACGTGAACGAAGCGGTCTGGTCGATTGAAGATGCTGATTTCGGCCTCGACCGAATTTTGCTAAGGAAATATGTCCTTGTTGGGAAGGTATCCGATGTGCTTACATACGCCCCGTGATCCTCCATGTTTCATGTAATGCCGAAGGCACAAACTTGCGCTTATTGGCCGAATGCTTGAAACGTGTATGTCCGTCGAAATGTCGCGCGGATTACTGTCCGATCCGAGCTGCATTCAAAGGCCCAGTAGACTGCAGCCCTATCTGCAACAGGCTCTCGAGTTGTTTCGTGAACGACTTCGTCAATACCCCCACGCAACAGTTTCGGATTAAGACACTGCGCAACAGTTCTCCTATTGCATATTCTGATCCATAATTCTCCTGAAGTTGAAATCCCTTATCTCGTGGGATGTATCAGTTCTGTGACGCTCGAAACCTGGCTTCTTTGTCTTTCGCCGATCACGACTTTCAGCCCACATATTGCTCCCATTGAGGAAATCGTTTCGAAGTACAATTTCCCTCAATTCCCTCACTGCCCCTCCAGTCTCCCCCTATCTCCTCCATCTCCTCCATCTCCTCCATCTCCTCCATCTCCTCCATCTCCTCCATCTCCTCCATCTCCTCCATCTCCTCCATCTCCTCCATCTCCTCCATCTCCTCCATCTCCTCCATCTCCTCCATCTCCTCCATCTCCTCCATCTCCTCCATCTCCTCCATCTCCTCCATCTCCTCCATCTCCTCCATCTCCTCCATCTCCTCCATCTCCTCCATCTCCTCCATCTCCTCCATCTCCTCCATCTCCTCCATCTCCTCCATCTCCTCCATCTCCTCCATCTCCTCCATCTCCTCCATCTCCTCCATCTCCTCCATCTCCTCCATCTCCTCCATCTCCTCCATCTCCTCCATCTCCTCCATCTCCTCCATCTCCTCCATCTCCTCCATCTCCTCCATCTCCTCCATCTCCTCCATCTCCTCCATCTCCTCCATCTCCTCCATCTCCTCCATCTCCTCCATCTCCTCCATCTCCTCCATCTCCTCCATCTCCTCCATCTCGAACTCCTCGCGTTCGTCGCGATAGCTTTGGGGTTGCGATTCTATGGACGATGTGGATTGGTCTGAGAGCGAGTGGGTCGATGAGATGATGAAGGGATGCTGTGAATGGCTCATAGTGAAGGAGGTGCGTCTTGTGGGGGGTTCGATTGGGGATGGGGAAGCCGTGGCCGGGTTCTCGTTGGATGGCATGGTGTGTAAGGTTGACTCTGGAGGTGAGTGCTGTGCTGTGCCGGTCTACAGTGCGGTAGTCCGTCAAGGGACCATATCAACGAACTTGCAAATGGGCGAAGAGGCCTGTGGGCCATGCTGGATAAGTGAAAGTCTGTTCGATACATTCACTTGGTGAAGAACATCAGGGATTGAATGTGCAGTAAACATGTTCATATCATTATTCCCCCAGGCGTTTCCGCCCAATCTAAAGCCGCTCATGAAATAAACAACAAGCGCTGCATGCCCAAAGCCAGGCCAAAACGCCCAAGCCCAATGCCGCTATTATACTATGCGTGCGTCGCAAAACAACCCCACCACCACCGAACATAGAATCAATCACAAAAACGCCCTAGACCGGATTATGACCCTAATAGTCCTCTTCCTTTTGAGCTCACCCTTCTCGTCGACATCACTACCATCATCATCCGTAATCTCGATCTCTTTTTCCACCTCTTCGTCGACGAGCGTCCTCTCATCACCATCCTCATCCACCCGTTCTAATTCAGATTCCTCAATGATATCCTCAACAGTTGGATTCAGGTGCCCGGACCTCCTCCACCCCCTCACCGAGGTCCCACCTACTACAAAAAACCCTTCTGACCGGAGATACGTCGTAGCCCACCACGCAAGCTTCGCACACTCCCCGCGTTGGCCTTCTCGCCAGCGGCTATCTCGCCCATTTCACCCATTAGTAGGCCGATAGATGAGCCGCGACGGCTGCGGCTGTCGCCGGCTTCGCTGCCTGCGCCCGGCACACCTAGGGCGCTGCGACGCTCGACGCGGAGACCTTTCCAACCTTCGAGCTCGCGCTCAAGACGAAGGGTCTTCTCTCGCTCTTCGCGAAGTTCGCGCTCGGCGCGTTTGGCGGCGAGATGATTGGTGGAGTCGGAGGACTGGATTTCATCTATGGTGGAGAGAAGACTGGATATCTTGTCTCGTGCCTTGTTCAGGTCCTCCATGACAGACACGTTCTGCTTGTCGCGGCGCTCGATTTGGTTCTGCAGGTCCTTAACCGTTCGGTCGACATTGCGAACGCTACGCGATTCAGTAAGACGCGTCGACTCGGATGTTTCAAGAGCCTTCTCGAGCTGCAGTCATGGTTAGTATATCGTAGCTTGCTCGTGGTTTACTATATCTTACCTCTTGAATGCGGCCATGCAAAAACCTGACGTCCTTGCCAGCTGAGCCAGTGTATCCTTTGGTTTCCAAATCAACAAGGCGAAGCTGGAAATCCTTCAGATTTTTCTCTACGGCGGCCTTTTCCTTGTGCAATTGAACGTTGGCTTCCCGTTCGGCCACGATGTCCTTCTGGATCTCCTGCGCCAGTGCTTCGGCACGTCGCATCTTTCCAACGGCAGCGGCGGCAATGTCTTCTTGTTGAGCAAGGCCAGATTTGAGCTCGAGCAACTCGCGATCGTACGTGGCAGCATTCCTCATAGCTGGTGACTCTGAGTGTGACAAGTCCTCAAGCTTGTCAGCCGCCTCTTGAAGGCGTGCTTCAAGTCGCCTCTTCTCTTCGATGGCGGAATCGCGTTCGGCAGCAATGTCATCGACGTTGGTGCGAAGATTGCGCACCTGCGAGAGTAGGCTGACAATCTTAGACTGTGCTTCGTTGTGGGCATTTGCTGCCTCGTCGCGCGAATTTGAAATGTCCTGAAGCGTCATCTCGAGCCTGCTCTTCTCTTTCGCCCAAGTGGACGAGTTGAGGACCTCATCGTCCCACTTGCTCCTGAGCTCTTCGATCTCCTCCTTCAACCGGCCATTTTCTTCGCGAACATAAAGAACGTTCTCTCGCTCCAGATCAAGCTCATGTGTCAGCGAGGACAGCTCGTTCTGATACTTCTTCCGGGTTTGTTCTATTGAGGTCTCAGTATCCTCAAGATCGTGCTCTCGTTGGTTTCGGTAGTCCTCGAGCTCATTCTGGAGGCGCTTCTTCGCTTGTAGAGCACTCCCAAGGTCAGTGGAGAGATCTTCCACGCGCTCTTCATGCTGTTGCACCTGTCGTTGCAGATCCTCAACCATGCCATCCATCTGCTTCCGCTCTGCCATGATCGTGGCGCACGTCTCCTCGGCCTCCCGTGCTTGAGTCTTCGCAAATTGCTCCGCCCGAGACGCCTTCAGAACAGCGATCTCAGCCTGTTCAAGTTTGTTGAAATACTCATCCGCACGATTCTTGTATAGGTCAAGGCTGGCAGTGACGTCGACGAGGCGGGATGTCTCGTTGTCTAACCGTATCTGAAGATCGGCGAATTCCTGGAGAAGATGATCGTGGTTTGCCTGTTCCTCCTCTCGTTCGTCGAGCAACTCCTCAAGTTCTGACTTTGTGTCACGAAGCTCAACTTCGAGCGAGACCTTCGCGTGCTTGATCTCATCGAACAAGGTCTTTGCGTCAGCAAGGTCGTTGACGGTGGCGTTGTGTGCTTGCAGTAGCGACTTCCTGGACTGTTCTTGAGAATTCAAAAGATCGAACAGCTCTTCATGCGACTTCGTCTGCACTTCCTTGTAAGACAGTTCTCCAGACCTGAGACTATGCTCCAAAGAGGAGACCTTCTTTGCTGAGTCGTCGAGCATATCGTGGAGACGGAAGTTTTCCCGCTCGAGCTTCTGTACGCGCCGGACTGACGGGCTATCATCCTGCCAGCCGTTGCGAACAGGGGATCGATCGAGTTGGCTCTGGAGGTGTCGATTGCGCATCTCCGACATCTGCAGCTGGGTTTGAACCTGTTCCAATTCTGCGGCGAGATCCATACGATTGTTCAGGATCACTGTGTCGACAGTACGATCAGACCTTGCAGAGTTGGTTGTGGCATTACTGATATGCCTTTGGTTGGTTGGAGTGTTCGTTCGCGAGAACTGCTTGCGGGGCTCGCTATCCTTGCGTTGATGTGAGGGCGATCGGCGACCATTGACTTGGCTGCTGTTCATCTCTTCGAGCAGAGCACGCTTCGAATTGGCGTGGCGAGTATCCATCTCGTGGATCTCGTCCTCATGTCTATCACGCAATTCATCCAGTTGAGCTTCAGCTCGAGAGTAACGTTCCGTAGCCACGCGAAGAGCTTGATTGGCGGCTTCCAAGCGTTCAGCCACGTCAACGGCCTTGGTGATTTCTGGTTTGACGCCGTCGTAGGTTATAGGACCATCTTCAGCATCAGGATTGAAAACCTTACGAAGCAGAACAAGCTGTTGACGGCATTCTTCGAGCTCACTATTGCTGCTATCCAAGGCTGACTGAGCGGCGCGCGTGTTTGCCTGAGCTTGAGTTCGCAGTTGCCTCTCGGTTTCGAGCTTTCGATTCGCATCCGCCAACTGGAGACCGACAGTGGAAGAGGTTTTCTCGGCATTGCGGCTGGACTTATGCTCTCTGTTGATCTCGTGATTGAGGTCTTCCAAGCTAAGAGAAAGTTTCTCTTTCTGCTTCTCTAGGGAGGCAATGGTCAACTGAGCATCTTCTAATTGATGAGTAAGGCGCTTGTTGTCCTCTTCGGCCTTGCCCTTCTCGGTCGTAAGCTGCGCAATGCGGGATCGTTGAGTATCTCCGGCCCTTGAGTTAGATCGTGCAATATCGAGATTTTTCTGCTGGAGCTTGTTCAACAGAGCCCGGTTGTCGTTCTCGGATGCAGTAAGGCGGCCCTTGATGGTGACCACCTCACGTTCAAGACGTTCCTTCTGTTGATCGTTGCGGAGTTTGAAGGATTCTGAGTCACCAAGCATCTGCGTGAGGCTGTGGACCTGTTCAGCAAGATCATTTCTCTCCGCTTCAAGCTGGTCCAGTTGCTGGTCCTTCGCCTCGAGCTCCTTAAGCTGAGCCGCTTGCCGTTCCATCGCAAGCCTACTGTGCGTACGCTCTGCCGCTGCGTCGGCATCCAACTTCTCCTCCTGCAGCTTCAGGTACTTTTCGCGAAGGGTCCGAAGTTCAGTCTGGTAGTCCTTCCGCTCCTTCTCTACCGCCACCCGAGATTCAGTAGCTCTTCGAAGCACGTCCTGCTGAGCATACATCTCTTTCTCGATGGTAATCTTCGACTCGTTCAGAGCGTCGAAATCGCGTTGCAGCGTATCGAACTTGTGTTCCCCAAGGAGCTCAACGTCATCGCGAGATTGTCGCTCACGGCTAAGTTCACGTTGGACCTCGAACAATTGGCTCTTGAGGTCTTCGATCTGTTCCTCGAGGAGTCTCCTTCCCTCGCCAGACTTGGCGTCTTCGGAAATCTTCTCCTCCAGCAAACGCTTGGCATCTACAGCTTCACGTTCGAGTTGCTGCTTTTGGGAACGCATGGCATCAAGCTCTGCCTTTGCGTCGCGGAGGCGACTCTGCAGATCGTCATGCTTCGAGGCCAGCGTTTTCTTCTCACTATCAAAGAGCTGCCGGTCGGATTCGTAGGATTTGAGGTCTGTTTTGAGAATCGCTAGTTCGCTCTCTTTCCGTCTGATCAAGTCTTCGTAGCTCGTTGACGTAGACGAGAGGTCAGCGATTTGTTGGCGCACCTGACGATTCTCGTCAAGCAATTCTTTGACTTGCTGCTTCGTATTCTGCAGCTCCTTGTTAGATGCCGCAAGCTTAATGTCCAGGTCTTGGTCGGTCTTCAACAGCTTCGCTTCGAGATCCTGTAGCTTCCGTTCTTTCAAAGACAGATGGCTCGTCAACATCTTGACTTCTTGGTTCAAAGACTCCTCAGCCTGACTGCGTTCAGACTTTGCGTTCTCCAAATCCACCAATTGTTGATCTAGCTTGGTGAGCTGGTCTTCCAGATCTTGCTTCTCGCCCTCCAGGTTGCCAATGATTTGTCCTGCCTGCTCAAGCTCGTTGCGCCAAAGCTCAGCCTGCTCTTCAGTCTTCTTCTTGGCTTCCATGAGTACATCCAGCTGATCTTCAAGCTTGTCCTGATCCTCAATGGCTTCGGCAAGTTTCTCAGAAAGTTCGGCTTCGCGGATCTGAAGACGCTTGAATATCTCCTCCTTATCAAGGGCCAGAGCACGTTCACTTTCCAAAGTCTTCTGAATGCGTTGAATGTCCATCTCCGCTCGACGACGATCATCCTCAACTCGCATTCTGTCTTCCGCTTCCTGCTGCATCTTCTCTTCGAGCTTCTGGATCATCTCGTCCCGCTTCTTGACTTCGGCGGCTTGACGAGTTGCTCCAAGCATCGGCCTCATGCGGGCAAAGAGTCTCCACCAAGGATTGGATTGCAGGTCAAGGTAGACTTGGAAGTTTCGCTGGATGATACGCGTGGCCTCAGCTCGATATAAGCGCTTGTGAGCAATGCGACGTTGGATGAAGCCTCTGGCCGCGGACTGGAACCGACTGATGATGTCGCGAATGAGAGCGTCGCGTTGCTCTTCTAACTCTGCTAGAACACCGGCGCGGAAAAAGACCTTGGTTATACCAACACGATAGAGCGCAGTGTCCAGATGAAGCTTTTCGAGGATCATTTTGGCTGCAACCTGACCCTCAAGATACCCTTGGGGCAAGTCATTGCAAAGGACTTCGTAGCGTTGACGGAATTCCACGAACGGAAGTCGATTAGGGAAACCAGTGCGGGCAATCCTTATTCCTTCTAGCACACCGTTACATCGTAGCTGGTCGAGCACTAGAGGGGCACTGAATTGCTTTGGCCGCTTTTTGTGGTTCGGAAGAATGCAACGCACAAAATGGGGATGAGTTGAGTGAAGTTGCGTCATCAATGTAGAAAGCTGCTCCTTGTGTCGTTGAGCCACCGTCCGGAACAAGCCTTTCTTGACACGGTTTCGAGCGCCTCCGAAGTCGTCATCGGTATCTGCACAATCCGCAAAAAGGTTCGCAACGTGCTTATCCGTAGAACCAGCAAGTAAGCGGGTGACGTTGTCATTCAGTGGATCCTTATTCTTTTCTAGCCAACCCTCTGTGGAATACTCGACTTCAGCAGCGTAATGTGTTAGCATGAAGCCTTGGGTCAGCAGCGAGCGCTTGTACTTCGTGCTTTTGCGATCCCACAGAGAGTGTAATTTTTCAGTGAAGCTTTTGTCCGTAGCTTTTGGCATAACACTATCCTCATCCAAACAGGAAAAGATACCAATGGGATTGGGCAACTCGATGAGGTCGATGGTCGGCTGGAGATCCCGTCCGAAATCAATGAACTTCCACTCGATCTGTTCACGGGCGTACTCTTCCTGCTCCAGAACGAACATGTGGTGGTTAAAGAATTGCTGCAGCTTTTCGTTCGTATAGTTGATGCAAAGTTGTTCGAAGGAGTTGTCCTCGAATATTTCGAACCCAGCAATATCGAGAACCCCAATGAAATGGGAATCATCACCGCCTGATCCTGTACGGTCCAGTTGACGATTGATGCGGTCGACAAGGTCACCAAAACCTCGCTCATAAATACCCTTCGCCAGGGCATCAATAGCGAGATTGACCTGTTCTGGGGTCTGAACCTTCTCTACCCATTCGCGACCTGCCTTAACGCGCGGGTGCAACAAAGCCTTGACGAAGTCTTCCATAGGGATTCCGAGAAGTTGACACACTTTCTGTGCCTGTTCAACCGACTCAGGGTCGAAAGCGGCCTGGTCTGCTCGCCGGCTCTCCTTGATCGCTTTAATGTTGCCGAGCTGAAGTACGGCCGCAACTGTCTTCAAGATCGAGGCTTGTTCCTTGTCGGAGAAGTCCATTACATGGAAAGCCTCAATCAGCGTATTCCATTCGTCGCGATCTGAGACGCCCGAGATCTGGTCGTTGCCATGCTTGGTGTAGTCGAAGTCCTCCACATCCAAGTCGTTCAGAAGGAATTCCCGCTTCATCTGTTGGTCCGCACCGCGGAGCAATTGATAGAACACGTGGTAATTACGCTCATTTGCATTGAGCCGGACGACCCTCGACTTCTCCAACAGATACCAGTCGATATAGGCACCTGCAATTTGACCAGTGCGGGTGAATTCAATCCTAATGAATTTGCCAAAACGAGACGAATTGTTATTTCGAACGGTTTGGGCGTTTCCGAAGGCTTCGAGGATGGGGTTCGCGCGGAGGATCTGCTCAGAGAGATTTGAGTGCTGTCTGCCGCCCGACTTCCCGCGGGGGGTATCTGAAGGTGCAACTGCTGCAAGATATTGGATAACCTTTTTAGTGTTCTCTGTTTTACCAGCACCTGATTCTCCGCTGTAATTTGTTAGCGCAAGTCTGCTGCATAAGTTGGCCAAACGCACGTTACTAAGATACTTTGGTTGGCACCCTCGTCCACCAGATTCCGGAATGCCTCGTCAGCCATTGCGAAAATATGTGGCTTTGTCTCTTCTCTGCTCCTCCCTCGATACATGTTGATGTATTCCCTCGAATATATGGGAAGCGGGCAATATGGGTTTACTGTTACGAGGAACAGTCCGGAGTAGGTCTAGACGTCGTCAGTCGAGATCGTTGCATGGTCTTCTACATGACATACGTATATCAGGTCTGCTTGGTAACGCATGTGCAGGTTATGAATAACGGAAGGCTCATTGAGGTGCGTGAGCTCAGCCATGTCGTTGGCCTTGTCGAACTTGGCCGGATTGACCTTGTCCACCGATTCTGCTTCCACCTCATGTTGCTCTCCATTATCGCACTGTACAAGTATTTGCCCTCCTGGAAGGTCCTCTACTACCCAACCCCGTACAAAGGCGGTCTTAGCATCTCGTAGCCAGACATAGCGCTTGCCTGAGAAGTCGTTTTCTCCCTCGATGCCGCGCACCTCTGGCAAGTCCTGAGTGCCGTCTTCTATGAATTTGGGCGCAAATGTTCCCGCAGGTGTGCTATTCCGGTTCGAATTGGCGCGAAGGCGGGTCGATTCGTTTCGAGAGAGCAGCGGGCTACTCAGCTGGTTGAGAGACTGATTGCGGGCGTGGCCCATGACGGGTTGCTGATCCGCCAGCGGCGACGAGAAGAGAGCAGACTTCGGACGGGTATTAAGTGGTGCCGGCGCCGGCGATGGCGATTGTGAATTCCTTGCGAAAGGACTGTTCCGCCATCGTGGGCCGTTTGGCGCGGGCGCGCTCATGGTGCTGTTGTGTCTGTGGGTATCAGGGCAGGTGCGACGGCGTTACCTTCATGCATCCGCAAGGCGCATAATGCGGAGCAGGAAATCAGAAAATAACAAGAAGAACGCCTCTTCGAAGCCCCAATTACCAATATGTACAAGGATGCAGCGACCAGACGTCGAAATGAAAGCCGCGGTTCCAGCTGCTGCGTGACGGCGGGATGCGAGTTTGTGTTGTTTACATGTTTAGCGGCGCTCGAGCCTTCCCCTAACGACAGGCCTGGGGCAGCGCGTCACTTCCCGCAATGTTGCACGTGACTAGTCTGCTAGTGCCGCGGCGCGCTTGGGCGATCAATGAGCTTTCTTATTCGAGCGCATCTATCATCTCCAACCGCTGCATTCCAAGCAGCACCTTTACCCACCCGTCGCCCTGCTCCTACCCTTCACCTGCAAGCGCGCTCGCTGCCCTATAAGCCAGTTATGTGCCGCTTTTAGAAAAAGTACGCCTCCATAACAGCGCGCAACAACTCGCGACTTCCACAATATGGCAACCAACTGGCAGCCGTCTTTCGGCCTGCCCTTTCCTCCATTTCCTCCGCCTCAGCCGACCCCGCAACAACAACCGCAGGCTCAGCCAGATGCTCAGAGCGGCCCTTCCGACGCGTACCCGCCGCCGCCACCCGCGAGCACCTTTGTGCCGCCGCCGGCGTGGAATATACCTGGTTTGAACATCCAGGCGCATAATCAGAACGCCCAACAACCCCAATTCCCATCTGGTAAGCTATTCCTTCCTTCCAAATGTGTGAGTAATGAGCATTATACACAGCTCGGTCTTCCAGCTGTTGTTTCTAGCTCGAAGCGTTCGTGATTGAAAGTATCGCTAATGCGGCGTAGCATGGCCACCGAATTTCCCCATGCCGGACCAGCTTGCCCAGTGGAACCAGATGCAGATGGACATGCAGCAGCTGCCTTTCATGATGATGCAAAATGCACCACCGATTCCTGGTCTCGCTCTTGCTTCGAATCCGCCGCCCCAGTCACCCTTCCAAAGTGCCACACCCACACATCCTTTCCCCACACTGCCGCCGAATCATCTGTTCCCCGCGCCCGCACAAATGTATCTCGTTCCGCAGTCGGTCCAGAACGACCGCATTACCGATATGACGGAAAGTGACAAGGAAGAAGGAGAAGTCAGCGAAGGGTCCCGGTCTCCAGCAGTCAACGGCCGCACCTACCCAGATCCTCCGCGATCAGTTCCGCTGAACTCTTCTCGCTCTTCGAACAACCCTCAGGCTATTCAGCAAGAGGTCTATAACCCGGACCAGCCTGCGGCAGGCCAGACAAGCGAGGCTGCGTTGCGAACCAGAACCGCAGCACCGGCTAAGACTACTGCAGACAACATCTCGCAGCAACGGAGCGACGCGAAGGCATTCATCAAGCTACTCCAGAACAACAACATAGGCTATCACGCGCTTGCTGCCGAGGCTTTAGATGCGAGCTCTTTACGAGACCTTTACCGAAGCTTGAATCTACCGTCAGAACCTGAGCCCATGCCATCCCCTCCCAAGGTCAATGGCAACGCACAGACTTTCCCGAGCAATGGTGACAACGTTGGGTCACGAACATCGCCACCAACTACTAGCTCAAAGCCAGTAACTGCAGTCAATACCAGTGTTCCACCAACCAAGTCAGCCCCGTCGCCAGCGAACCGTAAAGAGTACCTCGCTCAACTACAAGCAGCGAAGAAAGCTCGACAACAAGGAGGAGCGAAACTTACTCCACCTCAGAATACCCCGCCACCGGCACCGGCTGCTTCGAAAGCCGTATCTGCGCCCCAAGTTGCAGGAACCGGCGAGAACGGGCAACTCACAGAAGCAGAGAAGAAAGCAAAGACTACTGAGCTGATAAGACGGCGTATCGAGGCTTTGAAGAAGAACTCATCTTCTCCTGCAGGCGCTGCATCGTCCAAGATTACAGCTACCGGTTCCACCACTGCTACTTCCTCTGGTCCTCTTCCTGCGACTGTCAATACATTGCCGCCCACCGTTAACGATTTTCAATCCCGAGCTGTTCCTCCCTCGCCTTTCGGAAATATTCCTGGACTGTTTATGAATTCTTCCCCAGTTGTGCAACCCAGTCAGCCACCCGTCACTCCTGGATCCAGCAAACGAAAGCGGTCGGTCCCCTCGAACAATTCACCGCTTCAAGGGAATGAACAAAATGCTCACGGAATGCAATTTGACGATAGACAAGACGTAGTTGCAATTCCTCCGACCCAGGTCATAAGTCCCTCACCCTTACAGAATGGTTTGCAAGGTGTTCGAGCTATGCCAGCGCTACCTGGGTTTCCATTACGGCCTGCATCTGTGAACCCACCGGTATCAGCTTTGAGCACTCCAGGACCTCAAACTCCATCCAGCTCCACTCGGAGCCAAGAGATGGATGATAAGGCGAGGAAACAGGCTGCCCTCAAAGAGCGTTTGCAGAAGAAGATAGAAGAGCAAAAGCGACAAGCAGAGCAAAATCGACTCGCGAGCGCGCAAAGTTCTCCGAAGCCACTGCCACAACAGTCTCCGTCACTGCCTAAACTTAGTGTGGGCCGAGGAACGTCCAGGGAACCGAAGAAGCGACGTAAAGTGGACATTGAGGCGGAACAGTCCGCCTTGGATATCGACATTGCAGCGAATGCTGCCAAATTGGCACAGATTACGAAGGAGTTTGAGTTACTCACTGCGAATGACAGGAAGATGCGATATGACAAAGAACGGCTTCAGGCAGAATTAGAGAGCCTTGGTATCGATACGGAGGGCATGCCACATGCAGAGCTCCAAGCGAAAAAGGACGAGATTGAGCGTGAGCAGGGCATGGCTCTCAGAACGCTGGCGGCGTCCACCAACATCCCCGCCACATCACCTACGATGAAGCAATTAGCTGGAGCAACTGTGCCCGCACCAGCGGCAACGGTCCTTAAATCCGGAGGCGTCACCCAAGCCTTGTCGCAACCGCCCGAGGTGTCTCAGCCTGTCATCCAAACAGGCATTCCTGGACTCAATGCGCCATTTCCTTTGGCATCATCGCCACCGACTATTGCAAAGCCCCACGGTGCGATCAAACAGCAAACTTCACTGCCTCATAGTACACGGGATCAAGCTGATCGACCAGAAAAGTCCATACCATCAAAACCTCCGGTGATTGCATCCGTGCATGATGCGGTCTCTAATGACCTGAGTAAGCCAGCAACACCGCTTGACGACGAGGAAGACTTCTATTCCCCTGAGCCCGCCGCCGTCATTCCAGCCGGCGACCAAATTGAACCTGCTCCCACATCATCAGCACGTGCCAAGTCTCCTTCCGAAGAGGGCGAAATGGCCATGTCAGAGTCCGATGAGGAAGACTATGAGCCTGAAGAAGCTCAGGAACCACTGTCACACGACCAAGTCCCAATTGATAAAACTACGGAGCAGGACACGACCGTGGCGACCTCCCGGGCTCCATCATCAGCATCACCTTCCGTGTACATGCCTACGAATGAAGACGAGGACCCGTACGAGCCTCCAGATGTTGATCAACCTATGATGCACATTGATCCTGGTCACGCAAGTGTGGAGCCTCAGCCAAATGATCAGCAGGGGGAGGTTGAAGAGGGAGAGATGGACATGTCCACTTCATCTGGCGATGACTCTGATTCGGACACTTCATCAGAGTCGTCTGCGGAGGAGCCCAATGAACCAGCTCTCGCATCTAGTAGCAAGAACCCGGGTTCCTCTGTGACTGTTGCTGACGATCTCGCACCAGAATTACAGCCTGATGCCTCAGCAGTAGCACTGGTATCACAGGACCCAACGGGTCCTTCGACAACCCAAGAATCAGTAAGCTTGGCAATCCTACATAGACTCGGCTAACAATGAAAAGCATGCAGAGGAAGTTGAAACTAACCCGCGATCATTTGTGCCATATGAAAGTCCTCTCAGACTGTTCAAGTCATACCGTTACCATCCCACCTTTGCGCAAGACATCTCCAGCGGGTTTTTGTCGATGACTTTTAGTCATCAAATTGACCCAGAGAAGCCGCTCTGTGAGACCGAGGCGTTGGGTTTTGAATGCGTTGACGCAGGCTGCCCCAAACAGCATTTTCGGGATATGAACATTAGCGGTGCGTGTGCGGCAGCGACTTCAATCTCGTCTGTATCTAGTACCATCTGTACGCAGACTGACATGACCACTTTATCTAGGTGAGAAGCTCTTAGTCCAGCTTGGAACTGCGAATCCCGGAAAGACGCCTGAGGAGAGGCAGCGTTGGAATGATGGTCTGCGAGGCGTACTCAAGGACTTACGGCAGAAGAACACGAAAGACCCGAATGGCATTGCCATAGAGATTGCCAACTATCGTCGCCAGTTTCTCCAGGACGATACCAGAGTGGTCAACCTATGACCTTGTAGAGTCGACACCCGCATGCCCTGGTGATTCTGGGCATGGCAAAAACACACGGGGTGGCTCGCAGTTGGACTGCAGAAGCGATAGGCTTTCTTGCCGGCTTCCATCACACCTAACCAACCTACAGCGCCCGTTTCCGTTTTGAGCACTTTTTTCTTCTTCACTTTTCCCCATAGCCTAGCCTTGCAGGCAGGCATTCGTAAAAACAACCGCCGGTATGTAGTCGACTCACGAACTGTGGGTTACTGTTCTTGTTTGGATCATTTGAGCATCGATACCCCTGCATACCTTTGGAGTTGGGTCGCTTCTCGCCACCGTCTTAGGCGGTTCGAAGTAATTGGAGTTTCAGTTGCGTACATAGGGGAGGATTGGCAACGAACTACGATTGGCATGTACCTCGACAATCGCTCGGCTTCCCGGCATCGTCGTATTGCCATTGCGGTTATCTACCGTAGTGCAAAGAGAGATATGCGGGTTTCTCTGGACGGGAGCCGAGTGGTGGGAGACATGCGAAATGGTAGGCCAGCGAGCGATAAGAACGATGATAGCATCTCCGTGTGTAGACCGGTAATAATTGCAATTTGGGTATCATTCGATCTGCGTAGTGCAATGTTGTCATTGAGGTGGTGCTATGTGTACATTCAGTTCTCTTGGACTACTTCATGAAACTCCTGGCAACCAGGTAGATCGCCTCGTCGATCCCCCGCAAAACTTCTGCAAGACGAAGCACGAGTTGCGGGGGTGCAAGGGGCCGTCTTGGGTCGCTGCGTTTACTGAAGGTGCAATTTGCGGGTAAACAATCTATCATCATAATCGTACTGAGACGGCACTGCACCATCTCGGCACAGTGACGTCGCCCGTTCCATTCTACGACGGCAAACAAATGCTAGAGAGCATATAATTCTCAACTGCCTCCTAATTTCGAAAGCCGTTCTGTTTGCGTCTGCCTCATCATCCTCTCCATCAAATTACCTTCACTGTATTCCATCCCACGATGTACATCCCCACTATCCTCCTCCTCCTTATCGGCCTAGCATCACCAACACCCCTCCACAAACGCTGGGAATGCTCCTCCAGCGCTCCTGGCGCGTTCAGTTGTTACCCGTCCAACATCAACAGCTGCAAAGACGTGCAGGGCTGGGCGAGCTGCGCGCAGACGAATGGGATAGATAAGTGTGGGGAGCCGGCGCCGAGTGAGAGCGTGCCTGTGAGTACGTGCCAGGGGGAGGCGTTTAGTGCGTGTGGTGAGTCGATTTCTGGTTTTGGTTTTGTAAGGAAGGAATGGGTGAGGGGCTGACGAGGGTACAGAGACGGCGAATTGTTAGAAAGTGAGATGGTGTGGTAGGAAGACAGTTCATGTACGGTATATATGTGTATAGCGCAATTTGACAAGGCGATTTCAGGAGCCGTGGTTATAGCCTCGAAGGGCTAAGCACGCTCTGCAGCTATGAAAGGAGAAAAGGTTTAGCAAACCTAGAACATTCAGGGAGTGATGCTGACCTCCAGCCAAATCGCCTAATCGGGCAGTTCCAAAAAGTGTCGAAAGTGGTGTGGTCACCTTCACTTTTCTCCACAGGCGCATGGGCCAGCTAAGCGAAGTAAAGACGTTGTTCAGGGAGTGATGCTGAACTCTCTATTGAAACTTCCTAATCGGGTAATTCCCTCAGAAAAGGTGTCGATTACTGTATGGTCACCTTCATTTGGTGAATGGTCCGTGCGCCATGGCCCAAGCTCATGCACCATGTCTCTGAAGCTTGCCATATATTGCACACACATTGTCCGTACGGGTCCAAATTGTGGCAAGCGAATGTCGCGGGCGTCCGAGTTGGTGTCCAAGCAGAAAGAACGTGAAGACCTTGGTTGTCATGTCTCATGATGTTTATGTTACTGCAGTCATGGCCGGTAATGGTTCAAATGTTACTCTCAGGGAACGTCTGTTGTGCTAAGCGTGGCGCAATAGGATTCCCATGTTGCACGGGGAAATGCGGCTTTCTCAGAAACCTCTCATATCTCACGGCTACTATATTTTGGGAGCTGCAGAGACGATCACAGTGCATTCTACGCGTACTGCTGAGAGCCTCGATCATCATGTCCAGCCCTTCCCACCTACTCCCCGCGCTTCTCGGCCATAATTTTCCGATACGTCTCAATAATCCCCTGCCTCTCCTCGCCCAGCTCCTCCCTCTTCCTCAAACTTCCCGCAGCATTAGGCACATTCCCCACATTAACCTTCGCCCCTCCCTTCACCTTGAAAATCTCCCTCGGCACCTTCTTGAAACTCGGCGGCTCCAGCACCACATCATGCAAGCCCTTCCTCTCCTCCCTCTTCCTCCTCAGCGCCTCCCACTCGTCCTCTCCCTTATCATCCACCTCGCCCACAACCAGCTTCTTCTTCCCTTTCTTGGCCTTTTTCTTCTTCCCACCAGCGGCGCTCGGCAACTCAGCAGTCTTATCTTCCCACATGGCGTCAAGCTCATCCCGCTCCTCCTCCGCAAGCTCAGCAGCTTCCTGTTCCTTGTCACGGATCCTTGCCTCCTCCTTGCGCCACCCCTCCTGCAGCCGCTTGAGATGCCGCTCGTGCTTCGTGACTCTGTGATCGCCTAGCCCAGGCGTCTTCTTGCCCGTCTTGCTGATGCCAGACAGCGGCAGCGCCTGGTTGACTCGCTGCCTGAACTCGCTTAGACTCTCGCCAGGCATGATTTTGAGCTCCGGTTTGGGGAGAGCCTGCGCCTCGCTGTTTGGCAAGGACGCTTGCTCTGTTTCCGTGGCTGCGCTATGTTGAGAGGGCTTTTGCGTGGTCTGCTTGGGGGCTTTCTTGGGCTTTGCGCCGTCGTCGAGGCCGGAGCGGCGCTTGGGGTTCTGCTGGAAGGCCATGAGGCGCGCGAAAGCTTTGGGCGTGTCGTCGGTGCCATAGCCTTGGATGTGAGACGTTTTTCGCTTCTTCGTCTTTTGTGCGGGTGCGGTGGGGTTCTTGCCAACGGGGAGAGGTGCGGCGCGGATGGAGGGTGGGAGGTCGAAACTTGGGGAAAATTAGCAGAGTTAAAGGTCAGGAACGATGTAGTGAGACTGACTTGTTCACGTCGTATTCGGCTTTGCGCTTGTGTTTGTGAGGCATTGTGGCGGTATGTGGTGTGAGATTCCAATCGGTGGAGCTGCAAGATTGAAGATGCGACGCCAAAAAAGTTGTGCAGGGATCTTCGTCCCGGAAAGCGTGGGGCAGGTGTAAATCTTGGCGACAACCTCCCACGGGCGCACGACATTAGCCTTAGGACTACTATTCTCAACTTGCACGAATAGTGAAAGAAATGAACCAGTCTTATGAACAAAATCTTGAATTCTTGAACATCTACAAATATGGCCTAAGCCAGCACAGATATACAGCCCATACGCCGAATAACCCTCATGAAGCTGCCTCGCCCGGGTATCTCATGCAGCGCTTATCGCGTGCCCCATAACCAATCCCAAACTCCGTACACTGACGATTTTCATGTCTATCCCATCCAACTTCCATGTACCTTGGCACCCCAATCTCCCTTCGTCATCTCCCTTAGATCGTCCCCGTTAAGGTAATCCACGCCCTCCTCTACCAGCACACGCCACACCATATTCCTCACTCCAACAGGCCAACTAGGCGCCCCCCAGTATCTACTCTTCAGCCCTCTTTCCTTCGCCGCTCGAATCTGCGCTCTGAGCAGCTCCTTCTGAGAAGACGACAGGCGCCCGAACCAACACCACCCGATAGCCTTCTTAAAGTCGACGGAGGCGTAGTAGGAATTTGTTAGGTCGAAGGTAGAGAGTGGGGTGGTCCCGACGGTGCCTTGGCCGCCAGCGCGCTTGACGTCGCGGCTGGTGGTCTGTGACGAAAGTGGTGAGAGGGCAGAGAGAGGCGCGTCGAAGAAGATATCGCGGTGGGTGGTGTTGCGTGTTACGAGGTCAAAGGGAGCGTTTCCAGTTGCGACGATGGTGATGGGACCGGAGATGAGGGTCTTGCCATCGTAGTAGGACAGGTATCCTTTCTTCCTCAGCGGCTCGAGCTGCTCCGAGACAACGGGATATAGAGCATGTCCGTCATTCTTGAAGTCAACAAGTAAAACTAGGGTCTGTTTTGGGTCCATTTCGAAGACGCCGTTCTTGGCTCCAGTCGAGACGGTCTGGAACTGGGTGTTGGGGGTATTTTGCTGATCGACAATCCGCATAAGGTGATCCACATACATGGAGCGGAAGGTGTGGTCGTTGTTTAGGTCGCGCGTACTATGGCCCACGAAAAGATCGTTGGAGCGCTCAGGAAAGAGCCAAACATCTGCTTCGACGCCGGTGCAGCCCCAGCGGAGGGCCTCGAACAAGGGAACGCGGCGCCAGTAGTCGTTGTGCGAGTGGCAGTGAATAGGTTTCACATTCCGTGTGAGGCCGGTGTAGTCGCCGTTTTGGTACTGATCAAGAGGGAGGAAGTCGTGTGAGTAAGTGATGGCATCATCTCTGATGACGTTTACCAGGCTCATGAGAACATTAGAGATATGAACGATGCCACTGATCGGGTTAGTACAAGATCTGCCACAGCATGCGGCTCCCTGAGCAAGATGGGAAAATATGCCAAGGGGTTCGGAAGCTGCGGAATGAGCACTTACAAAAACACCACTACTAGCAGTGGCAGCCCCAACACCGTTTTGATCCCACACCTCCTTATCCTCCACTCCCTCCTAACACTTTTCTCCTTCGGATCAAGCGGAAACCTCACCCGATCAAACCCGTCCTCTTTGCCCAGGCCCAATCCGACATTCCTCCTCCGTACGGCCATCAACAGCCTCTTAATGACACTGGGACTGGGCCGCAACTCTACCGTCTCGAAATCGTCTTCGCCGTCCTCGAGAGCCCGCAACGATACACTTGTCACGTCTTTGGCAGTGATATCTGGCGAATGAGAGTCGAAGTCGAGAAGAAGAGGTTTTCCAGCGTCGAGGTCTGCCATGGTGTTCGGCCAGGCACGAGCCAATGATGCGCTAGCGCGGCTGCTCTCTGGACCCTGATCTTGCGCGGGGGGAGCCAATTACGTTCCCCGCAGCGGTCTGTCTGGGCTTCCCTGCGTCGTCGTTCGAGTGCTTCTACTTCTTTGTTCTTGAGGCGAGGTGTTGGATGTTGGCGAGCCGCGCGAGAGGACGTCGCAGGCTTAAGACAGTATCCCAGGGAGGAGACTGCGGTCCAGGAGGGCGCCACACTCTAGCTGAGATTCGACGCAAGGCTTGTGGGCCCGTCAAAGCGGGTCAGGAGTTTCTGCGGGTATGTTCCGCAAACGGCAACTGCGACAGCCGCCTGAAATAGAAAAAGAAAGTGAGCCTGCCCCGGTGGAGATCGTTTGGGGTCCCGCACTGTCGTTGTCGTTGTCAGATCTTGCGGACTTGTAGAGCAGGACAGGTCTTGGGTCCTTTATCTGGTGAATGGTTGTTGGTGTTGCAAACTTTGGTAGGAGGGTGTGTTGGTCTTGGTAGCGAAAGCGCCGCACACTCGTCGTTGCGCCCACGATGTGCGCGCGCTGGTGCAATTGGTGGCTTCAGGCGTGTCACGCGTCGGCCAAGTCGTCAAACGTGTCCCAATTGGCAGCCCATGTGTTCTAAATGTCCACGGGTTGCGCTTGCGCTGTTATACCTGCCAGATCCCCTTCAGAGATCGTCCAGACCCTGCACCTACGTGTAGCGTGCTAAGGTGGATCTGCAACTCGTAACGAACACTGTGAAGGTACACCGAGTACAGGCAGCAGCTTCGATAATTGTGCCCCAACGGCTGCGTTTGAAAAGGAGACGCGTAACTTGACACCCACCAGCCTTTGCACCGCCCACTAACTCCTTCATGCATGTGTAGTCTTACGGAGACTCCTCCGCCCCATCTTACTGAAGATCGCGCACATCAAACTGTGGCTCCCCGCGCACCGCCTCACCCCTGCAAAATCACTCAAGACTATCGATCCGCCATCTGTGGCTCACCAACCATTGTCTAGGGTGCGTATACCGGCATCGTCAGAGTGCATAGTAGTGAGTATAGACTCGTTGAGGGGTTTTGTGAACGCCCTCCGAGTGCCCCGCGTACGAACTTGCACATATCATCTTACGATCCTGTCATCGCAAAGCGTACTATTCTTTTCTGATGCGTAGTGATAATCGCGGTTCTGCCTTCTGTGTTTGATAAGCGCGGCAGTGCTTTGCGACGAGCAACTCGGGGATAATATCGGTGTTTCAAGGCGACGGTACTAGTTTGCGATCGATCTGTGCACATAATAAGCAGGAATGCTTCGTTGGGGCCATGACGTTGCGCGCTCTCACGCCGAGATTCCTTCAAAGTTAGATTCGCACGAGACATGATGATCACACTGCAATGGCACAATTGGAAGGTTCAAGGTTTCATTGAAAGTAGGCTCCGTTGAATACCCACGGAAGAGACGAGCTACCAGAGAAGGCAGTCGTCGTCAATTCTATAAACAGGCGCACTGAAGGCAGAACAGGCAAGGGCAGCCGAGGATGTCCAAATGGATTGCTGCTTTTGATAAAATATGTCGCAGCCAGGAGCATCCGAAAGAAAAAGGCCGCTCGATTGAAGAGGTATTGGCAGCCAAAGATGTCCACAGGGACTAGCTGCTTGGGAAACAGAGATGGAAAGGCAGTCGAAGAAGTAGTGCAAGCATGGCTGCATCGAGCTGCAGAAAGACAAAGGAAGAGGTTGCTGGTGTCCACAGGGACTATCCTCCATTGGAAAGTATTGGGTATCGGACAGGTGAGAAAAGGTGGGTATCTGGGGTATCGTAACAAAGCGCCGTTCCCAGACCAAAAACGCCCGAATTGTGATAGTGACAATAAGAAAATCGTTTGGTCGTGTGACGAAGATGACAGCGCTTTCAGGCTTTGTGCGTGCTGTCCTGCGGGCGATGCACGGTATAGGACTCTTGCGCCGTTACTACCAGCGCGAAGGGTACTTGATACCGACCGATGCCTCGGCTTTTTGAACGACGGCTGCGAACTGCTGGCAGAATGCCTCGGTCAACCACGTCTCTCCCCTGCTCGTAGCAGACTGGAATGGTGCCGAAAAAGGTGGCGACCACGACGCTGGTAGCCCATAGAGTTGTACAGGCGGTTGACACCAGCGCGGTTGTTGCTGTGCTTCCATGACTCAAGCTCCACGTAGTAGAAGATGCTTAGTAGAGCGAAGAAGAGGGCGAGAGCAGTAGAAAGGCTCAAGATACTGCTCTTCTTGCGCACGACGACGACGTGAGACGGAGACTGGATGTTGGTTTGCGTGTGTCGATCTTCGTGGACGACAGACGGTAGGTCAAGGACAGTGGACGTTCCGGTTTGCGTGAGCTTCGGAGGGTCAGTCTGCGTGGTAGAAGATTCAACCGGCGCAATGTGAGCTGCCGTAGTAAAGGGCGAGATGCTAAGCTCTTCTGCCTCCGTCTCTTCGTGCTCTACCTGGGTGGCTGATGTTGTGCGCATGGAGTCTGTCAGATCTTGCACCCTCTCGACGATGAAGTGGACGGTATGACTGGAGGATGGGACAAGCTTCCTGAGTGCTGGCTCGATCTGGTTATCCCATAGAATGCGCACGTCCGATGCCGATAGCGTCGTCGAAGGCTCAACGGGAGCAATGGCGACCGGGGTTGCAAGCGCGATGTCCAGTGCGGGCTGCTGGGGTTCTGTGGGAGGAATGTCGGCTGTCGTAGATACTTCTGTCTGGGTCAAAGATGTAAGGGCCTGAGCGGACGACACAGTTGTCTGTGTGAAAGAAGTAGTTGTGGGCGCATCGATAGGCGCAATGTCGGCAGTCGTAGAGACCTCTGTCTGGGTCGAATATGTAACGGCTTGAGCGGGCGACACAGCTGTCTGCGTAGAGGAAGTAGTCGTGGGCGCATCGAACGGCGCAATGTTAGCCGTGGTGATAGCGGTGACGAGCTCAAGGCTGGGTTCGAGTTGGGATGCGGCTTCGGTGTCGAAAAGGTCGTCGGCGGGTTCGGAGAGGTCCTCGAATTCGTCTTGCAGCGACACAACCGGCGCGATGGCGACAGAGGTTGACTCGGCAGTGGTGGGGTCTTCGGCAGCATTCGCTTTGTTTTGCTCGTCCTGAGCTCTTGCGGCTGCAGTCAAGGCCTTCTGGACCTGGTTCTCAAGGTATGCGATGCGCGCGTCTTTGACGAGGACGGTACGGTCGTGGTCGTTGAGTGCTTCCTGCATGTTGTCGACCTCGTTCTGCAGCGTCGCATTTTCCTGTTCGAGCGCCTCGATGGCGGACCGCTGAGACTCCAGCTCCTCGACGCGCTTCTGCGACTGCTGATAGTGGTCGTGCGCATCTTGAATCTGGAGCTTTGCGCTGTAGAGCTCGGCTTCTGCGTCGTCCTTCTGCTTGCGTAGGGCGCGGTGCTCTTCCTCTTTGCGCGTGAGGTCCGCGTAGGCGGTGTCGAGGTTGTTGCGGATGTCGGCGGCGTCCTTGGTCTCTTGCTCAAGGTTCTGCCTCACCTTTGTGAGCTGTTGGGTGAGCTCATCCTTGCGGTGCTGGAGGACCGCGGCCTCCTTCTCTTTGGTCTCGGATTCCTGGGTCTTGAACGCCAGGTCGTTCTCGAGGCGGGATCGCTCGTCCTTGAGCTCCTTGACTTCCTTGGTGAGCTCCTTGTTTTGGTCTTGGAGCTTCACGCCGTAATCCCAGGCTTGGTCGTCCTGGGTGCTCATGTTGCCGGGGCAGGCGCGGTGGTGTTTGTGCATGCTCTCAAAGAGCGCACGCGAAACAGCCAGCTTGCGCTCGGCCTCGGCCTTGGCGGTCTCGGCCGCCGCGCCTGCCCGGATCAGGGCGTCATTGGTGGTCCGAGCCACCACTCGCTCGGCCTGGAGCTCCTTGACGTCCAGTCAGCATAAATCTAGAGCTTGATTGCTAGCCACTAACCTTCACATCGTGAACGAGCTGGTTGACCTGCTTTTGCAGGTTGGAGTGGAGTTGAGACCAGGTCTCACCGGTGTTGAAGATGGGTAGGGAGGCCATGGTGGCCGCGAGAAGAAGTTGAGGAGGTGTGGTTGAGGAAGAAGAATAGCAGCTTGAAAACACCTATTTATGGGCGACGAGAAGCTCTGACCCCGCTATTGTGCGTTTGTCGCTATTGTTCCTAAGGTTCACTGTTCACTGGCCGCTGCTGGGGTGGCTGGGTGAACGGTGAACAGTGAGCGATGAAGGTGAGTACTCTAGCAATCACAATAGAGCACTTCATTCCGACAGAGTAGGGAATATTAACGATAGCGAGCATGGACTCAAGGGCCTTTAGGTAGAAGTACACCACATGCGTGTTCTCTGACTGATTGATCACGGTAGTCAAATTCGTGAACGAATCCATGACATGGCAAGATCCTGAAATACTAATCCCATCCATTGATCCTGATCATACAGCAAAACCGACTCCGTTCCAAGTGCAAGACATCCCACACAATCGCTCCTTTTTAAGCAAGCGCACTACCACGACGCACAGGCGGCGCTCCGGCACCATGCGCAAGCCTTTTCGAAGGAGCCTCCAGCTCATCACCATCCGTCCCTTCACAGATCGTTAGTCATCTCCTCATGCGCAAACTTGAAACCACTCGACCAGAGCCACAAAGCTCGAATCGCACAAGGACGAAAAGTATAGCAAAAAAATCCAAAACGCGCGGCGCAGGGCAGGCAACTTAGGTATTCGTACTCAGCCGATGAACAACGGGGACCGAACTCGGCGGCAAGCTCCCGTACTCTGTGATGACCATGTTGATGTACTCCGCGGGCGTGACATCGTACAGAACCTGTAGGTGGTGCAAGTTCTCGGAGCCTTCAACCCACTTCAGTACATCCAGCGGTCCGGACTTGGTATCCTCAGTAGCGGACTTATCGTCGTTCTTGTTCTTGGAGGGGTGCGTGGTCGGGAGATGGGGTTCCAGAGGAAGTAGAGAGGCACGCTCAGCTTCGGAAAGGATCTCGTCTGCGGGAGCGACTTCGTTGCCGACGATGGAGTCGAGGGCGACTTTCTCGGTGAATTTTACGGACTCGCAGAGTACGATTACGGGGAGGGAGTGCGAGCGGGCGAGCATAGAAACGAGGGCGGTACCGACACGCGAGTAGAGCCGGCCGTTAGACATCATAGCATGTGCGCCCAGAAATACCTTCGATGCGCCCTTGACTGCATGGGAAGCACCCGTGATGAGGTAGTAGCGGACGTTGATGCCTTGGTTAGCCAGCTTGCGCGCCAGCGTCTTGCCTTCAAAGAGCGGCTTTGAGTCGACGACGATGACAGTGAAGGGAACGCCGGCTTTGTGCGCTTGGAGGATGGTCTGCTCGACAATGGAGGAGGAGGCGTAGGTGAGGATCACGTCGCCGGGGAGGATCTTGGTGGCGGCTTGGTCACGGATTAGCTTTTGGGCGGCGGTGACACGCTCGCGGATGAACATGTCGATTTCCTCGACGAGGTCGCGCTTGGCTTCTGCTTCGGGGGTGGAGGGGTCGATCTTGATGATAACTGGGATCATGGGTCAGTAGGGTATTTGCGATGAGAAGGAGCAAAATTTACGGTCTTTCAGCCATCGAATGGCGTTGCCCATGCTGATGCTCAGCGGTCGACAGCCTCTCAAATAGTCGATCTGTGGGCTGAGATGGTGGTTGGTAAGATGCCGCGCCAGACTGGTACCTACGGGCGTCTGGTAGGACTCGATAACTGCCTTGAAGGCTAGAAGCATAGCAACCATCCGAGCAGTACTACCACAGATCACGTAGCTGCTATATTGCAGACCAAGGGCAAGAACAGCGGGGTGGACGTCTTTTGAAGCCCCCACCATGGAGTGCTGTCTCGGCTGGCTGTACAGATGGCCAAAGAAGAGTCCGAGTTGCTTCTGGTCTCGCTTCGACTCCTTTCTCGCCTGCTGCTGCGGCACGGCATTGGACTGTGATGGTCTCCTTCGAATGGGCAAAGGTCTTGATTCATCTTTCTTCTGAGACTGCTTCTGCTCTTTCTGCTTCTGGTTCTCCTTTGGGATACCGCCCTGCTGCACTGTCGCTGGTCCAACTGCCTTTGCTTGCGCTCTTTTTGCTTGCTTCTCGGCCTGCTTTAATTTCTTCAATTCTGCACCTGACATTTTCTTTGAGGCGCCATCTCCCTCGGGCTTCGCATCCTTCGCATCAGTCTTTGCTGGTGCTGTTGGGTCGTTTGGTGCTTGCGCGGGCACAGCTGGCGATGCAACCGCTTCGCCTTCGACTGGTCCACTCATTGCTTTGATTTAGTCGGTGATCTTTGCCTTCCTCTTGGACCCTTCAGGTATAGTATTTGAAATTGACGTTTAGACGTCGGTGCCGACAGCAGGGAAAACTACGTATTATCGAGGACTGAAGTTTCGGAGACGAGAACATAGGTTTGCTGCCTAGATAGTCACTTTATGTGTCCTGCTGGTGCGGCTAGATGGCGCCAACTGTGTTGAAGGCATGTGCGAAATTGATAGAGAATGCCCGACCCCGTTGACTCAGAGAATGTGCTATTCCTCCTTGAGCGCTAGTGTGCCAAGGTGGTCGCTTAGCTTCACCAATCCCTGTTGCTGGCGTCATAGCTCATCAACCCACCCCAAAGTAGGGACACGACTCGCGTCCAGTACAGGCTTCCTCCGCAATACCGCATCCCCAGACAGCACAAAATGGCCGATGTCAGCAATATCACGGAGCTTCCGTTGGACATACTAGTGTCAGTATTTCCTTACCTCGATGCGAAGAGCTTCCTCGCTTTTTGCAGTACATGCAAAGCGTTCCAGCAACCCTCAATTCGTTTGGACCCTGCATATTGGTCTCTCCAAACTCGCAGTAAGTGTCAACATTCATGCATCCACATAAATATACACGCATGGATCATATCAGCGGACTCTTTCATGGCGTCTTGGTATGACATATGGCTTCCAAAGAAGATGACAGTTTAAGCGGGTGTGCGTCACACATCCCGAGTAACGTACTTGTGGATCGCATTCAAAGCAACCTCTTGCCTTTTGCATTTCTTTTCTACCGCAAGTATTGTGACTGAAATTTGTACTAGGCACTTTCCGCATACCAAATCAGCCAGTTGTGCAGCATGACGGCGATCGCTGGCATAAAATGTACAGACGCCTCTTTACACAGACCCGAGTATATACCTGGGGAAGTGAGAGCAACGGCCGTCTAGGACATCAGACGAACGCGCGATCATGCGCTACTCCTCAGGAGATGCATGGAGCGCGAGAGATGGGAGTTATCGCTGATCTACAATGCGGGTGAGCCAGCTTTCACAGAGTATTGTGCGAATGGAGAGCTAATAAAATCAGCGGATGGTCGACTACGATCCTCAACTCGAAAGGGACACTGTACTCCGTCGGAATGTTGGATGGTGAGCAAGGCTTCGGTGGCAGCGTTGATCCAAAAGCCTTGCGGTTTCCCGCCGGATATCCCGAATCGCCCGCTGCTGCTGCGTACAATGAGCCTACGATCACGATCCGTCAATTTTCTGCGGGACGATCGCACATACTGGGCCTCTCAGACAGTGGTCGAATCTGGTCTTGGCATAGTTTCGATCAGGCTGCTGTTCAGGTCAAGTTCGTCAACATAGACCTGAAAGAAGACTCTTCTGGTGGTTCCAACATCACAAACAGCTCACTCTTTGGAACCGTGAAGCAGGTAGTTGCAGGTTGGAGCTATAGCTCAGCTTACATCCATGGTGTAGGTATTGTTGTATGGGATCCAATTCGACCCAGAGTAGCTCGGCACGGTCCTCGACGAGCTCGTTCGGTCCCACGACGAGCCCTACAGCAGGAGCCAGAACCTGACACAATGTTGTTACTTGAGAACTTCGAGCTCCCAAAGACAGGATATCAACGCCCGAAAGGAGCGTTGCGACAAACGGAGCTAGATCGAGCTCTTGGCGAAGAAGTCGGACAAGTGAAGAACTACATTATCCTTGAGCACTATGCCGTCTTTGTCACCGATATCGGCAAGGTATTCTGCAGCAAATTTGACGAAAAAGACAAGGCAGACAATATTCAAGAACTCTGCGCATTACGTTGCAAGCCTGGGACAGCCCTGGACGTGCAAGGCTCGTTCCGAACGTTTGCAATCTTTAGCGACGGCGCAGTGGCCATTGCGGAGCAACTCTACCTGGAAAGGTGTTGGAATGCTCGTGCAACTAATCCTGAGCAAACGAATATTGCAGGACTAAAGCGCATCCCAGCTCTTCAGAACAACAACGTTGTGTCGATAGCTTTCGGCGACTACCATTTTTTGGCCTTGCATTCCACCGGAAAAATCACGTCATACGGCAAGCACATGCCGTCCTATGCAGCTCTCGGCCTTGGAGAACTACCGGCTGCTCGTCTTCGTGGTATTGACGACAACGGGCTTCTACCACATGCTTATACGAAGGGACGTGAAGTGTGGTTTCGCCAAGAGCAGCATGAATGGCTGAAACTACTTTCCTCAGGCGGTAAAGATCCACAAGAGGCACAAGATCGTTGGAGTGCGTATGTCGACATGAATTGGCCTGTCATAGGCGAGGTTAGCGAATGGGTTGAGCAAGAGGCCAGAGCATGGGACGAGGTACGTAAGAATTTTGAAGTATCCCAAGCAGGATATTTCCGGGACCAAAGACTCGTGCTTATAACAGGACGTTGTATAGAGGGTCGCTTCATAATTCGCAAGATAATAGGCCCCGTTTGAGAATGTGCTAATCCATTGTCTAGGACAAGGGGGAAGATGGTCTCGGTGCTTATTTTGCGCTCAGGGTAAGTGCAGCTGGGTGGCACTCAGGCGCTGTGCTTCTGGTAAATGAAGAACTCGCGAACAAGACGAATATTTACGATTGGGCCAACAAGCCATTCCCTCGGCTAAGACTCAGCACTGGGGAGGAGATGCCAGGTTCAATTCCGTTCGACGAATGGCGGGAGGGCAGACCTGAGTGGCAGCTTGACTGGTAGCCTTCCTAATCGCAAGAAGTGGTTGCACCGCCTTCCCTAGAACAAATTAGGAATACATCAAAGACCTAATGATATGATAACGAGAGGTCTGAACACTGTTAGGTATCTTATCCCTTATCCTATCGTAACAGAAGGCATGAGGTACTGGAAACCTTGCCCTAGTGCTAGAATCAATCTACTATCCTGCCTCTACTGTGGGACGAACAGTATCACTGAAATTTTCTAAGCAGCTGGTTGAGCCTGTCAATTGCCTCGGCCCGTTTATCAGCAATCTCCATAAACTGATCCTTCGTGCTAGCTCCGATACTCCCAATGTAGATGTCCTTCTTTCCTTCCTTAAGCTCCGCCCATGTTTCTGCAACAAATTCCTCGACCGGCACACCCATCTTGCGCCCGACCTCAGCGCCCATCTCAAAATCATGCAGCTCTGTCTGCACAAGCGGTGGCGAGATGTGCACGACGTTCACTTTGGTGTTGCGCAGCTGCTCCCTGATGCACTGAATGAAGGCATCTAGCGCGGCTTTGGACGCGCTGTATGCGGGCATAGTTGAGGCTGGCACGAGCGAGATGTGCGTTCCTGTGTAGATGAGTCCGGTGGGGTTTGGGGATGCGAGGAGGTGTGGGAGAAAAGCGTGTGTGAGGGCAACGAAGGACGTGAAGTTCGTAGTAATTTCCTCGTTGAACTGTAAGAGCTTCACCGTGGAGGGAGAGGCAAAGTTGTAGTTGCGTTGCATGCCGGCGTTGAGGAAGAGGGCATCGATTGTGGGGTATTGTTTGATCGCACTGTAATATGTGTTAGCAAAGATGCTGTAGAGGAGAGGAAGGTAGGCATCTACTTCTGAGCAAAAGCGGGTATGCTGCTGATGTCTGAGATGTCAGCGACCAGGCTTGACGCCTTCGATGAACCATGAGTTGATACGAAAGCGTCGAGACGGTCTTTACGACGTCCAACGGCGGTAACGTGGATGCCTTCGGCGATTAATTTATCGGCCATCGCTTTCCCTATCCCAGACGTTGCGCCGACAAGGAGAACATGCTTGTAGGAGAAAGACATTTCAGCAATCCTTTGATGTAGAAAATAGAAGCAAGTCTTAAGATGACGTTATTCGTGATAGAGGGACTGAGTGGGTTGTCGTACTGAATTATCGACGATGTAGAAGTACTTATATTCTACTTGAATGCACCGGCCCTGTGATACCAACGCTTCTTAACTCCATGGTGTTCTGCGCGCAGTCAATACTATTTTAGGCAGTACTGACAGTATAATGAAGCTGCACTCAGGACTTATGGTATAAATTCCGGATTTAATCCCATTTCGTTGACCCGGTTGGGATTCAAAGGGACGGTGCGTCAGCGTCGAAATGCATACTCGAAATGTACTAGAGCATGGCTTCTGATTGGACACATGACCGCACGATGATGGCGGTCCACTAAGATGGTTTAGCGACAACCTCCTTACTCCATCTTACGGGTGCTTCCTCATCCACCCCCAAGTCGAAAGCATCCGTACGAGTACGATCTTCGCATCTTTCGATGAAGAGCCTCCACTAAGAGCACAGCTGAAACCATTTCCGGTTATACAACTGATTTCGGTGCCGTTGCAGCTCCCAAGATACGTGACATAGAAGCATCGCAAGAGAAGCCACGTGTGATATTAAATACCGTAACTGTTCAGGCAGTTTTGCAGTATGGTATTTCGCGGCAAGCCGTCCAAGGCTTGTCAAAGATGTCGGGACCGGAGGCTCCGAGTACGCTTACCCTTGTCTGTACATATTATTTCCCGTTTGACCGCTAAATCCTGGTAGTGCAATCTTCAACGGCCATCTTGCAGCTCTTGCCTGCGAATCGGAGCTCATTGCCATGGGTATCGTAATACAGACACCCTGCGTATCTCGGACGAAACTCATACTGTGCATATGAGGGCTGCTCCAGCCGAGAAGCGAATTACGATACCAAAGCGAACCTGCCAAGCGAGCTTTAAGCTTTCTCACCTACCGTTAGACCTCCAAGTTCAAGCGAGGCAACTTTTTTTTGCGTACTATATCGCAGACTTCAGCCGAGCGTGGGATTTCTTGTACCCACATTTTGACCCACAGGCCGCACCTGAGCACATTACCCTCAGCATCGATGCTGCTAGTCTAGCCTTCCTTTCACATCACATTATCTCGCCATCGGCGCAAATATTGGGCCGACGGAAGTACGTGAGTGCTCTCAGGAAGACGAACAAAGTGTTGCAGGATCCGGCCACGGTTCAATATACGAGTACAATCGAGGCCTCGCTGCTACTAGATCTTTTTGAGAAGATCACGGACCCTAGACCCATATCTGTCGTGTCTCAAAGAGCACACGTCGATGGCGCTTTGGCGCTCGTAAAGCTCCGGGGCTTGCAGCAGTTCACAGATCCGGGTGGCTTGAAGGCGCTCACAAGACTGGCACTAAATTCTGTCGTCATATCAATCAGCAATGGCGAGAGTGTACCACAAGAGATATTCCAGATCAGAGAGCATGCAGCAAACTTTACTGATACCTCACATCCTAAATGGAGGTTGACTGGCGTAACACTGAAGATCACCAACCTAGTCTCTGACATTACCAAGGGTGTCTTGACGGCAGAAGATAAAGTGCGGCAGTGTGTTGCAATCGAGAAAGAACTTGAAATCATCGACAGCGAAGCGCCTCCTAAATGGTCATACGAGAGGAAATGTATCATGAAGGAGCAGGAAGATACAACATTGGATGGATTCTACGACATCTATGCTTCACGCATGGACACGCAGATGTGGAATGTTCTACGCTTTATGAGGATAGTCCTCTGTGACGAAATTATTGAGTCCTCCGCCAATCCTGATGACAAGGCCAGCCAACACGCACTGGAGATGACTACATTGGTAGTCCAAGAAGTGTGCGCATCAGTTCCCCAAATGACCGACTGCAAAGGCCCGGCTAGACACAAACTGCCACCAGGATCTCATCCATCTCTGCACACCCACACATTATCACATTTCCTCGACACATACATTCTCCTGTTCGGGCTCTATGCCTCCGCGTGGTCCCGTGGATGCCCCGAGAGAGCAAGGATCTGGATCATAGGACAACTTGATAGGATGGCTGAGCACTTCGGAGTGAAAGAAGCGGCGACAGTGGCGGCAATATTGAAAATGCAGGACAAAAAGGCGAGGATAGGACCCTGGGATGTGTATCGGCTTATTGGAAGCTATGCGTTTGCAGCATAGCTGTCTATTCGCAAGCCAGGACTCAGACCTAAGTCATTCAGTGCATGGGAGCGTTCCCGACCGTCCGTACTTGCATTACCCGTCCTGAATCAGGTCACAAGAGGATCCTGTTGTGACCCATCATGCATCGCCCATTCCTCTAATCGTTCCCCGGGATTAAAGAGGGCCCATCCCACAATTCTGACTCTCTAAAGGGGGGTTTGACGTGCTCGGCAGCTCGTATGACAGGAGAGATGTTCAGGACGCTGGTTGCCGATCTGTAGGTGCGGAAGCAGGAGCGGAAGTGAGAGCGGACGTTGGTTGCGGAGTACATTCCCAAAGATGTCGTATTGGCAAATTTGCCAAGTAGTCATTCTGTTACTCCCGCGAAGCGAACACATATCCATACACCAGGTGACCAGTATCCTGGGTACACCAATCCTCGGAGAGGCGGCGATTCGTGCCGTTCCGTTGCCTGCAAGGGTCTGATCCTGGCGATGCAGGTGCTTACCGGCATCCCACGGGACGAACAGGCAGCGACATTGCATGCTGCGGTTCTCACACCAAATACAAAGACATTACGAGGATGCCTGCAGGCGCATTACTCCGCGTGGCAGCCTCCCCGTTCTTCCATGTGGTCGTGATGGTGGGCTTGACCCTGAGGCTCGGGTTCTGCCTAACTCGATTCGAACGAGAAGCGCCCCAGTACTGAAGCACCGCCCAGCCCTCAAGCTCTTACGTCTCTCAACTCCATGCCATCATCAACCCCGCACGTTGTCGACGCTATTGCCGCGGAGTCCTCTAGCTGCGAAGATGACCTCTTTAGCAGCACATATTCAGCGCTCAGCGCCGCCGCAAAGACGCCTTCCTTGGCGGCGAGCGGGATGCCAAGGACGTCCCCATGCACGCCCTCTCAGCTGGGAGGCTCTAGATCAGCCACACCGAGCGGACTTTGTTGCATTTCACCACGCTGGCTCATACACGATCCCAGGCTCGGTACATGCGTTGTTCGCCTTGTCGCTTGCCCAGTCACAAGGGTCCAGCGCTCGTTGGCCCTGCTCACGAACGGCAACATGCGAAGTAAAAATAGCTAGCACTACAGATGCACTTCCCGTATCCATAGAAATTGACCTACTCAGCATTTGAGACACAGAGTTTACAGCTCGGTGCCGTATACGCTTATCCGAGAAACCCCTATTGTAGCTTTATACATGGGCATCGACTTTGCTTTATCCGATCCAGACGTAGTCCTGGCTAGAATGAAGCTATTTGCCTCTTTCGCTTGATTCCGAAGCTGGATCATGAACCACCTCCCATCTCACTTGGAGCGGGAGATCAGCAGGAAGTTTGCCTCCTAGACCCCAATGGTGTACCTCTAGCGGTCAGGAGGATACGAATGGCTCTCTTGGCGGTATCAGCCGCTCCCGACGTCTAGTATCGGTCTTTAGAAGGCGAGTACGGCGTACTGTAGACAGGGGACCCAGTACCCTATCCACTAGCTTGGAGCTGCTTCGCAAGAAGCTTGTTTTAGTGGCTTACGAACCTCAAGTGGCATTCAGGCCGCGCCTGCGACGAATGACATGAGCGCCAATGACAACCTGACATCCTTTCCGGTCAACATCTTCTCAATATGCATCGTTAAGGGCCTTGGAAATATCGAGGGCGGACGCCGGACGTACCCTCTATGCACACAACCCTGCTTGACTGAGGAAAGCTCCTACATCTTAGCTTCCAGACCATAGCGATCCTCTCCAAAGTGACATGATTGAGCGGGGTGATAAGTCCAGATGCTGATTTGGGCGACATCATCCCAGAAAGATGGCCTAGTTCATGAGCCTGTGCATAGTCTACTTCTTACAGTAGCGCTGGGGGATGTGTATATAAATCACACGCCTCCACATTGTCTTCTCAAGCAAGACAACTTTTCGTCGTGTCAGCCATCTTCATCATGACTCGCCTCACATCGGTTTCGTCACTCCTAGCGCTCGCTGTTGGCGCTCTTGCTGCTACTCCCATCCCAAACATATCGCCGCTAAGTGTAGTAGGTGCATTCGGCAGGTAAGGACCCCATGTGTTCGTATAGTTTCCAGCACTGACAAGTTCAGCTGCTCTGTGGATTCCACCGACTTCAATTCCGGAGGCACAATAACAGTAGACGAATGGAACATCAAGGTACCGAAGAACCTACTTGTACAGTTCCCAACTATCTGGACCCCATTTCGCAAGCTCTGCGAGGCCGGCGTTGGTGGTTACGAAGTCACCATCTTTGGCAATGTCATAGGCTCGCAGCCAACAGCTGCACAAATCATTGTCAGCGGTGGATTCGACGTGCGATCGGGCGTAGGCTACATTGATTCCATCGATGTTGCGGACGGTTCCTTCAAGCTTCGCGGCCTCGGTACCAAGCTGCGGCTGAACGACCCGAGCGGTGTATTCGGAAAGGCTTCGGATCTCGCACCCTTCTTCCCAGTAGACGATGAGAACCCAAGCATCCAAGCATTCTCCGGGTTTCCCATGTGCTTCCCGCGGTCAGCCAACGATGAGAAGTGCCCATCGTCAAATCGTCCCGCTGGATCAACCAATTTCGCCGCTTCTGATCCTCTATCTATGGTTCCTTTCTTAGTGGGAGACTTCATTACATACACGGCTATCCCTAAGGGCGGAGAGCTTCTCGTGTTCGAGGCATCGGCCACCAACGTGCAGGTCACGACTTCTGCTTCTAACACAGTACCCAACTACATTTTCATTGAAGATGCAATCATTGGAGTCACTGATCCTGATGCCAACGTTGAGGTTGCTGATACTCGGGTAAGTTGTTCGACCTTTGGATAATGTTTCGACTGACTCTGTACTAGTTCATTGGCTATCTCTCCAGCTGCAGCGGCGCCTCCGTCCAGGTCTATGCCATTGAGGTCGATCCATGCACAGGTGACGAAAGCCTTCGCCAGGTAGGCTCTGCCACGCCCAGAGCCGGCGACGTCCGATGCAAGTGGGAAGCCCGTGTCGCAGCTTCTACCCCATACACTCGCGAATACGTTATCAAGACAAACAACCCTGTCGTCGAGACCAAGGACGGACTTCAGGCCGGACAATATGTCACGCCCGTGACCGAATGGATCCAGCCCGAAATCAATGTCCCTGGAGCAGAGCCACCACCAAACAGATTCTCGGACATGCGTGGTCTCGTGCAAGGAGACTTCTTTGAAGGTGAGCAATTCGGACCTCTTTCTCCATTCCCTGGCCCGAGCCCACCAGCACCATCAAAGACCTGCAGCCCGAATGATCCAAGCGGACCCGTCGCTGCGCCCACGGCCACCATCGCTCCCTTTACTGCAGATCAACGCAGCGGGGCCACCGTCCAGCTCATTGTTCAGAACAACAACACCGACATCTCGAATAGCGCGCTCAACTTCAACTGGACACAGATCGAGCCATCGACGGGCGCTTCAGCTACCATCCAGAATCCCGCCGCCCAAACCGCCACCTTTGTCGCTCCCAAGCTCACCACAGCTACCAACCTCAAATTCGAATGCGCCGTCAGCCTCAAGTCCAACAGCTCCATCGTCTCCAAAGCGCAAGTCACCGTGCGCGTCTCCGCCACTGCTGCTGATATCGTAATCCTCGATACCTACACGTGGGAATCCCGGCAGTCGGGCACCATTGGTGTAACTTGCCACTCGAACGTTGCCAACGGCGACAACAAGGTTATGACTTTGGCGCTGAACAACAATGCGACAAGGCTGGCAATGACGAGGGTTGGCGATGTGGGGAGTGGAAGGTGGAGCTATAGCGCGCGGAGCACGAAGCAGCCGACGAATGTACAGTGCTACTCGGACCTTGGAGGCAAGAGTGCGCTGTTGGCTGCGCCGACGAAGAGGAAGAGGGCGTTCGCGAGGATGAGTGGGGAGTTGGTGGAGTGAAGATGTATGTATGCTTGACAGTATTGACGATGATATTGATGGCTTGGATGAGCAAGGGAGTTTGTTAATTCTTGGGTTCGTTGCAAATGGCGTGCATGGTCCTGTTACTTCTTCAATTGTAGATATTTGGAACTCCTCATTGCCTTCAAGGTTTCTCTTCAATTTGAGCCGAATCTTCATGTCCTCATTCGTCAATAGAGATCGATCAAACACATGTCCTTTCGTCGCGCCATACATACAGATCGGTCGCCGTTGTCCCATTGGACCTGAGACAGCCAGATAATATCCCATCAGTTTCGACAACGTTGGAAACGAAAATGTTACCGAAGCGGATTTGAACAATCATAAGTGCAATTATTCATACAAACAATTCAAAAGGCGATATGAAGGACATTATTAAGCGCCTGTGAAGACAGGAAGATACCAGCCGACGCTTCCACAGTGCCGATGCCGCAAAATCTGGTCCCGATCGAGATGAAGCAATTAAACGCGTAGATCGTCGTCTATGAATGATTGTTGTGTTGTAGAAGAATTATCACTCGAGACAGCCGCTGTAGAATTTGTATGTGCATCGTCGGCGGTTCTGTGTTCTCGGTGGGAGGCGACAGGCAGTAAGTAGACGAGGACTGGGTGGGGCGCAATCCGAATCGGCGTAGCGCTCGCTTAACGCACTGCCAAGAATTCTCAGTGTGCGCGACGAAAATCGCAACTCCAATTCTACGCCGCGACATTCGTGAACGACAGCCCCGACGCAGACCGACAACGCCTAACCAGTACGTCCTTCTACCCTGAAGCAACCACCAGGATTGCATACAACGGACGTCACCTCTAACGCACACTGCAGCAGCGACCGCTCCACCTCGAACCGCCCAACCACACAACATGTCTCACGAATCCGTCTGGTACTCGCGCCCGCGCACCTACGGCAAGGGCTCCCGCGAGTGGTACGTCTGAACCTTTTATATATGTGCGCGCCGGTCGATCATGGTGGAGACGGAGGACAATGATGGACAGGACAACACGGTCCTCGACTGGGGCATAGATGGAGTACCCGAATGGATTGGACGAGTGCTAACTGGATTGTGTACAGCCGCGTCTGCACCCACCCTGCTGGTCTTATCCGCAAGTACGGTCTTAACATCTGCCGTCAGTGCTTCCGCGAGAAGAGCGCCGACATTGGTTTCGTCAAGGTACGAAATCTCACCCTACCCACTACGCACGCCGCCACACCTACCGCATCTCGCATGCATACACCTTTTAGCACACGTAAATCTATCAGAAACGAGGAACTAACGTCCAACAGCACCGATAAATTCACCATGCATCGGCGGTCGGAGTAGCGGAGGAAAAGGCATGACGGTTATACACAATGACAATGTGACGAACACGGATACGTTGGCGTGAGGAGAGTCTCACACGGATATGGCATGCATGCATTGCTGGGCTCTTTCGGTTATCCTATCCTGCTTTTAGACAGGGATGGGAGGTGTCGGTTCGGTTCGATAACAAATCCAATTCCTGAATTCACAACCATGGCGCACGAGCGCACCACATAAGTCGTTCAGATCACCAATCGATATCTGTGTCAGCGATGGGGGAGCGAGATCTGTCGCAGTTGACCACTCGAAACAACCCAGTCAACCGGGAGACTTATGTAGCAGTCCAAGCTCTGGCACTCTTACATCTGGGAACAGCCAACGATCGGTCGCCTTCTCATGCTGCACTCCTAACGCCAGCAACCTCGGGATTTAACAATGTTGGAAAGTGTGTCGTCAGTTATACACATGCTATATACCATGATGAGCCTATGCAACCATTCCCCTTTACCGCGCAACCAGAACGCCTTAATCTCAGCCTTTACCCAATGTTTAGATCTTCACGATATCCACCCTCGCCCGCTCCCACAACTTATGCGCCATAGCAGCTCCACTCTCCCTCTCTTTATCACTCACGTCTGCAGGCCGTACCACTAACCTTGCATACGTGCCTGCCGCCCGGCGCTTACTCAACGTTCCGGGATTGATAACCAGCACGCTTTCTACAACCTACACACACAAAATTAGTTCAGTCGCCAAGACCACGATAGATGGTGGGTAAACCATACCTTGACAAACCCCTGCAAAACGCTAGGCGTGATCAACACATCCGGCCTCACATTCAGCATCTCGCCGAGCTTGAGATAGCTCGTATCCACCATAGTCCCCAGCGGCAAGAAGGGACTAGGACCTTGCTCTTCCCCAGTCTCGCCATCCGCAGCACCCTCCTTGAACACCTCAGCCTCGACCGGCGCAGGTGCGAACATTTTCTCTCTCCCCGTAGGCGGAAACAGCGGCAGAAAGCTGCGCTGCTCGAGGACGTTCTTCGCGCCTCTCTCGTACAAATGGACGGTCCTCGCCTTCCCATCTGCAATTTCCTCGCGCGACAGCATGTGCAAGATATCCAGCGATGACATAGCCACGATGAACTCGTTCATACTCAGCGTCATGGGATTTGTAACGCACTGAACCTGTTTCCCTGCGGCACCAAAGCCTAATTCTTTCTTTGTGAATTTGTCTTGCGGGAAGGCTGCGTGGTGGTGGTGTGCGTCGCGCAAGCTAGGCACTAAGATGACGTTGCACGTCGGGAGACGCTGGGCAAAGGTTTGGATGGCGGAGGAGATGAAGTGGCGGAAGAGGTCTGTCATGGTGGCTTGATCTGGGGAGGTGAGATGTGGCGGGATGTCGAAGTCTCCCGAGCGGATGAGAGGATGCTCTGCGTCGAGGAAGGGACCTAATAGTACGACGCTGTCGGCACATGCTTCCACGGCGTTGTCGAGGAACGTGTGTAGGGGCGCGAAGTCGAGATTCTGGTCGGTCGTGTAGGGTCCGGATGCTATAAAGACGGTCAGAGGACGCACGGAGGACGGGTCTGATTCCGGCGTGTCGAGGTACCGCGCGTTGTAGCTGTCTAGTTCTGCGGGGGTAGACGCAGGCTGTGTGAGGAGGGGAAAAGAAAGGACTTCTGAGACGACAAAGTTCTCGCCCGAGGCGTTGATTCCTCGAAGCGCAACGATCTGTCCGGGAAAGAAGTTATATGATGCTAGCTTGTCCAGAGTCAAGGGCACCCTCCGTCCAGACCCCCATCGACGCGAACCCTCAAGCACTATCGACGCAGCATTGAGCTTGCCTTCGCTAGTATCGCAGCATATACGTCCCACTGTTATGACTTCGTTTGGAGATTGGTATGAGGGGTTGCCGAAGGCGCTGTCTTCGAGACTGAGTTGTTCTTGGAGCAATTGACGGAACTCGTCGATGCGGTCGTCAAGCACTTCGGAGGCTTCGGAGAGTTTCATGGCCATAGTTTTGTAGGAGAACTTGGACATATCGGTGTTGGCCTTGAGCTTGATGCGAGTCTCTGAAGGAGGCTCTTCTGGGGGCTCAGAGAGGGGGATGTGACCGTTTAATTGTTCGGCAATGTCGCCGGCGTTGGTGCGAGAAGAGAAGTCAAAGGCAAGTCCATTGCTGGCTTCGCCTCTGGGTGTCGGTCCACTAGCCGGTGAGCTCATCTCATGGTTCTTATGTGCTTTGCTTGAGGGTGTGTCGAAGTTCGATCGTCGCTTTGCTGCGCTTCCCAGAGCACCTGTTCGCGGTGTAGCAATCATGCCATCCAGCATATCGTACATATCCCCACCCTTCGCCGCCCTCGGTGTCGGGGCAACCCTTTTCGAATCATTCCTATGCTGCACTTTCCCTCTGCTTTCTTTCTCCAATGCATCTTGGAGGTTCTTCTTGAAGTCTCTCGCTGTCTTCAAATCGAGCTTGTTTTCCTCGCCGCCCATCTTCATATTGTATGCTTGCCATTTGAAGTCCAGCTCTTCTGCCGATATGGAGAATATCCGCTGGATGGACTGCAATTCGTTGAGTACTTCGGAGGGGACATCGTTGTCTTTTGTGTCGCAGTAGCGCTCGAAGCGTTCGGTGAGCTCGGCCGTGTCGTCCATGGTCTTCGGTGATGAGGTCAAATTCAAGAATGGCTTTAGAGAAGAGCAAAGAAGCCGAGATAGTGATTGCTTGTTTAACCCCGGCAATGCCTTGGGAAAGTGGGCTGGACGTGATGATGCGCACGCGCTCTAAAGTTCTGAGACGCGTTCGGACGCGTCGCAATTCCCACCCCACGTTCCCGCAAAGCTAGCCACAAAGGTGCTAATTAGCGGCCGTACACCGCTCCACGCCATTGGTACGTTTATATATGTCGTAGGAGGTCAGGGTCCGGCAGCTCGAAAGAAGAGCAGCCTTTCTGGCATCCTCCATATTCCGTGGGAAACGTTTCTTCACAGATTTGGCTCGTCTTCTATCACCTTCGCTGACACCATGTCTGCAATTGGTCCTTTCCCGCACCCAGCAGAGGGCAAGAAGCCCGCCGCGCCGCCCGTCCTCACCGCTGATCAGCAGAAAAAGTACGACGAGCTCCTCACGACCGTAAAGGCATGGACCACGCTCCCGAAGACGTCTGCCAAGGGTGCAGAAGAGGAGGCACTTTCAGATCCGGAGCGCATGTGGCTCACCCGTGAATGTCTCCTCCGATACCTCCGCGCAACGAAATGGAACCTTCCGCAAGCAACCCAGCGTCTGCGAGATACTGTCATCTGGCGGAGGGAATATGGAACAGATAAATTCACTGCTGAATACATCTCCGAGGAGAATGCAACAGGTGAGCTGCATCCTCTGTCCAACATCAACCAGAATCTGTAAATGCTTATTGTGTTCCTCCAGGCAAGCAAGTGACCCTAGGCTACGACAACGAAGGCAGGCCGTGCCTATACCTTCTGCCAAACAAGCAGAACACGAAAAATAGCCCCAAGCAGGTCGAACACTTGGTGTACATGCTCGAGCGGACACTGGACATTGCACCACCGGGGCAGGAGACGTTGGCGCTTTTGATTGATTTCCGGAACAGCAGTGCTGGAAGCCAACCTAGCATTGCGACGGGAAGACAAGTTTTGAGTATTCTGCAGAACCACTACCCAGAGAGGCTGGGAAGGGCCTTGATTACGCACTGTAAGTCTCTTCTAATCCTTCCCCTTTTGGTTGTTTTGCTAATCGACTCCAGTGCCCTGGTACATCACCGCCTTCCTCAAGCTCCTCTCCCCCTTCATCGATCCCGTTACAAAGACCAAGATGCGCTACAACGAGCCCCTCAACGACCATATTCCCGCCTCTCAACTCATGAAGAACGCCGGCGGCGAGGTCGACTTCCAGTACGATCATAGCGTATACTGGCCCGCCCTTGCCAAGCTGGCCGAAGACCGTCGGAGGGAGCGAACCGAACGGTGGGAGAAGGCCGGCAAGATTGTCGGCGAGAGCGAGATATATCTGTGGGGCGGTGAGGAAGGAAGCCTCGCGGCACCGCCAACAGCGACTGCGACTGCGGAGGCGCCGCAGCCGAGCGCTGAGACTGCAGTCGCTGCCTAGATATGGCGCGTGCAATCATTCAGCATCGTTGAGCATAAAAAGAGCGAAAAAGCATGATAGATGATAGATCTGGTACTATGCTGCCGCTAATACTATACCCCCTTTGCACCGCAGTGGCGTCCTTCGCTTCATTCTCCATCTCCATTTCTGGACGGGGTGAATTATTGCAGAGATTTAAGGGGCGCTTCAGGAATGATGCTAGAATTACAGGTATACAACCTATGGAACCATGATACTGGTAAGTTACAGTCTAGAGTTTTTTACTTTGAATGGTATTCCTGCCACAGCGAACTCTGGGGCTACGGCAGGTGATGCAGCTGTTCGTCCCTGCGGGTTGGCGTGACTGTTCAGGTGCTGTTGATCTCGATGCAGGGCCAGTGGTGCTTTTCGGAAGATAAGAGACCTTCCTCATAAATAATTAGTTCAAGTGAGATGAGGTGGATTTTACGACTTCATTGACTTTCTGAACATCTAGTGAGGTTCATGTGTTGGACAGATCGCCGGGCTATTGTAGTGTATCTGCATTGCGGTCGCTAGACCTCTGCCTACTTAGGCATACCAGCTGCACCGTCCCCCCTTGGAAGAATTTGGAAGAGTGCTATAAGCAATATGTAGTGACATTCTCTATACATGCACTGCTCATTCAGTGAGATACTATGAAACATGTTGCAGAGGCTATCCACCCTTTCCCATATCTAATCTGTGCTCTCTGACTTGCAGGCCTCTAACGATTTGATGGATATTAGCCTATCGTCTGCTCGTGCGAGAACACCGTCCAGGATTTGCTGTCAGCCCTTGTTTTACCGTACTCTCCCACCTGACCTCTTGGTAAGCTACATGTCGTTGTGTCAGCTTCGCTTCATGCGTGAGTGTCGCTAGTACTAGCACGTACATAGTACGCGGTGTAGGCACGCGGTGTTGGATCCGTCGTGCCCTTACGCCCTGCGTTCGACTCACTTTGCTAGAAGCTCAATGAGATGCACCAATGGTTTCGCTTCGATTAGAACCGCATTGGGCAAAGGTTTCGCTTCACGCATAACCGCATTAGGATTAGGCGCCACCGGGTCCGTATAAACCCTGTATATCTGTAGTCGAGTGGACAGTTGGGATGCAGGGCGGAGTCTTGGGGGGCCGCGAGGATTGCGCGAGGCGTGCACGAGTCTAGAGCGAACACCTTCGGCATGTATAAGATGGATGCCCCAGCGATGTCGATGAGCTCATACTGGCTCCACTCAATCAACCTTGAACTGTGACAAGCCAGCCAAGTTGTAGTACCTTTTTCCGCAACGAGATACAATGAGTTCTTGTCCTTGGACTGGTAAGAAGGAGGAGGGCAAGGAATCGGCGTGCGAGGAGTGCATCAGTGTAAGTCTCCATAGTTCAATCCCTAACTCGCTTGCCGCAAGGCGCTGACAGCTCGAAGGGTACGATTCATGCCGGGCTGCCACAGGGCACCATCGAGCCTCTCCATGGCCTGGACACCTACATCATCGGCAACAGAACGAACCCTCGCGCCATCATCGTCATCTATTCGGATGTTTTCAGCCACACCCTACCAAACAACAAGCTTATCGCAGACGCCTATGCGAAGAGCGGGGAGTACCTCGTCTACATGCCCGACTTCTTTGAAGGTACGATGTCGAACATAGTATCAAGCGATCAAGCGTTCAAGCCCTGACAATATGAAGGTGATCCTGTCAAACTCAGCCTCGCCGATGTCCTCATCCCTACCGATGCTGCAAACCAATCTGCTCTGTCAAAGTACGGCGGACTACTGGCTAACATGCCAAGCTACTTGATGTGGGTAGGAAGGCATGGGAAGGACAAGACACACAACGCCTGTGTGCAGTGGCTGCGGAAGCTAAGGCAGTCCGAGGAGGCGCAAGGCAAGAAGATGGGGATGGTGGGCATGTGCTGGGGAGGGAGGTTTGTTCTGCGTGCTGGGCGGACATGTGAATCAATCCAAGGTGCTGATGGGAAGACGGTGCCGCTTATTGATGCAGGTGTCGCACTCCATCCTTCCAATGTGGTGCTTCCCGAGGATGTTGAAGGTCTGGCTGTTCCAGTGAGCATTGGATGGGGCGAGGTGGACATCGTCACCCCATTCAAGCAGAAGGGACAAATCGAAGAGATCGTTAAGAAGAGGAAAGAAGCGGGTGAGCCCGTACCAGAGGTGGAGCATAGGGTGTACACGCCTGGAAGGCACGGTTTCAGCGTGAGAGGGAACCCTGAGGACCCAGCGGAACGCAAAGCACTTGAAGACTCGGTGACGCAGGTTTTCGAATGGTTTGAGAAGCGACTTTGAGTTTGCTGAACCCGCTGGTGGGGATTTCTGCGCCTGTCGTACAGGATGCTAGTTCAGTGTATACCGAGCGCAGCTAACGAATTTCTTGCTTCCTTTTCAAAATATCAATACCAACCTATATCGCCTTTATCAGCCAACTGCAAAGTGGCAGATAGTGTTCGAGAAGCAGGTACCAGGGTAGGATACTTACAGACTTCACGTGTATGCACCTTCTTCCTTCGCTGCTAGTGTCTTTACGCCCTACCAGTCATAGCCCTTGGCAACCACGACGGATTGATAAGTAGCTGCCTAACCCCAATATCAAGCGGCATTGAATCGCTCTGTTCCTACGAAGTCCTCTTATAATGCGCGTGCGACCTGTAACAAGGGAAGACCTTCCCGAGATTTTCGAGATCACCCATAAAGCATTAGAGAAGGACGAATTCTTCGGTTGGTTAAATCCTGGACGGGACAAGTACCCGGGCGACCATAGAAGAGATCAGAGATTACATTTGCGCGCTCGTTTTGTCAGTCTAGGGCAACATGGCTACGTAGTAGCGACAGAAAAAGGCGATCGTGACTGGAGTGGTAAATCAGAGGTCGCAGGTTTCGTGTTCCTGATTCGAAAGGGGACGGATGAAGCAAGCAAAAAATGGCGCACAGATACGCTTTTCAATAGTCTGTTTACAGTATCCTCCTTCTGAGCGATGGACTGAAGACATCATAGGATTCGAAAGAAAACTTCTGGAGTGGGAGATGTGGTATGACTCCAAGTTTCTGAACCGCGCAGAAGATCCCAAGCGGTTGGCAGAGTACATCAAGATGGAGCCATGGAATTCCTTTAATGTACTCGATCCTCGCTGGCATATGGGACTCATTTGCGTCTCGCCAAAGTTCCAGCGCCGTGGGGTCGGTAGCATGCTGGTTCAGCACTCACAGAGATTGGCCGCGGACGACAAATTGCCTTTAACATTGGAGGCCAGTATCGTGGGGAGAAAGCTATATTTGAAGAGCGGCTTCAAACTGGTTGGCGAAGCTAAACTTTGTGAAGAGTTTACTGACGGTCTGATGGTTTGGGAACCGGTTGGGATGGAAGGAACATGGCTGGATGCATTCGATGGCGATACAGCGAAGATGAAGAAGCGGAGAGAGTCCAGTCCAAGTGCGATTGCACGTACATAGAGCGACTGCAACTCATATATATACATCTCCATGTGCAACATCAAGAAAATTACGCTCAGCTATAATCACAAATGGAGAAGACCTGTGGGATGAACCCATCTATTATTGGATCAAAGACAATGTCACGTGCTTTCGCGCCGCGCCAACGCCGCTAAATCCATGTCGCCAGCAGCGCGGACCCCGCTGCCCTTTAGCGATAAACTTTCACTCAACAACTTGGTATATTCCTGTCTTTGCTAAACTTACTACTCTATCTTTGGGCTTTGGATATCGGCAGTTGGGTCAAAACGAAGCCCCAACGACGGCGCATCAATCCGCGCGACCAACGCGCCTCGCGCTTGGTTGACCGGTTCGCGCATCCTACAAGATGCCTCCCAAACGATCGCTTGCGCGCCCGCGCCAGACCAAGCTCAGTTTTTCTCCTGCGTCAAATGCTTCACCGAGACCCGCGAAACCCAGGTTTGTCATCAGCAGCGACAGCGAAGATGGACCCTCACCGAGCCGGCCCGCGAAGCGCCAAAGGTTGGAGCGAGAAACAGAGAGGGGCATGAAGCTCGGAATGCCCGTCAGTCAGAATAAGCGTGGAATGTTCGGCAGTTCCGATAATGAGATGCTCATCTCCTCCGGCAGCTCCTCGGATGCCGGCAAAGGTTACGGTGAGGACGATGTCGCGCCCTCCCCAAGAAAGACCCGCAAGAAAGCGAAGAAGATAGTCATTTCGGATGATGAGGTGGAGGCTCGGCCCAAGCACAAGAACAGGCGCGCTGCTCGAAAGTCAACAAAGGCTACGTCGGAAGAAGAAAGTGAAGGCGAAGTCACAGTGGTCCAACGAAAGGACAAGCGGAGGCTCAATAAGGCACCAGAATTCTCGGAGGAAGAGGAGGAGGTACGTCCAAAGGACAAGAAGCGTGGCACTGCTCGTGGAGCATTAACAATATCGGAGTCTGAGAGCGAAGGAAAGGTCACGGTCGTCCCACGGAAAGATAAGCGAAAGCGTGCAAACTACAGCGAAGAATCGGAAGCAGAAAAGAAATCGCGATCGAAGAAGGCGAGCCGTCGCGCAAAGAAGCCAGCTCCTGGATCATCTGGTTCATCCGAGAACAATAGTGAAGACGAGGTAGTAGCGACCCCGAAAAAGCTCACGCGGAAACGAAAGCCAGTTGCCGAGTCGTCAGAGGAAGAAACTTCCCGAGCAAAGCGGAAAGGTCGCCGAGCCCAACGGCGTGCTTCTACACCACGGGAAAGTGATGCCGAGGAGCAAGAGGAAGACTCAAACGCAGAAGTCGACGAGCTGAAGGAAGAACTGGCGTTTCTGCAGTCCTCTCCACTCGGGTTAGGCAGCACACAAAACAAAGCCAAGAGCGCGAGGGAAAAGGCACTAGAAGCTATGAAGAAAAAACGCGCGGTCAATAGCGATCCGCCATCGTCGTCAGCTGGGCGCAGGAAGCCGGTCGTTCTGGATTCTGAATCTGATTCGGACCTTGAGATCATCCCTGAAGAGCCAGACGAGAGTTCGAGCGAAGAGCACGAGAGTGATGAATCCGACGAGGAAGAATATGGCCCAACCGCGCAAGAAGCCCTGTACGGCAATGATGAGGACGAAGAGTTCATTAATGATGACGATGCACCCATCGGCGTGCCAGCAGAACACGCATTGCCACTTCAATTCAGCAGCTTCGCTAACAGAAAACCTCGCGACTTGTTCAAGTACGCGATTGATTGGATGGTGCAGAAGAAGATCAATCCCGCATTCAACTCGGGGGATGAAATCTACGACTTAGCTTTCAAAAAACTAGACGACGAGGTCATTGGGCTCGCAGGCTCTAAGTACCACTCGTCGGCCTGGACCAGCGATTTCACGAAAGCAATCAAAGGGCGACCAGAGATAGTTGTTGAGGACATCGACCCACAGACCCGTGCACTGTCGGAGCCCCATTGCGAAGCTTGCAATCGTAGGAGCCATCCAGCGACGTTCGCCTTAACGTTCACCGGAAAGCCTTACCAAAAGGAAACCCTCGAGCCTCTTCCTGCTAATGCTTCTGACTCTGACTCTGACTCCGATTCCGGCTCCTCTGCTGTCTCATCTACTGGCTCGGAAGAAGCGCTGAACGGCGAGAAACCTACGTACAACGTACAGGGCGAGCGGATACCACCCGAGTCAAAGACTTTTTCCCTGGGTTCCACCTGCAAAGCCAATGCCCAAGTCGCCCACACGTTGTATCACTGGCGCTACCACCTCAACTCATGGGTTATAGATTACCTTGTCAGCCAGGGTCACTGCACCGCCGAGGAGCTCGTAAAGCGAGACAAATTGAGCCAGCGCAAGCGGCAGAAGCTCGCTAACAAGATTATTGATAGAATGGACAAGGTCGGTGAGATCAAGAAGCTTTACCGCATGTATAAAGAGCAGGTTAATTGGGCTTACGAGGCGGATAATGAATACAGGAAAGGCTGGGGAAGGAGGGGTTAGTATGACCCTTTTCAAGCCTATGGTTTCCAATCAGCATGGTATGAACCGCGTGGAGCGCTCGGTTGATAGGCCAGAAGTGCCAGAACATAGGCGAGTGCGAGGCGATGTACGACGTGGCCAGAGGGCTCCTCAACGTGGATTCTGGATCTCTTTCTTGGCTATGGAGTTGGTGGAAAATAGATATCCGAGCCCTCTCACCAGGTCTTGAAGTATTTCGGTTCATTCCGTGAATATTTCATTGGCGCGTGACTCTCGAGATGTCTTCTGCTTATCGTTCTAATGTACGAGTATATGCGCCAGAGCGGTTGCTGAAAGAAACCTTTCCGGTATCTGTCAAGTTAGCTCTAAACTCGGCGACATCCGACCATGGCGGTATCTACACAGTAGCTACATCGCCGACCTCGGCTCAAACAGACCGTTGCTGTGCGACACAGAACAGTCAGTCGGATCTCATGTGGTACTCGGCTGAAGTTGTGGAGGACCGGAGTACCTAGTGAGAGCTGAAAGGCTGAGCACAACCCGCCGAACAGTAACAACAACACAACGTAATCGCACCACAATCGTACTGTCGTCGACATTCTGTTCCGTTCTTGACCGCAATATGTCAACACCGAGTTCGGTGAACCGAAGGTTCAGCTGTAAAACTAGACAAGCGACACCGCCCTCAAGCTTCGTCGCAACATCAAACCACCAAGACCCTCAGACCAGATGTATATAAACTCTCCCAGACCCGCCAGAAACTAAATTCCCAGCTCAACAGCAAAACTCCCAATCACACTCACATCCCAATCCACATCCCAATCCATCCTCAACGATCCACCACCCTTCAAGATGAAGCTCATCCTCCTCACCCCCCCTCCTTGCGACCGTCCTCGCTACTCCAGCCCCCGCAGCTACAAGCTGCACCGTAGGCCAGGTCTACTGCGGCTGGTACCTGATCGACACACTCGGTACATCCCTCCCTTATTCCCGCTTTCCTTCTTTTCCCCATATTGCAGTGCTAATACAATGGGCAGGCTGGTCCTCCTCCGACCTCCGCACCAAGCTGTGCAACACGCTCGGCAAATGCGACTTCAACAACGGTGATGCTTGGAACTCGCTATGGTTGTGCACGGGAAGTGGGAGCGCGGTGCCGAATGCGGTTTGTGGTGGGGAGGGAAGTTGCAAGGGGCCGAGTGCGCACTGTGGGTAGATCGAGGGGTCTGATATGAGAGACTATGGTCTGATAGAGGAAGGGTGGGAAGGGTAGGGGAATGGAGAGGCGATGGTGTGAGCTTTGAGGTATCTGTCTTTACCGGTAGTTAGAATTCATGCTGTTTTGAGATGTTGTACTGATGCGATTAAAGAGTATTTGTGAGGATGTATAAGGAGGGGGTGAGACTAAAAGCACGGTAATCCTACTACGTTCGTTCATAGGTGTAGGAAGATTTAGGCACGTTGTCGGTCAAGAGCCAGCAGTACGCCATCCGTCGGGAGTCCAATATTTTAACGATCCCGTGTAGTCCACAGACGCAGGGTCATATAGTGAACACCCAACAGGGTCCAAGAAATAGCCGTGGTCCTCTTCCTCAGAAGGTCCCCTTTCGTCAGTACGTTCGCCATCCTCAAGGGGTCCACCTTCATCGTTGCTAGAGTAATCTTCCGAGACATCATCGTCAACAATACAGCAATTATCGCAGAACTTCATTGAAACGTTCCGATCAGCGTTGGCCTCCTGTATGTGGTCAAAGAGACAATGGACGCTCCAACGCCGGTCAGCTTTCTCTCTCTCAGCATTGACTGAATCCAGACGTAGGGTTTGTGCAGCCCCTCATCCCCAGCTTTGGAAAGCAATATATCGGACCATGACGAGACAGCCTCTAAGTTCCGATAATAAAGATTCGACATCGTGCCTGAAGCCTCCATGTGAGAAGTCAATTCGTTCAAGTTCCCGCACATGACCGTCCAGATCTCTAAGTAGACGCAGCCTAGCGACCAGATATCTGAGGAGGAATTACGTGGCATCTCAGCGGCGACTTCGGGAGCGCTATATCGTAGGGTTTTGATTGTGGGCCCTTCTGTGGTGCTGTGTTCTGAATTCGACCAATCCCGGCTTATACCGAAGTCCGTGAGGAGGACCTGGTGCGATTTGACGAGGATGTTCTGAGGCTTGATGTCTCGATGGCGGATACGCTTCTCATGTAAATACTTAAGGGCAGATGCCAAGCAGCCAAAGAAGGTCGGGAGGAATGATCGATCTGCTGGGGATAAGGGGTCGCGGTTCAGGAACTGTTTGAGGTTGCAGTCTGCGACGGGGGACAGGATGAGTCCGACATATCTATATTCTTTTAGATAGATTCAACGTTGTGGAGCCTCTCCTTACCTTGGATCTGTGTAGCTGCCAACGAGTTTCACGATATGCAAGTGGGATAACTTCTTCAACGTGCCTAGTTCCCTTTCGAATTCCTTCAACACTTTTTGATCCTTGGGAAAGGTTCGACCACGCGAAATAAGTTTCCTGGCATACTCGTTGTAGCTGATAGTACTCCGTACCTGGTCAACATAGCTAAAGCCCCCCTTGCCTAGCTCGGCGATTCGTTGGAGTGGGATATCATCTTCGCTTCGAAAATGGCAATGCTTCCCTTTCTCAACGTTTAAAGCCTTGGTCAACACCAATCTTTGCGCGTCTATAAACTGTGATCTGATTCTTGGCGACATGACGGAGGTCGGCAATGTCTGATTGTTGAAGGGGAATGATAGATCAGACAGCTTTTGATCTAGGAAATAGTCTATTATAGATAGATGATTGATGGTGCGAAGTGTTGCGTATATTCTTGGGATCTGGCTCCATTGATGTTTGCCGGCTCGAAGTAACGTACGAGAAATGCCTCTGATATCTGCTTCACTAAATGGTTGACGGTCTGTACTGCTTCCTGTCAAGGAGCTTGGAAACCATGCAAGCATTGATTCGGTGAAATCTGTCCTTGCATCTTGAGGGTTGCGGGGATTGGTATACGATCGATCAATTTTCGTGCGTGGCTCGTTATGAATAGCAAGCGAGGATGTTGGGTGCCTTAAGCTAGGGGTCCAGACAGTGCTTCGCTGTGCCAGGTTGTCTCCAACAGAGCTAGGCTGCTTGCTTTTTTCGGGCTCTGCTAGAGATGATGTATCCTTACGCGTGGTTTTGGTCGTCAACGGCTGCCTGGAGCGCTTCTTATTCGGCACTTGTGTGGCTTGGGATCTCCGCCTTGGGCGACTTGCCTTGGGCTCTTCTAGATGGATAGGAACGTAGTCGGATGTCCACCTTGGACGGCTTGTCTTAGTTCCCGCCGCATGTATCGGTATGTACTCGGGTTCCCATTGTGGGGTCTGCTCGTAGTGCGTCGATTGGGGGATCGGTGGATAGTATGATGGTACTGCGTGTGATGCTGCTATTCGAGAGTCTCCCGTGGCTTTGGGTGAAACGTGCGGCGAAGGCGACCTGTTCTGCGGGTAGTGCCTAGGTGAATAGTATCCAAGACTAGGCAAGATCGGAGGAGGCGGGCCGTGCTCGTACCAGTCGTCCTCAGACGAGTAGGCATGCGGATGAATCGGGTTCGGCGGGCCGAAGGTCATGGTCGCAATGATGACTCGCGACCCCCAAGAATAGGACTGGTGTCGAGCCGACTACATTCGCATTCACGAGGACCTGACAAGTGTTGCGGAAAGCCAGGTGAGAGGAAGGCTGTGGTTCATCCAGCTTCTGGCCCCGCATTACCGGGGTATATGCATCTCACAGCCTCACCGCTTACTACACCAATAACAACAGTTCTAGCGGTCTGGCGCGCCAATGTGAGTATCATATCATCAGTTTGACTTTGACATCAGTTTTACTTCGGTTGGCGATGTCGATGTCTAGCCTTTCCAGTCTTATAAAGACTGCCTGAGATTTAATGGATTCAGGAGCTTACCGACCCTATCTATGTGTTATAACCCCTGTGAACAGGAGCAGATCAAGTTGTGTTTCTCAATCATCGTCATGCAAAATGAATAACATGGAGGCAACATATTCAACACATAATGTGCTTTCTGTTCTTGTGATACACTGCCACCAGCGTCACCTAGGTTGATGTTGCCGTGTTCCCATACCTAGGTAGCCATCAACGACGCTTTGAGAACTACCGAACGCTCAATTAGGCGTCTACGACGGACTTTCTCCAGAACCATAGTGAAGGCCATGGATATCGCATGCCTCTGACCTCCAATTCATCCTTTTGTCGCAAAGGTCAAAGCACCATCTTCCTTGTAGTACCACCACAGGCCCCGTTCCGTAAGTACGAGTTCCGAGATTGGCCCGTCGTTCAGGATGATCCTTGAACTGATAGGGTCTGAGATATGGTCTCCTTTCGAAGCTTATAGTCCGTTGAACCGCGTATCAAGGACGGAGTCTTGCGTTACGCATCGTAAAACACGTAGCTTGGTGTTGGATTCAGGTAAGACGGGACGCTTTGCATGTTCGCGGCTTCGAAACCGCTCGATCGCGAAGCTAATGTCAGATTTATCATATAAGGACACTAGGAAAACAGACAAGAAACGTGTGCTTCGAATCTGGATGTATGAAATAGAGGCAGAGGGGCTCACTTTTAGTTCATCCCACCATGAGTCTCGCATTGCCTGGGCACCTCGTGCATGCAACACGCAGCCTCACCGGTCACTTCGCAAATAGTTGTTAATCTAGCGTTGTTGCTGGCGAGTTTAGGGAAGATGGCGAGCCATCACTTAGCGATCACGGCAAAGCATGATTCCAGGAGATCTTTCAAAACGAGCGCTTCATCTTCATGTCATGGCTTCTACAAACCAACAGAAAATATCCCGAGACTTTGGAGTCCAAATCTCACAGGGAGTAATGACAAACAAATGCCTCTTCAGGCATGACAATAAACGAAAAGTACAAAAGCAACATTTCTTCGATACGAGAATTCCATCCAGTCCTTGCTCAACAATGCTAACAAGGTATCTCAAACTTGAACCTTCCCAGACCGCGATAGCTATCAACGCCGCCACAAAACAAACAGAAGCTAGACCAACCATATACTACAAGCACTCTCCAAAACCATAATACGGACAAGGAACACCACACTCGGGCGACCTCCAATTCCTACCTTTATCACAGTCGTGTTTCCACCACTTCCGAGCCCACTTACAACCGCCATGATTCAGCTTCGAGTTGACATCGCTAAAGTCCACCTTATGCTTGCCCGACATGAACGCGGAAAACCAGAAAACGAGCAAGAGACCGATATTGATGTCGTTATTGCGATGGAAGTCGGATGCCTGAGAAGCCCAGATCTTGCACACGCCATTGTCGAGGTAGGCGTCGCCCTTGTCCTTGTTATCGAAGATGAAACTCGTGACGTACCGACACATGTTCTCGTTCTCCGTGTAGCTGCCTTTGTTTTTGAGCTCCATGAAGGACCCTACGCCTGGAGGGGAGATGGCGCCGTAGACGATTTGGCACATGTTGTTCAGGTATGCGGCGGGGGCGGTCTTCGCAAGGGTTTTCAGTTGTTTGTCTTTGATGCACGTCTCGAGCATGCGGCTTTCTTGCTTGTGGCCATGTCCTTGCCAGCCTGCCGGTGCCGCTTTCCAGAGCGCGACGGTTTCGTTACCGTATTTGTCGCCGCAAGTGCATGGGTACGTCGCAGCCCCCTTTTTATACTCGTTGGAAGGGGAGACGGTGATGAGTTCACTTCTACACACGGGTAGAGGAGGGGCGATATCTTCGTAGACGACGTCGTATGGATTCAGGTTGATTGATCCGGGTAAGATGCTACCGGCACCGTGCTTCATGTATGCGTCATGAGAGACTGCGAGGATCTCCGTCTTGTTGAGATTCCATGGTGGATTCTCACCTCCAAGGTTTTTGAACCCATCAAGACCGTACAGGCCCTCGGCACGCTGCTCGGTTTTATCATAGCATACTGCGCGACAAACGTCCTCTCCTATATGATAGAGTTCTTCCCGCTTGTAGTACCGGCTATGGGGACTGCATTTGACGAAGCAACTCTCATCTGCCCATGCTTTTGCAATGAGAGAGTTTTTGAGCCGCTCGAACAACTTCTGCTCCAGGTGATCGTGTTGTGACGGCAGCTGATTCGTTTTCTTGACCATGTCGTACGAAGGAAACTGCTCCATGAGGTAATGAACGAAAGGTGCCATGCCGCCAGACTCCCAGTCATCCACGTCGTCCATTGCAGTCATCGAAAATCGGATTTTCCTCACCACGGGATCGACGGCGTCATCCAAGAAACCGTGGCAATTCTGGTTGTTCTTCGTCTGGTCCCCTGAGTAATTGTCGATGCTGCAAAAGCCCCCGTTGGATTTGATCTCGTTACGGAAGTATTCTTTGCGCAGTTGAACCCTGTACATATCTCCGTCTCTTCTTATAGGGGGAGAAATATCCCGCTTCCGGCTCCAACGCATGCCACCGAGGAACCGTGCATGAATGGTTCCTCGCATGGCTGCCAGCTGGTGAACGATTAGGGCATGTGCAACTGGCTTGTCCTGGTCGCCATTGCTACGCTTGCCATTACGTTCGAATCGCGATACCGTTGGCGTGTTTGCTCGTACTTGAAGCTCTGCTGTTCCCTTGTCGTACGAAGTCTCGGAACGAATGCCAACGACGTCGATGCCACCCAAGATGTCGAGCCAGGAGGTTTCGCCAGGCCCAGCGACGATCATGAAGTCTCGACGTTGGGAACTTTGCGGCGGCATGTCAATACTCGTATCTTGAAACTCAAGTTCGTGTTTGGCAAGATTCCCTCTATAAGCATTAATCGTGGATCCGTATTCGTCGAGAAAATGACGAGCTTCGTATGGAGACATCAGTGACCCGTCCGCGCGAACCAAACGTCTTGCGATTCGTGAGCCTAAGTAACGTGAAGAGTCGTCAGGATCAGTGGTATGTTCTTCCGAGTTGCCTCGCGCAACAAGCAAGAATTCGATAGTGGAACGGACAACCTGGTCCCCACTACTAGGTTTGCCGGTTAAGACCTGGTCAGCAACCGCTCCGGCAGCATCCTTGGTGAAGAAGCTGGAAGAGTTAATGTGAATCTGACGATACAGGCTGGTCTCATCCGCAGGGGCCCCCACGAGATCATCAACAGCGAAGGATTCCGTTCGAACAAATACTCCCAGTACGGACCGATGCTCCATTACCCGCTTGGCGAGCACACCTGCGGTCATCTCGCCTCCGTTGAGAGGAGAGCTCATCAGCAATTGGCCAGCTTGATCATCGCTCAGTGCAACATCCTCGTGAGAATGTAATGGACCGGCTTGCTGCCATGGAATTCTTTCGCTTGGCAACCCTGAGAAGCCAACCGCGGCTGGTTTTATATCTGACCCAAGTTTCTCTTTCCTAAAAACACCACCAACTGACCACAACTGGAACTGGGGAGCATATTCATTCCTTTGTGCGTGATTGTTGCCAGAAGTTATCGCTAGCAGCGATCGTTGCTGCTTAGTCGACTTAGACAATTTAAATATTCTTTTGATAGCCTTCCATAACTTTCTGATATGGTATCGGACGTTCCCAGACCAACTATTATAAGGGTTCGCAAGTTCACTGCTCGGATTTTCTGAAGGTGGTGGACTTGCTGTATCAGGTGTACTTGGTGTATCAGGTGTACTTGGTGTATCAGGTGTATCAGGTGTATCAGGCCTCAGTTCATCAAGGTCCGAAGTACCCTGGGATTCTTCACTAAGAGGGAAAAAAGGAGGCATCCGACCAGGTATATCCACACCTGGAACGGGAGGGAATGTCATCCTTAGTATGTATTCGATCTGCTCTGGCCGGGCCGTACTGTCAGTCAAAGGTGCGATAGTGGGCATCATACAATCCTGAAGCGACTTGTAGATGATGTAACGACGAGCGCTAGCAGGAAGAGACATCCACGTTGGATCCTGGAATACTATATCCCATCGTCGATGTCGAAGATGCCAAACCACCATTTCGCGCCAACGTTGCCACGTGTGGGTTGCCGCCAAATTCGCCTCGGTAAGCTCAGCCTCCAGCCAATCCACATGATAGGGATCGAACGGGCGTAACGACGGAAGGAAGAATCCGGCGTCTTCATCAATATCAGGTACAGTGACAGACTCATATGGCGTCTCAGGCAGGGAAACTTCGTCGTCTTCATTCGGGCCTTCAGGTATGGTTCCGAGTTCATCATGTTCATCTTCACTCATCCCTTCAGGTATGTTTTCGAATTCTTCTTGCTCGGATTCAAATTCTCCCTCGGCTGTCGCCGAAGTGGCTTCAGTCACGGTGAATAGCGCCTCTCCCTCATCCGAGACAGGTATGGCATCGGCGGGAATATTACTCGGATTCCAGTGCGCTAAACCGACCCGCACCCCTTCTTGAGGTGGTGATGCTGGTAACTGCCATTCAGCTGGATTCGTTGGGAGTTGTAGTACGTGTTCCAGTTGGTCTAGCGTCCATTTGTCCCACTTGATGTTCCATTTGTTCCAAGCTGGTAGGGATTCCTGAAGGAGCCACTTTCTATAGTACTTCGCGATGTCTTGCCATTTTGGATCGCTCAGAACTTTCGCCCAATGACCTTGCTGTATCTCCGTTCTGAAACCCCACTCGGCTAGAAAGTATTTCTCCATTCTTACACCGTACTCGGTGTCCGTCTACGAATGTTTAGTGGCTGATCATTGGGAACTCCATCGTTTCACTTACCGTGACCCCATATTGTTCCATGTGATAGGATACCCACTCTTTCTTCTTCATCACCTTGTAGTGGCCATCATGGTGATCATATACCGGAACCTCCTCACTTCGATGGTAAGTTACGAGACTATCTCTCAAGGTACCATAATCGGAATTGAGAACTGCCTCGAGGAGACTAGCGCCGGTGCCAGAGCCGGAGCTGCCGCCGTTGCCGTCTACCTGGGGTAGAGATGAATTCCCATCTGGCGCTTCTGGAGTCAGCTCCATTTGTTGCAATGTATGTGTGACCTTGGTCAAGGCCATTTGGTCTTCAAGCAGATGTGCAGAAAGCATCTGCTCGAGAGTATGTAGACCGACTTTAGTCAACGAATCGACCTTGTTGAGAGTGCCGGTTGGTAGTCGAAGTAATGACTCGGCAATATCTTGATAAAGCGGACTTTCCACACCGAGCCGCCCTGCAGAGCTTATCGCCAGCTCCGAGGACGGTTTGAAAAAGGGTTTCTTTTGGATAGAAATCTTTGGACGAGACTTCACTGCAGGTGCAATCTTGTCAGCAACGTCTTGGACAACCTGGGCCGTCCCATCCGCTACAGTATCCGCAACGCCTTCGACAACCGGGGCCGTCCCCTCCGCTACAGTATCCGCAACGCCTTCGACAACCTGGGCCGTCCCCTCCGCTACAGTATCCGCGACCTGCCCAGCTTCGGATGTGACCAGCTGCGCGATTCTCTCCAAGGAGTCGATTGTAAGCTCAACGGTAGAGGCGGCCACAGAATTCGCAAGGGCTGCAACTTGAGCTCCTCCATTAGCTACAAGCTGCGTTGTGTCAATAATTACTGGCGCAAGGAGCATTTCCCAGGTCGGTATCATAGCACCTGCTTCGCCCACTATATAACCATGAGCGACGGATGCTAACCAACCCCAGGCGCCATTATGCGTGAGGGTCGTCATAGCCTCGGTCCAGATTATTTGGGGGACCGCAATGAATGTATTCACCAGCGCGGCGACAAGGAACCATAGACCGACAATAGCCATGATCACCTGTATGACTATGTTGATGATATCTTCAGGACATTTTTTTCCCTTGTGGTGTGTCGCTTCATGGAAGAAAATCCTCGTGAACTCTGCGCAGTGTCTTCTTTGATTAGCAACAACTAGGTAAATGTGAGCAATTACATACCCAGCCAGTCTCTTCTTCGCAGACTCAAGCACCTTGATGAACGTATGTCCCTGGATGTAGTATCGTTGGATAGCGATCAGAGAGAATTTGAGTCGGCGAGCCCTATGACGATGCTGTGGGAAATGGGCAAGGATATCATCCTGCGTGGGCATATTGCGGCATCCATCTTCAAACTCGACGGAACAGTCCATGCCCTTCCATCCGATGAGATTCTCTGGAAGAAACGATATCACCGTAAGATCGGGACGCGATTGCTTCTCCAAATCGTACTGTGTGAAGACGTTAGGGTGCTTGCTCCACTCCAAGAGTAAATCGTAAGGCCTGGCGTTTTCCCAATTCTCTTCGTTGAGCTCGTAGAAAAGATCCTGGGCGATGCTGATAGCAACTTTGTGTTCATGTCTATGCATAGTCAGTGTGGGCTTGTGAGTCGGTGACAAAGGGGAACGTACGCAAGAGTCTCGTTACCATGGGCATCAAACGAATCCGAAGCTACCTTGACATGCTCGATGGGGATGCCCTTAAAGCACATGTCATCAGTGTGTGGATCACAGTCCGGGGCGTCGCGTTCAGCGTTAGCAGACTGGTGGCCATTGATCATATGCCACTCTTCCGGGTGAACAATCCTGTCGGCAGCGAAAGTGAAGTTAGTGAAGAGGAATAACACGAGGAGGCAGGTGTATAGTTTCGTGTTGTGAAACTTGAAAGAGAAGCTTCGAGGGGAGGCTAACGCCCACGATAGGCCAGCACAAGTCTCCATGCTTGCGTAGCCCCGTGGCAGAGTAGAGTAAATGGTGATAGTATCTTGACAACGAAGTGAGAAGCAAATGATGGGCAAAGACCATACATCCAAGTTTAAAGGAGCTGCAGGGGCAAATAACAAGCTGGCATATGTCGTTGAGAATCCATAATTGCTCTTCAACGGCGCGACCCAAGAGTCAATGATGGATCGAAACATTGTTGAAAACCACGGCCAGGAGACGCACCGTTCGTTCTCCTCTCGTGCTAGGACCACCTGATGATGATCACAAGATGGCAGAGAGCCAATGAGCCACGCAGTGACCGTAGTCGGCCAGTCTGTATGCAGCGTTTGGCAGTACGTGAACACAATGGGCATCATCGACCTGTATTCATAAGTAACAACCAGTCGCGTAGTAGTTCTGCTTACCCTCATTTGTAATGATATGGGGCAGAAACGGTCCATGATATCAATGCTTGTCAATGACGTTCAAGCTGTCATATCGAAAACGCACTTCACAGGCGTAACTTTCGACTCCGGCAACGTTGTCGTCTGGTCGGACACATGCATCTCGGTGGAAGCCATGGAATCGTTTCATCAGTACCAAAGGCGTAGCGAAGTTCGTCAAAGGGCCAGACATCTCATATTTGGTAGCACATGCACAAGTAGAGTGACCCCGCGTCAGTCCAGCTTTCGAATATAAGAACGCAGCATCGTAGGCCGTCATAACAGAGACAAAGCTCATTAAATTGAGATCAATTGGGAGAGTGCCGTTGAGCGTCTGTCGAGGAGAGGTGATCGTGTGCTGGTGTTGACGTCGAAGACACAACCTTCAGGGTCAGTTCTTGCCCAGCCCTGGAGACGAGCTAGTCACGTGGACTTCAATCTTCGACGTTCTGGGAAAGCGACGTCCTCAACCAAAACATCGCACCCACAACTTTGCACCTCAACAGCGTCACTGAAATGAGTCAAATCAAGCGCAAGATATTGGATGTGTTCAAGGTGTGCATCTGTTGACAGCCGCATTGTCACCCCCGCATCTGGGCAGAGCTGGGATAGGTCCAAAAGCGGGCGAACCCGCGCGCTCGGATTCCCCGCCTCTTAGACGCTGCCCTTCACTTGCAGAGCTCTATAGACTTGATCTACAGTGGGAAAGAAGAAACCTGTCAGTAAGAGCTGGATGCAACGCAAGGATTAGCATCGCCGCTCCCTAAACCCTTGGGCATACTTAATCTCGACCACAGATATCTCGTGAGCAGAGCTTTGTTCAATGCAGGATATCAATCTTACAGAAACCACACATAGCCGTTTCTTGCTTGGACTTATGGTTGAGCTAGGAACATCTTACCGCTGGATGAGGCATGCACCATCTACGCCTGGACGCCGGTCACAGCCCACTGCATCCACTACAGCGGTTCGGATCGGCCAGATCCTATAGACTGCATGAGACGACACTTTCAGGCTGATACATATACGCAACGCATTAACAACCCACAACGTATAACCCGCTGTACATACTCAACAGGCTGATTCGAGAGATCATGATGCTGCCATCAAGCATATCCCTCCAGCACCCAAACAATCTACCCGCTGTACCAAACGCCGCGAAACAGCCCCACAAACAAAGTCACCTCACCACCCGCCAGCTCACCCACATCCAGATCCCCGTCCTCGCCCCGCGTCGACGCCGCCCCAGCCCCAACCGCCCATATGCACCCAAACGCCCACTCCCACCCACACCTTACTTAGCCTACCACGTTTCGTGAAACACACCATCTCACCAACAACTGCCGCGTCTCACACCGCAGTCAACCACACATCCAATGACACCTGCATTTCACACCGCCACAGACAACGCGAATACGCAGATGCAATGCAGCTTACACCCACGTGCCAGCCCGAACTCCGAACACGAAGCGCTGCGGAAATCACTACCCACACGTACATGTACAGACGGGGGCCTGACGACGTCCAGACAAAACGAGACAAGGCGAGAAAAGCCCCAAGCGCAGCGTACACAGTACAGTATGTTTGAAACATACGCCTACGCCGCGCGCAGCATTCACCTCGTCCCATGCATACTCGGCTTGTCCGCCGGATAGATAGGAAAGCAAGACAGGAAACGGAAAGGCAAGACACGCAGGCCCATCCCTACCGTAGGCTACGAGGTATGAAACCCGTGGCGTCCAGCCGTGGAAACGGATCTACGCGGCACGGCAGTCGCAAACTTGCCTGATCTGATCTGATCGATTCAATTCGAGCGTGTATGCGCGGGTGGGAGTGACATCAGCAGTGAGTTCCCTCGCGGCTTCGTCGGATGTCTACATGTGGGGATGTATGTGTTGGTGCTGCGGCTGGTGGGTTGGCACGAAGGAAGTAGACGCAGGGAAAAGGAAGCATGGCGTACAGCGCGCGGGTTGGCATGGTGTTGGCCGGCAAAGGAAAATGATCGACGTGGGGAGTCCCGCAGGAGTCTCGTGTGGGAAGTCCCGGAGACGTTCACATGTTTTGCGGGATGAAGCAACGAGGGCGGCGTGGCTGCTAGATGAAAGTTTAAAAGCGACTTCAAGTTACATATTTCACATTCACAAATTGGATTGTATAGCATGTTCAGTTTTCGTCCCGTTAGAACGGTGACATGTTTAACATATCTGGGTATTAAGTAAGGTAATGTATGTATGCACATGTATGTGCACGTTGCTCCGTCGCCGAAGCATACGAGGCGAGAGGCCGCCCAACCAACAGATAACGCCAACCTGCTGTGCTGGAACGACAGTCAAAGGTTCCTCCCAGTCTAGATAGAACGCCAGCAATGTCGAGCCATAAAATCAGAGCGTCGTAAGCATACGACGTGCGTAGGCCATGCCATGCTATATTGGTATAAAGAGATAATGAAAAGACACAGAGGTGTCTGCATCTTGCACATTCGCTGCCAATGCGGATATGGATGCGAGAGCGAGAGCGAGACAACATGGAGATGACATGACGGTCATGTTTCGCGGAGCCGGAGTCGTGCGTGTATGGTGGAGTTGCGCTGTATGGCGGGATCGCCACGCCAGCCGTGCGCGGACATCCAGCGATACGAGCTGAAACACGGCTCGGCGGCCTAAATCTACTCGCGAATACCGACGAGCAGGAACGCTAGCAGGCGCGATGCAGACATGAGATGGATGTCATGGCGGCGAGTAGAGGCGAAAGTAGAACGGCGTGCAGAAGCACTGCTTTGCTGCAGGTGCGGGCCGATTGATTAATTTAGAATGCGATGCCTGTAATGTTGAGTCAGCTGACGCTCCTGTTTCACTTTATGCTGTGCAACCAAACGGTGCAGTAGGGTAAAACTCACCGCCTGAAGACGGTTTCTAAGCTCACGGCTGTGAGTTCAGAATCCTCGGGAAGCTCGTCCATCAGCGGCACCAGGCCGGCGAACTTGTCAGAGTTGCGATAAGCAATGACGGCGGGTACGCCAGCGACCTCCATCTCGGCGTCCTCGTAGTGAAGCTTGACGAAGCGTGTGGTGTCATTGCGTCTTGCTACTTCGCGCATTTGCTCCTCGACCATGGCGGAGATCTCAGACTGGATGCTGTCAGTGACTCGTTCGATACTGTGAGGGCGAGGCAACATACCGTATCATCATAGATGAAGACGACCACAACGGTATCCCGTGCGACCTTCTCTATGGCCTCGAGGAAGCCCTCGCCGTCGACACCGGGCATGTTGCCGTATATCCGTCGGCTGGGGCTCGTTGTGCGTGACCGTATACGCTGGCCGGCGTTCTGAAGCTCCCCGCAACCGTGCCTCCCGCCACTGCTTCATGAAGCCATCCTCCTCATCGTCTGAGGACAGCTTCTCGTCGTGGTAGGCGGTGACTGTGTAGGATGTGGGTTGCTGGTCCCTCTTCCAGGTGAAGCGGCGAGCCTGCTTCTTGGCCTTTTCAAAGGCAGCGGCGTCGGCGATGACGCCCTTGGGCCCCGTGTTGGCCTCTGAGCGGATCGAGGGAACGTGGTAGTTGTTGGAACGCATGGCGGAGTCTTCAATGCCGAGCTCTTCGTCGGTGTCTTCAGCAGGGTCGTCGTGCTCGTAGTAGCGCTCTTCCTTTTCGGGCTCGTCACGGTCGCTGTCGTTGTTCCTGTCTTCTGGGTGGCGTGTCTCTGTGCCTTTGTCGCGGAACAGCTCGTTATATTCTTCCTGGGCGGCAGATGAAGTCATAGTGAAAAAGGGTGCCTGAGTCGGGCGGGCTGCTCTATAAGTAGGACGACGATGAGGTGTGTGTACGGGGAGCCGGCGTTGGATGGCAGTGACAAGCTCGGCCTTGGGCAGGGGTTACCGGCTGCTATTTTGGCGGCGTCTCAGGGCTGCGATTGGATCCGGCGTGGTGGGATGCGTGATGGAGCTGCGGCGATCAGGCCAGCAACGCGTCTCTGCGGGAATGTTGGTGGATGAGTCGCTCAGGCGCGCAGGGAAAACCCCAGCGTGCGGCATGCTTAAGGCTGAGCTGACCACGCGACAGGCCCCTGCTCGCCGCCGCATTGGTAGATTGGCGAGCTGCGACTCCTCCTCCTGAAACGCGCTCTCGAGGCCGAAACAATGGGCCACACGACGCTTTGTTTCCTGCCAGACCGCCCAATTGCACGCCTCGGCGCGCTGGCCTTGAGCCGCGATGTGCGCTTTCGAAACTGCTGCTGTAACGGCCTCCGGCAGCGAGCAGCATCATCGCCAGACGTGCACGTCAGGGCTCGCCATCGACAAACTGAACTCGCGCCCCGGCATTGCTGCGGGTCCTCTTCCTGAGGCACGTAGTTCATGCGCTCGCCGGTTAATCGCCAGCATCGGACAAGACGTAGCCCGATTCGCACCAAAAGGGGGCGTTACCGCACGGTTGTCCCTCGAGCCGCCCACATTTGCGAGGACCCCGGCGCGAATCTGCTTCTTTGCCAAAAAGCTCCTTCTTCTAGAAGCCACCTGCATCGGGGCGATGACTCTCCCCTTTGAGTCGTCGCCCTCGATGCCGTGGCCCTTGACTGCAATCAAAATAGGGAGCACGGACCGGACATGTAAGACCTAGCGCCACGTGCGGACATGCTACATTGCATTCAATCTCGTATCCAGCCTCGAATAACATCAGGACCCTGAACGGTACTTAAGCGCGCCGTACGGACATGTCCAGCTGGCGTAGGTCTAATTTCACTGCTGCGTGTACGTATGCACTGTGGACTCCCTTTCGGGCAACTAAAAAGACGTCGCTTCTCTGGTCATATTCAGGAATGGTTCGGTTGTCGAGCAGGTCCGCTGACGCACGCCTATGCAGCGCAGCAATGTCTCAAACGCAGAGTCCCCGAGCGCTTGAGCAGCCTGATTCGACGATGAATCACCAACAATCCTTGCCATGCTTCGCCCGTTACGACTCGATTGGGGATTACCCCCCAAAGCAGTTAGCCGACTCGTATGCATTATCATCTCAATGAGACATTATACGCTGCCAGCATATCCTGGCCTCGAGTACGCTTGAGCGTTATTGTCAATAAGACAGCGGTGGCGCAGTACACAACAGCTACCTTCCCTTTAAACGAAGATACATACGAAATGACAGTTAACGGACATGGAATGCGGGAAACGAGCGGTCCAGTGCACTTATGCACGGAGATGTACGCGTTTCTACGGACACGTGGAGTTGGGTGACACACTGACACGTGGGTGAGACGAATTATCCGCTGAGCGCTCGAGCATCCTTCCGCTGCGCTAGCGAGCCTTCTTGGGATTTGTTGTTGCCCAGCAGTTGTCCAAGAGTTGGAGTCTTGACACGACGCCGAGCTTTGACTGTTGTGTATCAGTTGTGGGAGCGACTTGTCGTCGGAGACCACACCGCTGCCTCGCGCTGGCCTCAAGCGCAGGTTTCGATGGACGAATAGAATCGCCGTCTGCTTGTAGGTCGTGAAACAGAGTTGCCATGATCCCGAGGATGGCACCGAGTCTTTGGTAGAGTCTCATATCTTACCCCTACAACAGGCGCAGGTCACAAAGTCTCCTTTTCAGGGTTCATTTCACATGGTCCTATAGCATATGAAGAAGGCTATATGTGCGCTGGCCCAGATCTCAGGTGTGCCAGCAGACCTCGGTCCATGAATGCGACAGGGTGCGGAGAACCTGTGCGGAGGTTACAATCTCGATATGCGCTATGCGATATATGCAACTGGTTGGTGCGCATTGTTTCGAACCACTATGCCTTCAAACAGGCGACGTGTTGATAGCACGGCTGTTCACGAGCGACTATTTACGTTCGCTCGCATGACGCGCCCTGAGCAATCCGCAATGTGCGAGCATCAGATATTGTGCCGATAGGTCTCAATGGTTTCCGAAATAGCAGCGGGGACAATGTGCATACTCTTGCAGCGTGTATCGTGCAAAAATAGACAAGTTAGGGGTTCACTTCGACATAGGTATTATCACGACGATAAGTCATCATCGGTACCTCCCAACGGCAACCGCCGCGTGTATGTCTTTATCCAGGAGCTCAACGGCCACACCGTCCGCGTGGCGCTCGGGCGCTATTCGGCAAGGGCGGCAGCGAAAGCCTCAACATCAACATTAACGGCTTCGGCGGGCACTTGCTAGCTTCCTGTCAGATGAAGAACCTCACCGGGCAAGCTTATAAGATTGAACGTTCTTCCTGCATGCTGAACTGTTCGGCCGAGGACCGAGGAATGTCAGATACGAGACACAGATGCAGTATGGGAAAGGCAATTTGCAACAGGATGAGTGCACAAGTCGCACGAAATAGAGTACATCTTGCACAAGACTCTGGAAGAGAATACAAGGTTGCATCGTATAACAAGCATTTGGTGTGGAAAGATCTCAAGCTTCAAATGTTGCTTGCCCTTACCTTCTAGATCCAAGGTAAGCGCATGACATCACCCAGCGGCATCGGAAGCAAGCTTTGTGGATCCCGCAAGCCAACCCTGCGGAAACTACACTTGAGGCTTAAAATTATTTCCACCGCGACCCACAATAACCTCACGAAGCTTAGCAATGGACGGGAGAAGATTCACCCAGCCGTCACCATGTTGCAGATTAGCACGGAAATGCGAGTCCTCCGAGATGACTTTGGCGCGAGGAGATGCTGTTTCGGGGACTGTGCTGACGACATTGGAGTCCCCATATGGAGCCTGAGGGGCTTTCGGGGCCCCAGATGATGAGAGAATTTCCAATTTGTAGAGGGTGTGGGAGCCCCGCTACGATGGGTCATTGCCACGGTCCAGTCGTGGTGTTCTTATGAAGCGTCTTTTCACATCCTTTGACCTCCATCGAAGCCTTCGTTCACCGTCTCAAAATACTTCCTGCCGGATCCTTCGGTGCCTGTGAAGTGCCCAACACAGCGACGACAAAATGGGCATCCTCGCCAAAATTGAAGATCGCCCCACGCCGTCCAGCGTATACAATTGGCGCGTCTACGTCTCCGCTGCAACAGCGTCATTCGCATCATGTATGATCGGCTACACCACGTCTTTCATCGGAACCACAGTATCACTCGAGTCGTTCAAAGATGAATTTGGCCTGAGCAGCATGAGCGAGTCTCAATCGAGTCTGATCCAGGCCAACATCGTCTCCCTGTTCCAGACTGGGGCTTTCTTCGGGTCCATCTTCGCGTACTCCACTGCGTACTACCTTGGCCGGAGAATCACGTTATGGACCTTCGTCAGCATGTTTATCCTGGGAGCTTGTATTACTTTCGCTGCAATTGGAGGCAAGATTGGGCCAATGTATGCTGGACGTGTTATCTCAGGATTTGGAGTTGGAGGGTGTACTATGATTGTAAGTGGAACGAAGATTTTGTCAACGTTTGGCGGTGACTCACAAACGTCAGGTACCAATTTACATCTCTGAAATCGCTCCTCCGGCCATCCGCGGTCGCCTTGTCGGCACTTATGAGCTCGGATGGCAAGTTGGTGGTGCGTAACGCCTGGGTACGAAGTGAAAATTGTCCTAGACGTATTCACAACGTGCCAATTTCCAGTAGTCTATCTTATACTAACTTCGTACTAGGTCTCGTAGGCTTCTGGATCAACTATGGAATGACACAGAGTCTCCCATACGGCCGCAATCAGTGGCTCATTCCCTTTGCCGTGCAATTGATACCTGCTGGCATCGTTCTCATCGGCAGTCTCATCTTCCTGCGCGAAAGCCCACGCTGGCTGTGGACGCGCGGAAGACGCGAAGAGGGCGTTGCCAATCTATGCTGGCTCAGAAAACTCCAACCCGAGGACACGTACATCTTGGAGGAGATCGAAATGATGGACCTCCAGATTCAAGGCCTGCCTTCTGGTTTCCTGAAACCCATTCGTCTCGCGTTGACCGACAGCAAAGTTCTATGGCGGCTCTTCCTAGGCCACATGCTCTTCGTCCTCCAGAACTTCTCCGGCATCAACGCAATCGTGAGTTTCCACCTCTTCCCTCTGCCCAACCCAAGCTAATCAGATCCTAGAACTACTACTCCCCCACCATCTTCAAAACCATGGGCGTCACCTCCATCAAAACCGTCGACCTCATGACCGGCCTCTTCGGCGTCGTAAAATGCATCATGACAATCATCTGGCTCACCGTCCTAATCGATAAGCTCGGCCGCCGCACGCTCTTCCTCGCAGGTGGCACATTCGGCGCAATCTGCATGTTCATCATCGGCGCGCTCATCGTGTCCAACCCCTCGCAGTCCACCACCACCTCGTCGCTCTCCTCCCAGGGCATCGCCACAATAGTACTCATCTACCTCTGGACCTGCGTCTACATCACCTCCTGGAACGGCACCCCCTGGGTCGTCAACGCCGAGATGTTCAGCCAAGCCAGCCGCAACGTCGGCCAAGTCGGCGCAAGCATGAGCAACTGGCTCTGGACGTTCGTCATTGCACGAGTAACTCCAAACATGGTAGCAGGTATGGGGCGCAACGGATTCGGCATGTACTTCTTCTTTGCGTCTGTGTCGGCGTGCGCGGTGGTGTTCACGTGGTTCCTTATTCCTGAGACTAAATCTGTGCCGTTGGACCAGATGGATCGGCTGTTTGAGGTTAAGCCTGTGTGGAGGGCGCAGGGGATGTTGATGCAGGAATTGGCGGATAATAGCTTGGAGTGGTCGAAGGTGGATCGGAAGGAGGATAGTAGGGCTGATCGGATTGATGGGGTGTGAGGAGGGTTGAGATTTTCTAGTGTGGTGCAGCCAGTAGTAGAAGCAGCAACGTCAGATTATGAACATTACTTTCCACTTGGCGTACTGGAGTTCTATTTGAGTGAGGGGAAGCCCTGCGAGAGGGAAAGCACCTGGCCTGGCCCAATGCTGAGGGAAAAGAAAAGAAAAGACAGTGAGGGACGGCATGCAAAGCGGATGCAAAGCGGTATGGGTATCAAAAAGTTGCACAGCGGCAGCTACCTTACTGGTATCGGTGGCCAGGTTCCAAGGGGAAGGGGCAACGCCAGGTACTGCTCTGTTCGGACATGGCAAGAGCAACGGGCGCCTGTTGCAGCAGCAGCAGCAGCAGCAGCATTAGGCACCAAACACTAAGACCCTGACCCTACACGTCTGTCACCAGGCGACATCGCAGACGCCTTCCGCCTGCCCTTGAAAAACGTATTCTGTCCGTACGACAAGTCGCCAGGAGAGCTGCAGGATCGTGAAGCTTAGCGAGGACTCGCAAAGTAAGCCACCGTCTCTTACCTACACGAGCGCCGCTAACTATCTGCAGCCCTCGTCGCAGGTGCCGTTAGGCACTTTAGCAAGCGCGTGGACGTCGGAGAAACGAAGACGTTATTCAGCCTCCACAAAGCGGCCCAGGCTTGAGATACATGTCGTGTTATTTGTTCCAAAGCGAGGCCTCGTAGTACTGTCATGGCGCGTACGAAGGCTTTATCGACGAATTCAACGGTGAACGCAATCTTCCTGGACTGGGAGTCAGTAAAAAAAAGTTGAAAGTCCCATTGGATTGCGCACCGAGCACAAGCCTGTGCGTCGTTGCTACATTCAGTGTGCGGCTGATCAAGGTATTCACCGACGCTAGTCTGTTCACCTCGAAGCTCTAAATTAAAAACCCCTAAGCCACCAAAGGGCCGCATCACACATTGCTACGGACAACACTCACCCGATTGAATCGTCAACCCGCCCATACGCTACCGATCCACGGAAATGGATGGAAGAATGATGTATGAGCGTCTCCCACGAGAGATCCGCGACCAAATCCACGCATACGGTACGTAATGTCAGGGTGCAAAGCGGGTGTTCAGGCTAGGCAGTTGCCTAAGACTCCAGGCCTCACGCCTCTTAATTTCAAATCTTCAGACAATAGTAGCAGGCTAGAACATCTACTTCACCTACTTCCCTAATTTGTGAATATTACACTGACATTGTATACCAACCTTTAGTCTGGCACCCCACACCTACTGATGTTACACCAGAGGCACTGGGCGACCCGCCGGAATTCCTCGAACGCTCTGACGGTGATTTTACCTATCCCGAGCTGTTGCAACTGTCGGACGAGTGTACGCCTGCTGAGTTCCATGATGCTCTCGCCCGAAAGGTCCCCTTCAATCTAAAGGAACTCGACTCTCGACTAGCTACTGAGCTCGTCCAATGGCTCTACGAGCATATGGATCTGGGGCTTACTGCCTTCGGCACGAACGGCGTACATTTCATGACACCGGGAATGCCTGGAGTGGTACTCGGTGGCCCAGAGGCGCCATGCAACTTCCCTACGTTGAGAGTCCGTCACTTGCAGAAAGTCCTCGACACGGATCTGTTCGGGGTTGGCATAACCCCGGGCGACTGCAAGCTTCGTGCCCTTAGCGTTCTGGTCGACTACTCAACGACCTACGGCAGCAATATCACTTGGGTGCGGACCATCCCGTTCAAGGAGACACTCCCTTGCGCCGCGTTGGACACCTTGCTTGCACGTGTCGTCGCTCAGCCCAAGACCAGCAACTTCAAGCTCCAGATCTTCGCCATGGCGTGGTGCATGAAGCGAGATCAGAGTCATACCTTGACCGAGCTGACAGCCAAAGTGCATGACGTCTCTGCTGATGCTGAGCTTCTTGTGCCTGATATGGAGGCGAAGTCGGTGTATCTAGAATACCTACTGAATCAGCACCACTACTATGACAGCTTCCGCCTGTTGAATGCGTACGGTACTGAAGACTTGCCGCGGGCAGCGGGCTGGAGTGCGGGGCACTGGGAAGTCGGGCTGCAGCCGCGTTTTGAAACGTGGGACGAGTGGCACCGCAACCAACTCTCTGCGAACACTCAGTAGGACGAGCAAGTACTTCAGAAGTTCCAGTCGGTGGACTGATGACGCCATTCACACTAAGCGCTCCGAAACGACAAAGAGACGTTCACGGGATTGAGCACCGGCAAAGTGGAGAGCATGGGATATGACAATGGCGAGATACTGTTAAGGTGGTCCCTTGAACCTGCATTGTGCCTTGAAAGCATGTGCGCCCTGCACGAATATGGAAGAATAAACCGGTCGTCCTGAGATTTTACAATGATACTCTACTTACTCACTGATGGGCGAGACTAACAGTTGATATGTGCATGTTTGACTGTCCAGGTCTCGAATGTGTATAGCGTGAATGCGATTGCAATTGCAGTCAGTACTACCTTCAATCGAGCCAGCGCCTGAATATATCATCCAGCCGCGCGCGTTCCTCTGATCCCGTGAAGATCGCACTAATCGGTCGCTGTGCTAATTCCCTCAATTCACTACGACTCATTCCGAAGTGCTTAGCCGCAAGGTAGTATTCCTGAGACAGAGGACTGCAGAAGACGCCTACGTCATCAGTCTGTAAACAGTGAGTAAGCATAGCATTTCTACCTCGAGCCATGTCCTTACACAAAGAGCTACAGGAACACCTGTCTGTCGCCAAACCCCAAAGTGGTGGTCCGAGTAGGTCCCCGTAATGAGTTTAGCGTGGACGTTGCAGCTCATACACAGCTCCACGCCGATGTTTGCCTTCTCTATGCGCTCTTGAAAAGACGAGTTGACGTGGATAACGTGCCCAAGTCGACCGGGGTGCCAGGAGAGCAGCGTATTGAGCTCTCCATCCGTTCCAGATTCTGCGATCTCCGCAAAATGCAATGTGATCTGCAGTCCCGCTGCCTTTACCCGGGCGAACGCGTCCGTGTATAGGCTAACGTCTCCTTTTGCGGGATTGCCGCAGAGGTCGACACCTACTACGCCAGCTGATTGGTACTTGAGCGCGAGGTCGACTGCTTCCTGTGCTTCCGCTGCTGTGTTTCGCCTGTCTATTGAAAGGATCAGAAATGCCCTCATGGTGTTGCTTTCTTGCTCATTGTGTTTTTGCAACACGTCCAGTATAGTCTTGACGTAGTCGTCTTTGGAGATATTCCGACTTGGTGTAGCCCTGGGCGTTGTCCGAAGCTCAATGTAAACGACGCCATCAGCTTGAAAATCTTCAAGCACTCTCTGCGTAGAGAACCTGTTGGATTGTCAGGCAAATGGCCATCTCGCACAACGATCTAGGTCTGCTCGTCACACTTAGGGGTCGGCACGGCGGTGCACTGGCCATATTGTGATCTTTACGTACACTATACTGGGAAGGTCGTCACAAAGCTTATAGATATATGACGAGAACAGTGGAAAGAACCTGGACTTGCAGTTAGCATTCTGCTGCTCAAGCCCAACGCCTCCGGCAGCGGGCAACTCCTGCGGTGCCCAAGACCGGACCGACTGCACGTGTTCGCTTGGAGGGGTTTCATTGCCACAGACTTTGAGGTTTTCGTGATGGTGCAGGCTACTCCTGGATGAGATCGGAGAATTATAATTGCAATGCGCCACAGGTCCAATGACAGGTCCAACGTGCATGCGCTTACGGCATATCCGACGGGGGACCGACGATCAATGGAGAGAACGAAAAGACCCTACGTTTGGACATCATAATCCACTTTCTCTGGTGGGATGGCTGTGAGAGGGTCTTCCAGCTCGAGCTCTGGGTCCTGTTGTCGGCGCGTCTCCCAGATGTCATGCAGACAAGCGCGACTGATGCTTCCCGTTAGATGGGCGTGGAGCTTGCTTCAAGTTAGCCGAACGGATGGTGTATTGAGTCCATGCACGCTACTTGGCAGTTGGCGAACAGGAGAGGCTGGCGACCACGTACTTCAATCTTTGGAAGTCTGCGGGTATACTCCGCGTCTACGGGCGCCGCGCTGGACATTCTGGAGACCACGGGCAGCGAGCTGGCGTCAAACGCATCCGTTTGAGTGAAAGGCGCGGCAAAGAGACCGCCACGGCTCAGTCAACGCGCGACCCTGTCCCGCGCTAGCCGACTAGGGGGCTAGCGCGCTTCGAGAAGGGGAGGAGCGACCAAGGAGATTGCAACTGACGAAGAAGGTGCGGGTTCGCCAGCCCTTCACTCTGCCTCCTCAGTGTTTCTGCAGCTCGTCTTCTAGAAAGCCGCATCCCCGCGTTGCGAGCCCGTTCTTTGCGTTGTTGCAAGTGCCCTGCGGATACTCAAAAGTTGCGCTCCCTTTCGTTTCGGCATCCAGCTCGACGTTTCTCGGCTAGCCCGCGCCCAGCTCCCCAGGCCGCCCCCGTAACCAGAACCTCGTCTCCAGCAACACTGCCGCAGCGCTCACACTTCAAACAACCACCCGCCCTCCGCCATCCGCAGCCTGCGCCGCCCCTCAGCGCGAGCAATTGCTCCTGTTCGGCGCGCCCCTGTCGCCCCTGCTGCCCTCGCTCGAGCCTGCATTGCGTGCGTGCCCGGCTTCTGCGCTAGCTGCGAGGCCCCTGGATCCCGCCAACCTCGCCTGCGACACTACACTGCGACAACGCCCCCTTCCACTGCATCTGTAGCCCACAGAGCATGGCCGATATGAGTGCAGAATCCATCCAGCAGAAGATCCAAATCGCCCGTCGCGATGCCGAGGCGCTCAAGGACAGGATAAAACGGAAGAAGGACGAGCTTGCTGACACCACCCGTACGTCCTCACTTACGAACAGCTGCTGCCGCGAGCGCGTGCTAACAAGCCAATGCAGTCCGTGATGTTGCGAAGCAACGAGTTGAGGCCCTGCCGCGTCTCTCGATGAAGACCAAGCGCACCCTCAAGGGCCATCTGGCCAAGATCTACGCCATGCACTGGTCGACGGACCGCCGGCATCTCGTGTCTGCTTCGCAGGACGGCAAGCTCATCATCTGGGACGCCTACACCACAAACAAGGTCCACGCCATCCCGCTGAGGTCATCGTGGGTCATGACCTGCGCCTACTCGCCGTCTGGAAACTACGTCGCGTGCGGAGGGTTGGACAACATCTGCTCCATTTACAACCTCTCGGCGCGGGAAGGCCCCACTCGCGTCGCCCGGGAGCTGTCCGGCCACTCGGGTTACCTGTCTTGCTGCCGATTTATCAGCGACAAGCGCATCCTCACATCTTCTGGCGACATGACTTGTGTTCTTTGGGACTTGGAAACTGGCTCCAAGGTGCACGAGTTTGCTGACCACTTGGGCGACGTTATGAGCTTGAGCATAAACCCGCTCGACCACAACCAGTTCGTCTCCGGTGCTTGCGATGCTTTCGCCAAGCTGTGGGATATCCGTCAGCAGAAGTGCGTCCAGACATTTGCGGCCCACGACTCCGATATCAACGCCATTCAATTCTTCCCCAATGGCAACGCTTTCGGTACCGGGTCGGACGACGCGTCGTGCCGCCTGTTTGATATCCGTGCCGACCGCGAACTACAGGCCTACACTGTACGCAAGAACCAAATGATCTGTCTTTACATGTTTTTTACTAACACATTGGTAGATCCCCGAGCCAGTCTGCGGTATCACATCGGTGGCCTTCTCCGTATCGGGTCGTTTGTTATTCGCTGGTTACGACGATTTCGAGTGCAAGGTCGGTATCCACTTGTCCCTCGTTACACGACTTATCTGACAAAAAGCATAGGTTTGGGACGTTCTCCGCGGCGAGCGCGTAGGCACACTACAAGGTCACGACAACCGAGTCAGCTGTCTTGGCGTGAGCAACGATGCTCTCAGTCTTTGCACTGGTTCATGGGATTCCATGGTATGTCTGAGATACTGCTGTTTCCACCCTGCATGACTAATTTGGCACAGCTCCGCATCTGGGCATAATTGACCCGCCCTGACATACCATACGGCAACATATGACAATGTGCGATGATGCAAGTCTGAACGAGGGGTGCCCTGACTTGCTTTAATTACTGGCGAACGACAAAACCTTACATGCTTTCTCACCATACCCCTTCCAATCTCGGCCTTCCCTCGGCGCCTATAAGCGCCGTAACTCGCTCGACATAATAACCTACCTTACCGCAATCGTCCATCTGAAGGATACGAGGTGCTTGGAATTCTTTTGTTGTCATTTCTCCCTCATACCACCTTTTCTTTTCCTTTCGACAAACGAGCCATGCTCGTGTTGTCCGTTACGTCCGGATTGGCTGTCTCGTGTACACGTGAATAGTAGTGTTTGTGCCCTCTGCTATTCTCCTTGCCATCCAGCTGACCTCCCCGGAAACTACCTCTTGTGTTCGTGTTCGGTTCTTAAAAAGCACCATCACCAGTGATTTGCACCCCAAGGGAGAAGGAGGCTTGCAAGACTGGCGATATCTGTATGTTTTCTATTTTGAATTATGGGCAGCGGGGATTTGGCTTCTGATGCAGTTCATGGGGAGAGTGTCGTGATGAAGACAGTGGCTGTGAGAGGGCATTCCTTTTCATGTATGATGGATCTGCGAGTTGGTGGTTGGGCATTTTGGCGCGATAAGACATGATGCTAGTTCCACATACCTCTTCTACCTCAACTTTTCTTTGCGTTAAAAGCATCGTGTTCTCTTTCGTGAAAGGTTGCTATTTCGACTGCCCGAAGCTGTGGGATGTAGTACGCCTTGAAAAGTCCTCTTGCACTTACTCGTGATTGTTCGCACGCTCACATCATAGTAGCGATTCTTCTCAACAAAAGTTGTTACTCGCGCGGCACAGGCGTAATACAGATCAGAAGCAGGTTCACGTCGTACAACGTCCGCCGAATGAAGCATCACAGCCGATGCTCGGCTACCCGGTCTGATATATCCATATTACAACGGACGTGCCACCAATAAGAACAGGACTCCACTGCACAATCCAATATTGTACATTAACTCCTACCTCTTACGTTATTCGAGGTCTTGAGTTATACGAACTTCTCGCGGTGGCAATCCTTTGCGATCCTACCGTGTCGTCTTAGATGCGTGAGCGTTGCAGAGCTTACGACGTGCTGCTTCGCATCAAGAAGGCGCAAAAATGTATATAGTCAGAGTCTTCGCATAGTGCAAACATACCTAGCTTGTCATATAGGTTCTCCGCGGCGATCATTTCGCCCCATCCAAGATGCTCTACACGCTCCTTCCCCTCTTGCTCACAGCAGCATCCCCAATCACTGCCAGTGCCATCCCACCCAACACGACAGCACTCGACCCCCCAGTTCCCATACGCGAGTGCTTCACCAACGCAAACAACACCCTCTTCCTCCCTCTCATCCCCCAATTCGCAGACCTCCTCGAGTCCGAGCCACGCACCAACCTATCCGCCTTCCCAGACTTAAAAAACGGCCAAAGCGCGCGCCGCCCCCAGCACACCATCAACGGCGTGTGCATCGAGCTCCTAGCCTTCAACACAGACGTGCTCTTCCCTCTACAGATCACAGGATCTGGGCTCGCGCATACGGCGCGTGGTATCGCGGAACAGTGTGGAGGACTGGGATGGGGATACTACGTGGACAAGGAGACGGGGAATAATTACCATAAGGAGCTGTGGGCTATATTGGAGCCGTGCTCGACGTGGGCGCCGAAGACTTCGGGGGGGAGGCTGATTTGTGCGACGGATACGACGGGGATGGAGAGGCATGATCCGAGTTTGCCGTGTCCTGGGGAGGAGGCGGCGGGGAGGTAGGTGCTGAGAAGGATGTGGAAGGGAATAGCATTTGGAAATGTGATGGTGTGCCGTGCTGTGACTAGTATGTCCATATAAGCAAAAATGTCGGACGTAGCATCGTTGGAAAATTTCTCGGTTGTTAGTTATACAAAGAACGGCTCCTACTTGGGAGAACCATCCCGCGTTCGTGTCTGGTCTACTGTTCAGCTTGAGTACACGCCAAATTAGCAAGTGGTTATAGAAGATACAGATGGAATCTGATAGATACACTCGGTGTAGAGCGGTATCAATGGAACCGTATCTTTGACATTGTGACCATTGAATCCCATCTTTTGCTCGGGATGATAGTACACGCTTTTGCGATGCAACGCCAACGCCAGCCCATGGATATATCGCGTTATAATCAATAGCATTTCGACATTTTACAACAAAGCAAACCCAGCAAGCACACCACCAGCTACCGCCCCGGCTCCACACGATATCCGCGACGGAGCATTGCCTGTTTGTTCGGCTGGTGCCAGAGGGATCGATGAGACCGCGCTCGACGACGTAGAAGCAGAGGTTTCTAGCGTGGACGAAGTCGTAGTAGAGCTGTCCCTCGTTGACGCAACCGTAGACAGTATAGACGAGGCGGAGGAGTGCGGTGAAGCATATGAGGAGTGTTCCGCGCTGCTGTGTATCGTCTCGCTGGGGCGGTATATAGTCGTCTTCGACGCGCCGTACGTGGGTGCGTTGGAGGGATCAAAAACAGGTATCGTATAGACATCTGCGAATGTGTATCAGTATCAGAGTACTTGGAAACAGCGGGTTTTGAGGTAAGAACTGACCAGACATGAATGTAACAGTGACCACGGCGCCAGTTGGGCTCTCGCCCGGCGTATCGCTATGCTGTCCGTACTGCAGCTGCGCTGCTGCGCAGCCTAGCAGTAAGAAGCTCGCTGCGTATTTCATTGTGAGTATGGTCGTTGTTAATGCTTTGGATACGTTGGTGCAGGATCAAGATATATCAAACTTGCCCCAGCCCCGGCGTACATAGGCACAAAGGCGTCAGCTCTCTCCTTTGTGCTATGCCCCGCCCCATGGTCGCCCCCTCTCTCTCATTTCGGAGGTCTCGTGCTCATAAGGGGCGGTTACAAAGGCGTATAGCGGTGGCGAGCGCAATTACAGGCTTGTTGGAGCGGCTGTGGAAACGGCCGTTTGGCTTGGAGGAGAAGCGCAAGGTCTGATGTTGAAGGCGGGTGCGGGTGATTGGGTGGGAGTGCCCGAGCCTAATTTTAGCGCGCGGAAGGTGCAAGCGACAGGTACCTTCACAGGATGGAAGGTCGACACCGACTCACCAAAACGCATCTGCTTACCTACTTTTCTGAATGTGGATGCGCGCTTACACGCTACGTTTAGAGAATCGACGTCAAGGCAATCGCAACACGGGCACACGAGCGTGATTTGACCTCCTCCAAACTACAGGAAGCGAAAACGATGACTAGGTTTTGTTGTGTTAACTCGAGTCAAGAAGATCTTTACAGTCCAGAATGCAGAGGTAGAGGATATGGACGAGTGTGTCCCGTATGTCAGCTCTTGATCATTTCCAAGCGTTTGTTGCAGAGGTTTCCCTCAAATTCCAAGAATCCCTTCGGATGCTTCGAGGTCACGATAACAGCATTCGTCCCATTATGGCGAAAAGCCCTGGGATCTCACCGTAGCTTGGTAGACGTGTGGAATTGAGGGAGAACATCACTCATTGCAATCTTTCCTATTAAATGATTTTGTGTTCGCTGGGATGCCTCCGTATCTAGAGTTCCGGCGACCATCCACGTATCACATTATGAATGATATCAGAGCTAGTCTACAAAAAGACTAGCTTCGTGCTAGCCAGTCAACGGTACCGCAGTATAGGTCCCGGAACTGTAAATTTAAACCCTCACTACCTTGATTTCTCTTGATCACCTTCTTGGAAAGCTGCTTCATCAACACATATCATCAACTTTGAGTTCTTCTCATCGAATTACCGTCAACCACGTCATATTCGATCTCTATCCGCCATGGCGACTACAGGCAGCCTCAATCTTGAGGAGTCTGCTTCTGTAGGCGGTATGGACCACGTTCTCGACATTTTGGCATCTCATCAACATCCGTGCATCATAATAGGATGCAATGCACACCGCTGGATGGGCTCTGCAGGGACACACTCCCGTACATGCGACATACTCGTTCGCGACTATCAACTGGAGAGCATTGCCGTCGAACTTATTGAGACCAGTCGCTGGGAGCGTGTTAGTCCTGGCCTGTCTCCATACTCGCACACTCAGCCCGACAGTGCGGACGATGCCGACGTCATCCTACGAAGGACAACCATCGATGATGACTCCAAGTACACCGACTTCGAGCTCAACATGTTGTGCTTGTGGTCGGAAGCCACGTACCGTATCCAGGTCGATGACTGTCCTACCATCGAGGTGCCAGACATTCATGTCGTGAACAACGTGCTGATGGAAGAAGACTGGCATCCAGCTGCTCAGCGCACAGATGGTTTTTGGTACGGTCCTTGTCCTCATCAGGACTCAAAGATGAAAAACATTCCCAAATGGCTCACACCGCGGCCGCTATCGGTCAAAGGATATCCACGAGGCAAGAGCCCATCAAAGGACACTCCTATCTTCGTCCCAACTCTTCCAACTTACCTGGATGCTCTCATATACCACGTAACTCAATACAAAGAGTCAAGACGAGGACTTTCGTCAGAGTCGTCCTGGCAAATCAGAAACCTGACTCGATATCTGTACTTGGAATTGCCACACCAGCAACTACCACTACTTATAGAACTCGAAGAAGACCAGTTCATGCAGGAGTACCTTCGGACCTACGTGAGAAAGCCTTACTTTGTGTATCACGATGTTCCTGGGTTGGGGTTCATAGGGACACGAGTTAGAGAGTGGGATCCAGCTAGTTTCCCAGATTATCCCAGAAGGATTACTCCAGATATTCAGGAAAAGATTTCATAATTTGGGATGAGAAGATAGGCCTGAATCTGAATTCTGTCTGAATGCTAAAGACGTGACTGGAATACGTCCCAATCTCTTACCCGTACTGTTCGCTCGTGCCTTCCTCACTGTGTTGCCGTTCGAGAGGCGCCTACATGCATACTAAACTCGCAACTGCTTCTCAACAACGCGACTGCAGTCGCGCACGTCATGGGAAAAACAATCCGTGGATCGACAAACTGCCTCAGCAGCGTCGCTTGATATTTTCTCCTTAGCATCATTAATACCCGAACAGTAAATCATGCTTCCCATATCTTTGCTGCTCATCTGCTAATGTATTCTCCCAGTCTTCAATCCAAAATTCTTCAGCGGGCTATTTTTTTGCTCTTCTTTTTTCTTATTTCAACGCAAGTCACAGTCGAGCACAGTTCCTTCACATCCCAGTATGCTAAACCGACTTCCTTCTCAGATACCTATTGAGCATCTCTACGTCTTCACCTTCGATAATTTCTTAGCCACCTTCTTCGACTACAACTTCACTGTACACCATCCATCCGTGACCCGTTCGCCGTCGCCTCCAACTCAACATGTCCCCCCAGCGTATCTCCCCCCAGATGGAAGCAGCTCTGCTTGAGTGCTTCCTGTCAGCTACCCGCCTCCTCCCGCTCGAATTGCGATCGTCCTTCATCTTGATCGGGGGAGCCGCCACCGTCTTTCATAATCGAAAACGCTTCACGCAAGACGTCGACGTGGCGGCCTCCCCCGAGGCAATCGTACATCTTCACAGCGCAATTTCGAGCGGCACCACGCAATTCAAAGTCAATGCAGATCCGTCGCAAACGATCGAATTCGACAGCCGCCAAGACATCCTCGTTCATCTCGAACTTCTCCAGATTGGCGGCGGCTTTGTCGATTCGATCGCCGCGTATGAACCCTTTCATGATGGGTTCATCGCGTCCCGGGCGGACCTGCTCAAATTGCGTGGTGTGACGGTAGCTGACCGGGGGAGTGATACTGACTGGGCGGACTTCATGTTCTTGTTGGAGGCGACGGCGTTATCGGGGTCAATTCTTCCACGGATGGACCGGTGTACAGTGGAGGCGTTAAAGGAGGTGACCGGGAAGTTGTCGAAGGTGGACGCTCTAGTTTTAATTGGGTTACTCCAGGAGGAGGAGGAGTTTATTTAATTCGAGTCTCTTTAATCTCACATTTTCAAGTCCATATTTGTGAAGACTAATTGTTACATGTTCCACCTAGGATTAGTGGGCTGAACGATTCTGTCGTGTAACTATTGCTAAAGAGGCCTATGTAGACCACACTACCTACTGGTGGCGATCTACAAGCAAGTTTTCTTTCGGAACGAAAGTATACGTCTATACCAGGGACCAATTATAGATTGAACATATTTGTGCTGGTCTGTTTGTAGTGAACTGCCGAAGACTCCAAAAGCTAATCGATAGACTGTTACGAAAAGCATCGGAACGGCGTTGAAAGTGGACGAACAGTTAAGAACATCACAAAAAGAAAGGCTCCTTAATATTGAGTAGACCTGAAATTTGTTATGATACAAGCTAACTTCACCAGCTTGAGAAGCAGGTAACTTGACTATAACAAGACCTTCCGTGGCCTCCACTTCGCAATATTCAGAATCACAAAGGTCCATACCTTTCTTACGCCCGACCCTGTCACCATATGTGCATTCCGTCTCCGCTAGAGAGGGAAGGTTCAATTGCAGCCTCAAATTTGTGCTCGCCGTATCTAGGATATATCCAGACGAAAGCTGCTCGCGATGGTCTAGGTCTGAGGCGAAGTCGCAGCTCGTCGGTCCTTTTAATGAAGGTTCATTTGATCGCAATCTGTCGAAGAGGACTTTGAGTGCGGACTATTGAGTCTATGAAAATCCCGACTTCTATCCGAAATATGCATTGCAAGGGGCGGCACTTAGTAACGTGGTCTGACGATCCCTGCCGTCTCGCCAACCATCGGAAACAGCGCGCGCGCATATTATCCATAAATCGCCGCAACGCCCGCCAAGCGAAGATAAATTACACAAATGCTGGTCGAGACTCATCTTGTAAGCAGTGAGTACCTGGGTGTCGGAGCCTCCACAATTCAGTAGACATGTCAACCCCGAGTACTGTATCACATTCGTCGCCACAGTGTCACCTGACTCAATCTACTCCATAGACCGACGGCGGTAGCCGTAATTTATTTTGACACTTGACACCGTTATTTTTGGAAAGACAATCGACGGTCGACCTCGAAGCTAAGGCGAGTCGTGCTGCAGGTCCCACTGTAATCAACCTCGAAGTCGAAGCTTTTCGTATTCTCACTATGCAGCTCGTTCCTTCGTACCTCCAAGTTTCCGTGGCAAACGGCCTCGTGCGGATTCTGCCGCATGTGAAGATCTTTCCGCTGGACACTCATTTTGTTTCTGTGGTTCTACCTCGTATTCATCATCTCAGTCGGCTTCGTCTTACCAGCTAGACCCTCCCTCGCAATATGCGGAGCTCTGCGGCCCTACGAAAAAGCATACAGAGACAATCCAGGTCACAGAAGACCATGGCGCCTCAATACTAAGTAGCTATATGTGAGCTAATAATAACTGCAGGCTAGCCGAATTGAGGAATTCGTGATGCGCGCAAGCGGTGCCTTCGTCCAACGCGACGCGAGAAATGGTCAGATGGCGGACCACGAGGAGTCTGGGTGTTCATAGATCCGTGATAGATTCCCGATGTCTGGATCCGGGGGCTGGCATATTTGAAATGTTCGGGTTGGCAGGCAGTATAAAGGTCAGTGACTGTCCCTTCGTTGGAGATCATCAGCACAGATCGTCAGTGTCCAATTACTTCAACAGATCGCATCCGGATACACACCCCACGGCATTTACCTCAAAGATCATCACTATGCATTCCAAGATCGCCGCTTTTCTGCTTCCGCTCTTCGCTGTTGCGAACCCAGTCCCAGCATCTGGTTCTGGCGCTGCCCCCGACCCAACCCAAATTACCATCATCGATTCTGCCTACTCCGGTAACGGCTGCCCGCAAGGTTCCGTCTCAACGAGCACTTCTCTAGACAAGACCGTAAGCACATGTACCCTACGCCCTCCTATCTTATGTGCCCTCCTATCTTATGTGCCCTCCTCTCTCGTGTATCTGCCATTGAGAGGCACAACGGCCGCGAGAAACGTATATAGTAGAGATAATTTTGCTGACGATTTTGATAAGGTTATCACATACGGATTCGACCAATTCCAAACATACATCGGCCCCGGTATCGCCACCAAGGACAACTCACGCGCGTGCCAGCTCCATCTCAACCTCAAATACCCAGGCGGCTTCCAATACGCAGTAGTCTCCGCAGTTTATCACGGCTTCGCGCGTCTAGACAAGGGCATCACGGGCGACTTTCTTACCAGCTACTACTTCTCCCAGGATGCAGGCAAGACGTCGACAACGCGCATGAGCGCTACGGGGGGCGGCGACCTAGTTAACGGACAGGTGTATACCAAGCAGGACAACGTTGAGACCACTGCTGTTGTCTGGTCGCCGTGCGGTACCACGGGTATCTTGAATGTGAACAACCGCATTAGCTTGCGGTCCTCCAATTCGTCTGCTTATGGCGAGCTTTCTAACGACGATGCTACCGTTGCGTTTACACAGCAGGTACATGTCTCGTGGCAGCCTTGTACACCCAAGAGGTAAGATGGTACTTAAGAATATGTTGATGGAGCGATTTGCTGACTTGGAAGTGCGTAGCGGCACCACACCCGGCGACACCATCGGTATTGGACAGCCCGGCGTCGGTATCGAGTACAACTAAGTGGACATATCCACGTCGTCAGAGATTGCTACAAAATGTTCCGTGTTTTTGATTTCGTCGCATGCATTGGGGTGATGGGGGTGTGTACATAGCTTGCTCTGTGCAGAGGGCTGTTGAAGAATCGAGACGTTTGACGGCCATCCCTATTTCTGACATCGTTCTACTATCCCAGAGTATCCTGAACCAGGCGCGATTACTGGAGCTATCGAATAATCCCAGTATCATCTGGATATCCAATGCGCACCACTTTCGTATTCCGAACCGCCATCCCTATCCAATGGCAATACCGCAGCATTGCAATAATCAATCTCCACCCAATAGCAATGCCGCAGCATGGCAATATCCCGCACACAGACCACTAGCAGCGCTCGGACTCTACAAAGTGCGTGCCTTATCACCGCCCAGCATCAGCCCTGCGCGGAACAGCGGAGCGCAAGACGGGCCGCAAAGAAGACAATGCAGAACGTTGCTCAGTAAACTTTGTAGATATTTGGAATCAAGATCGAGACGAACAATGTTTGTGTCGAGAGCATGCCCAGCGCTGTGTTTGTCCAGCAGAGGATTTGGAATGCAGTTGAACATTGTTTGCGTGGTGAGCCATATAGGTACACTAGCGTTGGGCGAGATGCACCAGTGTGTGGTGGTGATGTGCATCAGGTGGAACGCGCTACACCTCGGACCGATCCGATCCTCCGAGTGCGCGACATGTCACAGATATATCACTTTATCCCTGTCTTAACCCCCCTCCAGCATTGACGCATAGAAAAGCCAGGCCATCGAAAGTTCCATATCTCCATCTAAGTTCACCCCAAGATGCGGTTTAATAGATCTTATCTCGACTTAACATACGTCTCACATAACACATGTCTCGATGCGAGGAGCGCTCGGCTATCTTCTCATTCGGCCTCAACAATTGATAGATTTCGACATCAGTCTCGTATCGTCTCGATACTATCTGCCCAACGTCTCAATATCGGGCGCTCGGATACCTTCGATATTCATTTAGGAAAATGCAGGAACAGCCCGGAACCCTGACGCCCTTCGACCAATCCATGCTGCTATGCTCACATCGGCATCGTACATATCCCGACCACAACAAGAGACCCACAAAGAAAAGAAAAGTGTATGTCCCCAGAAATTGAATGTTCTTACAAGCCAACCCATAACAGTGAAAAAAGTGTGTAAAGGTGAATCGAATAGTTTTGTGCAACGTCAGGACGGACGCCGGGTTTGGATGGTTCGTACAACATCCATCCATCCGCCATCGTCTTCACCATCTTGATCGTTGCCTGTACAGCAGGAACGCACACGAATCAGGAACCGAAAGTATTTCTTAATATTTGGCCACCAGGTACTTACCATTATATGCCGTTGGGCCGCCGGCCTGAACAGTGATGGGGTTCGAATCAACGACCTGGACTGCTGCAGCGCCGGTGACAGAGGCTGGAGGTGGGTCTGAGCTCGAGTTTCGCATCCGTAGTAGAGTGATGCGTATACGATAAGTGCCGGCCTGGCGGATGACAAGGCCGGAGAAGCGCATGTAACCGACAGCCTGCGAATCATTCAACTCCATGGAAGCGATTGAGCCGTCTGCTTCGTCGTCGGCTAGCGTGTGGATATTATCGACTCGTCTGCCGGAAAGCAGTGTGTTGAGCACCGTAGGGTCTGACGAGACTGTCGAACCCGGTCCAGGTACTAAAGACGCGATAGCAGCAAGGTTCAAGGCATCCTCAGTTGCCGCATTCGGGTTCGGATTCGTCGTTCGTAATCGCACGATGATGGTCCCATTGATGGAGTAGCCGGCGCGGGCGTTTGAGGGTGGTTGCACAACAATGTCCATTGCGTATCCACGGTCTTCAGGCGAAAGGGACGTCCGATTCGCCCGAGGGACCCGCCTGTTTCCGGTGTCGTGTCTTGAACGAGTTGATGATCTGCCAAACGCCCGCTGTTGCGCAACGTGAGCCATGGAGTTGCTTGCTGATGATTCGCCTTGACCGTTGAGTTCGCCGTTGAGCAGTTCTGCTATGCGAGCCGACCGTCGGACTGACGCGTTGCGGTAGGTCCTTGAAGTGGTGTTGCGGGAAACGGATCTGACCCCTCTCCTCGACGAGCTCCGGGAAGGATTTGGATTTCTACCTCTTCCTCTTCCGCGGCCTCTTTGCATCAGTTGAAGGATAAACCTAGACTCGCTTAGCAGGGTAACGTTGAAGACGCTGGGCAATGCTCAGCTTGGGGTGTTATGCCGGACGGAAGAAGTGGACGAGTAATAGAAGTAGAAACAAAGAAATCTGGCAAAACGAATGGAAGAAAGGATACAAAACGACGGTCAAGGTGTCGGAAGCTGGCAATGTATAGCACTGTCATGAAGCGTAGGATTGGCGGATTGTTGATTGCAGTGATAACGAAATGAAGTCCAAGCCACGAGTCAGCCCTCTCATCATAGCTTTCTGGAGGCCGGTATGCTATATGGCTTGATGACGCCTAGACGGACGACTACAGTAGAGTTTTCGGGCGGGCTGGGGCCCTACAACGGTGCCCTTTAATTTCACCAGGCCGCCTTGAGATGCATCGAAGACGGCGAAGCCATATCTCCAGACGGATATGGATGGTGAGATGAGGTGAGGTTCAAAAAACGGCAGTTGGCCCCACAGGACGGGACGCGCAGTGACGGACGGGTCGCTGTAGGGCGGACCGATTGGCCTTTGCAGGCGCCGCCTTAGGCTAAAGGGTGACCCGTTTCGCACACACGGAACGGACAGGATGACGGAGAGGCCAACGAAACCGCACAAGGACAGAGAAATGGAGGACGACGGCGGGGTAGATGGGGAGAGATGGAGCGTGAGGTGTAGCAGGGCGGGCATTGACGGGGCCCCTGCCTGCAATGCGTCGTCACTTCCCGGCGCGCCATGTGGACGGCAGGGATGCTCGCGACACAGCTAGCAGGAACGCGCATCGAAGCGAGATTGATGCTCACCTTCAGCAACTTGGTCACACTCCCACGGCGCTTGGTGGTGGTGACGGCGGGCAGCCTTGCGTGCGTGCGTGCTTGCTTTTGCGCGCGCGTCGGTCGGGCAGGCGTACGTGGATGCCCTCCAGATGACTCGATGTCAATGGCCTCGGGGCAGCGGCGACGACTGACGATGGCACAACGCAGAAGCCGTGGATCGATGGCGACGACGGGTCGAGTCCCGGCAGCACGGCTCTTTGGGGGCCTCTGGACGGCACCGGCGCGGATGTGAGTCTGCCATCGATATATTAGCCATGCTTTTCCCTCCGCGCCAGGAGCAGCCAGCAGTCGCCTCCGCTGCGAGCCCGCGGCATGAACACTGAGGCCGTGTCGTCTTCCAAGTGCTGGCAGACTTACCGTCTCGCCTCAGGACCGAGCTTGTTGGACTGAACCGTCCTGATCGACCACTGTCTCGACAATGGATCCTCCTGTGCCTGGCTTGCCTCCCGGATTCTCCACGGACCGTCGGCGATGAGATTGAAGAGTTGTCTTGGTCGAAGAATTTCCAGAGCCAATGTCTGCGATTCCGGAGCTTCAGTACGCTTTCTCGAGCGGCGATGGTCCGAAAGAAAGACTCCGCGCCCATTTATACTCCTCATCAGTCCCAGCACCATATTGCTCTTTGCCACTCCTGGTGGGGGTTGCATCTCGCTCGAATGGCTTTCCGCCCATCCGCTATTGGTCTCGAAGACATGTTCCTCATTCCGGCGGCCATTCCACCTGCTTCTCCCCCTGTTGAATCATCTGGCGACGAGGTATGCCTGTCTGGCCCTTCATCCAGGGTCCGTGAGGGTGTCAGGCAGGAGCACGAAGCCCCATCAGTACGACTCATTTACTCCAACCAGAAGGACCCGACGTATCTGCAAAAGCCATCCAGCCGTCTATGCTAGTATCTGGAAGCTTCCTTAAACCTCACAAGCGCGTCACCGACGGCGGCGTGCATGGGCGCATCCTTCACTGACTTCCCCACACGTCTGTACTTGTGGCTCCACTCCGGTTGCCGAGCTACAGATTAGGACTTATTGCCGTGCACGTCGACCTGCTTTCCCCTATGAGTTCAAGCTAGGGGTACGAAGAAGCCACCAATACCGACCACCAGGCTCTCTGGACACAAGGTCAATGCTTGTACGACTGCAGAGCCTCTTGCCGGAACGCAGTCTCATTGGTCTCGAAAAGCAAAACTGACGGTGGCCAGCCACGCCAAAACCGCGGTCACATCCATGTATCCCGACGCCTCGTGGCTGGCAGATATCCTGAGATCTACCGTTCGTGGCGATTATACCAGATCATCATGTCCTCTTCACTGGTTCTAAACTTAGCTGCAGACGCCGAACTCCTCCGCACACAATCTCCCTGCTCCACATGGCTGCAATTGCGTTGTTGGATCAACGCCTGCCGCATGCATACTTTCATGGTGAGCTGTTGAGAAGAGCCAAACGTTACGGCCCTACAGCCGTTGTATGTCGACGTTGTTGATCGAGGCAGCATCTACATGTGGTGTTCGGCTTTGGTTCGGTTCCGGCCACTGGAAGTTGTGGAGCTCACTAGCCACGTCGCCTTGACTTGATTGTTCGCCTCGTCAAAGTGTCACGTCGGGCTGTATGAGCGTAAGATGATGCATTACCAAGTAACATGTCAGAGGTTACTAGATCCATAATCTCTCCGAACCAACAGAGTGAGAGCACGGCCTCGCTGCTAAATTTTCTCCTCGGCCTCACTCTGGTATGGTCCGTAGCTAAGGTCACAAAATGCATGGTACCTTCTGCACGTGGACTTGTTGGGCAGTGCCAGATCTCGTATCGATCACGGAGTTGCAGGAGTTGCACGATGCTTTTGCGGAAGCGAAGCCGCTGCCGACCCCGGGTGTTGGGTCCGAAGATGCCTGCCACCTCACTTTTCTTCTTTTTGGTTTTCTGCATGGTCGTTCATCTAAACGCGCGGGATTGCGCATGCTCATTACAAGGCTCGTTTCGCTCTGGAGATTTTCACCCGCTCTTTCCGCTGCCCAGCATCCTTCATTTACTTCTCTTTGCATGAGGTGGACCTAAGTCGCTTTGTCTACATTGCAGGGTTTGCCGCACTCCATCATCACTAATCGGAAATTAAAACATGTGAGCGCGCGCATATGAGTCCAAGATGGTTACCGGCTAGTGACGGCCGTCGTTACTCCAGGCGTCTCAGGACAGCATGGCTGGCCATGATTCGCCCAAACAATCTCGGTTCAACCCAACATGCGCATTGCCTATCTCTTGACTTGCCTAACACAGAATCCACAGCGACTACATGTTGGTTTGCATAAGCAGAGAAGTGCTCCACGACTGGAGCGGCGTCACGCTCAGCGTAGCGCCCTCCACCGTTACAACGACGCGGCCTGGGTGTGGATGCCCTTATGCAAATGCTTCGTGTCGTTGGAGCATTCAGTTTCCCATCCTCCAGCCATACGTCACAGCAGATACGCGTCATACCGCCACTTTTCACCATCTCCCTCAACTGTCTCGTACAATTCAGCTGCAAGAAGACCCTGTCTCAGTCAAGGCGTACAGCATCCTCGGACATTTTCCGGTGTACCGATCGGGGCGCCTTTACGTTTACTTACAGGGCTCTGGGGCGCGCCAGGGCATCCCCATCAGGCCTCGCTTGTCTCAAGAAAAGTCGAGGCGCGCCTTGCGGTCTTCTGCGTACTCTGTGTAAGCATTGCACAAACGACGGTTCGTGGACACGAGCTGTGAGCTAGATCAGGTACCAACTCCATGGTAGATTGTCCTCTGATGGCGTCTGTCTGCTACTTCGATGCTCAATAAAGTCGGTCTCGGGTTCGCCACCTCGCACCGTCTCGTGTCCGATGCCCATCTGCCTGGAAACAGGTTGCTCGAGAACATGGCTGGTATCACAGCGTGCTGCACGAGGGCGATCGTCGGGTCAGGTGGCGTTCGCGTCCACAAAACGGGACTGCATGGCAGTTACGTATGTTGTACTCGCTCTCGTAGTTTTCAAGGCTCACAGGAAGATGTCTTAGCTAATCACTGACCCTACGCCCTGGAGGCACACAGGTCCGGTCAACAACCAAAGCGGATTCACGCCATGGAGGAACCACTTCTCAATGCAGGCAGAAACCCTTCTCGATTCGGCTAGCGCTTGCCCGCTCAAATTTCATTTCCACGTCCAACTGTGAGGCTCGTTGTTCTCGCCTCACCGCCCGGAACCACACCTACCCTGTTTTGCTTTCTCTGCGTCTCGTGACATACATCGTCCTGTAACTGACCGAAAGTTCCTGTGGGTCGAAAACTGCGCGCCATGTACGTCCGTGGTGGTGCAGACAGATTGAGATTGGGGCCTGCGCAGAGTACTCGTACCATAGCTATGCTACAGGCTCCTCGGCATGGGACGTTCTGATCCGCGAAATCGATTGTACGACGCTGACGGCTTGGCTACCGAGGTGTGCGAAAGACTCTTGTCTTCTTTGACGGAACCCATATCAGACAGCACCCGATTGCTTCCACAAAGCCTGATGCTCAGCCCACAATTTGACAGTCATGGCTAATTGCATCACCCTGGGCGATTTCTCCGGTGAACGACACCTGCTACCGGTCAAACAGCTACAGGGAGCTCCGCACAGATTATATCTGTACCGTGCGGTTCTACAGTCACCATCGCATCCGACTCCCATCGCCTTTGTTGTCTCAAGTTAGGCAACACGTAACACCTCACTGTCTGTGCTGATGTAGTATGGCTGCAGCATGAGTCCGATTCACTACCCCTGTGCATGCCGGTCTTCATTTTGACGAAGTCCACATGTAGTGGTCTTGTGTGGGCGGCGAGGTGCATCAAATGCAGCACGAGCTTGCCTTCCTGTATCGATGCACCTGTACGCGTGAGCATCAGGATACCTAGGTAGGGATTGAGCCAAATGGGCAAGCCGGTAACCGTATTTGGTTAGCGTGTCAATGGGTCTCTCAAGACTCACTTCACATAGTTGAGATAGCAGAGAACCTTCTGAACGAATTCAACATACCGCTGTTGCATACAATGAATGGAGGCGTTCAAGCAGAATTGTATAATCAGCTTGAGCTCTGAAGGTTTCAAGATGGTAGATCCCTACGGACTATCCTACAGCGTCTGAACAATTCCTTTCGAGTTATCGATGGGCATACCATGTTTAAGATGACCAGGATAAGTGATTTACTTTGGAATTGATTGCCTTCTGGCTGGATTGCAAGTCAATCACAGACGTGCAATGGGTGTACCATGGTGGCTTCGACGATGCCGCTCAGGCCAGATGCTTGGCGGCTCTGTGCCCCGCGGCGGTGCTGGAAATTTTGAGCGCGCGCAGCAACTCGCTGATTGACGCATACCAGTTGCCCCACCTTCGTTTTCCGCCTGCATGCAGCGCCCAACCCGCCCGCTACCAAACATTTTCTCTTCTTCTTCACTTTTGTTTCCATTGAGGCCGCGGGCGACTCACACCTTTGTGACTCACGCACCTTCCTGCTCAGCGTACAGTCGACGCAAACCCTCCCGTGTCAGCCCAGAATACGCAATAAAACACCCCCCAACGCGCAACAAGTCCACGCGACGTTATACTCAGATCGACACACGACCTTTTGCTCCATTGGTAAACATGGATGCTGCTACGCAAGCAAAGGCCGTCGAGACCTTGACGGCCAAGCTACAGACGCTCGGCATCAACGAGGTGCCTGCCGAACCAAACACATACCCTGCGCTCAACCCCTTCGATCTATACCGTTCGCACGTCGCTGGACTGCTCTCGAAATCCACAGGCATCGACTCCAAGATCGTATACCCCGCGCTCCAGAGGACTGTCAAGACTGAGCATGGCGATCTGCAAATGGCCGCGGCGGCCCTCCGTCAGAAGCGCAAGGACATGAAAGAATTCGCGAAGGAGATCGCAGACGGCTTTCCGGAATCTCCATTGATCGAGAAAGTCGTCGTCATGGATGCGCTTGTGATGTTTTGGTTCAAGTCTCAGCCATTGACCAGCCTCGTGGTTCCCGCTGTGCTCAAATCTGGCGCGTCGTACGGCTTCAACAACTTCCAGGGTCTCCGCGACCCATCCGATCCCTCCAAAGGCCGAAAAAAGATGATCGTCGAGTTCAGTTCGCCAAACATTGCGAAGCCGTTCCACGCAGGCCATCTCCGAAGCACAATCATTGGTGGTTTCCTCGCGAACTTATACGATGCTGCCGGCTGGGACGTCACGAGGATGAACTACTTGGGTGACTGGGGCAAGCAATACGGCGTTTTGGCAATAGGATTCGACCTGTACGGATCAGAGGAGGAGCTCGTCAAGAACCCCATTGGTCACCTTTACGACGTGTACGTCAAGATATCAGCAGTCTCAAAGGAAGAGGGAGACAAGATGAAGGACTTGAAGCAGAAGATTGACGAGCTGAAGAAGGAGGACAAGGATGCGTCTGAACTCGAGAAGGAGCTCCAGCAAATCGCTGACAATGGCGTGGACGAGAAGGCGAGGCAATACTTCAAGAGGATGACCGAAGGAGAACCTGTCGCTCTGGGCATCTGGAGACGATTTAGGGACCTTTCCATCGAAAAGTACAAGAAGACATATGCCCGACTCAACATCCGCTATGACGACTACAGCGGTGAATCGCAAGTCAAGGACGAGAGCATGGACCACGCAGCGAAAGTCATGGAGGAGAAGAAGGTCAGCGAGAACAGTGAAGGCGCTATTATTGTCGACTTGACCAAGTACTCGAAGAAGCTGGGCAAGGCGGTTGTGAGGAAGAAGGACGGTACCTCTCTATACCTTACTCGTGATATCGCGGCGGTGTCAGAGCGATTCGAGAAGTACAAGTTCGACAAGATGATCTACGTGGTGGCCAGTCAGCAGGATCTGCATTTGGCTCAGCTTTTCAAGATTCTGGAGGCTATGGGCTACAAAGAGCTGGCCGCTGCTTGCTCGCACGTAAACTTCGGAATGGTGCTTGGCATGTCGACTAGGCGAGGAACTGCAAAGTTCCTGGATGACATTCTTGAAACCGTTGCCGAGAAGATGCACGATGTCATGAGGACGAATCAAGCCAAATACGAACAGGTCGCGGAGCCCGAGAAGACGGCAGACGTCCTGGGTATTTCCGCCGTCATGGTTCAAGACATGAAGGGCAAGCGTATCAACAACTACAACTTCGATATGGACAGGATGACCAGTTTCGAAGGCGACACCGGTCCCTACTTACAGTACGCACACGCTCGTCTCTGCAGCATTACCCGAAAGGTCACTGCTGCCGTTCCAGAAGTCACAGACATCGACCTCGCCACCGCAGCGGATCTCACGCTCATCACCGAGTCTCAAGGCATAGATCTGGTGCGCCAACTAGCCGCCTGGCCCGATATCTTCATCAACACGCTCAAGACTCAGGAGCCTACTACCGTGCTGACGTACCTGTAAGTTATTCCGACCCTTTAAAGTCTCAGATGATACTAACGAAGACATAGCTTCAAGCTGACGCACGCCCTATCGTCGTCTTACGACCACCTCCAGATTGTCGGATCCGAGAGGGAAACCATGCTTGCTCGTTTGGCGCTGTACACCGCAGCCCGCCAGACGCTCAACAACGGCATGCGCATCCTTGGCTTGAGCCCCGTCGAGCGCATGTAGGCGTTGTGCGACTTTCCCTTTCTTGACGCCGTCGCCGAGAGGCGTCGGCTCAAGTCACTTCATACGCACCGTGAGGGCACTGTAATAGGAGACAATGCCTGTGTCCCCGCGAGCCTGGTAACAGGAAGGCTGATTGTGTCTTCTGGCTGGAGGTGTACTGCATATGTCTGGCGTTTGAATTAGCATGTTCAGTTCAGGTGCGTTAGATACTTTGGAGGGTACGGGCACGGGTACGGCTAGGGAGTCGGATTGATACCACGGTAGGAGATAAAAGTAAGAGTGTGCATCTGTGGAGCTGCGTAACGCTCAATTCGTGCCACGAGCATACGCACATTTGCTTGTAGATATCCCATCTCGGGGTTCCATTGCTTCTTCTTGACATCACATCACACTAGACGTTTGATCCTCCTGCGTGCTCACTGCTCAGTCATATCTACACACTTCCGTGTAGCAAGTGCCCAGCCCACAAACGCAAGCAGAGCAATAACCACCGGCTGCCCAAACGCAGCCTCCTTCCTCCGCTGACTATACATCCCTGTACCTACCGCTCAGCTAGCTCCGTCCCTCCCTTCTCCACCCCACCCCCCTGCACGCAATCCGGTGGACGAATAGACGAAGACAAAATAAAGAATCATTCGCACAACATCAGGTCACTACGTCCACTACAATTTCCACCATTTCACTTGAATACCTTTGTAAAATTACAACGACTAATTATCTGCTTCTCAGAACCGGGTATCAAAGCGGCCAGTACCTTGAAAGCACAAGCACACAGCGTTCTGTTCTCTAACGCAACCTCCCGTGACCATGATCTTATCTTACACACGCCAAAGCACCCCATGAGAAGACAATTCCGCAAAACGCACCTCCCTCCGATCCCGTCTGTGACCTTGCTCTTTATCTTGATGCTTAGCCCGCCTATACGCTCGACCATCTGCCTCGCGGCCGTCAGCGTAATGCCGTTCCTAACGGCGACGAGTGCGGCTCCGGCTGCGACTCCGATTACGACTACGGCTCCGCGAGCGAGTGCGATCGCGCCGCCTTCGATCGCGATCACGATCTCGGCTTCTGTCGCGCTCCTTTGCGCGGTCTCGGTCCGGCTCGCGATCGGTCTGGGTAGTGGTAGACTCGCGACCGGGGAGGTAACGGTCTGACTCCTGCAATCTGGTTCTACCATCGCGGTTCCCATCGTAGCGATCGTAGTCACGTTTCGTACGGGTGTCTCTCCTGTCGTCTCGCCTGTCGTCTCTTCTGTCGTCTCTTCTGTCGTCCCGCCTGTCATCCCTCCTGTCGTCCCTCCTAGACCTCGTGTGCTCGCCCCGGTCGTTCCTCTCGCGACTGTCGTCCCGTCTACGACCACCGCCTGGCGCCCAGCGATCAATCCTCTCAGGGCTCCGGGAACGACTGCCGCCACGGCGACGCCCAGCAGGCGAGCGCTCGCGGTTGCGAGGGGCCCCGCGAGAGCGAGACCTCGTACGGGAGCGAGATCTCGCGCGGTCCTTACGACGGTCGTCAGGCGAGGGGCTCCGGCGAGACTTGCGACGAGAAGAGTATGTTTCTCTAGACGGACTCCGTGCACGGCGCGAGTCCCGGTCGTCACGACGAGAGCGCTTGTCGTCGTGATCATCTCTAGCCTTCCGTCTGCTGTCGTCGCGAGCCCTCGAGGAACGCTTCTCATTGTCTCGTCGTGAGCGGCGGTCGTCTTCGACAATGGATGCACGCCTGTCGATGCGGCTCCCACGTGAGCGGCTCCGGCTGTGCTTTCGCATGCTCACACTACGAGCAATGCTACGAGAGCGGGAATGACCCCTAGATTTGTCGTGCTTGTTGTGAGGAGGCGGTCTGTCCCACCTCGTCTTGGCATCAGACTCGGTAGAATTAAGAATGAGGCCTTCCTCTATAAGGGGGCCTTCATCCTTTGGAGTTTTCGGTATAGCTGGCGAACCCCCGGTTTTATCCTCCGTTTTGGTGGGTAATTTGGTTGCTGGTGAGTGTGATTTGCTGTCGATCGCGGCCAACCTAGCAGCGACTGGATCCTCCGGCACCAAAGACTTTGGTGGGCGCGCTTTCCGTGGTGGAGGCTCGAGTGATACTGAACGCCGCGAGAGAAAAGGCCCGCGGGACTTCGACTTCTTCATCTCTTCGGTTTCCTGGAGTAGAGCTTTGAGTGCCAGATCATCATCGACCTCAACTTTGACATCTTCAATTTTGACATCTTCGACCTTGTTATCTTGAACCTTGACATCCTTAACAGGCTTGGGTGATCTTGTGCGCGACCTGCGTCTTGCTCTTATGCGGTCATCGTCGCGATCCCTCGAGCGATCTCTACGCCGGTCTGGTGTCCTGCTGCGTGCTCGACTTTCCCGGTGGTGCTCACGTCGACTATCACGACGGCGATCTCGGTCTCGATCTCGGTCCCGGTCGCGATCACGCTCTCGTTCGCGCTCACGTTGTCGCTCCTCCTCCTCAAATTTACGTTCACGTTCTTTGTCTTCTTCTCGGATCCTCTTGAGGCGGGCAGCTCGTTCGGCCTCCTCCTTCTCTTCCTTTTCCCGCCTGCTCCGCTTATCTTCTTCTTTCTCGCGTTCGATGCGCTCGCGGTCGTGGCGTCGACGTTCCTCTTCCTCTTCGCGCCTCTTGTCCGCACGGGCTTGGCGTTCTTTTGCACGAGCCTCGTCCTCCTCCCGCTCACGGCGACGGCGATCCTCTCTCTTTGCCTTTTCTTCTTTCTCGCGCGCGCGCTCCTCTTCCATCTCCTTCTCCCTCACAGCTTCGCGCTCACTGCGCCTTTGCTCTGCCTCGCGAGCCCATTCCTCCTCGCTTTTGCTCCCTCGCTGTTCTTCTTCGGCAGCCACTTCTGCTCCGACTTCAGCCACGCGATATTCGCGCATCTTTTCACGGCCTTGGGACTGTATGAGATTGTTGACCATTTCTTCAATAGCGTCGCGTGCTGCCTTGTATATATCGCTGCGCTCTCCAGCGCCTTCGATCAGTCCCGCAGCCATGTTGGGATCTCTTGATAGTAATGAGGGGGTCTTGTCGGTTTCGCGATCGACTAGTTCTTCTAGGGATTTAAGGAGGTCGGCTTTCGCAGGCTGGTGAAAGGTTATTGACTGCCGCTGATGTGAATGTCATGAAGCAGAACTTACGCTGGCCTCAAACTGCGCCCGCACCGCATTGCGAATGCTGTCGAATTCGCCCTTCTTGCGGAATGTGTGCACAAGTTGATCAATGGCAGAGCGCTTCGACTGCTCCAAGGGAAGCTCCGAAGTTTTAAGTTTCTTATGCGGGCGAAGCGCAGGGTCGCCGTCTAGGCCGTGTTTGCGGTCCACGTCTGCCATGTCGAGTGTGTGGTCGAGCGAAGGGCGGGTTACGGTCGAGTTGGAGAAGCGCACGACGCAGGTGTTATGAACGAAGTATCGAGCCGTGGCGCAGCGATTGGTCGCGCACGGAGCTATTATAGCTGCGCGGGCTTCCAAAAGCACAATTCGACAATGAACGTTGCGAATAGCATGGCTTCAAGCAGGTTGTTTCTGAGAAAGTAGACGTGAGGTGGTGGCAGTTGCCGTTCCTTACGTCTTGGCGCACGTGACAGTCGCTGCTTCCCTCGTTGAGCTCCGCGCAAACAGGCCTCACATCCCGGCCCTGGGCGGACAGAACGCGACCGCACAACACACAACTCCCCGGCCCTGAGCTATCGCGATAGCATCTGCATCCCCCCAATTGCAGCCACCACGCTACCTTACGGAAACTCGCAAGCTCGAAAACGCCCGCAATGGTTCACAAGGTGCTCTTCTGGGGCGGACTCGGTAAATATCTCACCACCCTCCGCGCAGCCGCTGGAGCTATCTACTGACAAAAATGGTGTAACGCAGGTGTCGGCGTGAGGCTATGGCAGCTCGGCATCGAGATGCGCCCCCTCTTCAACCGCGAATCGCTCTGGGTGTACCCCGTCTTCGCAGGCATCGGTGGTAGCTTTGGATACTGGCTCATGGGCGTCGAGCAGCGACAATGGAGGGTATTGGCCGACCGACGAGACGCCCTGCTCGAGAAGCGTGCACGAAGGAAGGAGCGCGAGGAAGCTGCGGTGCAGGAGGCATAAACCAAAGCTGTACGTAGACTTCGGAAGAGAGCTCAAGGGTCGTCTTCGCCCTGGTACGCGTCTCATGGGATACAGTTGAGCTAGGTCCGCTGCACCTAGGTAAAGACGCTGGCGGAGGAGGATTACGCGCGTTGCGGGACAGTGGGAGTGGGCGTTAATGTACTTTACGACTCCTTGAGCCGAGGACTCACTTTGTACAAATTCCTCAAAGCACCAAAAGCATCATCAAATTGAACCCACCTATGTTTCGATATTACAGTGAATGGCAATGTAACTATCACGGGAAAGCTGCTGCAATGCGGTGCATGCGTCGATGTTGCAATCGGGAGCTGCCCAGATCCGGTAATACTGCCAGCTCGATGACTCCTTCTCCATCCTCAGCTAATCTCCCACATGAGGAACTACCTTTTCGTGCTACAGTATTGACAAGATGACACTGTGTCCATGTCCAAAATGAACTAATATCTATGCCACAACGACCTGCGAGGTCGAGCTACCTCCTACCGAAAGATACGTCACCTGTGTCGTGCCTGCCAAGCCCACCTCGCTCCTACACCTCCCTCCAATCAGAACCATGTCTAGCGGCAAGCCCAAAGGCATTGTCGTATTCTCCGGTGGGAGCGCTGCCAATAATCTTGTCGATGTATTCAAGACTGTCAGAGAGGATAAAAAGTGCCAGTTGAGCTATGTCATTCCCATCAGCGATAATGGCGGTAGTTCATCAGAGTTGATAAGGGTCTTTGGAGGCCCAGGTAAGTCACTCCACGTTTGTAAAGTCATATATAAGTAACATTTATTAGGAATCGGTGATGTTCGCAGTACGTGAAAGCACAGGGGGTTCTATTTGGCCAGACTAATCCATTCACCAGGCCGTCTCGTGCGCCTCATACCAGATGACCCCGACCACGACGACAGCGAAAAAGCAGCCATCAAGATCTTCTTCAATCACCGCTTGCCTAAAAATCGGGCCACAGCTAGACAAGAATGGATGCAAATCGTCGAAGCCAGCCACAGCCTTTGGACCAACATCTCCACGGCCAAGAAAGAGCTCATGCGTGCCATCCTCAACTCGGTCAATTTCGAGATCTTAAAGAGGATGAGACCGAGCTCGACGTTTGACTTTTCGGGTGCGAGTATCGGCAATTTGTTTCTGACGGGGTGAGATTCTCTTCCCCCCAGATACTCGTGTGAACATACGAATATTGATACATGTACACTAGTGCCCGCCTCTTCACCGGCTCCTTCGAATCCGCAATCTACCTCCTCTCCTCCATCTGCTCCGTCCCAAACCACACCTCCGTCCTCCCCGCCATAAACACAAACTTCACGCACCACATCTCCGCCGGCCTCTCAAACGGCACAATCATCACAGGCCAAAACTCCATCTCGCACCCCTCCGAAACTACTGCCCTCGACTCCACCCCCTTAACCGCCCACGAGGACACAGAGCGCCACGACGCCATCGAAGACGCTAATCTCCCAGGGACGCTACCCACCCTGCGGAAGCAGTACATCAACTTCAGCAAAGCAGACGAAGACGACCTCCCCGCGCGGATAGAACGCCTCTGGTACATCAACCCCTACGGCCAAGAAATCCGCCTCGCCGCCAACCCCGCCGTCCTCTCCGCGCTCACATCCGCCCAAGCCATCATCTACAGCATAGGCTCCCTCTACACCTCGCTCATCCCCTCCCTCATCCTAAAAGGCGTCGGCCACGCCATCGAGAACGCCGCCATCAGATATAAAATCCTCATACTAAACAGCACGATCGACCGCGAAACAGGTCCTTCAGCGACACCCTTCTCAGCGCTGGACTTCGTCGCCGCGATAGCGAAGGCGTGCGCCGAGAGTAAGGGGTCCCCTGCCGACGTGCACAAACTCGAATACAGCAGCTACGTAACGCATGTAGTTCACTTGACTGGGCCGGGGACGCCAGCGGTAGACAGGGAAGCATTGAGGGGGCTTGGCATCGAGACGATCAAGGTGTATGGGAGGAGGGGAGAGGGAGAGGGCTTCGTGAGGTATGATGAGAAGGGGTTGGTGCAGGCGTTGGAGGTTACGATGGGGAGGGGGATCCGAGGGCGGAGAGGGTGAGGAGGAATACGCTTGAGGGGTGAGGGGTGAGGGGGTGGTGTAGAGAGGATATGACTATTTAGAACTGAAGTCCTTTCTCGAAGGGATTTGTATTCACGCGTCTGAGCATCAATGGCTGGTGGGTACATTTGGCATTCCACCCACGTTTAGAGTATGAGTGGGGATATCAATATGTTTTGCGATTATCTGCAATGTCTTACGTCTCGACTGTATCGCCAGGAGCAGACATGCGGTCTTCCTGGGGGACGTCTACTTTGCACGCTGTCCGAATTGGGGCGTTGTGTACTGGTGAATACACAGTCTTGAACAAGATCTCCAGCAGAAGGATTACCCTGGCCGACATACTTATGTGTTTAAGTGTCTAAAGTGATCTAACGTTTGTGATCTGTGACAGTGGACAATTGTATGGTAAACATGACTGAATATTGCTCGAGGTATCATGTATAGTAGATATGTACTCTTCTTGTACCTCAGAGGCAATCTCTGGCCAATCGTATTGATCCGTTACGCAGCTCACCGATGGTCCGCTCTACGATTCGTACGCGCCAAGTCCTTACCCCTGCACCTCTGCTACAAGGCATCTCTTACAGCGCCACTGACAAACGATCTGCTGCAGATGAGTAATATCTCGAACCATGGACGAGACGCTGCATTTGGCGTGCCTCCGGTGAGTTCCCCTGTCGCTTACGCGCTGCCGCCCGCACAAAAGCCATGGGTACCCTCGTTCCTGCCGTTCAGCAGGCGTTAGTGACGATGCTTTCCAGCAACGAGTTTCGTGTCTTCGATCTCTTCCCGCTGGCCAACAACGGCGATTCGAAGGTTCTGTTCCGAGGCCGGACCAGAGTACTGCCTCTACCCACAGATGAGAGTTATGAGACGCTTTCGTATGTGTGGGGTCAGAATCCACCAGCAGTAATGATTGAAGTCGATGGATACGAAGTTGCCATTACCCCAACCCTGGCGGCCGCACTCAAGCGTTTGCAACTTCCGGACCGTCCGCGGACGCTGTGGATTGATCAGTTGTGCATCGCGCAAGCCGACGATGCCGAGAAGGCAAATCAAGTACCACGTATGGGTCAGATCTATAGCAGTACGGCACGTTGTTTGATATGGATGGGCGATGTCCGAGCCGATATAGCCATGGCAGACGCGGCTTCGGCCTTTGACTTACTGACTTATATGGTCGACGAGGCGGATGCCACACGGTCGAAACCCCTTGAGGTCCCCTCGTGTCTGGCATCAGAGGAGGCCGTGAAAGCCGCCATGGAAGCTCTTTCGTCAATCCTCATCGGGAAGAATCCTTGGTGGGAGCGTATATGGACGCTACAAGAGGTCATCTTGCCTTCGAAGGCGCTCATGGTGTGGGGTCCATTGTCAATCGATTGGGCTGTGCTAGCGGCAGGACACAACATTCCCTCACTGGTATGGCCGCACATCGATACTTACAACCAGCTCGTTTCGCAGGTCAGGGGACTGCAATTCGCGCGCAGGAAAACCGAAAGTCCAATAGACATCGCCTTCCGCTGGGGATTTAGGAAAGCCACGCATCCGCTAGACAAAGTGTACGGCTTCCTTGGATTGTTTCCGCCTGGGACCCTCAAGAGGGCTGGTAACCCCGACTACGACCTGCCCGCCGCTAAGCTGTATAGCATGTTTACTGTGGACATGATAGAATGCGAGAAGGACCTGCAGCCTATCGCATTGTGGTCCGCAAACCACTTTCCGCAAAGTACGCCCAATATGCCCAGTTGGGCATTCGACATGAGCAACCCAGCGCGGGGGTTTGGTGATTTAGCCGTGCGTATGAACTTTCCGGGCAGTGACAACATAGCTTGGTTCTTGAAGTTTACGTATCCGGTATACAGTGCGGCTGGCGACTCCGATATCGACTGGGACCAGTTCTCCTTCGACCCGGAATCCGGCCGACTAAATTTGACTGGCCAACTTGTAGATAGCATCCACGTAGTAGGTGCTCCGCTCGAGAGTGACAACCCAGACACCAAGGACGTTCCCGATCGGGAGGTCATTGCGCGTATCAAGGGCTGGCGCCAACAAATCGAGCACGTGTACCGTGAAAAAAAGTGGCCAGATGGTAGTGAAGGCCCCACGGCATGGCTAGACTCCTTCTGGCGGGGCCTCATAGGAAATCTCGCAGGCGCAGAGTTGACGCCAGAACGCTACGCCAATGAAGAGGATATAGCTGCCGTGCAGCGCTTCGTCGAAGCGGGTCAGCGAGAGCCTATCAGTCCATGGATATTCGCCACCATGACATACCGAACTGTTGCTCTCACCGAAAGCGGGCGTGTGATGTTCCTCCCGCGCCACTCGCTTGTCGGAGATCAGGTCTGGCTCTTGCATGGAGGCAAGGTCCCGTTCGTTCTGAGGCCATTGTCAGAAGGGCGGGAGGGGGAAGGTGCCTTCCGGTTCATCGGACCTGCATATGTGGACGGAATCATGCACGGGGAGGCATTTCGTGAAGGGAGTAAGAAAAGCATAACACTCGTGTAGAAGCTGTGCAACTAATACCATGGTCTTCCATGACTAACGCTCAGCGATTGCATGAGCTGAGTGTGATTGACCAAAGGGACGAAGACATCTTGATTGCATGAGTGATGGAACACTGATGGCAGGTGGGCACTCTGTATGCACTAGCGCGCTGCTGCCTCGTCTGGCAGAGCTCTTTCCTACACCAAATTCTAGGGAAGGTGCCTCTTAGCATACGGCAGTAACGTCAGCACATACGATTCAGTATCGAGTCACAGCTTTGAAGATGAATTATAGAGCGAGTTACCCTAGGCTATATAATGCTCTAAATTTAGCTGATCTTATTCAGAACACGGGCGCTATGTTTGGTACGTAGCGTCTAGCGCATAATCCAGTTCCTCATGTCGGCCACTACGCCGAGTATGGTTCACAAGACACCAGCTAGGACGATAGATAAACATCCGAGGCTTGATCGACCATCAAGTGGGGTCGGAGAAAGGTCCGGGGGCGACAATACGTCATGTACTAGAGCCCGTTCTACAAAAGCTCGTCCACAACGTTCCAGTTACACAGAACCCCTATAATCTCGGTGAACGGAACCAGACACCTGCGAAAAGGAATATGGCACCGACCACCGCGCCCAATGATATCTTGCTATTCAGCTACCCGTCCTCACCATTCGGGAAGAGGGTAGCTTGGTACCTGCAGCTGCGAGGGATCGAATACGCGCTTTGTGTAAGCATGAATGATTTGAGTTATTGGACAGATAGCTGAGCCGTCTCAGGAGCAACCAGTGACGATGCCGCGCCCAGACTTGGAGAAGTTGGGCGTCAAGTATCGGCGAATACCCATTTTAGCGATTGGACGAGACGTTTATCTCGACACGAGGCTCATTCTGCGAAAACTAGAGGAGAAGTTTCCGAATGGTAAGCTGGGCAGTGACAAGCCGGAGCAGCAGTTCACCGAGAGACTGCTGGAGAGGTATATGGTGGAAGGGCCGGTATTCCAGCAAGCCGCAGGCTTGGTGCCGTCGGCGTTTCTCAAGGACCCTACATTTGCTAAAGACAGGAAGGGGTTCTTGGGCCGAGACTGGACTCCAGAAGAGATGGATGAAAGACGGCCGGAGTGTCTGGTGTTCATTAAGAATCTGTTTGACCTGCTGGAAACGACAATTTTGGCCGACGGGCGCCAGTGGGTTCTTGAAACCGAGCGGCCGTCCTTGGCTGATTTACAAGGTGAGACCTTTTCTCTTTTGATGATTCGTCAGTCGATATTTCGATCCTCGCGGGCTTTTGCAGTGGTTGGTGGTGTGTGGTGCAACAGTGGCCAGGCAAGGAAGAGCATTGCTATATCGAGGAAGAATCGGGCAGTACTCGCTCCGGGGCTAGAGTCGGGCACTTTCAACCTTGCATTGGGCATAGGCACTGGCTCGTTGTTGACGGGCGTATGGAAATGCCGTGTATTCGAAGCAGCAGAGCGTCATCTGGCACCGGGCTAACGTTCAAACACAGCAATATGGCCCGTGGATTGGGTGACCAACATGAGCATGCCGTCCCATGTCGTGTCGGAGGAACGGTTCCCCCAAGGTGTATGCTTGGATATCGCGTTTTCGGGCTGCCCTCCAGGATGCTGACTCTGCGCTAAAGCCGGTTGCCATGACTGGAGATGAGGCGGTTAGCTACATCCAAACCGTCCAAGGAGGCAAGGAGCCGAACCCTGAAGACTGCGTGCCCGAGGACGACCCCCCAGGAATTCGAACGAGACACGCTTGTGGAAATATATCCTTCGGACTGGGGCAGCGAGCATCGCGACGCGGGACGGCTAGTTGCGTTAGCCCCAGACGAAGTGACGATCATGGGCGCGGGCGCTCTGGACTTGCGGATACATGCACCGCGCACAGGCTACAAGATGACAGCGGTTGGGAAGGACGCGGCGAAGGGTGGCACAAAGCTGTAGTATCTGGCCAGTTGCAGCAATGCAGGGTCGCGCAGATGCAATGAAAGTGTACTTATAGTCGGCTTTGGGCACAGCGTGATGCGAGCCATGGCGACTGGCAGCATCGGTGCAGTGAAGGTCCCACGGCGCACGTGCTTGGTGCCTGAGGGCAGAGTGCAGCGTAGCGCACATGGTCAGGCCGACGTGTGAGCTAATTGGGAGGGGCCACGACAGTTGTCTCAAGGGTGACGGGATGGGCAGGCAAGTGGAATCAAGTGGTTCGGCGGCGGCTGCAGGCCGTTCGAGGATGGAGCCTGTGCTGGGGAAGGCTACTGCGACCTATTTTCTTCCATCACGGCGTTGCTCAGTCGCCGTTTGCAGCATGCAGCCGTGCCCAAGAGTGCAATGCGCGTCGGGGGCTAGCGGTGGCCAGGACGTGCAAACTCTGCGCGTCTACCGTGGAGAGGAGTCGGTGAGGGCAGTGAGATGATGGACGGCGGTCGACGGCGGTCCCATGGCGATGATGTTGTGCGATACCCACACGGCTCTGTTCTTGCCAGAGCGGTGACTGGAGCGAAGGCGACCGGTGACGCTGTGGGCGGCCAGTGGCTGGGACGCTGCGGCGCGCCGGATCGCTGGGCTCCATCGCTGCCCAACCCACGCCACTACAGACGACCGACGTCTCCACACGGCGAGCCTCGCTGCGCAATGGCAGCAACCCAAGCCAGACAACGCTCGCTCGTCGGGTTCCTGAGGCTCGCTGGGCCGCGCCTGCCCGTCAAATACACCCCAGAGCCCGCCGTGGCCATGCCGAATTCCTTTTCCCTCTCCTCCACCTCTGCCGCCATCGCGAACCCTCGGCGACGACACCTAGACACCGCCTACAGTACTTCAGACCACGGTACCGCCTTAGCACCGTGACTTTGACTTTCGCGTCGGCCCCAGCTTGCTGCCCGACCGATTGACGTGCAGAGCACCCCGCCAATCGACGCGCCTCGTCTGCAGGCGGCCTCCACTCCCCGCGGCGCTCTCGCCTGCTCTCTAAAGAGCCGCACACCCTCAGCGCGCACACAGCAGGTATCCTTCCTGTCGTCCGCGCCGTTGTCCTACCGCGTGTTCCTACAGTGTTGCGCAGCGCTCTGTCATCGGTGTGACTTGTGAGGTACCTGGACTTGACAGCTGAACGTAACCTCCGAGGAACCATCCCATACCAGGACACCACAGCTGCGACCCTCGTCGCCTCCCCTGCCCCGGCCCCCCCAAAAAGGTCGCCGCAAGCATCACGCAGCACGCCTACAGCCCACGCTTGCGAGCCGGAGCCCAATTGCCGTATATTGGTCAACCCCCCGGATCTGCCTGATCCTGCTGAACCGCTCCATTCTGGACTGCTCTCCTGCCGACAACCAGTCCGTGGCCATTCTAGAAGTCCCTACTTCTTCCGTATAGAGACGGTTTTGCGTCGGAGCCTTGATCATTTGGAGCCTGGAGCCCCTCCTTGCCCGCTTCTAGCGCAGCCCTGCTCGGCCCTCGACACTGACATCAGTGTCCTCTTTTCCCATTCTCCTACCTACATACCTCTGATTCTACTCACCATGTCGTCGCGCATGAATCAGTGGTTCGTCCCAGGTGAAGGCATCGCTCGCGAAGTCATCACCGCCGATATCCAGCGTTACCTTGGGCCTGATGCTCTCGTAAGGCCCGGCTCAGGCACTGGCGAATATGAGGTACGCCACTCCCCTCACTTGCCACCGTGTCGAGTGCGCAGCACTAACAAGCTGAACAGGGTCGCTCAGGATATTGGATAACCGCATACCGGACTCTCACATCGGTACGTCGAGCGCGAGCTGCGCGAGTAGCAGAGATAGGGCACCCGACTGACAGTGACGATAGCAAATGATTCAGGATTTGCGATCAGACTCGCAGCGTTGGCAGGCTGAGAAAGACCGCGGACGCGGTGGAGGTACCGCTCACATTGGTGATAAAAAGGTGACCAGACACCCTGACGCTTCTGTAGTGGCATATCAGGATTCTACCATCCATGCTTCGCGCCAGTATCATGGCCCGACCACTTCAGATACATATGCTGCCCCATCAAAACCGAGCTACTCAAGTCCGTCGTATGGTGCCAGTGAATCCCCACACTACACTACTACTCCCACGGCTCCCTATGGTTCCCATGCCTACCAGGCCCCATCGCACGCAGCGCATCCCGCGCAGCCTCGGACGGATCCCACTTACTATGGCCAGCACGCATCCTATGGATCGACGCCCGCGCCTCAATCGTACTCATACTCACAGCCTCCGGTCCAGGATCCCTACGGACGCACTCCGGCACCCCAGTACACGCATGCTACTCCAAGGTATTTTGGTTATTATGAGCCTCACTTCATGGATTATCACTAAGCCCCGCCAGTGTTGTTGCCGCGCCAGGCTACTACATTGCCTCAGACGGCCGTCGTAAGTGGGATTTTCTTTTGTAACTTCTGCTTCTAGCTAACCTAGGCGCCACCAGAATACCCCCTTTCGCAACAGCCTCAGCAACCGCAACCACCACCGGCTGGCCGCCGGAGAGGTTAGTAAGTCCTGGACATAGCCACTTTCCACGGATAGCTGTTTCATACCATTGTGCCGGAGGTAGATTTTCCATGGCCGCCAGTTACCTCAGTCTGTTCCTCCGTCATTACACTGGTCTGGAGATACCCATACCATTTTGCGCCACATGAGCCTGGAGTCTTACCGTTACCTTTTAATGGCTGCTTTTTCATTCCAAGGATCTGTTTGATTTTTCCATTACTTCTAAAAGCGGCTGTTAGAGTGGGTCCGTGGTGTAAGCTGGCCCAGGAGTTAATTGTTTTGTTCGACCCTGGGATTCTGGTGTGAAAGCCAGTATACGCTTCTTCCCGTGGAGTCGTAGTTCTGCCCAACGACTTTTAATGTACGTTGTCCACCAAGGTCATCCAAACTGCCAGGAAGCCACATAGCAAGGATACACGATCACAAGGCCGCTAGCGATCTTCATCAATCCGCAGAGGGACCTTGCCGGAATGGACACGCTTTTTCTTTTTACCTGGGCTTTTCGCACGTTTCGTTATTTACTTAACCGGAGCGTTTTGATTGCATCACGTTGATTGAGCGTTTCGCATCTACGCATGTATATACCTTCAGCTCGTACGATTTACCACGAAGGAGATGTCTTACGACCGGATGGCCAAATGTTGTTTTGCATAGCGGACGAGGGTGGGCGAGATGCTCAGCTCGAATCAGACTGCGTACACATGTCCATGGAAATCTCCACGTCGCATTATTGAACCACCGTCTAGCCTTCCGTTTCCCCATTCAGCTGATCCTTGATGCCCAACCTCGAGCCGCCGCAATTTAACAGTCCCAACCACAGCTGAAGCGATCTTCTTCTCTTTAGCAGATAATGAGACGTACCACAAGATGTTCCGGTTCTCCCACGTTCTGTTATCCACCCCACGCTTTCATTTATCCGCATCAGTCATCAGGTCGCAATGTCAGCAGATAGTCTTGCTTTGATGCCAATACTACCAAAACCCGGTTCATATGTTCGGCGCAGATTCTGCGCTCGTATTTCCCAGCGCTGCGGATCCTGCACGATGAAGCAGCAATGCAGCGTTTGACCACGCCAATCTAGAAACCGGCTAGGCAAGCCATTCGCACAGCTTGCTTGCTTCACTGGTCGGATGCTCCGAGCGGCCAATGCGCGCGCCCATGACTTGCATGAGCTGCAATGCGGACGAGAGTGCATGCGCTGCGCAAAAGGCCCGCAATCATGACATGTAGCGAAGCGCGTCACTTTGTAAACTTTGTACTAGATGCGCGGGGCTATACGCTCACGTTCAAGAGGTACTCTGCGATCATATCTCAATTCAGACGTTTACACCGCGCATTCGCATCTATCTTATATTGCGGCACAGTACCTGCAAAGACGTACTCCGCATCCTGCGCACCATGCACAAGCAAGCCACCTGGTCATCTCGATGTATCCTAAACGCCTTCACATGCTAGCGCCCGACGCCCTGGATCCTCCGGCCCTGACATGCACGCTTCTTTAACGTGTCCTTCGGAAGAATGCCATCGGGCAGTGCTGCAGATCGGTGAGGGCTTGTCGGGCCGGCGCGTGGTCGGCTTCGGCCCGCGAGGTGGGTGTCGGACGCAAGGTAGGCCTCGTGGTCTACGGAGGACGGATGTGCCGAATAGGAAGGGCGGTCCTGGGTGCAGAGGGGAGATGAGCGTGTGGGCTTGCATGGGCACGCGACGTCATGTCCTGCTGCCAGTTGCCAGTTTGGCACTTCCTTCTCCCCTCCTCTCCAACAGAGAGAGATACCTAATCAAGTTGACATCTCGTCTCAAGTCCATCCCTTTCACCCTCCAGTCTTGTCGACAACCTCACACCATACCCCATCCAACCTCCCAAATCTCAATCTCTCCTCTTCTAATCCTTCTCCTTCTCCTTCTCCTTCCCATTCCTCCCCCTCCCACCATACATCGCCTCCTGCCGTCCCCTATCTTTCTTCCCCTCAATCCTATCCAACGCATCCTCAATCAGCCCGATGTGCCCCCGCAGCGTGCCTTCTAGCTCGTCGAGGCGGGCTTCTTGCTCTTCGAGGTTGCGGTCTATGCGGGTGCGGAGGTAGAAGGTGCTGGAGGCGAGGGCGAAGAGGTTGAGCGTGGGGAGAAGGGTGGCGGGGCGGAGGAAGGCGGTCATTTTGGAAGATGGCGGGGATGGGTTGGGTTGAATGGGTAGGAGATTGGGATGGATGTGAGAGGGGGGTGTAGAAAGGATTACGAATCGCCAGAGGAGAATAGGGTTTTTCTTTATGGAGGTTAGATGCTATTGATCGATGACGACATGGATTGTTTGATTCTCAGGACTGATGGTTCGGTGGACGTTAGACTAATCCACATCCATGGAAGCAATTGTGCTCGGATGAGGTTGCACGCGAGCACGTCCGTGATCTACAAGTTCCAAGACGGGTAAAGTGCGATCGAGGTGAATGACGCGCAGCACGGGATCTCGGGACCACGCGCCACGCGACGACCCACCTTTTCCCCAGCACCTCACCGCGTCGCGCCAAATCATCGCAGAACGGCCGCTCAGCCTGCCTCAACGCGTCCAACCTCTACCACGACCACCGAACATGCCGTGACCCGCACAATGTCATCCCCTGCACCCGCCTTCGCCTCCTCTCCGAACCTGTCAATAACCTCCCCCCGCCGCATCCCCAAATCCCGCTTCACATACAAACAACTCCAACAACTCAAATCCTACTCGACGCAAACCCCCCTCCGCGTAATCGCCCACGTAGACCTCGACGCCTTCTACGCACAATGCGAAACCGTCCGCCTAGGCCTCGACCCCGCGAAACCCCTCGCCGTCCAACAATGGCAAGGCCTAATCGCAATAAACTACCCCGCGCGAGCATACGGCCTCAGCCGGCACGTCACAAGCACCGAAGCCCTAAAGGTGTGTCCCGACCTGATAATGCAGCACGTCGCCACGTGGAAAGAAGGCTCGGAAAAGTGGGCCTACAGCGCAGACGCGTTCAAGGAGATTGCAACGCGGAAAGTGAGTCTCGATCCGTACAGGCAGGAGAGCCGGAAGATTCTCGCGTGTATAAGGGAGGCGTTGCCGAGGGATTTGCAGCGGGTGGAGAAAGCGAGTGTGGATGAGGTTTTTATGGATTTGAGCGCGCATGTGCATTCGGTTTTGGGGGAGAGGTATCCTGAGGTGAGGGGCCCGCCGCCGTATGATGACCCGAGCGAGTATCTGCCGAGGGTGCCGACGACGGTGTTGGACTGGAAGGCTGATGCGCTGGTTGAGACTGGGGAGGAGGACGGCGAGGAGAGGGATCCGGATTGGGACGATGTGGTTATGGTGGTTGCGTCGGAGATTGTGCGCGATGTACGGAAGGCGGTGTTCGACAAGTTGAAATACACGTGCTCTGGGGGTGTTGCGAAGAACAAGATGCTGGCGAAGCTTGGGTCGGGATATAAGAAGCCGAATCAGCAGACTGTGATACGGAACCGCGCTATTAAGCACTTTCTGAGCGAGATGAAGTTCACCAAGATTCGCATGCTGGGCGGGAAGCTGGGTGATGAGGCAGTTGCCATGTTTGGCACGGACAAAGTGAAGGAGTTGTTAGATCAGCCGCTCGACCAGTTGAAGCGGTTGGGCGACGACACGGGCTCCTGGCTGTATAACACAATCCGTGGTGAGGACCATAGCGAAGTCAATCCGCGCACGCAGATCAAGAGCATGCTGTCCGCCAAGTCGTTCCGTCCCGCGATCAATTCTTTCGAACAGGGTGTCCGGTGGCTGCGCATATTCGTCGCCGACATCTTCTCGCGGTGCGTCGAAGAAGGCGTACTGGAGAACAAGAGGAGGCCACGGACGATCAATCTGCATCATCGACAGGGCGCTCAGACGAGGAGTAGACAGAGCCCTATTCCACAAGGGAAGCCGCTGAGCGAGGACATGTTGTTCGATTTGGCGAAGAATTTGTTGGCGCAGGTGGTAGTTGATGGGCGGGCCTGGCCGTGTGCGAATCTATCGCTCAGTGTTGGTGGCTTTGAGGATGGAGTGACGAACAACAAAGGCATTGGTGGGTTCCTCGTGAGAGGTGAGGAGGCGAAGGCGATGATGTCGAGCGGAAGATCGACGATAAGTGGAGGGGAACCACCGGCGAAACGAAGACGAACGAAAGGCAATATCAAGAACTTCTTTGGCCCGCCAAGTGACAAGAAGCGAGACTTCGATGCCGCAAGGGCGGTATTGATGGCGCGCCAGGAGTCCACACGAGAAGAAGATACGGACGATGTCGAAGAAGAGGACTCTGATGAATTTGGCGCGCCGCCATTAGAAGAGCCAGAAGCGCGGCCGAAGACGCCAACCCCAGAGAACGATTTGTATCTATCCAGTACGCCTCCCTCAGCGCAACCTCAGACGATTGGGAGCTCAGAACCCCCTCGGATACAAAATCATGATAATCCCGATCTACCTCAGCCACAGAACCTTCACCAACAATCACTAGACACATTCTTCTGTGGCAAATGCAACATGCGCCTGCCCACGAGCGAAAAGGCGGAACACGACGATTACCATTTCGCGATGGAGCTGTCGAAGGAGATGAGAGCGGAGGAGCGAACTGTGCCGAACATGATGGCTGCTGCGAAACACACGCCGGCGTCGAAACCATCGAGAGGGCGAGGGCGACCACCGGGTGGGAGAGACGAGAAAGGGCAGGCGAAGCTTGCGTTCGGACGGCAGACATGAGTTGCGTAGAGACCGTAGGGGCACTTTGCTTAGTCGTCGAACAAGATCTTCCGCTTCTCGTTACCACCTTCCTCCCAGAACACCCTGCTTCTTTCTCTTCAAGACCGTCAGTGTTGTCTCCTTGATCCACTTCGCGTGGCCCTTCCTAGCCATGGGGCATATCCGGTCTTCAAACCCAATACTGTGTCAGTAGATTTAGCTATACGAACGTAGACGTAATACTTGCCTCCTGTCGGGTGCCTCCCTTCGCAACACCAGCATTTTGGCGGTCTGCTCTTCGATTCCTTCCTCCCGCGCTTCACCTCGACCACACCCGTCGGCGCCGTGGACCTGTTCAAAAATGCACGCACGGCAGGATGCAGACGAGACCGCTGGACCGCAAGTTGGTCCTCCCTCACCTTATCCTCTTCCATCAGCTGTTTCTTCCACTGAGCCCCCACATATTCCATATCCATCCTCAGTACCGGAGTCACACAGCACAGCTCCCCAATCCTTGTACACAGCGTCCTCCACGTGGCTTCGTGCTTTGACTTCCTCGAAAGAGTTTTCTCAACGTCCTCATCAAATGAGGAGCACAAGTGCAAAATACTCTGCCTAATCTCCCTGGGCAAGCCGAGCAGAGATGCGGTAGGGGGAACGCACTCTTGAAGCCGGTAAGCAGTGTTGTGGCGTATCCACGGGTGGATGTACTTCGCATCAGTGGCTTTGCGGAGGGCTTTACGCGGCGTCTTACGCAGGGTGCGACATATGTACGGTTTGTAGGCGATTTCCACGTGCGGTGTGCGCTGCTTGAGAGCTTTGCGCTTGCAGGCGCGATTGTGGCGGAGGTTCTTTTTGTAGTTCTTGCCGCGTTTAATCAAGTATTCGCCCTGAACCAACATGTCGGTGTGAGAGCAAAGAGAGAAGGAGTTTTCGAGTGCAGGAGGGAACGTGGAGAGAATTTGGAAAGAAAGCGCGGGTGTTTGCATACACTGTGTATTGCTTCATTTGGCTAGCGCGCCTTCCACTTGCTATTTTCCACACCAGACGGGAGTTGACATTGGTCAGTGCTTGGCCATTTGAGGGATACTTAGCTATAGAAAATAGTTGAACCATGGAAAATGACAGCCTCCATTCAAGAGGACACAGTAGCCTTCCAAAGATATAATTTGCGATCCTCGAAGCTCGTAGAGACAATGGTCCGTTCATAATCCGAACCCGTGGACCGGCAGTCGCTCGCGTACAGCAGGGTACCTGCGTTCTTGTCGAACTTTGCATTGACGTCGAAACGCCATTGCCCTTCGGTCTTGTGAAGATTTACTATGCGAGCGCCTGCCTGCATGCAACTCACGAGGAGAGCATGACTTTGCTCTGTCCCTCCTGAGCCAGTTTTGCCTTCACCGCGCTTTTGCACAAGTTTGATCCGGAACACGCCTCCCTCAAGGTATGCTTCTGCGAGCACCTCTCGACGACCAGTGTCTGGGATATGTAAAAGTCGGATATGGTCGTCGTAGCTTCCCGTGATCACTAGAAAGCCGGTAGAAGACCTACCAATCGGCATGACGGCAGTGACTCCAGCCTGATGGATCTTTTTGTCCGCCCATGGCATGGTCTGAGTTGGCGAGACCGTTAAATTTCCCCCAAGCTCCAGCTCCGAAATCTGATCCGCGCCGATAGGAGTATATCGTAGTGTAGCATCATCTCCTCCACTGATTAGCCCAAAGGGTGTCTCTGATCCCTCCTTTGTTACCACGAAAGAACAATGCCAGGCTTGGAAGTCATGTTGCATGAGCTCGACAGAGAGGACAGCATCAACGCTCGGATCGCTTAATCTTCCTAGGCATACCTGGCCGCTCGATAGTGTCATTGCAGCGAGGTCATGACGGCGCCAATCCAATGACGTGATCAGTATATCCTTGGGAAAGTACTGGATCGTGTACAGATGAACGATCGTTGGGTTGGGAAAGATAGAATCAGCTATATCACTGGCAAGCAGTCGGTAAAGGGCAACTGAGCCGGTGGATGAGGCCACAGCGAAAGATCCCGCGTCCGCGTTGCCATTCTGAATATCAATAGCAGGCGCAAATTGGAGGTCGTAGACTCCGAAAGGTGTGGGCAGTGTTTCGATAACATTGCTGGTCATCATTAGCACTCAAGAAGCAAGCTTCGTAATTTTCTGAGGCCAAAAAAATACTGCTCAGTAGAAGCTTGGAAAGCATAGGATGTACGATGGACAGTGCAACAACGGACGGATTGAGGTTTCAACACTTACATTTCGTGGTTATCAATTCGTATCAGATTCAGACTCCCGATTCTTTGTTGACTGGCCGATTCTTCTCCTTCAGAGGGTTCGTCCTCCAGGAGCGTGTATGTGCCGACCACTGCATACTGGTTGTCGCGGGGCCAGAATCTGACGACATCCGGACGCCGATCCAGGGTGAGGGCGTCGATGGGAATAATGTTTTCCATGGGGTGCGAATGTATATCGCAACGACAGACGTTGTTTAGCGTCTTCCCTGCGGTCAGGGTACCCACGTCATCTGGGAAGGAGAGGATGTCTTAGTGTGGGAAGCTGGATGTGGTTAGGGCCTCGGTAGATCTTTCTGCATCACCTTTCACGACTCCACAAACTACCCGAAACGTGTCGCACTTTACATCGTATTGAGTACTTGTTATTTGCATTGGCGTGGATTGTCCAGTAATTGGCAAATATGACGCCACACAGAGTTGCACTATGCGTTGATGCCTCACGCGATGCCTGCATCGCCTCGTTGTTGCCTACGCTAACCGTGGCTATTGCCGCATCTGGTGTTCCCTTCACAGCAGCTGCTCTATAAAGCAGCCGCGTGAGCGCGTGTGTCTTTCGCGTTCCTCCCCAAATCAGTGACGCGTCTGAATGCCTCAAACATAAACTGGCAACCACCCGTCGATACATACACAACCTCCCACACATCTACACCGACTTCACCATGGCCGACGCAACCACGCCCGAAGTCCGTACCTCGAAGCGCAAGCGGGCTCAGGTCAAGTACTACGAAGAGGATGTCAGCGATGAGGATTCCGACTTCGTTGTCGAAGAAGTGGAAGAGGAAGTCAAAGTCTCACGGGCAAAGGTCCGTTCATTGATTCTTGTGCAGCCATAGCCATCCTCACAAGAGGCTCTCAAATTCTCATATGCTAACGCACACTAGAAGCGCAAGGCTGTATCCTCAAAGGCTCTTCCGAAGAAGAAGATCTTCCCCTTTTTACAACTGCCAGCCGAGATCAGGAATGAAATCTATTCCCACTGCCTCCACGACCCGGCCGGCATCTACCTGTTTTCGACTACGCAGAAGTTCCGTCGCACCGTAGACAGGGGCTCCGAGCTGAGTTTCCGCGGTCGACCTCCTCCTCTAATCGATGACTCTGAGGATGAAGACGTGGACGAAGTTTCGCAACAGGACCAGCCGAGCAGCGAGTATCGACCACTCGTCCCTGCTCTCCTCGCCGTCTGCAAACAAATCAACAGCGAAGCCCGCGACATCCTGTACGGCCATGACTTCTACGTGAAAGATACTCTAGCCCTGCACTCCTTCCTTGTCGACCTGGGTCCCCGAGCAGCCGGGTATCTCAAGAACATCACACTAGGAGAATGGGGCTTCGGACGCGGCGTCCACAAAGCCTACAACCACGCCTGCTTCACAGCCCTCTCCTCTGCCACCAACCTCGAGCACTTTACTTTTCACGGCATCCTCTCCTGGAACGATGCCCCAAAGTCAGCTGCCACCATCTTCTACCGGGACGCTTTCCCGTGGCTCGAAGCCGTCGGCATTGCGAAGGGCAAGGCAGATGCGGCGGTGAAAATGATCGATGTCATGGTGCCGGACCAGGGAGGATCTGGATACAGCTGGTACTTGTATAGACGTCGTAGGGGTATTGTGCCGAGATCAGCGTACAAGGAGTACGATAAGATGGATGGTTTCCGAGTAGAGCTGGGCAAGTTGCTGAATGCGAGGATGGAGAGAATTCGGTCTTAGAAGGTCCGGGCTCGATGAGGAGATGGCATTTCCGGCGGTTATGGGCGCACCGGCACTTAGGAAGAGCGTCGAAGGGATGTTATGAACTTTTACCGGCGCATGGATTTTTCACGGCACGACATCTTGGAGGCGACGTTCGACATACCATGATGATTATGATACTCGGAAGGCTGGTTTTGTTGCGGAGACGATCCACGGACACGTCAATACGATACGACGATGAATATTATGGACGATATCTTACGGTGGAGCTTATATGGCATCTCAACGGAAGTACGTCAGATATACACTCTTAGCGAATATGCACAAACATGTTAAATTGTCTTACTCCTGTGATACCTTGTTAACCATTTGAATTTCATGCCACGTATTAGAAATATGCATTAAGAGTAGTATCTACAGATTCTACACAACCGTCCGCCATATGCAAGTCGTTCCGTCGTATCAATGCCACACATGCCCGTACGTCGCAATCAACATGTCTAAAATCTCATCTCATCACATAAATCATCAAGCAATATCACCTGACTACTAGCCTTGCTAGCAGCCCTCGAAGCCCCTCTGCGCCCTCCTTTGCATCCTCGCCGAGCGCCGCCTCTACCTCAGAGATCAGTTTGTCGGCTTTACCCCGCAGGCCATCGACGACGCCTTTGCTGTACTGGAAACTGCCCTTTTGCTCCAGATACCGCACCGCATACCGCTTAACCTCATCATCGTTCGTCTTCTGCTTCAAGATATTGTACAGCACGCGATTCGACAGGTCAGAATGAATTGCATGTATAACGGGAAAGCTGAACTTCCCCTCTGTCAAGTCCTCGCACAGGCCCTTTAGCGATTGGTACTCGGACGTAGACGAGAGATTAAGATGGTCGTCTAAAATCTGGAAGAGCAGGCCTATCGTAGAGACGAGCGGCGCGCAGTCAATTTCCACGCTGCTCTCCGCCTGCATCAGCTTTATCGCGAGGCGAAACAGGCCGCCTGTTTTGTTGTCTACCATCTCGAGGTATTCTGCTTCGCTGGGGCAGGTCAGGCTGTCGCGCCAGTGGAGCTCCATGCCCTGGCCGCGATGCAAGTTTAGCAGCTCCTGGCTGTAGATCTGTATGAGGGCGGGGTTGTTCAGGGCGAGCAGGTCGTTGAGCGCGAGGAAGTAGACGTAGTTTGCGGAGTTTATGGTTTGGGCGACGCCGAAGATGGAGTTTGCGACGGGGATGCCGCGGCGGAGGACGGAGGAGTCTTCGACGTCGTCGACGCTGTTGGATCGCATGTGTTAGCTCCTTTTTGCGAAAGGACAGGGCGAGGGGGCGTACAGTAATGAGGCCGTGTGTAGCTGGCCCACCACGCGCGTTATGACTGTCAGTCGCTCTGGGGGCACTTTGAGCCACTTGTTGAACGCGGCTATACATTGCGAGCGGATGTCCTTCCCGGGATGGCCGACGAGGTAGTCGTACGGGCCCAGCAATATCCTCTCGTTTTCTTCCGACCAGCCTCTGCGCGGTCCGTATATCAGGTGGTGGCCGATATCTCTATGCGGCGGTGGAGGGGGCGCAACAAGCGACAGCGGATTTGCCTCCCCCTCCACTCTAGACTTCTCCTCTGCGCCCATTGTATTTGGCGATTGCGCGGGTCGCGGCGGATTTGGGTTCTGGTTCTCGGTTTCGTCTTCGTGGAACAGCTTGCTCTTCTTGCTCTGGCTCATCCAGTCGGTCTCCGAGAGCGGGCGCAGGACGGAGCTGCGGTGCTTGACGCCGTTGACGATGCCGTGGCTGGAGGTGCGCGGGGGAATTGCGTTGGGCGACTGGAAGGGCGACTGGAACTTTGCGGGTTCTGCGTGAGCTGGGCCCGTGGATGGCATGGTGCCTTATCTTATTATGTGTGGGCCGGCGAGAGCCAAAATGGTTGCCTGTTCACCTCGGTGCTTGAGCCTGTGATCGGTAGAGGCACAGCAGCGTGGAAGGTCGGCTTGCTTTCTGCGGCTGGGCGTGCAGGGTTGAAGCGGTAGAATCCCGAGTCTACTATGATTGCGGAGCATATGATAGAGGGGCTAGAAGGGAACCTTGTAGTGGTGGTGTTTCCGGTCGGCGCAGACAAAACAGGAAGGTCAGGCAGCTCTCGCGCGAGGAACGACGTTAAGTACACGGCTCGGGCGCGGTTTTTACATGTAGACGCCATGCGGAACAGTGACACGATCCCACAGTAGTGGAAGCTGGCCCGGCTTGGACAGAATGTTAGCGGCGCGAGGATGTAGGCGGCGCCACAGCTAGCCGGAGAGGGCAATTAGCTCGGAATGACGAATGACGACTGCGCCGCACAAGCGCCTCCTGGTCTGGGGTGTAGATCAATTGAGCACCGGACATGCAAAAGAGGCAAGAAATCCTTGTGCGCATGAAGTCCGCCCCAATGAAGGACTGCATGATTTTCCCGTTGTAACCGCTCAGTTGGTTAGTGGCTACATATAGTTTAATGCGCCCGGTGATGACGGCTTGCGTAGATCGCTTCGGCGATTTCCTGCCACCTGAGCATTGATGAGGCACGCATGTGATCCGATTGAAAAGTGGACGATTAGGCCACTTGTGGATTCAGGTCTCTCTTGGTGAACGTATACGAGCACAGCCATGTTGGACGAATGTTCGAGAGCAGACTCATCTATTCAATATACAATATCCGATACTAGCTACAGAGCAGCGATGCCTCCAATCGTGGTATCACCAAACATCCAGCTTTTCCAACACCAGAAACGCCAATCTAAGCCTATCGTAAGAACTATACTTTAGAACAAACTCCATCCACCCTTCCTCCGCTCCTCTTTCGGCTCTCTCCGACTCGACCGCTTCTCTCTTGCCTCAAGCTGCCGCAAAGATTCCATCTCCTTGAGCACCGTCTCCAAAAGGTCCTTGCGTCGCACAACGTCCAGGTGGCGCCGGATCTTGGGATCTTCGCGTGCGAAGCGATCGATTTCGTTTTGAGAGAGGCCGCGGCCCAGGCGAGCGTCGAGTTCGCGGGGAAACTGGCAAAAGTTAGCATAATACTCCATCAACCTGGAAGATATGCGTATGGTGTTTATGGAGACAGATATCTTACATTATAGTAGAATTTTGAGAGAAGCTCTGCGTCGAGGAAGAGGTCGGCGGTGGTGGTCAGCTTGTCTGCCACGGCGTCGAGGAAGACCTCCGGGCAGTGATATTTGTTCTTCTTGTTGGCACATTGCTTTGACTTCACGGCGAGAAGACGCATTTTAAGGACGTCAGTGCGGTCGCGGAGGAAGACTGCTTCACGGCCTGGGTCATCGTTAGTAAAGGGCTGTCAGCACGGAGATGAGATGAAACGTACCCTTAGCGAGGAGAGCAGAGCTGAAGCCTCCAGCACCGCCCACGCCGTCGCCCTCAAGGACAACTTGTCCGCTTCTCACACGGTCTATAAAGGCCATTACGTCTCTAACCTTCTTTCGCCCACCGACTTGGTCTTCTAGTCGTTTCGCTGCGGCTTCGCACACTTTGAGCTCGTCTTTGAGAACAGCAGCGACGTTCTCGCGACCTCGGGCCCACTCGTTATCCTCGAGTTCTATGCGGTACTTGTAGGGCTTGATGCAAATCTCCAGCTCATCCGCAATGTCGTATGAAAGATCTTTCAGGATTGAGGTCGAAGCTTCGGAGATAGCTTGCCTGGCAAATGGATGAGCAGCGAATCGCGAATTCGCCACAAGACGGTCAATATGGGCTTGTATCGCATTGGCGACTACGCTCGTCGCAAGTCGTCCAACACCAAGCTTCGTCAGCGCTGCGCTAGAGCTATCAAGCTTGATCTGCCAAATCTCGTTTTCGCCTTCAGGGTCAGCTTTCGCGAGACTGCTGAGGGGATCGGTCTCAGGTAGAGGTGGGCTGAGATCTTCGAATGGCCTGTTCCAGTAACGCTGGGCAAGGAGGTTCAAGACTTGTTGATCGAGTTCGTGTTTGAGGAGTTCGCGCACTTCGGAGCGCCCGAATGTATCGGAGAAGCCGCGAAATGAGTGCTTGAAAGCGTCTAGAGACTCTGCCAAGTATGACTCGGCACTGAGAGGTCGCTCGTTGTACTGGACCTTGTATTCGTATGTCGCCTCCGCAAGCTCGCGCTGTATAGCCTCGCTTGTGGTCTTCAAGCTGGCGGCCATTGTCTGCTCAAGAACGTACATGAGTTTCTTCTTTAGATTGGGGGTGCCAACGGCAAGCTGTGAGTCGGGTGAAAATTCCGGATGCGAGCCGAAATAAGCGTTCTCATTCTTCGCGATAGCATTTGTGATGTTGCCGTTGCCGCGACTGAATAGCTTTGAACCAGATGCATTAGATGGCACGCGGCAGACGACACCCACATATCCTAGGCGCAGAGCGTACTTCCTGTCACTGAGCAAGCTTGCCCCTCGCTCGGCATCAACGAGGTCCATCTTGGTAATGACGCCAATCGTCCTCTCGCCTCGGGGATCCACCTTTCGGGAAGCGCGCAAGGCGGTGCTGTTCGCCAAATCCACGTCTGCTGCAGAGATGGCCAATATGACGTTCGGTGGCTTGATATACTTTTCACACAGTTCCGCAATCTTTTCTTTGAGCTGCGGGGGCTGATCTCTCCCAACAACCTGAATATATCCCGGAAGGTCAATCAATGATAGATCCGGAACATTGGGGGAATGTATCCGCAGCTGGATTGGATCGTCCGAGACGCAATCCTCAGCGGGTACAGCCAGATTAAGATCCGTCAGGGTCTTTTGGATCTGGCCGAAGTCTGTGACCTTATTCAAACCTAAAGCTGGGAATTCTCCATATTCGGCGCTCGCATCGGGGGTATGTACCAGGGTGAGTTCGATCGGACGACGAGTGACCATGTTGTGGCCCTTGGGTAGGAACTCGTGTCCAACAATGGCCTCTAGCACCGAACTTTTTCCAGACGATTGTGACCCAATGACAACGATCGAGGGCAGTGTGAGTGATTCGGACTGTCCAACTGTCTGCAGGAGCCCCCGGATCTCGATCATTTTCCTAGTCAACATCATCATCTGCTCATCCCGTGCAATTTTCTCTTCTTCGCCCTTGTCCTTGTCCTCGTCATCGCCTGCGTGCGCAAAAGCCGCTGCTGAGCCTACACCCGCTGCCGCCGCCCCAGCGCCCGATTTCTTGGGCTCTTCAGGCCCCTGTCCTCCACCGTGTCCGCCTTCCGACTCGCCAGACTCATCTTTTGCAAGTAGCCGCTGCAGCCACTCCGGCCTCTCCACCTTTTCCAAGTCTCCCTTGGTCTTGTCCCAACCTTTAGTGATTTGTCCGAAGATGCCTGAAACCGTGTCCATCCCATCACCTGCAATCTCAGAGGCGCCATCGTAAGTTTTGTTGAAGACATTGACAGCCCAGCTTCCGGCCTGACCTGCTTGGTACTGTATGTAGCTCACTCCTGCAATGACGGCGCCTCCCGCCGCAGCACCGGCCGTCGCGAATTTGGTAACGAGCTTTGGGATCGCCCTCGCAAAACTTATCGACCGGGTAGCAGGGAGGTTGTGCAGTGCGTAGCTTCCCAGTGGCCACGCCCTTCGCTGGATAATTCGTGAGCCGGCATCGTTCCGGAGGAGCCCGCCGGTACGGAGCTTGGTGGTGGTGTAGAATAGACGATGCAGGCGTGGCGTGTTCGCTGGTGTTCGGCGCGCGAGATGGGCAAGGCGTGCGGAGGTGAGCCTGCCGCTCATATTGATAGTTTCGAGCCAGTTGCTATGAGATCGCTCATAGGTCTGATTATAGGGGGTTGCGGTAGGACTCGGTCGTTGTCGTTGTTGGAAGAATGCTGTTCGGCGGCGCGTCACCTCCGTCACAAGCAAGCCAAGTCTGACGCTAGACAGGGGTCCCGCGGTGCGCGTGGGGCTTTTCGACAGCAACTAAGCCTTCGAGAACAGGAGGGATGAGATGGAATCCACTTGGAACATTGTTCCAGATAAATTTACAATTACAAGGTCTACTTCAAGCATAGTAGTGCTCTCTCGCCAAAGGATGCAGCCACCGAGCCCTCGTCCGTGATCATGTCTCTCAGAAAATTGCGCGAGCCTTCAACCTCTCTGCTAGCGAACTTGACCAAGACAAAACCCCGTACATTCGCTGCGCTCCAATCTAGACCGTCTGTCTTCTCTCGAGCCTGTCTCTGCACACGGCGCTGCTCTTTTGGTGATAATTCGAGCTGCGCCGAATCTCCCCAGTCTCTACCACCAATGCGTGGCAAAGCCTCAAACTCGTCCATGAAGTATTGCGCCAACGATGCGAACACAGGCCCACGAAGAATGAGCGTACCAAACACCGAGTAGCCATCCATTCGTTCAGAGAGCTGCATGCCAGTCCGCCCATGCTTATCCAGTATCAGATTGTCTCGTAGCAGCAACCTTTTCTTCCCTGCCTGATCGCTTGTCCACACCTCATTCCTGCTTTTGTACTCGTGTATATCCCAGTTCTCTCCGCGAGCTGACCGGCCGCTGGTGACCCAGTCGCAGGCGCACAGGCTGCTTTGTTCACCATCTACATGATATATCTGCGACTGGGAGAACGCCGTCTGCGCAAACGGCTGCACAGGATCAGGCAGATAGACCAGTGCAGCACCAGCGGCCAGCTTTACTTCCATGTGCTGCCTTGAGATCAAGATCGGGTCTGGCGTCTTGAAGATCTTGGTCGAGCCCTGCGTGAGGAGGACCAGCCTCGTTCTGTCCTCCAGGCTCACAGAAAGATTGATCGCATCGCCAGCTACAATCCCCCCGCCATAAGTGAGAAGAAAGACGGTGTGTACGAGGCGCGGGGCATTGCTGTTGGGTTTCCGCTCGGGAGGAGGGAGAGGATCGGGCGCAACGAGCTTGAGGGGATACTGGTAGGAAACATTGCGGAGGACCGGCGTATCGGGCGGGAGGACTGCGAGCTCAATCGTGCCGTATCCTGCCTTTGCGGTCGATGCGGCGAAGGGCGAGGTGAAGGACATGGCGGGCTTATAGGCGAGAATCAAGCATCATCGAACGCGACGTATGCTAATGGAACAGCATAGTAAAGTTTCCTCTTCATTGTGTTGGCGTGCCTATCAGTGCGAGATAGCTGCCAGTTCGAGAACTGCGAGTTCGGCCCCAGCCTCGGTGTGGCGCAAAGATCGCGCTAAGACCTACAACGGCTAGGCTTTCCGCGTCTTCTGCATCCCACTTGCCCCGCTCTGTTCCGCAGCTCTCCCACGCCGTCAGCTGCCCTCCACCAAAATTTACCACGTCGCAAACGACTTCTCGACGCGTGTTCGAGTCCGGTACCGGTCACAAACCCTATGCTTTGAACTTCCTTGTGCCTGTCAGTTGGGGTACGGGGATGCGTATGGAGGATGGCGGCAGCCTCTGACGAGTTACTCGACTTTTTGCTGTCGGGTATCGCGATCTGCGGACTCGGAGGTAAGTTCGACCGCCACTTCAAGTCGCGCACTTGCTGTGGCTTTTGCTCTTTTTTGGATTTCTCCGAATGCGCTTCTCATACACAAAATCCTGATAAGAAGCAAACCTGGGCTATAGTTTTCGCGCATTACGTGGTTCTTTTTTGCATACGGCTTTGTTTCGTGCAACTAATTCCCAAATCCAGGTGCTACCAGCGCAGACTTTCGACGTATTATCAACGAGTACTATCACAAAAAAAGGCAAAAGTCCACTTCTGAACACGGGCTTACTGTCGACGACGCTCCAATCGATCTTGGCCGCAGTTTCTACGAGCAGGTTTGGCAGTGGGTGACTAACCACCAGGACGTTCGCGTCTACTACAAACGCGAAGCGCGGAGTCTTTCCCTTTTCGAGTTTGAGGAATTAGAGAGGAAAGAGGGAGCTGACGTCAGTACCGCATCGGTTGGAGGATCTGATCGACTGAGTGGTAGCTCTACTGCGGAGGAGCCTGTTGCAGCCGACCTAACGCGACCGTCAACCAAATTGACATCTCTCGGCAACGCATTACGCCAGCGATTATTAGGAGAAGGTCATCGCTCTGCCGGTCAGCCTGAGCCGCATTCAGAGGGGACATCGATTCTTGGCGACGTTGCTATATCCGCGCCGCCACTCAAGCCGCGCGATTCGCGCCAAATCCCGAAGAATGTCCAGGTCTCTCAACCCGCATTTGACGAGCCAGATGCCGCTATTCAAGGCCCGCGTCTATGCACGAGTCAAAATCAGACATGGATAGCTATCACAGGTCATCCGATCGATCTGATAAAAGTGCCTGGTTCGGAGTTCGTCCTGTTGGCAATCATAGCAACGAGTGGGCCTGGCGGCATCTCTCAACCGGAATTGCAAAAGCTCAGCGGTCAGGACAAGCGCTCTGTGCCGGCTCGAACGGACTCGCTCTACAAGAAAGGCTACATTGACAAAAGACCGATTCAATGGGGAAAGGCAAGGACCAGCCTTTGCACGCATTATATGTACTTGAAAGTTGTGCAGGAAGACCCCAAAAGTGCCAACGACGTGTTTGGTGATCGGACGCTTAGCCTCACTGGACTGCTTTTCTTGCTGAACAAGACTCTTGAAACCACTTCCGTCGTACAGGTGCGGCATCTGAGGAAGAAGATGGTAAGCTTGCGAGATCGCCTATGATTGAAGGTACATTGACTTGTGATTAGGGAGTGACAGTGGAACGGTGGAACGGTCGCGCTGTCCGTGGCGCTCTAATACGCTTGGAACAAACGGGGTATTTGAGGCGATTTTCGGTCGAAAAGAGGAGAAAAGATCCCCGTCTGAAGTCAAACCATTTCATTTGCATTCAGCGACTGCGAGACCCTATCGAGGACGATATCAAGAACCTAAAGTTCAAACGGATGGCTGGGGCGAGCGCCAGCGACGCCGTTGAAGAGGTACCACCTGAAGATGAAAATGCAGGAGACGGCTCCATGCAGGAACTGGAGCAAGATTTGATGAATGACGGGTCTGATGAAGACGAGGACGGTGATGCCGACCGCCGTATCCCGCCCCAATGGACACCCGATCGATTACTCACGAACTTAGTCGTCGATGCTGTCGACACCGCTGGCATAGATGGTACGGACGCAGCCAAACTACGTGACATCACGACAGGATTCTTCTGGAAGCGCCCTATCGAGTCCCTTGTTACCCGATTGACTGATGGCTGGGATAAAAATCAGCCGCCACATGTCCGCCACCTCGCTATTGTTCGAGATACGGCAATGGCAAACGACAAGAAGCGCGTTCATTACCTGTATCGCACTCATCAAAACTTCCAGAAAGCGGTCGATGCAGGTGAGGTAACATGGGAAGCGCTGGAACTAGAAGAGAACAAGAAGGGCGCTCGCTCGAAGAAGCAGCAGACTCCAGCTGCTGCTTCATCGGTCGACAAGTGGGGCTTTCGGCAAATCAACAGAAATGACTTTCATCAGCGCACAGGTTCTTCATCTTTATCAGAATCTCGTGCTGCTATCGAGAGAAACCGGCGAGCGCCGCGCGACTGGGAAGCGATAATTTTGGCTGGGGAGAGCCCTCGAAAGGCGTCCTCAATGTCCCACCCAGAAGAAGCAGGACCAATCTCCAAATCACCCGCGGGATATTCTGGCAGCGTTCACAAGAGCAAGGTAATTCCACGGCCATTGCTAACACAAGCCGAAAGGCTAGCTCTGAGCTTACCAGCCAGGGGTCGATTGGGTGGTGATTACGAGTCACAGATACGTGCACATCGCAAGAAGACGGGCGACCCCAGTTCGATACCGAATAAGTTCTTCAAGGGTGTTTATGCAGATGAGGAAAAAGAGAAACCTAGGTATGAGAGGCGACCGGGTCTACCGCTGTTGACGCGAGAGCAGAGGAAGGCCAGAGGATTGCCCGAGCATGGTCGCCTGTCGTTCAAGGTCACGGAACAGATTCTCAAAGAACAAGGCCGAAATGAGTCGCTCACGCACATGAAGAGCTCTGCTAATGTGAAAGATACTTCAACGCTTGTCTATGGAGAACGCATACATGATGGCGAGGAAGAGCTCGAGATAGGACAGCAAACCGGCATATCGTCGGGTATCGGGAACGTGGAAGAACAGGTTGATTCAACCGCTGATGAAGACGTTACGATGCTTGATGACCTTGGAAGCCGCAACGGCGTATCCCCGGCCTCTCAACAGCCTCTGAACGACATATCGGTCGAGGCTCCGGCTACACCACAGTCCTTGGATTCCATTGCGCAGGGGTCACCGCCACGAAGTCAGCTAAAGCGCCCGTACACTGAAGTTAGGAAAAAGCGCGGACGACCAAAGAAAAGGATCCAAAAGAGCACTGATGACCCTAGGACTCAAGCTCCCTCAATCGAAGACCATCCTACAGAGCTGGATAATGATTCTTTAATTAACGAACCGGTAGCCACCGGACTGGTAGAGGACCCGGTACCAGAGCTTGCCGCCTCTGAGGCTTCATTGCAGACGGCCACCACGCCTTCGCAAACTCCGAAGGCTTTGGCGAAGGGACGTCGAGGCCTCCACAAGAAGGCTGTAGAACCTAAACCAGAAGTCCCACTGACCGAAGCCGAACTGCATGTTCAAGCAGTCAAAGCACAATATGATGATCGCGTGGAGCCCGGAGTGTACGTGAACCCGTACGCTACCAAACCCGGGAAGGGCGGACGTGGTAGACCAAGGAAGATGTTCATCGCGACGTTCAAGCTGCCAGGCTTGCACAAGCTCGACTGGTTCATCCCCGAAGTGGGGTATCCAGGTCACTCAAGCACTCTTTCAATCACGCCTGCCAAGTCTCCTGCTGAGGAACGGTCTTCCCGTTTTGCAGAAGACGTGACTGCAGCCCCCTCGCCCTCGTGCCCTGCTACTGATGTCTTACCAGACCTGGGATCTACGCCTTCTGCCCAGTTTCAGCCTGCTGCGACAGAACGAGAGCCCTCTATCCCGGGCGCGGTGTCCCTACCTTCCATTCAACCTACAGAACCGCAGGTTGATACGGCTGATGCAATCGATTCGCAGGAAACGGTGCCAACCCCATTATCCGCACCTGTACCTATAGGTGGTGGGACATCTGTGGAAGTTGATGAGCCTTCTGGCGCCGTTCATGCGTCGTCCGAAATAGCGAGCGAGCTCCCTTGGCCTACCAAGATCTCCCTTAGAGCCGATGAACTACATCCTGGAGTCCTCGATGTAGCAGAGGCATTGCGACGAAGCGCAAGTTTGGCAAGAAGCCGAGCACCGAATGATCGAGTGACGCCAGACGCCGTGGAGCATGCCTCACAGTCTGAGCAATCCGTTTCGGAAGTGCATGAAGCGGCTGTCTCTCCACAAGATACAGCATCTGCTCAATTGAGCTCGGGTGCGCGGAGGGACTCATCAAGATTACCACCTGCCATGGATAATGCAAATCTAGTCCGTACTGCCCCGTATCAGACCCCTCATGGTCTCGCGCCATTTGATGAACCACCTCGGCTCCAGACGTCAAACGCAGACCACGAAGCAGTCTCAGTCGTTGACAATATCCCTCACGAGACCGCTTCGCGGGATTCACCCTTTGTCGTAGAAGAAGCCGTGTCTGTCGAGCCATCCCAGAAGAAGGAGGTCAAGATCGGTCGAGGCGTAATTCTCGGCAAAGGGAGCGTTGCTCATGCACGCTCACGAATCATCAGACACATTCTGGACCTCTGTGGCGGTGTCTTCCCAGGAACGGAGGTCATGTATCCCATATTCACATCCGTATGGGAAGAGCTCGGGCCAAAGTCTGTCGCATGTCCAATCCCGGGTACTGTCCGAAGAGCAATCATAGATTTGTGCCATCCTCACTCAGATCTGAGGGAAATGAAGTTTAAAGTGCCTCGCAACGACCTTCCGGGTAATAAGACCAGGTCTGTGTTCTTCTATAAGCATCTCGAGTTCAATAGTCCTGAGGTTCAGAGTGTGGTCAAGGGGGTGATTCAAGCATACCCAGAGAAGTACTGCCCGCCTGGAGTGAAACGGTACTGGAAAGAGGAAGTCAAGCCTGTTACTGTGATGCCGAAGATCGACAACTCCTACTTCGAAGAGCTCTACGCTCCGACATCCCGGAGACTGGACGAACGTATCAAGGAAGCCAGGAAAGAGCGAAGGAGGCTTGCCAAAGAGGCTTTGCAACGACAGCGAGAACTAGAGAAAGCGGCCAAGAAAGAGGCGAAACGAGTGGCGAAAGATCAGAAGCGTGAAGAGAGATTAGAGCATTCGGGGTCCCGTCGAAAGTTGTTCAAAGAGCGTCAGAGGCTTGGAGGTCTCCATGACGGTTCGCAAATTGGGATAGGTAACCAATACGTTCCTCCAAAGATGACCGAACCTTCGCAGCTCCCTCAACAGTCTCTAGAGACTGTACCTGTACCTGAATCTTCGGACGAAGAACCGTTGGTCAACACGCGTCCGCGTCTTCAGAATGCAATTGAGGAACCAACACATACCACCACATCCCATCAAGACGGTCAATCATCCACCCAAGAGCCTCTTTACTTCGCGTCTTCTGATCATGCTGCCGCACTAATGTCTCCTGCAATAGGCTACCATTCGACTACTCATACTTTCTCGACTGGTCTCATAGTTGGTGCGCCACCAGAACTTGAGAGTTTTAAGAAGAGCCGTAAACGTGTTAGGATCGAACAACCGGCGGACCAGACTCCTCGCAAAAAGCCTCGAAAATCTCGTTCTACCAACAACAGTCGGGCGAAGCAATCAGGAAACGATTTCCTGGCACGTCATCACATTGAGATCCAAGAAAGTTCGGATGAAGACGACGATGATGAGCAGGATGAAATTGATGTGGAGACTTCGCCTACATTAGCACAACGCCTTGCAGGTCTGACGGGAGATCTCAATCAGCCTGATTATGAGCCTGCCAAGAGGAAGAGGAGGCCCCCTGTATGGTCTGAGCCTCGAGATCGACGTCGCAGAGATCGAACAAGACGTAAGTATATTGCGGTCAAGGGAAGAACATACCCAGAAACCTTCGATCCTCAGGGCGAATTCAGAAAGTTGTGCTACACTTTGATCATCGCATCTAGCATGGCTGGAGAAGACGGGAACGTCGACTGGAACATTGTGAAGAAGGTGTACATTGAGTCTCCTCGCTTTGACCTAGAGAAGACGAAGAAGAGGTGGGCTTGGATGCAGAAGAAAATGGCTCCTCAACTCCAGGGCATGACTGGGTCGTTTCAGTCGCAATTTCTAAGCGCATATGAAGAAGGTAAGGTCGACATGATAGAAGACCCGAGCACATACGACTGGGGCAAACTGGTGCGTTGGGCCGTGCTGACTTGCACCTGCCTCGAACCGCCCCTCCCGCTCGGTCGTGAAGCGTTAGGTGACTATCAATTTGACCTCTCGAGCTACGACATCCTGGACCGCAAGGTTTGGTACAACACTACCTTGGCGAACATCAACCGCGATGAGCGTTTCATCAGATATACGTTCGGGAGCCCGCTACACGGGAAGCGCAAGCTGACCACGCCTGGAGATGAAGATGACCTGAAGGCTCGCTCCTTGATACGCGCGAACATCTCAACTCCTAAAGAACTCTACGATAAGGAATTGGCACATGAAGAGCTTAGAAAGCTTCCAGAACCAGTGATCGGGCGCTCAGTCAACGACCTTCTCCAGGCTAACTTGATCAAGCAACGCAAAATCAAACGACTCCTACCTGGCCGCAACTACCACTTCAGTCCCAGTTTCGCCAAACACTATCGGCGTACATTTGAGTTGTCAGATTTCATGACTGCTGTACAACTGAAGAAGGACTTGGATGCTGCGTTTACGAACGCTGATCTAAACAAGCGCACCTACTTCGTATCTCGGGCCGCCGAGAATGGTACTGTCATGGCACTTATCTCGCTAGCCAGCGAAAGCAAGATCAAGCTAGTTCCCCAACTCCCACCCATCAATAATGACTTTGATGCGCCTATTCCGCGCATTTCAGTCTGGGGTTTCTCCGAAGGCGACTACCAACATCGGCACATGGATCGCAAACGTCTTTTCTGGCCGCTTGCAGTAGAGCCAACGGATCACTACGAATACGGCAATCCGCTCCGCCCAACACTACCTCCACCTGCTCCTACAGAAGAGACGTCCATCGCCTGGGATCCAATGCCAGAGCCGCCACTTCCTGCGCGCGATCAGGACCTCATCACGCTTCTACCTGTTTGGAGCACCATCGATGGACGAACGGCCATTTATCCATGGTGGAACCGCATTCTCAACATCGTCGTCCAAGCCCTCCTCTTCCAGCCCAGCATCACAGCACAAGAGATCTTCGCTCGTTGCGAAACCTACACCACCGAGCTCTTTGAGATCCAGCTCGTCCTCGACTGGCTCATCACTGTTAATGCTGCGAAACGGTCCCCACACGGGACGCACGAGCTACTACCGGGCTACTGGGCTGTCTTCGGCGACAAGCTGATCGACGAGGAGAATGACGAGTTCGGCGAGCACGTCAGGCGCTACAAAACGAACAGGAAGCTAGTGCCTACTTGGCGGACGGAGTACAACAATGAGTACAACCTCCGGTCGCAGCAGAGCAGTAATGCCGCGAAGATTACTCCAACGGCGGGCAACGAGGCATCTGCCGGTGAGCAGATTCTGGGTAATGTGAGGAAGCAGTATACGATTGTCAAGCATGCGCTTCAGAATCAAAATTCGGCTGACGCACTCTCGGTTGGAGAAGCTCCGTCTGGCGAGGCTGTCACGGCATCGCGGCCGGCTCAGGCGCCGCAGGAGCAAGTTGTGATTACCACGCCGACTCCTGCTGCAACGCCCTCTACTACGACGCAAGATGTCGAGATGACGGATGCAGATGCTGAGGGTGAGAGCGATGTAGACGCTGAAGGCGAGTCGGATGATGAGTACCTGTGAGCTCAACGGGTCGATGCTGGGAGATGGTAGAGGAAGTGATGCATTAGGACGGTGTTACGGGATCATGCATTCAGGCATTTGTAAGGTGTAATGGGGTGGTGTGATACCCTTTTTTGTGGTCTGCGGAGTAGGAGGAGGGATTAATGCGGCGGGTGTACGATCACGAATGTATGTTTGCGATGTATGGCTTTGTGATTAATGGTGTATGCGTGGAATGCTTTATCAATCCGTTTATTCACGTGCTTGCGTTGTACGCTTCGACTTTGTACAATATTTGATCTGATGAAGTTTGAGGAACTTTATCTTTAGGAAAGCGTGACGTGGCCATGCAACCGATTTATTGAGTTTTTCACGAGCTGTATGACACGGTGTTGCCACGGTAAGTGGTGCCAATCCCTTGTAGTGCATCCTGTGATACAGTTCCTTCCAAAGTTGGGAGTCAGCACAACCGAGGCGGCCCCGCAGGCAGCAACATCTATACAGCCACCCCTCAACTGTTCACTTTAACCCGCAACGTACAGCCTTGACCTGGATTACTGATCCCTTGTTCTCACCGTCGGCAGCTGCATCTCTTGAGGGAATTGATGAAGCCATGGCTCATCTCGTAAACCTGCCTACGGAGCTGGCTCTAGAGTATATGAGCTACCTGGACAGCCCAGACCTATTCGAACTCGCGCAAACGACCAGAAAGCTGCGATATGCTGCTTTGGAGGCAGCTTACTCACATATAAAGATTTCACAGTGTCAAGGACCGGACTTCAAGCATAATCGAAGCCATCGTCGTGTGGTCAAGCTTACGACGACTCTGCTCCAGAACCCTGACGTCGCCAAGAAGGTCACCAGTTTGGATCTTGACTTGATGCCATATAACTACATCGAAAAGTTCGAGCCTCTCATGTCAGACAATGAACGGGGCCGAACCACAGAAGAAAAGCGACTGTATGATCTGGTTGTTAAGACTGTATCGAGGTATACGAAACACAGAGATTGGATCTGGCAGGGCAACATTGTTGGATGGACATACCTCTTTTTTATAATCACGCCGAGCCTTGAGACTCTCCGTCTGGGCAACGGTTACGGTGTCTTCGTGGACGAGTGGCGGAGATGGATCTACGACTTCCGCGACACCAATGCGATCGTAAATCAAAGTCGTGACCAAAGTCGTGCAAGGCAGGGGCTGTGGCAAGTACAACATTGGGATGGAATCCGCGGAATACATAAACACTGGGACCGCAGTCATAAGTGGACGGGAGATCTACGTGAAGAGAGCCAACAAGATCATATGCTAGCGGCATTACCTGGACTCCGTTCCGCAACGCACGTATATCTAGCCGATGACTTGCGACCCTCATGGGAGTGGATGACTCTACCTGGGTTGCAAACCTACAAGCACTCGGACATACTGAAGAATCACAAGGGTGCCCGCGATCAGGTGTCTACTATTCAGGCTCTCTGGCCCGAGGATCAAACATCTCAGACCCAGGAGCTTCGAACGAACATGTCGATTTACACGGCGGAAGACATCAACGGCCGACGCCTCTACGACCCGCCGCTCTCGCACTTTCCGTACCTAAAGGCTATGTATATCAGTCTGATCACCAAAGAAAAGAGACGACGTTCACAGGGCTGCATCGTTGTACCCGTGGCAAGCTACATGCGAGAACTCAGGTTCCCGTTCATGAGACTTCTGCCACTTGCACATACGCTTGAAGCACTTGAGATGCGCATCGTGGAAGGGCAACATATGAAAAAGGGCGGTCTGCCATTGTTCGTGTCCCCGATTACGCAGCTGCAGCATTTCACACGCTTGAAGGAACTCGGCGTCCCGGCGTATGTTCTGACGGCGCAATGGTGGCAGCGCAATGATGGAAACCCTATCACGCAGAATATCTTGCCAGTCGAGATGTTGCCACCGGGCTTGGAGGTTCTTACCATCTTTCTGAACGGCGAGGGCCTACCGGATAGGGACGAAGCTAGGAAGTATGGAAATATGCCTTATTGTGAGGCTGTGGCGAAGGTCATGAGGGATGTCTTGCGTTGGAGAGAACATGTGCTTGATTTGAGGTGCATCCGCATCGACTATACGGAGTTTGAAAGTGGGCCGAGTGCGCTTCTGCCGCTGGGGGAGCTAGAAGAGGCTGGGATACAGGTGGAGGCTCTATAAATCTTCGAGGCGTAGTGGAGTGAACAGTAAGAATGCATATGCACTGGCAGTATCCATGAAACGAAGGCTCGACTCGCTGCATCCTGTGGCGCACGGCGCAGCAAGTGCATCTGTGGACGCCGCAGCAACAGCGCTACCTAAGGACTTCTAGACGCACAAGGCATACCGCAATCCATCACCAGGCGCAGATCCGCAGGCGAAATATCTATGAAAGCGTTGGAATTGCTAACTCGTTGGTCACTGGGGTTGACAAGTGGAGTCGATGGCAAGGAAGACCTGGCGAGCTTTTGGGATGGAGCACGTTGCCGGTTCCCCTGTAGCTCACATCAACTAATTTGAATCTTATCTCTTCAGTTGCAGTTGATTGGATGGAAGAACAGGTTTCTCTCTTCATTGTACGGGTCACCTGGCGGCGCGATGCTTGTTAGTGCGCAAGGTGTTGAGGAATGCCTGGCAGATGCATCGACAGAATTCATCCTGTACCGCACGAGTACGCTCAGTAGGCTAGAAGCTGTCCGACTACCTCCTAAAGCTCCTACGTGCGTACGCAGAAATCGTCGCCACTTATTAATCCGCTGGACATAGTGAACTCACCATTTGCGGGGTGCAGCTGGTGACACCACACCACGAGAAGTGCTACGCCTCGCCAAACCTTAACGACGAACCGAACATCCCGCCGCATCTGGGCCTTGTTGGCAGCCGTTGCTATATGTTGCGGCATGCCGCGTGAGGTCACATTGCCATTGCAACGGCATGTGACATTACGGTGCACGTGGAAGAACCCAGCAATTACCACATCTGTATAAGGAAGTTAACCACTAGCTTCGAAACACGCAAAAGAAAAAGAGAACAAGGGTGCCGAAACAAAACTGCCTATTTGGTCGCCGCTGTTGGTCTTCTGTTTCTTCCGGTACCTGCGTGTGCGGGAAGGATTCGGACACAGCGGGCACGTACGCCAGAGTGTCCATTCCAGTACGTAAACTCTGCGGCGCGCCGCAGAGGAGGGGGAACTGCAATTTGCCTTTGTGGATGGGTCGACACTGTACTTACTTCCTCATCTGGTGCACGCTTGGAAACGCGGATGGCGGGTATGCAGGAGGCCGACCGAACCGTACCAGCAATTCTCATCCCACATAGCGGCTCCAAAGAATTCACGCGATGATAGACGCTGGTTCGCATCTAGTCTCCATACCAAAGCCTACAAGCCCCAGTTCTCTATGGGTAGGCGGCTTCGCTAAGACGACCGGGAAACATGAAACGAGCGGCCTCGCCTGGTGGAACCCCTGCTACCTACGCCGTTGATGCCTCGCGCTGATCCGATTATCCCGGCCCTGCACGCGCGCCCAACTCAAAATCTACACGCAGAGCGACGGCTGTGATAGGGATGTGATTCGCTCGTACCTCTATGAGAGTGCTGTGGGGAGGAGTGGGTCAGTGTTTTCGGCAGGTTCGTGGCGGCTGGCGGGAACTCGACGTGCGCGTGATGCCACAACGTTATACGGACACAACCTCGACCATCGTACGAGGACGGACAGGCGAGGAAGGCAGTGAAATCGCAAACAGTGGTCGTGGTGTAGCCTTCGGACTCACGAGGAAGACAAGACGTCTCGCGCGACATAGCAGAACTACGGAGCGGAGTTCCAGAACAGCCAAGGAAAATCCCCTCGATGATGCGCCGCACTACCGCTACCAGGCGCACCATCCCTGCTCGACGTTTGTTCCTACATTAGCGCCGCCAATCAGAGCACAGCACACTACAAGCCGGAGATGATCACTATTGTTCCTACGAGGCTGAATGCCGCCTCAGTGAGCCCCCACCCCACAAGATGATTATAGCTACATAAGCCATGGACGTCCGCCCTGGTCACTCTCATCAGCAACTTTTTGTGTTCCTTCTCAGTCACTCTCTACCCTTCCGCGAACAGTCATTCTTTCTGATAGCTCTGGAGCTATAGTCATTCTTTTTACACACTCCTTACCGATTACGTTTTTCTGAGAAATCGTCTTTTGAGAAGATCATTCAAAATGCCTGCTATGTCCAAGATCGCCAACACGGCCGCCATTCTTGCGGCTGCATTTGCCACCCAGGCGGCTGCCCACACCTACGTTAAGGAGTTCGAGGCCGGAGGCAAGACCTACGCCGGGTTCTACGCCGCTGACAAGAGCGGGGGTGACGACTCTTCGCCTGCTTGGAGGACCGACCAGGGATGGGGCTTCCAGCCCGTCATGGGTGACCAGATCAACGACCCCAATATCATTGCCCACATGAACGCTGAGCCTTCGCCTTTCACTGCCCCCGTCGACGCTGGCAGCGACGTCAAGTTCACCTGGCAGCACGATGGATCGTGCGGCGGCGACGAGGTTGGCTGGGACTGCTCCCACCACGGCTGGACTGCCACCTGGCTCGCCCCCTGCAACGGCGACTGCAAGGACGTCCAGAAGGAGAACCTCAGCTTCTTCAAGATCCACCAGGCCGGTCTGATCGACTACCCAGCCGGCACACGCTACGCCGAGGGCGGCGACAAGGAGAACACGGGCTACTGGGGCACCGACGCCATCTTCTACGACAACGCCAACAGCCAGACCGTTACCATCCCCAAGGACCTCCCCAGCGGCAACTACGTCCTTCGCACGGAGGTCGCTTCCGTCCACAACAACGGCGACGTCTCCCAGCGCCAGTTCTGGCCCCAGGCCCTCAACATCGCTATCCAGAACGGCAATGACAACGCGCAGGTGCCCGCTGGTATCAAGGCTACGGAGATCTACTCGTCGACAGACAAGCAGCTCACCTTCGACCTCTACCAGCACGAAGCCGGCGAGACCTTCGACGCGCCCGGCCCCGCCGTTGTGTCTATTGCCGGTGGAAGCGCGTCCGCATCCAGCGCTGACTCTGGCTCTTCTCCCTCCGCTGCCGCCGAGGCAGAGGTTGCTTCTTCGACCGCTGCTGCGGCGGTGCCTGTTGCGTCGTCGTACGCCGCGCAGCCCACTCCTGGGGCTAAGGACAGCATCCCTTCGTCTGGCGCCAACGCCCCTGTCGTGTCTGCTACTGCTACTGGTACGCAGCCTGCCTACGTTATCGCTACCGCGCCCGCGGGCTACAACTCCACCGTCCCCGCTGCACCTGAGGCGACTCCTGCTCCTGAAGAGGGTGAGGGATACCAGACGGGCGACAACGAGGAGGACGATGACGAGGAGGGGGATGATGAGGAGGGCGATGATGAGCAGGAGGGCGATGATGAGGAGGATGGCGAGGACTACTCCGAAGAGGGGGACGACGAGGAGGGCGAGGATTACTCTGAAGAGGGCGATGACGAGGAGGGCTCCAACGGCGAGCCTGAGGCTACCACGGGCGGATACCACGGCTGGGGCGAGGGCAAGGAGCACTGGCGCAGCCACGCACGTGAGTTCGTTGCTCGAGCTATGGGTTTGTAATTTAGGGGAGAAGAGGGAAAGTGACTGCTCTCGCATTACATTCAGTGTATGATTCTTACGTCACGAGCGTTTCTTGTACATTTTAGATACCATATATATAGTACCGTTTGAGCGTGGGGAAAATTGCATCGAAAGGTTTTTATTGAGAGTCTCGCGTGGCCCAGGTCCATCTCATTCATCGTTCGTGCGTGCTCCGTTCCAACTCGACGATGGAATCCTCCCAGATCGAAAATATACGTCAACTCCATCTCTGGGATGGCATTCATTCAGCAAGCACGGATACTCCTCCCCAACCGCGACCGCTCAATGAATCCTCCCCAACGCATATTTATTCCTCACCATCCCCTCACCCTCCATATCCATCCTCTCCCTCATCCCATCCACCCTCTCACTCACTGCAGCAACGCTCTCCCCTACTCGTACAGCTAATTCCCTCAAAGCTGGTACCACTTCCCCCAACGCTTCCAAATTTCCCTCTATCTCCTCCTCAAACGCCTCGTCCTCGCTGTCGGGCTCGAATTGGTACTTCGCTCGCTCTACCAGCATCTCCGTTTTCCCGTCCTCGGAGGAAATAGCAACGCAAACGGTAACCTTTCTGCGGAGCGCGACTTCCCATCTGCGTCGGCGGAGTCTATCTCTTGCGTGCCTCTCCTTCTCCTTCTCCTTCTCCTTCGTTTCATGCAGCGAGTCATCCCCCGCACTCTCGCCCTCAACCCGCGTCCCAAACCAAGGATTCACCAACTGCACAAACTTCCCCGCGTTCTTCACCCTCCTTACCCGCTCCCCCGCGACGCAAACTCCTACCCTTTCTTGCAGGTCCAGCTCTACGTTCTCCAGCCGCGCATCTTGAGTGTGCAGACGGGCTAGCGTCCCCAGCCCCGTGTCCCGCGCCTCGTACGCAAGACGTAAAGCATTGCGCGTGCTCGCGACGTCTACCACCTTCAAGGCACGCATTTGCTGCTTTATCGCGAGGACGGAGGCGTCTTCTTCCGACGACTCCGAGGCGCGAGACGTGAGTGGTGTGAATGTGGAATCCGAACTCAGCGTTGAAGGCGGGAATGTGCACGTGTGAGTGTGGGTGTGAGGCGAGGTACTACTTCCCGTTGCAGAACTCGCGAACGTGAACGTTTGAGCCTGAGGAGAGGACGCGCTGGAGGGTGCGAGAGGGGACTCGTACTCGTCGTCTTCTTCTTCGTCGGGCTCGTGTATGCGTTGTAAGGCGGTGGGCGACTCCATATCCGACTCGGTCCTGGCTTTCTTGGACCGCAGGAAGGAGGTCATTTTCTTAACGTTTTGAACGCGCTTCGGCTTTGGAGGCGGCGCATTTGGCTGCGCAGTGGCAGATGGTGAGGGGGCAACGCTTGAGGGCGCGGTCTCCATCCGCGCGGTGCTTGGGCTTGGAGCTGCGCGGTGGTACTCGTAGGGGTTTATGGGGCCTGAAGAATACGCTGTTGAGGTAGCTTCGTAAGGCACTGCTATGATATCTGCCTGGTCATCGGATGCGTGGTTCTCCTCAGTGTCTTGCTGCTCTGTCGACGTGGTCTTCGACTTGGCCTTGGCCTTCTTCAAGAACTTGAGATTCTTGATGGAGCGTTTCTTCAGGAGAGTGGGGTGGATCTTCATCTTTGCGGTGAGGGTGAAGGTGAACGCGTTGAGGCAGCGGGTGAGCGGGCGCGACGAGTTGATGCAGCGTGGGCTTATATCGTGGCAATCCTTGAGGAGTCTAAAGGGCACACAGGCCGCTGCAGCAATTAGCAATTTTTTCGCGCGGGTCAAAAACACAATTTCGATATGGGGACGTGGAGTGGGAGCGTTGAGGTTTACTCCCATGGTGGACTTATACAGTGACAGCTCGGCTCCGAGTGATCCAAATCGGGATTCACCCTTACCTTTCACCCTCACGTTCTACTCAGCTTGGCACCTGAAGACGATGTAACTAACTGTATAAACATTAGGAATAAGCAAAGTATTTACAAGAAGCACGGCTCAGCGAGGGTAGTGTCGACAGAAGGAGACCTCATAATCCGACCGCAAAGGTATCCAGAAATCTATACGCCCCGACCAAACTGAAGACTCATATCCTTAGCCCTGAACAACTCAAGAATATGCTTCAACCCAATTCTTGAATCGCTGGTCTTGGGTCTTGGCTTCAAGGCTTCGGCTCCAAACGTCCCTGATGAGTCCTCGAGCCATTCCGGCTCGTTACGAAAGGGACACGGAGGTGGACACTAACTACCTCCGATAGCGATCGTCCAGTTCGAAGGGCTGCCGTCGAAGACTGTGCCAGCGACGTCGGCGCCGCCATCGGGAACGACATCGTCGTATGGGAACGCGTAGCCGCGGCCGTCCTTCATAGTCTGGTGGACGAGACGCGAGTAATGGTTAGTAGTCGCGTTCTTGTAGTAGTTTGCCGGGGTACTGCCGTTGGGGAACTGCGTTGCGTCCAAGAGCGTACTACGATTGAATGCGGCAGCCAAACGAGGAATGACGGCGTTGCGTGCGGCGTTGTCGCCTGTCGCAAAAGGTCCCTCGCTACAGGTCCAAATGTCGCGCGCGTTGGGTTTACTGAAGGTACCGGCAGAGCCGAGGGACAGTTGACCGTTGGAAACACGTCCGGTGACGTTGCCGGCGGCTGCTTGCGTGTTGACGGTCATATCGGTGCTGCTGAAGCGGGTCCAGACTTGGTTCACATAATTGTCCCAGTAGCCGTCCCATGCGGTCGCGCTGCTGTCAAGGAGCTTGAGTGGCGAAAGCACGCGTAGCGGTGTGCCCGTGGCTGGGTAGACCAACTTGTCCCATGGGCGGCCATCGCTGGCTGCCTGTTGTTTGAGGCCATTGACAATAGTTGTCAGTCCGTTGGCTGGCAACCCTGGTACAGACTGGACGGTACCAGAAGTGCCGGTCAGTGTGAGCGCGACTGGGATACTAATGAAGTCGACGCATGAGATGTTGGCAAAAAGCTGGTCGGAGTTATAGGTGAACTCGCAGAAGCTGAATGCGAAGGTCAGTCAGGAGGTCACGTGAATCAGAGACACTCAACTTACCCCCAATTGATGTTAATATTAGGGTCGCTGGGATTCGAGACGGAGGGCTGCACTCTGCATCAGCGATTGATGGTTATGCCGGATTTTGATGTGTACCTCAACGACACCAGGTCCAGGGTTGAGCGCAAAGGTGAGCTTGCCCCCAATAGCGAACCACACACGACCTCCCGCAATCCTCGGAATGGTGACGTTTTTGGTCGTTCCAGGAGCACCCAATGGGATAGCAACGTCTGCTGCGAGCGGCGAGCCAACGGTAGCAGGAGATGCCGGGTAGTAGATGGTCACACCATCCGACTGAAGGAACATGGGGCGATTGCCATTGTCTAGCGCTTGACCGGTGACATAGACGTACACGGCACTGCTGCTGCTTGCGTTCTTGAGGGAGACAGTGAGGGTGGGGGCCGTGGCAGATGCCATGACCTGTTGATTTTGATTTGCCTGTGCCGCAGGAACGGGGGCCGGCGCGCTCTTTTGACCATTGCCGTTAGCAGTAGAAGCGCGGTTATCGTTGCCGGTAGCGGCGCGGCTAGAGCGGGATCGCAACTTGGCGATCAATTCCTTGAAGGATGGCATGATGCAATGCAATGCAATGTTGGTACGAGTAAGCAAGTATCGATAAGCAGGAGATATATACAAGGTAGGAGGAGCAAAGAGGTGTGAGGAAGTCTGGTAGCGGTTGTAGGACGAAGACTACTCGGGAGCGCTATTACGATTAAATAGAAAACAGTAGCAGAGTGAATGCAGGGCTTCCAGAGCGATTTACTGATGTCACAGGAAAGCTTCGAACGGGGATGGCCAGAAACGGAAGTGGCTTGAGGTCATCCAACCATCGGCCCAATCAAGGCGCGGCGTCTTTGCACCACCAGCAAACCAGCGCGGCAGAACCCCAGGATCTTAAGCCACGCGGCTAAGGCTCGTGGCACCACCGCAGGCATGCGAACTGGGCATTAGCGCTGAGAGAAACCAGGTACTGGGCGGACATGTATATACTCTGACACAAGCCGGGCCTTTTCTTCTGGACCTTGCAACGAGAGAGCCTTCGGAGATTAGGGGCACAACCGATGACGACATATCGACTGCCGGCCCCAAGCAGACAGCGACAGAAGTCTAAAAAGCCACAATCGCCCTTGGCATGAATAGTCGCTGGATCGGCTTGCTGGATGGAGGAGAGGTGGACATGTCAGCAGAGGTACACCTCGGTGTCTCGGACGATGGGAAAATACCACTCGATGCGGGGAAGAGCCAAGGTTAGGAAGGTACCTATAGCATCCAACGCGCACGCGACGCACGCCCACGACACTCCCTTTCTTCGGTGTGACGGTCACAGGTTCGTCTGGCGATGGTTTTGCGATGTCATCGCGGTCACTGTTGGGCACCTTTTGCTGCTCTCGGTCGCTCCGTTTGCACCTGGACTCGAAAGATGGCTGAGGAGAAGGCAAGGTGTCGCATGACACGGAAGAACCTCTATCGTATACCATTTTCACCATGAGGGCGAGCAAGACCGCTTGAAAAGGGAGACAGGCGACGTTGGGGGTTTGCTCTGAGCCTGGGGCGATGCCTAGGCGTCCAGCGCCGGGTCCGACGGAGTGCGCATGTGCTTATATGGAATGACATGTACGAAGCAACGCGAGCGTACAGAGAAGTTTGTGTATGCAATGGCTGGAAGGCGACAACAGCTGCGTTTCATGCTCGATCAATACCATTGCAAGGTATGCCAAGACCTGTCATTCCACTTTAGGTTAGAATGGTATATGTTACTACCGCTTCCGGACCAGTTCTCGTCTACCCACGCTCACATTTCCTCGACACTACGCATCGCTAAAGATCATCGCTATCGGCCTTCGCTTATTGCTATCGTTCGCTTACCGATCTGCGATAATGACAGCCGCCACCGATATCGAGCTTGTCCGACAAGAACTGATCCGCGAGCAACGGCTTCAGCGGGCAGAAGCCGAGGGCATCCTTGATACAATCGACATGAGCTCACTTACTTTTGAAGATTGTAAGTACACTCAGGATCTACAATGAGGCGCCTACATCTTTGGGCCTTACTGACTCGCTTGCAGCGTACCGACAGCTTGGGGGGCGCTACTACCGATCAGCGTAGTACGCACGCGCGCATCCAGACACTCCATTCGAAGCTTTTCATTATCTCACCGATGCTTTCAACGGTTCAACGCCTCTACGTCAGCGCGCGTGTTTCCAGACATGCTTTCGTTTGCGAGACACGATCAAAAACGCAAAGGCCGACCTGCAAAATGTCAACGTAACCCATCGTGAGCGCATACTACAAGCCCTCGATACGTCTGAGTTTGGCCAAGATCTCGTCTCCGAATTGACGAGGATCCTCTGCGAGCTGCATGGACATATAGCGAAGCTCGAGGAGCTGCGCGTTTCGATCGTTTACCAGGAAGAACGCTTTGTACCGTCCAGGGAACAGCGGGTAGCACATGACGAGGCTTTTTGGGCGTGGGCTTCGTGTCTGCCGGAGACGGCGTTGCAGCTCCGCGCCGGGCGTAAAAGGAAGCATATACTGGCGGATTTGTTGGATCCATGGATCGAAGAGCTGGGGCCGACCGAGTGGGATTCGAGTGTCGTTGTTGGAAGAGTGTCGGCTGAACGTCCACATGATGCGCATCGGTCTAGGTCGAGTTCTTGGTAAACACTTTGTCTTTTGGTTTGCTGTTGATTTCCCGAAGCCATGGCATGTTCAGTCAGGTTACCTAGAGTCCAGTGTGTGAGACATGAAACATGACATCTTACTACGAAGTGGCCTGCGCAGACAACACTGAAGCGACGTTACGTATACTTTTAAGTTGAAGCTCGAGTACAATTGGTCTTCGTATTGTCTATCTTGACCCAAAACACTGCATTTAGAACAACATTACAGGCAGCGGAGGCATACCTCGGACGACTCGGCGGCGGCAATTCTTGCGTAAGAACATCCACTATACAGTACGACGTAACTTTAGATACCATTATTAAGTGAGGTACCCTAAGATACATAATTGTATACGTCGCTTGCCGACCTTGTTCGCTGTATAACCGACCTCGACCTCGACCTCGACGAGAGAGCACCAAAGAGTCTGGGTTTCCCCTTCAGCCTCTGCTTATTGATATCCCGTATCAGTATTTGAGCTCTGCTGACTGGAGATACAGGTGATCTAGACTCTGTGGGTCAACACGCGCTTTCACTCATTCACTATGTAGCCGACCTTAATCTTGACAAGAGAGGAAGGGCGAAAAGAGCCTGGGCTTTCCCTTCAGTCTCTGTGTATTGATATCCCGTATCAGCAATGAAGCTCTACTGACTGGACAAATAGCGGGATCTGGACTTTGTGAGTTGATGAGCGCTTTCACTCATTTCCCCACTAGGCCACCATATCGACCGGCAACCTCTTTCACCACGACAACCAATTTAGGATTTGGTACTGTTGCCTAGGCCAACGCAATGGCCGCAAACGCGCCTGGGTTATTATGCCCCTCTCTCCCTCGTCGCCAGCAGAATCCACTTGATCCGTCCTCTCTACCGCAGCAATGCCTGTCCCACCTTCCGTTCAACGCGAGCTCGATAGAGTCCAAGAAGCCGTCAAGGCCATTCGAGCTCGCAAGGCACTTGACCCGATCCGTGCTAACGATATCTATGTAGACGATATCATCGACTTCAGCTGCGAAGTCAGTCCCCGTGTGTTCAAGTGGCTGTCTGGTCTTCCGTCGGACCTCACGCAGCTTGAGCACTCGGACACTGCACCAGAGATGACTGCAGATATGTACAAAGACCTCTTGAATTGGGCTGCGAGCAATGTCCAGCGCCTCGAGAAAGAACTCGACAAGCACGAGATGGAGTACCGTCGTCTTGGACGCGACTAGTGAGCTTTCCAGCCCTCTCAAACAAACAAACATTTTGTGATAGCCCACGCTATCAAGTAACTGCTAACACGCCCACAGCCATGAGACCCCCTTGGCCCTCCGCAACCCCACCGCCATCGCCTACAACACCCGCGCGGAAGGCATCTCCCCGTCCGACCTCAACATCCATCCCACCACCCGCCCCGTTCCGCCAATCAACCCAGCCATCCTCCAGTCCTTGAAGGCCATCTTCGACTCCGTGCATCCTCGATCCACCCACGCCTTCTTCACCAACTGGCGCACCATCCAAGCCGCGCTTGTGGACATCCACAGGCTCCTCAACATGAACTACGAGTCCTTCAGCAGCAGCAAGTTGCGCCACATGCTCACCGCCATAGAGCACGACATCGACCTCTCAAACCTGCTTCTCGTGCACATCGCCACGCAGCTCACCGGGGTACGCAATACCCGGGTACAAAGTCGATCTGTCTTAGACAAAAACACTTCGTACCTACGATCTCCACATTTATAACTTGGCTGACTTTACCTGCGCGTCTAGGTATCTCACTCCCTCGATGAAGTCGGTTCGCGACGTAGGGTGGGCGACGGCGCTAGTCTGCACAACGCTTTCAGCGTCGAGGGCAGCGCGTATAGGCGGTGGGTTAGTGCCTTTCCGGAGGTGGTAGCCGGCGAGGTGGGCGTTGACGTTGCGGAGAGGGTGTTGAGGATGGGCACCCCGGAGCTGAGTATGGATTGGAAGAACAATTATCAGTGGAAGGAGGAGGGAGAGGAGAAGACCGGGGGATTGGGGTGGATGTGGGAGTCGGAGAGGGAGTATGATCTGGAAGTCTGAAGGAAAGACAGACGGCGTTCAGATAGAAAATGATGGTACGAGCAGAGATAAGGATATGGAGTTTGAGATGGGAGGCGTGCTTGGGTTGTTACACAACCTACAAGCGATGTTTGAACGAGGGAAACAGTGCTTTTCCATCTTTGGAGGTAGCACGTTGTTTGGCGTGCACTTCTTGGACATGTTTTCCATAGTCCCATGGAAGAATGCTAAGGATTGTTGATCAATGTATCACCTTAGCTGTGTTAGAGATGGGTCTCGTGAAGTTGAGCTTCTGAACTTGTTAGCTTACTAGAAAGAGCGCATGCTACGCTCGGCCTAGGGTACAGAAAGGACGGGGACTGGACGGGGAATGGGATGGGGATGAGTTGGGAATAGCATAAAGACAGAGGTGGTACTGATGGGTCTGCCTCCGCGACCTTGCTGCCCGCTCGCCCGCTTCCCTACATCTGTGCGCTCACTTCCCACTCTGTGCGCTCACTTCCCACGCTGCGCGCTCGTTTCCCACGCTCTGCGCTCGTTTGCCACGCTCTGCGCTCGTTTACATCCGTGCTGCGCTCGTTTCCATCCGTGCTGCGCTCGTTTCCATCCGTGCTGCGCTCGTTTCCATCCGTGCTGCGCTCGTTTCCATCCGTGCTGCGCTCGTTTCCATCCGTGCTGCGCTCGTTTCCATCCGTGCTGCGCTCGTTTCCATCCGTGCTGCGCGCTCACTTCACTGGACCTGCCCTGGCCTTACCTATATGTATACCATGCCTGTGCCACTGCACCGTTCCCGAAAAGGTAGTCTATATTTCTTTTGAGTGTGTTGTGTTATCGTGAAATTTCGAATTCGCGCCGTTGATTGGATCTTTTGCTGAACAGAGGTCACACGACATATGCGACCCACCTTGAAGACCACATCTTACATGACTTGCACATCTCAGAGCTGTCGCGGTGAGCAGTCGCGTCTGTGAAGTCCGTCGTTCGAGGTTGTTGTCGAGGCAGTCTGCCTGCTTGTTCTCCTTGAGAGAGTCTTCCTCGCCCGGGCGAGGCAGCTTGCCTCATCATAGAACAGGTATTTAAAGACCGGCCACTCTCGCAGAAGATGTTGCATGCTTCAAATTACGCATATTCATATGTGCCACGCCCAGTAAACGGGACATGATGGCAGCTGATAAGTATGGTTAGTTACGTCGCTTGTCGTATGTGTACTAAGTTTGTGGAGAACCTCCCAATGAAGAGTGGCTGCAAGAAGCGCAAGGAATGCACGACAACGAGAACAGTACGAGCAAATCTGTGAAAGAAACGTGTCTGAGCAGCCGCGAACACACTGGAATCCCTGCACGGGTAGAGGGTACGTTTCTGGACCGCCCCACGCTCATGACATAGGAAGGCCAAGCTAATGACAACTCTCAGTTGACCCAAGTCGGGCTCAAAACGAAGCACATACGCCTACGAAACACCTCGACATGTCTCCTCAATATCCTACGTCTTCGCATGTTACAGATTCGGCGAACATAGTTCGATGTGGCAAGGCACGCCGCACTCCACATGTCGAACCCACGACATCCCGCGATGCATCGCATACAACACTGTACGAGCCTGATACACGTTGCACCGAAGAGGACGACAAAACAACCGAAAGTGAGGACACAATGTCAGTGCTAGACATGTATGAGAAGTTGCTTGAATTGAGAAAATTGAATGCTCTACTTGCGAGCGTACATTTCGACGAGGAGAGAAAGGGATGACCTATGCTTTATACATAGGTATGGTACAGAATATATTGCGGTCACATATTTCTGACGAATGACCTTGAAGGCTATGCGATCCTAAGATATTGCTTGCAAGTCAATGCACCCTGACAACATGTCTTTTTCGCTCTTGAACTCAGCCCACCGTCGAAGACTGCTCTCCGTGATGCGATCTGATGTGTAGTGATCTGATGTGTTGTGATCTGATCTAATGTGAGGTAATCTAATGTGCTATGATCTGCTTCGCCTAGAGAAACACCAACGCCCAGTATAGGACGCACATGCTTACTGATGTGCGCGGCTGTGCCGCGCAACATTGATTCGACGTGATCGATCATAAGTGGGTCCCTCCCGCGGTGAACACTAATTCAGCACCCGCGCTAGCGTTTATGCTGCAAGGTTTCCATTCTCATTTTGATCTCATTTCCATTCTGGATTTTTGACGCAGTCTATGGTGTACCCTGACTCCCACTCTTGCGATTAGTTCCTCGGCAGGTGCTTGTGTGGCGCAACGGGTTGTGTACTTATAATCAAAATGGGTCATTAGGTCCCTCTCTATGGTCAAAGCAATGCATCATGCTGGTTTGCAGCTCTTGAAAGAGGCAACGTAAAGCAACGTAAAGCAACGTAAAGCAACGTAAAGCAACGTAAAGCAACGTAAAGCAACGTAAAGCAACGTAAAGCAACGTAAAGCAATGTAAAACAACGGGAAGCAATGTAAAGGAACGGGAAACAATGTAAAGGAACGGGAAGCAATTTGACGTGACCTGATGCGATATAGTGTGCTATGACCTGCTTCGCCAGTGTGGGACGCACATGCTTGCTGATGTGCGCCGCTGTGCCGCGCAACATTGATTCGACATGATCCTTGTGTGTGGGTCCTCCACGTGGTGAATGCTAATCTAGCGGTGCACTAGCGCTTATGCACCAAGGCTCGCTTTGTGGCGTTCCGCAACGACTGACGTCCTCCAACACCTGCTAAACTACATCAAGCATTGCCTGACCTTTGCGCAAAGAAGGACCTGCTGTTTTGTTTCAGTCAATTCAAGCGAACACCCAATTAAGCAACTAAAGCATCGGCCGATTGATTTGCGACTCGTCGCCATTTTTACCAAATCGAGAAGTGCGGTGAGCCGGGCAGACGACCGCGATCTGTAGACGACCGATCCTGCCGAGATTGGCTACTTCTTCGATGGCCGGTTTCCCGGGGTCTATGGCGGTGGAGGATGGTTGGGGGCCAAACAACTGAAGGGAAGAAAGGGAGCCGGGGTATCCAGCGGGATGCGTCAAAGCCAAGGGCTAAACAACCTTCTAGAAGGAAGAGATCGTAGCGATGGCGGACCGCCCGCGCGTAGACGTACGCGGAGCGGCACCGTAACCGCCTTGTCGATCATGATAGCCCGTGGGATCGGCGTCAGACGTTTGTCGCCGGGGAACAATATCCACTTCCGAGGCGAAAGCGTCAATGGGCGTGAGAAGCACAGGGTGACAAGGTCTTGGGTCTCGGCTGTCGTTTTTTTGGGGGAAGGATCAGAACCTTGCCAGCTACGCCGCATGCCAATGTTTGCCTACACCAAGCAGTCCGTCTAACGAGAGTCCTCCAAATTTCAGGCCCCTGATTGCCTGCATATGCACCGTATTCGATTCGATGTTTCAGTCCAATTACCGAGCCGATTCGGCTTTCGTTGCTCGGACCGTGCAGGATCAGCCGCCCCGAGCCTCCCTTACCGAGCTCTACGCAATGTTCGGGAAACCTTCTAGAATAAAAATTGCAAGATGAGAGGACCCTGACTCTTGTCACGACGGTAACAGGTGTGTTAGCGCCTATCATCTTACGGGATCTTCTTAATGAGAATTGCTTCCATGTTCTAAGACAGGACAAAATTCTAAAGCAGCGGCACACGTCTTGCGCCGATGTTGCAGCTAATGACGCTTTGAAGAATTGCCAGCTATGATCTCTCGGGTTCGGCTGGAGAGGGGCTTGGAATGTGACTCTTCTACTCAGTTGGTTCACACGCGGGAGCTGGACTACAGAATACTATTACGGAGGGAGTCCTTTCGTCTTACTAAACCATGGTTCATGCAATTCGCAGGTTCACAAGAACCATCGGTGTTAAGGGGTCCCCCTCATTGATTAGGCTCGCCCAGTCAAAGGGTGATCTTGCGCCTGAAGAGGCGTTTCGCACCATCGATGTGTGTCGAGCTCCTGCTTTGCTTCCGAAATAGCTGTTGTGCGTCCAATGTGAAGGATCGATAACCTTGGAGAAATGTATGGTGGAAAGGTAACCCGCACCTAAGCTGCAGAAGCGAACTCTACCCTGGGTGCCGGGTATAACCCATGGCTTAGCCTTTTATTCCCCGAGTCATTGGCATGCATTGAGGCATACGTATTAAATGTATGATGCGGTATTGGGTCTTCTGGCGAGATAGCTCGATAGTACGAGACTACAGCCCCCTCACCACCATGGTGTGTGCCAGGGTTTCGAATTACATCGAGCGTATTATGTGGAATAAGAAGAGCTGGGCTGTACGGCAGACTGAAATCACTTGTACGGGTAGAACTCCAATGCCAGTTCTCATTAGATGGAGGACTGTTAGTGCCCACCCATAACCTCCTGGGAAAGGTGGAATTGTAACCTGCATACATGACTTCTACCCAGCTTCAAAGAATCAACACAGCCTCTTGGAGGCGGCTCTGACGATCCGCACATCACAGCGCACTCATCTGGTTTTACCGAGCCTAAACGGCCCGAATAAGCACTACTGCGAAGCGAAATCATGAAGAAGTCAACCAGACTTCAAACATCTGAGACATTATCATCAATGTATCTCGCAGCGCGAGACGTGAACAGGGATTAAGCAATTGGCGGTGTGTACCCTGTGTGTGAACGGTGTCCTATAGTCCACGTGCAGCATGCAACTTCTTTGGGCGTTCTATCCTGGACAATCATGCAGCAGATGGCAAGGACGCAGTTGACCAATGGGCCACAGCGTAGATAGATGCAGCGAAAGCTAGGAACTAATAACGTCGCTCAGCAGACAACGCTTCCAGAAGCAGATTTAGGGGAAGGCCGGCGTGACCAACAATTTGGCTCAATCACGTTGCGATGATCACAGCGCCGTGCATCTTAGAGGGTCCAGAAACAGAGGAGATCCGACCATGTAAGACTTCGGTATCTCGATCAAGTTCCTGCGTACGCACAGGTCATGAGGCTTGCATGATGGGAAGTGCCATTCCACTGACTTAGCGTTGTACAGGGCACATGGTGT